CTGATGAATCGTGACAACGAAAATTGCAGGGTATAACTTCTAGGCTAACGACCAATGATTCGTCATTATCGGATTCATCGTCACTCTAGGTTGCATTGCTTTAATGCTGTCAACTCGCGGAACGAGCGCGTGTTTGCATGACTCGCAACGTATGTCCGGACGAAAGGCAGTACACCGCCTTGTTGCTTCTCAAATTAGCAGAGATGTGAGCCTCACGATAGTGGTGCTTGGGATATAGCTAATTGCATGAATCAAGCATTCGACATCCAAGACGGTTTGCCCTCTAATGCGAGACGGTAACCGTGACAGCTTGTTGTTGCGTCCGAAACCCAAAGCTGTGTGATGTACGCTCATGTAGAGATTCAAAAGCGACAGTATGATTTCACTTTCAGAGTTTTCGGAATATTTGAATTAGGCTATGTCTGTAAGCGCGGGACTTTTGTAGTGCAAAGATCGTGAACTTTGCTGTCCAGTAGCGCGTTAAAACAGGTGATTGACTCCCCGAACTACGGGAGTGTTTTCAACCGTGGGCAATTCGCAGTTAAGTTGTTTTTCTTTGTTTCTTCTTTCTTTTCCATGTTCATGTTGGATAATTCGCAAACCAATTTCTATGGATAAACCTCACAGGGATTGAGGCAATCCGTAGAAACATCGATTCAAAATGAGTGGCATCATGTCTAGCGTGTTGACATTGGCGGCGATCAACGCGCGCAGTACTAAGCACAGACCAACACTTGCAGTGATCGCCAGCCACGTATTCCAACGGATTGCCTAGGTAGGAAGTCCGACCGATCATTTCCCAACAACCATGTTTACTGTCTGTAAGTAGGAGAAGCGTATTCAAAGCGGATAATGCTCAAGTAAAGATTGGTGGTTTTGGCTCGATCAAGAGCTCAACCTTCAGAGCTCATTAACACGCGCTTGGAGATTGGCCTTAAGAGCGACCTGGAATCTCGCATCATGTCGCCTTAATAAGCCCATTTGGCAGGCAATTGCCGTCGGCAACTTTGGCGCTAGATGTTTGCTGGATGGCCTTTCAAAAGCTATGGCTGCACGTGTTTGCACCAGATCCCTGGTCCGCTCACATACAAGACCAGTCTTGCCTCATCAGGCTCTGGCGAGATTTCTGATAAATGTCGCTCTCAAACTGCGCGAGTGCTGGTCACAATTCTAAAGTAATATAGTTACAGCGAACTATGCGACAATGACGATGGCACGGATCTAACCAACGAAATTCGGACATGGCTTTTACGGGTTCCTCCGTCACCGCATGAACGGTGTGTGTCGAAGAAATACTGAACATGTTGATTCTTCCGAGGTTCTTCGGCGCAAGCTCGGTCAGAGTCGACGCAAGTATCGGGGCAAGAATGGCAAACCCGTACGATAAGGGAGCCGAATCAAGTAGCGGGGCGCCTTGGTGCAATTCGATCTGGATGCCAATGTCCAAAGAGGAAAGGCGGGAATACGACCCTGAACCGCTTGGGTTCGCGATGCGTGATGACGTTGTCACTTACGAGCGAGAAAAAAAGTCGTGGGAATGTCATTTTCCGCCATAGTGGTGGAAGCAAAAGTCTATTATCGTTCGGCAGACTCGGAAGTACGTTCGTCGTAGCGCCGAAACAATGTCACCTTTGAGTTGTAGCCGATTAAGGGATAGGCTAGACGCCCGGTAAGAGGAGAGCAACAAAAATAAAAACAAAACACAATTCGTCAGACAATGGCTTTAATACAATGTTGTGCTGTGCTAAAAATCATACAACGGGTGAGGAGGGCTGGACGGTTTGACAGCGAGGGGGCCTCCTTGATCCACCGTTCAAAACGGGGTTAAAAGGTACCCTGATCCTAGACGACCTTTTCCGACTAGGGCAACAAACTGAGTTGTGTCCATCATATCAAAGCCGGAGGTAATCAAGACGACGCGTCGGAAATAAACCTAATGTAATGTACCAATAGAATTACCCATGCAAATAATGGGTCGTGAAATTTATGGAATTGCTAAGAACGGTGCGGGTAGTCAAGATGAGAGATATTGTGGTGAGTAGATGTTCTTTCCCAGGAAGCATTTGCAGTTTGCACAGATGCAAGAAAAGCAATGAGGTGTTCGCAAAGCAATTATGTAAGACTGCCCCCAGCAAAGCTTGAACGGTAGCCATGTGGTAAGTGGATCTGCGAGGCTTTTGAAGGTCCCTGCTCGGACGTGTTTGAGGGTGTACAGATCCATTCACTAGAACACTGATCGAAAAAAAGGAATTTTGTGAAGCTCTGCCCGCAGCCCGCAGGTTACACAAGCTAGGGCTCCCAAGCTGGAAGGCTAACAGCCTCACCTCAGGAACATCAAGTCAACAAGTCGACCAATGCTGCCTCTATACAAACGACGTGCTCATATCCACTTCAGTAAATGGGCAGGCGGAGTTGTCTTCGACGGGCGCCACTGGCACCCGCTGGCTTGGTTACAGTTTTAGGACTTTTTAGGAAGATAGAGCACGCCGCTACTGATGTTATCAAATGGGCAGGTAGCGTATGTATAGTTATACAGGACATACTTTCAAGATCTCCTCATCAGCTTGGTGATGAAGAGCCTCTTCTCCTTAGGACCCACGAACTATCACCGTTGGTGGATGACCCGGGGTTTGTCTCCATACGTGCAAGTGATGCTACCGCAGTATTGATATCAATGATACGCTGTTGATGCGAGTGTAATTTATGGCCCCCAATGTTCGTCCCATCTATGCAAAGGAATGGGGGCAACGACTTCGGCGCCTGTCGAGTTCTTAAACCATGTCAGCATTAGGGAATTCGAAATAACCCGGTTTCTAAGTTGCTGATAGGAATATACACAAATTGTTGAACGGAGCAGAAATCGATACTACTAAGCGATGCATCGCTTCTCAATATGACAAGCATACCGCCACCTGGCGAGAGAACAAAGCAAAATAATGCAACAACAAAAATATATGCACATGTTCAAAACTCATGGTCGGATTTTGACCGAAGTTTTTTGCAGCAGTCAGTGCTTTGCATAGGGATGCTACGATAGCTGTTTTAGCGTAGTTTCGCTTGACTCGTGGGTCTCTTCCGTAACGCACGACATCCAGCCATCGTCAATCATTGCCGCCCGATTATCTTTCTTGTGGCGCTGCCAAGTCAAGGCATCATCACCATATGGCAGCGTAGCGCATGCCTCTTCATGAGATGTTAACGGATTTGTGACATATCCGTAAGCTGCAGTAAATGGAGAACGACACAATTGTTCTGAGCATCTCGCTGCTGATGGTTTCTATTGTCCAGGTGTTAAAATATCGCTATAATTTCAGCTCGTAAGCCGCGTAACGAGGCCGAGAAAACTCCAGACTACGCTGGTTTGCTAGTGTCTTCAGATTTTCTCTTTCTTGAGAAAGTACCGATACATCTCGACCGCTCAACTAAAAGCTACACACCAGCACACCAACCCGGTTCGCGTCAGGGTACGACCACTTGAGTTTAGCCCAACCATGGATGTGTCATGTCAGTTCATTATGGATATCTTGGCGATACCAGAGCTGGTCTAGCCGTTTATAGAACTAGAATCTCTTGACCCACCTTCTCTTCCTTCCAATAATAACAAATAATTGAGGTTATACTGCTTCCACACCACGATCAGTTCAGGAATGCTAATATTTACTTGGGGGGATCTCATTCGCCATGTAGTACGCTGTGTACTTTTCTACATGCCGTGGCACTCATCTTGATTTCCATGATGACCTCTTTGCTTGCCGGCAGGTGAGGTTTCAAGTGTCATCACGATCTGGCTCATTAATTCGAAAGCTTCGACACACCGCCATGTTAACATGACATGGAGATTAAAGGGGTGCAATGCAACCTCAATTAGACCCCTAACTGGCTTCTACGTAGTCTTACGCAAACATCTCAGGTCTTTGCACATTCTACAATAGGCCTCTAAATATCTTCAGCGATAGTACATGTAGTTATCCATTTCCGAGTACTGTTATACTCCGTGCGCTTGCAGTGTTATCGACCCACTTGAACGAAATCAACTGTATAACATCTCTTCGTAAAGTGCTCCACACTGATAGTTCATGAGGCTACACAGTAGATGTGCTGTATGATGTGCGCAGCTTCCAGCGCTGTCAGCTGCACAAAACTTCAATGATCGTTGAGTAACACATGAACCAAAATGATTTATCTGCACGCCTATACATCCCTGCCCACACAGTGAGGAGCGGCACGAAGGAGTTGAAAGTCTCAGTGAGGCAATCGAACATGCGCAATGCACCCTACTCCCTCGATTTTCATCATCGAACCGGTTGCGCACGATATAATGCTGAACAGCACCACCGTGACGGGTACGCGCAAGCAATAGCAAAACTCTTTTCTGAACGATTATCATCCTTGCCACAAGCCTGTCAATCATCGAACGAGCGCCAATGTCACCTAATGTGACTAGCCAGCCACGAAGATTCCACTCATGGGTCGAAGCCAGTAGGCATGCACGGAAATCTTTGTGATAGGTATTGAAAGATACGAATGGGTTAGTAAAATCTGTTGCTGGTATGTAGCGCATAGCCAGCCGACAGCCGATACGCAAACATGTACGTAGTGCTGAGAACATCACTCGGAGAAATGACTGTACACACACTTTAATTGGTTCGTCATTTCGATGCAATTTGATACAACCACATGATCTTCAAGGTCTTCTAAATCTCGTCTCGTTACCGCGATGATACCAAAGTCCACGCACCTATATTTCATACCCGTTTGATCAATGCTTTCAACTCTGCGCATCGTAAGCATCACGCTATCCAAGTCTAGCATTACAAGGTGAACATCCCAACCATTTGATGGTGCAGGAATGGCGCTCCAATCCAGTCCGTCCGTCAACCGCGGTAGTGGCTTTAAGTACGGCACCAGGAGCCGACGCTGCCACTCAAAATAGATCAAGCCTGCCAGCTATTCAATTAATAAAAGGCGATGAAAGACATTGGGCTTTCCGGAGTGTTGGCATGTCAGGCAAAGGAACCGAAGCCAAAATACGGATTGTAAGGTTCAATATTGACTTGCGTGCATGTACAAGTGACTCGAGCATAAAACCTTGGTACGTAAGTATGATTATCTTGTAACTTTCTACCTACTGTCATAATTAGCAAGGGACATTTAATCAGTCATTCAAGTAGTTAGTCGTAATGGCAAATCTCTCCCAAGCGCTCAAGGAGTCTACCCCAGCATGGTAAGTAAGATCAGTAGTCCCTGTTCCTACATAGTATTCATCCTACTATGTATGGTTAACGATCAGAGTATTTCTTTTCGCTCCTGTGTTGGTAGACACTATCTGGCTTATCATTCCGCTGTTGGACACGACACAATACGACACGACACAACACAACACGGTCGTGATCGCTGCCCATGATTATGCATCCGAGTGTGATAGAGTAGGTACCTAGTGTGAGATCCCTGGGAAAATTTCGGGCGTCTGCTTCCAAAGCTCGACTCGCCTTCTTTTCTCTTCTCTCTTCCTCGCTCCAATCTCCCCTTAACATCTGTTCTTCTCATCCCACTTTATCACATATAGGCCCGATCTTTCAAACATAGCCGTTTCATTGCGAGGGAAGGACCCTTGAAAAGCGCGGGAAGAAAGCCACAGCTATTGAGACGCGTGACGTACGTACCTATTTTCATTGTGGAACAAGACCTATCCATTTATGTGCAGGCTGGTGGATATCCATCTGCTGATGGGCTCCATTTGGCGTTGAGATGCTCCTTCTATTCAATGTTCCTCGACCGTTCTGCACATTAGGACCCCCAGAGGCCTGTCCTGTCCACCCCTTCCACCAGTCCCCACTTGTCATTTTGCCTCAATCTCATTTTGTACATTTGCGCAAGCTGCTAAAATGCATGTTGCATAACTTCACAGCTCCTCATCATCTTTGCTTAACTCTGCATTGGCGCTAAAAAAGAACAAAAAAGAAAAAGGCCGCACCGCAGGCACAGACTTGCAGAACCCTGCCGGAGAACGGAAGTCGATCCACTTGGCCAAATAAACGGTTCTTGACGGCACTCACTCGAGTCGTGGCCCACCCACCTGCACAAAGTTTCGATACTTGCTAGGACGCACTTGAGGGCCGCTTTGTACCTAAACCTTGGCTTACTTTCTCTGGCGTGTGTGTCTGTCTCTCACTCTCGCTCTCTCTGGGCGAGCAACCAAGAAAAACTAAAGACGAAAAATTCTTGGGCGAAACAAAAACCTGACTGGACCCAAGGAAAACTCCGGCCAAACAACCGAGCAAGTTTAAAATTTTCACTCGCTCTCTCCCATTCTCTTTCTCAATTCTGACCTGTCTGTCCGAAAAGAGGCAAGACACACTGCCAGCGGGAAAAATAAAAAGAGTCAGCACCGCTTTTCCAAGGGGATCCATCTTCTCCACTTTACAAACAACTCCTTCCTGTCCACCTTTCGGACCCCATCAGAAGAGCGACGAGTCCCAATCGTCCCAGTCCCAGTCCAGTCCCCGTTCCCGGATCAAGCCTCACATCTCTCGTCTGCTGGCTACTGATTCTGCATCCTTTTTCTACCCAGCCCACTTCCCATTATAGACCGGGTATTGGAGCCTCACCAACTACTCTCATCCACCAGCTCCATTTCGTCCCCAATTCTTACCCCAAAAACATCAATACCATCCCCTCATCGCCTAAGAATTTTTTGAAACTATCGCGAGCTTTGCATCCGTACCACCAACCCAAACTTTCGCGAACCCAAAAAAAGCATCTATCCAAGCACTGGCGGCAGCTCAAACCTCTTCACGTCAGGTAATAGTGGAGGATTTTTCTGTTTCTGGACTTTTACTCCTTTGCTACCGGACCTCGGGATAAAACTGCCCCGTGTCGTGTCGTGTTGCGTCGACGGCATCAAAGCTTCCCAAAACAGTCGCGTCTTGTTACCCTCGACGCGCCCCTCGCATTTTATCGCCCACAAGCGATCGTGCATCTGACAACGATACCCTGATTCTTCGTCCAGGTTTTGTCGAAGCTATCAATTGGGTTCTTCTTGTATTACGTTACCCCGTCGTACAGAATTCAAATCTGTCGACTCTCCGTCCTTTGAGCTTCGGCAACCACGGCTTCATCCAAGTTCCACGTTTTCCTGGGTTATGGACGGCTCGCACTATTCCTCTAATGTCATAGGCACATCAGGACCTAGCTATCATCCGTCGCCAGCAGCTATATCGCCTCATCAACTCCAGCAGAACGGTCATCTTCCGCCGCATACTCTGCCCCCACTACAACCACAGAATCCCGCCATGCAGTCCCTCTATGGCAGCCACCCTCACACTCCGGGCACTCGTACGCCCGGAACCTCAAACCCTCCCACCCCTACCAACAACATGAGCAGCTACCCACCGCCGCCCCAGAATAACAATCGCGGCGGCTACCAGCAAATGATGCCCAATCCGTACCCGCAGCCTCATCAGGGCTACGGTACATCGGCCTCCATGATGCCGCAGTCGTCCGTTGCTCAATCCCACCCGCAGCCCATCGCGCCTGCGCCGGCCAGCCGTCCTCCGGTTCTTCGGCCCATGCCCGCTGGTGGTGTCATGCCCCAGTCCGGCCTGTCGTCGCCTTATGGACAGAGCCCTCTCATGCCTCACCAGCAGTCTATTCTACAAGAAGCGGAGCAGCCGACTCATGTTGTTGGCTCTCAGGGACGTCGTGGTATTCTTCCAAGCGCTCCCGGCAGGCCCGCTGCGCCGACGGGACCTGGCTCTGCGAAAAGCACGGTCATTCCGCAGAAGGATGCCGACGGCAAGTTCCCATGCCCTCATTGCACCAAGACCTATCTTCATGCAAAGCATCTGAAGCGTCATCTTCTGCGCCGTAAGTTGGAACCTCACCTGCTATTTTTAGAGCTAACATACTGACACTTGTGCGCCAGACACCGGTGACCGCCCTTACATGTGCGTCCTTTGCCGGGATACATTCTCTCGTAGTGACATCCTTAAGCGCCACTTCCAGAAGTGCTCCATCCGACGAGGAAACCCCACCGGAGCGAGTCACTTGTCCCACCCCTCCGCTCACGTTAAGAAGCACCAAGCTGCTCAGGCCAAGGCCGCGGCAGAAGGCGAGCTGAACCAGATGAACGGCATGAATAACATGCAGGGCGAGAACGTCGTCCACCCTTTCGGAATGGTTCCAATGGGCCCTGATGGCATGGCCAACATGAACAATGACCAGAGTCATTTGTCGCGATCCAGCAGCGTTAGCCGCATGGATGACAACCGCGACCGCCGCAGCATGACTGGTGGCCCCGGCTCCGTCTACGGCAGTGGAGACGTTCAGAACTCCATGGGTTCTAACATCAACCCTCAGTTGGCCAACTACAGCTTGCCTCAAAACCAGAATGGTATGCAGATGTTTGCAGGATCAAACTCAAACCAACAGAACCTTGATTGGTCCATGTTCCAGGCTGGTGCGCAAGAGTCCTACGCAAATTCATTTCAACCTCCTAATCTTGGACAGACGCAGGTCGGAACGAAAACAGAACATCATAACCTAGATGCCGAGAGAGCCGCCGTGAACGATATGAACGACCGATCGCTTTTCTTTGCCAACTGGGATACAACATCCACGATTCGTGACCCATACCAACAAATCTCGAACAAGATCCACGGCTTCTTCCACCCGCCTGGAACCACCGTCACTTCCCAGACGGCCGGTATAACTAGTTTCTATTCGCCCTCGAACATCAAGGACTTCCTTGACAAATATAGCCATTATCATTGTCACTTTTCTTTCTTACATATCCCGACCTTCCGCATTATGAACGCTTACACCGGCCTTCTCGCTAGCATGTGCTGTATTGGAGCTTGCTACTCGGATCACGCATCCCCTAACCAAGTCCGCGAGGTGATGAATTTCTTGAAGGTTGCGCTTGAGCGAGATTCCAACCTGTTTTCTGGTAGCGCTAATGGCGACTCTAAAGCTGCTAATACCCTCTCCTCGGACGACGAGCAGAGGAGGATGGAGAAGCTGCAGGCTCTCGTTCTCATGTCGCAACTCTTGGTTTGGAATGGTACGCCTTTCCAACGAGAGAGTGCCAGGCGGCTTTTCCCGCAGGTTGCCGACATGGCGCGTAGGAACGGGCTTCTGCAGGTTTCTACATCGCCACAACTTTATAGCGTTCTCCACCAAAGGGATCTTTCTCTCCAGAACATAAACCCTAACACCTTCGATTGGAATTCATGGACCCGCCAAGAGGGGCGTATCCGTTTGATGTACATGATTTACCTGTCTGACGTAGCATACGGCCTTTACTTCAATCTGGACGCTCAATTCCACGGTTCAGAGATGAAGATACCGCTGCCAGCGGACGACGCGGCTTGGGAAGCATTAAATGCTACCGAGTGCGCTGAAGCCCTTCATCTGTATGGATCTGATGCTGCTAAAGCTCGTAATCCTGATGGGTCTCAGAGAAGCAAGCAACCAGAACTTAGTCTAGCGATGGGCGCTTTGCTCAATGAGTCATATCAGATCCACCCTGGAAGCACAAACCTGTACGGAAAGTTCTTACTTATCCACGCCATACTTGCCGAAATTCGTCGGGCACAGTTGGAGGGTGCCTCCGCCAACATCAGTCGGTCGGCAACTCCACTTTCACAAAATGACTGGGTGTACAAGTCAGAGGGAGGCAACGGATCCGTGAGTGCCACTAATAGTGGGCGAGCGACTCCAGTGCCTGGTCAATCATGTCAACTGCCACCGCATGTGTACAAGTCCTTTACCATCGCCTTGGACAAATTCAAGCAAAACTGGGACATGGACATGGCAATACAGTTTCCACCTTCTGTTCTCAATTCTAGGCGGTATGGGTTTTCGAGGGATGCTATTCACTTTTACTATCTGGCCAGATGGTTATTGAAACAAACTGATTCCAACGACTTGCGTTCACCGGCGGATCATCGGTTCGCACGGGTTATTCAACTTCTCAAGAATGTCAAGACATGGGTTTTAGAGGATGGTGCTAAGAGGGGTGAAGAGCTTGGTTCTGTGGGCGAGATCGATAACGCATTTGGAATGACCGACCTGACACTCAACATGGCGGATTTGTTCAAACCTCTGCCTCAGGTCGTCAACTCCCCCCACATGTGTGCTATCAAAACCGACATTTAAGCATCGTGTTGTTTTTCATTGTTCATAGCGGCACTTACATTGCATCGGCGGCGTTGAGTCTCTGTTTTTTCGTTGCGCTTCGTTTCATATCTCTCAAAAGTTGCGATTCCCCTCGTTGCATCGGAAGGCATGACGGTGGCATTGTGATCTGCATTTTCCGGGGTTGGTTGTGGATGTTTTTAGATCGGCTCATGGTTTTCTTGCTTTTTGTTTGGTTTTTTTTTCTTTATTCGTTTCTGCATTAGACCGAAACATAGACATAGGCGAAGAACGCGGTCACGGTGGCCTCTAGAGAAGTATGGTTATGACAATTCAGGACCAGGCCCGCACTGGCAGTAGGACAAACTTTGTGCTTAATTGGTCGATAAATTGTACTTGGTGGTTGGCTTGAGGCTCCGGTTTCCAGTGTGCAGTGGGCTATTGTTGTGGACTTCAGATTTGACTAGTTCAAATGTAAAGCAATGTTTCCCTAAGAAGCTCGGTTTTGATTATTGTGACTTGAAAGCCAGTGTGCCTGTCGTTGTTCTCCGTTTCTATGACCTATGGCGATCAGACTGCAAAGAACACAAATTGTATGTATCTGCTATGCACGAACTCCCGGCCCTGCTTGGGTCATTTTGCAGCCAACTTGCCATCAGGCATGGGCAAAGTATGTCACATTATCTACAAAAGGTGAGGGTATTGGATACAAACTACGCTCGCAATACGCCAGGGACTAGATTGAAGTGATGGGATGGAGTTAATAGCAAGGTATCGTAGTGTTCATTTCGTCAGGTTGCCCTCATGGAATAAGTCACTCCACAGTTTGGTACCATTCCCAGTCCCTTTTCCCACATTTAAATGGGCAATTTCAAGTTTTCTCAAGACGACGGATAGCTATAGTCATTGCGACCAAAAATCTTACCATGCCACAGCTAAAGAGTCGCACGTCAGACCTACACAATCCGTGTAACCTAATAGAAAAGTACAATGGTGCATCGACCTGACGCTAGAGGGTCGGTAATAACACATGAACTATCCCTCAACGATCTGTAAGAAGTACCAATCAGATAACTCGGGACTTAACACAATAAATGAGCTTACCAACTTGCGTCTAAACAAATGACTTCTAATTTAATTTCATGGCGTCCATCTAATTATTACAAAGAAGTATTTTATTCCTTTTTATTTTATTCTTCTTCCTCCCCCTCCAACCCCCCCTTTGAGAAATTGCATGATAGCAATACCATCAAGAACATTCATCTAAGGTGGACGGATATAGCAGGAACGTCTGCGAGTTCACCACCTAGAAGCCGGCCTGCTTCAATGCCAAACAGTTACTGCAATTATCCTCATGGTGCTCTTCATTGTCAACCGAAATAGCACGGGTTGAATGCTGCCATATGACACACAGCAGTAATAACGGAAAGTAGACACTAGGACGTCTTGCTGTACGAAACCTCCGTCTGAACACGAACGGAAATGTCTGGATTGGTGTCCTAGTTATGTCAGTTATGCAACGAAGCATCGTATTGAAGTTGTTGTAGTAATACCATCTTACATGAAACCACCTGTGAGGAGCAGTACACGACGAGCGATGAGAGATAACCGCCGATGCTTTGATTTGACTACTCACCCTTTAAACCCTCTCTCTCACACCACTGAGTCAATCATTATTTATATCGGGAATCCCGTGATATATGCTGGAAGCTGGTTTATTGCTACAGCTATGATAAAATAACAACGCCCCAAATTCCCTCTTTAAAAGCGACAGCAGGTGAACAACGACGTAGTCCTCGCTATGCCAAACCGTCGCTGTACTATACATAACGTCCGTATAGATCAAAATGCATTAAGTGACTCCAATGCTTGAATGTGGTCATGTTTGCCCGCATTCTGTAGTCGTCCGCGATATGACTGAAGAGAATAGGGTCGTACAATAATGGTGACATGCACTCACTGGTCTCTTGCTAATTACCAGGACGCGAAATGTGGCACATACACGAGCTTCAGCGACTTACAATGGCTGCATCAATTGTGCGCGGTCATGGCAGCACCGCCACGGTGGACTCCTTCGAAAAGGTGAATGACCATGCAGCACGCTGGTTTGAGCGATGGTAGAGGAAACATACATTGAAAAAGACCTTGGTCACAACAGCGCTGAAACGTCTGGCCCCCGCCCTAGTACAGCAGTTTGGGGAAATCTGAAGGTTTAGAAGTGTCCAGGTTGTCTATAAAAGCAAATCTAAGGGTTGTACCAATAATATAGGCACACTGGGCAGGAAAAATTATGATTGGGCCTCATCCCTTGGAATACCATAAGGCGTTTGTTTTATGCGTGCCACAATACTGCAGCACAGGACCATGCACTTGATAGTCATTTGTGATTATTATTGGTTCTGGAGCCAACAAATAATTCATCACATCTACTTTCGTCCGATTCGACATGTCCTGTAGATACAATAGCCACTAGGAAAGGAACCTCGAGACATTTGTACCGCTTACAACCTGAGAGAGACCCTGACCTTCATGGCTATAATCTGAGTAATAGAGTTGCTCACATGATCCGATGAGTGAGACGTTGTTATGGGCCAAGAGTCTTACACACCACACCGCCTTCCGTGCTGGGGACCAGGCTCTGGTGTCGCATTGGACGAGTATGGTTGCACGGCTCACCGATCTTTGCCCTTCTCCACCGTGACAATCCTTGGGGCCAGGTGGCTCAATGCAGCCTTATCCTCCTCAGTAGCCTTGAGGCCGAACCTTTCCTCTGCGCGGTCAGATAGTTGCAGGCCAATGAAGCCCCAAGCGAGAATGCCAACTCCTACACCAAGGCGCGTGCGCGGTGACAGATTCCGGTAAGATCTGGCAAACGATTAAGATGTGTTTGCTCCTAGACAGATGATCTGGAGTAGGTAGAAAGGAACACGTACTGCAGCAACGACATGTGTACGGCGACCATACAAACTCTCATTCAAGTGGGTTCGATCGATGTGTCGACACGTGGCTCGCGGCTGAGGGTTCGAATGAACCTGAACCGTCGACGCGGGGATGGGAGAATGGGAAGAGCCGACGTTGGATCTCCTTTACAGCTTCCGCTCTGTAGAGAACCAAACTGTCGGTGTGATGGGATGCTCCAAACGTGGATCGGGCGTGTTGTGACCTTGTCGGGTTCCTGGACACAAATGTCTACCAATTGCATCTAATTTCACTGAATCCCAACAGTTGCATGTAGGTTTTTCTCGAAGCAGTCTAAACTCGGGTTCCACACGGGTCAATGGCGTGGCACGACGGGCGGACTGGCGGGATGAGCTTCTGGCGGCTTTTTAGGGGGAGTCTGGGAGTGTTCTTTCTCTGGACCTCGAACCTCTTGGCGCCACCCGCCTCACTACAGTATGTACGTACGGATCCGTACATACACAAGTTACATACGTAGTAGTGCCTAGTCTAGGTCAGATAGTTTAGGTGCTTCCGTGCAGCTTGGTAACATTACTGGAAAAGTATCCATATGCAGGTACTAGAAAAGCAGCACCCTAAGTGACATGCACTGAAAATGCACTGCACTGGGTTGCAGGCCTTGCCACGTCGAAAGGAAAGCCCCGTATTATCCCATCCCCCTAGGCCTCCACTGGCTGTCATCTGCCTGCTGCGTGCACAGAACCTTACCTACTCTTACACCGCTTGACCGCTCTCTTGGTTCGACTGCAGATTGGATATCTAATTCTACGGGGCTCATCTTCTCGAGCAAAGCAAAAACCTAAACCCTGCTGGCGTTCAGAGAAACCCATCGGAACCCAGCCCAGGTGCATGCATGTCTCACTCTCACCGATACTTGGCTACGTGAATTTGGCTTTTGCTCGGGCAGCCCAGAGGCTCGTTGCAGAACTGGAGAGGCATCCATGCATCGTCCGCCGTCGCCGCTTACTCGTTCAAATAAGTATCGACTAAGCCCGCCACTTTGCCTCCAGTTGCCTGAGCTGACTGAAGCCATCACGTAAAGTCGACTCGTTGAGGAGGTTGCCATATGATAAGGAGGTCTCATTGGGTTTCATTCTTTCGGGACCTTCACTTTTAATTCTTTGACTGGATCATCTGCCTTACTTTAAACACACCTCCCGCGGACAGGTTCCACCAGGGAGGTCCATCCCGCCTTTTGCATACCCCGATTAGCCTCAGCCGTGTGCGACCTTCATGGACACATTACCAGTCGAGCTCGTGCGGCTCATATTTGGCTTCTGTGATCGGCAATCCGCCAGAAATCTTCGGGAGGTCAACCAGACTTTGTCAAATGTCGGATATGAGTATATACTGGCACCGAGGTTTACCGTCCTCGGACACAGGAACGATATTAGCCGACTGCATAACATTGCTCACCACGCCCAACTGAGAGCCAGTGTTGAGTCCGTGGTCATTAACCTCTCTGATGTCGACGATTATGACGCGAGACATGCCGCATGGTTGCAACACTTTGTCCAACTTCCGGAAGAACGGTCACTAACCCTGAGTAGTGCCTGGAATGAATATCCCAAGATAGCCGCAAGCCGGAAGACCCTGGCTCAGTTCCACTCGAGGGGCGACGAGCTACGAGAAGCCTTCGCATCACTGCCAAACTTGACAGAAGTCATGGTTACTTTCACTGAATGTCCCGTCGACAACGAGGTTCTACGTGACGTATATGGCGTCCCCAGTTGTCGAAGGATGGACCGCACCATGGCATATAACAATCTGAACACGATTGTTGCTGCATTACATGGCTTGTCACTGTCCTCGCTATCGATCGATTGGTTTCCTCTTGAGATACTCAAGACACCTCAAAGCCGAAAGCACTGGTTCACACATTCTCAATCGCTCAGAAACCTCTCTCGCCTGGATCTAACCTTGGACCCGTCTGGCCTGCAAGGGCCCGCTTCAGCTATGAAAGCTGTGAACGGACTCGGATACATCTTGCAGCAGCCGAAGATGCTGCACAGCCTAAAGCTTGCATTCCACCCGTATTCGAGCCCAAACTCCAGATTCGCTTTATCATTCTGGGAGCTGTTCAACGGATTTGTGTATCCGGAGTTGGCTGAGCTAACTCTGGTAGGCATATCCTGCGAGGAAGGAGATCTGCAAAATTTCATCATACAGCACCGGTCGAGTTTACGTCGGCTGCGCCTGGGCGGTCGTGGATTAGCAAAGCCCTACCAAGCTTCGCTCGGCGGTGTGCATCTCCGTGAAGGCACATTTAGATCATTCTTTATGGGACTTCGAGCCAAACATGTCAATATCGAGCGCTTACACCTTGAGGGTATCTTCGAATGCGAGGGCTACAACGAAACGTACAACTTCTATCCACTCACGAACGAGGAGTGGGAGGATGTGCCGCGCCCAAGCTGGGCTCATTCATCTCGTCAGACTATTAGCTGTTTTCCTTTCGAGCAATTTCTTACCTCTGGAGGCCCCTATCCGGGCACCACATTCGGACAACAGAACAATTGATGGCACTATACAGTATTATAATGATATCATTTAGACAGTCGAGGCACACGCCGCAACGAACACTTCCTCGGAACATCTGCCAGCATCATCGGAGCAAATTTTGGGGCGTTTAATGAACTTTTCAAAGTCATCGGGGTCGGTAATCCGGCAAACACGATACCAAATCCATATACCAAGCGAAATGTCATATGTCATTGCGAATCTTTTTCTTGGAAATTGTACTCTAGTGCGTGGAGAGTAGGGAAATGCACGTTGTGCTGCAGTGTGCATAAACCTGGGTTATTGGACCACAAGCAAGTGGGCAGATTTCGTCACATGGCATGAACTTGGTTTCCCCCCGGCAAAAACAGGATTGATGTTTGTGTTACCATCAGAAAATTAGGATTTATAGGACCACAGACTGCTCAGTTCATGACTCTATTCATATGAAAACATTAAACACATTTAGACACTTTAGTCACATTGCTGTACGCGGAATCAACCAAACAGTCAACTCAGCACTCTTCTAAAATGGAAGCTTGGCAATCAGTTCTCGTGTCGCTTGCGATAGTCTGCATCATCATCGCTAGCAGCTACGTCGCATATGAACAGGGCATGTTCGACCCGCTCATTGAGAAGCTGGGGTACGTGGGATTTCCTGCTTGTCTAAGCAGTCCCGTAGACTAACTCTTTCACAGTGTCATGGTGTTCAAAGCCAAAGCTGAAGCCGAGGCGCAGAAGTACCGGGCCCAGGGCGAGGATTTTGCAGGATGTAAGCACCAAGTTTCTTGGATGTGTACGAGCAGAGTGAAAGCTGATAAAATATCCCTTCAACAGCCCAGCTTAAAGGCAACAAGCAAGCTCAAGACGTCGTTTCGGGCATTGGTTCGATTGGAGGCTTGAAGAAGGAGCTGTGAAACGAAGAACAGGAGTACAGTAACCTATGTTAGGAACCGGGCTTAAATTCCAAACGGTCCACTTTTCAGATCTGCGTCAAGGCGGTCTGGACGCTGCTGGAATTTGCTGATGGTTGGAAATCTGCAGCCCTGGCAAGGCCGTGGAGGACATCGCTGATCCAGGGTCTATAGCCCCACCACGCCGTCGAGCTTGGCCTCTGATGGGTGTTCCGTGGCCTCCGCGTCATTGGCAGTGAAAGATTTATGGCTTGCAGAGATCACGAGTCAAGAGTGGTTCAGGGCGGCTGGTGCTGTCGTGTTTTAACAGCAATGGCTGACTACTTCTATTGTTCGATCGTTGCTCTGGATCATAGGTATGTAGAAAGAGCAATTTTTGCGCGGACTAGTTGATGAAAATGCAGAAAAAACACAATAAGATCCAAACCACATGTTCATTAAGATGTACAGCTCGGCTAGCGTCAGGGGGGGTCGAGTTCTTGGTATACTATGGTAGCATCGAGAAATTCACCATTCAATAGTACGCCCACCATGCATCTTCCCTGTGGTTGAACTTCAGATCGAGCCCTCTGTAGCCAGGCGGCCCTGCCGAGGTCATCTGAATTTTTTTTTGTAAAAAGGATTTAAAAAAAATTTGGTCAATAGTTGCGGTCCGAGAAATCTTCTTGATTCGTAGTCCCCATTGCCCCCAAGGATTGCCCCGGCCTTGGTGAGAAACTTCAACGGCGTGGGCGGGATCTAAAGTTACCATATTACCTAACATGTTGCGGAATCGAAGATTGCATTGGGAACGGCATCAAATGAGATTAAATCTTGTAGGACAAGTACATTTCACAAAGCGTCAACTTTGCATGAGTAGGACGGCTTGAGTAAATGGACGCCCAAACGCCGGACACTTTGCCTGAACACCCAACGTTCATGTGAAGAAGTCTTTGCGCGAGCTTGATCAGGCTGTGGCTAGGCGGTGGTGGGTATCACGACTATATTATCATCCGAAAAGACGTTCGTCCTGTCTCAGATTGTGGAGGTTCTACCGAGTAAGCAACCCAGGCTTTCCGGCTCAGATTCCGTGACCCTTTTCAATGCACAATGCCAGGATCATGTGCTTCAGAAAACGCACCAGAATGGGCCAAGTTCTATGCTTAGGCCGTCATGCTGCATGCTGAGTCGGCAGTGCTGCAAGTGCCCATAAGCACAGCCATCTGGCAGGAACTATTTCTTACTATGCGAACTACCAGAGCCTCTAACCATGCACTACTGGTGATGTGCGACGAAAGAGGGGAAACAAGGTTCGGGTTGAACAGGGACCATTGGAAACTGGTGAAAAGATTGGCCTGAGATCGTGGATGAAGCGAAGAGTGAAATTGGATTGATCCGGCAAAAAGAAAAAAAGCAAAACAGGTCATTCAATGAATGAGTGAATGAGTGAATGAATGAATGAGAGGCGGCGTGCAAGGCAAAGGAAGCCGAGAGTCTGGTGGTGGAGAAAGTAAGATACAATGAGTTTACGAGGCTTGCTGGGGGCATCCCAGACCGCAGGGCCAAAATCTCCATGTGTGACCTGTGCAACATTTGACAATATACTGTAGATGATTGACAGCCCTGCCGCAGATGGCTCGTAATTTGTCCCTTAATAAAAACCATGGCCTCGTGTCTGACTTGTCTGCAAGTCTAGATCCAGCAACTGGCATTTTGTTTTGTTTTGTTATGCTTGTACAATCGCCGACCATTACCACGTTAATATCACACATGGTAGTGTGCAGACATAGATGAGATATCATTGCTTCTTTACGCGGCTACCAGCGTCCCTGTCTCTCTATCTGACACATCTTCATCTCCAAGGCGCCCATTGGGGGCGGTCGGTTATCACCCCCAAGGCAAGCCATCAACGACTCTCTCGCATCCGACCCCCGCATTTGCATCTACGATCGGGACATGAAAATATCAGTACGGTGGCAACAATTGGCTGAAACCTGAGCTGGGAAGAATAGGCCCCGAGACGGACCCCTCAAACTTTCACCTGATTGTTTTGTACCTTAATTGCCCGACCTCGTGCCTGGATTTAGTCAATATCTTGGCCTACAATTGGAGCCCACTAGACCACCCGAGGAGCTGCAACCACTTTCTTTGACACTCGCCTTCTGCTGCAGTCAAGTGGGCTGCTACCTAGGTTGGGACTGCACTCTAGGCTGGGTTACTGCATGTGCTACCCAGGGTCGGCATCGCATTTGGCAATTGGCATAGCATAGCACAGCACAGCGCAGCACGAGCATACTAAGCCGGCACCCAGCACCCCCAACAGCCAACACCCACCATCCAGCATCCAGCGAAGCCAGCCACACTGCATTGCGTCTCGTTGCGCCAGGTCTGCTCCCTGCTCACACATCCTTAGTTGGCGTAGCATTGCATGCCCACGGTGGTGTGGTGGATGCCGGTTGTTACTGGAACCAGAGTCAGGTCCAAGCAGGGCCAAACGTCACTGCTTCCCAGAAATCTGCACTCCGCTTTTAATAACCCCCCCTCCCTCCAATCTTGGACATCTCCATTCTCCGTGTAAGCCACTGGCAACTTACTCTCCGGGCCTTGGGCGGCCATGCAAAGAGCGTTTCCCGACTTGCCAACAGCGTTTAACCTTTTCCTTCCTCCCCCCGTTCCTCAGATTCGACGACAGAGACCTGTATGAATGATTGAAGGAATACCCAGGCTGTAGACCTGCATCTGCAACATGCAGCGGGTTTCTGCCTTGCTCCCGTCTTGGAATGGCAGCCGGAATAGCGCGGGTTCCGGGGGAAAGACGAGCCTCGACAAGGTTCGCGGGTGGGCTGACAAGATACCATCGCCGAACAACCGGCTGAGCACATCCTCGCGGACCGGGAAGGATTCCTATGCGCCGACTACAATAGACAAAGAATGCGATAGAGCTGCTCGCATACTTATATCCTTCTGCCGTATGTTGAAGAAGGCCCATCACCGGCGCTCTGTTCCGTCCTGCAAGTCACTAACACAATTCTGCTACAGGCGACGGCTATCTAGTGCCCGATGATCGACCATGCAGCCCTACGACAACCTCTAGTAGCAATTCAACACAAAAGATGCTAAAGAAGATTCCGCCGAGAATAATACAAAATGCCGTCGGTTTGGCCATATTCACTTCCATGCGGTCCGGTCTCTGGACGTCAGGCTCGGGCGGCAGTGGGGTTCTCATCGCCAGAAAAACAGATGGAACATGGTCACCACCTTCCGGGATTGCCTTACAGACTGTCACACTCGGGTTCGCACTCGGGATTGATATCTACGATTGCGTCGCCGTCATCAACAGCTTCACCACTTTGGAGGTTTTCGGCAGACCGAGGATTACACTCGGCACGGATGTGCACATGGCCAATGGGCCCGTGGTATCCTTGGGACTCCTGGAGAACGAGTTCAACTGGGCCGACCTGAGCGATACTGTGTTTACCTACGTCAAATCCAGAGGGCGGTCTACCGACGCAACACTAGACGGGTCTGTATTGAGTGAAAGAGCCGACGAGAACGAGCGCTTCTATGGCTGTAATTTCAGTGTCCCCAAGATCTTGGCTGGAGATGTCAATCAGAGTCTGCCGCAAGTGCGGCCACTCTCCGAAGTGCTCAAATTCGCCGAAGGTAGAACCGACTACGACACTGCACTGCTCGAACAGTTAGCAAGCCAGCCGACACCAGGAGACGCCCACATAGAGTCGCCCGCTCTCACACCATCTGGGACCCCTTCTTTCGGCATTCCGAACCCTGAAGATCCCGACCCTTTCGGTGTTCTGGCCTTGGAGATTGCCGGGGCGGAGATTCGGGAGGCTGGTACGCATCTGAGACCTGACAGCGCCCAGTTCGAATTTTGCCCAAGCCCAGCGAGTCCATTGTTTCCCAAGTTTAGTCGACGCAGTGTGGATACCTATCTATCGAGAAGCAACAGGGGCAGTTACACGTCCAACAAAACCATGGCCACTGAACATAGTCATGTTACCGAGGCTGGCACGCAGACCGACGTCAACACTGCGGCCACAACGCCTAGCCCAGGTCGAAGCGAAGCTGAATACCAGCCGTCAATTGCGGAGACGCCGGAAGAGGAAGCCAAAGAGCCCGTCGACGTTGACTATACACAGATCGATATCAGCGTGATTCGAAAGTTGACCGCATTCCCAGACCTCGAAGATGACTTGCCGATTCGGACCAGTAACGATGACACACTGCGTATTGAAGAGCCTTCGGACGGGGGATTGGACCTTGAATTGAAGGACGTTCCAAAGGACGAGCCGAAAGAGACACATAGTCCGCGGACTGTCTCGGAAAGCGAGCCTGAGCTCGATACCGACGACGTGGATGATATAGATCAAACTGAGTCCGAGCTTTCCGACGACGACGACGACGACGACGAGGATGAGGAGTTTGAAGATGCCGAGGAGCCTGTAATTTTCGAGATTGCAACCGCACAACCACCTCGTATGGTTGCACCACAAGCCGTACAGGTTAAGGGAGCTGTTGTCAACATTCCGCGCCGGGTCCCACCTCCCCTACCCGTCCGCAATGTTGCTCGCTTGTCTCGGAATAAAGCCGAGCTTGGAGATGTCAGCATGGTCAGCAGCCCACTGCGTAACGAGTTTGAGTTCGCTGATGATGCATCGACACCCAAGCCTGGCGAATCCTTCACCACTGCCACTGCTGAAATATTCAGCACACCGGAGGTCAGCGTTACGCACGTTGGCAAGGATTCGGGAGAACCTGCACGCCAAGTTGCAATGACCTCAGAACCGCTCGATTATTTTACGAGGTTTGATGTTAAGGAGAAGCGGCCCATGTCTCTACCTCATAAAAGCCTGACTCGAGAGGAGAAGGCAACAAAGGACAAGGAGTCGGACCTCGCCTCGAGAAACCGTTCTGCTTCAGTCACTGTTGCCTGAATCTTTTCATTGTACTATTCTCACCTTCATTTATCACGATCTAAACATTGGCACGGAGTTATTGGGAAAAAGACAGCATTCATTTTGTGGCAACTGGGGGTTTCATCTTCCGCGGCAGTGGAATGTATTGGTCACGGAGGGCTGCTTTACAGGTGCTTTAACGAGGAATATGAGCGCGGCATTTGGTTCAATTAGAGCCCACACGAATACCCCCCCTTGAGATCTATTAGATAATTCAATGTATATACTTAGACCCGTGGGAGTGACACCGCTCTTTCAGGATGGCAGAGCGGGATGGTGGGACATGAGACTGGAATTGGAGGGTCATCCAGATAGCTTATGAAGTTCAATGGCTTTAGGTTGAAGCTGGACGCGTCTGTTCAAGAATAGATGGAAGTAGGCTGTGTTTAATCGATTCATTCAGCCAATACGATGACGGTGCGTTGTGAGTTGTCCGGTTGCCCAGTTGCTCGGTAGCTGCAAGAGTTTCCAATGTCCCAGATGTTCAAGTTTGCGTGTTCGAAGGCGCATGCACGTCACTGTTGCTGTGCCCATTTGGACGTTAACCTTGCCTGTACAGCCGCCTTTTGAGTCCAGTACAACAAACATAACCACCTGTGAGTGTCCAGCCGTGCTCTATTCTCCCCGTAACCCTCGTATGACACACCACCAGGCCGGATACAAAGCTGAAACCACCCCGGCGGTATTTGCCATACAGTTGAGCTCGAATTGGTCTAGATGGTCAAGCTCCCCAACGGAACACAAAATGCCTTGGCCAAAAGGTATCAAGCGTGTTCATGGCCGTCGCACTCGAGCTAATGGAACCCGGATAACCTCACGGCCAGAGCCCAAGACTCCAAAGACTCCTGCCAAGCCTACCATGGCGACGAAAAGTCAGCCCCAACCCCGGCCGTGGTAAGTTAAGGCCCCGCTTGATGCATCCAGTCCTGGCTCAGCCACCAACCCCCCCGCTTCTCACATATCTACCGTTCAATGGAAAGTTATCTTGCTATCCTGATCAACATTCACACTCGGGTTAACCAATATTCCCTTGACAGCCCTTCGCCTAGCAAGCGCGGATCCAAGCTCGAGCTGCTCGAGCGCAACGCGACGAATCAGACAGCAGCTGCATCAGTAGTAGGTCGCGTCCCTCGCGAAGTGAATAATCTCTTGGACTGCTAGCTCCACGTTCAAGATCTCAACCAAGATCACACGTACTCCTCGGGCGACGACACAGAGGACGTTTGGTCCAGCGACGAGGAAGGCTTGCTACATTCGTCTCCCGAGCGCACCTCAAAGCGTCTTCCACAGCAGCTCTCCGGCCGAACCGCCACTCCGCGACACCAGCGAGCTCTCCGGCGCCATCAGCTCAAGTCCTCGGTCCTCCTAGGCATACCCGACGTTGACGGACAAGACCCTGCAGGCATCATGTCGAGTCAGCAGGGAAAATGGCGCGAGGAGCAGGTCCTCATCATCTGCCCCGGTAGCCAGACCACCATGGCCCAGCTGGGCTGTGCAGAGCTCACCCCGCCGGCCCATCGCATACCTACACGCATGTTCAAGGATGAGGAGACCGGCGAGTACCTGCCATACTATACGTTCAAGCGCAGCAGGACGAGCGCCGGCAACGGCGACGAACATGCAAAGCTCGACGAGGACGATTACGAGTATGTGGAGGACAGGGACTCAGTCGAGGGCGCCGTCTATCCCATCATCGGCGGTCGCATCGCCAATATGGAGGCCTTCTTGGCCTTCTTGGATCATGTGCACAGCCTACTTACGACCACATATCACAACACGCCCATTGTGCTTATGGCTTCACCGCAGTGGACTCGACCGGACCACGAGACCATCGCACGTTACGTGTTTGAGAAGACCAAGACACCCGCCCTTTGCCTGTTGCACAGTGCTGTTGCTGCCCAGTACGGTATCAAGTGGCCTACCATGACTGTTGTTGATATTGGCTTCGAGAAGGTCGATGTCACTTGCCTCTACGACAACATAGTTGTTAGCAACAAGACATTGGGGTTCCCCAACCCGGATCGGGAGATTTCAGGTGGTGAGGTTTTCACTCAGAAGCTCTTGTCACTCTTGAAGGACAAGAGCTTGACCCGGGACATGGTCGAACAGCTCAAGAGGAGTTCGCTTTGCGAGGTCCTTCCTTACGACGGCGAGTTGGACGAGCTCATGGAGCTTCCCACAGAGACTGGCGCACCAAGCCAACCACTTGTGGCCGAAGCCCTCAAGCCGACTGAGCCGCCGAAACCTGCACCGCAAATTGGCGCCGAAGACGACAATGGGATTGTTGAAGAGAAGACTGCAGATGATGAGGGTGTCCTCGATGTCGCCAACATCGTTACCAGCGGCAACGCACGCGAGTTCATTGCGAAGAAGGAGAAGGAGAAGGCAGCAAGAGGCAAGAAGAGCAAAGGTCAAGAGCCTGAACCTGCCAAGGCTGTTCGTCTGCCAAACTCTAAGAGGAGGTTTGCTACTTTTCACTACGAGGAGCTCGTACACGAGGACGTAACTGTCCCCGTTTCAGACGGTGCACCTCAGCCTGCATCGGAGAACCCGACGAATGGTGAGGCAGCTCCCGTTTCTACTGAAGCGGCACCAGCCTCTTCGGAAGACGCAACAGCGCCTGCTGTTGGCGAGACGGTCACCGAGTTGCCTTTCGCTGCCGAAGCAGCGACTCCCTCTGTCACAGAGCGTAGAACGAAGCGTGTCCGGAAAGATTTCGATATCGGTCTAGAACGCTTCCTTTTCGCAGACCGTGGTGAAATCGATCGCATCACAGAAACCATCTACCGTACAATCCAAAGCATCGACGACATTTACAAAAGATCTGGCTGCTGGGACAACATCGTCTTTGTTGGAAATGGCAGTCGGCTGCGCGGTCTCAAGGAGAATGTCATGCAGACTCTGCATGCCCGTCACCTCATTTCTCCAAGCAGTGCCACCATCTTCACATCAGAACTTCCCTCGAATATGGCCACGCCAACCGGGACGGGCTCGCAGACGCCCACCGGCTCCTTCAATGGTCAACTACCACTGCCAACATCAAGCTCAGTGAACCCTCTTCTCCAAGCCGCTACAACCGCTTCTATGGGGATTCCTGGGTCCGTGCAAGCTCCTGGCTCTACGGCTGGTGAAGTTGGTCCCAGTCATCATTCACATGCGCAGACGCCTACCAGTATCAAGATGGCAACCCTGCCAACTTATCTTGCTGAGTGGACGAAAAACGGGTTTGAGGAGGCCATGTTTCTCGGCTCGCTTATCACAGCACGTCTTGCTTACTGCATCCACAATCTTGGTGATGCTCAGACCCTGGAGGCTCAGCGGGGTATGAGTCTCAACCGTGTTGATTACAAGTACGTATTTTTGGTCCCTTATCTACTACCACCAGCGCTGACTAGCATCCCTTTAGTGAACTTGGTCCCAAGGCTGTCAATACCCATTCTATGCTAGGTTAGCCCTTTGATGGTTCTTCCAGATTTATGTGTTGCTCCAGTTATAAGCATTCTATGTTTTACTGAGGCAGATCACTAGCAAAAAAGGATGCTACCTTTCATGATTATGGAGTTCAGGTCTAAAAGCTGGCGTCAACGGATAATGGATATAGGGAGAATGCGTTTGACCGACCGCACGTGTCGAGTACGAGTGGAACGCGTTGAGGCTAATTGCCAGTATGCTACGATTGTAGTTTGAGATGCTTCTACAGATACCCACCGATGTAGACCTGTACAATAGAAGCGAATAAAGAATTGGTCATGAACGGAAGACTTGACCGTGAGATCCAGTGCTCTCCTGGTGCCTACGTTGCCAAGGACCAGTTGTCAACGACAGTCCAGATATAGTCGATGTGCTTTATGTGTTCCCGCGAGGTGGACACATTCCAGGAGATATCATGTCATAGCCTCCTACCCAGACCGTCTTGGTGCGATCTATCACCCTTGACTTGTGCACAGGGAGACATGCCAACCAGACTAGTTGGGCTTATCTCACATGCGGCGCCCTTCTGTCCTTATGATTCCACGCCAGGATTTGTAAACCGTTACTTGATTCAATGATCGGCGTAGTCGGACGATGCCAGAGCATAACGTGTAAGTGGACCCATCTCATAACATGCGTAGATGACTCTGCTTCATAATTTCAGCAGACCAAGTAATAGGCCCAGATCATAGAGTGAGAGAACCTTGTGCGCCGAGGAGCATGAGCGTACAGATTGGTGGGCGTCCCGCTGATATCACAGTACCATTACGTTATAAATACAATATTGCCACAATGGTAACACATGAAAGTTTAATCTTCACACGTCAGAAAGTTCTGTGTCTTCCGGATATTCGTGCAGTCCACCGTATTTTGCACTGACGAAGAACGTCGCACCTCGGTCCTGCGTGACATGTGACAGATGAAGGTGGCCGAGTTCTCTACAGCCGGGATTCGCACAGCTCTCGGATGAGTCGATCTCAAATTGTAACCACGCAGGCCGCCACGGCCTCCGGCGTTTCGCAAGCACCATACTTAAGAGCGATCCCCGGTCTAGTTTGAAAGCCCGGACCCTGACAGGTGCGGACGAGGTTGTGAGTCCTGCCGGAATATCAAAATACACCGCTATGCGATCTTTTCCCCGGCGGAATGATATGGCAAAATATCCCGGGTTGAACTTATCAAGATCTATCGACAACTTCTTGACAAAGGAGCGTCCTGGGTCAAAGGTGCATACCGGTGGATAGTACGAATCGACATCAAACCCAATCTCGCGAAGTTCGCCAAAGAAGTAGAGCAAGCGTCCCCTGAACCGTCGTGGCGACAGCCAACGTGGCATGTCGGACCCGGGCGTCGAATAGTACATTGCATTGCTATGATGTGTGCGTTCGGGGTCGAGAAGCACAATTGTTCTCCTGCTCGCTTTCTTGGTGAAGTTCGCGCTCGGCAGTAATTGAAAAGGTGGGATGCCCTCAAGTCTTCGGAACAAATGAGTCTTACCCAACTGTACCACAGGTATCGCGAGACCTAGATCGTCCGTATTGCGGTAGCATGCCAATAGTGCGAGTGAGATGAGCCCGTTCTGCTTCACCGGTAACACGTCAACTTCCAGTTGCAGTCCCTGGTTGATTACAGATTGTGTCCTGAGCGCCTCACTATCGTCTTCGACGAGGCTTCTCACACCTCCGCAATGCTGGAAAGCTAGAGGCGACCGAGCCAGAACATGATTAGCCATTTGTGCAGCCGCGATCTCCGGCCATGCCATGTCAAGACCCCAGCATAGGTAACTCTGATCTATCCTCGTGTTGATCGCGACCTCCTGCAGCCGCTGGAAGGCCGCCTCGCCCTCGCCATAGAGCAAGGGCATTTTGACACGGAGAATACCCAGGAGGCAGTAGGCCATATCCTCCACACGGGTTGTTTTCCTATGAGCAGCCCACGAGAAGCGCTGAGCCATTGTCGTAATCTCAAAGTTGCCAGTACTCACGATCGTGATGCCAATCCCTGTTATAGCAGCAAGTATGTTGCAGACCTGTGCTTCGTTCCACTTGAAGTCATAGCTTAGGTCCATCATCGTCTGCTCCGTCTTGTCTCTCGGGCGAGTGATATCTGTGCCGAAGCACCTCGTCCATTCGTTATTGAAAAACCTCAGTTTCCGCGGGGCTAGAAATTCTTGCAAGGTCCAGCCTCTGGTGAACCAGCGGCTGAAGCGAAATGCCGAATACAGCTCATACGGGTCATCGTCCGCGGGCACATCCGACAGATAGACATAGCAAACAGCTGACTTCTCATACCACTCATACATGGAGTTGATTGCCTCCGAGAGCTCGGCGCTGCTAGACTTGTCGATGCAGCAGGTATCGACCCAAACATAGCCGACATCGTCCCCCTCAGCCTGCCGACAGCACCCATCTATCTTGTCGTAGCCATGGATACTAGCATAACCCGAGCTCTGAAAGTCCTTATAGGTGATCTCCTCGGCACCCCAGGTATGCGAGAGTATAGCATATGGCGGTATCCTATCCCCGTAGTGTTCCTCCAGCTTCCTCGTCTTGACGTTGAGCAGCCTCATTTACGGCAATACAAATTCGCCTGACGAAATCGCTGCTAATGGCGGCTCATCAACTGATGCAAATCGTGAGGCTCTCTCTCTCTCACTCTCTCTCACTCACTCAAAAGACAAGCCAAATGTAGAGCGCCGAACAGCAATGTGGTCGAGCACCGAGGAAAGAGGCATTATGGACGAATTGACTGAGCGAGTTCTCTCTCGATTTTCATCTCGCAATTTGTTTTTGGCGCGATAGTGGCTGTGCTGTGAATAGCTGGATTGTCTGCAGCAACGTGCAGCCTGCCGAAGATGCAGGGTGGGTGGGCGGACCCAGGGGGTCATTTCAGCCCCCAGAGAAATCCTTGACATCATCGCATGCATTGCCAGACCTGGCCCTGTCGCTCTGCTTTCGCTTAAGAGGCCGCTATTGCTGTAATCTCGTCTAGTCTTCCCGGTTCTTCTGACGTTGGGTTCTGAATATGATCAAGTCCAATTGTGCACGATCCGCATTTAGTTTCCAGGCAACATTTATCTGTAATGTAGCTCAAAGATCTGGTAGCAACTACACTAACCTAACCTTAGGTTAGTATGATTGGAGTCTTTGAGCTCTCGCTACGTCTGGTACATCATTCCACGTGCTCATCATCAAGTCAATATTTGGCACTGAACTTTGTCAATTGCCACGCCTCAAATAGGCGTATCCTATATTACATCATGTTCGATCATGCATCATCATGCGAAACGTATCAACAGAAAACGCCTTTGAAAAACCCATGAACCACAAATATTTCCGCGAGAAGAGCCTGCCAGACGAACACCAGACTCCCTCCTCACAGTAAGTATCCCATTCCCCCTCGCCTAATCGCGATTTAAAACAGCATATCTCGACGTCCTCCTGTCAGTACCAGCTCTGCCTTCCTCTGCGATCTTGCCGCTGACATTCCGCCTGTAGCCTTTCTTGCCGTCGCCACTACCCAGATCGAAGTCATTCCCGGTAGACACCTGCCGCTTGCCGCCCACGATGACCGGCGGCGTGGAGGCTCTAAGCTGTCCGTAAGGCTTTGAGAAAAAGTCGCCCTCGGGCTGGATGGACGAGTCCCTAACTCGCGCCATTGCTTTGCCCGGCCTCAGGGCAGCCGGCTTCTGCTCGGTGATGTCCTGGGAGCCACTAACGGAACGGGAGTTGGTCGAAATCTCGCCAAGCGCGACGCTGCTCCGCGTGTTGTAGAACGACGTCTTGACACGGGGAGCACTCTTGCCGTCATCTAAGCCGTGGCGGGGCACAGCAGGAGGTGAAGCGGCCGAGATTGCTGACCCGGTGGGCGTCGGGTTTGAGCGCAAGGGATTGGGGTGCATATTGCTGCCAATGACACTATCAGTGAGATCTGACACATCTGTCGGGTCAGGGCGCATGTTGTTTTCGCGATCGGAATCATCATCTGACACCTCGTCGTAAGGCTGAACCAAAGCCTCGTAGGCACGGCTGTTGCTTGCGCTCATCCTGGCGGCAGCATTCATGGCGCGTTGGCGTTCCTGCGTGCGAGTGATGAGAGACTCAGAGGTATACCATGCCTCCGTGAACTTGGGTGGGCGATTTGAGGAAGGGTTAGGGTCGACAAGAATGCTGCCAGGTCGGCTGCCGGGCCGAGAGGCCCCAGCCTCGTGGAGCGGGAGCTCGGTGTAGCTACCGTGGCCGGACGTGGGCTTGGACAAACGTTTCAGATCAGCTGGCGATGTGATACTATTACGTGGCGAGTTACCCGGCTGGATACCGTATTGCCGACTGGGGAGATCGTGTTTTGAAGAAATGGAAATAGCAGAGTCTCGAGAACCAGATCGTGTATGCATGAATGGAATGCTAGGCGGGCGCTGCAGATCTTCATACGGCGCGCCGGACCGGCGGCGGCCTTCTAGGGGCGTTGACAGACGCTTGGCCTCCTCCGTCATGGCTGTATAGCTCGTTGAGACCGAAGACTTGTTGCGCTTGTGAACCCGTGCCGTGAGGTGATCCTCCAACGGGTTCATATCAGGAGGCATATTGGCAATACGACGGAACATCAGGCCAAGCCAGAGTGAGATGGAGAGCGACAACAAGTGTAAACCACCAGCGCCAATGAGTGTGTAGTAGGCCGCAGGTACGAAGTATCTGGGAGTGAGTGACTGATCAGACAATAAAGTCGTCCAGGCTTCCGAGTGAGTGCGAGCAGAGTATGCGCCGTAGGTGTAGAACGGCAGAGTGGCCGTGTCAGTGAACGCAGCAAAGAGGTTGTATGCGGCTGAAGATGCCGGTGTCCTGCTACCAGCAGGCCTCATGTGATGCAAGATGCCATAAATACAGTTGATACCTACGACACCGCACTGTGATTGTGGTCAGCTGTGAAGTCATGGGATAATATTATAGGTAGGCTTACGGCGATTCTCATAATCCATGCGGTAAGATCTTCAACGTTCGAGATGAGGATCCACAATGCCAGTACGCCGAGAGCACCAATGACCTCAAGGCACCGAAGAGTCATTTGTACCCATCTCAGCCATACGATCCATCCTTTGGTCCTATAGCTCATAGGACGAAAGCTGGTGGTCCGGCCGGTGGGCACCTCGTGGAGACTTGGCTAATTAGCGAGGGTTCCCGTGGTGGGTATAAGAAATAAAGACATACTCGGGGTGCCTGTTGAATGATACAAGCGGTCCTTCACGCTTCGTCGGCCTAGGCTTTGGTTCCCAGCTTGCTCTCGTTATTGCCTTTGGATCAAAACCCTTGGTAGGTGCAAAAGAATCGCGACGATCTGCGTCGTACAGGTACGGTTGGTCGAAGCCACCCATAATTGCGGAAATGCCAACCTCGAATACGAGGCCACTACCAACTAGTATTTGGCAGGAAACGAAGGAGGGTATAACGACTGGAATGCTGGGTCTCGAGAAGTTCAGCGACACGTGCTGGTTTAAAGAGCCTTGCTTGCACATGGCACATCGTATGCAATTGCGGCTGGACTGGGAAGCACATTAGGCGGGAAGGTTGGCATGGCAACGAAACATTGGACTTCCAACCAACGAACGGCCCCAGAGAACCCTGCAACTTGGGACGTCACTACATTTTCGAGCGCTTAGAACCAACCGCACATTCAGTAATTGTTGGATATCTTAACGCGTAATTCCAGTAGTTGGAAAATTCTGTCTTGTCTGTGCATGACCATGTCCCCAACGGTTGCTGCCAAATCATATTAAGTTTTAATGTAACTTGACATACTAACTTGACCGTTCCTGCATGATGCATTTGGGGTTATAAGGCGTTGGTAGTGCAAAGCGGCTTCGGCACGGCGAGATAAGACCCATATCTCAGCCGGCCGGGTTCAAGGTTATGCGATATGTCCCAGTTCTTTTTTAACTCTAAGTCTGCAATACTCGCAAGGTTAACACAAGACGCCGCCTTCACGACCACTTTCAATATCTTTCTGCATTGTTGGAATTGAGACTTTGCGATGGCGGCGGTTGCGCGATCTTGGATCTGCCGCTCATGCCAGGGAAAGGCATTGAGTAGCCCGCCCCTGGTCACACCACGCAGCCGGAACTTCTACTCGACCACTCCGTCGAGCCGCCAGGACAAGCCATTCCGCATGGCCGTTGTGGGCTCTGGGCCCGCCGGCTTCTACACGGCCTACCGTGTCATGTCCAAAATCCAGCGGGCCAAAGTTGACATGTTTGAGGCTCTTCCGGTACCATTCGGCCTGGTCCGCTTTGGCGTCGCGCCGGACCACCCGGAGGTAAAGAACTGCCAGGACAAATTCGAGGAGGTTGCTGCCTCACCAGACTTCACATTCATCGGCAACGTTTCTGTTGGAAATCAAGGCGGTCATTTCGATGGGTGCACGGTGCCGTTGGACGCCTTGATGCGACATTACGATGCAGTCGTCTTCGCCTATGGCGCCAGCAAGGACAAGAAGCTCGGTGTGCCGGGGGAGGACTTGAAAGGTATTTACTCAGCCAGAGAATTTGTCGGGTGGTACAACGGTCTTCCCGAGTATGCAGACTTGAACCCCGACCTGACGCGCGGGGACGAGGCGGTCATCATCGGCCAGGGTAACGTGGCGCTCGACGTCGCCAGGATGCTGCTCGAGAACGTTGATGTGCTACGGAAGTCTGACATTACCGAGGCTGCTATCGAAACACTACTTAGGAGCCGGGTTAAGCGTGTGCATGTTGTTGGGCGCCGCGGGCCAATGCAGGCTGCTTACACAATCAAGGAAGTCAGAGAACTGATGAAGCTGCATGATGTAGGCTTCCACCGGATTGATATGGGCCTCGTGCCCGATGAGATATCAAAGTTGCCGAGGGCTCAGAAAAGATTGATGGAAGTCATCGTCAAGGGCTCGACAGCGAAGGAGGATGTTGCCAAGACGTGGTCGTTAGATTTCTGCCTTTCCCCAGCCGAGTTCCGTGGGGATCCACTGGCGGGCCTTCAAAGCACCTTGTTTGAGCGCACTTTGTTGTCCGCACCGTTCGACCCAACTTCCAAGGTAAGGGGGACAGGCGAGAAACTCGAGGTTCCTTCGGCGTTGGCGTTCCGGTCGATAGGGTACAAATCAGTTGCACTACCTGGATTCACGGAGGCAGGTATCCTGTTCGACGATAGGAGCGGTGTGATCCGGAATGACGGCCTAGGAAGAGTGTTCACTCGTGGGGCAGTAGATGCGAGTGCTCCAACGCACTTGGGTGGTGTGTATTGCGCAGGCTGGGTGAAGAGAGGGCCGACGGGTGTCATTGCTTCGACCATGCAGGATGCCTTTTCCACTGGTGACGCTATAGCAGCTGATTGGTCCTCGGAAGCTTCTTTCCTGGGCAATGGTGGAAGTCATGGATGGGACAGCTTGAGACACGAGGTGGACACCAGCAAATCCACAGTCATCACGTGGCAAGATTGGCATAAAATAGACAAGGCGGAAAAGGAAAGAGGCAGCAAGATTGGCAAGCAGAGGGAGAAGTATACGAGGATCTCGGACATGCTGTCAGCTGCGTCTTGAAGCATAAATAGACGAGACGGATGAGGTGATTGTACATCTTGTAATACATTGTACTATATCTATAGCATGACTAGGACGACTTCAGCTTTTCTGTGAGCTCAGGCACCTTATCGAATAGATCACCGACCAGGCCAACGTCGGCGACCTGGAAGATGGGTGCATCAGCGTCCTTGTTGATAGCAGCAATGACCTTGCTGTCCTTCATACCTGCCAAGTGCTGGATAGCGCCTGAAATGCCAACTGCCATGTAAAGCTGGGGAGCGACAACCTTGCCGGTCTGTCCTACCTGGAGACTGTTGTCGGCGTATCCACTGTCAACAGCCGCTCGTGATGCGCCAACGGCAGCACCAAGCGAGTCAGCCAGGGGCAACATTACCCGGTCAAACTCCTCCTTTGACTTGAGTCCTCTTCCTCCAGAGACAACCTTGGGGGCGGTTGCGAGGTCGGGTCGGTCCGACTTGGCCAGGTCCTCGGATACCCAATCTGAGGTGGACTCAACCTTGGGATCAACGCCAGCCTCCACGGCCGCGGAGCCACCTCCGATCTCAGCGGCCGCGAAGGCGGTGCCACGAACGGTAATAAACTTGATGTCATCGGTTGACTCGACGGTAGCAATAGCATTGCCGGCGTAAATGGGTCGGACAAAGGTGTTCTCGTTTTCAATTGCGGTGATATCAGAGATCTGTTGCGAATCGAGCATGGCGGCGACTCGGGGGAACAGGCTCTTTCCGAAGGCTGTGTGGCCTACGACAACATGTGTATAGCCACCCTTCTTGATGTTCTCGAGGAGCAAAGGGGCATAGTTCTCCGGGAGTCCCTGGGAGGAGGCAGAGACGAGTTAACGGACGTAGGGGGGGGGGGCTTTGGTGGATGCAGCATACCTTATCATATGCAGCATTGTCTACGGCAATGATCTTTTCGACACCGTCCACCTTTGCTGCCTCGTTGGCCACGGCGTTGATGTTGGCGCCGGCAACAAAAGCATGTACGGAGCCACCCAGCTTCCTTGCGGCTGTGACGGCGCTCAGGGATCCGTGGTTGAGTTGACCATCTCTTTGCTCGAGGACTGCCAATGTTGACAGTAGCCTGTGCAGCGCGGACGGGCTGTAGGGGCTCGCGAAAACGGAAGTGGCCTGGGGGAGGTTGCGGGCTGATCGAACAGCAGTCGTCCTAGCTGCTGAAAACATGATGTGCCGCGATTGAGCCTTTGTGGCTATCTCAACTCAAATGCGATGCAACGAAACGAAACGAAACGAGCGACCCCAGTACAGTATCGGTATTGAATGTGCTAAGCAAGCAACCTTCTGGCTTGGAAGTCGGGACGGGGGGCAGGAGGGACTGGAGCTCGTCATAGGTCAAGCGGTTGTCATCGGCCAGGAGCCCGAGGTAAATTGATGCCATGTGCAACATCCCGCTATCGGGGATGAAGCGCTACTGCTTATGCTGCTTTTGCGGCTTTGCTGCTTAGCACTTTGCTGCTTTGCTGCTTAGCACTTCGCTGGCTGGCTTGCCGCAAGTTGGAGCTGGGGCGGCGGTGCGGGATGGGAACGATCCGACAGATGATAACTATAACCTTATCGGTAATATGATGTTATCGGGATCACCAGAGCTAACTAAACTCTACGGATACTACGATGCCACGGTACTTGATACTGCGATGGCGACTCTCCAAAGACCCACTTGTCCCTGGGGGGATGCACATACAAAGGATGGGAGCTCGGACCATTTTTCTCGTCGTCTGTCCAGTTCCCGTTCTGCCGCTGCAGTTCCAGTCCCAGCTCCCCAGTTCGCGACGGCCAGCAGCAAACAGCAAATTTCCCCCCAAGACGCGCGACTCCAGCCTCTCAAAGCGCATCCACCAAAGATATCGAATTTAGCTACTTGGCTATTTCGCGACCACTCTCAAGCAACAATTTCATCGCACGGCCATAGACAATTCCTTGTCGCAGCCAGATATTTGGTATTCCGCGACGCAACACGCGCCTTGTTGCGAGTGCACGTCTGATTATTGCGTCTGATTGCATCTTAATCATCGTCTACACCCGCTTCTGGTTCCCTGAACACCCGTGTCCATACTCGTACTCGTAAATCACCCATCCGCCATGGAGGACGAGAACTTCAACTATGGCTCTCCCGCCAATGCCGCCACTCCTGGCAGCAACCCTATTCTTGCTCAACCGCCCCTCCAAGCACTTCCTGGCACCGGAGCTGAGGCCCCAGAAGGTGGGTGGCAGTACCGCTCGAGGCTCAACCAATATGCTAATGTTTATGCGCATCGTAGATGTCCACATGTCAGAGGTCCAAGCCTCCGAGCCCAACATCAAGCAGGACAGCACGACACCTGCGCCTGGCGGTACTTCAGACAACCCCCTTGATGCCCCCGCTGCACCTCCCGCTGAGACCACATTAGTAGCCAAGGAAGATGAAGACATGGGCGATGCCTCTAAAGACCTTCAGCCTGCTGTCCAGCATGGCGATGCCCCCGCGACCGCCCCCGCCCCTGCTGCTGAAGCCGGTGCCACAGAGGCCAAGTCAAAAGAGAGCATAGAGAATGCCGCCCGCGAACACCTCATCTCCCAAACACACTCCATCGTCCTGCCGAGCTATAGCACCTGGTTTGACATGAACATCATCCACAACATCGAGCGGAAGGCTCTGCCGGAATTCTTCAACAGCCGAAACCGAAGCAAGACCCCCCACGTCTACAAGGATTACCGAGATTTCATGATCAACACATACCGCCTGAATCCTAGCGAGTACTTGACAGTGACCGCCACGCGACGGAATCTCGCTGGAGACGTGTGCGCCATCATGCGTGTTCACTCCTTCCTGGAGCAGTGGGGCCTCATCAACTACCAGGTAATCTCAACTGCATTCCATCCTTTTTTTATTTTTCGGGTTTTCTTTCTTCTTAAACCTGTTTTTATTCTCTGTTACCTCGCTTCTCCCAGCTGTACTAATCCGTCGCATTAGGTCGATGCCGATCAGAGACCTTCGCAAGTTGGCCCCCCCTTCACTGGGCACTTCCAGATCATTTGCGATACTCCTCGCGGGCTCCAGCCATGGCAGCCCTCTGCCGATCCCATCGCCACTGAAGGCAAGAAGAATCTCGACACAGACCAGAAAGCTGCAGCTATTCCATCGGCTGCCGGCGAGCGCAACTTGGAGATTGGCCGGAATATCTACGAAGCCAGCGCAAAGGGCAAGCAGTTGAACAAAGCCGAGTCCAAGACCAACGGAGAAGCTCCTGCCACCAACGGCGCTGCAAGCGCCACCCCTGACGCCGAGGAGGCCACCAAAAAGCCCATCGCCAAGATCAACTGCCAGAACTGCGGTGTTGACTGCACAAGGGTCTACTACCACCTGCCCGAGGCAAGCTCGCCCAACAAGACAAAGTACGATGTCTGTCCCAGCTGTTACATGGATGGCCGTATGCCACACAACCAGACAAACAACCTGTTCGTCAAGCTCGAGAACCCAACATACTCCGCCATTTTGGACCGTGACGCTCCTTGGTCAGACGCAGAGTTGCTTCGTCTGTTGGAAGGCCTGGAGAAGTACGATGACGACTGGGCTGAGATTGCAGAGCACGTTGGCACCCGCACTCGAGAGGAATGTGTCCTGCAATTCCTGCAGCTCGATATCGAGGACAAGTACCTCGAATCAGAAGCCCCCGTATCCGCACCGACCGGCCTAGGTCTACTCGGAAGCCATGGCGGACAGCTCCCCTTCAGCAAGGCGGACAATCCCGTCATGTCAGTCATTGGCTTCCTCGCCAGTCTTGCCGACCCCAAGAGCACAGCCGCCGCCGCCAAACAGTCAGTTGACGAATTGCGAGCTGGTCTCAGAAACCGGATCGAGGGCGGAGAAGACAAGGCCAATGGTAAGGGCAAGGAGAAGGAAGGCGACTCTATGGAGCTCGACATTAGACAGGAGACGACCACGACGACCACGACGACCACAACAACCACGGCAGCAGCGAGCATCCCACTCGCTATGATGGCTGCTCGCTCCGGTGGTCTGGCCTCGCACGAAGAGCGTGAAATGACTCGCTTGCTAAGCGCTGCCGTCAACGTCACTCTACAAAAGATGGAGCTGAAGCTCAAGTACTTCGACGAGATGGAGAGCATTTTGCAGGCCGAACGTCGCGAGCTTGAACGAGGCCGACAGCAACTGTTCCTCGACCGCCTCGCGTTTAAGAAGCGAGTCAGGGATACACAGGAGGGTCTCAAGACTGCCGCGGTTAATGGTGACATTAAGATGGCCGGCTTTGATTCGCTGAGTTTTGCAACCACTCCTGGCTCGGGTTTGGTACAACCGTTGGTCGCCGACGGCCAGGTTAAGAGTTACGAGGCGTAGGTTTTTTGGTAGCTACCGAACCCTTCGCTGCTGGAGACCTCTAGTGATCTGTTATGGGAAGCGGCGACAGGGAATTTCGAGGGGGACTGATAACGTATTGATTTTCTTTAGGCGTTAAAAGGTCGGCTCAAATGGCCACCCGGGCATCCTCACAGTATGTTTTGTGTAGTAGTCATCTGTACCATCATGAAAGAGGTTTTTAAAATAAAGTGTATTCATTGATGAAGTGACTCTCTCATTAGCATTCAGATACGTGCTGTTTGCAGTGCTGCGTCAACCGCGGCATTTGTGGCAATATCTCCATCTACTGCACCTCCCATTCACTAATATAGGGAGTGTTTTCTCTCCAGTTCGGAGCGGCTGGCGTCAAGCCGAATGTCCACACAGATAATGTCGCCTTCTCGTCTCTCGCAGGTATCTCTGCTGGAGGATCAGTCCTGTGCAGTATGCTCCATAACAATGCTTCCTCATGTCTACTGAAGTGGAAGTCCTGCTCATCAGCTTCTGCTTCCATCCGGTGTTCCGCTTCGATTCGTCCTTGCAAGCCCTGCCGCGCTCGTGTTGTGAATTGGTAATCTGCCGAGAAGTACATGGCTTCACGCATGTCGTGCTTGATCGCTTCCTCGTCGAGGCTGTTGTCTATTCCCATATTGCCTTGGTCACCTATTTCTGCAGCTAGCCCGTCGTCTTCCGGTGAAGAAAGATCCGAGTCGACATCTGACCCTTCTTCTGCATCGGAGTTGGCTTCTTTCGCTTCAAGGGTGACGGTGTCATTGACACTAGATACTCCAAGCGCAGCTTCAACTTCATCATATGACATAGCAAGCTCTGCCTCGCTCTCTTCTTCTGCGATATTCTCCGAAGATTCTTGCTCTTCTGCCATGATGTCTAACCGAAGTCTTCGCGGAGCTCTGGCCCAGAAATCGCGACTGTCCGTCTTCATATTTAACGAGTCAAGAGCGGCCTTGACATCTTTGGGCTTGACCAGATTCTTCGTGAATGGCATGTACTCTTTGTGCGCCTTGATCCGCATACCCGCCATAAAAAGCGTGCTCGCAACCAGACGTTTCGTAACACTGACAACCAAGGCATGGAAGTCCGAAAGCGCCGTGGCCCTGATCGCCGGCGGCTCTTCCGACACGTACTGCCAGTTGTAATCCGGGATCACCGAGTTCATGAAGACGCGCTCCGACAGCCTGAGCCAGGTCCGCACGTTGAAGAACTCGAGAAATGGCATCTCATTGCCATCTTCCTGCCCCTCCCCGCCCAACTCTTCCTCGCGGACCTTCCGCGTGATCAGCCACCGATCTCCCCACCGTCGCTCCTCGACGCCGACCTCATGGTTCTCCTGCCTCAGTGCCAAGTCATCCGCTGCCTCCTCCAGCGCCACCGCACATTCATGGCTCACCTCCGTAGCGGCGGGGATCTCGGCGGGCCTCGGCGTCCTGCGCCTCAGCTCCCCGTCTGCGCGCCGCTGCCTCGTCCGTTCTTCGAGCAGCATCATGTACTGCCGCACTTCCAGCGGGCCCTTCGACGCGGAGCCCATGCGCGCGGCGATGCCGGGGAGGTCATCTCGGCCGAGGCGGCCCAGCGCCGAGAAGAAGGCTTCCTTCTCCACGGCGGTCCATCGCACGGCGCCGATCTGGGAGGGGCTGAGGTCGAGCGTGTCCGGGGCGATCAGGGAAGCCGATGCGTCCGCGATGTCCTGGTTCAGAAGAGATAGGTAGTCCGGATTGAAGGTGCGCCGTTGGCGTTTGAGCGGCGCGCCAGCGTAAGGGGCGAGGTGGTGGGCTGGGCGCTTGCGGGAGGTGCTGGAGATCGATGGGGTAGATGATGCGTCTGACTCTTCTTCTGCTCCATCGGAAATGCCTCCTCGGCTTGTGGGCTGGCGTGGTAGGCGATGCGACGAGGCGTCAGAGTCATCTCCGGCTGATTCGTGCTCTGATGCCACAGCGTCTTCTGCGTCGCTGGGCACGTAGTCCTCCTCATCTGATGCCGTCCCCATGCTGGTACAGTGGAGGGACCTCAAAAGAATGCAATATCAATTTCCAGTTCGAACCAGTAGCGTGGACTCGTAGTCACTCAACTGCCTATATAGGTCTTTCGTTGTGCCAAAAGAATAATACGGTGTCCAATTCACCTTGTTAAAGGCTCGAAAATTTGTGCTCCAAGAACTCTTCAACGACACTGTCCGTTCTGCGGTAATAGAATCGTCCTTTTATCAGGGAAAGAGACTTCGCGCCCGGTGTTCGATCAACCAAAGTATACGATGCCAATGCAATTCCGAAGTCAACAGAATGTTAGAAAGTGCCCTCCGTCACCTGCCGTTCTGTTAGTCTTGTGGAATTAACTCATCTTTATATCATTCGATACTTACAGAGAATACGACAGAAATACCGGTCTATGTAACATTTATGATTTCCATAATGTTACGCCTGCCTCACATTATTGGATTGTTCGTTGAGGCCTCGGAAGTTTTTGGGTTGCGGAGCCCTGCCATTTAGCATCATTTCTTTTTTTGGCATGAGCGTCTACACCCTTCAGAAGAGCTTCAGCAATCCCTCAAGCTTATGAAGATGACTAGCAACGACGTCTCAACTTCTCCAAATGCGGGTTTCTAGTTGTTCAAACCCTCCCAGCAAAACTTCACTCAGCTGAAATAAACTTTTGGATATACATCATGACCGCAGAATTCTTTGCAACCCCTGTGAGATTGTCCCAGTACCTCAGACTTCAAGAGCATTCAAGCTCTATTGATGTGGGCCCCTTGGCTTAGTTTACGGTTTGGGCACCCGGGACAGCGCTAGCATGCTGGAAAACATGCAACTCGGGGCTTAAAATTTGGAACATAGCACCTCGGACTTAGTGCATCAGCCGGGGTGACCAGATAAATCAGGGAGCAACTCCCGCTCGATTAGACAGATCATGACGCTGAGCGTGACCTAAATACAACTCGCCTTGTTGAGAAAGAAAAAATCGACGACCAAGGGGCAAGACCAAGTACAAGATTTGCAAACAACACGGACAACCGTAGTGATTTTTCTCGGATTTCCCCCCGGATTCTTCTGACTTAGTGAACTTCGTTTAACATCACCTCGCCAAGACGACAAGGAATCGAGAGGTGGTTAGGGGGCCATGCGCAAAGCCGCTGTAGTTTGGCGCTTGACAAAACTATGCATCAGGTCTTCCAAACCATTCACGACCGGGACTCAGGCCTTTAGATCAGTCTCAAGCCAGGCTGCTGCTGCTGCTGCTGCTGCTACCTTAGAGAGACCCAGTCAACATGCCCTTCACCAGATTCGTCTTCGTGATTATCAAGAAGAGTGCATACAGGCGGTTCTCTCCTCGATAAGCCATGGCCACAAGCGCCTTGGGATTTCGCTGGCTACGGGCGCTGGCAAGACGGTCATATTCACACAACTGATCAACCGCGTCGAAGCACCCTCTCAACATGCCGGACAGACGCTCATATTGGCGCATCGGCGCGAGCTAGTTGAGCAAGCTGCTAAGCATTGCACAAGCGCTTACCCGAACAAGACTGTTGACATAGAGATGGGCAATATACATGCTTCTGGGTTTGCCGATATCACCATTGCAAGCATACAGAGCATCACCTCCGGAGACAGGATCGACAAATTTGACCCGAGGCGGTTCAAGCTCGTGTTGGTGGACGAAGCCCATCACATCGTCGCCCCTGGATATCTAAGAGCCTTGGAACACTTCGGTTTGGATCAGAAACGAGAAGGGTCTCCTACATTGGTTGGTGTATCTGCCACCTTCTCACGCTTTGATGGTCTTCGGCTAGGCGCCGCGATCGACGAGATCGTCTACCACAAAGACTATGTCGATATGATCGGGGAGAAGTGGCTCTCCGACGTTATTTTCACCACTGTCGAGTCCACAGCAGATCTGTCAATGGTTCGTGGCGGAGCTAACGGCGATTTTCAACCTGGAGATCTCTCTCGAGTTGTCAATACAGAGCAAGTGAACGAGATTACTGTGCGAAGCTGGCTTGCCAAAGCCGCTGGGAGAAAATCCACCTTGGCTTTCTGTGTAGACCTTTCGCATGTCGCTGGTTTGACACAAACCTTTCGGAACCATGGTATTGATGCTCGGTTCGTGACTGGGGACACGCCGAAAGTTGAACGTAGCAAACGTCTCGAGGCTTTCAAGGCACAGGAGTTTCCTGTCCTGATTAACTGCGGTGTGTTTACTGAAGGCACTGACATCCCGAACATAGATTGCGTCATTCTGGCAAGGCCAACACGCTCTCGAAATCTACTCGTACAGATGATCGGAAGAGGGATGAGGTTATTCCAGGGGAAGACGAATTGCCATGTCATCGATATGGTCTCCAGCCTGGAGACTGGTATCATCACCACTCCGACTCTTTTCGGCCTAGATCCTGGAGAGCTAGTGAGCGATGCTTCCGTGGATGAAATGCGGAGAATGAAAGACCGTAAGGAGGCTGAGGAGGAACGGACGCAGGTTGCAAATTCCGCCCAATCAGCACCACCAGCAAATAGTGCCCTTGTTGGCAACATTACTTTTACTGAGTATGATTCCGTCTTCGATCTCATCGCGGATACGTCTGGTGAAAAGCATATTCGCTCCATCAGCCAGTATACGTGGGTTCAAGCAGGGCCAGATAAGTACATCCTGTCCACACCAAGCGGGACCTACCTCAGGCTGGAGAGGGATCAGGCTACCAACAACGAAGAGCCCATGTTTTCAGCATGGGAAATAAGGGCGCTTCCTCAGGGAACTGGATCCAAGTCACCATACGCGACTCCACGCCGTTTGCTTGATGCCACAACCTTCACAGATGCTGTCCATGGTGCCGACAAGTACGCATCAGAGAAATTTTCTCACAATTTCATTTCGAGACGGATGAGATGGCGTAACAATCCAGCAACCGAGGGGCAGCTGAAGATGATCAACAGGCTGCGAGCGAAGGAGGATAAGCTAACGCCCACTGATATTACAATGGGCAAGGCAGCTGACATGATCACTAAGATCAAACACGGAGCCCGTGGTCGTTTCGCTACCATTGATGCAGACAGGCGGCGCAAAGAGCGTCAGGTCTCACTCGTCGAGCAGGAGAAGGAGAGAAAACAGAGAGAGAAGGTTTCTGTCGGGCCGCTGATGGCTTAATGGAATGCCATCGCATTACTCGTTCTCATCACTGAAACATAATCGATGTATATCACATGTACGAAATAATAGCATCTGAACAATGTAGGAAATGATGAGTTAACATTTCCACGCGCTAATGCCAGAAGGCATTACAGCTCGGCCTCGGCTTATTTCCTACACATGAGCTTCACATGTACAATTTCATGCAGTCGCGTAACTCGAGCATTTACCCGCGTGGATGTGACTACTTGTTTTGTCCTATATTATACCGCTGACTTCCTGCTCGAAACACTTGAATTTTCTTTTCTTTTTAATTCACGTTGGCTTTGGAGGATATTTTACGTCAAACAAATAGAGTTCCAATAGCAACCAGTTCAAATCTCATTGCACTTCTATACCAGACTAACCTATGGCTCGCCCGTTTCGTTACGAGACATCGCAGGCTATTCAAATTATGTGGTGCCAGCTCAGACTTGATTTGAAACTTCAAATGTGTAATGAAAAGTGTTTTTTAAAATAGGGTGCATAGTTCATAACATATCATAGGCTGTCCACTTCCAGTACAAACATTTGCGAATATTGATGGAAGTGAGAAAATTGCAAAGAAACTCATGTTTTCATGAGGTACGAAGTGATTGCTAACAACTTGAACGTCCCACTGCCCCAAGACTTGCGCAACGTAACAAGCCAAGACAACCAGAAAAGCTAATCGTAGCAACGCAACTTTCTTAGCGTGTCAGAACGAGACACTCTTGAGCAACCAGAGACTGCGAAGATCGCACCAACCTCCATCACCTTGTAAGGGTACCCAAACGACACTACCAAAGTAACGACGAGTTATGTCTTCGCAAACACTTGACCATTGTCGCAAGTTCTTAGTAAGCTTAGTCCAAATCCATTATTCCACACAAACGACCGAAATTATCGTGGCCGACCACGAGACTTGGGAGCTGCCGGACTTAGTTGACAATAATTGAGCAATTTCCACGCAGTAATTATTACTCAACTGAGTAGTGCCCTATGGCGCAATTGGCAGCGCGTCAGACTGTTATTCGCACATCATACGATTGATAATCTGGAGGCTCTGAGTTCGACCCTCAGTGGGGCAGCTTTTTGATGTTTCGTGTGTGTTTTTGACATGCTACCGTTACATATTCTATCTCATCCGTCTTTCCAGTAACATGGCAAACGAACGAATTTCATAGCATATAAACCTGTTGCCCGCTGAGATGATTTTTAGTCTCGGATGCACCGTCTGTGTCGGATGTGACAACGATGGACGCGATAACACGTACGTACATGTACTGCTTGAAGATTGCAAGCACTTGTGAGCGATTCAATTTGAAATGGCGGGGGCGTCCCTATACTAACTATGTAGCTGCTACTCCATAGATATAGCATCGGCGCCATGTGACATATCGTCGCTGCCGTAACGGCCCTGCTGGCCGCTGCGTTCACATACTTCGTGAATGATCTAAGGAAGTGAAGGCAACTGAACTGGATGGACTAGTGGGTTTTACTGACTGAATATGGGATTACTCAAAGCTTAATGCGCCTTTGACTTCTAATTTGTGTAAATAAAGTCGCCTACCAGATCTATCGACACTTGACGTCGCCAACTCGGTGACGGCATCTCAGCACAGAACGACTGCACAACCTCTGCTAAAAATTCCCTGTCCCCAAGATTACCTGGGTAAGTTTCTTCGTACGAACAGCCTGATTTCACTCAAAGGAGCTCAGCAGAAGCACGCGCGTTCCATCTCAATCTCGGCTTCTCCTTGTCACACATTATGACTTTGACTACTGTTATTATTGATTCGGGCTTGAAGATTCTGTGAGGCAATTCGCGACAAAGCAGACTCCAGGGAAATTTTGAGCTGGAGGACTACCTCACAAGGCTCACCATCGAGAATCATCGGAAAGGCAGTACTTGACGCGGATATGTCTATCAGAATCTAGTCTACCCGATTACAGTGCTCCCCCATAGTTATGCCAAGATGATGCCTCTATTAGATACAATTTTCCCTTTCCAGGCTGTGGGCCTTCTCCGGCCACTGAAACTCTGAATAAATAGGAGATAATTGGATCACGAGGTTCACATGGAAGTTGACCTCAAAATTGTGCGCCGCACGAAGGAAATTGCCGCAGAGGAGAAGGCTGGAGTCAAGGGCACAAAGAGACGATCGGTAGTTGATCTGGTACTCAATGGTTACGAGACAAAGTCGATGGCCATCATGATTCTAAATCCACATGATATGTCTAAGAGCTTTTGCGACGACATGAAGAATTCTGTCAAGACGTTCATATTTGCTGGACGTGGCACAAGATCCTCAACATTTTGTTGGGCAAACTACCTGGTCTAAAAACACACCAACGTTTATGCAAAACCAAGAGCAGAACTAGATGAGTATCTGTCCTCAAGCCCTGCCGAAGCCGTAACAACAATTTAGGAGAATGGTTACATCATCCATATGTTAAATGAATTAAAATAAATAATATAAGGAAAGAAAGTAAAAAAGGTACAACAGTAACTTGAACTGATGACCTTAAAAAAACGCATCCCCCAGTACTCGCGAGAGCCCCCAGTACCCAAGATCCCAGATGCTTCCGCAGCAAGGCGCCCGACCAACAACTAGGCTAGCTCTCAACGTGCTGTTTAGAAACGGCTCACCAATCAGAGAGTTTGCCCGAAAGGCGAAAGAAGGCATAGTTATCTTAAGATAAGTAGCCTCTTCTCCTTGAGACCTATTCCAGTTCTGTGGTTGCCCAGTGAAGCTCACTTGCACCTAGTAACCAGCTATTGCCTACTTTGCCTATTGCCTGACTTTCCTACCTGCCACAAGTGTGAAGCTTAGAGTATATAACTGCAGTTCTCAAAGACATGATCCTTTTTTCCTGCTAGGGAGCACCGCTCTCGATTTCACACCGGATGGATATATTATCGACCGGCCGCCAAACAGAAGACTCCCCAAGTTACAAGTATATCATATGGTTTAGCCAGCGGCACACACGATCCATCGTCACGAGCGATGATTATCTGCGCTGCTCAAGTGCATACCTGAGCGTTCCATACCTTCACGGACACCGTTTCCGAGCGCGCGGAACTATCCACTGAAGCCGGCAAGGACGCATTTCGACCTTTTGAAAAGAGCCTTAGGAACTGCATCGGACAAGAGCCAGCAACGGTGGAAGGTATGATCATACTTGCGTTGATTATCCAGGCATCTCGATTTCGTCCTGGAATATCTTATCGAAGGCGCTGATGTACGGTACCCCCGGGCCTCAGCAAACGGTCGAGTGTAGCAAAGATACGGAATATGGAAATGCTATTCGGGCTGGAACGTGGAAGCCAGACCATGTTGAAGTACATCGAGGGTATAAAAAGCTTTCGGAAGTTGCTAAAGCGAGCTGGAGGCTGTCTTGGACGCATTTACTATCGAATCAATTAGTTTCCCTGATTCAGTAGTTGGCTCATGTATTGTGTTGGATGCGTCAAGTCTAATTTACGATCAATATGTGACCATACGGGTACACCCTTCAAGCATTTCCTATCACCGCTGCATGCTCTTGAGGTGCGCCAGTGGCTTGATCAAACCTTACCTCGGCTAAAGAATTCATGGTCTTGTATTTCACTACGTATTCATATTGTATAACTCGTTTCCCCGACATACAAGGCCTCGTAATTTTGTGTTCCGTCATCGGCTTGTGAGTCATACTCAGAGGAGCTTGTTTCTAGTGAATCCACACAGTACTTGATAGACTGGTATTGTCAGCAAAGCGCCCAGTACGCAGTGAAACCTCAATTCCAGATCCAGAAATTCCAATTGCTTCAGCCCGGATTTATTCCACTATCCTTATCACGAGTGCATTCGAAAGTTGGCAGGTTAGGGCACATAGTTCCTGGACGACAGAAAAATGGCCCGACAATTCGTTAGTTCCGGATCGTCTTTTGAACAGCGAATCGGATACTCTCGTGCTGTAGTGACAGGAGAATGGGTATTTGTGTCCGGATGTACTGGGTCGGTACCCCCAAATGTCACGCCATCCGAGAACTATGCAGGGTGTCACGGCATACTGATTGATTGATGAAGATACGACTACAAAACCGGCGAAATCTCCGCAGACGTTGTCCAACAGACAGAGCAAACATTCAAGAATATCGCGGCCGCACTCCACGAGGCTGGCGCCAATGTGGATGAGATTGTGAGAGTCAGGTACATCCTGCCCCTTCGCGAGGACTTCCCGAAGTGCTGGCCGGTGCTAACGAAATGGCTTGGAAATGCACGCCCGGCCGCCACTATGATCGTTTCGGGTCTGCTGGACGAGGCCATGAAGATTGAGATTGAAGTGACGGCGAAAAAAGGGTCGGCACATGCGGAAAGTGATGTGACCCCCACGGCTTAAAATGGGAAACACAGATCAGTTCCGATGTCTGGCTGTTGAAAAAATTAATTTTATCGAAAATAATTTTTGTTTACATGCCCGTTCCGGTAGCCTACAGGGACACCATTAAAATTAGGCGAAATGACAGGCAAAAGCGGAAGACTTTGGCGCCTGATATATCATGCTGTCAGTTGTGGCGATGGTTCATTGGATATCGCTCACGAAAGTTTGTAATGCAGGCGAGTTGTGGGATACACGTAACAATCGATCATCATCCAAATGTGAAGCCAACGAGTAAGAGACGCCGCCGTGCTTTATGTATTCGGCTGTATTGCTACGATAACTCTTATGCAAGAAACATCATGTTCGGAAACGAAGACGCCACAGATGGCCAAGGCTTGCGGCTGAAAAGTTGCCTTAGTGGTCCGGATCAGCCTCCGCCGACATCAACTAGGCTGGAGTCTGCAGTGTTTGGACCATTGTGATAAGAACATGTACCATCGAATCGAGCAGGGCGCGACTGCCTGGGATTGGATGAAATCTAGCGACGAGGGTTGCGACGTTTATTGACGTACCCCGTGGAAATGACGGTATCATTTCAACGTACTCGCTTCTCATTATTTTCGATTGCTAGGCCCATCACGACAAATTTACATTACATTGAGAAGAAGAGATCATGGTATTCTTAATAGTTGCTAAACTATGAAAATAATATGTGCTTAATCCGAAGTCTAAGTATGTAGTATATATTGTGTACCGTAGTAAATCAACTGCTCGCTAAAAGAATCATTTCAACCCATTGTCAACGTCCTGTGTGTACAGATTGCGTTCTGCATCTATGTAAATTATGATTAAAGTTGGATAATGTGCAGTATGCTACCATAGAATGTGAGGAAACATATGCAACATGTATCTGCATGTGTTATGCTGTCGTGGCAGCTTGACGCTTAGAAGTGAGAAACGACCAACGCTTCTTCTTCATCTCATTGGGGGCTTCAATTTCCACGGCTGGACCTCGTTGCTTAACTGTATCCATCCTATGCTTGGCAGACTGATCTAGACTCAGCGACGGTAATTTGTCTGCAGAAGGGAACGCAGCAATGACACTGGCAGCAGGAGTTGTTGCAGCAGAGCTTGGTGCGGAAGACCCCTTGGACCTTGCAGATGAAGCATATGAGTTTGACATTGCTGGAGAGCTTGACACTGAGTCGATGGATGAAATCGGAGGAACTGGGTATGCTGGCGGTGAACCTGGAATGCTCAAAGCGGCATGGTTCATCGGCCGAGGTGCAGCGAACCGATGGGCACGAGAGATTGACTGAGCAGACATTGTGCGTTGGTGTGATTGAGGGAAATGATGGGAGGCAGCACTCGTAACAGGATTGCGTGGGGAACCAGATACACTCAAAGCACTTCCAGAAGTGTTTCCGGGAGTACTATAGTTATATGATACGGGGCGCTTGTGGCCAACCTCAAGATCTTCCTCGGATGAGCTGGAGTTTCCTGAGCTTCCATTCGGCTTCACACGGGTTCGACCACCAACTCCCAACATGGATTGGGTAAAAGGAGGCAACGGAGGGACAGGCGGAATCAACTCCCGCTCCTTTCCTTTCCTGCTATTGGAATGCGAGAAGTCGTCTCGTGCCACAGAGTTCCCCGGGGACATGTGCTGCCAAGTTGGAGGGAGGCTGTTGAAGCTGTGTACTCTAGATACCGGTACAACAGGGCTTGCAGAAGTCGAAGGATAAGACACATTAGATAGCGAGCTGGAGACTCTCGGTAAAGTGCCTGGACGCGTCTCTACTGCAGTCATAGAGTTCCTTTTCCGATTTTGCTCCCTGATCCTGGAGCGGTAATCCAGGTTCGAGCCGGCTGGTGCGCCCGACAACGCGTCAGTTCCGGCATGTGTTGGTACGTGTTTGTAGGCGGCCTTGGCTGTCTCCTGCTTCGCCTTCTCCATATCCTTGGCGTTCTGTTCTTTGGCCTGCTGGCGGCCCTTCTTCATGATTGAAAGCACAGACATGGCGACAGTTGCTACAAACCAAAATCGAGGGTTTGTAAATATGCTTTTAAATTGTGCTGACGACACTTGAGATCAGATCTCACTATGTAATGTCGTTTTCCTTCTTCTTAAGCTGGTCAATGAGCCGCTCCACAGAGAAGCTACTTCCAGAAGTGGTATTTGCGCTCTGATAGAGTATTGCAGTGCTAATTGCGAAACACACGGGCATCTACCACGAAACACAGACTTGCAACTTCAGGAGTGGTGGATATTCTCGACGGCACAAAAAGCCGAAATGGCGATTAGTGATAATAATTCGAGGGGACGATTGCCCTTAAACTGGCTGCGATTGACGATATGACGAACAGCAAAACCCAGGTAACGCTGATTTCCAGGAATGATACTGGGTCGAGACTTTTCGAAAGCAGCGAGCCGAGCTTGGCGTGGTGTGATTCCAGAAGAGCCGTTACAAGGAACACGAAACAAACTGAGATTGTCCCAACCAAATCGTCCTAACGTATAGGCTCGACGTGGGCAATGAGGAGGGTTGTGGGAGCTGATGGTGGGAACAGTGGGACCACCGTGTTGGGTACTCTCAACGTAGTTGTAGCGGCAGCTCAGCACCCCAATTCAACTGCGTGTTGAGGATCAAGAATGAACGTGATGAGATTTCGAACGTCTACACAGAGGCAAACGATTCGAGAGGCCGGAAACCCGTGGGAATGGTAAGACGTTTTATGCGAACTGGCAAGGGATTCTAGCGCAACTTACGCTAGAGCGGCGTGGCTTAGTGGCGTTCCAATGCAGATAGGACCATGTACGGAGTACAAATAGTGTCTCGCGGCGCCGGGAAAGCGAGATGTCGTTCCTGCTACAACTACCCAAGTATGAGAAGTATCTCAGCTGCACCCTAACGTTAGCACCGAAGAGGAGAGTACACATAACTTAGACTCTTGCTGTACCAGCTCGGTTTTGCTTGTTGACCCATAAGCGGTCAATAGAAAACACGAGCGGTTGACTGAGAGAACAGTTACACTAATCGTGATCGTCATCCAACTGAGTCCTGGGTGGACGGACTGCGAGAGTGAATCTAGCATTTCAGCGGTCACGTCTTGATGCCACTTGAAAGTTCCTTGAATGATTCTAGCCTTGATAACTGGTGCAAAATGATTATCTCAGGTGTGTGTGGTTCTCGTATTGGTCATTGATCAAGTACTGATTACACTTCGGACCAGGCTCAACTAGGGCGAGCGTAGTATCGCTCCGATGTCCTAAATAAGAATCTGTACGTTTTCTTTCGTTCGGATGCGAAGGGCTGGTTCAGCTAGGCATCTTCGCCAAAATTGCACCCACATAGGTGCATTCGCGGCGCGTCAAGTTCACAAGGTTAGCATAGCGGTAGGGTGTTGTTGGTGGTGGTGGTGGTGCGATAGACCAGTTGACCAGTGAGCATTCCGAGGCTGAGCGCTGCACTAACGAACGTGTCAAGCGACTCCAGTTTGTGTCGGACTAACCTTAGTTTAGGATTGTTGTTATCATGACCATCCATTCGATCATTTTCAAATACCTACTGTAGGTTAGGGATTAAAGTAGCCGCATCTCGGACTCCGGAACGGCCAGACATTAAATTCCCTAACCTAGCATTAGCTTATCCTGATGCCGAGCTCCACGATACTTTAACCCGCTTAAGTCCTGGTTCCATGTTCCCTGCAGCGGAGGCACTAACCTATGTTACTGTGTTTCATTGAACTATTGGTACAATAATTGCTTAACGTGCAGTATCCCTACATGATCAATACTCTGAGGTCACAATCCTTGCTTGCTCTGGGAATGTATTGACAAATTCAATCATTCGTGAGCCCTAGGATTTCAAGTTTGGTATTACCATTGATCCGACTGCTGCAATGCCCGATCAATATTGGATATATTGCTGAGGCCCAGCTGATCCTCGACTCATCCTCGACTCATCCACGACTTGGCGCATCGTGTATACCAAGAGCCAGCATTTTTGGTGGCTTATAATTTGATCATCCTTATCAACGCACAACTTGAGTTACTATCAAAAATGCTATCGACTACTCAAGTGATCGTAGAGGCGACGGCAAGTCTGGGCACTTGCACAGCAAAGACATTTGCTCAAAACCCGTCAATCACAACAGTCGAGTCAGGACATCTGACTCTCACGCGTCTGTGCTATGCAACTACGTCGAAAACATGTCGATTTGTCAAGACCTGCTCATCTGACTGACCCTTCTCCAGCATTTGAGTGGAGCAAGGCTTTGCCGATAGTTTCTAGGCCATGCGCCAACTCTAACGGTGAGGCTAAGTTGAAGTCACAAGGATACGCGAGCATGACGCTCCCGTTGCCGACTACATTATCGGGGTATACATCTTTTTAGAGTTTTTAAAATAAAATAAAAATTGCAATCTTCTTGTCGCATTCTAATGGAATAATGACCTGCAAAAACACAACGAAAGATCCGAAATCTTATAAGCCGCTTCCGTGGTCATAACGAGACTTACCATATTCATAAGTCAGGATAGCGTTATTAGCCGAGTAGATAGCATTACAATAATTTTTAGAGACTGATAGCTTACTGGCAGGCGCCAACCAACTGCTTATTGTCAAGTTCACTTGAGGCAAACGTTGGCTGCCGGGATTGTGACTACGGACTCCACCATAACAATACGATATGCACGCTCGAAGATGCTGAACGCTTTGAACAGTGGTATCGTCGGAAGAGCTGTTGGTGACAGACGGTTGGAGACCTCCTCGTCATCACCTTTACATTGGTGCATCCAAATTGCTCAGAAGCATACCACTAGGTCTCAGTGGGGGTCAATGAACTATATTCCTAGTAAAATACTGCTTCCTAACCTTCAGGGCCCCACTGCCAAGGGCTTCGTTGGTCGACATTGATCCAGAAATGTGGCATTGTTATCCTTGTATCGCTATGGATTTATGGGAATGTGAGCTAAAAACCCACGTTGCATTGGCTCAGTGGCTATCACGAGTAGAGTGGACCTTCACCCGGTCTCCATAATCATTGTGCCTGGATCTTATATCGAATACAGACTATTAGACTACGGCAGTGTGCGAACACTTGAATAGGTCGCGTGATCTGCAATTCTAACAAACGGTGAAAGAGGTGTAAAGGTTGTCAGGTTTATACGTCTGGTGCGTACTACTATCTCTGTTTACTCTTCTCCAGTCACCGGAGAATGCTTAATTTATAGTATACTTTTACAGGGCTCGTGGTTGCATCGGTTAAATGTTACGTTTACAGACAGTCGTCGAGATCCGATGCTGGTATATGATTACTAACCACGGGGCTGTTTCTCCTTGCATCATGAAAGGTCCTCGATGTCGTCTTACTTCGCCTGATTGTAAACGCTGCCAAAGCGTAGATAGCCTGGTATATTTCTAGCGAACAATCCTACTCGCAGGCGTAAAGCAGGAAACGTGGGTCAGGCACGGGACCAGGTTAGGTTGCTAAAATTTCCTAGTTCAAACCTTGATAAGACGAAGATTTGGACAAATACAGTAGCAACTCCTAAAGAGCTGCTACCTCGTTTCAACAAGGGAAATTTGCACTACGTCTACTGGTTACAGGGTCGGCACCTGAAAAGAACATTTCATGTGCCGAGCCTAAAGTGCTGCGCTTCAAAGCGTGGCCCGGCCGGTAGGATCACAGGCTCATTCACGCTACGATGACCTCATCTCATCGCCCCTTAGATCTTCGTCGGAACGGGACAGTGTTGTGTGCTTGGTCGTGAGTAGGCAGGCCTTCGCTACAGCCACGGAGGTACCGACTTGTGCTTCATCTGACACTATCCTGGATGGTGTCGTGATCTGGACTGTGAGCCATAAGGTAAGGCAAGCCCACTGATCTGGAACTCAATATCACTGACCTAGTGTTGGCCCGGTGCACTTGGCGCATCCGTTCTCAAGAAAGAACCGATCTTGTGGTTACGTTATTCAAATATTGGCTGGAATTGGCTACTGACGTCGATTTCTCCAATCATGATATTGATCACAACCGTTCGACTTTTCGTCCTTCTTGCAATACTCACTTCACAAGATGCGAATATCTACTCCAGGCGGATGTTGTCTCGCTCTGCAGTCCTCTGTCTTCACACCATGAATAGCATCTCTCCTGAAGGGAAGCTTAGTAAATAAGACATCACAATGCCTAGTAGAGGCTATATTCAGTGATTATCGACGTTCTGATTCAAGTAGAATTGCTTTTGCATATGATGTGGACATCACAGCAAGTCAACGCGAGTCAACATGAGTTCGTCCATGATGAAACAGTGTCTTACGTCACGTACCGCATGAGACACTTTGGTGCGAAAAGGTGGTAAGGATGGGCCATCTAGAGCGTACCATACTGATAATTGATATCTATTACAAATCCTGTCGCTGCGACTCAAATGTGACAATTAAGGCGAATGATCTATTGCTATGTCCTGTCTTTTGCTACCAAGATAATAATGAATACACTTGCACCGAAGACAGCGTTAAATTTCCACATTCAAAGAATGGTATATTAGAACATTTTATCTTCCTCAGATGGATGAGATCTCGCCAAAGATTTCATGCGGCCTGTACTCAACAACTCCAATACTTAAGGGTGTGCCGTTATCAGGTGCGCTTTATAAGGTAAGGGATATTTATTACTCTTTTCGGCCAAGACACCACGTTATTTCCACGTTTTACCAGCGTGATTTAGGAGCAGAACTCCCGAGGCAGGTTTAGGGGCTCATAGCACACCCTTATCGAGGAATAATTGTCCTTGGTTAATGCTGTGCGTCAGTCAGTTCTCTGAAAGCTCCTGGACTGGCTACCATCATGGGAGTTTATACAACCTGGAATTCAATCAAATGGAACATGGCCCTAGCTAAGTGAAATGATTTGTCGCTGTAAAACCACTTACTGCAGCTCTCCCTCCTCATAATATGTCTATTTGTCTGCGCAATTATGAGATGTTTGTTAGGTACTTACCGAGTATATACTTCTGAAAACCCAAGCACAAAAGGCCATGGCAAGACCGTTTTTTGCAGAGTCCAAAAATAGTCATAACACGTTTCAGTACGAGCAGGGCAATCGAGAGGTCTCAGTACTACCATACTTACAAAGAGACAAAAGCGAAGGTGAAAAGAATAAAGAAATTAGGACCAATAAGACTATTGGCACGCTTGCAATAGAGAACGAAGACTTGGCTTGCTGTATACCCTATGTACTGTGAAAATAAGAAAGCTAAAGGGTTGGGTCTTGTGGACAGCGGTCCTGGTGCCGACGGGCTATTCTAGCTTCTCTTGGAGACGACCATATACCTTCTCATGCTCATCCTCCATGCCCTTCAAAGTTGGAACATTGGTACGGAATATAGGATATCTTGGAAAAGAGGTAATGTGCTTGGTGTAGTTTAGCCTTTACTTGGAACACCATCGCAGCACGGGCACCGGTCATCATGCGTGAACAGCTAGACGTCATCACCGTTCGTTTGTGATATTTGAACTAGCCAAGTGGCTCAGCCAACAATATTTAGGGTCTCAGAGCCGCCGAGAGGAATTAGTATTACATGGAAACGAGTGTTCGTGTTTTCTCCCCAGCTGTGGGCTTGCTGCAGACGGCATTCATTTGATTCTGATTCCTGGTCTGCCATCATCTCCGCTCTCTACTATGGTATACTTTCACGGTGAACGGTTGCTCCATTGTTTTGGAAACCTCCACAATTGCTTTTTCTATAGTCGAATAGCGCACCTTTTGGCTATCCTGCCTCGATTTGTCAACAGCTCATGGAATCGCTTGTCCGCAATATCTACAAATAATCAACGCGGCCTTCTGTCGCGGAGACGATGTTTTATTCGGTCAATTCTTATTGCTACCAACAGAGCTCCGGTTGCGCATGTGGCAGCACGCAGTGGAATAGCATCGCTTGCTGGAGGTTGAGGTAAAATCTCCATTCAAAGTTAGTGAAGTGTCTCCGTCCTGGGCTACAAACATTCTCAACAGCTTGATTAGTGGGTGAGAATACACTGCTACCGTACAAGGCTGTCAGCTACATAGAAAGCTATTATTCGTCAACAACGAGTCACAAAAAGTGGCCTTGCTCTTTACCGCTTTGATAGTCCATTTTATATTCGGACGTCCAAAGGGATTGCTAGGAAGATGATCCTCTATTTCAACCTCGAATATGACTTTATACACCCGAAAGTAAATGACCATGTAGAACACAGCTTTGACGAATTCCTCCATGATCTCAAGGCCTACGACCCAGAAGGCGTTGGTCTCCTGAACTTGGCTATAGGCATTAACGGCATGATGAGACTGCATTCCCTGACAATGGTACCCGAGGCCTCGGCAAGGGCGAGTCTCATCGATACTCTGTCTCAAATATAGAAGCTTGTTTGGGTAGCCCAGTACATTGTAGGGCTATTGCAAACATTCCATGGAGTCGGAATTTGGTTCAACCATTCGATGCCCGTCAAGGCTGCTATACAGTCCTTCGACCTCCTTGAGTGACCCAAAACCGGTTTGGCTAGAATTAAAATACGTCCTCTCAGGAAACCTCTGACCTGCGGGTGATGCGCGTGCAATGATAAGAACTGCTTGATAGGTGGGAGATACGTCAAGCTCGACCAACCAAGCAGCGGGTTCTTTTCGCCTACAGCCTTCCCTTGTATGAAGGCCAAATCCATAATGTCAAGACAGCTAATGAGTTTCTGGAAGATGAGAAAGCAAGGTTGCTAAGATCTCAACAGAAATGGCATGTGGTAGCCAAAATATTTGCAGGTATGATACTGATTAAGGGCCTGAAAGGGCTAGTGAAAGCCATGAGACTAGCTGTCGGGTTCTGATTGTTTCCTGCCGAGGCTCTCGGAGATCTTGAAGGCGATCTGTCGGGGACGAAGGTATCTGATATGACGGGACATTGGCCAGAGTTAGAACTATCGTATCTGTCTTGACTTTAGCTCGTTGGATGTATACTAAAAGGTTTATACCAGATCGCTCTGTATCGCCGTTGCCAAAAGGGAGCTCGTCCACTAATTACCCCGTAGACGAGAGTCCGCTTCAAGGACTGGTCTCTAAGGCAAGCGGACGCCGCAATTAAACAACAAGTGCTCCAAAAAAGAAGTCTTCGCGACCCCTTTGCTCTCATGTATCTAGATAGCAGACCTCTGTTCTCACACCTCCAAGCATATTCAGCACCAACCATGCCAATTAATAGGCTAGCATCAGATTTTATGAGACAGGTTGAACATGTTCCCCTATCGTATTTGCCACACAGCAATAAGGAATTCGGGAGTCTTCTGATGTTCTAATCTGGCTCATACTCTCGGGCGTCACGATATACATAGACAGTATTAGCTGTTTCGGGCGGAGCTTCCCCTTTGGAGTTTGGCATTAGCCTAAAAGCCTTAACGAGACTCGCCAGTTGACCATGTTTTCAGGGCGTGGCTGAGCCTACCAGTGGGGGGTTTTAGTTTTATTTTTAAGGATTCCAAGCTGGGTGGTGATGATATTTCCTCTTTCGTATGAAATTGGGACTCATTTAAAGGCTGTGGCGATGACGTAGTTCCGAGTATCCTGATGTCAACAAGGCGATCAAACTTGAGTATTGTTGCTCACCATCACATGATCATTAAATTATTTAAGCAGCACGATCTCTGCTTTACGAAAAAGCGACGCGCGACGTAGAAAGGGGCGGTCCGTATTCGAATATACATCTCGAAGGCAAAGTGCCAAAACAATTATCCTTCTAAACGTCAAGGGTCTGAATACGGAAATGATTGAATATCGCAGTCGTAAACGCCGCGTCATTCGACTGCCACAGGCGTGAGATGGGGTATGGATGCGTGATGGGCTGCTCGAGCCGTGCGGATTCTAAACTGGTAACGAAGCAGGAAAGAGGAGGGACAACAAATAGAGGTTAAGTGGTATGGAATCCCTACATGGAATCCCTATAGCCTTGATGTGCGTACGGCAACTGGTAGATAAATGCCACGGAGTAATTTGAAAACTGTAACGTGGGCGATGTTTGGGTTATTAACCCAGTGGGGGTACACAATGTCCAAATGTCCTGGTTGTTGTCTCCTAAATTCTATCGTTATGCAAGTGAGAACCAAATACTTGAAACATGTGCCTGTATCAACATGGTATTGTTACACTAAAAGGAGGCTGCGGACCGACGATAGATACACGGATCCGTAGTAATATACAGTAGTAATAGTCGGGACAAAGTGTAATGATTGTGAAGGCACGTGCCATGTAAATAAGATTTCGTCATATTCCTCTGGGTAAGCGCGACGTGGCGCTTAACTTAGGTTGATTGCATTTTTGGATTTCGAAATTGGGGGTCCCGTCCGGGTTCGGCAGACGGGCAAAAATAACTTACAGTAGCAGCATGGCTTGGACTTCAGGGTGTGAGGGGCGATGAGATGATGCTCGGCCAATGACGAGAGCTCGCTACCAAAAACGCCACTGGGAGATCTGCGAAAAGGCATCAGGCCAACAAATGCACAGCTGTCTGGGCTTGCTGGGGGTTTTCTGGGGCCATGTATCCCGACGTCAGGTCCACCAACTCTCTTGAACACGGACCAGGACAGGCCCTCCAACAACGCTCAAGGACTCGTGCCAAAACCAACCTAACTAGACTTCGGAACTGGTCCTGGACTCTTACTGTGCAGTAGGTGCTACGATACGCAGACGCAGGCGCACAATCGCAGACGCAGGCGCAGAGACGCAGGCAGTAAGGTTCAGTCCACCAGTTATTGTTTTTTTTTTGCCCGGGCGCGCCCGTTGCGACTTTGGGATTCAGGACCCTTTCTTCAATTGCCCCATCCCTAGGTTAACTAAATTGCCACTACGGATCCGTACGCCGTACACTACACCGGATCGCGCCCTCTTCTGTGCTGGTTTTTGACGATTGTCGCCTGATCGCGCATTGCAGCAACCACTCGAGTGATTTTTTATTTTTCATTATCTATATGCTTCTGAGAGCTGTGGCTGCCATAGCGATGCTGAGTCCGTCTCGTCACTCTCGTTCGTTGAGTGTATAACATTGCATTTTCCCACACTTAACCGAGTTTCGCCTCGCCTCACTCAGTCGGCACGGCCCATCCAATTTCTACCCAATACGTCACACTCGGCTCATGAAGGATTGTCAAGCCTAACAATTTCAGCCTCGAGCACGCCGTCATTCGGTCTAAAAGCCGCGTGTGAAGATAATCTGTCGTTTTGTTTGGTTTTACAGCCACTTGAGCTATCTCTCTTATCGCAGACGGGCGAACGGGCGTTCCGTTGCGTTGCGTTACGGGTGCACCAGACACGAACCAGTTCCAGTAGCATTTCCAGACGAGCCGCGACGCGAAGTGAAGCGAAGTCGATTGAAAGGGTCTGGCAACCGTAACAGATTGGACCCGAGTTACCGCCTTGCCTTGCCTGGCCTTGCCCTTGCCTCTGCCTTTGCCTTAGGTAAACTACGGATACGGATACATACGCACAGGGCCTGCCGCTGTCCCAAGCGTCGGACAGAGTACCCACGATTACATACATAGTAGAATCGAATTCACGCTACGCACCGTCGCCGACCCGCATCTGCGCATTGCGTTGGAATACTTTGCATAACCACCCGACCCGACACCTAGACTAGGACCTGGATCTGGACCTGGATCTGGACCTGGCCGACCTGATCTTCAGACTCAACACACCCCCCCAAACCAACCGCACATCATCGTCATCCATACTGCTGTCGCGTGCGCGCTTGTCCATCAGCGCGCGCACAAGGTTGAAAAGCTGGCTGCGCTCACTCTTCTCAGTCAAGCCGACACCGAACTTTCCCTCCAGCAACACCTCGACCTCGCGCCCGAACTGCTACAGTACAACCCTCACCTGGGTCCCGACCTGGACGAGGAAGAGCCGTTGACGATGGCGGCACAGCCGGTGCCTCATCAGTCGACGGACAAGAAGCGTGTCAAGGTCTACGAGCTTCGCAACAATGACTGGTTTGACCGCGGCACCGGCTTCTGTACCGCTGCCCTTCACGTGAGTCCTCCATGCCGAGCCCCCTCTCTCTCTCTATCTCTCTCTCTCTGAACTCCTCCACCATTACGCGACCGTGTTTGGCCCCACTCCAAAACTGTTTCCCTTCCCCTCATCCCATTCATGTGAGAAACAAAGTCGCTAATACCATCACCTCCTGCACAGGCCGATGGTGATCAGAGAGAACCAAGAGTCACAGTCGAGTCTGAAGACCCGCCACACCGCACACTGTTGGAAACACGGGTCGCAAAAGGCGACTCGTTCCATAAGCAGCAGGGTAGGTCTTGGTGCCGCACACACAGTATTTGGAATGCTTCGGGCCCTTTGGTTGCATAAAAACTGACTTGCGCCTTCCCAGAAACCCTGATCGTGTGGACAGAGCCTAGCAATGGCGTCGACATGGCCCTCAGCTTCCAGGAGGCCGAGGGCTGTACCATGATATGGCGTTTTATCAACCAGATCCAGACACCTGGCCGCTATTCCAATGGCGCCGACGACAGCTTCTCCGATGATCTTGCCATGGACGCGCCTAACCCCATCTCACTCCCGCCCCCAACCCTTGGTACCCTCGCCGATATCGAAGGCCAGTTGCGCATGATGAGCGGCACGGGTAACGGACGTGATGCTCTGACGAAATACGTCCTCAACGAGGACCTGATCGGAAAGCTATGCCCGTTGGTATCCGAGGCCGAGGATCTCGAAAGCCTCAACGACTTGCATCGCCTATGCAACATCATGAAGATCGTAATCCTTCTCAATGACACTAGTATTATTGAGCATGCGGTCTCGGACGAATGTGTCATCGGTGTGGTTGGAGCCCTCGAGTACGACCCTGATTTCCCTAGCCACAAGGCAAACCACCGACAATGGCTAGAGGACAAGAGCCGTTATAGGGAAGTCGTCAAGATTGAAGATGCTCAGATACAGAAGAAGATCCACCAGACATACCGCCTGCAATATCTCAAAGACGTTGTCCTAGCTCGTATTCTTGATGATAACACCTTCTCGGTACTGAACTCTTTGATCTTCTTCAACCAGGTCGACATCGTTCAGCATATCCAAGCAAACTCAAACTTCTTGGTGGAACTATTCGACATTTTCAAGCGTGTGGCCGAGGACCCCAAGAGGAAGAAGGACGCAGTACTTTTTATTCAGCAATGCTGCACTGTTGCCAAGAATCTCCAGCCGCCAGCCCGACAGACCTTGTATAACAACTTCATCGTCCACGGGCTGTTCTCTGTCATCAATTTCGGGCTGCGCCACACTGACACTGCGGTTCGTGTGGGTGCTACCGACATCATGGTGTGCATGATAGACCACGATCCCCAGATGATACGTCAGACTATCTACCGACAGCTCAGCGAAAGTCAACCTCCGCTCACCGATTCCCTCATCGACCTTCTCCTCATCGAGGTTGACCTAGGCGTCAAGTCCCAGGTCTCAGATGCGCTCAAGGTGCTTCTGGATCAGGGCCCTCCACCTCAAGAGCAAGCGTTTGCCAAGGCCAATGGCGAGTATGCGGCGCGCGCCCAAGCAAGGTTACAAGCGGCTGCAGACCCCCAGCAAGAACGTTTCTTAGACTCCTTCTATGAGAATTCAGCCCCAAGGCTTTTCCAGCCGTTGGTGGCTCTGGAAGGTCGTACAAACATGGACTTCACTGTCCAACAGGCTTCCATGTTTACCTACCTCATCGAGATTCTCTGTTTCTTCATTCGACAGCATCAACACCGCAGTAAACACTTCGTCTTGGACCAACACATCGTCGAGCGTATTGAGCAGTTGTTGCACTCACCCGAGAAGTTTATAAAACTAGGTAAGCACGTTATCACTACTCCGTTTGTCTCAAGCTAACAGACTGCAGTCGCTATCAGGTTCCTCCGTCAGCTTATCGGAATTCAAGATGATTTTTACATAAAGCAGATAATGTCGACGAACGTTATCGGCACCATTTTGGATGTGCTGATTGTTACTATGCCTCGGGACAATCTCCTGACCTCGGCGTGTCTTGAATTCTTCGAGCACATTAAGAAGGAAAGCATCAAAGATCTCATCAAGCACATGGTCGAAAACTTCCGGGAGCAGCTGGAGAAGCTCGCATACGTACCACTGTTCGCATTCATTGTCCAGCGTTACGACCAAACACAAGGTTTTACCGCAAATGTGGAACAGTTCATGGAATCGGAAGAGGACGCCAGACGCAGGAGACAGGGGCAGGTCATGAACACGAGGACTGGTATCATGGAACATCTCATGGAACAGGGCGACGAAGAGTACTGGAACACCTCGGATGACGAGGAAGATCTGCAAATCAGGACGGGGAGCCGTACGTTAGCAGCAAACGGCTCGTCGCCGACCACAAAGTTAGTCGACTATGCATCCGACGAAGAGCTTGACGAGCATATCGAGGATGGCGATCTCATTCCTGATAGCCAAATTGATGAAGAGAAGATGGACGAAGATGCAGACGAACCCAAGAGCGCAGGGTCTCTACCTAGTCCCCCGGAACGGCTGTCTGAGAAACGGCGGCGCGAAGAAGATGAAGAGGATGACATCTCAAAACTCATGGCCAACAAGCGACGGAACAGCTCATCAGCCAGTTCCAACGCATCGAGTACGTCTGGGTTTCTAGGCAAAAAGAAGAGACTTGCGAGCCTCAGGGACGCTGGAGGTGGTCCCAAAAAGATCGCCATCAGTCTGAATCCCTCTCTAGGGGCTGATTCCGACCTGCCCAGCACAAAGGAGGATGGAACATCATGACTTTGTCTAGGACAGCTAATTTCTGGCGCTCACAATGATATTCAGTTGTGACTTTCGAAAAAGACCAATGATTAGGGACCGGAATGGCGGCGTTCATGGGCGACAATTCGTTTTGATTTGCATGGTTAGGGCCTTGGAAAGGCTTAGAAAGGGTTTAGGGATATGCCCTCAGAAATGATGATCCCCCATGTCATAGGGTTGCAACTGCTCTGGGTGTTTTTGGAAGCCCTTTTTGATGCGTGGTTGCGGCGATCTCATTTATGGAGCCCCGTTAGCTTTGTACCCATATGCACGACACGTATACTTTGATAAGTTCAGGCTTCGAACTGCAAAATAAAACAAGTCACTGCGCAAACAAGTAGTGAGATGAGAATAATCTCACGTATGATCTGCATCATGAGACTGCACACTTGGACGTCTGCTAATGATTGTGACCAAAAACAAGTGTAACACCAATGGACAATGGAATGGACTTGCGCGTAGGTATGGTACATACTCTTACAACTTCGCCGCCACCTGTACCCCATCGGGCTCTGAGATCTCAATCACCAGTTTGCCGAACTGCTTTCCCTCCTTTATATCCTCAAACAAACCGTTGATGCCATCTAGATTATCCAAGCCCTTCACCGTCCGGCTGACAATAGGCTTGATCTTCTTCTGCCGCACAAAGTCCACCATCTGCTTGAACTCTTCTCGCGATCCCATAGTGCTCCCCTTCAGCTCCACGTTCTTGAGCACCGCTTGCATTAGCCAGTCCATCTTCGGCGAGGTCGTCATACCGTAACAGCTAATGACGCCGCCAGCCTTGAGGATCTTGCTCGCCTTCCCAACAATATTCCCGCCCGCCCCGTCGACAACGGCATCCAAGAACGGCCGGTCCTGGGGGAGCTGCTTGGCCAGCTCCTTCTCCCAGTCCTGGGACCTGTAGCTCACGCCGCCCCTGGCACCCATGGACACGGCCCTCTCGATCTTGTCCCGGCTCCCCGACGTCACGTACATGTTGCACCCCATCGCGATGCCGAACTGCAGGACCTGCAGGGCGACGCCGCCGCCGATCCCCGTGACGAGGATGTTGCGCCCGGGCCTCGCGTTCCCGGACTTGGTCACGAGCGCCCGCCAGCCCGTGAGGCCAACCAGCGGCAGCGCAGCGGCCTCGGCCGGCGACAGGTGGGGCGGGCACGCCTCGACCTCGGCCTCGGGCACGACGATGTAGTCCTGGGCCGTGCCGTCGGGATAGAGGGCCGCGCCGCCGATGACGCTGAAGTTCTTGTACTCCTCGGGCCCGTCCGGGTCGGACTCCCAACCGCGGCACGGCGTCAGGAGCACGGGCTTGTGCAGGAGCCTCTGGGACTCGGGAGAGACATCGGACCCGAGCGCCACCACTGTGCCGTAGCCGTCTGCCAGGACCGGGTTCTCGAAGGAGAGGCCCGGGTATAGGGCTTGCCGCTGGAAGAAGTCACGATGGTTCAGGGCCGCGGCGTGGAGCTTGACCAAGAGTTCGCCGGCGCCGGGCTTTGGGATGGGCCTCTCGGTCAGTTCCAGTGGGTAGTATACTTGTCCCGGCTTCCCCGGGGTTTTCTTGATGGTGAGAGTACGCGACATTGTTTTCGTATCTCGAAGTCCCTAATGCTCAAGGTGAATTTGTGAGCTTGTGCGTTACATAAACTACACCTTTGGTTGTTCGGCTAGTTTGTTGGGGCAATTGAGTAGCTTTGTGAAGTATAGAGTATAAAACCAGTCTATGTGTTTGTAGCTTTATTTCCGATGCTTCGTCGTCATCAAACACGGATTGCATCGCTGATCACTTATCGCTGCATTTGCGCAGAAACACCCCGCAGTGGTCTGGTATCGATGTCAAAGCTGGGGAAAGCTCATCCCGGGATAGCGGAGTGGTAGTCCCCAAATACACAGACCTCGGCATTTATCCCTGTAATCAGTGGCCCGGGATGCTCAATTAACCTTAGCTGTGCAGGTGAGCAAGAGTTCAAGTGGAACTAGGGAAGCAATTTGATAGTACAGAAGTATCGTCTCGTACATCTACAGAGTGGATGTGAGCCATCTGTTGAAATATGGCCCAAGTATACTAGGCGCTGATTATAGCGCGACCTTGAACTGGCCCTCGATTTGTGCGCTGAGCTGCAAAAAGAAACACACAAGTAGTGCAAGCGTGGTGTCGGTCCAACCTCATGCAGAGCTTCAGCTTAACCAATGCAGTAAGGCTCGTTACACACTCGATGGAGCTGTTGTCGCCAGTGGAATGCAATATCCAACGGCTCACAGCAGCAAGTATATCGTGGTCTTTTGAGCCCGCAATACTGAAGTTCGAGATCTTTCTCTAGAGGTCGCCTGTGGCGTACGCTGTTCCGGGCACTAACTGGGAGACTTTGTTATATACCAGCCACGCAGGACACCAGATGGCCGTCGCCGACTCGATTGGTGAGTAGGCTCCTGACAGGATTCCCCGACTCTGGCATGGATCGAATTCACGGTCACGTGGGGGAGTCGCCGACCATGCGGTAAATTGCACAATGGAGCATCATCTAACTGGTCGCCGAGCAATCGGGGTCGTATAGATAGTCCCCCTGCTTCTGCCATCATCTCATCTAATCCCCAGGACTCAGGGGTTACAAGCGAACGTTACCGGGGACTTGGGTAGTGGGTTGTTTTTTAGTGCCCGAGATCGCCGAACTATGTATTAAAAGCTTGGTGTGCGAAGTGGTCGCCGTCCAAACGCACTCCGCAATGTCGCGTTTTTGAAGCCATGAGTCGTGTTTTGCGGAGGATCTGTAACGGCTAGCATCCTTGCTTCTGCAGTTGCCATCGTGCAGAACGTGGCTTCTCAGAAAGCAACTGCCACGCTGGAGGATGATGGTAGGAACCGGGATCATGGTAAAGTATATTTTGCCTGCTGATAAAGAGCTGGATGCAGTCTTCAATGCTGGAAGCCCCCAGATTCGTTGGCGACACAGATGTGAAAGGTCCGACGTCGAAAATCCAACCTATTAACCGTATTCGTGTTAGGAGACCAGGATGGTGAAGCTGGAATGGCGTGTTCTCTCCGCACCAGTACGCATTCCTGTAATAAAAAATGGATGGAGGCCGTGACCGCTAAGATCAGGGGCTTGGTTTTAATCAGAGACGCCCGAATATAGCTCCCGCCCGCTGCTAATTGTTGTTTCCATGGTTCCCGAACACGACTTCGCCGATGGGGTCAAGCATGAAATCCATGCAAACACAAAGTCCTTCCTTCGGGTTCTTGCGAGTGGGCCGTAGGATTTCCTGGAACTTTCTGTTGAATATCGAGGGCAATATCATTGCCATTATCTCTGGGCCTTGAATTATTCTTCTTCCACAAGTCATCACCAAAGAGTACTGTCAGACACCATCATAATGGCCTCAAATCTTTTGGCCACGGCCTTCTGTGGTTCTGTCTTTGGTATGGCTTTGACTGCAGCTGGGGTTCACCGTCCTGATGTGATCATCGCGCAGCTTACATTGCAGGACTTCCATATGCTAGAATCATTCCTCGCAGCTGCTGCAGGTAGTGTGTATGTACAGCCCGGCGTATGGTATTAACCTTTGTGCAATCAACACTAACTTGTCAAGGGCGCTGGTCACCTTTTTTCAGCGCTTAGATTTTACCAAACTGCCACCCCGAGGCTACTCATCGATGGGTCTGTTCGGAAGTCTCGACGGTAACATCATTGGCGGCCTCATTCAGGGTACCGGTATGGCTCTTGCCGGGTCGTGCCCAGGTACGGTTTTCGCACAAGTTGGCGCTGGCATTCAATCAGGTGTTTACACGCTCGGGGGCCTGATTGTTGGTGGAATATTATGGACTGGCTTTCTACAACCATACCTACAAAGACGTTCCAGCAAGAAGCCAGTGCTCAGTAAACCTATATCCGTGGACAAAAGATTAGGCCTCAGTCAGCTAGCTACGGTGGCGGCCATCGAAGGAATTTTTCTTTCAGCAATTGCGATAGCTGTGTCTCAATCAAATGGAACGACTCGAGGTCTGGTTCACCCTGTCATCGGTGGTTTGCTGATTGCCTGTGCTCAACTTCTCTCTGCCTCGACCCGAAAGGCGTTACTGGGAACATCGACAGCATTTGAAGAAGTTGGCAATGCGTTTTGGTCGGTCATTGGAGGTCGTAGCAGAAGCACAGGCACGCTTTCCTACGGAAATATTGTGTTTGTCTCCGGTATGACGATCGGGGCCCGCCTCCTTGCGTGGCGGTATCCCTCAGTCTCGTTATGGTCTACGGTGGCGTCCAACCCGTTAAGAGTCGTAACAGGCGGAGTGCTGCTCGCTATAGGGTCAAGATTATCAGGTGGGTGTACATCCGGACATGGTATTAGCGGCATATCACTACTCTCAGTCTCGAGCTACGTTACGGTGGCTGCGATGTTCACCGGAGCCATCAGCACTGCCCTGCTACTGTATCGGTCTTGATGAACTGCATTCATGCTTATGACTGCTGCTGGCTTGAAGACTGTGGTGTGAGCAACATATTGCTTAATGACTGATGCTTGTGTTGAACAACTGCACAACAGCTTCTGACCTTGCGGTGATACATCGCTCAGAAGAAAAGGCACGCTGGAGAATATAGTGTGCTTGGCTTCTCGAAATATTTGAGTGTAGAGAACATAACTTCATTTTCACAAAGGCTCTATGCCGTTGACTGGTCTCCGTTATGTCAGTTTTCCGACCAAGCATAGATGCAAATGGTCTTCGACGCAAGATAGTCAACGAAAAGCGACGAGACCTACCAACAATATTCTTCCTAAAAGCCATAGTTGAAAAGAGAATATCAACGACATAAGAATATGGTACGAAATTTGGAATGGTACAAATTATATATGCCGGCTCAAAGAGCCGAAAGCCTTGAGTGCTTCGTGATCCATTCAAAACCCAGCCAGAAGGAAGAAGAAAGAGAAGAAAGCCGAAGAAGTGAAAGATAAAAAAAGATAGAAAGAGAGAGAAAGAGAGTTAGATAGCTCTAGTGTGTTAAGGATCATGTACATATATACAGCCAAATTGCCTGGGCTCAATATTAATCAAAACTTCTAGAGGCGAATACGATCCAACACGGTCGTACTTTACATACAGAGATCTAGTTAAACCTTGCCTCGTATGTTGTCCGGATGAAGCTTGTGTTTGTTTATAGTGTAAATCGATATGATATATGATGGCAATATTACATCGGCATCAGAAGTAAGTGTGAAGTTCTTCGGGATGCGCTCCTAATTGTTCGAGAGAGTAATTTCTGTCAAAGCCTTGTTGTAAAGTCCGGTTTTGCACCAGAATTGTAGCTACTGAAACACGATTGTCGAAACTTACTCTGATAATAGGTCGGTATTCTGCTTGATTAATTTGTCACACAAAGGGACTGTATCAGACGTTGTATTCTACTTTGACCTCAAGCGCAAGGTTAAGGTTCTAATGAATATGGTGAATTTTCGCAGAGACAGATTGTAGATTACAAAGTCTGGACCGTAGAGCACCTCTTTCTTAGAAATCTCATGCTAGTAGGGAGAAAACTGACAGCTTGGAGACTTCCTTGATCATCTCTAACTGCACAATGATCACTTCTTGTGTCATACGCATCACATGGGTGATCGGTTGAAACGAAATGTGGAAGATTGAAGGGACACGCAGAGTCGTTAGGGCATTAAGGCTGTTTGTCCTTGCTTGAAAGCATACCATTAGACTTAAGTAGAGTGAAATTAATGTAGCAATTGAGGGCAACCGAGATGGAAGACACCGTCAACGACTTTTTGTTAATACTTTTTTAATACTTTTTTTATATACATTTTTTTTAACTTAGCACTGACGTCAAAATCTCTAGGTGACTGTGACATGTTTGCTTGGCGTCCATGTCACACACAAGAATACTCGGAAAAGTTTACTAAGTACTAGGAAGGCATCTAAGATCTTGTTGTTAGCTAGACGATACTGTTGAACATGCATTTCTATACGCTGGACTGACGGCTTCGGATTTTCTGGTTGTGACTTGCATTGTAATGTTCTTCCCTTTCATGTTTTCCATTATATGATCTACAATACTCTGTGGAAGCCACATAGGACTTTCTCCCACGACCAGCGTTGATTCAGCACGGCAGGGAAAAACTAATAATGGTCCCAAATGCTAGACTCCAAACAATGCCTCTTGGCAGGTTACGCCCACAGTCGTAAAAGTGGCAGAATTTGAGGTCTTCTCGGTTGGCTGAGGGCACAGATTGAGTTCTTGCACTGAACTTCCCATTTTCTTGCAAGGAATAAAGAGAAGAGAATAGGAATTTGTTAATATGATCACGTTACTGCAGTTGAACAGCCCAGCTTCTAACTAATGAAGTCAATGAAAGCACATTTCATCTGTAGTTGTGCAAAACGAAACTTGCACAGCTCATTATACTCCATGGTTTTGGGCTTACAGCGACGGCAATATGACCTGCGACGATGAGGTGACTAAGCGCTATGGCCAGAAAACAAATCAGCGTGCCAACCTTGGGAAGACAAGGATATTCAATGTTTCCATACATTGAAGATTACATTGTATGTATGTGGGCAATAGAGGATGTATATCAAACTGTTCGAGCACGATTGGAAATGATGCAGTCATTCGACAGTGGTACGTATGAGTTGAGTTGGTCTAAACTCAAAAATTATGCTGTGCAGGTAGGACTCATGCTGACATAGGGAAGCAGTCATTACCGGCGCCAGTTGGTCACCATTCCGTCAGGTCCGCAAGTTGTCAAGGCATGAAAACCAGAGGGTCATTTCCACTGTATCTTAGGCGACATATACAGACTCAATATTTAAGCTCATTGTGCAACTTTCATGATACATCCATATGCTGTCACAGCAGTAAACTTGGGAGCAATCGGGTCGAATCGTCATCAGGAAGTTTAGTCCAGAACCTACTTAAAGTTTAAGACCACTGAAGCAGACGACCAGACGACAGACAGCGTAAAAAGAAGCAATGTCTTGGAAAGAAAGAAAGCGCATTTGATGTTGTAGGTGGCTACATATGAAGTCCGCTAAGGAAGGGAGCTGCCAAGCACACGAGATGAGATTCGCGGGGGGGTTGGCCCGTAGTGCAGAGCCAGAGCTATGTTAGGCCCCGTTACCCGTAGTGCTTCCCACCCAATTATAGAATGCCAGCCACTCTTGTAAGCCCCCCGCGTTGTTGTAGCGGTCAGGTCCAGACTATGACATCAGAGGTATCAGATGAGACTTTGGAACCCCTGATCCGTCTGGTGCTCCTCCCGTTCAAACTACCAAATTGTAAAGGGTCTATGATGCCATTCCCACGGCCCACATGTCGCTCTGTACTCCATCGGGCCAATCACGCAAAGATGCTTCCGGGAATTACATTTGAGGTCCCTGCAGTTATCGTGAGGTGTATATATTAGACTGTCCCATCAAACGTGGCTGTGAGGTATGTCCGAGTCCGCCCAATCTCTCCGTACGCGACTTGAAAACACGGTCAACAAACTTCAGTAAACTACTATTTGTTGGGCAACAGGACAGCTTGGGACTGAATTAGTTTTTGTATTACCACCGTGCAACGACTTACTATAATTATTTGCACTCGGGCTCCACAACCATCAAGGGTAGCACATTATTATCATACACCAAATTTGATCAACACTCTTTCGGAAATCATACAATATGGTCAAAATACCGGCGCCTCCAGACCCTCGAAAATTGCTCCCACGCAATGCCGACCCGGAGCATCGTGGAATGCGCAAAGAGCTGGAAAAGAAGCACGGCTACGGGTACACAGAGCCACTTATTCTCGGCTTGCTTGGCATCGGCCTCGTCTGGAATATCGAGAACCAGGTCGCCAAGCACGAGGAGCGGAAAGATGAAGCAGAACGGAAAGAAAAAGAACGTGAAGAACGACGGAGGCGGAGGAGAGAAGAACAAAGCCGGTCCGGCACGTGGCACCAAGGCGACGAAAGGAACGATCGTAGTTCAATGAACCGTCATGACGATCGAGAAAGAAGCAGAGAATATAGAGACGAGTCGCGTCGAGGCGGCCATAGGGATGAGTCACGCCGTGGAGACTTTAGAGATGAGCCGAGAAGACTGGACTATCGTGATTATGAGTATCGTGGATACCGTGATCAATATAATGATCAACGAAACGACTACCGGTATGCGGATAGGCGGGATGGGAGTGTGAGGAGGAGCAACCGGCGTGACTCTTTCTAGGCGGGTCTACAGAACCCACCCATACGTACACGAGCATCCAGCAAACAGCAACCTTGGTACTTTCAATTCTTTGATCTAAGGCATAAAGACATGGATCAGATAGGGCTTCTGGGAGCATTGGGCATGAAAACGCCATTAAGCAGAGGGGCGCCAGCATTGAGTCCTGTTTTGGACGACCACTTACGAGGAATGAATGTATGAATTGCCACTATGTGGCAAATACGATATGATTTGCATTACGTATAATCTAGTATGTCTCGCTCATCTATGACTAATGATCTATGCAAGAGTCTTCTCAGCACTCGCAACTAGAACCTGAAAATGCATCTTGACGTGCTCCTCTTCGACGAATGGCGTTGCAGGACAATGCCTGATCGCAAAAACACCGCCAACGACTGTGCTCGACAAGAAAATCTTGCCCTCGTCATTGACTGCCTCGTGCATCGTCTTCGTAAGAACATTCTGCTCCTCTAGCGTGGCCGCCTCACCCTTACCCCTAAGCTTGAAAACGGTCAGTGCAAACCTTGGGCCCGTCACGATCTCGAACAAGTCGCTCCTCGACCTGAGTAACTCTGCAAACGTCTCGCCGAGTCCCACATGCTTTCGGATGTGACTCTGTAGCCCCTTGATACCGAAGGTCCGGATCACGAACCAGACCTTCAAGCTGCGAAAGCGTCGGCCGAACGGGATTTGCCAGTCGCGGTAATCGGTAACCAGACCAGAGTCCGTGTAGTCATTTTTCAAGATCGCCAATGTTACACTCAGCGCCTCGATCAGCCAGTTGCGCTGTCGTACATACAAAACACTGCAGTCGAAGTTGGTAAGCAGCCACTTGTGCAGGTTCGTATTGAAGCTGTGGAAGCGGGCGAACTGCTTAGTGAGGTGCTGGTACTCTGGGCATATAAGCGCCACTCCTGCATATGCCGCATCGATGTGTACCCAGATCTCACCCGGACCGGGCGGGGCTAGTTCGTCGAGTACCGCAGCAATCGAGTCAAAATCATCGGTAGAACAGGTGTCAGTGGTTCCTAGAGTAGATGTGAGGTAGAAGGGCTCCAGGCCCTTGGCACGAAGCTCCTCTATGGTGGCTCGCAGACCCTCTCCGGTCATCTTGTACCCGTCCTTCGCATGGACTGGGACAGACCTGTACCGCACGCCGGTAATCATAGCCGCCTTCTTGGTTGCACTATGCGTCGCTGCACTGCCTAGGGCGACCAGCTTGCCTCGTTTGATGGCCATAGCATCCTCAAGGTCCTCACCCTCCAAACCAGTTGTTGCATCACGAAGGTACTTGTCCCGAGCGGCAACCATGACGGTGGCGATAGCTTCAGATGCAGTGCCGTGGATCACGCCACCGCCGTGAGTTGAGCCTGTCGAGTGATAGCATTCGGGAAGTCCAAAGGCCTTGGCTAACCAGTCCAACACGATAGTCTCCAACTCTGTGACGGCTGGAGAGCAGATCCAGTTGAAAGCAGCACCGGTAAACGCGGTAGAATACATTTCACCGAGCATTGCTGGGAAGCTGGAAGAAGAAGGGAACCACGACAGGAAATTTGGCGATTGCCTAGCAGCGTTAGTTGGCCATACTTGGCGGATCAATGGTATGTATAGTCATACCAATGCGTAAGTCCAGGAACGATCTTCGACTGGAGATCCTTCTGGATATCCGACCAAGCCTCTCCCTCTTCTGGTGCGTGGTCCGGCAGCAGTTTTCTCAGATAGCCAGGCTCTACCTCAGAGACCACGCGACGTTCTTCGATAGTATCGTAGTACTTGACGACTATAATGGATGCAAATTAACATTCTGCGATGATAGGTAATCGCTGTTACTTACTGTCGTCAATCGAGGACACGGCCGCCTCCCGAAACTGCTTGGAATCCATCTCCGCACCAATCCAAAGGCTTTTACAGTATGGAAAGTTGATATTAGGTCGGATTTCCACCTAGTCGCTCTTGAATATACACTAACAAATAAAATAATTAGACCTTGTATTTCAATCGCTTGATGGTTGCAACAGGCTTCGATAATGTATCGTTTTTAGTAATTCTTCTAGCGGCATATAACGGTATCCGAATAGAAGAGTGGGCTACCAGACATGCACACAGATTGACTAAAAAGGATCGAGGACAGAAATCGTCGATGTTCCCCTTGTCTTGATTGGACAGATTGCTTGTGGCAGGCGGAATTTCCGTGGAAATCGGAATTGGTGTTGGACAAGCACCGCCAGTGAGATCACGGCGCATAGCTACGGTGGGCTAGAGCCGAGGGGAGGCTACCACATCATGAAAACCCGATTATATGGCATCGACATGATCAGCTAAACTTAAGTCGATTATACCGTCATATATGATCACTTAGGACAAGACCTTACATTTTCTTGTTTAAATAAAATCTTTTCACGATAACGTGAAGTAATATACGTAGGCGGGTTATTAGATGCCCTTTCTGGCATGATTTAACCATTCTGTTCACCAACTCGCTATCCTTCGGTGTTCTAATGTTTATATGTCATTTAAAACGTTTGTTGAAACCCAGTCCTTACACGTAAAATTATATCCAGTCCTTTTGATTTCCCATTCCACTTGTCAATGCTGAAGAGACCCTTTCTGCATGCCGATTAATTTGATCGTTCGAACACTCCAGCAGATTACCTTGAATGTCCACACCAGCCGGCCCACATACGCAAGCGACCGAAACCGCAACTGTAACCGCCGCCTTTGATAGCGGCCGACCTCCGCAGCGGGGTACTTGAGGCATTTTCCCTGCTACAACACTCACGAATGATCATATTCTTTTACACATTACGTTTTCTCAACGAATCACGTCTGGTTTGGTGTCAACACCAAGTCAACGGCCGGTTGGTGTAGTTGGTTATCACGTCAGTCTAACACACTGAAGGTCGCCGGATCGAGCCCGGCACTGGTCATTCGACTGTGCTTTCAATTTTTTGCTTTCGCCTACTTGAACAAGGGGAGCGGCTGTCTGAGGCTATCTGTGACCACCGACCACACGCTAACATAATGTTTTGCTTCCATTGGTCAAAGGAAAGTTGCAAAACGACTCATCGACTCGTAGTCCTTGGCCATGAATTTCAGGACTGCTGTGACCAAATATAGACATCGTATATTGCGTCAGCAAATTCCTTTGGTGCTTCGGCGGGAAATGCATGCCCTACATCAAAGACTCTCCGCTCATGTCGTCCTGTAAACATTTCATCATGGGCTACTGACCCGCCGGGCTTCAACGGGTCCCGGCTTCCATCGAGTGTTATGCACGGGACGGTGATTTTAGGCCGTTCCGCCAACTTTTGCTCCAGGGCCTCGAGCTCTGGGTCCCCAGAGGCATTACCGAGACAAAACCTGTAAGCGTGAATGACAACATCAACGAAGTCGGGATTATCAAAGGCAGATGCTGTGCGCTCGTATGCTTCATCGCTGAATTCCCAAGTCGGCGACCACTGTTTCCACAGCAGTTCGCAGAACTCTTTTCGATTCTCAGCTAGACATTTCCGCCCCCTTTCGCTCTGGAACAGGTGTTGATACCACATCACACTTTCTAAATGAGGCGAGGATGGTTCTTTTTGTTGTGAGACGTCGACAATGTCGTATCCAGCGTAGCTCACGAGACCGGCAACTCTCTCCGGCCATAATGCAGCAGAGACGCATGAAGCAACACCTCCCCAGTCAAAGCCGGCCACAATCGCCTTGTCGATTTTCAAGTGATCGAGGAGCCGGATCACATCGGAGCCAAGTGCGGCTTGTTGGCCAGAACGCATGTGGTCTGCCGAAGTAAATCGGGTCGGTCCGAACCCTCGAAGATACGGCACAATGACCCGGGCGCCACATGAGACAAGATGCGGTATTACATCGTCAAAGGCATGGATGTCGTAAGGAAAGCCGTGAGAAAGAATCACAGCCCAGCCTTTGGGTTCGCCATGTTCCAGGTAATCAATTGCAAGCGAGGGGGTGTAGGCTATCCCTGCACGGCTCATGATGAAAATAATGTTTAGTTACACAAGCTCGCCTGATGAAAGGTGTATGCAGTATAGATGACCGATGTGAACTTGGATATAAATTTAAATACAATTTACAAATCAACTATTGATGTAGTTACTTGTATCTCATTCATTCCTGATATGTCGGTCGCAGGGCGTGCAAGCGAAACTTTGTGACGTCATTTCAATGTCCGCCGTCCTATACAAGTTCGTGGGATACTCAAGTATAACTTCGGTGGCATTTATGTTATTGAACATCAGCAACCTCAAGACCTGGTCTGCTTAATGCGTCAACATTAACATAAGACTGCTTTTAACTTCCCGTTCCTAAAATTTTATATTTAAGAATTCACATAATTACGTTACATAGCCGAAAGGTATTAAACCTCCAGGCCAGACTAGTGTGGAGACGCTTCGAGATTGATCTTTGTCGTGATGGATGGTTTAGATGGGACCGTAGGGGTCCTCATACTTGGCCAAACACTCGAGCTAGTCGCCCTGGTATATCGTGGCCAAACATGTAGCGGGCTCTCTTAACTTTCCCATACCTTCAGTAACGTCGATAACATAAGCAGTCTTCTCTAGAATGACACTAGAGAAACTCATCGAGTTCTGTCCCATATCAATGAGTGACGTATAAATAAGGCTTTATGATCATATCTTCAAATCGTGATCTATGTTTTCCTGGAAGGCGAACACATCGAACCGGACTAGTTCTTTGCCGCCAAATATTGGCGGAGGCCTGGTAAGGAGGCTTGATGATGGAGTTGATTGTCACTGGAAGCTATGTATGCGTTTCAAACAGGCCATTCAACTTGGAGCCGTCCGCATGTTCTATGGGTTGGTCCCTGCCACATCGACCACAGAAGCCCAGGACCGGAAGGGAACTCCATACGCAACATTGCGCTGGCTGTTAACAAATGGAGCACATAGTAAGTTCCGTACGGGTGAAGGGACACATGCAAAAGGAACGCATTTGGTAGCGTGAGCCCTAAAAGAAATATAATTCTCTGCGTACTGTAAGCAACAGCACATCCGCCGGATCGATCGAATCTGTAAAAGGCACTTCAATTGAGCTGACCCTCCTGTGTGGCCAAGCACCGTGGAAATGGGTATCGCAACACGACAGCTCGAAGAATGCCTTGGGAGTCAGACAGTGCTATACCTAGCCCGCTTCGCCTTCCAATCCAAAGAAACCCAGACACCAGGATACAGCTACGATAATTGCATGTTTTGGGGCTGTCGTCGTCGTCGTTACAATTCTTACAAGTAGCGCACGTATTGCGAATCTCGGTTCATATTATGCTAAAGCGATTTCAAACCTCCAAGCTCGAAATAACTATAAAAATAGATGATAAAGGCAGTTAGAGGCTCTCAGGCTTGCCGTTACATGGGTTGATCATACTAAGAATTACTGAGATACAGGTCTCCATTGCCTTTCTGCACTGATTGTCGTGGCCAGATTGACCATGCCATGTATCCAAAAACAACCAAGATGGCCAACCCGGGCAAAATCAAATCCTATTGAACCGCCCTTTTGATCCTGCTGGTAGAACTGGTACTCCCACTGGCGCTTCCAGTGGCTGGACTCGGAGGGGCTGCTCCTGTTGCCCATTGAACTGGATCTGTGCCGAGAACAAACTCCATTGTGCCTCCGTTCGCAAACACATCATCCCAAGTAACCCAGGCCTTGTCCCAGTTTTCTCCGTTCACCTTTAAGCTCTGCACATAGTATGCATTGTCGCTTCCACCGGTCGTGGTGATCTGAAGTTCCTTGTCCCCTCCTAGGTGAATTGTCAATTCATTAAACCATGGTGAGCCGATCAAAAAGGTCGTTTGGCCTGTGACGGGATAAAGACCCAGCATGACCCATAATATCCAGCTTTCCATAGCACCGGCATCGCTGTTTCCAGGGAGCCCCGTCGGTGTGGGAGCATAGTACTTCTTTGCGTAGTAGCGTGTGTAGTACACGGTCCGATCCTGGCGCCCGACAAAGTTGAAAAGATACGGCGTAGTGAAGCTAGGCTCATTGCCGACATTGAAGAAGCCTCTAGAAAAGAAGGTTTCGAGCCGGGAAACAAACGCATCAGTACCATCACAAAGCGAGATCAGGTGCTCGATATCATGGTGTGCATTGAAAGAGTACTCGTAGGGCAAAGCCTCGTAGTAGTAGTTTCCCCAATAACAGCCACCGCACGACGCGGGATCTTGGTCGATGAAGCCTCCGTTGGGGTCGATGGGGCCGAGGAAGCCAGTAAAGTTCTCATAGACCATGTCCGTGTTCCACTGGTTGCGCCAGTTGCGAGAGCGAGAGAGATACTTGGCAGCATCATCGACCCTGCCAAGCCCTGAGGCGACCTGGTACAGACCAAAATCATTTCCGGCATATTCGATAGCCCGACTGACAGAGCGGCCGTAAGTCGTGGTGATGTACCCGTATTTCAGCCAGTCCGGCAAAGCTCCACGTCCCTCTCTAGTTGAAGAGCTCAGATCCCGTGGATCGTTATTCTTGGGAGGTACTGTCTCGGCATCGGTGACCATAGCTGAATACGCATCATCCCAGTCGATAGCTCCGCGAACGCCCTTGACGTAAGCGTCGGCCAGTACATTATCTGCGTTCGAACCGCCCTGAGTTGCCCCATTGAAGAAGGATGACCGTGCATCAGGCATGAAGCCGTCATGGCGCCAAATATCTACAAGGGACCTGATGAACTCTTCGTAGGCATCCGGTTGGATTATATGGAACAGAGAAGTCGTACACCGAAACTAAAAAGGTTTGAGCAAAGTGTTCGATCCCACTGAGTTCAAAATTTCACTTACAAGATCCCACAGCGTGAAGGTATCGTCGTAGTATGGCTCAGTGGATTTCCACAACGCGTTCTCGCCGGTCTTATTTGTTGGAATGATGTTCATATGATATAAAGAACTGTACAAGAGTTGAAGGTTAGTTATACTTGATGTGTCTGTAGTTGTAACCTTCGACAAGACTGCATCGTTCCAAGCAGCCTGAGCATCCTGCTCGAGGGTATTCAAGGTTGCATCCAGAGGTATCTCATCATCAATATTACGGCAAGCCTGAGCTGACGAAATGAATGAAACCCCAACTCTCGAGGTGACCCTTGTCGCTGAGTCAAAGGAGAACACAGCTCCAAGACGAGCATCTGAGGAAACACTTGTTGACTCATCATACGCTGCTAGAGTTGTCACTAGCGGTGCCGTGCCCACAAAGGTTTTAAATGTTGCTGGCTGATCGAAATACCCGCAGAAATACACAGTCCATTTCGGAGCGCGGTTCCAGCCCTTTGCAGAGTAAGCCATTACCGCTGTGGAAATCATTAGATTTGATGAGTACTTACGTTATTATAAGAACCCGAACCCTCGTATCTTAATGATGATTCATCTGTAGACGGTATGACTGTGATGTTGCCTCCTACATAGCTCTGTCCCAAACCTTGACCTCGGTATGAAGACAAAACATGAGACACGTCGACAATGATGTTCGAAGAAGTGCTGGAACTAGGAAATGTGTAGTTATACAATCCAGCACGTGTGGTCCCGGCAAGTTCCACAATTGTGCCACTGCCCAGAGTAGATTTGTAGTATCCAACTCTAGTTGTATCTACCGCCGCTCGTGTATCATTATGGTCGAGGAGTGGGTTCTCGATGGCACCAATAGCTGGCATCTGCGAGACTACGCCGTATTTGGGTGCACCTCCCGTTCCGCTCTCATGGAGCATACTGAAACCAGTGAAGTTGCCAGCAGCTTGGTAGCCAGAGTACGAGTCCGAGCCGGTGTATAGGTCTGGGCCAAGCTTCACGATACCGAGTGGCAGGCTGACTCCAGGGAATGTATTTCCTCCATTTGTATCTCCAGTCTATGGTCGTATTAGATTGTGTCGCCAAACTTGGTCTTTTCGAGCACTTACATTCGGCAATACGTAATTGGTGAGGTCTTGCGCCATGGCGACTGACGCCGCTGTCAAACTACCGAGCACACCTTGAGCATGCATGATGAAAAAAAGTGACTTCGATCTTGAAGTTTGGTGCAGCTACTGGCAATGCGCAAATCTTGAGTTTACCTCAATCATAAGGAAGAGGTCGCTCACGTCAGCGCGACGTTGATGAAGCTCCGATATCTGTTCGCAAACCCACAAAAGTAAAAGGTTTGGTGATGGGTTTGGTCTGGGAGTTATACACAGAAAGAACACTGGTATCGCTGCTATCTATAGGTAACTGGCTCCCGTGGTTTTCGACTTGGAACAGGGCTTACTCTCAACGTAGTATGCAACTGTACAATGGTCGTGCATGATACTACCCTAGCCTCGACCAAAGACATGGGCAAGCGGTGCACGTGTCGACTGGCTCGCGTGTTGCCTTTCCTTAACGGATGTAAGTGTCCAACTACCTACGCGATGGCCTCTTCAATGAACTAGCTGTTCTGACGTAGATCAACGGTCAACTTGACTTACTCAAGTTGAGAAGGTATCGGCAACGTGCCAGAAAGACGTACTCTGAGTGGTCGGTGACTTTTTAGTGGATCCGAGTATGCTGTGGTTGTTTAATCTCAAGCCGCCCTCAGCGAGCAAAATGCGAACGTGAAAGAACGACTTAAAAACGAACGACTAAATGAGGAGACTGTGAGACCCAAGATCATGGGGTACGAGGTCATTTCATATCGTACAAGTCCATGCGTGATGGAAGTCAGCATTCAAGATCCATCGCGTGCCCCACAGGGGTTCGGCAAGACGGCCCTTGAGAGAGGTGAGCCAATGCAACGCCATGGTCCAATAAGCCTGTACGGTTGTCAGCCGCGCCTCATTAGACCTCGCATCAAGATTGTTGATGATAGTTGTATCCGATTCGAGACTAGAAAGTGACGGTTTAAGGGGTTAGAGCCGATTTGGTAGAAGATCTCGCAGAGCCGCCAAGGCCAAGGCCATGGCATTTACTAACAGATTGAACTGGCCGATGTCTTGTCACGATGAACTGAACGGGCAGGTCGATTGCATCGAGCCACAACTGCTCCGGTCTTTGGAAAGCAGAGCAAGAAGAGATCATATGTAGGTACCCGGAAGTCGACACGATAGTTTACCAGCTTATTGGCACTAGCATCAGAAGCTAGACCAGTAATCAAGACCAGGAGTAGGCAATGAACGCCACTGACTTGTTTAAGTGGCTGGCTGAAAGCGCCATCAGTTGCAAATGCCGCACGCGCGAAAGGGCATCATGGGAGATGGTGTTGCGGATTCCTTGCAGGTTGACTGGATTACAGGGGCGTTGAGGTGTCTGATGCAAGACACGAGGAACCCCATTCGGCACACATCATGGCGGTGGATATCAAGTCACAAACGAAATTGATTTTCCTGTACTTGATCCCAAGGTATGGAGTCCAGTAGAAGAATATTGGGATTCCCAGATGGGACGCAGATGGAGGGCGGATGGAGGGCGGATGGAGGGCACTCAAAGACGTCTGCGTCGCTTGCTTTGGATAATCACATATCATGGTCAAGAGAATATGAATGCTGGCTGGGGTGTTTGTGATGGTTGAGGTGCAAATAGAGAACGGGACCCCTGAGGATTGATTCTAGGATCAATTGCCAAGACCAACCCCGGAAATGCATTCAACACTAACCGTGCAAAGGCCCGCTTGTAATCCAATGAAATGGGGCCGTTGGCTGAGTGGTGCGAAATCCAGATAGGTGGAGCGCGGTTAGTTACATACAGTAGTACGGTCAACGGCAAGCACAAGGGCAGGTGGTGAAGATTTTAAGCTTCCAGTGGGCTGCCTAATCCCTACAGTCGAGGCAGCACGTCCCTTGTATAGTAGCTTGGTACATAAAATGCTCGCATGCACAAGTTCGTCTACAGTTGTGGGGTTCAAATCGCTCTCGCCAACTCTTATCGATAAGCGTCGACTGTCAAAGCCCAGAAATATTCTGCAGACCACTTTCAGAATTAGGAGCATGGTCCAGCCGTATTACTATGATTTGAATTACACAATTGACGTCTTGTCCAGGTATCTGTCGCCCTTTCTCTCACGAATTCCGTCCGACCGCGTTTTCATGCCAATTCGGCGATTTCTGTGTGTCTTGCGAAAAGCACCAGCAGGAGCACGAGCACGAGCCCTCGCTTCTCCCAACACCTTGGACATTTTGAAATTCTGCCGGCATTATCGTGACCGCCCAGAACCAATTGACCAAGATACCACACCAACCAGCGGGACCATCTTGCGTCTCGACAAGATCTCATCATGGGCCGGAGGCCTAATCCTTTGATCCTGACCTACTTTGAACGCGGCCCCAAGCTCTCCGACAACAGCAACCGATATCCGCACCGATGCAAGGCCTGCGGTGAAGACTTCCCCAAAGGTCGGATCGATAGTTTGACCAACCATCTCACCAAGCGATGTCCCGCCATCTCCGAGGCAGAGAGGATCAACGCCTGCCTGGCGCTGCATGGCATCAACGGCAGTCCTGCCCGGCGTGCGCACACAGCTGCCGCTGTTCAGGCCAACTCAGCCCTGGCCGACTCGGTCACAGAGAATGCCTTGTCGCAGACCAACTGGACCGCTCTCGAAACACTCGCCGAAGTCTCCCGGCAGATCAACCAACAGAATGCCGACGCGCCCCTCGATATCAGCCAGGCAACCTTCAGCCATCCGCTCCTGGCCTTGACATCGCCTCCCTTCGAGCTCCAGGAGCAATTTACCTTGGAGAACCCGCCCTTGAGCTACGATAGTCGAACCCACCAAGAGCAACATCAGTTGCAACCCCAAGACTTGCATGAGAATGGGCATACCCATCTTAATCACCATCCCGACCATGATCATGACAACGACCATGAAATGACCGAGGAGAAACTACGAAGCCTGCTCGAGGCCGATGATCATGGGCATGGGCACGAACACGGGCATGGACATGAGCATGAGCATGTGCATCATCATGATCATGCTATAGACTCTAACCTGTCTATGGCCGCCGCTGCCGCTGCTCGTCTGAACCCTAACTATGTGGATTCACAGATTCACCACCAGTTTCAGCACGAGCTGCCTCAACCCATGGAGCATGATAACCCCAGTGCGCCTACGACCGAAACGACTACCACCGAGGATCTCAACGCTAGCGCAACGGTTATGGCTGAGATGGACCATATGAGCAATATTGGCGAATCAAGTCAGGATGCTACAACAGGCAACATCCCCCCCCACGAAGGCGATGCCATGGTTGTAGATGGAGCGGCGCCCACGACCACCACTGATGCTACGGCTGATGGTGGTGAACTGATAATGGATGATTCCACACACGCTGAGCAGTCTGCCAATTCGACTGCAATCTCCATGACCAGCGCGCCCTTGACATCCCATGAGTTCATTCCTGCATGGAGCGAGTTGACGTATATTCCCAACAATATCCAACCTCCTGCAACGGTCAGCGATCAGAGTCAACAGCTGGCATACACACTAAATAAGGGTGGCTTTAGAATGGACACTCTAGGCCCAAATGGCACACGTGTCCGCCACTCGCGAGCCCGTTTTGACCCCACTCGAAGGAAGGAGGTCCAAGAGGTCAGGCGGATCGGGGCCTGCATTCGGTGTCGTATCTTGCGGAAAGTCTGTTCCAAGGGGACACCATGTGACACGTGTCGGAAAGTACTTTCGCCACGGGTCTGGCACACGGGATGCACACGAACGAAGTTGGCTGAGCAGATTGAGCTGTACTCTGCAGGCGTCCAGATTGTCGTGGCTCAGAAACGTGTCAACAAATTGAAAGATGACTACAAAATGTCCAACAATGGTGTTGTGATTGAAGCCTCACACTTCCATGAGACCGGGCATCAGATCACGCTCCAAGTTCTTCAAGGTATCCCCGCAACAGCCACCCAGGACGTCAAACCTGATGCAGACAGCCCGTCCTCCGGGGAAACAATCATGATCGACAACAGCAAAGTAGACATTCCCGCGCAGGTGGAGAACTACATGCGACGCATGCTTCCTGAGTTCATTAGCCGAGAGACCTCCTCCCATGTTCGGGTCACACTAGAGTGCGCTCAGACAGTTGCACATGACACCAATGATGAGTTACTCCGGCGCTCACTTGAGCTGTGGGGCCTTACAGAGATCATGGACCGCGAACGTCAGTGGTCTTTTCATAAGAAGCTAAGCAATGGTGAATGCGGGGATATCTGGCTGAAGGACGAAACATCCAACAACGAGCATGACAATGAGACATTTACAACTTTCTGTACTCAGCTCACTGCTGGGGCTGAACGGAAGGCAGCCCATACAAGCAAGAGTCTGCTTGTTGGAATTCAACGGAATCTGCAGGATGGCCGATCGAAACTTGGTTTTCCAATGTTCCTGACGGCCATGATCTTTCTCAACTGCGTCGAAAAAATGACTTGGTCTTTCAAAGCCTGGGATGGAGAAGCACTTCGATCATTGTGGCCTTTAGAAAAGCAACCCGACAACTATTATAATCAGGGATATGGCCTCTGTGACCTGCTGAAGATGCTTCTCCACATCCGCCACATCATGCCTAAGGTTTCCGAGGGGGAGCCTAACCAGCCCATCAAGGCGGCGGAAGAAGAGGATGAGACGATCAAGAAGTACTATGAAGATCTCAATGTTACCCGTAAGCTTCCACAAGCATGTTGCCTTCTAAGACCCACGCTAATTGTTCTGCAGCCGACTTCTTGCACAGCCGCCGTGAGAATTTCTCATTTGATCAGTCCGACTCACACTCGCTTGAGTTCCTGTTCTGTTCTGCACTACTGCAGCCATAGGAAGACGCAGCAGCGCCAGAACCATCGGCTGGAACCTCAAACATGGAAATACTCCGTTGCGCTGTGCGGCGAGACGCCTCTACTGGCTTAGCTATCGATAGCTCATTTGGAGACACTGGTTTCAACCTCCATGTACAGGCATCTGGCTCCACCATGTCAACTCCTTCCAACCTATCAGCTAGTCTACCAACCCAGAGTCCAAACAACCGACCAGCGCAGTTCCCTCGGGGATTAGGGAGATAAGCTGGGATCACTCAATAAGCTCTCCTCCAAAATACCTTACAGCACGAACTCCACGTGTGCCCAGCTGTCCATCCTGGCTCCCCTTGGACGCATGGTATAGGTACTCCCTTACATCATGCAGGAGCACCACTATTGCATGAGCAGAGGCACATGATGCGAACCAGTGTATGCATGGGAGGAAGAGCGAACAAACGGAAATGCATTAGACAAAACTAGACGGTTAGAATGGGACAGGAAAGCACACTGTTCTGGCAAAATGTTCAGAAGATGAAACCTTCTTGTCTCAAAGCAAAGATATGGCGATCATGAACAAGCCAAAAGGGGATTTGTTCCTAGATATATACCCATTGGATCTAGGAGCGGCGTTGTAGTGCTTTGCTAATTGCTTTTGTGCTGCGCTGGCAGCAACTGCAGATTATATAATGATTTCGATGAAGCAATATTGCGCCTTTTGCGGCGATTGATCAATGACCCAAGATGCCATGGCTTTTAAAATAGTTGCTTGAGCCCATGTACACAAACCCCATCTCACAGCACGCACATTCCTCGGATGAACATCATAACGTCTCATGATGCTCAAGGGACCCTAAAGTGCTCCAATGCTTCTCTCCAATCCGTGAACTCCTTACTTTTTTCAGGGGGCTGCCTGCGTTCTACCTTCCTGCTCTTAGCATCATCAACGTCCTCGGAAAGCTGGTCCCGCAGGTCTTCGATGATGGCAGTACACGTAACTTCGCCGTTCCAGAACCCCTTTCTTCGCCGAGCATGAATTGCCGGCGCCGTGTGCGATGGCCCCAATGGCGGTGGCGGTGTTGTGAATGTGCGAGGAAGTAGCACGGATGATTCGTTCTTCCTTCGCTGCAGTTTTGCCCTCTTGGGGCCCATCCGTCTCATCCAGCCCATTCGTCTCTGGGTTTTGGAGGTTGCAGTCGTGCTTGTGGACGTCGTGGACCCGAAGTCGCTGCTACACGTACTCCCGAGCTCGTCGGCGCCAGAGCTTGCATGAGCCTCGGTAGGAGCGGTGCACTTGAACCCACCGACACCCATCTGCTGCAGCATCGCCCATCCAGCAGCGGGGCTCTATCCCGTCTGTGTGCGCTCCAAGCCTCCTGGTCCGCCTTGACCGCTCTGCTGCCGTCTCGGCTTCTTGAAGCAGCCAAACTCGTTCTTTGACAGCTCGCGCAGCTTTTTCAGCACATCGCGCATTCCGGGAAGTTCATTTTGCAGAGCGGCTCTTGTAGCGTCATCAGTACGACTGTCAAGCATGCTATAGATCTCCGACTGTGTCTGCCCAGCACGCTCCGTCGTATATTGTGTCAACGTCTGCGCAACGAATTCCACATCCAGAGTGGCTTGCATAAGAGCGCCGATGTCGTAGCGGGAACGCAGTTTGAAAGCTTCAAGCAGCTCCCTGGAAGTGGCCTCGAGAAGGAAGGAGAGGACCTGTGGTGTTAAACTGGGCGCTGTGGTCGAAACTTGAGTATGCACGAGCACGAGAGAGAGCAGAGCATCGTAAATGTAAGGTTTGACTTCAGTTGGTTTTGGTGTGGCACCCCAAGTCGGATCGGAAAGACCATTTCGAATGATTTGGCGGACATTTTGCACCGAGGGTTTCGTATAGGTCTGAAAGAGGCGGGCGTCAATCTGCGAGAGGGTGTCACGGATGGTCTTAGCTTCGTCGGTGAGAGCGACGGAGAAGGCGTTCTCAAACTGCATGTTGAGGCTCGGCACGACCTTGTTTCGGAGCGCCGCTAGATTGCTCAGGGTGAGGAGCATGCGGAGGTTCTATTTTCATACGATTAGAAAGAATTTGTGCAAGGGTTACGAGATTACTTACGCGATCACCAGCGTCGACGCCCTTCATCCCGATATCATAGGATGCCCTGTTGTCTGCACCTTCCGCAGCAGGAACATCTATATCTGTTGTCCAGTCGTCTTCCGCTTTCTGGACAGATCGCTCCGCGTTCTCCACCATCCCACTCAGTGCCTTATACAGAGTGGTGACATACTGGCTGCGGACCATTTGTAAGAGCTTTGTTGGCGGAGGTTGAACAATGTCCTCTGCGCCCGGCTTGGCCATAGCCTCGGGAATGTACAGGATCTTTTGCATGCCGCCGAGGAGGGCGCCCTCAAAACCTGCAAATGTTGCTGGCATACGTGTCACATCGCCCGTATCCCTCGACCTCTGCCAGTCCTCCACATATTTGATGTTTTCGGCATCCTTGTTCCAAGCACCACATATAGCGTTTACACATCTCTCACGAGCTGCGGTAACCAAAGTCTTCAGCAAGTCGAATTGCTTTGCATCGCCTTGACCAACTGGTCCGATACGTGCCATGTCAGCCGCTCCAGCACCGACTAGGGCCAACATCTTGGACAAATAATGGACGCCGCTGACCGAATTTGAGTTCGGTGGCCAAAAGGCAAACTTCTCGTAAGCCTCCCCACGCTTTGGCGATGGAGGAGGCAAATTTTTCGAATCGAAGTTGAACCGAGGATCTCTCAACGCTGTGGGCGTTAGAGATGCCGACAGCGGGGTGCCTGGTGATGGTGGCAACGGTGAGAAGAGAAGTGAGATATCCTCGGGAGGAGCGCCTGCGAAGAACTCAAGCACATGTTGTCGGATCATGTCGACCAGCTCGACAGTGCCCTTACGCAAGTCAATCGTACCCTGTTGAGACAGACGATGATGCTCACGAGACTCTGCGTTATATCCCAGAGGTAAAGTCTTTTGTGTCTTTCCGTCAATGAACCCCTCGACAGTCTGCCAGAATTCTAAAACTTCTCCAAGGACTCCCTGAGTCGAAAGAAGCGTCGTCAAGAATGTCAGCATCTTTTCCCAAAGCTCGGTGACATCTGCTGAGTCAATGCCATTTATTTTGCCATCCACTGATTGACGAGCCAGTACTTTCAAGTGAGAGGCCACCGTCTGTGGTGCTGGTTTGTCTCCATGGGCTAATCGCCGCCTCAAAACCTCGATTTCAACTTTTGCTCGGTCGGCCATTGACGCTATCTTGCCCTTGAGGTAGTCATATCGGCTAAGTAGCCATACCCAGATGGGGTTGTCTTCGACTCCAAGTTCAAGAAGCAGGCCTATTAGCTCCATGTGCTGATCCTGTGCTCGTCCGGTGCTACTTTCTGCCTTTGAGGCAGTATGGGATGATATCAACTTCTTCCATATGTCACGCTTGAAGAGCTGTATCTGCTCGTCCACATCATGCCACATTCTCGCAGCCACGAGGATTTGATAAGTTTGACTCTCGCTAGGGGTGGTCGAGCCCAACTCCTGAACGAGCTTCCTTGCATCGTCGGCAATCCTTCGAGCGCGCGCAAACTCGTCTATCAGCGTCTCATAGTCCTTGCGCTTTATGCTGTCGGCGATGTTGGAGCTGGCCTCGATGTAGTCCTTGTACCTGTCGAGGGATGTCTGGATTGTCCTCAGGCTTTCTTCCTTTTCCCTGCCGCCAAGGGCAGGGCCCCACACATCTTCAGCCTTTGCCGATACATCAAGAAGCGGCGCCTTGATGCCAGCCACACCGTAGTCGCTCTCCTTGATGAGAGCATTCTTCTTCCTGGCATCTGCGCCGGGTGACAATGGCGGGGGAGAGACTAGAGGGCTTGCGCCAAGTGCTGCACCACCACTGCTGTTTCTGAAACTGCTTCTGCTTGCATGTCTGGAATGGGCGCGGGCTCTGGAGGGGGATGGCGGGGGCTCTGCGCCCCTGTACTTCATTTCCTTGTAGACATTGTCGATGGTGGCCTTGGCTTTGACGAAACGCTCAAAGTTTGATTCGACCAGGACTTTGAGGGAGGCGGATTTCTGGTCGATGGACTGCGATAGGTTGTCGAGACCGGTCTCGAGGGCTCTTGTGTCGTCGAAAGCATGCAGTTGTGACAGGAAGAGAGACGGCGAGAAGTTGGTCGAGGAGAGCAGGAACTTGGTACGCAATCGACTATCTTCCTTGACGGGGACGCCAAACTGTATCAGGGACCTGATCACACTGTCACTGCCACCGAGCGGGTCTGGTTCGTCGCGACTGAGCAGGCCGCTGCCGGACTTGTCGCCAGCTATTATGCTGGACCTGGTGCTCACGGCACGTTCGAGAGCTTGGTAGCGGGATTTCCTCCTCTGGAGCTTCTGTCTCCTCTGTTCGTCCTCGCTGTCGGATGCTTCACTGTTGTCCTTCTCGACTGGCCACTCAGTGGGGAACTCGGTTTCGAGGCCGTAGAACTCGAGGACGTTCCGGTTGAACTCGGTAGTCGCCATGTCTGCTTATTGCTGCGTTGTCTGCCAATGGCCTCCAGAGATTATCATGTTTAGGTGCAACTGCCGGAGACGCTGTGTAACTAGATTGGGAGTTCCAAGACAGATTTCCAAGCGTCCAAGAAGTGAGAAACACTCGCGTGCCGGTACCACTTTGCAGCTCTGAGCTTGAATGAGGTTGTTCGGTGGTTACCTAAGACATTAGTATTAGTAGCCAACCTAGCTAACTTACCTGTTGCGACTGGCTGGCCTGTTGCAAGTTAGGCGTGAGACGACCCCTGCAGCTTCATGTCTACAGTACATATTCCACGCCGCGCTAAACTGCGGTCCAAGGCACGGAACACAATTTAGTGGGGGTGGGCATTGAATTGAAGGCTCATGGCTACCACAAGTGATGCAGGATCCTCAGGACGCATGACTTTGATGTGTGCAGGTATTTGACAAAAAAGCAGTGTATTCAGACAAACAAAAAGTAGGTAGGTCATCTAGAGTCAGGGGATTGATTCACCGTGACGAGCCTGGAACCATCTCTTACTTGAGCACTCTGCGCTACAGCCAACGACCACGAATATAGACATGTGAAAGACCGACCACGTTACAGATTGGGAAATGTGAATGCGATGCTGTATTTTGTACAATGGTGGATGCAACTTGGAACGTAGTACAAAGCTCAAGGAACACCAGAAAATACTACGCAACTCACTTGGTTGTAGATATCGGGTAAACCAGCAGCCGCTAAAGCGCAGTGCCGTCTATTTCATCCGAGTGCACCCGCTAGTCCCAGGTCTGCTTTTTGTAGCCGTTTAGCACTAGCTCTGGGGCTATCAGATCTTCGCTTGTTTATCGGCCATTGCCATGTGCTTTTGATCCCGAGCCCGATAATCCCTCGACAGGAAAGCTTTTTGTTGTGTTTGAATACCGACGTCGTCACCCTCAAAAACCCCCCAAGCGCCTTTTCTTGTCTCCAGGAGCTTCCAGATACCCCAGCGCTCCTGATATATCTTTCTCACAATGTTGACTCTCAGAGCTGTTTCGGCCCCTGCGCGTCGCCAATGCTTCCGCGCAGCTCCCCGTGTCGGTGCAACTCTTTCCCAGGCAAGCTACCACCACTTTCTGACGAGCCTGCGCCAACGCCGACGCCAACTAACAATGCCCTCTAGAGATTCTACTCCTCGGAAAAGGTCGCCAAGTTCCACGGTATCAAGGATGCCAATGTACGTTTCTCCCGGCCACCAGCCCACCCCGCTACCAACCATACCGACACGTAAATCACTCAGTTGCACCCCCAAAGCCTTCAAGCAGCTGGGGCATGGTTATCGTCGCGCATTGAGGCATTGGAACTTGGCCATTGGAACACCACAAGCTGATATTTTGAACCTCCTATAGGGCAACTACCCCGTTTCCATCATCGAGGGTGATGGTATCGGACCCGAGATCTCACAGGCCGTGAAGGACATCTTCGCCGCTGCTAAGGTTCGTGGCCCATTGCGACGCAGCCACTCAGCGGACATGCACGCCTAACAATTTCCCTCTTCTAGGCACCTGTGACCTGGGAGCCCGTCGATGTCTCCCCCGTCTTCAGAGATGGCAAGCAAACCATCCCCCTAGAGACCATTGAGAGCATCAAGAGAAACAAGGTTGCTCTCAAGGGCCCTCTTGCCGTAAGTACCCTGCCACTGCCATTGCTAGTCCGTAAACTTGGACAATTGCACTAATTCGTTCCAAAGACTCCTGTCGGCAAGGGCCACATTTCCCTCAACCTTACCCTCCGCCGAACCTTCAACCTCTTCGCCAACTTGCGACCTTGCCGGTCTATCGCTGGCTACAAGACCCCCTACGATGACGTCGACGTCGTCATGATTCGAGAGAACACTGAGGGTGAATACTCCGGTATCGAGCACGTTGTCGTCGATGGTGTTGTCCAGAGCATCAAGCTCATCACCAAGGAGGCCAGTGAGCGCGTTGTCCGATTCGCCTTCCAGCAGGCTCAGGAGATTGGCCGCAAGAAGGTCCGCGTTATCCACAAGGCAACTATCATGAAGATGTCCGACGGTCTCTTCCTCAAGGTTGCTCAGGATGTCGCCAAGGAGTTCCCCGGCATTGAGTTCGAGTCCGAGCTTCTCGACAACACCTGCTTGAAGATGGTCACTGACCCCCTGCCTTACAACGACAAGGTCTTGGTCATGCCCAACCTGTACGGTGACATTCTCTCCGACATGTGCGCTGGCCTGATCGGCGGTCTTGGTCTTACTCCCTCTGGCAACATTGGTGACGAGTGCTCCATCTTCGAGGCTGTCCACGGTTCCGCCCCTGATATCGCTGGCCAGGGCAAGGCCAACCCCACTGCTCTGCTTCTCAGCTCCCTGATGATGTTGAGACACATGGGTTTGACCGACTACGCCAGCAGAATCGAGCAGGCCACCTTCTCCACTCTGTCCGAAGGAAAGGCCTTGACCGGTGATTTGGGCGGTAAGGCTAGCACGAGCGATTACGCAGGCGCCATCATTTCCAAGTTGTAGATACCACACGATTCACTATAATGCTTTCCTGTAGAACTGGGCAGGTAGTCACGGGTAGACTGTACAACAACAAGAACTGAGACGAATATTGCATGACCGAGTATGAAACCGTTATTTATGCACCTACCCTGTTCTTACTCTTTCCAATGGTGCAAGCACTGCCAGGTACAAAAGCGTCGTAAAGATATTTATAACGTCAGCAGCCGCCCGGCGAATCGGATTCGTCATGAAGCTTATGATACTCATAAAGTGCTTACGAAATGAAGAGACAAAACTGATTTGATGTTACGGTCAGTATCTGGAGATTTGTGGTGGCACTAACAGCTGTGAGCATGATATAGGCAAGCAATAGTCGTCAGGTAACATCGTTCGTCTGTTATTGGCAAATTTGGCGTGTGACCCGCATCGATAAGACGTGTTCTACACTACAGTACTGCGATGGCGGACTCTGTCAGTAGAGTTTAAAAGCTGTCTCTGAGTGTTGATGTTCGACAATGCCTTGTCCATGCTTGTTTCCTTGTCCACCAAGCACCAAGCTGTATATCAGATTCTTATGATATCTTCACTATGGCACGATGATTTGTGTCAAGCTGGGCCGTCCAAGTGTCCCTCATCCTATAACAGCTTCGATTCTGAGCAGTCATCTGAATTGGTCATTGGTCCAGTAAAACTTGTGCATGTGCTGCCTAGTCCAAAGTTTGTCTCTCGCATGCAACAATGAGCTCAAGACGAAATGCGATCAGCACAGCTCTTGGGATCTGCAGAAATCGGCGATATGGAGATATGGAGGTGTCAGCCCAATATGCCACATTTGCCAATAATCTGGCCTGGCTCGCAAATGAACATCTTAACCGCCAAAAATCTTTGAAACATTCAAGTCGTAATCAAGCGTAAGCCTGCATATAGTCCTGCATTTGAATGTACTTTGGCCACACAGAGAGAACAGCTCTTGGGGGATGGGGACGAGCAGCAATGCTGGCGCAGGTCAGCTCAACTGAGACATTGTGTACTGAGCAGTTAGCAATCATGTGAGAACCGAGATGGTTGGCAGCAACCTCTCAACCATTGACCTTCCCTTCTCATCAGGCGGCAATTATCGCCAAGTGCCATACTGCAACGGTTCAGGTGCCGTAGTAGAATCACATTGACCGCCTCAAGTAAGATGAAATGAAACATGTTTCTAGATGACCATGCTTGGTGTTGGCAAATGCAGATGCTCGGGATTGTTTCCGGGTGCGAATGTACACGACATTGTCCTTTACTCCAAGGGAAGTTGTACCCTTGCATACCGTGCTCGCTTCAGATACTGTATAACCACACAACGAGGAACGGATCGACCCGGTTTCGAGCTTTGCCGAAGATATCTTTGTTCAAAGTCAGCGTCCGAGTTGATTTGCCAGGCCGTCCTGTCCCAACTTCAAAAGTCGCTTCCTCGCTAGGGCACGTTAGGCCCTTCGATCTTATCTTCGGGTGCGTCTCGGTCAAACTGTGCCCTCCCCAACGAACTCCATAGTGGCGGATATGAACAAAGCAAGTGGTGGCCGTGGTGGGGTTGACTTCAAGTGACACAAGTTCGAATAGGAACAGTTTCACAAAGGCTCACACACCTTCCGTCATAGTTGCTATCCCATGGCCGAGCAACTGGGAATTAGTGGGAGAAGTTAGTCATCGCAAACTACTATGGTCGCAGGCATAATTTACATGGTAAGAAGTGCCCTTGTCAAGTATCGACAAGGGTGGAGGTCGGAGCCGGTTGTAAAGTTTATCCAGAAAGTCACCACCTGGTTAGGGCAGTTACTATACCCATCCCAACCAAGTACAGCCTGGAGGCTACAAGTTGAGGCTTGCATTAACCTCTAATTCAAACCCTTGGATTTGTATATCAATTGAGAGTGTCGGCTCGCTATCATATACATCCGATCGCGAAAGGCGAACTGAACGGCTGCGCCGGAGTGACGGAGAAACGGGGATAAACGTTGGCAATGAGCCCTGTCAGCCAATCAGTGCTAAGGTCAACCATCCTTTGCGAAAGTATTCAAGCATTTCTGGGCAATAGATCGCCAAGAGATTCCCCAGAATTAGCGGTTCGACATGCATTTCGAAGCATTCTAGAATCCAAGCTACTACAACATCCACTTTGATATGCTCAAAGAGTAAAGAAGCGAGACCGAGCGCTGTCTGTACATACTCAACGACATTTTCAGGTGGTGGGTAGCTGTTTGCTCAATCGTTGGCCCACGACTGCTGCATATACGCTGTCGCGTGTCAATCTGGAGAAATGAAGTCACCGCAGCCTGCCCGTACCGGCATTCAGATCAGCCCACAAAACAGTCCAGTCGGCGTGGTACTAATGGTGGGTGTAGGCTATATTATGCAAGGCCAGCTTCGACCTGCATTGACATACGCTAGCAGACCAGCAAGACCATGCTGCTTTGCGGACGCAGCTTGTGTTACTATTCCGGGTTCGGTAGGATGAGTAGCGGCCACAAAAATTGTCTCGGTGTTTCTTGGTGTGTACAAGACGCGGGAAACTCCACAACAGAACACAACGTTAAATCACGCACCGATCTGACCAATACTGGAGAATCCAGGGGTCCTCACCGGGCCTATGGGTCTAACAAGTGTTGGATTGCTATATATTCCAGTGAATGCCCTCTATGCTCTCTCTTCTTGACCCTTCAGCTCCTTTCCGAATTCTCGTCGTCCCATAGACCAATCTCCACTCAGTTCAACTATTCTCTTCTCGAGGTCCAAGACTTTGCTAGTTTCCTAGACACCCAAATTCTCTCATCAAATCAGCTCTCCCATTCCAAAATGCCTTCCCAAGATATCAAGTCTGTCCTTCAGACCAAGCCTGTCACCTTTACTCTGCGGACTGGCGGCGGCAAATGGAAGTGCACTATCCACGGTGACCGACCATCATAGTAAGTTCGCAATGCTTGTGGTGCAATTTCTTAGCATGTCTAACAAGATCGTAGTGAGAAGCATCGTGCTGCTGTTCCCGGCATTGCTCGCACCGACTCCGACATTTCCGCTACCTCCAGCAAGACCACTTCGTCTGCTGGCTCTATCAGGTCTCACTAAGCAACACACATACTCGGACACTCGACCTTATATCAGCCATGTTGTGCGAGACACGGATCCTGTTCGTCCCTCAGCTGGTATAGGTCAAACACCAACATAAACCGGCATATGTCGGAAAGCTTGTCCTCGTAATGTGGAGAGCACACTCGTCTTTTTTGCCTTCAATGGCGTCTTGCGAAGACGATTATCAAGGAAGGCTTGCATTTAAGTGGAGTTGGAAAATATCCCCATTTGCGATTTTATAGCCTATCCAATGACGGATAGCTCGGGGCCGGTCATCCAGCGAGCTCCAGGAGTGCGGGTGGGAATACCTTCCTTAATGGATGCTGGGATTTTCATTTATCTCAACTACCGCTAGTTTAGTCGGCAGTAGTAGATCGCATTTGTCTGGCCAAACCCTCCAAAGCAGGGTTGTATATAGACTGCTTAATGAACAAAACTCGTTATGATCAAAATTCCTGTGCTCGCATTAACTGATTTTGTCTTTCACGACCTCGAGGAACTTACGATCAGGCGATTCGACAATCGCTTCACAAAATCTATTTAATTTTCGATTGCAATTCCGGTGACCAAGAACAAATCCTAGTCATGCATCCGTGGCGTCTTCTCCAGACACAGTATCAAGTCGCAGCTATCTTCTAGTCTAAGACTATACTCCACAGCGGAGCCGTCAGATTGGCCCCCCCCTCCTCGGAAGCACGTAATTCGCATTGATAACCCGAAAGCCAGGCGGACAGAAACAGCGAATGTCGGCATTAGCCAGCGAATACCGAGGCTCGTCCAGGCTTGGCCGGAAACCTTGTACTGTACTCTCTCAGCTGTCTGGGGAGTGGGGCCTCTAGATTGCTTCATCGGGCCTTCTTTCGAACCGGCGGACGCTTGACCTGGGGTTTGTGTCGAGGGCCGACGCGTCTGGATCAGGCATCATGTAGGTCCTGATGTGTGATGCAGAGCTTCGTTCTTTATGAAGTGATTCCGTGTTTGTGTGGAGGCAGGTAGGTACAATTTGGCCATGATTGTATAGGTGAACGCTCGGCCAATAGATCAGGTGGTATAGTCATACCCTGGTCAATCTGAGATGATCATGCCCTTTGAAACAAGCGTTATGTACAAAGGGAACATAGAAGAATATACACATAGTATACTAACACTCTTCGCAAGCAAATCGCTTAAAATGCGTTCTGCTTCCCAAATAATTTGGAATTGTGAGTTATGCCGTACCACACAACCGAGTTTGTCTGGTCTCAATCTGTGAATACAACATTGCAACGACCAGAAGTTTTAGCATAATTCTCATCCCCTTCATGAAGAAAAAAAAAAGTTTTGCTGGGCGAATCAATTGCGAAAACTCATCACTTGGAAAAACAATGATGCATGCATGAATATGGATATAGTTGTAAAGTCAGAACGATCAGGACCACTCTCATTATTACTTTGGACAATTTCCTACATCAAAAGGCATACCAACTTGGTTCTGAGAAAAAGGCTTCTAGTCGGTAGTTTCTTGATGACTACTTCATATTGTGTAGATAATACTTACTTTCGCCTGTTCTGGTTTTCTTGCATACTTCCAGAACTTATGGAATGGTGCACGGTCAGAACACCATTTGGCTTACAGACAACTCCAGAAACAAGCAACAAGTCAATAACTGCTAGTCAAAATTTACTCAATCGACATCGGACATTTGCATTGCGCGGGCCATGACCCCGGGGAATGTGGGGTTCACGACAGTTTAGTGCTTGCAGCATGCCCCTGCAAGTCTGCAATTGTGTAATTGTTATGGCCGTCGGCGATGATTATTTGGCCTTGGCTTGCCTGGATAGATCTGAAGTCAGCTCCAACATGTAAGGCTGTTTGAAGGGTGGTGTTACTATGTATGCCAGGCGCCAAGCCTTACAGTTCTACCACGGGAGGCTTAGAGATAACCATAGAACCTCAGAACCATACAACGAGTAATGGCGCAAGAATGCGCGCGTTGGGGGAGTACGTCACGAGCGCCTTCTGTATCGCCCAGAAGGGGATGAATGTAAGGCAATGCAGGCAATACAGGCAAGGCAATACAACTACTGAGCGTCTTCCAGACGCATCCGTTCCCCCCCAACATCCTAATTCCTTTTTCATTCTCATCTTTCTTTGCCAAAAAGCAAGAACCCGGGCACTTTAGATTGGCAAATATGCCTGTACCGATCGCTGTCAAAGGTGAGTCTACAGATTTTTACCTGCTTCGTTCCGTTTTTACTCCCACTGTCAAAAGACGCAGTTGGTTGACTTTGATGTTCTCGATCCAACTGCTGATCAGTACCCCGCGCTTTTGCGGGCGCGAGCGCTGGTGACCACTCGTCGCCCAGAGCGTATGCTGATTGACGAATGTGGTTGCCTTGCTACCCAAGTGAGTGGCAAAATCAATCAGCTTGCGTGGCTCGTTTCGAAGTCCATCGTCCGAGGACCATATCCCCAAGCTTGGATTTGTAACCGTTATCAGTTTGCCTTGATTCCCATTTTGTATTATTCCCCAAACCACCCCCTACTGCTCCGTTAGGTATTCCACGCTGGTGCTTAAGAATGCCTCCCATTAATCATGCCGCCATCTCAGTCGGCGTCATCGCTGTGTCCGTCGTCGTTGCGGCTGGGATCGCCATCTACGAATCGCCAGAGCTGCGACGTATCGCCGAGAACCTACGCCAACGCATAGCCCTTGCGCTGCATTCCCTTGGCGACAGCATCTCGCCGCAGGAACGCGAGAACTTGTTCAACCGGCCCGAGGACGCCGAAGGTTTCCTACTATCCAGGGGCATCGATATCAGACAAGGCGATCAAGAGCTGGATGTTGACGCAGACGAAGAGACCAGGCGGCGCCAGAGGGAGGAGTTGATGTACTGGAATGCTCTTGCCGAATCCAAGAGAGATCAGGAAAAGCAAGACGAGAAATCCGAGGTGGAGCCCAGAAGGATAGCTTCAAGAGGGTCAAGCTTCGACCATTTTCTGCAGAAGGATGGCAACGATGAGAAAGGTGCTTTTGTCCTGAACAGCGGTGCCAACGCCCAGAGCGCGGAAGCTGATGGTCTGAGACGCCGTGGCGAAGGTGCTCGAGGCCTCAACTACTCTGTATACACGAACCCATTTGCAGATGAGCATGGCATTGATGAGACGATTGCTTTTGAGAACAGCCTGACCGAGCCAGAGAAGGATGACATGGGAGACATCTACAGTGTTTCGCATGATGGTCAGGGCAGCCGCGACCGGGATACCACTGCTACGCTCTCGGCACCCCCCGAGCACATCCCCTCTCTAGTCGACATCGACACGCCCATCAGACAGCCAGTGCCAGCCCCATCGACCACCTCGGAACGCGAACTCGGCCCGGACGAGTTTGTGACGGCGGGCCAAGAGGACAGGCATGAGGCGTATAGTTCAATTCAAGCATGGGCACAGCATTCGAATCCTGGGTTCTATTCACCTCTGCCCATTTCACCCGTAGGCCCTCTTTCAGAAGCGGAGCTCATCAGCGAGGGACAACTGACTCCAACGGACTCGGTCTCCTTAGTAGGATCTGGCGAAGATGTTGGCGAAGAGGCTCATTCTTCCGTTGGGGAGCCAGGCCGTTACTACGACGTGTTGAGCGACGACGAGGGTATGATGACCCCAGCAAGCTGGACAGAAGTAGGAAGCGTGATCAGCGAGAGCGATACGGGTGCTCACCCAGCCCGCGCATGATAGACTCTGCATTTTCCATTTTTATTTCGCCGCATATACCAGTTTGAGGGACTTTTTCAAGGGCAACGGCGTTTTGGGTAGGATTCATTCGACATCGTCATAGGAAATCTCTGCAGAGGAGCGTAACAGCAAGGAACAACAAGGGTCTACACTAGGTCTCAAAATATGGCAGTACTAAATATCACCTTACCTTTCCAAATGCGCCTCCTAGGCGGAGTCAGAAATACTTTTTCAATTTGAAGCCGACTTTCTCCTACTCTTCTTTCTCGCTTACCACTTTTCTTTTGTCATGTCTTCCAGCGTCATCGTAGAGTTGTGATATATAGGGGTGATCTGGGATTGATCCTAATTATAATCATGTGACGATCGAATACGTGAGCCTCCTCGCACTTTGCATCATGCACCGTTGAGGTCCGCCTTCCCTTCGAAACCTGGGCTCACCGTGTGCCGAATCCCCAATGGGCAATGTTGCCCGTTGAAAGGTAACCCGGCGAGCTACGTCTCGGGGTAGATACGTTATTCGCCTAAGTCTGGGTAGCCTCATCGACCTTGTCGCCATCCTTCTTCTGTCCACTATGATCTACTTCTGCACCCTTTTTCTTCAGCTCCCCTTTGTAGTCCTCCCAGAGCTGTTCAACCGGCCGGCCCACCAAGCCGGTCCAGAACGCCTTCTCTTCATACCGCTGCGTCCTCAAGGTTCCGTTGACTTTCCGCACCGTTTCCTCCCCAAACCTCCTCTCCAGATATGCCAGGAAGTATGCGGTCCGTTGGTAGCCGCCGTCCCATCTGTCCCCAGTCTCCTCGTGGTTCCAATGCGGCGGCGCCAGGCCGCACTTCAGACGCACCCAGTCCGCGATGCCCTCGACGAGACCCCCAGGGCACGACCCGTACCCGGTGTGCTGGTAGCAGTGCACGAGCTCGTGCGTGAGAACGCCCGTGATCTCGTGCGTCTGTCGCTCCTGGGGCAGGCCGGCGATGTAGCCCAGGCTGAAGTGGATCTCCTTGTGGTCGTTGTCCAGGTCGGAACCCGTCGTGAACGCCACGCCGCCCATGTCCCTTAGGACCAGCGTCACGGAGCGCGTGGGCGGCGGGCGGTAGTGCGGGTGCTTGGGCGATATGTAGAGCTTCTGGAGCACATCCTGCACGCAGGACGAGAACGTGCTGGAGGCGTTGATGGCTCGCAGGAAGATGTTTGCGCCAGCGTGGTTCAGGTCCCGGATCTCCAGGCGCAATTTGGGAATGGGGAAGGGGCTTGGCTTTGTGTTGCTCTCCTCAGACGGCTCAGATGAGGATTGAGATGTTGAGGTTTCCGGTGTCAGACGAAGGGGCAGCGGCGACGGTGTCGGTACTGTTGAGCCTGATGAGGTAGAGGACGGCGCCTCGATCTGGTGAGAAATACCCGGCATGAAGAGGTGTTCTGGACGAGGCGCCAGAGAAGTGAAGGGTGCCAGAGGCGGCATGTGTGAATTGGCAGTTGATTAGTTGTTACGATGTAAGAGAACAGGTTGCAATTCTGTCTAAGTGGGCTCGTTTAGACCAAGGCACGTGGAGAATATAGGGATGAAATGTCTCAAGGTTCAGGTGCCAGGAGAGATGCGAAAGTCACTCGCGTGTCGAGGCTCCTGAAATTATGTGAATCCCGGTAAGTGCTCATATGGATGTTTGGTCAGGTTCGCCGAGTCTAGCTGTTGGATTGTGTTGCGTACGGCGGTCAATGTCCCAGAGGCCGTTTACTGTACTGTACACAGAAGAATATATATGACTTGCTAGGCGTCGCACTATGTACTGGTAGATGGTGCACAACAGCTGCACTGTTGGGTGTAGTGGTGGCGAGATCTACACCTTCTTGAACATGTTACAATATGGATGTCTTTCAACTGCAGCACCCAGTGTGTACTCCTAGACTAGGCCAGAAGACTATCGCCGCTTCCCTGTATTGCTTGTCTAAGCTAGTACGTAGTATTTGCTGACTTTGCGGAAGATGCGTGGCCGGATTCTGGGCCCCGCGCTCATGATTCTCTGGTTCCTGCTTGACCTTTCCTTTACCCCTCCATTAGTGTGGCATTGTGCTTGTAAAGTACCGAGTAACTTACTATGTAGAGGTATCCCAGGGACTAGGGACCATGAGACCCCTGCGATCATCAGGAGGCACTGTCCGTAAGAGAGTCAATGCTCAGGAACCTGGTTTCGCTTTATGTCTAAGAATCTACAACCCCGGCCTTGTTTCCTGCGATCTCTAACTATATGTATATACTGCATGGGAGGTAACGTGCTGGTATCAGCATCGTGGGATTATGTTCGTTCAAGTAAACTCGAGATGATGTCAACGGCTGTTTCGCGACATGGAGGGAACCTTTGCAGTGGATTACTGCTTGGGCTCGACACGCAGGGCGGACTTGTATGCACCTTACCCGGCACACCAACAGCAAACCATCCCCTCGTGGCGGTTGCTGGGGAGGAGTGGAAGCTTGATTAGTGTGGATGATAGGCGGAATAAAGTGGAGTCAATAGCAAGAACAACACAACACAATGGAACACAACAGGTCCCCGTCCCCGACATGCGCATTTGGGGTGGATTGGCTTGGATTGCAAAGACAAACATTGGAAGACAGCCGGGCGAAACAGAAACGAAAGCGACATCATCACCGACACGCCAGTTTGGTTTCTTTTGCTTCCCTTCACGGAAACAAAATAATCCAAAGCAGGCACCCTACCGACCGGCCAGAACCAAAGCAAAGCAAAGCAGCGCTTCACTTCACTTCCCCGTTCGCATTATCTGCGCATTGCACACATTTCATTCCACACATCGATCGCTTACTTGCTTTTGCTTCCATGCCCATGCTTCAACGCTTGCATCGAGTCATAGAATTTCAATACAATTACAGTTGTCGATAACAACATCTAGTACGTCGCGCCTATAGTTTTCTTGTCAGAGCTTCGCACGGGACGATATATGCAAAGGGGTAGCCGAAAACCCCCCTTCGCGCATCTTGTCATTGCTCAAGATTCCTCGCCCCATCACAGGCGAAACTTTGTACTGACGGGCGATTCAAATCTAGAGTAAACCCAAACCACAGTCTCTCGCCAGCCAGGATCGGGCATGGCAGAGAAACTGACAGACCAGCAGGTCGCCGACCTGTTGGCGATACTCCGTAAAGACGCTTCAGTTGACACAAAATCCAACGCTGTCACAGCCGTCAAATCCGCCATCAAACAACACAATGTCCCCGATAGTTGTGTCTTTCCGCTGTTCGATGCCCTGCGACTCGCCTCCACTTCCCAGCACTCGGCTCTGGCCAACGCCGGCTTCACTGCCCTCAACCACCTGCTCACACGCTTGTCACGTCAAGAGCCCAAGTATATCCACAAAGAGGCCAAGAATACTCTGCCACTCATTGTGGACAGAATGGGCGATCAGAAGGACAAGCTGAGGGCCCTCGCCGTTCAAGCCCTGACGACTATGTATGGAGCCACGCCGACAGAGGCCGAGAGGTTTGTGCGCAACGTTGCCATGACCGGCAAGAACCCGAGAGCAAAGGAGTCGAGCATGCAGTGGCTAGTTGAGGTACGCCGCAACTTTTCACCCCCCCCTATTCCCCATTCCGACCAGGTCATGAACACCGAACTGAAGGTACTGACATTGGTTAGATGCACAACGAACACGGACTACCATTCAGGGCTTATGTACCAACACTGATGGAGCTGCTAGAGGACGCCGACGGGATGGTCCGTGATACTGCAAAGGCTACCGTGATCGAACTCTTCAGGGCCGCATCCGGTCCAGCGAAATCGGATTTGAAGAAGCAACTCAAGACTTTCAAAGTACGACCGGCGATAGAGGCTGCTATTGTTAAGGAACTGGCGCCAACGTCTGGCACTGCCTCAAGGATAGAGTCTGACGTGCGGCCCGACTCTGCACCGTTGATGCGTCCAAATCTTGGGGCAAGCGTTTCCTCCTTGCATAGCGAAAGGCCCAAGACGCCTGCGCCTGAAGAAAAGCCGGACCCGGTCGAGCCCACCTATGTCAACACAAGCCGTGAGTTGGACGAGATCTTCAGAGAAATGCACGCATGGTTTGAGGGCAGGGAGACGGAACAAAACTGGTTGAAACGAGAACAAAGCACAACGAAACTCCGAAGACTGATCGCCGGAAATGCCTCCGACTTCGCAGATGTATTCTTACAGGGCTGTAAGGCTCTACTCGATGGCATCATCAAGGCTGTCACCTCCTTGAGGACCAGTCTGTCAAAGGAAGGCTGCTTCCTGGTCCAGGATATTGCAAACGCCTTTGGTCCGGGCATGGATCCCATGGTCGAGTTGCTCATGCAGACTTTCATCAAGCTTGCTGCAGCAACCAAGAAGATTGCTTCCCAACAAGCCAACACGACGGTAGACACAATCATTGGCAGAACCACATACAATGCTAGGATCATGCAACACATGTGGGGTGCCTGCCAGGACAAAAATGTTCAGCCGCGTACATATGCCGCCGATTGGTTGAAGACGCTCATCAATAAGGAGTCACACCACAAGAGCCACATTGAGCATGCGGGTGGACTCGACTTGCTAGAAAAGTGTATCAAGAAGGGGCTGGGGGATGCGAATCCGGGCGTGAGGGAGCGCATGCGTGGCACATACTGGCTTTTTGCAACCGTCTGGCCTGCGCAAGCCGAAAAGTGAGTTTGCCAAACAGGGAGAAGGGTGAGAATACAAATACTGACCGTTACTGCAGGATCATGGATGGACTCGATTCCACCGCTCAGAAGCTACTGCAAAAAGACCCTAATAACCCTAATATGCCTGTTGCTTCCAAGTCTGAACCTGTACCGCGCCCTGGCCTCGGCCTCTCGAAGAGTACCATGAGTGCCAACTCGAAACCATCAATTAGGGAGACCATGATGGCCCAAAAGAGAGCCATGGCAGCTTCAGCCAAGACGCTGCCACCACGGCCAGGCTCTGCAATGGCCACCGTGACTCCCGCCCGAACCACATCTGGCTCCTCAGGCGTCTCAGCCGCTTCTTCTGCTGCACCGCCTACAACGCGCACAAGAGCGGATACTGCAGGCAAACCCCATGCTGGTATCTCTGCTGCACCGATGAGGCCTACTAGGAGACGACCAGAAACGGCTCGACCAGAAATGGCTCCCAGACCTGCCACTGCCGGGCCGTATTCAGGCCGAAACCATGACGTGCGATCCAGCCCCCCAGACATAAAATCAAAGACAGTGACGCCCAAGACCATTTCTGGATCTCCTAGAAGGACGGTACCGAAAGGTCGGCCTGGGCATCAACCAACACGAAGTGTTGATGGCATTGCCACTCCGTCTAAGCCAATACTCAGCAAGTCTCTCTCAGCGGCACCATCCCCGATTAACAGTCCAGCAAAGGCAAAACAACCTGGATTTAGCGGCATACTTTCAAGCAATTCTTCAAAGGAGAACGAGGAGCTCACGCTGGTTGTGCCAACTATCGCTAGTCTACGGGAGAGCATGAAGTCATCGCCCAAAAGCTCCCCCAAAGCACCTTCACATTTGGCGAGCGATGAAACGGCCAGGCAAACTGAACCTATGGACTTGAACGAAGACCCTGTGCAGGAAGTGTCCCAGACACCTGTACAAACGCCTTCAAAGACCCTCAAAGTCTATGAGGATCCTTTTGTAGATGAACAGACAACTCGCCCAGCTGTCGATGCTAGCCCGGAAAGACCAGTTCTTGAGGACAAGCCGGTTAACGAGGATGCCGCCAATCTGAACTTTGGTCAAAATGGAACAACTACGCCACCGGCGGTGATTTCGCCTGACAAGAATGGCCAAAACGCCCGCCTTCTTGACAGCGGCATTAAGCGTATCAAGGCTCAGACCCTTGATGTTCATGGGTTTCGTAAGCTGCAATCATTGCTGCGAGACAGCAAGTCTCCGCCGACGGATAGCAAGTTTGACACACTTTTGACCGGTTTGTTCGAATACCTTGAATCCCCACTAGACAATCTTGAACCTGCTAAGATCCAAGATATCAAGGCTCAAGTTCTAGCAACTATCAAACTACTACTCAAGAACTCTCGCGACAATTTCCAGCCGCATATTGCACTGGGACTTGAAGCGCTACTTGCAACTCGTGCAAATTACGACGCGCGCACACACATTGTGTCAGGCCTCGAGCTTCTGGCGGAAGAACTTGTCAAGGTTGGAGATCCTCCCACGATGGCTGTGTCCATGACCCGTCGCTGCGGGCCCCTTCTGGAGAAGACGGATGCTCGTAGTGGACGCAGCCTACAAATGGGTATACATATCATGAAGCAGTTGGTTGAGAACCACCCTACCTATAACCCAAGCGAATCCGAGCTTCAAGGGATGTGCAGCTTGTCTGCAAATTGCCTTGATAGTAAGGAAAGTGGAGTCCGAATGGACGCCGTTCACTTGTGTGTGCAGCTCCATGCCAGAGTAGGCGAGCAAAGGTTCTGGGAAAGCATGAAGGGCCTAAAGGATGATCCGAAAAACCTTATCACCTACTACGTAGTCAAGCATCAACGCGAGACGGGCGTGGCTGCTTAGTCAAAGAAGCTGGCTCTGTTCGCGTTGGCTTTCATGTTGTGCTTGGTGAAAGACCTGGCCAGGTTGCTGGTCTGGGTTACGGTTGGTCATCCTAACACTTCACTCAACGAGCATGGATATGTTTGAATGCATGTGGGAGCTGCCGACAACAAAGTTATATTCCTTCGCTGCAACCATCGATTGGAGCGAAAACACGGAGTTCGAAGGACGGACATGAAACGACTGGGTTGTTGCATTGCGGGGCGTCCGGTTCTTGGGTGGACTTGATCAAAAGCAAAAGAATTTATCGCCGGTTGTTGTATGCGTGTTGTACTTATACCCACTTGTTTTTCAGACAAATATATCATATAAGCGGAAGAAAATGTTCGTCTTTTCCACAAGACGAACTCTGGCCTTCGTATGTGCACTGTGAAAGTCTTCATACGCTATTTTGGCAGTCGTTTATTGGCAAGTGTATTAACTATTTAACATTCCTCAGTTCTATTGTACTAGACCATGCAAATGCTTGTTGGCGTTGTACAGAAGCCTGCTAGGGTAATGCCTCAGCCTCGTGGCCGAGAGGCGCAACGGAAGATAATACCCAGGATGTCATTATTTGACAGGTTTGCGTCGAGTAACCCATATGGCACAAAGACATCCCGGCCTTCTACGGTCTTAATGTATGGGGGATCATGACGAATACTGACATGTGTCTATACCGATAAGATCATACGAGACAGCTACATCAGCTAGGCACAGTTCTCTTAGACCTACGCCCTTCTGTTTCTTTTAGAAACAAAATCCTTGTAGCACATCAAGCCGTTTTTATTGACTTGCCGGAAGGAGCTATAACATCCGGAGAGGGGCATGACGTATAATCTTCTGATCCTTGATCATAGCCCTTAACGAGGAATATAAGCTCTTGTCAGCAAGCCTCGGAGCATCGATCATCACTCGAGACAAATTATGTTTGCTTTCAAGGAAAAGCCTGACTTCCATGCACATCTTTCTTGTCAAGAACACGATGGCGGATGGTAACGGCAAGGCAGGGGTGGACTCTTCATCAAACCTTGTACGAAACCCCCTTGATTGATTGGGCCGTAGCGTGAACTTTCGGGAATATTGTCGCATCGAGCTTGTGAAAAGCTCATGACCACAAAGGCACTGGGTTTTGAAAAAAAAAAAATTGAAAAAAAAAAGACCTCTTCCTAGGAAAAAATAATCCCCAAAATTTGGCGACTAGTAACATGGCTTTATCTCGTATGTAGTGCTGCCTCATAATTGTTGAATAGCTGTTGCATCTCGCTGCGATGTCGTCTCTTTGCTTATCCCACATGCTGGTCAGACCACGTATGAGTAAGGCGCTGCTGGACAGCGCCTCCTGGCACCAATGGTGTTGCCCGTATCGTCTAGGCTAAGGAGTTGCTGACATACGGTCACTCTGATGCTGCATGCAAACTGACAGCTAAGTTATACAAAGCACTGCGCCAGATTGGTGGACCCCAATAGTGCCATAGATCCAGGCCTGATAGTCGGCCGCATGTCTGACAGGTGGAGCAACACGATGAATGATACCTTAAGGGTCCACAGGTTCTGAGTCTGACTGCAAACTACACTTTCTTACAGTACTGACTTGACAGATAAGATATCAAACCGTAGGGTGTAGATGATAGATCCTGGGCAGATTGCCGGGTGCATAGTGGTCGGACAAATCCGCCAATTTCTCACCACCAGTCAGGTCAAAAAGTAGGGCTGAGTGATGGTTTCAGCCTTTATTGCAAGTTAACAGGGCTGATGGTTGTACACGTTTGAGCCGTTGTCCTGGGCCGGTCACAAACAAGGTCATCGAGGTTTCAATCGCAGTGGTGGCTTAAAGGCATCGAACCCGTAGAACCTGTCTTGTGTAGACCGCAGATTGCGCATTATCGAAAGACTTTCGTGAGACAGGAAGTGATGAGTGGAGTTACCGATGGTTGTTCATTTCGGAACCCCCAAAACGTACTGCTCGACGACATAGCTCAGGGATCTCAACAATGAATCTTTGACCTATTAACCATAGCTTACCTACTCTATGTGCGTCGGTGATGGTATTATGGACCTCTGCTATGAGAAAGTCGCAGGCCAATCAGTTCAACATTTGTGTGTTCCTGCATGACCCACTCTGTTGCAAAATTCTGGCTGATATTAGTCTGGAGTTTGTAAAACACAATCTTCGCTGAAGCGCCCAAGATACTGTGTAGGACAGCGAGCAATTTGTATGTGTACATCAAATCTTGTTGCCAGCGAAAACTGTCTCCAGTTTGGATATGCTCTGAATAGATCCGCACGCTAGGTGTTTGCTACTGCGACTCAAGGTTCAAGACATAAGTGCCTGATGTATTGATCCGGAGATTTGACAGCTACTGGACCGTTCCGCCCATGAACGATAGACTTCGGCATAGACAGATCACAGAATAATGGACCTGTCATTCAAGTTTGTGAGTATCCGTGACTCGTATGGCAAATTAGACAAGGGATTCTCGAGGAGAGAGGCTCCTACTAAAACCAGATTTTGTGATGCCGAATATCATGTGTGAAAACCATAATAGCGAGCCGTCTATAAGCCATTGACTCGATGGAAATTTTATTTGTTTGTGAGCGCCATTGGACGTAATTCAATCCATCTCAACGCGCTCGTCTCTCGTGAATCTCACATTGTTGCTCCTCCCAATTTTCTTTTGAAGCTTTTGATCTGCATAATAGTACTCCGTACTACTAGGCCAGCTAGGCGTTGGAGCCGTTGAAGATCTGTCACTACCCAGCAACACTGTGCAGGAAACCCCAGCAAAACTGTTTCGCTTGGCAAGTCGACTTGAGGACCCCTAGCTTTTATGGGGCATACTTAAGCTGAAACGAGGTCATGGAGTCTCCAGCACTCTGAGTGCTTCTACTGATTGGCGAACTATAGGCCGCCCTTGTCTTTAATGACAATGCAAGGAAGGCGGAAGCACGTACGACTCGGGAAATTCCTTAATAAACATTAGCGCATCCCATGGCATGCCAGCAGGACGTTTTGAAGATTGCTTGTTTCTCGACCCTTTCGTCTGAGAATGGTCTTCGTGCCGTTACTCAGTGCCTGAAGTAGTACTGCTTTAGACTAGAGCTTCGTAACCCGTTCCGAGATATGCTGCTGTTGTTGCTGCTGTAGCGGTCTGAATGCCGATCACTCTGGCCAGAAGGTAAGATCGAGCTTGAGGCGTATGCTGGCACTCGCTGCACCACGGAGATGCCAAGAAGATTCTCCTGGGGGGTGGACAGGTAATACAGTATGTTTCTACACATTCAGCTACACCTTCTCTCGCGTACTTGTGAGAGACACAGGCTGCCTTTATTCTAGGTCGAGTCATCGGAATATGTCGCTTGCAACTAGAAGTCTATTGGATGGCAAGTAAACAGAATGTTCAGGCTATGCAGGAGCATCCTTTGTGTTGCTATTTATACAGTTTGATGCGATTTATACAGTTTGATGCGATTTTGAATTGGCAGCGCAACAAGGCAGTGTGTCAGATGCCAATACTACGACGGGGAATGCAAGCATTCTTTGGTTTCCTAGACTATCGTATGAGATCAGAAGGATGAGGTTGCAGCGGAGGTAATAGTTACACAGTGATTCCCTCGACCACGCTTCTAGAAGCCCCCGAATACGTAGTAGTTTCGCACCATGGACTCGTTTGTATACCTAACATTTCCCGCCGAGTTGTTCGAGTTATGAGGCATACTTGACGCATTTGCACTGAAAGCATGAACCGTGGGGACGGAGTATTCTGTAGCTCTATTACCTGGAACCAACATATTGCTGTTCGCAAGCAGTGTCGAGTTTTGAAGGATAAGGTGTGCGCAATGGGAAGAGGCTTTCGCAAGAAAGCCGATGATGACGGGGGTGGATCTCGAGTATTCCAGGCTCTGCCAGGGGCCGCACCTTGCCCTGGCTCAAAAGGAACTAATTTGGCTGCAGGAACCTCTGATGGGATAAAAACCTTGAAAGCAACTCCAACCCGAAGAACACGTGAGCTGCAACATAGACAGGGAGTGACAGCTAGACTGTTGACGCTGATGGCAGCGCCACAGAGTATGGGTTGCTCGGGGCAGCACTTGATATGGCCATCAATGGTGTCGAGGTTGCTCAATTCTGTGAGAGGATACGATGCATGCCTGTTGAACGATTGATTGCCCGGACTAGCACGGCAAGGATCCATCGATTGGTGCAAATGACCAGAACTGAACGGGAGGACAGAAGATGATTAGCGGTTGATCGTCGAGTTCATCGGTAGGGTTCGATGTTAACTAGACTAGATGCTGGAACCCCTGAGAGGAAAGCCCGCTCTGGACGCTAAATACGCCAAAAGATGTACTATGTAGACCCGTAACTTACACCGTCTTGGTTGGCCAACGTTGCACTGTCACTCCCTGCGTGGCTTCTGTCTTGACATCTTTCTCAAGTTCTTGGCTCTTGGCTCTTGGCTTCAAGTACTGTAGGCTCGCAGCCATCAATTGTACCTAAGCAGCACTCAGTCCACTCGTGGTTCCCCTCTTCCCCTTAAACTCCCTGGGACCTGGACCTGGACCTGAGTCTTTTTTTATGTACATATATTTTCTAAACAGCAAAGCGAGCAACGGTCCCGTCGCCTCAACCCTTCCGCTAGACGTCCAGCGAAACGCTTGATTTCGTCACTGCTGTCGTCCTTGTCAATTTGATTCGGTTGATCAACCAACAAAAGTGCAATAGAGCCACGGGGCACATACCGATACTGCGTCGACAAATACGAAGTCAACAGCCCATTTTAACCTAAAACGTCTATCCGGGAGCAGGTACACTTTACTTTGGCTCTCTTGTGATTTGTACTAGTTAGTCTACTGTGACGCTCCACGCCCGCCCACGCCCACGCCCACGCCCACTCCCACTCTCGCCCTTTGCGCACCGACATCGACAAGTGTTACGAAACGGACGAGCTTTCATAGGAGAACAGACCTTTACACTACACAACTTAGGGCACCTGGCTCCGAAGCAAACCGCCGGCTTGTTATTTTTGCACGACTTTGGCTGCTTCAGCTCTTCCGTCTCGCTGGGTCGTGACGCAGCGCAGGCCTCGCTGGCAGCAGTCGACTTTCGTATCAATGTTACCGTAATCGCGATCCATTTCCCTCTGGCTCCCGTCGTCGCTCAAGGTCCGCTCGTTCTCGCCCAGCTGCCCTTCCGGGTGCGTCACAACAAACACATCGTCTCCCTTGACACCCCTCACTCTGACGCCGTTCACAAACCGCAACAATGGATGACTTCCTGGACAGCCCGATGGAGAGCGAGGAAAGCTTTCCTTGCAAAGGCTGTGGAGAGGTATGTGGACGGACAGCACCCTCGTCTTTATCACCGACGACAACGTCACTAACACGCGATGCTTTGATACTAGATACTTGAGGAGGGCAAAGCGTTTGAATTGGGTAAGTCTGATCACACTCGCACAAGCCATGACCTCTTTCGCCATACCTTCACGAGAGCATGTGTTTGCTCACAATGCTACATCACCACTGAGATCCAGTCTCCATGACATACACCATATCAATCCCTTAACTTCCTTGAGCTTGGCGATCTAACTATGGATACAGCTGGCAACCGATGGCATCTTAACTGCTTCCGATGCAACACTTGTGGCACTCTCCTTGACTCAGACGCCAACTTGCTCCTTCTTGGTGACGGTTCATTGATCTGCAACAATTGCACCTACAGTTGTAACGCATGTGGAAATAAAATCGAGGACCTGGCCATACTTACTGGGGACCAGGCTTTCTGTGCCACGTGCTTCCGATGTCGAAACTGTAAGAGGAAGATCGAGAACTTGCGATATGCTAGGACCTCTCAGGGCATATTTTGCATGAGCTGTCATGAGTCCCTCATGGCCAGGCGCAGGAAAAAATCAAAAGCCGCCGCCCAGGCAAAGGCCCGAGAAAAAGAAAGCTCGCCCATGATCATAGACAAGAGCCTACCTGCTCTGCCGCCCAACGCCATTCCCAACGGTGCTTTCTCCAACGATCGGGTGGATCCCGATTCAGACACTCCAACTGAGCTTTCACCCCGACCGAGGCCATCCTATACGCGACACGAATCGTCCTCGAGAAGTAGTTCGCGGCCCGCTAGGTCGCCTGAAAGGTCGCATGATCACAGGGAGAGGGAAAGTGGTCTATCGTTGCCGCAGACGAGCTACCGTAATAACCGAAACTCGTCCCTCTTTACTGGCAGCGATGTGGCAAGTAACGCAGCCGCAGATGACCAGGCGTTTTTCATCCCTGTCGCGCTCGACCCAAGCCCAGCTCCTGCTGCTACCCCACGGTCGACTGCGGAAACCTTTACAACGGGTTCGAACGCAAGAAAGGAGAAGGATTACTTTAGCATTTCTAAGAGTGAAACTGACCCGAGGAGAAAGGAGCAATCACAGGCATCCACACCTCACATTGCTTTCCAGGAAAAGGCGCGTCAAACGTCATCAGACTATGAAAGCCCGCCGCCCAAAGACGTCACAAGGAGGCTCTCTAAAGCCTCGAAGACTGACAAGTCAAGGATGGCTCCGGTGGTAAGCGAAAGAGCGCCAGAGAGAGCGACCAATGGCAAATCACAGTCCAATGAAGAATTCAAACTGCAAGAGGCTCCCAAGAGTAAGAAGTCAAGCACTCGAATCTCTTCCCAATCTGGGTTGCAACATGTTGGTTCCCAGAGCAGCCAGGGGTCCAGCAGGAAGGACAAGGAAGGCCTATCTACCAACACCCTTATGGAGTCACCCCAACTACTGCAAGCAGGCGAAAAGGCTGGTACTCCTCGCAGCTCCCAAGATTCTCGTTTCATAGATGAGGACGAGGTTAGATCCAACGACTCTTCCGTGGGCTCGTCCTCAGCCCCTTCAAGGCCCATTGCCAGAAAAGAGCTGCCGCCTTCCGCGTCCAGGATGACCAATGGTATGTGTTTACTGATATTGTTGACAAGCGGATGCCACTGACAGGTTGAGCAGGAGGTACAAAGCAGCGCAATCTGTCCGAAGACTTGGCGCCTCCACCTCCACCACGTCCTTCCGCTGAGCAGAAGCGCAGCGACTCCTATATGACACCCAGAGCGCCTCCTGCGCCCCCATCAAATGCTGCCGGCAAAGACGTTACCGGTCCTACGGAACAGGGAGAGCAAAAGACGTCGCCGAAGCTGCCGCGATGGAGTAGTGGTGGAGATTTCAGTATGGAGGAAGATATGGCGCGTATCCTGGGAACCGACGAGGGCTCGTCGTCCATACTGCGTCGAGTTTCCAATGCTGTGCGTCATGGTCGAACAAATAGCGCCGAGCAGAGTAACAATGTTGTCCGCATGGGCCATGCCCGAAGCGTAAGTGAATCGACGCGAACAACCGCATCACCGCGCTGGCCCAAGACGCCAATCGCCGAAGACCCGTTGAACGGACTTGCGCACGACATTACAAACCCCATCTCTCTCGCTGCGCATGACGATCCTGCTCTCTTGAAGCGTCGCCTTCGAAACTCCGAACAAAGAGTTGCGGAGCTTGAGAGGCAATTCACCAGTGAGAAGGATCTCAAGAACATTAACCAGAGGCTAGAAGAGAAGCGAAAGACGGTGTCTATACTGGATACCCAGACCGAAATCATGATACGCCAATTAGAGGTACTGGCTGGCTATGTCGAGAAAGCCAAGGATACGAAGCGCCCTATTGACCCCCGTGATCTGGAGGATTCAGCGATCAAAGAATTTGTCCAGAAGCTTGATAAGCTCAAGCAGTCCATGTCCGCAGCGTTGGAACAACTTCATGAAGAGCGCGACACGCTTGTTGACGAGAAAAACCAAGCCATCTCAGACCGTGACCGCGCACTGTTGGAGTTTGAGCAATTGTCGTCAAAGAATGCCCAACTTGCCGACATGAACAACGATTTGACCCATCAAATCCAAGAAAGATTCAAGAACCACTCCGATGTACGATCGCCGATGAGCGGCCTTGGCATCTATCAACAGCACAAGGGTGCCTCGAACAACTCTGTCCACCTGGATAGCTCCAGTATACAAACCGGCACCACTTTGATTCCCGACCAAGAAGAACCCATCTTGGAGGCTGGCCCTACTGTTGTCAATATTCGCAAGGGCAAGGTTCAGAAATTTAGCTGGAAGAAGGGGTCGAAAGCCATGGCCCAAAATATCGCCAAAGGAGTCAACAGGACGGTGGGTGCACTCCAGCAACCGGTCGATCGTCGCGAACCACAATTTTCGGGCGAGAACATTGGCATGCCTTACAATATGACCCATACTCTTGTGGAGTCTCCGGTTGCACAAGTTCCGGTAAATGGCCAAAATCGTCAGAATATCAACAGCGAAAAACCGGGTTTCTTTGGCTTCAAGAAATCGAATACTGTGCCAAGAAATCTAGGTATGGGACAATTCAACAACTCGAATCTCGACGTGGCGGAAGCAGCCGACGTCCTCTTTGGTTCCGACCTTTCCGAGCGAGCCGATTTCGAGAAGAGGCATATCCCATGTGTTGTCACTCGATGCATTGAAGAGGTTGAGCTCCGCGGCATGGATATGGAAGGTATCTATCGGAAGACTGGAGGCAACTCTCAAGTCAAGATGATCCAAGAGGGTTTTGACAAGAACGAGAATTTCGACATTTCGGACCCAGACCTGGATATTACGGCCGTCACCAGTGTCTTGAAACAATATTTCAGGAAGCTTCCCATGCCATTGCTCACTTATGACGTCTACGATCGAATTTTGGAGGTTAACTGTAAGATAGACCGCTACTTTTCTGGATGACAAGCTTGGCTGACATGTTGTAGCGATTGCCGACACCGAGGAAAAGTGCGACCATCTTAGGAAGACATTCAATCTGTTACCTCAAAAACATCGGGACTGCCTCGAATTCTTGATGTTCCATCTTGTCCGGGTCGCTCAGCGCGAACGGGAAAATCTAGTATGTCACTCTTTCCCTCGTGCAAAATGTATCTTGCTGACGTGGAAAAAGATGTCCCCAAAGAACCTGGCTGTGGTTTTCGCACCCACCATCATGAGAGATAAAACTATAGAGCGAGAGATGACAGACATGCACGTCAAGAATCTTGCCGTGCAATTCATTATCGAGAACAGCCAAACGATCTTCTCCGAGGACTAAACGATGGACCTTGGAACACATGCAAACCACAATATTGTATATACATTGACATTTGGACGACACCCCCAAGTCGTACACTTGAACAGTCCGGTCGCAGAATCATCTGTGGGACAGGGTGAACGAGGACTGGGTTCACGACGAATTGTCACTCAAGAGTACCCTACTATCCAGCATTGGATCGCGTTCCGTTTTCGTTTCTTGCTATGGTCCACGATTACGACTCCTTTTTCATCTTTTCCTGTCTTGTGTGGCATAGGGAACTTTTTAATGATATCCTTCAAAGCATTGCGGTTCTCTGGAATTCTTGCATCATTCGGGAGCTCATTGGAAGGACTTAGCGGCAGGCTCTGGGGCGATTCTTTAAAATGTTTTTCTTATTAGAGCTCGATATTTCGACATGCGTTCTTCTTGCCTGCACATGGTACACGTTCTACTCCGTTTGACGGGGATTTTGTCGCCTCTTTTTGGCTTTCCATTATTGAGCAGCGAAATCACTGAACTGGACAAGTTAGGATCGTAGTCAGCCTTAGCTGGTATTAACAGAACTTTGGATACGAGTCGTCCATTATCTGACCGTGTTTCCCCCTGTCCTCCAATGCTGATACCATAGTTTGTGATTGGTTCGAAATCTAGCCTTTTTTTCTTCTTCACAATATTTCTTTGATGTGCCCTTCGGGTATCATAATCTGTCGTGGTCCGTTCCTGACTGCCGCTGATTCCAGATGGCACCCTTCCCCTCCCAAACAGCCTTTTGAAGCGCTCCTCTCTCAAATCGCCCAGCAGGAATATGCCTCAAGGGCAGTATTATTGAGTCAACAGGGTGTCTTCGGCAGTACCAGCACCTCGTGCTTTGCTTACTTCTGCTGTGTCATCCTTCGCACTTTCTCGAGCATCAGCGCGCTCTCTCTTCCCAACTTGCGCTGGCCATCCCGTCCTGGTGTTCGTGCTTTCTTCAGTGCCTTGTTGAACCGATCACGCTCGGCATTCTTGCGCTCTCGCTCTTCTGTGCGACGTTGAAATTCTGCTTCCCGCGACTCCTGCTCGGCCTTGTTTCTCGAAGCCTCGTTTTGGGCCTTGTCGAAGTAGCCGGGCTTGCGTTGCTTGCCATGGGGCTTCTGGCGAGGCTCGTCACCCCAGCGCTCTTTCTTCTCTTCCTTGGTCGGCCTCTGGCGCACCATGTTTGCAATATCTGAGGCGTCGGACTCGGCATCATCCGGGTGTTCGACTACCAGCATGGCCTGGCGGTCAGGATGAATTGCTGCGTTCTGCTCGGCGTCTTCTGTTTTCGCCTCCTCTGCTCCTGGTCCTGGAGCTGCTTCACTCTCCCCACTCCCCTGTTGGGGTTTCTGGGCAGGCGGCAGTTCACGTGCCTTGATCTTCTTGTAGGCCTTCTTGAGCTTGGCCTTCTCGATCAGGTCCTTCTTGATCTTGGTCACCTTGCGCTTCCAGGCACCGTCGGGGAGGTTGTCTGGACCGACTCGGAAGCCCTTACGAGCCTTTTTGGCTGCGGGTGCCGCTTTGGAGCCGTCATCGTTCTCGACGGGGCGTTTGGGGGCCATTGTTAATGGAGTGTTGGTGATGGCAAACAAAGACCGGTTGCGCGGTGCTGTTCCTCAAGCCGGCTGGCACCTCTTGCTTTTTTAGTGGGATCCAAGAAATTTAGAGTCGAGGATCATCGTTATCGCTATCACGGAGAGTTTAGGCGGCGGCACTGCTGCGAGCTAGTCTAGCGGGGCGGCGGGCGCTGCACGGCGGGCGCTGCACTGCACCAAACATTCTTACATACGTTATAAGTTATGGTACATGCCTGCTTTAGCATGAGCGGAATCGGCGTCACATATGTGAAGCATGCAGGCATGTGCTTCTTCCGCCGAGTCATGAGGTGAGGACAACGTGGGCTGTATATGTCCGTTAACCACTCGGTCATTAGAGTTTCTTCCCTTGACATCTTACCAGTGTACAGGGCTTGATTGTCATGTTTTATTTGTATAATTACACACTTACGAGTTTCTGGATTCATGCAATGTGATCTCACAAGCCGTCACAGAAGAGACGGGTCACTAACCTAACCTGCCGTACTTGAGAGACTGCACCGCACCCTGCATACATGACCTTGTGCTGGTTCTGGTTTAGTGGACGTAATAACGCGGAATTGACGCTGTGAGATCCCTGAGTATCCCCACTCCGGCATGCAGAAGCCCCAGGGATGATGTGCTAAACTCGGTAAAGACAATGGAGTCATCAGTCAGATGATTGAGAGACAGGCCAAATGGGTACGTACATGCAAGAAGAATTCCTGCTGGAATGAAAGCTCCTTACTCCTGCCCAATCGTCCCTTGTTCGTGGTCATTCCTGAAACATTCATAGTCCTTCCAGCTTATTTTATTTATTTATTTATTCACTGGCCTATTTACTTATTCTAAAAGTCTCTGTTTCGTCTCGCCTTCCGAGTTGTGGAATCCTCGTTGCGGTTGAACTGTTTGACTCAACTAAGCCCACAGCTGCAGTATACAACGCCAGCCCTGTAAGGTGTGGTTGGCGCTCACTAAAGCCAGGGTCGACGACACCACTCAAAGCACTGTGATACTTCAAGACTTCACATGAGATATTACCAAACACCTCGCAAGTAAACAAACTCGGTGGGAGATCAAGAAGCGATGTCAAGGGAAAATACATAGCCTCGTGGTACCGTAATCACGCTCGATGCTATCTCAGAATGCCTTTCTTTGAGGAGGATCTGGACCGGACCGAGTCCGCCGAAAGGACGGAAATGCCGCCACCGCCTGGGTTTCACAAACCACAGCAACTTTCAATTTCCAGCCGAAACGCCGCAAGAAGACTCTCGGATGAAAGCATAAGAACGGAACTATGTGAAGGCCCAACGTTCGAGCACCCTAGACTGGAGGACCCCGAACATGAAGCATACAGCACATGCTCCGACAGAACAGAACTGATTGAGAGACTGAAGCGCGGCGAGAGTCCGACTTGGGTGCCCAATAGACTTGCTAACCAACAACCACCGCCTCAACCCAACAGGAGACTTGTCGACGACCAGCTAGAGTCAATCTGGACCCAGCGACCTGCAGCACCCTCTCCAAATCCCAAGCCCTCGGATGGCTCGCCTGGCCTTCTGCCTGCGCCGACCGTCACGCCCGAAAAACGAGACGCGGAATCCGAAGACGAGAGAAGACTACGAGAAGGCTTGAACATTGAGAGACCTCGATCGGCCCTCCATAGCGGTGACTTTACACAGGCGGACTCGCCGAGAGGAAGAAGGACGACAGAAGGCAGGAGGAGCAACCATGATCGGGATGAGGGTTTCCGGAAACCAAGCAGTCAACCATGGCTTGCGACGTCGCCTCCACGGGATTTCGCACCTTTTCAGTTCGAGAAGAGGCAGGCCACCGTAGAAACGACAGATGCGCACCGTCCTGGTATCTCATCTCTCTCGTCGTCTTTATCTTCGACGAGCTTCGTATATCAGCCACCCACAAGCCCGCTTGTTCAGTCAGAAAGCCATGAGGATCTCGATCTTCCTATGGACGGTATCAACCTCAGCTCGAGCATCACCAGGAGTTCCCGTCGGCACACGCTGATGTCCAGTTATTCAGGCTCGCATAGTTCCTATTCTCCGAACCTGATGCCCGTGCGAGCACCCTTTCTTCGACAGGAGAGAACATATCCATACCAGGCACATCAGCCCCGAAGATCACTCACATCCACGCCCAACGTCGCTCTCACAGGCACTTCGCCACAAACACCAGCGTACCTCCGGTCACGGCGCCCTTCGTATAGCTCAGAATCGTCGCCAGTGCAACATGCCTCCATGGTTGGCTCCTACGAAGAAAGTATTCTTCGAGGACGCATGTCCACAACACCTTCTAAGCCGTTGGACTTTGTCGCCCAAATAGGGGTTCTGGGTATAGGAAAGTGCAAACCAAGTCTCCGATGCCCTGCCCATGTAACGCTGCCATTCCCTGCGGTGTTCTACAGCTACGCTATTTCCTCCGTTAGCCGGTCGAAAAGCGAGGATGGCCCCAGTCCTTATGTTGGCCAGATTGATCTGGAAAACGGCTTGCCAAACCAAGAAGAGGAAGCTCGATCAAAACGCAAGAACCATACTCGAGCCCAAGAGCGAAAATCAACAGAGGATCTCCCAGAGGATGGGGATCTGCTCGCAGAACGAGTTGCCAGAGACGCTCGTAGGTCACAGAAACAAAAAAGGAGGTCGGGGTCGCCAAGGGCTCCTCCCGGCGGAAGCTATCGTATCCCAGAAAAGGGACAAATACAGATCATCATTAAGAATCCCAACAAAACGGCCGTGAAGCTTTTCCTGGTTCCTTATGACCTTGCCGGAATGGAGCCAGGAACGAAGACCTTTGTACGGCAGCGTAGCTACTCGGCTGGCCCGATTATTGATAATTTACCCGAACTCAAGGACTCGAAAGCTGCTGACCGACCGACACTACGCTACCTGATACATTTGCACATATGTTGCCCTTCGCGTGGTCGGTACTACTTGTACAAGAGTATCCGCGTAGTGTTTGCGAATCGTGTACCAGACGGGAAAGAAAGACTACAGAATGAAATAACATTACCTGACCCCAGGTACACTGCGTATAAGCTGATTAGAGTAATGCATCCGCCTATGGGCGTAGGAAGCGGTCCTGGAGCAAGCTTGGCTGCAGAAAAGGCCTTCAGGCGACGGAGCTCAGGATTTTACTTTGGTGCCTCCAGTCAAGCTTTCGATGCTCCTCCTGATGGCCTTGTGCCAGAATCGACCGCGCCTCGACAGTATTTATCCCTTAGTTTCGGGGGTGGCAACGACCCTGTCGATGTTATGCCCTTCCGTTTCCCCCAGAGGCAGCAGATAAGTGATGGTCAAACTGATCTGAGCATTGTCACTGGGAATAGTCAGATGGATGTTTGGTCGACTGGTTCCTCGCAGCTGAGTCGCCCTACAACTCAGGACTCGAACAATATTTCAGGTCTTGGCGGGTCGGTCGGTCAACTTGATAGATATGACAAGTTAAGCAAGGGTGATGTTGGTTACGGGGGAAATCCCTTTTCGAACTTGATCAATGGGAATCCAGGCACAGCGGAAAGCCTTCTATCCCAAAGACTAAGGACACTCGGCGTTGAGGGTCAAATGTTGCAAGATTCAAACGACATGGAACAATAGGCAGTTCCGTCTTGTTTATCTATTTGCTCGGCGTTCAACTAGACTGGGCGTTTTGGGGCGTTGTCGCAACTGAGCGGGTCGAAACGAGAAGATATCCTAGCGCATACCTTACTCCTTGCGACACTTATCGCAAGCTAATTCTTGAATAAACTCATATTTCATCTCATCTCTTTCACCCTGCAACTCTAGTTTTGTCGGCGCTGTCTCTTGCGGACATCCCATACTTTGTCTTCGCATCGGAGACTATTCTGGGCTAGTGTCGACCATGGAGAACGGATGGTTTCAGATGATTGGCTCAGCTCTATAGATACTGTTGCCAAAGCCCTCTGGTGAAACGCGGATCACAACATGATCATCGTGCTCGGCGGCCGAGCTGGAAGCCAAGTCAAAACGGGTTGGAGTTGTAAATAGACGTACATGAATGAAGCTCGTGGGTCCTCTCCATTCGCCAAGACTGTCACATCTCAGCTCTAGGTGATGTAGTAACTAATACCATCTCAGTTTCTCCTTCCGTATTTCCTTTGTTCTTCGGCTTAAGCGGTCCTGGTGGCTGTACTCGTGTATTACCCCCTTGAGGTGATGTTGCCGCTTTACTCGGCAGCCAGCAGCAGGCTGCTAGTCTTCGTCGTAAACCTGTTTCTTGCTATCACGGTCGGTGCAGCCCCAACACCCGAGCCAGGGCCCCTCGGCAACCTCGGGGCGGTGTTCAGCAAAGACGTCAACCTCACCGAGATCATCAATACGGGCATAACTACGCTTGCAGAGCTGCTCACCGCCCTGAAATCGGGCGAGACCAACCAGAATGGCCTGTGGGGCATCATCAACATCAACAACATCACCTCGCACCTGCACGACGACGACAATGCGAACAACAGAACCAGCAATTTCCTCTCCACCATCAAGGGACACACGCCACACGCCGTGTGTCCGGGCGTAGCTGTTCTCTTCGCCCGCGGCACCAAGGAACCCGGTAACATGGGCTTCCTCGCCGGCCCGCCCTTCGTCACCGCGCTGCAGCACTACGCGAACGGCTCGTCGCTGGCGGTCCAGGGCGTCGACTATCCCGCCACCGCTCGCGGGTTCAAGGCCGGCGGGTCGCCCGAGGGGGCGGAAACCATGGCAGCCCTGGCCAACGCGACGAGGGAGGCGTGTCCGGGTGCCAAGGTGGTGCTGGCGGGCTATTCGCAGGGGGCGCAGGTCGTGAGGAGGGCGTGCGGGTTTCTGGGGGATGACGCGGCGGGCCGGCTGAGCTCGGTAGTACTGTTCGGCGACCCGGGCAACGGCACCGCGGTGCCCGGTGTGGCGGCGGACAGGATCTTCACGGCGTGCCACGACGGGGACGCGGTATGCAAGGGTGGTTCGGTGGTCCGCCCACAACATCTGAACTACAGCGGAGACGCGCCGGCGGCGGCCTTGTTTGTCATGGCCAAGACGGGTCTGGGCATGGGAAGTGGTGACGCCGTGCTTGACGGCATGGGGGATATCCCGATGATGAATTCAACAGCACAGCAAGGAATTGGGGAGATGGTGGTGGGCGATCTCGGAAGTGACAAAGGTGATAGCCAAGGCGTGTTAGGGCTGGGTTAGGAAATTAAGTTGATAGATAAAAGGGGTCCTAGACTTTTCGAGAGTTACATAGTTTGAAAGCACAACTGTTAACTAAAAGAAAAGAAAAATCCGTCATTTGATTTCTGATTTCGTAACGTATTGACGAAATGCTCAACAGAAAATATGAAAGTAACCGAGCAGTCTGTCCTGTCACTAGGTCTCATACACAACAACTCCCAATTTAGTCATCAGAGTACAAATAAGTGAGGCAAGTATAAGAAGCATGATAGTCCACCTAACCTCGTTCTGTAGATACTTACTTACATCAAGTAAATTATAAAGCTGTCAGGCTACCTTACTACTCCAGAATATCTCCTCCAGTATCCACGACTATATATTCAGTATTCCAGCCTTTCGTGATCCATCCTAAAACTCAACCCATTGACATCTAATGATCATTAGTGTGTGTTCTCTCCTAGATAGCTTGCCTTCGCTTTTTGTTATCAAACTTTCACTCGTTCGACGCCACGTTGATGAATCACTTATCGAATACATTGTTTCACTCTTCATCGCTGGTGTGTCCCTCACTAGAGCTGCCCTCAGTGCAGTCTTCATCGCTTGAAGTGGCCGAGTCAAGATTGGAGCATTAGATGACCCAGACCGCATTCTTTGGTAGGAGGGCCCAAGAAATGTGCCCATTGACGCACCATACAAAACAGTCGTAGAAGCACATAAGACGTAGTCAAGTGCGTTCTCCTCGAAACCAACCAGCCCATGTTCTTAGGCTCTCCAAGGGGCATTCACATGTGATAATAGACCGATTAGGTATTTGAATGCAATTACTGGCACCCTGATATTTTTCAGCAGTACAGTTATTGAAACCGCAGTGTTCATACAAAACGGGTTCACACGATTGTATTTGATTGTGATCGGGGTAATTATGATAATGAGAATCGTGTGTGGGAGTTTTGGTCGTACACTCGCGAGGCACGAGGCTTGCAGGAGTGTCGATCCAGCAGTCTAGATAACGCGGGCGGTCATGGAGAAGTCGAGTCGACCATTCGATGGATAGCACCATCATGCTGCTGGAATGGCGGTAGCAGTCTATTCATCACCTGTCGATTTTTGAAGCTCGAATATGGCCGCCAAGAGTCGCTGGTTTGCTGGGCGGCGAGGAGACAGATACCGTGCTTGTCTACGACTTCTGCGAGGAGAGGAGATTCGCAAGAAGATTGACGCATGTTTTCGCAATACACCTGGTCTGACAGTTACTAGATCTTGCCGTACTCTTTACGCTCAGCTGCGATGCCAAGTTAAAGGCAATCCACACTAAAGAGCTAGGTTAATTGACTTCCGGAGTTACTTTTGTGTATATCATGCCGCTTATGTCTTTGAGAAGATTATGGTCACACAGGGCAAGCCCAAAAGCAAGCATTGGTTGGATTTGAAAGAACGAAAAAGGGAAGCATTGGCGGGTTATGTCCATGGAATTTTCAAGCCAGAAGATGAGTTATAAAATTCTATTCGGCCTCGATCCAAATGTTTGTCTTTCTTAAATTTCTGGACTCAGATTACATCACGACAACGGCTCAGGGTCTTGCTTTTGCTTGTATCAAGTATATTTTCTGTCCCCTGTGGAATGGTAAAACTTTACAAGCGAAAAGGATGGACATAGTATGCGGCCTGCTCATAAACGAGAGCACCGCGATTTGACAACGTAACGAAGATATTATTCCGCTATTCGGAGCCGAAGCCGAGTCATCACGGCTACGGCTTGCCTCTTTAGTCCGGGGCCAGATGGCCACTGACAACGCCGAGGCCGGAAGGGCGCAAGCGTGCCAGGGGTCTTCTGCATCTCTCACTCAAAGTTCACAAAATGACCTGCCACTCTCCTCTTTTCACATTCTGCTTGGTCGAATACTAGAAAGAACGAAAAACCTGTGAATCTCATTTATACATTCTATGTTGCGAACATCACGTTGGTCTAAAGCAGGCCAGATGGCGCTCCCGTTCGCTAGGCCTTCTACACTTGCACCGGGGTTCACATTCTCGCGATGCACGCCCGAAGACATACCGCAGATGGTCTCAGTCTATGTAGCCGCATTTACGCAAACCAACTTCGTGTATTGGTGGGCATCTGACCTCAATGTTATGACAAAGTGGACCGAGGCGCGATTTCGTTTGCGTTTCCGTGATCCAAGAGACCAGCAGTTTAAGATAGTGGATGATCAGACAGGTCAAATTGTGGCGTGGGCACGATGGACAGTGCCGGAGAACTTGAAGGGCCTCGATCCGGGTTTTAGGCTGTATGAAGACTTAGAGGAAGGCGAGTTTAATGGTCCGGAAACCCAGTATATGCAAAACCCTCCACCAGGTAGTAAAGAAGAGCTCTACCACGAATTCTTCGGCGGTATCAAAGGAATGGCTAATAAATGGGATTCTGAGAAGAAGCTAGGTGAGTACTGAAATTAACCCGACCCAAGTCTTGCTTCTCCGGAAGTTGTGATAAGCACTGGTCGTTGACACCTACACTAGCTCTACAACTTCTTTGCACACATCCTGCCTACCACAGACGCGGGCTTGGTGCAGCATTGATGAAAGACGTGTTGCAGATAGCCGACGCCGAAGGCTTCACGACATATATTGAGGCACTGGAAAATGCCGTGCCCGTTTATCAACGCTACGGGTTCAAGACTGTGGACCAGTTGCAATTCGACCGGACGAAGGCGGGCCTAAATGATACCGCAGTTGTCGATATTATGTTACGAGAGCCCATAGCCGTATGAGGGCCTATGGCGTAACTTGAACACGGCCACAAGCTTGGGTTTGAGGTCGCTCATTTGAGAATGAAGATGTTGCTTGGTTACCTTCGGACAGCTTACTCTAGCCTGTAATAGAAGCTATTGGCAGTTTCCTTGCTCCATCGTGCAAACATACCTGGTACGGACTCGTGCAGCAGGTACCAGCTGAAGTTATGAGATCAACCGCGGTATTTCTACCACGTCATATCGACGAGTTTTCCATATGCATAACTTGAATCACAAACACTCGGCCTGTTCGCAGTAGGGAATCTCATGACCGATGCGGTACAACAACAGAGCAAAGCCTTGCATTAGCCGGCCCCACGTTCAATTGGTGACTCCAATGCTCTTCGATGCAAAGAATCGTATACTTCAAGGGCACCATTAGTTCCTTACTACGTGAGGGAAAGATGACAGTCCCGATCAAGAGTTTTTTTTTTTTTTTTTTAAGTTAATTTTTTCTTTCTTTTAGGAAATAGGACTTAACTCCAGCCATGTTATTTGGTTTTGTGACCTAGGAAGACCCATAGTCAACCATGTTCCGCCGGGTGGGTCGCTGAAGCCCCTATTGGGGCACTTTGGAAATGCTAAACTCCTACCCCTTTCAGCATGAAACACCCATTTCTCTGATATCCTGAATCTCTTATCCTTGAAGACTCAAACGATCTGCTCACGGGTAGAGCTGAAGTGAACCATATCCGGGTCTGTCAATGTTCGGGACCTAACGCTGCACGCGCGGAATTTTCAGCCCTGTTCATGCGTCAAGCACATCGACACCAACGAAGCATAATACCAATCTCAATTTTGAAACATCAGCGCCAATCACACCGCGATCACTGCACCAGCCTGAACACCTAGAGTAATGCTGTGCCTGTGACCCATAACATTGATTTTCGGTCATTTTCGCCATAACGGATAAGTCACCGTTTAGCAATGCTTTCAATCAAACAAATCTGGCCAACACATGGTTTGTCTACCAAACATCACAGGCCCATATTACGGGCCTAGTTGACACAGAGGCTGTGTGAGCCATGCTAAGACTTAACACATTAGGCCTTAGGCGAGGTGAGTTCAGATAAGGATTCTCCATGGATCTGCTCGTGCCTTGTAGGGGTTTGTCATGGGCTTTGGTTCGTCCAAAGTCCCAAATAATTGTTGTTGCCGCCGCGTTGACACCGCCCACTATGACCAACCTGATACTGCCTTGTATCCCTGTCTCCATAATTCTTGTGTCCCTTATAGCTAACGTACCGGAACGATGCCTTGAGAAAATCTTCGTCCTAGACATCTGTTGTTTCTTTCGTTTGCATCATGGTCGCGGCGTCATACATTGGAGGACTATTGTCTCGAACGGCATGGTTAATTTCTATTGAGGAGACCTCTCGGGCCGCCCACAAGTCTTACAAATCAAACACAATCGATGCTTTACAAGTCCTACAAGGATGGTACGACAATACGACTGGACTGTGGGATACCACTGGGTGGTGGAATAGCGCCAATTGTTTGACAGTCTTGGCCGACTTTGCCAGCCTAGACGAGGACATCTTGTTAGAAAACGGTCTAAATGTAGCAGACATCATTCAAAACACCTACGAACAAGCTCAGTTGACCACCATTCAAGCGGAGAAAACTATCAATGCCGCTGGTATGACCGTGTCGAGCTATACCAGGATTTCGAAAAGAGACAACATTGAGGCCAGAGGGTTCGATAATTTCTTGAACGACTACTACGACGATGAAGGCTGGTGGGCTTTAGCCATGATTCACAGTAATGATATTGGAGTGCACGGACTTGGCGATCAGCAGTATTTGAAGGCTGCAGTTGATATTTTCGAAGATATGAAGAAGGGTAATTCGACAGTAAGAGATTTTTGGAATCATGTTTTTCCCAGCGTGTCAATGACCAACAAGCCATCGTGAAGAAATGAATACTGACTCCAAATGCTGTAGTGCGGAGGCATTTACTGGAGTAAGGTGACTGCGTATACGAACGCCATCGCCAACGAGCTTTACCTGAGCGTGGCAGCATCATTGGCCAATAGGATGCCCAATAAGCAGTACTATCTTGATATCGCCAATGAGCAATGGAATTGGTTCAAGAGTAGTGGGTTGATCAACTCTGACAACCTAATTAATGATGGCTTGGATGATAATTGCCTTAACAATGGGCAAAAAACCTGGACATGTAAGATGAATATGTTCGTTTCAACTGCTATTCCTGCTAAACAACCGGAATTAGATAACCAAGGTGTGATACTTGGCGGTTTGACCGAGCTTTACAAAGCCACCAGGAACGTAACTCTTTTGTTAGAGGCGCAAACAATAGCTACGACAGCAATCAACACGCTGGCTGTTAACGGGACCTTGTACGAGGGCTGCGAACCAGACTGCGGATCTGACGGAGCTCAGTTCAAAGGAATATTCATGCGTAACCTGAAATATCTTCAGGAAGTCGCCCCGAAGGCTTCTTACAAAGCTTTCATCATGCAAAATGCTGAATCAATCTGGGATAACGACCGAGATAATCAGACACAGCTCGGTGTGACTTGGACGGGTCCGTACACAACCGCATCGGCTGGGACGCAGAGTTCAGCACTGGACGCTTTGTTGGCTGCCTTGACTATTACATGAATGATTGAGACGATGAAATATCAAGGATAAAATAGAAGGTAGACGGGTGTTTATTATAGTCTGTTTTGAAGGCATAGATTCGGTTAAAGCTTAAGACAAGAGGAGCAGATTATATTAATGATTAATGAGATAATTAAGTATGAACTCCAAACACGAAAGGCGGCAGAGTATTTCAAACCGGCACTTACCAGTCCAACGTCAAGTCCAACGCAAATCCAAAGATAAAAAGAGAGAGTAGGGGAGGGGAAAGCATACCAAGTCATCTATTTAAAACCGACAAAAGACTGAAGTAGGAGCCTGCTCAATAATGTACAGCTATTGTCGACGCCTCAAGTCTAATGGCATTCCTCAAATAACGAGTTTATGCAACTAATGGGACTCTCCTGGGCCCAGCTTGGTATCGCGCAACGGGATACTCACAACAATTTTCCAACCACCAAGAGTGTTATAATTATTCGGTAGCCCGTCATTGACATGCAGAAAGAAACCCTTCGATATAGCATTGCGAATGATAAGGCGTTGTCGATGAAGAGTGAGAAGGAAAAGACTGTTGCAGGCCGGAAAAGCGCTGCCTGAAAATCTCCGGTGGAACCAAGAAACAACGGGGCAGTGGTCATTTGTCGCCCAAGGAGCCAAAAACGACCTCAACTGGTCCTTGCAGCTGCATTTCAAGAAGAGGGTTTAAGTCTGTCGCAATGGATGAGTCAGAATTGGATCGTGATATTGTGATCCAGCGGTACTCCGCTGATCTCATTGCCGACTTTGACAGCTCCCTAGGACCTTTCTTGCGAAAGCCGAATGGTCAATTGCGTACGCGAGTGAGGGAAAAGGAGACCCTCAGACTCGTGACTCAGGTAAGATAGCACAAAGTGAACATTGAGTTGCTAAGACTGAGAATATCACAGGTTTTGGAGCCATTTCAGGAGCTCCCTCAGTTACTGGATCCGCATCTCCCCAAATACCTCCCTATTCTAGCGGAAGCATATCTAGAGCAAATTCGAAACCGCCACAGGACGAAGTCTCTATCCCTTCGATCTCAATTACTAACTCCGCTATCCAATGCAATATCCCGAATCATCTACACCTTCTGCAAGATCAGAGGTGAAAAGGTGGTCGTGAGGTTCTTGAGCGTTGAAACTAAGTACCTCGAACCCCTCTTGTATGCCATAGAAGATGCGGATCGCCGAACCAGTGCATCGCGTGACGGAAGTACAACAGAACTATGGACATGGCATGAGAGATACGTTATCCTGTTATGGCTGTCTCAACTCTTCTTCGCACCTTTTGATCTTTCAACGATATCTTCGGGAGATATTGATGAAGCCGAACCACCTGATATACCTGGATTTCAATGGCCATCCCGAGTCCCGGGGATCACATTACGTGTCATACCACTTGCAATCAAATATCTTGCTTCGCCAGGTAAAGAACGAGATGGCGCCAAAGCTCTACTCGTCCGATTGGCTATGCGACGTGACATGCAAGAAATTGGTATCTTGCAGGCACTAGTACACTGGGCCCTTTCCACTCTGCACATCACGAAAGATAATATCGCCGAGACACCATATCACTATATCGGAAGCCTCGCTCTACTTGCTGGTATCCTAAGGTCTTCAGCCGACACATCTATAATGAACCCACACCTGGCTTCCATATTCTACGCTGTTCAGAAGGTGTCATCGGAGGAAAATGAACTCTTCGAGATCATCAAGGGTTCAGCTCTTGCGCGTAAGATGATGATCAAGGTAGTGAGGTCGGTGATTATTTTAGTTCTCCGCAAGACAGAGCCATCAAGGGAAGACACCGAGATGGTAGAGACATCCATCGGCTATTTACTCGAAAGCTTGGCGGATAATGATACTCCTGTCAGATTTGCAGCCAGCAAAGCTCTCAGCATGATTACATTGAAGCTCGAGTCTGATATGGCGCTACAAGTAGTTGAGGCAGTCTTGGAGTCTTTGAACCGGAACGTATTATGGGTGAAGTCTCAGCTTCCCGGGTCCACAGGACGCATTCGCGATCTTACAGCTGTCGACGCATTGGAGTGGCATGGTCTCATGTTGACACTTTCTCATCTGCTCTACCGACGTTCGCCGCCCCCAGAAACCCTCTCAGATATTATCCATGCTTTAATAATGGGTCTGTCGTTTGAGAAGCGAGGAACCGCGGGCGGTTCCTTCGGCACCAATGTCAGGGATGCGGCATGTTTTGGTATTTGGGCTGTGGCCCGGCGCTATACCACGGAGGAGCTCTTGCAAGTTCCTACTCGAGTAGGGAATGTTATTCATTCAGCATTTCCTTCTGCATCAGTTATCCAAACTCTGGCTACCGAGCTCGTGATTGCTGCTTCTCTTGACCCCGCTGGAAACATCCGACGAGGCTCATCGGCCGCTCTACAAGAGCTGATTGGAAGACACCCTGATATCGTCAGCGAAGGCATTGCTGTTGTCCAGACAGCCGATTACCATGCTGTTGCGCTGCGTTCAAGAGCAATCCATGACGTCGCTCTACAAGCGACTCGTCTTTCCACAATATATGGGGTTGGACTTCGGGAAGCTCTTCTGAGCTGGCGAGGTATTGGCGATGCAGATGCAATGGCTCGCAGAGTTGCTGGTACTACTTTTGGGCTGCTCACAGCAGTAACAAGCAACATTACATCAGATCCTCTGGATCACTTCAATCAGGCCACAGAGCTTTTGCTCAACAGGATTAGGCTACTACAGACACGTCAAGTTGAAGAACGGCATGGTCTATTGTTAAGTCTGGCTGCAACCTTTGATATACTCCCCGAGCTTGTCCGAGATGGTTTATCGCAGAAGTCGTTGGAACGTGCTTCGATATCCAGACTTTTGGACGCCCTCGTGAAAGTTCTGGAAGAATGCACCTTGACAACATACCGCAAGCCTGAGCTGATTGCAGAGGCTTCAGCTAGGCTAGTCACATCATCTTTTCCTATATTATTGCTCGGTTTGATGACTGGGCATACTTCAATGTCCGCGAAACTGACTCAGGATCTTATCCAGACAGGCAGAACCGTTACTGTTGATAGTCAAATGTCGACCAAACTCTTACCTATCAAATCATTCCTTGATGGAAGTACTTTACTCGAAAACACCAATATTCAGAGGGTCGTTGCCGTCCTTTCTGCAGCTGTTTTCGCATGGCTAAATAGAAGCGATGCTGAAGTTATCGACGCAGCCGCACCAGCTTCTACAATATTGCTTCTTTTCTCACCACCTGAAGAACGGCCACGTATCATTCAGAGATGGATTGATATTATCAGCGATCCGAAAACCTCTCGACAAAAACATGGAGACGGCATCTATTTTGCTCTTACTCAGGCATACCATATATCAGCACTGCTTTCAGAGGATAAGCGAACACTTCTCAAAATCCCTGAAGCTTTCCGAGTTCGTTGGGCGTTAGACGGCGAGATTGAGACTCACGTGGCGATTATTCGCAGCCTCGTTGGCAGAGACATGCTCCGGTACCAAGTGCTAGATTTTGTTCCCATCATTTCAGCAGGACTCGATGACTATACTACTAATGCCCGAGGAGACATTGGTTCACATGTGCGCCTAGAAGCTATTAAGGCTACTCGGACACTATGGGAGTCCTGCTTGGAGGGGTGCACAAGCCAGAGCAAGAACGAGATCCTCGGGCTGTTTCCCAAAGTGCTTCGCCTGGCAGCTGAGAAATTGGATCGAGTTCGTGTTGAAGCCCAGGCTGCATTGACACTATTGCTGGCAGCAAGGTTTGTTCCGACTATTCACACAAATAACGAGATCTGGGCTAACTTAGTAACAGGGAAAGCGATATACTAAAAGGAGTATCATTCTCCTCACGCGTATATTTCGTTCAGCTGTTCGATCTGTGCAATGCTAGTCACCTTCTACAAAACGTTGCAGGTAGTTGGCCGTTGAGCGAGTTTGAATGCGTCTCCAGCCTATTGGCTGGTCTGGCAACATCAGCAGATACTGGCAACGAAGATCTTGTCATCGCTAGCCGTGCCGCAATCGCGGAGGTTTGCAAGGCTTCTAGCGATAACTTGGCCAAGATCTGCATGTCGCTGATCCACAACCTCAAGATCTACCAAGGCCAAGACAGAGTCATCGTGCCTACTTTAGAACTGATAGCGTACCTATTTCATATCGGAAGCTTTCAGCAATGCAGGGAAGTCAGTCTACGTCAACTCTGTCTCTTGACACAGAAGGCCGGGTACAAGACAGGAAATGTGCGCAAGCTGGAAGCGTGTGTCAAGGTGTACGGCGGCATAGCATCCACAACGGTAGACGAAGTTGAAGTCAAGACTGACACTGGTGTGACGTCTGACCTAGAACTGAAGAGGAAGGAGGGTATCGCGGAGTCAAGACGCAGGTTAGGTGCCCTCTTGAGCCATCCTTGGCCCCGAGTGAAGACCCTTGCTATCGATGAACTGTGGGGATTGCTGTCAAGCTCAGTCTCACCAGAAACATCAGACGAATCACATAATCAACATGTGCAAGCCGGATTATTGAGCGTCGATTGGGGTCAGGCTGACAAAATGGCCATAAAGACGCTGGTGGAGAACTTGGGGTTCAATTAGTCGAAAAGGAAATCCTATCCCCAAACACTCCCGTCTGCAGTGTGCGGGCTGCATAGTATTAAGATTCCAAATTATGTAGATCTCGGCCGCTCTGCCTCAATGGGATTGGATGTCCCTCTAACTCAGACGACCATCAATAATTGTTACAACTGCCCGTGTCAGATGCATCGGATGATCATATAGCAACATTCAATATGGCACTGGCGATCTCGAGCTACGGAAGTATATCGCATTGCCGTGAGATTGCGCTACGGCCTGGTCCCCACTAGTCTAGGTTTACCACGAATCGGTCGCAACGTGGGGCTTCAGTGACCAATTCATAGATTGTAAAGATGCAGCTTGAATGCGGATTGTAGACATTTGGCTGTGGAAGTTCTGCGTATGAGCATGTTGGCATTTCTAGGGTACTGGTGGGAAAGTCATCCCGTGAAATTACCGTTGAATGCTGGAAAACCCTGATCTGCGGCCCGAATGAGTGCCATGCCTAGGCAATTACAGAGATGAGATGTGGCTCATGCTTGGAGACGTGGACAATCACGAGATCATCGACTGAGCAAGAAGCACGGTGACTTCGCAGACAGCGTATCAACCGGCAATCGACGATAGACAATGGCGAGCCACCCTGTGTTCACATATAACCGAGCCATCGCGTGCGCGCGAAGGAAGTAGTAGTTTTCGACCATTCTGAGTACTAATAGTGCACTGTCTTTCTCATTCCGCAGTAGCAAAATAGTAAGCGTGTGGGGGATCACCCAGCCTTTGCCAAGCAATTCGGCTATGCTCCCCTATCGATCAGCAACGGTAGTATTGAGCTCGGTCTCGCGTGCCACATGGCAAGGAATGGGTCTGATGCGCTCGGCAAAGCAAGCAAGGAACAGCCGCAATCGTTTTAAGAGAGAGCACTCCTTGTGAGAGAGATGTGGAAACATGGCAGGGGCTCCGACGCGCTCACATGTCTGACCTAGCGATTGCGCTCGTGCTCAGGGCCGCTGAATTGGTAACACGGGCTGTAAGTTGGAACGGTCCTTTTGACCAGGGTGCGCTTTGCGGCCTGGCCGCCAGATAGAGTATAGTGCTGGATGAGCAGTGCAAAGATTTGAGCTACCTGCATAGGCATCATGAAGGATGAGCTGTGTCAGTGGTGTAGATGGAGATAAATAATGTTGCATTGCTTCTTATCAGGGATACAGATAGTATACAGACTGGATTGGGATGAAAAATAGTATTTCTGGTCTATAGATACGGCTGAGTACTGTGTTCTGCGTCCGGCCAACCTGGCCGTTACCGCCGTGTAAATTGCTTGTTGAGTGTGAATTACCTAGTCAGGCCGCGCCCTCTGTATAGGCGTAGTAAAGCTAGTTGCAGTATAATGTTTGTGAGTGAGCATGGATAAGATTTCTGACTACCAGTACCAAGGGCGGAGCAGAACGAGAGTTGCCAGTCTCGACATGGACATGCAGTGTGACTTGGATCAGCGACAAGCGATGGCACCCTCAAGGATTTCCGGACGTAGTATGTTGTGCGACGGTAAGACTGAAGAAAACACCGTTACCAATTGTATGGCTTGACAGTCATGATTGCAGTTCAGACTGCATGTGCTTCGCCTATCACAAGGCGCTATGTACGCCTCATCCCTAGCTTTTTACCCCAAGAATTCTCGGTTGGGCAGTTCTCAAAAGATAACGTCGAACGACCCCCATCTTTCACCTGACGAAACATCCCTACAAAAGAGGTTGTCGACAGAAACCGAAGCGCGATGCCATTTTGGGAACTTTCGACTTACTTACTTGCTTACTTACTTACTTACTTACTTACTTACTTACTTACTTACTTACTTACTTACTTACTTACAACCGTGGGGTATTGTGTGCTTTGGTGGTGTATTTGAGGTGTCAACATGTTTCTTGCGTAAACAATTCTCCAATCTGATTTGAGAAAAGCATGATTTGGATTGAGGTGTCTCGCCGAGTCCAAGGCCGTTGCGTGAGCCCCCCCCCGCAACTTGTGAATTGTGCCGGCTTGGCCAGTAACAGATATCCTTGCAATTTTCCCTGTCCTCCACAATATGAGCTGGATGTCCTGTTCCTCGGGTCCGATCAGAAGGGTCACGATGGGCATAAACTTGAAGGGTCCAACTCAAGTTCGGGGCCTAGATCAGCAAGAGCAAACGCTATTCAGCGTAGCGTTTGCGGCTTGTTATTATGTCGTTATCGGCAGGCAGCGCTAAAATACCTTAGCCAGAATATTTGTACATAGCCTGCGCCTGTCTCTGTTCGAATTTTGCAGTACAGTAATTATCGCGCCCAGCTATTACCATATGCGGGGTGCGAAAGGTCCTTGTGCCACGTCAGAAAGGATGTGGTGCTGCCAGGAATAGGCAGACTGCGTCTTGTCCCGGAAATTTTTATTATTTTTGTTGGTGACCGGAGGCAACAAATACACGGCTTGATGAATATCCAAAAAGCGCCCTGGAACGGTGAGGGTACACGTGCACTCGGGAACTAGTGAAAGAAACCGATCTAAGCCCAGTGATAAGGAGTCCAGATCATTCACGACTCAACGACGATCTTACGACGACGCTGTCGTTAAGCACCGTCGCATGCGCCATCTCGAGCTGGACTGAGAGTTTAAAGGCAGACAAACCTAGCAGCTAGGCAGACCTCAAGTCAGCCACAAGCGAGCGGGCTTTGCCGATATCTACCGCGTCTTTGTAGCCTCATCTCCGTCCCGGCTTGGTTTATGGCGGGCTCCAGTTCGCTTGACACCGCTTTGAGAGCAAGCGCCGCAGTTTGTGGTAACTCGGATGATACAACGTCAGTTATCGTCGCGCTACAACGAGGCCGAGAGAATCAAGACTGTTCAGCTCAGGATTTCTTAGGGATGTTATTGACGGCAGGCACCCAGGCACCCAACACAAAATCATGGCATCCTCTTATCTATCGCCTTGCAGCGCTAGACATATGCACTAGACAAATGACCAACCTCCATATGTATCTCTTAATCCCACGAAGTCGGATCCTGTATGGGTTTAGCAGCAATGACTGTCATTCGCTCGAGTATTCGCTTACGGTGTCGACGGTAGCCTGCACCGCGAAATTGATGGGCTGTCGATTCGCAAGACGCCACCCCTGCCCTGCTGTGGCGCTCGTGCATCGCTCTTTGGTCCTGCTGCAAGCCTGAGTGTGTGAGCCCTTTCCCGAGTGAATTGCCCTGCCCGTTGTGTTGCTCCACTCAACGGGGACTGGCGCCATCCAAGGTCTTGGAGTGGTCAGACACACCAATTCATCCAAACGAAGACCATAAGAGTTCAGGATGTTCAGGTCTGGCGCCCCTGGTGACATTGGTGCGGCCCACTGAAGTAGGCTTGGGTAGAGATAGCCAAGCACCAAGCCCACCGCAGCTGCAACTGGTGCCGAAGCCAAAAGATACCGCTCTTTGCACTTGAGCGAATAGCCGGTTTCCCAAAGGATCGGACGGCCCTGAACCCTGTCTCAGTCTATCAGCGGGCACCTAGCTTCACTCAGCTGTGTACGTACTGTAAGATATTGGAATCTTTTCTCCATGTGAGCGCAACCAGGGTCGAGATTGTGCACCGTCACACCCACCCTGCCCACCATCCAGATTGCCCGCGCACCCACCTTCTCGCCATTGTACCTCGACGCTTAGATCTAATATTACCCTATCCATGCCCTGCCTGTCCCTCCCCGTTTGTTCATTATTACTACGACTTCACACCTTATGTCACCTGTGGCAATAACTGGGCGTGTAATAACACGGACGGCAACGACGACAACGACGACTCACCTTTCTGGCCAAGACCACCATACCAAGTATACTGCCTGCTATCACGACTATTTTGATCTGATCGCATAGTCACTGGGCATAGTACGGGGGCGCTTTGTTCATGCAACGGTCCTGCACAGGGAACCGCCCACTAGTAGCTCATCACAGACCACTTGTTAAACGTCATAACAAGAACCCTTTGTCCTCGAGTCGCAAGAGGGTTCTAAAACGGAAACCACCAACATTGTCTTTATCAACTCACATTTTCAGTCAAGACATGTATCGGCGCGCCTCAACCAACATATTATCGCCACATCGTCTATGACCATCTGCGAGCGCTCAGTATCTGGTAACAACCTTCCGCTACACGCTCGTCCCCTCCACGGAGGCCGACGGGCGAGGCCAGGACTGAGCGTGTGCGATATGTCGCTCTACTCAGATCCGCCACGGCTGCACAGTTTTCAGGACGACAAGCCGAGCCTTATGGTTTGTTGGTGGATCACACTATTTTGCGCGACCATCATACTTTTCCGTGTTGCCGGCCGCTTCATACGATCAGAAATGCTATTCAGGGAGGACAAGACTGCAGCACTCGCCCTGATACCACTTTTCGCACGTATGGCTTGCTTGCACGTCGTCTTTCTTTTCGGAACAAACAACGCCCAGTTACCAGACAATCTAAGTGTCGAAGAGTTACGGAGGAGATCAATCGGCAGTGGGTTAGTACTCGCAACTCGGGTGCTCTATGCAGCAACGTAAGTGCCGCCTCATCCGTTCAAGTTGGGCTCAACTTTCAATGTGATTCTGATGTGGCGGGACCAAATACTAACATCGATTCAACCAGGCTTTGGATCCTGAAGAGTGCCGTTCTCGAATTCTTCAAGCGGCTAACAAGCACCTCCTGGAAACAATCCTACGATTTCATGCTGCTTATCATCAGATGCACTCTCGCCATTACTTTCCTCGGCGTTGTTGTCTCCGATCTGGTGGAATGCCGACCATTCCAGAATTACTATCAGGTTTTGCCTGATCCTGGCGGACAGTGCCGCCAAGGCTTTGTTCAACTCCTGACTATGGCAGCTTGTAACATTGTTACGGATTCAATGCTCGTGATATTCCCAGTCGCCATCATTCTCAAAAGCCGTATGACTTTTAAGAGAAAAGTCCAACTCACACTCTTGTTTTCGCTGAGCTTGGGAGTTGTTGGCACGACTGCATATCGTGTGCCTCATATTATTTGGCAAAGCGGAAACCAACAAATCCGATCTTTGCTTGCATCAGTTGAACTGTTGTTTGCCACCACCGCTGCGAATGCGCTGGTTCTGGGATCATTCATGAGGGATCGCGGCGTGAAGAAAGCAAAGTTCAGATATGGCTCCATTACCGGCGAGTCCGTTGACTTATCGACCGTGGCCTCCCGTCGACGACCAACCATGCGGCACTGGGGAAGTGACGATGATCTGATTCGCAGTTTAGGATTATCGGCTGATCGGGAGCTGCGTAACAAATACGGTCGGGGCCGTGATACCACACCTCAGTATACGCCGGCTCCATTAGCCAAAATGCCCGACCACATGCGGAACTGGGAGTTTCCTAAACGTAACAGGAGCCATGCCGAACATAGTGATGACTCCTTACTTGCCCCAGATCAGGAGACTTCCCGAACTAATACGGAAATAACACCTCGGAGAGTCTCCTTCTTTGATGTTGGGGGGTTGTTGGAAGAAGATCAGCAAACGCAGTGGCGCGACAGCTTTACCTCCAGTGTTGACCCTCTTTCGCCCGTTTCGCCGTTCAGCACCCTCTCGCCACACAATATACCAACTCCCACGATACCAGCTTCTTCCAACGGCTTAAGGCGGGGCTCACAAGCATTGCTACAAGATATTGGCAATCTTTTGAGTCCATCCACTCCGAGACAAACAAGGTCCAGCCCTGAAATCAGTCCCAGGACTACCGAGTTACAATCCATGTCTCATTTGCGCCGCGGCCCTGCATATGCTCAAGATTTCCGGAATCAAGCGGAGCTCGAACTCATGGACCCAGGCGGCTTGCTACGATAATTTAACCATGGAAATTATCCTTTTTTTTCTTCTTTTTTTTTTTAAACTAACGAATGACATATCATACCATACAAACACGATGTATCATGAGATTTACGACTTTATGCGAGAGTCCTTCAAATGATGTGTACAATATTACAAACGCGAAGTATCGAAGGGCCAAATTTTGCGTTGGGGTTGCTGTACTCTTTACATTATTTAATGGGCAGGCCATGCAAGGTCGTCGGTTCAGAGGCTTCAGATCACCGACGGCGGCGCTGTCTGTTGGTTTACATCCGTATACGGGCCCACCCTTGCTCATAATAATGACCGTCTTAGGGTTGTTTGTATGGCAAAGACCGGGTATTGATACAGAATAGAGTGGAGGTCTATGGACTTGGCTCATGCATTCCTGGAATGACGCTACGTTCAAACAAGCGAGCCAGTCTACTATAACGGCCTTGGTGATGATGATGATGAGGATGGGGGGTTTCCTCCCCTCCCGGTGTGTTTGAGGCGATTCTTTGCTGTTTTAGCTACTATATACCCCCGGGGCACGAAGGCCCCCATTGAGCGTTTTGATCACGCTAGAGTACTACTATAATATACCACATTACTACAGAAAATTTCGGTGCACACCTGATCTCGAAAATGGTACCTCAATTGTTTGGTAATAAGAATTTCATGCTTTACAGGACGTGGCAACCCACTCCCACGCATATTGTATACCTGTAGTTGAATATTGAAGATATGCTTAGAATTTATCAGTGTGCAAAACTACGCCGGCTCTTATCTGACACTCCTCACGAGTATATCGAACCTGCGTATGACATCGAGGTCAAACGTTCTGCTCAACATGAGTAAGCTTACTCATGCCACATGTTAACTAACGTGACTCCTGGAAACTGTGGCCTAGAAGAAAAAGAATTATCAACAAAATGACAGCAATTTTCCTCTTCTTAGTTTATTTTGTTACGATGGCGCTGGCGCTGACATTGCCAATCGTTTAAGCTAATTCCGATGGGACAATAAGAGGTGGCTATAGCAAATGACAGTAGGAGGTCTTTGAGCCTCTTATACTTACACTACATTAGCGTTGACTTGGTTAACGTTGATGGAGTCATTGGGTGGGTGCTTGTTCTGCTAGGTGCGGCATGAGTGGCTACCGGGAGCCTGGGGTTTGCCGTACCTGCGTTAACTTACACAGTGGACGAAACGAAAACGATTCGGCGAATGAGATGATATGAACATCCGTGGTCGTCGGCTGGGTCCACGTGGCTCCCGCGTATGCAGTACAAACAATCCACGAGCGTAGGTATCCTTTGCTGCGCGTTTAAAGTGATGTTGGTTTTACGTATTGTAGGTCATCCCTGAAACGGACGATCGCCGTTCGGCCTACAGGATCCGGCGTGTTGTGCATATGGCAAACATGAACGGTCATGCTATTTCACCGGGGCCCGCTGCAAGATGGTAAGTGGAGTGAGAGTTGGATACCTTGATGCAATCGAGCCAATCTCTGCTAATACGGCAATATCGTCGCTATAAGTGGATCGCTCCCACGGAGATTCGCGGATCTGGCCAGCGGAGGTAGCTTTGTCATCCTCCGCAGCATCATGTTTGAGGTGTCAACCTGCGTTTTCAAAGACAAAGATATGTTACAAGGATTGAGTTTAATCGGATTCGATGCTTCAGCATCGGGTTTGGCAGTAGAACAGGGAAAAGCAAGGAGGGTCGACAAATGACACGAAGTTGGGACTAGTATACATCTGAGACCTCGAGGGATTAGCAAAGCCTTGGATATACAGATCGCATAGCAGCAGGGTTACGATATTGTAAAAAGGCCTTGATTATTAGTGTGCAAATCCCTATCATCTGGTCATAATGCGGACATCGAAATGTCAAGCTCCTCTGGTCTTCTGTATGCCCGCTTAGACAGGAAGGTAACATGCCATTTTAGTTCGTGGTAATTAGTTGTGGACACGAGGCGAAATGCCCATGGGCATATCTTCTTGGTACACGAGCCTCGCGTTCCTACATTTACAGTCGTAATTTGATCAACTGATCTTGACCTAGTGGAAATGTTATTGATGAGCAGGTTGTTACGTCTTTTACAGGTTTTGTTGGTTCCCACTTATATACGCTACATAACGTGGCAATTAGTTTGTAGATGTCGATAATGGTAAGATGATAACCCAGGCACATTCGTTTCCTCATGCCAACACAAAATCCACAATACTACACCCTTTCCTTAGGTGCTCCCCAACCCGGCATCGCTCTCATCTTCTGCCCATGAGCAACCGTTAAGGTTGTAAGCTTTTTATGGAAGAGGCTATTTCACTTTCATGTTAACGTTAACACTGTCCATTTTTATCTGTCTAACGCCATGATAAAATAACCCCTGACAATTAATATTTAACATCAAATCACCTAACACTTGATTAATATTAACGATATAAGGGAACGTCACTTCATGCTATGACAACTTCTCTATAAAGGTGACGACTGCATGATTTACCTTGATGCCCGCTCTTCTTAGTGTTTGTCGATCCTCGCTAAATTTAAATGGCCTGTAGAATGAGCTCCATCATGAGTGGCTTGGAGCCAACGGTTAATGTTCAACAAGCTGTGAGCCTAAGGAATCTACGAGACAAGAGTGAAGTAGCATGACCCCTCCGTGGACGGACTAATCAAAGTCTTGTATATCCTCCTGCTCGTCAAGAAACCCACACCCTTTTCAAGACTCAACTTTGAGATAAATTTGCTCAAGGTCTTATTTATCCGAGGTTCCGCGTCTTTTATCCTGCTCCGAGACCGTATAGGCCGTGGTTACAACGCAATCTATAACTGTGCACCAAGTCAGAGTCGTAGGGTATTCAATCGTTTTTCATGCCGATAACCAAGGAACTGGGTAATCAATAGGAAATTATAGTTCCCCGAGCACCAAGAGTTGCGGACGTATTCTACCGTGATGTGGAACACCGTGGAACTCATCATTTGACAACACACCTGCGTGATATGGAGAATATTGGTGGTACCTTCAAAAGCAATACGACCTGACTACAGTACCAAAGCCCCGGAACGAAGTTCCCTGGAAAGCAAGCAATACTCGTTATAAAAGCTTTGGCCAAACGGTTCGAAACGGCCCATGGACGTGGCAACGACTGCCTTATAGTACCTAGTCACTTTTGATTTGAGCGCGTTGTTGCTGTCTGACGACGTTGCTTGTGGAATCTTCCCAACTATCACCACGGACACTAGGCACTCCCATTGGAGCTTGATTGCACAAGCTATTAGCTTGTTCGAACAGAGCCTGATGATCACGTTGACCAGAAATTTTCTATTGTGTTGGACGTGGTTGGCTTCATTACAAGCATATATATTCACGCTGTATCTTACTCTGTATTATGTTTGCTCACCTTTCTCAGACATCAGACCTTGTGAAGGCGCTTAACTTATCAATCTGACCATATCTTGAACAGCCCCTGTTATCCCGAAGCGAGAGAGATGCGTCCTGTACTCTCGCTCATCTTCAAAGACCACTTCCCTCTCCACTGGTCGCGCGGGATAGCCTCCATCTTGACATCCTTTTTGGGGTTTAGGACCGTGGCCATATCCGCCTTGTTCACCGCGGGGGTATCCCAGGACCCGTTGGCCGGGCGAAGATCGCAGCGCATGGCCAGTAGTGCGACGATGATAAGAATTTCTGTTGCGGCGAATTGTCTAGCAGGGCACAAATGTGGTGGGGCGCCCCAAGCAAGAAATGCGCTGGGAGGAGGAGCACTGGAGTTGTCTTTCCTGCCCGCAAACCGGTAGGGATCGAATTGGGACACCGAGTTACCCCATATCTTCTCGTCTTGATGGATAGGTGCGCCAGGCATCGTAAGAAAGTTACCAGCTTTGAGAAGATATCTCCCATCCAGCAGGGTGTCTTGCTGAACCTTTCGGATGTTGGCATGGACATGTCTCGTGCGTTGGGTTTCTTGGTATACGGATAGGAGCAGTGGACACCTGTGCTTCAGCGCTGCAATATCGAGCTCGAAGCCCTCCTCGGTCGACCCAGTGACAGCTTGTGCGCTGACCTCCTCTCTCACCTCCTCAAGCAGGTCATTCCGCGAGAAGAGTTCCCATATGGTCCAGAACAGAGTTGGGCTGGTGTTTGCGAATATCGCAACGAAAAATCCGGCCTCTATTTTCGATAACTCATCCTCCGAAATTCCACCCTCCCGGAACACCCGTACACGCTCCTTTGCAATCAACGCAGCCTCTTCTGGGAGGGTCTTTATCAATTCGCGAATGGCATCAGAACACTTGTTCCTCGCGGCATAGCCTGCGCCAGTTATGTCGAGCCCGGCGACGTGCATTATCATGTAGTCTTGCCATTTCCTGCGCAGGTTTTCAGTACTTGTTTGAGCATGAGGCAATATAGAGGTGGCCAAGAGTACACATACCAGTAAGCCTTCTCTACCTCAGGGTCGGTGAAGGGATGAGTTTCCCCGTAAATCCCGGAGCTTGAGGCCTGCACGACGGCGTGTCGAGCCCACTCCAGCAGATGGATCTCTCTGGGCCGTCCCCCCTCCTCGGCGAGTAGCGCGTCAACATCGACCATTACACGGTTTCCCATACCCATATTCTGGTGATCGAGATGTGCTCCTGGTGCGAGGCTCTGTCTCATCGCATGAGAGATTTTATCCAAGAACTCACCATCACCATGAATGCGGTATGTGTCGTCATTTGCACCGCAATGTGTTTTTGTTGATGTCTGTATGAACGGCTTGAAAGACAGGGTCTTGGAGCTCTTTGAAATGAAAGGCATTAGACGGTTCGAATTACAAACATAAAGCTTGTGGTTGAGAACGCCGAGGGTATAAATCTCGGCATCAATGGTTTTGCTGGTTCCAATTTAGAGGATGAGCTTATAACAGTTAGGGGATGGCAGACCTGATTTCACTGTAGTAACTCGTGCCATTTCCGATTATACCGATCAAGTGCCCGACCAGGGGGATCCTCGATGGTATCTTTTGAGGCTCGCGTGCATCGTAAGTAAAACTGATGAGGAAATCCGCGGCGTACAGCGCGAGGACAAGCCCTCCCGCGGCGTATACGAATGCCCACAGCATTCTGAAGTACGTGCAGTGCTCTATTTGCACATAAAAGCCTGGATCCTATGGCTGCTTTGAAAGGGGCAAGCCAATTTTTGTAATGCATTTCTTGCGTCGTTAGTAGCAATAGCCAAGGTACCGTATATATATATGCCAAGGATCAGGCGCTAGCGGCCGATCACGTTAGCAAATGGTGGCTTCAACTCGCCCGAAGGATCGGGACGTCAGCATGGTATATATAATGAGAAATAGGGGCCAATTTTTATGGCAACTCTCATTGAACCGCCGCACCGCCAATGGGCGAGGGCGGATTTCATACAGTTCTTTCCGCACACCTGCGGGGCGGTATCTACCTCCAGATCCGAGTGTTTGGCCTAAGAGTGCGACCCTGCTGAATTCTGTTGTCTGAACGGAAGAAAAGGTGCCTGCAGAAACTCTCCAAATACGTTTGATTTCAAGTAGACATTGTATTGCTATCAGGGAACATCACCCATATCTTGAGAGGGGTATTGCAATCCTATGCAGGGCAGCATCAACCTATCGTTAGTACTGGGTACATACGAGGAGTACGTCTGAACAACCTTCAGTGCCAAAGGACGGATCATTTGCAATGAATGCGAAAGGAATGAGACCTGTCTATTATACCAATGGAACCCACCAGGCCAGATGAGACTATAAGAGGTTGTAAACCGCCCACCACATGTATGCTCTTCCCATGGTGTACCTATACCCCACAGGATACTTGTTGCCTCTATTTTATAAAGTAGACAGTCAATTAACTCATGTTGTACTCGTCAAAACATTGGAGTCCTACGGCACAGCGCAGTACGACAGAGACGGTGAATGCGCATAGTACGAGGTAGCTGATTGGATCCGGTGGATGTAAGCTTCGAGATGTGACATTGTATACCAGATCCTCCGCGAAGATCTGTGTCGATATTAATCGCCCCCCAAGTAATGCTCCCAGGTGTAGGTCGAGGTCCAAGCCTCTTCACATGTCAAGTAAGCAGGACACCGCGGATCATAGACATGGCCCGAGTTCGGGGGCTGGGGAGCACTGGGTCCTAACAGTGAGCAACATCAACATTGTCACCGATTCTTCCACGAATGTGCCAGATTGCGCCTCCAACAACTGCCGCACAATGATCTCCCAGGTTTAGGTGTCATGTTCAGACAACACAAATGCTTTTCTCTTCTTTTCAGGTATCTCGAGAGAAGGCTAGCGAAAGCCGCAAGACCGTCCATTCCAATAACGCCAGCCCAGCCCAATTGCCAATGCATAAATACGCCAACTCGAAATGATGTTACACTTCGTCTCCAGCCTTGCTCCAAGGTCATGCTACCTCATACGCACAACCTGTAACTGGCGTATCGACCGGCGGTTTCACTCTTTCGAATGATCTTGACCACCTGGCCTCGCGTCATGCCATAGTACTTGGCGACGGGATCTCGCATCAGGATACGAGGAAGCTGAGTCTCCTTCAGACGGTAGCGCTTGAGCAATGCTGTCTTCTCCTCCCGGGAGAGGACGACGTGGCGGGGCACGAGGTCGTGGTGGGTGATGTTGATCAGCAGGTCGTCTTCCAAGAACCACTCGATGGCGGTCCAGTCCTTGAACTTGGGAATCTCCTTCTTGGCGGCGCTCGAGACGGCGACATTGGAGATGATGATACCGTTGGTGTGGTGGTTGTCGGCGCACCACTTGCCGAAGCGACGCATCTGCTCCGTGCCCAGGGTGTTGTCGTCGAGGAATTCGACGTAGATGGTGCCGGCCGTGGGCTTGGGCTCGGGGTTGGCGGGCGTAGCAGGAGGAATGGAGCGGCGGGTCAGTTCCTCGCCGGGTCGCGCAGAGAATTTGAGTAGGGAACGACTGTGACTAGGGGGTCAGCCCAAGGTGCCACAGAGTGACTTGGTTAGTGTGCAATGGTTGGAAGTGGACGCACGCTAGACCACCCTCTTCGTTGACGAACTTGGTCCTGAAGGTGTCAAGAGACATGTTGATTTCATGTTCGCCAAGCTCGTATCCCTTGAGGCATGTTAGCAGGGCTCCCAGTGAAGCAGACGGAGGGGTGGGCGACTGACCCTATCGGCTACCATCTCGTGTGCCGTCCTCCATGCTCGCCAAGTCCTGGTGATGCCTCTCTCATGAGCCTCGCGCTGTCCGTCGTCCTCCATTGTGGCCGGTGTTGGTATGCAAGCTCGCCGGAACTAAGTTGTGTAGGAACCTGCGTCGAGGGGTGCGGGTCAGTCAAGTTTTGGCGGCGAGGGTGGGTGAGGTGTCGCAAGGAATGCAGCCTCAGCCTTGGACTTTCGAACAAATGAGACTCGGATTTGGATGGGGAGCTTTCAAAAAAAGATTCACACCAGCGACCGCAAACTGAACCAAGCTAACCTAGTATAACCTAGCGGGCAAGGCAACGCGAGGCACAGAGGCAGGAGGCACGGAGGCAGAAGGCACTGAGGCAGAGAGGCAGCGAGGTACCGCAGACAAGGCACGGATGCCGGGCGCAACACAAAACTTTGACCGATATGGCCCGTGCTCACCTGCCTGCTTAGGTAAGTTCCGAGTTCCTACTGTAATTACCTCAGATGCTCAGAAAATTGAGTCCGGAAAATTGAGTCGGAAAGGCGGATTGCAATTGGCTTAAAAAAGAAGCCCCCCCCTGCGCGCAATTCAAGCTAACCTGAGTTGGGGGTGTTTTGAAGGGTCCTGCTTTTGTCTGGTGCCTTCCCTTTAACGTCTCTCGGGTGTGTCTTGTCTCTCGGTCGGCTGCGAAGCAAAAAAAATAATAAAAAATTTAATAATAATAAAAAAGATCTGGCCAGTCCCCTGTCCCACGGGCTTGTCTAGGTATAAACTAGACTTTATTCGCTCCGCCGATCATAGCTCCCATTCCTCCTTTCGTACTTACAGAGGTCGCTCTTTTTGCTCCTGGCTTCTGCGGAACACATACTAAACATCAGAGGCTTCGCTGGTATCATTCAATTGATTACCACCTCACCCTCCTTGCCGTATTCATTCTAGATCTAGATCCCCACACACCTCCTTCTGACCTCTCATATACTCCCCAAAGCCACCTCTCCCACACCCACTCTTCACCATGGCTGACGTCGCTACTCCCCCCGCCGCCTCGGCCACTGACAAGAGGCCAGCCAAGCCTGATGAGGACGCTTACAAGAAGCAATTGGCCGAGGCCGAGAAGACGCACAAGGCCAACATGGACAAGTTCAACGCCATCAAGTCCAAGCTCGATCTCGCCCAGCCCAACAAGAACAAGGACGAGCAGAGCCCTACCCAGAAGCGCAGAGCCGAGCTGATCGCCGAGGTCAACGAGATCCGCAACAAGCAGGGCGCCGGCAAGAATGCACGCAACACCAAGCTTGACCAGCTGAAGCGCCTCGACGAGCAGCTCAAGTCTCGCATCGCCGAGCAGAAGACCGCTCGTGGCAAGGTCAACTTCAAGAGCGTCGAGGACGTCGACCGCGAGATCGCCAGCCTCGAGTCCCAGGTCAACACTGGCATGATGAAGCTCGTCGACGAGAAGAAGGCCCTGACCGAGATCTCCAACTTGAAGAAGCAGCGCAAGAACTTTGCCGGCTTCGACAACTCCCAGAAGGGCATCGATGACCTCAAGGCCAAGATCAAGGAGATCAAGGACAGCATGGAAGACCCCGAGCAGAAGGCCCTGAGCGACCGCTACAACTCGCTCCAGTCCGAGCTCGACCAGATCAAGGCCGAGCAGGACGACGTCTACAAGAACCTCAACGCCCTGCGTGACGAGAGAAGCAAGCTGTACACCCAACAGCAGGAGTCGTGGGCCGCCATCAAGAAGATCAAGGACGACCACTTCGCCGGTGTCCGGGCCAACAAGGCCCACGAGGCCGAGGCACGTGCCCGTGCTCGTGAGCGACAAAAGGCCGAGCGTGAGCGCTACGACAAGGAGAAGAAGATGGAGCGTGCCCAAAAGATCCTCCAAGAGGCCAGCGACCCTGCCTACCTTGAGGAGATCCGCCGCGCCACCGGCCTGCTGCACTACTTCGATCCCTCCAACCACGCTGCCGAGAAGGCTCCCCTCCTCGCCAACAAGGGTCTTGGTGCCGAGGCTGCTCGCAAGGTCGACGACAGTGGCTTCAAGGGCATGAAGGTCGCCAAGAAGGATGATGACGAATTCTTCATTGCGCCAAAGTCCAAGGGCAAGAAGGGCAAGAAGACCAATGCTCCCGCCGAGTCCAAGAGCACTGGCTTCAACTGCCCGCCCTCGGTCATCGACGACTGCTCCTCCCTTGGCATTGCGCCGCCCATGAAGTCCGAGGACGTGCCCGCTGCCGTTGACGAGATCAAGAAGAAGCTCAACACCTGGAAGGAGGACCAAGCCGCCCAGACCCAGCGCGTAAGTCAACAGTGTCAAGTCTGCTTTTTTGAGCTTCCAACTAACCAAATATTCAGAACGTCGAGAAGGCCAAGAAGGAGATTGAGCGCCTCGAGGCTGAGGAGGCTGCCGAGGCCAACGGCGCCAATGGCGACAAGAATGTCGACGAGGCTGCTGCCGGCGTCAAGGACACTTCATTGGAAGAGAAGTCGGAGTAGAGTTCCGGCTCCAAATCTGGTGGGGGTGCTCCTGTAAAAATACCTGAAGATACCCTCGACCCATTTCCACCTCTCCCTGCAATGTACATTGCACCTGTGGACGTTCCTCTCCCTCCCTCGCCTTCCAAAACAGGCCCTACAGTAATCACCGTCTAATCGACATCGAACCCCTCTCGGTGTGTCAGCCGCAGGGCTTCTCAGGCTTCTGCATGCTAGTGTATCTTCCTTGTTTCGCCTTTCTCCCTATAGTCATGATTGTTTTCTTAGCCTAGGTTCTGGTTTAGGGAGGAAGAAATGGCATTTCATCGAGCGTAGGTGTCATCGTTTCCGGCATAGCCTTAAGTCATATAGCAGGAAGTAGGAAATACACAAAAGTTTTGCGGCGGCTTACGTTCATAACATTTGATTGCAGTATCGTTTTTTTTTAGAGTCATCACATTGATCTTGCATATTCGTCCACGACGCTCAATCACTACCATGGCATGCCATAGATTGGTGCTCTATGGACATGCGTACTGTTCCTCAATTGCTTCCGAGCACATCATTTACATGTCGGGTAAACCCCACTCCCCGGCCCTATGAAGCCGTCCAATATCTATGCACAACCGACAAGGCGACGAGCATTCGACGGCTGATGACCTGCTTGACTTTATCTGGCAACCGCTCCAGCAAGACGCTTTCTATTGCATCATTGTTCGAGCCCGACCAATAGATGCCGCATCGACCTCGACGCGTTTTAAGCTGTGCCGAGCACGACCGCGTGACCTCGACGACGTGACGTGACGTGTCCGCCTTCTCCTATCAGGGCTTGTCAGGTATCACTGCATTGGGCCGGTATCATACTATGTACGCACATGCATACCCTATCTAAGATAGATCGTCACCCCGCGCTAGCATGACTGGAGAGATGTTGTGTATTATTGCTTATCCTGCAGCTTTGGGGAGAAGGTGGCATCCTTCCGAGGTCACAAGGGCTCTCGCATAACAACTCTATTGCCATGGACGTTGGGAGAGATACATTTAGGAACATCACCAGTTATGGATCTTGAATGCAGGGCATTGCTATATGTTCATCGTGCCTCAGAAGTCAGATCTGTGACTATTTATCTACATGGTACTGAGATGGGCCCACCAAGCTAATTTACCACTTATCAATCATGTCTGCGATGGTCGATCGACCAGTGCCTCACAGCGGATCAAAAATTCATCTTGTCCTAAGTCCTCTGTCCGACAACTTATGCCGAACTCTTGGAGGGAAAAAGTGATAGTAAAAAAAAAAAACCCCTGCTTCCCCCTCGTCTCCGAACTGTCCAGCTCATTCTCAGAGTGGATCTAATTGCAGGAGAAATGCTATTTCTGCTATGCAATAAAAAGTAGAAAGTCTCTCAACTCGCCGGTTCCTATGCAACCTAAATCAATGATCATTTTGTCACACGTGACCTCCATAAAAATCAAAAATAAAGGAATAAAAATTAAGTCAATAATTTTTGTCGTCGAGTATCATTGGCGAAAATACGTTCTGTGGTCCAATATTACACTTAATCGAAATGGTATGGTGTCTTGAGCATTGTTGCGCGCAACGGAGATGAGTAACGTGACTCAGTAATTGTAAGAGGCAAAGCCTCTTGCATGGCTAGGTCTGGATCGCGGGCGGCGGGGATATTCGTCCTCTTCGATCTCAAAATGACCTCGGTAATCGCCAGCGTAGTGTTGTTCGAAATAGGGTTCGGGAATGCCCGGGCTGCTGGACAGCGATGAACTCATGCTGCGGGAGTCCTCGTCGAAGATTTCCGATTCGGACGCCTCGGATGGTACCTCCCACAGCGGCCCAAGTCAATATGGAGGCCTGCCTCCATAATAGCTTCCAGCAGGAGGAGGAGGAGGAGGTCCCCAAGCCGCTGACCTTCTCGAGCCAGGCGGTGGTGGATGAGGACCCAGACCGCTCATTGGCGGTGCCGTTGTACGGCCGCCGCGTCTTTCAATGGCTGGTGGTGTTCGCCCTCGGACCAGTGGTGAAGGTCTCTCGCGCTCATGGAAAGCATCACTCGCTAGGGGTCCCGGTATGCTTCTCCGGCTCGCCTTACGAGATCCTTCGAGAGCACTCAAAGGTGGGTCCTTGACAACACTCTCGTCATCAGGAGGTAGCGAGAAATCAACCAAGCTGTAAAAATACTCCAATACCTCCGGGTACCGTTGGACGCTAGCCTGCCAGTCTTCATCAATGCCACGCTTCAAAGCTGCTTGAGCTTGTTGAAATTCAGCGGGATGTGGCGGCGCATGGTAGTAGTGGTATGCATGCTGCGTCATACGATCTAGGTGAGCCTGGTGCTGAGATTTTCGACGTTCTGTGAGAAGTCTGAAGTACTCGAGAATATAATCTTGAGCATGAGCTCGCACCCAGGTGCTTTCAATATAGTAAGTTAAGGAATCCTAAAGAAGAATAACGGCGGGTGGTGCGCAACCATACCGTATATCGTTATACATAGATTGCATCATCTTTGATTCAGCCTGACGAACAGCAACCTCAAGGCCTTTAGCCTCGCAGTCGCATTGGACGGTGGCTGGGGCATGGCATATAGCACAGTCCGGGTCCATTCTGACAATGGACTTCCGAGATTTGTATTCCCTAGAATACATCTTAGCGAGGGTGTGCCGGAGACGGTAGTGGATCGACGACGACGACGAGGGGCAAAGAAGGACATGGGAGAGTATGGACTATGTGTACATGCGAACTATTGTACAATGTGGTTTCTACGTGACCCAGGAGGGTCTCATGGTGTTGGGACAAGAACCGGAAGAGAAAGGAAGACAAGGTTGAGTGGCATGAAGACTGACCTAACTTAAGAAGATGAAGGTCAAGCAACAACGCAGCACCACTGACAAGAAGCAGCAGTAGCAGGATGGGATAGATGCAGCAGACTGCGTGTTTGCGGGAAAGAATTGGGTGAATAGTAAAACCGACAGGTGGTTAGCTCACTATTCTTCATGCAGCAGCAGAACAGACCGCCCCGTGGAGTGCCGCGTAGTTGACAAAACAACAAATGAGGTGGAAGGAGAGCTCTCTATGGCTCGATAGGACGGGTATCAGGTAGTAGTCGTGGTTCAGTAGAGTGTGGGGGATTTTGGGGAGGACACCAGAAGGCGGCTGAGAGCCGGGGGGGAAGAGAGAGAGAGAGAGAGAGAAAGAGGACGGGAGATGCAGGTGGATCTTTGTGTGGTGGTCGGAAATGGTGATCGAAAGGCTGGAGTGCCACTCTTTGCAGACTTGCGCAGCACCGGGGTTCCACAAGGCCAATTGATAGTCCCGGAGATAGCACGACACAGGAGTATCCAAGAGTACAAAGTTAAGTCGAATGCCGTCAGGTGGAAGTGCTTCTGCCCAGCGGCGCCCGATGGCATTCGCGTTTAGCGAGGGAAGTGCAGCAGGAAAAGCATAAGCTGCCGATTCTTCCACGTTTGGCCACAGAGCCGACAGATGTATTGCGTTGTGTCGTGGCTCGAATGGATGGAAGCTACTAATATGTATGCAGTCTGCCCCAGTAGCCCAATCGAGTGAAGGTAGACCCGCCTGATGATGTTGCCCCACGAACTAATTACTGAAAGGCGAATGGACAGAGAAAGGGATAGTCGACGTTGCCGGCTGAGATCGGGAGACCCGGAGGAACAGGAAGGAGCTGGACCATAGGGAAGTTATCTCAGAAGATGAGATGATGGTCGTGAAGACTACAGAGAGACAGAGACGACGAAAGTCTCGAGACAAGAGCAAAGGCAAGAGGGGAAGAGAGAATTGGACCAGTCCACTTGGACGCACAATTTGAGACTATACTCAAGCAAGCGTGTTGCAGCTGGCCGTCGAAAGGAGCCGCACAAATAAGCGAGCGGGTTTGCTGACAGGCTGGCATGTCTGGAACACAAAGTGCTCGGTCTTGTCTGGAGTTCGCTTCAACCATGTTCACCGCTCCTCGAGATCTTCGGCCGCAAGTCATGTGTATTATGCATGACCTGCAAGTCCAGCTGGCAAGCATAGACAAACGTGAATAAGCACTTGATGGCTGCGAACGTGCATGCGTTTTGTTTTGATGGATCACAGGCTAGATACCACTGTTCCAAAATAATTGATGATATAAATCAACATGTTCAAGCTGTGTTTCCCACGAATTGGGTGTCAGGAAGAGAGCTGCTCGACTTGAGAAAATCTGTGTCCGGCTCTGGAGCTAGAAATGAGGGGCCGATGAGCGGCGGTTCTTCCGTCCCAAGCCGGCCACAATGTGGAGCCCGAAATCCTTGCCGTTGTCATTAACCACAACCTTTCAGTAGCTGCAGGTACATACCCAAAGTCCTCGGCAGCTCGCTTTGGGAGCTGCAAATAACCACGATTTTTTTTTTTAATAACCTTTCAATGCATTCATTGCAAGACATAGTATACGGAGGCTTCTTGAGATGATGATGGAGCGGTGTCTGAAAGCTGCTGTCGCTCTCTGGAGAACCTTTGTATGCTCATAATGGTGGCTAGTTGGCACTCCGGCTTGTGATAATCTCACCCCTCCCGTTGATTAACTCTTATCTTATCTAGGCTGGGAAATTTAGTCTGGAGAAGTTCGTACTGGAAAGCTGTATGGGCTGTGGACATATGCGATCGTTCTCCAAGTGAAAGATCCCCTCTGCGGTGTTCCAAGTCAACTTACATAGGGCCAATGCGAACACCATAGCTTCAGTCATACCTCACCTCACGATGCCACCGAGGTGCGCCTCTAGTTCGGGGCTCTTCCTCTCTTTCCTCTACCCTTCTCTATTTCGCCAAACCGCAGCTCGTCTGACCCGATCGAGCGTCACAACCCTCCACGCACCGTCCCCAGAGTCGCCAACGTCAGATGAGCTCAACGAAGCCACGTCTCCCTCGGGCTCAAGTGCAGACCTGCCGCACTCACGCCTAAACCCGACTCCCGACGATTATGCCATCTCATCGTTCGCCGATAAGGCTAAGATTACCATACATGCCGGTGGCGGTGGTCACGGCTGCATCTCCTTTTTAAGGGAGGCCTTCTTATCCGACGGGCCCGCCAACGGCGGTGACGGTGGCCATGGAGGCAACATATACATTCAAGCTGTTCATCGCGAAACGTCACTACACAAGCTTGCGCGCTCGCGCATGGTCCGCGCGGCACGGGGCAAGACCGGCCAGGGAAGCAGCAGGGCAGGTCAGAGGGGAGAAGACTATGTGATACAGGTGCCTGTGGGCACGGTGGTGAGGGAGGTGCAAAGAGTAGACCCGGTGGTCGAGGAGAATATTGCTTTCAAGGCCGCGAGAGACAAGGAGCGAGAGTTCGAGCGAAAGTTTCGTGCTGCTCAACTTGCTGCTGAAGAGGGAGGCGAGGATCCGGAGACAGCCACGGCCGACATGGAGCGTCCCGATAATCCAAACTTGGACAAATTCATATTGTATCCGGGAATTTCGACTTCGGAGCGCCGCAACATGACGCTGCCTCGCCTACCTAGGAGGGAGCGGCTGTATCATCAACCCCCCGGCCCGATCCATCTCGACCTCTCGCAGGCCACTCCTCGTCCCATCTTGCTGGCCGCGGGTGGTGTAGGCGGGCTCGGAAACCCACATTTCGTCTCCAAGGATCGGCCGAGGCCTCTTTTTGCTACACGCGGTGAGAAGGCCGTTTCCATGCAACTAGAGCTCGAGTTAAAGCTCCTCGCCGACGTTGGTTTCGTCGGGCTTCCCAACGCAGGAAAGTCTACCCTCCTTCGTGCGCTCACCAACTCGCGTGCGCGTGTCGGCAATTGGGCCTTCACGACATTACAACCAAACATCGGCACGGTGGTGCTCGACAACCACAAGGGGCGGCGCAGCTTTACACTACCGAAGCGGCAGCCGAAGCAACCTCACGCCGTCATCAATGATGCACAATTCGGCAATGTGGTCATAAACCAACCCGGTCAGATCGGCGCCGGGCCGCCACCCAGAACCAGGTTCACAGTGGCGGACATTCCGGGATTGATTGAGGGCGCCCATATGGACAAGGGGCTAGGTATGGAGTTCCTGAGACATGTCGAGAGGGCAGGCGTGTTGGCCTTCGTGGTAGACCTAGCCAAGAGCGACGCAGTAACTGCCCTCAAAGCCTTGTGGCGAGAGGTAGGCATGTATGCCCGGATGCGCGAGGAGACACACCAGGCCCGTGAGGCCGAGGGCCGAATTGATTGGGAAGGCGATGCCGGGGTAAATCGTTCGCAGAATGACTACTTTGGCTCAAGTGGGAGTCTGATGATGGCCGACTTCCCAGACCTGCCTGAGCTGGACGAGGGTGGACTACACATTGCAGCGAAGCCCTGGTACGTGATTGCCACCAAGGGTGACTTGTCGAACACGCAGGATAACTATAAGAAGCTCAAGGAGTATCTGGATGCTGTAACAGATGGCAGAGAACCACACCCCAGTGGCGTCGAGGGCGCATGGACGCTTGATTGCGCAGCCATTCCGGTCAGTGCTATCAATGGGCATGGCGTGGACCGCATTGTACATTGGACGGTGGGATTGCTCGACGAGTAATACAAACAACAGCACTGTACTAATCACATGTAACCATATATGTATATCACACTTATGATAATGCATAGAATTGCGATTTGATGAATCCCCCGTTCTATAATTTTGCACCATATTCTCAAAACATATCTTCTCGGTCTAAGCTGTCAACTAGCTTTTGTGATAGTTTGGAAGACAATGCTCGGACGAGAGAGTCAGAACATTCAAAATCCTACAACTCAAAGGTTACATTGCATTCGCTATTACGACATTCCAATGCCGTACTATCTTATGCCTCAGGTGCAGCCGCTAGCTCTTCCTTTGCTTCCGTTGTGATATCTGCCGATGCTTCCTTCGTAACCTCGGTCGCAGTTGCTTCGCCTTGCTCTTCTTTGACGGCGCTCACAATTGCCTCCTTTTCTTCCCTTTCTTCCTCTTGAACCTCGGCTGCTTCGGTATTCTTTTTGGCAGAGTCTTTCAATGACTGATTGATGACCGGCGTGCTGTCGTTGAAGATACGAAGCAGCATCGCCGCTCTATCCTCCTTAGGCAGCATTAGGTTGAGGGACAAGAAGCTCTTCCATAGCGGTAGAGCCATGCGCTCAGAGAAGTCAGGGTCTGAACCGTCAGGCTCAACTCTAAGAACACAGCAGCCCATGGCAATGTCGCGAGCCGCTTCTCCGATCTCGCCCAGCTTGACCCACTCGTCGTTTTCGAACCTGGGGAACATCTCCTTCAGGAGTTTGCGGAATGTCTCTTTGTTCGTGAGACGGATGACACGGTCTGGCCCAACATAACCCTCAATGATCGGCATACCTTCAGACTGAATGCGCCACCGGCACACCTCGGCAGATGGTGAGTCTTGTTTCATGAACATCTTGACACCGCCGTGGACGAATTTCACACCACGTCCCTCGTTCTGCACAAGTATATCGCGAAGGAGCGCACTGGTATAGTAAATCGCCTTGGCGGGCTCACCAGTGGCATTTCGTACCATATACCGATCCGAGGGGAAGCGTTCAGAGAGCTTGTAGAAGTCCCGGATACCCTTGATCACGTCATGATCAACCGGCATGTATTTGAATGGTTCCTCAAATGAGCCATCCGCGTTTCTGTGCAACTTCTTTTCTGGTCTTGGTTGTTGTGGCTTCGGAGTATCAGCGCTGGGGGTCGCAACTTCGGAGTTTGTTTCTGTCTTGACAGGTTCCGAGCTCTCAGCATCTGCCATGATTTCGTCGGCTTTCTCTTCTACACTCTCTGTCTTGACCTTCTTCACATCATGTTCTGGGGCAGCATCGCCTTCCTCCCTGGTCCTCTTGGCGCCCGTGGTCGGGATGACGTCGGTAGGCTCGCCGTCAGCAGCCTTTTCCTCTTCAATTTCCAGCTTTGCGGCAACTTCCTCAGCTGCCGCCTGTCCAGCGCCATTGGACGTCTGAGCCTCTGAGTTTCTGGGCGCGTTCTCGGGTCTAACCTTGAACTCGGCCTTCTTCTCCAAGACAGTGATGAAGAAACCACCAGTGTCTTGTTGGTGTGCATAAACGCGCATGCAACGGTCGAGTGGCAGACTGGAGCTCTCGTTCTCATCGGATCTGGGGAACATGGATTGAGCCAACTTTCCGGGAACCTCGGTGAGTTCGTGGGTCAACATGTGCTGCTGGACTTCCTCCCAGTTGTTCCAGATCTTGCCATCCTTATCCATGATTTTCCATTGGAAGAATCCGGGCTTTCGCTTCAGGCCGGGCAGACGCTCACTGCAATCAATGATGTCGACCTTGGAAAGTCCGCCACATCGGTCGATGGCGGTAAGAATAACGGCCTCGTTCTCAACGGGATTCATACTGCAAGTGGAATAGACGACTCGGCCACCAACCTTCAACATCTGAAGAGCGCGGATGAGAATGCGAACCTGGGTGGTATGAAGACCAAGGGCATTGCCCGGGCGCCAATCCTTCCACAAGTTCATATTCTTCCTCATGGTACCGTCTCCGGAGCAAGGCACATCGGCCAAGATACGGTCGAACTTGAGGTATTGCTGCTTGGGGTTTTCGGGGTCTTTGACCCTGAGGGCAGGGAAGAGCGTGGCGTCGTGGTTGGTAACGAGGATGTTCGGGGAGGAAAGTCGCTTCAATTGGTGAGTGAGCATGTGGCAGCGCTTGTACTCGGCATCGTTTGCGATGAGGAGACCGGTTGCTCTGCCATCATCGCTAGGGTCGGCAGCAAGATCTGCGTCGTCGTCACTGGTGGTTTCCGTCTTAACCTCACCAAAGGATTCCAATACTTTGCGAATCCTACCCTCCTCACCCTTGTGAATCATCTCGACGATTTGGGCAGATTTGCTGCCAGGAGCAGCACAGAGATCCAGCACGACATGGCCAGGCTTAACGTCCATCAACAAGGGCGGAATCATACTGACGACCTCCTGTCTGCTGATGTTTCCTACGCTGGTCTCGGAGACGAGGAACTTCTGGAAGGCGGCGAATGGCGGGAACTTGCGAATGATGTGTTTGGGGGTGTTCATGGAATAGGCCAGCTGGTCTGGATACCAGGTGACAGCCTGGGGTGCTTCGACCTTCTCGCCGTCGAATCGCTCGATCTTGACGATCTCTGGGGCGTATCTCTCTTCCAGTAGCCTTCTGACAGCAAGCGCATGGCCCTTGGATCCTGCGAATCGGAAAGAATTGGGCAGCTCCCTCTTGAGGGCGTCCCAGAACTCGGTTCGCTCCTCGTCCTCCATAGGGATGACGGAGTTGTAGAATCGCTCGAGCTTCTCGTGCTTCTTGTCGGCGGCAGGAATGGTCCTCCATGAAGGGTTTCGGTCGCGGTCATCACCACCACCGCCGCGGGATCCTCCTCGATTGTTTCCGCCGCCTTTCCGACCGCCCTATTGATCATACGTCAGTGAGATGGACCATCTTGGCTGGGAAAAGAGGTGGTGAACATACCCTTCTGAAGCCTCCGCGACCCATTGTTTCCGAATTTGTTTCCTTTTTTAGAAGGGTACAAAATCGAGGTCTTGTTGAGTCAGGTTTGTCCAGGAAACTTTAGACAGGGTTTTTTTTTTTGAGCTTCACAAAAATCTCGTTTGCGACAGGATGTTTAAGCTGCGCAATGCCCCGCAATGGTTTATTTTAGCGTATCTTATCTCGGATCCACTATCGTTAGCGGGGGGTCCTTGGAACCTGCAGAATCCAGAGTCCAGAGCCTCATTGTCGGATATTGTACCTTAGCTGGAGGTCTATTATGGCAAGAGTTTAAAGTGGACCAGGTATGCAAACCACACATTCACATACACGGACCCGAATCTTGTCATGAGACACACCGAATGTTTGCATTTAAACAGAACTAAAACGCAGTCATTGTTAAACACCACCATGGCTACATGGCGACAGTCACGCCCTGAAGCATGTCCTTAGATTTTACTTCTTCTCCAGATATCCCAGCAAGTTTGAGAGCAGCGGCATTGTACAATTACGGTCTCACGCTGTGATGATTGCATTGTTCGGATGCTCCCGGATCGAGGTGCCGACCCCAAGCTGACCATTCTACATAACAAAATGCAGACCACTACCTCTTCACTTCTCCATGACACAAAATGACGGAGCCCTGCTTCGTACACTATTATTGGGCGATGCCAATGCCAATATATGCTCATCCGATGGTGATGCCCCTTTACGCCGTGCTGTCTATCGAATTGAGAGCATAGTCAGGGTTCTTCTTGAAGCGGGCTCGAACATCAATGCCAAAAGTCAAAGTAGCATGGCTCCACTGCATGAGGCCGTTATATTACATAGCTCGGGAAAGATCGGCCGTTTACTACGAGCAGGGGCAGATTGCTCGATACTCGTCAACATCGGACGCTCATGCTTCACCATATAGTTGGTGGCAAGGAAGTTCCTGAAGGCCGATGTTTTCCATAGCATGTACCTCGAGACTGACGCATCAGACAGTATGAACGCTACACGTGCTGTTACACCCTCTTGTCCAGCCATGTTCAAAGTCCCTTTTAAAGCAGGCGCAGATCCATCAAGACTAAGTCTAACCCAGCTTTCAATATTGCAGCTTCTTAACTGCACATTTCCAGAATTTCTAACATGAAGGTGGAGTGGACATGTCTTCATCATCTGTCCAAATAGTATTGAGGTTCATTCAAAGAACACAGGGGACAGTTGAGAGCGGCTCATGCTGTTGTGATACATGCATAACGGATAAGGGAGATTGCAGGAAGTGGAACGATTGAGTCAAGGATATACGAGCGCAGTTACTTTAGCTCGTAGTATTAACAAACGACCCGACCGATGAATATCTGCTCAAGTAAGAGCGTCCCCGATTCTACGCAAAGCAAGCCCGACCAAACATAGAGAGGAACAACGGCTCGACGTTACATAATTTCTATCATAGGAATTTAGCCCTGTTAAAGGCGAGTGGCTCGTCTATTATCTGTAATCTGCAACGGTACAAAGACACATATTTACTTAAACATCAATTATATTTTATCTCTGAGTTTATTACATCTTATATTCAACCCCAGCCTGATGCTCCATCAGATCAAACGCCGGCTTGGCAGCAAACCAACCTCCTATCTCAAGGCCGACAGTTTTGTACGTGAACTCGGCTTCTTCTTCACTGATCTTGACAGTTTCCCCACCTCTGCCAGCCGCTGCTGCATCTGCCAAGAGTTGCGTTTCACAGCAATTTTCCAAACTAATAAACCAGCGGACACAGCTCTCGATGGTTTCCCCGCAGGTAAGAAGGCCGTGGTTTGCGAGGATAGCAGCCTTCCTCTGACCCAGTGCTTTGGCGATTCTGTGCCCCTCTTCGGGTCCGAGCACGATGCCGCCGAAACTATCGTAGTGCGCTATGTCCTGTAAGATCGTGAGAAATAGAGCCCTCTAGCCATGCCGCCGCTGCCAACTTACATTCCAAAAAGCACAGGCGTCTTGCGTGGTGATGTCCAGGTTCCTACCGAGCGTGCTGAACGCCCGTCCATACTTGCTATGCGAGTGGGCTACGGCGTTGATATCCGGCCTCGCATCATGAACCGCCGAGTGAATCATGTATGCTACAGTGATTTAACTTTCGCGTGCGAAGCGGTAACACACAAGACTTCTTACCTGCGACATTGAGAAGACGTACTGCGCCGCCATCGACAATCTCCCCATTCGAGTCTACACGGATCAAGTCGGATGCTCTCAAAAGAGGCCAGGCAACACCGAACGGATTGACCCAGAAGGTTGATGGTTCTAGAGGGTCCTATCGAGATTTGATCAGTACGGGGGGAACTTCAGGTCCCTGGGGCCTCACGCACTCTGACTGTGATATGGCCAGCCACACTATATGGTATCAGCTGATTACCGCATGATGAAAGGCGTATAAACCACCGGACCTACCCTTCGTCAAACCCATTCTTGGCAAAGAGTCGGAATGCCAAGGCAAGTCTCTCCTTCAAATACTGACGCTCCTTGTGTGGGTCATCAAAGGTGAGGGGCTGAGGTCTTGGTCCCTGGGGATAGATGTCAGCCTTTCCCGGCGATATATTATGCTTCGAGAAAGGAACAAAAAAGAGGTACCTTGGCAGTGCCGAATTTTATGGCACTATTAGAGTTACCATGCTTAAGGTCCTCTTGGATGTCTAAGCTGGCGGCAGAGGGAGACATGGTCAATGCTTAGATCAATCGTAAATCCTTGTCGTGTATAAATTGACAGGAAATTGTAGGGGGAAAAGATCTGAAAATCCAGAAAAAAATTTCCAAGGAGTTTAGGGGAACTATTTTCTTAAAGAATAAACTCGGGCATAATCTGGGATTTACATGCTGACAAGCATGTAGCACGTGTGGTAACATCCCTCATGCGGGGAAGGTACATAATGCCGTGGAACTCAAAGTCGTGAGGCGTATAAACTGTGAGCTTATGGTTGCAAATACGCACCTCTTGGCTCGCAATTGGCATTAGTGCCATAAAGGGATCAACTTGCATGTATCCACTTGCCGAGGGAGTTGGGTGGTGATATACGTACATTATTGGTGTACAAGATGAAAAGGTCCATTGGCCTGCACGTACGTTTAGAGCTAATAAGGTCAGACTATCACCAATAACCGCGTCATCTGGCGCATTTTCCATATACAGGTGAACTGCCACGTTAGCCGTTGTATTCAGGGTAGCCAGGCGTTGTCCACATTCACTATATGGACCTTCCATGTACGCACAATGCATAAGATTGACCAAGAGGCTCGAACACTACACCGACACTCACAACAAGACATAACTCCATCGAATATCGCCAAACTAGAGGATGATCTGTACTACATAATGCTGGTATAATCATGCATCACGACAATTGCTGATGATAATCCAAACTAGGGTACGGCCACCACTCAATTCGACAACATCAAACGCCACCCATGACAACTCCATTTCAATGCTTTTTCTCTATGCCATACCATGCGTGTAAAAGATAGTTGGCTCCTGAAGCTGGCTATTTATTTGGCTCAGAAGTCGCCCTTCTCGGCTGCTGGGGTAGTTGTCCCCTTTGAGTGGGACATACTGTAAGGAGCCTGAGTGTTTCTGTCAGTCGTTTGCTCGATTGCAAAATCTAGGGTAGAAACTTACAAGAACTTGCTTGGCATTGCAAATTCTCCAAGCGAGACTCTTGACATTCCTGTCGGCTGGCACCACAGCCGGAGCGAACTCTATGCCGAACATTTGCTGAATTGCGTAGACAACTCTCCTAGCATACTTGCCATCACGTTCTACGTGGTTACCGAAGGGCTCCTCGGGAGTACTTGGTGCAATGTCGGGGTTTCTGTCGAAACAGTTCTGCACAAGAGGTAGAAGAGAAGATTCGACTGACTTCTGATACATGCCCTGCGTATCAACCTCAACATCCTCCTCATCGAAACGGCCGATTTGGATTTCAAAAGGCTGCGAGATGGACATAACGTTGTGATTTCCGGCGTGGTGGTATCGGAATTCAAAGACACCTCTTGTCCACCACAATTTGTCACCCTCGAAGACAATTTCACCCTGCACCATACCACCTTCTGGTGAATCATCGTCACTTTCTACTGGAATATCTGACACAAGGTTGCCCTTGTCGGCGGTTGTAGAGTCATACTGATTAGGTGTGACAGCGACCCAGCGACCAAGCGAAGGTACTTCTGTAATCTCACGGGATCTGTTATCAGCGACCATGTAGAGCCCAATCCAATCCTTTTTGTGGTGGTTTGCTGGGGCTCTCCACTTGACCTTGATTGGAGCGCCATATTGAAGGATCATGGTCTTGAGCTCGCTTGGGTAGCGAGCGTTTGTTCCCTCCTTGCCAGTAGCTCGTTCCGTAATTGTTGAGTAGGCGGCAGATTCCCCAACCACCTGCATAGAGTAATCCTTCGGGTCGTAACCGGCCAAATCTGGCGAGAGTTTGGTCAGAGTTAGACGAGCTGGAACATTGTTGAAAAGCGCGGTAGTATCTCGCGCGAAAGAAGAAACGCCAGCAGCCAGTTTCGGTCGAGCAGTTTCCAGGAAGGCTTCAACAAAGTGTGAGGTATCATCCACAACCTTGCTGACACCTGTACCCCATTCTTTAACAGGCGGGGGCAAGCTGCTCTTGATGAACTTCATAAGCCCGGCTTCCTTTCGAAGGCTGCGGCCATACACCTTCTGCATATGAGGCTGTTCGACAAACTGCAAAAATGCCAGCGTAAGAAGGTGACTGGCCAGAGCGAGTATGAAAACCGATCTGCTCCAAGTGATCAGAGCAGCACCCCACAGCCCAGCTGTTCCGATAATGCGCTCTGGGTTGTTCAAGAACCGATAGATTGAGGTGTAGGTGAGCTTAGCCTTCTGGTCGAAGAAGAAGTCTCCAAAGAACCAGCCGAACTCGCCAAGAGAGTCATAGATGCTGACCGAAGTCCAGATGTGCAGGAGGATAAGACCTGCGCCCAACACATGCTTGAGAAGTACGAATCCATAATCCCAGCAATCAGGGAAAGAATACATCTTCCAGCACGCAGCCACAAAGGAGGCGTAAGTCAAAGAGGTAGAGATGTGGTACATGGCCTTCCATTGGCGCCATGCCTCACCAGTGCTCTCACCGAATTTGAGGAAGTGTCTGGTCCATGTTTTGTTGTTTGATTGTTGGGTAAGAATAACACCCAGCCCGACCGAATACCAGAGTCGCCACACGACCGCATGGAGAACGAACAGAAATTGATACAAAGGCGTGCTTGGGGTGACGAGTGTTAACACGGCAATATAACCCATAAGAAGTAAAGTTGTATAATCTGTCGTTCTGAAAAGATCGAAGTTCTTCAAACCCAAGAGGTTGTGGATTTGAGCCGGAGTGTCCAATGAAGATGATGCAGCTGCTGGATCGACCAATGACACCTCGCCAGACTCGTTGGAGACATTTGTGTCTGCGCGCTTTCGAGGCGCAGGAGGGTTGTAAGTCTTCTCAATGTGAGGATTCTCCACAAGAACCAGGAAGGCAAACTGAGCAGCATGCGCCACAACAGAGATGAGTAGAACAGAATAGCTAGCGGCCATCATAGAGATGCCATAATAGCCAGCATAGCCAATTGAGTACATGGGATGGGGTGCCATCTCAAACACACCATCGAATGTCAACTCCTGGTCAATGAGGTAGAAGAAATCACCCCAGTACCATGCATAGTCCTTCACGACTCGGTGTGCGTCAAGTTTGACCCACAAATTGAAGCCAACCAAGGCCAGACCAAATGACCAGCGAGCTACGGCGACCAGGGATGCTTCACCTTCTGGCTTATGGCCACAAGCGATCGCGAACAAACAATACGACACGAAGTCACACATAAGGATAAGATCCACGACTCTCCGAAAAACGAGCCATGTGTTATACTCGAGTGGCGCTTTTTCGAAAGCATAGTCTTCAGGGATCTTGGCCTCTAGCTCGGTCTTGATGAGCTTGTACAACCAAGGCCGTGGATTTCTGCCGGTTGAAGGGTTTTCAAAAAGCTTCCACGTCTTCGCCCAATTGACGAGTTTGTTCTCGTTAGACTGGCCTCTGAGCAGAAGACCGATGCCTAGGTTATAGGCAGCACGCCAAAAGAGGAAGATGAAAGCGAACACGGGCCGCTTGAGAGATGGCGGTAACAAGAATAAGAGAACTATAAGGCTCGCGAGAATGACTAACACAAAGGCATCCGACAAGTTCTTCGGCTGCCTTGGGTCAAGTAGCTGCGAAACCATGTCATGCGTGGTTGGCACGATGAAAGCTGTATCATGAAAGGTATGTCAGCATTCCACTCAAACTTGGATGTAATCTCACTGACTTGTTCCGTCTGGGGTCCGGCCAAAAGTCTTCCTGGCCTTCATGGCCGGTTCATCTTGAATGGCCGGGTCGTTCTCCGCATGCGGAGTACCGTTTCCCTGCAGACCAGAGACCGCATGTCTCTGACGCAGCTCGGCTGTCTCCATGGATGCGTTGGAGCTCATATTCAAGGTCGACTGATCGCTGCTTCTTGCATCTGATTCTTGGAGGTTGACAATTGAGTTCGGGACACGAAGCTTGCACTTTATTCACTGGTCGGAAGCCGTGAAGTGCGGCAACCCGTTCCAAGCTTAAACTTTAACCCACAAATACCCGCCGAGATCCGCCTCTCCAGGTACTGGAACGTTCCACGTCACAGTGATGGAGATTTTTTTGGTGTTTGGAGGTTCTGGGATGGCGATCTCGATGACTAAGTAAACTGAATAGGCGAATAGTTTGTGTTACAATTACTTACTTTAACGGAAGGAAATCACATGTGTGGGAGTGAGGGTGGAAGAGGCAGGCTAGGGCAACATTGGGACGTGGGACGTGGGTGAAAACAGCTCGGATGTCCAGATGAGGAATGGCCCGGCTCAGATTGCAACATTGCTGAAGTCGCAACTCTGCAAGTCGTCGGCTAAAGGGTAGCCACTAGGAATTGGAAGCTGCCCTCTCACTCCCTGGGAATCTGCGCGGTCTTGACTGCTGCGATTTGGTTGTATATTGACTAAGTGTATATCAGGAAACCTTTATGAACGACGGATGTAGTACGACGCTTTTTCTCTGCGTTAAGCAGGGTTCAATAATCATAACAAATCCATTATATGCTGTGAAAGCAGGCAAGGATCATCGAAAATAGGGTCCCAAGCACCGACCATTCGCGACTGGTCGGGTCCCACGCGTTTAATTGGATTGTAATGCAAAGAGACATTACTGTCAAATGGACAGCGAACTGCAACTTGAATGTTACCATGGAACCCTTGTGACTACAGCGTTCCATGGAACTTTCTGTGCACTGGCTAGCATTTGCATGAATCTGCCACCAGAACTAGAATGAAAGGCGGATGAGCCAAATATTTTGAGATGATTATTCAAGGTAGAGACCATGAGAGTAACATGAATGGTTTCGAAACCGCGACAAGCTGCGAAGTAGGGCCGTTTATATAACTCTACGTGACAGACCTGGGAGGGCGTCCTCGATCTCTTCTTTTTCATGTGGATTTTGTTCTCTCGCCCATCTATACTCTACTACTGTTGATTGCACCAAGTACTAATATCAATCTTACCACATGCCTCTATTCACCACCATGGCCAAGGAAACTTCTTTGAAAAAGAATGCTAAGGTCTCCGAGTCCGAGAAGCCTCTGCCCTTGCCTCGTCCTGGCACTTCTGGCACGGAGAACTTGCTCATCACAAACAGGCGCCAGGCGTCAGAGCAATACATCAAAGCCCAGCGTGCCGAGAAGGCTTACCGAGCTAAAAAGCATGCTACCCTTGCCCGCTATAACTACAATGAGACCAAGGCACATTTCAAGGAGTCATTCTCGCACTTTAAACAGGGTGTAAAGGGTCTGGTCTCCGTGGTCAAGGCGGTCCCGCATCTCATCGGCGAGAAGCGAGAGCAGAGACGCAAGCAGGCCGACACCAAGAAGCGACAGCGTGACCTCGAGAAGAAAAAGAAGCTCGACGAGGCTCTGGCTCGTCAATCACAGGACGCTGAAGAAGACAGGTCGGACGATGAGTTGTAAAGAATCCGCCCAAGGCTTCTTCTACCACAGAGACAAAGCAGCAACAGCAGCAGCAACAGCAGCAGCAGCAGCAGCAGTACCCCTCAAAGATTGATACCCGTGTTCAGCACAACCACGCTCACTATGTTCTACATGATTCACATCCTGATTCAAAACCACTGCCTTTCCTTTTGAAAGAAATATCTCGTTTACAGACAAATCACTATTACTTAAAGAGAAACAACTCTCAGCTCTCAAATCTCGCTTCGCGACTTTCCAGCAAACCAACTACTTTTCAACAACACAAAAGGGTTCTCGATCTGCAGAACTACCTACGTTTCCATACTCAGCTGAGAAAATTGGTAATTTTCACTACTTCCAACAACATCTCAACCCACAACAAACACTATTTATGACGACATGAAGAGACGACGATGATAAGACTCGATGATGAGCATAGACACCGTTGCCAGGTCAGGGCATTATTGAACTGCCATCGGGCAAGGTGTTTTGGTCACACATCTTTTGGGAAATCTATCTAAACTGGTCTTGTCATATTCCTTTGGTCCGTAGGTGACGAGATACTAGAATCTCTGGGATCGATCAAGTTAGGACAGTCACTCAGGAGAGGCTGAATATCTGGCTAATACCCTACCCGGTGTACTGCAATAAAATCATTGCTAACCCTGTATCTGTATGAAGTGCCGGTGATATGACCTTAAGCTCCTAGAATATCGCTGGCACCTCTCATGCCCATTTGGGGTAACTTATGTCGTTGACGTGCCTGCTTCGATGTCGTGCTTGCATTCTGTACAGGATTAATTCTTTAAATTAAAAAAAAAAAAAAATTTTCAAACCAACCCAAAAAAATCTACATCCTTCAGGAAACCATAAATGCATTGTAGTCCCGTTTGAACACTACATATACTAGTACAGAACAACAGATAACATCAGTGGATCTACCGAACTAGACATGTGGAACCATAACACAGTACTTTGGGGGGGGGGGTTACAGGATAAGATAGAACGCTCTACTACGCCCTGGTGGCTGATGTAGTAGTGATTGGAATTATATTGCAAGGTGGAAACTGACGAACACTGAACCTCACCAAGAGACCAAAGGGGATCATTAGCATATGGTCAATCCCATTATCATTGCAATACAGTCTATCAAAAGATGACCACGTCATTCATATGCCCAAAAGGACTTTCCCAATGCTGTGAGTCCGAGTGGCGCCTTTCTTTACTAATTCAAGTTGACGCAAATTCCAGTCATCAGAGCCCTTAGGCAGCCTTCTTAGCGAACTCTACACGCAGGATCAAATGTTTGAAACCATAGCCGTCCATCTTGTTGCATGCCTTGACGGCGTCCTCTCTGTCCACAAAGCTGATGAAAGCAAAGCCCTTTGCCATGCCCGTCTCTCTGTCCTTGGCCAAGAACACGCGCGTGACGCGTCCAAAGCGCTCGAACATATCGCGGAGCTCGCCTTCCTCTGCCATCTCGGAAACCTGGATAGTAGAGATATGTTAGCACACGTACGTGGCCAATATTTGGAGATGCCTCCCTCATGGGGAAGAGACTACTTACGTTTGTGACACGCAGCGTGGCAAAGTCGTCCCGCTCGCCAAACTTGCCACCAGGGCCGCCCATCCTCTCGCCGGCGCCGCCAGCGCCATTCCTGAGTGCAGGCGGGACGTAGCTGCCCTTCTTGCCAGCACCAGCGCCGCCCGTAGCAGCGAGCTCATCACCCATGCCAGCCGCAACATCGGCTCCGCCCTCGGCGCCGACAGGGGCCATGGTGTCCTTGTAGGGACATCTGGCAGTGAAATGCTCGCCGTTACAGATACGGCACTTGACGGTCTTGTCCTTGAGCTTGTCCTTCAAGGCGTCCTCCTGGGCGTTCTTGGCCTCGTCCTTGGTGTCGGCCTTCCAGTTGGTGCTGAGTCTGAAGATGATGTTCTCGCCGACCGAGGTGGTATCGCTCTGAGGGCCGACCTTGTCGCTGGCGGACAGGCCGAACTTGGCCCAGGTCTTGCGCTGGGCAACGCGGGGGTTGACGACCTCGCGGTGCGTCACGAGGCGGATCCGCCGGGTGGTCTTGACTTTCTGGCCGTCTTCGTTGAATCGGTAGGTGATTGTCGTCTTGGTACCGTCCTTGTTCTGAATGGTCTGAGGAGGCGGCAGCTCGGTCGCGACGGTCTCATCGAGATCATCATCGTCAGCCCAGTCTCTGCGAGGAAGAGTTAGCAGGGGGTTTTGTTTCTGTGCGGGTTGCAGCAAAGCAATTGCTGTCACTGATGATGGCGTCGTACCTTGGCTTAGTCGACATCTTGGCTGTGTTTTTTCTTCTTCTTCTTGTTCTTTTCGTACGGATCGGGATTTAGTAATAGGTATTCAGGTAATGCCTTTTCGTGATCTTTGCTGTTGCTACTATCGCCTTGTTGTTGGTATTGGATGGATTTTGGCCGTCAGGATAATTATTTGCGCGAGTGTGGGGCAATTTATCTCGACCCCTCCAAAAAAACGCCGTCAGGATCCCAAACTTCGCCTCCAAAGTGAAGTGACTCAGCAAAGAAAAGGTTGATATATGAAGACTCAGCTCAATGTCCCTAGTCAAAATCTTGCGGGCGTATGCTCCCAATAATTCTAACGAATTCTTTGCCAGTCAATTCCTGTGTCTGCCAAATTTTAAGATAGAAATACCACCCCTGTGAGCAAGCCCCTAGATTTAGGAACCGCGCACAATCTGAGCGTATCAGTAACCTATCAAAGAATACAAACGTATTTGAATATATCATCAAAGGACTGTAAACTGCCGTGTTTGATAACAGCTAGCCCTTATATGATAACGTTATGATTTAGGAGATAATCACAATTTTTAGCTAGTACTTGCCAAAGCCCTAATACGTTGAAGTAGCCAAGCTTCACAGCAATTCGGCATAGTTTGGAGTCACAGCAAGATACTTTTGCAGAAGATCCGTCGCTTCAGGCATTTCGTGGGAAGGTGAAGGCGCTCGGAGTATTCATCTCCAACGTAGATACGGGCACGGCAAATTTGGTTGCCATCAAACTCTCTTCCTAAAATACATGTCCTTCGTAGCATCCATACTCGTGTCAAGTGGTATCTAAATCCATCCCTGGAAGAACAAAAACCTATAACGCCTAGAAATGCTGCCAACAACCAGCCTTTGCAGCAAACAAATCTATATACATGTGAACGCCGTCATGATCGTTCGTGTAGAATGCAAAACTTCGAGGAGAAGTGTGATCAAATGAACACTGCCCAATACCAATGGCATCTGGTGCCTCCATGGCCAAAGGAAATTGACAGAAGGAAAACAGAAGCGGTCGCGCAGACGTGAAACTTGACACGTTATTGTTTTTGGGGTATTGGTGGTAAAGCCCGAGTTGGAGGCGGTGCCAACGGTGGTCCCTCTGCTAGCTGAGGCATGCTTTTTCGGCCGGCCAAGCTCTTGGCTCCGATGTCGACACTCAAGAAATGGTTCGAAGGCGAGGAGGGCAAAGACGGTTTCTGAACGGATGGGGCCATTTCGCGTCTTTGGTGTGCTGGTTCACCAGCATGAGTAAATGAATATCTTTTATATGAAGGGGCTTTGGAGACGGAGGTAGTCGATGGCTTCCTATTGGGCCTGTAGGTTCCCATTGAGGACGAGGACCTGAATAGTTCTTGATTGGAATTCGACGCGGCTTCAAACTGTGCTTTTCGTGCTGCGACGGCACCCGAAAGGACGGATTTAGGGGTGCCGGTTGCCAGTTCAGCTGAGTCTCGAATTGGTGCTCGCAAGCTCGTCATACTGACAAAGCGACGAGGGACCGTTTTGGACTCAGTGATATGAGACGATGATAAACGATTGGCTGATACGCGTGATTCAACTGGGCCAAGCGTATTCCTGTGCTGCGGTTCGACCCCAACCCGCGTCCGAGACGATGCTGTTGAATGTGAGTCTGGAGCCACCGTGGGAACCTGCTTATGTTGCATGCCGCCCATGTTCTGCGAAGCTTTGGGGGAAAGTGGAAGTGCTGGTGTTGGCATGTCCATAACTGTAGACAGAGGTCGGGACATTGCAAGTGCGGTGGGCGGTGGTTTCCGGGACGACTTCGCAACAGGTTCGGGCTCTACAACTACAGGTGTCGGTGCAGTTACTTCTTCGTATGTAGAATCAGAGGATGTAGGTCTCAAGGCCGGGAATCTTTTACTGAAGTTTGGAATGCTTTGTCGAGAGGAGTTGTGATGAGCGTCACTGTTATCCGTTCCCGTCGATATGGTTGACTGTGGGCGCGAGCTACCCTCCGGTGAGCGAACGTCAAAGCCGGACATCACCGTCTGCATGGATTGCCTCCGTATCGAGATATCCCGGGCATTGGGCCGTAACCTGACTTCTGCCGGGCTTTCGTGGGACGGGCGCGATTGCTTGGATTCGTCCGGGTGGCTCGAGAAGCTAGCACGGGTGGGGGAGCAAGCAGGTGATGAATTAGCGGAAGTCACAAAGGTTCGCTGTTCAGATGAGATATAAGAGAAGCGATTGTTGCTGTCGCGACTGTCACGCAGGCTTTCGAGGCGTTGCCCATCAGATGAGTAGTGGCTATCAGAAGTCGATATATCGTCCATGGAGAATTCTGGGCTGAGTTCCGAGGGTGGCATTCCTGGCGGCTCATGACCATTTTCTTTTAGCGCCTGGTCGTTAGACCACGAGAAGTCTTGCTGTATCATGGTTGAGAAACGCTCAGGATCACGAACCACAATTGTCCTTTGGCTGTGTTTTTCCTTGAGCTCCCCAGGTGCTGCGCCCTTTTTGACCTCTCCGGTCTCGGTCAGTTGCTTTTTGCCTCCCAGATCTTCGATTTCTCGTCGCAGCACCGCCAGCCAGTTGTCCATCTCCTCGGCACTCTCGACGACCAATAGCATCGTAGATACGCTCTTCTTTTCCGGGCCCCGGAGCGCTAATTTGGAAATGAATGATCTCGATTCTGGGACGGGAGATCGCATACCGTCCATATATGATACGATCTGGATAACCCAGTGTCGCCCTGGGATGAGATCGCTTGCGAAAGCAGCGGAATCTTTGCTTAGGCGCAGGATCCGTTCCGGTAGCCGATCATACGAGCCCTCGGCCGCATATTGAAGCAGGTAACCCGAAGTGACAAGGGTATAAATCTTGGTCGTCCAGTCCAAGATGCTCCGAGATCCTCCATTTCGTTGATGGAGTCTCCTGCCCTTCTCTTCCTTTTTCTCTCCGGCCCCATCTGCCGCTATGTCGTCTTGCAATAGTGGACTATTGCGGTTGGCATTGAGTTTGGAAAGCATGTCGACTGATGCGGTGCATGCTGGTAAAGTAGCATGCTTGACAGCTTGCGGATATACTTGAAACAATGGCGATGGAGTCCAGACACCAGGTGTTGAGTGAAGGGGTGCTGGTAATGGGCTGCTCTTGCCGCCGCTGAATTGCCGTAAGCGGGTGTTGGACGGTTGACTTTGAAGTCCGGCTGAGGATGTAGATCGCGAAGATGAAGGTGGCAGCGGACTCGCCAAAGATAAGTCAGAGCGGGAATATGGCCAATTGCCTACGATTGAAGCTCGAATGCCTCCCGATCTTGAGTGTTCCCTCAGCGGTGCGGGTATGTCCAGCTCGTTATTGTCACTGTCTTTGGCAGACTTGGATCTACCGAAAATGCTTCGCAGTCCAACTCTCGACTCCCGCTTAGCAAGCTTTCCAGAGTGTAATTCTGCACGCAACGGTACTCTATTCTCGTCGGCAACGATGATGTTGGGCGGACGGGTGCGCCGTATACTGTTCGAATGCGACTGGAGAGATTCAAATGTGCCACTCGTGGGACTCAATGGTGCATCGTCGGTTTTCTCCTCCATGACGATGACATGCGCGCAGCAAGCCACTCGACTGACGATTTATTGACGCTACAAATTCTGTTGTAGATAAGCGACTCTGCTTTCCCAGGGTTGTGGTTCGATCTAACGGGCAGAGCCAACGGGAGTGGTCGCGAGCAGTGTCTTAAAAATGAATGTGATGCAATTGTTGGAAATAACGGCCCGAGGATTGAGGAATGTGAGTGCTTAAGGCATGCATAGCGGACCAACGAATCTTGACCACTGGACGACGTCAAAACACAATTAGATTACAAGGAAAACATGGAGACGTCGAAGAGGTCAAGGCAACCTTGCGCAAAAGCTACAGTGTAGCCCACGATGTATACCGGCTGTTGCGTGCCTAGATGCGCTTTGAAGGTGGATATACTTTTAGGATGAAAGTTGGGGTCCAGATTGTACCGGATCGACCGTAATGAACTTTTGTGACGCCAGCAGCCCCTAGATTTTTAGATTGATTTGGCGCAAAGTTTGACGATTGTCTACTGTAGGCTTGCTTGTGTGGTCAGAAATGGAGAAAAAGAGTAGGAACAGAGAAAGCGGATGCCATGACGCATGAGACACGGAATCGAAATAAAGTACTTCAGAACAGCTGCATGCTTTTCCTCCCGTGTCCTTCTAGACGGCTGGTGGTTGGTCGGCTAGCCCACCACGACAGACATTGATGCGAATTTTTTTTTTAAACTTTTCCTTTCGCAATAGCAAATACACAGGGATACGGAAAGTGAATCTCGCGATTCAAGCAGGGGTTTTACTAAAATTCCGACTTGCCCCTGGTCCGGGAGCATAGCCGTTGTGCTGACTTGTGGATGCGTACTGAACGCACACGCCACATGACAGTGAGGCGCGAGGGGTTCCGACAAGGGGGTTTGCGGTAGAGAGTTGAAAACTCATGGCATTACATGGGAGTGTACACGAGCGAGTAATTCAAGGCGTCTACTGCGAGCGGCTAAAGCACTGGCACCGAGTAGTCAGGCAGTGGTCTAAAATCTGGCAATCGCAGATGATGGCATCATTGCCATCCTTGGTCTCGTCAGTACCATGCTTACAAAACTAGTATTAAAAACAAAATATAGATACATAATGTTGGGGCTGTGGAATAAGAATGAAAGTCACAAAAACGGCATGGATGTTCGATATTGGGGATCCCGGGACTCCGATGCCAAATAAATAGATACCGGTATTAGGATCCTTGGCAACAGTGGAAACAATCTGACCGTTGGAAAGTCTCCAGCCTACCCATTGGAGATCTCTCAAATTTGATCCGATGGTCATGTTGCAAGATTGGTCATCAATGCGGACATCAAGGCGGCATTGGAATATAATAGCAATATCCACCTAGTTACAGATGTGATGAGTTGTGCCCCGTCGGTCTCGTAAGCTTGCCCACGAACTGCTTATGTCGCAGCTGAGATCATTCCAATATGCAGTAGTCATATCACAACATGTAATTTGCGCCGAGCTGACTGCAGACTGCAGACTGTTTAATTTCACAGAAGCCAGGACAACTCTGATCGTACATAGCGCAGTACCAGGGCCCGCAAATTTGTTTTGTGTTGGTGTGAGGAAACGCGCCGCGTCCCCTGAGAGGGGCACGTCAGTTGATTCGCTGCACCGACAGGATGTGAGTCGAGGTTCTGGAACAGATCGTAGCTGCGTTCAGGGGTCCCTCGCCTGCCCCTCATCTGCCAAACTTCCTAGCTAGGAAATCAGGAAATCAATCTACAGCCATCAGTGAACCTTTTGGGGGGGGGAGGGGAGGGGGGGTTTCCTTTTCCCTGCCCCGCCTCCCCCTTATTTGCAGGTCCGCGGCTCCAGTCTCCAGTCTCAGTCTCTATGTAGGCAAAGTGTCATACTTCGGATGACAAGTTTGACAAGAAGCCCGGCTGTTGTAACAGGTGGTCAAATCCATCTTCACTTGTTTTGATAGCGCTTCTACGGATCACGGGCACCCCGAATATGGCCACTGGAAGTTTCATGTTGGTTCGCATCAATGAAAAGCATGGGATAAAGGGAATCCCAGTCCCTTACATGTGGTACGACTAACAGCGACATATTACGCCAAAAGGTACAAATCTGCAGGTTCGCTTGCTTACGCATGTGTGCAATTTTATTTGACTCTCATCGTGCATGGACCTACCTGAGCCTCTGCTGGCAGTATAACCCGCCAATCATTGTGGGCTTTTAGAGCAGCAGCAGCAATTTGTCCCCGCTAGTTGATAAATTCGCAGGCCCGAAATTCAACGAACTCGGAACCGCGTATCAACGTACCATCTTACCTGGATTGGTTCAAAGGGATCGGTCTGTTCGTATTGACCTCATTGTACCTCAACCGAAGAAAATTACCAACTAGAGACATGCTTGTGACCATTTCTCAGCTATTAAGATAAGCTGCCAAGACGTCATAGTCCTGTCAAAGCCTTACAGTCATAAATCTAGTGACCAATTGCACAGACGGAGCGGATGTAAAGACGATGAATAAACCACGACTTCAGCGTATTGACCATACTAAGCATACTTGAGGAACTATCATTCACTGATTGACCGTGGCTAATGCGCTAATGGACTGATATGATATCTACTCGCCCGTACACCCTGGACGACTATTGGTCCAAAAGATGTTTGAAAGCAAGTTTCCATTGGGAAACTTTATGACGCTATGTACCAACGCAATCGTTCTGTGTATCACATTTCTCAGGCTTTTTTCTTTCTGTATTAATCTCTTTATTTTGTTCGTCCGCGGTATGTTATTCTGTTATTAATAGGTCTACACACAAAATTTGCCTCCTACACGATGTATTGATTACCAACTGTAGATATTGAAGCCGATCTCGTCTTATCACCGTTAGGAGAATCGTCAGAGCACTGCCATTGTTTCCCGATCCTTTAAACCCGCCCGAGACTCTTACACTTTGCGCGGAGCTATTACGATATGAAACTCCTTACTAGTTGAGAAAACAATCAGTTCCTAATAATTATAAAATTCATGTAAGTGTAACTTGCCTTCGTGGCACAACAGCGGTTAGCTGCAGAGGCCTGCACTTCAGTTACGTAGTGGATCAACCTGCCTCAAGACAGAAACGACTAGGGTATCCAAATCCTTTGGAGTCTAACTAAGTGGTTGCTTGTTCAAGAATTTTAAGATTCCGAAGCTTCGCGACGGCGGGTCTCTATACATGGACTTCATCGTACGGCCAATAACTTGGTACTTGCTCTGCAGCTGTATGGGAAAGGCATCATAGTGAGACATAATGGAATAACGTTCAACAAGCTGTTCGCGGTAATGCACAATCACTCACTTTGCATATGCTCGCATAACACTACTTTTTCCAGCCGTCCCCAAACCCACGCGGCCTCCCCATGGCGTTGGATAGCTTGCCACTATCTCATGGTACCTGCATTAGCTGGATTCTCAAAAGCAATCCATCTTTGGGGCTGAAAAGGCCGATCGTTGCGGCCAGGTGCCACGAAACAGACGGCATTGCATGATAGAGGTACTCAACAACATCATGTACCACCAGCATGGACTCCTCATCCGATCCCCCATCGCTTCTTGTCTTTGCCAGCTTAACGCAATGTCTTCGTGGCTTTCTATTTGCACGAACGCCCACAAGAGGGCCGTCTTTGTGCAAGTTCGAAGCCAGCCATGCCGGTCAGAATTCACCGAAATTGTTCGCAATGACACTCTTTCTCCTGTGTTGGATGCTCCTAACCGCCCCGCAGTGAAGCTGAAGTGTCGTAAATACCCGTATGTTGTCTCTAATAATCTCATAGGTTTGGAAAATAACTTTAGAAAGAACATTTCAAGCAGCCTCGATAAAATATACAAAGATACATGTGTGTATTCCCTCACACTAGTTTCTTGTTTGTGATCGACAACTACATACCTAGTATTACTATCAATAGAACTTCAGGGGCCCTCCCGCTGTGGACGCTGCGCTCTTTGTCTTGAACGATGAGATAGACCATTCATGTCCTCGGACTCCCTAACACAGAATCGTCGGCGTTTCCGATGTAGCGATTCAATGACAAGCTTGAGCAATCCGCTCTGAAACTCCTCACAGGGCAGTAAGGCTCAAACAAACTTAAACAACAGTCTTTTGAAACACCTTCTAGCTCTGCTCCTTAGTGTGCACTAAAAGGATAACTACTTGCCAGCCCAACACTCGCCTTATGTCCGGGAGTCTTTTTAGTGGATTCTTCTTGGCTGCACAGACGTACAGCCCTGGAATGGCGTCAAACTCTTCAACAGCCTCTCTAGATAACCATGGATATAGACGGAGAGATGATCAAAAAGAGGTGTCTTGCAAATATGCTTGGATCAGAATGCTATATAATCCCTACGTAGACCTATACAGAATCATCGACAAGTATTCTATAAGCAAACTCACAGTTGTGACACTATACCAAAACACTCGGACAACGGCAACGATGGCGACCATGCTTTCGACTTATTTTCATAGCCCTGAACGTTCTACCATGACTCAACCCTCTTGTGGCGGTACGCCAGACACCCGCCATACGAAGTTGTTCAAGCTCCAGAAAAGGAATTTGGTTGTGGTCATGGATTAGTAGAGAGTCTCCTATCACCAGCAATTTGATATGATCATTGAGTATTGTCTTTGATGGCGAGAAACATTCACTGGTGAAATATCATCCCACGTGTTTATCTCCGCCATTTCATCATACCCATTATGTACCCCGCAATATTGGTATATTTTGTCGACACAGATATGTCCCAGCCATCAAATATCAGTGCTGCGTGCACTGGTCAGATCTGAAGCCTGTTTGAGGTTTTTTGGCGTAAACTTACTCAGAAAAATAATGCAATTCTCGATTCCTCGCCGATTTATGAGACGTTGTGTTGTATCCTGTCGTGGCACCAAGCAGTAAAATTTTGCTGTGAAGCATTGCAAATACAATTGTATATACATGACGAACTGGTTGTTTTCTTCTTGCATAACAGCTGACCATTCCCTATCAACAAATCGTTGCCCTTGAGATTCTAATCATCCTATCAACCAAGCATGCTTTGCGTTCCTCTATAACCACTGTGTTACAAGACGGCTATACTTCAAGCGGATCCCTATAATTTTTGGCCACAAAGGTTAAGGCCAGCCTGCCGGCCAATGCCGCAATGTGGTCGAGCTTACCTGTCTTGGCTGTAATAAAGTTTAATTCACGGAAACGATTGGCTAAAAGTCGGCTTGTTCAACTCTGGCAATTCGGTTGCCGCAATTTATGAAAAGGCTAGATTTATTTCTAAGAGGGTCTTTGGTTGCTCCAGTCTATTTTAGGTTGCGTGACACGTGGAAATGTATATTCACTAGAACTCGACCGCCGCCACGCGACTCCCGAGAGATATTGGGTTTTCAACAGCCTTCTCACATGATTAGGCAAACTCAAATCGTGACAGTGACGGAACTCTGTCCAACTATCCCGACTAATGATTCCTGTCTACTGCCCACGTTCTACCTCGCGAACTAGACGAACGCGTACTGTAATCGGATGGCAACTCAGAGAGTTAAAATGTAAAAAGCTTACGCAATTAGTACTCTTTTTTGCCACTATTTATGGCCAAATATGTGTCCCATCCTTTTGGGAATTCAACGTGGCCAATGATTTGTGCCAACAAAATTCTTAATTGCACAAGCGAACCACGAGGACAACTTAGCCGCGTCGAGAACACCACGATCGATTATATGACAGCAATACGTGACGTAGTGTCCGTTGTTTGATCAAAAGAGGTCCACGAGGATCTGGCAAACAGAACCAAGCTATCGCTTGTGCCGCCCTCCCAAATCGGTTGCTTTGAGGTTCAAATTTAGATGTCCTTCCGTGCTGTTGTGATTCTTCGTTGGCTATGACTCCAAGGTTGGGAGAGGCCGCGAATCCTCCGATTAAAAATGCTTAGCTTAAACAGCAGACAACGAAGATACCACAGTGTGATACACTATAGTTTTTGATGACATTGTTCTGCACGACCTAGGTATTTTGAGGCTGAGGAACGGGGCAACAAACAATCAGATGACCCCCTCGCACCGGGTCAATGATCTGAGCATTAGGACATTGCGGTAGCAAATAATGTACCTCGATCTAGGTTCACATCATAGTGCCTGCTGCGTATCAGCATGTCAGCCGAGTAAGGTGACTAGACAGTAAAAGTTCATGATGGTAGACGGTCGACTTTCGACTTGTACGATGGCGTTTGCGTGAGATTTGTGTAGAAATGCACCTGTCAAGCCTGTCGGCTTGCTTGCCGGGTACGACTACGGCTACGGCTACGGCTACGGTCGGCCCTCAACGGTGAACTCAGCGCATCTCAGCTTGGCTATACTTACTACTTGATTGTACCTACTGTAGCGGAGCCTACACGTGTGTATGTATGTGTGCATAGCCGGGGTATGTAAGCTACATACTACTTGATACCTAATTACTTGGTATATGTTACGGATCCGTATACTGGAAAGTTAGGTAAGTACTCGGTGCGCTAGCGGGGGTAGCAAACAACCCACCTGACGTATGACTTGCGGGGCAGCTCCAGGCCCCATCCCTTGCTCTTCAGCCATGTCCCATGCCCCGGACCGGCGATGCAGCAAGCAGTAACTTCATTCAGGCCTACCGAACGGAGTATGACATCCTAACCTACAGTGTTCACATCCCATCCATCACTCCACATCGCTCGATTGTCACCCGGAACACCCGCCGCCTTCCTTCCTATGCATAACCAGTAGAGCGAAGCAGCAAACTTCTTCCCCATCTTCATGTCTTGATTCGATGGCACCAGACCTCAATTCTCTGCCACCGTCCCCGTCTGGATACTCAAGAACCATGACCTCACCAACCGCAAACGGCGACAGTCCCGTCGTGGGCACAGATTCTCCGCCTCCTGCTTCTCGCTCCCAGTCTATCTCTTTACAGGCAGCAGCTACCATGAATGCAGGCCTTCAGCGACGTACGTGATCAGCCTCACACCTAACACAGCCCCTCGCATGCCGGCCTTGCTGACCTGTCTTTCCCCCCATTCCACAGGCTCATCGAATAGCTCGGTTAGTAGACAACAGCCTTCGCCCGCCGGCCGGAGACGATCCACCGTCCTCATGAACATTCAGCACAATGACCCCAGTCTCCCTCCCGCTGGCGAAATCCAGGAAGGCTCAGGAGCTCCCGCCGGAGCTGCTCTCATCGCCTCCAGCCCACGACCCATGTCTGGCTCTCCCTTGCTGATGGCCACCCGCGATCCCTATCACAACCGGACACCCAGTCTGGGCGAGCTTCACCAGGAGCTCGAGGCAGAACAAGAGGCCCAGGTCAACCGCCTGCTACACCAGATACGCCGCCAACAAGTCGAGCTCCAACAGCTTCACGCAGCCCAAGATCAGAACCAGACTGCCGTCGCAGCTGACGATGCCACCCCCACCTCGGAACGGTCCCGCTCTGCCTCTATCGTTATTCCGAGCGCAGGCGTAGCCCAGGCCTCCTCGTCTGTGTCTACCCCGCGATCGCCTGTCCTCCCACGTGGGTCCTTCGACATTGCCCAGACTAGTCTGCGACCCTCACGCACACCGAGTCGAAGTCTGAGTCGGCAGACGTCCTCGTCGAGGATGAGATCAGGTTCCATAAGTGCCGGCGACAGTGGCGACCCTTCCCTCTTGAGTGGTCGGGACGAGACCGCTTTCTACCAAGCAGAGACACAATCACTTGTTCGGGAGAACCAAATGTTGCGTCATCGCATCCGAGAACTGGGTCAGTCGGTGAAATCGCCAGAAACGACGTCGAGAATTGCTAACATAAACATAGAACGCCAACTTACCGACGCACAAACGGCGTCGTCGGTCACGAGGGAACCAGCCCAGCCATCTCATCTATTGCAGTCCCAGTCTGTGTCGGAGGATGAGAGTGGCACAAGTAGACCAAGTGCCACTACCATGGGCCCTCCAAAGGCAGAGTAAGCCTGCTAACCTTATGGACTGGAATCTGCTTTTATGCTTGGCGGTTTGACGAGGACAGACCCTGGGCGTTCCTGATTTTGTATGGGCGTTGAGTAACATGGCATGCATGGCAAGGTAATCCAAATTCAAGTCACCATGAAAGGAAGTTAGGCGTTGGGTGAGAATGGCAGGCGGACTTTCAAGCTTGACATGGGCAGGCACAGGGCTTAGAGAACATAGCCTCAAGCTTTTGGACGCTAGCACCACTCACAAAAGTGTTACATGATGGTTTTTTTTGTTCCTTTGTTTTTTGTCGGGGGGGGGGGGGGTTGGCCAGATATGAAGCAGTCAAGTGCTACAATAAAAAAATAAAATAAAAAACTCAAGGCTTCTTGCTAGCCAACCTTGAAATTGTAAGGATACAAGATATGAAACTGGCACCCTTCCAAGTCTATAAGATGCAGGCCTCTCTACACAAGTTCTAGATACAGATATTGGTACACAGTAGTAATAGTCATAATATGTACAGAGCAGCTTCTAACCTCGTGCCACGTCCAGCTGCAAATTGGCTACCGCCACACCTCCACATTCTCGTCCTCGAGAACCTCGTTACCACTTGCAAGCGAAGGGTACTCGTCTGCGCTCTCCGCGATATCGGAAGGAGCACCGTCGCCGTCGCTCCCATACGCTTGTTCTTCTTCTTCTTCATCGAGCGCCGCCTCATCGTCGCCGTCTTCCGCATCGAGTAGCTTCGATATATCATCCCCTAGAATCTCGTGCTCCAGATTGGTTCCTACCCGCCTCATGCTAGAAATCGCCCTGAAGCATCGAGGGCAGTCCTGTTGTACGTCCTTCATGATCTTAGCCGCCTCCCCGGACCAAGGGGCCATCTTGTCGAGCTCCAGATAGCCCTTGGCCAGATAGTACAGCGTGTGGGAGACTGGACGCAAATACCTGGGCCATTGACCTTTTCGCCTCAGATCCAACGGCACGGCGTTCTTCATGTTCTCCCGCTGGCGGGCCTTGGCCCATCCTGTCCAGTTCGGCATGAGCCACTTCTCGCAAATTTCGAATGCCTCCTTGTATGCATGGCACTGAACGAGACCTTGGACGTGCAGATTCCAGTTTTTGGAGTCGACCTCAAAGCCAGCGAGCCGGACCTCTTCGAAGAGTTTTTGCATGGCTACGGGATCGCCCTGTTGGAGGTACATGGTCTGCATGACCTTGAGGCCGTCATTCAGGATGTAACGAAAGCGCGAGGATACCTTTTGGGTATGAGGGCGGCGTTCAGACCACTCTGGCGACAGCGATCCCTCTTGAGCCATACTGAACATCATACCCCAGGTCTGGCGGAGAGATTCGTAGTTCTTCTCAAAGAGGTCGGCCCACATAATGCTGTTGAGAATTTTGATTGGTAACGGCTCGGAGGATTGGGTATCACCGTATGCCACATATCGGTACATGTCGACGAGTTCTTGCACCTTAACATAGTCCTTCATTTGCGTGAAGATATAGATCAATCGGCTGAAGTGGAAGGCTTGCTTATCTCCTCTCAATAGCCTGTCAGCCGAGACTGGTTGGCTTGAGGGTTGGGCCTTCTCTGGGTGCCTCTTATCCGCATTCCGAATACCGTAGACCCTGTAAAACCGACGCAAAGCTGCACCTAGAAGAGTCTCTTGTGAATGTTGACCTCTTCTGCGCTTGTGTGGCAGCCGCGACCACTGGCTAAAGGCCGTCACGAGCGCAACGAGACTGTCCGCCGACTCCTTGAAGCCACACTTCTGCATCAACTTGTGCATTTTGACAACTAGATCAGATTCGCCAGTTTTGATGAAAGCTCCCATAATGGTATGAAAATGCCCCTCGTTCACCTCAAACGCGCCGTCTTGGATGGCAACAGCCAATAGATGCAGAGCATGTTGAGACTGCTTGCACAGAGCAAGCCCGGTCAGGAGTTCTTGATATGTGTACTCATTGTAGGGCACATCCAACTCCGTCATTCGGCCTAGGAGGCCGTTGATGCCGGCTAGATTGCGGCGATGGGCATATGCATTCAGTACCCTATTCCACAGCCGCGGTTCTTTCAGTCCCTTGCCGGCAGCACGCACACATAGAGCCTCTGCTTCACCGAAAAGGTCGTTTTGGCAGTATGCATCGATTAAACAGCAGAGAATCGGAATGTTACCGGAAATCACATGGTGACGGCGTGCTCGACGATAGATGTCGACGGTGAGACCTAGATCTCCACGATCTGCCGTCATTCTCATTATGGTGCCGACACTGACGTGATCCATATCACCTAGAGCCTCACAAAGCTTCTCAAACGTCTTTAAAGCACCGCCGTAGTCGCCAGCTTGGACATGTGCGTTAAGAAGGATGGTCCAACAATAACGGTTTGGTACCAGCCGGAATTTCGTGGATATATCGTCGAAAATCTGACGAGCCTCGAGCAACTCCCCTCTAACAGCGTGCACTTGTAGGAGATACGTAAAGGTTTCCGGGGACTGGATATTTGTTTCTCCTCGGGTTTGGTAGTCCTTCCAGAGTGCGTAGACGTGCGATTTGCTCCCGGCTGTTGCATAAAAAGCCATAAAGCTCTTAAAGGCGTGCGCGGTAGGGCTCTTGTGGAAGGTATGCCAGTCGCCCCAGAGCATCTCCATGCCAGGAAACTTGATATCTCGGGCACGCATCGACTTGTACGCACCAAAAATGATGTGTAAGACCGGATGGCTAGGACAACTTTGTGGAAGATCCCGATAGATCTTGTAGATCTTTGTCAATAACAACATGCGAGCATTCGATTCAGGTCTTGAGCTGCGAATGAACTCTTCGTAAGCGAGGTGATCATTTGTCATGCGCAGCAAAGTCAAGGCCTGGTTGTCTGAGCAGACCATCAGCGCTCGCCTCACGAGCAGTTTCTTCAAAGAATCGATCCGTTTCGAGCCCTTCTCCTGTTTGAAATATGGCTTGAACTTGATGACAAGATCTGGCAGATCCGGAACTGAGCGCACGCGGGTCAGCAAGCTGGTAATGCCTTCGAAGTTGAAGCGTGCCACCATCTTGTCGTAATGCTTCCAAATATCAAGCAGCTGATCCTTGGACGGCGACTTCAACGCGGCGGTAAGCATTATGTCGAAAGCGTCCACTAAAGAACGGCGGTCTATATTGACATTCTCCAAACCTTGGATGAAGATGTCTTCCGCCCGTTTGATGTTTTGCAAGTCCATCTCGGCGTCGAGGCCTGCCACGAAGGAGTAGCTGTCCCAGCGGCTGGAATCAAGCTGGCTGAAGAGCTCAGATATTTTCCAGGAATCAGTGACCCGTCCCGTCTTGGACAGGAAGACGAGCGTCTGACCGAGGTATAGTTGCCTTGAGTGTCCGTCCAAGGAGGTGTAGTGGAACCAGACTTTATCGGCGTCCTCGGGGTTGTCGGAAACCAAGAGTACCATGAGTTTTTCTAGATGATCGCTTTTCTCTACCTCGAAGATGTCGGCCAATTCCCTCTCAGACAATCCCTTCTCGCGAATGGCCCGTGCTGCCTCGGCCGCCATTTCTAGTTGCTTTGCGGCGCTGCCCACGGCTACATTATCGTGGGTTTCGGGGTCCTGCATAGCGGCCGAGGAGCTGTACAAGCGAGGAGAGACTTTGGCAAATGTCGAGGGGGGTGTGTAGAGATCTAAGCGTTCGGAGAACACTGGGCTGAAACGGCGCAAGAAGGCAGCGGTGCCAGTCGGGTATAGGAAGTCGAGCAGGAAGCTGGAAGCGCGCAAAGCGGGATGCCTGACATCGCAGGTACTGGGAGAGGAGTTTGAATCTGGATTCGGATCTAGATTTGGAGTTGTGGCGGCAGTGTCTATGCCGGAGTCCAAGACTCCGTGCATTAGGAGCTGCCAAGCATTGGAGAGCTCAACATCGGCAGCTCCATGCTGCCAAAAGGCAGTATGAAGCTGTCTCCTGCTCCTGAAAGAGTTTGTCGCAACGGGGAGGACTCGCTGAAGGCCGCATGGTTCGAGGCTTGCAGCTGTCTTCTCCAGCATTGGGAGAAGCTGTATAAGCGGGCGGTCCCGTTCTCGTGGATACCTGTGTTGCAGTGACAGTTTAACGGACTGGCGAAGAGAGAGGAAGGGTGTTGTCGGGGGAGAGGGCTGTCATGTCAATGTCAATCTCATTCTCGTCGTTTGGCTCTGATCATGCCATTTCGTGTTAGCCTCAATATGAATTAAATTTCTGGAAATGGTCGGAACAAGACTAACACCAATCATGATGCGCACAGTGGCGATATGCTACCCCGTACAAGGGCTTGGAGGCAGGTCCTTTACTGTCACAACCAAGGTGTCTCCAGGAAATGTTTGCGTCCGGTATGCCGACGAGGGTACGAATAGCTCCGGCGATCAAAGCAACGGTAGCGATGATTGATTTTCTTGCCCGGGGAGGCAGACGGGGGTTCGATGCGCCGATGTGGCCGACGGCAAAAGTACAGTGCCAAGTAAGTTGACTTGAGCTGCAATGATAAATAAATAACTAAGTACAGTGCTACTGTGCTGTGCTGTGCTGTGCTGTAGCTTTTCCCATGCCTGGAATGGGGAATGGGGATAAGGGACACCCCCCAGGCACCTCCAGGACCTCCAGAACCCCATCGCCAGCGTTCAGCGCCCTGGTCCGCCAAAGCCCTTCCCCCCCCCATCCCAACTGTGTTTCGTTTGAGTAGTTACTGTAGGTCCGTCCGGTCCTGGCCGACATTTTGCCAGCCGCGGCCATCGACCGACTGAGCCACTGGCCATCCCACTTTAGTAAACCAACTCCAGCTTTATGAATTTTGGTGGTTGACCCCCCACTTGCGAGGATAAGGACAAGGACGAGGATCGGATTGCGCTTCGTGACATCCATCTACTCCGTAACTCACCTACAGCAGCTTCATACAGTAGCTACTCTCCCTCCTCTGCCTCGGCAATCCAACAAGAGAAAGCCGCCCAGCAGGAAGCTGTCACTGGCGCACCGAGCACCGGGTCCACAGCCATGGATATCACCAGCTTCGTCATCTCCTCCAGGAACCAGGCCCTGCTCTATGGCGACTACTCCACCTACCACAAGCAGCTCACCAAGAAGCTTCTCAGCTGCCGCAGGAAGTTGAACATTGCGGTCAAGAACAGAGGAAAGTTCAGTAAGAAGGGCGACTACAAGGAGATCACCTCGGACCAGGTTGCCGAGAACCATGCCTACCTCCAGCTTGTTCTGCTCACCGCAGAGCGGGACTGGGCCCATGCCATGGAGTTGAAGGCTGTTCATTCAGCGGACGCCAAGGGAATCACTGGCCGAACGAGGGTGCACATCATCGGAAGGCTTCACAAGGCAGCTCTAATTGCCCACCATCTCGTCGAGTTGCTCTCCAGCAGCGGTGCCAGTGGTGCCAATAGCATTGACCTGCTAGAGGCCAAGGCTTATGCTGCTCTTCTCAGCGGCTCTGAACGCTTCGAGAGACAGAGTTGGGAGCAATGTCTCAAGAGCTATGCCACCGCCCGTATCATTTACAGCGCCTTGACGTCGGTTCAGAACCCCGATACCGTCAAGGATTTGATGTCCGAAACCATCGATCCTTCCATACGCTATGCCGCATACCAACTCAAGATCCCCCGAACTCAGGCTGTACCCACGATTGCGAGAAAGGCATTTCCCTCGGACCAGCCCCTGTCTGATGAGATCAATAAGCTGGACCCTGCCTTGTTGAAGCAGACTGGAGTCGATGCCCAGAGGGAACAGGCCGACGCCCCGAGCGCACGTCAGAACATTGAATGGAGAGGCCGGCAGGTCAAGATCGAGGATGCCGCCATTGCTGTAGCCCTTGCGGCCACTGAAGTTGCGACCGCCCGGCTGGCAAAGAGACTGTCGTCCTCCGATGTAATCCTACCCAAGGAGATGGCCGCTGCATACGATGAAGTCCTCATCGCCAGTCAGGATGTTGCAGACATCACGAAGCACGCAATCGATGAGCTCAAGGAAGAGGGCGTCTCCCAAAACGACTCGAGGGTTCAAAGTCTGCAGATCACTAGAACTGCTGTCAACTACGATATGATTAGTTGGAGGATTGGACGCAATCGAGTCTTGAGTGGTGACCATGATGGTGCTCTGCTTGACTCGGCCCCCAACACCACCAGGAAGGCCAAAAAGGAGACTGAGAAGGAGACAAGCGCACAGAAACCGAAACATGAAGCTCCTGGCCGACAGATCGCCAGATTAAAGGAGAAGGTCGTCCTTTATGACGCAACCCTTCAGAGTCTGGACTCGATCAAGGAATTGCCTGGTGTCGCAGCAGATGAAGATCTTCAAAAGCAGCTGGATGCAACTTACCAATACTTCCATGCGCTCAAGTAAGTCAATTGACACCTCTTTCGCCTTGGCAGTGTATTAACAAGAGACAGGTGCCTATCTATAGCGCGATCCCACTCAATAACTGGCAGTTCTGTCAACGCCCTGGCGCTTACGAAGCATGCCCTTGCTGAATGCCAGCAATCTGCTGCTTTTTTCACAAACCACATGTCTACTTCAGAGGACGGAGCGCCCGTGACTATCGACATCCGCGACAGCGATATTCACTTTCTTTCTAACCTGCTCAAGGGTGAACTGCAACGATGTCGAGCCCTTGTAGAGATTGATAATGTGCGAGCCAAGTCGCAATCTACAGGCACCAAGTCCAGCACTCCCCTAGTCCACAGACTGTATGAGTACCCGGCGGAGGGCGTTGACCTGGAGAATCTGGTATCTTACCCTCCCAAGATAGAGCCCATCCCAGTTAAACCCCTTTTCTTTGACGTCGCTTGGAATTACATTGATTATCCAGGACAAGTGCATGTTGCTGCACCGAATCAAGAAGAGCAGAAAGCGGGGGAGTCCACTCAAAAGAAGAAGGGATGGTTTGGTTTTGGTCGAAGTTAAGATACCAGCTTATGAGAGAACGACCAAGTTTATACACTCCTGATCTTTCGCTATGAGTGTCTAATAATCAAATCCCCAGTTCGCTTTGACAAATTTGCTAGAAAGTCGATAATACATGCGGCGAAATCAACGTCTCGAGAACTTTTTATTTTATTTTATTCTTTTGTTCTTTTTATTATCAAATTATTGGCGGGGTTTGAGCCCACAGGGATGATTAGCTTCACTCATCCCTTACCACGCCTCATCCCTTGTTTTGTGCCTCGAGATGTGGTGACTGTGATCTTTATAGTATGGCTCATCATATGTCTTCGTCTCATAATGCGATTTCATAATGCGAGGCCACCGAGCATCTGGTAGCACATCACGCTTGATGGAGGGTGACATCCAATCCATCGTCGGTCCATCATCACCACATCGAACATCAGTAAATGCGTGGACTAAGCATACGCTCCCATCAGCCCATATTCGCCAGGCATATATCGATCAAAAGCAAACAACACGGAACCAGGTTCCATTATGGCTATTCGTAGCATGTTGCGTGTGCTTCTTTGTCATAACTCTTACTCTTAGTCTTGTACTAGGTCTTGAGCGTATCTCGCGCCCGCAGAACACGCTCGCATCCGTTTCATTCGACTACAACAGCTATTATGGAATTTCAAAAAACTTGAACGTCGTGCACATAGACAAACTCATAAATAGCACAGAGCTCAACCTGAGGACGGGGTTTGTGGCCTCAGCAGATACCACAACCCGCGACTATACCTTCAATATCACGCAAGGCATCGCTGCCCCAGATGGATTCCAGAAGCCAATGATCCTTGTTAATGGACAATCGCCGGGGCCTCTGGTCGAAGCAAACGCGGGTGACATGATTCGAGTCCATGTAAACAATCAGATGGACAACTCAAGCACGACGATACACTGGCACGGCCTTAACCAGCAGGGCTCAGCCTGGATGGACGGTGTGGCAGGTATCAGTCAGTGCGGGATACCGTCCGGCCAGAATTTTACTTACGAGTTCGTCGTGAAGGACCAGAGAGGCACCTATTGGTGGCACGCGCACTCGAGCGTGCAATATACAGATGGCATTTATGGACCCATCGTCATCCGCGATCCAAGCGAGATGGTGCCGGAGACGGATGAAGAGCGCGTATTGTTTGTCGGTGATCTTTACCATACTTACGGATCTGTGGTACGTCCTTTCCGATCTATTATGCGTGAGGATTCGAGTTTCTCCATTTGGTAGGTGTGGCGGTCCGTGGACAAGGGTGCTGACTTGGGATAGTTGCTTGGAAGCTACCTCAACTCAACCTCGACATGGGTTCCCTTTGAGTCCGGCGTCGAGCCCCTGGCCGACAACATCCTCATAAATGGCCAGCACACATACAACTGCTCTGTCGAATCGTCGACCTATCCGCCGGACCCTGCCTCCCCCATTGCGAGCAACTGCACCGGCGGACAGCTATATCACACGAAAGTCCACAAAGGTCAGAGGATCCGCCTCCGCCTCATCAACAGCTCGTCCTTTCTGAGTTACTGGTTCAGCATCGACAACCACACCCTCTCCATCGTCGAGCTCGATGGCGTGGAGATCGAGCCCATCAGCGCCAGGGGCGTGTACCTGAACATCGGCCAGCGCGTCTCGGCCGTCGTGACAGCGAACCAGACGGCCGGCAATTACTACATCCGCGCCACCATGCCGCAGACGTGTTTCGTGCCGTATGCGCCGTACACCTCGACGGCTCTTGAGAACGCGGGCTATGCCGCCAGAGGGATCCTGTCTTACGACCATGTTGCACTGGACGCCGAGCCCGTGGGCGTCAGGGGCAACGTGTCGAATCCCTACGGCGTCGACAACAACGGCATCAGGGGCGACGTCTGGGAGGGCTGCGACGACATGCCGTTCGACATGCCGAGGCCGATGAGGAAGCTGGACGCCGTCGACGTGGGAGACAGCAACTATCAGTACATCGAGTACATGTTCCGGCAGGCGCAGGTGAGTTGCTCAGAGTCGCCTGTTTTCCCTGGTTGGACTGCTTTGGGCTGTCTCAATGATTAGAACTCGCACTTGTCCATCATTTACGTTCTCAAAATACCACATCGAAGATAATGCTGACCAGTGTGTTTCGAGTAGGATGTCAATCGCATCTTCATAAACAAGGTATGTAGGCGATAATCATCTGTCGCCAGCCAAACTACGGGCCGAGACGATTAAACCCCCCTCCGCCTCCCCGCGAACTAGCACGGCTGATGCGTCCAGGTAGACAGCTTACTCGGCCCTCAAGAACAACGCGACGATCTGGAAGACACTCGACCAGCAATTCGACCCCAGCCGGGAAGGCTCGTACCACAGCTGGGACCTCGGGCTGAATCAGCAAGTGCTGCTGATCCCCGACGGCGGAAAGGGGGCACAGGTCGTCATCAACTCCTTGGATGCCATGGAGCACCCCTGGCATATGCAGTATGGATTCTCCCTCTTCCTTCCTTCCTTTCCTCTACTGCATCCCAAGTTTGCTTTTCCCCTCCTTTTTTTTCCCCCCCCTTCCTCTTCCAAAACCGCATGTATACATGTACATACTGACCCAGCCTTCGCCCTCATCAAGCGGCCACACTTTCCAGATAGTAGGTTGGGGCCCGGGTCCTTACGGGGCCTCCGCCAATTCGACGACCTGGAACCCATCGAATCCGATGCGGCGCGACACGGTCACGGTTCCGGCCCAGAGCCACGTCGTGCTGCGTTTCATGGCCGACAATCCTGGCGTCTGGGCGTTGCACTGCCACGTCGCCTGGCACATGGAGGGCGGCATGTTCGTCTCGCTCGCCGAGCGGCCCCGGGACCTGGCCGAGATGATATCGGATATGGACCCGGAGACAAGACGGAAGGCCATGGGTTTCTGTGGGATGTAATAAGGGCAATCGATGGTGATAGTACTCGATTGGGATCTCATTTCTCTGTGCGGTGGTGATTCATGTACGATAATTGTGTGCAGGTGAGCTGGTCGTGTGTGGACCTGGCTATTTGAAATGATGAAAGGACAATGGTGTGACCAATGCATGTCCGATGTGGATGACTGTCGCCCAAGACTTTGCGACAAAGCAACCTTGAGTCGGCAAAGATCACAAGAACGAGTTCCATGCCCAGCCACAACCAGGTTAGCAACAGTTATACAGTTTGTTCAACATGGCACAGGATTGAACGAAGGATTGTTTCTGAGAGGGGATTCAGTATTAATTTTGCAGATGCTATACGCCTCGCCTTTATTTACACAAAGCTCTAACCGTGAGCCGCCCTTCCAATGCTACCATTCATATCATCAGAAACCGTGTTGGGGAAAATTTCTTCCAACTAGCAGGCAAAAAGCTTTTGATGTCATCTCAGAACGCCCCAATCCACTCCGCAAGCTTATCAACACATGATTTCCGGAAACGCGGCTGAAAATGAAGAGCGGTAAATATGAGTACAGGGTGAAAAAGTACAGATATGAAGTGAGATGATGCCGTGATCCCCCACCTCGTACAATGGTATCTAAAACAAATTTAAGAAAAAGGTCTTTGATAAGCGCTTAAGGCTTCTTGTCCTCAGGCTTGGCCTCCGACGAGCCCTCGGTGCTGGAGGACTGGTCGTTGCTCTCGGAGCGGGCCTTGTGCATCTTATCGAAGAGGTTCAAGCTGGCCATTTGAAGCTCGTCTGTCTTCTCCTTGATCTCGGCAGCGGTAGCAGTACCCTCACCAGCCTGGCTCTTGCTGATGAACTCACGGAGAGAGCTGAGCTTCTCGCGGATACCATCAGCCTCGGTCTTGTCAAGTCTGTCGGCAAACTCGTTAAGAGCCTTCTCAGTATCGTTCAAGACGCTGTCAGCACGGTTGGCAGACTCGATAGCGGACTTGCGCTCCTTGTCAGCCTCGGCGTACTTCTCGGAGTCGGCAACCATGGACTCAATCTCAGAGTCAGACAGGCCGGAGCCGGAAGCAATGGTGATGGACTGGTCCTTGTTGGTGCTCTTGTCCTTGGCGTGTACGTGGACAATGGAATCAGCATCAATGTCGAAGGTGACCTCAACCTGAGGAACACCACGGTGAGCCGGGGGGATACCAACAAGCTGGAAGTTTCCGAGAAGCTTGTTGTCCTTGACGAGCTCACGCTCACCCTGGTAAACCTTGATCTCAACAGCAGTCTGGAAGTCGGCAGCAGTGGAGAAGACCTGAGACTTCTTGGTGGGGATGGTGGTGTTGCGGTTGATCAGACGGGTGAAGACACCGCCGAGGGTCTCAATACCAAGGGAAAGAGGAGTAACATCGAGGAGCAGAAGGTCCTTGACCTCACCAGACAGGACAGCACCCTGGATAGCAGCACCAATGGCAACAGCCTCATCAGGGTTGACAGACTTGGCGGGGTCACGGCCGAAGATGTTCTTGACGGACTCGGCGACCTTGGGCATACGGGTCATACCACCAACGAGGATGACCTCCTGGATATCCTTGGCCTGGAGGCCAGCATCCTTCAGGGCCTTGCGGACGGGCTCAATGGTGCGGGTGATGAGAGGATCCATCATGCGCTCAAGCTCGGATCGGGTCATCTTGCTGTTGATGTGCTTAGGGCCAGAGGCATCAGCAGTGATGAAGGGCAGAGAGATGTCAGTCTGGAGGGAAGAAGACAACTCAATCTTGGCCTTCTCAGCAGCCTCGCGGATTCTCTGAATGGCCATGCGGTCACCGGACAGATCAATGCCAGACTCCTTCTTGAAAGCGTCGACGAGGTGGCGAACGAGCTTGATGTCGAAATCTTCACCACCCAAGTGAGTGTCACCGTTGGTAGACTTGACCTCAAAGACACCGTTCTGGATCTCGAGAACGGAGATATCGAAAGTACCACCACCAAGATCGTAAACAGCGACAACGCGGTCGGCCTCCTTCTCAAGACCGTAGGCGAGAGCAGCGGCGGTAGGCTCGTTGACAACACGGAGAACGTTCAAACCAGAGATCTGACCAGCATCCTTGGTGGCTTGACGTTGCGAGTCGTTGAAGTAAGCAGGGACGGTGACGACGGCGTTCTTGATAGGCTTGCTCAGGTAGGCCTCGGCGGTCTCCTTCATCTTGTTGAGGACGAAACCGCCGACTTGGGAGGGAGAGTACTTCTGACCACGAGCCTCAACCCAGGCATCGCCGTTGGTGTGCTGGACGATCTTGTAAGGGACCTCCTTGATATCACGCTGAACCTCGACGTCGGTGAACTTTCGGCCAATCAATCGCTTGGTAGCGAAGAGTGTGTTCTCGGGGTTGACAACAGCCTGGCGCTTGGCAGCGACACCGACTAACCGCTCGCCATCTTGGGCGAAGGCTACTACTGATGGCGTTGTCCTGGCACCTGCAGGAAATATTGTGAGCAACTTGACGAATGGATGCAACGGAAGTTATGCGGGAGCTTACCTTCCGAGTTCTCAATGATCTTGGGAACCTTGCCCTCCATAATGGCAACAGCCGAGTTGGTGGTACCCAGATCGATACCAATGACGGCACCCTGTACCTTTCCTTCTGTGGACTCGTAACGGGCAAAGCTAGAGCCCAGGGGCTTTCGCATGGGTGCAGCCCATCTTGCTGCTGATGTGGAGGCTCTGGGAAGCTATGCGCAACGCAAGTCAGTGTCATGCTCCAAACAAATGGGGACGAAAGAGTGCGGACGTGGTGGAAGCTGTCGGGGCCGACATCTCGTCATGACAGCACCGGACGAAGGGCGGGTAGGACTTACAGCTCTGGCGAAACGCGTAGCCAGCATCCTGTCGGCTTTTAATTCTATTAATTACAAGGAGGAAATAGAAGAAGTCTTCTCACGATGAGATGAGAAGAAGGAAGGCGCGATGGGAAGGAAGCGGAGGTGGTGGTTTACAAGAGGGAAAATAGGTGAATCTGGTATGATACCGGAGATGGGAGAATTGATGATGATTATGTAGAAGGGCCCGGAAGCAACCTGAAGAAAATTTCTACTGAAATTTGGAGGTAAAGCACGGGCCACCAGCTTGTTTAAGCACAGTATGTATCTGGGCACTGGCAACTGGGCCGGGTGCTCCCCTGGATCGGCTTCACGCGATTGGAGCACCAGCTCTTTTCTTTTGCCTGCTTCCACAGTTTTCCATCTGCTACCTCCAGACTAAGTGGCCTTTACCGTAGCAGCGTAGCAGCACCATTCTCAAGCTAGGGACCAGATATGGGGACCCTCGGGTTCAGGCGGAGACGGGCGGCAAGACCGAATCGTGCCTAGAGAATCAGAGTCGCAATTGCAATCACCCATCGTGACATGCCGCACTGCACGGGTTTAGGTTGAATTACTTCTTTTGAGCTTGCGTTTTACTGCAATCCTGCAAGAGCGCAATGAGAGAGCTCACAAGGTCGCGCTGGTTCCATTCACCTCCACGTACTATAGTTGGAATTCTCTGAGGCATTTCGCCCTAGGACGCCTGCTATTCACTCCGAGGGAACTATCGGACATAAGGAGTAAGCTAACCTTAGCTCATGGCAACTCATCCGTGTGGACAAGGCCGGCAGCGCGACTACATATGTATGTAGGGAGCTCAAGGTAGAGCTTCCGCCACCGGCATCCACAGTCGAGTCAACTTGCAGAGTACGGATCCGTAGAGCTCTCGGTTATCGCAGCAACTTCTCTTTGTTGGCTGTTGGTCCGGCCGCTGGGTCAATCTTAGTTGAGACATCCGTTGCTGTGTATTTCTAGAGCATACTACAAGCTTTCGCTGCCGGCCTATGTTTCTTTCCTGGCCTCCGCGCAAAGAGTTGTGTCTTGATGGACGTCTGTGACCGTTGCATCAAAGCATGGTTACAAAGATCCACTGTCGCATGTAGCTGAGCCTGCAGCTCAGTGTAGGCGCAAATGTTTTCACCCAGAATAATGTAGAGGCGAACGCCGCATATGTATAAAGCTGTGGTGCCTCAGTAGAATAGACGAGCTTGAAGTAGTGAATTAGCCAATAACTGCCTACTTCCTTGTCTTCCGTCCGCCTGTCTTAACGGCAAGTCATTCTTGGAGCATTTCGTTCATGTTAAGCTTGATGCGATTGGTGTCACTCCACCAGTCAACTAAGAACGTCATAAACAACAACCTTTCTTCTTGCGGCATCTCACTCTAGCCCAACAACCCATCTTCATTCCTCAATCGACACACATTAATCCACTGGGGATAGCTCGGCCACAACTCGAAAGGATCACCCTTCGCATTTGACACTGGGCCAAACCCCCTTGTGTGTGTCTCTCTCTCTCTCTCTCTCTCTCTCTCTCTTTACCCATTGGCAACTGGAGTCGCGACGCCACCTTATCTTTCAACCACCAACCTATCCACGGAATTTATCCTTTGTATGAACGTAGAGTTTCTACCACCCGCTGCGCTTTTATTTCATTTCGCGACTTGATGATCATCCACCTTGCAGTCGACCGTCGCCAGTGTCCGGCATCATGGTCATCATGTTTACGGACAAGTACGTTCTTCCAACGGCTGGCCCTTTGGCGCTGCAGCCCAACTCTTTTGACTTGTTCGGACGCCTTTAGCTAATCCTTCCTAGCTGCTGGCCGACTGAGAACCTGATTCTCAAGACCGGGCGCAAACACTATCGCTCCAACATTGCCCCTTGGTAAGTGTGATGCCGAGCTTTCGTGATGCGTTGAGGAGTACCAGCAGCAGCTCATACATGAATCTTTCCAGGCACTGGCAACTACGATCCTTGATCTGCGCCGAAGGCAACAATACCCTCTACTTTCCGACCGGCGTCAACAACAATCACATCACGCGACTGACCACCGACTCTCAAGAATCTGAGACCATCAAGATCCTCGGCTTCCACCCTAGATGTTTGGTAGCCCAAGGCGGCTGGATATGTTGCGGTGGTGAGAATGGAGAATTTGCAGTGATACACGACGTTGATCGACACCAAAACGGGCGCAATGAAAACCGGAGTAGGGTTCCGGTGCGCACGAATGTTGATGATGCGCTCAGCAGCAACCTCCATTCACAACTCCGATCTCTCGAATCCCCTCCAGGTCAAGGAAGTGATCCGTCTTTGAGCTCGTCATTCAGCAGAGAAATGTTCAATCTGTTGGAGCAACGATTAAATGGCCCGACCAAGACATGGACGTCGTCAAACCATAAGTACGGATCGGAGCGCGTCAATTGCATAACGCTTTGGGAACCTCCGAAAGCAACGCCCTTGTTTCCAGTTGCGCCTGGTCACTATGCCACACCTGTTGCCGTTCTTTCGAACAACGACAAGACGGTTACCATAGTGGGACTACACGATTGTGAATTCCTTGACGAAATCGACCTGCCCGACTGCGTCAATCGTAGCCTCATATCGCCGGATGGTTCTTTGCTGGCCAGTATCTGCGACGACCCGTTTCTCTACCTGCACAGCAGAAGGGCTGTGAACAAGGGCAAGATTGAAGAGTATCACGAGTGGAAACTACTAACACGAGTCCGTCTGGAAACCCCGCCCAAGACTGCTCGTGATGATAGCAGAGGATCGTTTGCTGCCTCGTTTTCTTCGTCTGGACGTTTCCTGGCCATCGGTATCCAGAATGGTACAATCAGAGTTTTTGACGTCGCTGCATTGCAGGATCCCGATAGAGAGCCTCTTGTTGCCTTTTTTGCTACGAGTCGGCATCCTGATACCACTGGTGCTGTACGGGACATGGCATTCTGCCCCGGTCCATACGACTTGTTGGCCTGGACAGAGCATCGGGGTCGAATTGGTATTGCCGACGCGCGCAGCAACTTTGCACAGAGACAATTAATCGCCCTGGATCAGCAAGACGGTTATGAACACATAGCCCTGAACGATAGGACCACCATCGATCCCCGTCTACTGGAACAGAGAAACGACCGTAACCCATTGTCTGGATCCTCATCCCATCTCGCCAGATTACTCAGTCAGGCGAGCTCACCACAAACCCCTTCGCAAACCGCACCACATGCCGAAATCACGGAAGCACTAAACCATGCATTTACACCAGAAGAAACAGCAATTCTGGATGCTGTAACAACTGAACGGCGGCGGCGGGAAGCTAGGGAGGCGAGGGAGCAGATCGCTCAAGAGATCGCCCGGGGAAGCACATCTTGGAGGTCATCCTTGTGGGCTGAGCGTGTAAGTCCATCACCACAAACTCCTCTGCACTCTCCATACACCACAGCCCGGACAGGACTCGTCTTGCTGGAAGAGGTCACCTTCAGAGACCGCGCTGTGAATCAAGTGGACGTTGCGCTCACCATTACACGACAGCGAGAAACACTTACACGAATACTTGAGCGGGAACGCCGCGGCGCCCGTGACGCCCATCGCGCAGCAGTGGGTCAGACGTCGACGTCAGTCGAGCAAGAACGCGAGAGGCGCGCCCCAACCCCCAGGAGACGGAGTTCCATTATGCAGGCTTTGACTCAAGAACCCGAACGCGCAGCTGGAGTCACGCCGCCTGTTCTGAGCCGCATTGTATCGCCTGGAAATGATAGCACAGGGGCAGCACAAGATTCCCCAACTCCGTGGAGTTCGGGGAGACTTACTTCCGGTTGGGCTGACCTCGAGGCTTTGTATAATATCACTGGAGGGGATGGTGCCGGTTCTACCGACAACATCCGCGTTCAGCCCAGTCGCACACGACGGGCAATTCCTGTCGTCAATGAGGCATGGAATGACGACCCCTCGGGATTCGGGGCCCGTCAGCGCTACCCAAGATTAAATAGCCGTGATCATACCCAGCACCCAGATGATACGGCAGGCTTGACATGGAGCGAAGATGGACAGACTTTGTTAGTTAACATTTCTTTGCACGGACACCAACTTTAGCTGACATGATACCGCAGATGGGTCGGCGCTGAGGACGGCGTCTATGAGTTCAAGGTCAACTTACAGGGGCGCAAAACCTTCCCTGAGATCATTCTTCGGTAGTTCTTTGGCTTCAGTTGTGTATCACTTGTATCTGTGATCATTGGCATCGGGACATTGGCGTTTGAGGTTTCCAGCATTCACGGTCACAATTGGGCAACTCGGCATGGCCATAGGCCAACTCTTGGACGAAACGGCGAATCGGAGTGTTGTTATATTTTATGGAAAAGCTTATCCGCCCGGTCACGCACTGAACTTCTTGGTTTATGAGCAGTTTGCGGGTATTGATAGCGCTCTTCAGGGGATTTCACACACGAAAATACGTATTTGCAGTATACTCCTTGATATATGTATACTCTACTATCTTGTGTCAACTATTACACATTTGAGAAACACTGTGATTACTGCGAAGTATGTCCGGTCATCGGACACTTTTAAGTTGCAAGTTTCGACATAAGCTAGCCAGTGACGATCTTGATTTACGAATCGATCGACTATAAATGTCGTTATCTTGCACTAACCATAATTTTCCCACTCTTGCACTAATACAACCACCACGATGCTCGGGGGAAGTCTGCGTCGTCAATTTGTCTGTCGAAGTCGAGCGTCGATCGGTCGCTCGTTTTCTAGTACTCCCGCCGTCAGAGCAGATTTCACTCATGTTGTAAGTCCTTATCTCCCGAGTTACTCGATAATGGAGGTCCGACTTGGGTGCAGGGCCCCACATAATTGTTGAGAACTGCAGACGAGCAAGCAAAACGCTCAGCGCGGCAACTCCAATGTCTCGGGGGAAAAAAAGAGAAATAAAGAGACCGGGGGGGAAAGCAAGAAATGCTAACAAGGCCGCATAGGTTGTTGGTGGCGGCGTGATCGGCCTCGCCGTGTCCCAGCGTCTCGCGGCCAGCCATCCCGACAGCACGACGCTGCTCCTGGAGAGGCACGGCCAGGTCGGCACCGAGACCTCCAGCCGCAACAGCGAGGTCATCCACGCAGGCCTGTACTACGGCGCCGGGTCGCTGAAGACCAAGCTCTGCGTCCGCGGCAAGGAGCAACTCTACGATTTCTGCGAGAGGCACGCCGTGCCCCACCGCCGCACGGGCAAGTGGATCGTCGCGCAGACGGACGGCGAGCGCGAGGCGCTGGAGAAGCTGCATCTGTTCGCGAGGGACGAGATTCATGTCCCCACGCGCTGGGTGGGCGAGGACGAGGCCAGGAGGGAGGACCCCGAGGTCACGGCCAAGACGGGCATTTTGGAGAGCGTCACGTCGGGTATCGTGGATTCACACTCCTTGATGCTGACACTGCATGGGTTGTTCGAAGACCAAGGTGGAGTCACCGCCCTCAACTCGACACTGTCTGCCATCGAGCCTCTCGGTGGCGGCGGCGGTGACTTACCGGGCAGCGGGGGTTGGCGTATCACGGTGAAAGATACAGAGACGGGCGAGGAGAGCAGCATCGAAACCGAGACGCTAATTAACTGTGCTGGACTGGGTGCGGCCGATGTGCACAACATGATCGCGCCGCCAGAACGGCGCATGAAGCTATACTATGCAAAGGGAAACTACTTTTCCTACGCCTCCTCGCATCCTAAGGTCAAACGCCTCATTTATCCCATGACGATGCCTGGCATGGGCGGACTAGGCACACATTTGACGCTTGACATGGCTGGGCGAATTCGGTTCGGACCTGACGTGGAATGGGTGGACGACGCTTCAGATCTCCAGGTCAACGATGCAAGACTACCGCTTGCGATTTCTGAAATCCATAGGTACCTCCCCGGAGTGGATACGAGTGTACTGGCCGCAGACTACGCAGGCATAAGACCGAAGTTGGGGAAATCTGGTGCTGTGGGCCAAGGAAAGGGCTTTCTAGATTTTTATATCAAGAAAGAGGATGGGTATGAAGGTTGGGTCAACTTGTTGGGAATGGAGAGCCCGGGGTTGACGAGCTGCTTGGCCATTGCCGACCTGGTTGAGGGAATGATGTATGGAGGTCAAGAGGCTCAGTAGGACTAGAGTATGTGGGAGAAGCAGAAGGTCGTTGATTACTCTTTAGGGAGACGTATATCTCAAGGTGCATGAGGGCTTAATGATTCGTATGTGAAGATAACATACATCTCTGTCAATCGAGTCAAGCGGACCAGTGCGTCTGCTTGATACTACAGGGGTTCTCTGTAAGCAACGGGAAAATATATGGCCAATTGATGGCATATTTACTGGGACGTCGTGTCAGTATATGGCATATTTTTCTATGGCTGGTGAAGATGTAACTAAACAAGCGAGACAAACATTCACAGTTGTAAGGCTCGGGACAAACGGTCTCAGCCCGGCTCATCCAGTGTTACCTCGGTCTATAGGTGATCCGCGAACGTTGTGCAATGGAGCGATCTCTTCTTCGTACGACATACGCTTTAAAAAAAAAAGGTGTGGGCCTGTGCATAAACTTGGCACATCATGCAAGTCAATCTTCGGCAACGTCAACCAAGCGTCCGGGAAAGACTCGTCATGATCTAATTACGACATGGTGCATTATACGTGCGTGGGACTATCAGATGTGACACCCGCGGAAAACACCACTCCTGATGCGAGTTACTCGCTGTCTAATTTCAACTCGCTGTTGAATCTACCGAGAACCGAAGGGACGAACCCGCAATACGAGTACCTGTGGAAACTCGCCAAGATGCTGTCGCAAGTGTTTTGGTGCAGCTCAAAAGTGCTGTAACACCGAACTTCCCGGGAAGCTGCTGTAAGTTTGTGTCCTATTTGAAGCGAGCGTGACATGGCAAATACGCAGCATATAGTCGCATTTTGTGAATCGTCAATTTCGGTATGCTTTCTCCCATTGGCGAAAGCGTTATGTATGTATGTGTCCTGCTGCATTCAGTAATTCTCTTGGAGACATCCGATATAACTTCTTGGCACACTCCCCGCATCTCCGCATACCGTTCCACCGGAGGAAATGCCCTGCTGTAATTTCTCCATCCAGCAGGCTACCCCAGTATGGGGAAGATTGCATCCTGCGTAGATTGGGGATCAACATTGGGGTAATTCTGGGGTATGAATTATATAAAAAATCACGGCGCCGCCATGTATGCTAGAAAGGATCGTCGGTCTCCTGGCTCCTGTTTTTCTGGTACCGCCTATCCGTCGCACCAATCACTATTATGCGGTCCTCCTTGGTGTCTTTGGCTGTAGCGCCGGCACTCGTACGTGCGGCGCTCAACACGACCGAAACTTCATCTGCGGTCATCATCGCCAACGATCGTCTCTATGCCAGTGTCAACAAGGCCACTGGCTCTGTCGAGACCCTGACATTGGACGGCCAGAACCTGCTAGGCACCAAGTCTGGTTCCACAGGTGTTGGTCCGTACCTCGACTGCTACTGTACACCATCTGGATTCTGGACTCCCGGGAGCTCAAAGCCCACATACGCGCTTTACAATGGCACAGACTCGACAGGCACAGCGTACGGCGGCATCAAGATGTCAGATACATATATTCCTACAGGCCAGGTACTGGAAACTTACTGGTTCTTGAGGGATGGCGAGACTGGATTACACATGTTCGAGCGGCTTGCTTACTATAACGAGACGACACCGTTTCTACGGAACTTGCAAGGTAAACAACTGGCCCTTGGCGGTATGCCTTCTTGATCGTTCCATGATGGTCACGATGTTCAGAATACAGCTGATATTGAGGATGTGCAGAGTTCCGAACGCTCTTCAGACCCAACTCGGCCATTTGGACACATTTGCTCACCAACGAGGAGCAGTGGGCGCCGCTGCCGAGCAAGGCGGCCATTGCTAAGCAGGTCGTTGTTCGTAAGTATTTCTTTACATGGTCGGCAAGGAAAAATGAATGCGGGAATAAAATGCCGACTGAATGAGCACACAGAGGATGCGACATGGTACTTTGGAAACACCCCAGATGATGCCTACGTACAGCAGGAAGCGGACTACTTTACGAAGTACACTTTCCAAGATACTTGGAGGAACAACGATGTTCACGGACAGTCAGTAAGCTCGATGCTATGAGAGAGTATCTACTAATTTCTTCATCTAGATTTGCCGATGGTACACAGACTCCTGACAACTCTACTTACGGTGCTTGGCTGGTTATGAACACGAAAGATACCTACTTCGGCGGTCCACTTCACTCCGATCTGATGGTTGACGGTATTGTCTATAATTATGTACTTCTCCAGATTCTCTGCGAGTCGGTATACATGCTGAACCTGATCTAGATTGTTTCAAATCACCACGGAGACCAGACGCCTAACATCACAAACGGTTTCGACCGGACATTTGGACCGGTAAATAACCTAGGCTTTTTTCTCCTTTTCTCTCCTTCTTCTCTTTCTTTTTCTCTCATCTCATCAGATCTAACAAGCACAGCAATATTATCACTTCAATCACCTTCCGGCGGGCACCGACATCCTCGAATCTCGCGCCGATGCAGCTCAGTATGCGGACCCCGCCTGGAACGCCGATTTCTACGACTCCATCGCACAATACGTCCCCAACTATGTGCCCACTTCGGAGCGCGGTTCGTTTAAGCTCCAGGTCTCCCTTCCTGACAAGGCAGAGAAGCCAATCGCTGTTCTCGCACAGAACGCTATTGACTTCCAGGATAACGTCTTTGATACGAAGGCGTATCAATACTGGGGCGAAATCGATGCTACTGGTGCTGTGACAATCCCACGTGTTAAGGCCGGGATTTACAGATTGACCATCTACGCTGAAGGTGTCTTTGGTGATTATGTTCAAGATGATATTGTCATCACTGGTGGCGAGGAGGAGAGTGTCAGTATCAAATGGAGCGAGGAGACATCTGGAAACGAGATATTCCGGATTGGCACTCCTGACAAGAGCTCAGGTGAATACCGTCATGGTTACGCCAGAGACGAGACGCACCCCCGACACCCCGAGGAGTACCGTATCTATTGGCCGGTCTACGATTTTGTGGACGATTTCCCAGAAGGCGTAACATTTAAGGTTGGTGAGAGCGACGTCTCGACAGACCTAAACTACGTTCACTGGAGTGTGTTCGGTGGTTACGGCAACTCGATCCGGACGGCGCCGTATGCTGGTGATGGCAACGTGAATAACTGGACGATCACTTTTGACTTGGAGCAAGACCAAGTCCAGGACGCGACCGAAGGCCATTTCACCGTCCTTCTGGCAGGTGCAAAGACTGCGGCTGGCAACACGGATGTTTTCAATGCTTCTGAGCCCCACTCGAACCTCAAATACACCGTCAATGTGAACGGTCAGGACCTCGAGCCTTGGGTCATTCCGTAAGTATATTCGATTACTTGGAAGTGAGTTGTCACTAACATCACATCAAGCTATTACCAAAGCAGCTCTTGTGCTGTGAGATCTGCTGTGATATGCTACAACATTGGCCACAAGTTCGAGTTTGATGCCGGAATCCTTCAGGCTGGCGAGAACTCCATTATTCTGAGTCTTCCTTTCAACGCCACCGATTATGTAAGTCCCTTTCCACGTTCCAACCAACCTTCTCCCACGCTATTCTTTACTGACGTGCATTTACTCGATAGGAGAGCGCGGTCTTGACACCAAATATCTACGTCCAGTATGATGCGTTACGGTTAGAGCTTAGTTAGCTGAAGCCGACAACATGATAGTCGGACACATAATCAAATGAGCGTAAATTTAAGGTGGTATGTCTAATTACCTACTCAAGCATAATACTGAGAATGGGCACAACACGTATTCCAATTCGGCTTGCCAGCCCTCTTGACAGGTAGCTGTACGTTTCTTGACTACGTTTCGACGTAGCCCTCGCTAGCTTGGGAGAGTGCAATGCCGCTTCTGGTCTACCTTGAACATGGCACCCGCTTCTCATCGTCCACGTAACGGTCTACAAGAAGTTGGTGTGAGACATGCAGAGCCCCGTTATTATGCATCGTGCTTCTGTACCATGTGTCCCATCCGTACTGATAACATGCACACCGATCTTCGAACGTTAACGCGCCTATTTCCGAGACCGCTAACAAACTCGGAGTGTACCATGGCTCCCTGGGCCTTTGAATCACCATTCTACCTCATAGTCGCAAATTAGACGTTTCTCTTCGCCCTCCGATAGAAGAGGCAATCTGGTCAAGCTGAAAAGAATCTGAGAGGATTAGCATGGTCCCTGCACTAAGGATGACGTTCAACTCAAGAGAGCTCCCCGATTTTTCTTTTTCTTTTTGCACCAGAGATATCTGGCTCAACACCACTGGTGGTATCTCGGTTGGTTACAGAATCCATCATCAGCCCATATTTTTCTGTCGCAGATATGACCGCGCCATAGATATTTCGGCCTGGGTCGTGTCCGTTCAATGGTGCCGTATTGTAACTATTAAGCCCCTATCATTCCGCGACTTCGCGGATCAAGGCCTTGATCGGCAACATAAACTGGGCCGATAATCTAATCGAAAGACTTGTTAGATAATCGACGGCGGCACAACACTCTTCGCACAGCCAGTTATCAAACACCCAAGATATAGTACCTCCATTTTCTGACCGCTTCCGGAGAGGATTCAGCTGCGTGTCTCGACCTAGTTCTTTGGTAGCGACCCTAGAATCTTCACGTTCCTGCAGTCGTTGTCTGACCCAAACCGTGTAGTATGCACCGGTTTCTAACTCCGGATACTCGAGGATCCGACATCTGTACATGGCAGCGTCAAATAATATGGGGATTTCTGTGTTAAAAGAAACACATATTATCAGATTTTTCGTAGGACGTGATTTAAGAAGCCGTGGCAGCACTCTGGGGTAAGATTTCTCAAAAAGTGATTGATTCTCGCAGTCCAGTACTCCACAGTTGTTCATAGCGATAACAGCAGCGGCATGATTGTTATCTGGTAGTCAACCCCTGGTGATTCATGCCACCTTTTGCGTAATTACTTTTCTGCGGATCAGATATTAGCAAACACTTTTATCGTTGCTGCTAACCTGCATTACTCTTCATCCATATGTTTGGCTACTTGGCCTGCTATCAGTACAACCATAACTTCCATTACGTACCGGAGGATAACCATGTAATCTACTGATATTCGCGCTAGTCTTACCTGCCTAATAGTATACAATAACGATCTGAGTAAGGCCCATCGCTGGGAACTGGCCCCTGAAAACACACATGCCTCCTCCCCAGCACCTTCTTGAGAAAGCAAGTAGTGCTCAAGACCGACCTGGAACCCCTTTCTGACCCCTACTCCAACGATACACCTGTGCCAACGCCAAAGGCAGTGCAAACAAGAGGCCTGCCTTTGAACCCCACCCTAGAACTCCCTCGACTCCCCGATCTTACACACATCGAAAACGCCTTCCTCGGGAATGCCCCTCCTCCTCAGCGCCTCCTTCAACAACTTCGGTGGCTCGCGCAGGTCCTCCGTCGTCAAGATGAACGTCCCCCAGTGTATACTCATGGCCCGCTTGCACCTCGTATCTCGGAAAATCTCCACAGAGTCGAACGGGTTGGCATGGACGCCCGAGAACGCGGCCCGCGGGGCGTACGCACCGATGGGTATCAGGCCCAGGTCGAAGGGCCCGCGGAGCTGGCCCACCTGGGCGAACTGCGGGTTCGTTGGGAGCTTGTCATGAGGGTGCGCATAGTCGTCGACGTCGGCCGGCAGCCTGGGTACGGTGCGGTAGCCGGTGTCGCCGAGGAAGAGGACGGATCTCTGGTTGGCGTCGAGGGACGAGCCGCCCGAGGAGGAGACGGCCCACGAGCACCAGAGCGTCTTGTCCCGGTCGAAGCCGGTGCGGCCGGAGCCGTGCTGGCAGGGGAGACACGAGATGCGGCCGGTGATGGGCTGTTGTGGGGCATGGTTCGCCTCTTTTTCGCTGGCCGACCCGTCCTTGACCGTCAGTGTCAGATCTACGTCTTCCCACCAGTCGCACTCGGTGACATTTTCCAGCCCGGACTGAATAAACCAGTCCTTCAAACCTAGCCCCACGAAGAAATGCGCCTGCGGAAAGTTGTCTCGAATTTCCTTCACACTGTCCACGCTGAGGTGGTCATAATGCGAATGTGAGATACATACGGCATCCACAAATGGCAGATCCGAGAGCTTGCACGGTGGTTGCGTGAATCTTTTATACAGATCCCGCTTGATGGGTGCGCAGTGGTCCTCAAACACGGGGTCGAACAGCACGCGGAGCCCTGAGGGATACTCCACGTAGTAACATGCATGGCCAAGCCATGTGGCTCTCAGAGCTTCACTGCCAGGTGCTCCGGTCCTGCTGGGCAGAAACTCCGGCTTCACAACGGCCACAACGTCGTTTTCCGGCTTAGGAAATGGCGAGGTGCCGAACCAAGTGCTCCTATTTATTCATCAGTGTCATATTCCCAAGTTCGCAGATATGTCTGTGTTGACATGGTTTGAAAAGTTGGCAGCCCGGTCTGAGCTTTGGAGAAACTCACCACATTAGGCGGACAATATCCCCATGCGAACAGGCGAGAAGGACTCATGCGGATTCGTAAACTTGGTCGTCTTGCCGGCACTATTCTTGACGTGATGCGTTTTTTTCTCCACATCACTGGGCACTGGCCCCAGCCGCTCAGGTTTTGTTACGGTTGTTACAAACATGGCTGCATGGAGCGCGGCAACCGTAGATTTCCTAGCTGTGTATGTTCTTTTGGTGTATCTCCGGTATTGCTGATGTGAAGTCTGCCGAGAATCGCCTCGTCTCATGAAGAGGCGAAATAAGGGACGCATGAGTATGAGATTGGAATGTGTGAACACGGGACTGGTTTCCAGGCAACCTTAAAAGGTCCCCAAATGCTCATGTGCAGCTTTGTTGGGTTTGTGCAACGGAGTTAAACTCCGGACGGGAAATCGGAGAGATACGCAGAGATTAGGCCGAATATCTAGGGGTTTCAATAAGACCACACGCAGGAATACATACCAGTCTTACATTCCAACTTCTTTCACAATCAGCTTTCATGTAACATCCACGAGAACCTCGGACTTAAGGCACATTGCAATTGGAGTCGGTGCAATCGCAGTCCGCACAAATGCGGGACGTTTCCAATTTATTTGACTTAGCGCGGTTCTGCGGGAGCGAATGCGACAGTCTTGTCGTCATCTGCATTTTGGTGCTAGTACTGAATAATAATTGTGAGATGGAGTGCTAGGTTAGAGTATTGTTGGATATGTGAATTCCTGTAACATGTAATATACCTCCGTAGAGGGAGCTGATTATTGCGCCGCTGTCTAACTCACGTGGATATGATATGATGGGAGCCACCCTCCGACCGTCCGTGTCGGCCACGGATACCTGGTTAGGAATAACAATTCGTCTGCCAAGAACATGTCCCACCTGCAAATTACAATATAAACGAGATCAACGACAGTTGCTGTCAGGAGAGAGTGACAATATTGCTACACTCAAACATGAACATACAATCAGTTGCTTCTAAAAAACACAGTGGTAGTATCGAAACTCAATATAATTAATAGCGTAGACTAGTTGAATGAATTTGATTGAGGCCATTTTTGTTGTGCATGTGCCACCAATAAGTTTGTTTGTGCCCTTCAAATCATTCTCCTGGCTTCCCAACTATGGACAACTATATTGTTCGCGAAAAGGCATTCTTATATGCCGTAGAACAAGAACAATTCCATTGCCGAGTTGCTCCCACAGATCTATTTCCACTGACTCAATCCCGCCCATGGATCCTGTGGTTGCTGCGGCTGTGCACTACCCGGCACGGCGTTGTGAGGAGCGGCACTCTGCGGTTGTCCGTAGTATTGTTGACTCGGCTGACCAGAGTAATGCATTGTCTGCTGGGGTCCCAAAGGTGGCGGACCTGGTGGAGGTGGCGGCGGTACAAAGCTTTGAGCCATGTACTGATTCTGAGATGGCTGCTGCTGCTGCTGCTGTTGCTGTTGTGCTTGAGGGTTACCATATGTGTTATACGGCTGTCCATGGCTAAAAGAGGTTTGCGTCGGTGGTGGAGAGCGAGCGCTCATACCAAAACTTGTTTGGTTAGGGGGAGGTGAAGTCGGCCCTGGATTGCGACCCCAGTTGCTTGGATTGTAAGTGGTTTGTTGCCCATACGGCTGAGACTGCGGCTGCGGAGTGGAGGTATACGAAGGGTTGGGTGGTGGACTGGAGTATGATGTGAATGTGGTCTGAATCGGGGGAGGCGATGTAGCCGTTTGATATTGACCAGTGAATGATGCTTGCGGGTACTGTGCCGTGTTGCCCTGGGACGGGTAACCACCGGTGTTCTGCGAAAAGCTCAGAGGACTCGGAACTGGTCTCGCCGATCCTGGCTTTGGTGGGGGAGATGCTGATGGATTCATCGACATGCGTTCCATTAATCCACGCATCCGCTCGCGTTCGATCTCTGCTTGCTGGCTTTTGTTTGCTGCTTTCTCTTGCTCAATTTGGTTTAGGAGCTGTGCTCCTTCAGAACGCCGATTATTGACAAAGGTGTCAACATTCTTCTCGAGGCTATCCACGGTTTCTTTCATCTCCGTATACCACCTCTTGGCACTTTGGAGACCGGCTTCGAGATCCAAGAATTCTTGGTAAGCTCTCTTGAACCTGTTGACTACCGTGGCTCGTTGCCGTTGGATGGCTTCATACTTGCTTTGCTCCGAACGGACGCGCTTATCTTGGAGTAGATTGTTGAACGTGGCAGTGAGCTCCTTCATCAAAGAAGATTGCTTATGGTTGGCCTGTAACAGTCGGTTTTGGTGTGGCCTGAACTTTTCCAACTCTGATTGGAAAAGTTGCTGTTCGTAATTCGGGATGGATTTCTTGTTCAGAATAAGAATCTGCGAAATATCATCGTTGTGGACCTGCATGTTCTTAGTATTGCCATGCGGAATATCTCGACCCTTTTGCTTACCTTATCCTTCAGATCCTTGAGTACTTGATTTCGTTCTCGTTTGATGAGATTGAGCTTCTTCAAAATCTCTTCAACTCTGCTGATCTGGTCCATGACGCTAGGTCCTTCATCCTCGAAATCGTCGTCTAACAGGTTCGGTTCAGGACCCGAGGGACTTGTAGCGGTGCTCGACTTAGTGCGCACCTTACTGACTGCCCTCTGGAAGAGGGCATCGGCGTCACCAACCTGCGCCGCAACGCGCATTTCCTCGAAGTCATTCTCATTTTGCCTAAATTTGGCGTATAGCTGCCCGTCGCTCCTGGCGGCTTCATCCAGGGCCTCTCTATAATTACGAATGTTTCCTCTCAGTGTAGTCGTAAGCCTCGAGCTTGGTTGTTGTGTCCATTCGCTTTCATATTTGGATCTCATCTTCTCGCAAACGCTCTCCTCCATATCCAGCTGTTTCGAGCTCTTTTCCAGTACGCCAATGATGGAGTCCTTATCTATTCGCAGCGTGTCGAATATGGAGATCGGGTTTTCATGACCAGCCACGTCGTCACACCATGTTCTGAAATCCTCATCAGGCAAGATGTCTCGGTCAAATCCACCTTTCAACACCTGTAAAGCGCCAGGTAGACGTAAATAGTCAAGACTCGCTGCCATCTCACTGTTGGCGAGGTCGACTCTTTCTGTTTCAGCTCGGATCAGCTTCGCTTTCTCCTCGTCGTATAAACTTGCCGACTCGGTAACGGCGAGTGGGACAATCTTGGCAAACAAATCGGAACCTGTGATTCGCTGTATGTCCTGTCCAGCATATAGCTCGCTCACAGGGATCGGTTTTGACGCTGGGAGCTTGGCTACTGGGGCCAAACTAGCTTCCGCGGGTACAGGTTGGTGGTAGATATAGTCGTTATCCTTGTTCAGCACCTGTAGCTTTTCCTGAATAGTAGAAAGATTACGCTTGGCGATTTCTGCTAAGAGCGGGCCGGTCTCTGCACTCAGGTTGGAACTAGGAGGCATGGTGCTGGGAAAGTTGGAGGCCAGCCGATTCGCTTCCTTGGCCTGAGCTTCGGCTGCCTTCAGTCTCGCCACGGCTACTCCTGGCGAATTGGCCTCACTGTCCGCTACAGCCTGGTAGTATTGCGATTGGGAAGACAATAGGTTGTGCTTGATCTGAACGAACATGAGCCAGACCTTCTCGAAGATGGCCTTGTTCACGTTATCCTGTACACCCTCGAGAGCTTGTGAATACAGATACGCGGCCTGACTGGACAATTTGGCGAGCATTCCAACTTTCTTCTGGTCGGCCACCTGTTTTTCCAGGAAGACTTCTTGAGCTTGGGCGAGCATGATGCTGATGAGCGATTTGACGGTTTCCCTGCTCAGGTCGGACGAGGGCGCGTGCAAGAAGTTTTCGTTTATGTAAGTAAACATGCCAGCTGATGCTTGAAAGGAGTGGTAGGCGGCCTTGAGACCCGACTCTTCGGACCTCGTCTGGATCGCAGCATGGCAGGACAGGACGGCGGATATGTTGAATATCACCGAGGCCTTTTCGAAAGCAAGGGAGTATTGCGCAGTGGATTTGTGGGTGAAGGCGTCGAACCTTGATCCAGCCAGTCAGCAAGCATGTCGCACAGGATTATTGACACGCAGCGCCGTATTCGAGAAACATACCATGTGAAGGAGATCTTGATGTGTTGCTCGTCGACGGGGAACCGCAAGTCCAGCAACTCCAACTGGCCATAATATCGATATAGCAAGTCCCTTCCAGCTGTACTATCACTGCCCGCGCCTCGCATGTCTTGGCGCAACCGGTTGAGGGTCTGGCATTCTTCGGCGTACCGTTCGGGGTCATCTCCGTAGGTATCCCTGATATACGCTTTCAGTGGCGTGACCCAATCTATCTCGTTGGTGGCCTTGAGCGGCACCGAGATCATGGGCGTCTGTGTCATGGTGGCTGGGCACAGTTTGTGGCGAGTTTTGCAACCCGGCAAGCCTGTCGGTTCCGGAAGGGCAGGAAGATGTTTCAAAGATCCTCTTTATTCATACGACGTCAATATTGCTGGCAATGGTCGCCGTCCCGTGGAGCTGGAACCTCTCAGAGGCGCACCTGACGAGTTGAGGACGACGCTTCGGTAGGTCCTTCAGGGTATAGTGGGGGCGGGGTTCTCTTGGTGGGAAATTGCCGGTACCCTGCGGGTGGGATGGGGACATCAGCAGCGACTTGGAGTAACACTGCTTCTCAGCGCCCGCGACTCAGCGGTGGAGGAAGCAGAGGAGAGGAGGCAGAAGCAGGAACTGAAGGAAAGCAGAACAGTTGATCGTAGTTATTGTTGTTGTTGAGAGATTGACGATTGGGTATCGACGGTCACAGGTCATGCTGTCGGTGAGCGATGGAGATTAAGTGTGCGGTACAGTGGAGCCAGAGTATGACGGCACTGCAGCAGGGAAGGGAAGGGAAGGGAAGCTGCCGTAGGGAACAAACTATATACATACGCATATCCCAAAGGGCGACTAACTCGGCTCCTAGTTGCGTTGAAGAATTGCTGCCGAACCAGGATGGAATTCTTCAACATGGAAAGCCAACAAGAGCGTTTGATTGGTAGGCGAGTGACGCATAACACCCTTGGGGACCATTGCGCGGCGCGCCTATCCAGTGTCGTTGAGAGCAGAGGCTGGAAGGGGGAAACATTAAATGACAAAAGTGACATCGAAGCATTGAAGGCTGCCTTAGTTAGCTACCTGACCTAGCCGCCGAGAAGCTGGGTCTGGGTCGGTCGTCAAGCTTGCAGCTCTTCAGAAGGTTTAATTAAGCGCAGTGGTCCGACCGAGCTTGTTGCTTCGCGGGGTCTTCCTTGCCAGAGCCAGGGCCGGAAACGCGTTCACATGCGCCAACTCTGAGAATTTACGGGCAACACAACAGTATGTAAAGTCGGCGCCATACCGACTACGTAGATATATTGGTGATATGAGCCATCTTTTCTGCCCTGTATGGTACTTGAGACGACTCGTCGTTTTGAGGATTACTTTTGCTGCCTGGCGAGTTGTGGCTCGTTCTGAAGCATCTGATGAAAAAGCTAGTTAGTCTAGAGACTATAGTATCATACGAGGAATAATGTTGTGGTAACCTGGCTTCTCGTCAAAATGTGATTGATACAGTGACTGGCCCAAAATCACCCAGGATCAGGCGTTGGTAGTTAAATGTCTAAAGCACCTTTCATTTTATTTCTATTTTGCCAAACCGGGACTAGCGCATTTGCCGCTTTTACTCAGTCTCGGCTCAGTCAATTCTCAGTCACGTACCTGAACAGCTGGAGTCATGACAACTTATGCACAATTATACAAAGAAGACGGATTTTAAGGAGAAACGGTATTTACTCACTCCGTATAACCCAGATCAATACGGCTTACAATTTAAGGCTTATTGAATAATATATATAGCTTTTAGCTACGCTTAAATCCGTCTTTAAACCTAGGGTTAATAAAATCGTGAAGAAACAAAAGGCGCTTAAAATGCTCGTAAGTAGATTTTTATTTATTTAATATAAAGCCTGTTTATTACAAGAAACGTAGGGGAGTAGCTCCTAGAGTGGATGGGAGCCGCTGGATAACTATCTGGGCGCCTAAGCGTATTCAGGGGCTCGGTCAGCCGTAGAGCCTAGGTTAGTGATATCAACCCGCGGGTTATATCCCTATCCTCCAACCTCGCACGGAGCCTGCCTTTCGACTCGAGTGGATTCAGCGGCGTGGCGACAACGAGGCGAATCATTGAGGCCCTTGGGCGGGGGGAGGGCGGCAGGATGGCCGACGAAAGCGGAGGCGCAGAAACGAGTATGTGAAGTCAAGAGTTACAAGAAGGGGACGTCGAGGTCAGGAGGGCTTCTATTGATGTTGCGGCGCGGGCGACGTTGACGAAAGTAGCGCGAGATTCCGTGACAGCGCCATGCCCGAACGGGTAGGGCGCCTAAGCTCGACCGTGGAACCTGTGCCGAGCCACAGTCCACCGTGGCAGCAAGGCGTGGGTGAGTGCAGGCACAATAAACCACAGTGAAAGGGATTATACCATAGTCAAGAACGTCGGCCTCTTTTCCTCTTTGTGACAGGAAACTTGTACCTCAATATGTATTGGACGTACTACCTGGCACTAGCAATCTGTAAGAGCGTTCAATGGCAGTCGCCCTGTTGCGACCGCCTGTAGGTGAACGGCAGTCATATCTGTGGGTGAGGTGCCGCTTTGTGCAGGATCTTGAGCCTGCTGAGGAGACAGCCTGAAGTTAAGGGTGGGAACCTTTTACAGCATCACGTTGCAGGTGCTCAATTAGTGTGTATTATTTGATTCATCGTCCTGGTAGAGGAGAGAGGGTGTTGTACGAAAACCCAAGGTAAGTTCTCCGAGGCTGACTCCCTTCCTTGGGAAAGTCGAGTAGTACTCCTTTTCCATATACACGCCGCCCAATGCAATTCACAGCTTCCAGTCTAAGTATCTAAAATATAGTGGTGTCCTTCATACCTTATTTTACAGTCAACTAGCCTACAACGAATCCTCCCGCGTTACTGCAACGAAGCCTCTGCAGTTTAGCCAGAACCGGATCCGGCTTCTTTCCTTCGCTCCTCATCTGACTTCTTCTCGGTGGTGCCTGAAGCCTTCTTGTCTGAAGCAGATGACTCTTCGGGATTCTTTTGGTGAGCCGGGTGGTTTGTTAGGTTGTGCCACATGGACTTGAGAAACCCTTCGCTCCTATGTGTTTCCGGATCATCATCTTTGCCAGGGTTGGCTAACGGATCAGAACTGGTGGTCGATTAGCAGTGTGACGCCGAACATGGGAGACTGAACTTACTTGGGCATCTTGACATTCATAATTCGCTTTGCCGTCTCATCGCCCATCTCATCTGCTAACATCTCCACGATTGTCCGTTGGTTTGCTGACAGGTACTTGGGCATATTCACCCGGAACTCGACCTTCAAGTCTCCCGAACCGCTTCGGCGGCCGCCAAGCTTCTTCATGCCCATGCCACCTAATGTGATCTTATCACCGGTGTTGGTGCCCGTGCTGATCTTGACCGCCACCTCGCCATCCAAGGTTGGTATCCTAGCTTCGCCACCAAGCAAAGCTGTCGTCAGTGGGATACTGGCAGTATACAGTATGTCGGACCCGTTTCGCTTGAACTTGGGATCAGCAGCAACGCGTACTAAGACGTAAAGATCTCCACGAGCGGTACGTGCGTTGGGCGGTGCACCATCACCAAGGGAAGGGGCGTCGCCCTCTCCGTCCACCCTCAACCTCATTCCATCCTCAATGCCACCAGGGATATCTACTGTGATAGTCTTGCGATCCCTAACAACTCCGTTGCCACTGCATGTTCGACATTCCGACCCCCGAGGGGTTTGTTGTCCTGAACCTTTGCATGTTCCGCAGGTCGAGGCCATCTGGAAACCACCAGTCAAAAAGTGGACTTCTGTTCCTGTGCCTCCACAAGATTTACACTCGGTTCGCTTTGTACCAGATTTCAAGCCACTTCCGGAGCAGGTACCACAAGGTACTGTTGGATGTATCGTAATAGTCTTCTGTGTGCCCTTGGCTGCTTCCATGAAGGATATGCTGGTTTGCATCTCAATGTTCTCTCCAACCAGAATTTCCTGTTGAAAGGGGTTCGACCTGCCACGTCGGCCGCCGCCGGCACTGCCGCCAAACGGACTTTGTCCTCCAGTGAAATGCGAAAACAGATCATCGAGGTTGATGTTGGCGCCGAAGCCTCCCTGGCCGCCACCAAATCCACCACTGAAGCCGGAGAATGGACCGCCGGCGCCAAAGGGATGACCTCCTCCAGGGGAGGGGTCACCATTCTGGTCGAATCCTGATGCACCGAACTGGTCGAACTGCTCCTTCTTCTTGGGGTCTGATAGTACCTCGTATGCGGATTGGATCTCACCGAACTTGTCCTTGGCGCCAGGGTCTTTGTTCGTGTCGGGGTGGTATTTCTTGGCCAAACCGTAATATGCCTTTTTGATGTCTGCTGGTGTAGCTCCTTTTGATACTCCCAGAGCCTTATACGGATCTCTTACGGCGGCCAATGTGTTGGGCGTAGCGTGGAAAGCCTTTGAGGATGGCACATGTTAGCTAACTTGGACTGCCGGGAGAGAGGTGGTACTTCAGATGCCACTTACCCTTCTTTGTGCCTGGTTTTGGCATTGTGGCTTCGCAGTATTCTCGGCAGGTCTCCTTGTAGTAGTAGCAGCAGCAGCAGCATATGCAAGTGTTCGTGTAGAAGGCGCACGTTTCCGCAGACTCTCGCGCAGTGTCTGTCTTCGGTATATCTGGGTCGGGGATAGCAATCGCGACGGGAGCGCGGCCTTGGTCAAAACGTTGGAATTCATCTTTCAGTTAGAACATGTGCTTATCAAGAAACAATCAAGTGAAATTTCATGGTCGACCGGGCCGGTAGCACAAGGCGTAGAAATGATTACATGCGCGGAAGCGTTGAGCTACACGATGCGAGAGGGCGTTGACGTATCGTATCTTGAAGCGACTGGAATCATCCAAAAAGTTTTTGGGGGGTCCAAGCCGCCGCCTGCCGAGCTAACTAAGGCCTTGACGCCAATCGGCTGCGTTGCAATTCATCCATTGTGAGAGCTCCAGTCGTAGCTGATGCCTGAGGCATCTCTCTAACGTTAGCAAGCTAACCCCCTACATGGTACATACCTCGAGTGCCCGACTGAAGTTACCTACTGATGGCAACGGCAACGGCAACAGAAACAGCGGGGCACAAGCCTCGACGTGCTGCTCTTTCAAAAATGGCGTCGCGGCTGATTCCGCGCCAGCACCCCAGCGGGATCGGGGGAGTGTACCGCTGAAACGGTTCCGACGAAAAACCGCCCGAAATCACATGGTTAACAGGATGGATGCTTGAATGCAGAATTTAGGTTGACAGCACGCAACAATGAAACAGGATTCATATGGAAGATCGATGACTGAAAGTGAAAAGGGGACAAGTTTTGCTGCTGAACCAATTACATAGATGTAGATGTAGATATAGATATAGATATAGACCTAGGCATACACCTATGTGCTGGAAGGAATGCTTCGAAAAAAAAATAAGATAAAATAAAAAGAAATATAAAAAATCGAGGTCCCTAACCCATGCTACCTGTATTTTTGCGCCCGAGAACTCCCCAAACCCCCATATCATTAGTATGCAAGATGCTGGAAAAGCCAGTGTCAGACACGACCGATCCCGGCGTATATACCAATCCAGAACTCCCAACCCTTCATTATAATAGACATTATGGCATTGGTGATGCGTGAGGTAAGTTTTTGTTCCTCCGCGGCCTGTAAACCCCAGGAGTCTTGACTCTGTGTAAGAAGTTGACCACAACCTCGTTTTCTTGGACCCCCAACCCGTTGAAGTGCTTTCTCACGACCTGGGTGAGTTCATTTTTGCCCTGTCTCCTATACTCTCGTCTCCGGGCCATCGAAGGGGAATAAAGCCCAATTCCACCGGGTCGTGAGAGCACAGTCTTGTGGTAGTCATGGGTAAAGGCAGTCGGGGTATCGAGGTTGTGTTCGCGGCGGTAGTCGTGGAGTACTTCTCGGTCGAACGAAGACCAGTCGAGCTGCGAGGCCAACAATGTCAGTAAACCAAAAAGCTTGAAAACCGGGCAAGGCCTTTTTCTCCATACCCCAGGAGGAGCAGCTGGTGGTGCCACAGGTGGTGGTGCGATGGCAGCGGCCGAATGACCGTTGACTAAAGTCACTTCTCGCAGGTTTGAGCCGGCCGAACTGGCGACCCGACGCATCTTTGTTCCGCCATTCGTGTGGTGGTTGTCTTTTGTCACATGGCTGTTCTTTTCTCTGCTGTTCGGTGTCTCCGACTTGGAGTCGTCGTGGTGGTTCGTTTTCAATTTGGCGGGAGGCATTGGTACGGCCGGCGGCTGCGAGCCAAGAAGCTGATGTCAATCGAGGCTACAAGATGGTGACTGAGGACTTGTAAACGGGCGTGATGCTTGACATTCCCAATGCTGATTTTAGAAAAGCTCGTGGAAGAGGAGACCCAGCCTAGCAGAGGAAAGGGTCATGAGATCCGTGTGTGGTTGCATTGGATTGGGTGAGGAGAATCAAATGATCAGCATGGACAATTGAGCGACTCAGAGCGCACAAATTGCGGTCTAGTCACTAAATCCCCATCCCAGCGCATTTGTAAATTTCGGGGTCTCGAGGAATCAGCAGCCGATAATGCTGTGACGACATACTTTCCTCCCCACTGGTCGGACGAGCCAACCAAACATGACCAGCCAGCTCCACTAACAGCCTCTGCATCTCGGCTGCTTGAGCTAATGGCCGTGCCTGCCTTAGTGGGAACCTCCGTATCCGCAACCCGCACTCATTGCCTAACTTTATTGCTCAGGGTCCTTCTCACCCGTATACTCGCTCTGCCATGCGGCCACGCTTCCATCTACAGTCCGCCGCTGTATTTATTCGAAACTTACTCTAGTGCTACCCCGATGGCTAAGAATATCTGGCCTTTATACATAGTCCATGACAGACTCGGCACGGACCGTGACATGAATGAACGCCTGGCCCTTGTGGGCGAATTACTACCCCTCCCCCCTCTTGAGTGCTTCTGAGTACTGAAATACATCCGCTTCTTGCGCACATGCGCAGACCAGCTCGTTGCTTCAGACCAGTGCGATTGCATCACCTTGTGGTTGAATATTTCCACACAATGTTTGCTATTTACTCCCTCCATACACGACCCCCAATAACCATGATACCTAGAGTCTTGGTACCTCCCCGCTTTCGATTCCCGCGCTTGTATAGAGTTCATCTGATGTTTGAGGCCTAAAGTTTGTGAAGCTTGTCAGACTATACCCTATGGTCCTGGACCAATACTAAGCAAAGAGGATCCACATGGTCCCCGTCTTGGCCATCTATACCCTCCGAAAGGGCAGTCCGATAACCGATTACCTTACACGCCATGTATAAACACGCCATAATCTGAATATTCATTTTGGCTATTCAAAACTTTTTCTATAATGCTGGCCGAAGCCCGAATTTTCTTTCATTCAGCCAAATCGCATGGCTGCATGCAAACGCTACAAGTTTAGAACGTTCGGTGCTTTCGATTCTACACTACCTATAAAGCCCTGGCCCACGAGGAGAAGTGCCATCACCGGCATCCTACAACGTTGCAATGTCCCGGCCCAAGAGATCATGATGTTTTGGAACACAACCACACATGATTGGGTGCGTGGGAACGGACCCTGATGCTTGGAACACCGTTCGGCTACATGTCCATCTTTGTCATAATCAGTTCATAGGCTGGGAGGGGGAGTAATAGTAACAACGATCCATTGAGATGGATATAAATGGGGGGAGGGATTTCACTTAAAAATAGATAGCTATACAATTCGCGATGTTGTGAGAACTAGGAGGGTTCAGATCTCTTAGTAGGTTGTCCTCCTTTTATTTGGTCTAATATTGGAGACTTACGAGAAACTTACGACATTGCGGTGATTAATCGAATAGGTGAACTAAGTAATGGTAGATTGGGTTAGAACTGTATATACTATGAAGTGTGATTTGAAATCTACCTATGAGTAGGATATCACAGAGGAAAAAGTGGCACGTGTCACTTTTCTAATGGGTATTAGGGTATAGGGTAATCAAAGCCTATAATATAGCTCGTTAGCATTAAATCGAGAATAATAACTATACACGTCAATATAGTATATTCCTAAAGCACACACGTAGACACATTCTTATACCAAACAAGTATTAGAGCTACAGCTAGCTAGCTAGTAATAAATTCTCTAGGTTTGTTAGGTTGTTATCTACGATAACATTTACGCTGATTTAAGACACCTTATATCTTTCTCTAATGTGGCCGGCTACGTCTAATATGAACTGTTAAACAAAAATACCTGTAGTTAAAAGCTTGGTGTTTAGCGGCACTCGGTTGAATGTGACATATACAAGGTTTGCGGGCTCGAATGATATTATCGTTTTGCTCATAGTTTAGAACTATCGGCAATGAGAGACAGCTTGAAATTCAATTGAAGAGAATATCATACCAATCATGGACATTTCCGAATTAATACCAACTGGTGAACATTCATCTTAATCTAACCCTACAAGCTTGAAGCTCGATTTAATGCTCTTTGACATAGTGTAGACTACGGCGTTGCTTCTCTAGAATAATTTGTTTGAACAAAAATCACCTTGGTGACATGCTTTTATTTATAAAACAACAAGAAGATCCATGTTGTGGATGCCACACGTCACGTTCGTTCAAGGACAATCTTTACCTCTTTCACTTACACCAGAAGAAGAAAATAAGAAATAAGAAAGAAAAGGGGGCAAGGCTTTCCGGGCCAGGGACGTGCTGATCAATTCTTGTGCCTGCTCGTGCATTTCCACCTCTTCTCTTGCCTAGCTTACAGCTAGTGGCAGAGGAGCTAAGTTCGAGTTTTTAATTGCTCTTTCCAATGCCAACCTTCTAAAAACGGCAATAACAAAAGCGCAAGAACACATAGTGTGGGGGTGGGTATGAGCCTAGTCTAGCCGGGATATGTTCTTTGGACCGTCGGCCCTTTCGGCAGTAAGTCAATGATCAGGCATAAATGTTTTCATCAGCGCCGTGCATTGAAGGGCTAACTTCCTGGCGACCTATGCCGTGGTGGCTGACCTCAAGCTGGCATGCTGGTATGCTATGCATAATCATGCACTCCGGTTTCTGTCTGTCTCACAAGTGATGGCTTGCACGGCTCTCGGTGCCTACCCTGGTAAAGTGGGATACTGTTTTCATCGACGTGCAGATTCTAGCGCTGCAGCTAAAAACGCCTAGGCGGGATTTTCTCCAGCGGGCGAAGAATGATTGCTTTTTCGTAAGAGAACCCAGCAAATCATTTTGCTGATCCGACAGGTGCGGCTGGTCATGTGCCATCCTTTACTCTGACCTTCCTTCCTCTGGTGTAGATGGGATCGGGGGCTGAGACTCGAAAATACGGCGTTAGCGATTGCTTTGTTCACTTGTTCACTGTCAAGAATTCATGGTTTAGAGCAGCCCCCACGCCGCAGATGTTGTCCTAACCGTAGTACTTTCGTGGGGAGGTAGACAACTTTGCCTGCCGGCAACACTGTAGTGTAGACTGCAGCTCGGTATATTTGACTTTACTTTCCCCGGTTGTGTGTAACCCAAGTCTTACCGAAGCACTACGGCAGGCCTGTTTCACGATTGCGCTTTGGAGAGCGCAAAGACAAGGTCGCCAAGCCGAGCTGGCTATCCTGGTTAGGGCCATAGGATCAATTGTAAGAGCCATTTTGTTTTTCTCTCGGGTGATCTCTACCTATCTCGATTAGTCGAGTCGCAGCCTTGGATTGACGGACACCGATTCTGGAACTCATCTTTGGACGCCTGTAATCGCCCGGTTTTGGATGACGCCTTACCCAACGGCCGCTGTGGTTTGGCACTCAATACGCCGTGGAAGTTGCTTAACATTAGCGTACCAAGCCAACGGGATTGGAAAAAGAGGTTCCATCCCTGAGCCGAGGTCCTGAACATGATTTATCACGAAGGCAGGTTGGTGGGCTTCCATTTGACACAGAATGATTTTGAGAACGCAGCCGGTTGGGTTCTTCGGACTACAGATCAAGACAAATTGAAAATCGATAGAACCTTCTGCAATTTAGGACCGCCACTGGAGTAACGCCTTGTTTACCAAGGTTTAAATATTCATGACCGGCCGAACCGCGCAGGATCTCAAATAACGCGCTATCGACGAGACCTGGAATACTTGTCCTAATTGTCCAAGATCGCCCGCGGGAACATCGCGTGTCACTCATTTTTGATCCAATGAGGGAATGGAGAAAGACCTTCTGCTTCTCCACAACCCCATACCCCACACCACACCCAGCCCGTGGACCTCTGTAGCATAGTACTTTTACTTGTGGTCCTCATATAGCACGTCACGCTAGAGTACATCGATCCTTGTTCCCTGTGCCTTACTGATTCACCTTAACGCCGGAGCAAGCACTCTTTGCAGCTACAGTTGTACATACTTGGAATGACAATTGGGTTTTTGTATTATTATTAAATTTCTTAATATTGATGACTCACAGGTGCTGTGCCAATTGTAAATCCGGTTCAAAGGCTACACGTAAAGCGAGAAAGGAACAGGTCACGATAATGTCAAGAATATGACCTGGAATTCAGGAAATACAAAATCATTCGAGGCTCTATGGTTAGTAGCGAAACATCTCACGGAGACAGACATTGCCAAGTATAGTTATTCTGGTAATCCGAGAAGTTTAGCATTAAGACTGACGAAACACTTCTTGCAACTGAGACTCCACCACCATCAGAGCATGCTCCAATTTTTGATCACCGGCATTGCCCGCCAACCCGTCGCGCGTCCGGTGGGGTTGCCAAGTGTGAATATCGCTGGACTTGCATGGCTTGCCAGTCAATCGCGGCAATCGTTCAGAGGTCTTGTCTATTAAACGAATAGCACGTCAATGTGTTGTTGATACTGAGTCGTCTGTATCTACCAAGAAGGTGCCAGACGACCGGTAACTACCAAGACGGGCTGTAGAGTATAGTTAGCATGAGATGGAGCGCCACTTTATCGCGAATTTGACACAGTCACAAGCTGCGATCGGTAAACATTTCCGGAATACCTATGGCACTGCGATCTTTAAGTCCCACCGCGTGGCTTACAGTTTACTGCACTTGCCTGTGCAACTACGGAGTGCTTACAGCCATCATTCTTCGATCATTCCCACTTAGACTCGGAGCACGACGAGCCGTCTCTCACTCTTTCCACGAATCTACAATGACCGAAGTGGATATGTTTTGACATGCTATGAGGCATCTGCTGTATGCTGATAGAACATCTAAGGGCGACAACAACCCCGTTCGTAGAGGTACGTATCATTGGGACGCACATTTAAGTTGGCCCCGTTCAACGCAACGCAAGCTAACTTTACATGACGCCTGTTGCCTCTCCCCCTCGACAGCGGGCACTATTGCTAGTAAACATAGCTAGTGCCTGTCCTTATTATAGTGTCAGAACCAGTCACGCCTGATTTATGACAGAAAAGCAATCGATGCTAATTTTCCGCGGCGTAGCATGCGAACAATAGCTCGCCTGGGCCGGAAAAGGACTTGCGCTGTATCTGCCTGTGGTGGTGTAGTGCCCCCGTCATCTACACGCCTCGTCTAATGAGTAGCACTCGCCAGGATGCAGATGGCAGTGGTCGGGTTAATTCGTTAGCCTGGCTACCCTGAGCCACTTCTATGGGCCCACAAGGGACCCCGTGGGCTGGATTCGTCGCGGGTACCCGAGCGCCAGTTGTGCTTAAGACCCAAAAGCCCCCCACGTTGTCAATCGCTCGAGGTTATTTCTCCAGATTCTGCTTTGACTTTCGACCCACGACCGTCGAAGCACAGCACCACGCGCGCCCCGAGTTTCGTCTCTTCTCGTCTCCATAGGGGCTCGGCCTGTTGAGCCGCTTCAAAGAGTACTCTTCAATCATAAGCTAGAATCTAACATCTTGTCTTTGGCAACTGTTGGCATTAATTTGTTGCTGGAGCGCAAACTGCTGTTCAGCATCGCACACTACCTTTGCGTTTCCTTGACTGGAACATTATCGCCAACGTCCTTCAGTGTGGTAAGTTGACTCAAAAAGCGCAGATGAGCTCGCTCACCTTGGGCTTTCATTCACTAATTTTGTCGCTTTCATCGATTGCGCGCCTTTCGGACCTAAAACTTTCGGGTCTCTCTTTACATCTATCTTTTTCATCGCCCCCGACCATAGCACTATATCACTATGAAGTCAGAATTGATTCGTCCTACATTACACAAAAAGACGCACATGAACTCCAGTCCTATCTTGCGAGCCTAGTGGGTGAGCGCATCCAAGTCATTGAGCCCCTGGTCGTATACCCATGTCTTCAAGGTGGTTCGCCAATAAAGGCATTGATGCTAGTTCGTCTGCAGGCCGCATCCCACTTGAAGTTCAAGTGCGAACCCAAACCCCACTCGTCGTTGCTTCGGCTTCGTGTTCCCTTTCCAAACACGTTGAATAATTCAATTCCACAGCGTATGATTTCATGGTAAAGTCTTGTTTTCTTTCAATCGAACATGACTTGGAAGCTGACATTGTTTGTCATGTAGCTGAAACCCTGACTCTCACCTGTTGGGGGACGCTCTTAGGTCTTTTCAGCAAGCATACCCAGTCACCTTGCGCGCGCATCAACGCGGCAAATAGTTCAAAGATCATTTCCGACGTGTGTACGGTAGAGGCCCTTGACCTCCTAGCTATGTGCTAGCTTTGATAAAGATTCTTCTACGGTGATATTGGAGCAGATTGAGACACAACCGAGCACTGGGTCTCAGCTGGTCAGGTAGCTCATCGAGTGTCGGTCACTAACTCCAGGTGCTGCGGAAAGCAACGACTTTGAGTGTTGCCGTGTGACCGCCACCCGGCTTTGTCTTGTGGAACTTAACCGTTGCCCCTACCTAGCCGAGACAACGATAGAGATACGTCAAGAGTACAGTTTGACGTCACCTATATACCAAACGGGGCTACCGGTAACCCATCCCATAACTAGCACAGGCAGTTGAGGGTTCGTGAGGACTGCAAAACACTGTTGAGGATAATTGGTCCATCACCTACGGGAAGATGTCGTCTCTCGTTGCAGTACATCCTGGCGAGATCAAATCGGCCTTGCCCGTGACAAGAGCATCACCTATAATTGCGAAGATGCAGGGGCCAAACCCCCGGTCAGTCTCCTCAGGAGTTCCCGAGCGAGGACTGCCGGAGAGGAAAGATTCGAAGGAGAAGAGTGACCACGAGCAGGATGCAGATGGTGAAGTGGATATCAAGAATGGAGGTTCCTCTAATGACGAAGAAGGCCCAAACAGAAAAAGAAGAAGGAGCCGTAAAGGACTAGACAAGAAGTTTGAATGTCCTTCGGAGGGTTGTGGCAAAAGCTATTCAAGAGCTGAACATCTGTAAGATTGCCCGATGAACAATTCGTTAAGGTGGGATCTACTAACGACCGAGAAGGTATCGCCACCAACTAAATCACACACCCAAGTATATCTATAAGTGTACCTTCCCTGGTTGCGAACGGGAGTTTGTCCGGCAGGATCTACGCAATCGCCATATGGACCGCCACACGGCGAAAGGTTCGGCCTTGAGCCGCAAGGACTCCATGAATAACGCTAATGTAACTGCTGGATCTATTTCCCCAGAAGCAAACCGGGCTGGCTCAGGGTTCCCCAAGCCTCGCAGTGGATCTGGAGCTAGTCCATATACACCAATATCGGCTACGCCTCCGATGTATCCTCATGGTGGCCCACCTCACGGACTGGATAATTATATGCCATCAGACAATGGCTACAGTAGCAACAATATGAACCACCGCCACCCGCACCAGTCACCGTCCGGTCGTCCAGCTATACAAACTAATGTTGGTCCCTACGGTGTTCTATCACCTGTTTCTACTCAACATGGTAGCTACAACGGCCAGCCATCGAACACACCGCAGTCTACGCCGACTGGTCCATATGTTGCGCAGAATAACTTTCCGCCTTTCTCGTTGCCACCATCTGACTTCTCGACAACATCGCCAGCTGTCGCGACAAGGGATGCTAATCAGACTTACCCTACTACAAACAGTGACTTTGCCGATCCCTCTCACGTGCAAGCTTCCGGGGAAATGATGCTTTTGGATCAGATGGCAAATCAAACCACAATTCCTGTATTTGGTCCAGACGCTGGCTTGAACAAGTCCCCATATATCACAATTCCGGAGGACTTCGTGGCTTATCTATTTAACACGAACAATCCTGACGGGTCCCCCGTGGTAGGCCAGATGATGACTTCAGGTCAATATTCCTCCAAGTACGTAACTAATGAACGAAGCTCTACGAATGAGATACTAATTCTTTTTTAGCTACGCCGACTTTCAATCTCAGTACAGCATGCCTTATTATGGAAATGACGGCACGCCGCTTGGCTATTTCCCGCCATCAAACCAACCGCAGCAAGTCATGTCTGTTCCAAGCTTGCTTGACCAGAACCTGCCTGAATCGCTCTTGTCGGAAGAGAAGAGTCAAGAGATCTTCGACTTTATTAAGGAGCGCTTCCATGAGAAAGATCAAGCACCAGTTGAGCGGCAAAGGGACAATATCCTTGAGGGCGACCGCAGCGACGAGCACCACATGTTGAGCCGTAAGATGATGCAGGCGTACATCAGCTCCTACTGGATTCATTTTAGTGATCAAATTCCTATCCTGCATAAACCAACTTTCTCGCCAGACAAAACGCCCACCCTTCTCCTACTAGCTGTTATGGCAATTGGTGCTTCTTGTCTCGATCGGACAAATGGGCATGCAGTTATGCGAGCAGGTGCACAACTTTCGAATTTCCTTGCGTGGCATGTTCGGTGGGAGATATTCATGGATGCGAGCAGCCGGCCTCCTGCCAAGCTCTGGGTCTTCCAAGCACTCCTGTTACTGGAACTCTACGAAAAGATGTACTCGACTCGGGAGTTGCACGAACGTGCGCACATCCACCACGCCACAACAATCACACTCATGCGCAGAGGGAGATCCCTGATCGGTAAATCCGCACTTGACTCGCCTCCCAACCCTAGAGAGGATAAGAATGGGTCTAGGCACTCTTCCACCTCGGGCATCGCGAACACTCCTGATGAATGGTGGAACCATTGGATCACGAACGAATCGACGAGGCGTGCGGCATTTGCAGCTTTCCTGATAGATTCCGTACATGCAACTATGTTTGGCCACTCAACAGTCATGGTAGCTCATGAGATGCGACTACCTTTGCCATGTGATGACCAACTATGGAAAGCTGGTAGCGGTGCGGAGGTCGGCAGGACCGAAGCAAATCTCATGTCAAACGGCATCAAGCCCATCTCTTTCTTGGAAGGTCTGAAGCGGACACTCAACGGACAAGAAGTGCGAACCAACTCTTTCGGCCGACAGGTATTGATGGCAGGTCTTTTGAGTGTCAGCTGGCATATGAATCAACGGGACCTCCAGGTCACTTCACTGGGCGGTGGGGTAACACAGGCACTTGGTGGTCGTGATAAATGGCGTAGCACACTGACGCGAGCATTCGACGCGTGGAAGACGGATTTTGACAAGTTTCTGCAGCGCTCAAATGGTGCGGCGGACCCGTACAGTTATGAGAAGAGGAACGAAGACAATGTCGTCTTCGAGAGTCGGACAGTACTGCACCACCTAGCGCATATGGCTATGCATGTTGACATTGTCGACTGTCAGATCTTCGCTCGCGCGAAACGCCTTCTTGGACGTGCCATTGGCAACCAGGACCTGAGCAGCGCACAGAGAAGGATGAAGGACAATTGGGCGCCTACAGCCAAAGCCCGAGATGCCACCTTTTACGCTCTCAAATTCTTGGCTTCAGTGCTGCTTGCAGACGAGAATGGGTCAGATGCCTCGACGGGGTACAGACCGTTTGGTCCGGGCGGTTACGTCGCAAGAGATGATGTGCTTCTCAACCGACCATGGGTTCTTTACTTTGCGGCTCTGATTGTCTGGTGTTACGGGTTCGCCCTCGAAGGCGCGTGCCCGAGTGCTCCATTGCCTGCAACCCCCCATGAGAAGACAGGTCGGATGAAGGACTACCTACGTCGCTTTGGCTCGATTCCCACGCCGGAAGATCTGAAGCTGATGAAAGGTGTTAACAACAACAACGCGTTGCTGTTGGTCCTGAAAGACTCGTTTGAAACAAGCCGCTGGGAACTTCTCCATGAAGGCGCTATTCTGTTGAACAACTGCATTCAACTCAACACCGGTGCAAGCGTGGTCTGATTGACCCTGGCCATGTCCACACATGCAACCGCCAATAATCTGTCCAAGGTGCAATGGGGTCAAGTTAGGACAGGCTTCTGAGAAGGAAAAAGTTGTTGATTGACGTGTTTTTATCATGTTTATATGTTTGTAGTGTTGCGTGCGGTTTGTCACTCCGTCACGCATATATACCCATGGATGCATCATGTAGGCAGGTGAAACCAGGAGTTAATATTGGGAATACGTGGATTTGATGAATACATTCAAAAGAAGTGCTCAATCACGCGCCGGTTCACACTCGTTGGTACTCGACGGAGGGCTCTCTACGTATCTGGAAATGCTTTCACCAGCTCTCGCCGTGTAGTCTAGCCTGCTTAAGCTAAGCACGGCCGGGAACTTACTGACATATATGATGTTTGCACATGCGCGCCATCGGCGTTGTGCAGTGACCGCTGTTAACTCCGAGAGCACGGCCGCCACAAACTACACACAACTTCACACAGACCTTTATCCCTGTTAAGTCTGTTTCTTATGTAGTGTAGAGACACCTAGAATTCCGTATGGAAGCCGCTGACTTTCAGAAGCCCTGCTGGTATGCAGCTCCATTTAGAAATTGACGTTGTTTCTTGGGTTTCCCCGGCCCCTTGGACGGAAGCTCGAGAAGCTTTTTCCAACTGGCAGAAAACGCAAGGCAAGATTGGTCATTGAAAGCGAGATTGCGGTGGATGTTTGTTAAATCCGATTCACGAACCAGATCCCTCCAACTCCGGCGACAAGGTCCATCATGTAATTGCTTGGGTGCTGTACTTTGTTTTAACACCGCTGTCTTACCACCGTAGCCCCGCCCCCACACGAATCTGCATCAGGTCTACTGTAAGTTATTAGGTATTGCCGAGCCCCTCGAAAGCATGTCATGTCATGTCATGACCGGGACAGGCCCAGCTGTATATATCTTTCCCTCCAATCTTCACCGGCTGTCCATTATACTCACAGCATCTCGCGGTTGGCTACAGAAGGACGCATCTTTGCGGGATTCGCCAAGGCACTTTGTACAGCCTCCACGTGCTCGGCCTAGCACTAATGACAACAAGATAGAATGGCACTGTTGACAGAGCTCCCCCCAGAAATCATCCACAACGTCCTGCGGTTCGTGGACCCGCCGGATCTAGCCTTGGTTGCACGTATATGTAGGGTCTTTCATTATTCGGTCAAAGGCAACCCGACTGTGTTTCGAGATGTTTATCTTGCGCACTACGACGCCCCAGCGAGTGTCGATGATGTCGATTGGGAACGGGCCCTCAAAGACGTCGTGCGACTACAGGTTGTATGCAGCCGGCAGGGTGCTGATAAGAAGGTGTGTGTTCCCAGTAATACATGACCACATACATACATACATAACATACACACGACACTGCTTTGCTTCAATCGGCGCTCTATGTTGCCTATATCAATGGGAAGCATGCGATTGACTTTCCTGTTCTGCAGAAAGACGAATTGTCCTTTGTCTATGAGACCGTGAATCAACTACTCCAGCGTGCTTCATCCGATGGCGAGCGGGCCGCGCCTTCCGCGACCTATGGGCACTCGCGCAATGCCGAATTCCTCTCACAGTTGTTCGCCAACCCGGAGAACCAGAAGGTCTTTCTCGAGCAATCGTTCTTGTACGAGCGCGCTCACTTCAAGCTGCCACAGCACGCGTCATTTGCGGACCCGCCCAAGGCCGAGCATCAGCAGAGCGCCAAGCTGCATTGCCTGTATGGCGTCCCCTTGCTGCACTCAACTCGAAGCGGGCACGGCTATGCGACGCGGGCGACCAGTAAGATGGGGCCTTTCGCCTGCTCCAAGGTCTACGATTTGCGACAGTACACGGAGCGGACGAGGTGGGGACCTTTCATGGATGATGGCTCGGACAGGACCGACTGGGAGAAGGTAGAGGCCATCATGCTTTGCTTGGGCTCAAACCTGGACAAGCTGGGCTTGAACAAGTTCCCCATCTGCAGGCAGTTTTGGAGTGTCCCCTTCGCCGGTGTCTGGCCCGGCTCGTACATGCGTTTACCCATGCTAGGACCCGACAAGGCCAACCAAGAGGGAGACGAGGAACTCGACGACCCGTACGGCATTACAGGGACCTGGCTGAGGGTTGTGTGTTTCCTCGACTACACGGACTTCTTCCACTTCAACTTTAACCCGGACGGTGACATGCCGTCCAACGTCCCCCGCCGTGCCATCAGCTACGGCGAAGCAACGCGCTTGATCTTGATGAAGATCTCGGTATCGGCCGTGGAACCCCCGGGTCCCGGTGATGGTCAGGCCCTCCCCGTGGTGCACTTCAAGGGCGTTTCGAGGTCATTGGATGACAATTGGGACGAGAATGCCAACTCGGACATGAGAGGTAGGGGGATCGAAATGAAAGGTGCGACATGCGCGCCGTGATGCTTGTTCCTGTATGCTAACCTCGTTTCACTCAGGGACCGTAAGGCTCACGCCGGAGGGTGAAGTCCGTTGGACGACATGGTCATTGTTCAACGGCCAGGAGCGCTGGCGGAGCGAGAGCGTCCAAGTAGGTGGTGTCAGAAGCGCCAAAGGTGTCCTTGGGAACTGGTTTGACAAGTGAGTCGCAGCCTGGGCGGCAGTGCCTTGCTTTCCGTGGACTAGCAGTTGTTAACGGCTCATTCTAGGGATTACGATCCGCGGGGCCCAGCAGGGCCCACGGCTTTCTGGAAGATCTCCGATCAAGTGTCTCGTGGGGCCGAAAGAGAGCTCATGACAGACAACCACGATGGGATAGACCTTCCAGATGGTGATTACTACCCCGATGAAGAGGTCGATGATGACGAAGATGGGGGGGAACCAGAGGATGAGGAAGATTCCGAGGATGGGTTTGGATTCGGAAACATAGAGGACGTCGAAATAGAGTTCGTCGCTGGGTCCGCAGCAGAAGTGGCGGAAATCATTGCGCGGTTGCAGCGGTAAACCGTGGAGGAGTGACGTTTTGTATCGGATGAGTCAATCCTGGGAGTCCTATCGGCTGGTGTATCACAGGAGGAACGGCGAAACTGCATTTTATCCCAACCTACATGGTCTTGTTCCTACGACTAGTTCACGAGACACAGCTTAAAGCACACGGGGTTATTTCGTTTCAAGTCGCTCAGCTTCCATGAATGAATGCGCGGCTCAGACATTTTGCAAGGTGTTGTTATTATTCTTTACAAAGTACCGGTCCTGTGCCGGTAGGCATCAGGAGACGTGAAATGCCACACCAGCTGCGGTCTATTGGAGATAATCCTATGCGTACTGAGGTTCGGGTTGTCTCCTGCTCGCCGAGAAATAGCTGTGCTCCCAGTGAGCCGCAGCTTCAGTGCGGACGAACCTTGGGGCAATTGCCATTCTGCCACACTCCCCGGTTTGTCAGAAGCCCGAGGGCCAAGTCCATCACGAGGCGATAACGTCTTGTTCACCACACCTCATGATGTCGACTGTTCTTCAAAGTATGCACACCCCGTGACCAAGACGGGTTGCAGCCAGGCATAACGAATGACATGATATCTGTTCGAAACCCATGGTTCGAATTAGACACCAGGAGCGATCGCGAGGGCAGACGCTCCCGGCGGCCACATGCGACTACCGACGCACCTGAACTATATTCCTGCCTGTAGAGAGTCCGCCGGGGTCTATTTCAAGGGTGATATGATATCTTCTCCATCGTTGCCCTTTCGGGGCCATGCTCCGCATCGCTGAGACCGGCAATTTTTATGACGCCTGAGCTTCTGTCTTTGTGGAATTCGTCACCTTTGTCACATCGCCGATTGCGATAGACTCGGCTGATACAACTTCATCTATGCCTTTCGAGCCCGAGAGAGGCTTCGCTTCTGTCGAGATGTGTGCTGGTGATGCAGTGTGCTCAAGCTTAGGCTTGCGCGGGCTGGTGGGGCTTGACGAGATGTCTGAACCCGCGGCATCTAGAATATCTTCGCTGAAACTGTGATGCGAAGCAGGTCTATCGTCCAGGCCTGCCTCTTTTGAGCCTTTTGAATTCAATGTCTGATACCTTTCGTCAGCAGAAAACCCCGACGAACTCATGCGAGGGCTAGTGAGTGGGCTGCCATTCCTCTCACTGCCAGAATCTATTATCCTTGATTTTCTGCCACCGAAACCCCATCCACCGCCAGTGCTAGTACCGCTTGTACCACTGGTGGACCTGCTGCCCCAGCCCTGTTTGCGCTTCTCGCCAGCCCAAGAAGCCCATGAGCCAATGTAGGCCCCAGCCTTTGCGCCGACCGAGTTTGTGGTCTGCTGTGCTTTCGTCGCGTCCACGTTAGGCACACTGGTGTCGTTTTTCTGTGTGCCTGTGGGTACGGCTCGAGATTCCTCTGCACGCTTGCGTTGTGCCTCACGCATGGCCTCCATGTCGGCATAGAACTTATTGAACATGGTGCTGGCTTTCTCACGTGCGGCTGCAGCGTTCCGGCCCACGATCTCCTTTCCAGCAGCAAACCGTTCATCCAGGTGTAAATCCTGCACTTGCTGTTGGATGCGTCGTTGAACGTCATCGACGGTCAACCCGCCCGCACATGGGTGTTTGGGTTCAATGATGTCGAATAAAAGAGAGTCTGTATGCGCGTTCCATATCCGATAATTCTCTGTTTTGGACCAGTAATCGACCCACTCTGTGCCAAAATCTATCGACGGGTCGCCTTCGACATGTGGCAACATCAGCTTTGGATTGTTGCCATTTTGTTTCAAGTAGCTGTGATATTTGACTGATGATATGAGCGCTAACAGATATTCTTCAAACTGCAAGCGGATAAACTCTTCACTGCCACGATAGCCCATGTGGTTGGGCCGGCCAGGGTTTTTCTCGTCCCAGGTATCGTTGACCTCCTGCGTGATGAAATCTATCCAGCGTCGGTCGCTGGCAGACAGGGACAGCGCACTGCGCAGCGAACTAGACGTAATATTTATAGTGTCGTCGTCCAGGTTGATGAGAATGTCGCTGTATCGATCTTTTTGCTGCAAAAGGAGTGAATTGGTACTGCCCACAATGTAGGACTTGGTGCCAAAGTCCGCAAGTATGTCGAGCTGCTGCAGTGGCGTGTATGGACCAAACAAGCTACCCTGTCTGATGTGAGCCAACACTCGGAGAGGATGAATACTTTGTCGATGCTCACCTTTCCAAATATTTGCAGGGGTAACCCCATGTACGAAAGTAAAGAGTTTCGATCGCTGGTCCTCAAGCTGGTAGGTTTACTCAGTCGCTTTTCATACTCTGCCAGCTCTGGGCCGGCACAATCCTGCAAGTTCCTCAAAAGACCGGGTATCAGAGATATCAGAGAAAATTGCATCATGCACAATCTTTCGCATCGCGACCCAAAGAATAGCATCTAGAGTCATTCTCGTCAGCCAGTTGGCTACCAAAGGAGGATTAGAAATCCTTACCTTGGGCTGCAACAAACAGCATTTCAGTAAGACGAGTGTCTGCCACTTAAACTCACGGACTAGCTCGCGCAAACTCATGCCCAGGTATTGATCCCGATCCTCTTCCTCGTTTAGCTGGCCGCGTTCCTTTTCTTCCTTGAGACTCTCTTGAAAGCCTTGAAGGATCTCACAGTCGGTAAACTCGCGTTGCGCAAACCAGGCACTGGTTACCATGGACAATCGCTCTCTTAGCATGCCGAAGTACTGTGGACTATCGGCGATGACTACAACAGCTTTTTGAACGGTCGATCGAGTGACTTCGGGTGGCCGGTTCAAGAGCTGTGATGCGTCCATCTGTCTTGTGCATGATATACCAAAGAGGGAGGTCGCAGGAGAATCGCCAACAGCCGGTCGCAACAATGTAAAATAGGAAAAGTCCTCGGTAGAACTGGAGAAGGAAAAGCCCGAATTAGTTTCGTAGCAGCTCAGGGAGTCCGAGGAACACTCACGCATGAGCGCCATCGCTCAGGGCCATGAAGGGAAGCAGGCCCCAGTCGTAGTCAGCGGCGGGATCTGCTCCCTCAGGCACGCCAAACCACTTTTCTACCTCGGGGCCCCTGGCGTGGTGGAAGTCCACAACGGCAATTAGTGGTATAAATCCATCTTTCGCCCCCATCTGCGATCCTGCTTCGGAGCCGGGAGCAGACATTGTGAATATAGTTCCCAAATCCGTAAGTAGTATTCGTGATTCCAGGAGTTCGATAGCGTCGCTATGAACCAATGCGTCGTCCAGCAAGTCTCCTCTCTCTCTTCAATTCTTTCGTGTATTGCTGGAGTTCTTCACGAGTGTCTATAGTATCGGTCGTCGGAAGGTCGATCGTAAAAATGACGGCTTGACGTCACGGACAGCTTCGTCTTGAGAGCTATTGCATGAGTCGGGCGCATTCCTATGGGTCGCACAGCGGCCAAATATGTCGATAGGCAACAAGGCCTCACTCGCGTGCTGTCCTCCTGGATGCTAGTACGGCGGTCCAGAAAAGGGGGCGGTCAAGATGTCGAGTTATCCAATCCAACGGGGTGTTATCCAGGGACTATCGCAACAAGAACTCTTAGCGGGGCACGCCGTTCAACAGTCCCGTCTCGGGGGGTTTTGGTCATATGCCAACAAAGTCAACTTGGTGCACTGGCGAGTCTAGCGATAGAGAGCATTTCCTGGCGGCCGAGCTTGTGAATCCGCCAGCAAATGTCTTAGTGTCACCAAGGGAATAGGAGAACCCCAGAGGTCAAGAGTTAGTACAGCACGACAGAGATCTGCTTCATTTATTTTTGGCAGCTCTGGACTTCGAGGGTCTCCCATTGAAGAGCTAATTTTGAGACAGGGATGACTCGAGATGAACCCCACCATACTCAGACCGGGCACACCCACCATTGGTCAAACTGCCGGCTCCAAGCAACCTCGAGGGCGTAATCTCAGAGGAGAGACTCCGCAAAGTAATGGCAGCCACTACAGTCCGGCGGACGGATAACCGTCCCTGCCATCAAGTTTTGGGTCCTGAAGATGCCTCGAAGAAGGCGAAGCTGAGATCAGTGAAGGCGATCGACGAGGGCGCCTCGACACCCTCGTGAGCATGGTCTCTGTAACATGACAACAGTTTGTAACACCCAATCATCGAGATGGCGGTATGGCATCTCAAACTGCAGGACGTGGCGATATGCCAGTTGTCCTGCATTGCATAAACGACAAGAAAGAAACAAAGAAAGAAAGAAAGGGGAAGTGCCTTGGTCACCGGAGGGCTGCATTCGCTGTCAGTGAACACCATTTCTCTTCTAGTTCCCCGACGTCTATGCATCATATCGACCGAATCGACGACCTGCAAGATCCATAAATGAGATTCGCCAGGTTCACCGACCAATTGCCGCCATGTCTTGCGCGTCTGCTACACCTATGTACTGGGCGCTGAGGCTGATGCAGACGTCCCATACCAGTCAATATGATTGAACCTGTTTTATTCAGCTGACAGTCCAATGAGTTGCACCTGGCGAAAGGAACCCATGATCTACACATCACAGCAAATGATTTCACGTTAGCATACCTAGACACTGGGCATTTACCCCAAAACATCTCAGTCCCACCAAAACCTCCCGAACCATCCCACCACCCCTTTCTTCTTTCTAAGTGGTGGCTCCGGGTTAGCCCTCGCAATCGCGATAAAAGTCCCGACGGGCACCTCCTCCAGAGGCACTATACTTGTTCCCTTGAGAAGCTTCCAGCCCAAATAGAGCGCTAGGCTCAGTGGTATGGTGAAGTAGGACGAGAAAAAATCTGACACATTCCAATGCCCATCGACCTGTCAAACAACCGTCAGTCGTGCCAATCCAGATGATCGCGGGAACAGGGCCGAGCGGCACTCACAAAGACATAGAAGCCTCCAGACAGCATGATGAAACTACTAAACCACGTAACTACATGTGCCAAATACGGCTGCAGTGGAGCGGAGTACGGCAACTCTTGATAGGGGATGCCCTGTGCTTCCATCGCCCACCTTACACGCAGTGAGCATGTGCCAACCACCACCCACACCGCCAAGGTTGACGAAGCTGTCAGATTAGACAGCCAGCCAAACACGGTGTTGGCATCTGAATTCAACGACATGTACGCAAGGAACATGAAGCTGCTCTGGAATATAACACAGAGATACGGGATGCCCCATCTCGACGTACGTCGGAAGAACGCGGGAGCTTTGTCCTCCAGCGCAAGTGCGTAGAGAGATCGGGAACCCTGCAGTATCCCGTGATTTCCGGAGGACCAGGCGGATGTAACGACAACGGCGTTGATGATGCTAGGCAAGACCCTAACTCCAGCCTTTTCAGCCGCGATGACAAAGGGTGACTGAGCGGCGTTGCCTGTGGATGTGAGGAGATGGGGGTCGTTGGAAGGGACGATCAAGCCGACAACGAATAGCGAGAGGATGTAAAACACGAAGACTCGAACGAATATGTGCTTTGCCGCTCGTGGGATGTTTCGGCGCGGGTTCTTTGTTTCGGCAGCTGCGATGGATGTCGTCTCGACTCCCGCAAAAGAATACACTGCGTTGACAAGAACCGAGAAGAACCCACACTACGTGGTTTGCAAGGAAACTTAGCATATCCGCCGTACCGACATGATCTACATTGAATACTCACAAACCGACCAATTCCACCGCCCACCAAATAGCCTTCACCGAAAGCACCCGGCTCGACCCAGTACCAAAAGCCCAAGCGTGACTGTCCCGGCACACCTCCTAGATCGTAGACTAGTCCAAACAATATGAGGCCAATAATCAAGGCAATCTTAAGCATCGCAGAAATCAGTTCTACTTCGCCGAACACGCGGATGAAGAAGATATTGGTCAAGAATGATACGACTGTGACAGCCATTAGTCGGGTTTCTCACAGTCTTGCCAAGATGGTACCTGTCCACTCTGAATTATAAAGAGAGAAAAGAAAAGAACTCCACTCCCCCCCCCAAAAAAAAAGAAGAAAAAGAGGAATACTTACCAATGCATATTGCAATGATGATCCCTGGGTGTAGATCCGTCCAGTATCTTACGATTGTACTAACAGCTACCCACTCACTCGGTACACTGACACACGGCCCGTAGACGGCTATCCATCCTATGGCGAAAGAGAGTGCCGGATCAACGAAGTACTCTGCGTGGCGAACGTATGCTCCTGAGACCGGTGCCAAGGCAGACAGTTCAGCCAGACACAGCATCACGCAGATGACCAGGCCGCCTATCGTAGAATAGCCCTATGAAGGTATTAACAAACAGGGTCAAAGGACCTGTCTAAAGAAGCAGTCAAACAATCAATGTTCCAACAGGGCCAGCTCGTTGGATGGCTTTCCCGCTGCCAAGAAATAAACCTGTTCCTATAGCTCCGGCAAGTGCGATCATCTGTCCATTATTAGCACATTCTCTTTTGACTTGCTAGTCCTTGTATAGTGTCTCATCAGAGGACGGCACAATACATAGCGATGTACCTGAATATCTGTAAACTTATTAGAAAATGGTGCTGGCTCAAGTGCAGGCACAAAACCCAATCACTTACGTCTCTGGCTTAGGCCTCGTTTAACGCCCTCAGGTCTCAAGAAGGATGCATCGACTTCTGGCGGAATCACGTCTTGGTCGCCGGGCAGCGGCAGGCCAATCGTCGCCCCTATCCCCGAGCCTCGCCCATGAGAATGCTCGCTGGGCCGGATTCCAGCATCTATAGTATCAAGTTGGCTTTTCTCGGCATTTTCCTCTCTCCTATTCATCATGACTGGTAAGTGTGGACTTCTACAATATCTGATTTTGACTATAGACTCGGGAAGTTTCAAAAGCTGCCCTGCTTGCCCAAAATGCATGTAATCCCCCGCACTTCGAGGTAACCACGTCGAGGCAAATATTGTATCGCCATTTATTGGTGCTGTGCTAAATCATCGGCGCGGCTACCAAACACGGTCGATTTGATATGGACTTGACTACTAAGTCAACTTTGTGGGGTGTCAAAAGTTGAAAGATAATGAGTGTTGAGATGTGAGGTACGCGCACTATTAAAATAACCTCGGAGAGTTCAGAGAGCCTTTCCTGGAGAGTTTGAGCATGACAAGGTGGAATCCTGCTATCTCAATATACAGATCTTTCGATCCAGAAATATTGTCACTACTTGCTATACCGACTTGGCTGGGTCAGCCACGAGTCTGAAACTGAGTCGAGTATCTGGGATGGATAAGGTTGTGAGCGGTTGTCAAGAAAATCTGCGAAAGCTTGAACGACACGGAAAGCGCGCCATGTTTGTACGATATCCAAGACTCTGGATCAATAATTTCATTTTCTATTTTCATCTTTTTTGAATCTTGAGTGTTCCTGCACGCCCTGATACGCCGCTTTCTAAGGTCACCAACTCTGCGATTGCGGCAAGGACATGCATTGACTGAACTCAGCTGATGCATTGGACCTTGTTCCCATAGGCACAAGACATGGGCCATCGTTCTAATTCATCGATGCCCTTGGTGGGCATGTGTTGATGCAGACACCAATTCTACCTCATTAAAAGCATTGTTCTGCTACCTATCCTCGTATAGAGCAGAGTGCTGCCATCTCTCATGTATTTCTCCCCGTTATGTAGTGCTTCGCTGAAATCATACCGCATGAGTCTCCTAAATGCGCGAGGGGAAAAAAGTGGCCAAGACCATAAATCTCAACCATTCTCAAAACGCCGTAGAAAGTTGATGTTCATGTCTGAACAAGAGCCTATAGAATCATCGGGGGTATCGTGGCGTTGTGAATTTTCAAGAGCTGTGCGGCTATTGACCGTTATATTGCTCCTCGCCTTGTGTGATACCCGATTCCACGTTGTGGTAATCAAGGATCTCGGAGTACCTGGTCGCTCGGACAAGTTAGTCAGATATGGCCCCCCGCGCGAAGCAGAAAACGAAGGGGCGCCAGCATGGGCGTTACATAATGAACTCACATCATGATCTTCCACGTATCAACTGGTAGATCAGCATCGTTGAAACTCCAATCGAATTTCTCGTCGGCCATAGGCTCATCAGACGGGTCGTGGTATGGAGCAAGATACTCGTGAGCCAGAGCCTCTGTTGCTGTAATTCGCGTCTTGGGGTCGAAGACAAGCATGCGCTCGAGCAAATCAATTGCTAGGTAGAGTCAGTATACCAGCAACGATATCAATGGGAGGCGTGCTAGCGACTTACCAGCTGGATCCGCGTTCTTGAACTTATTCTTCAATGGTTGCCTCTCACGCTTGGGGAGAGACTTGACGAATCTAAGCGTGTTCTCGCTAGCAATGGTGTTGATAACGTCATCCGGAGGAGTTCCGAGTAGCTCGGTGATGATGGAGAACTGGTTGACGTGGTCCTTGCCGGGGAAGAGGGGCTTACCCTCCAACATTTCAGCGAAAATGCAGCCAGCACTCCAGATGTCAACCTCGATGTCGTACTTCTGCCAGGTAAGCATGATTTCGGGGGCTCTGTAATATCTGGTCGAAACGTAGCCAGTCATTTGGGGATCCTGAATACGTGCCAGACCGAAATCGCAGATCTTCAAGTCGCAGTTCTCATTGACCAGGATGTTGCTGGGCTTCAGATCACGGTGCACAACGCCGGCCGAGTGAACGTACTTCAAACCACGCTACAAGGTAGGACAGTCCGGTTAGTGGTTATGCGAGGAACATGAATAGGAATGTAGGAGACAACGAACCATGATCTGGTACAGGAAGTATTGAATAAACTGCTTCTCAAGGGGCCTCGAGGTCAACAGCCTGTGCAAATCAGTTCCGAGCAGCTCTGTCACGAAGTAACTGTTGTTAGAGTCAGCGCGAGTGTCCTTGTAACCACCCTAGATTCGCTCGTTCAAGGACAGACACCTACAGATCTTCGAGGGGGGAGATGAAGATATCGCTGAGCGAGATGACGTTCTCGTGTTTCAAATGTTTCAAAAGCTTCAGTTCACGGTAGGTTCGCTTGGCGAGCACCGGAGTGCTGAAAGGCTTCATGATCTTCTTGATGGCAACACTTTGGTTGGTGAGCTGATCTTTGGCGGAGCTACACAAAGAAGGGGCTGTGTTAGCTCGTTGTCGGTCGGTAGGCGCTGTGGTGTTACTGTTTGAGGTGATGAGAGTTTATGACTTACCAGACCAAACCAAATGCTCCCATACCAACGGGCTGCAGATCCGAGTACCTGGAAAGTTGTTAGGTTCTATGCTGGGGGCTCCAGCGGTGCCGTATGTTGCAAGGGCGACATACCTCGACGTTATCTCGAAGGTCGTGCCAAAGATTTGGGCCCGGATGAATTCGGCCATGGTGACTGTTCGAGATCGAGTTATCAAGGCTCTGAAAGGGAGGTTGTCGCGAAACCGATGATAAGGTTGCTAGAATGAAGCGGGGTAAGAAGCGCTCTGGGTATTGTCAAAAGGGGTCGGCTGACTCTGCGTGGGAATAGAATAGTCGGGATCAAATGGTATCGTAGTGAATTTGTTGATTGGGGATGGGAAAATGAACGAGATGATGGGAAAGTCGGAAAGCGAAACAGGATTTGCAAAGCCGGGGTGCTAGATTAGGTTCTTTCGCTTTGCTTTCCACGAAAAGGAACTGGACTGGACTGGACTTGACTTGATTTTGGTGAGCGGTGCTAGGGATCGTGATCGAGGGGGAGTTACCCAGCAGAAAACAATCCGGACAGGTGGATGCCGAGTGCTCAGCGTGTTATGGTTGGCTTTTGCGCTTTTATTTATTAGGTGCCAGTGCCTGACTTGTCCTGACCTGACCTTGTTGCAAGGTGGGATGCAGGGAGGTAATAAGTTAATCGCTAGGTTACTCAAGGTACGGAGTACTGAATGGGTAAGAGTATAACCCCACAATAAAAGCCGGGCGGGAATGGTTTTTGTTTTATTCAAATCGTCCCGCTGATTCCAAGTTCGGGGTTGGAAGACGGCGTGATACAATTTCGGCGTGATGTGCTGTTTCCTTGACAAGAGATCTTTGTGTGTACCCTACAGTGGAAGATCCAACATTTAGCATTTCATTTAATGTACAGTATCTACTCAACAAAACATGGACAGGACGGGGGTTCTGGAAATATTTGCATTATGGCGCATAAATGTGAATGCAATCAACCAATGAACTGAGTCGGGTGTCTCTGCCGGCGCCTGTACATGTTGATGGAGACGTGAAAACTGGATACCTATCCAGTTATAGAGGAAACCAGACGCTTACCGTGGGATGTGACCGTCACAAGCCGTGAATTTTGAGCCTTGACAAATCGACACAGTCCTGCGATTCGAATTCGTAGGTGTGCGCACAAGCGATTGTATTCAGGGCTGCCTCTACGAAGACCTGTTCGTGCTGTTGTAGCGTCGTCGATTCTTTTCCGTCTCGCTCGCGGGAAAGTCGAAACGGATGGTTCAAAAACTGAGGCCGGTTTCGCCGGATCGGGTCGTACAGAAAGAGTTTATGTAGAACTTTTATACTGGTGTCGTTTTGAAGTTTAGATGGACCGACAAAAACCCTTGCTCTTGGTATCCCTGGACAGAATTTAGGGAGCCGTGGAGAATCTGAAGAAACTGGTACAATAGTCTTGATATTGACACAAGTTGAAGCACACTTTAGCGAAAAGCTGTATGAACGATGGGGAGGGAAATGGGAATCTGCATCGAGGAAAGCAGGTTCCTCTATGATATGGGATTTGTCCACCTGGATTTCGCTATTGCATGCCGTAGACCTTGAAAGTTTATCAACTTCTTGATTTTAGTCCACTTTCCTGAACATGAGATCTAATGCAATGTCCCTTACACGCGCTACCCTTGCATGTCACTTTCTGCAGGCATTTTGGACAGCGACGCTGCCTGATTATTAGGTGAGACGAACCCTAGGAATTCCACGATACCGCCACGGTGCCTTGTGTGGTGTTGCTTCCCCTCGGCGCGGATCCATGCCGCTAGCTGAGGCTCCCCGCGGTCTGGCCAGAGCGGAACTGCTGCTCTGATGAGGGGTAGAAGTATTCCCAGCCCGTATGGTTGGTCGAAGCTCAGAAGCAAGAACCGTGGGCCACTTAAATTAGTGGCTTGAGAACAGACTTATAATTATGACATCATACGAGCATCTAAGCGTGAGATCCCACTCTTCTAAAGAAACCAGGCCAAGCTTCAGGATGTACAAGGGTTTGTTTGCGCTGAGCCCCAGCCCAGAGACCAATTCCGCCGTGGCTGGCTGGCCATCGAACAATTAGCTGTGTAATCGACGATACATAACAACAGTACTTACAGCCTGCCAGTCTTTCAGTGTCGATGTGCGAGCAAGTGTAATTGGCAGTCATCTACCAGTATAATTTTATTTTGTTTCCCCCGCGATCCAAGGCTGTTTCTTTGGTGTTCTCAAAAGAGATATGGTACCAAGCTCAATTTGACTGCACTTGCATGACTCTTGCCTCAAAGTCGAGAAGGGATGCCCAGATAAGCGGTGTCATTGAAGTCCCGGCATACTGGTCTGGTAGATGATAGATCCGCTGTCCCCCCGCAAATGACGTCGCCTCAGCAAAACCATGGTTGAGAACCTAAGGAGTACTTTATGCGAAAACGACGTTCCTCAGACCTTCAGCTCGAGTCTTGCGGAATGCAATCCACGATCCTTCCTCTATCCAATAGAATAATGCAGCCTTGCTAGCCTGCAGTGCATATTACATACGTTCTCCACAATGCGCTTTGACATGCATCTGGTCCGGAGGTTCAGCTCCCAGTTCGTCTAGACCCGTTATTCAGAGATACACCTTGCAAGTTTCGGTCAGCCAGTTTGCATATCGAGTTCTCATACGAACGACTAATCGCGTCTTAAGCTTGGCATTGCACTGTGAAGCTTATCAAATGGACCAGATATCCGCACACCATCCGCTTCGCATATGATCGACAAACCACCGAAAGTCACACAACACCAAGCCCTGCGAGCTTCCCGAGGGAACAAGATAACATTCAAAATTATCACGCGCCTGAGCACTGTATCTGCCTTGCTAGTCATGGTAATAAGCCATAGCACACAGGCTTCAGGTCTGCATGTACACATGTAGCGGGATACGTTTATCAGCTGAGCACCGGGCAAGGTGACCCCACTATTAATCCTGACCAAGTATGTACTGTATATCAGGTGTACTGCATGACGTCACAAACTTTTAGCACATCGAAGCCATCACTCTCAGGATTTGGAACTTGGAACGTTTGTGATCCCAATAAATGGTTTGGGAGTTTTATTCCAGCGGTGTAGTATGTTCACCAATGGCTACTCATGAGATGAGGTCATAGACTTAACGTCCGTTGAATCCAAAGCGACTTGCAAGTATTCGACACGCATCCAAACCGTATGCAATGCACGTTCAAGATACCCAGGTTAAATCTTTCCAGATCTGCTCATAACTTTGGCACACAGATCTCGGCAGGGTCCTCGCAGATTCAATAGCTTTCAAGCTTCGGTCCCTGACGATCAATCTACCGTTGACAGGCACCCCCACGACACCGTCCCCACTAAGTACATATAGCCAGACTTCTAGAATAATTCTGGTGTCTTTTTCGTATCCCGTGTGAAGAAGATACGTACTGGGACTTTTGAATCCATGGCTCAACCGCACAGACTTTCGATCCATGAGACCGCTTTTGCTCAGATGGCTCGGCAGCCTGGTATTAATACTTACGGCCAGATCACATTACAACTCATACGACATCAACCGATCTAGGTAGTCTAGAGCAAATTCACATACTATTTCCACATGTAGTTCGGTATTCTCTTGTCCCCGACTAGCTTTATGTCGACTCATTTGTCCATTCCTGTTTCTCTTTGTTCCCCATAAGTGGCAATGTTCTGTGCTTGTCCCTCATTTGTGTCTTCGGTATATTAGGCATAAAATTGGCCTTGAAAACTGAACGGTTCCGCACATATATAATGATATATATGGTGTCCATCTACAGAAGAGTTCTTGTGAGCACATTTTCGTTGATGAGTTAAGTCATGACGAAGGTATGAGCGAGATGCCGCAGTTTGATGCAACCCGTATCTAGAACCAGAATAGCAATAGACTCCACAACATCTAGAATATCGCTTTTCAACTTGCTTTGGGGTACCAAGAAACACCAGAGTTTTTGCAATCTACAGCACCTAGCGTGCTCAGTCAAAGATCATCACTATGTTGCATAACTCCAACTTCATAGCCAAACATGGGTTTCAGAAGAGTTATCTCCCGTATCACTAGAATGCCGCTGGGATGAAACTGGCATTCACGCCCACAGTGAGATTCAAGCCATGTCGAAATCGTGCCTACAAAGGCTTAATGTATAACAACGTCCCGTACCGCGCACCAGTACCCGATGCAACGCTACAATGACTCGACTGTCCCCTTCCGTGCAGCACTAGCTTCCGAGGCCAATAACGTTGAGTAACGTGCGAGAAATGGACGGTGGAAGACGAAGCAGGTGGTCCACAAGGGTACACAGAATGAGTGGCAGGTGCGTACTGTAGACTGTCCACCCTGCATATACAAGGGTAGCCTGTTGTCCCAAGGGTTCCGCAGCATACGCTACTTGAGCTTCGAAAACTAGGCGCTCTATTTATATAGCATCACCACTTTCTTCCACTGCTGTCATGGTATCTTTGATACCGACATCACTTGCAATTGAGGGAATGAGAATATGTTCGTCTTTATCCTAGATAGCAAGGGCACAGCGAACAACGTCAGAGTCTAGACCTGGTACTGATCCTTGTAAACTGCATCCGCACCATGATCATTCAAGAGCCAGGCTTCTCCACCACCAGACTGTCATTACCATGGTAAATCCCCCAGCGTGGCTAGATTCATACTTGGAGTCAAGGGAACATACTATTTTCACACAAAGATGTGACTGAAAACGCCGAATAATTAAACGAGACGAGTGTGTCAGCAGTTTGGTCAAGGTGGTAGGCACCAGGGTGTACTTTGAATCGCAAACGACCTGAGTTATGGTAAGGTGAAATCTGTAAGAGAAAAAGTCAGAATGCAAATAACCGCCATGCAGTATAGTTGTATGCCCCACCAGTGTGACACACCGGAGACACCAGTGCTAGCTGTTTGGAAAATACATTAGGGACTATGATAGCTCGAATCGTTTGTTATATTTCGTGCATTGGAATAGGGAGGCGCCAAGCTTTGGTCAGGTTCCATGGTCAGGCCACTTGGACGTCGCATCTAATATATACCATCGTAAAGCTCCAGGTCAGCGGATATGGCAGTGAAATGGCATTCGAAAGAGCAATATGCTGCTTGCGATAGCATTGAAGCGGCAGCACTGGTTTTCACCCACTCCAGCTCTCCAGCGAAGTTGTTACCCGAAAACGCACACAAGCTGCAGCAAGTCCAAACTAAGGCGGCGTTACCCATGAAGAAAGACTATAGCTCAAAGTAGACTTTCATCTAGACAGTCCCAAGCCATTGGTATCCCCTGAGATAACCATCGACGTATCGACGTCAAGGAACTCATGCGACAATGTCCTACGGGTGATGGCCACCTATCACTGGTGACGCGACCAAGGTATGGATGGACTGTTGTGACCCATAATGAACTGCTGATGGCTTTGTGACAAAGCACGAGCTCTTCGAACGAGACACCATAACATTCTTGGGTCAGTGAAGTTGTCATTGCGCCTTGGCTCTAATCATTCTACTGTGATTTCCCTCAGAAATCATGTAGATCGAACTTTGCAAATACGAAAGCATTATTCTGGCGAAAATACGCTTCGGAGAGGAAATATAGGCACGGAAATCCACCTTCCTCAATCTGAATTCTCCCTTTTTCATTTTTTTTTCCCACACCAAGGTTGGAAGACTTACCATGTTCAAGTCGATTAAATACTTCGTCAATAGCTGCGTAGCCTGGACTTCCTACTATTGAGTTGCCCATATTCCCCTCCAATCCGTTACCTTTCCAAGCTAATGATTTACCGGCAAGAGTGTGCCATATGTCCCGAAATTATCAAATACCAAACATATAACAGATACAAATGCCTGTGTATTGCGGTTGAACAATACATCGGCGTCCTGATAGTGGGCAAGTTTGAATTCTTCCAGCGATGGCTGGTTACTCCCGTGGAAACTGACACTCCACGCGAGGGGTGGAGTTCAGAGCGAGATAAACTGAAGCGGATCATTCCCTTACATATATGTTTGCTCCGAACAGAAAACATATTTGTGAAGGCCGCAGTAAGGGGCTTGGTCGGCATGATGCCTCTATGATATCTCATGCGCGCTCAACCATATTATTATCAGCCAAAACAATTCTTGGATGGTTAAACACTTGTGTTATCAATGCTGAAAATGCGCCATATCGTATATGCAACGAAGCCCGGGTATCTAACCGTGTCAAACAAAGACCGATGTTTAGCTAATCAGTGACTGCTTCCCCAAGGATTTGAAAATTCCTCCTCGTTCCCACTGCCATACAGCGGGCTAGTCCCGTCGTGAGTGTCGTTGGTGCCATTCGTCCACTGTCGAGATTCTTCGGCTCCTGGACTTTCACCATCGGGAGTTGGCTCGCCGACCTGAAAGATGTCTTCCTCTTCTTCCTCTTCTGCCTCTTCTAACAAGATTTGGGGATCGGATGTTGAAAGTATGGGAGCACCTAGAGGCCCATTCTTCTGCTCTTCCTCCTGTTCTTCTGCTGCAGGCCTGGGAATTGGTGCGGCACTTCCGGCGGACGGTGTGTTGATAATGGCGCTCTTTTTCTTCTTTTGTATGTCCTTGCCCTTGTCGAGCTTGTTGCTAAGGGTTTCCGTACTTGATGTTCTTGACTGCGTACGTGCAAGTGGGCGGCCATCAGGTGCGGCATTCCAGGCGCCCGACGGATTTTGAAATACGGATGAATGACCAATCCAGCGTTCTCTTGCTGGTATGTTTGCCGTGACGACGGGATACTGTGGTATGGTTAGTGACATGTGCTTGTTTCTGAAGGAATGAGCAGACTAACATTCCAGTCACCAAATTCTAGTTCTCGCGCCTTGTTGAAAAGATCCTCATCCTTGGCATCGATGTCTGTTTCGTCCGTATTGCCAGCGCTGAACTTTGGTTGGGAACCGCTGGGACCCCCGTTAGAGTTTAGTAATGGTGTATTTGCAGTCACTTCTCCACGAACTTCCTCTGGTCGTGGTATCCAGTACTTCGCTTCGCCTCCACGCTTATAACGCATGCCCTGCTCCATTCTTGCAAAGCGGGAGCTCGAATCCTCGTGGGCAATGACTTTTCCGCTGGAGTCAAAGACACGATAGTTGTACTTGTCACCCTGGAAAGTCTCTTTCGTATCCTCGATCAGGTCGACAATACCGAAGGCGTCACGTGCCGCATACTTGACGGGCATTCTTGCGGCCGATATCGTGTTGTCGGTGAAGTCACGGGCGGAAAAGGCATACCAATGCGCGACTGCAAAGATGGGCATTTCACAGCAAATCAAGGCGTCCTGTATGGCAGCTGCCAAGTTGTCTGATGAGTAGCCCTCAACGGTGTCCGGTATCGCGCCAAGCCAGACAAGAATGGACAGGAAGAAGCCTTGCCAGTATGAAGCAAAGATGATGAGCTTGATGCACAAGAACTTGGGGACTGGGCGAAACGGCAACAGATCATGGTGCATGCAAACCCAGAACAGTCCAAGCGAGTAAAGACTGACAGTGACGCTGATGTTGTATATGATGCCGCTCCAAAGGTAGCCCGAGGAGGCACCGATGTATCCCTCCTGGTAGACGCCAGTAGCTTTCATGATGATAGCCGCTAGACCCAGTACGGGCTTCAACCAAGCATACTGCAAGATGCCGCGTTTGATGGCAAGGAATGTGTAGGGATCGGAAATGTCGACTTTTGGTAGGACGTGGTTCAGCGGCCAGAGGTGGTCTACAGGAGCTCGGCCGTGTGTCATGATAATGAGTGCTCGCTCGCCGTGGAGATAGTTGATGAGGAGTTGAAAGAAGGTGTAGATGGTGAAGGCCTCGTATACATCTCTTATGGGGTCGAGAAACTGGGCGGCAGTCAAGGATATCATGCTAACCCATGATGATATGGAGTAGATGGGCACCATCAACAGGATGCGCACGACATATCGCTGGAGCAGGGGCTTTCGGTAGTTTTTGCTGCGAGGGGATCAACAGGGGGCGATAAGACTGGGTTAGGTTACGGGCTAGACGTACAGTTGAAGCCATACAGAGCTGCATTTGCCTGTCAGTATTCAGTTGTGTTGGTGTATCCTGTGCTCGCGTTGGTGCATCAAAACGAGGCCCACGCGCGGAGGATGTACCACTTACACGATGGAGAGCAAGGTGGCTGCCAGTGAGCAAACACCCGCGACAATTGTCGCGCTGACCTGGAATCGTCCTCCAGTTCCGCCGGCCATGTTTTCATTGACAGAACCCTTAGAAGGGCAGAGGTACGACGAGATGTGCGGTCTTGGAGGCGTGGCGCATGATGTTTTGGAACATAGCTAGGCAGCCAGAAATGGGGAGGGTTCGTGGTGACGACGTGTGGAGGAGGTGAGCAAGCTGCAGGTGCTTTAACACTTGGGACATGGAGCGGTTGGAAAGCTCCGTCATCTAGTCTACGGCTGGGCTAGACGCTGGGGGGCAGGTGGGCTGCCCTGTATAATCTGTTAGTTACACAGCAGACCAAGTCGAAGATCCAGTAACCACTTGTTCCAGAGGCCAGAAGATTGGAGCGTCGCGTCGCTACGGGTGACAAGGGGGGGGGGGGGGATCACCCTAACCTAACCGGTTAACCTGAGGGAAGCTGCAGAGCCAACGGACGCTAGACACTGTAGGTGAGCACAGCCAGACTCCCAGCAGGGGTAATACGCTAACCTTAGAGGGGCGCGTCATTGTTCTAAGACGAATTCGCCTGATTGACTGCAGCTCGCCCGTCGTTCATCTGCAGCTTGCTCATCTTTTATCCGAGTAGCTGCGGCAGGGTACGGAGTATTGCTGGGCGAAAGAGAAAACGAAGAAGCAGAATAAACCACACCACGCCCAACGAGGAGCGTGAATGGCAGCAACGCGAGCCCTCGCCATCTGAACCTAACGCACCATTGCCATTCGACATAGCTATGGACCGAAGCTCCAGGCTTTGCATAGTTGCAATTCTTGACCCGACGCGGCAGTAGTAGCGGCAGAGGTAGTCGTGGTAGCAGTGCCGTAGTGGTACGAGGCACGAGGCATTGGCGCGATTGGAAGGCGCCGACGAGCTCTTCGATCTTCGAGATACCGCAGCCATGGCTGCGGCCGACACTGGGCAAGATGAGAACCCGAGTACGCGATGGACCAACTTCAACCCTAGTTTCCTCGCCTTCATCATCGTCTGCGGCTTGCTGTATGTCGCCCGCCCCTACCTGACTGACCTTGACCACGGACTATCTGCTGATCATGAGCCCGGCCCAGCTCCATCTTCTTTCTCAACTATTTCAACAGGGTATTTGCATCCGCCGTATCCTACCTCATTCGCCTCTACACATGGCACAAACACAAGATATGGGTCGATATCCAAGCCTTGCAGGTCTCTCTACTTGCTGGTCGAATCTTCTTCACTGGGTTTCGCTACCACGGAAACAACGAGACCATTTTGATCCAAAATGGATACATCACCTGGTCTTACTGGCTATGGAGGGTTAGGGATGTCGATCTTGCCTTGCCTAAGCCCGAACACGATGCCGCAAACAAGGATACCGAGAATCCTGCAGAACCGAAAGACAAGTCTAGCAAGCTGCCGTGCCGTATCAATATCGCCATTTCCGGTCTAGAGTGGTTCATCTACAATCGCACCCCAGTCTACGACTCCCTTCTGGCAGGCATGACAGACGCCGTCAACCTGGACGAGCAGCATGCCGATGATTCAGACAAGGGGCATAATCATCCACGGCAGAGGTTGCAGAAGGCTTCGCAGAAGGTTGAGGAGCAGCTCAACAAGCTGGACTCTAAAGTCTCAGCCGACAAGAGGCGCTCGGAAACATCTGACGAAGAGAAACTTTCCGCTGATGCTCATCGTCTTGCCTCCGCTTTGGCCAACCAGGACGACGGGGCCTCCACGGGCGACAGTGAGATGCCCTTGATGTTGCAGCTTCTTCCAATTCATTTCGAATGTGACAAAGGTGCTGTAGTAATGGGTAATGAGAACACCAAGAGTATTCTCATCATCAAAACTAAGTCCTTTTCTGGCGAGATCGATGCGTCAGGATGTGAAACCCCCGACCCCTATAGGCAAACTTTCAAGATACGTCTCGAACATCCAGTGGTTGAGATGAAGGAAAATGAAAAATACCAGGAAGACCAACTGACTAGGGCCGTCAAAGACAAGCAGGCCGTTCTTGGCACTGGACCCGGTCGGTACCGTCCATTCTTTCGAAGGCACCGCCGGAGAGTGCTAGGCAAGTTACGCGATATGGTTCCCTACTGGAGATCATCCGTCGAATCATTCTCTGTGCACTCCAGACATGGCACAACACACGCAGAAAACCAGCTGCCTGGCTCAAATCACTGGCAAGGGCTTTCCAGGTATCTCAACGACGACGAGGAGAATGACAAACTGCGATGGTCGTCCATAGAGTATGCTGCTGTAAGCACAGTCATCGACAGCCCCGAAGCAGTCCTTACCATCTTCTGGGACGTCCCTGGTAAAGTAGTAAAGGGTCCTTCAAGTATGCTAGAAGCTGGGCATGAACGTGACAATATCAATGGCGCGGCACCTCCTGCCTGGGCGATCAATTTGACCCTCGGTGGCGGCGTTATTAACTACGGTCCTTGGGCAGACAGACATCGAGCTGAGCTGCAAAGAGTTTTTAATCCTTCCCTGAGCAAGGATGGGAAGGCAGCCACAAGACTTCAGATTGGCGCAGACCGTATCCCAACTCAGTTTAAACTCTATGTGGAAATCGATAAGGAAGTCACCCTGAGAATCCCAACCAGAGAGGATTCCAAAAATTGGAAATGGAAGAAAACGGCTGCGGATCTGCAGCAGCATCAAAAGCAGGAGCAGGGACGAGGCAAGAAAGATAACAAGGAGAAATCTGCGAGCGCTGCTGCTCAACAGCGTCCCTATGGGTGGCTTGACATCAAAGTTGCGGCAAATGCTACTATTTCCTACTCGATGGACATGTTAGCTAGCTCTTCAGGCTATCATAACACTTTGAACGTAAATCTCCCCTCGACTGAGATCTCGACAAGCGTCAACCACGGCACTCTATGGAAGTCAGGCGCTCAACGTATCTCGTGCGACATGTCTAATCCGCTCAAGTGGAACAGCTTGCGCAAATGGACCTTTGACGTTGCCGGCGACGATCTCGAGCTGTTCATACTCAGAGACCATATCTTTCTGCTTGTTGATCTTATTGATGACTGGGGAAGCGGTCCTCCCCAGGACTACCTCCTATTTGTCCCCTTTAAGTACTTCTTAAACATCCAATTCCGCAACCTCAAACTATATCTTAATGTCAACGATGTGAACATCGTTAACAATCCAACTGAAATGGAGGACAACACCTATCTAGTCCTATCCAGCCCGTTGCTGAAAGCGGATACATGTATATCTCTAGACTCATACCGTCCTAGCAAGAACGCGGTACCATTCAACATACAAGCAGATATGCTTGACCTTGCGTTGCACCTACCAACATGGAACACGCAAGCAACGTTTCTGACTTCGAAAGATGTCGGCCACCTAGAGAATCTGGCACTTGACGGCAAATACCACTACAACACAACGACATCGCCAGCCAATACCGATACTCTCGTTCTCAATGCCAGCGGTCAATCGCTTGTTGTCACGCTTCATGGCTTCATTATTCGGTACTTTTTACAGCTGAAAGACAATTACTTTGGTGACCATGTCCATTTTAAGACTCTGGATGAGTACCAAGAACTTCTGCGTCTCAAAACAACCAACCCAGACGCTGAAGCCGCAACCCGCCCGCCGCATAAAAAGTCTAACGACTTAGATGTCGTGCTGGGTATTCGATGCGACGACCCAAAGGTTCTTCTACCCGCCAACTTATACTCTGCAAAGCGCCACGTAACTATAGAAGGAGCTGGGCTGGCGGCTGATCTCCGCTTTACTAACTACTACATGGACCTTGACCTCAATCTGAGCCCCTTGAGTCTTGCTCTTGGCAATGATGAAGATGGTGCAGTCAGTCCAACGAGCACAACTTCGAGTACGCAGATGTACATTGACGGCCTTTCAATCTACGGTTCGCGCTTGTTCGGTTTACCCCCGACTGAGCCTACTTATATGTGCAACTGGGATTTATCCATTGGAGCCATCACAGGCGAATGCACGACAGAATTCTTGACAGTGCTTGCGAATGGTGGCAAGGCATTTGGCTTTTGTCTTGACGACGATGAGAACGCTCTTATACCGTACTCTTCCGTGGTCATGTATGATGTGACATTCTTACGCGTGTTTGTTCACTCCATTCAACTATGGTTACATGTGGATGACGCGGCGTTTCTGCTATCTACTGACCATATCGATGTGAATTATAATGATTGGGCTAGGTCACATTATTCCAAGCGAGCTAACGTCCAGGTTCCCAGCCTCCAAATTGCCTGCGTCAATTCCGAGTCCGCTGCGAGGCACAAATCGCGGCTTCATAGCGACGTGGAAACGGACGGGGTTCTGAAGACAAGTATCACATTCGGCATGATTGGAAGGAAATCCGATTTCACAGAGGCGAGAAAACTACAGCAAGCCTTGGTTCGCCGAGAAGACCAACGTACACGTCGTACAGAGTTCCTGCTGCTACCGCAATTTCTTGATTCCAATATCCCCGATGCCGTTGATGAGCCTGCTCAGAGCGTGCCTAGTATACCACAACCGGTTGTGCTTAATGATGAGCACGCCGAGAAAGAGACACTCTCCTCCTTAGGTTCTATTCGTCATGCTCAACGATCTTTGAACCGCAAGAGCTCATTTCTGTCATTCTCAACTATGAGTGATAAGGGCATGACACGGCCTGGATCAATCAATGTTTTGCAGCCCACGACAGATATGGGTCGAAAAGCTTCCAATTCTGGACAACATACTCGGAGCACACAGCCACTGTTCCAAGACTATTCTGCCTCTACCGGCCGGCGCTCACCTCTCAAGGACAAGCCTGCGGGCCATTTTGATCGAAAAGATATGGCACATAATATGGTCGCGTTCTCAAGCCAGTTCGTTGCTCCATATTTCCCACTTGAGAATGTTCGTCCAGAAACAAGGGAGGCCGCCTTCCAAAGCATAGAACAAGAGGCTGAGGAAGCTCCTGACCCGACACCTTTTGGGCTTGAAGACATAGATCCGGAGCATCTGGGTGAAGGCAAGGCCTACTCGAGTTTTCTCGTTGAGTTGCCCATAGGCGTAACTGCGTTTCTTAATCCGACTTCTTTGAAGCACATCGCTGCCTTGATTGGTGCACTGCAACCGACGGAACCCGACGACATTCTCGATGGCCTGCAAATTGAATCAATGTCAGACATCTTCGATGCTCAAAAACAGAAAAGCCTTGACGGTAGTATTAAAGATTTTGTAGTCCGGATTCCCCAAGCAAACCTGCGATTTCTAAATTGCTCTGATCTCGATTCGCCAGTTCCTTCACAAGATGCACAAGATCAGTACGATTTCTCCATCACAAAACTTGCCTTAGCTGCTCGTACGGAAGCACTTTCTTCCCAGCTGAGAATGAACAATGAAAAGGCCAGAAGTTCATTTCACCTTCGGCTTGAGTCCGCTGAAGTATCGGCCGCAGAACGATTCGCCAGTCTCAACGAAACTCATGCGGCAGTCAAAGCCAATATTGAGCGCGTCTCAGTCTCGATGGCTTCCAAAGATGTGACGTACATTGATGGCGATGTTGGCAGCTTCCGCACGACGTCGTCCTCGGATAAGATCGGATATCTGGCCGCGCTTATTCACAGAAGTAGCACACTTGGATCTGAGACGGCATCTATGTTTTCCGATGTCTCTTCAATAGGCGACCAGCGCATCAAGTACCTTGTGTATCGCTTGATGGTGGAAAGCAATAAAGTCGGAGACCCGTCTTTCATCGTCAGGCCCTCGGCAATTCTGAGAGCAGCGAACGAGCACTTGAGGACGTACGATTCATGGAAGCTTGCTTCAAGACTTCGCCAACTATGGACTGCGTCAAACATCAAAACCAGGGAGCAGCTACGACTGGATTGCTTGGCCTCCAATCTGACCTATCCCGATGATGCCAGACAAAAAGTGACAGCAGCCTTCCAGAAATGGAGAAATTGGGATCTGGATAACATCAACGGTTCGGAGCTCATGAACAATACTTTTGGGAAAGTTGTGTCAGCTGCGCAGTTGATGCTGGACAGAGCCCCTATGATGGCCGTTCTCCGCTTACAAGAGGGTGCGTTCGTGTTGGATCCTGGTCCTAAACAAAATCAGATCTATGTTGTGGACATCACCACAAGGCTAGTTTCCAAGTCGACGAAATTGGACGAGACTCAGAAGGCCACAGGTAGCGCCCAAGGTCTTCTGACCATTGTGAACACATATTGTGCACAGGCAGGTGTCAACCTCAACTGGGAGCTCGTTGAATTAGCTGAGGATATTCTACGTCTATACATCAAATCCGACACCCAAACAAAAATGCAAAGCACTGCACCTGTCGATAGGCCATCTTCACAACCCGGCAAGCCAAAGCAGCTCAGTTCAACCCATGTCGTATTTGGTCTTGGGCAAGGGTCAATATTCCTGGAAACGGTCAATCTCAAGTCTGATGTTCAGAGTAACGGCATGAAGATCTCGGTGCTAATGGCAAACCGGGATGGCTTCACAGATAACAACGCAATCCTTGCATGCGATACTGTCACAACGAAACTACGAAGCCATCAACAACATTTAGGTACTCTTCGTTTACACGGTCCGAGTGTCTTTGTCTCCCATGACCTGCAATTAGCAAACTTCACTTCGGTACACACAATAAAAGCGACTGCAAGCAGCGAGGATTTGAGACTGGTCGTCAAACAAGACCCAACAATGCTCTCAGAAGTGCTCGATACTGTTGTAAGAGACGAGCTTGCTCAACTGTACCAGATCAAACAGCAACTTCCCACAACCCCCGAATCTGCACCTCAAAAAAGCAAAATTTCAGAGCGCTTGTCCTCAGTCCACGTCAATCTAGCAATGTTTCTCAAGTCGTATACAATTACAATCCCGCTTTTGCGCTCCCTTACTTATACGATCCAAGGCGTTGTGGCAAGAGCCGCCATGGCGGCCAACTTTGGCAAGGAGATCATATTTGATTTTGACATCAAAGAGAATTCCCATAACATGCAGATAAGGGTTAACAACGAGCTTCGTAGCATCTCTGTGTTGCAAATCCCGCCCACAAATGGTCGCATAACGAGTCAGATGGGCCAAGAGGACCATTCGGTAACAGTGTTTGCTTCAGTGGAGCTCATACAGCTTGATGCGTCTGCAGTCTATAGCCTATTGAGTGCCCTCAATCGGCCTGAGGTATCCAATGCCATCAATGATTTGCAGCAACAGGGCAAAGTGCTACGACAGCACATCGGGGAGGTTTTCGGAGACACCCCTACCGCTCCAGATGTGCCTTTGATGACTTCTCCTAAGTCTGAGGCGAAGAGATTAGTCTATGTTGTTCATGCCACACTGGCTGGAATAGAAATCTTCGGTCATGCTCCAATCAAATCCGACAACGAGCCTATGGCTCACTTGTCATTCTGCCTCGCAAGCGTTCACTTCGAAGTGGCCAACAGACTTGATTCTCGTGGTCCAGTTCTTGAAAATCCTGAAATACATGTTAATCTCCGTCGAATTCTATTTGATGTTCAAAAAGGGGGCAGCGAGGAGACAATGAGGACCTGTGGCAACGTATCTTTCGGTGCTCTCGTCACTGCAACAACAAGGGAATTGGAGGATGGAACAGATCGCAGATCATTCGAGTTTCGAAGTGATGGCTTGCAGGTAAACCTCTCAGCAGACACAGTGTCTACTTTTGTGGATGTCCTGGGTTACATGGGTGACAAGATCAAAGACCTCGATTCTATGAGAGAGATTGAATACTTGCAGAAAAGGTTGCGACAGTCTCGACCTCGTATCACGATTAATGATCAAGAAGACAATGAGGACAGCAGCGATATCTTCGACTCATTCTTGGCATCTATATTTTACTCCTTCGAGATCACTAATATCCAGTTCTGCTGGCTTGTTACTCCTACAAGCGAGCCTGTTGGTGGCGAGGAAGATCTCGTGCTCTCCTTCCAAAGGATTGAATTTGCCACCCGGAAGAAAAATACAGCAAAGCTGACTATTGAAAACTTCCAGCTTCAGATGGTTCCTCCTGACCAAGACAAGATGCAGCAATCACACAACTCAGCACTTCTGCCAGAGGTCATCTTCAATGTGGCATTTGTGTCGACGCTTGATACACGTCGACTCGCGTTCCAAGCTGTCGGGAAGTCCTTAGATCTGCGTCTAACGTCAGGATTTATAGTGCCGGCAGCACACCTGGCTGATTCGATTGGTCTTTCAATAAAAAATGCACGACAAGCTTCTGCGAACTGGACTTCAATTGTTGTTACAGAAAAGCCTGCTGTGAAACCCCATGAGAAGCGTCAACGAACGATATTTGGGGGCAAAAGACTGGAATCATGCCTCGTGGATGCAGATTTCGCGGGTGCTGTGGTCAACCTGTCGAATAGAAAGCATAAAGGTGCCGATGGTCCTCTTCTGTCACGAGCGCATCGATCATCCATGGCTGGAAAATACGGCCAATTCACGGCTGATGACTCCGGAAGTAGCACAGTGCTTCGCTCGCCTGGCTTAGCATGGAAGATTGAGTACAGAGATGATGGTAAAGAAGACTCAGCTATTTATGGTGAAATCAAGGTCGATGCTTCCCGCAACATCCTTTACCCCACTGTTGTGCCACTGGTCATGGACATTACATCGAGCATCAAGGAAGTCGTGAGCGATCATGGTAAAGAACCCGCGTCTCCCTCCTCTGTGGTTAGTAAGACTGGCCACGCGTCGAAGCCGAAGCTACCCGAGGAAGATAGCATCCTCACGGCTGATCCGAGTGCGGTTCTGGGGCGGACGAAGCTCAACCTTGGACTGCGCATCTGCAAGCAAGAGTTCACACTCAGTTGTCAACCAATTGCCAGAGTGGCAGCTACTGCTTGCTTTGATGATATTTACATCACTGTCAACACTGTTCACTCTGTTGACCATGGCAACTTCTTTGCCATCTCCGGAACTTTCACAAATCTTCAGATGTCCGTTCAACATGTGTACTCTCGGGAACACACTGGTCGCTTCGAAGTTGATTCCGTTGTACTCTCTCTCATGAACAGCAAGCATGTCAGCGGCACCAGCGGTGTCTCGGCGATCCTCAAGGTCAGCCCGATGAAGGTTGATATAAATGCCAAGCAGCTTCAGGATTTCTTGTTGTTTCGCGAGATCTGGGTTCCTCGGGGAGTTAGACAAGCAACGGCAGCACCTGTTTCTACACCATCACCAGATGCGACGCAAAGCCATCTTGTGCAAAGATACCAGCAGGTGGCAGCGACAGCTGCATTTCCCTGGACCGCCACCATATCTATTGCTGCTTTGAACGTCAAAGTTGATCTTGGCCAGTCAATAGGAAAATCAACCTTCGACATCTCTGATTTCTGGATGTCATCGAAGAAGACGTCAGATTGGGAACAAAACTTATGTCTTGGTTTTGAAAATATCGGTGTCGATTGTGACGGGCGTCTCAGCGGATTCGTGGCATTGCAAGACTTCAGACTGCGGACATCAATAGAGTGGCCTGAACGTGAAGCGGCCTTGAACGAGACGCCGCGAGTTCAAGCATCAGTTAGCTTTAGTCAGTTCAGACTCAAGGCTGCTTTTGATTATCAAGTATTCCTCGTCGCTGACATCACCTCGATGGATTTCCTCATGTACAACGTGCGGCGACGTAGGGAAGGAAATGCTGACAGACTTGTGGCTGTTTTTGACGGCGAGGCAGTGCAAATCTTCGGCATTGCAACTTCGGCGGCGTCAGGTATTGCTCTATGGCAAGCTCTCCAGAAACTCATACAGGAGCGAAAATCTCAGTTCGAAAATTCGCTACGTGACATTGAGAAGTTTATGAAGCGAAAGTCGCTTGCAACCCAGCCAACTTTGGTCCAAACCAGTTCTACGAAGTCGACGAATGAGATTGCGGTGTCAAAGTCCCCAATCTCGCTTGACACTGACGTCGTTGTGACGCTGAAAGCTCTCAACCTCGGCATCTTTCCTGGTACCTTCTCGGACAAGCGTATCTTCAAACTCGAAGCTCTGAATGCACAAGCCCGATTCGCAGCTTCTATGCAACACCGCCGCATCCATAGCATCCTGGGACTCACACTCGGCCAGTTGCGCATAGGGTTAGCCGAAGTTCGGCGAGTGTCAGCGCCCAAGTCCATATCTGAGCTCACAGTCGAGGATGTGGTTGCTTCTGCCACAGGCTCACGGGGCGGTACGATTCTCAAAGTACCTAAAGTTGAAGCTATCATGCAGACGTGGCAGCTGCCCGAATCTCGAAGCATTGATTATATTTTTAAGTCTGCTTTCGAGGGTAAAGTAGAAGTCGGCTGGAACTACGCAAGAATTGGCTACATCCGCAACATGTGGGCGACACACTCAAAGACTTTGGCTCGAACATTAGGTCGTGAGCTACCCGAAGTAAGCGCGATCAAAGTTACTGGTGTTCCAGAGCCGTCGACTTCCGAAGACGGTAAGGCAGCAGACAAGAAAGGGCAGACAAAAATCACAGCCGAGGTCAACGTACCGCAGTCCAAGTACGAGTATGTCGCTCTTGAGCCACCTATTATTGAGACGCCACAACTTAGGGATATGGGTGAGGCAACGCCACCGCTGGAATGGATTGGACTGCACCGTGAGAGGCTGCCTAATCTGACGCATCAGATAGTCATTGTAACTCTATTGGAGCTCGCCGGTGAGGTGGAAGATGCATACGAGAGAATTTTGGGGTCCTCATGAGGTGCGTAGGAAGAAAAGGCGTGTTGATGGCGCAAGGCATCTATCAACAGGAGACAGGCAAGGGTTTATAAGAGGAACAAACATGAGTCATCCGGTATTGCATAGCGCGGCGTTCAATGGCGGCATTCGATGTTAGCAAGCTTCGGACTGCATGCATTTCCTTGGCCTTGAGCAACACTAGTAAATTAGATTAGTAATATGAGGTTAGTAATGGTATTATCTTCGGGAGAAATGATCAATTGACTTCGCGTCGCTGTGGTGTTCTGACTTGATTGTGATAACCAGTAAGACGCGTCTTCCGGCATGGCTGCCTGTTCGTGTTCCCGACACTACTGCGTGTAAGTGGGTGGCTTTGGTGCCCCAAAACTCACATGAGAATGAGCTGACAACTTCCATGTGGCCAACTCAGACTTCTCACGACACCGAATTGGGTTTTTCTAAGACACAACTACTGGTGCTCAAGTTCTTCTCAGTCCTCACGCAGAGTCATCTAGGCACAAGCAAAGTCGCTAATATATAAGTTTACCAACTTTCCTTCTTAGATTGCACAATCCGCAAGAGGTCAAACGCTTCATCCAGCTTACCCTCAGAGCGCAAAAGGCCCGGCGAGCTCACCATGGCTGAAAGATCACTACCGGCAGGCTACATTCTCGCCGAGGGCTTTCCCTCCGTAGAGGACTATGTCCACTTACGCACAGCGTCTGGCCTTACACCTAAAAATGCAGAACAAGCCAGCGCGGCGATTAGAGGCAGCTGGTACGGAGTGTACGCAGCCGAGGAGTCATCGCCCAGCAAAGCCGTTGCGATGGGCCGAATCATCGGGGACGGGGGTTGGTATTTCCTGATTGCGGACATGGCGACGCTGCCAGAGCATCAGCGAAAGGGTTTGGCGGACGCTATTTTGAAGAAACTAGTCGCGAGGGTCAAGAGTCATGCGGCAAAGGGTTTGGCGTATGTCACTTTAGGCGCGGACGTGCCAGGTCGGAGGCTGTACGAGAAGAACGGGTTCGAGGATACTATGCCTACGACAATGGGGATGAGCTTGTGCATCGCAGACGCTGGACAATAATCAGGAACCACTCAGAGGAGCCGCGCCCTACTCCGCCGTTTCGCATTGTTAGCATACGGCTTGCGTTAATCATTACTGCGCCGGTGTCTTTATTTAGTGGCCGATGAACCGAAGGCGCTATAGTATTCATAGAGCAGATGTCGGAACCGGAAGAGGGCGATGGAGCCTCGTGACGATTTCCAGATAGTCCGGCTCGTTGTCATCTGTAATGATGCCATGACGAACGAAAAAATCAATCATGACTGAAGCACAGTTTGTCTTGAACTCTTCTCGAAGGAGCGCCTCCTTCACTTCCTCTGTGCTCATGAGGTAGAAGGCTTCAACTTCGTCGTCGTGTGGTTTCGGAATCACATCTTTGGTAACTTCGAGATCGTAGCAAAAAAGTACGTCCGGGACACATAGGCCAAGCTCGCCGCCCGAGTCCGCTGCACTTTCAGCAACGTAGGTTATCACACCCACCGGTCTCGCGTGTTTGCGGACAAAGGACTCGGGAAGCGATGCTTCTTCGTCGGCCTCATGGACAATGCACTCAAACGGGGACTCTTCCGCCCTGACGCCGCCGGCAACAGTAGTATCGAGCTTGCCTGGCCATGTCACCATTTGTCTACTGCGGCGAGATACCCAAATCTTGAGCTCCCCCAACTCCGTACGGGTGTACAGAGTCATGTGTGCACCACGGCAGGAGATTCCGAACAAACCAGCCGCCGCTCGCAGTAGTTGGACCCTTCCTTTGTATCTAGCGCCCAGGATCTTATAGTCCTCCGGCCATACCTTGTTGAATTCCCGGAAGGTTTGAGCCTCCGTCGCTGCGTCTATAACTGTTCTAAATGCTGCGTTACAAACTTCGGCCGTGTCTGCGCCATTTGAGCTGTCAAGCAATTGGACCGTGCGTGGAATCGCGTGGCTTATGGAGAAATCTGATGTCCAAGGCATTCTTTGCACGACAGAGGGGAGCATGAACGCATGAGGTCGGGGATCGTTGGGGAGGAGGAGCCGGTATAGGGACTTGGAGGTTTCTTCGACATACGGAAGGCGCGCTATGTCGACAAGTGGGTAGTTGTCTGTCGCTTTGACGAGGTCCAGGAAGCTTTTTGTTGTAGACATGGTGGTATCTTGATTCGACGGCAGTGCTTGGGGGCTCTCTTGACTAAAGCTCAACTTTCCGTGTTCTTGCGCTTGAAGGTTGCTCATGGCGACTCATGCGCCGGGGATACTCTGTCAAGGTCTGAATCATAGATATCGGGGTTGTGAACCCGGGCGATTATGTATCGATTATCACTAGTCTAGCAAGTTGCGAAGTACGGGACAGGCACTTCCCCTTCTGAATTCAGTACCCCTCCATCAGAAGCTCTCGAGCTCTCATGGCCCCACCGACGCTATCAGAGCTACTGCAGAGACTCACCACAGTTGGAGGCGCCCCATCTTGAGCGCGCGAATACCAATAGAACATGGGGAGATGGTATTAAACAACAGCAACTGTCATTTGCATAGAGGTTGTGCGAACCAATCAATTCCAAATCGAGCAGTTTTAAACATGGAGGGTTCTCTTGTATGCAGTTTTCTCAAGAGCTTAAAATCCGTTAAACCCGGTTATACTCGAAGCAGGTGGGGCAAGGGGGTTTAGAAACGGTATTGAAACGGTATTGAAAATGGTACGACTCTGTCAGACTGTGTCAGTGGAAAGGGAGGAGTCATCAGCTGACATCATGATACGCTCTCGAGTAGAAAAGACGTGTTCTGGTGGCGGCTTGGAGTGTGAAGATCCATGGGCTACAGAGTGAATTTCACAGGTGATCTTGATCCTGACGAATTGGTGCGGGGCACAGCTTGGATCAGAACAGTCACTCGGCCAGATCAAAAAAAAATAAAAATAAAAACAAAGCTTAAAAAACAACACTACAAGCTCCCAAGCTCAGCTCGGTAGCTAAAAGTATAATAAGTATTCGATGCATGCATAGAAGGTTGCCCAGATACTAAAATAATAAATATTGGACTGCCCCAGCTTTTCCTTGTTGGTTACCAACGAGTTTCAATTTGAACTTGGGCAAGTCAAGTCACATTCATCACAGATACTGCTACTGTACCGTACCACCTACCACCGTACGGCGGCGAATTTGCCACCGCAATAAAACATTGCTTCCATCTGTGCAGAAGGAGGTGAGTATCCGAAACAGAATGATTTTTCCTCCGCTTTTTCCCTTTAAGTAGGTCTGGAGCCCTGGTGATTGGACCACCCAATGGTGATTCGAGGATTGAATGAGGGGTTATTCAGTTCAGACTGGGCATTTTGCTGCTTAGTGGGGCAGATTTCCAATCCAATCTTTTTTTGCAAGGCGGGCAAAGTGCAAAGCGCAAGTGGCAGCAAAGTGGGCAGAGTCGCCTGGGAAAGGGAAAAACAAAAGCGGTTCAGGTTCGGGTTCGGGTTTGCCCCGCATCAGATTTGCTGTGTCCAAGAAGATTTCTCTGCTCTGCTCCTGCTCACACCCCCAACCCGAAAATCCTCTCTTTCCCAACCTCACCAAGTCAAAAGGCTGGCCCGGTGTTCATAGTTGCTTGCGACTGTTGTCACCATTTTTAAAGCTCAAGCTCCTTTTGTCTTCTTGTTTCCATTCAGAGCTTCATTCACTGATCCTCTTCCTCGTCTATAGAGGCTGATCAGTAACCCCGCACCGCCGGGTCTATATTCGTCTCTTCGAACAAAAACAACACATAGGCAGGTTATTGTATCAATACCGCCAAAATGGTCAAGTAAGTCCCAAGTCAATCGCTTCGACTCGCCGGTCTCGTCATCGTAGCAACCAGCTGGGCAGTAGATCGTACGCCGCCCGCTGCTTGCCGCTGATATGGGACTGTCAAGAAGTGCCGCCCACGCATGCCGCCCACCACAGCGCTGTGCTAACACACGAAAAATAGCTTCACCATCGACGAGATCAGGTTGCTTATGGACAAGCCTACCAATGGTACGTTTTCGCATGCCCACTCCTGCGACCGCATTCCCCTGTTAACAATGGTCCCACTTCAGTCCGTAACATGTCCGTCATTGCCCACGTCGATCACGGCAAGTCTACCCTGACCGACTCCCTTCTCGCCAAGGCTGGTATCATCTCCAGCGCAAAGGCCGGTGATGCTCGTTCCATGGACACCCGTGCCGACGAGCAGGAGCGTGGTATTACCATCAAGTCGACCGCCATCTCCCTGTACGGTCAGCTCCCCTTCGAGGAGGATCTCAAGGACATCGTCAACCAGAAGACCGACGGTAACGGTTTCTTGATCAACTTGATCGATTCCCCCGGTCACGTTGATTTCTCATCTGAGGTCACTGCTGCCCTGCGTGTCACTGATGGTGCTCTCGTCGTCGTCGACACCGTTGAGGGTGTCTGTGTCCAGACCGAGACCGTCCTGCGTCAGGCTCTTGGTGAGCGCATCAAGCCCGTTGTTGTCATCAACAAGGTCGATCGTGCTCTCCTCGAGCTTCAGGTTTCCAAGGAGGACTTGTACCAGTCTTTCTCCCGTACCATCGAGTCCGTCAACGTCGTCATCTCCACGTACCTTGACAAGGCTCTTGGTGACCTCCAGGTCTACCCTGACAAGGGTACGATTGCTTTCGGTTCCGGTCTGCACGGTTGGGCTTTCACCATCCGTCAGTTCGCTACCCGTTACGCCAAGAAGTTCGGTGTCGACCGTAACAAGATGATGGAGCGTCTCTGGGGTGACAACTACTTCAACCCCCACACCAAGAAGTGGACCACCAAGAGCTCCCACGAGGGCAAGCAACTTGAGCGTGCCTTCAACCAGTTCATCTTGGACCCCATCTTCAAGATCTTCTCCTCTGTCATGAACTTCAAGAAGGAGGAGATTGCCACTCTTCTCAGCAAGCTTGACCTTAAGCTCACCGCTGAGGACCGTGACAAGGAGGGCAAGCAGCTCCTCAAGGCCGTCATGAAGACTTTCTTGCCCGCTGCTGACTGTCTCTTGGAGATGATGATTCTCCACCTTCCTTCTCCCGTCACTGCCCAGAGATACCGTGCTGAGATGTTGTACGAGGGTCCCGCTGATGACGAGGCCGCTATCGCCATCCGCGACTGCAACCCCAAGGGACCTCTTATGCTCTACGTCTCCAAGATGGTGCCCACCTCTGATAAGGGTCGTTTCTACGCTTTCGGTCGTGTCTTCTCTGGTACCGTCAAGTCTGGCCTCAAGGTCCGTATCCAGGGTCCCAACTACACCCCTGGCAAGAAGGAGGATCTCTTCATCAAGGCTATCCAGCGTACCGTCCTGATGATGGGTGGCAAGGTTGACCCCATTGATGACATGCCTGCTGGTAACATCGTCGGTCTCGTTGGTATTGACCAGTTCTTGCTCAAGTCTGGTACTCTTACCACCCTCGACACCGCCCACAACCTGAAGGTCATGAAGTTCTCCGTCTCTCCTGTCGTGCAGCGATCCGTCCAGGTCAAGAACGCTCAGGATCTGCCCAAGCTCGTCGAAGGTCTCAAGCGTCTCTCCAAGTCCGACCCTTGTGTCCTGACCATGTCCAACGAGTCTGGTGAGCACGTCGTTGCTGGTGCCGGTGAGTTGCACTTGGAGATTTGCTTGAAGGATCTCGAGGAGGACCACGCCGGTGTTCCCCTCATCATCTCCGACCCTGTCGTCCAGTACCGTGAGACCGTTGTTGGCAAGTCCAGCATCACTGCTCTGTCCAAGTCTCCCAACAAGCACAACCGTATCTACATGGTTGCCGAGCCCATCGATGAGGAGCTTGCCAAGACCATCGAGGACGGCAGAATCGGACCCCGAGACGATTTCAAGGCTCGTGCCCGTATCTTGGCCGACGACTTCGGCTGGGATGTCACCGATGCCCGAAAGATTTGGTGTTTCGGTCCCGATACCACTGGTGCCAACTTGCTTGTCGACCAGTCCAAGGCTGTCCAGTACCTCAACGAAATCAAGGATTCCGTTGTCTCCGGTTTCCAGTGGGCTTCCCGCGAGGGTCCCGTTGCCGAGGAGCCCATGCGTGCCGTTCGTTTCAACATCATGGATGTTACCCTGCACGCTGACGCCATCCACCGCGGTGGTGGCCAGATCATCCCTACTACCCGCCGTGTCCTGTACGCCGCAGCCCTGCTCGCCGACCCTGCTCTTATGGAGCCCGTCTTCTTGGTCGAGATCCAGGTTCCCGAGTCCGCCATGGGTGGTGTCTACGGTGTCCTCACCCGCCGAAGAGGTCACGTCTTCAACGAGGAGCAGCGTCCCGGTACTCCTCTCTTCACCATCAAGGCTTACCTGCCCGTCATGGAGTCTTTCGGTTTCAACGCCGATCTGCGCCAGGGTACATCCGGCCAGGCCTTCCCCCAGCTGGTGTTCGATCACTGGCAGCACTTGCCTGGTGGCTCGCCCCTCGACGAGAAGTCCAAGGTCGGTACCATCGTTACTGAGATGCGTAAGCGCAAGGGTCTCAAGGTTGATGTGCCCGATGTCAGCAACGTAAGTTCACATCTTAACTCTATTTTTAATGCCGCTTTACTTACTAAATTTACCAGTACTACGACAAGCTATAAACGTCTTACTGCTGTGCTGTTAGACTTTTGTCTCACGGCGTCCATTTTGGATGCCTTGGGGCGATTCCTCGCATTGACAGGCCCAGGACTTCTTACATAAATGCGAAGCCAAGGGTCACGAAGATGATGATGCGATAATGGATAAAGAAAAGCTATATGGAGGGCAGAAGCGTGAAGCTGTTTAGTAGCTATGATCCATCTGGTCTTACCTGTAGTTATGATGAAATTGAGACATGTTTAGACAAGTATGAGCTGGCTTTTCTGGTGACTGAGACGATAAGAGATGCTATGCATTGGGTGTCACTTGGCCACCATCAACCGTTGCCCAGAGAATTCCCGTTAAACAGGAGTAATTTCAACAAGTAGCATTTTCCCGTTAAACTCCTACATATAATGCGTTGGCAGTGATGATTTTTCGAAAGGGCCAGCTCCAGCTCATTTGTGCCTTCACAGCTGGCAGGGGAAAGGGCACCTGCCAGTAAAATTTACGTTAGTGACCTAATGACCAACTTCACAGGGAAAACAAGGTAACGACGCCGCTCGAAATTAGGGTTCAATGGATATATCTTTTAGATAGGGCGAAAGATGGAATCAGACTCAGAATGATTGCCTCTCATGAGTTTTCGTCGATCAAATTCACAGCCTATTGTATTAGGGTTGGGCATCAGCTCACACAGTCGGCCCCATGTCGCGGAACGAACATGAAAACGGGGACGAGCTTTGCGAGCCCCTCGCGCCATCAAAGATGAAACCAGCAATTTTGAGCCCATACAGTATGGTCCAGCTATCTCTGACACCAGCTACTGGTTATGGCATCTTCGCCACGAAAGACATTCCGAGGGGCACTCTAATCGCCGTCGAGGCACCTTTGGTTGAGATACCAGCCGGGACTGATGAGGAGTCCCCTGTTGCATTTTGCATCTCATTGCAGAAGTTGACGGAGGAAGATCTTGTCCGTCTTGACAACCTCAGTTGCGATCCGGCCACGTTGGATGTCGTCCGTAACGGGGATATAAGGAGGGAGATTCACAACTGGTATCAGGACAACATCGCCATGAAGAACCCGGAGCTGTTCAGCGAGCTTTACGACATCGTGGCGCTTGCCTGTCAGCGTTATTCGATATTCCTCACCAACAACCTTTCCATGGGTGTTAACAACGGCCGGGCTGTCTTCGATTTCTTCTGCCGCATGAATCACTCCTGTCGGCCCAGTATCTATGAGCACTACGACAAAGCGTCGAATCGTCTGAGCATCCGTACGCTCCACGATATCAAGACAGGAGAGGAGGTATATTCCACCTATATTGACGTTTTGATGCTCCGTAAGCGGAGGATCAGAAAGCTGAAGGCGTGGGGTTTCATTTGCCTGTGCTCTGCATGCTCGGACGATGCGATGGAGGCGTTGTGTGAGCGCTCTATCAAATTGGATGATATGTTGGAGGAGTTCTTCTTCTATCTAGATGACCCGTCGATCCAAACGACTGATGATGACTGGCCCGTTTTGAAAAGTGCAAAGGAAGCACTTGGAGCGGCTGAGGAACTTGCCAGTAACCTTGTTCGACAGGGATTGACTGGGGAGCATTTGTTTATTGCGTATGACAATCCCAATGAAAACGCGAACCCGGCCTGTGGCTAACGAAAGTGGTAGATATAAGTGTTGCTCGCAACTCTGTCACATGATCCTTGATACCGATAAAGCGCTGGATTATGCGCGGCTGGCCCGTGATGTTGAGATAAAATGTGTCGGGCCAGATGCCGAACTCTCAGATCTCCTAGAAGCATCGGAACACTGGATAATGAATCCTGACAGTAATAGAGGCGAGACATAGCCAGTGAAGAGCAACATGAGATTAGTAACGTGCTTGATATTACATACCTTCGCAGCGGCTTTTGGTATGTACAAAAGGAGCACGTTGTGTATAGACATCGACGAAACATCAGTCTTCCACGGTCTACCTGACAGCCATCCATTGAAGAAATCAAAATATGAGCGGGCTTCGATAAGGCAAAGTTGTCAAACATGATCTGGCTGCAGTGCTCTGTAGGTTTAAAATATTGAAACCGTGAAACGTCTGGCTTATTACACTCGACTGAGGGTCGTACAATTGAAAACAGCTCTGGAGCGAAAATCGCAGCAAAATCTTGTGATTTCGATCTCACATTCCTGAGGACAGTTTCCGTCAGTCTACGAGGCAGTGTAATTCTTGTTGCAAAGGCAGATGCCACTCACTTTACTACTTGAGGCACAAATCTTCTCCGCATGAAGCAAAGGATGTTTCAACCAGTAATGCAATCAGTATAGGCTTCAGGTAACACAACAGGGGATCGCTCCCAATAACAGCTCTGACCATGTACTTTGGACTCAATGCCAAGCAAGTTGAAGCAAGACTTTGAGACATCATTCAGTCGACGGTCCGGCCGTGATCAGCTTTGCAGAGGTGCAGAAACGAGAGGGAAGGGCCGATCCCACAAGTCTGATGTAAACACGGAGTTTTACGTTCCATAGTATATCTTTATTTCGAGAACGGTTCTTCGTGAAAATCATCATGAAGGAGAATGGAACGTTCTCCAATTCCGAAAACTAGTGGTGCACATTTGCGGCGCATGGTCTTTAACAACGCAGTGCGCTCACGAAGTATGCGTACAGCAACAGACAGACCCTCACCCAGCCACCAGAAAATGAATATGGCAACTCTGTTGTGGCTGCTGCTGGCAGTGGCAAGTTAAAGGGATTACTCTAGGCCGCCTGATCAGCGGCCATCAGGTGTAAGGTTTCTGAACTCTCTGGCAAAGGAGGTTTCAGTGGCCTCTGTTCTATCGAGGGACGACAAGAGATATGCGGACGTTGCTGGTTTGCATACCAATTTTTCATAAATGCTGTTCTGCGAAGCTTGAAGGCCCGTCGTCAGCTACCTTAGTCCTCCCTTTCATAAAATGGTGGTCCGTTGAGCAACAATTCCCGGGAGCGCCAACGTGTCAGTTTACATTGAGGCGGCTGAGCATGAGGTACACCCACAGTCCTTGACTAACTTTGATATAAGCTGCTGGGATACTGTTGATGACTGCTGGTCCACGGATATGACTATCTGCTGTCCGGGGAGTGGTTGGGATAACTTAAACGGACGGGCTTGGTTCCATGCGTACAGGCTGTGCCTAGCAACTTTTCCTTGCCCCTCAGCAATGATCAATGTAGTAGACCGCATCTCTCTGCGGGATTGCACCAGATGAATGTGGTCGCTGTTACGTTGCGGGGTGTAATCAATGAGGCATTTGCTTTCCTTTGTGGCCTGTCATACCAGGCTTCCGCTCTTCGACTACATTAGGTCTCTCCTAATGTTTCTGCACTTTTGTGGTGCGGGTTAATTCTGAGATGCAACGCTGCTCGAGTGCAGGTTCAAACGACTACCCTGCTATTCTCGGACGGAACTGGTGGAATGAGAGATTCTATGCCTGAGTACCTTGGGAAAGGGGCATTGAAGTTTGATGAGGTCATATTCCATTGATTGACAGCCTCAGCTCAAATATTAGCGCATCTACTGCTATGCTATTAGAGCTCTCCATAGTGCAAAATTACACTGAAAATAATTTGTCATTCTCGAGCACATGCTTCTGTTAATTTCGTCAGGGCATGGACTATGTACCTTGCTTGATTGAGGCCTGGTGGACTCATGCGACCATGAACTCAATGTCCGCCTGAACAGTATGTCAACAAGCGACTTCAAGAGTGATCAGGCACTGCAGAGTAGTTGGAGCTCGCCACACACCGTAAGGACTGGACTGAACAGGTGTCATCCCGATACCACTTGGCTTTGGCGGCTCTACGCACACAAAGGAGTTAGATAATTTATTTCTAACGATCGATTTCCGCTGTATAATTACTTATACTTAGACATGCATTGTTCAATCTTTGAAACAATTCGCAAAGATGCAGGCGGGGCCATGATTGTCCAAAGTGTATATCTTTGTCGTTGATATCTTGCTCATGCTTGTACTGATAGTCTTGATGTATGTGATATATCGAGTCATTTCATTGACACTGGGAAGGTCTCATGTTTTCGATGTCCCAGAGGATGTTGGTCATTTGATCCTCATGGCTCTGGACTTGCCGGCTATTGGACAGCTGAACAGGGAGGCACAATATGCGAGGCACAAGATGATCAGACTGCAGTGGAACGCGAAAGACACATTATAGTTCGTTGTGGAAGGAACTTATCGTGGAGATGCGGGACCGGAGCCAGAAATTCGGCCTCTTCAAACAGCTTGGGGGGCAGGGCTGGAAGAAGCGTAGGCCAATTCAAGCACTCTGCTGAACGTTGACACACGGGGGTTTTGATCGAATCATCCGTTACAGCCTAGTGTGATTACTACTCCTGATCATGCCTTTGATCGTCGGGGCGTGGTGTCGTACGTGCTAACAAACATGGGACAGTTCACTTGCAGAATAAACCGGGGTCATGGTTTAACATGGTAAATCAACGATAACCGCTGCTTAAAATTAGACAATACTGCGAGTGAGGGCGCTTAGAAGACCCAACGAAGAATATGTAGGTAAGTTTTACACCCACGACACGTCGGGGCAATATAGTCAACCCAATCTCATTCGGGGACAAAGTTACACAACATCCACACGCTCCTGAGGTGGGTATCTTCATCGGAACACCCAAGTAGACAACAAGTGCAAACCCACACATTTAGATGTTTGGGCTTGTTGCTTCCTAACATTGCCAGAAATCTCTTTTCTTGTTGAGATAATACTACGCTGGAAGTGCACCAAGCTTTTTGGTAGTTCTTCATATCGTCTAAATCAAGCGCAGCCAACCTGACCATATGCACAACGAATCCATTTCCGCTCCTCAACTACCTTGCCATGCAATAACTTCGTTCATCTAAACATTTCAGTGCCCATAACTAGTCACTCTGCTTCCTCACAAGTCTGTGTTCATTCCCAGACGGGGCTCCTTCCACCATATCGCCCTCAAGAACCGTGCCGATCCGCACAATAGGTAGGTCATATCTGTAGATTGGCGAGCGGAAGAACCACTTCCAAAGTCGGACGTGTTTACCCGTCGTGGTAACCATTGGAATTCACTTGCTCCAATTTCGGCGACTAGCCGGCAAAGCGGAATCGAGCTGTCTCCAGTTGGCCCAAGCCGTCACGAGGCGCTATGTATCTTCTGCGGTAAGTGTTTGTGAAGTCCTGGAGGATCGAGCGGATTTGTCTGATATCGCCGCTATCGTTCGTCTGTAGCTTTTCTCGGATCTTGATCATCACCCGCTGAACATCAACAGGCGTCACAGTTCCTGGAGGCAACATCTTGATGGTCTGTTCCACCCAAACTGTGGCTTCACCTGGCATGATCTCGAAGAGAGTGAGCAGCGCACCACTACCGTCCGCGAAACAGTCCCGAGGGAATGTTATCATCATGCCAGCTAGAACCCGTTGAACCAAAACATCGCCCTTCGCAGACAGCAGCTGTCTGACAATTTGTCGGAGTTGGTCGACTGCAGCGCCACCAAGATGCTCGGAGGACGACGGTGGATTTTTGCTGCCCCATGATAACAGGTCTCTGATGTAGTGGAGCGTCGCGGTCAAGGGATCACGCTGCTCCAGTCCAAGAACCGACAAAGCCGCCTCAAGGATTGGGGTAAAGAGGTGTGAGGGGATGAGCTTTTGAGGGTAGTACAAAAGGGTATCGATAAGGAGACGGAAGAAATCTTCTACCACATCAGGAAGCTCTTGTGGTGTAAGCTCGCTAATAAAGCGCAGCATGTTCGTCGCTTGTGCCTCAAAGAAGACATAGATTGAATCAGTGATGCTCTGATCCATGTGCTCGCGGTCATCCGAAAATTCGCGGAGAATTGCACCAGTGACCCATAGGAAGCAACCTTGCCTCGACGACTCAAATCCAGCGGCTAGCCTGTTTGCCATATCTGGCAAAATTGGTGTCATGGCTCCTCTGTGGCTAATGACCATGAAGCGCCAGCATCGGCAGACGCGCTCACAAATTGGCGAGAACCCAATGAAGCCGTCGAGGATTTTGGCCAAAATAGGGAATGCCTCCTTCCAGTACTTGACCACGGGATCTTCTTCGCCATGGTTTACAGGAGGCAATGTGACCACTTGTTGGACGAAGATCGAGATCAGTTGCAGATGGTCTGCTACGGCAAGCTTGCCCTCATCATCGGTGGCGTTGTTGGCCTTTGTCATCAACCTCTGCATAAGAGGATCGCAGTACAGTTTCAGAAGACTGTAGATTTCATCCTTGGGTTGAACACTGACGACACTGGCAACACCCTCCGTGATCTCTTCCTGGCTCGTATCGGGTAAGCTGTCAAGAATCTTGTCGTAAAACTGCTGCAGCTGAACCACTTGAGCACTCAGAAGGTGTCTACAATCTGTACAGAAGTACTTGATAGCCATGGCGGCAGCACGAACAACTTCCTTGGAATCGGTTTGGAAGGACGAGACGATGTAGTTGAACTGCGCCTCCAAGAATTCTGGGTGCGCTGCAGTCCACTCTGTGTACCGTCCTATAACCATGATAGTTGCGAACCGCAATTTCTCATGTGCTGGAATCTGAACGAGTAGAGGCATTAGTTGAGGCAGAACGATGTTCTCATCTTTGCCGACCATACGGCCCATGGCGCGCATGGAAAATAAGGGTGCCTCAAGCTCTTGCCAGTGCGGAACTGACGTAGCCGTTGCCTGGCCGGCATACTTCTGGGACCAGACCTTGATCGCATCGAGAACCTTGGTGAGGCACTCGGTAACTCCCATGACCTCACATGAGTCTTTGAGGGTATCACCCATGGCGTGCCTGAACTCACGGAACTTTTCCTCTGCCACAAGATCACCCTCAAAGAGATCTCGAGGGTGGAGGTCACGACCGTCTTCGGACTGAGGATACTGGAGGTGCTTCAGTAGGATATCCACCAGCTTAGAGTAGACATCCACGAGCTCCATTCTTGCTTCGATAAAGCGCTCCAGGACAATCAACTGCTTAAGCTCATACCAAAAGTCGAATGTGTACTCGATGACATCTCTGTCCTTGTCGCTAGAGGCACACTCCATAATGGCATCTACGAGGGGTCTAAAGGTGCTGGGCTCTCGTGCAATGGCCACGACCCAGGCGGTTCCGGCATCTGAAAGCACTCGAGTCAATGACTTGTATGCTTCGACATCCTCCTCCTCGACGACCTTTTGGATTTTCGGCTGCAGAGCGACAACTCGTGGCAGAAGCACCTGGATGGTGTTTATATTGTCGTCGACGTCCCTCGTCTCCCTAATCATGGTAGACAAACACTCGGCGGCCTCTTGGAAAGCCTGATCGCCTTCTACGGCGTTAAATACAACGTTCAGCAGAGGTGAGTTGACTACATCGTCAACGGGGACCTCTCGTAGCCAGGAGGTTATGCATTCGAGTAGTTGTGGATTCGTTGCCGCCGCAGCTGAAGACGAATGTCAGCGTCTGGCACAGTATAACAGTGGACAGTGGGCTTTGGAGGACTCACGGGATGACTGTGCGTAGTTGATCAAGAGTTGTATGACCTGTGGCGCATTGTCCGATAACAGCTCGGTAGTCCTCAGATTTAGTTCTTCTTCCTGTCATAACCAATTAGACCGTGATCCAAGGCTCGTTGTACCACCACGAGGCGCCGCCGACGGGTAGATAAGCATAAGACGTGTTGGTGTTTCGCGTTCCACATACACTAAGGGTGATTTTGCGACCTTCAGTCACCTCTTCAGGGAGGATTCGGAGGAAATCCAGAATAGCCGCATGGCTTTGGGGTTGGTCGCTCAAGGTTGAGACGACAAGCGGGAGAACATCCTTCCACTCTTTCATCTGGATAGCCAATATTGCCAGACACACGCAGAGCTGGACTCGAATGGGTTTGGGGCCAGGCGCATAGACCTTGAGGAGCTCCAACAGCTGGGTTCGAACTGCGACATGTTGTTCGGTGGGTATTTGTGTGGTGAGGTCGTATGTGATCTGAGAGGAAGGGTTAGATGCGACAGTTGCGCACATCGTTCGGCACCGAGAACCGGGGAGTATCGCTCACCTTGCCCCTGAGCGTCGTTGCTGCGAAGAGTTTGACATCGGCCTCGGCATCTGACTGCAACAACGAGAATGTAGTGGTCCAGGCACTTGTCTAGCAGAGCAGAGCAGAGCATCGAATCAGTACGGAAGGCAGCCTAACTGGGAGGGGATGATCTCTGGACCTACCGACTTCTGAAACTCCTCAAGGAACTTGTGCGCTTTCTTCTTTCGGTCTGCATCATTGCTGCGCATGGTGAGCATGGCCTCGAGTACTTGCTGCGGCGGAAAATCCGCTTGCGCGCCGTTTGAAGCCATGAGGTGCAGATGCTGCTGGTGGAATCAGAATGGTAAGTTGGTGTGCCGGGGGACAATGTGTATGCGCATGTGCGTGGGCAGTCGCATGCAGTGCAGGCCGTGGGAAGGTCAGGCTGCGGTTTGGTTTGGCCTTATTTTGGGGGGGTAACCCAGGCAAAGGGGGGAGGGGCGGCCTGAAGAACGTGAGGTTGATATAATGCTGCGGCGAGGACCAGAGTGAAGAGACTGGCTGTCAGGAAGGGAACAGAGAAAAGGAAAAAGGAAGAAGAAAAAAACCCTGAAACAAAACAAAGGACAGACGGCCAGGCCTTTCTGGTGGTAATGAGAGTATGTGGATATATTTCAGCTTGGTGGTTGACGGGCAGTGCAAGCGACCATCAAAGACCTCGAGGAATCATGTATGTAGTCTAGGTGAACGTTAGGTAGGTGTCAATAAAGTGACTTTGCGAAATTGTCAGGTCACAAATGGCCCGGCGTCATTGTCACAGCAGCAATGAATGAGTTTATGTGTGGGGGGACGGACCGACACACGTTTGATTGCCTGTTTGGCCGTGGCTTGGGCGGTGGTATGAGGGGTCTTTTTGTGGCTTGTTATCGGTTATCAATCGGTCTGTGGCACATTGAAACAGAGGCTGAGAGGTCAAGTCAAATCCGCCTGGCGCCCGGGCCTTTTGTTTGCTGGAGCTGGAGCTTGTAGCCGCGCCTCAGTGAGTGAAAGCGACAAGACAAGACGCAGCTGCCTCTGTTTTTTGGTGCCCGTATTTCACAGCCTTGCCTAGCCTAGAAAGCAGTCAAGACAACGACGAACCGATCCCACGCGTTTGACAGGCATCCCGAACCCTTTGCACACGTACAACACAGCAAAGAACTGTACAGGGTACCTCACAACCCCCCATCCCAAATACATAATGACTGGACGAGGAGGCGGTGGTGGCCGCAAGGTCCTCTTACCTCCCATCAACTTCATCTTCAAGCTGTTGCAGTCGCATGCCACCGTCAAGATCTGGCTCTATGAACAATTGGCCATAAGGATTGAGGGCAAGATCAGAGTACGTCCGCCCCCCAAGTTGCCCACAGCTCCCGCCGCCTCGCTAATATCTGTACTTGCCTGTCAGGGTTTCGATGAGTTCATGAACCTCGTAATCGACGATGCTGTGGAAGTCAAACAGATTACCAAGACAAACCCCGAGGAGAAGAGGAGGTCGCTCGGTATGTATCCCGATGGCATATCCCCCAAACACGCATGACGAGGCCGTGGCTGACTCTCGACAGGACAAATTCTGCTCAAGGGCGACAATGTTTCACTGATCCAGGAGGCAGTGTGAGCTTCCACCAATACGCGGCGTACAGGTAGTCTGGAGGGTCAATGGGTTTAATGGAATTTACGGATAATTGCGATGCCCCAGGAAAGCATCCAAAAACTGCGCTGTAGTCAACCGACTGCAATTTGCTCTACGGTCTATGCTGTACGGGACGATTGCTTGAACTCGCCATTGCCGAGGAACAGACCGTCAATGGGTTGGTCGTGCGGTCCAACAGGGACTGATTCCTCTGACGAGGCCGGCAGGAACTGTTCTCTCAGGGCTAGCGCATATAGCAGTATAGATGGGTGGCCATCCGAAGCCCTTTCCTCCTCAAGAGCCCGAAGTGCATATCGGTGCAGGTAATAGTCATAGAAACCCTTTCCGTGACCGAGTCTTCGAATCATCCCCGTTTCGGCATCTCTGTCAAAGGCAACTCCGGGCATTAGAATCAAATCCAGCGGAGCATCTTGTGCACTCTTTCCATCAAGCTCACCCACGCTCCGCTGTCTCTCGTTGACGGTGGCCGCATCGACACTGGGAATGCCCCATTTGTCGCGCTCAAGCGACTCGTAATCAGCCATATCTTTCAGACTCACCATATCCATCAGTCTGGCTGGCCCCTCACCGGAAGGCAGACCGGACTTGTGAAGATACGGGACGAAAACCTGCTTCCCTGCCGAAAGAGCGTGCCTGACAATGGGGTCGGTCTGGATTTCGCCATTTGGCATGGACAGATACACCGCAATTCTTTTTGCATTGACATACGGCTCAAACCGTGATAGTGAGCTGAAGACCTGGGAGCCTAGCTTTGCATTAGCTCTGCACGTCAGCGTTGCTTTTGACTATGTTTCAACTAATACCGACTTTGTGATGTGATGGAGTCGTGCGGTATGCTGGCCAATCTCTGCTTCATTAAGGAGCGGAGGCGGTTCTTTGCCGTGGTGAGCGTTGAGGAACTCATGTCGGTGTCGGCAGGCCCCTGCTGCATCGTCACAACCTCTTTGGAATACTTCACGATACCCCGCCAGATCCGGAAGTGTGAGATACAGATTATAGCCGAGCCGATAACTCCTTGAATGCTCCGTGCAAAGGCACGATTATGAATTTGAGCAGTGGCAGATATGACAAGGACCCGCCAGCCCGCCAACCCGCCAACCCGCCAGAGCCCAGGCAAAAGGCTAGGCTAGAGAGCTTTGAATGCAGCCAGCCCTGGCCAAGGAACCCAACTCTTTTCTGACCCGCCTTCGGTAAGAAATCTGCTACATCTGCGGCGCAATGCGACGGGAGCTGCCCTGCGCTTTAATTAGTCTTTCAATGGTCAGACGTACGGACTGTGAGAGCGTAGGTTACAGTATGCAGGTTGTCATGTACCCATCTTGCGGGATCAGTCGGCGACCTGCAGTCCATGCATCTGTGTCACAGCGTGCAGATGCATTAGGGTCCGAAATGCTCGAAGCCCAAGCTCAAGCACCAAAAGAGTGCCCAAGATGGATTTTTATCTAATCTATCTAGCCGACATCTTATCTATCGATCGATCATCGTGATGCGTTGCCAGGACTGGGTTCTCAAAATAACCCAAACTATTCTATGGCGCGATGTTGGTGTCGTTCCCGCAGCGCAACCCATGGCACAGCCCAGAGCACATCTAGCGCTTATCTAGAGTCAATTTAGTGCCTCCCTAGAACTGTTCTTCGCACGCACAGTCACCCGACCGCTGCAGCCGCCGCCAGGGTGAGCTAATCCCCTGATACTTTTAGAGTTCGGCGTGTCATGGACAGGCGACCCAAGCCGCTTCTTCGTTGTTCACAGCCATTAGATGCCCACGCGCGATACCCTGTAAAGTCATACCAAACGTAGCACATTTGGATAGCTGTCCGTCCGCCCGTATCTTGCCGTTTTGTCTCAAGTACCACGTGTGTATGTGGGAGACTTCTGTCCTGGAACTCCTCGCCTAATGACTAACATAGCGCCACTCACCGTATCACTGTGTCCCTAGGGCGCTGAATCACCCATCTCGTCGAGTCGTTTCCAGTTGTCTCCGCTTAGGTAGTGTCCATCTGTTTGGGTCATCCTGATTCTGGTTCTCCCTGCAGCCGCAGCCCCCCCCCTACCCTACTACCTTGTACCCTTATGACTCTCATGCCGAACCCGACTGTCATAAGCAATGACGATCCTCAACCACAAACCCCTGGCATTTCTAGCACCCACACTGGAAAGACCTTCCCCTTGCGATCCATAGGCTCAACCGAACGATCCACCGCGGTTGCCTGCCCCTCGTTGAATCATGCTACTTCTGCAGAGAATATCATAAGCCGTGACCCATCACCATCGCCAACCGAGCTCGGTATCGAGCTGTCCGAAGTCACGACCTCTGTCAGCTCCCATGGCCTTGGTGCGAGCTATTATGAACCTGACCAGACCTATATCGACCCCGACCTCGATTCGACAGCTGACACAGCTGAACAGCCCCATCCAATGTCGAAGGCGCCGCTGTTGTTAAGGTCCTCTCCCGGGTTTGGGACTGGGTCGTATGGAGCGGCACCAATAAATCCTATCGCGGAGGAAACCACAGGTAATAAAGATGGGGAATCTGACCCGTATGGTAGGTTTCCTCCCGGGCTGGAAGAGGTGCGCAACCGAAGGCGCAAGTCGCAAAGTACGAGCAGATCAGGGACCTTGGGCCGAGCAAGTACATCCTCACTGAGGATTCGAAGGCCATCTGAGGAGATCGGAGGCTCGACCGTTGTGGGAGGCCTTGAGGGCCGATTTGGAGTCACTGAAACAGCCGTCTTGAACGACACACTTTCCGATACAAAATCAGAATCGGGTGCCTCAGGCCCTTCAGATGGCGAGTCGGATGATGACAGTGCCAGCGAAGTGATCAACGAAGACGATCCGCCAGACAACTCGCCCTACGCACAAGTCAGAGCCTCGGTTGCGCCCACCGACAACTACACACTGTCTATAAGCACACCTCGTATGTGGATTCTATCGACTTTATTTGCGGTACTTGGATCTTCCACCAACTTGTTTTTCTCGTTACGATACCCTAGCGTTGCAATCACACCAGTTATAGCTTTATTGCTTGTACACCCTCTGGGTCTCGTCTGGGACCTTCTATTGAAACGGGATGACGACCCCGAGGAAGAATTCGTTGATGGCGTGCGAGTCACAGTGGCCGACGCAGCGTCTCCTACCCACTCTAATCTGCCTCCCCTACAGCAGAGAGGTCGAGCCCAGAGATTTCGCCTATGGCTCGCACAAGGAACGTGGAACGAAAAAGAGCATAGCTGCGTCTATGTCAGCAGCAATGTTTCGTTCGGGTTTGCATTCGCCACGGACGTGATTGTCGAGCAGACACAATTCTACAAACAGGACGCTCCAATAGTGTACCAGCTATTGCTGACACTCTCGACTCAGATTCTTGGTTATGCATTCGCTGGCCTCACCCGACGCTTTTTGGTACGCCCGAGTGGAATGATCTGGCCCGGAACCTTGATGTCGGCAGCTATGTTTGGAACCTTGCACAAAGAAGAGAACAAACCCGCAAATGGTTGGAGGATGAGTCGATGGAAGTTCTTCTACATCATCTTCTTCTCGTCGTTCATTTTCTACTTTATTCCCGGACTTCTGATGCCCGCGCTCAGCTACTTCAATGTGATCACCTGGTTTGCGCCAGACAATGTCGTCGTCGCAAACCTCTTTGGAGTCGTATCCGGTCTGGGTCTTTTCCCCCTGACTTTTGACTGGGCGCAAATAGCATATATTGGGTCGCCCCTGCTGACCCCATTCTGGGCAGCTATGAACGTCGTTGGCGGCTTGGTTATTGTCATGTGGATCATTGCCCCGATCGCATACTACACCAATTTGTTTTACTCGTCGTATATGCCCATACTGTCGGCATCCGTCTTCGACAATACTGGAGGTGTCTACGACGTCAGCAGGATTCTGACTTCAGATTTCGTCTTTAATAAGGAAGCATATTCCACCTACAGCAGGGTCTTCTTGCCGATAACTTACGTTCTCAGTTATGGACTGCAATTCGCTGGTCTCGCTTCGCTGCTTACGCACACCGCCTGCTGGCATGGAAAGGACATCTGGACGCAGTGGAGAAGATCCCTGAAAGAGGCGGAAGACGAAGGTAAACCATCATACCAGCCGCTGGGCACCGAGAACAACGGTCTTTCGCCAATTGCCAGGGATGATGGCGAGAGAGCGAGGTTGGGTATGAGGAGGTCGAACTCAAACTTCGATGACCTGCTGAGTCGAGAAGATGTCCATAACCGCCTGATGAAGCGTTACAAAGATGCACCGATATCTTGGTATTTGATGACAGCGATCACGATGACTGCCATCGGTATGTTTGTCGTCGAATAGTAAGTTGCGAATCTTTTTATAAACGTTTGAACCTTGACTAACATATACAAGCTATCCGATTCACCTACCCTGGTACGGTCTGCTCCTGGCGCTCGGAATCTGCTCAGTGCTCTTTATTCCTATTGGCATTGTTATGGCGGTCACGAATCAACACAGCAGTATCTATCTTATATGCCAGCTAATCGCCGGTGCCGCCTTTCCCGGGCGGCCGCTAGCAAACATGGTCTTCGTAACGTATGGCTACATATCCTCTGCGCAAGGTATCAAATTTGCTGCCGATCTGAAACTTGGACATTACATGAAAATCCCTCCGAGGATTCTCTTCAAGGTACAAATGGCCGCTACGATCATCTCTTCGCTCACACAGATTGGCGTCCTCAACTGGATGTTTGCAAATGTCCCTGGTCTATGCACGCCACAAGCGATTAATGGTTTCACATGCCCCATCGCCAGGGTGCATTTCAATGGCTCGATTCTTTGGGGGGTTGTTGGACCAGCCGAATTCTTCGGACCTGGCGCAACATATCGACCACTGGTTTGGTGCTTTTTGATTGGAGCAATTGCTCCTATACCGTTATGGCTATATGCTCGAGGCAAGAGAAATAGCATTGTACGCAAAATCAACCTGCCTGTCCTCTTTGGATCTCTTAGCTGGATTCCACCAGCTACAGGTCTGAACTTCTCGGTTTGGGCATTAGTGTGCTACATTTTCAATTACGTGATCAAGAACCGGGCAGGCGCCTGGTGGGCAAAGTACACAATGACATTGAGCGCTGCGCTCGACTCCGGTCTTGCGGTCGGTATAGTCACTGTATTTTTCGGCTTTATCTTCCCTGGCTGGATGGAGGGTTTCAGTTGGTGGGGTACTGAGATTTACAAGCAAGGCTGCGACTGGCAAGCCTGTGCGTATAACACTGTAGCGAACGGCACACATTTTGGTCCTGATAAGTGGTAAAGGCCACTTGCCTGCGCGAGGTATCGGACCCAACGGATTGTACACGCGTTAATCGTCTCTCAATCAGATGGTGGCTTCCGTTGCTGTTTGCTTGGTGACTGCGCATGAAAGACAGCTGTTGTCTCTGGACGAGATTGCGCTGAGAAAGGCTATTAACAGGAACGACTCATGGGCAAAGTATTGAGATGAATTATGGAATTGGCATGCGGGACTCGGCTAGGGAGTGTCACGCACGGCTCATTGGAATTTTGCATAGAGATGGAGTCATGGGATAATTGATTGTCCCGAACATAGTACAGCAGTCTTTTGTTAGGCATATTCAGCGATGCTTCTTGGTTTGGAAATAGCATTGTGGCTATAAGTGACTCATCGTCTTGCGCTGCACCATTGTGGGTGCATTCATGTTTACAACGCACACGCTGAAGAGTCATCAGGTACTGAAGTATAGGGACGGTGCAATGACTGACTCCTCAAGTACTGACGTTAAATTATGAGCAGCCACTGCTACAAGTCTTTTTGGAACTTCTGATGTCGAAAGAGTCACAGTGGAGCTTACTCGAATCCTACGACTTCCTATGTAGAACTAGTGCGACTGCAGTCAGGGATTCTCTGCATCCTGGGCTGGCCAGGGTCCACAGCCGCCAAACGCCAAACGTACTACGCATGCTCAACACCATTGCTCGTCTTTATCCGTAGTACTGTGAAGATCGTGTATCAATGCTCTACTGCGTCTGCCGTCAGCCAGAGTAGAACGTTTTGCCAACAATTACATATTGTGGATCCTGTAGATATTCGAACTACAGATTCTTGTAACAATAAATCTATAAAGACTGAGGAACCTTCACTCCCAAACTGGGGCATTTTCTTGGTAATATCAGCATCAAAACCATCAACAACTTAGCTCAACCCCCGCAAAGCATCACCAGAGAACAAGGAGTTCTAACCGCATCCCATCGCATTTTGATGAAATATAAAACAATAATAAAGTCCTGCATACCACTTCTCATAAAGCCGAATATACGTAGTTTCGAGTAACCAACGAAAGAAATCACACCGAATCACAGCAGGCATCGCAATCATGGCAAGCACGAACTCGTACAACCACCTCCCCACCTACCTCCCCTCATCCACCTACCCGCTCCTGCTGCGCACCCTTGAGCCCGAGGACAACGCCGCCTTCGCCGCCATACTCTCGGACCCGCGCAACACGGACATGGAGTCCGCCGAGGTCAAACAGGCCAAGCCCATGGAGCTCTCGACGGCGACCTCGGCGATCGCGCGGATGCGCGACAGCGCCGCCCAGGCCACCGTCGTCTCCGCGCCTTCTTCTGATGGTGGTGATGCGAGGGGCAAGGTTCTGCGGGGCCCCGGGCGCGTGAACCTCGTCATCGTGTACCTCGGCCAGGAGGGCACGGAGGAGGGCGACGAGCTGAGGAAGAAGGGCGGGCTGGTGATCGGCATCGGCGGGTTCGGGGGCATCAAAGATCTGTCGCACGGCACGGGTGAGGAAGAGGGGGTTGTCAGGGCCGGGGATGTGGGGGCCATGATCAATACTGAGTATCGCGGACGTGGGTTCGCGAAGGAATCCGTGAGACTGGCGATGGAGTGGGGGTTTAAGAGTGCAGCAGGAGGGGGTTTGCAGCTGGACAAGATCACGGCGACTACATTGAAGAACAACGTTGCGATGGTCAAGGTCCTTGACAAGTTCGGATGGAAGGGTCAGGACAAGACGAATGAGGACGGACTAGAAGAGCTAGATTATGAGATGACCTGGCAGGAGTGGGAGAATAAATAGGGGGCTTGCCGGCCCAGTACATTCTATGAGCGACTCCCATGATTTTCCAGTGACGATTGAACATCCACAATTAAAGCCTATTTACCGGTCTGGAGGTATCGTATGTGTTCCTTTTTAACATCACATTTCAAGTTTATCTCAACATTGGTTGCTAGAGATCATGGCTCCCATATGAGCACAATTATGGAATCTACGTCACTTGGCCCTTCTTGGGTGTGCACCGTGTCACCGGGCAATCGATCGTCTTCATCTCCATAGCTTACAGTGCTTCCTCGGCGCTTGATGTAAGCTTGCCAGACTTCCCCCTTGTCCGTCATATGTGCATCCAGCAGCCTCCAGGTCTGTTTAACGCCCACCCAGCTGACAACCTTCCTCTCGTCCTTACCTTCTACTGGATCGATGATGAGACGTGTGGCGATTTGCACGTTCCGACCCTTTTCCTTGCTCTGCTGTGTCACAAGCCGCGAGCTTTCCTTTAAAGGAACTATTTCAACTCCATCTGGGTAATGCGAGATCGTATGCCCATTGACCAGGATCCATGAGTCTTTGAACCAGAAGCGCTGAAGAAGACAGTTCTCTCCGCAAACGCTGGCGATCATGTGGGCTTTCCATGGCTCAAAGCGGTGCCGGTGTTTGTAATGATGTAGAGCAAGTGGTTGCACACCGCCCTCAAACCCAGTACGAAGGCCGGCATAGTCATCTTCGGGTACGTAGAAGGAAGGCAATACGTGAAGACTATCGTCCGTATGCTGAGAGACGCATTTGTACAGATGCTCGTCCCAATATGTATCTTCGCGGGCTTTGAGTTCACCATGGTGTTCACCATCTTCTCTGAGACAGGGTAGTTGCGCGAGTTTGTCCGCCATCGGAATAGTAACGAAAACAGCGCCTCCACCATAAGTCATGGTTATGTTATCTTCGGTGGTCCAGTCGGCGCGCTCGCTGGGGATACTGAGATAGACTTGCGGTTTCCTGGCGAACTTCTCCAGCTTGCCTATTAGCTTCCCAAGGGATGGGAAGAAGACATCATCGTCCACCAGGGCGAGGAACTGTTTCCCATGACCCTCCTTTGACACTTCATCATTGCGACGAGACAGCATGTGCATGAGCTCGATGTACCGCGTTGTGACGTCCGAGTTATCATTGGCAGCTAGCACCGTAGCGTCAATGCCCGTCTCCCTCAACCTTGCATCTATCAGTCCCACTTCTGCATTGCTGGCTCGATGCAGCGTGAGAACCAGGCTGGCGCCGTTAGTGCGCCCCTTACCGTCAGTGAGCCATCTTGCCCAATCGTGAATCATAGAGTCGTTCGAATACCTAAGTCGACTGTAGGACGTTGAAATCCCGAAGATGAGCGGTGAAGCGTCTACCTGGTCCGGGGTCATGGATTGGCTGAGTAAGAGCTGCACAGTCTTCTCGGCGTGCAATTCGAGGGCTTCGTCCCCGGGTCTGACCCGCTGAAAGTCGTGCGGCATGAATTTCATACCAGAATCCGTCATACTACTCCTTGAGGGCGATTTATATGCTGCCCGGATTCTCCTGGAAAACCACGGAACCTCTTTCGTCAGCCCATATCGGTCTGCCAAATCCTTTAGATATAGCACTTCGTCCGTGTATGAAGGACCTTTGGAAGTTTCATTTAACCATGTCCCTACTGTTTTTCCATCGGTATAGTCGTAAATGCTTGGCGCTCGTTGTGGTGGCCGGTAGAACCGCACTGTGGATAAGAGTATACAAAATACCACCAACGAAGTTAGAAAGTGTAGCCAGCGAACCCTTCCGGAGAAATAAACCGGCCGGAACATTGCGACCGCCAAGGCCTGGAAAGAACGAATGGACGACAGGCTGTTTTCGACAATAATTATTGTGATGATGTGGAGATAATAAAACCCAACAGTTTCGATCCGAATCGAGCGAGAAACGAGCGGCAGTGCATGAGGGATCAAATCGGGCTGCTTCACATGCACTGGGTAAAGGCTGCGACGGACGGACAACAGGATTGTTTGCTAATGGATCATAAGATGTGCCCTGAAAGTATATTCCCTCACGCGATGCGCGTTTCTTGATCAAGGGGCTTGTTCGCGGCCGATGAACTACTGGGGCGGGCCAAATCGATGCACAGAGGACCGCATGGTGAAATACGATAGAAGGGAAAATGTTGACGACATTGATGGAAGAAAAGATGTAGTCTGAGATGAAGCGAAGAAGAGTTAGATGTATTGCGGCGCACCAATCCACACCTACCGAATAAAGCAAGCAGATAACGGGTTTCCGGCGATAATGCAATCTGAGTTCGTTTAAAGGGTTCTTCGAAGCAATTGCATGCAGACTGGCGGCACAGACCTTTAACCGGACTCATTTCAGACATGCTCTATCCAGATGTATTCAGGAACCCTGTAAACTTTCCCTTGCAATACGTTGCTTTTCTCCGCACCACTTGCGTGACGCAATCAATCAAGACCAGGATACTCCGCACGCAAGATAAACTGCTCGGGAAATAGACTCTGCCTTAATTGCTTTTAAGGGCCGCCCTGCTGCTGAGTTCCTGGCAGTTTCTGGACATAGAAAATGGAGTTTCTGCAGGTCCAACTTACCATATCGAGCGTGTTATATCTACTACCACAGATGCTCCCCTCCTGCTTAGCACTGTATATCGCTGCAAGGCTGAGAGTTTCTTGGTTAAAGGAAACATCTTTGGTTCTGGCACTCACTGTTAGAATTAACCATCCAGAAGCCAAACTTTTGTAGCAAATGGAAATCACTTGCGATTTTTGCTTTCCGTTAGCCTATAAAGTAGCTGATCAAGATATAGGGAATTTGTCGTTGCTCTTATGATTTCTTGCGGCTAGTACTGTTTACAGTAACATCTCGGTCAATATATGTTACGTGTCATCAGGTCAAATATAGCAGTACTTTCCCCAGTCTACTGGAACACAACGGCTCTTTGGAAGGTGTCTCCAGTGATGGCCTCAGAGACCTTCCCCGGCCCTTGGTCCTATCCGAAATTTTGGAGCCTCTCGCCCCAACCTCATCTCGTCTGTCTTTGACGTCAAATCCCTTAAATCATGAAAATACACTTGTTTCTTACTCTTAGCATGCAGTCGAGCGTTTTACTTGAAGTATGCCACTAGTCCATGCCATTGCTTCCATAAGAATCAGTCGTGACTTCCTATTTCATGTTATATCACTCGGGACCTAGTGCTTTCCCTGAAGAGTTATTGATTGCACTCGACTAAGAGCCTGGATCGTACATGGATACATTTACATCCTCTTGGCCCATGCACATGACTTCGTTCCGTCACACTCTTGCTTCCTTGGTTTAAACTTGGTCGACGATTTTGGCATCCAACTCTCCTCACACAGCCATACGTTCCCTTATGATGACGACTACAATTTTCCCTAGAGAAACAGGACCTCCAGCACTTCCTGAAATGGAACTTGGTCAAACGTCGTTGGTCGCTGGCAACAAGACATCTGCAAACGCCCAGCCTGGACTCCAAAAACCGGGAGCACAACACCGTATTCTATCCCGGGAAGAGTGGGTACAGTTCTGCCATGGCATCGGTGTGCTGAAAGGCGACGAGAGCACAAAAGTTATCCGTCCCACCTCTTGGTAACTATCTTCATCTGCACGTCATGCGTTACGACTTCAGCTGACCCTGGAGTGTTTAGGTTCTGGCCTCCCAAGGGGCTCCCCAATGGCCTGTACCTAGACATACTTTGGGAAAAGTCCAAGTTCACGTATTGGTTTCATATTCTCGCTTCCATTAGATGGACGTTGATGATCTTGCAACTCTCGCTCAATGCCGTGCTCACTGCTCTCGGTTCCACTTCGACCAAGGACGGAGTCGTAATCACAACCATCGCCGGAGTCAATACACTCTTCGCTGGGATCCTTGCACTACTACACAATTCAGGGCTGCCCGATCGATACCGTTCGAACCGGAACGAATTTGCCAAGGTTGAGGAGTATCTCAAGGAGATTGTTGATACCAGACTAGTTCTCGCAGAGGACTCAATAGTCGAAGTGATGGCCGCCTGCTTCGACAGATTCGCAGCCGCCAGACTGTCGGTGCAGAACAACGTTCCGCAGTCGTATGTACCAGCTACCTCGACATCGCCGTCGAGAGTGGTCATCTCGAAGCCTATCGTCACTGACAAACACTAAACGCCATGGGGCTATTTCGAATTACCCCATAGTTCATTCTGTTTGTTCTATTTAATGCTGAAGGGGTTCAAGATTATCGATTTACAACACTAGCTAATGTCGCTGTCTTACACTCTCGGTATTTTTGAGCATTCTGGGAGTTGTGTTGTTTTAATGCCGATTAGCATGGGCGGCAATAAGTCGGGTAGTCTACGTCGACTAAGTACAAACTACGCTCAAGTCATACAAATGTTCCAACACGCTGTCTCTGGTCCTGAGATGGTCCACAGCAGGGCCCCTTGACTGCGTGTCAAGTTTCTAAGTATGAGATAGGCCGTTTATCTAACCTAGTCTAGCTCAATGCGTACACTCAGTGAGGGTATAAAGTGTTGGCTTTAATGGTTGGTAAGGTGGGGGTTTGACATGCTGTAGTTAGATGTATTAATACTTTCACGAAAGCAAACCCGCTTGGTTTACCAGTTTCTCTTGGTGTTCTGCCTTCGTTCAAGTATTTCCTTGCTCATTCATCAGGTAGACATGCCTACCATTGTTAACAAGCGCCCAGCTAAGCTAAGGATTTCGAGAGTTATTTCAAACTAGGTACCTATCTTTTATGGGCTGCATAGTAGTCACGCTCTGTAGGTTTCCCCAAGTGTAGACGCATTTCGAAAATTGATAAGGATGACGAAGCGGGTTACGACTTATGCTCGTGGATTGATGAACCCTCATGCTATGTGAGATGTTATGTACTAAGTTCGTATTAGCGCTCAGGAGTTCAACCAGACGCTGAATTATAGGGATTAGCCAGCGCTAAACAGCCCACGCCGGATGTCCTGACCGCCCGGCAGAACCACTATTTTTTTCTCTGGACTTGCGCAAAGAGCTCTCTAAGAGCAAACAGGATACCCTATAAACCGTATAATTCGACCAAGGCCCCAATGGTATGCGCAGCGCTCCTGCAGATCACACTGAATGATTTTCACGAGCTCACATACGCTGCGCTATGTCACAAGTAAACATCTGAACCGCGCATTTACCAAGACTCACCTATCGCAAGTCATTCGCACCATGGCTTCGAAGAAGAAGACACAGGATACGCCGTCAGTCAACACACGAAGGGTGACGGTGAACGGGGAAGAGTTCCTAGAAGTGAAGGAAGGTCTAGGTCGTATCCTGAACCCGTACTCAGCGCCGAAAGACTCCAAAGATGCCGTGAGCGAAGAGGAGCAGCAGAAGGTCTTTTACAATCCTATCCAACAATTCAACCGTGATTTGACCGTCCTCGCTATCAAATCTTATGGACAAGAGGTGATCGCGAGACGGCGCGCCGCCTCCGAGAGAAAGGTCAATAACAAGAAGAGGAAACGAGAGGGTACGGAAGATGGTAAACCTCAAAAGGAGGCAACCTCATCAGTCGGGACAGATGCGACTGTACCACCGGTCGAGGTGATAACTGCGACAACAGACGAATCTGGTGATCCTATGGATATAACAGAGCCGCCGAAGGAACAACGAATCAATGGAACGAGCCAGGTAGAGCAAGGTGCCGGCGTTGCTCAAACCGACAACTTGGAAGCTCAGGCCGCCACTAAGGAGCAAACTGAGGGCGCCCCGAAACACAGAAATTTGCAGCCCCCGAAGTTCACCATTCTGGATGCCCTCTCTGCGACGGGGCTACGAGCTTTGCGTTATTCCCAAGAATTGCCATTTGTAACCTCAGTAACAGCAAATGATCTGACACCATCGGCGGTTGAGGCCATCAAGCGTAACGTGGAACATAACGGTGTCGGGTCCAAGGTCAAGGTAAACCAGGGTGACGCTAGGGCACACATGTACTCTCTGATAGCGGAAGACCTTGCAAGAGAGCACGAGAAGAACCCTCGGGGCTTTAAGAAGAGCCCGAATGCACCATCAGGAAAATACGATGTCATTGACCTGGATCCCTATGGAACGGCGGCCACTTTCTTCGACGGGGCAGTCAACGCTGTGCGCGATGACGGGGGCCTGCTCTGTGTCACCTGCACTGACTCTGGTGTCTGGGCCTCGAATGGATATCCAGAAAAGGCGTATGCGCTCTATGGTGGCGTTACCGTGAAAGGCTTCTACTCGCACGAGGTAGGCCTCCGTCTGGTGCTACATGGACTAGCAAGTACTGCCGCACGCCAAGGTCTTACCATTGAACCCCTCCTCAGCTTGTCTATCGATTACTACCTGAGGATTTTTGTTCGCGTGAAGAAATCACCCGCCTCGGTCAAGTTCCTGGCTGGGAAAACGATGTCTGTATACAGCTGCGATCAAGGTTGTGGTTCTTGGGAGACGCAATTGCTGCTACGCAACAAGAAAGTCACCAACAGCAAGGGCAAGGGTGTGTTTTACAAACATGGCTATGCTCAAGCGCCCACCACGGACAGCACTTGCAAGCATTGTGGTAGCAAAACGCACCTCGCTGGTCCCATGTACGCCGGTCCTATTCACTCCGCTGAATTTATAGAACGCATCTTGGCAGATCTACCAAATGTGTCAAAGGATGTGTATGGCACCACACCCAGAATCGAGGGCATGCTGCATACAGCGCTTGAAGAGTTATCATTGCCGGCTCCAGAAGATCCTTCTGAAGCCTGCAAAGAAGACGAACTCGCTGCCATTGAGCCATACCCATTCTTTTTCCACCCTACAATTCTTGCAGGCGCCGTTCACTGCTCCTGTCCGGATGAGGAGAGCTTCCGTGGTGCGCTTCGTGGACTAGGATATGAGAGCACACGAAGTCATTGCAAGCCAGGAAGTATCAAAACTAATGCTCCTTGGTCGGTCATCTGGCACATAATGAGGGAATGGGTTCGCCAAAAGGCCCCTGTGAAGAAGGAAAATATCAAGGAGGGTAGCGCAGCGTACAAACTGCTGAGGCTCGACCAAGAGAATACCGAAGAAAAAGAGGGGAAAACAAGTCAAGACGAAGTTGACAAGCTGGAGGTGGTTTTTAACCAGGCTCTGGGGAAAGACAAATTGAAGAAAAAGATTGTCAGATATCAACAAAATCCCAAAGAGAATTGGGGTCCCATGAGCAGAGCCGGGCATTAGCAAGGGTCAATAAACTTCCGATGAAATAAGAAAAACACATTCAAACAATCTAACATTCATGTCTTGTGCATCTAATCTACCTTGTGACAAACATGAGATGAGATAATTTAATCACTTTGGCTTGTGTTCTCCAAAATGCGAGAGCATCTCGAGCACCCTCCCCGCACTTGGGTGCTTAGATTATCTGGATGACAGACTGTCGACTCCTGGCGCATTGACAACAATCCTGTATTTGCTATAGTCCGGTGTTTGCTTGAAATTGTATCGCCTTTGGAAAATGACAGCACAGTCTTGCCCACTTGACTCTGCTTCCCAAGCCTCCGTCCCCCGACCTTCATGTGACTTAAGTGGGTCCGCGAATAAGCACGCCTTTGCATTCTTACAAATGTGCATGTGCAGGTCAGCTCTCTTCACAAATCCATCAAGGTTTAGTTGAGACGCGGACTAAACACCAAACACTCTTTGAGTCTCGTCAAATCGATTCTGTTTTTAGCGATTCCCATGGCGACGGCACCAGGCGCATTAGTCGCCGCTGAGAAAGCAGCAGCACCACCTGTGCAAGGCGGGGACTTCGAGATAAACGAGGTAGTCTATGTTCGCAAACATGTCACATCAGAGAATTGGTATGAGGTTTTGAGTCTTCAAGAGACCGTAAACGAAAGTGGCAGTTCCTTCAATCTACTCCACCATAGGGTCCCTGAAGCTTCTGGTCAATATGCAAAGGATGTTTTCGATGAGTTGCTTATCACGACTATCCCGGAATACCTGCGCAATGCCCCCAGTAGGAAAGTACACGTCGTTGTCTCAACAGGTTCTGGCACCGGCCTTGCTCTGGACTTCTATCAATATGCGCTTAAGCCACTTCTCAAATCATTGGGGCTTTCATCGGAGGATACTGAACTCGGTTCAAACCAAGATGCATATGCCTTAACAATCACGCAAGACTCTCACAGTATTCGAAGGTTTGCACGGGATCTTAGCATATCTTCCAATGGTCTAAATGATAAAATCCTGCAACACACAATTATACTTCTGAGTGGCGATGGTGGGACGATAGAGCTGCTCAATGGGAAGGCGCCTGGCGACACGATCGATGATTTGGATGTGTCGCAGCCCTTAATAGCAACATTACCACTGGGCACAGGCAATGCTCTATTCCACTCATTGCACAAGCCCCTTTATCCCGACTCGGATGAGACGAACGGCCCAACGCCACTTGTACTCGGATTACGTACACTTCTACGTGGGCGGCCAAAGCCTTTGCCTTCCTTTGAAGTCAACTTCTCGCCGGGCTCCCGCACCATCACGTACAGCAAACTAGACGATAACAACACGAACGTTCCGCCAGACAGTAATGATAATTTCAAGGAACAATTTGACACGATTTCACACCTGCACGGCGCGATTGTCGCATCTTATGGGTTTCACTCCCAGCTGGTCTGGGAAAGCGATACTCCTGAATACCGCAAACATGGAAGCAATCGTTTCCAGATGGTGGCGGCAGAGTTGCTAAAGGAAAACCATGAGTACAATGCTAGCGTCGAAATAGTTTCTCGAGATGGGTCTACGCAGAGCCAACTGGACAGGGAGAAACACGCATATATCCTCGCGACTCTAGTTTCAAATTTAGAAAAGACGTTCACGATATCTCCGGCTAGTCGTCCACTCGATGGTCAACTGAGGCTGGTACATTTTGGGCCTGTTCCAGCTAAGAAAGTAATGGATATTATGATACAAGCTTACAACAATGGGAAACACGTGGACATGGAGTGGGAGGGGACCAAAGGAGAGACTGAGAAAGTCGGATATGTGGACGTCCAGGATGTGAAGGTGACGACTCATGAAAAGGATGCGCGCTGGAGGAAAGTTTGCATTGATGGCACTATCGTCGAAATACCAGAGGGCGGCTCGATGGCAGTGACAACAGAAACGAAGCATCATTTACAGGTTTTGGCTCCATGGCTATAAAAGTCTAGAATATATTCATTTCGACGCTTAGATACCGTATGCACTATTCATCATGGTTGCCAATCTCTAATTTCAAGCTTTATTTGGGCTCCCACTTTCTCCAATCTCGCTCTCAATAGATTTTGTACTACTCATTACGAATGAAGAGCATTTATAAATATTCTCTGAAGAACCATCCTTGCTTCATATGAAGCTACTGGATATCATTAATAATTTTCCCGTGCTATATAAATTCTGGTGGATTATAGAGTGTATGTGTTTTTAGGTAGCGAAACTACTTGTTATACTTGTGATAGAACCCGGAACACACGGAGTCGAACGCAGCAGGCATTGCGGTAATAGTCAATAAACCAAGACTTCGACATATGGCTTTTCCTCAAGGCAAGGGACTCACAGGGCAGCTATAATGAACAATAATATATTTTACCTAGCGCAACAGTATCCAGCATGGCCTCCCGAGACTGTATCCAAGTGAAAGCATGCGTGATGCTCTACGATACCACCCTGGCTCACGAGAGCTTAGGGTCAAAGTACAGGAAACTCATGCGCACGACGGCAAGACTACAAAACCACTGTCGAGATCTTCGACAACCATTGAGCACAGATACCGTGAGACTGAGTTGTTTGCTAGGAACTTGTCGCGCAGTAGTGGGAAGTCGACTTGGTCTGAGTTGAGGTATGTCTGTTTTCTATACATGGGCGGTTCATTTGAGGTAAAAGGTATGGCCTTGCGCCCGAGGTGGCACGTTTAACACGTAATCATGAGAAAGGTTGTTTAGTATGGTACCTTGGCACGCACTAGCCATGAGATTTGGCGCAGACACCTCAAGCCTGGCTAATACCGGCACAACCTGAATCACGCGGATGATCCTGTACCTTGCTATGGCATCAATAAAGAATGCACACAAGAGTTTACGCAGTCCCCGACTTGTAGTCCATCGGCCACCCATTATCGAGATACGATATAAATCCCGAAGAGTTGCTGAAATCAAATAAGTGATCCGCTAGTATTGACAATAAACTCTCGCTTCTTTTGTTAGCCGTTCCGTATCATCCCACTATCATAATATAATGAACAAGTATGTGGCCCTTCCATATTTTAAACTATGATGACTAAGTATTTAGACTAGCCATCTACCTAATACAGCGATCTCCCGAAGGTTACGCGGTTGTGCTGTGCCTTGTGACAATTGGAGTTAACTTGGCTATCGAGGCTCGAATGGGCAATGTCACACGGAATTGGTACGTGACAACCCTGGTTTCGGAGCATCACCATTTTACAGGCCAGTCTATGCAGTGCCATCTATCAACTCTCACCAGTCGAAACTGGAGAATATTTATGCATACATGAAAGCCGTCGCTATACCCCGTTCACGTATGTGTGGGCTTGGCTCCACCGGCATCCGCTCTCTTGGCTAAACCCGCTTCCATCTCCACAGACCCGCCTTGAGATGCCCCAGATTCACCGTTGAAGGGCCGAATGCACTACCACCGAGCCGAAGCCGCCGAAGCAGATATACCCGTCAAGTCTACTTTCAAAAGTCGTGCCTTCCTCCCTTTTGATGTCTTATTCTGCCAAGTCTAGCTGCCGGTCATGGAAATGTTCCGAGGTTTCAAACCTGTTCATAATAGTTGATATACTATACTCAACCTGGCTACGAGAAGTCTCGCAAGTCACATTATTGTCCTTTCCTCGGATCATTCCTTCTTATTAAATTTCTCATTCAGTTGGGTCCAACGTAAAAGTTTTCACACAATCAAAGAGATTCCCCCCCCCCCCCCCCCCCCCAAAACCACAAGAACGCATGTTGCCTTTTTATTTTGGGGTTTTTTTTTTTAAAAATTCTTTTTTATTACCTAGGGGAAAAAAAATTTAGGCACCCTTTATCTGTCTACAGACGATCTCTGGAAAACTTGAGTCAATGCCAACGATCTATCCACTCTGATGCTACGGAATAATATAGGCAACAAAGCTAAGACGACACATTATTCCAGGTGTCACCTTAAATATTCTCTCAAAAGGTCATCAGGTGACCTTGGCACGCCAAAATTGAACACCAACGACACGCATCACTTTATTCAAAAACACCAAGGACCAAAGGCTCAAAACATCGGCTTGCTCCAATGGGCTGATTGGAGCTTCCGTTTTCCACGATTACAAGTGCGGGTTGTCTTCGGATTGCAGGAACTACTGGACAGAGACACGACCTCCTGCTGAGTTACTCTGGTCATGATTCGTTTTCGAGCTTTAGCGTCATGGTTGTCCATGGCTAATGAAACACTGAGACAACGGTATGTCAGCCAAGCTTCAGAACACTTGGTGTACATCTTGCTGTTCCTTCGATACGATAGTACAACAAAGCTATGAATTTACTCGGAAAGACTGGTCTGGAACGAAGGCAACACGACTTTGGCATAAGATGTGATCACATTACGGGCTCGAAAACACTAAAGTTCACAACGAATATCTGATTAATTAGGTAATGGTCACTCGGCTCGCCGAAATGTACAGGTATCATGCTAGAAACACATCTCATATCCAGCATCTACATTAAATGGTGTATCACCATACCGTCTAATGTTTGCATATTGAAGCAGTCTTGCAAAGACGGCTTCAGGGGTATCTCGGAATCGAATGTGGCTTAGACCTTGTCGTCGCCGATATGAGCCTCGGTAGTGCTGGCGATAGGTTTCTCAGCATGAACGTGATTCATCTTGGCAGCGAAGGTCTCTGTAGGCTTCCACGCAGCAGACTTTCGGGGAGAAACTTCGTTCATCAATTGATCGGCCCTATTGTCAGAAATCTGATTAGCATATTTCTTCCATGATAACCAAATTAGATACGCTGACGCGGTAGACTTACTGTTCCAAGCTAAGTCCCTTGAGTTCAGGAACAAGGAAGTAGGCAAAGGTGACCGAGAGACAGCAAAGCGATCCCCACAGGAAGAACACCTTAGGTCCAAGAGCAGCCTTGTCTTCACCGACGAGGTAGGGAGTGATAACTAAGAACGAATAGTTAGTATCTACATCGACACCAGGGACCTCTAACTCCTTTCTTTTTTATAGACTTACCAGCAATAATAGTGTTCCAGAACCAGTTCGAGGCTGTGGAAACGCCAACACCACGGGATCTAATGGGCAGAGGGAAGATCTCTCCGACAATGACCCAGGCGGTAGGACCCCACGTGACGGCGAAGAAAGAGATGTTGATGCAGATAAACGCAATCATGGCACTAACGGCAGAGGTGTTGTTTGCCTCCTGGCGGCCGACAGTGACGCCCAGGGCACCGACGATGAACTGAGAGATAATCATACCAGTACCACCGCCAATGAGCAAGGCACGACGACCAAGCCTTTCAATCAGGAAGAAAGCGATAGGAGTTGACAAGCAGTTGACGAGGGTGGTAATCATGGAAATCAAGAAGACATCCTTGATCGTTCCCAGCTGCTTAAAGAACACAGGGCCGAAATAAAAAATGAAGTTGATACCGGTAAGCTGCTGCATCATCTGCATACCGGTACCAAGAATAGTACGACGGATGGGGCTGTTACCACGGGATAACGATCCCTTGAAGCAAGCCAACCAAGAGCCGACATAACTTGTCTGGGGAATGACGGAAAGCTCGTACTCGTTGTTTGCGACGATTTCAGCAAGCTCATCTTTGATAAAATCGGAGTCCTCGGGTTGGCCACGAACATAAGCGAGAGCTTTGGCGGCCTTCTCAAGCTGGCCCCTCTTGACAAAATAACGAGGCGATTCTGGGAGGATGAACAGACCGATGCCCAAAATTATGGCCCAGAGGAACTGAACACCGATAGGAATACGATAAGAACCACTGTCGGGGCGGCCCTGAGTGGCGTAGACGACGCAGTTGGCAATCAGGATACCAATGGTGATGCAGAATTGGTAACCAGAGACCATGGCTCCACGGACCTTCTTGGGAGCAATCTCGGACATGTAGAGAATAACAACAGCCGAGATGAAACCAACACCGGCACCGGCAATAAGACGACCGATGACGAAGAGAGCCTCCTGGCTGGTAGAAGCAATCTGCATAATGCAGCCGACCGTGAAAACGAAGCAACCGGCAATGATAGTGGGGCGACGACCAATGAAGTCTGCAATATCACCACCAATCAGAGCGCCAAAAAAGGTACCGCAAGAAAGCATCGAAGTGAACAAGGATTGTTGGGACGTGGGGAGGACAAAAGCTGAGGCATCGACACCGATGGGAGATGAAGTGGCATAGTCGTATGGGATGCCGGTGTAGAGCGAGATGAAGTAGGGCATGGCCATGACACCACTCATCCAACCTGACGAAACTCTGTTAGCATTTCGACGTAATTACTAGACCAGTATCAGAATCCTGCGCGCGATTCTGAGGACTTACCAGTATCATAACCGAAGAAGATACCACCAAAGGCAGCAAAGGCGCAGATAAGGTAAGCCTTTACGGTCACAGGGGCTTCGACCCGACCGACGTCGGTCGTGCCCTCAAGAACGACACCTCCAGCCATGTTGACTGAGCTTCCTGCTCCGTGTTGATATTGTTCGAAGGGATGATTGATTACCGGACCACTCTCTAACCTAGCAGGCGGGATGGGTACGCACTCAAGAGGATATCAGACAGAGGGAAAGAGAGTGCATGTAAAAAGACGTGGGAAGGTCTCAATATTTAAATTGAGACAATGGCCAGGGTATGTTGAGGTTTTGGGCTAGGTCAGCCCGGACGACTCCGCAGAGGGTCAGAAAGAAAAGAACGTGAATGTGTCTCTCCGCCGTTACACGCAGCCATAACATTCACTTCACCCAGCTTCGCGGTCGAGGTGGAAATGCGGCCTAGAAGTCTGTCTACTCTGCCATCTAAGCCTAAAACGACTTTTTGCAGATGCGCTATACAGAGCATATGTCTGTTCATTGGACGAGTATCATTGGACCGAAGCATGTGCGTGCAGGGATCAGAAGGCCCGTATCCAGTTCTTGGGGGGAAAGACTTTATTGGCCTCCTGCTTCATTTCACCGAGTCTCACTGGGAAGCCTGACCCACTAAATCCTGCCAAAACCAACCCTACCCCGTGGCCATGAAACCTGGAGATTTGGGGGATCTGGAGTTGGTCCGATGGAGAATCTGGAGATATTGGTGGAATTAGCCTCTGGAACGATTCCATGGATCTAGCTGCTAGAGTTACTCGCAGGTACCTGCGACCATATTTTGACTATCGAGAGCACATGCGATGAGACTCACTTGGCGGAGCAAGCATTCTTTACATTTAGCAATTCTCTTTTTTCTCGAAACAGAAGCAAGTCTTTCAACACACAGCCCGCAATTGTGTTGACATTCATGACGCCAAATCAGTGGCCAATAAGGTTTCTCAGCTCAACCTGGCACTTTTGCTAAAGCATCCCATGCAAGTCATCTATTTCAACAAAATTGCTGCGAGCTGGGAAATTGAGTTCTCATCCCAGACAACTTAGAACATTTCCAGAGTAGGTTAGATTGCAGACCAGAAAAGAAAACTATCCTTCCCATCGAGTTGCAACAACTGGTGGCTGCCATTTTGCGAGCCGCCAGGATTCTTTTCCTCCGACCACCCATCGCCAAGCTGCAGTCGCTACTTAGCGCCGCAGACATATCGAACGGCGCCACATCGCAGAGGATCGCATGGATTGTGTGTTGCCCCGAGAGTACTGTCTCGCATTTGGCTTCTTGATACGTGCTTACCGTAATGTGCGGTTCGAGAGCTCGTAGCGACGTGAAGAGGACTCACTCGGGAACACCATCAGCTGATCCGGGTTCGAGCCTCTGGGGTTCCTGCTTAATTTTCACTCCCAGGTGGTGTTTTTTGAACACGCGACGTTACTTTGGCTCTGACTAGACAAATGCCAAGCTTTAACGACCGTGGTCACCCCACAGAAGGGCCGAGTATGAACGCGGGGAACATCACAGGAATAGGTCCTTGATCCGTTGATGCTAACCTGAACTCCGTTGTGGCTTTGAGTTAGCCGCGGATAGTCCCTTGTATTCTTCAATACGGACCCGTACCTCATTGACATTTAAATTCCAGCCATGGTTCATATTACACGTAAGCCACAAAAACTGTTTCACTATCTCACTATAGTAACCGACTCGCTGCAGCATCAGCACCCGGCTCTCTGATGCCCGATGGTCGGATACCAAGTTCGTGATCTAGTCTAGTCTAGAACATTGCCTTCTGATCCATGCGCTCTCGATCCCCTTGATGACTTGGCTGCATTTGCGGACATTGGCCCGAGCGGTTTCAAGTGTCACTTTTGTTAATTCAATATCCCCAGACTCGCTACAGGCGAGATACCCACTTAAGCCCACGAGGACAACCCAAAACTTTCACGAAGCCACAGTAATGGATGGAGTTTGTGATCACGAGCCGACAACGCTATATTCGGCCAGATCCGTTGGACATGACTGTGAGCAGAAGCCTTGAATATGGCGAGAATCATGGATGATTGGACCTGTCAGCCAAAGGCACCCACCCAACCATGCTGGTTTCTCCTTGAAGGCTATTCCATGCGTACATGATCAATAGAATGTACGACCGCACGATGCTTCGTCCTAAGCACTTTTCGGTTATGAAGTTTCAACCGACATCCGAATGTGCTCTTCCAAGGATGCAAGAAACCGGTCCTTCTTTAGCCAGTCTGGCATCCTTTTGAGATCCTGAACTAATCAGACTCGCTTAACCGCTTGAGAAGTTTTCGGCAACGAACTGAGCAAAACGAGTATCTATGATGCGGACTGGATCATCCAAGGGTGGCATATTTTCATGTCCATCCAATTATGCTTGATTAGTTGTGGACCATCGGGGGTGTCGGGGCCTCAACAAGCCACTAGAGCCCCGCGAAACCCATTTTCTCCAACCTGGAGACGGGCCGATTAGAAGATGTCTAGACAAGGCTAAAATTCTGAACTCACGTCTTTATTGAATGGTTTCGAGATGAAGCCGAGCTGGTGGCTCAATAGCAAGCTGACAGTCACCGTTTTTGCATCCAATAGTTACTCAAATTTTCTCGTCAGATGGCAATCCCAATCCTTCCGCATGTCTGTCTGTCTGTCTGTCTGTCTGTCTGTCTGTCTGTCTGTCTGTCTGTCTGTCTGTCTGTCTGTCTGTCTGTCTGTCTGTCTGTCTGTCTGTCTGTCTGTCTGTCCGAGAGGGTTGTATTCCGTGACGCAATGCCCTCCTTCGATATACCCTTGGCTACTAACACCTTGACAAACACTTCATCTTCAATCCCTTCGTTGGCCCTCAGAATTTATAGTAGTAGCACATGATTATGCTGCATCTGCAAGAAATAACTGTTTTACTTAAGCTTCCGATGTCGATCGACCAGTTAGACCGTCAGATGACTTCACTCGGTGCACACATTTCCCCCGCAATTTTCCGCTTGAGGTTCCAAAACAAACAATTCCCTGCCCGCACCCATGGTCTTGGGATTCTGAGCAACAGTTGTGTGTGTAATGAGTACCGCCGACTTGGCAACCTCTCATTGCTCACCATGCTAGGTGCGCATAAGCCACGAGGTACTGGTGTGACCCGCCTGTTTTACTGCGATGGTGCATAAAGCAACATAGTTCCGATGTCCTGGAACCGAGCATTCGGGTCAAGGTTGGTTTAGCTTCAGAGCCGCGTGACTATTCTTGAAAATGTCATGGTATCATGGTGTTTCAGAGGATACCATTTCATTCTCTGAATCCACATAGGTTTTTTTTCTTTCGTTTTTTGCTAACCATCGTGTTTCATTTCGGAGTACACCCCTTCCAGCTCTTATTGTGGCACCTGTCGTATTTTCATTGCCTAACGTTTTGCGCTGTTCAATCTTATCCCTTGGAACCTCCGGCACCAACTCTGAATACGGTCAGAGTTCTCACGGGACCCAGCGGATCAAATCTCAGGGTTTCTAGTGTCCGATCCAGACTCAGAAAAACCAGCATTCGTATCCACTTGGTCGATCACTAAAGGCTTCTGGGCCGAGAACATGGCATGTGCCGTCGTGGCAGCGGCAATCACTTCGCGACGACTTTGACCCGACGGGAAGAATCTTTCTGCTAGTTGGTGCAAAGCACCCCGAGTCTTCAGTCCGGGAAATTTTTGTCACCATAATAACATTCGATCAACATTAGATGCTCGAAGTGAAGGCTCCGTACCAGTCTGCTGGCATTTAGTCAAAGTATAACGCTGCTTGAACATGCCATTGGAAAAACCAGGCGCGAAGACGTGGAAGGCTATGACTACAACGATCGTCCGTGGTAGATTACACAAGAGTTGGTGGGGCACAAAAGTCATCGCGTTGTCATTACTAGCAATATTGTAACTCAAGAACATCCATTATGGCCTACATTCAATAGTAATAAGGCCTGCGCTTCACAAGGCAACGAATTTTATTACATCATTTAGTTTAGATCGTTCCATGTTGGAACATTGCTATGTCATCGACATGGGGCTAGAGTTGTGCGTATGTCGGCTGCGAATAACATTCGAACGTGCACGACATCGTGTTTTAAACTCCATGTTTACTTAGTGTGGTCCCTGCATTAACGGAGCTCTCATAGTTTTAGGGTACTTATACTTTACATACGGATCCGTGCTGTAGTCAATGTGCACGGGGCATGATGCTTTTAAGTTAGTGGGCTGCACGACAAAGCCCCTGACGGGGTTTCAGGATTCTGCGACTTCAAAACGATGGCGAAGTAAACCAGTGATTACAATTTGTAAGCTTCGTGAACACGTCAAGTCAAAGATTCGGCGGACTAAGAAATGACTGTGTAAGCCATCATGGAGATATTCGCTTATTTACTGGTCCTCAGCGGCATATGCTCAGGCCTTGGCTTTGCCCATATTTCGCGCCATAGCTCACATCTCTATGCTACTCCGCTATTCCGTCCACTTATATGTGAAATTGTAAGTAGAGAGTTCTGCTCATTGTCTGTGATATATGATTCAAAGTGTAATAATGCTGTTCTCCAAATAGCGACACAGTCCGAAAGAGGGACCAGCACCGCTGCGTGAGGACCCAACTCGTGAGCCATATACTGCCCCTTGAAGTCCTCAAATTCATTGAAGCTAAAGGCATACAGCAAGGGAAAGTATTTCTCAGCAAAACCCGACATCATGGGAAGTCAGGCCTTCACCGGGCAAAGGCTTTGGCGTTTTTGCTACAAGGTTAATCGAGCTTGGTGAGCGCATCATGGTCGAAGAGCCACTCTTCACCATTCAGCCGCCAGAGTTTATCCCCGGAAAAGGCTATGAGCTATCTGCCATGGTCTCTTCATTGGATTCGGCCGTGGCCTCTCTCTCGCCGGATCGGCGCGCAGAATTTCATTCGTGCCATGCGCATCACCTTCCTGGCGAGGAGAACAGCAACATGGTAATCTTTCGGAGCAACGCATATACACTGACTGACGGCACCATCGCCATGTTTCCAAAGATCGCGCGGATCAACCACTCGTGCCGTCCCAATGCGGCAAATGTTTGGAGCCAGGCCTCTGGGGTGAGGGTCATATGGGCGGCGAAGGATATCCTACCTGGAGAGGAAGTGACCGTGACTTATGCACCACTTCTCAAGACGAGCGAGGAGCGTCAAAGTCGGCTGTCCCAGTATGGGTTTCGATGTAACTGTGAGGCATGTAGTGACCATTACCATACAGATTCGAGGCGCGTTAGAATGGGTAGGCTCCTTACTGAGCTTGAGGAAAGACTAGGGCGAAGTACTTCCGACGTTGCGAATAGAAGGCTCCTGCCAAAGGGGAGAGAGCTTTCTCAGATGCTGGAGGATGAGCATCTAGCTGATTACCTGGCGAACGCTTACCACCTGACAGCTGAGCTCTACCTTCGTTCCAAAAACATATCAGCTGCAGCAGAATGGTCCAGGAAAGCACTGCAACTAAACGAAAATGCTGATAGGGAGTCACATGCTTCCTTTAGAGAGCGAGAATTTCTCGACAACATTCTTTCGTGAGCTGGCAATAATCCGGGTTTATTATATAATATGTCATCATATTTTTACCTGGGCGATTCTGGGTAATACTATATTATCCTAACAACTTATTACGGGTAATTCGAAGTATACCATTGTCATGCGTCAGGATCAGGTGGTTTACTCATAAGCCTACAAGCTTGCGCACACGCCTATCCATAATATCCTCAAACTCTTGCACGCCCCCTTCGAGGTTGCACAGCTGGCCAGCTTTGAGGCGATACACAACCCGTCGCCTTAGAATTTCCTCTCCGTCGTCTGATACCTCACTTCCTTCATCCTCGGCCGAATCCTCAACGACACCACGTATAAACCATCTGTCGTGGCTCACAACAACGACGGCTCCCTCCCAATCTCGCAGGGCTTCTCTCAAGGCAACGACGGTCTCGTAGTCAAGATGTGTGGTGGCTTCATCAAGGACGAGACAATGAGGTCGCCTCCACAGAAGCCGAGCCAACTCCAGGCGTACCAGCTGCCCGCCTGACAGCCTGCGCACGGGCGTCTCAGAAGCAACTCGCCCTCGTAGGCCCAACGATCCCAATAGTCCACGAATTTCACCTTCCTCTAGCTCGCCAGAAACCTCACGGGTAATGAGAGCGAGTGCAGTCAAATCTGATTCCCCGGCCACCGTTTGCTGCAATATTTCCACTGCATGCTGAGAGTAATACCCCAGCTTCAGACGAGGATGTGTTGAAAATGTACCCACTGTACTCTTCGTTTCTCCAACCAGTAGTTTGATAAGGGTAGATTTACCACCGCCGTTGAGTCCCAAGATGCCTACTCGATCACCCATGCTGATTGAGAGGGTGATATTTTTCAACACAAATGGATCCGGAGTCTTGTTCCCGTTGGCGGATGGGTAGCGGAACGATACCTTCTCCAAGGACAGAAGAGGTCCCGGAAACCTCAAGTCTGGTGGTGGCGGGAATATGAAACTTATTGGTCTTTCATCATGTGGTATTTCGATATCGCCTCGGCTTGTGAGATGATACCCTGGAAGATCTCTATTTAGTTTGAACCTGCCACCTTTGGCGCTGACTTCCAACCCAAAGCGGTCATCGAGTTTCTTCTGGCGTGACTTCGCTTGCCTATTTCACAACCCAAAGTCAGTATGCTTTAATTATACCAGGACAAAGACGGCTCATATTTCCGTCCAAGAACATCAATGAAAATTATTGAATGAACTGTGGAGACTTCTGAGAGTCACCTACCGAATTTTATTTTGGTCGTCCTTAGCTTTACCCTCTTTCATGTTTTTCTGTATTGTCTGCTGAATATGCTCCTTTTGTTTCTCCTTGGCATTCTTCATCTTAGTAAGGTAGAGTTTCTTCTCGGCTTTGCTGGACTCATACATGGGCAGGTCGCCATGAAAGTAGGCCAAGTCCTGATCCTTGATGATCAGCAGATCGGTGCAAAGGGAGATGAAATCTCGATCATGAGAGACTAGAATCAGGGTTGGAGGATCTGAGGACTCGGCCAGTGATGTCAGGTACTGCTGTAGCCAGATTATACCAAACAGATCAAGAAAGTTTGTTGGCTCGTCAAGAATCAAGATGTCTGTATCCTGCAGTAGAGAAGCAGCTAACGCAGTTCGCATCTTCCATCCACCGGACAGACTCGAGACTTGTTTGTGTATTTGTGCGTCCAAGAAGCCTAGACCGCTCAAGATCTTCTTTGCCCGAGATTCAACGTCGGCGAGTTTCGACGGCTCGATCTGAAGTTCAAGTTCTGCAAGCATGTCTGCTGCTTCGCTCGTCTCTTTTGCCAATACATCGGATGTGATGCCATGATCGTCCTCTGAGTAGCTGTTTTGAAACAAGTCTCAGTAAAACGGGTTGAGTAAAATACTGGTGAAACAAGCTCGATTGAAATGGACATAGTTTGGATACGACTTACATGGTCTTGCAAGCCTCCACCTCCTTTTCAGTCGCGAGCAGCGCCTTTCTAGCAGCCATGCCGCGAGCGCCACTGCGAAGTCTGGCATCTTTGTCCTTAAGGAACAATTCCTTTTGGAGCCGTTCATATCGGACTTTACGAAGAGCACGCAGAGGGCCATATGCATTGGTGCTTTCGATGCCTCTTGATAGCACTGTTACTTTGATCAGAAATGTATTTGTCTTTGCAAAACAGCATCTACAAACCTTCGACCTCCCGCTGAATCATATGTCGTGCAGTTGCACGTTCAATGACAGCTTCTAGCACGGTTAAACAATCCAAGTTCGACGCCACCGAAGAGCCCGGATGTTCACCAAAACTGGGTTCTCTGGCGTCTGTCTGCTGTAACAATACGACACGCGTCTCTTCAGGTATCCCGGGAATCAGCTTCTCAGCTATGGCTTTTAGTAACGCTAACCAAAGATGTCAATGTCTTGTGCAGGTTGGTCGTCTGATGCCCATGTGCTTGCTCACTTGATTTACCAGTCCCATTCCGGCCGATAAGTGCATATCGTTGACCTGCTTTCAGCCGAAGCTTGGCGTTGTTGAGGATCTCGGTACCCTGGTTTTTTGACTTGTTCTTTGCTTTAATACCTGAACTCGTCTCTGAAGACACCACAATATTGAGACCTTCGACATCCAGCTAATCTTATCATTAGACTTAACAGGTCAACCATGGTTAAACTACGAGGTCGTGTAACACATTACCTCGCGATAGTTCGGTTTTCCAATGTCGAAACGAGTTTGCTTGCATGTACACACAACGGTGGCGGCTGATCCCGATACCATGGACGTCATTCTGCTCCTATAGCTTGTAGTGGCTTTCCCTGGACACACCAAATAGTTGATGTCCAGCTTCGGTCTAACAATAGCAAATGAACACGATATATGTGTATAAAGATTGTCGGATGGGGCTGGTAGCCTTATAGCAATGTTGTATTTATGGTTGTTGGTGTGGGAAATGGCCAGGCAACGACCACTTCATTGAAATGTTGTGTTAATAGACTTGATATGAGTACTCGGTCTTCCTCGCAACTTTTAAATTGTGCGATGCGCCTGCCGATGTCTCTTTCGGCTGATTGGTCGAAAACAGCTGATTCAAGATGATTCATTTTTAGGGTCGTCACATTTTCCCCACGATTGAGTCGTGACCATATCTTGGCAAGATGTTAATGATGTAACGATGCGCGTCTAAGCCCGTTGAAACTACCGCTTGATTAAACCCGAGATTAAGAAATAGTAATGACACACAAGAACCAACGATAAATCTCTCGACCCCAAGCAGAGGTTTCGGTGTTGAGGATACAAATATAGCCAATACAGTTGTTTAGCTGGTTTGCGGCTTTACTGCACTAGACTAGATCTAGGAACAAACCTAAATTTCTACCTCTAACCATTAGGACATAAAAAAGGGGATGATTCGGGTCGGTCATTGTGTGATCAATCGAACAATTCCAGAGGAAACTTTTGTGTTTTTTGACTAGTTGCAAACAACTTTGCAATGAGAAACGCTCAAAGCATATTAAAAAAAAAAAAAAGTATAAAGAATTCTACCCAAAACTCCAGGCTAATGCAATGCTAAACAACCTGCTTCAACAACTTCAATACACATGGACCGTCTATTCTATGAGGGTATCATTATCGCTCTATTGCATACCGTGCCATCATAATCTATAGGAAAGCTCACTTGCGCTTGGGAATATTGCACTTCTTCAGGCATTCCTCAACGCCAAGAGCCACATTGGTGGAAATCTGGCTCTTGAGCTTATCAACATCGGCACCATCAATCTGATTGCCAAAGATAGCAGCCGTGAGATCTTCGTTAGAAAGGCCGAATAGTTCCTGAGCGACCTGGCCAGTACCAGCATCTTCAGAGTTGAAGGCGGCAACGAATACGGCATCCTCGCAGTCAGGATTGAACTGTGAGTGAACAGAACCCTGGTAAAATACGGTCGTGTCAAACGGCTTGAGAGTGTTCAATATCTCGCGAGGCTTGCCGTCCGTGTTGACTTGGTTCTCTGGGAACATGGACGAGACAACAGTGCCCTGGACAACGATGGCCAACTCGGTCGCGCGTGGGTGAACATGAGGAGTGTTGAAACCGCAAGGCTTGAGGAAAGCCACAGCGGCACCAACGCCAGTGTTCGTAAGGGCAGGAAAGGTTTTGCGGTTGGCTGCGACGATCTCACCACCTCTACCAGGGCCGCCAGTCTTCTTATCTAGGAAGCTAAACTTGAAGTCCTCGTTGCTGGTCAAGACATTGTTGAGCGCATCAACTCGACTGAGATAGGTTCGTTAGTCACTTGTAAATGCATATAATTTACCAGCACTCACGTATCTGACAGGAGGACCTGTTGCGTCTTGGAAAGACCAAGAGATTCGAGTGGATTAAGCGTCACCGTTACGGTGGGCGCACCTGTGCCAGTCGCGGTAGTAACTGTCGAACTGTCCTGGTTGTACGGAGCAGCCAAGGCAGCAGAAGAGAAAGCCAGGACGGTGACAGCGATAATGGAAGTGAAATACATGTTGTTGACTGTTAAGTGTAGCAGTAGAGAATGTGCTTGAAAGGATGCTTTTTAGGCGTTCCAAGAACAGACGTAATGAGATACTCAAGGAACTAAGAAAATGAGAAGAAAATAGCAATGAGAGATAGTTATGTCTATTATTTCTATGTTTTCTGATAAAGATAAAACACATCACAATGGCGGAATGCATTACAACCTTATAGTTCCAAGGTGGCTCCAGTAATCAGTACTGCCCTTTGTTCAGAATGTGCATACGACCTCCCTCACCTGAGCCACTTTCATGAAGACAAACATATTTGTGGAGCCAACACAACACCGGAGCGCGGCGTAGCGGCTTGTGAGAGAGCCGGCTTATTGTTGTCCGTCCAAACTACGAGTCAGAGAACAGTATTGCTGGGTTTTTAGGGAAGCGACCTAAACGCATGCGATTGAGGGGGTGAATTAGTGCTGAGCAACGAGGCGGTGTTGGAGATAAAAATAAAATCTAGCGCTAGCCGCCGATGTATCCAACCACGAAGTACATCGCGCTTATGCTTTGAGTTAAGCGAATGCCGGCATGCTTGATTTCTTTCTGTCCCTCTTGAGCTATGAATCTATTTTTCCCACGGGATTGTGCGGTCCGAATTCCATAGACCTTTCTTCAGTCCAGGCCGGCTGCTTAGCGGCTGTTGTGGTCTCCCTAAATAAGACATTAACACTAATCGCACCAATCGAGCTTGTCTTACTACTTGTCTAGGAACCGTACTAGGTTGGGGCATTGCTCATTGCATTTAGCCAGATAGCGGTTGTACAGCTGAGTTTTCCCATAAATCCGATCAAGTCAACGCAGCAATGTCTGAGCTTAAGTACACAAGTTATCATGGAGCATTGAGATAACCTCATTGGCGCTTGAACCAGGTGGGAAACTTGTCTATCTTGTCGATATGTCAGAGTAATACTCGAAGCGCCGACAGACGCAAGTGGACTTTTTGGCCGTAAAACTTTTGTGGTTACATCACCTGGACATGTCTAAGCAGCGAGCATAGCCTTTTGCGCAGTCGCTTCAAGTCTTGCCATTACCAGCGTGACTAGAATCGCCTGCCTTATTGTAAATATAGTCAAGAAGGTTTAGCTTGTCATATATTACCTACTGATTCTCAACATTTACGTATATTCATTCCATGTTATGGCAGTAATATGATAGTAGGCAGACAATTTAGCGGTATGCGCTGGCTGGCTAAGCTCCGGTCCGAGACAGTAAAGAAACCGGATATTTTGTATGATTTCGACCCTCAAAATACTGTAAATGGATCATACTGGGCATTGCTATGTATTTATCACTAACTTACACTCTTGGTCCTGCTTCAACTAACTTCCAGGTATAACACTATTAATAAGACTCTTTGCTTGATACTAAGTCGATTCTAAAATTCAACCAGCACGGTAGTATATAGAATAACACTCATAAACTTGAAATGATGCAACGGCAAGCAGTGCTTCTTATTAACGTATAAGTTAAGATATATGTATATTCATGCTTATATTCAAATCACAATTAGTGATATATGTGTGCGTGTTCACAGGGATTACTGTATACTAAATATCCTGAATAGCTGCTTCTCATCGCGTGCTGGGACAGATGCTTTCCGCATACGGGTTTTTCTGTTGTTCTAGTTTACTCAATATCGCACCTTGGGCGCCTTTTGGTAGTGTCTTGGAAAGGGGCACCAATAATTGCCACCAGCATTCTCCCGATAGTATTGCATTAAAGAAAACATAATCCAGAGCAGATTGGATAGACGTAATTTGGACTATAGATCAGCCTGTAGAAAGTATTGCATAGAGGCGAAAGCGTAACTTCAGGTTGAAACCGTATGTCTTATCTGAAACAGACAGCGATATATCATTCGCATCGGTCACTTGTATATCACTCTCGTTTGTAGCGAACGAATTGATGACGTGTTCTATCAATATTATGGAATGGTGTTCATTTCATGGTCCGCTTATAGTGAGCCGATATAGCTATTTATAAGATAAATAGAATACACAGTCTAAAAAAATCGTCAAGGTTATGCAACGCAGACCACCAAAGGTATCTGAACAACGTCAAGAAAATTTATACTTAAGGCACAGTGTTAGCAACCTGAAATTATTTCATAGTAACTTCCGGGTCTTCCTGACTTGTGGCATGATACAAATGTATCAGCCAAACGATATGTACATGCGATTAACGTTGCCATTCTACCGACTGAAAAGACCGGGTACACAGTGCATCTTTGAAAGGATCAATAAGGTAAGAAGAAAGGGCAACGGTCCCATGAATAAATTGTTATCTATACTGACATATTCACAAATGAATACTCCATATGCTTTCGTGATTGCTCTTATTACCAAGTTGCCTGTTTGCTTCACTTCGTAGATGATATAAATAGGCGAGAAATGGGCGCTGACTAGTATCATATGGACTGTAACTGAATACACTGTGTGTGTAAACATGATATGCTAGGTTGAACTGAGACAATGACATCTTTCGAACCTAACTTGGCCGCGCATGATTTAGACAAGAAAAATAATGCGCCACGATGGCGTGGGGGTTTCCGTTGTCGTTCTCTTTGTGCTTAGAACGGGAAACGCTCCACGGTCCGATTCTGCGCACAGTATTACTCCTAACAACATTGCATTAGAATTAGAATAACTGGAGGTCTGACCAATACGGAATTATCACCACAGACTCGGCGAGCCTGGTTTCTGCGTATCTGCTTAGATTGAGCTCTATCAGAGTGATGTGAGCTCGTGCCACAGCAATTCCATTAGTCTAAAATAACCTTATCTGAGACCATCAATGCCAACGGCCAAGTACAAAACACACACGCGCTGGAATTTGGAGGACCTCGAGAGACTTTGTTGTGAGGACACCCGCACGTGCCCCAGACTACTGCTCTGTCGTTCATGAAGGCCCGAAAAGTTGGCAAGTTAGGGCCTCCTTTTTTCCAAGATGGCTGGATGGACGATTGGTGCTCAATTTCAGATCTTCAATGGCTTGATCGACGGTTGATCAAATGCCGTTAGATGAAGCATGTCGGCGCTAAAGTGCATCCACGTTTCCCCAGAAGAAAATGATTTTGAAGTCGGTCCGTGCTAGTTTTGCGCGATGCTAGACGGTTTCTTGTCAAAACTCATTTCGGTTGCGGATCCAAGCCAAGCCAAGTCATTTGACGTGACCACGTTATTGGCTCTCTAGTGTGACTTGCTCAGGAACGGGCCAGGGCCCAAATTCCACACGGGGCCAATCAATCAACTGGAGATCGATGAAAACACCCGCTCTTTTTGCTCTGGTGCCCTGCCCCCCCTTGCCCACTCCTTGCTCCTTGCAGGTGGTGCTTACTGCCCCAGATTGCGGACCTTACCTTGAACTTTGATGTCTTCCCTCTCTCTCTTTGCTTTGCAGCTTCAACATTCACCAAGTTTCGTGTTGTGTCGTGTCGTGTCGTGTCGTGTCGTGTCGGTCTGGAGGCATCGCCATCTCGCTCTTTTTGAGCAGTCATTCTTTAGCTTTCGCGGCACTCTTTATGTCGCATTGCGATTATTTCGAAATCGCTCACCCTCTTTTTCTGAGCTATACGCTCACGGTCGCTCTTTAACCACACCACGCAACCACACTCGCGTACTAGGCGCAAAACAAGTCGAGTGTTTGTCCAGCAAAAACCTACTGATCGCCGTGCTGATTCCATAACCGTCTTTCGCAAAGGGGGCATTTGAAATACAGTCAACGGGGACACGGAACCTGACCTCCATTCGATTGATCACTGATCTTTCCATCCATTCATTCGTTCGCTCATTCGTTCATTTCACGCGCGTCCATCATGAAGGTCTCCCTGCAAACCGCCATTACCGCGGCAGCGCTTCTCTCGGCTGCCCAGCCATGCTTAGCATCTTCGCAACATCGACACCACCACATTGGTCGAAGGCATAGCCATAGTCACACGCGCCCTGACAATGTCACGGAGGCAATCGAGCTCAAGACAAAAGAGCTTAAGGCGCGTGGCCTTGACACGTGCAAGTTCCCCTCCGGAGAAGGCTTGGTCGCTGTGACCCCTTCCGGTGACAACGCTGGCTGGGCTATGAGCCCTGATCAGCCTTGCACTTGCGGCAGCTATTGCCCATATGCTTGCCCTCCTGGTCAGGTCATGGCCCAGTGGAAGGATGGCTCGTCTTACGCGACGACTGAGAGAATGGTAAGCCAGTATAGGTATATCTACTAAAATGGATGTTATGTGCTAACATGCGCCAGGCGGGTGGTATGTTCTGTGGTCTGGATGGCAAGCCAGTCAAGCCGTTCACTGGCAAGTCTCTTTGCGTGGACGGCACTGGAACAGTAGAGGCTGTCAACAAAGTCGGCAAGGTTGTCTCTTTCTGCCAAACCGTGCTTCCTGGAAATGAGGATATTCTCATTCCAAATGACGTTTCGGACACATTGACTCTGGCCGTCCCCGATCCAAGCTACTGGGACTCAACTGCTTCGCATTTCTACATCAACCCACCCGGAGTTGACTCTGATAAAGGCTGCCATTGGGGTGACTCGTCGCAGCCTATCGGCAACTGGGCACCGTATGTTGCGGGTGCAAACACTGACTCAGCTGGATTGACCTATACCAAACTTGGCCTGAACCCGATCTGGCAAGGTAGCGATCTTTTTGGCACCAAACCTACTTTTGGTCTCAAGATCGAGTGTCCTAGTGGAGGTTGCAACGGCCTTCCATGCGCCATTGATGGCAACGGGGTGACAAGTGATCTCAAAGCTACAGGAGCTGGCGGTTCTGACTTCTGTGTTGTAACCGTGCCCAAGGGCGGAAAGGCCAACATCGTTGTCTACAACTTGGATGGCTCTTCTGCCAGCTCCACCTCCTCTGTTGCCAAAACCTCAACAACATCAAAGGCCCAGCCCACAACTAGTTCTACCAGTTCTACCAGTTCGACCTCCTCAAAGCCGACAACTTCAAGCACGTCCTCGACTACTTCTACATCCTCCTCTTCATCGTCATCGTTGCCATCATCGACTTCGACTTCTTCTTCGTCTTCATTTTCGTCCGCATCTTCAAAGCCTTTTTCGACTACATCCTCTGCTTACAGCTCAACGAGCAGCTCAGCGAAGATCACATCGTCAAGTGTATCAGCCTATGGTCTCGGGGGTATATTCCAGCAGAATGGAACGACCACGTCGTCCATTTCTTTGACCAGTCCCGCGTCCACCGCCACTGCCCTTTCCGGCAGTACTGATGGCTCTGGCGGATCTTCCGTTGGATCTGCTGTCCCATCGGAATCCTCTAAGAGCGAGAGTTCCGCGGCGCAAGGTAATGGGGCCATTGCTGGCCTTATTGTCGCCATCATCGCCGCTGCTTGCATACTGTGAAATCAGTATGGAAACTCATGGTGACAAGCTTTACCCCTTTGCTGCACACGCATTGGTCTTCATGACCCATTACTACATCTTCCTCGGGCCGGGCCAAAAATCTCGGCCTGCTATTTTCTATATATATTTTCAGCCGCTGCCGGCTTTAGAGGTGTTCTCCGGTCCGGCGGCAGCTGCTCATGACGGATCATATCCTTATTATCTATTGTTAAGTGTCTATTACTCATATCTGGCTGCTTCACAGTTGCGCAGCCATGGTTCTTCGATATTCTCCATGATCGGACTGACCGATCCGGTTATATCTTTTTTTCTTCTTTTTTTTCGGTTCCAAATCTATACCCAGTTTTCATCATCAGCGCAGCATGGCGGTTTGAAGATTTGAATTTAACGAGCGACTACATAGCTGAGGAAGGGGTTGGAAACAAACAGGTGAAGCAGTAGCATCGACTTAGCGAGCACTATATACTTAAGTACGACATGATCAAGACTCAAGACGAGACGAGACGATTACTTCTTTTAGCGTGGGACCTGTGGTTCCTAGGGGGTGGGGCGGAAAATCCTTGCAAAGTGAGGCATAGGTGGATTCTTCTAAATATAACTTTTACAGCTCTTCACTTCTTCTTTTGACGACCTAAACTCGGTCAACAAGCTCGTCGGCCATGTTCTGTTGAACATGGCATAAATAAGAAGACATCTAGCGCTCTACACTTCTGTGACCTTGGTGGATATAGAAAGCACGATAAATTTGGATATCAGTCCGCAAACCAGCGTGTCTGAGATCTATTTTCGACAAGATCTCGCGTCACCCTCTATACTCCCAGGCACCAGACTTGATCATCCCTTCACCCAACCGGGTACATCGCCATCCCCCATCCCTATCACCTCAGCCACAGTTGGCCATCCAGCCGCGACGGGACTACCCTTCTTCGCCGCGCCCATGATCGCAAAGCGCCCCTGTGCGTGCGCTACATAGCCATGCAGGAGACTTTGCGAGACAAGTGATGCCACTACATCCTCTACATGCTCCGCTGTGACCGCCATGTTCCCCCAAACCAAGCCATCGTTGGGTCGCAGTTTCTTTGGCCCACCCGGCGGCGCCACAAGTGTGCTGTTTTCCACCCCGGACTTCGCTTTCTTTGTCACAGTATTCATAAACATGGCGTTGACGTGTGGTGGTCGTGCTCGCGATGGCATTTCTGCCGGCAGATAGCCTTCGAGACGTTTCTGTATGTAGGTAGATGTGACGAGCAGGTGTGCCAGGTCCAGTGTTGCTGCTTTGTTGGCTGGCTTGCTTGGGTCCATCGGTGTTGCCACGTAGGTCAGAAGGAATGTGCGGCGCGATAAGGACCGCCATACCAAAGGCTTCAACCGGAATGTGAGGGTCAAAAGGAGACCTTTTCGAAATAGCCACTTCTCGTTCGATGCAATTGTTGATTGGAGCAAGATATAGTTCCCCGTCCGAATGGCCAGTGCGAGTTGTGAAAATATTGGTGATAGAGTCGCGGCTTCCGGTCGCTGAAGAATATTTATGGACGGTAGGTAGCCAAGCAGCATTTTGCTTGGTATCAGGTACGTAAGAATGAGCCTACGATGATTTTGAAATGTGGAAGGTGTTTGGAGGTAAGCTTGCTCCAGGCATTGTGCGGCATGACTAAAGTGGTTGTTGATAAAGTGGAAGCGGCCGAGATAGTAAAGATAGGTGACGCGTTGAGCAGCTGGATAGAATGACAAGGGCGGTGACTTTGCTGTGATATTCATGAAGATGGTCTTTGCAAGATGAGTTTTACGACACTGTTAATATTGTCAGCCCATGGCGAGCACCGGGTACAGGCAATGCAGAAGGCACTTACAGCAAAAAGCAGCTTCAACGTTACGTTAGCAAATGTATAGACGCCAACCTTTTTGCCTTCCGGTTTGGAAAATTGGTCACTTGTCCTATCCGCTAAGCAAGCAGTGAAGACCCTTTGCATCACCTCTGCGGCCTTGTCGATAATGGACTTCTGTTCTTCCTCGCCACCACTGGTGTCGATTGTCTGAAGCTTCCTAGTCAGATCAGGCCGCTTGTTAAGTGTCATGGACAGCTTGGACAGGGAGCCGCAAAGCGCTACACTGGTCTGTAGCATTATTGTTCCATAAGTGGGATTGTTGAGTGCCGTTGTGCAAGAGCTGTTACTAGTCGGTCAGCAACAGTGTTTAATCCCCAGCTGAAAAAAGGAACTTGCTTTGTCAATCCCATGAGCAGATCATGAGCGCCTAGAAGATCCTCAAAGTCCACGTCTCTCCAATACTTCAGATAATCGTCCATGAAAACAATAAAGCCCCGCCAAGCTGTACCCTGGTCCGCTGGCACGTCATCTTCCTCTGGCAGATGCTGCTCGACCATCTTCTCGATGGAGGCGACGTTGCGCAGCTCTTGCGAGAGCTTATGGTAATGATCTGGCACGGGCGGTTCTACTTGTAGCCATTGTCGTAATTGATCCCCATTTCGGTATTTAAGGAAGCCGCGAACCTCACCGAGAAATTGACCAGTCAAGGAAGCCATTATGAGATATCAATGCGCTAATCTGTCGTGTAGGTCCAATTAGTGTCGGTGCACGATCAGCCTTCTTGCTTTAATAGAATATATTGTATTGGGAACCAGAGTTTCTGTTGTGAGCTCAGGTCTTGTTCAAAGACAATCATCGAATTGATAACTTGAGATGTTGAAACCCACATGCTACAACATCTTCGCGAGGCTGATCAACTCTGGTGGGTCTGCGAATGCACGGCTGATGGTGGAGTCGACTTTTAAACCCCCTGAAGGCCTACATACTTACAGTGGAAACAACACCGGCGGCAGCTTTGAGCAAAGACCCGACCCAAGGATTAATGGGAGCCTGCCTGCAATCGGAACAGTGTGCACGTGGTTCAATATCTATAACGCATTAGTGTTAATCCCACCTGCTAATTCCTTAGGATTTTGAGAAACACGAGCTTGAGAATTCGCTGTTAGATGATTGTCGCAAATAAATAAAAATAGAAATAATAATCATGGTCTCATTCGAGGTAGAATTGCAACTACATCACTATGTAGGTTATCAAGTAAGCACAAAGACTAGAGCCTGACCTAGACGCAGCCGTGTCCCGCTAGCAATGGCGGCTTGGGTGCGCTTGAAACGAAATCGTAAAAGCAAGTCCCGTCATGACCTATTGCAGAATACGAAATAGCGACACACCTTCCTCATCACTCTAAGTCTTATCCGTGGTCGGTGGATAACAAAAGCGATATGTAGGAATGATCGTCTTTACAACCCCAAAACTCGCGATGATCATGCAAATCGACATTCATGAGACTTATTCTCACGGGTCAAATAGTTGGTGATCCTCTCTTGCACCGGTGTCGTTTCGGACACAAATTTCGTTTCTCTCTGCCTATTGCTGCATATTCTTTACCAGTGTGAGACGGCTCGATGCGAAATCGGACCATTCAAGAGTCGCAAAAGCTTGATGCGCGCATGCCAAGACAACATCAACGAACTGAGACTGTCATCTAGACAACCGTGCTGCTGTAGTGGTCTTATCTTTCCAGCACGAAGGCCCCACTAATATGTCGAAGCGTTGGCATCTCGCGACGCGAGCTCTGCGCGCGAATGAACAAATCTTTTACATTTTTCGCCTTCTGCCCCGGAAAATGGTTCCCAAGCTGCATGAAAATGATGTCCAATCGAGGCAGAAGCTCATATCGACGAAGATAGTCTGACGATCGTCTGCAACGCTGGTCTGGGGAACAGACAGCTTTTATCTTGACGACTTTGATGAGGAAAGCCTTGCATGTTCAAAAGCCGGAGGTGGGTCAAAACAAGCGTCTCCAATCCGCCGGGTTGAGCCTCAATTCGGCTCTGAATACTCGACACCGAGCCCCGAGAAACGTGTTTATCTTGGGAGCGCCTCACGCAAATCGCGGAAAGTGGTCGAAGATGTGGCTAGAGAGTCGAGACAGCTCCAAACTCTTGCCACTCGGTTCCGCTTATCTCCACGTACCGCTATGTCGCGTCTTCAATGCGTGGTTCTGGATCCACTCTTGACATGACTTGCCCTGTATAAGTGGGGCATTCGCTAGCGACGCTCTGGAAGGGTATCGCGAGTGATGGCTTCCAGGTACGTATCAGATACGTATTTGTGGTCTGTTGACATCCAAGGACCTTCTTATAAGTATCAGAAGCATCCGCATGTAATTTTATTATTAGTAGAACCACTTCCCCGGGATTCATTGTCAGCCTCTTTCTTGACCATTCCATTGAGAGTGCCCTTCTTCTAACACATTAGGTTTTCTTTCCTTGAAGCTACAAGACACTTTCTATCATGGCGGAAATACAGACGAGTGGTTCGGAGACCACTCTAAACCAGGTCCATCATGACACAGGACTACAAGATATGACGAAGCAAAAGACCAGGGATCCGCAGTTGGACGTCAATCTCCCCTACCGCACGCTTAGTGCTGCAGCAAATATGGCCGAGTACACGACAGAACAACCAGATGGAGAAATACCAATGAGAGATCCAAAAAGTAAACAGGAATACAAACTGGTGACTTTTGTCCTTGACGATCCGCAAAACCCAAAGAACTGGTCAAAAGCATACAAGTGGTATTGTACCATGGTCGTTGCGTTGACATGTTTCGTTGTGGCGCTCGCATCAGCTGTCGTTACGGCAGACATCGCAGCCCCAGCTAAAGAGCTTGGCGTTAGTGAGGAAGTGTCACTGCTTGCTATTTCGTTGTTCGTCATTGGTTTCGGTATTGGCCCCATGGTTTTCGCTCCACTCTCCGAACTCTACGGACGTCGCATCATCTACGGGTCGACATTGCTCATTGCTGTGATCTTCATCATTCCTTGCGCCCTTGCGCCGAACATCGCAACTTTGTTGGTATGCCGAACTATCGACGGCATTGCGTTCTCGGCTCCGATGACACTGGTTGGTGGTACACTTGCAGACATGTGGAAGAACGAAGAGCGAGGTGTGCCTATGGCGGCATTCTCTGCTGCGCCATTCATTGGACCTGCCATCGGTCCCCTTATTGGTGGCTATCTTTCAATGTACGCTGGATGGAGATGGCTCTACTGGATTCAGCTCATCCTTGCTGGAATTGTTTGGGTATTGATAACTTTCACCGTTCCTGAGACTTATGCACCAACCATTCTGAAGCGGCGCGCCCAGAAAATGAGAAAGGAGACTGGAGAAAGCAATCATGTCACGGAACAGGAACTGGACAAGCGACCTCTCAGCGCCCGCCTTAAGGTGTTTGTCTTGCGACCTTTCCAACTTCTTTTCCAGGAGCTTATTGTGTTTCTGATTTCGTTATACATGTCGGTGCTTTACGGATTGCTTTACATGTTTTTCGTGGCCTATCCTGTCATTTTTCAGGAAGGCAAGGGCTACTCCGCAGGAACTACTGGTCTAATGTTGTAAGTGTTATTAGCCCGTCTCATATTCTCGTCTTTAGTCGTTGCTTACCATTTTTTGCAGTATTCCTGTCGCAGTAGGCGTCCTTCTTTCGGCCGTATGTGCTCCCCTAGTCAATAAGCACTACCTCACATTGGTCAAGAAGCACAACGGAAATCCTCCAGCGGAAGCCCGTTTGATTCCCATGATGCTGTCCTGCTGGTTTATCCCGATCGGATTATTTATCTTTGCTTGGACCTCATACGCGGAGCTCTCGTGGGCTGGCCCTGCTTTGGGTGGCTTCCCTGTTGGCTTCGGATTTATCTTCCTTTACAATAGCGCGAACAACTACCTTGTCGACTCATATCAGCACCTGGCCGCCTCAGCTCTCGCCGCCAAGACATGCATCCGTAGCTTTTGGGGCGCTGCCGTTGTGCTATTCACCATCCAAATGTATCACCGACTCGGCGACCAGTGGGCATCTTCACTCCTGGCATTCCTCGCGCTTGCTTGTTGTGCTATTCCATTCTGCTTCTGGAAGTGGGGTGCTAAGATCAGGGCCAGGAGCAAGTATGCCTATGCTGGCGATGACGAGGATGATGGCAAAGGCGTGGCAAGCACTGGCGATGTCGAGAAGGGACAGCCGGCGGCCGTGCGGGCCCCAATTGTCCAGCAGGAGGGAGGCGTTCATTAGATATCAGTCCGGAAAGACTCGGTATTTGAATAAAGGCTGGCTCCGAGCGTAGGGTTGACTCCTTGCGATCATGCTAGTGAGGTCGCACTGGGTTTCTATAACGAGTTTCTGATTCGTTTCTAGAGTTCAAAGACCTTAATTAGGACAGGTGTGCTCTATACTTTGGGCATATAGGAAGTTGGTTCAAGAGTGGTATAGACGGATAGACACCGATAGATTTGTTGTGATTTAGATTAGTTAGCTGTTAGAGAAGATACCCCGGCGGCTTTTAGACCTTTAGATGTTAATATGATTAATAGACAGATCAGAAATAAAGCACCTTCGCTAATTGCTTATTATACGCCATCAATTGAATGATAAACACAAAAATCAGATTCGTCGGCAAAATTTTTTAAGATATTGGTGGCGTGAGTTAAGTGGGAGGTTTGAGAAGCAGTATAGAATGACCTTGGACCTTGGTTGATCAAGCTTCTTGGTGTGGTGTGTGGTGCGGTAGGTTTTTCACGTGATACTATTCGATCAGTGGCAATAATGAGAAGGTATAAATGGATTATATCAACTCTCATCAGCAACTTAAAGCCAAATTCATAGGTGGCTATCCAACGACACGAATGGCATACTCAAGTCTAAAATTCATTACAGCTTATCAGCGTTTCATAGATTGGTCATAGGTAGATTGTGTTTCATTTCACGGGTATCCATATTATCATACGCTCTCGATTCTCTGCACCACCAGAGCTGTTGCCGCGCCACCTCCATTGCAGATGGCGGCTACACCATATTCGCCCGGCTTAAGCTGATGCAATAGCGTCGTCAGGATACGTGATCCAGAGCTACCCAATGCATGGCCCAACGAGATAGCACCTCCCAGAGGGTTAACCTTTGCGTTTTCAAGACCCAGGATCTATCAAGATTGTCAGTATGAGTTATGATAAAGCCTCTTTTTCTCGTCATGTGACGCACCTTCTCGTTTGCCTTGATGACAGCGGCGAACGCTTCATTGAATTCCCAAACTGCCACTTGGTCCTTCGTGATACCGGCACGTTCCAGGGCAATGGGAACAGCCTTGGCAGGAGCAATGGGGAAGTCAACGGGATCCATGGCAGCGTCAGCTGACCCGCATATCCTAGCCAGCACCCTCGAGCCGGCTCCATATTCCTGGGCAATGGCCTTGCTTCCAAGCACCAATGCGCTAGCACCGTCATTCAACGTAGAAGAGTTGGCGGCCGTAACTGTGCCGGTACCATCGCGAATGAATGCCGGCTTCAGGGTTCGTACTTTATCCAGTTTGACGTCGAGGTAGCCTTCATCCGTATCAATGATTGTGTCACCCTTTCTGCCCTTGACAGTCACCGGCGCAATCTCATCAGCGAACGCTTTGTCCTTCCACGCCGCTTGCGCCCTTTCATACGATTGAATGGCGTACTCGTCTTGTTGCTCACGGGTGATTTCGTACTTCTTCGCCGTCGTCTCAGCGCAAACACCCATGTGGAATTGGTCGTACACATCCGTCAAGCCGTCCTTGATAAGACCATCCTCCATCTTCACATTACCAAAAGCTGGCAAGTTACTGGCGCGCGGAACGTAGTATGGAACTTGTGACATGTTCTCCATGCCACCAGCAATCTGAACCTCACTCAAGCCAAGCTGAATATTTTGCGCCGCGAAAATGACGGCTTTCAAACCAGATGCGCACACCTTGTTTATGGTGATGGCCTCAACATTGGATGAAAGGCCAGCAAATATCACTGCCTGTCGTGCTGGGGCTTGTCCAACGTTCCCTTGTAGAACATTACCCATATACACATCGGTCACCTTATCGGCCGGAATCTTGGACTTTTCAAGGGCCGACTTGATTGCCACTGCACCAAGTTTTGTAGCTGGCACGGTGAGGAATGAGCCGTTGAACTACAATCCATTATGAGATCTTGAATGTGAAGATGCTAGCGCTTGCTTGGGGATGTTTACCTTTGCTGTTGGCGTCCTAGAGGCACTGAGAATATATGCATCGCGAACTTCTTGTCTTAAGCCAGCTTGAAGTGAGAAGTGGCGTGCCGAACACTGCCGAGGTCCACCACGGAGAGCAGTCCTGGCTGCTGACCTTGCTATTTGTAGAACCATTTCGTATTTGATCCAAGGGAGTGATCAGTAGAAACTTCGAGAGTAGAGAAATACAGAGTAAAATCACGAGCGGTTGAATAGATAATGAAGAAAACAGTACGACGGAATCGGTTCCGGTATAAGATGATGGTTCCGAAAGTGACTGAACTCATGAGCTCAGCTAACATTCCTGCCTCCACCGGCTAAGCGCGGGTGATCGGCCCCACGGGTCAGTGCTTCCCCGTCGTACCCGAGCTATGTAGGGGAAGCCGTGGCAGGATTTGGCACGTGGAAGTTGTTGCACTGGAAACAAATAGTGCGGTGTTCCCCAATCTTGCTGGGCACAGGACACCCTCGAGGCCCGCTGAGCTTTAAGTTAAGTGACATAGAGATCACCCAGCCAGTCCAGCGACGGGTGGTCGGGCGATGCTGCGGGAAATGGTCGGTAGTTTGAAAACTAACGAAGCTTTTTGAGGAACAAAAGCGCCGCTGAACCTTACAAAATGAATGTTCTCGTCCGCTTGAAACATGATCAAGTGCAAGTAGAACTTCATCCATTAGACATATTCCGCTGCATTCGACATTCCTCATTGGCCATTCCCATGATGATGCCAAGTCTAGCGAACAAGCATCGCCATGCTCAACCAGTAGCTGCTCATCTTCGGGCCCTGGTCGAACCATCAATCTGACAAATGCCCTGTTGCTTTCTTGTCCATTTTCATGTCGCACGAGGCTGGACAATGTGAGTCAAGATGACCTGGGACAAGGTTTCGATTGATTAACGCCCAAGGGCCCATGAAGCGCATTGCACTGCTGCAGCCCGGGGTTTGTTAGATTAGAATGCCACATGGGCGACGAGGAATCTGATCAGGTCCCGACCGGGGTTCCTCCCACGATGGTACATTACGCATGTGCAGGTCTGCCGCAAATCATGTGAGATTGGGTCCTAGTCCTTGCAAGTCCTCAGTTCCTGCTGATGGTCAGCATTTGCTTTTCCGTGGATCTTCAGCAGATATTGGCTAGGAACATTGTACGGGGTTGTCAGGTTGATCTTTTCTTCGTGTTTTTCTCGAAGGAAAGAAGGCAAGGAGGCACCTGCACTAGCCAAATCCGACCCTAGAAAGCGCGGCACGGTCGACAGCGGCATCATTGGCTGGGGCCTGTTGTTGAGAAAGCCCCCCTAATGATATAATAACCACAGCGACTGCTTTCTCCGTGGTCAACGCTTCTTGGCTTGTCTTACCATTCTTTCCAACGATCACGGGGGATTTCCCTACCGTTAAATTTTATTTTATTTATTCATATGATTTGTGGTGAGCCGGATTGTGTTTTCATGCCATTCCGATGAGCAATCAAAACCCTACGGGCGCGGAGGTTCATACAGACCCTCGCCGAGATAGCGCTATCTCCGCGGTCTCGTACCAATCTGCATCGTAAGGCTTTCCCGCATCCTGAGTCTGCGAGACGTTCATGGCTAATGTTGCGCCAGAACTTTGACAGAATCAGTACATAGTGATAATCCTGTGTTTCGGTTCGTGGAGGAGAACGGGAGGACGTACCACTCCTACAAGCAAGGCCGTATGTGTGCTTCTCCGGACGGTCACTCGTGTCACTGTGCTGATTTATGTCTCATGAAAAGGTTATCCTATGCCCAACGATCCAGTATGATGTATAGCAAACTTTTCGTGTAGATGCATGCTGACCTTTCGAAAAGCAAGAGCAAAATAGATCGGCTATTGAACACGAACTGTGGCGCAAAACTCTTAGAGGCAAGTTATATTTGTCGCCAATACAACGGCTCAACCACGTTCTTGATATCGGGACCGGTACGGGTAAGTCCCATTTGGACTCCGTCTCTCTCTGCTCACGAGATAGCTCATATATATTAGGACACTGGGCGTTTGAAATTGGTTAGCACTCGACCTGTGTCATCATTTTCGTTGAAATCATAACTAACTTGTGTTAAGCCGTCAAGCACAGCAATTCCCAAGTTATTGGAACTGATCTGAGCCCGATTCAACCGCAGTAGTAGGTGGTTCCGTCACTATTCTACTGGTTCTCAAAGAATTATCACCGCCGGAAGCTGTGATATACTGATTGATATACAATGTAGCATTCCGCTCAACTGCCAGTTCGAAATTGATGATGCTGAAGATGAGTGGCTTTACCGACAAAAGTTTAGTCTGATACACAGTCGAGGAAACTTGTTATCATTTCAGTCACCAGAAACAGTAGTGGAAAGCGCATTCAATTCCCTTGAACGGCACGGATGGCTGGAATTCCAGGATATGGTTCTTCCCATGCGATGTGACGACAACAGTTGGGAAGGAAGTGCGATACAGACCTGGAGTAAACTGCTCAAGGACTGCCTCGAGCGTGACGGGAGGAGGTTTTACGTGGAGGAATACGCACAAATGTTTCGTAACGCTGGGCTAACCAACGTTACCGAGAGGCTCTTTGTGTGGCCGGTTAGTCCATGGCCTCAAGGTCCCCGGAACGAGCATCTGAGAGAGCTGGGTCACATCTGCCGGCGAAACATGCTTGAGGCACTCGAAGCGATTAGCATTTCCATGTTTACGAGGGTTGCGGGCATGACCAAAGAGGAGGTGTTGAATGTGGTTCAAGCCGCCAAGAATGAGTTTTGGGATACAAAGTACCATGTGTACATTCAGATGTGAGTGGCTGCAAATAAGGTGCTACGAGTTGAGGCTCTACAATACTGACGCCTTCCTCAAGTGTTGTCACCATGGGCCAGAAACCTTGAGTACTGTGTCATAAATCTCCTGATTCCAGCCGATGGAAACGATATTGGAAGGGGACGGCTTAATATGCATTGATTCATTTGGCAAGGAGTTTTGGTGTTGGAGGATCTCATGAGGCCGCCGTCTTTGTCTTTGCAGAGACTGCACTGTACTCAATGATGCAATCGAGTAGTATACATGCTATACCAACCGAATTTTAATCACCGGTTGAGGCCGAGCAGGCCCTGCGACCTGAATCTACGTGTACTGTTTGTTGTGCATGGGTTTTGTCATGGCCGAGTCGCGATCCATCGAGCTGTTTGAGATTGACTGTCCTGGCCGGGGGCCTCGAGGGTGTGGGGCTGGCGGTGCTTTAGCTTGATGAAATGGCCTAAAACAACGCCCCCCCGATTTGCCCCTCGTCAGGTTCTACCATCTGTCGGGTAGTGCTCAGGTTAGCATAGCAAGTGGATAGCATGGCATGACATGACACAGCATGGCAGAGTAGTTGACCTCAGCTCAAGCCCATCTTCTCTTCATCAACCCACCCAAGATACCCAACACCTTCTGCGCAACTCTTCCCGGGCAACTGTCCTTGCCGCCGAGCCTATTACCGACATATCCGTCAAAGCATCCCGCCGCCGAAAATGTCCACCGCAGCCCGCAGACGGTTGATGCGTGACTTCAAGGTACGCACGCCACCCCTCGGACCACTTGGCTGATGGGCTCTGGTGAATGTTGAGGAAGGGAAGCTGACCAGACCTACACAGCGCATGCAAACGGACCCGCCCGCTGGTGTCTCCGCATCTCCTGTCCCTGATAATGTCATGACCTGGTACGCTCATTCCGGAGAAGCAAGCGAACAGAGACAAAGAAGGTACTAACCGCGCCCGCCCACCTCACAGGAATGCCGTCATAATAGGACCTGCCGATACACCCTTCGAAGATGGAACGTTCCGACTCGTAATGCACTTTGAGGAGCAATATCCGAACAAACCACCCGCCGTCAAGTTCATCAGCCAGATGTTCCACCCTAATGTCTATGCCACCGGCGAGCTGTGCTTGGATATCTTACAGAACAGGTGGAGTCCGACCTACGATGTTGCTGCCGTATTGACCAGCATCCAAAGGTAAGCTACTCTTGCCCTCCTCTGCGCTGGGACAGCCGCTCTCGAGGACTGGGAGCCTAGGACTAACAACCCCTGTAGTTTACTCAATGATCCCAACACCGGATCTCCCGCCAACGTCGAAGCGTCGAACCTCTACAAAGACAACCGCAAGGAGTACACTAAGAGGGTGCGAGAAACGGTAGAAAAGAGCTGGGAGGATTAGACAAGCCTGATTCTCTCACCATTGAGAACGATACGTTGTTTTATTTTCCTTTTGGAATGCAATAGTTTTCCTTGCGAGAAGAAGCATAACGCCGTTTGCCATATGACAGCACACACCAACGCTGATACACAGCCGAACGACTTGATCCTGGATCTACATTTGGGCTGCAGAAATTAGGTGCAGGTGGTCATCTGTCGAAGACAAGACGTTATGTGATGTGATGGCAGACGAGTAGGCGTTCTTGGCAGGACCGGGTTATGATACTTCACTTTCAGCTGGCACAGGCGCAATCATGGACCAATCAGTCATTATGTGGTCACAAATCGATACCGTTATATTGCGTTCTTTTTCCTCGTCGTGTTTTGGTCTTGGTACTCGCATAGCTGATGGAGTTTTTAGAGTTATTTCTTCAGAAGGGGTGGGGGGGGGTTCATGAGGTTCTTGTGCTTCGAGTCCTTAGACAGTATGAGAATGAGAATGAGAATGCCTCGCGTGTGATTATTACGACAATATGGATTTTGCATATTATTGTAGTGTCATGTGTTACTATATCGAGGCCCCTCTTCATAACTAACCACGGGCCCATGCCTAATTGTGACATGCAATTGTGAGCTGGCGTGTGACTCAAGTTCCTTTGCGAATTGCATTGTATACCAGATATCGTCAGATGTTTAATTTGTGTTATTATTGATGATTGTTGCGTGTCACGCTCACGTTGATTTTTCTCTTAACATTTATTTTTATTTTTAAATTTATATATCCTAAATTACAGCTCGCAGTTGATTCTGCTGCTGCTGCTCCATCATGGACCTTTCTTCGCGCCCCCGCCCACTTGCCCGGCGCATTGAGCCGTGAGATTATGCAATTTGACTCGCCATTTCCCAGCTTCCAGGTGCAAAGCAACGCGACCCCGGCTCTGCGCAGCTCTGCGCAGTTCCGCCCAGCTGCCTGACACAACCTACCCACCCTTTACATCCACCTAAACAACCCCTAATCTTCTGATTCGCTCCCCTGGCATCTGCACCCTGCCTTATGTACCGACCAAGGTAAATAAGGTAGACTTGATTTTCCTCTTACCGTAAGTTGAAGAGCGGGAGCCCGACAAACGTTAAGTTGAGAGCAGAGCAGAGCCAAGCGAACCAAGCTGCCAGCGTGGAAGTGAAGCAGCCTGACTCGGACTTCACACCCATGGTATTGGGATCTGGCACTTGCTGTGTTTCCGTTTCCCTTCTTCGCATTGCTGTACCCACTGCAGGACGCGGCCTCGACGGTCAAAGTCAACAATTCTAGCGACGCATTAAACGCCGCCTTTATTTTTTTCTCCCTCTTCTTTTTTATGACCTCGCCGGTCTATCGGCTGAGTTAGGTCCTGACATACCTGCCGGTCCCCCGATATCATATCGACGCCCTCCGGAGCGTGATATGCGATCGCTCCCCCAACTTCCACTATTGTTATTGCTTCTGCTGCAACTTGGCTAGTTTTGGAAACCAGTCGCCATGTCGGGCGCAAACACCATCAAGGTCGTGGCCCGTTTTCGACCGCAAAACAAGATCGAACTTGCATCTGGCGGTCAGCCGATTGTCAGTTTCGATGGCGACGACACATGTAGTCTCCAGGTACGTAACGTAACCGGACTACGTGACCCGATTACGTCTCTCATGCACCATCGCTAATGCCACTATCCGTCCTTTAGTCCGCCGAGGCGCAGGGCTCCTTCACATTTGATCGTGTATTTGGTATGGATACAAGACAATCGGACATTTTCGACTACTCCATCAGACCTACCGTGGACGATATCCTCAACGGCTACAATGGAACCGTCTTCGCATATGGCCAAACAGGTGCCGGAAAGTCCTATACCATGATGGGAACCAGTATAGAGGACGAGCTAGGGAAAGGTGTTACTCCACGTATCGTCGAGCAGATCTTCAGCAGTATCATGTCGAGCCCGGCCAATATCGAGTACACCGTACGAGTTAGTTATATGGAAATCTATATGGAGCGCATTCGCGATTTGCTCCAACCACAAAACGACAACCTACCTGTACACGAGGAGAAGAATAGAGGCGTCTACGTCAAGGGACTTCTTGAGTTGTATGTTTCCAGTGTCGAGGAAGTGTTCGAGGTCATGACCAGAGGAGGAAATGCTCGAGCCGTTGCTGCGACCAACATGAACCAGGAATCCTCGCGCTCCCATTCCATTTTCGTCATTACCATCACCCAGAAGAACGTTGAAACGGGCTCGGCCAAGAGCGGCCAGCTGTTCTTGGTCGATTTGGCTGGTAGTGAAAAAGTGGGCAAGACGGGCGCAAGTGGTCAGACTTTAGAAGAGGCAAAGAAGATCAACAAGAGTCTGAGTGCTCTTGGTATGGTCATCAACGCCTTGACCGATGGCAAATCCTCACATATCCCCTACAGAGATTCAAAGTTGACAAGAATATTGCAAGAGTCACTAGGAGGTAACAGCAGGACGACGCTCATCATCAACTGTTCGCCCAGTAGTTATAACGATGCCGAAACGCTTAGTACGATGCGTTTCGGCATGCGTGCCAAATCTATCAAGAACAAGGCCAAGGTCAACGCAGAGCTCAGTCCTGCTGAGCTCAAGGCTATGCTCAAGAAGTCTCAGCTTTCTATCGCCAACTTTGAGAATTGGGCATCAGCAGCAGATAGCGAGCTTTCCGTATGGCGCGCCGGCGATACCGTGCCTAGAGAAAAGTGGACGCCTGCTTTTGGCACAGACGGCGTTGTTGCCATGAAACCTGAAGCAAAAGCGCCCCGACCCTCTACACCATCTCGATTGATACCAGATAGCCGTGCCGAAACTCCTGCACTCACTGAGCGATCCGGCACTCCTAGCATACCTCTAGATAAGGACGAGAGGGAAGAATTCCTCCGAAGAGAAAATGAACTGCAGGACCAGCTGGCCGAGAAGGAGACGGCAGTAGCGGCTGCAGAGAAGAGTTACGCGGAATCCAAGGAGGAGCTTGCATTTATCAAGGAACATGACAGCAAACTCGGAAAGGAGAATGAGAAACTCACGACCGAGGTAAACGAGGCTAAGATGCAGCTCGAAAGGTTGTCGTTCGAGAGCAAGGAAGCTCAGATTACCATGGATGCTTTGAAGGAGGCCAATTCCGAGCTCACATCTGAATTGGACGAGGTAAAACAGCAACTGCTGGATGTTAAGATGAGCACAAAGGAGACAAGTGCGGCTCTTGACGAGAAAGAGAAGAGGAAAGCCGAGAAGATGGCCCAAATGATGGCCGGATTTGACCTGGGCGGCGACGTGTTCAGCGAAAATGAGCAAGCTATTGCCAGAGCGATCCAGCAGGTTGAAGCTTTCTACGAATCCAGCTCTTCGGGCGATGTGATTCCACCGGACGACTTGCATGATCTCAAATCGAGATTGGTCGAAACACAAGGTATCATCAGACAAGCCGAGCTCTCGCTTTACAGCACTGCCTCCGGCGATTCTGACGCTCGCCGGAGGGCTGAATTGGAGATCCGCCTGGAGACGTTGCAACAGGACTACGAAGAGCTGCTGAGCCGAAACTTGACGGAGGCCGACACGGAAGAAATCAAGACTCGACTCAGGGAGGCATATTCCAACAAGCAAACCACCCAGATTGAACTTGTTGATGAGCTTAAGGCAGATATCGCCCAGAAAACTACCGAGAACTCTCGTATGAAGACTCTCATTGATGACTTGCAGACCCGTCTGAAGTCCGGTGCAGTAGCAGCGCCCAACGTGGCCAATGGCAAGACCGTGCAGCAACAGATTGCGGAGTTCGACGTCATGAAGAAGAGTCTAATGCGCGACCTGCAAAACAGGTGTGAACGTGTTGTCGAGCTCGAGATCAGCCTCGATGAGACTCGGGAGCAGTACAACAATGTGCTGCGTTCTTCGAACAACCGAGCCCAACAGAAGAAGATGGCCTTCCTCGAGCGTAACCTTGAACAGCTGACCCAGGTCCAGCGCCAACTTGTCGAGCAGAACGGTGCCCTCAAGAAGGAGGTTGCCATCGCAGAGCGCAAACTGATCGCACGAAATGAGCGTATCCAGAGCCTAGAAAGCTTACTGCAAGATAGCCAGGAGAAACTCACTGCCGCGAACCACAGGTGTGTAAAACACCTTCAGTTTATTACATCATTGCTTTACAGATGGCTAACCGTGTGGCAGATTCGAGTCTCAACTCACCGCTGTCAAGGAACGTCTCGAGGCCGCAAAAGCGGGCTCGACTCGTGGTCTGAACGCACCGGCCGGCAACGGTGGATTCAGCTTTGGTAGCCGCATCGCCAAGCCCCTACGGGGAGGAGGTGACAGTGCTCAGGCACAGGTCCCTACTATTGCCAACCTACAGAGCGAGAGCGGTGCTAGCAATAAGAGAAGCAGCTGGTTCTTCAATAAGTCGTAGGTCGATGGACAATCGTATGATTATGATGATCATGAAGTAAGGACGCCGCCCACAGCTTGGAGCGAGGATGAGAAATCTGAGGGTATAGATGTGGTAGACCGCTGGTGGGCACGTTAGGGGGTGGCTATCTGTTACTGTGTAGATTGCGGTATCTGTGGTTGGCTGGATTAGACTTGCGGCATGAACGATTTGTTCTAGTTGGACTTTATACCCTAGGCCTCCAATGCTGTTTCTCTCCTGCATTCTACCCCTTGATATGATGCACTGTTTTGGGCAACTGAGGGAAAGATTATAATAAGGCTTGAAGTGTCATCAGTTGTGTCGCTATAGCGTCTTCCTCGAAGAACGCCGTATCAGTCATGGGCCCCAGCACTCTATGCTCGACTATTTTGCATAAAGCGCACATAATGTTGTGATGGTCGCGGGCATGGGCATCGCTGACCGGGAGTAAAGGAAAAAAATAGATAAAAAGCCCGAGACTATATTCTGAACCAAGAGCCTCGCGTGCTTATGCAGCTAGTCTAAGGAGGCGATTTGAGCGCAGACAGGTTATACCCCCCCTTTTCCGCAGACAATGGACATGAGTATTCGCGCAGTCAACTGAACCTGTGACTATTAGTAACAACCCAGTCACGCGTCCTAAAACTGATATAGAATACCATTGGCTTCCCGTTTCAGTCCATTGACTTTCCTCTCAACAAAGACTACTGCTGTCTCGTTCATCCCCAGTGGTTTTTTATCAACATTCCTTATTATGAGCAGAATGTTTACGACGGTTCACGAACAAATGTGTCCACCGCTTGGCAGAGTAAATGCGTTGCCCTCCAATCGGGTAACAATTGCACTTTTGCTAGCTTTCATGGTGTGTATGACGAAACATTGGCAGCTCTATCTGCCCAATCACAAGAATGGCCTCCGAGCGACCAACCAGTAGCCGCAAGGCGCAACTTTCTGCAGGGCTTCACGGTGCGCCGGTTGAACGTGCACCAAGCCACTGATTATATCAAGTTCAGTAAAATGCCTTCAACGCATGCGGCACGCCACATATACACATGTCCCGGAGCAGCCAACTTGTGTAACACGCACTCCGTTTCGACCCCAAGTACAGCTCTTGACTCTGTGAAAGTGGCCCTTTCATTGCGAAAGACCTTCACCAAGAACGCTATTTGCTCTCAGTTCGACGGAGTTGTTGCTCCTGTTTTGACTTCCCCCTAGAACTCCTTATTTTGGGGGAGGTGGAGGGGATTCCGCCGAGTCAACTCGGCGTTGTTTCAATTCAACAACAAGCACCACAATACTGGGACCAGCCGTATAAGCCATCAAGCTGTTCTAAGTGTCGGCAAAAACATTCTAGACTGCCGAGACCGAACGAAGATCGCATTGAATACTAAGTGGGCAAGAAAGCTTGGTGTAGCCAAGCAGCAGCCCCAATATGAAGTGCCGCAAACACATGAGAAGGATAATTTTTGTGACCAAATCATTTTGTTTTCCATAAAAAAATTCACGTATTATGGGGTTCGCAGAGGACGCCTTCATTGAATCTGAAATCCTCTGGAGACAGACTGATATTGATCAGGGCTCGATTGATCCTCGGTCTACCTTCTTGATTCAGGACGCAGTCGTCCATATAAACAGATATATTGTTTCCGGAAACCAGTTCGGCCATGTTGAACCACCACCATTGCCATCAGACACTGCTTTCGATTCTTCTCTCCTTTCGACTAGCACGCATATAACTACACGCTCGGACAGCTTGCAAACTACTAATTTCTCTTCCCTAGACTCTTCATCAGGTGGCTGTTCTCTCTCTCTCATAATGCCGGGGTACCACAACATGCCAAGTTTGCTAGTATACCAGCTTCGATCGCAACTCCGGAAGGGAGTCTGCGGTCTGTGTCCTTCACGCGGCAGGCGACTGTCTTTGCGTCTGGGTCTCCTTGCCAAAAAGGATGCACCTACGTCGCTACTTCGCATAAAGACAGAGATAGGCACCATGACAACTGAAAGCATAGGCCATAGTTGACTGGCACATCCAGCGCGGCGCCTCCGGGGACGCTCCAACGTGCCTACGGTCGCATCGCAAGCCGAGACAACCATATACGGCACATCAGGATTTGCAACACGAATCCTGAAAGCACGGACGAGTGTGGGAAGAAAGAGAGGACGCCCGTCGTCCAAGAGACGCATGGCGTCTTCTGTGTAAGTTTACATTATGTTACATTTTGTTTTTGAATAGCACATTCAGACTGTAGGAGAATTAGCTAGTTGAGGTGCAGGATTCGGAGATCAGATCTACGATTGACGCTCTGAATGAAATAGTGCTGGTTGACAAGGGGCAGATGGCAGCGGCGTGCTACATCATCTCTGAAATCTGATGCTCATGTCGGGGTTTCCTTCTTCTTCTTCTTCTTCTTCTTCTTCTTCTTCTTCTATCGGTTGTGAAATTGACTCGTCATACATGCGACATAGCCGACTTCTACCCTTACGTCTACTTGGCCATCTTTTATCAGGCGGGCGACATTGACACAAGAGTTGTGATGACCATGCCATACTTAGGTGGTGCAACATTCAGCGTACTTGCCCGATACTTTGTTGAGAAAGCCGCCTATGATAGTACGCATTTAGTCGTGGTGTCCTGGATTGTTCGATCTGGAATCAGTACACTGCAAGCGATATGATCTTGGAACAAAGCGAAATGCTTGTTGGGTTGATAGAAGATATATTGGGGACATTCTATGATTTTCACTGTGTGATGCTGCTGTGCATACGGAGTACCGCTTGCGGAGTGTTTTGTCAAGATGTCCCACCTGCATCAAGATGTCCACTGCCTGCCATGTTCGGCCCCACCATGACCAACTCTAATCCGACAAGCACCAGAGTTACACCAATACATGCTGAAACCCGCTGAGGCTGCAAGTGCTCCTTGCAATTAATCACAACAGAGGCCCTTGAGCTTTTGCTCGACCTTGCTGGCCCATTCTCAATCAATCACCGCACTTGTTATTGACTCCGAGGTGCCATTAGCCCACTATCCGACAAGATGGCGGACAGCAAGCAGCACAAGTACCGGCAGGAGATCCAGCAGATGATGTACGTCTCTGGTGAGACCGGCGAGCCGTCGGTGGAGACGACATCGATGATCGAGGAGATCGTGCGACAACAGGTCATCGAGATGCTGCGCAACTGCACCGAGCTGGCCGCACGCCGCGGCGCGCGCTCCATCACCATCAACGACCTCATCTTCCAGATCCGCGACGACGCGCCCAAAGTCAGCCGTCTGCGCACCTTCCTTAGTTGGAAGGACGTGCGCAAGAACGCCCGCGACAGCGACGAGAAGGGAGGCGAGGTCGACGTCGGCGTGGACGACGCGGGTCCCGTCGGCGCCATGCCGGGTGCCGGCCCGGTCGAGGAGGCGGCCAAGAAGAACAAGAAGGCCAAGGTCAAGCTGCCCTGGGAGCCGAGCAGCTTCTACACCCAAGAGGTGCCGGAGCGAGACGACGAGGAGGACGAGGAAGAGGAGGAGCTGAACTTTATCACATTGGAGCGTCTCCGTAAGGCGGACGAGCGCACCAAGGCGATGACAAGGGAGGAATACGTCACCTGGTCCGAATACCGACAAGCCTCGTTCACCTACCGAAAGGGCAAGCGATTCAGGGAATGGGCTGGCTTTGGCGTTGTCACGGACAGCAAGCCGAGTGACGACATCGTCGATATCCTCGGTTTCCTCACGTTCGAGATGGTACAGACACTCACGGAGGAGGCACTCAAGATCAAGGAGCAGGAGGACCTCTGGAAAGAGCGCACCGGCGCCAGCGAAAGCAACAGCAAGAAGAGGAAACTAGCTCCTGGCGGTCTGTTCGATCCGCCTAGCGAAGGCAAGACGCCCGTCGAGAGTCGACACATACAAGAGGCCTTCCGCAGACTGCAGACGAGAGGAAAGAAGAGTCGCGCTATGCTCAACGGAACGAGACTCCAGCAACATACCAACTTGAGGCTGTTCTAGTCTTGTCAGGCTTGTGGTTTTCGTCACACTTGGCCTCGGTGTGGCGCATTTCGGGGGGAGTTTCGGGTTTGGCGTTAGATTTGGATTGGATACATCGGTGATACCCACGGCTGGATAATGGACTGCATAGGCATTTTGGGTATGTTTCTGTTTCGGACAGCTTGAACGCAACGATAGGCTTTCATGGGACATCTCAAGGCGATTTTTTTTTCCGCACCGCAAACATCGTATCCGAGATTTGATTGCATTCGATCGCCTGCATCGTAGCATGACACCCGTTAATCTTTATATATACTTCCAGCCCTCGAAGCCCCTACCTCTCCAACCCCATGCTACCACATAATGGCTAGCCAGCAACTCCCACTCCTCGACCTCATCCAATCCCTCCAGACTATCCACAAGTTCCCTGTCCTCCCCTGAAACCCACCTCCTCCATATGTCCCGCACCGTCAATGCTTGAGTTCCATCTACAAATCCCGCTTCCTGAAGACGTGCTTCCTGGTCCTTGACCTCCTCGTATACTTCCAACGTGGGCATCCTGATGCGCCGTGCTGCAAGGTTGGACACCATCTGCCGTCCAAAGGGGTCTGACGGTCGTACTGGCTCGTATATGACGAGGGATAGTTCAGGTATAAGAGAGGTGAAATGAGATATCACGGCATTGGCTTGCGTAGACTCTAGGTAGCAGAGGCAGCACTCGGATATGACAAGCGTGGGGATATCACGCTCCAACCCTTCTAACATCGATACCCCGGCCGCGTCCGCGGGTGAAGCCTTGGCCAGCTCTCGAAGATCGAGGCCATGACAGAAGTAGGAGCAGTCGTTGGGCAGGGTTCTGTTGTGCCAATAACCTCTTTCTGGATCCGAGTTGACTGGGATGATATTTCGGAGAGATGGGACAGATTGAACAGTTGTCCGCTTCTTGGCCGATATGGCCGGGAAATCAATCTCGTGGTACACCAGACCACGCGTCCGAGGATGCGAAAACAGCCGGAATGGGCGTGTATCTGTTCCTGCCCCTAGAGATACAATCTGGCGCCTGCCATGGTAGCCTGTTTCATCTCCAGCCAGAAAGGCTGACACCAGGCGATCCAGAGCAGTTGTTCGAGTATAGGTCCCTATCTTCCAGAGTTAGTACCTAAACTGCAAGCAGTATGAAAAAGGTCCAATCCGTCCCGATGTAGAGCAGAGTTCGTACCTCGGTTTATTATGGGTAATCTCCTAACCGACGGTCCAGTATTCTGGACAAAGTATTGGGCGAATGGATCGTCCAAATATCCAAGCTCAACTGCACTCAACCTCGACACGGAAGCGTCAGTATCAGTTCCCTGGATGGTTGCATCGTGGGCTGCAGCGGGGTTTGTGAAACCTCCCCGCGATCTACCCGTACCACGACCCTTGGAGATACCACCTCGGCCGCGGAGTGAGAGGAGGTTTGGTATCTGAGGAGCTGACATGACATCAAACCAAGTCGGCTACATAAGTTGAAGGGACATGTACAAGGTTGGCCGGGATCGATTTGACAGCGGAATGCAAGCCGGCTAGCGAACGGTGCACCGGCTTGTGGGATTCGTCAGTGATGTAATTGATAGTGGGGCGGCGGGGGGGATGTCCTTAGTAGCAGCCCGTTCAACATAACGTTAGTGCGACGGGATGGCGCCGCCCCGCTGGAGACTCGACACTTTGGCACTATTTCCAGACCATGAGCTTCATGTTATTGCGGTAATGAATCTCAGCTGTCTGATTGTTGTATCGCGATTGCCACACGGGCCATTTTGCTTCCCGTCACGCCCGACAGCTGATATTCTGGTAGTTCAGCTTGTACGTGTATTGGTGGCCTGGGTGTCTACTTGGTGCATTGGAGACTTCGCGAAGACACCTGGCACGTTTGAAATCGCCTAGGTCAAGGGATTGCACTCGGTGCTGACCAGGCCAGTCTTCATTGCCATACGGCGAATGACTCCCATTCTACTGTAGCTCAATGAGGATAAACGCTTGTGTATATATACACAAGCGCCATAAGACAGACACCTATCTATGTACTGCCAAGTGCAGGTCAAACGCAAACGTGATGTGCTTTCAACGAACAGGACGTGGCCAGACACGCAGTCCAGACACGCCAAGGGCAAATTAATAAGTGAATATTTTAAAATAAACCCCGTTGTATCCGAAATATCCTGGCGCTTGTCACTTCAGGTCTGCAGGTCTGCAGGGCACAGAACGAGGCAGTGCAGATCGCTGCCTACGCTTGCGCCTACGCTTGCGCCCAATAGGGCGATTACAAGGGGCCGGCGACCATTAGCTTAAAACGGTTCCCGTCCTGACGGGTTCGGTTTCAAGATCCCTCTCTTCTCTTTAAAGACACCACCTGAGCCGCTCCCCTCCTTCTGGGCTTGCACTTTCTTGCTTTTGACGCCTTCATCCTTTGCCACCATTCTTTGTTCTCATTATACATACATTTGTTTGCCGTGCATCCCAATCGAACGCGGCAGTATACCACTGGATACACTATCAAGATGTATCGCGATATCGCCACCCACGTCTACAAGCGCGCCGTCGATGACGGCGCCGTCTACCAATTACCTGGCTGGGCTTTTGGCTTGATCATCCTGGACTTCATTGTGTTCCTGCCGTTCCTCTTCATCATCGGGTACACATTCAACAATGTCTTCCCGGTAATCGCAATGGTCGAGGACCCATCTCCTCCAGCTTACGAACCCGTCTCCTTGAACGCCGAAACCGATTCCCTCGCCGAGGACAATGCCCCCATCGCCGACGAGTCCGCACGCAGTGGTCAGGACACCCGAGCAATTAGCTCGAGCTTCCGCGGACTACACCGCACCATCATCGCTATCTCCGGATGGCGATCTTATTTCCGTGGCCTGGCTTGCTGGCTTGCCCTGACCGTCTCGACTATGTTTGTTTATGGCATCGTCAGCGCTGTCCCCTTCGTCCCTGCCATTGTCGCCGCCATGATCAGCGCCATTGCTCTTGTCCAGCTGTACGCCGCTTGGAACCATATCGTTATTTCCGTACCTTCGGAAAAGCCATTTTACCAGCGCCTCCCTCCTTTCAAGAAGGCTTTCCAGGCTTGCGCTCTGCCGACCGTCCTCTACTTTGTTGCCTTGGAGATTCACACATGGTTCCCCAGGTTCCTTGCCGGCGTCTTGGGCATGACCACCTGGGATTATTCCTCGAACCCCGGTCAAGTCCCCCAGCCAAAGGCGAGCGACAGCTGGAAAGGCTTGATCATCTTCATCGTCTCCATCGCCATTACTATATTTGTCACGATCCCGGCCCACGTCGTCCTCACCCGCACACAGGCATCTCTTTTGCCCGAGGAGGATGAGACCATCGTGCCATTCGACCGATCTTTCCAAGGAAAACTCGAACCCGCCATCGTTGGTGGTAAGGGCTATGTCACCATTGTAGATGCTTGGCAGACATTCTCTCGTGCCTCGTGGGTCAGACTCGTCAAGCTCTACGTCAAGCTCTTCTTGGTCAGCTTGGCTGTCTACTTCGCCTTTGCGCTCATCCTTGTTCCCGAGGCTCTCCTCATCGCTCGCAGCACTGAGAAAGCTCAGTAGACTTTGTAGGACATATAAAAGAGCCAGATTAGGTGTTACGGAATGCCACCAGGATGACTTTTAAATAGCCAGTAGCCCTAATCGACAATCAGCTTGATTGCAATTTTGTAGATTAATATTGTGGAAACGAGATCTGTGCCGGGTTGGGTTGGAGGCTGAGTGAACGCAGTCTGACACTCTTTGTATATCACAAGTAACGACATCATGATGCCCATGACTCCAGCTTCTCCTGACCTTGTGCACAATGGAACATATGGCCACTTGCATAATGAACATGTTACGAAGACGACCAAACATGACAGATATGTGCTCCATTGAGAAAATCAGTGTTGAATGATTCATAGTCGACCAGACAAGGCTTCATAACACGTGCCTTGGCTAACTCCTGGCAGGAAAAACTCTATTGTAGCTGTTTCCTTAACAATCCCTAGAGTATATACCACCATCATACATAAAATCGAAGCGAAATGGTTGTCATCCCCCCGAGTCCCACCAACTACCCTGTGCATGTGTTCCTAGAAGTAGCAGAACAAACCGAAGCTGGCTACCATGAGCTCTGTGGGCGGACATGGCCTATCAGAGCTCTTTGGCTACATGAACACCGCTCTGGTTAGATGCGTTGGTCAACCCGGAGCAGTCCTTTTGTGAGAATAGTCAGCAATCTGGTTTCTACAAAACACCGTCGAGGGCATTCTCCGTAGCGAACCCTCCCCCCACCACAATGCTTCCAAAACCAACGACAGTCCATTCAAAGACACCGGGGCCAGCCATGTGACCAGGACGAACCTGTGTTGTTTGGAATGTCCAGGGACGTTGGCATAACTTACCGTACAATTTTCGCAATTGTCGCAGTCCTTGCACTTCAAACATTCAGAGTCAGCTTTATCCATCAAGTAGCAGGTAACAATGAAGATAGTATGAAAGAAGCCACCGGCCCACATCGGCCATTATGTACGCTGAGACATGCTAGGATCGAAAAGAACAGATTTCAGAACTTTTGCTTACGTTGGTAAGGTTCGAGGAGTTGCTACAGTTCTTCGAGTCGGTGCAGTTTCTCTAGTTCACAAACCCGGATCAGCTCTTTACTTCCTACTCCTGGGATGGGGGAAAGTGTCGTTTCTTTGGTGTCAAGAGAGGTAGGTGGCACGAGTGAACGTGCATCTTCTCCCAGAGCCCAGGGGAAATGTCGGTTTTTCTGGGACCGTCAGCCACTCACACAATTATCAAGATCGGTAGATCGGGTGCAATTGTCGGAATCTGAGCAATTTATGCCTGTGAAGTTCCGGTTTAGCATTCAGAGCATGTCGCTCCTTTAGATTCAAAGACTAGCTTACAGGTATTGCAGTTCTAGCCACAAGAAAACATGTCAGCTTTTTATTCTCTATTTCATGTCTTTGTTAGAGCGGAGAAGTTGAGGCTCAAGCAATCTGTTTGGGCTCCTAACATTGCAATTGATGCAGTCCGTGCCTGAGTAATTCTAATTAGCACCTGTGTAAATCCGTGACTATAGGTGAATATAGGATGTATCTCACAGCTCTGACAATTGTCGCAGTCCGTACAATTTTTGCACTAAAACACTTGAAGTCAGTGATTTCCGGCTTGAATAGTATTCGTAACTTTCGTGGCTATTCTCAGGTCACAAAAAGCTGCGTATGGAGGCTCTTGTAAGATCATAATTCTACACTGCAAAAATTTGAGGGGAGGGGCAGATGTGACTCCAGAATATGCTCACCTTGGTGCAGTTGTTACAATTCTTGTTGCCGTCCCTGTCTCCCATGGTCATGATGAGGTGAAAGTTTTTAAATTCAGTTTTGTTTCTCAAAGTGTTGTATGCGTTTGGACTTCTCGCCATTCCTCGTCACATTGCATCATCTTATAGCTAAACTCATAACAGTATACTCTCAAATTCTCAAAGTATTATGTTGTTGCCTAATGTGCGATAACGAATGTGACGCGTCAGGGTTGATTGGCTGCAGATCTAACCTGCGCAGTCAATCAGCGCAAATGCTGTTCTGAACGCATGATGACGGCAGCTCCTCCGTACGATGAACAATTGCTGTTAGCAAGTCTTCTAGCGCATACGAACAACATGTAGATGATTGGAGGTTTTGTAGCTGCAGTCAGATTTGGTGGTCGCCAGCCGAAACGTAATCAGTACGAATTCGGCAGGTCGCATTGGTGCATAGTTGATCGAAACTCTAATCAGTCGGATTTACGAATCCGGACCAAACATGTTGGCTTTTATCGACAGCTCGTCGCTGCAAACTATTTGCTGTGCGCGACTATACAGCTCCTTCAAGCTGTCTATGCACATGCCAAACGTCGTTTGCAAACCCTATCCAACCACGAGACAAGAATAGATTTATCTTATTTCAAGTCATTCTTGTGAACTGGATGTAAACAATATTTGTGTCTTTATCTTATGAACATCATGTGATAAAACAGCTTATAAGGGGATTGGTGTAATTCAGCGTCGATAGCTCCGGAGACGACGTGTAAGGTTCATCGTTCAAATTGGGAGCACTGCGGAGCCAAATGCCACACATCCCATGAGGTGAGTTGTTCTGAGCTTTGAGTACATTGTAGGTTTTGTACTTGCGATAGCTTCAAGAAATGGGTTGACCGCAGTCGATAAAAATTCGTGGTTCGATATGTGCTAATGTTGAGGTGTCTATGTATGATGGATTAAGTGCACCATGACGACTTGACACTACAGATTGAAGTCGTTCCCAGGATTTGCGCCGTTCAAATGATTTGGGTTAACTTTCTCCGGCATGAAATATTTGTAGTAATCGTCTGGCGCGGGTATCTCCTTAACCTTGCCCTCCTTTTTCTGCATCTTTTCCACGTACTCATCCAGATCGATTGTGTTCTCCTTTCGCCAGCTTGTCAACTTTTCGAAATTGACGCATTGCTTGTTCACACTCATGTCTGGGAATGGGTACGCCTGTTCGGCAACCCAATGCAATGTAATCAAGTTCATGTTACCGCTGCACTGCAGTGTCTGCATAAGCATGTCAACACAGTGGTTAATGTGTACTTCGTACATCTCTCCTTTCTGAGTATGGTGGTGCTCTCCAGCTTTGCTTGAATTGTAGTAATCACTGTATGCAATTCGCCGCAGTGTATTCAGGCAGTGCAACTGGTGATAGACGTCGAATATAGCAACGTAGGCATCATCACCAAGACCCCAATCCTCGTCCTCAAGTTTTGCGGCCGTGGAGGGATCCTTGCCCATGGCTCGAATTTGATCGGCCGTCACTGGAACATAGCGTGTGAGCTCCCACTCGTTCCAGATCGCATCAGCTTCATCGTTAGGCATTTGACGCGCAATAGAGGGCTCCTTAGGTGTGAAGAGAGTGCCATTCAACATCTGCGGTCTCATCTCAAGATCTAACATGTCATACACAGGACCTATCAAGTAATATTAACACCATGTCTCAATAAGATACAATATGGGAGGTGCTCCACTGTCCACTTACTGTATGTTGATGATTGTCTCAGCGGGCCATTCAGTCTCCAGTGCGTGTGATAATACCATGTTCCAAACAAAGAACAGGATACGACGAAAAGCAGAATATTCAAGGCTATAACCACATATTGTGTAAGACCAAGGCCACGTTCTCTGTGTGAGTTGACTCGAACAACATCACCGGTGAGGAAGCTGGCTTTCTCAAGTTCATCATCCGCCATTGACGGGTTTGAAGACCTTGATGCGAAAAGACGATATTGCTGTAGTTTGGAGAAAGCCATTGCGACTTGTTTGTTCTCGGAGAAACATGAGTCTAAGAAGCCTGCTAATTGAAGCAATTATCGAGACAAAAGATGCCATTGAAAAGACCTGTAAGGGGTAAGATTCATATGCAAGCCGAGTACGATCAATGGTAGACCGCTCCACTCTATTAGAAGACAGCCTAGGTTGAACGTGAGTGTAGGCTTATCATTGGCGGAACTGGAGTCTCGTTATCGCACGTCAGACGAGGCTCACATCTTGGCGGATCCTTCTCATGTCTTGGCTTCTGCCAAGAAGCCTAGATTATATCACAAGCATGTCAGAACTTATTCTCTGCCCGCTTTACTGCTTGGTCACGATGCTTTTTACCGTCGCCAAGGACTATACGAGAATCCCCGCCTAAACTGGTTCGGGAAGGAGCAACAGTATATGCATGTAGGTCTCGTCTAGCGCTGAGATCATATGCATGCAATTGGTTGCCATTGAAATATATTAGTGTGGCGAATGGTATGATTCGACCGACATTGGTTGAACAGCTAGGCTCGTACCCCATTTGCTATGCTGTAAGGGGGAATTTGTGGCCTTTTCTAACCAGAATATTCCAACCTGTCGAAAAGTACCATCAGCCATGTAAGTGATCGTGATAGGATCAGAGCTTGATCGTGAATGAGAGTCAACTATAACAAAGCAAGTGCGTCGTGATACTCTGTACATTTCTCTGAGCACAACCTGGAGCAACTGAACTTGAAGTTTCTACAACCATCAACTAAAATAGCAAGTTTGGGCAAAATGCGCGTTTCATATGCTGCCATTCTGGCACTTGCCACATTGACCTTGAGTGCTCCTGTCAAGGTAAGCATATTTGATCGTAATCCAAAGACCACCACTGACTGAGTTGTGATAGCGTGGTGAGAGTGTCTACGATAACCCCAAAGCTGCCACTCTTCCATACAATGTCAACTCTCTAGAGACCGTCTCGGAGAAGCGTGGAGAGGCCGTTTATGACAACCCCAAGGCAGCCACTCTTCCATACAACCCCAACAGCCTCGAACCAGCTGAGTCGAAGCGTGCGGAGTCCGTTTATGACAGCCCAAAGGCCGCGACCCTTCCGTATGGTCTGAACGAACTTGACAAGAAGGGCGAGTCGGTCTACGACAACCCGAAGGCTGCCACGCTCCCGTACGGCCTCAACTCTCTCACCACTAAGCGAGGTGAGGCTGTCTATGACAACCCAAAGGCTGCCACGCTCCCGTACGGCCTCAACTCTCTCACCACCAAGCGAGGTGAGGCTGTCTATGACAACCCAAAGGCTGCCACGCTCCCGTACGGCCTCCACTCTCTCGTTGTTAAGCGAGGTGAAGCTGTCTATGACAACCCAAAGGCCGCTACGCTCCCTTACAGTGTCAACTCCCTTGAGACAGTCTCTGAGAAGCGAGGCGAAAGTGTCTATGACAACCCCAAGGCCGCTACCTTGCCCTATAACGTCAACACTCTTGTTTAAAATAAGAGGAGACCATTTATAGATATGAGCCGGCCATGCAGAATTATTGTGCTACTTGGGAAATTCAGACTAAAGTCGGACCACATGGCACCTAGTTCAATTATGGTGTAATGAGACATCATTCATGACAAGACCTCAAAAACTGCTATTTTTCCAGACGCGTACTTGCTGCAGTCAGAACCACATTGTCAACCGTGTATCACATCGGCTACGGTTGTCTTCATATTCTGATAGATGTCCCAACATCATGTGATTTTCTGATTGCAGCAGCACTTAAGGCACTTAGATCAACTTAACATATGAGTAACTACAAAAAAATATTTCTTGCAACATTCTGTTATCGTCTCCATTCAACAACATCGTATCACAGTACGGCCTAGTAGTCTAGACTGCTTACCAACAATGAGGCTCCTGCCACTACTAGCTTATCATACTCTCAAGATCCGCTTCCCTCTATGTACTGCTCCCGCTACCATTTGTTCCATTCATGCCGCAACGAGTCATGCCAACATAGAGACGACGGCTTTGTCGTATTGCTTCTCTGCATGAACGCGTTAGCAATACGACTTACCAGGGGGATAAGCTTGGTTCCTCTACGTCATGCGAGTGATCTCGGTGTTGTCAATCACGGGCAGTGGCTTCTCCTCTTGATACATGCTTATTCTGGCCGGCGTGAAATCCCTCTCGAGCGGCTCAGTCCGTGGTGACCGGTAAGCGAGCTCATGCAATGACAAAGAAAAACTTTCAAGTGCTCAGAAATAGCTTGCGGGGAGTGGGTTTCGGTACATTGCTGGGTGTGCTCTTTACTATGCAAGCTGTGGTAAAAGCCGGACAATGTCCGAAGAGCAACGACGCTCGAATACCGGCGAGGCCAGCCTAGTTTGATGGCGCAGATGTGACAGTGAGTAACACCATGGGCACTTCGGTAGCAGAGTTAGTCGCCGCCAGGTGTGCTGAGATCAGAGTATGGACTGATTTTAACAACTGGCACCAGGGTATGTCGGGTATGTATTAGGACAGAGGCCACGTTCATTTAGAAAAGACGTCTACCAAGATGACATGAATAATCTCGTGGTTTACTATATTCACGAGCGTTTTGGACAGAATGCCAGTGATAATTATGATATGGATAAGATGGATTATCATTGTTAGGCTGACAAACGTTCCAGTTCATACGCCTTCGTACACCGCATGTCGATAGTTTGTCAAAAGCATTGCCCGCGACCAGACCTTTAAGTGGCACTTACTTTGACGACAGGAAGGGCCACAATCCCCTTCCAGCCGCAGCAGACATAGCGCGCCTCGTAATGGAAGTCTGGTCCTGTGGCTCGAACCCGCCATAACGGGTGGCCTTCAATATTATCAAATGAACATATAAATGCCAGAGTCCTCATCCAAGCCCACTACAGGCACACTTAGGCATTGAAAGCCGACATATTGATCTCCGGGATGGGGTAACCGAAATACGAGAACAGCAAACTGCGACAACAAGAAATGTACCTGTGGCAGCTCTCACCGAGGCTCAGACTGAATCCGAACGCACCACCAACGCTCACGATGTTTGCAATAACGAAATATAAAGGGCCCGTACTCCACTTTGCCCACCTCGGCGACGACCCCGTCACCAGCAACTTTGGCATTCGGGGAGGTGCCGGGCCGGAGTTATCGAGCGAAACTACTAGCACCGACTCCAGGTCCGGTCTTTGGTGGCCAGATTTCAGATGATGATGACAAAGTCACACTGGCCGCTGGTGCTGTAGTTGTGTCGGCCAGATGGACCGCCTGTATCAAATCATCTAATGGAATTGGTCAATGGCGATTCGTCTGCGATTGATACATGCGTCCACAATGATACAGACGTTAAGGGGGTTGCGAGCCCCGGCCCAATGATCTAGCCATCTCGCCGTGACGAGTTTACCATCCGTCAAATGGCCTGCCACTGTAAATGTTTGCAATGAACTGCCAAAAAAGAAAACCATAAGCTAAAACACAAAAGTCAAATTATGGTTGTCTATCGCTGAAATATGAGCTATGGCCACTTCGGTCGTCATAACCTATTATGTTGGTATACTCCAATCCTGTTTGCTGGGTTTCGCATAGGCAAGTAAGGCGAATGTCGTATACCTGCCAAATCCGGATTTCTAGCTTCTTCCTAGCTAATCTGGGTTGTCCTAACCCCTATGATGTAGTCCTAGCATGGTTGTGTGCTGTATTATTGTTAATATAGGGCTTTATCCCGGCTTCCCATGTCATATTAGACAGGGATTGGAGTGTATCCCACCCCTGACAGCCGTCGATGTCGGCCAAGACTACAACCGATGACATCAGCGTAGACGAAGGTCGATTAAATACTCACAGATACTATCACGATCATATCGTGCGGTGTAGCTCCTCAAGACAAGCCAGAAATTTCATCGTTCTTGCATGTTGCAGTGATATAACGATCACGGTCCACTTTAGGAAGATTGCTCATACCCTTCTAGAGTAGTCGGGGAAACCCCGTGGAAGCATTTACGACACAACCTGGTAGTGGCATACATGGATTATACCTTTCTGGTGGTTACTGAATTCAGGGTTCTAACACATCCAATGCAGCATAACTCGTTGTGTTTATGCCATATGTCATTGCTTGATGCTCAGGCAGACTTGAGCCGCAAGCTAGCAAGCCACAATATGTGAGCAAGAGCCTATTGCGCACCTAGCTGAAGGAAGCTGACTGTGCTGAGGAGGCTGTGTTACGCTTGACTGCAATCAACTTCGCGGGAACTAACCCGCCAGATGGGGCTCGCTGCAAGGACCCGCAGCGCGATGTATCTCATCGAAATTGCCAGATCCGAGATGTCGCCGTATTGCTTTCATTGGTATCGGGCCTTCGGAATATTGTCTCTGCATTTAGAACACCACCAGGGTGGAGGGTGGATTTTGTGTGTCCATCATGGTCCGAAGAGCTCGGTAGACGGCAACTCGCTAGATGCAACACCGGCTTCATTACAGGCGTAGGCAATTTGCCTCAAACACATTAAAGTCGGCAAGTGTTTGAAAATCTGAAAAGTGGGCGTTTGACCGGAAGAACAGGAGTACATAGTAGGGTTTAACTCTGGAAAAAAAATTGCATCGCAAACTAGAGACGGTCCGCGTCTTCGTCTGGGTGCACAGCACGAATCGCATAGCACGAATTGCACCAGCACCAGCACCAGCACCAGCATCAGCACCAGCACCAAGAGCAGGTAGTGGAGCATTGTGGGTTGCTCCTCGGATTTTACCATGTTCAATGCAAGACAATGGCATAAACTGGAAGAACTTGGAGGCCTGGGGTTTAACTATCATCGATCGACTTCCCCGGATTGACGGAAGGCTGCTCGTCCCTGACAATCAATTGCCCTTTTCATCTGCGGTTGACACCACGCCAACATCAGTGTGAGAGGAGCGCAGATTCCAGTACAAGAAACTCCGACGAGACCTTTGGGAAATTGAGAGCAGTTTGCTGCTCGTACTCGAGAAGGTTATTGCTCCTCATACGATCCGGGTTTCTGACAGCTGCCCCATGGGAACGAATGCTTAAAGAGGCAATTCAAAATTGGCGACATCGGGATTTCGAGCTTTTCTATACACCCGAGTCGCCGAGGTATCACGACAGGCCCGATATAGGATGGTGACGATTTTGGTTCCCCAATGGCGCCGTTGGGTTTCGCGGTGAAGCAGCATGGGGCACAAACCCTGGGAAATATACTTCGTAATGCGCAACAATGTGCTGTGCCAAGCATCCCGCATTCGATGGTACAAGTCGCTACTGTGGTGGTCCAAGCAGTGGAATACGATGGCCATACGATATGAGGCCCACGGGATCTGCGAAGTTCCTTGTCAATTGCTCAGGTTAGCGGTGAGCCCATCCATCCGCACCGCTCGCTACCTCGCTAGCTGGTCGTGATGATGGGACCCCTTTTTTCGGAAAAGACATTTGCGACATATATAATTCCGGATTGTGATTGATTACGAGGAATGCATGAGCTCGCGATGCAGGGGCCTCTAAGTTTGCAGATGCAGTGCAAGGACAGTAACCCGTGAATTCTCGTCATTGCAATAATGCTTTGGTTATTTCCCCCCCAATGGACAACTCTCGAGTCACTTACTCACGGAGGGTGCCGTAGGCTCCCAAGTCCATGGCTCGCATCCAGCAATGGGATTGCTTTTATATGGGTCGTCCGAAACTTTCAAAGTATTCTTCTAGCGCTGATCAAGTACTATGTAGTGGCGGCCCTTGCAACCTAATGGCACCATTTTGGGCCCTGATCAATACCCTTAGCACCATACTAGTGTCGTGTTCGGGGCGGTGCTACCCACGAACACCGTTGGCGTTGTGAGGTAACTGGGTAACATTCTGCAGGCTGGCAAGGTGCAAGCACTATGCATTCTCATGGTCAGTTCATGCAACTTTGAGCCTCGGGAACAAGACAGCAAAGCATGCCCATCGCGATGTACGGATGCGTGGAAGTAAAAAAAACAAAGCAAAGCAAAACAAAACAAAACAATGCAAGGAATCTAAAAGAAACCCGGAGTTTATTGTCTCACGGGACATGAAAGCCATTCATTCGAACATGAGCGAGCCCCCGGAGAGGAAAATGCCCAAAGTCGTCTCTATGGCATCATTTTCGGCCTTAACTGTCACCAAACACTTGACGAGCCCGCTTTGGCGCTTTGTTTCCCGTGCAACTTGCAAACTCTCCAGTTCCCCCCTAGCTCCGGTACTATTCTCTTTCATCCCCCTGACTTCCTTGTAAAATCATCAGCCTTGTTGTTGCTGATTGCACCTTGGCCACATGCGGGTCATGGCTTTCGTTCTGCTGGGTCATCGACCTCGACCTTGACCTTGACCTGGCTTTTACGGACCGTGCAACCTGCATAAGCCCCAGGCTAAGTTATTTCATATATTGTCATCTAACTTCCACAGCTTTGTATTTCTTCATCCCTCCTCCCGAAGATTGGTTGAGAAGTTTCTTGGTTCACTCTCTCTATAATCCCGTAGCACTGGCTGGAGTCGTCGTTCCATATCGCCTGCCTTACAACCTGCATATATAAGACGAAGGACCTCACCATCAACTCGAGTGCCATCATCCGCAGCAGCATTTCCAGTCGTCTCATTCGTTTACGATATCCATCTAGTAAAACCGTCAAGTTGTGGTTGGGTGATTCAGGCTTTTCAACAATCTTCGGCTTGAGCATGAACAAAGCTTCTCCGGCCCACCTAAACAAGTTTGATCGTTGGTCGGAATACCCTTGAATCAAATCATATACAGCGCTCACTACGACGCAAATCACAATGGGACACAACAAGAGCTTCTCACAGAACGACGGTTTCGAGTTCGACGAGGCGTGTTTCAGGAAGTTCTACAGGCCATTGTCCAACTTGCCTACCCCTCCGCCGTCGTCCCGAACCTCTTCAGCAACTCAAAGTCCCCGCATCCCGGCGCACGACACGACAGGCCGCAACGATGAATTGCTAGGTAGATAATTACCCTCACTTGAACACGGCGAACCGTTGAATACGAGCTAATCAAGCTGCTTTGTTTCTAGCCTCAGCTGTACATCTTACCCGGATGCTGCCTTCGGGCCTCTCATTGGAGGAGCCGTCGGTGGCTGTCGTACAGGACATGCTCAGCCGTGCCAATCTCCCGATGGATACTATCGCCCTTGCAGTATGCATATTAGACGCCCTGCCGACAAGGTACCGCAACAGGTGGCGGATGGTATACCCCAGAACACGTCAGACACCCGCGGCATTGAAGCGGCACACCCTGCCTTCCGGCCCCATTGAGTCGCCAAACGATGCCGTCTTTCCCGAGGTCACTATTTTATGCGCAATCATGATTGCTACGAAATTCACCGAAGACGCCCACGATCCTACACAATATTTCTGCTCCGAATGGGGTCGCGACATTTGGTCCTGCGAACAGATCAATGCCACAGAGCGATGCGTTATGGAGGTCCTTGATTACCGCATCATGCCATTGACGGCTGACGAGTATATTAAGGAGGCCCGGCACGACATTGAGTACACCCGACGAGAACTTCTCGACGAGACCAGTGACGCTGCGTTTGAAGCGAAAGAACATGGCATATACGATACAAGACCCATGAGTTCCGGTGAAGCTGTTACGGGTTTGGGCCTCCAGCTTACTCCCGCCGAAACGCCCGTGTCCGAGTTGTCTTGTCCATTTGGTCAGAACCGTCTCCTTGCTCGCGAAACGAAAGAGGCATTCGGCAGTCCTCGGGCGCTTCCAGAGAACTATCTGCACCTGCCCTGAACACTGTTGAGGGTGCTTCGTTGGATGGCAAGATCACCTCATCATCACGTCTTTTCTGCATAGCGTAGGGTTGCATCGTCGGAGACACGGCTTTGCTGCATTTCATCTATGGTCTTATAATCGTCTCTCACACACGAGAGAATTCTGCATATCGTCTGGCGTTGTTACCGGACCAAGGAAAATGGCATCTGGGTGTCAGGCCGTCTATGACTGGCCAAGGCGTTTGGTTTCTTCTTTTTGGACAGCTCACCTTTTGTGCGTCCAACGTATACCCCACTAGTATAGCTCTGCTTGCAGTAATGTGTATTCCATCATTGCCATATTTGCACCAATTGCCTTCAAAATTTTCACCGTGTCTGCATGTCTGTTGACTCGCGCAGATGCGACTGCCGCTTTTGTTAAACAACGCGGACATTTTTATGGCCCTGGCGGTGCCTCCCGTTCCGCTATTAAGCCTGAAATGCCTGTCTTGATGTCACCCTACAGCGTCGACACGGCCAGACCCTTTTAGTGCCATTCAGATTTTTATTTAATTTTTGATTACATATACTCGATCGCTAGATCTTGATGACTATTATATGATTACACATTGAGGCCGCGTAAGCTTCCGAGCCGACTTTTGGCCAAACTGAGACACAGTTCAAATTAGACTTAATGGGATTATGGGTAAGGTTACCGACTGACCTTCATTCTTCCCTCAGCTGATGCAGAACACAGAAGGATAGGGTACACAATCTACCAAGTTTTTTGTAAAGCTTCTTCGTATAAAACCCGGCCGACTTGCCCGCTTGGGCCAAGTCAAGATCGAGCTGAGCATGCAAGATGGAAGTATAAACCACTTGGTAAGCCTTAATCGATGCCTACCCCTGATCTAAAATCTGGCGTAGAATTTAGCTCAGAATACCAACTACATGACTAACTTGGCAAGTAGCGGACGCAGGAGAAAATTTGTGCACGATGATGGGGTACTACTCTTTTGCAATTTGCAAAGCGATGGGCAACTCATTCTATATGGTATGATCAGGCGTTTTGGCGAGTTGAAAACCTCCGAGTTGTGTCAACCACTTCTCATCTTTATACACTGCAACAATTTTGTACCACGGATTTTGAGTTAGAGCTGCCTGAAACTTTTGTATGTCACCTGGTAGGTGAACGGATAGTGCATGATGTTGTGGAAGAAATGAACCACGTTTGTGGCTATGAATAGTGGCTGATAGATGCACAGAGACGATCAAGACCGGACGTAATCGGTTTAAATCTGGGTAAGGAGAGCTACCTGGTCGCCTACTACCATCGGAATTTGTTCACGATGCTGTTGCAATCATGCTACGACTTTCCTACTAGCAGTTAGAACTCGCCAAATTCATTTGCCTGACGAAGGTATGCATGTATGATTATAGTCCGATGTAGACATATGGACGTAGTACCAGCTCTCGCTGATTATAACCTAACCTTGGCGGCTAAATTGATTGCCAGGATATTTCAGGAATAATGCCAATCGTTGTGTATTGGTCAGAGAATAGTGCCATGCAGGCACCTGAACACGTCACTGGCAGAGCCAGCTAACGATATCCTCGGGCGTTTTCGCGGGTAGAAACATCCATAGCCTCTGAGTGTATGTCATAGTAAGGACGGGTAACTGAAGACTACGGTAGTTGCATAGTATACCAGGTGATCTGATACTAGCTTCTCACAGCTAGTTGTCGTTCGTTGTCGTCTATGGCTACTATGAGTTGCTGCGGCGGTCGAAGACATCGCTGAAAGTCTTGTCGTTTTCTTGTGCCACAGAAGTTTTTCGAGCCTGTCGGCGTTCATAATCTATTAGTCCTTGGGCTTATTGTCTTATCTCGAAACTTTGATATCGGAGGCAGAGTAGCCGGCGGTTGCATCACTGGCCCTCAGGCTTCACGCGTTTAGAAACTGCGTAAGATTACGGATATCAGATTACGGATTTTAATCTTCAATTCGCTCACAACAGGCTGAGATTCCCCACCGTGCCATACGCGATTATTCACAGCTTTTGGTCAACTTCGGAATGAAGTCGTAAAGTATGCGAATATGATCGAAGGGCTAGAGAGGCTTCCAGGCATTGTAAGGATTCAACACTATAATGCTTGCATATGTATAGAGATACATCGGTAGTCTACACTCAGGTTTGGTTTATTTTATATACATTGATAGTAGTGGCAACTGCAGAATATCACGGTACCCTCATTGTGGAACATCCGTAGAGAATTCTCAGAAGAAAACGAGAAGAAAAACCACGATATAATTTTATCGGGGAGCCTGCCACCAAGAGCAACGAAGACCATTTATGAGCCTAAAATCAAGAGGGCTCCGCCTCTCAGCTGAGGCTGCCCAGATCTTAACAACGAGCAATCGGGAACGGGTGATTCTAAGAGATTAATAGGTTGCCTCCCAGCAAACCTTGCTTTCGACGAAGAGTTCGATATGTGCATGGTCCAGGATGGCTCACCGTTTGACTTCTTCGCTTCTAGCTATACATTGAAGTGTTCCATCTTGTCATATGTGTCTAACGGTATAGGCGTCTCTACCTGTGCCTTGGTATTGGTTTGCTGAGTTAATTCCGAAGCAATGGTGTGGTTCCGGTAGCAAGGACAGTTTACCCATTCGTAATACATATTGAAAAGCCATATCGACGGTATAAAATGGCAAATGCCTGCGGTAAAATTTCTATCTCTTGCAATTTACCATGTCACAATACCGTGTGTGTAATTGTGATGTTGTTGAACAAGAGCAGTGTTCGGTATCTTAGGTAAATGGTAATATTTGGAGATACGTTGAGCGCCACCATCGCAACGAGCTGTAAGTCAAGATGCAGGAAGAATCTATGATATGAGAGGCCAACCTCTGAGATGATATGGCTGTCGGAAGTGAGGGTCATGTGTTGCGCAAGCAGGCCTCGACACATTCGGGCGTGATGTTTCAAAGGTCTAAATGGTAGTATATAGAGAAGTCCAGAGTTTCAAAAACCCTTACCACTGTGGTTTTTATGATTTTTGATCAAGCTAATTTGGTGTTGTAGCTCATGAGAAGTACAATTACTCGCGAGACTGTTGTACGAGTTTAGAGGTACCCAAAATCACCAACTCGACGCCTGGAAAATTGACTGCTTCTAAATTCCGTCGGCTACTTGTTTCAAGCTTCGTGGTACTTATTCTTCGAAGTGTTAAATAAAAGTCGACTATAATTATGTAATTGGGTAGATGCTCCCACTCCCTTAAAATAATAGATGATGGACCGGTCATACTTGAATCGTAGCATGTATACATATAACTGCACCTAATTGTAGGCGCTTAAGCAAAAAGAGGAAGAAAAAACTTTCAAGGCGAACTGTGGTAAAGGGAGATTTTGATACTTCATTATGACTGATTGTCTTCGGCTTTATGATTGAGGCTTGATTCTCACAATTGAATTGATATACTTGGGTACGGTCTGAGGCGACGTGCATGTTCGACGTCTACATTGAAACAATGTACGAACTGAAGTCCGCATATCTTAAAATAACATGGCTGCAGTGAATATCAATTTGTTTGAAGTGCTTAAGACTGACTTACGCAAGCATAATGTGAACCCATTCTAACTCGTGGTTGGCGATTAATCATTTAACCCATAATACTATTTTTGGCCGTATATCTTCCTGAACTCTCGAATTCGCATACTGCCTTTTCAGCAGCGTCCCCCTGGGCGTACTCAGCCTTGGAAACCCCTTGTCCGTTCGTACGGCATGCACCATATGTGTAGACCATCATGGTCGTCAGGTCCGATAACATGGGCATGAACAATATACGATTACAAGAATGCATCGGCGTTTCTGGGCCGGTCGTGTTGACATGGCCTACTGCGAATAAGCCGTCTGGAGCTGGTCTTCTGGAGCTTCAAAAAGGGTACCTGCTCATAAGTTAATTCTTGGAAAACGGCATAGCTTTAATCAGACCCCCGCCATGTTTTTCATTATACCTACAGTCCATTGCTTTCACAAACGAGATAGTAGTAGTGTCAGGACCGGGACGAATCGCAAGTATGCTGCTGGTATGAAAGAGCCATTGACTATGGTAGGATCAAGCTCCCAGAGCATGAAAAGGAGTTCACCATAATGTGAAATCCTATGCAAGATCAATGTTCTTGCTAGGCCGATCCTCACGCTCTGAGTCGCAATATGCTGAAGATATGGCTGTAAATTATCGCTCGTATTCTTCAGTAAACCAGCAACGTCCAAACCTAGGCTCTCCACGTTTCTCGATTTTGTCGCACTTGAGTGCAAGTATTGGTTCCCTCCAAATTTTGCAAAGGTGACTGTAGAACTGTGGCCAAGACAAGATGGCAAACTGGGAGCATATTTATCTGGTCACCCCCGCTCATTCCATATGCCAAACCGGGCTATAAGCAACGCGGATGGGTACGGTATCTTGTCACGGTTGCATTTTCTTCCGGGCATACTAGACCAAGGGCGCGAACGGTACTTGGCGTGTTTTTGCCTTTTCTGATTCACGTCAAGTCGCAGCAAAGCAACGAAGACTTGCGTTGGCCGGAGCCAGGGCTGTTTGTCGCTGGGTTTTATACTAAACTGAGCGGTAGGTACGTTGCAAGGCTCATGGCGGAGGGCCGAATTATCAAGAACACTGGCAAGATTTAGTATCTTTGTTCATATTAACAATTAATTTGTACAAGCCGTGTCCATTTCTTGAAGAGCGAAAATATTTCATTTGCCATAAGCATTCAGAGTACCGTCGTTGCTACCAAGTAAGTTTCCAGCCTTTATAAGGGGGCACAGAAAACATCTAGAGTTCTCAGTGCCTTATCGAGATAAGCCTAGTTGGGTCTAGTGAGGGGTTATGCTAGAAATTTTGGGTTGCAATGTCACTGGCGCCCAGGAGCAATTCACTCAGAGGGCATCGCTGCACTTAGAATCATTTGTCGCAGAAAAACTCAACTGCAACGAACGTGTTAGTCAAAATGGCCAAGAAGAGAGCGAGAGAAGCCGACGGAGCTGCTCCTGATCCGAACAGGATGCAGGAAGATGAAAGCTCAGATGACGACGTAAGTGGCATGTACGCTCAACAAGCATAAAAGCGGCGTTCTAACCCAGTTATACCAGGACTTCGACATTGTGAATGTTGACTTTGAATGGTTCAACTTTTCAGAAGTTGACTTTCACGGCACAAAGTCTCTCCTTCGACAACTTTTGGATGTTGACTCGCAGCTATTTGACATTTCGGGCCTTGCCGACCTGATATTGTCACAGCCTACCATTGGATCAACTGTGAAAGTCGACGGCGAGAAGGCGGACCCATATGCCATGCTCACTGCGCTCAATTTGCAGGAGCACCGGGAGAAGAAGCCGTTCGCAGACTTGACGCAGTACATTAGCGAGAAGGCCAAGTCTATTGAGGCGCTCTCGCCGTTACCAGAGCTCTTGGCTTCCGGAAAGCACGTCGGCCTGGTTCTTTCAGAGCGTCTAATCAACATGCCATCAGAGATCTCACCGCCGATGTACAATCTACTAATCGACGAGATTGAGGCGGCGGTTGAGGATAAGGAGCCCTACGAGTTTTCACACTACTTAATCCTGTCCAAGGTGTACCACGAAGTAGAGTCGACGTTGGACGTGTTGGACGAGCGCAAGAAGAAGAAGGGCAAGGTCGCGGAGCCTGCCGTGTTCTACTTCCACCCGGAGGACGAGGTCTTAGCAAGGCATGCAGTGGCGTCTGGCACCTATGAGTTCACGAAGCATAGTGAGGCTGTGGCAGACAGCAAGCGCGCGTTCCAGGAGATGGGTATTCAACCGAAGGGCTGTTTGATGTTGATAGAGGCAGACAAGTTCGCAGGTGCGGTGAAGGCTATCAACGAGTATCTGAGTCCTTCGTCATAAGAGCCCATAGAAACCATCAATCCGGTCAAATATCAACATCTACTTTGCATTATTTTAGTGCCGTGCTTCTTGGATACTACTGGAAGTAAGAAGAATAAACAGTAAAAGTTTGGACATTTAAATTAATTTTTAATTTTTTAAAAGAATCAAAACGGTGGTGTCCCTAGTCAGACCAGGCACCTTTGGGAATTTGAACCCGACCAGGAGTCGCCCATGGGTGTGAAAGCACCCCGAACCACCACTGAGCCACGATGAATGGGGCCGAGGCCCCATGGCTTTCAATGTTCCCACGCCGGGGACTGGTTGGAAACAATCATTTTTGAAGCGTATTATACGGGTGTTGATTGCAAGGAGGAACAAGGCAACCAGTCATCTCATTGCTGAAGTGTCCCTAGTTAATGGTAGCATCAGCCTCACTACCCATCGATGTTCTGAAGCTAAAGCTGCATACATCAGCAAACAACAGGTCATGGCCAGTGTGTTGATATCATCATTCAACACGCTATGAATAGTGTTTTCTTGGATGTTAGTTACGTTGCAAGGCCTAGTCGTCCTTCCTCATGCAGGCACCATAGCTTTTCTACCACAATGATTTCTGCTTTACTCTAGTTTTCCAACCGTGTCAACAGATAATCAACCTCCACCTCCTTAGTCAGTGGGATGACGAACTGCTCGTACATCTCGACAACCTTGTCGACGTTGATCCGCGGTGCCTTGTCACCTGAGGAAGGGTCCTGGCCGTAGGTCTGGGCTTTTAAAGCCAATCTCTTCAAAACTTGTTTCTCTACCTCCGGCTTCGTGATAGCATCACCGATACCCTGGCCGTCCTTGGCTTGGATGAGCTTGGTGAAGCGCTCTGTCTCTGACTGAAACTTGGACTCGGCTACAAACTTGCCGAAATGAATCCGTCGTGAGATTGCCTGTAAACATGCGATGTCACAGGTAGCCGACGAGCCATAGTTCTCCTTGCTCTCGCCTCGGTCTTCCCTACCGAAATCACGGCAGACCTCGGGTAGGAACTTCTCGACGTAGTAGCTCTTGATCTTGTCGTTGACATTGACATCATTTTTGTGCAAGACTGGCGGATACTCGACGTCTCGTAGCACGGGCTTGATATTTCTGGATTCGGGAAAGAACGGGTACTCATCCGGGCTCTTGAAGCGCCGGATCAGCGCTTGCACCCTCTCCTGCTCCCGCAGGTACCATTCCATGAAGCTGAGTTTTGCATCGATGCCTTCGATAGCGCCTGGGGTGTAGATGGTCTTGTTGTAGGGAAAGTGCACTCGCTCAATCAAGTGAAAGATGATGGTGTCTTCCAGTCGGCTGTGGCTCGATTTAGTCACAACGGTATTCTTATACAAAGCAGAGATGGGTGGACACTACTAACATGAGAGTATCCCTGATATTGGCTAGATCGAGCGCTTTCGACATATCTGATAGGTCAATGACGGTATCCATGATGTATGATTTTTTAGTGCAAATAAGGTCGATCTGGAGAATTTCTATTTATTGTGCGCAATGGTTGACAGCGGTGGGTATCGTACGTAGTTCTAGTTGCAACTGTGCTTTGCTTTGCTCTGCCTTGACAAAGTTTATGCCGATAGTCGGGGCAAAATATCAGAGCAAAAGTTGGTCATGTTTGTTTGCTTCGGAGTGTCCAAAAAATAAAAAAAATTACCAAACCCGGCCAATCATTTTATGAACAAACCCGAGATTCCTCATGCACAGATATGGCCACCAAAACAACACAGAAAAATACTAGCGCGATACGTGTGACGACACGACATTATTTATGGCGATGAAACCAGCTGAACATGGTCCGACAATGCCTATACCGGCCTCTTTAAATGGCTGGCATCTCTTCTACAATATTTCGGACACTGCGCCGACCTTCGTAGTACTTTGTCGGGTATCGTTGCGGTGGCGTAGAAGCGGCGGCCCGCTACCTGGCGGAACTGTTCCAGCTACTTGCTTACTATTTACTTAATGTATTCCTCACAGTAGGCAGGTACTTAAAGTGAATCTACTTAAACTGTACCTTACGCCGTGGATATCTGGTCATCCGCTGCAGGCGTGTCGATGCAGCAGCTCGTGAGTTTGCTCTGTGCCTGCATAGATTTTATTCACAGAAGCGACTAGACCGAATTGTTCTTTACGAAGATTTCAGGCGATACTAGACGGAACACAGTGGGATGGATGTCGGAGATTTGTAGCATTGAGCATATGTATATGCACGGCAGACCTCCCCCTGTCAGAATGTCGCAATCGTGCAGTTATCATTAACCTCAGGGGGCTAAGTCAAGCTAAAGCTACGTACTTGACGTACTTGGCGTACCTACAGTACCTACAGTACCTACAGCACAGTACCTGCCGCGCGCTGGTACATGCAGTACGAGCTGGCTGGTGAGCGAGCTTTGGGGCACTCCAGACTCTAGACGCCAGCCTCCAGCCTTGCAAACGGGTGCGGTGCTGGGCGCGTGGCTCGTGCCTTGTGCCTTGTGTTTCCAGCCAATTGATCAACGCTGTTGATGTTCCCGTACTCGAGAGGCTTCGAATCTGTGTGACGAGCTGTCTTCGCCCATCGTTTATGTGTTTCCAACGCCGCATCCCATCCTCGACTGCCCCCTCGAAATCCTAGAGCAGCTCTGATTCCGAAACACGGAGCCTGCTGTCGTCTGCGCATTATCGCACAGGCTTTGACGCGGAATCCACACGCGACCCACTAAAGAAGCTGTCGTATATGGATGATACAGACCTAAACACTGCTTTCCACGATGAAGCCCCCATGGCCGATGACTCGACCTTTTTGGTACCGCACAAGTCGACAGCCTGATGCTGTGATACAACGCTAATGACTACCCAGCCCCGTGGCATCGAGACCTTCACTCGCAAGGTCACCGCGACAGCGAGCCATCTAGTTGGCCCTCTGGCCGACCCATCTTCGACTCAGTATCAAGGCGCCATGGCCGAGGTACACAGGCACATGAAGCGCCCGGCTATTCAAAAACGCATGTTCTCCATGGCCAAGACAACTCCGACCGACCTCGTGCGCTCCAACTTCTCGACGTCGGAGATCCAGACCCGCGCCCTGTCGTATCTTTCTGATGACATGCTGCAGAACATCCCCGACAACGAAAACTCATACTCGTTGTTTCAGGGCTTCCAAGCCTCGTTCCCAGAGCTGAGCAATGACGGCAGGAAGCATAGGCGGAGGGTGTCCAGGGGGCGAAAAATGATCGAGGACGTACCGAGTACTCCAGACACCCCCGCCGGCCTGCACAAACTCAAGAAGGAGCGGTCTTCGTTGATGCACGAACTTGACATGCTAGGAATACGAAAGAACATGGCTAGTGCTGAAATACGAGAGGTTGACAACAAGATCGCCAATCTTCACGGCATGCGGCGGATTATACTGGAGAGGCTGGCTGGTCTGGAACAAGAGGAGGCACTGTTGGAACACGATAGTAAGAGGAACTTTGATGCCATTTCTAGTACCAAAGGCCCCAAGCTAACTCGGGGCAGTTGTCGACATGGAAGCCCGCATAGACGACGCACAGTTACTTGTGGAAGAGGCCGAGTCGGTAGCTGCAGCCACTCCCACCAAGGATGATGATGACGATGACGACCTAGTAACGGACAAGGCAGCCGACGACTTTATGTCTCAATCTATTTACGAGAAGCTGCCTTCTGCTTCCAGCACACCTACGAAACCAAAGCGCGCCAAGGTGATCAAGCGGAAATCTATGCCCGTCCTTCACGAGCATTTCGAACCCGGAACGGCCATTCGCGAGATCAAGGCCCACGGAGACAACATCACTGCCCTCGACTTCGATGTACCTTTCGGTACCATGGTTTCCGCCGGCATGGACGACACAATAAAGGTATGGGATCTGAACGCCGGTCGCTGCATTGGCCTTCTCGAGGGCCATATGGCCTCTGTACGGGCACTGCAACTTGAAGACAATGTCCTTGCAACCGGTGGAGCCGACGCAACAATTCGTTTGTGGGACTTGAGCAAGGCGCATTACGATCCTCAAGGCAATATTGGCAATGAGGAGGACGACGGAATCGCTTTTGAGAACCCGGATGATCAGCCTGTGGACCCCCCTGCAGGGAGCATGCGCGACTGTGCGCTCTTCACGTTGGAAGCACATGTGGATGAGATAACGGCTTTGCATTTCCGCGGAGATGTTCTTGTGTCAGGATCAGCAGATAAAACCCTCAGGCACTGGGATCTGGAAAAGGGCCGTTGCGTACAAACACTTGATGTGATGTGGGCAGCAGCGCAGGCGTCCGCGTCCATGGGCTCGGCAGAGGGCGCTTGGAGGCAGACTGGCCGCTCAGCAGCCGGAGTCAGCCGCGATGCTGACTTTGTTGGTGCCCTTCAAGTCTTTGACTCTGCATTGGCATGTGGCACAGCAGATGGTATGGTGCGGCTCTGGGATTTGCGCAGTGGCCAAGTCCATCGAAGCCTGGTTGGTCATACCGGACCAGTCACTTGCTTACAGTTTGATGACGTTCACTTGGTGACTGGCAGTTTGGACAGAAGCATACGGGTGAGCAATATGCAACCATTTCCGAACTACAAAGTACAACCTATTGACAAGTTATAGATATGGGATCTACGAACAGGATCTATATTCGATGCTTACGCCTACGACAACCCCATCACAAGCATGATGTTTGACAGCAGACGTATCGTTAGCGCAGCACAAGAAGATGTAGTAAAGGTGTATGATAAACTTGAGTCGCGACAGTGGGAGTGCGGCGCTGGCATTACGCAGGCAGAGGAAAACAAAACTCCAGCGATTGTCGAGCACGTGCGTATCAAGGACGGTTATATGGTCGAAGGCCGCCAGGATGGCATCGTTGGTGTATGGACGTGCTAAATCGACTTTGTATAATACTGTAAAAGCATTGTATCCACAATGCCACGGCAAACGAAGCAGAACATTTTACTCAGCTGTGCGTAGTTCGATGTTCCATGCTAGCAAGATGGGACCTTTTCTGGAACTGTATCATGTCCACCATGTCGCTTTGTACCCTTGGTCGAGGAACTGCTGACAAGCTTTATGCATGCGCTCTAGTCCATATTCGACTATGGCATGCACAACAGTACAGATCGATATGCTGTGCAACCAAAAGTGCTCAAGCAAACAATCAGCACTTCAAGCCCTTGTCCTTATCCTTGTCAACCAGAAAGCAATTCTACAAGGTGTGATAATCTAATGGGCTCGATTGTTGAAGAATATATAATTCAGTACTTGCCTGAACAATAGTCCACAAGCATGAAGGGACATGGTTTCCCATTCTCGGCCCCCCTCAAATTGCTATGGCGTCACACCTTCCAAGCATATGGCTATTCGCGAATCCATCACAAGGACTTACATCTGTATGAATCAAGTATGCTCGGGAGTTGGTCGAGCACCTTGTCGCTCGTCAAAAATAATGAATAGTATTACTGATTCGGGTGAACTGAACATCGCACACCCAGAAACTGTCCGAAGAAGTGGACTTCTTCCCCTGTTAGTGGCTCCACATCGTCACCACAATGCACACTTCCCGGAGCTAGAGACGGACATAGCAGTGGTCAAGTCCGCGGCCCATCTGTGTGCATTAATACATGAATATTGTATGACAAACTACCCTGAGACTTCGGAGTTAAAATCGACCCAAAATTTATTCGTTAGCTACTGCAGTTGGTTGCATGATCAGTACTTGGCCCCAAACCTTATGCGGCGTGAAGACCTGCCGTTGGAGAAATGCTCCGGCTCATGAGATCATATGGAAGGACTGACTGGCTGCCTTCGAGAGGTGAGAACAGCCTAAGATATGCTGACAAAAACAGAAATTATCATTAGAGTTCATCCGAGTCCTGATTGAGGGTGTGCCGGTCAACGAGGTATTCAAGACACAGCTTTCCACAGGTATAAGTTCAGACGTCCTATCCCTCCTCTTAAGCAAGTGCCTCGGTTGTAGTTTCTTTAACATAACTCATTCGTGACGACGTATTACTGTCAATTCTACACCATCCATAACTGACAGTCATAACCTTACTTCTACACGACCTCCTTCTGTCACAAACACTCATAACAAACATTTGTCAATATGTCTCCTCTACCAATGGCTCCTGCTCCCAAGAGCCCCTTAGGCCGCTACCGGCTGCTGTCTCCCACAGCTTCTGTTCGTGTCTCTCCGCTCTGCCTGGGAGCGATGAACTTTGGTAATGCCTGGAAAGATTATATGGGAGCCGTAAGTGGTTCTCGAAATTATTTTCTGCTTCAGCAGGTCTCTAGAGCGCATGTTACTTCTTGACATTAGGCTCTTCGTGACTGCTTCACAATACCCATGAGGACCTCAAAACTATCTCGAAGTAACAATTACTGACCCCCGAATGCTGCAGTGTGACCAGCCGCAAACTGAGAAGATTCTAGACTTCTTTTACGACCAGGGTGGTAACTTCATAGACACGTCCAACAACTACCAGGCCGAGGAATCCGAGCTGTGGATTGGCGAGTGGATGAAGAAGCGCGGCAATCGTGATCAGATGGGTAAGTACACCACGTCCAGCCAGCGGGAAGAAAGTGACGATTGTCATTAACACGAATTGTAGTCGTGGCTACCAAGTACACTACGTGCTTCCGTGCGGGACATGATGATGAGATCAAAGCCAATTTCACTGGAAATGGCACCAAGAGCTTACACACATCAGTCAATGCTAGTCTGCGTAAGCTACAGACCGATTATATTGATCTTGTAGGTTAAGCTTCGAGGACACTCATTTCGCGGACCACGAGCTCTAATGAATCACTTAGCTCTACGTACATTGGTGGGACTTTAGCACCTCGATTCCCGAGCTGATGCAGGCACTCAACGCTCTGGTCGTCTCAGGCAAAGTCCTTTACCTTGGAATCTCAGACACTCCTGCCTGGGTTGTCTCCAAAGCCAACCAGTATGCGCGAGACCATGGCTTCCGGCAGTTCTCTGTCTACCAAGGCCGCTGGTCCGCCGCCGACCGCGATTTCGAGCGTGAGATCATTCCCATGGTCCGCGACGAAGGCATGGGTCTCGCTCCTTGGGGCGCTCTCGGTAGTGGCAAATTCAAGACGGAGGAACAGCGCAGGAACAACCTTGGTCGCCAAGTCCAGGCCTCTGAGGCCGACATCAAGATCAGCAAGGCGCTCGAGGCCGTTGCTAAGCGAAAGGGCACTATCATTACCTCAGTCGCGCAGGCGTACGTGACGCACAAGGCGCCTTATGTCTTTCCCATTATTGGCGGCCGTACTGTGGACCACCTTAAGGGTAACATTGAGGCCCTCACACTCGAACTTGATGAAAAGGATATCCAAGAGATTGAGGCCGCTGAGAAGTTCGATCTTGGCTTCCCTGGCAACTTCCTCTGGGGAGAGAAGACGCCTGAGCATCACGGAAAGGTCTGGCTATTGGGCCTGGGTGGTACTTTTGACTATGTGCCTCAGCAGGCTCCGATCCAGCCTACCAAGAAGGAGTCTAAGAAGGAGTCTTAGAAGGCCCCCATTTCTTCCGATCCTTGGTTGCAGTACATGAGGCCATCGAGGGATTGGTTTCAGAAGTATTGATAATGGGCGGCGGCGTTACTGCTATCTGGAAGTGAATGGACTGATATGGACCTACAGCATCGCAAATACTTTTGGAAGGATTGGTGGCAGTCTTGATTCTTTGTGGTCGATTGTTTCCGCTTGATCTTGCTTTGGTGCTGGAAGTAGCGGATGATGCGCGCGCGAACTCGTGGTTGAGACGGCCGCACACAGAAGCTCGTTGAATAAAAATAGCAACTCGAACGATCTGAACAGCAATCTCTTGGGGTGTTTCGCTTCGAATTTTTCATGCTCGAATAATGTTAACATAGGTAAAAGCTACGAGGCATGTACACAGCGAGAGTCATGAATCTCGGCAAACCATATTTTAATTTCAAATACGGCAGGAAAATGTGGTAGGCAAATTTCACAGCCTATCAGTGGGTTTCTAAAAGCAATTATGGATTAGATGACCTGGACTAATTGCCTATACGGTGAATGATTAGGAGGCAATAGTGCTAAATGTTGCACATAGCCGTCATCGTATGACACATAAACCACGTGAACTATATTGTTAGCGAAGGTAGCGCGCCCAATCAAGTTCAGCTACTTATCTCAGAGGGGTATTCCGGTCAAGAAGACTCAGACCAGCTTTCGATGCATGGAAATACTATAGGAAGTTACGAAATGTCCAACAGCATTTTTAGTACAAGAAGTCACGGGCTGAACAGATGAACGCGTTCGAGAAGCATCTAACATAGACCCGGCAAGTAAAAACCTGATGGAACATGACGATGCAGAAATAGATCTCCCACGTCGGTTGCCTGCATTGAATACCCGGAAGATTGCTATGAGTTATGGGAGTGTTGATAACGGCATGAGAGCAACATCAACTCAAGGGGTTTTGGCAGGTTCGTCTACGGCTATTTAACTTATTCAGCCGGGATAGATCCGTAATTAGAGCCAATTTGAACTTCCTTCACCCAGTAGATCAATATCCATTCGCGAATATCTAGTGAAACGACTCTCAACACCGTTTGAAGCGGGCAGGGTGGGCCGTTCATAGTGAGTGGCAATTTGTACCAACATATACTTCCAGTTGCCAAACGAAAGAAGGCATAAGGTAACTTGGTGTTTGTGTTGTTTGTGTTGTTTTGTACCTGGTAGCTATGACATGATCGTGCTTTTGGAAGGTATACTATTAGACTTGTTGATAAATTACTTTTAAGGCACTCATGCCTGACATGGAATTTCACGACTTTCTTATTAAATTGTATAATTTCGTCAAGGACTGCTATGTAAATATGTCACTAAGGCAAATCAAGAGTTCTTTCTTCTCTATCATACTTCTGCCACTGATAACGGAGCCCACCGTCTTGATTCTTACACTACACAGGGGGGAGAGAGAATGGACTCTGGGAGAGAGCATTGCTTTGACTGCTGAACCAGTGCTTAGCGAGACCATTTTGGGTCAGGGACTCGTTTCGTTCTTCCGAGCAGCAGCGACCGCAGCAGAGTCGCTTCAAGTTTGATTCCTTGAGGGAGACTTTGAGCCTTTGAGCAACAGAAGATTACATGGCAATGCGGGCTTGGGTCAATAGAGCCAGCTGGTTGGCTGCTGTTCCACAGAGACACGCCAGAGAGATTTGGAAACATTAGAGGGAGGCATGATTGACGTGCTCTCCAGGTTTGGTGGATGGTTCGAAAGAAGCAATTGCCTCAAAATACAACCTATAAGTCTTACTAAACCAATACCTTTCTCTACACCTACAACCTAGATTACTTTGGGTCAGATATAGCTATATGTTTATTGCCAGTTTAGTAAACGTAGGCAGCCTGCAGAGCATGACGTTATATCTTCCTTACCAACTGTATCATTATCTTGAAAGCTGAGGTCGTTCCTTCCTGTCTGTAAGAACGCCATCACTCACAGACACGTTCGACCGCTCTTGCCCCTTGAACGGCAAAAATCTCTTGACTGCATTGCTAGCCACCCACCTGGAGCTTTTTCTTTGCGACCACAAAGACTACCAGCACGCTGGTACTTGGCCTTGATTTGTACTTTCACGGTGCGCTGCCCTATTTTCAGAATGCCACCAGAAGGTAGGCGAGCTTTGTCAGTCACCATTGGTCAAGCCTCGTCGATTGGTTCAGCAGATCTGATCTCTTCGAGACCATCTCGTATTCCGTCACGCCCGAGACAAAAATATCGCACACTCCGCAGGACGAAGTCAGTACCATTGAGCACAGATGAAGGCGACCAAAATGATCTCAAGCAACTCAGCTTTGAGGACAACCCAACTGAGCCACGCTCTCCGGTCAGAGTAAACGGCAAGAGACGCAAATCTGTAACTGACACCACACGCGATGGTGTGCTTGGCCCACGACGGTAAGATGTGTTTGTTTCAGTCACAATTCACCACAGATTTTGTGCTTGGTTTATGAACCTGCAATACTGGACCTGCATGGCTGACTTCGTCTTAGAGCAAGCAGCAGGAGGCCAAGTCACAGGAATCTCGAGCAAGACGTTAGATTACCAAGCAAATCTGGCATACATGGCAAAAGACGCTCCATAAGTACGCACAATGATAAGGGTTTAAACAGGATTGAACAAGACCAAGAAGATGGAAAAGTTGTGCCACTAGCTCAATCTCGAGGTCGAACAAGACACCGAACGCCAACTGCTTTCCCGGCAGTGCCAGAAATACAACTCGAGCACTCTCCAAGCCCAACTATACCATTAAGGAGCAAGATAAATACAGCACGACGTGCGAGCGTGACTGCTGGAAGTAGGTCAAGAACAAGCAGACATGTTAAGCCACAAGCTGCCAACCAGCTCACACTTCCCGCAACGTCAAGCAATAATAAGACGACAGAAGCGGCCCTCCGCCTGACCAAAGGTGTTTTTCTTGTGAAGAAAGGTTCAGGAATAAATGAGTACCGCTTTCCTGCCCCCAACAGCCAACCAGAGCAGGCGTGGTGTCCAGGGGATGGGTTCTCTGGCGATGAAGGTAATCCAGATTTCGTCTTCTATGTCACTGGACATAAGAAGAGACGGCGGTCGATATCAATGCCAGGAATTGGACAACTCACCACCAGACGTTCCGCTGAACAGACCAGTAGCATTCGAGATTCCGGGAAGCACAGAAACCGGCAGCTATCCAGGTATCGACGGACAACTCTTCTGCGCGGGGCTGCCAAAGACCAATGGCCTACCTATGACAATTTCATGGACAGCACCTTGCACATCCGCTCAAAGCTGCCGGCCATACGAGGCAATCTTGTTAATATCCAGCCATCGAGTGAAGACCGCCTGCCACAGAACATGGGGATACACGAGCCACATCCAACCTTGAAGTATGCACCGAAACGCGGAGATGGGATTCTAGACCTCAGGAATTTTATCAGCAGTGCCGGGCCGGAGGTGCACAGCTCGTATTCCTCCGCTATTATGCGCATGAGAACGACAAGAATGTCGAGCCCGTTGAGAGAGCCCGACGGAGAGACTTCTGTGGACCCTGACGAAGCTTCGTCAGAGGACTCCATCATGCATGAGATAGGATATACCTTGACGCCGTCGAATAAGAACAGCTCGAGCAGTGATCACTCGGACGAGTCTCTTCATTCGTTGTGGGACGGGGAGGGGAACCACTTGTATGTTGATGATATCCGCGCGCTGAAAAGACAGAAGCGGTACTGTTCGGAGGAGGAAGAGCTGAAAGATGGAGGGGATGGAGTGAGTAGATATCGGCAAGAAGACCAAGCTTGCGAACAATCTAATTCCTCGCAAGAGAGCGACGGAGACTAGCTGGGAGCGAAAAGACTTGTGGGATAGACCTTGGCAGGACATAGGAATTCTGGTGACATGGGGAAGCATGTCGTTGCAACTAATGCCGGAGATATCAGAACACATGGGGGAGTGACTGTAACAGATAGAGTCTAGATGATAGTAAGCATTGTAGCTGTGGGGTCTCTACACACACCTCATGGTTCAAAGCCTCTGGTCAACGGCAGCAGAATCAGCCCATAAGTTTGATTGTCTGGTCGCCATTTTCCAATATTGGGGAAGTATTCGAGAAATGTCACGAGTCCTGGTATATTTTATCCTGCCAGCAAACGCCGATGCGCCGAGATATAAAACCCATGAGTCATGCTGCGCTTTCTCTCTCTCTCTCTCTCTCTCTCTCTCTCTCTGTCTCCCTCTCTCTGACTCCTCCAAGGTCATTCACAGCCACTATAATCGCAGTACCAGTCTCAAAAATTCCAACTTCTCCCTCTATTTGGCGCCCTTGGGCTTTGCCTCGGTGTCGCCCAGTTCCCTAATCATGATCTTGGTCCGACCCTCCCCGTTGTAATCCTCCATACCAGTCTCAAAGCCAGGGCACACGCCGACGGCGAGATACTTGCCGTCGCTGGAGAAGGCCAAGGCGGCCACGCTGTCGGGGAACTTTTGGTAGATCTTCATCCGCCTCTTGGCCTCGGCATCCCACAGCGCGACCGTCGCATCACCGCCGCCGGAAGCGAATGTGCCAAACGAGGGGTGGAAGGCCAGGGCGTTCACGGGGAAGACGACATCGGCGCCGTCCTCGGGGCTGGTCTGCCTGTGGCACTTGAAGGCGTACTTGCGGGCCTGGGAGGCTTCCGAGGCGTCGAACCACTCCACGGCCACGCGGCCCTCGATCGAGGAGGTGGCGTACCCGGCGTCGGAGGGCATGGCGGCGACGGCTCGGGTCAGGAACTTGAGGGACGACTCGCGCTGTTGCCACGGCTGGGGCGCGGCGCCCGACTTTAGCGAGGATGTGAGGGCGTCCAGGTCGTAGATGTGCACGAGGCGTGACGTCATGGCGACTATCAGTTTCGAGGGTGAGGCAGCGAGGGCGTGCGGCTTGCCGGGCAGGGCGATGGTTAGTGGCGTAAGTGATGTGTCGGATGGGTTCAGGACGTGCAGAGTGTTGTCCCAGGAGGCGGTAACCAGGAGGGCTACGAAGAGGAGTGGTGTCAGCTCGACTCGTCTGTGCTGCGAGGTGGAGGGCAGAAGGCAGAGGGGAGAGGGCAGAGGGCAGAGGGGATGGAAAACGAGAGGCAATACGCACAATGTCCGCGGCTATAGACGACCCTTCTCACGGGCTGGGAGTGTTTGCTGACGAGGGTCAGATCTCCGCTGTTGAGATCGATGCGCCTCACGGTCCAGTCCATACCTGCGCTGAAGGCCTCGTCGTCGTCGGCGCCAAAGCAGACGTCCATGACGGGGGCGCGGTGCTCGAAAGTCTGTAAGAGTGTGCCATGCCCGGCTTCGCTGTCGCTATGCGTGTCGTACAGGTAAACGTTCTTGTCCCATGACGAGACTAGTAGGCGGGTTGGCGAGGAGGGGGCGAAGACGAGGGAGGAGATGGCATCGTTTGGCGATTGCGCCAACTCGAATTGTGTCGCTGTGTGCAGGGCCAGGTTAGCCTTTTGGTTCAATTCACTTCGATGGATGACGTTTTGGAATATAGGAAACTCACATGGCGCCATGATGGTGGTGCAGGGGGGATTGTGCTTGTAGTGGTAGTTGAGATTGGAAATGAAAGTGGAAACGGATGATGTTCAGCAGATGCGAAACCAGCTGTCCCCCGTTTGTCCTGTCGTGTCCTGTCCTGTCTGATCTTTGAACCCAACTTGACGTGATGCCTGTCGAGCGAAGCCAATGTTTTGCTTCAGGTAGCTCAGCTTCAGGACCCCTGCCGCCGATAAACAGGGAGCTCTAAATCCTGCCACCTGCCACCGCCTAAATTATCCAGCAACTCAGGTCCAGTCGCAGGTCGCCATCGCAGTCTTGCTTAGTTACGTTGTTGGAGGGGAGGGGGCCGGCCCTTGCATTCATTCGTTCGTTTGGGTGTGTGCTAGGCTGGGAGCTTTCATCCCACTTCGCCTCTCAACCTGGTCTAGTTTGCGCATATATACATACATGAATACATACACACATGCCTACATGGTGGTCTGCTCTGCACATCGTCCTCCTTACCACAGTCTACGGCATCTACGTGCTACCGTCTCTTCTCTCCGTCAACTTGCACCCGTTGCAGATTCTTTCCCTACACGACACCCTCCTCTAACATGCCCTTCGCACAACTCGTGCTGGGCAGCCCCGGCGCGGGCAAGAGCACATATTGCGATGGCAGTACGCTGATTTCCCCCTCCATGCGCCACGCACTCGCCTCCCACCCCGCAGAGGCAGGTAGAGAGGGTATACTGATGTCTTGATCGTCGCAGTGCACCAGTTCATGAGCGCTATTGGTCGCGATTGCTCCGTCGTGAACCTCGACCCCGCAAACGACCGCACAAGCTATCCCTGCGCCTTGGACATACGGAACCTCGTCACCTTGGAAGAGGTCATGGCCGACGACTCGCTCGGCCCCAACGGAGGAGTGCTGTACGCCTTTGAAGAGTTGGAGCACAACATGGAGTGGCTGCAAGAGGGCCTGAAAGAGCTCGGCGACTCCTATGTCATATTTGATTGCCCCGGACAGGTCGAGTTATACACACACCACAACTCACTACGCAACATTTTCTTCAAACTCCAGAAGATGGGTTACAGGGTATAAAGCCGACCGGCCTGGCATTGCATTTACAGCCGCTGACATGATCATAGCTCGTCGTCGTTCACCTCTCCGACTCCTTCTGTCTCACGCAGCCCTCCCTCTACATCTCCAACCTCCTCTTGACTCTTCGCGCAATGCTGCAAATGGACCTCCCCCATATCAACGTCCTTACCAAGATCGACAAGATCGCCGACTACGACAAATTGCCCTTCAACCTCGATTTCTATACCGAGGTACAGGACCTGGACTATCTATTGCCGTATCTCGAAGCGGAACAGCCCTCCACCAGGAGCGGCAAGTTTGCAAGGCTGAACCAGGCAGTCGCGGACTTGGTCGAGAACTTCTCCCTCGTTCGGTTCGAGGTCCTCGCTGTTGAGAACAAGAAGAGCATAATGCATCTGCTGCGTGTCATCGATCGGGCGGGCGGTTATGTATTCGGTGGCGCTGAGGGAGCAAACGATACCGTCTGGCAGCTGGCCATGCGCAACGAGTCCTCCATGCTCGAGGTCGCAGACATCCAGGAGCGATGGGTAGATGCCAAGGAGGCATATGACGAGGCCGAGCAAAAGGAGGATGAAACGCAGGCAGCTAGGCTAGGTCACACAGGTACAGGCGCGACAACGCCGGACCTTGTCGCGGATGACGGCGAGGATGACGAGTACGACGGGTTTCCTCCTCCGCCTCCGGGAGATGGTGGCGTAAAGATAGTGAGAAGAAACCCATGATACCCCCCGCCCTTTTCAACCATCGCTGTAATCTGCCATGTCCTCGTCATCCTCGCTCAGGTCGTCGTCCATGACCGAAATGCTCCTTGTCGAAGCAGCTTGCCGCGTCCTTTTCCCTTGGTTCATGATGGCAGCCAGGGCGCTGTTGTCCTTGGCCCCAGCTTCTTCTTTGACGGCGAGCATCAGATCCCTTGCGCGCCTGATTGCCTCCTCTTCTATCTTGCGTATCGTGCCACTCACGTGCACCACCCTGAACGTGCACAACTTGCCGTCCCGTACGGGCACGTGGTCCATCATGGTCAGCGCTGTCCATACAAGCCGGTAGTGCGCTCGGTTCACCCGCAGGATGAACGTCGAGGTCGCCGGCGAGATGTACTTGACCTGCAGGCTGGCGATGGCACCGGATCCGTAGTCGCCGAAGAGCGAGGCGACCTGGGCGCGGATCTCGCGGAGTATGGTGCCGCGGTCGCACCTATCGGTCGTCGGCTGGTTGAGCGCGATGAGGTCGGGGGTCTGTCCGGACGTGGACGTTGACGTGGTAGTGGACGTGGACGATGTCGACAGGGAGGTGGGGTACAGGATGTTGACAAGCAGGTAGCGCTCTTTGATGCGGACCATGCTGGGCGATCGCCGGGGGGTTTCCCCTAACTCTGCTTCCTCGGTATTCCTCTCTTTGTGTGTTGTTTGCTGGGGAATGGCGGTGCTGAGACCAGGCTTGCCGAGCCCTTTGCGAGTTGGCCGGGTGCTTAGTTGGTGTGATTCACGGTGAAAAGGCGGAATGATAAATTCGCGCCCAGATTGAGAAAAGACTCGCCAACTTTCGCGACCCTCAACTTTTTTGGGGGGGAGAGCTTTATCTTATCGTAATCCCTGTCAGAGCTTATACTATGTAGGTGCATCCACGTCCGTCACCGGCGGAACCGGACCACAACCCCAAACGTTTATAGCTCATGCACCTATACTTGTGTTGTATGCCAATGACCGACTTGAGGTAGCCACGAGCCGTCCATCTTATACATTTCTTTTTTGCCTCGTGAAAGGGTATCAGGTGCTGCAATGTCCTCCCCGAAGCTAAAGGTTGCGATCTTGATCATCTCCACAACCGCAGCCAAGGATCCAAGCACAGATGCTTCTGGGGATGTACTGAAAGATGTCCTCGAGCAGGAGGGAGACGGCAAGTGGGAATTGGTAGACACCAAAATAGTGTCTGATGTTGTGGTTCAGATTCAAAGACAGATTATGCTCTGGGCCGACCTCGCTGCTGAGAACATCAATCTCATATTGACAACAGGAGGCACCGGGTTCGCTGTGGCGGATCATACGCCCGAGGTAAATGACATACGGCTGGGTCGCTTGTTACAAGGCTAATGCTGTGATAGGCAATCTCAGCTCTGCTGCACAAGCAAGCGCCTGGGCTTGTTCACGGTATGCTAGCGGCTTCGTTGAGTGTCACTCCGTGTAAGTCGCTGTGTTGTTACGTGTGAACCCCTGCTTCTCGCTGACATGAAGTCAAGTTGCTATGATGTCTCGTCCCGTGGCAGGTGTCCGTAATAAGTCTGTGATAATCACCCTACCAGGATCGCCCAAGGGAGCGAGGGAGAACTTGCAAGCTGTACTCAAAACACTGCCGCATGCTTGTCTCCAAGCTACGGGGTTGGACTCGAGAAGCCTTCATGCAGGTGGCGTCAAGAAACTTGAGACCGACGCTGGTATCCAGTCAACTGGAAAAGCACAGTCTCAGTCTCAGTCTCACAGTCACAGCCACGACCATACTCACGGACATGATCATGGTCACAGTCATTCTCACGGGCAAGGCCACGGCCATGGCCATGGCCATGGAGGGCTAGTCAGACATACAGCCCCCGGAGCTAACCCCATGTCCAACGACCCCAGTCTGGGTCCTAGCAGGAGAAACCGCGAGTCGCCATTCCCCATGCTCAGTGTTGACGACGCTCTCGCCCAGGTCAAAGAGCACACGCCACCTGCGGAGGTTGTCACAGTTAAAGTTGATAGGTCGCTGCCGGGCTCAGTACTTGCGGAAGATGTGAAAGCCCGCGCAAACGTGCCTGCATTTCGTGCTAGTATAGTGGATGGCTATGCCGTGGTTGTACCGAAAGATGGAAACATGAAGGGAGTCTTCCCTGTTGTATCTATATCACACGCCGCCCCGGGGAAGGACTTTGAACCCTTGGAAGAGGGCGAAATTGCCCGAATCACCACGGGCGCCCCATTACCCCCTGGCGCCACGTCGGTCATCATGGTCGAGGACACAGTCCTCAAGACCATGACAGATGACGGAAAAGAGGAGAAAGAGGTGGAGATTCTTGCCGAAGGTGTCAAGGAGGGCGAGAACGTCCGTGAGGTCGGAAGTGACATTAAGGCAGATGCCCAGATCCTTAGCAAGGGAGAGCAAATATCGGCCGTCGGAGGTGAAATCGGTCTCTTGGCCGCTGTGGGCGTATCTGAAGTGAAAACCTACCGCAAGCCGCTTGTCGGTGTCCTCTCCACCGGCGACGAGATTGTAGAGCATGATCGGCCGGGAGAGCTTCGCCTCGGGGAGGTGAGAGATACCAACCGTATCACTCTCATGTCCGCGGCGCAGGAACATGGCTACGAAGTCGTCGATCTGGGAATCGCGTCCGACAAGCCCGGAACGCTCGAGGAAACCCTCCGGGGCGCTCTACGCCGGGTCGACCTCGTCATCACCACGGGCGGCGTCAGCATGGGTGAACTGGATCTCCTGAAGCCCACCATCGAGCGCTCCCTTGGCGGCACGATCCACTTTGGCCGGGTCGCAATGAAGCCAGGCAAACCAACTACTTTTGCCACGGTTCCGGTCAAGAACAACTCGGGAGAGCGTGTCAATAAGGCCGTCTTCTCCCTTCCAGGCAACCCGGCGTCCGCGATCGTGACGTTCCACTTATTCGTTTTGCCGTCGCTGCACCAGATGAGTGGCATTGAGCCCGCTGGCCTGGCAAAGATCCCGGTCACGCTGGCGCATGATTTCGCACTCGATAAGAGCAGGCCGGAGTATCACCGCGCGATTGTGAGTGTTGGCAAGGACGGCGTTTTGAAGGCGGAAAGTACTGGCGGCCAGAGAAGCAGCAAGGTTGGGAGTCTCAAGGGTGCGAATGCGCTGTTATGTATGCCGCCGGGCAAGGAGCCGCTGAAGAAAGGTGAGAAGGTGGATGCTCTGATCATGAGTGGTATCAGGAGCAGTACATAGAATATAAAAGAATTTGAATATTTAGCGGCCTGTGGTACATATTGATGGTTTGCTAGGCATCTGACAGATGATCATACGGCTCCTTCCTTTTGAGACAACGAAACATGATCTGCTGCAAGAAATGAGTGGTGCTAATGCTGTAATAAGCCCTGACCCTTCACAACAGTTGGCTCATAAAGGGGGCATATCGAGCAAAGGGTGATAGGTAGTGACAGGCGCACGAAGCAGCCACGAACAATCTGTGCAATCTGTGCAAGGAGTCGGGTGAGTGGGCACCAATCGTCAGCTAACTTGAGCGACAGTGTGGGGGTGAGGACCAGGAGTGATAACGTGTTTTGTAGTTCAGGCTCGGCAATATCGTCTTGCAGCATGTTATTCCATATTATTCTATTTCAGTTGTTATAGCACGGAGCGAGTGTTACTACCAGCTACGTTGCTCCGGAGTGATCGGTAATGGCGACGCCTCATATACCTGGACAGGTATGCTTGAATCTCCATAGAGAGATGGGTCCCTGCTCATTTTCAATGTCGTGATATTCGAAAGGCTCCTATAAAAGTACATGCAAGCGCGCCTAGAAAATACTACACAACGCGCTTTGCCGCACGCGATCCTCTTCCAAACGCCGGGGAATTCAATGGCGAATTCCAAATGCATGAGTTGCTATATGTACCGTCTAAGTGATCCAGGCATACTAGACCTTACGCCATGGCCTTGCCGAAATCGTTGGCCTTGCCGGAGACGAGGAGGCCAATAATGAGTCCAAAGAGACCAAGGACTGAACTGAAGATCTCAATGACGAGGATCTTGACGAAACTAGCCAGCAACGTTAGCCAACTCATTTGAGATGTGGCGCGTGTTTACTTACAGCGTAGGATCAGCAGCATCGGCCAACGCAGCTGAACTACCATTGATGCCAACAGCAATGCCACAGATCAGATTGCAGCCCCCGACGGTGATGCCAGACCAGAACAGGGCGAAGCCGGTGTAGTAAGCCTCGGCGTTGGCGACTCCTGCCTCATCGATGAAACCGACTTTGGAGGAGAAGACGATGGCCATGATGACTCCGTAGATGGCGACAACTTCGCAGAAGATGATGGAGATCAAGTTCTTGGTTCGAATTCGAGGTGCCTTGACACCTGCTCCCAGAATGGATGAGCCTGTGATAAAAATGCCCCTGCGCGACACGTCAGCCGATTGTCCCATGATTTTGTCTTGTGGCGGGCGTCGCCATACCATGCTGCACCAACGACCGAGAGACCGATGCAGAGAGCGATACCCAGATCTGCCCATGCGTACGGCGATATGGATTCGAGGAAAGCGCCGACCTAGATTTGCAACTCGTCAGGATGAAGCTCGGAGATTCGTGTGCGGTTATATGTTCTGCCAACGTACGTTGAAATATTCGCCATCGCCGGTGAAGAGCATGTCTGGGACCAGTTGTCAGCTACGTCAAGACGTAAGGCTTGGAGGCCACGAGGGCGAGTACTTACACAGGCCGACAATTAGGAGAACTGTCGAAGCGCTTCCGAGTCCATACGTTAAGCCACCCATCTTGACGAGTCGTGGATGTTGAGAAGAGGTTTTCTGAGAGACGGGATAGAACAACGTGGGCGTAGCTTGTCAAGAGCTCGAGGGCAGCTCACGGAAATATCGCGACGTCCAGCTGCAGGCAATAACTACTAATCCCAATGCTTGGTTGGGGATTCGGCTCTGAGCTAGTCTAGACTGGAGGGCGAGGGCGAGCAGGGAGGACAGACGTCACGGCTTCGGGTTATACCGAGCTCCGGCACCGTCATCCAATCCACATGGCAGAGGCCACCCAACTGGCGAGTCCACGACTCGATATGCACTTACCACGCCATGCATGTATGTATGCGCGCGTGTATGCATGTATGTGTGTACTGGATCTTAGCCCCTCACTCCGATCCGTTTGTTTGATGGCGGGGCAGCGTTGCGACCCAGCCCATGACAAGACGTAAGTTAACATTCATCCAGCACAGTCACTCAAGTTAGGTTGACCTAGTCTAGAGCTTTTCCAAAAAAGAAAAGAATAAAAATAAAAATAAATAAAAGTCCCCCGCCAACCTTGTCACATACATTCTCATAGCATCACTGCCTGCAGTCCTGTAGGCAAACCCCCAGCCAGTCAAACTGTCACTCCCTCGTTTGTTCCGACCAGCTTTTCGAAGCATTGCATCGCTTAGAACGTCCGCAATGGCTGCCATTTCGTCTCAGAGCTACACTCCTGCTGAGGAGACGGAGATCCAGCAGTGGTCCACCACCGCTGACCGTCTCAAGTCCTCGCCGTCTGACTCCTCCATCCTCGAGTCCCTGAACACCCACCTCTCCACGCGCACCACCCTCCTCGGCACCAAGCCGTCCAAGGCCGACGTTTCCATCTACGACGCTCTTGCTCCCGTCGTTGCCGGCTGGACTCCCGAGCAGCGCACCGGCGAGCACGGCCACCCCCACATCGTCCGTCACCTCGACTTCGTCCAGAACTCAAACGTCTTCGAGAAGGACATCAAGGACGGCGAGAAACTCACTGTCGACCCCGAGCATGTTCTCTACGTCAAGCCCCCAGTCGATGCCAAGGCCGAGAAGAAGAAGCTGAAGGAGAAGGAGGCCGCCGCCGCCGCCGCCGCAAAGGCTGCCCCCGCTGGTGCTGAGGGTGCTACCCTTGTTGACCGCACCAAGGCCGCTGCTGAGGCCGTCAAGGACACCGTCGTTCAGGCCGCAAACTCTGCTGCGGCCGCTGTTGGTGTCGGCGCTGAGCAGCAACAGCAGCAGAAGCCCAAGAAGGAGAAGAAGGAGAAGCAGCCCAAGCCCCAAAAGGCCCCCGCCGCCGCCGCCGCACCCACACCCGCTCTCATTGATCTCCGAGTCGGACATATCCTCAAGGCCATCAAGCACCCTGAAGCCGACAGCTTGTACGTCTCCACCATCGCCATGGGTGATAAGGAAGCTACCGAGGACTACGTAGAGTACGAAGGTCAGATTTGCCGAACTGTCTGCTCCGGCCTCAACGGCCTGGTGCCCCTTGAGGAGATGCAAGGTCGCAAGGTCGTCGTTGTCGCCAACTTGAAGCCTGTCAAGATGCGTGGTATCAAGTCATGTGCCATGGTTCTTGCAGCATCGCCCAAGTTGAAGGAGGGCGAGGTCGATGACCACAAGGGACCCGTCGAACTTGCTAGCCCGCCCGAGGGCGCAGTCGCTGGTGAGCGCGTCTACTTCGAGGGTTGGGAAGGCGAACCTGAGGGCGTACTGAACCCGAAGAAGAAGGTTTGGGAGACATTCCAGCCCGGGTTCACAACTACAGACGGCTTGGAGGTTGCATTCGATGCTGGCGAGGTCAAGGAGACTGGAAAGACAGGATTTGGCAAGCTGGTCACAAAGAGTGGCGGCGTGTGTACGGTCAAGAGTTTGAAGGGTGCTACTGTGCGATAAACAATAAATGTCCTGCCGTGTTAAACCGAGCTGCGAGAAGGGCAGGATCAATATCAATACCTTGTTGTTGGCTGAGATCCAGGCGACCAACTCAATTCATAGAAATGCCCTCCTGATCTACTTTATTACTCTGGGATACTGCTATAACATATCTGTCTGGCCTGGCATGTAATCTGTGCGACTTTTTCCTTCGTCACTATACTTATGGCTGGTCATCAGTGGAACAAGCAGTGTATCAACTCTAATTTATTTGAACTCAACTAAAGGGGGTCGAGGCGGGCTAACTAAATGATATCCGTTGAACAAAACTTTTTTGATTTTCGATTTTGTTTTTTGGGTATTGAGCCAGTCAACAGAGCTTCGACGACCACATAGAAGGAAAATATCATGATCGGTCCATTAGTCAACAGAGCTCCATTTCTCGAAACAGCGCCTAACCCTGTGTCTTAGGCGTTGCGGACGTCCTCCCGCTGCTGCTGCTGCTGCGAAGGACAGCCCTCAGGCAACAAACCCGGCTCCTCAGATCATTGTGGATGATTGTCACGAGGACAAAACCAAGGTATGTTGAAGAAACACTGTTTCCGATGAGGGTGATCATTTGTAGGAGTGTCTGGAGGACAACCCTCAGGCAACAGGCACGGCTCTTTTTCAAGCTCTTGCAGAGAAACCGGGGCGGCGGAGACGGTCGCGATCCTCTCCAAATCGCTGGGGGTTGGGTGCCCAGTGGCCCAGGGGAACCTTTCCAGGCCGGAAGCAGTTGGACCTCCGCCTGCGTGGACCGACACGGCCACGGCCGGCGTCGCCTCGAGGCTGCCGCCTGCAACAGGTAAGGCTTGGACTGGTGCCGCGATGCTACAGAGTGCTCGTCAGCCCCATGTCTTACTCGTACCGAAGAGGAGGCATGGTTTGGAAAGGGCTTACAATGAGCCGACGACTACTAGGCCAAGGGCCATGCTCATGGGTGAGATAGAGGAAGGCATGGCTGCGGTGTGTCCCGGGAGTCGAGATACGATATGCCTGAGATTTGTCAAAGAGAGATTTTGAAAGATCAAAGAAACTGGTCGGTTCTGGGCATATGTCGACAGAGAAGACAAAGAGAATTCCACAAGTAATTACATGGCGGGAGCTTTTATATCGAGGCCTCTGAGCAAGTATTCCTCTGGAGACGGCTCATGCAGTTGTTCTTGGGTCAAGGTAAAAGTTGAGCAAGCTGGCTCAGGTTCCGGCTTCTGAAGTATGCAAGATACTGAAAGGGATGATTGCGCAGATTACCGGGGGGGGTTCTGTTTTTCTTCTTCCTGAGCATTTACTAATGAGGAAAATCTGCTGCCCTGGCTTCCTGGTTGCCTGTCGCTATTCTTTTTGTCTAAATCGTAATGTCTATCAAGACATATGCATAGTGTGTTAGAGTAAATAATTAAATAATTAGAAACAGCACATAAATGGGATTTATGACAAACTTCGAGCCTTTGATATTAGACACTTGATAGAATCTGAAACTCTTTTGTATCATAATTTGTGTCTGTGGTGTTATGAAGAATCTGTTTTTGGAGACCCAAGGTGCGAACCTCGGGTATCTAAAAGCTATATTCCGAGAATTTGTTTGACCTTTGGCTCTTGTGTATTTCACTCACGCTTCCACCATTTCCATTAATCAGAGACTGAAACGTTTGTGAAACACTATCACGGAGCCCAAGGCATTACCAAATAACCGTTGGTATTAGTATCAGAACTATTTTCTGCTCATTGATATTGTACAAATTGTACAGTTGGCGGAGTAATTCCATCCGCATTCTTTACATGGCCGCCCACCATCTCCCACTGTCTCTTGGCTCTTCGTTTTGGTATCGTACAATGACATAATATACAGGAAAGTGCCAGATTTTGAAGTCCTTTTTGAAAGACCTATACGCCCCATGAACATCAAACATGCCGCTTGCCCGAGAACGCCGTTGAATGCAATCGCTTCCGTAGCTTATAAGATTGAGCACGACCACATCTATTGTTAATCAAATCCCAGCTGGTCCGTTTATGAGAAGAAATATTGACTCCCTCTCAGTCGCTTCACATCGAAGTCTCCCTTTAAAAAATGTTAGCACGCATTTCTATGAGCAGATCGAAGTTAAGGGGGGAGAGATGGGAGGCACGAACCTTCTTGGGCACGTCAGGGAAAGCTATCGGAAGCCATACTCCCGCAACCGACGAAGCTTTATGGGTTTTCTTCGGCTCCGTTTTGGTGATCTCGGCTTCAAATCCGTTGACTTCAAGATAGTTCTTAAGTTTTCGGGGATCCTCAACGTTGAAATTTATCGTTTTAGCCCAAGGTGATTTTGGTGAGGTAACATCTGCGTCCGCGACTTCTTCGAGTGCAGACTTGACCACTTCTTCAGGAGGAGGCACTTGGCCAAAGCCGACATCGCCAAATTCGATTGCAGCGTCGGATACCTGCTGTGCATTATGCTCTTCAAAGATACTTGCAGGGGTCCTCATGCTTCGTCCACGGGACACTTCGTCAGGGTCTGTAGACTGAAGAAGTCGTTGTCGCTCACGCTCCAACAGAACCTCATCGTGGAGCTGGAGACGCGCTCCCTTGCGGAACTCAACAATGTCCCTCTCCACTTGAGATCCAGACTCAATCTTGGCGAGATAAAGGGAGCCTTTGTATCGCGCTTCAAATTCGGCGGCAAGTCGTTGGACGACGTCCTCACTGTGAATACGAATGAAAGAATCTCGTAGTACCCCGTTCATAACGTCAACATCCGCTGCGTGTGTCCAGAATGAATCGTGAACGGCAGCAAACGTCAAGCCTTTCTCGTCAGACTCTAACGCAGATAGGAGCATGTGAGTAGCATCAAGTGAGTGAATAAAATTAGGCGGGAAGGCTTGCAGTTGCTTGCGCCGGTTCACGGGGTCGGACCGCTCAGGAATCACAAGGTTCAGGTCCTGAAGAGCAGTCGTAATCGTGCGTGTGTTGCCCTTTCGATACGGCTGCACAACAGGGAGACGTAGTGGAGTGGTCCAGACGATTGTCGATCTCCATTGGCTTAAGAGATCACCATGGCCAATCTTCGACTTCTTGTTCTTCAGGCTAGCCTTTTTCATACTGGCAGATTTCGCTTCTCTGGGGCTAGCTGACGCGCCGCCTGCTTCTGTTGCCATCAACGCTTCCGAATCTTCAGCCATCTTGTCAAGCTGTTCTGGCGTCAAGGCCCGGCATACGCGACCGGCACATTCCGCAAGCCAGTACTGAATATCGTGAGCACCACTGAACATTGTTGACAAAGCTTTGAAGATCTTCGAAGCAACGTAAGAAGCAAGAAGTACAGGTGGTATGCCCGTCTGGTCCTTGATCTTAGGATAGGCCGCTTCGATCTGCTTTTGTACTTGAGCTCGAGCGCCGATGAATGTGACGCCGTAGACGTTTGTCATGACTGTTTGCTTAACGACTTTGCGCGTAATCTTGCCATTCATGATCTTGGCTAGAGGGTTGCCTGTCTCGACGTCTTTTACAATGCTCTCCTTGACCAGATCAGCCACGGCAGAATAGACATCTGCGGGACGCTCGCCAGGTTCGAGGTTGACTTGTTGCGCTCCCCACAGATCACCTCCGAGAGCAGCATAGTGTTGCAGACCGTTGCAGGTGCCGTCTTGGTGGACAGGGAGATGAGAAACGTATTTTGTAGGATCAGGTAAACTCATGGCCGCTTTCAGTTCGAAACATGCGGCTAGACACTGCCACGGATCCTCAGCCTTTAGCCACCATTTGTTGCCATTCAAGGGGTTAGTTGCCGACTCGATGATGTTGTCCATATTGTTCAGGGCAAACTCTTCGCGTTCCGAGATGCTGGCTTTGTCAAATCCAAATACATTGGCAAGGTGCACCTTCAACCAGTTCAGACCGCTAACCCCAAGTTCTCTGCCTTTTGCAAACTGTAGAAGACCGCGGGCGTTGTCAGCGCCCATGTGGTTCAAGTATGTTGGAATCGGGTATGCACGGCCACGGAAATCCATGTTGTGTGGGAAGTAGAAGGTCTGATCTTTGAAGGCATTGGCTATTTCCATCTGGAAGTTGATGAAGCAACGTTCGGAATGGAGTCCCGACTTCTCATTTTCAATGAGCTTGACCTGTGAAATCCACGTCTTCCGGATCATTGGGTCCTCAGAAGCCTCGGGTTCAGGGGGGAGAGGCATGTCGGGGTTAAGTGGGGGAAAATTGGCGATGCCCTCACCAGTGTTCCAAGCGTCGAGCATGACCTGGAAAACGGGGCGATTGACTTTCCAGCCTGTCCGCCCGAGCACATCCAGACCTTTGCAAACTTGGTCGAGATCACCTCTTTGAATTGCTGCTTCTGTGTATACTTTCTGATCCTTTTCACCATTCTTGACGCGGATAATGGTCGAGGGAAACTCGAGAAAGCCACCCTTGTCAAACTTGGTCCAGGAATCAGGTTGCACGAGCATTGGCAGATGTCTTGCCAGAAAATCACCCCGAGGCTCTCGTTTCATGAGCTCCGTAAGATGTTTGTTGGGGCAAACCATTCCAACGCGTTTGCCCTTCTTGAAGATGCTGCTACGGGAGAATGCAGGCTGGACTTGGCTTACCAGCTGCTTTGTCGACGGATGCTCACGAGAGACCGTGATCTTGGCCGTGTCAATCAGAGCCAGCGTCAGGAAAGCACCCAGTTTCGTCTTGATAGCGACAGGCCACGCTTGTCCATCATATGACGTTGGTTCTACAACGTTACTTGCTGGGCTCTTGTTCGTGGGAGTAGCGATCGATGGTGGCATGGTGGACTGTTCAGACTCAGCAGCCTGACGACGCAGAACACGTCGTTGAGCCTTTTTGGCCTTCCTGGCCTCGTGATTTTGAAAGAGACGAACATCCTCTTCCAAAGCTTTTGCGAGGTTCGAGACCGCCGTGGCGATCGTCGCGCCGTTATCAGTGGGAGCCTGTGCCGTTTGATTGAGTGTACTGAGGATAGTAACGGCGGCCAACCGAGCTGGGGTGGATTGTCGTAGGAAAGGGGCAATGAGAATTCTGTCAATATCCTCCGAGGATTTCGTTTGTTGGGTTTCAGCCTTGGCCAAGACCGCTATGTCCTCTTCAATTCGCTTCTCCAGAGCGCATTGCCAGTCGTAGAGCTGAGAGTTGAGTGCATTGGTAGATAAGGATGTGTTTCTTCCCATCTTCATCAGAGCTTGGTGCTCTTCTCTCCATCGGCTGATGGCTGCCTCGACGCAGTCTCTTTCAAGTCGAGCCTGAATCTCGCGCTGCTCATTCAGTGGCAGTTTCGAAATGTCGCTGCCTTGAATGTCGGTAAAAAACGAGAGCACTTCTCGCAAGGTCTTCAGACCAAGTCCCTTTTGCGGTACCGCCATGACCTCGGCCTCAGGGTTCACAGTCTGTCCAGATTTAGTCGGATCTTGCTGCGCTGCAAACTCGTTGGGCAGCTCGGATTGGGAGACCTCCCCACCCTCGATGATGAAGTCCTCAGGCGAGTAGTTGTGTGTAGTACACAGACTGGTGATCTTGGCCAAGTCTTGGTCAGAGAGTATGTCGGAGTAGCTGTAAACTTGTAGACCAGCGTCGCCGGGCACCATGCCCATGTACCTGTTGATGCGGCGTTCAAGCTTGTCCTGATCTTGGCCAGAGATGAGAGAGATCTTGAGCATGTAGGCAATAGTTTCGGGCGTCTGGGGAAGGCCCAGGGCGCGGATTCGAGTTTCGTACCATGACTGCATTGACTCGGCCCACTTGTTGTCTGGATGAGAGTAGAAGCGCTCGATGTTGGCGGCCAGGTAGCGATTGTGTAAGTTGACTAGTTCAGGGCCGGGCATGAGCTCGGTGTCATCGAGTCTTTTGAGGACGAGAGCTGCGCGGTCGAGATGCTGTACATGGAGACAGGCTTCGAATACAGAGAGCATGGACTCGAGATCGCCGGGGACACCCTGGGCCGAGGTTCGTAACTTTGCGGGCTCTTCAAAGTCATTCCTGACTATAAGAGGTTTCGCGGGATCGAAGTGTCTGAATTCGTACGAGGCCAGGGTTCGCGGCGGCGGTGGCGACCGTTGACCGTACATGGGGAGACCGTAGGGCAGATCCAACTCCTTCTGAGATCGGGCATCGTCTATGGCTGTGGCAAGCGATCGCTCGTGATGAGTGGCCCGGCTTACTCGTCCGCTACTTCTTTGCCATGGTAGCAGGTCTGGTCGCGTGACGAGTAGCCTGTGACTTGACACTAGGGAGCCCGGCCGGGCTGTCAAGCATCTTGATAACAGTTGTGGACGATGTAATGTGTTGACCTTGGAGAGGGATAAGCTCCTCTGAGACGATGGCCGCACAAACATGGTGGCTGATGGACCAGATATGGTAGCGACCCGAGGAGGGAATGCGCTGCAGGGAATGACGAGATATCGCAGCGGACGGGGATGGCTGGCGACCGAGAAACAAGGTATTATGTACACATTAAGAGCTGCTAAAAGGAAAGTCCGTGGGAAAAGAAAGAGAAAGATCTAGAGTATAGCGAGGACTGTTCTTGTCTACTAGAGTCTAAGCCGACAAAAGGTGTTAGTGAGCGTAGATAGCAAAAGTCGAGAATTATTGATAGGAGGCGACATGGAGCAACTCCTCCAAATTTTTCGCGGTACGGAGTCTAAAAGCCCCAGGAGGGTCTAAAAAGCTCATCAGGGACTAACATCCAGTAATCCGCAGAGAGCATGCTAAGTACAGTACTTGGTACGGCAGCTGAAGTGCGGGCCTCAGCTTTGGCACAGCTGCTACCGGAACTAATGCGAGCTTCCGATTGGCAGAAAAACACTGGCGTACCCGCTATATCTTCTTCTGTCTCTCTTCTGTGCTGTTTACTCACAGGAGCGAGCGGCGCAAGACAGCTCTAGTTTTTCCGGGTCAAATATCCAGGGGTCCAAAACTTCTGATCTCATCGCAAACTTCCATCACGACTGCGCGGGTCCAGTATGACTTGCGTGCCTCCAAGATCTTCACCTTATTTTTCCACGGCCATCCAAGGTGTCGACTCATCATGGTTTCTGGGAGGGCTCTGAAAGCAGCAGGCTGCTCGCAATGCCGCACATCACTTCTGAGACTGTTCATTACCCCTTCGGTGACTCCACTTATCAGATCTCCGCATACTACCTATGCTTCGTGGCGCACAGCTGCCAACTCCAGAGGCATCGCTCGCCTTTATAGTTCCTCCTCTACTCCCCCAGACCTGGACTCCAATCGGGTTGATTTGCAAGATTCTCAGCTCGACAGACTTGAAGCCGCACCAGATGACCAGCCCATAAACGACGGCGAGCCAGCTTCAAGCCAAGCGGCTGTACCATGGTATCTTGAAGTTGATCCACCAAGACACATACCTGTCGCTGAACCACCGCCATTGCCCGATGTGCCTGAAGGTTCGCCGCCTATCATTCCTACTTTGCTGAAATATGCTTCCGAGGAGATGGGCCTTGACGATCTTTCGCTTCTGGATTTGCGAGAGCTTGATCCACCTCCAGCGCTTGGCCAGAACCTCTTCATGCTTTTTGGCACAGCCCGCAGTGAGAGGCATCTGAACGTGTCTGCCGGTCGTTTGGTCCGATGGTTACGAGCCAAACATCGCATCATTGCTGATGCTGATGGCTTGCTGGGCCCGAATGAGCGCAAGACTAAGCTCAAGCGGAAAGCGAAGAAAGCAAGGCTGTTAGGGACCATGGGTACAGACGACACCGATGATGGCATCACCACCGGCTGGATTTGTGTCAACATGGGTACCATCAACCGCTCGAACGTGGAGTCTGCTGTTCTTGCTGAGGACGGTCGAATTGCTGGATTTGGCGTACCACAAACAGGGTCGACGATTGTCGTCCAAGTTATGACCGAGTCACGCAGAACAGAACTGGGCCTAGAAACTTTATGGCAGCGGACTCTAGACCGCCAGACCAAGCAAGAGCCCAACAAGGAACTTGGTAACGTCGAGTCATCCGAGCAAATTGATACCGAAAGAGATACTTTGTCCCAGGCACCATCTCGACCTACGTCCAATGTCCCTTCATCCGCATTCTCTTCCTCAGGCCAGTCCCGGTCATTCTCGACCAGTCAAAATCACAGGAACGATCCTCAGCGCATTATTTATGCCGAGGAATCGCACTTATCTCCCGAGGCTGAGGGGCCCATTCTAGGCTCTAAACTCTACGAGCTTTTTGGACCATCTGAAGACACTAGATCTGTAAATGAGTGGTGCGATGTGTCGTCAACACATGGTGCCTCTGCTTTATTCAAGAATCTATTGCACGACGGTCCTTCCAAAGTACGAACGATTGAGCTTCTGAAAACGAATATCAACAACTCATCGGCAGACGAGGCCTTTGCGATACTTCGGTCCGCGTCTTTCAGAAAAATCTCTCAAATGTCAATGCAACACCTTCCAACAGAACAAACGTGGTCACTCCGCTTAAGCATTGAGTCTAAAGCCCGTCAGTTGGGCATGGAGGAACACCAGTCTCTTGACAAAACAAGACAGCTCATCAATGAGCTTAGGGCATGCGCAATAGCTGCTTCGAGGGAGGAAGTGCTACAGCTGCTTGGATGCATCTATGCTTCGCCAGGGCCCAAGCTGCAAGAACAGACCAGACTTGCCATGGACCTTTTGGAGTCTGTGCACACTCGAGGCCATCCGATCATTACCAACGATGTCGTTGTGTCCATCATAGAAGGCATGTCGTGGTCTGGGAAGCCCACTCCAAAAGCCATTGAACTTCAGATGAGGCTCGAAGATCTTATGGCCCAAGCCAAACTCCCGTATATGGGTGAACCACTTCTCCTGAGGCTTATGGATGCATACGCTCGACTAGGGCGATGGGATCAGTTCTGGGAGACGTGGCGCCTCCCGCCTCGCTTTGCTCAGCCTAGGTCCGAAGCCCTATATCTTCATACCTTTAGACTAGCTGTAGCTACGAAGGACCCGCGTATATGTACCGAAACAATTCACCGCTGTTTCCAGGAGATGATCATAGAGCACCCACCAATTGAACTCACAGGGCAAATTCGCAACGCACTTCTGGACTGTGTCCGCGTGGCAGACCCCAAGGCGGAAGAGCATGCGGACACAATCCCAGCTAACGCGAAGGGATTCGCGCAGAGTTTGGTCGGACGAGAGTTTGTGAAACTAGTAAAGGAGTTGAAGCTATTGCGCCCCCGTAGGCAGCTATCATGAGTCGGAGCATTAGGTATCGCGGCGGCGGAACCCTTATGATTAGATGACTATCACCGGTCGTTTATAAACGATGACCGCCGGCGTCCGTTGTGGTTTTCAGAAAGGCTCACCGAAGGCTCAGGGACACGACATTGAGGAAGACATGGAGGGCTGCAGTGCGGTTCGGAGAATGTAACATATTGTACAACACCCACAAGTGGGGCATAAATTGTAATACACTCTGTAGGGGTATGACTTGTTGGCTTGACTAGTTGAGAAGAGCGAACTTTTCAGTATCAGCCCTCAAGAAATGGTAGTTTATCATAAGGATATTCGGACTTTTGCAAGCCTACCCTTTACTATTTTTGTTCTTTTAAATACATGTACAGCAAGTCCCTTCCGAAGAGTTGGCTCAGATATGTATCTCTTATTATCTATAACGCACGACCAATGAACCCGGCGGCAATGGGAGCCATATTGACCTTCTGGTCCCGCTAGAAACATGAGCACTAACCCAGGCCAAAAGAATACCTTCCCCTTCGGGCAACAAGCCACCGGCAGTTTTATGCGAGAACAGTTGATCGCCAGCAATCGCAGGATACTGATAAGGCACGTGGAAAGAGGATTCCCCAGAAGGTCCATGCTATTATTAACAAGATTGAGTTTTTCTGACATAGCTTGTACGAGACCGGGGAAGGGTGCATCCCAGGGGTGCTGTAGACTTTGTAGGTCTGGTCTGGTCCTGGTCCTGTCAACTCGAGTTCAAATTTTAGTAGAGCCAGCCAACTGCGATGGCAATCGACAGGCCACATAGTCCATACTGGAATTGGGCATTTTGCTTTTTCAGAAAGTCAACGACACTTTATGTCTACGATCAACAGTCAAAACAATACAGGCACAGCAAACAATGCATGTTCTTGAAAGTCTCAACGCTGTACCTAGCATCAATGAGAATGGAGCTGGGCCTTGGCGAATTCCCTAACCTAAAGCGAGATCGTCTCCGCTCGCGTGTCTGCAGCATCTCCCACGATTCACTTCACGACTGGCTAACCTTAATTGATTTCCTTTCCTCCTCCATTACTCAGGGGCAAGGACAACGTGTGTTAAGTCATTGGGCCTAATACAGTTTTGGCTTGTGATGCCGATGCATCTTCGCAACCGAGAAATACAATCCTCAGACCCCCTGTCACCAATCTATGTTCAGATACCGCTTTCGTCAGTATTCCTGATTTCGCGTCCAATCAATGTGCTCCAGTACGCCAATTGTAAAATTATAGCATAAGATTGGTACTGAACGGCGATCAGCTTAAGCTCCCGAAGTCGCTCGTGAAGAAGATATGTCGCTCTCAGAAGATCCGCACAAGTATATAGGCGGCGGCGCCGAGCATGTATATTAGCCTTCCGCCCGTCCATTGTACTTGGCATGCTCCTCTCCACCCACTCGTTACCTTATACAGCGTCTCCTGTGCCACCTTGTTGTCCACTCTGCAGCCAGCTAAATTCCTTCGTCCAAGCTTGATTCAACGACAATGGTTCGCATTGCAGCTACTGCCCTGCTCTCCGCAGCGGCCCTTCCCGGCGCCATGGCCTGGGGAGCCATGGGCCATGAGACCGTCGCCTACATTGCGACCAACTTTGTGGCTTCGACTACCAAGACCTACTTCCAGAGCCTCTTGGGAGACACGTCTACCGATTACTTGGCAACTGTCTCCACCTGGGCTGATTCATATCGCGTACGTCTATAAAGCATATCCCCGTATCACTATTTGGAAAGCCACAGGGTTGATGGCAACGTGAATCTCGGCAACAGCATAGCTGATTTCATCCTTGCTAGTACACGACCGCGGGCAAGTTCTCTGCTGGTTATCACTATATCGATGCACAGGACAGCCCACCGTCGTCTTGCGGTGTCGACCTGGATCGTGATTGCGAGGGTGGCTGCGTTGTGAGCGCCATTGCTAACTACACTACGCGTGTCCTTAACACCAAGCTCAGCACGGCTGATCGCCAGATCGCCGCCAAAATGATCATCCACTTCATTGGTGACATCGGCCAGCCTCTCCATTGCGAGGAGCTTGAGTCGGGCGGCAACGGTATTGACGTTACTTACGATGGCGAGTCCACCAACCTCCATGCCATCTGGGATAGTGATATTCCCGAATCTGTCTCTGGCGGGTCATCGCAGAGCTCTGCCAAGACCTGGGCCACTACTTTGACCACCGGTGAGTGTTGCTGCCCTTGTGCATCCAGACTGCAATGCAGTATCGCTAATGTATACGGTGACAGCAATCAACTCAGGAACTTACAAGTCTGAGGCTGCCGGCTGGGTGTCCAATCTGAACATCAAAGACGCTGAGACGACGGCGCTCGATTGGGCTTCGGAAGCAAATGCGTATGTCTGTACCACGGTCCTCAAGGGCGGCATCACTGCCGTCGAGAACAAGGAGCTTGATGGTACCTACACTACTACCGCCCAGCCAGTCGTCAAGGAGCAGATCGCCAAGCAAGGCTATCGACTGGCGAAGTGGTTGGATGCCATTGCTGCCGCATAAAAGATTCCTAGCGGAAGCACATCCGATCGACGGTTAGAATCTGAGTGTACGCGTCTACATTGAATAAAACCTATATGGTCCTTGTACTCTCAAAAACAGCTTAGCCAATGCTCCGGATCATCTGTTCGTATAGGAACTTTGAGAATTCCATTTGAAACTTGTCGGCTCATAGGTCATAGCACTATGACATGATATAGTGAAGATAGAATTATTATTTGTCTGATTGTTTCGGCTTTATAGTAGTCTGGGTACATCCTATAGTCCTTTCCCTAGGCTCCCATCGCCTCTCTCAAGATGGGGGCAACCTGCTTGCGACTGTTCTCAACCCTGGCCTGAGACCAACATTTCCGCCATTTCCCATCTTCAATGGCATCGAGTTCCCCAGCACGATATGTGCTTAGCTCTAGTTTGTCTTTGTTACCCGCCTCGAAGCGTTTGGCAGCATTGACGCCCTGCTCTGATCGTGCCAGCAGCAGCAACTCGCGGCTGAACTTTCCCTCCTTCTTGAAGGCGGTCATGACGCAAACGAGGTCGATATCCTTCTCCTTTCCCCAATCGGCAATATCCCGGATCAGATTCTGTGCGCCGCCGGCCTTGTCCTGCAGCGCCGAGAGGTCGGCGGGTACCGACGACATCCCCAACTTCAGCCCGCCGTCCTCCCACTCCTTGTAGTCCTTGCGCAGGACATCTCGAACCGACAACGGCGAAATATCCTCCTTGAGGCCCGAGACGGTGGTAAAGATGCTGGCTCTGTCGTAGTTGGCAGAGCCGCTGATCTTGGTCTCTAGAAACTGTACGGCGTCCTCGTCGAATGGAGTCGTTTTGTCCTTGTTCTCTAAGTTGTTGGTGTCTATCAGGATGGGACCGAGCGCCAGCTGAGCGACTTGCGAGTCGACCTCGTCCGCGTTCTCAAGGGATTTCAACTCATCCCACGCCTCCTTGCAGTGGTTGACCACGAGACTCGCACAGCTTCCGCTCTTCTCGATCACCCGAGGCGAACTGTCCTGTGGTACAAGACCCTCGTCATCGTGGTGGTCGATGCACCCGACAACGCGGTCCTTGTATGGTTCCAACTTGCCGGTCAGCGAATTGTGGTCCACCAGGAGCCAGTGAGTGTTTTCCTTGAAGCCCGCGGCACCAGCGGCTTTGGATAATTCGTCCAGCGTGAGCACATCATCAGGCGACACAGAAGCCCTTTTGAGGACCTCGGTGAACTCCGGCCGAAGTGTCAGGTCATCTCTGTGAAGATGACACAGAGGAATGTGCAGGGTGTGAGGCGGGGTGTAAGTGCGCAAATATGCCAAGAGCAATGCGGAGCACAGCGAATCAAGATCTTTTGGAAGCATTTGTTAGTACGTGGTGGCATGAACCGCGAGCATGTATCTTTGGAAAGGACTTTACCAGCAGACTCATTGCCCACCACAAAGGTTAGCGGTTGTTTCTTGGACGCAGTTGCTGCCAGTGTTGACTTCGCGTTTGTGAGAAATGTAGACAACGACGCCCTAGGAGCCATGGCTGTTAGGTGTCACTAAGATGGCACAAATCCTAGAGGTGGATGTTTCTCGTCAAGTTTCTGGGAATTCAAAATCATGAGATTTACGTCCGAGAAGGTATCCGGGGTATAATATATGCTAACTAACTGTATGCGAGTGCTACGTATTGTAAGATTCAGAAAAACAGCCCCACTGCGGTTCATAGTCCAGGTATGGCCCTGCGCCACAACCAACGGTGTGCAATTAAGCAGTTAGGCTAGTTCCGTGTCTACTACAGCCATGGTCGAAAAATTTCGCGCTGTCGCATAAATCTGAATCTAGGCATGGAAGTGGCGCATGAAAATATTACGGAGACTACCAGGAATCCCGAGTGGTCTCTCACGAATAAAGTATAGATTAAACTTGATGGTTATCTAATTTGGTAAGTGTTTCGAGAAAGGAAGTCTATAGTGTAATATATGCAATAAGTTGGGGTGTTACGGTTAGATGAATGACTATCTAGAAGCATTTAATTCTATAGAACACATTATGAGAGAGGCAACAAAACCTAATATTTTTTAATCGCCGTAATAAAAAAGAGTTAAAATGACAAGGGAAAGTATTTGTGCTACTTCGTGAGTTTTTGTGTCGATAACTTGGCATGATTATTACACTCTATTTTATTCTATGTCAAACCCCTAGTTTCTAATGGATAATTACCCCCAAACCCCCCCGGAAAAAGCAATTTCCAACTCCTTTCCAACCTTTTCCCAGGTCACTCCATGCTATATAATGATAGTCCGCTGTTTTACATTGAGCTTGAATTTTTTAAATAGCCTCGCGCATGCTATTAGATATCGCATTATTTTACGAATGTAGTTGCTGACTAAATGTCTCACATAATATATATCGTTCTATACACTGAGCTATTTCAACATACCTAGACCCGGGTGTCTTTTGCGAATTTGTATGTTTGGTTTACATGTGTGACAATGATGTATTCATGCCACACTTTTCACTAGGATGGCATATTCAAGTTATGGGCGCATGACATAAAGAGCGTGGAGTCTGCGATAATTAATGACTATACTTGTATGATCTGATTTACATTATTGCAGATAGATAACATACCTGCACCAGCCAATATTCATCATCCTGACACATATCGACGACTCGGCCATTCATACATGATGACCACCAGTGGGCCAGCTAAGCAATGAATCTTCCATGCTCATGTGGCAAGATACGCCGTATCAGAAACTGCGTTTGACGTCTTAATGCAGTTTGTTTTGCGCCAGTTGTATTTAGATCCTCAGTGAGTAGCGGATATAATAGCTCTACTGCTTACTAGGAAAGTGTGTAGTTATTGCAGACTCCTAGTATAACAAATTTTATAATACAAAGTGGCGAGCCGGTTCAATCAGACCCTACCAAAGTACACGCTAAATATCTCCCATTGTCGTGATTCATGAAAACTAAAAGATGATCAAGCATCAAAAGTGATTGAGGAGTATACCTTGTCGCGAATCTGATCTGTGAGAAAGTAAGCATGCAGTTTATGGCATTTCCAAAAACCAATTCACATACCTCTCATGCCACTCAAAGCCTCGAAAGCAGTGCCATAGTTCTCCAAGGTACCTAGGATCGATAGGATACCCTGCTGCAGACGCCCAAGAAGGTTGTTCGCCAACGATCCTGTGTCGCCGTTCCAGCCGGAGTACATTGTTTGCGTTTTATCGTGGACCATGAGTAGCACATAAGCACATTGCATAGCGCAACATGCGAAAGATGGCATCGTCCTAGGCGCAATAATACTTGAGAATGGACCAATGTAGGAAGGCCCAGCCGATACCTGAGTAGTCGGGTTGGGATATGGTAGCAAATCGAAGGCTTGTGCGATATTCAAAGCGGATTTAAGACATATCTTAGCTGATTGATGACTGCTGAAAGGAAATATCGGTGTCAAGGGGGACTGGTATGACTGGCCGCCGTCTGAGGGAGACGAATGCATTGAAAGGGTGGGGGGTGATGATCCACTAGAATGACTCGAATGTACAGATTGCCCGTTGACGAGAGTACTACAGCACGATGGCCAGTGAGTTAGCTCTTGAGCATCAATCTTGCCCTTCTCCTGCAAAGGCCTTAGATCACAATTCTTTCGCGCAAAAACTGGCAGGTCAAAGAATGCGCAATATCGATGAACCTTAATACGTGCACTGAACCGCTTAGTATTGGAAGCACAGAGGGAATATTCCGACTTACCTATTCAGTTTGATCCTTGACATGCATCTCAATGTTTGAGCGACCGCAGCTTCATGTTGATCTGCCAATTGTGTTGCTGGGCAACTCAGCACCCAGTTCTCCGATGCTGCGATGAGTGGTTCCAGCATCAATTCCAATTCAATCATACAGTGCTCATATCAGAATGGGACTTCATTGTGTCATTCAGCTCGATGACAAATTGGGTTGCTGCAAGGATAGCTTGCTGCGATTTGATGTAGAGAGGCCAGGCCTATTGCAAGTAGTACCGTATTAGTTTTTCAACTGGTGCACATCCGATAAGAAGTACTTACCTCTGCGTCAGCTTCTATAACCGGCATCTTCGCTGTGAAAGACGGTACAAATACGTCGAAAGCAGGTTTCTTGCAGATGTTAATTACTTGAATGATCGTGTTTGTTGGCTTTAAGCACCTACCATGTTGGAGACAATTGAGCTTTGACAAACAGATATATATGTCATCCACCATGCACGCCGTCTTGCGTCCGAGAAGTTATCTTCCTCTTGTGTGAGTGTGTGTAGCGACATACTCATGGCTGCCATTAAGGCGGCATTGGCCCTTGTTCGCATCCGCTTCAAGTTACCGCGCTGGGCGTATTCATATACACTTAGAAGATTCAGCGCGATGATACTTTCAAGCTGCACCGGAACACGCTGATGAAATGCTTGGCGATGAACCTCGTCATCAGAATCCTCTAAGGCTCTTGATGGTTCGACAGCGGAATCCGGATGCTCACTCTCTGTCTCAACACTTTCAAATGCTGATTGTGCTAGGAACTGAGCATATTTTCGACGGAATAGAATGGACTCCTCAGCAAAAGGGCTTGGGTCCTGTGCGCAAGGGATGAGCGCCAATATTGCTGAGATGGCGAGTGCTGCAGGCGAAGACGACTCATCAATATCTATCGGCCTGGTTTCGAACAAAGGATCCGCCGCATCAGGCAAAAGTGGGACGTCTGGAGGTGGCAGTATTGGGAAGTATGGATGAATCCATATATAATATGCATTGAGTCTACATGGTCATCAGCCATCTCCAAGAAAATTGGGGTATCACGAAATAAGAGCACTGCTCGGAACGCGAGTCTCAGCAGAATGGGTTGAAGCTCACATTGCGAAGTCACTTGCATACGACCTGGCCATAGGGCCGGATCCATTCACTGGTGGTGAATTGCTTGCTGCGAAAGTTGATGTGTTGCTGAAAAGGCTGTCAAACAGGGTGTCGCTGTCATTGATGACCTCGGTCAGATTCTTCAAGCCAGCCCCAGGGTTGATGTAGTTCTCAACCAGAACTGCTTCATTCATCAGACAGACATATCACGCCTCGTGCATTGTGCAGTACTCACGACTAGGGGAGGCGGACGCGTCCGCGAGTGGGACGGTATCATTGGAAATAGATTCATGATTGTCCTCAGATATATGTAGTCGTTTCCGAACTCGAGGACCGCCTCGGCGGCTTGGCTTGTAGAGGCACTCGCGATCACGACTTTTACACTGGGAAATTTAGCTTGGAGCAACACACAGCAATGCTTGTTCTACATACACTTGCGCAAGGATTCTCTCCTGTACACCTCGTCCTCGAAGCGCGGCTAAAGTATGTCAGCGCCCGGATTTTCGGGTCCACCCCGACCGCAAGACGAAAAGATATCGAAGGAACGCTTTTCGGCACCGACAAGCCGGATGACACGGGACGTACCATGCAAGACAGGCGATTTTCACAGGCGGTGTCGCAAACTTCTTTCGTGCAGTACCTGAACTTTCCTGCATTGAGGGAGGAATCACAGATGCTTGAACTTCAGCCATGTTGCAATACGCTGGCTGTAGCCGTTCGCGAAGTAAGCAGATGTTGTGATGGAGACTATGTAGCAAATCCCGATGCACGAATGAAAGCAAGTTCCACGTCGCTTCGTATGATCGGGGTCAGCCTTGTCCCCGTGGGAAAGTAGTAGCGATCAGGAAGATGTGGATGGGGTTTTGTGAGTACACAATGACCGAAGTGGGGTAGCGGTCCAGCTGAAAATGTGAATTCACTATCATAGTTAGCTCTTTAAAAGGCTATCCCCTGGCATTAGAGCTCGGGATTAGACCTTGCGGCGTTCAGACCGTTACGCTGTTGGTCTGAAACATTAGCGCAGTCTCCCATCCCGAATATGTGATTTGCTTACTTGCCGGCCTTCACATGGTTGACATGGTTTCTAATACATGTATCAACTCATCATGAGAGATTCGAAAGCACCATATTGTACGACTTCATCTTGACAAACGAACTTTCTGTCTAAAGGCTTGAAAGTCAATGTTTATTATCGAATACCTGGAAGCGCATGTGTTGGTCTCCACAAATGACAAAGATTCGCCACATGTCTTCGATTCGGGTCGCGACGAGCAATAATAATTTGTGATATCATCTAAACGTGGGCTGATCGCAGAGAGAAAAAAAAAACCCGTGGAGGGGAACTAGAGCGGCAGTAAAGAGCTTCAAATCTCCCTGCTCTCCTTTGCCATAAACTGGAAGGTAGGAGACCCCCATCAAGATAAATCGAGAAATGTGCACTCTTTTCTTTATCGCGTTACAGAGAATACAGTACTACATATTGCCCTTACCTCCTCACACGGAGTTCCAGGATCAGCACCTTACACATCGCACACACCTGGAGCCATATGCGAACAAATGCAGCCCAGATCCCGTGGAATGGGTCGTCTCAGCAAATGCCGTAGTCAACAAATCCGTCAAATCCCGAGATTTAGCTGTCATCCATTGTGCTAGAAGCTTATGGGTCACGCAGTTGGCCAACCGTTGAGTATGGCTAGTCAGACTCAATCACTCGGCAATCCGTCTCTGTACACAATGGAACGAACTTCTTAAACGCATTGACCGTATCTACAGTAAAGTTTAAATATATACATCAAATGAGGCTAAAATCGCCTGCTCCGCCAACATAACCACGTGTTATATCGTAATGACTGCAATCATTGCATAGCTTATAGGACATGCTTTTTGGCAGCGCGCTTTCGCTTGCTTGAACACTTCTTTCCAGTTGTGACCGCTGATGAAGAGGCAGCTGGCGCGGCAGAGGTGGTCTGGACAACAGCAGCTGAGGACGCGGCGCTGGAAGAAGCAGCGGCAGCGGAGACGGCAGTAGTGCTAGTTGTGGCAGCAGCAGAGGATGCAGATGCTGAAGTAGTAGCGGCGGCAGCAGCAGAAGATGCCGCAGCTGTGGTGGTAGCTGCGGCAGCAGTAGAAGATGCAGCAGCTGAGCCGGTGGCAGAAGAGCCAGTGCTGTCATCGCCAACACACATTCCTAAATAGGTTTGGCCTTCGAGGTTGGCTTCATGAGAGTCACAGGCATCGGGCCAGGTAGCTTCACCAGGGGCAGTGTAGTTGGTGGGGATGGGATAGTAGATGTTGATGATCAGACCAGCCTCGTAGCCGGTGTACTGGCCGGGGATGCTCGTAACTGGGCTGGGGCTACCGGCACCGTCACCAGTGACGCTCAGCTGAGCGCAACCCATGTAGAACTGGGCACCACCAAACTCCTCAGCAGCGTGGAGGGCAACGTGCTCGGCGCGCATGAGGTAATCACCAGCGGGCAAATCGGTGGGCAGGTCAATAGTGAAGTTCTGGATACCACTGCTCCCAGAAGGGTAAGTTGCCCACTGGATACCCTCAGAGTTGATCTCGGTGTAAGTCAGCTCGTAAACCTTGAACCTGTGCAGAAATCAAAAGTCAGTAATATTCCTTTCTTCTGAAGGGAAAGGCGGTTTCAAGTCGCCTCCTGAGACAGCGAAATGACGTAGCTGAGAAGGGTGATAAAGGCCTCCAGGAGTAGTCACATACCAATCACCAGATCCGTCGTAGGCATTGGCTGCAGTGCCGTCGGGAGCCTTCGACATCCAAACAGAAAGAGGACCGGGGTGAGAGATGGCAGCGTTGATAGTGAAGCCGACGTTGTCACCAGGGGCGACTGTGTAAGTCGAGGTCTTGGCCATGGTGGCAGCGACTGTCAAGGGGATATCGTGTTAGCTCACATCTCTAGAAGCAATGGGCGTATGGACAGAGAATTCAGTGACGTACGGTTACCACCAGAGTTGCAAATCATGTCAGTGGATGTAATGTCTGTGATGGGGGAGTTTGAGTTGTTCGTCTGGCGAACGTACTCGTAAGCACTGGTAACGTTGCCGTTGACGATCAGAGCCTCGAAGTTGTAGTGAGCGAAAGCAGTCGGCACCAAAGCCGCCGCGGCCATAAGTGTGGAAGAGATCGTGGAACGCATTCTGGCGACAGTTTTCTAGTACTTGCGAAAGTAGGTAAAGATCGATTTGTAAGTGCAGTTTGTTCGTTGGTGTAAGAGAATGAGGCGTCCACCAGGGGCGAAAGAATGAATGACGAATGGGTTAGGAAAAGAAAGGACAGACGCAAGCGACTGAAAGTGATCGTACAACAACCTCGAAAATTGAGAATGAGTTGAAAACAGAAGCGAGGAAATCACCAGGTCTTGGCAAACCTCTTATACTTCTACCTACCAGTGCGGCTCTGTAAGTTCGAGCATTTGGCTCATCTCGGCTCAGGCCGGATTAGCCCACTGCTTAGTCCGTCGGATCCAAATTGTTTTTCTATATTCCCAGTGGAGCCAGGAGGCTCGCGAAACCTGAAACAGATCCAGCAGACATGGGGTGTATGGGGAATATTCCATATTTCCACTCCAATCCCAGATCCAGGAGCATCTTGATCCAATCAGAGATCTTGTCAGAGAAACAGAATTGCCAGGGTTCTGCATGTTTGCACCGTTCCAATCTGATTGTTTGCAAGGGGGTGGGCGCTCTGGTTTGTGTTCTCTTGGCATGTATATGAGACGAACTTCGGCGCTTGCATATTGCATCGCATGGCCTGCACGCGTAATCAGGGGGGGCACCAGGATATCTTCGACACCGAGCTGGAAAGCAGATACGATCTCTTATTTAAACCCATCTTCCACTTTGATATAGTAATCGCAAAGGCCATTGCAGATGGCTGGTGTCTAAATATTCTATCCTAGAACTCTCCGCAAAGTGGTATATCCCTAAAATGTTGTGCATAAAATGTGATATCATGTTATACTGGTAACCCATGGGGCATTGTGTCGGTGGTAATCAAATGACAGGGCTATCCAAGCTCACATACTATCCTCCATGTGCCGACTTCGCACCTTTGCCCAATCATCCCGCTCTTTCTTGCCGCCCGCCTTCTCAAGCCCCATGCCTCTTTCGACCCATTCTTTGCTTCCCATCTCTGTGAGCCGAGAAAGAGCTCTGATGAAAGCAAAGCGCTCTTCGTCGCCCGAGAAAACGTTAGCTTCCTTTAGTTGCTGAATATTATTGTTCACGTCCTCCATGGCATCTTGAACGGCACCTTTCACCGCCTGTTCTGAGTCCTCGCCCTTATCATTAGCCTTCTCCTTTTCTTGCATCGAATCTTCCAATTCTTGAGCGGAGAGGAATAGCTGTGTAAGAGGCTTAGCTGTCGTCAGTACAAGTTTGGCATGAGCCTCGTAAACTGCATCGAGGAAGGTGATGAACCGCCGGGCGATATCACGTTCACGATATGTCATACCCGGCACTTCAGTTACGATGAAGGCATCGTAGTTGCGGCATAGCTCGATATAGTCTGCGGCACCCGTGGCTTTTCCAAGCAGCTCTTTGAAGGTGAACCAGGCGCATCTGCCGCTGACTCGAGGAACGTGTATCTCGCGGCCCCATACTGTTTGTACTTCGGAATGGGGTTCGACCGACTCATGGTCCCCCAAAAATCGAAACCACTTCTCCGCATGTGAGGCTGCATGGGCATCAAGGGGTGTGTGATAAACACCAGACGCCGGTCGAGGGATTTTTCGGTAATCCGTAGGTGAATCAAGGTTGATTACGTGTAGACGCGATTTCAGCAGGTTGATCGCCGGGATGAACGACTGTCGCTGAATACCATTCTTGTATAACTCATCTGGCATCCGATTTGAGGTTGTGACGAGAACGACTCCGTGCGACATAAGTGACTCGAGTAACCGCCGTAAAATCATGGCATCTGCCACGTCTGTACACTGAAACTCGTCGAAACAGAGCACGTTGGCCTGCTCTGCTATATCGGCTGCTACGAATGGCACAGCATCGATGTCATTTCCATGTTCCATCTTCATCTTGTGAAGTCTCTTGTGTACATCCTGCATGAAATTGTGGAAGTGTATCCTCGTCTTGGATTTGACGGATTTCGGCATGGTCTCATAGAACAAGTCCATAAGCATGGTTTTGCCGCATCCGACATCGCCATATAGGTAGAGCCCCCGGGGTAGGTCAGCCGGTATATCCTGCAACGGCGCGCTGCTCTTGTTGGATCCAAACCAGCCAAATATTGATTTCGACGGTTTGAGAGATTCTATTGTCGGATGTACGACGGCCGGTGATTCGTATCGGATGAGTTCATCGTGTAAGTGTTGTAAATTTTGGATGATGCCCCGCTGGTGCTCGTCGTTACGCAGACGTCCTTCGGCTACTCGCCGGTCGTATTCTGCGATAGGCCCATGATTTATAGATGCAGTCACTAGTCACACACGATGTTAGGGAGTGCGATGATACAAAGGAGCCGCTACCGACCTTCCTCGGCTATGGTCGCATAAGGACGTGTGCGCGAATAAAGCTGTGCATTGAATTGCCTGTGCGATGCGAGTCGTGTAGATGTCGGCGTTGTACGTGGAGCAATGTAGTTGCGCTGTTGCACCTGTGTCCTCAAGCATTGGCTACAGAGTAAGCGTCTACCCTCGAATCTCGCCGGTGGTCGTGGAGACAGAAGTCGCTGAGCAGGAGACACGGTTCGAACTCGCATGCTGAGCCGATGAAGTAATTATGCTATTGAGTCCCTGCAATAAGTATATATAGGAGCATGTTTAGGTATGCAAAAAAGAGAAGCAAAGGCACCAATCTAATGTCGAGTAATTTCTATTCTAGGAGGTGCAGAAACAAAGTCTTGTCCGCGATCTCAAAAGGATTGGAAAACGGAGAAGTCTCGGGACTCTGCGCCATGTCGTCAACCCACATGGCATAACTTAAAAGAGTAGAGAGTCCTTTCAACTTTCCCGGTAATAGCAGAATGACCGAGCCTTGGCGCTAGCACATCTACAGCTTAGCCGAGCGGGCTGGGTGGGGAAGACAGGAGGGTGGACCTTTCCTTGCGCTGGGTCCGTTTTCATATGGATGATGGATGTAGAGACAGTACGGATCCGTGGCTGCGTGGCAAGCAACGCTGCAACTAAGTGCGCAATGGAATTCCCTTGACCTCTGACGGAAAGATGTGGCCGGGAGACCTGTATTTTTCGCCTTAGAGAATGGAGACAATTGAAACCCACATAAAAACATAGTTGAAAAATCCTCTGGTGTGATGTCAGAGGCGGCGCTCAACCCCAACCTGTGCACCATTAATTCGTGCGATTGTGGTGGGCCGTTGGATAGGATACTACGTACTCTGTTCTCTGTATGGCCGGGAGGGATTCAGGTAGACGACGAATTTCTACTGCAAAATCCATTGCATGACTTGCAGCTCCGCCAAACTTCACTACTGGGTTGTCTTTTTGAGTCTAGACTAGGGCCTCATTAAACAAGTCCTGCGCTGTCTTTTGGCCAAAGACAAGGCATAGGTCATTGGTTTCTGCTTGAGTGAACTTTTCCATTCAAGTTGGACTCATCACTGCCGACTACAGCGCTGGGTCGTTCGTATGACCATAATGCCGTGCAAACATGCAAGGCCTAATCGAAGATACCTTCAGCGCTGCTGGCATTTTCACATGCCCGTTGCTTGGTGCCTCGAAGCATGGCATTCTTGATATCGACGTGTGCAAATGCAGCAATTCGCCAACCTGGATTTCGGAGTCGGTGGCAAGGCCGTTCCTTTCTCGACAACCAGGCTGCCAGCCTCGAGTGCGAAAAGCATGGATCATCTTCCTTTGGCGAACTTCTCATGCCATTTGCCTTTAGTAGCTGGTGCTATGCTGGTGCTGGCCTGAGGTATGAGCTCTATAGTATCGTGGACTGTCGCTATGGCCTTGAGTCCAGGCTCTGGGATTTGTGACGAGTCTGTCGTGGTCTCGCCAGGGCTCAGCAGCATCAGGGCGTTTGATGTGTTCTTCTGCCGCAATCCCCAGGTCTTCTCCCCATGCTTGATAAGGGCTGAATTTGCTGACGATTCGAGAGTCAGGCTAGACGTGGGGATGAGTCAACTGCTTCGGGAAGGACTGGGGCCCAATTCACTTACACAGGAGCGTCGTCAGCTTCGAGCAAAGCTAATAGCTCCGGAGGCAACTCCAAGAGCTTATAATTCAGTCCATTGTGAGCATGCGTCAATGGGATGCCAGCGTTGTCCTGGGTGGCCATGCTCGCTATGACGTCTGAAGTGATCTGACAGGGGGTCTGCAGAGCGGTCGGATAATATTTTAAGGTATGAAGATCAGTTTGGATCTTGATGATTGCTAGAGACAAATTTCCGGAGAATGTCTCTCGATCAGAGGGGCCGTGCGACCCTGGGTCATGCTAATGGGGTGAAGGTTGGATTAGGTGTCCCAAATTCGACTAGGAACCAGACAGACAGACGAGATGGAGTGACACAAACAAGTGTTTTCTTTTGATCGTACTCCTTACCGCAACCAAAATCCATGGGAAACACTTTGGATTCGCAAGAGTTGGGGCGCCTTGTTATATAACGACCCGCTTCGCAATCATATTGCAGGTACCTATCCTGCACCTTGACATTGTAATCGTGGTCTGCCTAGTCTTAGTCAAGGTACACCAATTAAGGTAGTAGCCGCATTTCGGACAGTGGGCCCGAATCCAGTCGTCTCCAGCTTCAGACTGTTTACTTTTGGTGGGGGAGCAACCAATCAAGCCGCGGAGACCAGCCGCGAATCGCGTGTTTATCTCATTTTCCCTGGTCAAGTCTAGACTAAAGTAAAGTCTACAAGTACATACAGACAGTCAGGGTAAGACGACAGAAAATCTCCGAACAGGGCGAGATCCAGTTGAGGTGTATCCCAGTCACTCTTTCTGATAACATTACTCTCGTTATCCACCATTCTGGCATTCGCTTCGTCTCCTCGCAGATTCGTTTGCGCGTACTTGTGTATATCGGTTCTGGCCTGTTTTGTATCCAATCCATGTTGTGAAGCTTGGTTGCTTTGGTGGATTCTGAGCTAAGGCATCCTGCATGCAGGCTTCTTTGCAGTAGTTAGCTGCGTTGCGACACCAATTGGAAAGTAAACAAATCACCAGCAACTCCAGCTCCAGATCCAGATCCAGATCCAGATCCAGCTTGAGCTTGAGCTCCGACCTCGAACCAAGCTTTCGCACTGGCCAGTTTTACATCGGGCAGCACAGTACCCGCGCAATATTGATTCTATCTCGTCCCAAAAACAACACGAGATCACCGATTAGCAGCAGGCTTGATCCAGCCAGGCACCTCGAGATAGACAGACCAGCTGCCCCCATAGTCACTCGTCTTGTCGCTAGCTCGGTCACTCCATTGATCTTATCCATCCAGTCGCTCGCTACTACAACCAACTACCTCGCGCTACCTTACTCAGTCCCACCGCTGAGTTCGAAAGAACTGATTCGACCCATCCCTTTAGCAGCCAGCATGATATGATCGTGGCTCTCTGAAACGGTCATGGTTCGCGTCACTGAGGAGCTGGCTCTTTCGCCAGAACATGTCACTCTTTACCATACTACCGACCCATTGCTTGGACATTTGCCTATTCTGATCCTCCATGGGCCCTCGACAACGGCCAACTACACGTTCAACAGCTCGCGGGTACAGTTGCACATCTATAGTCCAGCAGGCTTTCAGTCTTTCCCCCGCGTCACAATCTCTCCGAACTCGCCCTTCTACGACGTTGTCAACTTCCTCCCACGCGAGTTCCAAGGCGATGAAATCACCCGTGCCCTAGCCTTCGGCCTGTTCAAATACTTCAGCGAACTCCCTGAAACCGTCAAGGCTCATGTCCGACATCAATATCCCACGACCAAGGGCCGCCGCCCCGGCTCCTCGCCCACCTTGTTTGGGGAGCAGCATGCCGCCGACATTGCCCAGAACATGGTCAGCTCAGAGAGGTCTGCTGAGATTATACCAAAACTCCAGATGGCCTTACAGACACAGCACATTACTAATGTCGACATTGATTTGGTGCTTCCTCCCGGTTCCATTGTCCCGTTACTGCCCGAAGACTACGAAAATCTGCCCGAGGACGAGGACGATATCATGGATCCCACTTTGCGCCAATACGGAATGTATACGCCTTTGGTGAGACTCTTTGGGGAAACCATGTTCATGCCGACCTCGCGATTGCGCCGAGCGCCTTCGAAACCTACCGCATTGAACCGCCAAAAATCTTTTGCCAGTGAGCAAAAGCTAGAGTTGCGCCGCAAATTGGCTGAGTTGGTGGATACTGAAGAGCGCTATGTGATGAAGCTGAACGAGCTCGTGAAACATATTGCAGATGAATATAGGCAAAAGGCGACGCGGAAATCTTCGAACAGCTTTAGTCCGCCCATGGAGGATGTTGAGAAGCTTTTCCCGCGATCATCTGAGACCATGTTACAAATCAACGGTGGGTTCATGCAGGAATTGCGCAAGATCATGGATGAAACCGAGGAAGAAGCCATGGAAGATATGGAATCTGGTCCATCTTCCAGAAGTGGTATTCCAGGCAGCTCTGCTGGCAAGTCCAAAGACCCCAGTGGCGCATTGGCGATCGCTCGGGTCATGTTGGAATGGTTTCCTCAGTTCACAGACTGTTACCAAGACTACATTCGAGCGAGCCAGGACTTTCCACAACTCATCACTTCCTTCATTGACCAGCAGTCGAGTTTCTCCCAACGAGTAGCCGTCACTGGAGAACAGCACTTGCGTTCCACCGTCATTGAGCCTGTTCAACGTCTACCTCGGTACAGTCTGGTCATTGATCAGATTGTGAACTGCCTTCCCATGACGCATCCTGCACTTCAACCGATGCTGAAGGCTCGAGATATCATTGCCAATATCTGCTCTATGGACGACCCCCTGGCTGATAAACCCCACGTCAGTACACGATTACGGAACATGATTCAAAGCTGGCCCAATGACCTGGAGCCTAGAGGGCGATTGATTGTTGCCACCGACTTCTCGGAGTTACCTGCACCGTACGACGCAGATGCTCCAATCGACATCAACACTGATGAGCAGGCTGGCATTTTTTTACTCTTCGCTGATTGCGTCGTGCTCGTCAAGAAAATATATGGTTGTAACATGACAGCTCGTGATCTGTTACGAGAAATCGACAAACCATCAGCAGCTGGCCTTTTGGCTACAATGACTAACGCAGCTGGTGGCGAGGGTACATATGAGCTTGCTTTCGCGGGATGGCACGACCTGGCTGCGGTGCGTTTTACGGAGTCATCCGATTCGAGGATGATTTGGATGACTTCGTCAAAAGAGATGCATGGAGCTCATGCCAGTGAGTATGTCAAGAATACCGGGTTAACCTCACGGTGTTTTGTGCTTGAAGAGTCATATGAAGGAAAGTCAGCAAAGTGGAGCGAAGACGTTGTCAAAGCTCGTGTTGAAGGTCGATTCGGTGAAGCGGAGCGAGAGGATCCTCGGTGGACATTGAGATCGTTGCGAATGCCTGATACAAGTCTCGGCCTGTATACAGCGGTGTTTCAAGAGGGTCTTGATCAATTGATCGAGGGTCGAAAAGAGCCTGCACCGATTCGAATTGTTGTTGATCATGAGAAGGGCACGAAAGGCTCTCCTATCGGCCATTACGGTGTCGAAATTGTTTCGGATATCAAGACTGGTGACATGAAGAAGGTTGCTATCATTACTGTGGGATTAACTGGCAAGAAGTCAAATGACGAGACAGTATTAGAAGACTTCTTGCCTACTCTTGCTAGGAGAAGTAAGTTGTGTCCTACAATGCGCAATGTGGTCCTCCTACTAATCAATCTAGTCATTCATCTCCTAAGCACGCAATTTAGCGTTGCGAACCCAAATATCGCCGCCGCCCTGGTGTCCTTCCACACCAAAATTTTGCGAGGTCTCAACCTTACAAACCGCCTCGAGAAATCCAGGTCATTCTTGACGACATCCCCGGTCAAGATGCTTACAAGTTTCCTAGGTGGTGGTAGCAGCACCATATCCGAGACGAATATGGGAACCAAGAGTCCCCGTGCACCGGTCTCTAGCCTCTTTCCCGCACCCGCAATAAGCAGATCAAATAGCTCCATCAAGGATTCAGCATCAATTTTTGGATCTGCCAAGAGCCGAGATGGCATCAAACTCGGTATTGATGATCAACCCGAGAATCCTCTTGTGCGCTTGGAACAGACCTTTACGGGCTATATGGCCAGCCTCCATGAACAAAAAGGCAATTTCATAGCCCGGATGATCATTAATCGAGGAGCTGTCGATGAGCTGGCCGTCAATGATCTCTACAACAAGCTCATTGAAAATCCTTTTGAGACTGAAACTCCCCCAGAACTGACAGCTGATGTTGTTTTTGTGGCATTTGAAAAGTTTGTGAAAATCGCCTGGCGTGAGCAAATGGGAGCAATCATGTCGATGAAGAGTTTGGAAGCACTTCAAGAGCGCGCATCTAAGAGGGTAGTCGGCGAATTCGCCGACTTCGTGAGGTTCATGTTTGGAGACATGGCTCCTCAAAATCGTCGAGCATTTACGGCGTTAGTGAAACTGCTAGCCGCTCTCCTCGATGGGTGCGCAAATGACGGCGACCGGGGCGCCTTGACACTCGCATTTGCAGAACTCCTCGTGGATGACGACAGTGCACAAAACTATATCAATTTACTTGATCGACTCGTGCAAGACTGCGACCGAATTTTCGACCACCCTACTTTCGATTTGGAAGCCAGCCTTAGCCGCGCCGATTCCATTTACGAATCCATGAGCTTAGCCAATCGTGGCGCGAAATCGCATACCGGTTCGTTGACGTCGAACACTTCGTCGCTCAGGAGGAAACTAGGCTTTGATACGCTTTTACGTCAGAATAGCAAGACCGAAGAGCGGCCCTCTGTTTGGAGAACTTTGAGTAAGCACGGAAGAGGCAACTCGGTTAGTGAAAGCTCAAGTTTGTCAAAGGCGACTGGAGGGAAATCTCGGTCCATCGATATGGGTACGGCGCCCAACAAACTCAGGCGGCCTGGTTCGCGGGACAGGCCACCGCTTGCTGGGGCATTTGACGATACATTTACAAGGCCCCTTAGCTCACATCGCCTTGAAACCATTGGTGATCTTGTCGAGCCTACAGAAGATGCAACTCCGAAGACGCCCAGGAGGAAGCGCCGCAGCTCCTTGTCGGATCTCAGAAGTCTTATGGTAACAACCAGTTTGCAAGATGAGGATGAGCCGTTGCAGCCATTATCCCATATCCAGGAGACGTCTCAAAAGTTAAACTCAGGTCCAAAGATGCCCTCTTCTACAAGAATACCTATGAGTCCGATGTCTAATGGCCGCACTGACCGTCAGAAGGAGAACATTCTTGGCAGTCCGTTTCGGGGATCTCCAAATCCGTTCCAGACTCCAGCTCAATCATCGCCAACAGAATCGCCAGTGAAGGGCCATAACAAGGGCTTCTCGACGTCTAGTATACCCACCTTGAAGTCAATCAAGTTGGCAACTCCGAGGACCGATTCTCCAATGCGGCCACCGCTGAGCCCAACTAGAAGCTCCACAAGTACTAGGTTAAGACTTCAATCTCCCCAAAAACTTCGCGAACGACTGCAGTCCGAGAAGCAGGCGGTGGAAGACGTGGACGCCAATTTGCAATCTGAACTTTCAAAGATTGCCTCAGACATGGCTCGAATGACATCAACATTACCGCGATCCAACACTGTTGATCTTCGCAAGTTGTCGTCAAGTGTCAACGCCCTTGAGTCGCGTATACCGGTTCTCATAAAGGAGATAGGCGACCGTCAGGAAACATTACAACGTGATATGGACAACACCCTTAAAGCAACTGAAGCAAAAGTCAAGGAGATCGACCAGTTATACAGGGAAAGCACGGCTGAAAATGAGCTACTATACGAGAAGTTCAATAGTGAACTTGCCAAGATTGTCCGAGCACTCAAGGGAAAGAGCGGAGAAAAGGAGGAGATTATGACAAAGATGAAAGAAGCCACCGATGAGACGGCGAGAATGAAGAAGGAGAACGCCAGGCTAAGACGCGAAATGGCAAGCTTGAGAGCCATGGTGAAGGGTGCCGTGACCGAGACTGCCTAGAAGGTGGGCCGCTTAGTTACGAGGATCGTAAAAGCGTTGGCGTTATGGTTGCTTTGGAGGCTGAGGCGGGCCATCTGAATAATCGTCTTTGGCGTTGCGGAAGTGGATGCATGTATCTTGCAAGAATACCACGGTTGTTATAGTAGTGCTCTGCACGGGACAGGAAGGCCGGATTAGAAGGTTTCCAGGAGTACTAGTCCTACTGAGCTAGGATAAAGCCTTCAAAGGTTGTATGAATATGACTTCCAAGAAAAATTTTAAGATGATTTGGCGCAAACTGCAAGTTATGCAAAATGGGAATTATTGTGAACAGAGCTGCTGTTGACAGCTAAATTACATGTAATCTCGAAATGAAACGGTGAGAGTCGTGCTGTTTGTCATTATGCCGGGAGATCTAAGACTACTTCTCTTTTCTTTCCCATTTCTGACATACAATCTGTTTGTCTGGAGCGTCTTCTTCTCAATACAAGGCATGCTTGATATGTGTTTTTACTTCCACGTATTATGCAAGGCTTATCCCACATCCTACAGCTTAATGCCTTGAATATCGTAGCAGTCAACATTTTCCAATAAACTCTTAGGAGTACATCTCGATTAGAATGCAGAATTATTCAAGTCGCTTTCTCGCTGCTGGGATACCAAACCAGACAATGATCATAAGCCCACATAACCCAATAACAACAGGGTGAAGTACATATGTACCAATCTTCTGGGAGAGAAGACCTATAGCAAGGGGCATGAAAGCCCCTCCGGAGCTGCCGAAAGCGCTGATGATTGACAACCCGCTGACCTGCTCCTTGCGGGAAAGATTGCGTGTGAAGACGATGGTAGCACAAGGCCAGACTGGGCCCAAGAGCAGGCCGACTATGGCTACAGCCACAGCGTTACCTATAATGTTGGGTACAAGCCACACGAGAAGCTCAAAGGCGGCCGACCCTATTACAAGGCCGTAAATGAACCCTTTCTCGCCTAATCGATGCCCAAGGGGCGACAACAGGAAACGGCCAACTGTGATGCCCGCCCAGAAACCAGCCGATACATAGCCGACTTGTGAAGGATCGCCACCTCGAGTCTCGATCAAGAACGAGACGACCCAACCAGAAACCGATACTTCTGCGCCTTGGTATGTAAAGACGAAGAGGGCCCCAAGTAAAACAACTCTCGACTTGAAGGCTGCCAAGGTAGCAGAACCTCGGCCACGTTGTGCTTCAGGCACTGTCTGTGCCGAACCGTAACTGATGTGCAACTCTTTATCGTAATCCCAGAAAGACCAGGCCGCAAATATGGCATTGAAAGCAGCGAGACCAAGAGTGACAAGGTAATACCGGCTCCAGACGAGGTTGCCTGCCGTAACCATGGCCGTAGCTATCAAGGGGCTAACAATGCCGCCGAGGCCGTACGCGCCAGCGGAAAGTCCGAGCAAGGTCGGCGCATTCGAAAAGCTGGCGCAAAAGACGTTGCTGAGGGGGAGATTGACAGCACATCCAAACCCAACGACGAAGAACGAGATGGCAATAACCGGAAAGGGGGCACCGCAGATTATCGGAATGTAGCCGCAGCATATCAGTGTCTGGCTAAGCGCAAACGTTTTTGCCAACCCTAGATGGTTTCGAACTCTAGCAACCACCGGGGCAGCTGTGATATAGCCCAGAGCGGCACCGACGAAGATCAAAGAGACAATGGCGTAGCCAATATCGTAATATCTATTTCACGTCAGGCTCACCATAAAACAGTTTGTTAGGGGGGGGCTAATCTACTTCTCCATATAAGGAATCAGCGCACCCGCTGCAGAGTCGTTAAATCCCGCCAACATAGACGTGAGACAGATGGCTGCCAACCTGTATCTGTTTTTTGTGCCAGAAAGTGGTTCCATGGCCTCCACAACATCTTGTGGAGCCTCTTCGTCTGCTGGTGTTGTTGGTTGACTGGCATTGCGAACAGGGAGCGTGCGTAATTCGGTAGACTCCAGAGCTGGGACGATGAGAGGCACCTGGCCTGGCCTGCCACCTCGCGCGGCCAATGGTATGGGACGAGGTGTATATTGACTAGCCCTTGAATCTGTGTGGGTGAGCGTTGAGAGCATTGCACCCGCTCCAGAGGAGCTCTGTTGAAAGAACATGATCCAATCCTTCAAATGCAGAGATCGCAGAACCCTCGGATCGGCGTGCAGGAAGCCGTAGGAAAGTTGCAAGCACGTAGATGCGACGCTCCGTGAAAGCTTTTATCTGGTCGTCAGCGCAATGATCGGTGAGTTATTATAACGCGCCTTTCCGGTCAGACGAAATGGGCATGGTCCACAGACGGGGATTCGTAATGGCTTGGCGGTGGGGGTAACCATGAAACCCAGACACGCTTGACACACTCGACAATACTCGTGACTATACAATGACTCAGTATTACAAAACGCATCCAAGTGACGTATATAAGTATTCAGGTATGTTATAGTCAATTCGGAATGGGTTTCCACTAATAGGATATAGAAACCCTCGAAATCACTAAGATTAACCAGTGAAGCCTAACAAAAAGCGACTATACTGTAATAATATAACATAAAATAAGGTAAGATAAGTTAAGATAATTTATAATGGTTTTATGTATGCTTGTTATCTATTTAATGCCTTATGTTTATACGACGTGGTGAATTTCTGTATTAGCAGCTTGCGTATTCTTGGAAGGTTATTGTAAGAGAAAATAATGACCTTGGAACATGATCTAGTTAAACAAAAGATTGCCCCCTTGCTAAAAGATCACTAAATTACTGGATTCAATTTCAGCACTCCAATATTACAGCGTGTTTAGGCTGCTGACTTTTCCACGTGCTGTTCCTCAACCTCTTCTTTCAATTCCGAATGCGAAATGTCGACATTGTCCATTGACGATCTCCAATGCAATAAAATCTTTTCACCGGTAAACAACTTATCGATTTGCTCAAGCGTAAGGTTTTGCGTCTCCGGATAGAGAAAGTAAATTAAAGGAAGGAAGCAAAAGTTGAAAACTAATTATTTGTTAGACAAATCGAGTTGCGCCAATAGTACAACAAAATACTTACCGCAGAAGTAGACATATGTACGCCAACCGATACTACTGATGCTAATTGGGGTGATTTCTACCACGAGGAAAGTAAAAATCCAGTTCGAAGCCGAGGCGAGTGCAGCTGCACGTTGACGAATGGCGAGCGGTGCATATTCAGCCGGAACTTCGAATGGTCAGGACTATAGAAGAACAATCTGGGGTGGGGTTGGTAGCTTACGCAGCCAAGGGATGGCTAAAAGTCCAACTGCGAAAAAGAAGTTGAACAGAAAGAGCATAACGGTGGCCACATAACCAGCAGGCGCTGTGCCATTATGAACTGTTCCGGCAAGGATGGCCATACAGCAACCTTGCCCGGCAGCTGCGAAAAGCATCAACTTCCGACGGCCAAGTCTATCAATAACCCAAATAGGAATTAAAGATGAAACGAAGTAAGCGACGCCGTTAAACCCAGCCAATAACAGAGAAAGGTCGTGTGAGAGTCCGACAGAGTTCTGGAATATACTCGGAGCATAGTAGGTGATCAGGTTGATTCCGGAGAGCTGCTGCATAAATTGTCCACCGATTCCAAGCATCGTCCTGTAGAAGAACTTCTGTTCACCGTTCCTGAGTAATGCTTTGTAAGAGTTACCCTGGGCAGCCTCTCGTTCCTCGTGGATCGCATGTTGGATTTCGGCCATTTCCCGGTTGACAAATTCGATACCGTCTGCTGTGGAAGTTTGCTTGGCGAGCAGATCCTTAAGAGTTTTTCGCGCTTCCTCGTGTCGATCTCGAGCAATAAGCTGTACGGCTATTAGTCTTCATCCATCCAAGTATGCTGCAAAGAATAAGTGTACTTACCCAACGGGGTGATTCTGGCAGTGGAATGATGAATAGAAAGGTCAATAATGCAAAAACGCATTGAAGAGCCAGAGGAAATCTGAACTGCGAAGCGTTGTTGACATAAGACATCCCGTAGTCCACCCAATACGCTGTCATAACACCGAAAATATTGATAGCTAGTTCTATGCTTAGCTATAAGGAAAGTCAGTCGTGCTTAAAAATTGTGTACGGAAGCTCAGGGTATGCGCAGCCCAACGTACTCCTTTGCCGCGCTTGTGCGCCATCATCAACTCGGAATGCCAGACAGCTATATAAACCGTTAGTATGCACAGATGATGACATATTAAGCTGTTCACCGGATTGACTCACGAATAGTACTGGTATTTAGCCCATTACCAAATCCTGCGACTATGCGGCCGACAATAAGATGAGCAATGTTGTAAGCCGAGGCTTGCAGAGCTCCACCAATGCAGAGTATAAGACATCCGGCCATGATGGTCTTTCGACGGCCAATCTTTTCACCAAAAAGAAGGGCAAGAATGGAGCCGAAGAAGCACCCAATCTCGTAGATAGCAACGACCGTGCCTTGAAGTGAGGCACTACCACCGGCCCCAGCATTGGTATTGATTTCGGGAAACTGGCCAGTGAATGCAATGCCCGTCAAGAGGCCAGACATAACGCCCTGATCATATCCAAAAAGCAAGAAGCCGCAGCCAGCAGTCGCAGTGATTGCCCAGTGCAGGGGGCGGCCTGTAATCAGAGCCATGGTAAGCAGTATTGCAACGATTCGCGATGAGTGTTGAACCATGGAAGTCTACGCAACTCTAGAGTAGAGAAGCTGTGGTTGCTTGATTGTGCTTACTTACATATGATATGGCTTCTTCGATCTGTGGTTGCGCTTGGGACAGCCCCAACATCTTGGCTGATACATGCCAGGCAGTCGGGGTTCCTAGCCGGCATCTCCCCAGATCATTCTTTTCTTCCCCATATGGGGTTGATGGAGTAGTGAGAATAACTGTATGTGTCTCCAAGGATTATCTCGACTAGGGGTGCCCCACTTAATGTCGGCAGATCTCCGAATTGAGCCATTTGCGCTTCGGACTTCCTGGAATACAAGAGTAGTAGTCGCAAGCGACAATTGAGATACAGGCAAAAACTTCGATATCAACACGATTTGTTTGCTGTTCAAACAATGGGGGCGTAAGAATTAACGCATTCCCGAGCTTATAGCAAATCGGTTATACACTACCATAACACGAGATAAGAACAAACCACCGAAATTCAGCGGAAAATTTAGAACAACAGAGGTGAATTTGGTTCTGCACCAATTCTTGCGCCCCTGCTTGTCATCAAACTCAACAAATTCTACATGAATGAGAAGCGCAAGTCCACCACGAATAGGTCTGCCGACCAATGACATTCAGTCTTCTGCTGGAGTTGCACAGCTCAGTAGCATACCTCTATAACTATAAATTCAAGTAGAGTGAGAGTTTCTCGATTTCTTCAATGAGAAAATAGTGTAGGCCAGCACTTATTTGATGTGCCTAGTAAGGATTTAGACGAGCGTTCTCGATGGCGGTTAACAGCCATGGCATCGTTTCAGTCGTGAGCATACGAGTCAGGTCTGCAGATCAATCACTATAGCCGTCGCTTATACAGCGGGGGCGGCCAAGTCGCTTGTGTCCACCCCAGGTCTTCTGTGCGCTTCAACCTGCCTGCGAGATTCCTCTCTCCATTTTGTACAAGCAATCGTCAACCCGCCTATTGGCCTAACTGCCATATGATAGCAGTATGGTGAACGCCACTGGTCGTGATGCACAGTCCAGGCGCGTGCGAACGCGGACCGGCTGCTGGAATTGCAAACGCAGGCGCAAGAAATGTAAGCGCTGTCAAACCTCATGAACTGTTTTGGAAAGGATTTGTTAATCATCAACGCGGAGTTCGGTCAGGTGACGAACATCGTCCTGCTTGTACAGCGTGTACACGAAATGGCGAGATCTGCGACCGCGGTGTGAAGTTGGTGTTTCGCCCTGAGAATGTGGAGTCAGTTTCTATTGATCACCCATCAATGCAGCAACAATGCATGTCGGACCCGCGGCTTCACAAGGAGTTTGATGTAAGCGACTGAGCGTTTATATATCATCATTGGATTGTAACGAATCGTATCAGATCATCGACGTAACTGCTGAGGTCACCCGGGATTATTGGAATAATGATTCTGATATTCCCAATAGCCCTAGCATCGCCAATTCAGCCAGCCGAATCACTACCCAAACCCCGCGGAGAGACAGAGAAAATCAATGGAATCTTCTCAATACGGAAACTAGTCATGTTTCACTACGTGAGAATGATAGAGAACTGACCGAGTCCAATGTCGAAGATTCAGTCGTCCTTGATAGAGCAAATCCAATTGTGTATTCTCCTCATGGGCGGCATCTACAAAGCGATACAGGTAGCGGTATATCGCCAGGAACGTTCGAAACTCTGAAGTCTGTGGCTGCAGGCCTTCTCAATCTGGGGCGTTCATTACCCGTCTCAGAAGTCACTAATATAGCCGAAGCTCAGGTTTATTTAGGGAATGCGCCGCTCCCAGTGACAATCAGCCATGACCTAAGCACAAATAGTTCGACCACGGAGGATATTCAACAAGATGGCGTCTTCGTGCCTGGCTCTGCGTATTTTGAGGCCCATTCTGCTCTTCGAAACCATACGTTTCACGCAGCTAGGTCTTGCTTCCCAACACGAGGTGGTACACCGAGAGAATCAAGTGTTGATGACGATTGGAACCACCCTAATGCCCGTACTTTCCCTGTGTATCCCTCCAATACACTTGTTATTGGTGGTGGAGAAGGACTTTCCGTACCTGGAGCTCCCTTCGATGGGTTGACACCACAAGAAGAACATGAATTATGGAGAAATTGGGTAGATGAAATTGCACCTTGGGTAAGTGTACTTATATGATCTCTAGCTTGGTTCTCACTAAAAGCGATATAGCTCGACAAGTTTGACAATCGTCGCCACTTTGGACACTTTCTGCCAACGTTGGCCCAGGAACATTCACATTTACGTTTTGCCATGCTTGCTCTTTCTGCTCGGCAGCTGGAGAGGAAACATCCGGAGCGATCTCTAAAGAGTCTAGATCTATATCAAGAAGCCATTCATCAACTCGTTCCGCAATTACAGACCATATCGACAACTGTAGTAACATCTTGCGTGGTCCTTTGTGTTTTAGAGATGATGAGCTGTTAGTGCGAGTATTCCAAAGTCGTGAAAACGCTCTTGACATTCTCTTTAGGTGCCCCTGAGATGTGGAGACAACATCTTGACGGTTGTGCCAGCTTGATTGAGTCGTCAGGTATCAATGGATTATCCGGTGGCTCGGAGCAAGCGGTTTTCGTAAGTGCTTTCCGAGGTCATTTTCTATTCGTCGTGGTATATTCTCGAGGCGTGTAGTGGCGAAAGTGGTATTGTATATTCCAGATAAAATATTTTTTCTCCCAAAGCACCACATCATCTAACATTACAGAAGTCATTGCTGACTTTGTATAATCCAGTGGTGTTTTGCACGAATGGGTTGGTCAGCGTGTTTCCTTGAGAAGACCCTGATTGATAGCTGACAACGTATGGTAGATCTGTGTGGTGCTTTGATTTCAGATGAGCGTACCATTATTCCAATCAAGAGGTGGTTGCCAAGCCCAACCCTCACGATCAATGTCGCATCCATCTCTACAAACTTCGGCTACGATATGTACGCCAACTACGTTGTTCATCTTTGTGCTCAAGTCATGGATCTATTCATAAGTGATTTGGGGAGTCTCGAGTATACTCAAAAGTGGACTGAGATGTTCACCGAAATTTGTGAGTGGTACATCCACCGCCCTCCGGAGATGCACCCAGTTTTAGACACTTGTCCGGCTGGGATTGATTTTACTCGTCCGTTTCCAATCTTGCTCTTTTCCAATTCTTCTGCGATATCTGGGAACCAATTGTATCATACAGCCTCCCTTCTGCTATTACAAAAGCAGCCACCAGGAGCCAGGTTGCCGCAGGGAACTCGGTCGATGCTCTGGCACGCACGAAGGATATGTGCTATTTCCATTTCAAACACACACCACGGGTGCTGGACAAACTGTATACAGCCTTTGTGGATAGCGGGACGCGTGATGTCACATCCTGCTGAGCACCGGGCGATCATAGACACCTACGAGCTGGTCGAAAGGGAAACTGGCTGGGGCGCAAAATGGAGGGCGGATGACTTACAGGCCTTCTGGGGAGATTTGAGCGGCGACTAGTTCGCCATACAGCTACCCATTCATTACATGAGAGAAATTTCCACATGAAACAGGACATCAAGGTGATATGAAAATTTTCTAAATGTAATCTCAAAATCGATTATTGATATGACGCTATAAAGCTATGCAGATGCACAGTGGCCACCGTCGATTCTAAGGTCGCTCCCCGTCATGAATGAGCTACCTGGGGATAACAGAAATACTGCACCTGCCTTAAAATCCTCCGGAGCCCCAAGACGATTCAACAATGCCCCAGCCATCCATATCTTCTCTAAATCAGGGTCTTCGGCGAGGAGCATATCGGTCATTGCGGTTCTAATGTATCCTGGAGAAAGGGTGTTCACCCGAATGCCATGGTGGCCCCATTCTTGTGCAACAGAGCGGCATAGTTGGTGTACCGCAGCCTTGCTTGTGTTATAGGCGGAGCATGTCAAGCCCTGTGAACAATCCTCAGGTCAATCCAGGGTTCATATGGAAATGGTCGAAGAAGCGAGTACCTACTCGATTGGCGACTTCCCCAGACATGGACGCTATCATGACAATGCTGCCTTTTACACCATTCTTAATCAAGATTTTTGCTGTGTGTTTCGCGGTGAGGAAAGTTCCGGTAACGTTCACGGAGAGGATACGATCAAAATCGGTCTTCGGGTAATCGACAGCAGGTATTCGCTGCTGGATGCCAGCACAAGCGATGGTTCCGTAGAACTGTGCGCCCACAGCTTCTGCTTCGACTTCCACTTCGTCCAAGACTTTGGAAAGTTTCTCCTCATCCGTGATGTCAACCCTCCGATAGCTCAGCTTCAGATTGGACTGTCTAGATGTCTTCTGGATCGTGCTCCATTCGTCCGCAGCTGGATCTGTGAGAATGTCGAGACAAGCAACGTTGCCGCCAGCCTCAAGGACTGCGGCTGCTAGTGTTATACCTAAGCCACGACCAGCACCGGTGATTGCTATAGTCTTTCCACTCAGCGAGAACAAAGCCGTGTGAGAGGCATTAGCGGATGTCAGCTTCGACTCCGGGACCTTGGCTGGCAATTCGAAATCGGGAAGAATGCCGGTCACGTCAGGCATTGTGAGAGAAATTGAATTTAACTGTATAGTATACCAAAGGTTCGTTTGTCACCAGGAATCAACAGATAATCATGCAAGAACTCTAAACAAATAAACCTGAGTTATCGATGTGGGACCAGGTTAAGAGAACGATGGCATGAAGAGGAGAAACTATTATGTCCACCAGCTAAGCTTGGCATCTGCTGTCTCATCATCATGGTGACTTACACTTAGGTGATGTTGGCGAGAACGGCACTTGAGTTGCGCCCACCCAATATTATGGGGGTATGGGTCCCGCAATGCTCAGAGGCGTAAGTCGAATCGCTTGCCTCCAAACGCTCTTTGTGTTGAGGTTGGCAACCTGGCGACCGACTAACTAGACACGCATTGCATTAGCCGATCTTTTCTACACGGCTTCCCAGTGCGCAGAAGATCGTCTTGGTTCGCCAGGTTTGGCATCAACGTCAGTGATAAGTTCATACAAATCGTAGCATGCGATATTACCACCAAAATGGAGCGAGAGACGTGTTAACAGCTCAAAGAAAAGTTCCGGTCGAATACCAACCTTACAGTACACTATGTGTGGATCCGTAGGTACTGGAACATCATACTCACAACGACTCCTCATTTATCCGATGAAGCAAAAGTCCTCAAACACAGGATGGTATAGCCCGTACCTTGATCAAGTTCCCTAAACGAAGCCAGACGTTGCCACAAGTTCATGATCATGGCTGGGCTTCCAGCACACATCCGCTTCGCTCAAGCAACGAGCGTGGAGATGGGAAAAGGAGAGGCGAGTGGACGCGCGCTAATTGGTGACTACAGAGTTCACAATCTGTTTCGCAGAGGTGCAACTCTCGAACAGCTCATTGGCATGCATTCTACCGCGATGTGAATCTCGACGATTGTGTGAACTTTCACGTCTCTTGCCAGGTGTCAATGAAAATGTCAAGATCAATGGCAATGTCGGGCGATGGCACGGAATATGTAGAACCGAATCACAAGCTCTCTCCCCCACTTGGAGAATCACACCTCGGGCGGGTGCAGGTGCGGCGCTAGTGCCGGAGACCCCTGTTAGTTGCTGGTAGCCGCGTGGAAGGCGTGGAAGGGGGAAGGGACCTCAATTCTCAATTGGGACTGGAGCTCGATTGGATTGCTGCCAAGACCCAAAGCCAGTCTGTCCTTTCGGTGGCTGCCACTGCCACTGCTACTGGTAACTTATTGCTGTTGCTACTGCTGCTGCCACCTCCCAAAAAAGCATCCGCCGTTTGCCATCATCGAGGTTTCATGCTCACCAAACCTCCATAACTCACCCTCTCGTGAAGACAAGAGACTACAGCAGCGACAATGGCAGTCGCGGCAGAGTCACCTTCACCTTTCCAGGTCCTTGCTGGTCTGGGCCAAAATACGAGCACCAAGACTCTGCTACGAGTCCTCATTCTCGGCTTGATCGCAGCAGCCGCTGTAGCTAGTCGTCTATTCTCAGTCATTCGTAAGTTCCCCCTTTCGATTGACGAGGCCACACTGCCTCTCGTCGTGCCGCCCCAGCCTCGCAAGTAACCGCCCGCTAACTCCAGACGTCACAGGTTTCGAAAGCATCATCCACGAATGTATGATGCCCCAGAGCTCCTACACGCTCTCCCCACCACGTAATCCCGCACCCGCGATGCGAATGCTAACACATATCAGTCGATCCTTGGTTCAACTTCAGAGCTACCAAATATCTCGTCGCAAATGGTTTCTACAACTTCTGGGATTGGTTCGATGACCGAACCTGGCATCCGCTGGGACGGGTTACTGGCGGTACCTTGTATCCTGGCCTCATGGTCACCAGTGGTGCCATCTACCACCTGCTTCGACTCTTGACCATCCCCGTCGACATCCGGAACATCTGTGTTCTTCTCGCTCCGGCTTGCTCGGGTTTGACGGCATACGCGGCTTACCTTCTCACCAACGAGATGACCACGTCACCCTCGGCCGGTCTCTTGGCTGCCGTTTTCATGGGCATTGCACCCGGTTATATCTCTCGATCCGTCGCCGGCTCCTACGATAACGAGGCCATTGCCATCTTCCTCCTTGTCTTCACCTTCTTCCTCTGGATCAAGGCCCTGAAGCTTGGCTCCGTCATGTGGGGTGCGCTGTGCGCTCTCTTCTATGGATACATGGTTGCCTCCTGGGGCGGTTACGCCTTCATCACTTGCTTGGTCCCTCTGCACTCGTTCGTCTTGATCTGCATGGGTCGATACAGCAGCAGACTCTACGTCGCTTACACCACTTGGTACGCCCTGGGTGTCATTGCTGCCATGCAGATTCCTTTCGTTGGATTCCTGCCTGTTCAGACCAGTGAGCACATGCCGGCTTTGGGTAAGTTTTCTCGGCTGTGGTGGTATGCGTGTTCGCTAATATGGATCAGGTGTCTTTGGTTTCCTTCAGCTTGTGGCCTTTCTCAACTACGTCAAGGGTGCACTTCCCAGCCGTCAGTACCAGACCTTTATGTATGTGGGAGCGGGTGGAATCTTCGCTGTTGGTCTTCTCGGGCTTGTCGCCCTGACCTCCGCCGGCTACATCGCCCCCTGGTCCGGTCGATTTTACTCTCTTTGGGATACTGGTTATGCCAAGATTCATATCCCGATCATCGCATCCGTATCTGAGCATCAGCCCACCGCCTGGCCTGCTTTCTTCTTCGATCTCAACATGCTCATCTGGTTGTTCCCAGCCGGTGTCTACCTCTGCTTCCAGAAGCTTGAAGATCAACACGTCTTCGTTGTCGTGTATGCTGCCTTTGGAAGCTACTTCGCTGGAGTCATGGTCCGATTGATGCTTACTCTCACCCCTATCGTCTGTGTTGCAGCCGCCATGGCTGTCTCCCAACTGCTCGACACTTACTTGGTAACAAAGTCTCCCGAGCCTGTTGAGCAAGCTTCCGAGGATGCTGCCGATGCGCCCGCCAAGAAGACCAAGGAGACCAAGGAGACCAAGGGCGGTCTGCGTATCACGACCACTCCGTACATTGGCATCTACGGTGTCGCTTCCAAGGCTGTTGTGGCTATCGCCACGACCGTCTACTTGCTGCTTTTCGTTCTTCACTGTACTTGGGTTACATCCAACGCGTACTCTAGTCCCTCTGTTGTTCTTGCTAGCAAGATGCCCGACGGTAGCCAGCATATCATTGATGACTACCGTGAGGCTTACCAGTGGCTTCGCCAGAACACCAAGGAGGACGCCAAGATCATGTCGTGGTGGGATTATGGCTATCAAATTGGTGGCATGGCTGACCGTCCTACTTTGGTCGACAACAACACCTGGAACAACACTCACATCGCTACTGTTGGCAAAGCCATGAGCTCTCGTGAGGAGGTCAGCTATCCCATCATGCGCCAGCATGAAGTTGATTATGTCTTGGTTGTCTTTGGAGGTCTCCTCGGCTACTCTGGAGACGATATCAACAAGTTCCTCTGGATGGTCCGTATCGCAGAAGGTATCTGGCCCGATGAGGTGAAGGAGCGCGACTTCTTCACTGCGCGTGGCGAATACCGTGTCGATGGTGAGGCTACTGAGACCATGAAGAACAGCTTGATGTAAGTTTCCTACTGGTCTTCTGAGCCAGTCTTCGGATAACTAACATTTACTAGGTACAAGATGTCCTACTACAACTACAACTCGCTCTTCCCTCCCGGACAGGCTACGGACCGCGTCCGAGGTGCAAAACTTCCAGATGTGGGCCCAGTCCTCAACACTGTTGAAGAGGCCTTCACCAGTGAGAACTGGATCATCCGTATCTACAAGGTCAAGGACCTTGACAACGTTGGTCGTGACCATGCCGCTGCCTCATCATTTGAGAGGGGCCACAAGAAGAAGAAGGCCACCAAGAAGCGAGGCCCTAGGGTCTTGAGAGTAGATTAGCTCTGTCAGTGATGTTTGATAGACGACTTAAGCCAATTATTCCGGCGAGTTCTTAGATCTTGAAATTATGGCTGGGAAAAGCCAACTGGTAGGCATGTATGTGTAGCAAAAAGCTCTGTGAAATATATTTTCTTGCATGACAAGTCTGTGCCTTCCCTGTGCCACAATGGTAGTGCTACTATGGTGAATCTTGCCAGCACCAGGAACTCCAGAGCACATGAGCTTTGATTGTTTCCTGGGGTGAAAGGTGAACCGGCTTCTTCAGTGTTATGTTAATGTTCAGCACTGCTGGGCAATTGGTTAGTATTGACTGTTTTGATGACTGCATGTGCCTCGATTGTTTTGCTGCTCCTGCAATTACTCGAGTAGATAATCGATGCAAAGCTTCACATCGGCCATCCCACTATTTCTTTCTGAGTTGTTCAAAAAGCATCCAGGGCCACTCGTTTACAACTTTGATCTTCACCATGGTCAGTTGCTTGGCTTTTCATTCTTTGATCACAGCTTCACCCAACATCCCACCACCACTTTTCACCTCTTTGTGGTTCAGCATTGCATCTCTGAGTCTCTCTCTGATGAGCTCATGTCATAAGAGCTTTCAATTTTCGCAATTATAGTTTTGCATGGATATTTTTCCAACTGCTTTACTCGAGCATTTGTCCACAGGTCACACTGTAACAAGATTTCAACATCAAGTTTGGGCGAACAACCATCCATTCCACCAAAAACTTCGATTGCGAAAACTGGTCACAACGTTCAATCTCGCGTGGAAGTTTTGACGAGTGATGTGGAGGTCAAAAAAGACCCGACAGGGCAACGGGTAAGATATCTGAATTCCTTACGCGCAGTGTTTCTTTCTTGTCGTGGTTTATCAACTGGATCGCACCTTCAGCAGGTCAATCACCATCAGCCATCTAATCTCCCGGTAGAGTCTAAGCTTTCGAACACAAACGGTTGGCCTTGATTGATGCTAGGCCTCACTTCAAATATTGACATAAGATTTGCAGGATGGTAGAGGCGTCGCTAATTTTAAATAGGAGCAATGGCTCTCTCTCTATCCAGCCTCTTCTTGGTGATGATAGACTCTATCTCCCTGACAGCGAACTTTACCTCACGACCACCAGGTCTGGCAAACCAGCCATTGCCCGCTGTAAGAATCATGATATCCTACGTCATCATGGTTTCGATCTTTTGGGACAGAGCTTCGGTATTCCATCACGCGCTGACTTCGAACGGGGCCGGCGTCCGACTATCGTCGTTCCAAAACAAAGATCAAGATCAGCTTACAGCGTTCCCGCTCCTCGAGTGATCGAAATCGGCTCGGATGACGAAGAAGGAAACACCGCATCAAAGGTCGAACATATTGATGATTGCGTCGACCAAAGCTCTTCTGGGTCATCGTCCCGCTCTACCACTACTCTGAAAGGTATTTTGCGTTCGCCCAGAGCTGTAGTCGAACAGGAGCCTCTACAAACCGCTTCTCCTCCACTGATTCAACCGACCCATAGGATCAGACGACGCCGCTGCTCATTCTCGCACCCGCCGCCTATCGAGCGGTCGAGATTTGCCGTATGCGACTCCGAAGATGACGGCTTCCCTGTAGAGTATAATGTGCCACTAGACTCGCCAGGTGCCTTCTATACACCGCTAGCCTCTCCGCATCACCATGTCATTACCGGTACCATGCCCAATTACCATCAGCCCGTTACAGCGAGCCAACTCCCCTCCGTGGCCTGGCATAGTGGTCCCAGTAGTCATCCTCCGAGTTCCGCTTCGAGCAACCTCTCCAGTAACGTACTGCCCCAACAGACACAGCCTTTCGGTATTCAATACCAAAATGTACTGGGATTTGGTACTTTACAGCCAGCTCCAATGGGTTCGATACCACATATGCAGCAGCAAACAACAGCTTCTATACTATACCCTCAACCCGGATTCATCCCACCTCCACCTCCGTTGCCACCTGGTACAATACCACTCAATACTCAGCCTGCAACGGGGAATATCGGGACTGTTCATGTCATGGCCAACGAGGAAGAGCGCATCAAGAATCATTTCGAATCTGTTGTCAAGCCCCAACTCGCTAGTAACCATAAACAACGCAAGAAACCAAAAGAGCAGGCTCCAGAAGACGAGCAGCCGCAGGCTAGTGTCGAAAAGTACAAAGAAGGTATGAAAAAACTGGAGCAGGAAGCACCACCAGGCACTGGAATACCAGCCAGTCAAGAGATGCTGAAAGACCTACCACCGAAGGTTTCTTCCGACAGATTGATGGCGTACACTCATGTTTGCGCTGGATGCGGAAAGACAAGATCTCAAGGTTATCATATGACGCACCTTTTGAATAAAGGGGAAAAGCCCGAGGCCGATTACTGTCGTCGATGCATTGTCAATGCCGAGTACACAGACTCTGAAGCAATAGAAAGTCCCCCTGAGAAGAAGATCCTCATGGTAAGCTATCAATCCTGGAATGAGACCTATATTGTGTACTGACTCCCTGCAAGACGCCTGGAATTTCTGTCAAAGACAACAGCCACGGGTTGCGCACGCCTACCAGCACTGCCGAGGCTGACAAGAGTGGCCATCGAAAGATATCACATAGGAAACGCAGTAGTCGGGGCAGTCTCTTGAAAACTGTCTCCTCAATTCTGTCCAGTGGTAGCCGTAGTAGACGTGCCGTTTCGCTTTCGAGTCCTGAAGAGGCAAGTTCCCGAGGCTCGTCTCGTACGGGGGCACCCAGAGTCCACCGGCCAGACCCGACTTCGTCTAAGGCAAGATCAAACAGAATATCCCAACAGCGATCGTCACTTTCCAAGGCTTCTGCCGAGAGGTTCAAGCCGTCGGCTTCACTTCAAGCAACCCAGATGACTGTTAACCCCACTGATAATTCCCAAGGCGGAAACCACAGCCAACGAGAGTTGCATCGTCCTCGATCACCTACAAGAAGGACACGAGCTGCGCCAAACCCATATTCAAATACCATGTCGCGACTAAAGATACCCAACTCATCACATTCTCGGGTGCCTAACTTCTCATATAAGTCAAGCCCCCTCGTACCATCGACTAAAAACGTGCAAGAAGGAGCATCTGGGCATTTAGACCCCTGGTACCGGCAATCGCTCGCTCATACTGAGGCTTCAGAGACCGAGGCGTACGCCGGAAACTCAGAAGCTAATAAGTCCCATTGTAACAACCACGGTACCACTTCTTCTGGAAATATATTGCCTTCTGATCAGCCTGGTGGTCAGATTGGCCATGGTTTCAAGACCGCAGGCTCCTATCCAGGACCTGAATCAGCCTTAGTTGAGCGGGCGGATTCTGTTGACCATCTCTTAGAACAGGCAAATGTTCAAAGCAGTCCAAATAGATCCCATGTTTCACAGAATCATGGTGGGTGGGATTCACTTGGCATCTTCAACAAAGCCCCCGACTTGAAGAAGCCCTTAGACGATCATGGTGGTGACACTTGGAATGATGTACCCATCGATATTGGTGAAAGTGGACACAATAGTCGCCACTCTGAAGCTGGTAGCGGTGACTCCAGTAAGGGGTACAGTAATTCACCTAGTTATGAAGGACAAGACCTTTTCGACCAGGCTCCCAATTCCAATGACCCACTCGGACAATCATCTGTGAGAGAAGCTACCGGTTTTGGGAACGCTTCTCTGCTCGGAGACACAAGTAGCCGAAGCAACATCGGTATTCCGGACCCGGGCAGTAGGAAGTCAAGAAAGAGGCCCGATCAGAAGTCAGACCACCAATGCGCTGGAACTTTTGACCAAGTACCCAACCTCAGAAACGTCTTTGATCATCCACAAGCAGGAGGAGCCGCCCAAAACCATGACAACCTCAAAATTGGCGGTAGCTGGCGTGAGAGCGGAAGCCACGGTTCGTCCAGAAGAGAGGTTAGCAATGAGGCCACCTTGCATGAAGCAACCGGGACATTTAACCGAAATCCCAACTTCAGCGATATTTTCAAGCGTCCACAGCCAGATGGCGGTGGGTTTAGCAAGGCAAAGCTTGAGCCTTGTGATAGTCCCTATCGTAGCCAACATTCTGGCTCGTCCGGACAAAAGTCTGATACGAAGACTCGCAGCCACGCTATAAGCACCCTAAAAATGGCTCAGGTATCTATAGATGCCTATAACATACCGCTTCCCGGTTCAAATGATACTCGGTACAGCAGCAACTTCCCCAATGCGTCCGGATTGAAGTCTAGCACGAAGGATGGTGCCAAATGTTTCGCCTCTTTCAGCAGCCAATCCGATCACGTTGCTTTCCAGGACGTACCGCTTGACCAGCGACCGTCCCCTACAGCTCCGACGACAGGCAATGCTTTTTGTTCCTAGGACGAACGAGGCATCGAGTCGGAGCCTGAGCTATCGCCAGATAAAGATGCATTTGACTCGTTGCCGGCCACACCCCTTGATACTACTTGGGGAAACGAGTTTGAGCCTCGCCCGTACGTCCAAAACGACTCATGGGAATACAATCAAAGTCACTTCGAGCAACAAGCCGAACAAATGGTAGAGCAGATGGTCGAAGATGAACTCATGCACGCCGGTAAGCACTCCGGTCTCTTCGGTTTGGGTTCGTTGAATGGCTCTGCAACCTCGACGTACCCGACTGTGTCTAGTTATCTTAGCCATCTGACTGCAAGTCTCATTTCCATAGAATCATGTGCTTCGGATGAGGAACGGACCGACGGGAACGCGCGTTATCAACTTTCAAATGAGTCGGAAAATGAGGGCTCAACCGCGTTTGACAAGGATGACATCAAACAGCTCGGTAAGTAACATTCTCATGGTTTGGAAGGCGGAATCGAATCTTGCTAATTATCTCACCAGAGTTTTTGAGCCATGAGCGGCCGCAATCCCGGAGAAGTTCAAATAAGAGCCACTCCAGGAGTTCTCGCGATCACTCCCAGCTATCATCAAAACATTATTCTCATACAGAGGCTTATGCGAAGAGTACAAGAAGCCATGCTTCTTCAAGGAATAACATGTATGAGTATCCCGAAGACAACAACCGGTCAACCGTTTCGAACAAGTCATCGTTCGACTTTCTTCCTCCAGCGGAGGGATCTTCTGTCCTCGCCCACACTGGGCATTCAGGGGACAACATCGCAAAGCTCGGCACATTGCACGATAACACCTCGACTACATCTTCGACTCGGCCGCTTCGCCGCCGCATTCGCCGTTTTGGTTTATGATCATGCTTTTGATGGACTAAATCATGCTTCGCCATGCTGCTTTTCTGTGTTGCATTTAATTGCGCGTTTCTGCGAACTACCCTAGCAACAAAGGCAACCACTGATGCTTCAATCAAAAAAGTATCACGTCACCAAACTGTGCGCTGAAGTGGCCGTTATGAGCATTGACGGCGAGCTGACCGATATGAAGCTGACACAAAGATGCCCTGAACGTATTGCACAGCGTGGTCGTTTCAAGAAAACTCATTTACCGGTTGGCCTAACACTTGCTCGTTAGATTACTAGCAACTTGGCATTTTTCTTTTGTTACATTTTGTTGAGTTTTTCTTTTTTGGACTGAAACAGGTCCGCTCTTATTACTTAACCCAACGGAAAGGGATGCTTCGGAATGTACACGATATGAGGAAGTTGAAAGCGGATGGAGATATGAAGGAACTCAGCAAAGAGATGGCGTGCTCGTGCTAGCCAAAGTTGAGGGCACATATCAAAGAGTCTTTTACCGCCTCTATGGACAAAACGGAGCGAGTATTCCACGAGGAAAGGAAAAGCCATCGGAGAGATTACCGGTCGAGGGGGACAGCGCTCGATATCGCGTAAACTTTGGACTACCATGTATAATTAGGAGAAACTGAAATGGATAATTGTGCCCGCAAGATGCGGTGGAATGAACTGGTTTTCTTCTTCCTTTTCTTCTTCTTTGCTGTTTCTCTGGTTCTACTTGTGTGATGTCTATTATCAAGCCACATCATAAAAGCGCTTCAACAGAAAAGTGGACAATCCATCATCCTACAGAATAAGAGACCACAAAAAGTTTTGAAGGCAGGACTTGGCGCAGTCCTACTGCACAGCAGTGGTTTGGAACAAGCGGCGTAAGACAGCTCATCTCGACGGATTTCAAGGAAGGATATACCGGTAACCAAAAACCAGTTTAAGCCGTACTGCTATATGTATATTTATACTTATATTTAAGGCAGACAAGGGTCAAGGCTGATGGGCGGTAACTCTGTAGATACGCCTGCTTTTGGGTCTTCTACTAAGTTCATCCGTACTGCTGGACAGTATGCTTTCTATCCAGTGATGACGTCATACTTTGCAGGTATCATATACTTCCCAGAACATAGCCGACACAAAGATGCTTCCCAGCAAAGATAATGCGATGATATCGGGATCGGATTGAAGCGCATACATCCTGAAGCACAGGCGATCAACAAAGTTGAGCGACAGACCAGTGTGGTGTAGGGCTGTCGCCACCGGCCTTGTCCGATGCAAACCCAGCCACTCTATCACTGCACAGCCAGCTGCAAGTTCGTCATGGGACCGCCCTGGAAGCCCCTCCACACATGCCGCTGTTTAATTAGCCGTGGGCCGCTCGACATGCTCGACACGGGCACGCAAGCAGGCAAGGCATCTGATTGTGAGACGATGAGAATTTTCCATGTTGCCGGGAGGGGGGGGGATCATGGCTGCTTCGCTGGGACTCGGGCAGGATTGCAAATTTTTGATGAGACGGTCGCTTGCCGCCAGGTTGAAACAATGCTGGCGCTCATTACCATGCTCCCCTTATTAGGACGGACGAGTCGTGACACGGCATAGCCTTTGAATTGGCACATGGCTAAGTCAGGGACGTAGAAAAGGTTACCCAACAGGTGGCACCGCATTTGTTCAGGAAGGGAACTTAGGGAACTAGTCGCACGGCAGACGCCCCGATTTTCTGCTTTGCTTCTGTAGGGGTAGCTCGTGATTGGGCGAACGAGGCGTGATGGAGCGTGCTACTAGTAGAAAAGGTTGCCAAGATACTTACAGTGGTTAGTGATGTGGACTTTGATGCCCAGCGGACCACGCTGTTCCATGTCAGACGGGCCACAGCCCTCAAGAAACGGCAGCGGTAGGGCAGGTCGGCCGAGACCAGCGAGGGAGCCTATGCAGTGTATGTACATACTACAGAGCGACGACTCCACCCATGCTCACCTCAGTGGGCAGTCTGTGTCACCTTACAAGTCAAAACTGCTGCTGGAAATACGTCACAGGTCCCTTCGGCCCCAGCCCAGATTGATTATTGCCTAGACCAAGGTCTACATAGTATTCCAACCCCCGACCTCACGCAAACCAGCCCCGCCTCGTACTGGAGCGACATATCTGCGGGTACCCCTCTTCGTCAACTCTATCATCTAACCATAGACAACCGCAAACTACGCATTTGCTCAAACCAGACTATAAATAACGCTTGTTTTTTTGGAAAATTTATAGTCAAAACTCTATCGATACACCACGCCAATTTCGTCCGTGGCCATGTCGCGCTACGACGCCTACGACGCTCCCGTGCGCGAGACCCGATACTACCGGGAGGAGCGTCATCGGGCAGAGCCTCGTTACGAACAAGACTATCTGAGCGTCAACCCGGCCAGCAGAACCCAGCAGCTCATCCCCCGTGTCACCCGCGAGGACAGCGATCTCTCCATCGAAGAGGTTCGCCGCGACTTCCCGCCTCCGGGTTATGCCTCCAGGGACGTGCGGCGTACTCGCTCGGCCGAGCCGGGCTACGACGACGATTATTACTATCGCCGCGACCACGATAGTCGCTCCGTGAGGGACGACCCGCGCGACCACCGCAGCAGGAAGACCGGCAGCGTCTACTACGAGGAGGAGGAGCGGACGCGCAAGCGGGTCCTCAACAAGCAAGAACAGATCATTGCTGCTGTTGTTGGCGGTGTCATCGCTGCCGGCGCCAAGGAGGTTTGGGATCGCCGCGAGGCCAAAGAGAAGGGCCACGGGGATGTCAACCGCAACTTGGCTGCCTCTGCCGCCTTGGCGGCTGGTGGTGCCTTCGCAGGTTATCAAGGCGCCGAGGTCTACAACAAGCACGCCGCCAAGGAGGAGAAGAAATCCACTTACGTCGTGCACAAGGGCCGCGATGGACGCGTCGACGAGCGCTACTACTCGGACGAAGAAGAGGATCCCAGGGACAAGAAAGGGAACAAATCCTTCCTGGAGAGCGCTCTCGGTGCCGCCGGGCTTGGTGGGGCCATCAAGGCCTTGACCGGCGGCGGCGATGATCATCGATCTGAAGGTCGAAGCCGCCGTGGCAGCCCGGACTCTACTCGTTCGCGTGGTGGAGGCGGCGACAATGCCAACCGTATGCAGAAGGCAGCCAAGGCTTCTCTCGTAGCCGGTGCAGCCGAAGCCTTCCGTGTCTCCAGGGAGCCAGGTGGCTGGAAAGGAGAAAAGATGAAGCGCATCCTAACTGCCGCCGCCGGTGCAGCAACCATTGATGCGGCTCAGAACCCCGACAAGGACAGCAAACGCCACCTGATGGAGTCTGTTATCGGTGGTCTCGTCGGAAATCGTGTCCTGAACGGCTCTAGAAAGGATATCGAAGAAGACAGAAGGACTGGCAGGAGCCGCTCCAGGTCCCGGGCACGATCCGACGGAGGTGGCGGTGGCGGTGGCGGTACAGGACTTGCAGCACTTGCGACGGCTGGACTAGGCGCTTTGGCCGGCAAGAAGCTCCTCGACAAGAAGGAGGAATCGCGAAGCCGGAGCCGGCGTGGTAGCCCCGACTCTTACTACAGCCGAGACGAATCCCCGCGCCGGCGACAACGTAGCCGAAGTCGGAGTGTTGTCGACACGGCCCGTCGCAGCTTGGCCAAGATTGGCCTTGGCAGTGCTCCGGCCGACGACCGTTCTGACTATGGAGGGTCGCGCGATTCACGCAGACGTCGCGGTCAAAGCCCAGGCGACAGATACGATGATGACTACGATGCCCGAGGAGCTTACATGAGAGGCGGCCGGGGCGACGAGCACGACGATAGATCGGCTAGAGGCGGTGGTAGACGCCGAAGCAGGTCAGTCGGACGAGGAAGCCGTCGCTCGAGCTCGGTATCTAGCAGCGACCTAGGCGACTCCGACGAGGATGAGAAGAGAGCAAAGAAGATGAAAGGTAAGCAACTTATAACCACGGGCTTAGCCACCGTGGCCACCATTCATGCAGCGCACAACGTCTATTCTAGTATGGAGAAGCGCAACGCAAGACACAAGGCAGTAAAGGAGGGCCGTCTGGACCCGACGGAGGCGAAGAAGCTCAAATCCAAGGCCCTCCTGCAGGATGCCGCTTCAGTTGGTATTGCGGCGCTTGGTATCAAGGGAGCGTTGTCCGAGATGAAGGAAGCGAAGGAGACGATGCACGAGGCCCGCGAATGGAAAGAAGAAAAAGAGAGACGACACCAGAAGCGCATAGATCGGCTGAAGCATGCATCCAACGGAGACAACTATGGCAGAAGTCGTGCTGACAACTGGTCTTCTCCAGCTCCTCCCCGGGAGAGTCGGTACTACGATGATGGACCCCGTTATATCGACGGGAACCCATACGCGGCCACTCTCCCAGCTCCCCCGGTCGGCTACGACCGGAGGTGAAGAGGTTGACATTTTATTACCCGCAAAATGTATGACACACGCCCTATAACACCTCCCCGCTTCAAATGGTCTCCATGGGCTCTCCGGCAAAACTCTCCTTCCTTTCACGACTTTACGATATTTATGTATGATGATCATCATGGAACAAATTTTGAGCTCTATACAAAGAGGCGTCCTGGGAAGAATTTGAACTGGGATATTGAAATGGGAGATTTTTTGTGCTTGCGTTGCCTTCTTCATCCCTTTTTATGTTAGAGCAAAAGAACGGAAGGAGCCTTTTTTCCTCTCTTTTTTCTTTTCCTTCTCTTTTCTCCCCTAGTATCCCCTTTCCTGGTCTTTTTTGTTCCTCTTTTACACTACACCAAGAATTTCATGAGAAAGTTTTGTGTAACAGAACTATACACTGATACCCATGACTATGTGACAGACCGGCGTCGACGCCACGACCGCTAAAAGAAAAAGTGATTGCTTGTGGCTTGTTTAGGAAACAATCCTTGTGCGGCTTTTCTAGAACGGGGGGGGGGGGGGGGGGGGGGGGGGGGGGGAGACCAGTGCGTGCACAAAATTGTCATTTTGTCCCAACAATACCTCATTCGCGCATCATGAGATGCGTGTGAGAATTTCGGGAGAAGAGGGCCTTTTTGTGCATGCATTAGCCCACTTAGCAAAGCCCACGAGGAAGGAAACCCGAGCGAGCCACTGCGATTATGAAATTTCCTATTCCTAATTTTTTCTTCTTCTTTCTCATAAAGAGCCGAACAAATCGACGGGGAATCCTACGAGATATCCACACCCACTCTAAGACACGAAGACGCGAATGCGGTGATTTGCCAGCTACCCCGATGAGCCACGTTTTGGGGGGGGGTTTGCTTGCGATCACGATTGGGGGGACCTCCCTAGCATGTATTGTGGAGAAAGACGGGAATGCATACACACATACATGCGTTTCTAGCGCTGGGGAGGAGGGGAAGGGATCGACAACGCGGTCAGGTTTCCCGAAACGACTACTATTGGGGTGGGCTTTTATTTTTATCTTTATGTTGCTGGTATCTCCTTGGGCTTGTTTGCATCTTGTTTGGGTGGTGTGTTCCGTTTGAGAATATACCAACCTTTTATTTCTTAGCATTTGTCAAATCAAGGTCCTTGGTAGACAAAGATATATGTTGGGCCGAAGTGATGGGACGAAGAGAGGAGCGAGGAGGAAGGACGGGGGGTATTTGTGACACGAGTTAACGACCAATACATTCCATTTGTTTGAATGCAGAAAGCAAGTCTCGGTTCGGTTTGATGTGATACCCATGACGAAGAAGAGACTCGAAAGCCGTAAACATGGCCGATGCTGCGGCTGCTGCTCTTACCTGACGAATAAAACATGCTTCTATCCAAGTCTGTGGCATATATTACCTCTGAACTATTATCAGCACAGCACCGCCGGAAACCACAAGTCGCCATATGTTAACCCAAGCTCAAGACATCAAAGAGACATGCTTGGGGGGACGAAATAGCCAGCACCCCGTGTCATTCGTGCCACATGGCGCTTTGGTGGGGCCGGGGACGCATGTACATGATGTCATTATACCTATAACCTTTTTTTCACCGCTTGCGTGGCTGACCGGCCGACTTCCTGCCGCAGGGCTTTTGAGAGATGAAAGGGGGGAAACACTTGAAAAGGTAAAGGCCATTGAGATGGTCAAGGTTCGACCCCCGTTTCGGTGTTATGAATCTCCCAATCCATGGATGGTAGGTGATCAAGCCGGCTCGAGTTCGATAACACCTCCCCCTGAGGACTTTAGAGAGCGGGACTTGGCGGTGGACTAATAGTAGTTTGAAAGCCCTATCAAGCAGCTTCTTCCCGGCTTGGCAAAAGCTTGTTAGTACTGATACTCCTGAGGACTTGCTGTCAATCGAACTTGGTCGTTCGTTGATATTAATCTCAATCTCAGGTCAATAGTGCAGCGAAGAGTCGCGAGCTGAGACTGGTTTTGCTCGCAAAGAAGCTTGTTCACGTCTGCCTGTTAGGTCTGTAAAGTCACGTGTCTATTAACAACCCACACTCCTTGCTGGCAATTTGCTCGCGTTAAGATATGAGATATCTGGGGCTATAACAAGCCATTTCAGCTGGTGGCACCTCCCTGCTGCTTCCACGCTTGGGCCATAGCCAGCATATTTGACAGATCCTGTTTCTGCTCGTCATCCGCTGGGAACACGTAGTCAATATATTCCTCGTACGTGTCGTCTTCCAGTCTCCGTCTCCTCTTTGTCCTGCGCGGCATCTGCTTCTGGACCTTGTCGATGTCCTCGGCTGATCCATAGGCACGCTCAAATGACAGCCATGAGTTTAGGAGTGAGACCGTCTCCTCTTTGAGTTCCTGGTCCCTCATTCGCCGATGAGCGCGCTGGAATACCTTCCGGGCGCTCTCTCTTGCTTGCTCGCTCTTGGGCGATTCTTCTGCCTCGCCATTCGCCGTCTCATCTGTGGTATCTGGAATGTTGAGTTCGAAGTGTGCATAACTGATCCACACCTTGACATGGTCTGTCTTCTCGAGCAGTCGCTCATACAGGTCGCGGGTTTTGTCATACTCGCCCTCGCCTTCTTCAAAGTCGATATACGCCTTCCATAGCAGTTCAGGCATGTCCAGCACATTCTGGCTTATAGCAAGTTCGTATATAGCTCTCGCACGGTCCAGATCATCCAGACTTTGTTCGAGCTCTGCAAACTTGATCCATGCTTGGCAGTTTGCAGGGTTCCACTCAATGTGTTTTTCGTACAAAGTGCGGCACCGCACGAACTCGTACAGCTTCATCTCGAGCTCCACGTAACCCTTGAAGAGCTTATCTTTGGGGCACATGCCGATAGCTTGGCCCAAGGTCTTCCGTGCAGCGGTCAACTGTCCCTGTCGGATTTCGAATTGCGCCTTCAGCAGCCAGAGTTTGGCGAATGTGAACTTCTTATGGGGTATAAGATCCAAGCACAGCTTATAGATCTGCCGTGCGCGGTCGACGTCGTTGGCCTCCATCTCCTCCCATAAGGCATAAAACACCCATAGATATATGTACCGGCGCCAGTGTCGCTTCTCTTGAGTAGGTGGTATTTGGGCCACTGCCCTTTCGTAGACATCTCGTACCCGGTCCAGGTCGCCCGAGGTCTCCTCCAGGCGCGCGTAGTCGAACCATATATCATAGTTCTTGGGGTTCTGAGTGATCTGATCCTCATAGAGCCTCCGGCGCTTGGATAGAACGACATCTTCGACGCCCTCCTTATCACCAAACTGTTTTTCGAAAGTAGTGTAGGCTTTGTGGAGGTTCATTGACTTGGAGCGTGGCAGGCGGTCCAGAGCATGCTTGTAGATGGCCCTCGCCCGCTCGTACTCCTTCATTTTGGCCTCGAAGCGGGCCCATGCAATGAGAAGTTTCTCGTCGGTGAACTCGTCTCCAAGCACGTCGATAGCAGAGGCATAAACTTCGCGGACGAGATCGCTGGTCCCAGACTCTTCTTCGAATTTGGCCCATTTGATCCAATTCCGCGGCTCGGGGTGGACGATGGTGAACCGCTGGAAGATGTCGCGCGCCCTCTGGTACTCGCCATAGCGCTTCTCAAGCTTGATGTAGGCGCTCCAGGCAGCCTCTTCGGGCTCCCACTCCATCCATCTCTCGAAGACTTGTCTCGTGCCGGGGATGTTTCCCAGCATCTCCTCCATGTAGACGTACTTGTACCAGAGCTTGTCGATGCGTGGCAGAATGGTGACGGCGCGATCGAGGAGGTTGCGGGCGTGGGCGATGTTCCGGTTCTTCATCTCGGCCTCGATGTATCTGATCCATAGGATGACCGAGGTGGAATCGACATCGAGGGCTCGCTCGAAAACGGAACGCGCCCTCCTGTATTCTTTCTGCTCGAGTTCCCACTGTGCGTAGCGCATCCAGTTGTTCATGTTGATGCGATTGCGGCGCACATAGTCCTCGAACTCCTTGCGCTTTCTGCCTTGGAATTCATGGAGCTCCTCGAGATCTGCGAAGCGTTGGGTGGGTGCTTTCAAGGTTCCCTCTTGCCTGTCCTGAGCCTCGCGCAGCAGCTGCTCTGCCGAGATCTGGATGGGCGCGGGGGCCTTGTTCTTGACCCTCGGGGGGCCGCGTGAAGACTCCATCTTGAGGGGTGTGTGGCTGATGGATGCTTTTGGTTCCTAAGATGGCCAGACGAGATTGACATGCAAGGGCGGACGACACGCTTTCCAGACTTTCCAGACTTTGCAGACGCGGACGACGAAGACGCGGGATGAACTGTCTGGGCGCAGTGCTCCAGCAAGTCTGCGAGGGAGAAGGCGGGCGTTGCGGCTGAGGCTGAGGCTGAAGCTGAAGCTGGAGCCAGACTGTGCTTGAGCAAAACCAAAGAAAATCAATGAACATTAAAATATGGACGCGCCGTCCCGCGATTGAATCCTCAAATCGGCCTACGTTTAGTTGCTTCCAGTACAGCTATTAAAGTGGGGCACCCGGTGGTTAGCGCCATTACATAAGCTTCTTATCGGACTTATCTCCAACCGTTTCGCCGTCGCGTATTCGCCATTTCAATTCATTTTCACTTCACGGCATTCCAATGCAGGAACTGCTGCTCTCCGCCCTCTGATTCTTCGGCACTTGATTTGCGCTACCTAGGGAATCTCGTGGCTCGACGTCGGCACCCCCCCGACAAACTTGCTCAGCGGTAATCCACAGCCCCCCACCGAGAGCGCTCTGAGCCGCCCTGCGCGACCACTACAGCTTCTACCATTTACGCCCGGCATACAGGTTTGGAAAGCGGCTGCCTAGGGCGAGCCACGTGTAGCAAGAGCAAGCAAGTTGCGCAAAAGTGAGTCGGTCGCATCTGATACTGCTTTGTGTTCGTAAAGTCTCATCGACCAGTGGACCATCATGTCGACTCTCGCCGACGAGCTCCTCAACGACTTCGAGGACTCCGGCTCCGAACAGGGCGATCCCCAGGATGACCTTGGCTTGGATGGCGAGGACTCGTCTGTCCGCCAGGCAAATGGCCACAGCAAGGATGACGACGATGACATGGTACTCGACGGTGATGAGGAACCCCCCGAGGAGGAAGATCAAGAGATGAGTGGCCTCAACGCCGCCGCCATACATCCCATGGATGATCCAGACGAAGCAAAGGCCAAAGTCGAGCAGATGCAGCTCGGCAGCGTCAAGGATGTTCGCAAAGTCACCAAGGTCATGGACAGGCTGGAGCCACTGTTGAAGGTAAGCCATCCAGCGCAGCCATCGACGCCCCCTTCCCGCGCACGTGGCACAGCTAACCGACTGGCCTCGGCCCTGCAGGACATCCAACGATACCAATCACAACCTCTCAATCTGTCGACCATCAACATTGGTAACATTGAGGATAACCCCGAGTACAAGATCCTTACCGAGTCCAACACGCTATCCACCGAGATCGATGGCGAGATCATGAAGGTACACAAGTTCATTCGAGATCATTACTCTGCCCGCTTCCCTGAGCTCGAAACGCTCATTCAGAACCCCATCCAATATGCCAAAGTTGTTGCCATTCTCGGCAATGGACCTATGGACTCTAGCAGTATCAAAGCATTGCAGGATAGCACAGATAACGTCATCGGCGAGCCGCTCAAGCATGTGCTCGAGAAGGCCTCGCTCATGACCGTAACATTGGAGGCTACAAGATCTCAGGGACAAAACCTCGGTCGTGACGAGTTGGATCGCATTTTCAGGGCTTGTCAAATGATTGTGTCTATGGACAAGGCAAAGAAAACCCTCACGGAATATGTCCAATCTCGGATGAATGTCTTCGCCCCTAATTTGACGGCCATCATCGGCTCTCTAGCTGCAGCACAGCTCATCAACACAGCTGGAGGCTTGACTCCATTGTCGAGAACACCTTCATGCAATTTGGCGGCGTGGGGAAGCAAGAGGCAAGCCAACTCTGCCTTCGCAACAAATGTCCAGAATAGGCAGCAGGGCTTCTTGTATCATTCACCCATCATTCGGGGCATCCCGACAGATTTGAAGAAGAAGGCTATGAAGGCGGTAGCTGCCAAGGTCGTCCTGGCCGCCCGCGCAGATACTAGCCATACCAATCCCGACGGTGCTTATGGTGAAGAGCTACGAGGTCAATGCTTAGAACGACTGGACAAGATGACAGCCCCTCCGCCCAACAAAGGTCAACGAGCACTTCCTGCGCCGGATGACAAGCCGTCGCGTAAGCGTGGTGGCAGACTGGCCCGTAATGCCAAGGCAGCCGTTGCCATGACCGAACTAAGGAAGGCCCAGAACCGTATGGTCTTTGGCAAGGAGGAGAAGGAGACTGACTACGGCATTGGTGATGGTACTGTGGGTATGGGCATGATAGGCCATGCTCAGGAGGGCAGGATTCGCGCTACTCAAATCGATAACAAGACGCGTGCAAAGCTGAGCCAGAAGAACAAGGGATGGGGAGCAATAGACCCTATCGGCGGTTCGGCCTCATCGTTTCGAACTTCCGCGCAATCCAATATAGACCTGCGCGGAAGAGGCATCCGCACCTCTGGCGTAGGGTCCACCATTGGTGGTGGAGCCGCAGGAACTGCCTCCTCCTTAGCATTCACCCCTGCTCAGGGTATCGAGCTTGTCGACCCCAAGGTTCAAGCTGAACTCAAGCGCAAGCGGGCAGCAGAGGACGACCGTTACTTCAAGAGTGGTGCCTTCACCCAGGTCGGTGGAACCAATAGCCAGCCTCCCAGCAAGAAAGTTGATGTGGGAGCTGGCAGAATGTTACCTCCGCCATTGCCTGCCAAGAGATAGAATTTACGCAGCAGCAACTCTTGCTTTCACGCTAGAAACAAGGTTTTCTGCAGCTGTGCAGCTGAGCACAGACAACAGGGTCTTGTGGCGCCTAGGTTGCCTTCTAAAGAGTGAGAACCGAAACGAACAAAAAAAGGTTTATATGTACCAGATCTTGTATTGCTTATGTAGCATCGTAACGGCGTTTGAGGTCCAGCTCAAAGCTGATGGGAAATATGATTCATGTAAATTTTATAACCGATGCACCAGTCGGACTCTACCAAGCGCGCATCGCTGCTGCGCCGAAGATTGACTCCATGTCGTGGTGTTTTATTATCAACGAGAGTTTGCCTTTTGGTTCCAAAGCGCTCAGGCATACTTGGTAGATACGAAATCAGAACTCCAGGAGCGTAACACGCCACATCGACAGAACCCTCCATAGAGCTAATTGTCGATGATAGCCTTCTTTCAGTCCCTGCGTCAAGAGTTGGCGGTTCGGCCTCCCTTGGAACCTACACAGTACATAGCAGAAAGTCCTGCAGGAAAGGCACCTGCCGCGACCTCCGGATAGCCACCCACGAGCAGTAGTGGCACACATCTGCGGCCGTTAGGAGAGCCGTACAAGTATGTGGCTCAAAGAGAAAGGACAAGCGAACCCTCCGGGCAAATAGTCGCAGCCACTTGTTTTGTATGGCACGGTACTTTTACTTTGTATGCAGTCTGTAATCCAACTCGTGCGCGCTTAATACTAGCCACACACACCCCATCAGGGAGGCTCAAAGACCCCTACTACCACCGAAAGTTACTTTGAGGGGACTGACTGGCAAGTAAACATTAGAGAAAGACAATGTTTTAGCTATGGCTGTGTGTTTATCCCCCTTTGCGTTTATCCATTGTGCGTTCTGATCTTCTCTCCTTGATGAGAGAGGATGATCTCCACGCAACAGGTCACCTGGTAGCCAGTCGACTGCCCGGAGCATGTCCCCGGAGCAGCAAGGTCCTTTGAATGCTCGAAAAACAGGTAAAATGATGTCGCTGAGATCGTGCTCATGGGAAACACACGTGGAACTCTTATTTGCAGAAGTCTTATGGTATTGTGGGGGAGATGGACTGTTCCAGGCCTTGTCGATCTATCCCTCGCTTGAGGTGCAGTGATGCATGGTATCTAGAATATATGTATGACAGAAAGTAAAATAGAACTGCCGAAATGCTTTTCAAGGAAAAGGGAGGGGAAGGGAGATGGGGGCGGAAATCGCAAAAAGCCCCATGCCGCCAGACATGGGGAAATCAGAGTTTCCCATTTGCAGCAAGACCCGGGGTTGGAAAAAAATATTTAGAATTTGAAAAAGAAATTAAAAAAATTTATGGGTACCAGTATAACTCTACCGCGCATGTAGGAAAACATGATAGATAGTATCAAGTACGTGTGCTATCTCTAGTGAAAGGGGAAGAGGGGAAGGACTCGAGTCGTCATATCTCGGTCACGCTCCGGGTTGGTGGGACTGGCGAGACGAACGGGCCTATTGATGCGTGTGCCATAGCTTTGGAATGTGAACATGGGCACGAGCATTTCAGAAGCAGCCTGTCCTTGGTGCTTCGCAGGCAAGCTCTCTTGTTACTTTATTTGGAGCACATGGGGGATGCGGGGTCACTCGAGGTGTGTAGAGGGATGTAATGGTATGTCTTGGAAATGTACACTGGCAATTTACTCCTCACTAGGACAATTATCTAGAAGGGTTTATGCAGGGCCCAATAGCAGCAATGTGTACTACACAAGGGCCGCACATGTCTGTCAAGGTTATGGGCCAATGGGAATTGATTTCGAGCAAGCCTAGCAGAGCCCGCATTTCGTCAGATAAAACTCGATATTCATTTGTTTGTCTTACTCTGGGCATCGTAGAATAGCTCGGGAATAATGCCAGGATGCGTAAGTTCTATGCTATAAGTGCTGGTTAAGAGAGGATAGATGTCCCCGGGTTAGAGTTCAGGTATCAACCGCGCGTACGGCTTGGTCAACTCGAAGCAGGGCATAGAGCTGTGTTAAAATGTCGTGTGGTGTGAATTGAGTTTGTCCGGCATCAAAGCTGGGAAGTCTTGGTATGTTTAGTGCTCCGGCTCCGCCGGCAGGGTTCCGGGCTTCGGTCCCGAACCATCGACGCGAATTTATACATGTATACTATTGTAGATCTTGCGACGGGTTGATATTGTTGTTGTTACGCTCTCGAGCAACTTTGCGTAATGCTGAACGACTGTTCACGTGTGGGAATGTTGCAAACATAACATGCTGGCCTCGGTGAACATCGGGTTTCCAACCCTTATTAACGGCAGGAGTCGAAACAGCTTGGATTAAACGGGAGTGAAATCAATCGATCATGCTATGTATGTACATGGTATTAAGGTGTTAAACTTGGTAGCTTGCTTGTAAGTATAGCCAGTCTCCAGCGAGCTGGTTAGAGCATTCATCGATGGTGCAAATAAAAGCCTGAATGTTGATTCGTCAAAAACTAGATATAAGGTTGTGGCCAGGACTATTTATTATGCCTATGCTAGAACTTCTTCGGGAAATGATATTCGAATGAGGCTCTCCGGTTTGCACGGCGCCCGCCCGCAATGACTGGGCTTTAGTTGCTCTAACACTATAACTAGCTTACTGGAGGTCGTTGTCTACGCAACGGTATTGGCACTTGAGGATAAGGAAAACTCTGTAACCTAGTGTGGTTTGAGCGAAGGAAATGGGTTTCCCAAAGAAGGTCAACTGAAGGAGGTCTGACGTCAGAAAGCTTCTAGAACGTTGCGTATCGTCTCAACGGTCAATGTCTGCAATTTTATTTACTTTTGACGAGTGCCCGCAAGCGGATAGTTTCGAGTCGGTCAGCCAAAGACTAGCTAGAAGTATTTTAGAATATACGGAGCAATATCCAGGATCAGCGTGGACTAAGGCCTCAAGTGGCCAGTGTCGGGCCCCGTATTAGTTTTGAAATCTCAAAGCTTTCGTTGCGACCTAACGATCATCGATCTGACCACAAAGGAGATCGGGAGATCGTCTCGCTTGTCGGCTGAGCCACAGTCTACAAATCTGCAATGCGAATGTGACATGCCGATTACTCCGTGTTGCGGGTCGCCTACCTTGAGCCTTCTGAGGAACAGGAAGGTTGCCAAGACGTGCATCAAAAGTTGTAAACCGGTATGTAAACATGTATCCAACATTGTCTGATATTGTCTGCACCTGCATATGATCCTAGAGACGACTACATCACACCCTTTTCCGGAATGCAGCCGGTCTCTACTGTGTAAAGACTTGGGGTCGAGCGAGGCACATAACAACTGTTCTTGACACTCATCGTCCTAATGTCATAGAAATGGCTACTGGCCACGGCCGTTGCTGCTTGGTCGGATCCCTGCATAGTAACCAACGGCGAAAATAGTGCTGTGGATGAACCCTGATCATCCGCCCGTCAGTTATCTCTACAGAGTATAGCCCTTGCAGCCAATCGCCGATTCGTTCGAAATCGACGATTGGTATCCAAATTTTCGAAACCACCATAACGAGTATCGTGAGCCGCGATAGCCTCAATTCATCTCAGCACAGTCACGGAGATTCTAGTCCGGCTCAGAATAACCCTTATTCGCGGCAACTCCGGGCCTGATCTTGTTCTTGTTCTGTTATACAAAATGGCATTCAGGCATTACATCATTTGTTTTGAGCACCATCGGTCCCTCACGTTTAAGTAAATAATCGAAGGTCCATCGCGGTCTAGACTTGGAGCACAAGGCTGTTCCAAAGCCTGTACCTTGGTCGGGTTCGTGAATGTATTGGATCCTCCAAGAATATTGTTATCAAGTACACAGTATACTTGTTCTGAACGAGCCAATCATGACGCAAACTCAAGGGACTTCGAAGAGTCTCTTTGGGGGACCCTGAATTTCTGCTGTGCCCTGTTAGATGCGATAGAGATTCCTTCTTGCATTGGATGGAACTCAATCAAGCCATATGGGAGGGCGCTTCCACATTGTGTTGCAAGGGTACTTTGGCGTCTCCGGAAAGAAACTTTGGGCGATCTGCTTGGAGAACCACATTTTAGCAAGGACATGGAGGTACTACGCGCTAAAAGGTTTCCTGTCTGGGCTGCATGTATCCCTGTATATTGAGGGCCTGAACTTCGATTGAGCACAAAGAACTCGATCGCAAACCGAAGTCTAACACAGGTGACCACGACACCTCACACGGGACCCTTTTTGCTGTCCCTGCTTAGTCCGTCTTCCCCATCAGCCCACTCCGTCCATGCAGGGACTTTGCTCTATTCCTGCGACGACCGAACCGATAATTTTCCCTAGAAGCAGTGCGCTCTCCGTCACAGGTATGACATCACAGTGGCAGGGCCCATCCCGAAAAGGGTCCTTCTCATCGTACTGCGCCATGTACCGTTCTCGCCGGCCTCAGGTACTATCAAATGAAGGCTTCCCACTCCATTCCTGTCATTTAAATGTGGAGCTTACCCTTGTCGCTGACAACCTGCAACAGCTCTATTTTTCTCAGCTCTTACAGTAGAAACCAGGCAGCTGTCAGGATAGGAGGTAACATTTGACATTAATCATGACTGAACTTTCAAATCGTGCAAGGCTAAAATGTTAGGATTATCATTTCACAAGGGGGGGTTTTTATTTCAATTTTGTTCTTTTTAATGAATCCTGCACCGGGAAGCAAACTAGTGAGCGTTAAGTTGAGCGGCCACCAATTGCATGTACTCAAGAGCGATAAGTCCCCGGATCGAGATCCAGGTGTTCAGCCGAGCATGGAATTCTCAAATACCATCTTTCCCGCTTATTACTTGCAATGTCTTTGCCAAGCGCCTTTTCAGGCGCCTTTACAGTAGTTGCTCCCCATGAAATGAAGAGCGAAGACGAGGAATGCTACAATAGCTTGGTAAACAACAGTTGTAGTGCACATAACTAGTCCTTACATAGAGTGGCCGTAGCTGATGCTCGCTTACGGACCCGCCTGCCTGGAAAGGGCGTCAATATTCGTAAGATGCTGACTGCACACCCATTTGACAAGAAGAGCCCATGATCCTGGAGTAAACTCTGTTGAAGCCATTCATTCAGGGTCTAATGCAGTCGTCGAACCATTGGCCTGGAATAGGTTTGTGGTTGCATTAACCCTGACACTTTATACTCACACTACGGCCATAAAGATAGACTACCCGATTTAGCTAGGCGTTGTAGTCTACTTGGTGCTGTCTAGCACAGGTCTGGAGGGTTAATTTTCATTACTGTACTTGCATGCTACTGCTCCATACATACAGAGAAGAAAAAATAAAAAATTAAATTAAAAAAGATCTTTGTCCTGCCGCAAGGCTTTCGCAACGCATTTCCAGAGGCGAGGGGCGGAAATTCAGCGGGGCTTAACCTCCGGAGGTGAACTCTCAACTCTCACCCTGTTGCCATGAAACCCCCAGATTGAGGGCCCAGAATTGAGGGTTTCTGAACTCCTCAAAAGCCCTTGGCGGCCACATACGTCATTATGAACACAGGAAAACGTTGTTGGATCAGTTGGTTCGGAGTCCTTGGCAGCACTTCGCGCAGCGGAGAATACATAGAATCTGGATTCTGGACTGATCACGACACTCTCTCACTTTACAAGGAGGATAGACGGGCGCCCGATGTAATCGGGAATCGGCACCAGAGGAAGACCTTGGATGTTGAACTTTCAATCTGGCAAGCTGTGCGATGCCCTGATACCCCGATTCCAACGGTTGCGTTGCGTTGCGTTATTTGGACCTGTTCTCGTCTGACCGAGTGATCCGATACAACCTCCAACAGCCTGTTGACATGCATTACCTACATACAAGTTCGTAAAGGAGGTCAAAAAGTCGACTAATCTGTTCAATCCAACTGTGCATGCATCGCGGCTGTACCAAGTAATCCAAAGCTCATCATATGTCCGTCAAGACCCTGATCTTCCGGAAAATCAGAAACTGTTTGTCGCAACTAGACTCATCCCAGGGCTTAAATCGCAAAAGGTACAATGGCAGTACTTCTGTCAGTACTTGCAGTCGTGGCCTCCGCTTTTTCGTTCGACTTCCTTGAGACCTCTGACCCCTGACCCCTACTCGTACTCATCCGCCGCCCTAGCTCTCGCACTGCTACTTTCGGGTCAAGGTACGCTCCACTGAATCCACCCTAAGAAACATGGGTTGTGTAGAGCTGTGCGGCTTACGGGCAAGCGAAAACTCGATGGGATTCATGCCTTTCCCATACGTCTTCTTTTAAACCAGCCCTCGCGCACATGGCCTTCCGTTGAATCCTGTGTATATCTACGAAGCTGTCCAGCCCAACCACGTCGAACAATCTTATTTTGGTCCCAATCATCCCATAGCGGAGCTCTAATCACTGTCTCTCGACGTTTTTGTCTCTACATTATTATAACAAACACTTACAACATTTACCTACTCGTATTGCAATTATCTACACCATCTATACCAATATTCCAGGTACCATTACAGCATTCAAAACCAGTACTCGCGGGACATTCGAGCCGTAGGCACAACCTATACATTTACAATCGTATAACCTGATCAAGGAATCGACCAATACAAACATACACAATCTAAAAAAGCAGCAGCAGCCTCGCGGTTCTTTCAATAGTGTCTGGACAATCGTGCGCCAAAATGATGCAAGCCAGAGATGCTACAGGCCGCCAGGTCTCGCTTCTGAATGACGATTCCTATGCACGTCCTGTGACATATCGAAGCATAAATTCATTTCAGTCAGCTGGAAATGTTTCCCCGTCACCACATACGCCGGAACTCCTGCGCTCGAATTCTTACGACTCAAACGTCAGCTATGAAGCTCTATCTCCAACAACACCAGCCGTTTACGACTTCTCCAGAAGCCCGTATGAGGACTTCGCTCTCGAGAAGTCGGGCGCCATGAAGCGCCCAACTTACTTGGACAGCAGCAGATCAAACTCATTCGCCGATGAGGAGAGCTCTAATGCCTGTTCAGCACCTGAACGGACCGCCAAGCGCTACCCCTGCCGGTACCGCGACAGCCATGGCTGTGAAAAGACATTTACTACGTCGGGACATGCCTCTAGGCACTCCAAGATCCATACTGCAGAAAAAGCCGTGCAATGCACGTATCAAGGCTGCCACAAGAAGTTTACTCGCGCCGACAATATGAAACAGCATCTTGAGACTCACTACAAGGACAAGTCTCGATCATCCAGCAAATCCTCGAAATCTTCACTGAGCTCATCTAAGCGTGGCTCTATTTCATCAAGATCGTCTGCCTCTCAAGGTAGCAGCCATGTATCGGAAGATGTCGTCATGTGGGATACCGACCACTACAGTGTAGTCCCTGAAAGCACTTGGGATATGCGACTCAACTTGCCGCTGATGACTCGCCCTGGTGCTGTAATGAGAACTAGCAGTGGGCTGGACGCACTCGCAGCCATTGCCTGCCAAGAAGGCAGCGCATAAGCTTACACCGTCATATTTTCTGGATATTTGCCCGATTCTAATGACTTGTGTTTTGGGCTTGGTTGCTACCTTGGCAGGTTTCAACCATTATATATACATTGTACTCGGAGTTTTGGATCATTTTGAAGATACCCGGAGCTCATACAAATGAATGACACGCGGTCTCTGCATCGAACTGGGAAGCCTTGGATAAGGCAACAGGTATCAGCATTGAATAACTGGAGGTTTCTTAGGAGTCTGGCAAAAAAGGGAAGGTCAGGCTCAAGGGCAAGCCCTTACGGCCATGTGGTTTTTTTTTTTTTTTTTTCGGATAATACAAGAGATCATGGTTTTCCAGTGGTCTGTTCTACGGTCTGGCATTTTATTTTCGCATTAGATACCACTCTTCCACCCACATGGGTGGTCGGCACACGCAGCTTGGCGCGATGTTTGGATGAGAATATATTTACATTTCATATTAACCTTTTCATCATTTCTCAACGTGTGATGGCGACCATCAGAAATCCAGTTATCTCGATGCGCGCACAGGGGTTGGTCGCCTTTGCCTCATGGCTGTCTTTCACACGCAAGCGAATGCGAATTATCCTAGTGATCTCGTGCTCCAACCTAGCTGGTAGGCGGTGATCATGTTCAACCCCTCATGCTTTACAAACCTAAAATACAACAATGGTCGCAATCGTATTAGTCAAGCTGCCAGGCGGCAATTCATTCGACTTTCGAGTATGCCATACTTTGTTGTTCGCCACGTGTCGACCCGAAAACTCTTCAACAGTGACAAAGATCGGAAGAAATGAAAATGGTGTGCGTATTGCCTGAATGGCACCAACTGAGTTTCTCCGAGTCCCCCGACTCATCACTCGATTCACAGGTGGGATCCCAAAGATTTCTCTGTTCACACCGACTGCCGTTACGGTAATGAGAATGTAGATCTGACCTTCATGGGGTCAAAGGTGTTAATTCATATCTGACGATTCTTACAAGGCCCGTGACTTTCTAGTGTCGCGCGTATAGTCCTCCGCCTGTGCCGAGAACTCCCACTAGTCTCCACAAAAAGACCCCCAAAGTCCACACGCACCATATCGTAGTGCGTCCCTTCGACATACGTCAGAATGTTGTCAGGGGAGCTTCTGCTTCCTGTTCCTGGGCCCCACGACGGTTGCGACTTTTTTTCCTTGGTGACCCCCTTCGCAACAAGACCCTGTTCCACACCACAACTTGTTTTTGTGAGCTGACAAGACGGGCTGGAACGGTCTCTAGGTCCTTTCAGATGCAGTAAAACGCACTACTTTACCCCATTCCTTTTCGCCCTGTTGAAGCCCTTCAGACACGAGCTGGCTTCTCCACTGGCTCCGGGATTCTCTCGACGAATGGCTTTCGCTGAATGGGTGCGTTCCTGTCGATCTCGGATATGCCTGCCTTGTTCTTTTCATAACACATCTTTTCCGCCCAATGACATCGTGATTTATTTCTTCCTCTCCAACTTATGCACAATTGGCTCCTGACCGGCTGTCGGCCACACAGCAGCCTTAACTTGGTAAGTTTGCTCGCATTTTCCTCGAGTCTCTGCCCAATGTGCGAGACCCTGCCGGAATCGGTACACCACCCTGTACACAGCACCGAGGGACTCCGTAGAACGCGTTCGAGACCATCGCGATCGCCACTGATCTGCGGAGGAACATTCAGCTTGCTGAGCTCGCCTACCAATGGGGTTAATCTCACCGCTTAGTCAAAACGACGGAGCGCGGATACTCATTCACGATAGTGTCTGTGCGAATGAGACGGGCTTACCAATATCGCCGACATAATCACAATGAGGCTCTGTGTTGCTTTGTGTAATTCTGTGTACAAAGCATCAATAAATATCATTATCACACCCTAACTTCAGCTCCCATCTATCATCCGCGGGCGGCTTGGTGCAGACAAGTGCATTAACATCATACGATTATAGCCAGTTTCTTAATTCGTGATCACTAATCCGTAGCTTACCCCAGGTTACAATCGATCTTGTTCCTTATTTCCATAACTCCGGATCCTGGGCGCAGCCCCTGGCCATCTCGAATTGCTCATCCGTCAAACAGACCAGCGTTCTATGCTTCGCGCTCTCCTTGCCGACATCTTGCACCACATCTTGAATTGGATTCCCATTCAGCGCATCGTCGATTTCAAATCCCAAGCATCCGGCCTGTTCAACGACACGCTGGCGCAGCTTATCACTCTTCTCGCCAATGCCGCCCGCAAAGACCAGTGCATCAACCTTGCCCCCCAGCGAGACATAGTAACTCCCCACGTAACCAAGAACGCGGTCCACGAACAAATCAAATGCGAGCTTGCACTTCGGGTCGTCGGACCCTGCAATGACGCCAAAGTTGGTCGTGCCGGTGAGGGCTTTCCAACCGCTCTCCTTGTTCAGGATTTCTTCGGCGCGCGAGATATGCAATTCTTTCGTCGAGGACGGTGAGAGTTTTCCCACGTCACTCGCGTAGTGAAAGACCAAGCTGTAGGTTTGTTTGTGTCAGCCGGAGTATTTGTGAGCGACAAACAATGTTTCGAAAAGCACCCATACCTAGGATCAACACTTCCACTGCGAGTAGCTCCTGGCAAGCCTGCAAGGGGTGTGAGGCCCATACTGGTGTCCCAGGACTTTCCGCCCTTGATAGCGCAAGCACTGGCACCACTGCCCAGATGCAGGGCAATGATGTTCAAGTCCCCCTTTGGTTTATTGAGAAATTTAGCAACCGAGTTCGTGATGAACTGATAACTGATGCCGTGGAAGCCATACTTGCCTAGCTGGTTACTCTTGGCGATCTCAGGATTGATAGGATAGGTTCGTATATGCTCCGGCATCGTATAATGGAACTGCGAATCGAAACATGCCACATTGACAGCTTTCGGAAGCTCCTGTATGCACGACTTGATGATCTCGAGCGCGCTGGCATTATGCAAGGGTGCCAAATCCGTCAAGGCCTCCAAGTGGTGATATGTCTCTTCCGTGATGAGCTGCGAAGTCTCATAGTCGCCGCCATGAACGACTCTGTGGCATGTGATGCCGATATCATCCATGCTGGATATCTCCGCCAGTTCCGGATCTTCCACCAGCGTCTTGAGAAGAAGCTTGAATGCGGCGTCCTGGTTCTTTACGTCCTCTTCCAACTTCTTGTTCTTGTAAACTGAGACATTTTCCCGCGAGTATTTGAGCTCTACTGGTGGTGATGTCAGGCCGCTAAGTTGCGCTTCCGCTATTTGCGATGGTGCTTGACCTTGCTCGGCGGAGAAGACGGATATCTTCACGGAGCTTGAGCCCGCATTGATTGAGAGGATAATCTTCCCCATCGTGTAAACAGATTTTTCTGGAACGATCAATCAAAACAATTGCTATGCGGTATCTCTAAAGTCGAATTTGGGCCTGGTTTCGAACTTATAAATCCCTCGCGCTCTTTATGATCATGTGGTTGAAGTATCGTGGTATCGTATGTTGTCACTTTCCAAGCAATTGGAGAGCTACCCCACCGTGCCCGCTATACTCATAGCTTAGTAATGTATGACGTTAGGTATGCATTGCTAGCTGAACCTACCGTCCACATAACGTTCATTTATTCAGCCTTCTCAGCCTCGTCATGTGAATAGACGGGATTTAAAGACTATTATTGCAGGTTACTATTGGTCTCAACTCAGTATTACGCTCGAGCTTTGTTCTTAACGATGTTGCATCTACTGTGAAACGATCTCTTGCCCATACAAATGCCCCTGGAATTTCCCCTACATCAGTCTTGGATAGTTGCCACAAGATTGGCGAACAGCATCAGTGGCCATCTTGAGTTTTCTACCGACACTCTGGCTTCAGGTCTTTTACCTGACGCCGAGTTCACCATTGATCTGCTAATCGCCGGCTGAGGGCCCCTTTTCGCCATTACCACCGCTGCCAGTATTCCCAGGGGTTTGCTTGCTAGAAGCTGTGTCTCCGCCATTCTCATCCTCTCCACTATTACCATTCCCCGATCTCTCTTCTTCACCATCACCGTTGTTGACGTCAACCGAAGTTTCGTCGTTGGGCATTACGTCTTCATTCATATTATTATTGCAGCCGCCACTGCCAATGTCTTCAGCCCTGTTCTCGACGATTTCCCCGACCAATGCTCCATCGCCACTACCACTCGAGAGTCCGGCATGAGTTTCGGACCTTACCTCCAAACTTCCATCAATTCCTTACGCTTCAGTACCTCCTTTGGTTTCTCCAGTCCAAATTGAGTTTTTACAAATTCCACAAAGCCCCCTGTGCCATGCTCCTTTTTCGTCTTCGCGTACGATTCGTTCCTTGCTGTGTGGCGAACACATGTCTCTCGATGAGAGGCCTTGCGCTCTGATGCCATGCGCAGAAACGCAGAGCATGTCGGAGGTGGGCCACGACCGCCAACCAGGAGCCAGCGGCCCCAGGAAATGCGAGTGTCGTCCTCGGAAGACATGAAGAAGTGGTCGAATGGCTCTGACTTCTTGTGTAGTAAGTCGAAAGAGGCAGGACAATACAGGTAATCAGCTCGATGAATATCAAGACTGGGAAAAAGGAAAACTGTGGGCTAGCTTCAGAGATCCTGGAGAAATTACAGGTTCCGTCTGAAGATCAAGTTGGCGAAGTCTTCTTAATACCCCCGTGTCACTCATGAGTATCGGCGAAATGACAACATCGTTTGGGGCATCAGAAACGAGCGTGAAATAGAGGCTGCCATAAGCCCGAGAAATGGAGCCGAGATACCGAGAAACTAAGAATATCTAGAACGTGAAAAGACGCCTGGATTCAATCAGCTTCCAGACCAGCAGGTTCACACTCGCGGTCTGGCGGGCAGTGTATCCCATCCGAACTTCAAGTGGCCGTTCCGACCCCCGCCCCCCCAAAAAAACGCCTGCCTTCCAAGCGCTACCCATAAACACTAAATTAATAATTGTAATCAACAGAACCGGTCGAGTGTTATTAGCTCTCCATAAGGTGCGATGGACGAATGAAGACAGCCGGTCCATGGGGGGTGTCGAGTACTCGTCGACGAGGATCAAAACTCTGAGCCCCCGAGTAACGAGGGTGGGTTCGGACGGTCTTCGATCGCTGGACCTCGCTCTCACCCCTCACGATGGGAATGGACACTCTATTGGGGGCCTCCTGCCTGGAAACCTTGCGGCGCTTGCTGACAGGTAGATCAGCTGTACCGTATTGGAAAAGATCGTTGGTGGTTGATTCGCCGCGGACCGAGATGAACGACCACTTATCGCTGGTATCTGCCGAGTTGGCCCGAGGGCGACGGTCAGACGCATCCGCCTCCACATGGGCGTTCTCCATCAGCTTGTCCAGGTCCGCGACGGTGGCATTATCAATGACGGACTCGCTAAAACGCCGATGCGGGGAGCGGGCAGTTGGGCGAATTGCCGGCGTAGGCGTGATGACTGACATACGGCTGCCCACAGTGCTCTCGTCGGGCAGTTCTCTGTAGCGCAGGAAGGAGTCTTTCTTGGAGTGGTCGATGGTACCCGAGGCGGGAGGTGTGGCGTAAGCTATGGAATCTACCTCCATCTTATCATTGATGTACTTCTCGCCAACACTATGGACAGACTCGATGATGGTGAAAGGGGTCGTAAGAACACTGTTGCTTCGAGTCCTGCCCCGCTGGCTGGATGGACACCAGGCCTCAGACCAGCCCCCAAGAAATGCCGAGGGACTGCTCTGCATGGGAGTGTCGATGAAGTGACGCCAGTCGGAATCTTGGATGGCTGGCGAATGCTCAGAACTGGTGGTAGACGTGTAATCAGAAAAATTGGAGGGGACAATAGTCAGGTCGTCGTCGCTTGCCACGTCGTTGAGCTGAGTGCGGTCCATACACACGCCAGAACGGCCGCGAAAAGGAAGAGGTGAAGAGATTTGCAGAGGGCGGGTGGTGATTTTGGGTGTCTTGCTGAGTCGTCGCCAAGTTCCTTTCAGGTAGTCTACAGCTCGCCGGGTCGGTGTTGCCATTTTCTTGACAGCAGCAAAGGGTGACGCTGTGTTCACATCGCAACTCATGATGTTAGAAACGGCTGTTATTGACAGGAATAAGTGTTTTATGAATGAGCTTTAGTTGCAGTTGGAAAGCTGCTGTTTCCAGAGACAACAACCTGAATAAACTCTAGATGCAAAATATCCTTCTTGGTTGAGCTTCGGAAAACTGCGACTGGCCAAAGATGAAATGATTTTTTTTTAAGAAAATGGTAGCTCTTTTGTTGATATTGAAGCAGTCCAAGAAAATCTGGGCTGATGGTGATTTGTTGATGTGTGCACCAATTATGTTCGAGGCAGAGGTGCTTTGGGCATTCAGGATGCAGCCTGACGATGCGAATCGTTGAACGTTTGGATAACGAACTACAAACACAAGCTCACCAAATTTCCCGCCTGCAATTAAGAATGCCAACCATTTCTCTCGCTATTCATTTGTGAGTGGAAATCTTAAATTCCACTCTGAAGCAGTCAAAATAGCGGTTGCCTTTGTACCGAAAAAGTAGATTCCATAATGTTGTTTGCTTACTTCCCATTCATTTGCTTCTCGTCACTGTCTCAGAACTTACATTGGCAGTTTGTCCAGAGCATATTTTCGGTCTGGACCTTCACTGGTACTGAGTATTTGAAGATAATTACAGTTGCCCATCCCTGCTTACATCCTTCTCATGTATGATGGTCAGCTTAATAGCTTGCTCCGCGGTCCTTTCCCTCAAGAGCTTGGTGTCAAGAAGTAAAAGCGAATAACCTTTTGCACAACCAGAATTTGTCCGTTGGGCTTGCTCATCAAACAAATTGGCCCTTAACAGGCCTCAATTTGTCACTCACAATTTTTGTGCAGTGATTCAGCACCTTTATCATTCTTATTTTTCTTTTCGTGCTCGGGTCACTTGAGACTGGCCTCTCAATTATCTATCATACTGAAAACTTACCAAAAACCTTGATGAAGTCAAAGATATGTGGGATTGCATTACTTAGTTAGAGGAGGTCCTTATATCTCGGAATCCGCAAAGATTGTCACAAATACATACTTGTAAGAACGTCAACCATAATTGATAGTAAACATTGATCAGGCTCTAAGCGCTCCAGAGCAAATGTATAGAGGCAGTGAGTGAGTGGGTAGCAACTTCGAAATCGCCCTTTACCCAAGCTCACAATCTAGCATTATCTCACCCACAGGATCTGTACTCGAGCAAGTCATTATTGTGAATAATATGACTATCTTTTGTAAGGCAGATGCTATCCTTATAACACCCAACCCTCCCTCAACTAAACCCGTCGTCTCGCTCCATATAAATTTTTTCTTTCTTTTGGCTATTCCACCGACTTCGCCTACGGTTTTCAGCTGAACAGTGAGAGACGGATGTGCTCTCTCGTTCTCGGCATGGCCTCTCTACTAATCTGAAACACAACCATCGGAACTTAAAATCTGAACCCTGTTCTCATGTCTTGGACAATGTCATATACGATTGCCACTACTTGGAATAGCTGCCTGTTATGTAGAACAAAGGACAAGGAATGCGGGAGGTTTGCTCCATGTGCGCTGAATAGGAAGAGGTAGTTGGAATGAGGCGATAGCAGAATTTTTTATGTCCACTCCAATCAACTACTTCTGATCGGCTTGGGCGAATAAGAAGATCCAATCTCGTGTATGACTATGAGGTATGGGCATGGTGAAGTAGCATCATCATCACCTCAAAGGAAGAAGAAATTGGTTTGATCAAAGTAACGAGCAACATATTTTCATAAGCCGTAATGTGTTTGGCTTCACTCCATGACATGTAAAGATAGTACACCCTAAGCATAATCTATGAGTACCAAGTCCAGTCCAATCCAAGCCGTGCAGTATTCCTGCAATTGTGCAAACTCCCCTTAAGCGCCGATGATCCAGATGCGTGCATGATTTGTTTCGTGCACACGTATCATAAGTCAAGTCCCAGAATAATTTCCGTCACATCGTGCCCCGTATCCAGTCGTGGGTTTGTAGACCAGTCCAGGGCCGTTCCTTGCTCCTGAAAGTGCAGATATCCCTAAAGTCGCCATTGAGGCAATGATGATGCGCATGGCATAAGTCGAATGTAATGTACGGGGGACCAGCAATCTGGAATCGAGATTGATGGTTAAAGCCCAAGTAATGACCATCATGGTAGATGGTGTAGCTGTGAAGAGCGTGGGGCTTAGAAAGATCCCATGCGCTCCTCTAGCCCGCCCCAGTAGACAACAGGTCTTGGCTCAAGAAGGTTGAGCTCTGAACCGAAGCTCTTCCTCTCCTCCTCCATCTCCACGAAGGAAGGCTGACGAGATAGCACGCTGTTGATAGTCTCTACTGGGGAAGAGCTGTTGGACGTGAAAGAGTTGCGTGAGCTGGTGCTACGCGAGGAGGCTGACGATGCACGGCGAAGAGATGTGCGGATGCCTGTGGCAGAGAAGCGGGAGCGGATGCTCTGAAATCGTGAGGTCTGCATATTGGCTCGTCTGTTGTATGAAGAGGCTGAGGAAGATGAGTGGTTCCGGGACGCAATGAGTGGTTGACGGCTGAGGTGGACTGTCAAGATGGTTGGGGTGAATAGTGAGGCTATCTTGTTACCGAAGCCAGGGGTGTGATTAAAGTGATGGAAAGGCTCAGCCTGTATTGCACGAATTGAAGAAAGCGAATGGCGAAGATTCGGATTTGATTGAGAAAAGATAGGACGGCTTATCACAAGGATACCACGAGGAGCGCGATCAACGAGTGGTCGTGTGAGACAGTTGAAGATGGTCGGCAAGGAAGGAGTTCGTAGAAGCTGGACGCTACACAGAGAGTCTGGCTGAGAAGAAACAAGCAAGTGCGACCGAGAAAGAGGCCACTTATTATGTATATACAGTAGGATGGAAGAAGGAGCAGTACGTCCTGGGAACAAGGGGCCAGGCCTGGAAATAGAACGTGGACTGATGGTGGAAGATCAAGAATGTACTGGGGCAGTATGGAGCAATAGTCGCGTCCAAGGGCGCAGGGGAGGTCGATGCATACTATGCAATGCACCCGTCTTGAATCCGGATCCAGGGGTGTGGATCATACGCGGGTTCATGCGCTTCAGCAGGTTAAACCTAGTCAGGCGAGTTCTCCAGGTCCACTGTGGCTGGAGTTGTGCTTTTTTGAAAATGACAAGTAGAAACTCTCATACTTCAACGATGACCTGCCAAGTGCATCTACTACTGCACTGCAGGCGTGGAACCAGTTATCATTTATGAAAAAGGAGACGGTGTCCATAAGCCATGGCAACGTAATCGCAATACTTCAGTGCCAAGTAATGTTTGGCATCTGGCTCACTGGAAGCTGGTAAGGCGGGTGTCGTCGTGTGGAGCAATGACAAGCCTCACAAGGCAGTACATACAGTATGTAGTATGAAGTCAACATTGGAATCGGACAGATGAGAATGTTTCGGGTCGTGGATGGGGCTATGAAACAGACACTCCCTGGGTAGCTTTGACCTCGACATGTCGTGTCAAATCTGTAGCAGGCACCTTGTCTGATATCAGTGAAGTCGGTCGGGATGGATGAATATCTGAACAACTCCTGCTGCAACACGGATTCATGAAGCAAGATGGTTGATGGGTGCGTTTGAGAATATTCCCAGCACTCGTGCGTGGGCGTGGGCGTGGGAGGCAACGGAAACAGGAGAGTAAAGCCAAAAAGGCATAGGTGGTGTTCCTGATGTATGATCGGCATCCGGGGCCAGGGGCTTGCGGGCTTGCAGGCTTGCGGATGAGTTGCTGCAGTAGGATACCAAGTGTCAGAGGACAAGGATGCTGCAGGGCCCGCACAGCTGTCGCATCGTTTCATAATTTATTGGAGACGACGGTCATGATGCAGGTCGCCTGCAGACCACAAATGTTTCCAGAATTGCTGTAAAACCTACAGTGCCAAGCTGTAGACTCACCTGAAAGCTTGATTAACGAATTCGTCTCATTGATTGCTGTGGCAATGTGCCGTTCGTTGGTTGCGAATATCGACGCGAGCATGTTGACTGCTGAGAATAAGATTCACTTGCAGCGCCATGTCTCAGCAGATTCCGTCAAAGGGTGGAATTAATTGCCTTTAATGAGCCATGGCACAACTCCCGAACACGTTGAACGGGCATCCGAAGAAGAACAGGGAATACCTAACACAACTTCAACAAAAGACTCACAAATGGTTGGCTAGCATTCGGCTTCTGGGATAAAACTTTGAGCTGCCCTTATGCAGGTCCGGCGGGGAGAACTTTGCTCGGTTGTACTTGCGAAACAAAACCAAATTTGACCAAAAAAATAACAATAATGAAAGAAAAAAAAAACCCCCCTCCGACCAACCCATGACTTGCGCAGACAAGTGTCGTTATCTCAGTAAGGTAAGCCACAGCCCACCGTTGCGTATATAGTGAATTCGACATGACGAGTACAGCGTCCACGCCAGATCTGCCAGGTGCTAGATAATCGAACGCTGATGTTGCCGGTTTACCGCTAAGGTCAAGCTAGCTCCACTCAACACCAAGGACTAGAAGGGCCTAGTCTAGACAGGAGAATCGTGAGATTTTAAGGAAACCTTATTGAGTCAGGATTCAGCTTTTCACGTGAAAATGGAGAGAGGGATAGCCACCACCCCTCCAGCAGAAGCCAGTCAGTGCGCTTGATAACGATTCCTGCAGTCGTCGATCAAACCTGGTCCCCCAGTTTACTTCCCCAGCATGAACAGCCAAAACCCTTCTCGTCCTGTATTTGGTACTATACAGAGGCGGATTGTTACTGCCTCAGGTTTGTGAGGGAGCAGGATGGCTAGGATGGTTAAGACTTCGCCAACTCAAAGACGTGATGTCGGAATGGAGCGCCTCAAGTTAAACACATCAAGCAAGGAAGGAGCTTGTTAGTCAGCAGAATGGAGCTCCTCGAAACTGCCGCGTAGAAAGCTTCGTAAGGCTTTCGATGCATAATCGTTCCAGACCCCTCAAGGTGTGGACGGCCTTTCGCAGCGGTCAGCATCGCAAAGGTGGCTGTGCTTGCTACCCACACATGTGCGATTTTATGCAGCACTTACGTACAAGTTCAGGCCGAGTATGCTTCATCTTTGCGCAAGTAGATGCCTTTTTGCAGCGAGAGCATGGAAGTTGAATTACAACTAGGCTAAATTCGCGACTATAATAATGTGTGGTTGGAAAGCGTATACTTGACTCGATAGAGACCTCGAGTGAATTATGTATGCCATGACGTTCGCATTCAATAAATGCTATATCTATCTATATAAGCAAATGTTCACATCTAAAATCTTGGGTGAACAAAAGTTCTGGTATCTACCCCATCTCCGCCACCTCTCATCCAAACATTGCGGTACCAAAACCATGGGTAAAATATTGTAACAAGTCGCTTGCTCAAGGAAAAAAAAAATTTTGACGGTGAAACCCATGAATGACCATATGCGCCGTTAGATGCTGGTGAGCCCCATTACCGCTACTTCTTCATGTCTCGTTCATCCAAACTATAGTCCCCATCTGCCACCATGGCAGAATGTCTTTTTACGGACATAGTCGAGGCGTTGTTTTGCCGAGGTACCTGATGAACATCTCTTTCCTCCTTTTGTCAACTTTCCTTCCCACATTATCTCATTATTATTGTATACGATATTACAAACCGCCAGGCAGACCTATTGTTTGTTTGATCTCGCTGGCTAATATTGGCTGTAGTCTTGTTTGCGGACAGATTTCCGTACTGTCGCGCTGCGCCGGATGCTCTCCACCCAGATAGAGTCGTCGAGTAGATCTCTAACCTGCGCTGGACTCACGGAACTACCACGGCGGCTGCTCTGCCCAGAAGAAGTTCCGGGCTCCTGGAGCTCGAAGCTGAAAGCCGAGTTATCGTGGCGATGGCCGGGCGTGGAAGGTTGTACTCTGGGTAAGCTCAATGGATGCTCGTAGTGGGCATCCATGTTGTGGATATCAGTGCTAGAGGCCCAACTACGGTGCTGTGGTCGCACAGCATTGGAGGCTGTCAAGAAATCCGAAGAACTTGTTGCAGCTCTTGAGCGAGGAGTGACAGCTACTGTTGCCCTCTGCGGAGCCCTGTGCTTCGCGTCATTGTCCTCCACAAAAATGTCCGGCACATCCAATTGTGGTATATCAGACATTCGTCCAGCTCGCTTCTTGTCAAGATGTTTCTTGAAATCCCTAGCCCAGTATCTGTTGTGCATGTTAGCGATATTTGTAGTATTTACGCACAAACCACTTACAATGTGTCGAAGAAACCTAGAACAACTCTTCGACGAACTTCTTCCTCAACACGTTGCAAGCGCGCACGGCGCCGCAAGAATTCTTCTAGCCTCAAGCTCTTGCTGTCGCTTATGATGTTGTAGTGCGCCAATATCATGAGAACAGTCGTGAAAGAGATGCCTCGATCGGGATCTGCCGAAACCATAACCTCTTCGTAGAAAATGTTGAAGCGGCGGCGACGTTGGCGCACTTCCTGAATATCAATCTTCGCCAAGCGTTCATTGAGTTTCTGCACGTCAACGCCTGCGAGTGCACTTTGCGATGCAATAGAGGCATGTCTTGCCTGTGGCGGTTCGCTGCGGACGTCTTCCAAGATCTGGCGGACAGAGTCTTCTGATTTGTAGATACGCATCTCAAATACACCAGATAGCTCTGCCAGGAGTTTGGGAAATGCTTCTTTGCTGATAAAGCCAGTACCCGCCGGATCGACACTTCGCCATGCCTCCTTGAAGCGGCGAATTTCATTGCGATCGACAACTGCGAGTCCACTTGAGCGCTGGTAGACATATGAGAAACTTTCGTAAATCAAGGAGATGAACAGATTGACGAAGATATACATGCTGATCAGGTTCCAGGCAATGAACAGACCTCTAGCCCAGATCGCACTGCCACAGTCACTGTCAGAGAATTCCGCAGATTCAACACAAAGAGGTGGCTCGATCATTGCGAAATCTTCCATGACCTCATTCCAACCTTCTCCACAGCTCATCCTGAACAGGAGAATCATTGCTTTGGGGACTGTTCGGAAATTGATGTTGGCTTCCTCGCCCCCTCCAAAACGGGTCAAGCTGAAGGTCTGGGTGAACGCAATAGAGAAGACCAAAAAGAACACGAGCCATGTAGCCAAGAGATTGATGATTGTCGTCAAACTGGCGGCAGCTGTCTTGAAAAGCTGATCGAGGGCATCGTTCCGAGGTATAAGCAGTAAGACAATTGCTACAAGAAAGGTCTTATGCAGTTGCACGTAAATGGAGTAATCTTCGTTGCTGATCAACAGAGCCGAGGTTGCAAAGGCTCCTGTCACCGTAATCAAGGAGAAGACATCCCAGGAACTCTTGCGGAAACGAGTCCAGCCAAGCCCCACAATACGGATCACGACATTGGCGATGTAAATTAGTGTGAAGAGCAGGAAGGTAATGTCTCTTGTGCGCGTCCACCAATTTGGCTCCGGGTAAAATTCCAACATGAGCAGGACGAGATGCAGCACAAGTACGACCGTAACCGCGGTGTACCATTTCCCGCGTTTCTCGATGGCTCGTTTGTGGCACCATTTTTTCCACTTCTTCTCGGAGTCATCGTATGAGCTCTTCGATGGTGAAATCTGGCGGAGTAGCTTTCTCAGTTCAAGCCATGATCTCTGCTCGGTGGTGAGAAAAGCAACGCCTGTCAACTCGGTGTAGTTGCGCATGAAGACGGAGATGAACAAAGTCAAGACGAAGACTGTAGACAGGATGTTGAAAATGACAAGAAAAACTCCATTTCCTGGCGCGTTGTTGTCAGAAGGTTGAGTGCCTTTGCCGGTAATTGCCTGTACCGCGAACGACACATCGACCCAGCCTTCTTGAGACACAATCTGGAAGAGAATGAATAGAGCTGAACCGAAGTCGTCAAATGAGTAGAAAGGATTGTCGGCGACGCGAGGTGCTAGCATTGGCCAATCACCACTAAAAGGGGCAGCCTCGTATTCGCCAAAACAGTCGGCCAGATTGAATACATTGCCGTCGTTGCAGGTCACCAATTTTCCGTTGAAAAGAGTTACTGCGTATATGGCGAACGGGATCAAGAGAGACATGGAGACGAAAGCAGCCTGCCAACCCAGTTAGTGACTAGTAAATGAAGGAATTTTCACGTTGAGACTTACACCGAGAAGTTTCCATCCGGCTACAATGATGAGCGAATGGAACGTCTGTCGCGCGCTATCGCTCACATTGAGCAGACGCAAAGCCCTGAGAGCCTTGAAGGCGCCAACGGCTCTAGAGACGGCCCCGTCATTGGCTAGAAGTGTAATGACATTGATCCATAGTGTTATAAGCACAACTCCATCAATGATGCCCCAAGAACTCCTGAAGTAGGCATTGGGAGTGAACCATAGACCGTCGGCTATAACTTTGATGAGGGCTTCGACCGTGAAGAGAATAGCAAATCCCATATCTACCCATACGAACCAGTTCGTCATGTGAAAGTCATTGCTCTGCAAATACTCTTTCTGATACAGCGGCGTGGTCACACATGCAAGGACCACCATTGCTACAATGGCAGCATAAATGAATGCCGAGGAAACGTACCAAGCAATCTTATTCGGTTCTACACCATCGAAGCGCTCGCTGCCCCGGCCAGGGCCAACGATCTTCTGGCACAAACGACGCAAAGGATTCTTCGGCTTAAATATATGGAGGGCAGTGTTGTAAGTTGGATGGCGTTGCAGGTATTCCCGCTGGGCTTTACGTCTAGCAGCAGTAGCTGACACAGCTTGACGGGCCATGGCACGAGGGTCGAGATTATCGTTTGCGCCTTCAAATTTGAGATTCTGGTAAAATGGATTAGGTTCCTTGCTTGTAAATGCCGACCGGAACCGACCCCATGCTGACGAGAGCAGTCCAGGTCGTACGTCGCCAGTAGGGTGACCTTCTTGAGGCGACTGCGTTCCGTTTGGTGATTGTTGCAGTGGGTCCATGCTGTCGTCTAGAAATTCCCGCACGACAGCGTCTTTCAAGAGCATTTCCATGGTAGCTGGGCCATAATCGAGGGGATCCTTCTTCTTACGGTTTTTGCCAAAAGTGAAGATCGTGGACAAGGCGAGATTGCTGCTGTTGTTTGCCAATTCCTTCCTCTGCAAAAAGGCCTTGACCTGTTCTAGCCGTTTTTCGTCTTCGGATACATCGAAATTCTCCTGAATGACAGCAATGAACATGTTGACAATAATGAAGAAAGCGAGGATGAACCAGCCAATAAGGAATATAGCGCCATACCAGGAAGTACCGAGGTGAGTCGTGTATGAAGTAACGTTGTACAGAATGTCCGTCCAGTTCTCACTCGAGAGGATTTGGTACATGCCTAGAAAGGCGTTGTAGATATTATAGAATGAAATGTTGTTGAGCTCATCGTCTTCGTACATCGGTATTTCGCCTCGAAATAGCTGAACAGCCAGGATTGCCATGATGAATGTGATCAAGAACACGAATAGTGTAAGATTGGCTATACCAGCTGCATTTCCAAGCACAAGCAGAATAAGTTTGCGAGTGATTGGTACTGCTAGAACAATGCGGTATATCCTTAGGATCTGAAAGACCGTCAACCATGCGTAAACCTCCTGCTGACTGTGAATTGGAGGTAAGAGGATCACGGTTGTTGCAACTGCCAAGAAGAGATCAAACAGATTGCGATAGCTGCGATGGAAACCTCTCCAATTGGACGCAAACCGAATGACAATCTCTATGTCGAGAAGTGTGGTGACGACTATTTCGGTAGAGTTAATCAAAGCCTCTCGATTATTCCTTGCACTGCGGGAGGCCTGCACGAGCAGGTCAAGGGTAATCAACGCTATCCAGAGGAACTGAGTCTTGTCGTAGATCCTTTGGAAGGTTGAGATCCGCCGTAGTCGGTCCTGATCTATCTGAAATGGAACAACAGGATCCTGGGCCTCTCCTGTGAACGCACTAGACTTGCTCTCTTCTCGAATAACCTGAAAAGACGAGGTAATGACGGCGATCAACAAATTCGTCATCCACAACATCATGATCATGATCCCGGCACCAAAGAAGAGCGCAGCCGGGAGGTAGTCCGAGTTGGTAGTGTAATACATGAGGTCCGACCATGTATTAGCGCTCATGATAACGAAGACAAGCTCCATAGAATGGATGATGTTATCAAAATTTACCGTGTTGTTGAAAGGGCCGGTCGACTGCAGACATAGAGAGCCTCGAGGACATATATAACCTTTTGGACTAGCAGTACTATTGCTCAGATCTTCCAGACTGCCGGTCAATGTTGAGCTCCAAACCCATGATACAGCCACACCTGTATCGTTGTCAAGGTGTCCTCCACAAAACTGCAGGTCATTGGTGTATGCAGCAGTGATGTTAGTAGGGTCCATGGGGTCAATCCAAACACATTGCCGACTAAGACTGGACTTGAAACTCTGAATGCCAATAATAGCAAATAGTATCCAGAAGAACAAGATAAGGAATGACACCCGAATAAGTAATGGGGCTGCCTTCTTCAAACTTCGTAAAATGATTGCTGTACCGTTGGTCAAGGCAAGAAGCCGGACGATTCTGAGACAGCTCATCATACGGAAGATGAAGATATGGTATTGCATTTCAATGCCCGTGATACTGAGGACGAAGGTAATCCAGAATGACAAGATTGCCGTGAAGTCGAGTCGATTGAAGCCATGTCGCAAGAACGCTCTGCGGGCTAGTTGCATCCTCTGTGCCTCCTCGAAAGTTTCCGGTAATCTTTGTCCTTGCATGACTGTAAATGACCGAGTAAACGTCGACGGTCCGTAATGTTCCTGACGCAAGCCTTTGACAGACTTTTGACGTTGCGGTCCAAAGACTGCTTGGTATTGATCTGTCACAACTGCCCTGAATCCCTTCTTTCGATCAATAGTGCTATACTCTGTGGCGTTCAGTATGAACCCAGACACGATGATACGGCAGATAATCTCTAAAGTAAAGATGGTAAACAATATCAGCATTACCCAATCAGTCTTAGTTCCGTCCCATCTCTGAGGTCGTCCGTTGCCCGGATCAAACACATTTGGCGCAGATTCAACGGCCAGGAGGATTGCCTGCAGGACAATCAACGCGAGAATGAAAGGCTCCAAAATCGGGCTGACCAAAACATCACAGAGCTTCATTCTTATGGGATTGTCCGGGCCGAAGATGCCCAGTGAGCGGCCCTTGAGAGGATTCGCCATTGGCACACGTGGGCCCTCGAACATGGGCGGCTCTTCCACGAAGGTGAATCTTGGATCGCCATTCTTTTCTGGAGGATAGACTTGGGACCGATATGAGGTATCAACGGATAAATGACTTGTCTCCTGTGGTATTCGGCCATCGGCACTTGGAGACCTCGATCTGGATCGCGCTCGGCGCTGGTGCTGTTCTATGGTATCTCCATCACCACTGATGTTGACTACACGCTGGGACATGGCCCTAACAATGGACCCAGCTCGGTATAAAGCCGTCCCTGGTGAGCGCGATGCCCGAGGATCCAGAGGAGCCAGGTTCTGACCATAACTGTGGTGTTTGCTTGCCTCGTAGTCCTGGCCTAAACCGAACCCAAGCATCTTGGTATTGCGGGGACTCAGCCGCGAATCGTCTATATCAGATACTGTCTGGAAGCTGGTCCGCGACGGTGATGGAGCTCCAACATTTGGGGTGGCCAGAGAGCCTGAAATTGGCTGGGCTGCAGTGGCCAGAGGTGTGTTATCCGACTCGAAGTACTCGTGATTCGTGGGGCCATCGTAGTATGGAGACGGCGCCGCGTATGGGTTCGGCGTGGATGCAGAATCTCGAGATAGAGGAGGCGCAGGAGGATGAATCTCTGGCGGTAAGGCGAACTGCAATGCGGCAGGATCTATGGGTGAGCCAGGACTTAATTCTTCGTCAAGGTGAGAACGATAGTCTTGTGGTTGCTCCCAATATGTCGATAACCCTGGCAAGTTGGTAGCCGCTGACGGTACAAGTCGTTGAGTATTGCGCGCGCTTGCCAACCCTGGAGTCCCTTCCCCTTCCGCCTCCCCTTCCCCTCCACCATACCGATTGCCGTATTCATATTCGCCAGGCGGTCTCGAGAGGTTCTGCAACGGTATCGATTGCGACGGAGGGGATGACGGATCTTGCTGCGCATGGTGGGGTGACTTTGGTTGTCTACTCATGGTGCCGTCGTGTCATCCAGATGACACAGGGGCCAGATCAGAGCAGGCAGAGCAGGACGGAACAAATGTGGTCGTTGCAAAAGATGCAGGGCGTAATGCGCAAGCGCGGCCGGATGAAGGTTCAAGACCAAAGAAGTTGCATCACAGCAGTTCTTGTTCGCATTTCTGTACCGCCTAAGAGAGAATTGGATCACTTGGTCAATCAATCGATCAATGAATAAAGAATGCAGGCGTCGTGTCTTGTCGGCGCGAACCGTGGCGTGGCGGCGTGGAAGTGAGACCGTGGGGTCAGTATTGTCTAGCGAGGGGACAACTTAAGCAAGCCAAAGCCAAGAAGAAGAAGAAGATGCAGCGGGTCGATCTACAACTGGTTTGTCGTTGCGTGTGATGGCTTCTGCCTTTCACGATGGACAAACAAAGCGAGTGGCTAGGCAATGGGTATTGATGAGGATTGTGTGAGTCTCTCAGGGTGATGTCAGATAAAAATGTTTCTGCAGACCAACTACGTTACGGAGTATATTACGAGAGACCAGGACCCCAACGACGACGGATGGATACCGATCAGCTCGGGCGTGGAGGGTCACTTGGGAGGGTCGCTGGGAGGGTCTCCCACTTGACACGAGGGATCACTGGAGACTTTGGAGCTCAGACGTCAACTGTGCCGTGCCGATAACCAGCAGCACGACCAGCAGATCTACACACGTACTGTATTATCTCCCATCTTTACATACGGTAAGGTATCCGTACAGTATGTATGGAGTAGGTACAGTATGTAGCTTGACCACGTTGCAGGCAACCCAAGTCGTGTTGCGCTTGTACAAGACGGGTCTCGGGCTTGTGAGTTCCCAGGCTTGCCAGGGCTGCCAGGAGGCTCAGCCTCTTGCAGACTACCCGACTTGCGCAATAGGGCCCACCAGCTAGAGGCAACTTGTTGTCTGTACCATGTAACGCTCACTAGTGTTCAGTAGTTTCGACATAGCAGTTGTGGCCGTGTCGAATCGCATCATCCTCACATTTGGCCATGGCGGTTGTAGGTAGGAATAGGTACAAGCGTGACGGCCGGGTCCTTTCCAAGACGTGACCACGCTAAGAGATAAGTCCGACTGATGCATGAACTCAGCGGCCCCTGACAGTGATGGGTCCAAAGCTTGGCTTGGCTAGTCGTAGGCGGCGATCAACCAAACATTTGCTTCGAGCTAGGGGGGGGCAGAGCACCACACACGTTGCGATTTCGAACCTTTTTGCGTTTACCTAAACTACAATGATGTTGATAATGCGATGGTTTCTACGTAGTGCCATCCATCTCTCTGCGCCGAGCTGTCAATCATACCATTTTCCAGGAGGCCGAGTGTGTTATTTTTGCAGAAGATAGAAGATTTCATCTACGCCGTATCATGCAGCCCTGTTTCCTTCCGGTGCAAAACGTCTGCTGTTGGAGTCTGAAACACTGCCACCTTCAACTTGGCGGATGCGCATGCCGTGGCCACTTGGCCCATTTTGGTCTTGGGCGGCCCTTCCGAGAGAGATAGAGAGAATTAGTGAGAGAGTGAGAGAGAGATGGTCTTCCCTTATATGAAGCAGCTACGCACATTACTCAGTATACACAGCTAGCTAGCTGTGCTGTGCTACTATGGTTACCAAGTGCAACCTGTGGTATGTAGATTTTTTCTTAAAAATTTTTTTTTTACCAACATCTATACTAGAGGAAAAACAAAAGAAAAAAGGAGAAGAAGAAAGAAGGGAAAAAGGAAAAAGGCAAAGCAGGCAGTCTCTAGGAGCGACGTATCGAAATGGTGACTACATTGCGACGTCGGATGTGATCGCATGTCTGTCAAGCGCAGGGCAAGCTTCTGTCTTGACCTTGAAAGAACGCTTTTACATCTGTATCTGTATGAATGCATCAAACAGAAAAAATGAGCATTTGTGCATACTGCACTGTAGTGTAAAGATGTATGTGTCTGGCAGTCGGGCTAAAATAAGATTAGTCAATGAGTATCATGTCGTATCGGTCAGCTAACTGAACTTGGCGTGTCTGCGCGTTTGGGGTTTGGCGTTTGGCGAATCAGCTAAGCTTAGTCTCGTATGGTTTAGTCTAAACTAACCTTAGTCTAGTTTGGGGTGGGGTTCCTCTGCCATGTAAGTACTGTAAGTGGGCAAGGTAACACTTTTTACGCTTTACGCGACTTGAGTCGCGCGCCAGCTTGAACTCGAGCTCGAGCTTGAGCTGGGAAAAAAAAATCCAGGGCAGATTGCAGATTGCCGATTGCAGATTACAGCAGGTGTCAGTCGCGCAGCTCACCAATTACTGACCTCATTCTTAGAATGAAGGTAGCTTCCATTCAACAACACCACCACCACCACCACCACCACAACAACAACAAAAACAACAACAACATAGGACAACACAGGACAACTGTCGACACGACACCATACCACACCACACGACGCAACGCAAGTCGAGTACTCGCTTGCCTTGTGCTGGTATTCTTGCCTCTCTGCAACTAATGCGTTAGCCACAACTGCGCTGCCCGCATCTCTTCCTACCCGCACATCATTCGTTCGTTACCTATTCACAACACCCATCGCCAGCGACCCCGTCTTCCATCCCCCACAACGCGCATCCTGTTTTCCGCGTCACAAACAATTGTAACAACCATGCCGGCCACCAGAAAGCGCTCGAGGCGCCATCTTGAACCCGAGACTGACCAGGTCGCCTCTGCACCAGAGTCTCCCAAGGAAATCCCACTATTGCAACGCATCAGAAATACCTGGCAGTTTTCCAATCTGTTTCAATGGATCTTCTTGTTCGGAAAGGTCGTCAAGATTGATGAGAGTATCGACATGGATGTACGTAATCACTACACCTCGCCAGTCCAGAACAAAAACAACAAAACACAACAAAAACCTCACCACATGCAAACCAAACGACATTGCTGACTTCCTCCCTTCTGATCAGGTCCTTGAAACCGAGTGCTTGAAACCTCACTCCACTCTGCTCCTCGATATAGGTCTTGCCTTGCTCAAGTTTGTATCTTCGCATCGTGGCCTGACACCAGAACTCTTCGACGAGTACACCCGCCGCCAATATGTTGCCAAGAAGCCTGACCACAACCCCTTCGGCACTGATCAAGACCCTGCCAGGTTTCACGACTTTGATGTCTTCACAAAGGTTCGTAGACGGACACAACTTGATTGACCCGCGCCGAACAACACACGCTAAACAGATCGCAGCTCCGAGTACTCCAGCAGTTGACCCAATGGGTAATGCTGCACCCCGAACGCATCCGAGACAAGATGGATGAGCAGACGCTGTCCGATCAGACCGACTGGAGGATAGAACCCTATGGCTGGGACAGCGAAGACCGCGAGTACTTTCTCCTTGATGATGATCGCTTGTATCGTCGGACTGACCCTCCCCCAACCATCCCCACCTGGAAACCTAAGAAGAATAGCAAGAAGGCGAAAGCTGCTGCCAGAGCCGCCAAGCGACGTCGCGTTTCCAGGTCCACCGCTGCCGACGCTGATGCCGAAGATGCCGAGGATGGCCCTGCCTCCGATGTGGAAGAGGTTTCTGCTGTTGAAGATGAACAAGACGACGGCTTCGGAGGAGCAAAGTGGGAGTGTATTGCCGTCTCCCTAGACCAAGTCCGCGCCTTTCTTAACACGATCCGCAAGACTCGTGATGAAAACGAGAAGATATTGAGAGACCGCATCGAGGACGGTCTCGTCCCGATCCTAGAAAAACACGAAGAGTCGCGCAAGAGAAAGCTTTTGGCAAGAGAGAGAGAACTTCTCAGCCTCGAGAAGATGGCCCATGCAAAGAGATCCAGTCGCCTGGCGGGTAGGGCAGAACGCCAAAAGCATGATGAAGAAGAGCGTCAAGAGGAAGAGAGACGCCGCCAAGAAGAAGCAGCCTCCCGTAAAGAGGAGCAACTACGCATCAAGCGGGAAAAGGAGCGCGACAACAGAATGATGTCCCGTGAGAACCGTCTCAAAGAACGAGAAGTACGGCGACTGAAGCATCAAGAGGAACTGGCTCAGCTCTCCGAAGATGGCAGGAATATCGACTCCGACAGTGCCAACAGGCTTTCGGGACGTCGACTAGAAGCCGAGATTGCCAGGAATAAACAAGCCCTTGAGGAGCTCGAAGACGAGGAGGACGACTGGATCTTCGATTGTATTTGCGGAGTTTATGGACAAGTAGATGACGGGACACACAGCATTGCTTGCGAGAAATGCAACGTCTGGCAGCATAGTAAATGCGCCAGCGTTAGTGAAAAAGAGGCTGAGCGAGATGATTTCCATTTCATTTGCAATACCTGCAAGCGAAGAGAAGCGAATCCTAAGCATACCACCATCAAGCTCAAGGTTAAGGGCCTAGCTGATGTTCCGTCGTCTCCCACAGAAAAGTCATCCGAGGAACGGCCTGCTTCAAAACGATCGAACCAAGGCGTTGCCATTCCCTCGGAACAGACTGCGCGGCCCAACTTGTCACCGTATACAAACGGCACTGCGTCACGATCTCAGTCCTTGCAGCAGTCTCGCCTGCAACACAGCTCTCCCCAGGCATCAACCAAAACCAAGATTCCTATCAAACCTATGAGCCATACTCCAATCCTCCCTCCGCCGTCGCCCTTCTACAACACTGATGGATCAAATCCCTTCTCGTCGCCACACCCAACATTATCACCGCCGCAACAATCACCAAACAAATCACGGGCATATTCTACCATTAACCAATCGTCCCCACCGGCTGCATCCAAGTCACTAGGCACAAGCAAGATCCTGCCTCCGAAGGGTGTATTTCACATTTCTCCGAAGGCCAATGGAACTATGCCGGCCCAAAAGGGATCTTCCGAGGGTCTGCCTCCGAAAACTAGTGAAACACCAGTGCCGGTGCCTGCAGTGCCCACGTCTCCACTAAAGCAACCTTTCCAGGACGCAGGTAACAGACTTTCAGGACTATCACCGCCCCCAGCACCTTTTGCAGCTGCGCGTCGTGCATCCAACAGCAGCGCTGCTCCCTCACTTCTTTCGACTCCACAACTCAAGCACGGTCAGCCCGCGCCCGCATTAGATGTCAAGACACCGACTCTTCCGCCCTACCAGAATGGCATCTCACCTCTGAAACGGTCACCTCCACATGGTCAGCAATCGGCTAACGGAGCGCGATCTTCACCCGCTCCGCCGATTCTCCCCCCTGTTGCACTCTCCCCGACACCATCAAAGCAGATCATGACACCGCCGGTCAAACATGTTGAGCCTTTGCGGTCTGCATCACAACGGTCTACTAGCGGCAGTGAAGCGGCATGAAGTCACTGCTCTTGAACAAATTTTTAGTTATGTTGGTCACAGTCTCGCAAACCAAGAGGAACCCGCAGTTCTACTGATCTGATCTATCATGTTTTTGTCAGGTCTGTCAGGCTTGCCGAGCATATATTGCCTTTCGTCCGATCCTATGTTTTGATCACTCGGCCTACCGATGCTGGCCGACTGTCATTGTGGCTGGCACATCTGAAGTAAATGTGCCGCGGTCCAGAACCTTGATGCCTGATGAACAGGTAAATAACTGTATGATACATGATGCATTCAATGCGCCGGGTTGGACAGAAAGACGTGGAATGTGAACGGAATGAGGTTGGTCATTTGGGCCCGGATACGTTGACAGCTTGTCAATGGATTTCTTCATCTTGGAAATTGAAGTTGATTATATTCTTGCAGTCCTCGGAGTCCTCGGTTTCAACTTGCTTGCGAAACCAGTAGTTTGCTACGATGTATATTTACCACTTAAGACTGATGAAACCCTGCGATATCTTCGTGATCAGTCAGTTTCGGCTGTCAGACCATTGTCACGAGGTCATGCAGGCCTTATCAGGCATGGCTGTACACGGCCGCAGGCTGTTGAGGAAACCTGCCGACTGCGTGCGATTTTCACTTTCACTTGACTAGGTTGACGCCAGGGTCTGTGATGGAACATGACACCCCGGTACTGACCAAACCGACCCCCCAAAAGAGCAATCCACTCGAGGCTACTATACATACTGTAGATCTGAAGGACCCATTGTAGTGTCGGCTACCTTCACACCGACCAATTAAAAATTACGGTACGGCACAGAAGGTCGCAGGATCATGCTACACATTGCCGTCAGCTGTCAAATCACAGCCGTGCTCCAATTTGCGGTCAATTGCTATCGGGTCAAGCTCGCCTGTGTTGCATCGGAGCGGAGGTCCGGCACATGGTTTGCCTGGTGCGTGTGCATGTTGTAAGTGACCCAACTGGCCGTCACGAACTACTGGTCCAAGCGCCGAGACATGGAACGGTCGCTACGGGTGTATGGGAAAGGAGCCCCATTTGTATGTGCGCGACGCGAACATATTAGGTTCTGTGTATGGGATGTGGGCTAATGTCTCGCTGATGATATCTCTCCAAAGTTTTCGGTCGACCGAGGAAACTCCATCAATTGATTACAAAACAAACTTCCTCATCGTTGGTGAGTTTTGTTGCTGCCCTTGTCTGTGTGTTTTGATCCTTAGTATAGATTTCGCAACTGACTAGCACCAAAACAATACTGAAATGAAGCTCGACATCAGACGTCATTGATAGTCTAAAGAAGATCAAGCCAAAGAAGTCGAAGGAGAGACAGGACTCTGGTAGTCTTCGATGCCCTTGGTATATGATGCGCTTTCCTTGGCAGCCAAACGCACCATTGACACTCCTCCAGAGTTCACAGGTCCCTTCTATGCATGTCATACAGGCAATACTTGACTCAGCATCAACGAGGAATCTACGGCTCTTCCCTCTCTTCCATTTTGTTATAGATGAATTGCCGTCTTAGTAGTCCATACAGTACAGGTCTGCCGCGGTAGAGTTTACCGGCGTAACTGACGTCCAAACAGCCAACCCCTGCATACGCACTAACGCACCTATCCGTCGTCTCTGCAGGGATAGTCATGCAAACAGAATTAGTCAAGGACGACAACCTGGGAATTAGCAGCAATTCTACGGTTACTGATGGAAAGTAACCATTCTTGCAACACAAATGCTGCTGAAGGCGTCAGCAACTCCTTGAACCAGACAAAGTGGTCAAAACGCATGGATAATAGAGAAATCCTGGTTTAGATTTGAAAAAGTTGGCCCATCGACCTAGAGTCAAGAACACATCGTAATGAATGATAGGACTCGAGAAGAATCGGTGGGCGACGAAATTAAAAGTGTCTCGAAGAATCGTCGTCCAGTGGACCAAAGGCAACACAGAAGCTTGCCTCGAAATTCGTTCAGAGGAATGCGGGAAAGGAGAAAACGCCACTGTGTTCGTGCTCACGTTTTCAGGAATGCAGCATTCCAAGAACCAACGGTCAAATACATCATTCCGGCCGACACCGCTCGCAATCGATTGAAATCAACGAAACCAGGCCATCTGGCAACCTCAGCAATTGTCAAAGAGCCTGGAGCCCAACTATGGGGCGTGGCGCGATGTAATCCCAAAGCTCCAGGTCAACCGGCCCAATAGCTGGGACTATAAATGACAATCTAAGCGATCCAAGCCTCAGACTTTTGAACAGCATTGAATGTGGAGATTCGGGCGGCTTCTTCGGGTTGCTGCGTGAACTATTTCGCATCAGTACCGACACTTTACCATGGGTTCCTGCTCCTCCCATCGCACTGTCCAGGACAGCGCTATGCTTTTGGGAGACATGTTTGCCAGGCTTCAAATGTTTTGACTGAGAATCTTCATGAAATCCTAGGAACCTCAAGTGAGCCCTACGACAAGACTGGAAGGCAAGCATTTATCAGATGCAGTCAGTCTGACAAGCCATGCGAAAGTGTCCCTGCGGCTCCATGTTATACTCCGGCCCCAGTAGAGCATTGCCTCGGAATGTAGCGAGATGCCCATGTCAAATTTAGTAACACACATCTGAACACGGCCATGGGAATGCCCGAAAGGACGCAAGTGCAGGAGATAAGCTCCGCTGGTCGATTTTACCCTCCGCATTCGCTTGAGTCAATCCGCGATCCCCAGTTACTCTCTTTCAAATAGCCTTCCGGATCCGTCACTATAGCCAGACCACTCCATATGCGTATACAAAGGGTCTACCGGATGATGGCAAGTGGATGCTCGAATAACGCACAATGAAATACAAATAACTTACACACCCAAGAATCCAAGCATTTTCTTTCTTACCAACAACCGGCTGTTAGTTGTTGGTTCAATCTTTGATGGAAATTGTAGGAGGCTAATCAACCCAAAGAAAGAGGAGACCAGCACAACAAAGCAGACGGCGCTGTGTGTACTGATAGTGCCTCTGGTTCAAGTAACCCCTACCCTTCGCCGACCAAGAAGAAAGCTCTGGTACATTACAATTTGACAGCCAGTAATACCAACTCAATATCAAACCAAACATATCACTCCTTGCCCATACCGATGGTCCATTGAGCAACTCCCACCCGGCACTTCCCATATCAAACATCACATGATCAGTTCTGTTTATGAACCAACAGCGACTTGCATGTGTCACCAGTAATGCAGCGGTACACATCATCATAATCTTTGCCTGGATGCCGAAGAGCAGTGTTTTCGTTGGAGAAACCAAGCGCGAGACAAAGATCTCTCCAGAAGGGGTCGTTGCAGACACTAGCTGCAGAACAGGCTGCATCAACCGTTGCGCAGCTGTATCAGTGACTGCACTGGGACGGGGTGCTTTCCAATAGAAAGGGTGGACTACCAAGGCACTTCTTCTGCAGGTACAAGCTTCTACTGCCGCAGAACGTGCATACACACATACGCGTTACTTAGGCGCATACACTTCTAGCTTTCAGAGACGCAGACAACGCGAAATCACTCGACTAGTTATACCCACAGGTTCGTTAAAGCCGTTATTTTCATGTGTTTTTTTTTTCTCCAACTATGCTTTGTGCATATGCGTCTCCCATATCCTGGTTCCCTGCAGCTGTTGCGGTGTAGACGACCCCCCCAAGACAAGACAAGACCTCAGACCTGAGTTTCTGACCTGTCTATTACACTATCCACCGCCTCGCCTTGCAGCCAGCGCTTGCTATTAGACATTATCTAGGCCGCTATTGACACAGAAAAGATAAACCTGCCTAGTACATCATATGACAGGCGTTCCCTCCCTACAAGTATCTGCACAGAAGTACACCAGGCTAACACTAGCGATCCTGTAGTCGTGCGGTGCGCCCGTACGCACAGCACATCACTTATTGGCAAATCACACTTCTGGACGTCTAGCGGTGTTGGCGGCGGACAGAGAACATTACCCTTACCGCTGCTGTATCCTGTCATAATCTGTGAGAGTGTCGAGTTAATCCAGAAACCGCAAGTACTGGATATCTTCTGTGTTGGCCCTTGGTCTCATACCTGGTCCGACCCGTTTCTGTCCTGTCACCGGTTGTCCCAGCTCTCACTGGCGCTTCTGGGCCAAGTTTGGGTCGCAAGACAGACATAAGTCGATATCAAGGAGACAGGAGTATTGCCTGCTTTTTTTCGGCGTGCCACTTTTTTTTTGGCGCAGACGTGCCGGTATAGGCATCGCATTATCTCGACTCGCCAGGTCGTTCTTCGTTCCTCATTTCTGGAGCTCACACTCCCTGATAAGAGACACAAAGCCGGCATTGCTCTCCAAGAATTGCGCTGTTCATGAACACAGTCCATTGTTGTCTTTGTTGAGACCAATGCTGTCTTATTGTTCAGGAGCATATTCTTAGTCTTCATCTCTTCAACTCAGTAAGTAATTACCTTTAATAGTCGCCCTGTCAACCGCTCTGTCTCGATTCGAAGGATCAAACAGCTACCTAACAATTTTCCAACCGCAACAGCACTGTTACGGTACAGCTTTTGAAAGAAAGGACAGGACTTTGAACCAACGGAGTAAAGATGGCAGGTTACCCTTCCGAATCGCATGAACTTGATGCATTGGCTGCATACAACGACCAAGGGTTACACGGCCAGTACAACAGCCCACCACAATATGGCAGTCCAATGCCAAATTCGATGTCGCCGTACAACTCTTCCAGTTACCCGGACCCAACACAAGCGGTAAGTAGCATTCATGGCTATTTGGAAAACGGTCTTGTCAAAATGGAGGATGTCCATCTTGACAAGACCTCGATACCTTTTTGCCGTTATCAGGACTTGAGACAATCGACAGCTGACATTGCAAAGACACAGAATCCCCATGGCTATACCGGCAAATCTGAAAGGAAATCATCCAGTCCACACCCGTCCTCGGCAAGTACCACGCGCTCTGGACGCACTACTGGCACTTCAGATCCTCTCCGGCCTCGACCTGCACGTGTACAAAAGGCACCCGCCTCGAAGTCCAAGAGGAGGAGAAATCAAGCAAGGACAACGCCCCCAACCGTTATTCAGCCTCTATCGGAACTACTCGCGTACATGGATCCGTCGAAGGATAAACACATTGGGGAGTACGTCAATCGGTCCTTGGAGGAGCGAATCCAGGAGGCGACAGCCGCGGATGGCAGGATCAAGCGGCCAATGAACGCCTTCATGCTGTACCGCAAGGGCTGGCAGAACCGAATAAAAGAGATGCAGTCCAACGAGAATCACCAGGGCGTATCCAGGGTTGCCGGCGACGGCTGGGCGCTAGAGCCCGAACATATCCGCAATCAGTTCAACAAATGGTCCGAGGTCGAGCGCGACATGCACGCGCAGGCCTTCCCGAACTACAAGTTCAAGCCGCAGAAGACGGACAAGAAGAAGAATGCTAAGACCGGATACACCACGGATGGGGACGAGTCCGACCTGGAGAGCTATTCGGGCAACATTTATGTCACGAACGATGATCCCGACGGTGAGTACCGACCTCCAGGTGGCCGTGTGTCTACTCGCAGCCCTCGCAGCAGCAACAAGAACAACTACCAACAGCACGCCATGCAACCTCCTTCGCGGGCCACGTCGCATTCCCCTTATCCGCAACAGCCGCAGTACCCCCACCGTGCCCCGACACCCCTGACACCCAGTATGTCGCATTACCAGTATAACAACCCGGGGAAACCATTACCAGCCCCTTATCCTGTGGGCGGTCATGAACAATACTACCAGCAGCACGTCGAAAGGCGGCAGCAACAGAGATCATACCCCCCCAACAGTGGTTACACCATTCCGCCGCAGAGCTTCGACGTGCACGACGTATACTTTCGCCAGACGGAGAGACCGCAGTATCAATACATGTCGCAGTCACCGCCGCAGCAGGAGATGATCTCCCATAGTCCCTCACCGGTACAGCAACAGTACGACTGCCACAATTACTACCCGGCTGATAGCCGCTTTATTGATCCCCCCCAGATGCCACCACACCTGTACTCCCAGAATCACATGCCGACACAAGCCTCACGACGGCAGACGCAGCAGCAACAATACCATCAGCAACAGTCCTACGTGCCCCTTGATGATGCTGCTCGCCATCACAGCGTCGCTCCTCTTCCTCCCGTGCCCGCTGGCACGCCGAACAACATCAACGAAGGCATGCCCATGCTGGAGACAGACTACTCAGCGGGTATGTGGGATAGCCAGTCAGTGCTATTCGGGGGACAAGGGACCGCCGTCGAGGATCCGGCCACCACCTTTCTGAACTTCGGTGACAGCGACCTGGACTATAATCTGGACCCGAATCTGGACCCGAGTCTGGAGTCAAACCTGGTAGTGGCGGACGGCCCAGAATTCGCTGCCGTTGGCGATTATGACACTTGGACGGTGCAGCCGCTATCCAACGCCGCCCTCAGCCAGCCAGACAATCATCTGGACACAACGACGGGAATGGCGAGGGCGGCGACGACGACGACGGGAAACCTTGTCGTTGATGCTGCTGCTGGTCCACCACAATCACAACTACCACCACCACCTCCTTCGCACAGAGGTACACCGACATCGACTACAGCCGCGCCTGCAGGCCCAGGAGTAGCCAGCACACCCACGCCGACCTCGGCAACCTTCATCGCAGGGGAGCACCTGCTGTCACCAACTACGCCCACGTCAGCAGGCCCGTCAGCAGCTACCGATGCCGACGCTGGTGATCGTGTGCCGGCTGAGCTTTCCGTGCCGACGCCCAAGTCGATGACTTCAGCTCATACCCCGGCCACGGTCACTCCCTAGTCGGACCCTGATGCTTAGCGTCGCGGAGGCAGGGTTAGATTCATTGGGACGGCGTCCAAGGCGTTTTTTGCTGCATCCACGACAAATGAAATCGATGGACTTTTCTGCATAATATGATTTTTTTTTTCTTCTTGGATATTCTGGGTTATGTATGCGCGTGGGAGAGAAAGCAAGAGGGGAAGGAAGGAGACAGAGAGAGGAGAAGAAAGAAAAAAAAACAGGCATTTTTATCAGAATGAAAGAAACATGGGAAGATAGTGGGATGGGACGGGAGTTTCAAGGAGTTTCGAGGAGTTCTCATCGGGCTCGGGTTGAACCTTTTCCTCGAGGAAGTTCGTGAAATTGCACTGCACCCTACAAGGGGGATAAAGACAGAGGCATAATAGATGCTCTGACTACAGAGTCAATATGGGATTTTTGTGTATTCAATGAAATGGGAAGCCGCATTTTCATTGTCCATACATATCAGAAGTCTCAGGCTTTCTTGCTTGGACTTACTCGCCTTCCCAAGGACAAAGGGAAAATGAGGGGAAACATACCCAAGCCAGGGAATAGATGTTTTCACACCCACACACTTATTGACCTACCGTATGTTCTCTTTTGTACCTTCTGTAGGATGACGAGATGATACCGTCCCGCTTCACGACTTACCCAGCTGATAGAGTGACCAATGCAAAGGCGACACTTTGAATTCCACCTCGAGCACGCTTCATCAGTCAGCCTCGGGCAAGTAATATATAGACGTTGCTTTATTTCATCATTTAGCTTGATACGCTTTCACAGCTCAACCCTCACTCTTTCTGGCTCTAGAGCTGGGATGTCTTGGACTTCCTCTACAACGACACCAGCTTCGTTGTCAAAAACTTCCGAATTGCCTTGTTTGGACTCGTCAATCATGCGGCCGATTTCCTCGACCATGGACTCGTCATTGCCGGGGTCTACAATCATCTCCGTCGTTTCCTGCGGCTGCCCCGCCTGAATCGTAGGCACCCCTTCATTGTTCATCGACGGTTCCACCGGCTTGCCGTCCGGGGGAACAACCAGCGCTTCCTGACCTCCGTGCCGCCCCAGACTGGTGACGGTCACAGCACCCCGGAACACCAGCCTCAGCGGCAGCCAGACCAGCCACCACAATGGACCGTACAACAGACGGCGGAAGATGAGCCAACAATTTGTGAGGACCAGCATGTAGAAAGAGGTTTGTAGATACCAAGTGTCGCTCTTCTGGCTTCTCATCAGAGTACCGAGCAGGTCGCGACTGCTCGCCAACATGGTATCGAGCGACGAATACGACTCGCCCAGCTGCGCGAGGGCGGCGGTGCTCTCCTGCAAGGTCTTGCGGGCGAAATCGCTGCGGGACAGTTCGGCGGCCATCATGTCGTGCGTCCTGCGGAGGGCCAGGGTAACATCGCTGCTCGAGGCGACGGCCTGCTCGTCCTTGCTCATTTCGGATCTCGGTTTCCTCCTGGGCTTCTCTACTGGCCTCGGCGAGGACGTGCCCGAGGTCTTGGCAGATCGAGATTGCGAGAAGGACGCCCAGAGCAGTTCCCTCTCGCGTTTCTGGGCCTGCTGGAGATTGTGCTTGGCTCGCACCTGGGCCTTGCGGAGTAGCGGTCGACAACTTGTTGGCGATTTGTTAGCACACTGCCCGGGTTCCCGCTTCCAAAGCCGGGGTCTGATCTTGACCTACCCGTGAAGCTCCTCCTTGAGACGCTCAGCACCATCCTGCAGCCTGTCCTTGTCATGCTTGAGAGCCTTGAAAGGCCGTATGTCTGCTATCTCCTCGTGCAACAGGTCGAGATCCTCCTCTTGCTCCTGTATGAGCTGTATAATCTCGGTGCTGAGCTCACTAGTTGCTGTGTCGTCCAGGTCGCCAGACTGGAAGTCAAAGTTGGCTAGTCTTGCGATGTGTTCCTTGAGCTGTTCGAGTGCGTCCTGGAGGGAAGCGAGCTTGTCCTGCAACTCGGAAAGTCGCTCGACCGCACGCTCCATGGCTGCTAAAAGAACAAACCACTCAAGCTAAGGGTGACTGACGTTGAGAAAGAAGCGACAGGCTGGAAGTCGACGCCGATGATGCTAAAAAAAAAGGTCGAAGTTAGGTGTCGTAGGTAGTTCAAATGACGTGTTGTCTTTGAGGCAGCAATTGGTCGGTTAGCATAGTGAGTGACGTCGTGGTTTGAGTATTTCGAAAGCAAGCTGTGAGGCCAGATTTCTGGAAACCGCTACACAAAGCACAGCTGGTCGCTATGTGTGCATGGCTATTGATTGGTGTTTAGCCAGTGACGTTGACAAGTATACTGTACCGGTCGCGTGGCACTGCCTTAGGTAAGCTCAAGGCCTGCTAGAGAATCCCGCCAGCCCGCCCGCTGCCGCCTTTGCGGATCTACTCTATGTAGTGTAGTAGACTAGATTAGGTCAAGTTGAAATTGCACCGCCACTAACTCACTCCGCAGCTCGCAGGCGCCACAGAAGCGCGAGCCAGGGCCAAGAAATCCATCGCATGTCAAGTTGCACTCGGCGAGCACATCAGGAGAGCCGGCACAAGCACAGCTCGACAAACCCGAAGACCGTCCTCTACAAAGCCAATTGTCCCTCCGGAAAGCCCTGTAAGAGCGTCACAACCACAAATCCTTGTAGCCTAGCATACAGCTGAGCTGACCAGCGTCGGTTTGCAGCAAACCGCGCCCACCATGATTACCAGGTTCATCACCGAGGTGAACACAAAGTTCAACCCCTTCTCCGCCGCCTCGAGATCGACCCGGCTGTTCCTCGCAAACCTGCCCGCAAATGCTCGAGCAAATGGTGGGATGAAGCTGTCCACAAGTCTCCTACCGCGCACATCAACCGCGCCGCCTTCGCTCATGATCAAGTTCAGTATGTATACCTGTCCGTGCTAGGAGGATCCCCATCACAGTTACAACTACAACCACACTCTGATCCAAGGGGGCTGACACCTGGCACTAGAGGATGGCAAGGAGATGCAGCTGGACGGCGAGAAGCTGGGCATCAAGGGTATCATCGAGGAGGTCGACAGGCATTCGAGAGCCTTACAAAAACAGGCAGATCTTACCGACGGCTAAGCGAGCCATTTTGATTGAGCGACAACGAAAAATCACCATTCGATTCGGCAGGCGTTGGGGGGGGCGGACTCGTACATATCAAGGGACAAATCTGTGTACACAGCTGTATCATTATTGTAGAAAGAACATACAATGCACACGCTGCTCGCTTGGTTAATCGTGTCATTGCGCTCCATGATAATAGCCTAGGCTGCCTTTTTCAAGGCCTGCAAGACCCTGTCGAGTTTCTCCACCCACATGGAGAGGGTCTATTCGTAGCGGCCTCCTGCATCCGCCAGCCCCAGAGTAGATCAGCAACGCTTCTCCTCACGAGCTTCAGCACAAGATTAGACAGGAGAGTCGGGCAGATGCACTGTGTACTGTTTATTTTCTTATTTATCTGTCATCCTTGCGCGGCGGGGCCCGATACGGAAGCACAAAGTAGTCCAGATGGGTATGTGACCACCAATATCCTCCCAGATTCGTCCACGACATTTGCAGCCAAAACTTTTGTCTATCCTCCGGACAGAATCATGTCATTTATGCGGCGGCACCGCTGATGAAGAACCACTTGTCGATCGAGCTGTCGATCTTGGCAGGGGCGAGCTCCTCGTTCTTGGGGATGGGAGGGAGTTGGTTGACCTCAACGCGGCTGGGAGAGTTGCCAACAGTCACGTTCTGGGTAGCGACACCACCCGGCGCGGTCTGGCCAGTGATGAGTCTGTCCCAAGCCTCGCCACACTCGCGGATAACATCCATGGCGTAGCTGTGATTTGTCAGTCATCATGCAAGGTCGTTGTGTCCATGACGGGGGTTAAAACTTACGCCTTGTTCTTGCACTCGCCGGTGAAGGCGAACTGGTTCTCGGGCTTTCCATCGGGGATCTTGTAGATACGGAACCACTCATTGGTGGCACGGAGGAGGCCGGGCAGGTGGCGCTCGACGTCCTCGACGTCGTGGAGCTTGTGAGCCAATGGGTCGTTGATGTCAACGACGATGACCTTCCAGTCAGTCTCACCCTCATCGAGGAGAGCCATGACACCGAGCACCTTGACCTGCTTGATCTGGCCAGTGTAACCAACAAGCTCACCGATCTCGCAGACATCGAGGGGGTCGTTGTCACCCTTGGCCTTGGTCTCGGGGTGAGTGGCGTTGGGGTCCTCCCAAGTCTAGAAGACGGAATCAGCATCAACGGGGGGCGTGTTATTTCATCACATCATGTCTTACCTGGGGGAAGGCACCGTAGTTCCAGATATAACCCTTGTGGGGGAAGCAGTTACGGACGAATCGAAGCTTGCCCTTCTTGATGTCCTGCTTGATGGGGTTGAGGAGCTCCTCCTTGGAGATCTGCGTGTGCTGTGTGAGCTTGTGTCTTGGATGACGGGTTCAGGACGGCACGGCAGGATGCAAGCGGGGTGTGAGACTGACCTCGAGCTTGGCATTGCTCCATCGGGGAATCTCAACGACCATGTTCAGGATGCCCTTCTCCTTGTCGGCGTACAGAGGAACATCGTGGAAGGAGGAGATGGGGACGCCATCCTTCTCAATGTAGACACGGTGCTCCAAGGTGTTGGGAGCTCCGACCTTGCGGACCGAGAATTCGGACGCCATTGTGGAAGGCGATGCTGTTGTCTGGAGAGTTGGTCTGTGGCTGGAACTCGAAAAGTGTCGAGCTATTTGTTCAGACCGTTGGAACGCAATTTTGTCCTCGGAGAAATTGCGACTGGAAGAAAAAGAAGGTTGTGCTGATGTTCTGGGAATAGAATTGTTGTGACGAAGTTTGGCCGGAGGGGAGCCACGAGAAGGAGGGGGAGGGGTTAACACGGCTCCTAATCCCAATGCCACTCCCACTCCCGCTGATCCTGGGTTGCCAGATTGGTCCGCCAGCTTGGGCAGCTGGATGGTGTGATTGGCCCGGGATTGGCAATTTGTTAGTGTCTGAAGCAGACAAGGTGGAGGGTCGAACAATACGCTGCGGCCTGAGCTCTTAGCTGCGAGAGGCAGGAGAGGTACCTGTGGCGGAGTCTGCGATAACGGCAATCTCTGCAAGCGGAAGGCTCTCTGCAAACTTTGCCCAGAGGCTGCTCGTGAAGACAGCATCAAGGCAAGGGACGTTACAATTACAGAAGGGAAAAGAGGGCGCCAACACCAGATATATCATACACTACACGGCTGTAAATCCCGAAAATGGATAGCGAATAACGCTGCAGCTAGAGATTGTCGGCTACGATGTCGTTTAACCTAGGTAAAATGTCCTGTTCGACGAGACCTGCAAAGGTGGAGCGACCGAACTTTTGCCTTTTGTTTGAAGAACTAAGGTACGAAACTAAGTGCTGTACCACCCCCACCCCCTGTGGCGCATGGACATCAGCCACGCAGCAGTTCCAGAATCGGATCCAGTATACTGAAGTTATGGGAAATCTATTGCCTATGAACGAGACGAGAAACATCACTGAGTGCGTCCAGCGTATACCGGAGAGAAGCCCTGAAACAAAGAGGAGAAATGCAATTTATAGTGCATCCCATCGTGTCTTCAGTACTTATCCATCAAAGACGATAAGTACTTGGCTCGTTCAATTACCACTAAACCTTACAGGAACCTGGCAGTATCGAATGAGATAGTCCATAGCCCCCGTCAGTGCGTATTGTAGTAGGGTAGATGACTATATCCATCAAGCCTTGTTTTAGTAGTAGTAGTTATATTCGTGTGCGACTCCCCGTTACAGCAATGGTTCAATTTCATACCCGATACTTCGCGCAAGGTTGTCCGGTGCCACTTCTACAGTACAGGACATCAACACTAGATCTGATTGATAAGATAAGCTCGCAAAGTACCCAGGTACCCAGAGAGAGTGACTCGAACGCACTGCGGCGGCGTCGGAATTGGCCGTTGCCTGCCTTTTTTCTTGAGGGCAATCCTCAGCACACGAATCACCACCACACTCTTTTGTCTGCAAACTTCTTCCATGTTATGTCCATTTTCAACTGGCTATTCCGAAACGTCATGACGACCGAACTCAAGAAGGTCCCCATCCCTCGCCGCGGCGTCGACTACAGGGGCAAGATCGTGCTTGCGCCCATGGTCCGCTCTGGTGAGTTGCCATCGCGACTTTTGGCACTTCACTACGGCGCAGATCTGGTATGGGGACCAGAAACCATCGACAAGGCCATGATCGGCACCACACGAAAAGTACACGACGACACGAAAACCATCATATGGACCCGGAAGCAATCGCAGGGCATGAAACAGCCTGCGGCCGAGGTTAAAGAGAATATCCTATTTCAAATACACCCAGAGAAGGAAGGACGGAAGCTGGTCTTCCAAATGGGCACCGCCGACCCCGGCCTAGCCGTAGAGGCCGCAAAGACGGTGGCCGCAGATGTGGCCGGCATTGATGTCAATGCAGGATGCCCAAAGCCCTTCAGCGTGCACTGCGGAATGGGCGCTGCCTTGCTGAAGACCCCGGATCTACTTGTTTCCATTCTCGAAGCTCTGGTCAAGAACATCGCATCCGAATACGAGATCGGAATCAGCGTCAAGATCAGAATACTCGAAACTCCGGCAGAGACGGAAGCGCTTGTGCGGAGACTGGTCGCAACAGGTATCACAGGCTTGACGGTACACTGCCGGACGACTCCTATGCGCCCGCGGGAGGCTGCCCTTCGAGGACAACTGCGCATGGTAGCTGACATATGCCATGAAGCCGGCGTCGCTTGCGTGGTGAATGGGGATGTGGAAACTCGAGATCACGGCCTGCAGCTCATGGAGGAGTTTGGTACTGATGGCGCAATGATCGCGACTGCCGCCGAAAAGAATTCAAGTTGCTTCAGGAGTGCGGCCGATGGAGGCATGGCATCGTGGAAAGAGGTCGTTGAGCACTATGTTCGATACTCCATCGAGGTCGAGAACAAGTTTGGCAACACCAAGTATCTGCTTTGTCATATCATTCCTGGGAAGCAACCAGAATACAAGCTGATCAGTGCGTGCAAGAGTTACACCAAGGTTTGCCAGATGCTGGGCTTCGAAAGCCTTCTAGACCAGGCGCGAGACTGCGACGAAAAGTTAAGAATTGATCCCGAAGTTGGTTCTAAGAGGAATCAGCAGCAAGCCCAGAAGAAATCCAATAAGAGCGCTCTCGCAGCAGGCGGTCAAAAGGCAGATTACAGACTGCAAACGAAGAAGCCCCTTTCAGAGCGCGGCGTCACAGCGCAATCCGAGGCTCAGGCAGAACAACCCCAACTCTCGGAGGGCATGGCAATTCCGGCGTAAGGGAACAAAGGCATTTTGCATGGACGGCGATTATGTTGATATGCATTTTTCAAGGCGTTGGCACATAGGCATACCCATCAGGCAGGAGACAGCATGCAAAAGACACTGCATTTAGGCCCATTTGGGGCATTTCTATGAAATACCCCGAGCCGTCCCATGGCGAGGTTGTGACTTGAGGGAAACGCCAAACAGCTGCTAATCAAAACAACACCAAGGTATCTTCATATCATTATTTAAGGGTATCATCTCGATGTTATCCATGCCATTTCCGTGCGCCAAAATCGCAACGTCGCTCTGAATGCCTGCACTCCGCAACTCCGACCGATCCGCGGATGAACCTGTTTTATAGTCCGTATCTTGTTACACATTCCTCACGGTGTGTCTCCAGACACTCTAGTGCGCATACCCGCACGCCGCACTTCATGCATCTTACCCTCCCCCAATACCCACAGACCTCACAGAACATTCGGGTGGGGTACCTCTTGTCCTCGTCATTCCAGCCCGCCTTCGCTTCGAGATACGTCAGGGGCGGTGCTGACATGAGTGCTTTCAACTCTTCATCCGAAGGCAGGGGCGGTACTCTTGATACGAGCAGCGGATCGTCGTCTGACGGGTTGGGCGGCGGCAACGACCCAGTATAAGACTGCAGATATGCGCTCCTGGACCCTGGTGCATCCGTCATCTCGACATCCTCTGGATTGCCCACCGCCTGTTTCCCGGCCGGCTTCGTAGCTGGCGCGTCGGGTCTCCTCTGCGACTGCTGTGGAGCACCGGCCGTCCTCGCCCGGCTCATGGCCGCACTCGCTGCCGCAGCCGCGGACCTTCCGCTTGCCGCCGCGCCACTCGGTGTGCCGGCGCTCGTGTCTATGCCTGCGCCCGCCGCGATGAAGTCGTCCAGGTAGTTAGCAAACGTCTTCTGGCTCTGCAATATCCTGCGAACGTTGGGCGTGCTCTTGCCCCCCGTTCTGCTGCTCGCCCCGCCCGGCCGCGACGGTATTGGGATGACGACATCGCGGGAGTTGTCGCGGTCGAGGACTTCCAGCTCCTTGCGGATCTTGGTCTCCTGCCGGGCGGTCAGGTCGGCATAGCTGAGGTTGGCGCCGCCGGTGTTGCGAGCTCGCTTGCGGGATTGCGTGCCGGTCGCGCTCGGCACGGGACCCGTGTCGGGGACGTAGGCCCAGCCTGGCGCATTGGTGGTCCTTGTGCTCGCTACTTCTATCACCCCAAAGTTGTTCATTGTGCGAAGGAGTTGACGAAGCCTGCAAGATGGAATGGGTTGTTGAATCATTTGGGGCATGGTTTACGAAAGTTTTGGGCTGACTGCGGAAGTGTTCCGCGCCAGCTAAGTTTTTAGCGTGCATCTATGGTGCGCCCCAATGGCCACTCCGCTAAATCAATTTGGCAAGGAAACCACCACCAATTGCAGCTTCACGAATTGCCAATTGCATAACAGTGATTATAGACAGCAGTACAGAGATAAGAGACTAGATTGAATTGCATTACATTAAATCAAACTGTCTATATTTCCGGATCTTGGCTTCACCATAGTACGATGGCTACTAACCTAAGACGCCACGAGAAGGTGCCCGGCAATTGTCTTGGGCCAGCCAGAGTGACGCCGAACTACTGACCAACGCCTCCACAGAAAGCCACTTGGTTTCTTGCTTCGCAGGCCTATATAATTATCTATTGGATAACGGATAAGGAAGGATTCGTGCGTACCATTATAAGCCGTTCGGATCGTCTTGTGACCCGCTATGGGCTGGCAAGGCGCGCTGACGCGGAGGAGGAGTGTCGTTGTCGTTGTCGTTGTCGTTGTCGTCTGAGGGAAATGGGGTCCCAACACCGTCTCGTACGGAGCACCGACTGGCCTGATCCTTCCATTTGCAATTACTACAACAGCCACCGAAGTGACCTGGTAGACGAACGCAAACGGGGGATGGCCTAGCCCATCCGAACGGACTCAATGCCGCCGCCAAACGGCAGCTAACGCAAGGAGTCGCGCTCACCCTTCCTCGGCTCGTAATAAGCAGGAAGTTGATATAGCTAGGCCTATGCGAAACCACTTGTGCGGGCGTAATAGAGCGGTTTACGACGAGGATATCGCGGCCCGGCAGAGCCAGCACAGCACGCTGCAGTTCGTTATGGGAGAAGCTCGCCAACTCTTGTCCGCCAAGAGGCAAGATCAACAGCAACGACCCCTGCCAGCCGGCGATAGTTGCCCTATCCGCCCACTCTCCAGCCGGTGGTCGCGGTACGTGCTATTCAAAGATTAACTATCGTGTAAAGCTTAGACAGGAATGAAGATAATATGAAAAATGGTTCTTACGACGAGCTGTACATCCATATTGGCCAGAGCCACAGCGTCGTTCTTGTCGTTATCAACTCTAGTCTTTCAGTCTTTGTTCCAAGGTCCGTTTTCTAATTTCGACGCCTCGTACGATAAGGACATTCAGAATATTTTTCATTAGTGTTTCGAACTCTTATAAATCAATCATAATATCTTGATTAGCCTTTGGATCAATCTTGAGACGTGGTATGGCTATTAAAATCCTGGTTTTGGTGGTGGTTGTTTTGAGCCTTGCGCGATTTTTCTTTTTGGATTTTCATTTTCTTTCAAAAAATCGATTTTGCGGAGTGGCCATTAACTTATGGAGCACCTTATGCATCCAACCACTAAATGAAAGCTCAAAGCTCCTGTAAAGTATATTATTGCAGCGCTGAAGGGCGTCACTAAGAGTCTCGATTTCCGGTTTACATATCCAAAAGCATTGATCATACTGGGGAGGACTGACAGGAATACGTAGAAGCATGTGGCTAACATCCATCCTTTTATCATCGGCCGCACTCGTAACATATCTTTGAAAACGAGACCTACCAATTGAGGTAATTTTTTAATCCTCTAGTGCAACCCTTCGAACCCCGTATAGTGCAAGTCAGACGCTATACCGACAGTACCGGACGATACTCCTCGTGCCTTGTCCAAAAGAGTACACGTCCGTATGCGCATTGGTAATATCATGTCTCGAGCCCATGAAGCTCGGCAATATCGTTTGGACCGACCCCTGGTCGAGTATGAGATGGTGTTGGAGACCTGAGTGGTAACCAAAAAAGCCACGATGTTCACGCGGACCGGTAACTTGGCCGTCCTGAAAGATCCCGTACTACACTCTTCATGGCGCTTGAAAGCGAGTCAGTGCAAATGTCGACAGCATTTTCCGACAGCCTGGGCCACATCCACTGCCTGCACTCTACGGACTCGCCTCTACAAGTTCTAGAGAGGTTAGGGTGGAGTTGGTTGGATGGTATAGACATGGAATTTGTCGTCGAGACAGTACAAATCAACTTGTCGTCGATGATCGTACTCCCATGGGTGACCCTTTCCATACTTGCCGTATATCCGCTTCCTCTCGCCGCTCAGTCATATTCAGGAACCATTATTTGCATCCATCACCAGGCTTTCGCATGTCAGCGAGGTGCCCTCGGAGTTCGCTAAGACCTGCGAATCTTAGAGCTACATAGAAAGCATGAGCATTTTTGTCCAGATATCCCCGTACGAAGTCAGTGTCAGTCATGCGAATACGTCTAAGAAGAGTTTCCACAATTTATCTAGGTAAGGTAAGGTCGATATACTCGTTTCACATTTGGTGTCCTCGTTGGTTTGGTGTGGATACTGACCAGCGTTGAGGGTGCTTGAGATGCCGCAACAGCAATTCCTGATCATAGGCCTCAGATGTCGGAGATGAACCTTGGGCGTCAAAGTAAAGCTACAGCTGCCCGAGGCCTTCGCGGCAGGTAGTATTCTGTCGAGGATCCCGAAACCAGAAGAGCACGTCAACAATGTCATCTACGAACTGTTGGAGTTGGGTGGACAAAAGCAGAAGAACAAATTGATGGACCTCGATCGTTGCCGTACTTACGTTTTTAATGACATAGTAGGCGAGGTAACATTCTTGAAACCCTGTGGCTTTACCACCAAAGGGGTGCCACTGACAAGATCCTCGTGAATGCTAGACTGGCTGACATGATGCCTCATCCCGTAGGCCATTTTGGTTGGCTTACCCGCACTCACAAAATTAGTTGATGCTGCGTTGGGAGTTCTGCCATTTGGACCCAGGTTCAATACAGCTATGGGCTGCTGTGGCTAAGCGTAGACACGATGCTGATACTCGTCTTCGAAAATACAACCCACGGGACCAAAAGCCCGGAAGAGCATCCTGACTGCACGACACTGAGAAACATCTAGCGTCAAGTTGGCGCCAGTACCGCAATGAATAAATACAATATGTCGGGCAAGCCCAATGTAGCTCTCTTGTAAAAAACAATCATTGACCTGGGTGAATACAGACACGTGCTTGACACATCATCCGCCATAATTTAATATGGAAACGTGTAAAAGGCGACGTCACTGCTGCGCAATCTGAAGAACAATGTCAAGACTAAATCATGTCTTATCTTCGTAGCCAGACTCCCGTTGCAAGGGGCCATGCTGATGGTTTGTGGCGGAGGGTGCCATTTCGGAAATAGGAAGGGGTAGGATATTAGCAGAGGGCATCAGAAACCAATATACAACTGAAACATAGCATGATGTACAAAGGGCAGCAGGAACGTCGCTAATTATAGGGCGTCATCACCGGCAAGATACCCACTTATACGCCATGGCCGATATCACGGAATCAACAACGGGGCATGTGGCAGTCCTGTCCGCGGTTCGTTTCAAATGTGGCAAGCTGGTTTCTCAAAGTCGACGAATGTATTAAAGAAGCAACCAATATTTCAGATTAGAGGGCCCATTTCGATCCTCCTCCTTTTTTCCCGTTGCCGCTCTCGATCACAGCTGCAGCCCTCGACTCTCCCAACTTGGGGCTCCTCAGCGGATCGACAGAGCTCATGACGAACATGTCGTTATAGTGCGCGTCGGCGCCCTGGGAGTGCCCGCTCTCCGTCCGCTTCAGCTCAATCTGGCTGCCAGGGCGGCCCGAGCGCGTGGAGAACCGGTCGTCGACATCCGTGTACCGGTCCTCGCGGGTGATCTTGATCTCCTGGGTGATGAAGATGCTGCCCCACCTCTCCTCGAGCACCGGCCAGAAGATCGGGGTGCTGGCGCAGATGGCCGCGAAGTCGACCTCGAGGACCGCGAGGATGATGCTGATGGGCCCGTACCACGTTGGGTCGTGCGTGGGCCACGTGGCGGCCTGGTGGTCGATGATCGTCGCGAGGCGCCAGATGGCGAGCATGATGACTCTGGCATATAATTGTCAGCATGTTTTGCCATAACTATATGTAGCATGTGCTTATACTTACAGTGATCCCATAATCAAAAGACCCAAAACCCGCATTCTCTGTTTCAGGTTGGTCCCTTCTTTCCAAAGTAGCGGCAATGGGATGATGAGGACGATAAAGTCCAGAATCATGTTGATGGCAGTATGGCTCTCATAAGTGCCAACGAATTGGGACGGAATGGACGATCCATATCCGTAGCATTTAGCATCGGCGGGTGCCTCCCAGAAACTCCTGACGGGGAAACATGGGACCCAAGCGATGAAAGAGTAAGCGAGGCCCCAAACAGCTGTGAAGATGGCGGTGCCCAGTGTGAAGCGCCAGATAACGCTGCTGCGCGGAAAGACTCGTAGATACTGAAGTAATAAAGCCCCCTTGATGAATGTAGTCGCCGTGCAATAAGATGCGTTGCACAAGTAGAACATTTTCAGATAGATGTGCATCTGGTCCGCCGAGAGTAAGAGGTAGTGCTGGCCGAGCCCATAGCGATCTGCTGCTAGAATTACACATACACTCCCTAGAGTAGTGAACAACTATGTCTGGTCATTAGCACATCCGCTTATCCACATATTTGAGGGCCATCGGAACCTACTGCGTAGAGGAGAACACACAGGTCATCCCAACCTGGTTCTCGAATGATTTTAATCCGAACATAGAGTCTGCCACAGACGCAGAGCCACGAAGATACCTTAGGCAAATGTTAACCAACGGATGATCTGACGACGATATTGATGCATCCCACCTAAGTGCTTACCAGGAAAGTAATAATCAGGCCCAAGATTACCGGTTTTTTATTGGACCAAGGTTCCGGCTCGTCAAAGTTACTTGTCGAAAATGTGCTGTCTAAGCCCATGATGACGGTGTGTTTTTATCGAATGGTACCAAGATCCCGCTCGGTTGAAGAAGGAAAGCAAGTCCGTGTAAGGCCTAATAGTTTTTTGAGATGCCAAAAGCCATTCATGCTTGGGTCACCGAATGACTGGACACCTCCCCCACAACATTTATGGATCTTATGGTGGCATTATGAGATTCACTACAGTCTTGGATACAAGATCATTACTAGGTACTCACAGACTTAAATCGCATCTTTCGAGATGAAATGAAACGAAAGCCTGCTGCGGCATATCGCTTTTTCGACGTTTGTGGCAGGCAAAGTGCAAATCACCCACGGCACCGATACGACTCTGGGAGCAAGGGTTTATAGACGGCTCAGGGGCTAACACATGTTTGGGCCTATATAACGCCCCACAACCCGGGGCCCGCTAACTGACGATAGTTTGTGGTCCGAGAAATGGTTGGCTGAAGGAGCAAAGCCGTTGTAGTCTGACCGTGCTACTTATCTTGAATGGTGTTCTATTCTACTGTGACAGGTGCCATCCAACATCATCTCTCGAATACCACCCTCTGCACGCATCTTTGGGAAATTATTGAATAGAACAGAAACTATGCATGAATGCGCAATAGGGCACCACGTTAAAGTGGAGGCATATTATGCACGTCTTCCCCATCAGAATTGATTTTTAGGCCCGGCTGGACCACATACATAAGTAGTAACAGCTCTGCTTCTGGAGCCTGGAGTCTTGTCTCTGTGCATTCAGGATAGGTTGAAAAATGATCATTTAAGAAAAAGATTGAAGACACAGTTGGTCTAATTCACATTGTGTAAATATAAAGTGCCGGAAGTGAATACCCACTCAGCGTAGCACTGGACGGGAAACACCGTACATACACTACATAAGCGCCAGTTTCCCTGGATGAAAGTTCTGACGCGATGGATACCTGACTAATTGAGTTCATCTCAACACTCCAAACGTGTGATCGACTGGCCTTTCTCTGAGGGTGGGATGTTTGGCTTTCAAGGCTAGCAAAACTCTTGGTCGACAACAAGTCGCGAGCTTGCAGATAGACGACGTGGGATGGCACAAGCAACCCTAATAACAACCCCTGCAAAGGCTTTGGAGAACTTGTTCTCATCATTAGTAGGCTAGATTGCTGTCGGATCACCCTGTGGAGCGAAACCTGGATGAATGCTGGGATCCCAGACGTGTATCCCCTCATCGCGTGAATAGGCGGAACCTGCCATCCGATTGCACAGTCAGCAGGGCGAACTTGGTCCATCACTGCAGGCGAGCTCTTCGTAGTTTGCGTCTCTACGGAGTAGTGGTTGGGCAATTGGATGGTGACTTGGATTGGTGCTCAACCTCCGAACTTCAAGGCCTTGATGCCATTGCACGTTGACAACAAATGTGATTCAATCTTTCGCAGGAATGCCAAAGTTAGGGAACGGGATTGGACGAAGTTATCTTGCAGTCACGGTGCCCCGGCACGCCCATCCGTCAAATCGTCCATCACGTCTCTGGCATATCCATACTAGTGTCTACAGCACATCAAGAATTCATCAACTCTTTTTTCTGGAACGAGAACTCGGCGTCAGTTTAAACAACTCTTGAATGAACTAGGAGCAATATATTGCTAGTTCTTTGCAAAAGCACCATTGGCATCGCGGGAATTGCTTTCGTATTTGGCGTTGCATTCGGCCGGGATACGCTGCACCCCATACATTTGCCGCAGCCAGTAAACACTTGTTCTGGGCATGAACTTAAGAGTAGCGCGCCGGTAAAGTCTGGGCTGTGCCAGGGCAGCGAAGCGATGGATCAGAGCCACTATAAACCCATGCCAGGTTGGGCCAGGATCAGCAACAGACGCACGCATGGGTTCGCAGCTGGGACGATTCACCTATCAAGTCTTCATGAGCATTCATCGGACGGTAAAGTGATTGGACATGGGCCATTATTCTGCTATCTCTTGTTACATCAGGATTCGAGAAGCCATGCCACATCTACAGATAACTTCAAGCGTACATACTCTGTATTAAAGCGATATGTAACTACCAGACAGACAACTGTTCACTACAGCCATTTTCAATTGTCCATATTCGTGGATTAGTCAACATGGTTGGGTTAAAAACCGAAAGGTGTTTTATTTTATCTTTGGGGGGTGTTGCTGCCTATATACCAGACCAAACCAATCCTGGAACTCAATCCTAAAACAACATCCAATTCATTTCCCATATCTGTGCCAATGTGCAAAGTGTGTCCTGCAAAAAGTCCTATGCCGTGTTTTCATGTCGTCATGTCGTCATGTCGGAGTGTGTTGTTTTGTCTCTTGGAAGAGCATGCCAGTTGCTTCTGTAATGTCGAGGATTGCGGTATGGGCAGGGACGACAGTGAGTTGGTCTTTGTAGAAGCTCCAAGACAATTCAAGAGCCATTACAAATTGTGCTTGGCATGAACCCTTTTATTACAGCAGCTTAATAGCCGTAGTTGCCGTTGGTGTAGGTGGGACGGTAGTAAACGACAGGAGAAGTCTTGTAGACATCAGCGGGAGCCGATCGGTAGCCCGAGTCCATTGAGCCACGAGGAGCGTAACCTTCACCATAGCGCCCGCCGCCGTAACTGCCAGAATCGTAGTGGTAGCCGTTGCCATGGCCATAGCCATAATCTTGATCCTCATTAAAGTCCTGGGATCGACCACCTCGGAACGTCTTCTGACGACGTCGCTTACCGCCGTTGTAGAAGCCGGATTCACTGCTGACGTCAGCCTGGCGAAACGCGACGCCTTTGGGCAAGCCAGGACGACAGACAAGGCGGCGACCGAGATGTATGACACCGGATAGGCGCTGGATGGCTTCCTCGGCTTCAAGCACGTTGGAGTAGGTGACGAAGACAAAGCCCTTGTTGGGAAGGTCACCAGGACTTTCTCTGCGTTGGGATTCACCGGGACGGTCCAGGGGAATGGTGCTGGGATAGGCAGCACGGGCAGGGCTATCGGCTAACGAACCGCCGCGGCCGTCCTTGACGGAGCAGGAAGACTCGAGAGGCGTATCGCTGTACGGCATGTAGATCTTCTCGACGCTCTCGTTGACGCCGTGAGCGCGAAGAAGTCGCTTAACTCCATGGCGGTTGACGCTGTACTTCAGATTGCCAATATAGATGCGACGACCCTCAGAAATGGGGTCTGGCCCAGCTGACATGATGGTCTGGCCCTGCGGATTGACAAGGTTGGTTGCCATGCCAGTATTGGCGAAAGGGACATGGTAGTAAGGCTGGGCCTGGTACGAGTACGGGCTGACACTCGGGCCGTACGGGTAGGAAAAGCCATAAACTGGTGAGAACTGTGTTGCAGCAGAGGCGCTGGGAACATAGAACTGCTGAGCCTGGGGAGGGCGTCTGCGGACATGAGCCGAAGCAGGAGCACTGTCGATGCGGGTGTTCTCCATGTGAGGAGCGCTGACCGTAATCTGGCTAGGCTCGTCATCATGGATGAGGCGGCGAACATTCTTAGCCTTGGCTGGTGAAGACGAGGCAGAACTGTCCGTCGCAGTCAAAATGGCCTTGGGAGAACAGGCTTCCTCTGAGATGGGATTGTTGTAAGTAGCAGCAGTTGTCGACTCGGAAAGAGTCGAGAATGAGCCACGGTGGTCTGCAGCAACCTTGTCTGCAATTTGTTGAGCTGCATCTGAGGCAACTTTGGTGGTAGGCTGAGGAGTGCGAGTTGGAGTAGGAACAGCTGTGTTTGAGCCGGAGGGAATGCCGCCAATAGACTGCTTGTTCCTTTGGGGCTGGAACTCGGGTGCCTGAGGGCGAAGATTGGTGGTTATAACCATTGTAGCGGTGCTTGTGATAAGATGATACCTTTTCGACGAGCAGGATGATGAGTAATGAATAACGAAATGAAGCTTGAACAAAGTGACAAGCTTCACAGGATGATAGGTGATGAAGTATCAGTACAGTGATGTTTTGGATGTTGAAAGGATGCTGAATATATCTCAAGCTCAAAAGCGAGAGAGATAACGCAAGGTTGCACTGCCAGTGCCGTGAGAAGAAGAAAAGAATTGAGAATCAAGCTGGCAGAAGTCTCAACCAAAAAGAAATCTCAAAAACAACAATCCAAATAGTGAGTCTCCTCAGGTAACAATGACAACTGGGTAGGGTTTGGTACCCAGACACGGAGCTTGAAATACCTTGCAGGTCAGTATCGACGATCATACAGATAGGTGGGAGCAGTCAAACTCTAGTTGTCGAGACTGTTGGACCGTTGTAGGAATGATGCGTGATGTGAATGTTCGAAGTTTTATCTGTGACGAAAGTGTTCGGAGGTGATGCTGATAGGAAGTATAGCTACTCGAAAGACCACCAAAGATTCACTTGTCATTACCAGGCAAACGAAGAGCTTTAGACAACAGCGAGACCATACACCTGTCAATCTCAGATCTAGCTGCGGTGAATAGTCCAGGCACGCTGTATTTATGCTCAGGTTGATGACTGTGTTCAAATACTTAATGGTCAGATCTGACTCTTTGTTGGGGGTGGTGGAAAAGTGCAGTAACATATGAACATGACTTGGAATATCGTGAGCCTGGGCTGTGAAATCATGCCTCTAGATGGAATAATCGGCTTGCCAGGCATTCCATTTCATTGATGTATGTCTGGTACTTGGGTGCTTCACAGGTGTAAAAAATGAGAAGCCATGCTCTGCTTCACAACCTTTAGTTGAGTGGGTCAAATACGAACATACAGCAGCATCCTCTGACAACGGTTTTACGGCTTCTGGTGCTTTTGTTGGGTCTAGTCTTAAGGCATTCTTGTTGAATAGCTGCCATTGAACAGGAGGAATGGTAGAAGCACGCGCCTTGATCGATGTCCTTGTCAAAGCAGTACTTGGCTTGCCCACCAATCTCTGATGACTGGGTATATGTACTTCGTCCCAAACCTTGTTAGAGTCTGCTTCGACGTGAAAAGATACAAGCATTGTTCGGCATGAATATATTGCACGATGCCCTCTTCTTCTACTGAGAGCAAGTAGCATTCACGACACGAGCTGCCAACGACAGGTGTCAGATGCAGCAATTACGTTGCATTTTGAAAGAAGGAGCAAACTTTTTGTGTGGTCGCGGAAATATGCCATTGTACAGACTCGTGAATATTGTTGTACAGTCTCTTGCTTAGCCACGCTCGCCCTTGTTGAACCAGTTTAAGAAAGGCATGCTCTCGTCACGTTCCGTTGCAAGTCCCATATTCCTCCCTGGCGTTCCAAACAGCACGCAAGACTCCTCGCTCATTTCCTTCTTCGTTCAGAAGCATCCATCTTTTCCTCCAACGCCTGGACGTACTTGCTCAATCGTTGGCAGCTGGCCTGAAGCGCCTATATTGGAGAACACAGGAGTCAGCAGATTGACAGCAGGATAGTCACGTGTATACCTTTGCAAGAAAGAGAACTGCGCGAATATTGTGGTAGGTAAAATGACGTCTCTCGGGCAAGGAAGAAGCCCAGAAATCATGACAGACAAGGGCCACATATGCAAGAAAGTGCATAGCTCCAGGCCATGCCATGGACACAGAGGCAGGTTGGTCGTTTTAGAAGCAGAAGCGTACATATATATCCTCGGTCAGGAGCTCGTTCGATGCCTTGTACTCTTGTAGAACATAACCGTAGACACCGGCGCCGGCAAGTGTGCTGCCGAGCAGGAAGCCGAAGAGACTGCAAATTCAGGTCAATTAGTCCTGGCTATCCTAATCCGATCGCAGCGAAGGGGGATGGGTTGAGTCGGGGCAGTCATACCCTCCTCGGAAGGCACCGACAGGCTTGCGAGCCGGCAAAGCAACGGTAGTATCGGCAAGCTTGGAAGTCGAGCTGAAGGTTCGGGTTACGGTCGATCGCATGGGTTGAGAAGCTGCGAAGAGGCTTCGAGCGCCTGCGGAGGCAAGGCGTGCAGACATATTGGGTGGTGAAAATGGGAAAGGTCGATGTTTGTTATGTGACGTGAACGGTGTCGCAGTCGGGCGTGTTCGAAATGGATTGGATTGGGTTGGTCTGGTGTTGAGGTTCAATTGGAGACGAGACGCTGCAGGGGTCAAGCTTCGGTAACGGCTCTAAGCCTTAGGTACACTTTATCATTTTAGTGGCGCGGAGAGGCTTCGAATCAAATCAACCCCCAAACTCCTCGTGTTACACAAGCTGCTTTCCAATCAGACTTCAGATGGGAGACGGGGAGGCAGGAGTTCCGTCACGTGCTCGCTTTTTCGTAATACAATGAATAAATACGAACTTGACGGTAAGTCGCCAACTGCATCACACGGGGTTGAAGCGTCTTACCTCAACCCAGCCGACATGGCTGCCGCGGTGATAGGTTCCTGGTGGGCACGGGGATCTGGATTCTGATTCTTGGAACGAGACATGGCAAGATTCACTGCAAACGATGCACACATGTTTAGAACGAGGAAGAAATCATTATGCCTATATGCTGAACTATTCATGAGTTTGCACTTTTATCCGTGTCCCAAGAGCGGCCCTCCGCTCCAAGCCCCGCTGATCCGAGCAGAGCAAGTCCATAACTTTACAAACGACAAGGGTATTTATTCATCCGCCAACCATTTACAACTCGTCGTGGTCAGTCTCCTTGGCAGCCTCGCTGCTGGTGCTGGTGCTGCTGCTGCTCTCCGTGGCGGCAGGGGCAACTGGAGTCTCCTCGACGGCCTTCTCCTCAACCTCGGCCTTGAACTTGCCGTTCTCCTTGACGAACTTGATGAGGTCCTCAATGGTACGGGAGCCACTGTAGGTTACAGGCTCGCTCTTGGCACCGGCGGCGTACAGCTTGATAGTAGGGAAACCCTGGATCTCGTCGGGAACATCGTTGGCAGTAGCGTCAACCTTGGCAATGACAATCTTGTCCTTGAACTCGCTCTTGGCGTACAGGGAAGCGAGGTCATCATACTTGGGCGCGAGAGCCTTGCAGTGACCGCACCAGGGAGCGTAGAACTCAATCAGGACATCCTTGGAGTCGTCAAGAACAATGTCGTTGTACGACTTGGCAACGACGACCGTGACAGGACCCTCCTGTGTCTCGGGGATGGGCTCAGACTTGATGCTAGGCTCAACCTTGCCAGCAGCGAACTCGTCAACGAAAGACTTGATCGACTCGAGCTCAATCTTCTTCTCGATGTCGAAGGGGAACTTCTGGTTCTTGACGGTCTCCTGGATGGCGAACGAAGGGAACTTGTCGGTAGGCAAGTTCAAGTTGCCGGCGTGGGCACCAAACTGCTTGGCGTCAATGGTAGCGAAGTTGATCTTGCCACGGTACTCCTCAGCCAAAGGCTTGAGGGCATCAGCGAGCTCCTTGCGCTCCTCGGCGGACTCAGCGAAAATGTAAGCAAGGGGCAGACCGGCAGACATGTAGCCAGAGTAAGTCTCGGGGCCGACCTCGCCGACCAGAGGGGTGCTGGCGGTCTTGGCGAACTTTTCAATGGCCTCAGCGTCGAACTTCTCGGTGAAGGTGGACTTGCCCTCGTCGAAGGTCTTGTAGAGAACGATAGCAGGAGCCTTGACGCCCTCGGCCGCAGCCAACTCGGCGTCGCTGGTGGAACCGAAGGGGTACGAGTCGCGGAGCTTCTCGGCAGTCTCGCTGAAGACGTCGCTGGAATCCTTGTCGGCAGCGTCGAGGTAGGCGACGAGAACGACCTTGTCGGTGCTCTTGAAGTCCTCAAGAGACTCCTTAGTGATCTCGGAGACGGCGGGAAGCGATTGCTTGATCATGTAGGATGTGATGCTGGAAAGAGCAAGTTAGCAACAGACTGGTATCGTGTCAAGCGGGGTAGACTTACGCATTCGCCTTGCGCTGACCAGAGTAAGGGGAGATGTTCTCCTTGCCTCTGAATACCTTGAGAGTGGGGTAACCCTCAACGCCGTATGTTTGGCAGAGGTCAGCCTCCTCTGTGCAGTCTACCTTGACGAGCTGGATGTTCTTCTCCTTCAGCGTCGTAGCAGCCTCCTCGTACTCTGGGGCAAGGGCCTTGCAGTGCCCGCACCAAGGTGCGAAGAACTCTGCCAGGACAAGGTCGTTGGAAGTAATGAACTCGTCGAATGTGTCCGTCTTCAGCTGGGTGACGTCCGAGGCCGAAACGGCGGCGGCGGCAGCCAACAGGCTGAAAGCTACCTTTCTGTACATGGTGAAAAGACTAAAGCAGATAGTGGTTAGTTTGGTTGGCCGACTCGTCTACAAGGCAAGAAGAGGTGATAGGAAACAGTGAACATGGTTGTTGCGCACGATCAAGCAAGCTTCATGCACACCAGCTATCAAGCGGGGGGGAGGGTCACTTACTTCTGCAAACCAAGCCTACTTGGAAAGAAAAAGAAGGATTGGTGAAGAGAAGGCGGAAAGATGAAACGGTAGAGTTCACCGTAAGAACAGAGTTGGGTGGGAGATGCTTTTTATTCGCCTGGAGAGTGGTTCCGGGGATGGGTGTATGTAGGGAGAGATGGACCTCGAGATGGCAATCTGTCCAGTCTGCGCGTATTTGCACTCGTTGGTTCCTATGCCAGCTGAACTTTCTCAATGGAGCTCAACAGCTGTGGCGCCGAAATCGAATTTCTAAGCTCAGCGTTGAACTTGACACCTGTCTTCTTACCAGGCACATATTTTTGGAGAAGGCAAAGCCGCTAACAAGCTGCTCGACAGGGATATTGAGCCCAATCAGGCCTATCTCAAGGGTCTTGCATACTTTTGTAGGAACATCGAAGCACCTACGGAGCTCGTACTGTGGTACAAGGCACCTGCAAAGCACCTCCAAAGCAACCCACGGCGGCTCTTTGTCCTGGCCAAAAACCCCACCACGACAGTGCGGAGAGCAGCAGCCATTGCATAGGAATCAACCCATTTCTCCAGAGTCTCAGCCCTGATTGGTGCCTTTTTGCACTTGCATACTTCATGCACACGGAGCCTCTCATACACCATGGCTTCTTGGCAAATGATAATGCTCAACTAATATCCATCTCACTCACTGCCGTTTCGCCTTCATCACAGATTGGTCTCTCGAAGGAGAATAATCATGATTTGATGGCGTTGAGCACTGGGAACGCGGCCTACTTGCTCATGCCGGGTACCTTACTGCGCGGACATACTGCACGTTAGCATCTTACGAGAGATGCCCGTACAGCAGTTGACCTGTGGATGTGTGGCCTATACATAGTAATGGGTCTTGCAGATCTCCGGTTTTCATCCCGCCTCACCTCGGAACACTATCGAATGATGGACGGGTACAGCCTCCGAAAGAACCTTCCTTGGGACTAGACTAGTTCGAAATCATCCGGCAGTCCAACTGTTGAATCGAAAGCCAACTTGGTCCCCGTCAGGTATTGAGGACACCTCTCTACCTGGGGTCTTGGCATTATGGTCTTTCTCTACTCAAACCCACCTTTCTCATGTTCCAGTCATCGTTCCTCTCGCTGTTTTATATGAGTTTGGAACGCTGCGTGGTTACCCCACATGTATCCTTCCGTATTTTGGCTGCGCCCGCGCCTTATCGACTGTGCAAGTAGTGTAAGCAAGCCTCACTAGATAAAGTTAAGCGCATACTCCGACAATGATGAGAATAACTGCATTTTAGAACCTTGAATAAAACCTAGAATGATGTAGTAGACGGCGGCCGAATCGGCAGGTTGTGTGATTACAAACTGCTCCAGCCGTCAGGTCTATGGACAATTTGCTCTATTTTACAGACGCAGTGGCACATAAACCAAAATACTGGAAACTCACGGCATACCACCTCGAGGTCAAATGTGCTTCTTCCTGTTCAGTCAGCTGTGCAGCTGCATAGTACAACCAGGTCTCGGAATCAATACAAAAGACTTCTACATAGTATGGTTAAGCACGATCCAAAGGTCCTCGACTGACCTTCCTATTAAGGACAAGCACGCATGTGGGGCAAGGTGGAATAAGCCACACCTTCAGTAGCATAGCATCAACACAACACGGAGTTCGGTATGATCTCTACAGGCATCGGACTAAATCTGATCAAATATGAACATCGTGAAGGACTGGTTCGTTGGGTTACACTCATTTTTTTCACCGCATCTCAGCTAGAGAATTACCACGAAGATGACGAGGAGGATTCTTGACCAGCAGCCCGCCCGTAAGTCAGCTCTGCGTTGATGATATTATCTCGGAACCTGAATCTTACTCTTGCCACAGGCTATTTTCGGGCGTCATCGGCGATGGCGGCAGCAGCCCCAGAAACCGCTCCGGCGTCAACTTCATTGATGGACTCATTGCCCTCCCGAATGTTTTCGACAGCTTTTGGCGTGACGGTGAGAACCAGAGACGATGATGCATCAGATTTCAGAGAAGATGATGCCAACGCCAGCAAGGAGAAGTACTACACCATTATCAAAACCAATTTACTTATTCCTGGTGACGGAGAGCCGCTGAAGGACGCTTCGCTTGTAATTGAAAACAAGATCATTGCTTGGGTCGGTCCACAAGCCGACCTTCCAAAGCAGTACACAGCTGCACCGCATCGGTTCTTTGAGATGCCTTATCTTATGCCAGGGCTCTGGGAAGTTCACTCACATTTCGGGGGCGAAAGTGCGGATGAGGGGGAAAGCAGCTACGTCGCCCTCGTTTCATTGCATCCTGCATCTGCAGGAGCACGGTTGTCGAAGGGCTGCTGGGAGGCATTGCAGCGCGGCTACACATCGCTTCGGGATGTGGCCGGCTACGGTTGCGAAGTCGCGAAGGCAATTGACGACGGCACAATCGTCGGACCGAACGTCTACAGTTCCGGTGCTGGTCTCAGTCAGCTCGCCGGCCACGGTGACGTCCACGATCTTCCTGCTGGAGACGTTATCAATAATTTGGGTGTCAAGAATGTACAGGCTGGCCATTGGGGTTCTGGCCCGGTCTTGGTCATTGACGGTGTCGACGAATGTAGGCGTGGTGTTCGTCTCCAAATTCGCCGCGGAGCTAGGTGCATCAAGGTTATGGCATCTGGAGGAGTCATGTCCCGTGATGACAACCCACTGTATGCTCAGTTCAGCAGGGAGGAACTCGAAACAATTGTCGAAGAGGCAAACAGGCAGGGTCGCTCTGTCGCGGCACATGTCCACGGAAAACCGGGTATCCTAGCAGCAGTCAAAGCAGGAGTCACAACAGTTGAACATGTATCCTTCGCCGATCAGGAATGCATCGACTTGATCAAGGAAAAGGGCACTATTTATGTTGCTACTCGTTTCATTGTTGATATGCTCATTCAAACAGGAGGCAAGGGTCTTTCTAAGCCACAGTGGGAGAAGGCCAAGCTCTGCGCAACGAACCATGAAACCGCCTACAAGACGGCTATCAAGAATGGCGTGACCTTTGCGCTTGGCACAGATACGCCTCCGGGATTTAATTGTGCCGTTGAGTTGGAGTATGCAGTCAAGTGCGGTATGAGCAACTTGGAAGCAATCAAGGCTGCAACCGCCAATGGGCCGTTGACGATCGGAGTACAAGCGCCCAAGACAGGGCAGTTGAAGGCTGGCTATGAGGCGGACATCCTTGGTCTGATCGAGAATCCAGTTGAGAATGTGAGAATTCTGCAGAAAAAGGATAATATCAAGTACGTCTTCAAGGGTGGCAAGCTGTTTAAGGGCCCGGGAGTTGGGCCTTGGGGCGAGGACTATGTGTTTGAATAAAGGAATTGAGTTAGGATTCTGGAAATGATGTAATACCGTATCTGTACAGATTCCCTTCGGCAGCCCTGTCTGTGAGTTATACAGGACCCAAAAGCTCATGGTTGTCATAGTTTCACTATCCAGAATTAGAAATTATCAAGGCAACGACACAGTGGGAGCGGCTTTATGGTTCTCAGGCACCATTGAATCGAACTATAGGTATATTGAAGCAGAACTCTGGACATATGTCGTTGACAAAGATTCCACGACGCATGAGGGGGATTGGAGGCTTGGACTGCTTCAATGCCCTCTTACCATGATACTTTGGTAGGGGAGCCCACCTTCTTTTCCCTTCCCGTCGGAAGCCACAGCCACGATCGCAACTTCCCTTGTGCCCCAGATTATGCGCTACACCTCAAGAGACGCACCCAATTATGCTCGATTTGGTCTTTCCACTGTACTTTAACCATGTAGAGCACCTTCTGCAAATGGCATACATCATCAAGGTTCACCTTGTGTGCCATCCAGCCGTATGGTCCATGTGACCCCTTTCACCAGCGTTCTCTCTTTACGACAATCCCAAGTCTTAGCTACTTGGTTGGTGGCCCTTTTTGGATCTGCCTCTATCAATCTGCCAAAGTCTTGGGTCTGACTGCTTTGTTAACCGAAACCATAATTAGTCCAAATTTAATGTTGCAAATTGCTTGCCAAACACCCGCTGCCCAAACAACTCAACACTTGTCGGGATGGAACAACAACAACAACAACGCATGCCACGACGCTCTCAAAGCCATGGAACACTTCGAAGCAACTATGCCCGTCAATTACGTCCGTTACACAAGCCTCTGAGCAGAGTGAATGAAAACTCCGCTTTGTTATCTTCTACAGGCGCCCTAGAGGGTATGCTCAAAACCACTACAGAAACAGGTGACATTGGCCTTTTCAGCATCAAATCTGTCCCTGGCACCGCCTTCGGCATAGCTGGACGCAGAGAACCAACTGGGCCCACATATCCTGTTCATCCTTCTCGGCAACCCATGGACAAGCCCCAGAGGCGTGATGACTGTAAGAAGCTTCCTGTACACCAAGACACGGCTTCAGACATCATTTCAATGTACGGGTCAAATAGCCAAAGTTCCGTCTCTAGCACGCAGGCGACTTTATCGGAGGAGCCGGGGCATAGGTCTTATTCTATGACCACTGTCGGATCTAGACACCTCTCTCACAATAAGTCAAATGCAACCCTGCAAAGTCAAGCAAGCTCTGCGCCACTGCAGCGACCACGGTCTCCTTTTCCATACCCTACTAGGTTGAAGCGACCAGGAGCTCGTCCGGTATCACCAGCCGTGACAGAAGCAGGGATCGTCGATTATAGCCGCATGGTCGAAATAGACAGGATCTCGCTAGTAAGTGATGGTGAAGGTGCGCCAGCCCGTTCATTTTAACTAATACTCTATCGTCTAGCGGACAGGACATGGTTCTCTTAAGTCATCTTACCCTCATGCTCACAGAAGGCCACCACCAATGGGATTTCGCGGGGATGGGAACCTGTCGACATCTTCGTCGCATGGTCGTGGGCCACCTCTAATGCGTCGACCGGTAGGATACCCGTTTCCACGCACGGCTTCTGCAGCCTCGATTGCTTCTTGGAATGCTAGCAACTCGCGTTTTGGAGATAGGGTCAACAGTTCTTCATCGAGAACATCGAGCCTGACATCTGTGGTCAACATGTACTACAAAATGCCCCCTTCTCTGAAGGCTGCACAGTTCGGCCCACCAGCAGCGCCGCCGCGGTACTATGACTATACAGAAGAGTTCGAGAACAAGCATCCACCACATATGCCGCCGCCTATTGAGCCTTTAGCTCCTGCGCCCACCAGAGCGCCAACTACGGAACGTCCACTGGTATTGAGGGAAGGGTCGGAAGTGAAACTGGCCTGTTTTGATGACGATGAAACGCCGGAAGGAGACTCTCAAGCCGAGACTGAGCCTCATTTACTGAGCGACATTGATATTGATGGAAAGTATGAAAGACAGAGTCAGAACCTTGCACAGAGTCGCCATACTTCGAAGCAGACAGCTAGCAATGAGCTTAGCACAACAACAATATCCGCTGGATCCAGGCTTGGCCCTAGGAAGTTGACTCGCGGAAGCGATATTGATATGCTGCCCTCACAAATTGGCAGAGCATCAGTGGATACCTTCCGGCCTAGCCTAGACATTGAGTCTAGGGAGGTGCCGTTGTTCAGTTACCCAAAATTCCGACAGAGCGTATCTCAGCAAACTGCTACGCCGTCCCCAGTTCGGCAAGTTCAAGTCCATATTAAGACTCCAACAATCAAGAGTGAACAAGGCGTGATAATAAACGACAATAACGCATTCGAAGACAACAGAATCGATAATGAACGGTCCATACACCTTGAATGCAAAGGCAACGACATCGACGATTGTTCAGATGGCGCCCGAACTCCTGTTCCGGTTGCACAGAGCACAAATATCCGGCATGCCAAATCTGACACAGGCGACAAAAGTCTCAGGCCGTTGTCAGATTCGTATGCTAATCTTGCCGCGCCATGCTGTCGTGTTGAAAAATCAACCCCTTTCGAATCCAGTGAAATGTCAATCGACTTGAAAAGGCCATACGGATTGCCAGCTCATCAACCACATGAGATGGAGCTTCAAAGGACAGCAAGTAGTCCACCAGAGAGCTCCAAACCTCAGATACCACACGCACTCTCGGGAGATACCAGTAAATGGTCAGAGGAGCCCGGTAAGAGCCAGGAAGACGTTGCGAAGGGTTTTGAAGGTGCCAAGGATTTACTCCGTGTTCGCTCTCGAAGCGAGAATGCCACAATATTTCAGAAGAACAACAAAGGCCTCGAAATAATGACAAAAGATCTGTCGCAATACCGCGATGACGGTGCTGCAGGACTAACCTCCTCATGTTCAATGACTCCATTGATCGCTCCCAAACCAATTTCGCCAATACGCGAACTCAAAGTCAAGAACAGCATTCCGCAACTGATGAAAGCTTTACCCTTACTGCCTGAGCACCCTGGAAATATCTCGCCGCCACTACCATTTACTCCAGGAGACGTTGATGAATGCGCCGAGATCTTAAAGCCGTACACAAGTTTGGATGGTCCCACTAGCTCGAGGAAGTCTCGACTCGCTTCCAGTCTGTTGAGCAAGCCACTGCCAGACATTCAGAAGAAGCTACCAAAAATCAGGATCAAGTCCAAGGGTCCTGCCTCTGACATCAAATCCAGCAACAGAGACTCGAGGCCATGGAACTCTGATAACAACTACCCATGGTGTAACGATGCGCCCGACATTGAGCTTGGTAACGTCCGAGCTGACCAAGCTAATCGCGCGATCAAATTGAGGCTAAGAGGATCACAAACTGTCTGCAGCGGGACGCCAATTGGTACTGTACGCCGCCACGTGGAAGCACGGAGATCTGAACCTATCAAGAAGTCCTTCGATGAGCAGCCGGAAGATTTGTTCACCATCTCTACAGGGCTCAGTGCCGCTTTCCGACAAATCGGTCGAAAATTCTCACATGGATCCAATGATAGCTTCAAGGCTCGAACCATGTCTTCATACAAAACAAAGGCAACCTCGTCTCTTGGTGGAAACATTCCCAAAAATTCACATGCTGTGATGATAGGAACAACTGTAAATCGAAAGTCAAGCAGTCAAAATTTTGATAAGAAATTCATCGTCAAACAGCATCGAGGTCTCAAGAAAAGCCTCTCCAACCTGAAGTGGCTGTTGGCGCGGGATCCGCATCGCAAGCTAAGAAACGAGTCAACAGAAGAGACCGAAGTTTTGAATGGGAAGAGGCAAGACGCTTTGGACACCACCTTTGGACTGGAGAATGTCGATTTCGAAAATCGAAATTACACGCCCGGCAGGGGTTTCTCAATTATCAGTGAGCCCCGCCCACGGTTCAGACGACGCGTGAAGACAAAGATTGCGAAATGGATGCGAGGAACCAAGAATGCCCTGAAGTATACTCCCAAAGATACCCGCGTAATAGAGATGGTTTGAAGTGAAACGAAGAAGAGAAGCACATGGACAATATTGCTTACGTTGCCTTGTATTTCTTGAGTCTTTCAAACATTGACTCTGAGGGCAATTTTTGGAGTGCGGAGGCATAATCAACCTTTGAGGGAAATTTCGAGCCAATCGAGGACAAATTTCGCTATCTCGTTCTGTCGCTTCTTCTTTGCTGGCTAAGACATTCGAGGAGTTTCTTTTATTTGTTTCATGTGTCATTCACTTGGTATAAGCTGGAGTAGAGTGCTTGAGTGCTAGGTAGCGGCGTTCGTTTCGCGGCAGGTCAAGGGATGAAGAAATAACTTTGCAAATATTTATATGTAAGTTTTAAATCCGCAATAATGTCACAGATTTGGTCGCTGTTGTTGTTTGTGGAAAATAATGCTGTACCTTTATGATGTATCTGGAGAGAAGACTCACTAGAAGCATGTTTCAATCAAACTTTAGGACTGACCTGGTATAGCCTTCAAGACCTAGCCATCGGCCCGACCACATATGGGCTGCTCCGCATAGGATAGTGATCGGGACATGTAGAAGGCATTGCACAACCATGGTCATATTTGGGAGAGTTCGAACCAATAATGCTCTGAACATACTGCTCGGGTCCTGCTGGGCCCTAATGACGCACCCCAGCTCTGACGAAAGATGCCCGACCTCCTATGCGAAAGATGCGGGCGAATTGATTTGGTGATCCTGCGTTCTTTCAGCTTCATATTCCATAGTATCAGTCCGCCAATTACCCAAACATCACATTCCTCTCGTCTGGGTTCATATTACACTCGCTTCTTGTCACAATTTTGTTTTATACCACACTCGTTTTTCTAATTATACGTTAGTATATCTAGCATCTTCTAGACCAACACCGTGATTTCAATCTTCCAAGTTAGCAAACAACTATGCTCACCACCAGGAACATAGTGCTGCCGCCTGGCGAAGGGGATACCAAAACGCCCCCTAGTGACTGCCCCGCAAGCATTTCCAGTCTCAGTGACCTCCCGGAGCGCAAAGGTGGCAACACGTTTATCACGTACAGGCTTGCTGTCATCAATGAGGACCTCGAAGACATTGAACACCTAGAGGTTTGCCCGAGATCAAGTTCCAGTCTGCGCGTCCCGGGAGACTCGTATCAGCCGCCGATACTGTCACATGAGGCGCTTGTCTCCCCCGAGGATACCAACGACGATGGGGCTGGCAGTAATCATCAGCTTGGCTTTCCGTCATTGCATACCGGATCGCCGGGCTCGGGCGTTGATTTATACCGCCAAGTGAATCGCTCAACTTTGGACGACATGCTGAAGAATATCGGGGAACGGCCATCCGCCGCCACCGCCGCCGCCACGCCAGAAGAGGCGGCTCAAGAAGGAGCCGAGAAGGAGGAGACAAGCGGGCAGCTGTCGCTCGACATGCCGTGGCGCGAGCGCTGGCTAGGGGCCACAGAGGCAACCATAGCACCGACAACCTGGGTCTGCGAAAAGACGATCTGCGGAGACCATGTGTGGGTGGCCCTCGAAAGCAAGGAGATCGACTGGCAAATGGTCGCCTGGGACCAGACACCCCGGAAGGTGTCGCTCCACTTCATGGAAGGCGGCATTCTTGTGGAGGACCGCACGTTACGACTGGACCGCTATGCCACTGTGGCACCGGCGGATACTGGGGACGATCATCTCGTCGAGGAGAGCCGGATTATCCGGTCGAATACGGAACCAGTACCAGGCTTTCATGATTGGAATGAAATGGCGCGGCTGACGCCCGTAAACTCCGGATCTGTACCGGAGCGAATGAGAGAACGTGCCCTACGAAAAAGAAGAGCATGCCACCGGAGGACCATCGGAGTCATAACACAGCGCATTCGGAATTTATTTTGCAAATCTTGTAGGAAGAATGGCTCACAAGGTTCGGAGACCTTCTCGGGGGACGACAACCACCAGGTGGCCAATTTAGCATGGGACAGAGTCGGCCCCAAGAACGAGCACCTGGCCGGTTCTAGTAACGGCCTTGTGATTTGCCGTTGTTAGCATCGTTTCAAGAAGCAGTATGGCTTTACTGGTGGATGAGAAAGGACGAGCGCTGGGCTTCGCAATGACGAGCATGGGTGATGTCTTTTGCTTGCAGTAATCATCCAGGCATCATAGCACGCTTCCATTAAATAAGGAGACCAGCAATGCCGATGGTTGTAATGTATATATTGTAATGAACTTTCCTAGGAACCGTTCAGAACACGCCTCCGCCGATAATGAATAGACGTTCCTCTTCGCGTTTCGCCCATTGTATAATCTTGTTTGCTCCCAATGTCAAAGCCTGCCTGGACGCGTTGGGCCCAGCCACACAATAGAATTCGAATATCGGTGTAAGCCATGCTAGAGATGTTGAAGTCTCGCCCACACAATGCATGACCTTGAGGTGTGTGTGTTTAGCATGGACGGTGGCGTGCAAGCTGTGGTATAGTGACAATAATCGCCGATGCGAGACTACGTCATCGAAGTGCGGCCCCAGCGATGGCATAAAAAATTGCACGTTGGCTTTCGACTTGAACAAGAAGTGGCTGATTTGCGTGTTAGGAGCAATATCTATAATCTTGGGGCGGCCTTGCTTCGCTGCTGTTTTAATGATGTCAAGACTGCCCTTCCTCTTCAATTCTTTAACAACGGTATCCCTCATATGCTGTAATGCGAAGAAGCTCTCCTTATCTGGGCTGATAAGGATGATGGCAATCTCATCTTCAGAGGAGTTCTCTGATTCCGAGGTAGTCATAGTTTCTAGCGGCGAGCCATCCAGGAAGCTGACATACATATAGAGGTAACCTTTGTTATTGAAGGCCGGGAGACATATAGGTATCCAGCTTTCGCCACCTCCGGCTTTGATGCCACCTGACTCGAACAGCATATTGAAAATGAGTTGCAGATCGCTTGGGTGAAGCGAGTATTTCCGTGGCCGGATGACACTCACGAGTTTGCCGCCAGCCACGATTAATCCATATAGCAGGCTGGTACTGCTTTCCTTTGCTTTCAAGAACACGTTGTTGATGGCGTACCGTTGTGATTTTCGTATTTTGAGGCATTCAAGAGCTCCCAGAAGCATGGAAGGAGAGCCTTTGGTGAAGCTATCAGCTAGTGACGAGATCATGGACTCGGTGCCCTCTAGAGGTTTCCGCAGGTCTGACGATGGCCGGTTCTTGAATATGTGAAGTAGGGTTGGCAACGTCAAAGTCGACAAAATCTGCATGTATAAAGCGTTAAGTTGAGACCGCAGTTGGGAGTCGCTCTCGCCCAACTTGCTGACAGCCACGAAGTACAGGGGGCCTTCTGTGACGATGACAAAGCGCGTATTACCTGCGGAAAAGCCTAGCAGGGGATCCTTTGCGCCCTCGTAGAATGAGATGATGGTTTGAACAACGCCCATAGAGGAGTTGATGAGTGCCAAGTCGCCATGACGACTGTAAATTGGTTTTCCAGCCGACGAAAGGATCATGTAATGTTTCAGCTTGGATTTCCAGATGGACAAGCGATCTGAGTCGGTCCATTGCTTCTGCGACTCATCGGGTATGCCATCGAACTCCCTCTCAAACGACGACAGCGGCGCATCATCTGCCAGTCTCGCGGCGTCGAAAGGGGGTACCGTGGCTGACTGCGACCTCAACAACTGCCAGGCCGGACTTCTCTTGTTCGTATCGCCCACTAAGAGACTCTCGAGATCTGCCGCTGGTCGTAGAGTTGGAGCGATGCTCATGACGCTCATGCTTTCGTCGCGATCGCTGGTTCCTGGATTTGTGCCCCTCGTAAAAGCAAGCTCGCTTGGTATTGAGACATTCTCTTGCCCCGATGTGGCCTGTCCCTCGCTACTGGTGTACGTGCCCCGGGAACCATCTGGGAACGACACGGTTTCAATGTTGGTTGCGGATACGGCTGTTGTTGGCTTCGAGGATAGCTTCGGGCGTTCGGGCGTCAGGGAGGTCGCCGGCTGAGTGTCAGCAGCTTGCAGTGCCGGACGTGGTGGTAGAGGAGGTGGACGATCTTCAACATCGTCGTGGGATGATGCCCCAGCATGTTCCCTGTCGCTACCCATTCTTGCTCGGCTTGTGGAGTTGCATCCTCCTGCTACTGCAGGTTCGAGTTTTGTTCATGAAATACCGCATATACCATACTGCAGCGTCAAGTACCAAAAAGCTCGATTCCCGACGTCACATGTCATTGGATTACAGGGAGGTACCAAACAGTCACATCAGGAAAACATTATGTTCAGCTATGCGGCAGCTAAGAGCTATTTTAAGTGGTGGCAGCCCAGCGAAATGGGCGTGTTGTCGCCCTAGCCTAGACTTAACGTCATTGACAAGGGGATAGAACCGTCGGAGATGGGAAAGGTAAATCGCATTCAATCCGACATAAGCAACACGTGCCATGTACCTCTTCAGAAGCCAGTGCCGCAAGACTGTGTGGTGTCTCTAGGAGCTATGGACTGGATCCTGTTAGGTAAGGACGGTGTTGTTCCAAGTGCGTACAAGTGGACTGTCGGATTGAAACCATCCATCCCATCGCATGAATGTCTTTGTGTGTTTGAGGACCTCGATAAACACATGACCGTTCTTGTGCAAAGTATCCTTGAAGTCATGAAAAAAACTTGACCACTGGCAGATAGGTGGTTCTGTAGCCTTGCAGGCGGGATCTAAGCGTGGGGTTCAACATTCCAGGGGCTGAATCCAATGAATTTAGCACTCCGTTAGCCTGCCTGCCCTGCCTGCCATTCCGACCCAGCACTGCCTACTACTGATTAAACTTAGCTGGCATGGAGTAACTACTCCGTACAGGCAACGTAATCCGCAGGACCGCCGAATGAGCTCATGCCTGCAGCCTACCTCACGCACGCTTTATACTCGCGAAACGGCATTGCTCAAGCCAGCTATGCCGCTGGGCCCTCACAACCCTACTGCAGAAGTCCTCATGGTTCCGCCATCTCTACCGCCCTAGAAACGAGCCATGAGCCTCGAAGCTGGAGCCCTCGGGTCCATGTCCCCCGAGAGCTCTGGACGCAATTCACCAGTCCCGCGACAATGGAGGAATCAGCTCAGCGCGGAGGATGCTCCGATCAAGGACAAGGCATACCGAAAATACGCCCTCGGAGTTGAGCGGGCGCTTATGCTCTTCGAAACCGCACTCCAAGAGTGGGCAGATTACATCTCCTTCCTTAGCAGACTGCTCAAAGCACTGCAAGCACGGCAGCCCAGTATCACCACCATTCCCTCCAAAGGCCTCGTCGCAAAACGACTATCACAGTGTCTCAACCCCTCACTGCCGTCCGGTGTACACCAGAAAGCGTTAGAAGTATACAGCCACGTCTTCTCCGTCATTGGAAAAGATGGCTTGTCCAAAGACCTTCCGCTCTACCTGCCAGGTCTTGCTTCGACACTCTCATTCGCCTCCTTGACGGTACGCGCGCCCTTTCTCGAGCTCCTAGAGAAGTACTTTTTGAAGCTCGACCGACGAGCCCTACGCCCTGCTATAAAATCCGTCATCCTTGGATTATTGCCGGGATTGGAAGATGAAACAAGCGAGGACTTCGACAGGACCTTGAAGCTGCTGGAGAGCTTCAAAATCGCCATACGAGCACCAGAAAGCAGAGAATTGACATCGACACATGCAAACGGGGACGAGTTCTTCTGGCAATGTTTCTTTTTGGCCTCCATCACGAGTCAAAGTCGGCGGCCAGGTGCTCTTGCGTATCTTGTCCGAAGCCTGCCAAAGTTGGGGCAAAGCCAGCCACAAGCCGACAATTCAGCAGAAGATGAGCTGTCGGACGAGCTGTCAAGCCTGGTAACGTCCCCGGAGCCTGGATTGCTTTTACGTTGCTTCGCTGCTGGGTTGGCTGATGAACAACTTTTGATTCAACGCGGCTTTCTGGATTTGCTTGTCACACATTTACCACTGGACTCCAAAGTCATCCAGAAACGAGTCAAAGCCGAAGATTTGGAGCTCCTTCTTAAAGCTGCAGTTGGCGTAGTCACGCGGAGAGATATGAGTTTGAACCGCAGACTGTGGGCATGGTTTTTGGGGCCTGAACCTTCAGGCCACGACAACGAAACCGAGCCCGAGTCCCCGAGTTCGCCATCCGAGAATCACCATGGCTACCTTGCTTCAAGGACGACGTACTTCGAGGACTACGGTCTGCAGGCATTGACGCAGGCACTGTTATCGATGATCAGAACAGCCTCTGACACAAACCCGACAGAGAGGGCACGTCCATACCGAATATGTCTTTCCCTTATGGACAGATGGGAGATAGGTGGTCTCGTAGTCCCAGAAATATTTCTGCCCATTGTCGAAAGTGTGAGGGACTTTAAAGGCCGTGCTATCGGCAAAGCCGAGTTCAATGAGGTTCTTCGCAGTGCCAGCGTATTCTTTGACGGTGTCGAGAGCGGACTCATCTATGGTGAGCTGGTTAGTCTGGTTGCGCAAGCTGTTGGTCCAGGCAACTCATCCTATACCCAACGCGTTGATAAAATAGGCCTTGTGCACTTCGTCATGGGCCATTTCAACATTCGAGAAGAAGAGATGATCACCATACACGCGCCTCTGGCAGCGCTTTCCATCTTAGCAATGCTAGAAGACTCTAAGATTCGAGGTCATCAGATACCAACCAGTACTGCCCAGGGCGATGCTACCCTTTCCGATCAGGCACTGAATGTGGCCCTCGGCCTGATAGACCTGGTTCCGGAACGCGCATTTCCCACAAAGGTTGCGAGCAAAGACTCGGCCAGCGCTCTGGACAGTCATCCCGTTGCTTCAGTATCGAATAGTGACCTGCTTAAAAAGATCAAGAATTTCTATGTCAGTGATCAAGGCAATCTCGAAGCCGCACCGCTGCCCTTCTCTGCTCGGAATGTAGGCGATCTCCTGCTCAGGAAAGCTTGCAATCTCGTTTGCGATAGCTTGGTTGCGAAGGAGGCTTCACAAGACTTGACTATCAGAGCCCGGCTTCTGGCGCTGCTCTTGGCTAAAGTGCCTGACGAGTATCACTTGGAGACAGAAAGACTGATATCTGACATGCAATCGAGCCTTTCCACACTCGGGTTGCCTTTCAAATACTTCAAAGCAATGCTCTCATTGTCTACACAGCTATATGGCAGCTCGAGAATACAGCCATTCTCCCTTTCAAATCTAGTTGAGCCATTGGTAGGCCATGCTTGGGGCTTCTTGTCACTTTCTGAGCCTAAATATCACGTTGAAACGGTAAAATGTCTCTGGCAGCTACAATCTGCACTCGGCCCTCAAAGTCGAGATATCGAGAGTGCCATTGCAGCTCTGATGATGAAAAATGACACAACTGGAAGTTTTCCCATCCGACCAGCAGATACTGGACGAAGTTTCGGCATTCTTTGGTCCCATACTCTTCAGGAAGGAAATACTGACCGACGAGCTCCGAAGACGCCAATGGGAGAAGGGGTACTGCAGTTCCGCCTATCTGGCCAGGATTACTATGAGATCATGCTTACTCGACCTCTATTTCTCATGCTTGATTCTTTACTTGACGACCGAACACAATTGTTCATGGCTGTCAAGACCTGGCTTAACAATATGCTAGGCATCGAGAAGTATGTATCCTAAGATACCATTACTGATATATTCCTGCTGACATACCTGGAAGACTGTTCTTAGTATTTGTCACAAAATTCTCGCAATTGCAATTCCTGCGTAGCCTGCCGAAAACTGCAAGCCCCGAGGCTTCGAAACAATCGATAGCATTCTCAACAGAGGACGACCTGGACATGGGTCTCTACTATCTGCGCACTTTATCCAATATGTTCCGCTGGGCACCTGATGCGTTTTTTGGTGTATTAGCGACAAGAATGCTCGATGACCCAGGAACACAACTCTCGGAGATCAGTAAGTAATTTGAGCCATATACATAAATCGATACTGACTGCTTTCAGCCGGAACCGAGGGTGACATATCAATCCAAGAGTTCTTCCTTCAAGTTTGTCTGAGATGCATAGCTGGGAACAAGTTCCCAGAAGACAGACAAATGCAGTTGCGTATCGCGCAACTTCACAGATGCGCCCTAACCCTTCTTCACCAAATATTGCTAAATCCATACGCAGAGTCACTATCCAACCTGCATTTGGAGAATGTACTGATTGACCGGTTGCATCAATCCCTCAACAGCCCGGATCCATACATTCAAGTGCTTCTTTTAGATGTCGTCTTTGCTGCACTCAAGTTGAGGGACGTGTCACCTAACGAGCTTCCATCGTCTCCGACAGGAGAGAAACGGGCGCTGAATCACCCCAATGGCAGTCTCCGCTTATCGTCCACCAATATTGAGAATGTCGCAGAAATCACAGCACCACCGCCATCTCTGCTCAAATGCATACAGGATGGCTTGAGCTCGGTCAACAGCCGCCCGGTACTAGACAGCTGGGTAGGGTTTTTGACCGAATGTCTTCCTTTATACTACAACACCATTTTCCAAGTGTTGATCCCACTTGTTGAGACTTTGTGTGGACAAGTTCGAAATACCTTTGAAGATCTGCAGAGGATCTTCAGGCAGAATGCAAAGACTACGGTGGGCTTGAACGCCCCAGAATCTACACTAATCTCTTTGCTCAATGCACTCGAACAAGTCCTTGCGAAGGCTCATGATCAGCTATTGGCTGAAGAGGCTAGAGCCCAAGTCGTCAAGAGCCCTGATCAACAGTCGCAAGGTTTCTTCGGGAACATGGTATCCGGAGTCTTCAATTCAGAAGCCCCTCAGTCACGGAGCGCCACCGCGAACGACAGACTTACAGTATTACTCGCATTTCAGGATGCGGTCCGCATATGTTTCAGAATCTGGTCATGGGGCCAAGGAAGTGAAGCTGCAACGTTGGATAGCAGCTCATCCTTGTCATTTAACTACACATCTTTACGCATGAGAAACCGTGCTAGGCGCCTCCTGGAACATGTCTTTGCAGCTGAGGCGCTCGAATGCCTGGAGACTGTCGTTGACATATGGCGAACATCCCTGGGCAGTTCTGATACGACAAAACAATCCGAGGTATTTAACCTCCTGCCTGCTCTTGACGGTTCTCGTCCACGGCACACTATACCGGCAATATTCAACGCCATCTATAGCCGGACGAACCCGAACGCCCTTGATCCCTCGAGAAAATCTACTTTGACAATATCACTGCAAGACACGGACTTGGTCATATTCCTCGTTGACTACGCCCGATCGCTAGAAGATGATGCTATGGATGAGATCTGGCAGGACTGTATGACATTTCTCAGAGATTTGCTCGGCAATCCTTTCCCTCATCGGCAAACGCTTCCCAGCTTGTTAGAATTTGCCGCCATCTTGGGCGAGAAGGTAGATAACACAAACTTCGGGGAGCAGCGGAAAATGCGGAGGGAACTAGGTGTAAGTGGCCCCTTTCTCTCGTTCTCAGGTATAAGCATTAACATCTACACAGGATTTGTTCCTCCGGCTCTTGACTGCTATCTTCACCACGCGTCCAACAGCTTTCTCAGAAGGGAATTCGACATCGCCCACAGAGAAGCCAAAGTCCGTGGAGCGACGAACACAATCACCCCCGGAAAGAGCCGATGATGTAGTCGGCATATTATCGGTCATTGTGCCCAATCTTCCAAAGATTCTGGTGGAGTCCGAGAGAGTTCTCACCGCCGCGGGCGCCATCTCGACAAATGTTATTGGACCATCAATACGCTCTAAAGGCTTTCCCGAGACCATTTCAAAGGGCACACTGACGCTTTTGCAAGAACTCACACGCCTGCCAAACAATCAAAAGACCTGGAAAAAGGACATCGGAGACGCTTTCAATGATGCAAAGTTCTTCGGCTCTTCCATGCCACTTGTTCAGAGTCATTGGTTACCGTTGCTCAAGCAATGGACCGTTGCAGACAAAGATCGCATGGTCGAAATCTTGAGCCGTATCACACCTCCTACCACGGCAGGTATTGTGTTTGGCGTAGGCGCTACGTCTGCACGGTTGGAGGCGGACCGCAAGACTCAACTCAACTTGCGTCGCGCGGCAACGCTGATTCTTGCTTCGCCGGTCGATGCCTTTGTAGCAGACCTTTCAACCATCACCGAACGTCTTGTTGAGCTACTTGCTGCCACATCAACTTCCTCGCCTTCCTCCACCACGCGGGCCGAGATTTATATGGTCGTGCGAGCCCTAGTTCTTCGTACCTCCGCGATCCACCTTTCGCCGCTATGGCCCATCATCAACTCCGAATTACATGCAGCCATTTCTTCCATCGCCACTTCTGACAGCAATTCTTTAGGGGATACGTTTAACAACACATCAATCCTCCAGGCCTGCAAACTTCTAGACCTCCTTATTTGTGTGGCCCCGGACGATTTCCAGCTACATGAGTGGCTATTCGTCACTGACACCATCGATGCAATATATCGCTCGCCTTCTTACCAACCAGTTGCACTGGTTGACGAACTTTCAGAAGAGCTCGGTAACAGTTCATTGGCAAATAATTCAGCACTTCAGACAGAAAGCGCAGCTATAATGGCAGCGTCAGGTTCCAATCGACGACCGCTTCTCGGGCCAGGCGGCATTCCCGATGAATTTGGAAGTGACCGCAGGGATGAGCTAGTAGCTAAAATCTTGAGACCTTTCTTTGGACAGCTAAGCATCTTTGCTTTCGAGAGCAGGTATACTATGGGTCCAGTTGACGAGGAAACCGCACTGTTAGGATTGTTGAAGGACATATTTGACGAGAAGAGCATCGTAAAAGCTTTGTAGAAAAAAGCCAGAAAGAGGAGAGGGCGAGGAAAAGGACCTGGCCTGGAAGCAGATTGAAGAGTAGAAGAATCGTCAAGTGTAGTTAGATCTGTTAGCAAGAGGGAAAGGATAAAAAAATTCTTTCGATAATCTTCAATAGGGTGTACTGCAATTTAACAACATAGCCGCCGGCTGCTTGGAGACATGCTGCGTAGGGCTACCAAGGGTTGGAACTACCACAGCCTTGACTTGGCCGGTAGGTGCTTCAACCCCATTTGGAGAGCAGTCTTTGAACCTTTCAGACCTAGGTAGCTCTAAAGCGGTGGCAGGGTCGCGTTTACCTTGCCTCCCTGAGAAAAGTTGGAGCCCATGACTGCTCAGCTCGACTGCCTTCTGAATGCGAAGCTCAGCTTCAAACATGTTGCGGTTTGACTTCTCCGTAATTCGAGGGTGGATGACCCAGGTGGCCGCCAATCACGCAACAGTGAATATAAACACTTCTTTGCTAGATTTTACTGTTTCTTGACTATCTTGGGCGTATTTTGGGAAGAGGGCTCACAAAATCCAATTCAAGGAAGATGGCTGCTGTTGCGCTCATGTGACTTCTTCAACCCGCTCATCATCCTCAATCACCGGCCCCAGAGACATGCCCGTCCCTATACTGGAGCCCAGGGCGACTCCCTCGAAGCGCGATCTCACCACGTTCGACACGATGTTGTCGAACACTTCCCTCTGGATCACCGCGCCAAACTGCAGACACCTCACCATCCCCCTGAACCCCCGGGTCAGGCCGTCGATAATCTGCCTGTCCAGCGCCACGTCTGGTCCGTACATCTGCACGATCTCGAACCAGGCCTGCACCGGCGCTAGCTCCTTGTCCGGCGGGTTGAGAGTCATGGCGAGGCCGTACAGCGTCTCGAGAGATAGGCCCACGGACTGCCACTCGATGTCATGCGTATCTGGGTTACAGTGCGGATTCGATTTGATGACCGAGTTAACGGCATCGATGCGCGTGAATATTTCTGGGTTCGCGTGCTGCAGCGCTATGGATGAGGCCATGAGAGCGTGTCCGTTTTCCGGGTCCATGGGATCGTACTCTATATGTCTGTAATGCGAGGGACCAAAATGATTCCAACATATATGCTCGAGGCTAATCATCGTGTAAGCGGCTCATCAAGTACGAATGATACATGTCGCTAGAGATGGGGCGATACTTACGAGAGGATGAAGTTGATGACCAATTCCGTCTGCTCCTCGCTCAATCCACTCGATACAGGCGCAGGGGAAGCACCAAAATCCGAAGGGGGGTTTGTTGCTGCCAGTGCCATCGTCGCCGTCATCCCGAAATCTGACACTCCCGGCGAGAAGACCGCAGCACTGCTTGTAGACGGCGAAAAGATGTCTGCCGTGCTTGTGCCGGGTGAGAAGAAACCGGCGCTGCTTGTGTCGGGCGAGAACATGCCTGCACCGCGTGTCCCAAAGCTTGGACTTGGTGATCTCGTCACGCGGAAACTAGGGGTTTGCATCGTATCGTCCATGTCCATCCGAAGAACAAACTCAGGCTCATCACCGCCGGCTTTTGGTTCCGCTTTCGGCGCCGGATCCGGCGGTAGCGGATCCGGCATGGGACCTGTTACCGGTGGCGCGGATCTCCTAGGAACAGGTACACTAAGGTTCATCATTCCGGACGCGACGGCATTCCTCGAGAGCTGTCGCCTCATTACATTGTTCTCGGATCGAATAGCAGTTGCATCTGTTTCAGTCTGCTCGATCATGTCCCGTAAGCGGGCGATATCCATTTCTAGCTCTTTCGTATAATTTGCTTTACGCTGCCGATGCTGTTTCTGAGCCTTTCTGACCTGAGCTCGGCGGGCTTGTGCCCTGACCTTGGCGCTATCTGCGTCTTCATTATGTGAAGATTCTATGGTAGTGTTAGTTGTGTATCAAAAGCATAGCAATGATAGCTGACAGGAAAGATGCGACACAAAATGAAAGAGACTTCATAGAATCGTGATGATGATAAAACCATTAGACGAACACTGCTTATAATACATGGTCATTCGTGATGAATACCCCAAGAACATTTGGGGATATGATGTGCCAAGCCCACCGGAAAGGAGGTACATGCGTTGTATCTCTCCAAGTCCGGAATACTGGGCCTTGAAAGCGACGAGTCGCTTGCATCTCCTTTCCGGTTGTGCCAGGTCGCCAACGGTTTGTATTGAAATCTTTAGAAATTAAGAAAGCGCGCTTCAACGCCTTGGATGATTTGCCTCCGCCTTCTGAATCGCATCTGCTGCAATATAAAGGGCCAGCCCTACCTCGGACAGCTGTCATGAAAGAAGCCAGTGAGGCATCCGCAGACCGAACGAGGGGGAGAACACAAAACGAGGATAGCGAGAGAGCCTGCGACTTACATACCTACGCCGGCAGTGGGCAGGAACGTGACGTTCTTGGCCTGGTGCGCTTCCTTACTGCGCTTCCAGAAATCCTCGAAAGATGGGCGGTCTTCATCATTCAGCTCGACATCCTCAGCAGCACCATGCTGCGCGAGGTCTGCGGCGGCCGCCATACTCTATCCGCGTGAAGCCGTCAGACACCGTCTGGGATGATCAAGTATCCGTTGGGACCGGCCCTAGTCTGGCTTGCTGGCTTGGTGATTCATAAGTTGCCGAGAAGCACGGGTGACGCAACACACAAAAATATGAGACTTGCAGAGCGCTAGTAAAACGAACAATTCTAGAACGCTTTCGGGTAGTTGTAGTAGGTATCGAAACTTTCTGTTTCGATTTGCTCTAAGCCATAGCTACGAAAAGCCAGGCAGAAAACCGCATGACCCGGCATTTCTTGGGGTATGTGGAATCAATCAATGAGTTTTCGGAAGGCGGTATGTCAGTCGCTCCGGCACCAACCAATGACGGGGCGTAGCCGTCTTAGACGCGGGTGCTTACCGCAGTGGCGGGTCCGTAACTTAGTGGATCGGCTTCTTTACCTCATAGCTTCTTTCCCAGGATACGGATACTCCGAAACAATGCTTCCTGAGGAAAGAAATAGTCTTGGCGCTGGTGTAACACATTATACATACCTGCCATACAGTAGGCATTCCCAATATACCGTTGCTCGCGACTGCAAAGCTGAACGACGGCATGTTGTAGAAGTCATGGATTATATACATAGCTATAGTCCCCAGGAATATATCTATATGAATGCAGACGATATCCGACTATCTGTGCCAGACGCCACTAGATGCTCCATACCAGTACCAGAACGCCTTATGCCGAGCTTGAATTGCAACACATTGAATTCTTCGTATCCTCATACCCTTTTGGTTTGCCTGAACGCCTGTAAAATGCCAATTCTCGAACATCGACGTAGATATTCGCCCGTGTTCTTGCAACGGTTGATTTTGTTGTCTGTTCAGATGCAAATTCAATTGTCTGCGCCAGTCTCATCATCTGTTGCAGTATCCTCTTCGACGTCTTCATCGTGAACTTCCTCCTCTTCGTCACTCTCGTCTGAGTCGTCCGGGTTGAGACCGGGAATGTCTTGCCACGGTAGATAGTCAGGATCCACCCAGCGTTTGCTCGTTGGTAGCTGGTAAGGGTCGAATGGGAAAAAGGAGTCCAGTCGCTGCCAGCTTTCGTCACTGAGGTCCAGACCTGACTCCCGCAAGGCCCCGCCATTTGCGTAGGCTGTGGAGACGAACTGTGACAGCCGCAGACGCTTGTTCGCCTCGATCAGTGGGTACACATACATGAATCTGAAACGATGGGCGAGCAAGGCGAACTGGTCTACGATGCCCGGCGAGCAGACTTTCAAGGGATTCAACCTCGAGTAAATGTTTCGTCGAAGGATGTCCTTGACGTCAGCTTCCCATTCAATATCCTGGTCCAGATACGATGAAGGGTCATCCCGATCGACATCTTCCGGGACGGAAGCCACCAGGTCGCGCCATCTGAAGCAGAAGATGTACATCAATGCCTGGGTCAAAGAGTAGAAAGCTGCATATCGACGGACGTCGGGGCCACGACAAGATGCCTCGTACAATGTTCGCATCTGGTCGAGATGGTACCCAAGCACTTCAAATATAGTACGAACAATATGGCCTGGCACATGGGCGCCACGAGCTACAAAGCTAGCCAGGTAGGCACATGCAGCTTGCCGGAGAACAAGAGGCCGTTGTGATTCGAAAGCAATGTTGATGCAGGTGCCGCAAAAGGCATCCATGAGCCGTTCCGACTTTTGGGCAATGTGGAAAATGAGGAATTGCGTGTGTCGGGACTTGTATGTTGGGAGGATGATGTTTGAGAACTCGGCCAACAGGTCTCCAAATGCCTCGATGGCTTCGTCTGAATCGGGATCGGCGTATTGTGGAGCATTCAACCGGAAGAGGGTATTCATTGTGAAATCCATCTTCTCTATACTCTCTTTCACAGCCTTGACCTTGGTGTACTCATCCTCTTCGTCGTCGTCGCTCGCAACGGACTCTGCGTCACTGTCGTCCAACTCTTGGTCGCCTTGGAGCTCAGCTGTTGCCTGTGATGATTTGAGGGCAAGGGCAACCATGGCGGTGAGATTGTCGTCCAGATCATCCAGGTCCGTCTGCATGTGTGCATCAATCTGTACCAGATGGCTGATAATCAGGTCCATAATGACAGTCTTGAGAGGTACAGCATAACTACGTAATTGAAGGAGGTTGTCGACGTATGCCAGGTGGATTCGTGAAGACTCTTCGTCAAAGGGATATTTCTTGTCGATTATGCGGCCAAGGACGGAATGAGCTGCGGGGAAAACACGGAGCAGGTATTGAAGGGCTGTGTGGAGGCGAACTTGCATACGCTCCTTGGTGACAGGAGGGAAGCCAGGCACTGCCCATGAGGAGGGTCGCGACTCGGCGAACTTGTCTACTAATGACAGCAATACCTGTTCCAGGTATGATCCTTGAGCACTGATCAGAGCGCCTAGGAACTGGGTGTAGACTCTGACGAACTGGTCATCGCGACCAAGCCACTGACACTTCAGAACCTCTTTCACAAGACCGTTGGCAGACCTGCCCAGATGCGGTACAAAGCTAGCCAGAGCCACCATGTAAACCTTGAGTTCCTGGCGGCGCTTCTCAGGTAGAGTCGGATCAGGGTCCTCGTCTTCGTCATCGTCGTCGTAGAATCGGTACTTCCCAGACAAGGTCTGCTTTAGTATATCATATTCCTCGTCATCTCCTCGAGTGTGACCGTCGAGGGCGTCCTGGATCTCTTTCTTGACCTCGTCGACGGATCTTGTACCAACCTCGTGGATTTCTAGATTCATGTTGAACTCGACTCTTTGTCGCTTGCGGGGGCTCTGAGAACCATCCATAGTGCCGTCGCTGTGTAGGCTATCATCGTCGGAAGCCTTCCTCTTCAATGATTGCGAAGATTTCAGAATGGGTTTGAGCGGTGCTGGGGAGGAAGCGATCTTTGCGGCCTGTCTCGACAGCTGCGCGACCGTTGTTGTGGCGGCGGGCTGCATCTGCACACCGGGCATCGAGAATCGTCACCGCCACGAATGGCAACCGCACTTGAGCTAGAAGTTATTGTCGACGCGGATCTAGAATCTAGTGTCTAGTAACTAGAGAGCAATGATGTTGATTTATTGTCTTATTTTCGACAAGTCGCAGGAAGTAGAGGTAACAGATCGTGGGACATAATTGTCAGATCGAATACAAGGGCCCTGGAAGAATGTGCGTGGTCTTGTCGTGGGGGAGATGAGAATAAATTGATCGAATGCAGCCAAGGCGAATTGAAGGCATTGAGAATTCGAGTGTCTCTCCAAAATTTTGATTTTCGATAAGCGGACTGTTTAGTTTAGGCGGTCGCTAACAAGCAAGATACCTCCTAACTACGTAACTAAGTAATTAACTTATGTAACTAGGTTAGTTGACGTAGGAGACAGAGGTAGTAGGAACGTATGTAATGTGGGTTAAACGTAAAGCAAGGTTCGTCTACTAGTCTAACCGTTAATAGCGAAGGCAAAAGGTGGAGGGGCAAAAATGGCACGTGCGCTCGCGTCAAAGTCAAAGTAAAAGTTACAGTCTGGGGGTCGTGCTAGACTCATTCAATGTATGCAAAGGATGAAGTACGTATAATTATAGTCGAGGGTTTATTTAATACTTTGGCAGTCCGTAACGGCGATACCGTTCCCCACCCGGCGCCCATAGTCGCACATCAGAGCATCTGTGCAAGACAGATTCACCATGTAGCAAACAACCAGATCCTTCTCCCAAATATTTTGCTACTATGGAGTGTCCGTTTAGCACATCTTCTTGACGTGACCAGCAAAGCATCAACGACCACGGTCCTGATTGGAGACAACCCGTGAACAGTGTAGTCAACCACAATTTCTGGAACTTCGAGTCCCAAATTCAAAATGGATTTATATAAATAAACTGACTTTGGTACAAGCGGGCTGAGATCCTCGTCCAAAAGCCGAAATACTGTCGAACTGAAGATGGGTGCCGAGCCGTGGGACTATGTTCCCACGCAAGACCCCAAGAAAGGGATATGGGGCAAACGCCAGGGGGGAATCTATCGAAGATCAAACGATCAAGCAGCCTTACTTTTGTGCAGTCGTCCCCTGCCACCAGCCTGTCCGAGATCTCATCATTTGTACAGACACCACCCATCCCATTCCAAACCGTGACCACAAACCTATCCCTAATCACTGGGACAGACCCTGAGTCTGCGCAGCCTGTACTCATACACACTCCAAGTAGCATTGTTCGACGACCAAGACCTAGTGGTAGACCACGCGACCTTCTGTAGTGTTGATACTGGTTTGGTTGATGCAGTAACAGCTGAAAGGCCACCTAGTAGGTTTCGCCGCCTGCACCGTTGTGGGCTTGGCCATACAAATAACCATCACCACCTTCGACAGATTCACTGCCTTGAAAGCCCGACCCAGCGGCATTCGATCCGCCGGGTGCACTCGGCCCATAACCACCCTGGCTGCCCGGTCTGCCCTGTTGATTCTCGCCTCTGTTTGACTGCGACTGCTAATTATTGGTCAGTAACTTGAGGTAAACAGCGCTAGCTGCAGGTCTATTGAGACCTGTTGCAACTGTCAGAGACATGGGATGAATATTACTTCTCTATATTTGGAAAGATAGATCTTGAGAGCCTCTGCGTAATTCTCAAATCCAAGAGAAGTCATAGCAAAGAGTATGTCCTCGCCGTTGACAGTCTTTCTCTTTTCCTGGTGGCATTTTTCGGATGCTGGATACGAGTCAGTTGCGTCCCCTCTCATCCAGGAGAGAGTATGCTTGCTTACCTTCGCTCGTGATGAAACTAATAAACTCACTCACGCACTCTTGCATGCACTCCTTGGCTTCTTTCGCGATTTTGGCGTTTTCGGGCAGCGCCATCTTCATGATGCGGGCGACTGGTGCAAAGTTGCGTATATTAGCATCATGGCCGTCATGTTTCTCCGCTTTGCAAGAAGCGCGAGGCGCTTCTGGCGACTGAGATGGCGAATCGTTCGACATGGACGATCTGTTCATGCGCGGCTGTTACAGAATCTCGTAGCCAATGCGAACCAGATGCGCGAAATGACCAAGAAGCGATTCCAACCAACGCTCGCAACAGCTCACCCACAGCTTCTCATCGAGGACTCGCTCGTAGCTTGCAGCAGGACATATCCCACCTCACAGGCGCGCACAAATCAGAGAGCAGAGGATAGAAGAGGGTCTCACTCACCATTGGCTATGGGCAACCACCTGTCCTGCTCCTTCACCTCAAACTCATAGCCGAGGCCGCTGTGTGGGTCTTGAGGGTCATTCATTTGTGCTTCATCGCCATCGGGTGACTGTACACCTGCCTCAACATCCTTCGAAGGGGATTGGGGGGGATCCGACATATTTGGCTACCTGCAGCGGGTGGTAGCTTCTTTTCAATTTTCTTGGACTGCCAACTCGCACAGCTGGTTACTAGGTTCAAACTAGGTATCGATGATGTGTCCCTGCCTCGGACACGTCGCAAGGGAGTAGGGCTTGCAACTGCGCGCGGCTTAGCTGCAGAGGAGTATCTCTCAGCGTCAAGGGTCTTGTGCGAGATGCGGACCCCCAACTACGGCTATTACTGAGTTGAGTAGTAGTCTGTTCCAGCGTGACCTCACAGTTCCCGTGGCAGCCCTGTCACAGTCTCAGGCTATGACGGTTTGCTTGGTGATATGCAGAGTCGGTCTGCAAGACCCTGGTCTATTCCAAGTGAGCCTTAGGCCTGGGCTTGGTAGTGAAGCGGTCGGCCGTGGTAGTGGGCAGACGGGGACGGGATGCAAAACGTGGACGGAAAGGATGCCCGCGTGGAAGCGGGGGTGAATGTATGTACTTTGGGAGATTTACTGGATTGCGGGCCTTGATGGATTCCTTATGGGTTCAATGGGTTGCTTAGTGCTTAGTGCAATTGCGCAGTACGAACCTAGTTGCAGTATAAAGCGCGATGGGACGATGTACTGTTTGCCCAAGCTTTGTACCAAATGGCGACTGCCGGTTATATCGGATTAAGCAGCACCCAAACGATGTGCCAGAAACACCAGCGATGGTCAAGCCGTGTATCGTTGGTATCGAATAATACTGGGTGTCTGTTTAGGCGGATGTGTTTATGTTACACCGGTGTTCGGAGAGAAAGCGAGTGGTTAAATCGTGGCGCGGGCGCGCAAGTAGGACCAAGTCCGTCGCGGGTACACTTTGGGGGTGTTGCTGGAAATAGACAGCCACGCCCACCAAGCAGGAATGGATGGATAGCTGCACCTCAACGGGCTGCAGCGTCGCGTCAGAATACACTGTAGCAGGATTGATTGATCTTTTATTTTCTTTTTCTCCTTCGTTTGACTTCCGACTTTCGACCAGATAATCGAGGGGGCGTCGAGGCGAAGAATCGATTGGGCTTACTGTGTTGGGTTTGGTCCGAAGTGCAAAAGGGAGGGTCTGCGTTGTCGTTTCTCGGCCTCGCAGGTCGTTTAATGCGCGTCGTGTAGTGTATGTAGATGCAGGGCCAGTCGGGTGCATGTGGTCAAGCGTCAGGTCGGGTCGCAACAAACGAGAACAAGAACAAGAACCACTGCAGTGGATTGCCTAAACTGGCTGACGAGATTTGAGCGCAAATAGTCTCGAGTTTGCACATCAACTACGTGGGGTAAAATGCGCCGCCGGAGGATCAGATACCACTGGGATTCGACTAGCAGAGGAGGATGCCGATGATGCGGTAAGTGTTGATGAAAGTGGGAATATTTGGGACGATTTGATTGACGAGACTTTTGCGGTCAGTCAGCGATCGGGTAAGGGTAAGCTTCGTTCTGGGGGGGGGGGGGGGGGGGGGGGTCCCAAACACTTGGAGGTGGATATTCGGTGGGAGGAGAATGCAAGGCAGGCCAGCCGATAACTTAAACACAAATCTTTCTTGATAGCCGTTCCGAGAATGACAATGACGATAATTAACCTAACCTTAGACTACTGTAATGTCATGTATTCACCGGCCAACGACAGAGTTGAGAAGTTGATATTATATGTTGCTAGTAGCCACTAGATTCAAATGCGATTGTATATTACCAGCCAATGATTACCTGAGAAACCACATACAATAATCCATATGAGTCTTCTTGTTGGCCGTTGGAGAGCGGGTGATTTATCGACTATCAGCCATTGCGGGTTCCTCTACAGAGTGCTTAGTACTCAAACAGAAGCTGGGCACCTTTTAGCTTAAGCCCCCCTCCATAGGCTGGAGGCTGGGAGCAACAAGAGCTTGACGAAATATTTGATTGAATCCCCAGGAAGCGCCCATATGCCGTCGACCATTTATTTCCTTGTTAGCGCCGCGCTCGGTAGCATTGGAACCTGCCTCCAGATCTGTACGGAGTATTATCACTGGTGACTTATTCCCTTGATATCCTGGTTCCTTGTAAGTGCGGATCAGCCCCTCATCAATCATCTTTCTACATGTCTGTGGTTTCAGCCTCGAGCGTTTGGAGGCTGTGATGTCAGATACGTTGTAGGTCAAGTCAGCTCCGCCCCCATCAATATGGACGGATCATGGGCCAAAGAGCTTTCGACTTATTAGCTGGCGATCTTGGGAATTCTGCATTGACCCGATTACGGCATGGGATCATGGGTTCTGCTTTACCTATTCTCACAGAACAGAAAAGATTTGACCGCTACAATAACTTGCGCCTACTTGTTGCTACTACTGTCAGTTTTGGGTGCATCCCCGGACCACCCGCTCAAATACTGTCGATACGTACCGGCACGGACGGGATTTTCTTCCTGGGAAGAAACCATGTACACTCGTATGAAGCGGTGAGAAATTCCTCTTCACGGTGACATTCAAGCCCCCGGATCTGACGTATGCCTATGGATCTTCTCATTTCTTCTTCGCAATCAAGTCTCTCTCTCTACATTTGCTTGGACAAAAGCTTCAGCGGCAATGAGGAGTCTATGAATAGTATCAACGTAGGTGGCTGGGGTTAATATTGGCGCATATTCGACAATTCATTACACCTCTGTCAACGCAGCTGCCCGACAGGAACAGGAAGGGCTGACAGTAACCTTCAGAGCGGCAATGCTTTTGAATGGACATTCGTATAAACCTTGCTTGTTCAACGACTGGCTGAGGTTTGCCTGGAGTCTAATTAAGCATGCTTCCAGTCTTACGTTGGCTGTCCATAAGGCTGGCACAACGGCACGCACGGAAATCAAATTGAATCCCCAGCCAATGGAGAAAATCACGATTCAAAAGTCGATCTGATTGGGCACTAAACCAAAATTGCGTCGACCTGTCGGCCAATATCCCAGGACGCTGAGAAGAGTGTGCTCAAGCCTTCCCTCTGTGAGACCTCGGCGGCAAAACAGTAGAGCTGGTACTTCTGTGGATCATTGGCAGCTGGCTAATCGCATGATCTAGATGACCTCCCTGCGAATGGATAGATACATGGCAATCGCACCAGGCTGCCTTTACGACTATGTGCACCTCGCTAGACTTGCATGTGCATCAATTACACCAAGCATGCAGGGTGCATTATGCGGCCTAACTGCGTCCCATGAACTCTTCTGCTGCCCAATCGTTGAATGCGAAGACATGTTTGACTACATGCTCATTCGTTCTTCACCACTATTAGACCCCTAGCGTTTGATCTGTCGCAAAGCGATGAGATCAATCATTACATACGTCAAACACAGTCCCAGCAATCTGGATCCGGAATCTCAATGGTTCAACACAAAATTTTGCAAGACATTAATGTGGCACGGTATAGGTACCCCATTGCTGCCGCCATCGGGCACTTGTGCATACGGCGTTGAACATCCGGAGACATGCTCGCACTCCGCATCTCAAGCATCATTTTCTGGTTGCGAACACGTTTTCGCAAGTTCTTTCCAAGGTCTTGTTCCGCTACCCCCACAAAAAGCAGTCATTCTTTGCACAACCACAACGATGACGCTGCAAGCGAGACTGTCTTCACACCCTCGTGTCTTGACAAATGTGACACCCAATGCACGTATGAGTTGTATAGTGACAACATTTTGCTTCATGTGTGCGGCAAGCCTTCGTTTCATACAAGTCCTACGGTCTAGACCGACTATCTTCGGTGTTTGGGTTGCATACATTAATACTTCTGCCGAATTCTATTGCGTATGAATGGGATCCCAAGCAGGCGCTTGAGGTAAACGCTCACCGGGACGATCTACCGACAGCCAAGGTACGATTACAAAACGTGCGATCACACCGGACACCGGGCATCTAGCACCGGACTCTATCAGCTCGTATTATAAGCATTCATTACATGCTTCTGCGACATGCCAGTTTAGAAAACGCAGACGGACCAAAGTGGGTGGTTGTTTGGCTGACTGTCAAATTGTGCTCGCAGGCAGAAAAGCTTTTGAGGCGAAACAAATTTGGCATATCTGCATTCAGGTAGTAATTGTACAGCACATCAAAATCTTCGGGGTCTTTCGTTGTAACCGTCATCTAGCTGACAGCTGGTGAATTATATTTATGGAAGACAGGGTTTCCCATAAACCCAGCACCATCCATTTCGTAGCCTGGCTTATGCCGGAGATGGTGCCCAAGACAACCTTGCGCTTGCGGCCTCCGACGGATGCCTATCTGGTTGACAACTCACAGAGCCTTTGATAGCATTATCATGAATGCATACCTCGAGTAGTGTTTTGGCCTTACTCGTCCTTGCCAAACTCGTGTCATTACTCTCGCCTTAGACGCAGCATGGAAATGTACTGCCAATGAAGCTCAATTTTGCACGATCTGGACGTTGTTCTTCTTCTGTAACGGCATTAGTCAGTTCTTTTGAGGTTCTAGTTCTTTGAAATATCATGCCAAAACACAGTATCTGCCTTGAACTTCTCGGTGGCATGGGAATGGAATGACAAACCTTCCACTTTTCAAGGTCGTCCTGCTTCGTTTTGTATTGTTTGACCAGCTCGTCCAAGACTTGCTTCAAACCCTCCGCGTTCGTCTTCAGTGCGGGAATCACATCTTGCACCGTCCGTTCCACCAATACGCCGTTGATCATGCGAAAGCATTTACGGTCACCTGGTAGCGGGTTCAATGTCTCTAGAACAAGCCTGCTGCCGCATTAGCTGAAAAAAAGCTTTTAGGTAGTGGCGAGATAGGAAAGGATAAGGATGTAGCCAAGAAATAGGGATATTTCCTGCACGCATAGCACTTGATGACAGAAAGCGGAAAACTGAAATACATAAGAGCAGTGGATTTGGATATTTTGGGAGTTGAATCAGATCATGAGCGTCCCGCACAGGGGTGCATGGAATTTACGTCCAAAGCAAGAAAGGGCTTTGGAAAATGAGGTCTCGACACTAGAACCGAAAATACTCACTTATGCTCCTCTGCTTCCTGTTCGACATCGCCAATCTTTTGTGCGAGCTGCTGCAGAGTGTTTTTGTAGTTGCCATATTGCGTTTGCAGTTCTGAAAAGGGAGATCAGTATATGACCCCTCCATGAGCAATCAGAATTGGACTTACGTTGCTGCTGCTTAGCGGACGAATTTTTCGACGCCATTTCGAGAATGCAGCTGAGTGTGAGACAGCTGAGCGCAATGGCCAAGGAAGATTCGAATATATAGCTTCGATATTATTTGAGATATCGGGCTGCGGAATAAATGAAAATGAACATGCCTCTCGCGCGATCCATTGGACCCAAGTGGGAGGGAAAGTGTGGAGGCCAACCGCCGAAAATGTGGCCCATGCTTCCCGCTATTAACGAACCCCTAGAACCGGGCGACAACCAGCAAATCTTCAGATTCCAAGGACCATCTGTAGCCAGTAAAGCCACTTTTGCGCCAGCGTCTGCACATCTCCTGCCCAGGTCCTTATATTACACACAATTCCAAGATGCATCCGCACTTGCATACAAAAGACAACGTCGGTAAATAGAACCTCAAACACACGCTCGAGATGAATCTTCGGCACAGTCTGGACTAACACAGCACCAAACCCACAGCCTGCGAGGAGGTCATGACGGCCCTTGAGGAATGCCACGCCCGCGGTTTCCTGTGGAAGTCGTTAGGCATGTGTAGCGACACGAAGCAACAGGTCAACATGTGTCTGCGAGCCGAGAGACTGAAGCGCACGGCAGTGAACCGCGAGAAAGCCAAGGCTAAGAGGGACAAGATCAACAAGGCGTGGGCCGAGATTGACGAGAACTCATAATCGTGCTTCGCACCGGGTTCGCGCGGAATAGATGTAAAACAAATATAAGCATGGTGTGGCGTTCAGGATCACAGGAGAGCATTTGCTTGGCTACGGCGTCTGTAAGGACGGCTCAACTTTTTTATTTTGGAAAAGTCGCATCACATGCGGCAGTCCACATGCTGTCCCCTTATGGGAGACTGTACTATACAGCTGCAAAGCGCACCCTGTGGAAACACTCCTCTCAAATCTCTCTTACAATGTTTTGCGGAATGCATCGCCGAAGATGAAAGCGCCGAACAGCGAAACCAAGCTTAGCACCACGGGGACGGGCTTCTTCAGGCGGAGAGCTCTAGGGATGGAAGATCCGCCGAGGACAACGGAGGCAAGAAGAGCAAGCTCTAGTCCGAGGGGCTCACTGTTCTGGAGGCGGTAGCCACCAAGGCCGTCTGGAAACCATCAGTCTCACGAATGTATACACCAAGGCGCGAATTCAGAAGCATTTCGATACATACATAGAAGACCAACGGTCCATCCTGCTGCAACAGACGGGACGGAACCAGTTCGCAGGTATCCAATTGTGCCTCCAAGCGCGGTCAGACCGCCCAGACCATATGCTATATTCTCAAGACCCTGATCTCACGATAAGCAAAGGTTTTAGAGTACGGCCAAGCGCAATGAGACTTACCATGATGACTTCTTCCTATGACCTACTTCCTGTGGTTTTTGTATGGCGTATCTTGTAAAGATCTAGGACTTTGTAAGAACCTGAGTTGGGAATGAATTACAAAGCAGCTTCAATGTCGACGGACAGTACAAAGAGACCGAGGTGAGGCAGTGCGGGTCCGAAGCCCATCGGAGGTTCGTTCAAATCACCGTCGCTGACCTCATCCAAGTGTGGCTGGAGCTATCCGTCTTGGCAGGGACCAACTGGGTGCGATCCTGATCCTCTGCTCCATCGTACTTGCACACCACTTTGGGACCCAAAAGTTCATTTTGATTCGCATGAGATGGATAACCAGAACCAGCTGGAGAGGCATCAATCAGCTGTAGAATAATTCCCCCTGTTAAGTGCAACTCGTAGTCGTAGTTGTTGAGCAACGAGTAAAAGCCCCCACAATTGAAGCACGAGCCACGTAGAGGGCATTGGGTGCTTCTGATTCGCTGACGTTAATCGAGCTTCGTGTCCCTTTGGCGCATCTCAACTTCAGACCTCCACTGGAGATAATTCCAGGGCCTGTCATTCACCAAGCAACACGGCGACTCTCACCTTCGTTCACACAATTCCGACTTTTCTTCTTGCAACCAATTGAGCAAAAGGGAGACATTCCGTGTTTCGACGATACCACAGCTATTAAAGATGGCGAAGAAGGCTGCCCCGAGCAGCGCCGCCCCGTCGGCCCCCTCCACAGGCACCGCGACGCCCATACAGACGACGACGAACACCATTGGGACGCCGAGCGCTGCTCCTGCCGTCCCAAAGAAGATCGGTACCGCCAGCAGCAACCGATGGGACCAGATCGCCCTGAACATCGTCGAATACTACCAGAAGAACACCCCGCAGCGGACCAAGCTGATCGACGTCTTCATGGTTTTCCTGGTCGCCGTTGGTGGATTGCAGTTCCTGTACTGCATCCTGGCCGGTAACTATGTACGCGTCCTTCTTGATAGTCTCGATAGACATATTTCGTCGCGGACACCTTGTTCTGGGAATCTCAGCTAACCATGGCCACTCACAACAGCCGTTCAACGCCTTCTTGTCGGGTTTCGGAGCCACGGTTGGCCAATTCGTTCTCACAGGTAAGTCACAGAGGACTGTCCCCCCCGAATCTGGGTCTTTGGCCAGTAGAAGCTTACACAAATGCTGTAGCATCCCTCCGAATCCAGACCACCGAAGCAAACAAGCCGGAATTCCCAGCAGTTTCACACGAGAGAGCATTCGCCGATTATGTTGTCGGCAGTCTGATCTTGCACTTCTTCGTCATCAACTTCATAAACTAAGCGATATATACCCTGATTGGCCTGGAATAAGGCTTGCGAGGCGGGAACGTGACACTCCACGTAGCAGCGGCTCCTAGACGAGGAAGCGGAATCAGCACCACAAAAGTTCTGATTTTGGTATTTGAGGTACCAGCTACAGGCGAAGACTTTGGTTGACGAGCAGGTCTGTACATTTGTACTATATTACGGCACGGGAATCATGCACCAAAAGCGAGCAGATAGAGACAAAACACAAAATTTCTAGATGATACTTGTCGTGGGCAGTGAGAAATGATTGAGATTCGTCAATCGCTGTAGCATCCGAATCCTGTCACCAGCGCTTTTGCTATAATAGCCAATGTATGGACCTCTTGGAACCTTGACTACTGATCCTTGTCTGCCTGCTATAACCCACCCATCAAAGTTTGGTGCCGGGATGGATACCTAGTCGACATCGTTGTTCTCTTCTGCCGCTTCTTCCGTTGGCTGGGGAGATGCCCTCGGTGGCCCTGCTTTTGGTGGTGGAGGCACGCCGCCTGTCTTCGGTGGTGGTGGCGGGGGCGTCGCCTTTGGCCTGGAAGATGCGCCGTCCAAGTCCCTGCTCTTCTTCTCCTCTTCCGCGAAGTAGTCGTCCATCAGTCTGTTTGGGCCATGACCGACCGCATGTCTATCCTTCTTCCTACCACCCCTTGGTGGTGCGCCACCCGCAGCTGGCGGCGGCGGCGCCCCGACCATCTGCGCCGGTACCAGGAAATCAGACGATGAGGCGCCCTGTGCCGAGGGAGAAAATGCTTCCGCGCCGTCTTGAGGCGGTGGTGCCAGAGTCGTGAACTGATCGGCCGCCGCGCCGACGGTGTCGCTGAAGCCGCCATCAAACATGGTCTCACCAGGCGCATTGACGGGTTCATCCAACGGCGCAGGGAGGCGGTGTAGCGCACCATATCCCAAGACGCAGCCCAGAGCGCCTTCGCCGCCCCATTCGCGGCTGGGCACGATCTCCACCTCCCTCGTCACGTTGTACTCGTTGTTGTAGACCCAGAGCCTCAGGGGCCGGCCGATGTAGTCCTCGACCATCTCGCCCAGGCCGCCCTCGCCGTGGAGGACGCCGTCGGGGGTGCCGAGGATGTAGTCGCTATACGGCAGGAGGCCGGCATTGTCGGCGGGCGAGTTGGAGGGGACGTCGAGCACGTGCCAGATGTTGGAGACGAGAGCGAGGGGCGTGTACTGCAGCGATAGGCCGAGAGATGGGTTCTCGTGCGTAACGGGGAGGTGCAGAACGCGGGTGCGCTGCCCTTTCGCGGACCAGAGGCCCAGGGCGACGGTGCCGCCGGCGCAGTTGCGGACTTCTTGGGCGAACAGCCTGGGGTCGGGGTTGTCCTGTTGTGTTGGCCATGGTTAGTTTTCGCTGTGAAGTAATGCATGACCAAACGGTCTCTCGTGAGCCACACGTACGATCTCTCGCCCGTTGATGGCTACGATGAAGTCGAACCAGGGCTCGATCCCCAGTTCGAGATTTGCGTTCCGCAAGACTTGGAATCCATAGCCTCCTTGTTCCCGCCGCTGCTGTTGCTGCGGGTCGCCGTCCAGGCGCGATATGAAGCGATTGAGTGCGTTAAACATGGTCGGATTTTGTACCCGTCAAGCCTTACCGCTGTGTAGGCTTCTAGAATGCACAAGACAAACGGAATCGACGGCCAATGCAGATCTGTGGTTGAGGGTACAGCTGATTAAATTGCCCAGCTTAAGCTTCGGACCATATGAAAGCTGTCATTATGTTCAAGAACACACATTAGCTCAGCTCAGCGCAGCTCAGCCTTATGCAGGGCCCAAGCGGGTCTACTGGTACAGTCCATGTGCGTACGTACTAACGTCAGCTAACCTAGTCTAGTCTAGCAGCTAAGGTTAGTTACGTTAGACGAATTGCTCTTAGACAAGCGGCGCCACAGACTTCATCAACATCAGCCTCGCTCATCTTTGTCAAAACTCTTAGCTTAGTCAACTCACTGAGGACGGCGCATCTGGTGATATGAAGGAGTAGTCTTGACCACGTCGAGTAATGGTCCGGCATGTTTCTGGTCCATTCGGCCGTCTCCCAGAACAGCCCAAAATGGATGCAGCGAAGAAGCTGCCCTTGACCGACGAGTGCCATCACTGGAAACGCCTGGGCGAAGTCCCTTGGGACTTGCAAAAGTAGGTCGCTGTCTTGCTTCTCCCGCGTGCGTCGGACTCACCTCACCTCCCAGATACTGGCAGCAACGGCACACATTATTCCCAAATTACAATGAGGGTATTCACATGACCGACAGTGCTTGGTACGGTGTGACCCCCGAGCCCGTCGCAACGCAGATTGCATGGGAATTACCCAAGACAGTTTCTGACGAGAAGACCACCATCATTGATGTATTTGCCGGCGTTGGGTCAAACTCGATTGCTTTTGCTCTTTCAGAACGATGGGAAAAGGTCATCGCGATCGAAAAAGACCCAGCTACACTCGCATGTGCTCAGCATCACGCACAGCTGTGTGGTGTCTTCGATGAGATTACCTGGATAAACGGCGACAGCTTCGAGTATCTCAAGCTCCTTCACTCGGCCCCTGCCAGCTTGGGAGACGCCATCAATGTTGATATAGAGAAGACGGTACTCTTCGGATCGCCGCCGTGGGGAGGACCAGGCTACTCGACAGATGCGGTTTTTGACTTGAGTACTATGGAACCCTACAACCTAGCAGCGATGCACCAAGCTTACAAGAGCATGGATCATGCTCTTTACCTGCCCCGCACAAGTGACTTGAGCCAGATCGCGCGACTAGTACCGGACGGCATCAAGGTCGACGTCGTGCAGTATTGCGTCGAGGGTGCGAGTAAGGCTCTGGTGGCCTACATGCCTGCAGACAAGGGCCTCAACAGTCACACCGCAGAGGAGGATACAGTGATGGATGAAGAAGCCTGAATACCGTATTGCCAATGAGTCGTTATACACAGGCAACTTTTCGAAGAGTTACAATCACGCTTATAAACCAACGACGTGGAATAAATGAATCAATTTCAAGGTCGAAATGTACGGTTTAGATGATGGACTGCCTCACGAGCCTTCCATAGCTGATTGGCGATGATGTGCTCAGCTTATCCGCCTCCTGTTTCTTGCTATAGTCGGTAAACACGTACGAAGGATGGAGAACAGCCAGGCCCAGAACGGCCTCTGACACTACCAAGCCATCAAACAATGCAAACCATCCCTCGATTCTGGTTCCACCATCAAACCCCTCGACAAAACCTATGGTTCGATATACATCCCGTGTCAGCAAACACAGAACGTCGATCAACAATACTGCAAGGAATATTTTGAACCTCCGCTGCAGGCTTTTATATCTACCTCCCTCAGGATTAAAGGTGGTATATCCAAGTTCGCGATAGGCGAATATTGCTTGTACTAGTGCAACAACGAAGAGAACCAAGAAAATCGTTAGCAGCAGCGCGTGTATGCCAATGCCCACAGCAATAACTCGCCCCCCCTTGTCAGAACCGGGCCCGGCGTTATAAGTGGCAGCAATATCCCACATGGAAATGCCAAGTCCAACGAGCTGTGTTGCGAGACTGATGATATCCGCCAAAATAAAAAAGCGATACCATCGCGGATTGACGACTGAATGCTCCCGGCCGAGAATGAACAGCATTCTTTCTATTATGAGGTAGATGCTGCCCCCATTGTCAGCTTGAAGTCGCAACGAGGCAACAATTATTGGGTCCCTACCTGCTTGTCATCATTGTCGGCGCTATAGTCAGGAAGAATTCGGACACAGCATAAAGGTGTATGTCCCAAGGGTTGTCCCAGTTAGTAAAACGGATGGCATAACCGATCATCTCAAACAGGCAAGTTATAGACAATGGTATGCTGAACGAGAGCCATTTTTTAGTATGCAGAGTAATGAGTTGCAGGCCAATAAAGCTTGATGTGAAGCTTGATATAAAGACGATGCTGACTCCTCGACTCGGACGGTAACCATACGGTGACGATGAGATGGAACAAGTGTTATACGTGCACGATGATAGTGAAGTGATCTCCATATCGACACCCGTACATGCTACCTCTTGAAACCGAATAAAGTCGTGACCAAAACCAGGGAGAACTCGAACATTGTTAAGGCGAAGAACAACTCAAGGACAGCATTCGTGCAACACAACCTAACATTGCCGCCCCCATCGCCAATATACTTTTTTGTTATATGAAATACTGCCAAACTACCTCGACGGCAGCACGAAATGTTGGTTGCTTCTTTTACGGCATCGTTACATGGCTGTAAGAAATGTTGGTATGCAATGAGGACCCCCCACCCCCCAGCTAACAAACCCGAGCCACCGCAGGCTGTACGTTGCATGCAGGTCGGGTGATTAAGGTCGACTATTTCAGGCACCTGGCCAATCGCGTGCAACCGCGAGGTTGTATCTGCATCGCATCGCCCCAATGGCCATTTTTGGGGGTCGCCCTGCCGCCTCCTCCGCTGCATGGGGGCTGAGCCTTGCCGCCTGGTATGTCTGCGGGAGCTGGACTGAGTTTTGGCTGCACTTCCCATGGTGTCTACAGTTAATTTCCCGCAAAGTATCGGGCTTAGAGCTAAATTAATCATAAATGTTTACGCGGAGAAAACGAATCCAAAAAGAGAACAACCTTCACTTGCAGAGTGCACCCCAAAGCAGTGTGGCTTGACTAATATACCATACATGCAGGTAGTATCTAACCTAGTTCATCACGCGATACTTTTTCAAAGATGATAGATCAAGTCATGAGCACAGCAAACCACGAAACTCCTCACTGCGCCGCCAGCGATCTTTCCATTTACATGTAATCATTTAATTCCCACCCCAGGAAAGTACACATTGGATAAGACTACTTGAAAAATAAAAATAAAGTAGCCTATTACACCCTACCAGAGTCCATTCTGTCGACACGCTAGGGACTGTAACATACATAAGGTATCCAATTTGCTTCAATAAGCGATGTTGGTTGCGACTTTTTTAATTTCAGCTTGGTGTCCCGGGTATGGACGATCTGTCCGTCCATCACTTGATCGGCGTGCTCGTTCTGTATGAAGTGTTGTTTGGCCCAAGTGTCTCGTAGAATGACAACAGCCTCGTGAAGCCCCAGGCAGACAGCATCATCTTTATTACTGTCTGCCGCTGCGATAGCCTTATAGACTCTCTCTGCGACTTCCACGCAAGTCTTATCCGACACCTGCCAGAGCGTCCCAATAACATGACGAAATCCCGCAAGCTGACATGCACTGATCAGATGAATTCCTTCGTCTATCAGCGCATCCATATCATTGGCGCCCGTCAAACATGCTGAAAGAAAACCTAGGAAAGGACCATGATTTCTGTAACACTTATCCTGAAGATCAGTCACAGTTAAAAGTCCGTCCTCCAGCATAAGACCACTTTCTGATGGATCCAGTGGATTGGAGAGGCCATGTCCAGCAAAATGGAATATCGAGCAATCTGCCAAGTGTGACATCACGTCCACTTTAGAAGGCCGCTCGAGTTCCACTGGCTTGAGGCCCAGCCGTGGACAAATGTCTTTCAGCTTTCGTATTTCTTCCGTGGCGAAAGGCAGGCTTCCGTACCCAGGAGTCGTGGGCATCCCCACTAGGACGGCTTTATGTTGCGCACGTAGGTCTACTTGGGAGCTATGCGTCCGCGAAACAACAAATGCCCGCAACGACGCAGCGTATGCCGATACCACGCATCGTAACGTTGTTTTCGTAGGGTTGCTATGTATTCCCGCGGCATGAATCGGAAGGTGGCTCATCATGCCAACCATAATCCACCACACCCGAGGTAACCTAGTTCGCGACGGCTGATACTTGAACCCCAATGCCTCCAGCACAGGCTCCGCAACTGCGGCCCACAGCCATTCAAGCATAAGGGGGTTGATGCGAGGCCGTTCAGACCGGAGCTTATCGACCCAATATTTGACATCTGGTTGTATCAACTTATGTAGGGTCACGACTCTAACGCCGTGGATTCTATCGAGTAGGAAGGCATCGCAGCCACTTTGGCTTTCGTTCAATACCACGATGGTATCATCGTTAATAACTTTGGTTACATCCCCCAGAGACGGAACATCGAGGAAGCCTTTCGTTTCTGGACGTGAACGAATATAAGTTACGATCTCCTGCAGGTCCTTCTCAGCGTCAAAACGGTCCCGAGATTGTCTGACCCAGCAAGCGAGATCATCATCGACGACTGCATGCGCAAGTCTTTGAGATGTCTCTAATTTTGTTCGAGCCCTTTCAAACTTGGACGCAATACCAGGATCAAGCATTGTGACATCTACACGACGCTCTAGCGCGAGACTTGCCATAACCCCCCGACCGACCTCTAACAATCTCAAGGCTTCATACTGTGGAAGACCCGCATTGAGTGCTACTGAAGTCGCTCTGCTGGTGATGCCCCCAAATTCCTTGAGCTGGTTCTGCTGATCGGGCCGTGAGAGCAATCTCGGACTTGTTATGACAAATAAGTCCAGTGCTCCCTTCAAGAGATTTAATGCTTCCTCCCACCTGCCCCAAGACTCTAGAATGGTAGCAGCGAGGTCCGCTCCAGCGATGCGGAGTCTTGGAAGTCCTTTGGGACTATTGAAACACTCAGAGAAGGCTTCTACGGCCTCTTTTCGGTCTTGCTGCGTCGTGTCTTTGGTATGTTGCTGGCGGGACTCCAGGGATTTCCCGAGCGCAAGAAACATATCCGCTCGTAGTGTATGATCGTTTTCTAGGTTCGTTGAAGCATCTGAAAGTATTTCAATCGAATCGTCTATGTCGCTGGTATTATACGCCAAATGAAACCGACGACGGAGGCTGTTACCTAAATCAATTTTAGCTTGTAACAGCCCAGGATCGTCCTCGGGCATGACTTTAAGCCAACGGGCTAAGTGTTCGATGCCCTCATCAATGTCATCTTTTTGGCGGTTGTTCGTTTCGAGAAGGCTTCGCCGGATCAATAGCTGCCCTAGGCTCACTGAGAATCGAACATAGTTCTCACATCCATCCGGGGTCTCATCAACTGCGCGCTGCATAAGCCCAATTGCCATATCCACATCATCCTTGACCTTCAGACGGAGGAAACGGTTAGTGTATGTACTGGCAAGGTGTGTCAAGCAACGTGCTAAGGAAGAGTCAGACAATTCGCCTTTGTTTAGGATAGACTCAGTTATTTCGATAGCTCGGTTTGCATCTTCGAGGGCGCCGACTCTAAAATATCGTAAATTGAGAAAGACTCCTAAATTAATCTGCATTTTGGATCGATAATGCATAATAGGCGGTCCATAATTCACGGCAAATGCCATCATATCTATAGCGAGATTCAAGTCCTCGATGTTGTCAGACCGTTCAAACCGGCGGCGAAGTAATACTCCAAGACATGAGGCTATTTTTGGGCGGCGAATATCGTCTTCAGAGACCAAGGACACGGCTTCTTCCTGGAGACTAATACCTAGATCGATATCGGCTGGGTTTCTGTAGGTTTCATATCGTGAGACCAGAACCTCTCCGTATACACTGAGCATGGTAGGTCGATCTAGATAATTAGGAGGGACGCTCTCTACCAACGCTTTCACGAGTTCGACCGCTTCATCAAGATTTTTCTTGTCCTTGGTTGCCTCAAACCGCGAGATCAGGCTTGTGCAGAGAACCAGCTTCGTTGACATGCGAGTGGTATTGCTTGTAGCGGGCAGCTCCAATGCTTGCATTGCTAAAAGGATAGCCTCGTCGACGTCTATTAAGTTTTGACTATAGGAAAATCTCCGGGACAGCGCGTTGGTCAGAGTGCACAGAACCTTCTCTAGTTGATACAAGCTTTGGTTTGTAATAGTCAGCAACGGTTTGAGAGTTTCCACGGCGAGGTCGATGTCTTCTTTCGAATCGGTTCTATCAGACCGCAGAAGCAGATGCTTGGCCAAATGGTAGAGAACGGTAGGATGGTTCGGATATTGCCTAGCTGCTTCCTCAGTGAGAAGGAGAAAACGATCTAGGGTGCTTGCCATGCCAGTGGTCACGTATCGCGGCATGGCCCAACGCTCCAGCCGATCCAGAGTGTTCGCAAATGCATCACCACCAACGGGTTCAATTAGTTCCTGTGCCTCTGCAATAGAGTGAATCACATTCTGAATATCATCAATGTTTCCTGAACATAGAAAACGATGGCCACGAAATGTGCCCAGATCCATCATCTTTTGTGGTCTCAGTTGGTGACTTCCAGGAATAACGAGCAAAGCCTCCTGCAATGTTTCTATGGCCTTGTTGATAGCACCAGCATCTTCGTTTCCCTCAAATCTGGCATACAGGGCCGAAGCTAAGATCAAAAGTGCAACCGCCCTTTTTTGTTGGCTTGGATCATGATGCCGCAAAACTCGCGTGGCAAGGCTAGCCCCTTCAATGGCCCCATTCAGATCATCCGGGTTTCGCGAGACAGTGTCATGATACCTGTCCAAAAGCCAACCTGCTAAGTTCAAACGCATGTCTTGATGATCCAGCGAGTCCAAGGGGGAGTCCCGGAGAGTGATCTGGGCGCCAGTAATAGCTCCGTCAAGGTCATCTTTGTTGCCGGTTCTAGTATAACGTAGACCATGAAGGTATCCAATTGTAGCTAGGAACTGTTCTCTTGTAGAATCATTGACAGGAAGAATCCCGACAAGATTATAGCCTGCGCTGATCCCAGCTTGTAGGTCTGCCTCATTCCGTGTATGCATGTATCGGTTCGCAAACATCCTGATCAAGTCGTGGTTGATCGCGATGAGCTCTTGGCTGGGGCGGCTGCCCTTTGGATTTCTGTTTGCGACATCCAGAGCGCGTTTCAATTTCTCCACCGATCTGTCCAAGTAAAAAACCTCATGCTTGCGTTCGTAATCCCGAAAATGTATGATTGCTTGGTCGTGGAGCTGAGACGCTGACAGATCACTGGGCTCAGAATTATCACCCCTGCTCTGCTCTCGATGCATATACACTTGAACCGAATTAGATACTAGTTGCCTTTCGCTAACATCTTCAGACCCCTGTAAATCCATTCCGCGGTCGTCGCAGCTTTCAGGTGCAGTGTGCGGCATTTGGGTGTTCAATACAGCACAACTGCTGCTGGTAAGTGATCAAAACGAGGGGTGATGGCTATACGCAGTGGCTGTCTGTACGCCGCTGTGAGGCAGTATGTAAGCATGTAAGCATGCCGCGTCTCCTCCATAGGTAACTGCGTTGTGGGTGCTGTGGATCTTGTCGTTCGCCTGACCCGGCTATCCGACGTGGTGCATGGTGATTCGCACAGGATTAGCGTAATACTGTGTAGCAAAAGGTCATTTCAAACATCCTACCCGCACACAGCTTGCCAGAAGCTGGCCGACCGTGACTTGAATTGGTGCCACAGGTCAGTAACTACAATTTGCGAATCCCAGTCGACAGCTTCGCGTGCAGTTCACTCGCTCAATCTACACCGATACATTGAGCCTTCTCGTCGCTATGGACCAGAAAAGCCCCAAGGGCGATCATTGGGCAATTCTTATGGGTGCGGAAGTTCGTGTTGAGAACCCGCGGCAGTCTCTCAGAGGGGCTGTCGAAGATGTCATTGCTATTGACAAGTATCTCAACACTTGCTCAACACCCATAGATGTGACCTTACTGATGACCCAGCCTCCCAGCACAGCAAATCTCCCTATTCCAAGCTCAAAATACGACTCTCCTAGCTACAATAATGTCATCGATCGTTTAAAACGTGTAATCAGATGCGGCCGTAGTGGCGACTATGTTTACATACATTTCTCCGGTCACGGGAGCCGAAACAAAGATGGAGCGCTCGCTTTGGTACTCCAAGGCCCATCTCCTGAGGAGTCAAAATATTTGTATGGAGAGATCTTCAGATCTGCAATCGATAAGATGGTGAAAAAGGGGATGTTCGTTACCATTGTTTTGGATTGCTGTTTCTCGGGACGTGTCCTCCGTACTGGTCGTCTCCTCCGCTCCGACATTCGATATATTGAGTATGATCCTATTGTGGATGACCACTCAGATCACAGTAACCCATTCGAGGGCGGAGATGAAGACTCTACAAGGGGCGCGGCTTATGTGTTACCGCGTGGCATAGGTCACGGTCAGCAGCTTCTAGACCCGGCTGGCTATACAATTCTGACCGCGTGCGATTTGGACGAAGAAGCTACCGAGATCGATATTGACGGTGTGTCTCGCAGAGGTGCCCTCAGTTACTTCTTGTTGGAATCTTTGGTGACTTTGAGAAAGCGCGGTATGCAAATCAGCCATCAGTCACTTCATCAGCACCTACGGGCAAGCTTTCACGTCCGCTACTATCATCAGACACCGATGCTCTATGGGAAAAACGGAATCTCATTTTTCGACGGACTGATTTTAAATAAATCTATGGCTTTAGTTTCTGCATACAAACAGAAACAGGGCAATATAGTTCTCGATGCTGGTGAAGCCCACGGAGTCCATGTTGGTGATGAATACGCGCTCTATCCATTTACTATATCAGAAAACCCGCTGGAACTACGCAGAGAGCTGTGTGTAACGGCCGAAGTCATCAAGGTTCTGCATGTGACTTCTCAACTACGCATGTGCGATGTCTCTGACGTTACAAAGGTTGAGGATGATTCAAGTTGGAAGGCAAAAATCCTTACATCTTTGTCTCCCCACCGCGTTCAGGTATTTTTGATGCGCAGTGTCACTAACCCTGGTGTACTGTTGAATGGTGCACAGAATGCTCCCTTTCTGAGCCTCGTAGCAGAGCAATATCCGAGCCAGGACGGTGAGCGCCCAGATCATACACCGGAGAGGGTCATGTTCAAAGTTGGTGTTGATGACAAGTCTATGTATGAGATAATGGATGTTCATGGCGTGAGAATTGCAGGTTTCCCCGAATTAAGTGCTAACAATGCTGGAGTCAATCAAACTCTGCTCAAGGCCCTGGAGCATATCGCCACTTACAAGTTCTTCGAGCGCCTTGAGAATATGAACCCTGATTCACAATTTGAGTCATCATTCTCTATTACCTGTAACGATCGAGTTCCTAATTATAACGGCTTTTACGAGATTCCCCATGGAGAAACATTGTCATTGACGTTCACGAACCTGGGCACAGTTCCTAAGCACCTAGCGGTGCTGAGCTTCAGCTCTTGTTGGGAAATTTTGAATCTCATCGAAGATTCAGGAAACGGGGCGAGTCTAACCATCTCGCCTAAGAAGCCTGGGGAATCCGGTGAAGTCGAACTACCACTGGAGATGGAAGTCCCCACACATATGCGAGCGCGAGGTCTACAACAAACGGAGGACATTGTCAGGGTATTCATCACAAGCAAGCCAACTACATTTCCGCTAATGCTTCTGCCTCGGATAGATGATGAGCTAAGAGGTGGCCAAAAGCTAATGATAGACCGCTTGGAGGCTCTGATTTGGGGACTCTCTGGATTGAGAGGTGGTGATGCGGGAGATTGGAGTACACGCACATTCCTTATACGGACTACTAACGATAAAGTAACAGCATAGTCTGTGAACTGCGGTCTAGGGTATTTCCCGAAGTACACGAATGTGATTTCTGCATTAAAACGGGTCGTACAAAGTCAACTCGTTTTCCTTGAACAGCTGTCCATTCTTTATAGCTTGTGAACCGTTCTCTGAAAGGCTATATTGTCCATCCTTGGCCTCAAAGATGTAATAAGGTCCTTCTTGAGCCCCGACTCCTGAAGGAGTGAGATATACCCGGTCAGTTGGCCTGTACTTGTACGTGATGCCGTACTTGTCAACGTGTGGACGCTTGCCATCCTCAGGGAAGACAATCACCGGCTTTGCACCGCTTGAGAGATGGTGTATTAGCGATTCCAGCGACCAAGAAAGGAAAAAAAGAAAGGGAAAAAAAGGAGGTCGTGATGAATGCCTTACTTGTTATCCTGCTCCGGCATGATGAAAATTGATGGTACTTGATGACAAGTCGGAGGTGAAGTCTTCGACCGCCTTCCTAGGGCAAACTGTGAGGGAAAATTGAAGAAGTAGATAGAATGATAACTTCAACCATGTTTCGGTGTGGATCTGTTAAAACATGGATATCTTTATTGAGGGGTATACAAGAATAGCGAATGAGAAATGTCTCCGTATGCAGGCTGCAGGCACCAGTGCCCAACAATCGCCGACAAGCCGTTTCAGGCCAACCTTTACAGCCTCATCCCAAAGTGTGTATTCTAGCCGGTTATACATGTGAATATTGTACTTGCGCCTAGAAAAAGGGGTCCTCGTCATGTCTCAACAATTTTTCTCAGAGTTATTCGAAGTACCCGTTTGTTGTAATTAAGTTTCTAGTTCATCAAATCATCTCCGACTTTGTTCCAGCAAGTAAGGCAAATCTGACTTCAAGCCATCATGGAAAACCAGACCACATCCTTGGACATAGAACTAGGAATCGTTGGCTCTACTAGTGTCCCAACTGAAGCGTCTCTTCGTGAGCTCTTTACAAGTCAAATCAGCAGGAGAGTTGCTCAATTTCGAAAGTTTTCGAAGAACTTCAAATCCCCCCAAGACAGCAAAAAGAAAGTCCAAAGTCTGTCTTCCCCATCCTATCGAATCGTACCAATTGGTCAGGGCTAATGAGTATTTCCACTTAGTTGAGGATTACCGGAGAGGATACCCTCGATTTTCGGCACTCATGGCATCACACGGGTCTTTCCATGTTTTCCGCCGTTTCACACACCTACGCGTCAGGCTGCTGCTAATGAAGCAGAACAAGCTAAGTATATTGGAGAAGAAACTTGACAAGATCGATCATGATGAACCGTCCCCGATGTTCTTGGCATCTCACAACATGGACCAGAGTGCAGAGCGTGCAGCGGTGCTCTCGGAAATCGAGGAAGCTCTAGTGGTATACGGTTCTTTTAAAATCCAAGCCCGAAAGTAATCAATCGTAAATCTAATTCGTACCACAGATAATTTCTTGGAACGGAGTCGGAAGACGCTTTCATTTGATAGTCCATTACCCTTGCACGTATCCAGTCTCGAAAATTGGCTTGAAGGCAACCCCTGTATTGCTAGGGAAGAAACAAAGTTTCTAAGTCGCGAAGAAGATTTGCTTACCGTTGCCGCTGTTGATGACGGCGTGCTTCACTGGTTGGAGCATATGGTATCAACTGTCCTGACCTCCTTTGACAAGGTGAGCCGACTCTATATCATCGAACTTGGGGAATGACCAATGATAACGAAATCTCATCAGTGGCGTCGGGAAAATAAGTCGGATGATTCTTTGGTGCATGTCTTCCCTCAAAACTTTACCGACAAGGCGACCCGTGTGCTCCTGACACCTTTAGTTATCTTTTTATTATTGACGCCTGTTGTGATATGCAACGCAATGAGTAATTCAACCAGTAGAGTAATAATCCTGGTGATGGCGGCAATTGCATTTATCACTGCACTCTCTCTCTCAACAAAGTCGAAGCCAATTGACCTGATTACGTGTAGCGCGACGTAGGTTATGTTCCCCCAAATGTACAAGAATCAAGGTTAACCATCCATCAAGATATCTTACGGTTTTGATCGTGTTTCTTAACAACCCCAGTTAACCATGCGATCAACAACGGCGAACAGAACTTAATGGCCCTTTTGCTCTCAATAACAGCTTTTCGCCGATAGTTATCTGCAATTTAGCAGCAAGCGGGCAACTGCTCTGAGACGCTAGAAGCTCTTTCTTGGTTCTGTGACCTGAGCTTCCACATCTGCTGTATTTAGTCATTAATCACAATGTTTCCGCCAACTTGGGCCTAAAAAGGATGTCTAATTGAAATAAGAACCTAATACGATGCGGAAAGGTAGACTTACCTACAGTGGAAGACGTATCAACTACTCATGCTGGGTATATCAACCACTGTAGTTTTATAACTATAATTTGCTAACGAACCAGGTCCCAAAATGCACATACGGAACCCAGGCCAACGAGTCATTTTCAATCGTAATACCGACTACATCGAAGAGCACTTCAGCTTGAGCTTCGGTGTTCAATCACTCTCTACGATCAAATCTGCCGGCACTATCTGCGCTACGCCTTGACTCTTGAACCATGCGTCTCGTGCATCTCTAATTCTTCGATGAAGCCTCAAGCAGACAGCCCTATCGCTGATACCCTCACTGTATATTGTCCGGTACATAGTTCTCTCTACATCTACACAAGTTCTATCTCGAACTTCCTAAAGAGTATCCATAACGTGTTGGTAGTCTGCTAGTTGGAAGCTTGCAATGAGGTGGATATTATCATCGGAGAAATCTACATTCTCCGACTTGGCCAGTGTCACATGCCCGCAGAGTCTGTGAAATAGCAGTCAGCACAAGATATGACAGAAAAGCCGGCGCCGACGTACTTCTGCAGGATATTACAATGTTTAGTAACCATGAAAGTGTTACACCGGAGTAATAAGTCGTTGTGCTTAATCCAGTCCCTGTAAAGTTGTTCAGCTCTGATCGTGGCGGAGGTGGGAGCAAGAGGTCGACACACATATTTAAAAAGTCACGAAGACGAGTTGATGGGTTGCTAGACTGACGGCATTCGACTTGCATCAAGATTTTCCGCCCCAGCCAAGGGAAGTTGGTTGCTTGTACCTTGGGTATGTCAGAACAATATGGATTGGGATAATCGACTGTGAAATCTGAAACTACTCAAATATATCACGTGTAAGCTCTTGCCACCGCATGGCGTTGCCTGTTTGCAGTTGACGTCAAATCGCCGGATCGGGACTAGCCTGCATCTAACAAATTTGCTACATATTACAAATATTTGGTTATATTGCCAACCAGGACCTGTTCTATAATTTGTGGGTTGATATTAGCAGTCAAACTCCGGACCTATTTCACACTTGATGCCAAAATATATATAGTGTGGTAGAAGGATCGCGACTAAGGAACAGCTTTCCGCTTCCCCCCGTGTTCACTACTACCACCTGGAAGACTCGATACAGAGTAAAATAAATAAAAAAGAATGGCTTCTTGAAATGTGTTATAGTACTCGTTTAAATTCTCATCTGCGAAAATAGTCACGACATCCGAATCGCTTGATAAAGCCTCGAGGGAAGAAGAGCTAGAAGAGCTAGTACCAGACGGATACAACAAAATGTGGGTAATCTCAGTCGGTAGTTTGCGCTTGCTTGTTTAACTACGCAGCTAGACGTTCTTCCCGTATCTGGAAATCGTTGTGAGATACTTGGGTGGTCAAAGTTTGCGTTTTAGAGTGCCCTCCGTTGTCTTCAGCCATAACAACGCCTGCTAATACAAGTGCGGCGGTACATGTCTTTGATCCTGAGAACTACCTTTGGTGGCTTTGATATGAACAACTGGATTTTATATCTGCCTAGGTCACCTTAGATGAGTCTTCCCGAGTTTCTCTCATGTTCATCGCCGACGAATGTAAACCGTTTAGAGCACGCATCTATACAAGACGCCTCTTTTCTGTTATTTTTCTTCTAAATCACCACTACGCTTATTAGCCAGAATGCCAACTTCTAGCGAACCCGGTGCTCACGTCAAGAATATTAGTAGCGAGGAGGAGAAGGCGTTGGTTGAGTCCCTGACCACGGCTATTAATAGCTGGAAGGAGTACGTGTACGAGGCCGAATATCGCGAACACTACGGTGGTGGAGATCCTCGTGAGCGTTTTCTCTCTTCTCTTCTTTTCTCTTCTCTTCTCCATCAGTAAAGGCAAATAAACATTTCAACATGGCCCCCGTTCCGAAACAGAAGAAAAATCTCACATGCTGACGGTCATTCCTTACACAGAGGACCGGTTGAGAGGGGAGATGCATAGAATCTACATTGTTAGTCTCTCACAGGCAGACCTGTCCTCCGCAGACGAGGACCGGGACATGAAGAGCCGCAACGACATGTACGAGCGGTGGAAAAGGGAGGTCAAGGAGGCGATCGCACGAGGTCCGACGGGCTTGTGGGTCCAGGAAGGCGAATCTGGCTACCCCGGTTTCATGCAGCAGCACTTCAAAGGCGATGTAGTCAAGTTCTAGGACTTAAATAGAAAAAGTGACACAGTAAATGTGTCGCGTTGCTATCTTGTCTTCATCAGAAATGTAGTTCTACATGTGGTTGACTCTGAGGTTGTGGGTAACTGAAAGTGTCCTTATACTGTTGGAAAACGACTAGACCAATATAAAAACGTCTCTCGCCGGTCGTACTCTAGTATTACCAGCAAAACGAGCGTCGTGAGTGAGTGGTGGTGATGCAACGCTGGCCGGTTACGGGAAAGAGCTCTTTCAACAATTAGCAGAAAGCGAGTCTTTGACCTTTGTATCCTTGACGCCGAGACACTATAAATTGATGAGTCTTTGTTGACGATGTCCTCTAATTAAATAACAAAAACAAAACCTCGCCCGAGATCCTCCATCAGGTTGCACCAAGACGAAAAGTAGACCATACATCCACCACCTCAGCTACTCAACAACAATGGGTCATGGTATTAAATTTTCTACATAAACTCTAGCACAACTGCAAGAAGAATGAGATGGTCACATAAAATAATGGAGAGATTCCACCTTTAGCATGGAGTACAAGACTCGTTTTGGAGGCTATGTTGGTAAGTCATTCAGATGCATAAATCACCAAAAGCCTGGATAGTCTGTGCCTAAGAAATGTCCCGACAGTGGTTGCCTTATACTAACAGTGAACACAGAGGATCGTTGGCGCGTCGACGGTCGATACCCCAAGCCGATGGCGGAGCTTCAGGAACTGCTCAAGGTGACTTAATCTAGGAAAAGAAACCCCAAGAAAAGAAAGAGAAAAACCCCCCTCATGGATATGCGCAGAGAATGGATTGAGAAAGCAGTGGCCAAATACGAAACCTCGAGATCTTGAACACCGGTGGCAGCAGGATGATCTTGGGAAAGTTGCCAGTAATACCACGCTTCAACAACGGATGTGGTGGAAGCTGAAGCATGGATTCGGCAAGCGGCCAAAGGAGACGCCACAGCCTACACTTGGACGGAAATGCATAACACATGATAATCAAGCCGTTAGAGGCATGGCCAGAACAATAGACCTGGCGAAATATATCATTGTCTACCGCCCGTGCTTTCAATACAAGCAATGCAGTTTCTAATCAAGCACGCAACCTGATCAACCCTAATGATACACGTGATACACCTAGACTCCGTTGCCGTTATATCCTTTGTTGGGCCCCTTAGTTGTACTGCATGTATGTAGCGGTCGAGTTGAACTTTAAGTTGCCCTTGATGACCTTGTCGACGGCGCTCAGGAAATCCTTCTCACTAGCGACCTTTCTCCTTGCGCGAATGGCGAACATGCCGGCTTCCGTGCATACACTGCGCAGCTCGGCACCAGTGGCATTGGGGCACAGTCTTGAAATGAGCTCCCATCTAATATCGCGCTCGACGCTCATACTCTTGGCGTGGATGCGGAGAATGTTGGCACGTCCCTCGAGATCAGGGAGGGAGAACTCGATCTTTCGGTCAATACGACCAGGCCGCATAAGCGCAGGGTCCAGAGTAGAAGGTCTGTTGGTGGCGAACATGACCTTGATGTTTCCTCTGGCGTCGAAACCGTCCAGCTGTGTAATCAACTCCAACATGGTACGTTGCACCTCGTTGTCACCACCAGCTCCATCATCAAATCGAGCGCCACCGACGGCATCGATTTCGTCGAAGAAGATGATGCAAGCCTTCTTCGTTCTGGCCATCTCGAAGAGCTCTCTGACCATGCGTGCGCCCTCACCCACGTACTTCTGGACCAACTCGGAACCAATGACGCGGATGAAGGTGGCGTCTGTTCGGTTTGCGACGGCCCTGGCACAGAGAGTCTTGCCGGTACCGGGAGGGCCATACAGCAGAGCACCCTTGGGGGGGTCGATACCGAGGTTGACGAATCGCTCGGGGGACAGCAGGGGCATCTCGACGACCTCCCTCAGCTTCTCGACCTGCTCCTTGCAACCACCGACGTCGCCATAGGTGACGTCGGGCTTCTCTTCGACGGTCATCATGGTTACTGTGGCGTCGATCTTGGGTGGGAGGGGCAGCATGATCTGGTACTTGTTGCGGTCGACGCCAACACGCATGCCCTCCTCGATATCGGTGGGGGAGACGCGCTCGCCGAGCTGGACGACGAACTTTGCGATCTGCTTGACGTTGATGACGTATTTGCTCTTGGACTCGTCGCGCTCATCGGCAATAATCTTGGTGCACCGCGCTACCTGAAGCGGTTGCTCCTCGGCCATCCGTTGGCGGTCGGCTGCTGTGTCCCATAGATGTGGTGGTGCGAGGCCGGTGTCGGACTCTTTGACGCCGATCTTCTCGTTGACGCTCTCTTGCCTCTCCTTGATTTGCTTCTCGAGATTCTTGATGGCGGAGCCGTAGGGGGCGGCGCCGTAGGTCTTGAGGACTTGGATATCTCTTGAGACGGAGGTTACGTTAGCTGATAGACAGAGGGATGGGGGAAGAAGGACGAACTCATCGCTCAGAGGTGTGATCTTCTTCTCTTCTACCTCATCGTCTGCAAATGTCTTCTGGTATTTCTCCCAGTTCTGGCCGGTGGCGGACGGCTGGGTGACGCTTAGGTTAGTAGAGCTCGGGTAACAAAGCAGATGCGGAGGGGGGGATAGCTAGACATACCATCTCGGAGTGCAGGAATGATGCCTTAGAAGAGATTGAATGGGCAGGATAAACTGGAAAGGCAGCAGGACTCGGTTGACTCGGGTGATGCTTTCGTAAGGCTTGGGCTTGTTGTTGTGGTTGTGGTGGAATGGAAGGTGAAGCAAGAGTACGGGCTATTTGGTTATGGTGATGGTGATGGTGACTGCAATGGCCATGACTACCGCTGTGGCTGTCTTCTTAGCCACTGAAAGTCCACTGCCTACGGTACTGTTAACTCAAGCTCAGTTGATTGAAGGTGGACCGAGACCAGGCACTCGGAGTGTTGCATAAGCTCTGTTTGCCTGGCAGGGATAGGGCTTATTGGCCTATTGGTAATACTGCTAGAATGGGCTAAACTCGAATCTGGACTCAATCGCAGCATGGGGATTTCTCAGCAGGACTGTGCATGTGAGCAGCTATCCTCATGGCGGGTGCTCTTCATGGCGCCGTGTTTTTGGTCTACACATCTACCGTATGGCACGAATAAGATTGGGAAAAAATAAAAATAAAAATAGAAACCTCTATCAAGAAAAAGAAGAAGAAAAGTGCAGGCCTCTGCGCAGTGTCTGGAAGCAATGCCCTGCAGCTGTCAACCATGTGAGAGAGAAAAAGGGAAAAGAAAAGCGCCAATCTAACCTAGTCAGGCAGTAGTCGAGCCCATAGCGTAGCCTTGCAGCTTCCCCAGAACATTTTTACTACGTGCTAACCTACTGTGGTATCAGAAGGAACTCTACAAAAATTATTTGGTAGCCTCAACGCAACGCGGGGCGCCAGTACACACACAGACACAGACACAGGGACCATCGTTCAAGAGCTTGATTAGCACCCTCCAACCCTCAACACTCTTCAAGACCTACCGTCCCTCCGCCCTGTCCATCCATCAAACTTGTTAATATGGCCACTGCATTACCGGCCGCTGGCCTGACTGGCCCTTCAAATGCCACCTTCAGGGTCCGTATCCCACCCCCATCGGGTTGCAACTGGGCTTGACTAATTCTGTAACAGGACAAGGAGAAGCCTTTGGCAGTCCGCTCTGCCAACATTGTTGCAGCCAGAGCCGTCGCCGACGCCATCCGAACATCTCTGGGCCCCAGGGGCATGGACAAGATGATCAGAAGCGGAAAGGGCGAGACCATAATCACAAACGACGGCAACACCATGTTGAAGAGCATGTCTGTCATGCACCCCACCGCCAAGATGTTGGTCAACCTTTCCGGCGCCCAGGACGTCGAGGCCGGAGATGGAACAACCTCCGTCGTCGTCATCTGCGGTGCCCTGCTCGGCGCTGCAGACAGGTTATTGGGCAAGGGTATCCACCCTTCAGTCATTTCAGAGTCCTTCCAGAGAGCCGCCGCAGCAGCAGTCCAGATCCTACACGACATGTCCCAACCCGTATCACTATCCGACAGCTCCACCCTGCTCCAGGCCGCCAACACCTCCCTGTCCTCCAAGATCGTCTCACAATACTCTGGCCTCCTGGGTTCCATGGCGGTCAGCGCCGTCACCAAGACGATAGACATCAAGACTGCAGACAACGTTGACCTCAAGAACATCAGGATCATCAAGAAGGTCGGCGGCACCATAGAAGACAGCGAGTTGGTTGACGGCGTCGTCCTCAGGCAGTCGGTCATCAAGGGAGCAGGGGGCCCCATCAGGATGGAGAAGGCAAAGATTGGTCTCATCCAGTTCCAGCTCAGCCCCCCGAAACCAGACATGGAGAACACAATCGCCGTCAACGACTACCGCCAGATGGACAAGATCGTCAAGGAGGAGCGTCTGTACCTCCTGAACCTCGTCAAGAAGATCAAGAAGGCCAAGTGCAATGTCCTCTTGATCCAGAAGTCCATCCTCCGCGACGCTGTCAACGACCTTTCCCTACACTTCTTGGCCAAGCTCAACATCTTAGCTGTCAAGGATATCGAGAGAGACGAGATCGAGTTCATTGCCAAGTCCACCGGATGCAAGCCTATTGCCGACATCGACTCCTTCACCGAGGACAAGCTGGGATCTGCCGACTTGGTCGAGGAGGCCCAGTCAAACGGTGCACGCATGGTCAAGATTCTAGGCACCAAGAGCGCCGGCAAGACTATCAGTGTTGTCTGCAGAGGTGCCAACACCTTGATTCTGGACGAGGCCGAGCGCTCTCTTCACGACGCCCTCTGTGTCATCCGATGTCTGGTCAAGAAGAAGGCTCTCATTGCTGGTGGCGGTGCCGCCGAAATTGAGATCGCTGCACAACTCTCAAAGCAGGCACGTTCTTTGACAGGTACTGAGGCTATCTGCTGGAAGGCCTTTGCAGATGCTCTTGAGATTATTCCTACCACATTGGCCGAGAATGCTGGTCTAAACAGTATCAAGGTAATATTTCCATCCATCCTTGTTTCGTTACGGGCGAGATGCTAACAACTATCCAGGTCGTTACGGAATTGAGGCATCGCCACGAGATGGGCGAGAAGAACGCAGGTGTTAGTATCAAGAGCGGCGGAGTCAACAACAACATTGCCAAGGAGAACGTACTACAGCCCCTTCTGGTCAGCACCAGCGCTATCGAGCTTGCGGCCGAGACGGTGAAGATGATCCTGCGTATTGACGATATCGCGCTTAGCCGATAAAGGAAGAAAAGCCCCTCCCAAAGTATCGATAATGTGTGATGGATGAACGACTCGCCTCACGGGGAAAAGAAACTGCCACATACTGTTTGCCAGCTGTGGGCAATGCTCGTATGGAAGGCCGTATTACATAGAGATGGAAGCGATATGACTGTCAAGATTCCCACGAAGTTATAGATCAGGCATGGAGTCTAGTAATGACAAAAATCAAACAGTAAAGAACCATCACGACGTCTCACGACCCTAATGTGATGTGTGACAGCTCTTTGTAGGATACAAATTCCATCCGGGATATGGAATAGCTACTCCCGTGGTAGGGATTATGGAATTGGTTCATTATGTGTTTCCGCGCCCCGAAGAGAAACCCAGATGTTCTTGGAGACTCCCCTGACCGATTTAAGGCTGTGTTTCCATTCACCATGCGGCAACAAGATGAGTGTGCCCTTCGTTTGGGGGGGGGGGCAGAAAAATTTCGGCCGGAAAGACACTGGCAGTGACCACTGTGTGCATACAGATAGCATGGTCGATGAGACGCCGCCTGCCATGACTCCAGCTATGCAGGGTCGTTCAGAAACTGCGGGACCAAGCGAAGCTGCCGCTGCGCTATCGGAACGGCGCTCCCGTGAGTATCTTGTGGGTTTGGGGCGTGGGGACGATCTTCCTGGAAGTAGCAAGAAATTGGCCAGACACCACATAAACATGATACAGTGTATTATGTTTGGACAGGATACGTGGGTATTCCCACCGTTGACTGTCTAATTAATTTTTGGTCGGATTCTCCTCCATGAGAGGAGCATGCGAGCTCAACTATCTATGGCAGGCTTCCCCTGAGGTATCTCAGCAAAGCTCCTCGAAACGCCTTTTTGCCTGCTTGAAGCAATACTGTTATTTGAACCCAGTGTACTCCCCCTATATACTGCAGCCGGTTATGTTCGGGTGGAAGTGAAGAAAATCAACAGAGCCGCTGAGTGTGTTGCTTCCCACAAAGGTGCTAATGCATGATGAATTGGTATAAATATGCCTCATTAATGTCGTCATCGTCCAAAATACAGCCATCCTCCCTGTTTGTCTTCCTTATCCATGGTGTTGTTCGTTGGTCGTTTCATGATTCCCCTTCCTCCTCGCCAAGTTTCGTAGTGGTATCGATCAGTATTTTCGTGGCCCTTTTATATGCCGCCAGGTTGAACAGGATGAATGATTGTCATCCTAAGCGCCCTCCACATGGGCCAGACAGCCTAGACACATCACATCTCCCTGGCTTCCACGCTCCACACAGCAACGGCTGCATATCACAGACCCGTGGCCTTTGGCTTTCCACCCCCCGGTACCGCTTTGTTCTTTGGCCCCAATGATAGTCGGGTTATGGTGCTCGATGTGCCAGTGAGCCTCGTCATCAGCATCGTGCATTGTAAATGATCTCGACAGCGCTTCCCCCGGGTCTTCCCCTGACCGCTCCCGGGCGGGTTGCTTTTGGGCGTCTGGGAGCCAGCCCTGGCACTGCCGTGTGCAAACATAGCACGTCCTCTGACCACAGCCCTCGCAATCTGCAAAGGAGTCGAGCTCTGACCTTTTGGTAGGCTTCCGGTGGCATATGTGACATGGGCTTAGGAGTGCCGAAGAAGTTGTCCTTGCCCCTGCCTGGGGCAATATCTGGGGCGATACCGGGGGTGTGGAGTAGTTGCTGCTGCTGCTGCTGCTGTGGTCCTGGTCCTGCTTGACCTGCTTCTGGCCTGGGCTCTCGCTGTCATCCGAGACTCTTATTCGCTTGGCCGATGGTAGTGGTCTGATCTTTCGCTGCCACGCTTCTGTGAGGTCCGGCACGGTCTTCCTGTTTAGGCTGGCGGTGTGGTGATAGACTATGCGGTCCACGTCGTCTCGTAAAGCACCGTTGCCTGCTTGGGCATATTTGTGGACAGAAAACGGGTCTCCAGAAGGTACTTCAAGGTTTGCGGGCGGGTTCTGGAGAGCGTACAGGGGCGTCTGTAGTTCCGCGTTGTCGTCCCATCTTCGCTTCTTACCCGAGGAGAGTGCGGGCGACTCGATGTGTGTTGCCGAGGGCATTACCGAAGCTCTTTTCGGATTGTCGGCGAGAGATCCGTTCCCTGTGCGTGATGTCCGAGCGAGCAGCAGTAAGCCAATGGTCGTTGCGCGTGGTTTGGAAGCTATGCCAAGAGAATTGGACGAGTGGGTGAGGTTTGGGCAGCTTGAATGCTCATGCGTGGGTTGGGCGAGGTGCCTCTTTGTTGTTGAAGTGCTGAGGCGGCGCGGAACAATCGATCGGAATCTTGGTTCAACTGCAAGGGCGAAGTGCTCTGCTGCGAGGGCCGCCGCCCCCACTAAGAGCCGCTGAAGTTTAGGCAGTTTAGTGGTTGCTGTGCAATGCAGGGGCGTCAGGGTAGGGGCCTAGGCGTCCCATGTTTATGACGCCAGATCCACCTTTTGCCGCTCGTTGACGGCCCTGTTTCCCCATGTTTCGTTTCTTGTCGGGTCATGTTAACCTTTGAGACAAAGCTCTGTTATGGGAGGCTAATTATATGGGACGCATCGATCATGATCAAATAAAATCAAATTACTGTTCTTGTCCATCTGCCTCGACTTTAGGTTCGGAGAAACGTGGCTCTTTTTGCCCCATACTTGCCGTGTCCCATCTGTGTTCCATCTCAATCGTAGCAAGGCCACATCCAAATTAGAGATTCTCATTCTATGGATCATAGCACAGTAACGTATATGGAATGTCATAGCTTTAGTAGGCCCACTTCGATCTTCATTGGCATGTTAAGCACCTTTTATTGTTATACTACTTCTTCTTCTAGCAGGTAGGTTTCTAGTATTTCACGACTTGGTCCTTTAAAGCGCTAATAACTATTCACGGCCCAGTAGCCATTCAATCATCTGAGGTTCTGCCACTATACACTCTGAGCTCATTCGTCTATACTATGCAAGCCACGATATTCAAGTAAGACAAGGCATGATTATCGTCATGTTTAGCAGGTCCCTTTCTAAGCTTGACGCCTATGTAGTGTTAAGAATGTAACCTACTCAGCTCTCTTACAATTAGTGCAGAGATTAGATTTACACTTCCAATTAGATAAATGATGTCTTATCACGGGCTGACGACATCATTATTCACTGTTGTGTAGTATATGACCAGGCCTCACAGCCCGCAGTATTAAGGCTCGATGTGTTCTAAAGTTGAGGGTTTGTAATAAGAGAGCAAGGCATGCTATCCTAAGGCACAAAAGAAAGAGAAAATCACAGGCTCGAAGTTATGGTCAATCCAGTAGGGGTAGTAGTACTTATGGGAACTCCTTTGATGCCGCCATGCTCCCTAACTCGGCTGCCTCCCGGCTGACTGCTTTGTTGACGAGTTTGCTCTCGCTGTCTGGGGTGTATGGTGAGTTAGCTTGATACCGCTTGGACGAAGGCCTCTTTGAGGTCGGCGACCTTGTGGTGAACGCAGGAAAGCAAATGTAATCAATATGTATTGGGGGGGGGGGGGGGGGGGGGGGGGGGGGGATGTCCCCCCGCCACCGCAGAGCTGTGCAAAGCACACTTTTTTTTTTTTTTTTTGTCTGTTCGAACTGGTTAACTCTAAATGTCAGAAAGTATTGGGGCGCTCTTCCGAATTGACCATGTCTCCTTGTTAGCTGTTGATAACTTGTCTCTTGATGAACAATATTAAGACATCTACCAGCATTGGCCACATAGAGCCTACTACTACTCTGTACAATCGAACAATATGATTCACTCTAGTGGTATAAAAAAGCAAACGCGAACGGTTCCTGTGAACTCACATTACTCTTACAACTACAATCACCCGCACTATTCTGTTTAGTCCAGCACGGCTTTTATGACCATTACTTTGTTTGTCCGCATTGGAGCAATGACCAAAACAAGAGAGGCTTACACTAAATTTTATCGAATCAGTATTCAAGAATACATGGCAAGTCAAGAGTATAAAATTGGATAGTCTTATTCACGGACCTGAGAAGACTCTTTCTATTCTCGTCAATAGTGATATGCATATATATAATAACCAAAGAGCTATGCGCCACTAATGCAAGCTAGAACCCCCAGAAAGAAATACCCAAACGCCATGATTATCGCTAATGTACTCGCAATTTATTCCGGAGGTACTAACTCTTTAGGCAATACTTTGCCCTTCCTGGTCCCTTCTTGACCTTGTCCACTGTTACTCCAGACGACTTCGTGGTCCTGTTCAGGATCGTACTCCTCGGCAGCAGTTTTCGAATGCTTCGTCTTCATGCCCTTGTATGACTTGGCTCTTGATTGCCTTTCGGCATCCTCGTCGGAATCACTGGGACCGTCTTCGGCCACCAGTGTATCATCAAGAGGATCTTCTTCATCTTCATCCTGGGGCAGTCTCTCATGATCTATTTCCTTCTTCTTGATGAAACTGTCGATGATGTAGTACTGCATAGCGTTCATGATGAGCGGGAAGAGCATCATGACAAACACAATCTGCAGCTTCTCGTTTCCATCCGTCCAGCTCAGTGCCCAGTCACCAATTCTCGCAATCCAGGGGAGCAAGAGGAACAGGACGAGGACACAAATCTTCATGCCAAAAAGACCGCAGAAGTAGATGATGGACTGCTTCACCCACCACCAAGCCTTGGGTGGACTGCCATAATGGCCGGATTGGATCGACTCGGCGGGTTTGCCGAGCGGGGTATATGATACAAGTGCTGTGAATACGCGGAGTAGAATGATCAATATCGGTATTCCGAGAGTAGTCTGCCGTTAGTTAGTATAGCCTCCAGCGTGGGCCTACGAGAGCATTGACTTACATCGATAGCCAAATTCAGCAAATAAAATGAGCACGGGTTTGGCACATATGGTTCGTCGTCCCTTCTCAGCAATCTCGCCGCAGTCTGGACAGCCATGGGCTCGAGCTTAACAGAGAAACGGCCGCTCGACAACATGGACATGAAGACGTTGGCGAGGTGCACCAGGACACTTCCGACAACTTGTTTCGACGCATCAAAGGCCCAAATCTTGAGTGGTCGCTGGGGCCGCTCGCGCCACCGCTTGTAAACGAGTGATAGAAGCGCCAGGCCGCCCAGCGCGAGCTGCACCAATAAAGCAAACGGGCCAAGCAGTCTGCACTCTCCGGATCCCTCGTCGCCTCCCGGGCCGCTCTCAGGCCCTCCCATTTGAGATGCCGACTCCATGACGGCCGTCGTGGCTACGACTCCGAGGGTCGTGGTGGTGGTTGAGATGATGGTCGAGAAGATCTCGGTTGGGGCGGGGACGTCGATGCCCACCGGCGCCTTGGACAAGGCTGTCGCTGCTGCGACGGAGAGGTCCTGTAGTAGAGTTGTAGTCGCGGCGCCTATTATATCTTTCGGGCTCATTTGAGGATGTATGACTGCGGCTAAATTTGTGTCTTCTGTGACTTGGCGATGCCGCGGTACAAGAGTTTGGGGGCAAATGTGCTCGTGCGAGTGAGTGAGGAACGATGACGATGACGACGGAATGCTGCCCACTGGCTTACAGAATGCAGTGGATCACCCAAGGGACGTAAGTTAGGTCCCACCTTGTCGCTTCGCTTCGCTTCGGGACGTTGAAAGTGTTTCAGAAGAAGAACTGTCGTACGCTTCAACCCGACAAAGAAACCGTCACGTACCAAAACCTTGATGGAGAAAGCGTTCAGGTGATGAGAAGCATTTCTTAGGAGCGAGTAATGAAGAAAGAATAGCTTTAGCCTGGTAGGAACCCGAGACAGCTGACCAGGAATGGGCCCAGATCAAATGTCCTCCAAGAGCAGGTGTCACATAGAGTACAGCCCCAAAATCCTAGTAAGAGCTTGGCACCCTACGAAGCATAATTTAGTTACCTAAACCCACTAGGCCTGGCCGCCAGGAGCCTGTTCAAGCCCAGTTTTGCAGGCTGTGACATCTCACTTCCGGGGCTTTGTCCGGCATTCGGCAGGGGGCTTTTAAGCGTAAAACACACGCTAGGCTTCAGTTGCACCACTGAGCTCCATCAGGCGACAGGCATGAAATCAATCCTGTTCTTGGATGAGATGATAACAATGATGAAGAATGAGCAAGAGTTGTCCATGTTTCTTCTCAAGGTTCATCTAGACTAAATGCAAACTACACCACATATCCCTTGGCAATGCGAAGCTGCATTCTGCCAGCCACGATAATTACACAAAATCATGTCCTGGCGGCGAAGCCCGCAAGTTGGGAATACGAATGTCCCAGAAGATGCAATTTCCAACCGCTTAGAACGTGAACTATTTGTTTCGACTACTCCGTACATATGGAGCACCATTTTATGTACACAATAGACACAACAAACATTTATGCTTTGGACCAAACCCGGCTTGGGGAAATGCAACGTATCTAGCTCATCGATGGTAGCTCTTGGTTCTACGTCATTCCCATCTGGCAGTTAGCCACGACACGTTGACCAGCGGGAGTTCATAATAGGCATTGGCATATTACATTGGAACAGATTGAGCCTGGGTTGTTGAGTACCGGTATGAGGTAACTGACCGTGGTATGACTGACCATTGTGTCAACTTTCACATCAACATAAGTCATGGTACTGGTGGATACATGCTCTCATTCTCGCATTTGGCAGTTCACGACGTGATTGTGCCTTGCTGTCATCATAAAACAAATGTTATCTCAGGCCCAATTTGCCCAGGAAATAAAATAATAAAAAAGTGAAGTGATTGGCGTGGTGCCGAATTCCGTAAAAAACCAGTAAAAACACCTTGACCATGGGTTATCTGGTCGAACGTCCGCTATAATCGTAACAATCTTAAACACATCCTCAACGAATGAAACCTCCTTCTGGGAAGTTCAGAGGGCTGTGAGAAGTAGCCAACGCCGAGCAAAAACTTCATCCAGCAAGTCTATGCAAATGTCTGATGATATGGCCAAATTTTCCCTACATATACATGGATATATGTATATGCAGAGTGCCATCTAAGTCATAACCATCTTATTGCTTGTCTTGTGGGGTAGGAAGCCTCGCACAAAGCCCAAAACTGATCTTCGTGCCTGCTCGGCGGCGTGATCCGGCTTGCTCTTTCGAGTCGACGTAACCTGCGTGGCCACGGCCGGTGCTGGCTTGACCTCCTGCTTCTTCTTGTACGCGGTGGGTTTCGAGACAGGCTTTACTATAGAGCTAGTCCTGGAGGAAGAAGAAGAGGAGGTAGTGCTGGAAGATATCGACGGGTCTGCAGACGTACGACGTGGAGTGCCAGTCTGGAGAGCGGCCGCAGGCCCGTCTAATTGTCAATCGATGCCGTGCTTCTGCTTCAGCTGAGCTAAATTCTCCTTGCGGGCCTCGAGGTCCTCTTTTGACTTGACCATCTTCTCTGGCTGGTGATATAATACTTTTGGCAAGTTAGACACTTGTTCGCATGATGGAGGTCTCTGCTCGCATGATCACGTACCGACCAGGTATCGACCCTGGAAGTTGAAGCCGTTGAGCTTGTCGCAGGCCTGCTTCGCATCCATTACGTCTTCATAGACGACGAAGGCAGTGCCCTTGGTGTTGGTCGCAATGCCCTGGCGGACCTGGCTGCATGGCTTGTTAGCTGAGAGTTCATGAAGACGCGGAGCCGCATTGTTCGGAGACGTACCGGATAGGCCCGAACTTGCCGAAGAGCTCGAACAGGTCCTCTGGCGTGACGGTGTAGCTACAAGATAAGCGTTAGATGCTGCCGAGAACTGTTCCGATAGGATCGCTGGCTGATCGTACCTTAGATTCTTTACGAACAAAGCTCTATCAGCATGTTAGCACACAGCCGTGATGGTCCAAGGTTAGCAGGGGCCATGGACCGCCCATCACTGGAGGCAATGCCTCGGAGCGGAGACCAAGGGAGGATTGGCTCTCCTGTGCTGTCATTTGACGTACCGATTGACCTCGGGGGCAAGCTTGCCGGCGCGACTCATATCTCGATTATGGTGATGATTCGGTTTCTCGATTGGTATCGGGTGTAACAAAGATGTCTGGGCGTGGTGGTTTGGGGGGCGTGCGGGCTGCTGGCCACGGGTTGATGGGATTAGAAGGTTAGGAGCGATTGCGAATCAGATCTGTCTAACAAGGCAAGGCGCAAAGAGTCCCAGCTGGCGGTCACGTGAGCTGTGGATTCCCTCGATGACTTGCTGGATCACCCGCACTTTTGTCGGAGTTTCCTGGATGCTTGCGGTGGGTGCACTATAATTCAGAAACAATCGACTGACGGATCGCTACGGAAAGACGGAACCGTGGTTCTTCAGTTTGAATCGCAACAAACCATTCCTGTTAAATATCGACTTGGCAGATGTCGCGCTGTCCTATCTCCCGTTTCTCCAGGTGTAAGGCAGCCACGGAAAAGTGGGTTTCAATGTGCTCAGGCGTTACCGATATCTATGGACCTTGAAAAGTGAGGCTTACAAGAATGAAGAAGACGTGTCTAGACATGAACTGTCTAATCCATGGAATGAATTGATTATTTGCGTGTTGGCGCTGAACAAAATGCTCGGAAACGACTTTACAGATACACTACCCTGAAAAACACAGACGGATATGACCGCACACGGATTTTGGCTGCTCTGGGGTGTTGCTCAATATGCTCTTTTCCGAGTATTAGTTGCAGTAGTTCCAACTTTGTCGACTAAACAGTAACTACGCTTCGCAGAACGTGTCGAGTTTTCAAGGTGCATTCTTAGCTCAAGCTGGAAGACACATTGTGCGCAGTTCACATACAAGCAAAGAAACCTTGTCGTGCCACAGACCTACACAATATGACAACCTGGGAGCTTCTGAAGCTCAAATCGAAGGGGGTGTATCCTATCGGTACTACTATTTTCACACTAGTACCAAGATGCACTCTGTAGTATGGAGTATCATTACAGGGGAGTCAAGTCCATGCTTCAGCTACGCAATCAAGTATCAATGTATTGTGTATTTCGACGCCAAGTACTTGTTGATTATATGCACGATCGAGTGGACTGATGTCGTCAACAGATACCCGTATATTCGAGTATGAATAGACCAAAAGATTTGATCAGGTAGGTAATGATATTTTACCCTGATACTCGAGAGGCGTGCCGCCGGCAGACTAGGTATTAGTGTCAACGTGTCTTCCCTATTCCATGTGTCAGTAGTCCTCACTGAGAAGTTGCACATGTTCGGTACATCTGCGCAGTCAAGTTTGACTATGATACCATCCAGCCTATCTCAAGCCCCGAGCTCTCCATTTTCTGCTGTGAGATTTGTAACTGCTTCGATTTTCACTTCCATAACGTCACCAACGAGTACAGCAACTCAAATATTTCACTATACATTTGCACCAGCCTTTCTCGATGCTTTGATCGTTTCGCGACTCTAACATGTAAATATCGTGAGCTCAATTCAAGAAGTGGTCTCATATCGAGTTAAATGCTCAGTCTCAAGCAAGGCTGAGAATGATGTTTGTATACCCTCAGTGTTTATCCCACGATCGTCGCCTGCACCAAACCCAACTTCTTACAATGATACTCATCACAGCGAGTGCTTGACAAGCCATAACGACCTGGGAAACATGATGCCGACGGGTTCATAGATCACAGTAGTGACGATGTTCTCACAGCTATATGTGATGATATTGTTGGTGCCGATGGCTCAACAGTGACTTTCACGTCTTCAACACTAGACAATCGCAAAATTCTTCATCTTATGCATAACTCAACATAACCTATAGCTTAGAAGAGCTGCAGCTCGACCAGAAGTACAAGCCAGACCTAACAACAGCTTCTAACTATCAAGATACGAGTACCCAATATGCTATCGCTATGTGGATGTCCGGCAAGGTCAACACGGGGTGCTACTGTGACACCAGATTTTACTATCAATATGACTACATATTCCGGATCAGCTAGCTTAACTGTCAACACCGATCTACGTCTGATAGTACCAGAGTCACTCAGTATCGGGCAAATTAGTATATTAGTGGGATGGGAATGCATGCAGTGTACCGTTTCTACATGTTATAATATTAGTTCAGTCTCTGACGAGGGAACTATTAATTTTCAGGTCATTCAACAGTCCTTTTTCAGGGGGAATATTCAGAAACGCCTATTGAGTCGAAAGCGGACACCAAACCCGTGTGTTATGTTTTGCAGTTAATAGAGCGGGCACAAAAACCTATCCCAACTCGACTTTCCTCACTTTTTAACGGCCCTCTCGTCTTGTTACTTACCCCCATGTACCACCATTACACTCACTCACTTCTACCGGAGCTGGAGACTTTTAGATCAATTGTCCAAGCCCTCTCAGAGAGTTCCAAATACCACCAATAAATCACATGATATAGCAGCTTGTACATCCTCGCTTTAACACCTTGTTGCCCTACTTCGAGCCGTTCTGTTCGGCGTCCAGTACTGTGTCACTACCAATATTCCCTAGATTTCTATATTAGCCGTTCTAATACAACACATCTTACACAGCACGAGCCATAAATCGTAGTTGCATTGCGCCATAGTCAAACGCCTCGAATTTTCGGGTCGTTGGAAGATTCATGTTGACTTTGTCGACACAATACTAGGAGTTTGTGCCTGTCTTCAGACACGACACTTAATATTCTGGTATCTTGCCTATAGATAGTACTGCACCGCCAAAGAATCGAAACAGTGTGCCTACCCGATGACGGACTGCAAATATTTGCCTTATGAGCCGCTGCATCATCACGACTGAATGTTGGTTACAAGAATGAACAGCGATTGAACAATTTTGAAGTAAAGCGATGTTCGCGTGTCCCTATGGAGATCTCTGAACTGTTAGGCTTAAAGCGACATGATTGCTTTTTGCGATGTAGAGTTCTGCCATTCCGCATCCCTGGCTCTTCAAAGTCCATTTGTGGTAAGCTGCTATCAATCCTGTGGACAAACGAAGAGCACTTTCCTACCAAATTATTTAGTCGGTGGGAAACAACTCTTAGGAGAACAACGTCAACCTGCAGATTGTCAGTTACGCGGAAACGGTTAACGAGAATACGAAAACTCAACTAAAACCTACTCTCCTAAACAACGACAGACACAATTTCGGAAATTATGAACGTTTTCCAATGGTCGACTTTTTGAGACTTGATATATTTGATGCTGGTAACTGCAAGGGGGGCACTGTCTTGCTTTTTATCACGCATGCGGCTCTTGCGATCGATGATCTCCTCATGTTCTGATATTCTATGTTTGCTTCGGTAATTGTTGTATTTCTTCATTATGGCCTGTAAGCTCTTAGTTTTTGCTATTGTTGAAAGCATTACAAACGAGTCTACAATCACATAGATCACCTTCTACACATTCGCGAGCTGGAATGTGATCCTACTAGACTGGCAGATTCTGCAGCAATTTCAACCACCTTTTATGCACTTCCTTGGTCATTATGTGCGGGAACTTTAACAGCCATTCGTGCCCTTTTCAAAAGACATAGGCCACAGGTTGACATATAAAGCTCATATTCAATTCTCCATGTTGTCAAAGTTATGTAGCGTCCTAAGCAACAGCAGAACAATATTACTTGAAGTTGGTCGACCAAACAAGAACAGTGTAGCGAGTCCTCGTCTTACGTATAGAGGTGCTTTTCCTCAATTGACCCGAGACAAGTATGTAAGATTCAGAGTGGCTTGAGACATTTATACTCGGCGAACGGGATGTGTCACCAGCCAGCAAGTTTAGGTGCGGACCGTCTTATGCTTTTCAAGCTTGAGTCTAGTCTAGACTAGTTTGGCAGTATTTTGCAATTCAGACACGTACAATTATAACATAACCGCAGGTCGGTGCAAGCGAGAAACTGTGAAAAAGGTGTACTCCTCTATTAGCGCTGCTACAGAGTCATCGAAACTGCCAGCATATGGTGCCAAATGCTCTGTTCTCCAAACCTTCTCTCATATGGCCGCTCCTCTATATCAAAATGTGGAAGAAGTGCATAACCACAGAACACCCTAGAAATAACGCCCCCAAGTTTCATCACCAATGCCGCGAGTACCGAATCACACGGCACGCAACTATTTCAGTGAATCCGAGTTATATAGTCTGATCATAAATTGCGGTCGTAACGTTGACTATACTGATGTAGGTTATTTTCATTGCTGAGGCTTATATGCCCGGTATCCCGGGTAGGCCGACCCTCCGCCGTTAGCCTGTTGGGGTGGTGGCGGTGGTTGCGGTGTTTGGCTGGCATCTATAGCTTGTGACCGGCTGTAGCCAGATGTGAAGTCAAAGCCTGCCGTGTTGACGATGGGGGACTGGGGCTCTTCTGGCTCCTGTTGATATGAGGGCGCCCCGTGATGGTAAGATGCGTCTGTGTATTGGCGGTCAGGCTCGGCCCTAACCAATGGTCGAGCGGAGTCTGAAGAGTATTGTCGTGAAGGTGCGGCTGGGTACTGTCTGCCATAACTGTTCGGCGTATTGCTTCTATGGTCATAATCATATCCGGTTTGTTGAGGAGCAGGAGATCGCATCCGATCTGGGTTTCCGTATGGTGCATTTGGTGGTGCTGGGGACCGGCCTTGAGGTGGTCGTCCATAGCCATTTCCAGGCGTGTTGCTTCGGGATGGGCCGGTGGCAGGCGTCATGCTCCGTCCGTACTCGTCATATGGCCTGGGAGTTCGAGTTTGTGGGAACCCTTGACCACCTGTTGCACCTCGATAACCACTATTGTTATAATCCTGGTGCGGTGTCCGTCTGCCTTGACCCATCGAAGTTGCTGCCGCTGCAGCTCCGAAACTTTGATCGTTGTAGCCTTGGTTCTCGTAACCTTGGTTGCTATAGCCCGAGTTGCCGTACCCCTGATCATAACCTTGGCTTACGTTGTCACGAGACATCTGGCCATAGCCATTGTTGGCATAGTTGTTGTAAGCTTGCTGCTGGCCAGCCCCACCCCTTCCATACGGGTCCGTGTTAGAGCGAGTGGGTGGCTGTTGACCCATCCCGCTCATCGCGTATGGATCTGTCGCTGAACGGGCAGGCGTCATGTAGCCCGAGGTATTTTGGCTAGGAGCCCCGTATGGACTATTTCCACGCATTTGAGATCCTGGATTGGGACTTGCTGGTAACGACATAGCGCCTGGTCCCATGAGTGGTGCATTCTGAGCAGTCTCGGGCTTCTTAAGCTGCTCCAATTCTACCGCATCCTCTATTGCAACCTTCTTGGAATTACCGCCCTCCCAGCTCGGCATTGCTGGCAGCTCGTCTCCACCTCCTTTCTTGCTGGTCTCGAATTCGGCATACTGCGGTGGCTCTGGCTTGGCTATGGGCTTGTCGTAGGTAGAGGCCGGCACAGCATGCGCAGCTGTCATCGGAGCCTCTGAGCGGTATCCCTGGTCATGGTGAGGTGGAACATAAGGTTCGTCCAAATACTTCTTCTTCTTGGGCGAGTCGCACATGCCACAGCATGAGCCACAACACTTAAGACAATAACAGCATTCACAGCAGCAAGAGACACCACAACAAGCGCAGCGGATAATGCACCAAACGATTGAGAATATGATCAGTCCACCAACAATGATGACTGCGATCACAGGCCATCTAATGAGGGTTAGTGTCTAGCATATTCGGAAGGAATAAGAACAAATGTGTGCTGTGAAGATACGTACTTGCAAAATGTAGCCTGCATACAATTGTCCCAACTGGAAAATGCGGTTTTCACATCTGTGATCTTGCCTTCAATATTGCTGGTAGTGCTTGTAGTGTCTCGTTTGCCCATTCCGGCCAGTACACTTCTCGCAAGCAGATCTCTGAGCGCATCTCCCAAACCTCGAGGCTCCTCCAAACTCCGTACCATGGCTGTTCCAATGTGAGGCATCTTAGTGATTTTAAAAGAATGCCGGCGGTAGAATAACTCCTTATGGTTCAGTATGCCACAGTCGGAATTGGTGGAAAATCACAAAAATCGGAGAAAACCAGCGGGCCCTACGAATCCATTCTCCAGGAGTGGTTGAGGTGCATAAAATGATCGTAATTCTCCTTTCCCTGCCTGTCGCGGTGTATAGCGAAAGCCAATTTCCCCAACCACCGTAGACTGTTCTGAACCAAACCAAAGTCGACCTCTCACGGATATTGGCAAACGATAAACCTTAAAAGTCGGGCGCCGGGTTTCGGTATAGTGGACGCGTATGTGAGCACGTGTTGAGTTCGGCTCAAAGAAATGAAGAATAACAAATAATAAGGAATGACTTGAATTGCTGCGCAGCTGCTGAGAACAAAGGAGTGACTGGGAGCTTTGTCCCTATGGCCGGTAGTCTTCAAAGGAAGGAAGGGAGGAGTGGTGTGGTGTGGTGCGAAGCGAGAAAACGTTCGGAGAATTCGGGGGCCCTAAACAGACAATACTCACTCGTCATGCTCACCAAGAAGCGCACATGCACTCAAAGCCTGCTGGAGGGAGCAGGAAATGAAGAACGACACCGTAGAGGAGCAAGTCGCAATTAGCCCAGGGGACCAGGGGTTGATCTGATGCCCACAGGATCTTGACTGGGGATGAGCGGACCCTAATTGAATTCGTCAAGTTGGACAATGCAAGCCCCTGACAAGACCCTCCACCAACTGGTTTAGCGCGTGCCTCGGACTGTTTTTAGGGCCTTGGATTCATGTTAGCTGCAGCTGAGGCGCAGGGAGTCAGGGACGCTGGCTGGATGGATGCCATTTTGAGGCTGGCCCTCCCGTCCAAGCAGTGCCCAGAATTCTGCTTCGTCACTCAAACCCGTGCCCAGACCACCAGGTATTCTCGTGAAACTACAGAGGCGAGGCTGTGTACGAAGTAGGCGCCTACACGTATGAAACGAGGACAGACAACTTGGCCGGTAGCGGCCTGTCAAACAATATCCCGCATTAAACAAACACCAATGTCTACCTGTGTTCCGGGCATGAACTACTGCATTGCTGTTTTATTTGCCCATCCCGACGAACATTCGGGTCGCATGCATGTCTCGGGCGGGCTGCTTTTATGGGGAATTCCAGAATTGCGTGTACGTGTAGATTGAGTTAGTCTCATGGAGAGTGCCCGAGTCCACGGAGAGACCTCTAGTCTCATGGCCCAATGAGATCATAGAAAAAGAAGTCGTTTACAACATCGCGTTTCGTTCTTAATTGCTGATCGTAAGGTTCGCAATAGCTTTTGCCTGATATGATCACCGTTTCCTGTCTTTACAGTAGACAAAGACAACCGGACGAAAGTAGATAATCTGGATCAGCAGAACCAGAAGCTAGGTTGCACAGCCTGAACCAGCTCAGAACCCATCACAGCCCCAACAGACCACAGGTTGCGTAAGTGATGCAGCTGAACAGAGTCTTGTTGCAACAATTTCGGGTAATGCATTACCCAAAGGGCCTATATCATTATAGAGAGATTCTGATTCAATTTAATGCTTGTTAACCACATTCCATCGACAACTTTGGTTCTTCCAGATTGGTCTTCTAGGCAGAGGTCTCTGGTCAGGCTGGCGACACGTCGCGCGTCGGTAAACTGGTTCCAAGAGCAAGGGCTGGAGATGAACAAAGAAATTGAGGGCAGGCCATACCAGCAGCTGCCAGTATTGAGGAGATCGTCGTGTGGGGTCCAGCCGTTGCAGCCTTGGCAGTCTGTGCGGTTTCTTCAACTCGACCCGCTTGTAGTGTCACTTGTCAAGACTCATATCCGGCACTTGGCGGTATGATCACTATTGGGACTTTGGGTATTGATTCGAGGAGAGGTCCACATTTCGGACGGTTTAAAGTCCGCATTAATCGCTTCATTCTCTAGACCTAATCGGAGGGCAGAGAACACTGTGAGAGTCGAACCTTGTGAGCGACTACAATGTGACTCGTGACTAGTTTTGGTGGGTTTTCCCAAAGCGGGTTCTCCTTCTTCCAACCAAGGTAACAAGGGCTGTGATTGGGTATTCTACACATACCATTATCTTCGGCATGTTGCTCACGGTCAAAACCAGTGTCACGCACCAGCACAGGCGTTGAGTGGTTGTGGTTTTCACTATGGGTTACTACAAGCTGATGCTCTGCATAGTGAATATGCCATATACGTAAACATGATGCGTCGATAACCCTCAGCCAATTTCGTATAAGCTGCCACTACGGCTCTCATTGTTTGTCCTTCTCGTATTATGATACACATCTGCATCGAGCGATAATAACAAGATTCTCTACACGTCGGAAACACTTAGACATTGAAAACTCTCTACAGAGATCAGCCAGGAGCAGCTCCTGCATTGACAAGAAAGGCGACGACTCAATGACAGTCACAGCAAAATCTTTAACTCTGGCTGAGGCTCGGGCTCGGGGTCATCCAAGGGTGGCAGTTCCTGCGGCGGCAGCTCTGAAGGAGGCTTTCGCGGTGGTTTTTGGGGCTGCAGCCCTTCTGACGATTGGAGAACTCACCAGTACGCCCCGATTCAGAAGGATGAGACCGTGAATCATAATGGGTCATCGGGCCAGTGCAAGGAGCAACATGATCGAATTGTGAGGGATCGAGATGATTGATCTCTCACGGGTGTAAAGACAGAATAGTAGGCTACCGGTGTCCTGCGGATATGGCATCGTTGGAGTGCTAGAACCTGCCGAAAGCAGCTATTCTTGAGACCTAAGATTCTGATAACGCTGCCGTGACGAGTCATTGTGCTGCACCCAAGTTGTCCTTCAAGATATCATATATTCAGAGTTGCATCCTTGTTATCCTCGATAGAGTGTATCTGAAGCCAAGTCCTTAATCATGTCTCATTTGCCGTTCATATTCAGTACCAGCAGCATTTCTTGGAGCAACCCGTGAAAAAGTAAATCTGTGAAAGTTGTGTTCAATGCAGGCTCAATACTTCTTTAGCCAGGATGCGAATACCATGTTTGCGCGAGGATCTGCCAAAGGTAGTGATTGTCCAATCATGACGTGACTTAAGTACTCCACGGAGCGAGAGATGGCAATAATAACTTGTCATCCACCAATGGGAAGAGGGTCTTATTGCGAAGAGCAGAATATTTTGTGTTGTCTCTTGTTAGGATATCAGGCACCCGTGATTTATAAAACGGCACAGCAACCAGTCATTACCTATGGTTGGTTTTGCCACGGCTGAAAGAGGGTGAGTTGAGGAGACGGTACTGATGCTGCATCAGGTTGCCGCAGGGCACTGTCATTGGCGAGAAACACCGAGAAAGCAGATTATGTCTGCCGTAATGACCTGCCTTGATTACCCTAAAGCAATCCTTCGCGTTGTGGTGTGAGGCTATCATGTGAGCTCTGTTGAAATCACAGTGATTATTGGACAATGTTGAGCGCACGTCAAACCAACATCGGAATGAATTGATAGACATTATTGTACTGAATTAGCAAATGTCATTGAATATGGCACTCTTCTGATAACTAATCGAGCCGCCAAGGAGATTGTGTTAATCCCGTCAGAGACTCGAGAATGAAATGCTTTCGATGCAAGAACAACGCTCCGCAAATACCAATATGTTATTAACTTTATTTATGACCCAGTGACGCTTTCTGAGCATGGCTGCCGTGTCTGCTCCAACACAGACACCTACCATTCTTGAGCGTGCAAATTACTTCCGTATAACGCCGTGGTGATCCATTCTCCAAGCTTCATTTGGGGTATAAAATCTCCATTCTTCATCATCCTCATTGCTCGAGCATCCTTTATCATTACCATGCCATCCACCGTGCAGTCTTAGTGAATCTTGGCAGGGGGCGGGCCGGGCGGAGGAGCGTACTCGCCCGCAGGCGTGTCCTTGGCTTGCGCGACGCCTTCACGCTGGCCATAGTAACCTTGTTGCGAATTGTAGTTCTGGTTCTGCATCGGGTATGACTGGCCGGCTCCATAAGCGGGCGGAGGTTGTTGGCTGTTGTTGTAGTATGCATTCGGGTTGTTCTGGTTTTGTCCCTGGTTACCCGCCATCCAGCCAGTGCCGTACATGGGTTGCGCGCCGCGTCTGCGACGACGGCGAGAGTTGACGCATCTGCACAATGAAGTCAATATCTGCAGGGAAAGCGCTAAGCAAAGTATGCACGGGGGAAAAAAAAATACTTACGCCCACAAGAAGCAGATAGCCAAGATTACCACGATGACGATCGCGGCGAAGATCCAGCGGCCGTAGTAAGACCAAGCAGAGCAGTTGTTATTGTATCCATAGTAGGAGCTGTTGCAGTAGTAACGCTTGCCGAGAAGCGACGTTGTATCGGTAGGTGCCATATCGCAGGATGTGTCAAACAAAGTGTCCAATATGGAATGAGTTCTTAGGTCTTCAAGTGATGAGTTCGACAATTCTCTGGAGACAGTTGTAGTTTGCTGGTGCGACAAGCGAGATTGAGGCAACCCAAAAGTGATGCAACTGCAGGTTCAAGTTACAGGGATCAGCTCGATGTTGTGTTTGTGACGTCGACTATCCGGCAAAGGCTAGTGAGGGCAAGCTTCCAGGTTATTGGAGTTGCGCAAAGCTGTCAAATAGTTAAGTGTATCAAGCACAGAAATGAGAGGCCAGTCTGTTGCAGAAAGGAACGACGGCCTTTTTACGTTTGATGTTTTCCTGCCACTTCAACCCGAATCTGCCGTGTTCCGACTTCTGATTCCACTGAAAAGAGGCGTGGCGATTGCACTTTGGAAAGCTTTGGTGGCTGTGCTGAAGCTTGGCAACCCAATCGCTTCACCTTAGCATTCCTTAGCCGGATGATCTCATGCCACCCAAAGTTGCTTCTCAAGCTTCTGTCACGGAAGTTTTCAGTGCTAGATTTTCTCAGTGCCTTTTGTTTAGCTCACGTGAAGTGGCTCAGCTGGGCTGTTGACGAACACATTACTATACCTGGGCGTATAAGTCTACCACTAGTATGTAGCCCCTGTACGGTGAAGATTAGTAGCCATTAATTAGATTTGGAATAGTCTAGGTAGACGCGCAATGAACCAGAACTTCGCCGCCAGCTTCTTAACCGAGTACGCTTCAATCCTAGCTGGTATCGCACACACGATTCCTTACGGGTAACTTGAACTGCACGACTCTTGGTGTTTTAGGATCTCGGGTTCGGGCTAACCGGCCCCCCCCCCCCCCAAACTCTCCAGTTATTTCGAATAAGGTTGTGGTCAGTCGCTGCACCAATGTGATGATGATCGGCTGAACAGAAGAGCCGGCAATATGTAGTCCTTTACTACGTCTCAACCAGAGCCCGTCCAACTGGTTCGAAACATCCTAGATATTCTGAAATAAACGGGTAATAAAGTGCCCTCCTGGCTAAGAGACACATTCGGACATCCAACACGACCATCGTGTAATAATGCCATCTATAACTTAGACTTAACGTCAGTCCAATGCTGGAGATGCTAGCGGGACTCTCCAATAGTACGTATCAGATTGGTGTCGCTTTGCTTTGGCTAAGAAGTTGGATCTAGTACTACTGGATCTACTCCGTACGCTTAAAGACCTGCCTTGTGGGCTTTCATCAGTGGATTTATGGGCCTTGGATCTGTCTCGTGGTGGATTCTTCAACACCCAAATACCCAGAACGTTCTCCTCATTCAAGTTTCTTTACTTGTAGGTCATGTTCCTTCCATAAATATAAAGCCTTCACTTACAGCAATCACCGCCCAGGTGTGCGGAGTTCACAGAACTACCTCGATCCATCGCAACGCCCTGAGCCAATTGGCGTGATGACAGGCTCAATGCGCGAGGTACGCAAGCGAAACAAAGCTGCATCTGACATGGGTACGACGCAGTGAAAGACCATCTCTCACACTGCGGACTAGCGATGCATTGACACGTCAAAAATGTCCGACCTTCCACCCAGGGTGGTGGTATTGCTGCTTGCACAAAACCTCTGTCAATCTTTTGCGACGGTTCCTGTCCTAGACAGGAACTCTCTCGCCCGACAGAAAAAAAAGAAGCACTATCTGCAAGGATTAAGGGAACAACTCATCACATACCTCACGAGTACAAGACTGCAGGTTCGCGGATGATTGGAAGGATTGTGCCTGGAGCCCACTCTGCGCAAGTCGAGCCAATTGACGCACCTTGTACGCCATGCCATGACAACGCATCAGACCTAGCAGCGCGACCGCGGGTCAAATCACGACCCTCGGTTTGAGGTTTTGCCAACGCATCATCGCATTCATGGGTCTGTGTGTAGCGTTGAAGTATCCTCATCCAGCCGCCTTGCAGCGCAAATGCTTCCCTCTCTTCTGCTTCCTGCTTTAACACATTGGCAGGTCGCGCTCAAGATGCGATTTATACCGTCAACTTTGGTCAACTTTGATTGCTTGCGCAAGGTCCTACCACGCTACGAATCGCCGCTGTAGCAAGCTACCTGTCTGTTGCGACGCGCTGCCTGAGAGGCCCGTGTCTCGCTTGATTGGCTTCTCCCAGGCGTGGCCTTGACGACCATATTTCTTTCCAGGTACAACGACACGAAGCGCAATTAGCACCAAAGACAGAAATTCAATTTCTGAGCTTCTCATGGTCATCATTATATTCATCATGATATGCGCCAACACAGACACCGATGCTTGCTTCCGAATGCTGGGCCATTTTCGGTAATGCCCAATGAGCTGAAGCCAGCTCAACCACAATAATAGGATGCTCAACAGCAATCCCCGTTTCCCCGAAACGATACAAGATACGGCATAATGTCGGATCGTTCCGCTGATCTGTACAAAAGAAATTTCATGCCGATTAGGGGATTCGACTGTTCGAGAACAGCTAATGAAATAGTAGATCCTCAAGGTCAAGCTCGCGAGAGAATCTATATAGGTTTGGTCGTTGCCGGCCAGAAAAGTTGCACAATATTCTTTTGGCGCCCAACATACTCGTAATTGCCACCAAATCCTTCCGCAAAAAAAAAGTCCGATTCAAAACCGACCGACTTCTGTCGACTGCGTGGCAATCCTTGCTGGAAACACTACCTGAAACATGAAGTAGGATACGCGTATCGAGCGATCACCGAGCGAACTTCATCAGCCATTGCAGCACGGCTTCTAGATTTGTCTCTTCCTTGGCGCTGATGCCATAGCAAGAGACGTCGCGATTCCCTATGCTCTTCAACGACAGGGCATCGATCAACTCATCTACGCTGAGCTTATCGAGTAGATCTGACTTGTTACCCAATACGAGTAGGGGGATGCCTTCGAGACTTGGTTGCGCCACAAGAGCGTGGAGCTCATCTTTCGCTTGCCCCAACAGCTGGATATCTGCGATGTCGACAATGAAAACTATAGCATCTACACCGCGGCAGTATCGCTCCCACATCGGACGAAATTTAGGTTGGCCACCGAGGTCCCAGCATTTTAACGTAACATGACCGCGCGTTACCTTCTTCATATTGAAGCCTACCGTCGGAATAGAACTGCAAAGGCCCAGGTTAGAAATCAGAAGAGCTTGAAAATCTGACCGGCCAAAGGGCGTAGGTTCTTGATACGCTGGAATAGAAGGGTTGTGCTTACTCGTACGTGAATTCTCCGCCCTACCATGAAACAAGAATCAGTCAGCATCGTGTGTACGTTCATGGGAGCATTGCGGCGCTTACCGCCAGGACACGCAGAAGCGATGTTTTGCCCGCGTTCTGTAGCCCTATCATAGTCACATCCATTTCGGTCGCCCTGCGCAACGATCATTAACGAAATGCTCGCCAATAAGGACCAACAACTTGAAAGCTATGATGGCATGTAAGGTGGTAGATACAGCGGTGAGGACCGGTGACCCCGCGACTGCGCGGAGACGCCGCCTGTTTTCAGACTTACCAGAATGTCCTGAATAACCAGTCGTACACTTTTCTGAAGAGGCCCGCCATGGCGACGGTGCGCTTCAGCTGAATTAAGAGATGCAGAACGAAGAGAGAAGAAGCTGGTAGATTCCAAGTCTCCAGCAACTTGGATTGCGAAGTCGTGATTGCAAGTTGCGCAAGGCCAGGATGTCAGAGCGACTAGTGGGGAACTTGAAGTTCAAAGTGACGGGGGGTTTTGAGATAAGGTATTAAATAGTTGCGCTCGGCTCTTGAAGTTTGGTGAAATTAGAAATAAGACGTTTCGTATGACGAAAAAAACCTCCAACGACTTCGTAGCGCTTGCAATTGATGAGGATGCTAGCCTCGACCAGGAGCCGTTTTCTGTGCCTGGCGACGACTGCGAAGCTCCCTGGCAGGTCAAGCAAGTATGCAGGTGAAGTACCTAGGCCTTCCAAAGTATGGACCGATGCAGGTGGGCTGAAGGGTGACGCTCTCGAGGAGGTTTACGCTCAGCGGAGGGCCACAGTGACAGTCCCCCACCAACTTAGCACAAGCTGTACAATGAACCGTGCCTCGGAAGAGGTAGTAATGAAGCGGGAGCGACAGAGGGTCAACCTTGCACCTTCGACGAGGGCAAGCGGCTAGAAAGACCGGGGTTTCATTCGCCTGATCTCTCTACCGGCCCCAGCAGAAGTTGAACCTCGAAGCGCAGAGCAAGATGTTGTCGATGAGGACAGCGCGGGAAGACTTGCGGAGGGTTACGGCCAGTGAGGCCTTTGTGCTGCTCGTTAGGTCTATAAGGATGTTGCTGTTGCTTGACGCAAAAGCGGCCTGGTCGCGCACCGGCGGTGCTTGTTGTGAAAAGCGCCGTCTCTGTAGCCAAGGCTTTGCTCGGTCAGATGACAATGATGGGTTTGATTGTAACTCGTGTAGGGTAGCAATGTAATTGCAGAATGGAAATAGTTGCACACATCAAATTGCGGACGTGATCTCAAGAGATGCCAAGTTAGCTTACTGGGCTTGCGAACGGTAGTAACCTGATGCAGGCACAGACCTGGAAGCTATCTGTCAGTCGAGTCTGAGGTGCTTGTGTTTCCAAGCCTCCCGGTCTGGCGCATCCAAATTTCGGATTCCCGTATGTACTTTTCGGCAGGCTATGTAGCAGACAATGTTCGCAAAGCGAGAACAACAGGCCGCATCAGGGTTATTCCCCGGCGCAGTTAGGAGGGGAAGCTTGGCTACAAGATTTCTCGCTTCCTGATGCTGCTTTCTGAGATGTGCTCCCTGCCTAGCGGCGACAATATGCTGAGGTAACACAGGACAAGCCAACAGTTGGAACACAGAGCAAGGTGGTGGTGTAATCTGACGATGGAAGCAGTTTCCGGGGAATGCAGGTCGATCGTTTGCGGAGATGGTGGCAGAGCGGCGACCCGAGCAGGAGAGCAGCCGGTTTGCAAGAGATAACTTTACAGCAAGATGGTAGGTGGGTGAAGGGGCTCTTGAGATACCCCGGATGTCTGAGGCAGGGTAGGATGCTGCAATCAATACGCAAGTGGGTTTGGTTGAGCCAAAGCCCCAATGATGCAAAGACTTTTAAGGCATCTATCGAAGGTGAGATTCGGGTTTTAGGTAAGGCAGGCAGAGGCAGAATGTATCATGCAAGACGGACGGATTGGGCTGCGAAGTGCTCGGTACCCTGCCCTACTGCACGTCGTACCTCGTGCGTCCTGGCAAGATGAGTGGATGAGAAGTTTCAATTGGGCCCTTCAACCTGGCTGCAGTACCAGTTGGAAGAACTTCGAATGTTGCGAGCGATCTGAGTGCATATCACCAGACCTTCGAGGGAAGTCAGTCCTGAAACCGTACTGGGGGGGAAGCGGCCGCGAGGAAGACTCGAGCCTGTCCGCCAGCGCCCGTAGATACTCCAACTACGTTATCCTAGACGATTGAAGTTGCCCTATGCTCGTTAGATTCAGTCGGCCACTAAGTGACGCCAGTTGAGGCAACCAAGGTTGATGTTGGGTCTGAAAGCCGTTAGGCCCCTTGCAGTCTGCCTGCCTTTGTCTTCCTCCAAAATGCCCTGGAAATTATGGAAGACCCATTGCTTGAGGGAGTACTTACGCGCAATCCGTGCTTGTCGACCTGAAGCAAGCGGGAGCTTTGAAGTCTCCGGATTCAAACCAGATCGGTCACTACTGAGCATATACCACTCCCAGACTAATGTCAAGCCTTCTGGCATTCGATCAGTCGATTCTGAAATTAATTGGACACAAACTCGCCTGATGATCAATTCTATGCGAAAGTACTCAAAAGCCAGAGCTCAGCGATTAATAGCAAGAGAAGCAGTCACGGATTATAGGTCAACAATTTTGAACGTTGCCCCTCCTCTACAGGCAGTCATGGAACAGGTTGATTTTTTTATTCAATGTGGGGTTATATAGTGCCACAACAATCATATGTAATTTTCAAGGAATCAAATATAAAATGGTAGCTGCAATCATGTGATTCCCTCTGTCTAGAGAGCTTGGAGATCCTGCGTCTGCACAGGGAGAGTTACAGACGCGCTGTCGACATTGTGGCACTTGCAGTGAAGGCGGAAACGTCGACGGCAAATAGACATGGATTCGTCTACAGGATAGGTACATGGCTGTGGGGGTTTTCTATGGGAACTTCTGCCAGCGGGCTGCCAAATAGCTTATCAGTTCAAGGCCGACGCGATAAGGGAAACTTTTTTTCAGATCGGTCGTTACGGAGCTTTGTTACTAGCTGGTTGCGATAGCCTCAAGAATTCTGTTTTCTGACATTTCTTCCCGCAACAGACTCTGATGAGTTTGCACACAATTTGTTGAACCAAACCGCCAGTTTGGCAGTTCATCCGCATTCGTCACTTGCCCATCAACTGGTTTGCCACATCCGGCAACCCATTTGCCCGCCATGGCGCCTGCAGCAACGAAGACGGAGTGGGATCACGAATACAACACTTTGCGCCGAGAGAAGCTATTCCGAAACCCACCGCAAGATCACTCGGCATATCCCCTTCTACAGCTCGCTGTGAATCCACACATTGAGTCTTTCGATGCCGTCTTCGAGCCCGACGGTCTGCTAGCACGGGGCCTTGCCGACATTGGCACCAAAGTTTTGCTCGATGGCGACAGCAGAGCTTCCCCTGCTGGGAGGAACCGCCTTCAGCTTCGGTACAGGAGCGTGCATCTACAGAAGTCTCAAGTTCCGCCTGCCAACAAATTTGCACGCAACCGTGAAATCCTGCCAGCCGAGTGCAGAGAAAGGCACGTGTCGTATCGTGGAAAGTTGTCGGCAGCCCTTGAGTATCGAATCAATGGCGGCGATTGGCAAGAGTTTTCCCGAGAGCTTGGTAACCTCCCTATTATGATCAAGGTGAGAGGAGACGGCCACTGTCTGTCTGTAACGGTGTACTGATCTTGTATTAGTCCAAGCACTGCCACCTCAGGAACAACACCCCGGCCCAATTGGTAGCGAGAAAGGAAGAGTCGGAGGAGCTTGGTGGCTACTTCATCGTCAACGGTAACGAGAAGATCATCCGGTTACTTCTTATGAACCGCAGAAACTTTCCATTGGCCATTGACCGTCCAAGTTTCGCGAACCGTGGTCCTTCTTATACTTCAAAGGGTATCATTCTGAGATCCGTTCGACCGGATGAAACCTCGCAAACAAACACACTCCACTACTTGAACGATGGAAACATCACATTCCGTTTCTCATGGAGAAAGGCCGAGTACCTGGTACCCGTTATGATGATTCTCAAGGCCTTGGTCGAGACCAATGATCGAGAAATCTTTGAGGGCCTCGTCGGCTCTCCTGATTCAAAGGGCATCGAGAACACCTTCTTGACTGATCGTGTCGAACTCTTGTTGCGCACGTACAAGTCTTACGGCCTTTACACAAAAGCACAGACTAGAGCCTACCTTGGTGAGAAGTTCAGGCCTGTGTTGGGTGTTTCGGAAACTCTGTCAAACTATGAAGTGGGCACGGAGTTTTTGAGGAAGATAGTGCTTGTTCACCTTGGAAACGTAAATGTTTCAGAAGAGCAAGATTCGGACAAATTCCGACTTTTCCTCCTCATGATTCGCAAACTCTATGCCTTAGTTGCTGGAGACTGCGCTGTCGACAATCCTGATGCAGTTCAAAATCAGGAAATCCTTCTCGGCGGTTTTCTCTACGGTCAAATCTTGAAGGAACGTTTGGATGAGTTGATTTCTGGTGGGCTGAGCTTGGCCTTGCGAGAATACTTCAGAAAGCATCCTGGCAGGACGTTCACGTCACAGGAGTTCCAGGCCGATTTTCCAGCAAAGATCTTTTCCAGGACCACTGAAAACCTGGGTAACATGCTGGAGTATTTTCTGTCGACTGGTAACCTGTCCAGTCCTTCTGGTCTGGATTTGCAGCAAGTTTCTGGGTTTACTGTCGTCGCTGAGAAGCTCAACTTCCTCCGGTTCATCAGTCACTTCCGCATGGTTCACAGAGGCAGCTTCTTCGCCCAATTGAAGACTACAACGGTGCGAAAGCTGCTGCCCGAGTCCTGGGGTTTCCTGTGTCCTGTACATACGCCTGATGGTGCTCCTTGTGGCTTGCTCAACCATCTCGCCCACAAGTGCAAGATCATGACAGAGTCTGTCGATGCTTCCGCCATCCCACAGCTGGCAGCCGAGCTTGGAGTCGTTGACACTTCTTCTGCTGCGACAACTGAGAGTGTTGTCGTGATGCTTAACGGCAAAATCATTGGATGGTGTAAGCCAACAGAGTCTCGAAGAATAGCAGACACCTTCCGTCACTGGAAAGTCGAAGGTTCCCACGGTGTTCCGCTGCATTTGGAGATTGGATTTGTCCCGTCATCCAACGGTGGCACATATCCTGGTATCTTCATGTCTTCCGAGCCAGCCAGGATGATTCGCCCGGCTAAGTATCTTCCTCTGGAGAAAGAGGACTTTGTAGGACCGCTCGAGCAACCATATATGTCAATCGCCTGTACGGAACCAGAAGTTGTCTCCGGTGAATCGACGCATGTCGAGTTTGACCCTACTAACATGTTGTCCATTCTGGCCAATATGACTCCTTTCTCTGATTTCAACCAGTCTCCCAGAAATATGTACCAATGTCAGATGGGTAAACAAACCATGGGAACGCCCGCCACAGCGTTACGATACAGGACCGACAACAAGATGTATCGCCTTCAGACTGGTCAAACGCCGATCGTCAGAGCGCCTCTTCACAACGCCTATGGATTCGATAACTTTCCGAATGGCACAAATGTCGTCGTTGCTGTCATCTCTTATACAGGTTATGATATGGACGACGCCATGATTATCAACAAGTCTGCGCATGAACGTGGATTTGGACACGGTACTATCTACAAAACAAAGAAGATTACTCTAAAGGAAGAAAATCGCACCAAGTCTGCCAAAAATATCACCAAGCTTTTTGGTCATGCGCCAAACACTCTCCAGAAGGGTTGGGAACGTACTCAGCTCGACGAAGATGGTCTACCATTCATTGGACGATGTGTTCAAGAAGGCGATCTTCTTTGTGCATGGCATACAGTTTCCGCTGATTACAGTGGCAACCTAGTAAACCGAGACGGCATCACTCATTACGAAAAGTATAAGGACACTGAGGTAGCTTTCATTGAAGAAGTTCGGGTCATCGGTAGTGAGTCAGGCACCGAGCCAATGCAAACAATCTCGATCAAGCTACGCATTCCTCGTTCCCCAGTCATCGGAGACAAATTCTCGTCTCGTCATGGGCAGAAGGGTGTTTGTTCGCAGAAGTGGCCGACGATCGACATGCCATTTTCCGAGTCCGGCATTCAACCTGATGTCATTATCAACCCACACGCTTTCCCGTCACGAATGACCATCGGTATGTTCGTCGAGTCGTTAGCCGGTAAATCTGGTGCTCTTCATGGCTTGGCACAGGAATCAACACCATTCAGATTTGATGAAGACAACACAGCTGCAGATTATTTCGGTCACCAATTGAAAATGGCGGGATACAACTACCATGGAAACGAGCCTTTGTACTCAGGTATCACGGGCGAAGAATTTGCAGCTGACATCTATATTGGTGTTGTCTATTATCAACGTCTGCGTCACATGGTGAACGACAAGTACCAGGTCAGAACAACAGGCCCCATCGTGCCAACCACTGGCCAGCCTATCAAAGGAAGAAAGCGTGGTGGTGGTATTCGTGTTGGTGAAATGGAGCGAGACGCTTTGTTGGCACACGGTACTGCGTTCCTGCTCCAAGATCGATTGATGAACTGCTCCGACTACTCGCGCTCGTGGATCTGCCGGAAGTGTGGCTCATTCTTGTCAATTCAGCCCACTGTTTCACCATATGTCGGAAAGAGGAAGACTGTTAGCAGCGTTCGATGCAGGAATTGTGCTAAGCGTATCGATGAGTTGGACGATGTTGATATCAGCAAGATTGCTGGCGAGATATGGGAAGATGGACAAGGTAACCAATGGGTTGGTGGCGACCAGACCACACTCGTTGCTGTGCCTGGTGCTTTGAAGTATCTTGACGTAGAGCTCGCGGCTATGGGCATCAAGCTGAAGTATAGAGTCGACCCCAAGGATGCCCCACGCAAAGGGCCACTCGTGCAAACAACATGGGATGCGCTTGGAGCCGGCAAGAAGGCAAACGGCTTACAACCAGCACTGGTTGCAACAGAATAGTGTTTGTAAGACGAAAGTCGCGGAAGCACATGGAGCATTAACGTTAGATGGCGTTCAAAACATAGTGTTTTAATGAGCCTGGATCTCGCATTGACTGGTTTGGGACTTGATAGATGTCAATATAGCTTGTACTGTTGCTAAAAATTGGAAGATTTCAATCTTATTAGAGACAATTTGAGCCTAAGATGAACACTTTCTGCGCTCCCAGTCAGGTCACACTTGTTCTGCGTGTAGCCGTGGCCGTAGATTCAATTTAAACCAAGTGTATCTGGCTGCCGAAAGTCGTGCAACAGCAATTTGACGCCCCCGGAAACTCAAACTGCCATCAATGTGTCCCTGCAGTTAGTGGCGCTAAAGCTCCTCTCAAACTGCTTCCTTCCGAAGCCGTACCCATATCTCGAACACGATGAGATACGATTTGCAGTTCCCGTAGCAACACAATCATGTGTTGGGATGGCATGATTAGAAATTCTTTTTGGCTTCGGATGGTTACGGCGGATGCTGTCGCCACTGACTTAGTTTCTGGTTTTGTTTTAGTATTAACCCATGTTATTCCTCCTTGTAGACAAGTATCGCACCTTCCTATAAGCATTCTGGCACCACTACCGCTTAACACCGAGGCCATCTTCTCTTGATAGGCAGGCACAAGAGCCTGGAAAACTGCCGGTCAAACAGAAATGCCATTGTGTTTCACCCTACTCAATCACCATAATCCAAATCTTTAATTCTCTTTTTGGTGTCGTCCCGGTTCCTGTGCGCACTGCGTACCTCCTCAGCTACCTAGTACTTGCACCTCTAGTGCATCTGGTAGGCTAGGCACTCATTCATGACCTTTTTCTTGTTTTCAATGTCTGACTTGGCACAGACAGCTTGGTCCCCGTCTTGAAATTTACCGGTCCACCACCTTCCATTCACCTCTTTCTTTGGCACTGACCTGCTTCTCCCCCTGCCAAGACTGAATTCTCGCCGCGGTTCGAGCCGTGTACATCACTGAAAGCAGTCTTGTGCACTGCAATCACAAGTACTCCCATCTGAAAGCAGAATTTTGGTCTGATTCATCGCCATGTTGCTTACATGGATTCTCTTTCTCGCCATCTTATCCTTCCATTCGTTGGTGCTGGCCGCTTCCCATAATACACGCCCGACTTACGACTACAACCACAAGGCGGACATCAAATTCGTCTTTCACAAACGTGACATCGACCAAAATAAGACTCGAGATGCTCTAGTAGAACCTATACCGTATAATGGTAGCATACCGCTCCGACTAGAGTTCAGGGAGTTCCAGAAAGATTACGAAGCATGGAATTTGTACCTGCTGGCTCTGAGTTGGATGCAGTGGGCAAATCAGAGTGATCCTGCTTCCTGGTATGCCATTGCTGGTGGGTATATCGCACTCAATGTATCATTTCATAATGGCTGATAAGGACGCAATAGGCATACATGGTGCCCCGTTTGCGGATTACGGTGGTGTCAAGGCATTACCTGGTCTCAAATCAAATGGATATTGCACCCATGTCTCTGTCCTATTTCCTCCATGGCATCGACCTTACTTGGCTCTGTACGAGGTAAGATACGATCCTTGGTTGTGTCAGGCTATCCACCTGATACATTCCGCGATTTGTACTGAAGCTAATATGGCTTTAGCAAACCATCTCCGGAATAGTCAAGATGATCGCAGCATGGTATCCCGATGGCAGACGTAGTGCCTTCCAGAAAGCGGCCGAAGACTTCCGTATCCCATATTGGGACTGGGCTATGAAGCCTCCCAATGGAACAAGCGTCTTTCCACTCGCAGTTGGGGGGTCCTCAGAAGTAGAAGTCGATGGACCAAATGGAAAACAGAACATCAGTAATCCCCTCTTTAGCTACACCTTCAAACCGTTAGATCCTGATATTTTCGAAGAGTATCCCGTAAGATGAGCCAGACTCAAAATATCAATTCATTTTGTTAACCTATAAATAGTTCATGTACTGGACCGAGACGAAGCGGAGACCAACACCCATGCAGGCGATCAATGCCACCTCGGACAACGGTTGGGTAGCTCAGAACTTCGACAAAGACCTGCCAAATATACAACAGCGACTTTATGCCCTCTTTGCCAATTCCGGGAATTATAGCAATTGGAGCAACGAGGCATGGATTCCAGACGGGAGCAATTCCAGTCTCGACTCCATCGAATCTCTCCACGACACGGTTCATTTGACTTCCGGCGGAAATTTTGGTCACATGTCTATCATAGCCTACTCTTCGTTCGATCCCGTATTCTTCCTACATCATGCAAATGTCGATAGATTGTTTGCAATGTGGCAGGTTGTTTACAACGAGTCATGGATTGAGCCGACAAAGGCTATTCTGCCTACACGGACTATCAGTGCCGGCGACAATCAGACTTCGCTGACAGATTTGACACCATTCTTCTACAACGAAACCCATTTCTGGAATTCCGATCAGGTCCGTGACCATAAGATTTTTGGCTACAGCTATGCAGATGTCGTTGGCGGAAACCGCAGCGAGGTGATTGCCGCCATCAACAGGCTCTACACAGATTATAGTCCCGCCACAATGCATTTCCTAACCAAGCGTGACTCTAGCACAAAAATTGGTACTGCCAGTACACATATGGGGCGGCAAGGTTTCATGGAATCAATCGTCAGAAATGGCACATATCAAGAATACACAGCAAATATCCGTGTGAACAAGTTCACGCTTGGTGCGTCTTTCAGTATTCACTTTTTCTTCGGCGAAATTCCTTTGTTTCCAGAAAATTGGGAACTTGCAAGCACCAAGATCGGATCTTTTGGTGTTTTTGCAGGTGGCCACGCACACGGCATGGAAGCTTTGCATATTGGAGGGACAGTACCGCTGACTTCAGCACTTGTCGACTTGGTGTCTGTGGGAAGACTCTCTAACCTGGAAACTGAGGTCGTCGAGCCATATTTACGCGAGAATCTTAGATTCACCGTTATGCACATCAACGGGACAGCAGTAGATCCTAATGCCGTCGACAATCTGCATATAAGTGTTGTGTGCTCTGCAGTTCAAACACCATATACCAATACGGAGCTGGCAAGCTGGGATGGAACGAAAACACTCTTCACGATACACTGATCAATGGTTCTGCGCAAGTGAAGGATATACTCACACATCTTTGTTTGGTGTCATTTTTCATTTGGTACATTGCGTTGGAGGTATGGTGTACTCATTTGATGGTTGCAGATACCCATAGACCTGGCGTTTGGGAACTAATGGTAATCACTCTTCGACATGTTTCAGTCAACTCAATCTTTATACATAGATTTACTGAAAGCTGCGAAATAATACATGCCTCACATGAGACTGAGCATAACACCCCATATTGCACATCCTTATGATCATAATACCCCATATTGCACATCCTTATGATCATACCAAGTTGTTTTCCGACCTGTCGACAACAATGGTTCAAAACAAGGGCTGGACCCAGTTGCACCTGCTTTATGACATCTGGCACTGTGTATCAGCCATGGGAAATGTTTATATCGTGATACAAGAAGAGATTTCGTACAACAACTATAGACGGGATATAGTTTGAAGTAGGGCCAATAAATAAGTTCCTTTCCCTATATATAATGAAATCAATCGGAATCCTCACTGGATGGTCTTGTGGTATGCAAATCTAGATGAGGCTAGGGCTATACATGTTGCGTAAGACTGCAGTCAATTACAGCCCTAATTGTTCCAAGAAATATTGGCTTCAATTTTGGTCAGGCCGTTCTGGATGATATAGAAGTAGGATAGTTGAGACGTGATGGATCTGAGAGGGGGAAGGGGAGGATCAAATCAGTCTTTGATTTGAAGACGAATTGATGTGCACCGTGTTTCATGTGCGGATTACGCATAGTGGCAGCTATGGACACAGCCTTGAGCAAGTGATACGTGCGCAAGCTCGCATGAATGTAACCTTAGCTCATTGCCGGTGAAATTTCATGTTCATGATAGAAGCAGCAGACAGGGAGTCTTGAATTCTGCCAGGAATTTCATGATTGGCGATACAAGACCCACTGATAGAGCAATGGGTAGGAGCCAGTAATCGCAAGGGTCTATCGATAAGACCCTCTGCCCCTGTGCCTGATACCTGCAGACCTGCTTGGCCTCTAAAACCGTGATAGAGATCATCGCAAGGTCTCTTGGACGATCATGGAGCCAAGCTTTCATAAAGCACATCACAAATTGACGGTAAGAAAGATCGAACTCGAATTGGACAAGTTCGTGTCCTGTCGAATCCAGACATTACTGGTTGCATAGAGGGCACTGTGGGGACTCGGCTGAGCAATTAACATAGTACCCAGTTATGAAGCACGGCGTAGTTTAACCGGATTCATATGCAGCATATGGAAAAATTTCGGGGCCTTTTCTTTGAATATAATTATATAGGCATATAGTAGAGCTAATAAGGGATATGCAAGACGCCAGGAGGGGCAAAGATACGGTTGTCGCACGAGCAGTCCTCACACCTTCCCAAAGTGTGCCAGCTGCGAGAAGGCCGAGGCTGAGTACTAGAGAGCCAATATTCTTTGTCAGTGGGTGTGCTCAAACATTGTCTTGGGATCAAGTTGTTGTGCAAACACTGAATGCCTCTTGGATCAAGCGAAATTCGAACCTTGTATTTGCGTTCCAGGGTGGTTCTCTAGAAAATCGTGTTCTACCAACCAGCACGGAACCAGTTCTGAATTACTGGCCGTCTGAGAAGGAGAATGCGACGCTCAGGAAGAGACATGCATGCAGCTTGGTGGAGTCGCGATAACCAATTCTCAAAACACCAAGTCCCAAATGCGGAAACACTGCATATTCTAGTGGGGTTGCAGAGAGTGACAATGTCGAAGATTTCCAGACAATACAATTGCAAACAATACATGCAGCCAGCCTCGCACGATCCGATGTTTTGCATGTTTGTTTGTTTTGTTCATTGGCAGTGACAGTCTGGACTTTGCACCGATAGAGAGTTGCTGGGACCACAAGCGGGCGCCATCAACGGCTCCCGCGTTACGGTCAGACGCCGGGCCATTGCTATATTAGATTAAGCTCAGCATCACCATGCCAGGTACGGTCTGCATGTAATGGGTCGCAACTGTGGCTGCAGGGTGAGCACCGGAAGACTCGGTGATTGGTGCTGATAACCAGAGCCTGGCGGAGATGAGGCCACAGGCTTCAGAAGCTGAGACTACCACGTTGGCTGTCTTCCCCGCGGACCCTCAATGACCTCAAACTGTAGGAAAAAGAAAGGAAAGAAAGCTTACCTCCACAAGATCAGCATCAGGGTTTTGATGTTCTCACATCCCTCAGGGAAGATCTGCAAGAATGCAGATGGTGGCCAGAACTGCATTCATTGTATGTCTGTGTGTGTTGATACTCACAATCACCTTGAGAGTTGCTCGTGCGAAACCCCCACGTAAAGCTACTGACAAATAGGATACTAACCGACTACCCTTATCTTTTATGCTCACACGAACGACCCCTACACAATTGCTTGGATTGGATTGCAATTATTCGCGCATTAACTCTCAGCAGTAAGGGCGACTTGCTTTTTAATTATGAGATCCGACCACGACAAGGTATTGCCGATACGAATCGCTCGCAGGCATTGCCAAGCCGGCTTTTTGTCTCCATATTCGGCAACCTCCAGCCATGCCAGGGCTGTTAATATCCAGCCCAACGGTCGACAGGGCTAGTCAACTATGCCCCTTTCATATCCAGTGTCCCCACGAAACGACTCTCTACTTACATCTTGCATTTACTCTATTGCTTCAACCCTTGTTTGGCCACGGGCGATTGGGCGAACCCCTGTGCAACCTAGTGAAGTCCACAGTTTTGTGATGCTGCTGCTTTCGACCAAGTGCAGAGAGTATGGAAAGGGAACCGAGTCAGACAATCTCCTGGCGTAAAGCTTCCGCAGGGGTCTTATTGGAGTACTATTGATGATCGCTACGGTAGGGATACACGATCACCAAGATACATAATCATCTGCGGGTAGGAGGTCTAGAAGGTGTGGAACTCTCCTTCTTTGACTTTCGTCTCTCTCTTCGTTTCATCCAAGGCCGTATCGACTACCCACCATCACACTTCTTCAGGTGGCGCGCAACGTTTTCCATGATTTAATGATAAGCCCCACGAACACTTGTGCAACGAGAATTGCTTCTGGCTGTGACTAACAGCTGCAATCCCTTCGGTGTGTGCGCCACCACGCTTGTGGTGACTGGATCCTAGCTGCACAACCTCCCGTCACTCTTGTATCATATTTCAACTTTGGAGGACCTACTTTGAATCGGAGTCAACTTTCTAGTAGTCTTCGACGCTCACCATACCAACTGTCTGCTCATTTCTCCAGGGGAGCTTCGTCACGATGGTCGTCGTCAATGGAATCGATCTCGATGAGTACTACATCATCAAGGTGCCCTACAATGGCACAGGCGAGGCAGGTGGGGATCCCGTAACTGATAACCTAAACATCTGGTATGAAACGGGTGATATTGCCTGGATGATCACGGCTACTGCTCTTGTCTTGCTTATGATCCCAGGTGTCGGGTGGGTACAAACTACAATGTCTCTCGTCGGCTTAGATGCATTAACACAGTTTGCACAGGTTCTTCTACTCTGGTCTAGCGCGAAGAAAGTCGGCACTGTCGCTTATATGGCTGTCAATCATGGCCGCGGCCGTAACATCATTTCAATGGTTTTTCTGGGGATACTCTTTGACCTTTTCACACACTGCTGGCAGTTTTATAGGAGATATGGCCAACTTCGGTTTCAAGGATGTTCTGGCTCAGCCTTCAGTAGGGTCCTCTCGCATCCCCGATTTGCTATTTGCAGTCTATCAAGGCATGTTTTCAGCCATCACCGTGGCCCTTGCAACTGGAGCTGTCGCCGAGCGTGGCCGTATGCTTCCTTGCGTCATCTTCATGTTCATCTGGGCAACCTTGATCTACGATCCTATCGCATGCTGGACATGGAACCCAAGCGGCTGGTCAAACAGGATGGGTGGGCTTGACTTTGCCGGTGGTACTCCTGTGCACATCGCTTCCGGCTGTGCAGCACTAGCATACTCCATGATGCTTGGAAAGCGCCGCGGCCACGGAACCCACGAGCTCAACTATCGGCCACACAACGTCACGCATATCATCATCGGAACAGTGTTTATGTGGGTTGGATGGTTTGGCTTTAATGCCGGTTCCGCCCTGTCTGCCAATATGCGTGCTATCATCGCAGCTGTTGTCACGAACCTGGCTGCCTGCGTTGGTGGCATGACCTGGTGCGTTCTCGATTACAGGCTCGAGAAGAAGTGGTCTGCTGTCGGGTTCTGCTCCGGCGTTATTGCTGGCCTTGTTGCGATCACCCCGGGCTCAGGTAAGCAGACGGCCTTGGAGAAATATGAAGACGTGCCTGCTGACTTGATTAGGTTATGTACCGGTCTGGGCCGCTGTGCCTTACGGAGTGCTGGGTGCGGCGTTCGCGAACTATGCCACGAAGCTCAAATTCCTCCTCGGAGTCGATGATGCTCTTGACATCTTCGCAGTGCACGCAGTTGGCGGTCTCGTCGGCAACGTCTGCACCGCCTTCTTCGCTAGCAAGGCTGTCGCCCATCTTGATAACGTCCAAGTCATCAATGGAGGCTGGTTGGATCACAACTGGGTTCAGTTGGGCTATCAACTGGCGGACTCTGTTGTCGGCGGTACCTACTCCTTCGTCGGAACTACACTGATTCTCTTCATCCTGAATATGATCCCTGGTCTACGGCTACGCACTCGCGAGGATGCCGAGATTCTCGGAATCGACGATGCTGAGATCGGCGAGTTTGCATACGACTACGTCGAGTTGACGAGAGAAGTGTTGAATGACGTGGACGAAGCAGGGAGTCGGTATTCGCGCGACCTGAACCCATTCGATCCGCGGGACATGAAGAACAACAATAGCATACCATTGGTGGACACGAGAATCTATGCGGGCAACTCTAGGCACGACACGGGATCACATGCTCGCTAGGTTCCCAATGTACCTTGATGGCGTATGTATATTAGACTTTCGAATACCACTTGTTTATTCCACGAGAGCTACCACCGAGCCGGGACGTTCTGATGTGATGAGCCTGCGCCGTACAATATGTTGAAGACTGCGCCCTCTTGTAGACGGGACCGTGTAGAGGAAATGGAGGTCTGTGGCGCTACGATTCGCTTGGCATGATGTATCTCGACGTACGAGCCCGGGGATCGACAATGCTGCAAGCACCATAGAGATTGGCGGTGATGGGGGAGTTGGAATCAAGGTGCTGGGGGCTCTCAATACTCTCAGAAAGAGCTGAAGAGCTCTGACATAGCAGGTTGGCGGCGTGAGATGTATCTATCTCGCAGTGATATTGTCCACGTGCGAGACCGGCGATGTCACAACATACCCGCGTAGACACCCTGAAACGGAGCGATAGCAGGACGGGAAGAAGGATGTCGTGCTCAGTTTACGTTAGACTAAATGAGATTGGAACTAGCCTAGAGACAGGGGAAACAATTGGTAGAGGTTACTCAATCACCATGGACACGACCCAGATCCGTGTAAATGCTACGCAATGCACACCAGAAATCACCGGTCACAATTTATGGGAGCGTGGATCACAATCTAGGATAGTAAATGCTTGATGGTATTTTACCATTGTACCATCACATCTTGGTGGCCGGCTCAATGACTATCAAACCTAAGAAACCATAGCCCTAGTAACAGAGCTTGACGCCACTATGACCAGCGCGTCCAATCCCGTAATCCTGTATCGACTATGACACATCGGACGTGTATCCAATGCTCTAGATATTCCTTTCGTGTGGTTCTAGCCACGGAACCCCAAGGATGTCCCAAATCTTGCGTTCATCCCTGGCTTCTACTAGCACACCATCATTGGTCTTTTTTCGATGGCTGTCTCGTATGACACCCTGGAATAAGCCTTTGTGGCTCAAATTGAATCCCTTTTTGTTGGCCAACAGGCGTATGCTTCTGTTCAGCAGATCGTTGCCAGTAAAGTAAATCATGGCGGCGCCCAGCTCCGTCTCCGGGACAAGCAGGAAATCAATACGTCGCCAGATAGGCTTGTAGCCTGCCTTATTTCTGGGGAAGTCACTTTCTGGAAGAACACAACAGCCATGCCACTTGTTTCCGTCCTCAGATCTGGATGTTGCCAGGCCGGCAGTCAGGAAGCCCTTGTCAGTTAGTCGCTTGATAAGTTTGCGGAAGAAGGGATCAAGGTCAGCAGTAGTTTTCGTCCCCTTCCTCGTGACAATGAAGTCTATATCGCCTGAGGTCATCTGACCACGGCGATAGCTGCCTCCAACGATAAACTCAACCAGAGGATCAATCCCTCGTGCAGTCCGCATCACACACACTCCCAACGCTTCCACCTCGACCCGTGGGATACGCGTGTTAAGGTCATCGAAGTGCTCGATTCCTAGCCGTTGGTATTTGGTGGGTTTCGCCTTCTCGAGTACCTCTTGGAGCGTGCGGAGACCTTGACTTATCCAGTCGCTTGCCGTTGTATGCCCAACACCATAGACATTTAAAAAGAGCTCACGGACTGCATTATTTGGGTCCTTTTGTAGCTCTTCGAGTTCTCGACATCTACCATTCTTGGCAATTTCCACAATCTTGTCGGCAATTTTGCCTCCAATTCCTGAAATTTCTCTCGCTTCCTCCGCAGTTGTGATGATTGTCGTGCGTTGCCGTAGGCTGTGAACCGCTTTCCGGTAGTTGTTTATTCGAAAACTGTCTTCGTCACAAGTTTTATGGCGATCCCAGTGATCGGCCAATTGCTGAAGTATGGAAATGGCCTTGGCGTTTGGGTTGTTGGAGTCATCACCAAGATGGCCTCCCTTCATACAGGCAAAATTGTCTTGCCAGTTTTCACTCTTTGATCTTGCGCTTTTAGTTTTGCTTTTTTTTCTCTGCTTACGCTCTTCTTCCGAGCTCAGTTCATTGCCATCCCATGTAGGAGGAGCTGTAGCAACAGGTCCAACTGGCAAAGGCGGTTGGTTCACTTCGACCCCGACCTCACCGTAGCCGTCGACACCAGCTTCCGGATTCTCTTTACAGTACTTGATCAACTGGGAAAACTCATATTCGACGGAAGTTTGTGTTGATTTCTCAGCGACGGAGGTCGCGAGCTTTGTAGGTTCGTTCCCATCGGCGCATAGGATGGTTTCTTCGACGCTGGCAATGGCGGGACCCGGACCACCCAATCTTGACTCCGATATCGCCTGATCTGATGACGTCTGGGTGCTTATTTGTGTAGAGTTGTAGCTTCGCGGCGGTGTTGTAGTAGATACGACATGATTTCTTCGAGGCCGACTCGTGGGCTCCTTAAGCTTCAGTGAGTTATCCTGAGATAGATGTTGCGCTCCTTCTGCTTTCTTGGATATTTTGGGGTGTCCCGGCACTCGGTATAATTCCAGAGCCGTGTTGAGAATCATCTTACTGCCGATGCACTCGCCTGGCCAGCGATCATTGATAACTATCTTGTCGGTCGATCCAGGGCTTTCCGCCAGGATCATCTCCATGTCCGCGTATTTGAGGTCGGCATCTACAATCACATGGGTTGCTTCGTCTAGGTCTCGAACCCAGGTCGCTCCATGTTCACGTGCTGTGTTGATCCGGTGCTTTCGGACAGCATTGGTGTCATTATTTGGGTAATAGAAGAACGACATACCCTTGAACCACTGAGGCTTGTCGGGCCGCTTGCGCTTTGCCATGTTGGTAGTTGGTGAATCTTCAACTGGTGGCGGTGATGAACAGACAGCCCGTTCTGATTGTGGTTGAACAACTAGTATGCCTGGCTGGCTTGCTGATTTTCTTGTCGAGTCCGACGTGTTTTCAACGTGAAAGGCTGACCCAGAAACAGATGTAACGCGATGTTGACTTGGCGGCAACCTCCTAGGTAGCTGCTGTGGTGTATCTTCGATGACGATCACTTCTGGACGGCGATTCGTTGGTTGCTTGGGGGAAGTGACAATCGAATCAGATGCTGTCCTCCTATGAGCAACGCCTAGTGAGTTGCCGATGCCCCCAAAGGTTGATCGCAGTTTGATTCCTGGTCTTTTCAAGGCAAGTCGCGCATATGCTTTACACTTTGCTCGATGCTCGGTCTCCTCAGAGGCAACGACCTCGTCATCGTCTTCTGTATCTCGCAGGCTTTCGAGGGTGCCGAACAGCGCAATCTTGTCTTTTAAGTCTGGATTCATGTTTGCAGGAATTGATGCATGTTTGTACACAAGGTCCGAGACAGAGGACACAGAGGCATCATCTGCTTACACCTTTGTCGGCCAGTCTCAGTTATCTCAGGGGGACGATTCCTCGGGTCTAAATAAAGTGCTTCATATTAAGTTAAGCGGACGAAGATTGGACCACGCAGGTCGAACAACAGAGCGTATTTTACTCGGAAGACATCCGTTCCAAGCAGCTCAGAGCTCTTCGCTGCCTGTTCTTTACACACACTGGTAACAATTTAATTGAGACCAGCGCGACAACCTTGGTGCAAGAAGATTTGAAGTGGGGGATGATTTATATTCGGTAGATACAGCTGGCATTTGATGAGACAGGCACCACGGAAGGCAACACTGGTGTGGCGATCCAGTCACGTTAGCGGCCGCAGACTTGATATGGCCCAATCAGTGCCTGAGGGCAAGTCCAGTAGAAGGACTGGAAGTAATGACGAAAGTAATACAAGAAGAACATGATATATATATATCTTATAGTCATTACCGAAACTTACACATTAGCAATCATCACAGATCAACAATCCTGCCGAATGCTATTGATATATGTAGCCTTCGAAGAATGACAAAGCAACTGGGTATGATCATGTAATCTAGACCGGGATAGGCTCTTCCCAAGCCTGAAGGCTAGGTCGGGTTGTGTGTTGAATATTGAATATTGCGAAGATAGAAATATGCTTAAATAATCTTCACGTCTTTATAAGCTCGCAAATCACTCAGGCGATCTCGGTGAGGACCTCTAAATGCTATTTAATCCATGCAGCCTCCATCCAGGGTACGGTACTTCACAGTGAGCTATAACTTACGCATCGCGGGGCATTCCAGCTACTTGCGGCAGCGGGGCAGATAAATTCCCCGACGTCACCGCAATAGCTTGCATAGGAAGAACTTGGGCAGGAACAACCAACGAGAGGCACAGTCCCAATCTTCTTCACAATGTTTACAGGTCTGGTAGAAGAGATCGGAGGTAAGACTCAAGACCTGCGAGCCCTCGGCCGCTGCATATGTGCTGACGGTTCACCTCCCCCCGCGCAGAGGTCTCTGAACTCAACCCCCAGGATGCGACCGGCGGCACCTCTCTGACGATTACCCTGCCGCCATCCTCGGGACTTGTCTCCGACGCGCAGCTCGGCGACAGCATAGCGATCAACGGCGTGTGCCTGACCGCCACCTCCATCACGCCCTCCCCGCCCTCCTTCACGGTCGGCATCGCACCCGAGACGCTGCGGCTGACAGACCTCGGCGCCCTCGTGAAGGGCTCCAAGGTCAACCTCGAGCGCGCCGTCCGCGCCGACACGCGCATGGGCGGCCACTTCGTCCAGGGCCATGTGGACTCCACCGCGACCATCGTCAAGATCACGCCCGACGGCAACGCCCTGACCTTGCGCTTCAGCCCCAAGGACAAGGGCGTGCTGCGCTACGTGGTGCACAAGGGCTTCATCGCGCTCGACGGGACGAGCCTGACCATCACTGCGGTCAACGACGCCGAGGGGTGGTGGGAGGTCATGCTGATTTCCTACACACAGGAGAAGGTGGTGCTTGCTCAGAAGAAGGAAGGCGATACCATCAACGTCGAGGTCGATGTGCTGGCCAAGTATGCCGAGAAGAGCATGGCTGGCTACCTGCAGGGTGATGAGGGTGCGCTCAAGCCCATCGTGGAGAAGATTGTGCAGAACCTGGTCGCGCAGGCCATGGGAGCGCATTCGGCATAGATCAGACATGACGTGATAGGACAGAGTACGGCGCAAACAGCCGCAATATCACACAAGAGGTTCTTGATATGAGTTTCATCACGAGACCCCTAATTTGTACCTGCATATTCTACAAGTCAAGCACCGTCCAACAAGATGTTGCAACAAACTATGTCTGCGCTTACACCGTCGTTGCGGCTTCCCCCCAAATGCTGGCTACCTTTACACTTAAAGGTTTTGTTATCTTCTTCCTCCCAAACTGATTACCTAGCTCACTAAACACCATCTCGTGCTTCCTTTTCTTGCTGTCTGGGCGTGAGTCCAAAGCCTCGAAGGCCTTGATGAACTCGTGCGGCGTTTTCCACTTCTTCTGAATCTCCAACGCCTTTTCACCGGTAACTCCTCTCGTACACATAAGGAACTTCAGGTACAAGTCTCGCAGTGTCATCATCTCAGATTTGGACGCTAGCGACGAGAAGGCAGGGTAACTAATGTAGTGGCCTCGACTGGGGTCCTTCTCACGCAGATGTTCGAGCAGGGGAAGGTAGTTTTGTTTTGTGATGACACCGGTGGGTATGACGAACAGTGGTTTTTCTTCGTACTGCTTCTTGAGTTTGTGCGTCATCCGGACGAGATACTTGATTGTATCATCCATCTTTTGCGTCTGCTTCACAAAAAAGCCATTGACCACTTGTGTGGTAGCAATAGCCGATTGGACCGACAGCTCATAGTTTGCTCGGTTTCGCTCATCCAGGTTAAACTCCTCAATGATGTAAACAACGTTCCTGGCTCCTGATTTCTTGAGACGAAATTTCTGTTCATGGAACCGCCCGTCCTTGATACTCCCAATAAGATCGTCAAGCCGCTTGCGTTCGCAGATCCAGTCGAGCACCACTTCGTCTCCCTCTGCCCCTGTCCTAGAAAGAAAGTTGGGATCATGGCATTTGGCAACCCACATCGCATCGCCGAGCTCTAGTGCTTTCACCATAGGCTTCACACCCTGCTTATTGAGCTCTTCTTGCATATAGTCGCGGTCTGTCTTGGCTCGTATTTCCCTAGTGTCTATTACGAGCTCGATCGTAAAGTCTCCTGGTTGCAACCGAATTGGACGGAAGTTGGGTATAGCTGCAGGGTCTGATACATTGCTTGCCTCTTTTACTACATCGGCAAACTCGGATGGTGTCGCTCTTGGGGGCCGTGGAGCCGCAAGAAGGGACGCTTCCTCATTACTGTCCACACTGCAGCATTTGGCGTCAGAGATTACTTTATGATGCATGGGGGATGTGGATGTGTGTATGTCGGTGTCGGTATCGGAGAAGGAAAGGGAGGGGGGTTTCTTTGGGACTATATTGAAATAGTTACAAAAAACTAAATGCCTTTGCATAGCAAAATACTCTCCGTAGGCATGCTAGAACTTGAAGAAGAAGAAAAGACTTTTCTTTTCTTATAAAAATAATAACAAAAAAAAAAAAGTTTCCCGAAATTTACTTACAGCAGTATATCCTCACCGTTCCTTGGCTGTTGCCGAGGTTCCATTCTTTCAGGGGGCTCCGGCGAAGCTGCGTCTGGGTTTGCCGCTCGTTTCATGCTTCTTGCAACCTCAAACCCGGCATCTGTCAAGACATAAAACTTTCGCGATGGGCCACCTCTCTTCTCAATGACTAACTCCTTATTAATCAGGGTCTTCATAGAGTTCCAGGCAGTGTGAAACGAGTTCGCCTGAGCTGGTGTCTCGTACGAGGCGTCAGAATACGGCGCAGCAACTCTGACCAACTCTTCTTTGCTCAAACCTTGCATGCCGGAAGCGTTGTGATCAGCCAGACCCATGATGATACCGTATGGGCCGGAGCGGTACTGTGGGATATAGGGTTTGATAGTTCGGGGCTTCTTGGCTGGCGGCGGTCTTGCAATCTCATCATCGTCTTGGCCGACATCGTCGGAAGCATTGCCGTTAAGCGCCGCCAGGTTGGGGTTGCGCATAGTTTTCTTTGGTATCGGCAAACCATTGTCCTCACAATGCTTCTTGAGCTTCTCCGTAAGACGTGCGCATAGCTTCTCGCCAAAGCCTTTTAGTGTTTGAAGCTGGCAAGGATGCGAGAACTTGATCGGGCACGCCTTGAGTGCATTGTAGGCATTGCGGTATGTAATGACGCCCTTGGAGTTTCGTTCTCGCGCCACCTCAAGCCAATCCCTGACCCAACTCAGGAGCAAGGGGTTTGCACAATTCTCGTCTGAAGAAGCAGGCATTATTGAAGCCAGTTGAAGCCAGATCGGTAAGTAGTGTGTGGGACTGATAAAAAGGATATGAAGCTGGGCTGTCTTCGGGTGAAGTTCACAGCCTCCCGAATCATCGGCGTAGAGTCGTCTTTGTTTGTTAGTGTTAGTGGCCACTGGGCACTGACAAATTTCCCAAGGTTAGGTTGGGGAATCAGACCTGCGGAAGAGAGTTTATCTGTAGCCGTGTAGAAAACGAAGCACGAAGTTTAGTTTTGGGCTTGAATGGCGACCACTTAACGTTAGTTTCGTAGCAAAGCGAGAATCCCTCCTTGGGTTCTTCCTGCGTGCCAAGAGAACAAATAGGTCGCGTCACAACTTTTGTGACGCGTCTATCGGCACATTTGGACGAGACGCCACAACGCCTGATCATGTGACTCTCCATTGAGCCATGCTTGGCACTTTTCATGCCCTTGCGCTCTGCACTTTAGCAACAGCAAAACGCAGGGGCCAAGTCTGTGCTTCTACTTCTACTTCTACTCTGTCTTTATGTTTCCATTCCCATTTCCAGTTCCAATTCTACAGTATCTCCTGCTGGGCTGGCTGGCTGGCTCCACGGGCATGTTAGTCCTAGTCTAGTCTAGACTAGACTAGACTAATCCGTAGTGTGCTTGCACATGTAGTATTGCGTAAATCCCACCCGCATAATGCTTGCATAGCATAACATAAAATGGTGGGGTTCCGGTGCAAGTGGGCTCGAGGTGGGAGGGAACCTCGTAAAGAAAAGAAACAGAAAACGAGGGGCAGCTGAGCTGACTGCGCCCGTTGCTGGGCTACTTCCAAGATTTTCGAGACGGCCGCCTCGTCTTCTGCATCGCATATAAAGTGGCATTGCCTTGTCTAGTATCTGTTTGTGTTTCCGTTCAGCGTTTTTAGCTTTTCCCGCTTTTACAGGCCCGGTTCGTCGTTGCTATACCGCCTCGGGCAGAACACGAGTCTATCACGTACCGTTTGGCCGAAGCCCTTAGGTAACGTCGTGATACTAGTGAGATCCACTGCAATTGGAGGTGAGCTGCCATCTCCTTGGTCCCCATAATATCATGTTGAGGAGGTCACCGGCTAATTCTTTCTTCCTACGAGTGACAGAAATAAAACATTCGCCAAAATGGATCGCACCACGATCATCGAAGCTTCCAAGAAGCATGACATCGTCCCCGGCACCTACAAATATGGCACGGCCGGTTTCCGCATGGCGGCCGACCTGCTCGAGGGCGTCACATTCCGAGTTGGTCTGTTGTCGGCCCTAAGGAGCCGCAAGCTGAACGGGCAGGCAATCGGCGTCATGGTCACTGCCAGTCACAACCCAGCAAAAGACAATGGCGTGAAAATCGTCGACCCTATGGGCGACATGCTTGAGCAGGAATGGGAAGTCTACGCCACAGATCTCGTCAATTGCAAGTCCCACGATGCTCTCGCAGATACCTTCTTCAAGCTCGCCGAACAGCTCAAAATTGATGTTTCTGCCTCCGGCAAGGTTATTGCCGGCAGGGATACTCGTCCCTCCGGTATCACCTTGGTTCAAGCCCTTTCCGATGCTTGCGCAGCTACCAACACGGCTTACACCGATTACAAGATCCTGACCACCCCTCAGCTTCACTACTTGACTCGCTGTGTCAACACCGAAGGTCTACCTAGCTCCTACGGCGAGGTCAGCGAGGCTGGCTACTATAAGAAGCTCAACAACGCTTGGGAGCGTGCTATGAAGGGCAAGCGTGTGAGAGGTTCGCTCACGGTTGATTGCGCCAATGGTGTTGGAGGTCCAAAGCTCAACGAGCTTTTGAAGTACATGGATTCCTCCAAGACCGGACTCGACACCAAAGTCGTCAACGACGACGTCTTGAAGCCTGAGATATTGAACCTCGACTGTGGTGCCGACTTTGTAAAGACACGCCAGAGAGCCATCCCCAACCCCAAGCCTCAGCCAGGTGACCGCTGGTGCTCGCTAGACGGCGACGCTGATCGTCTGATTTACTATTGGCTCGACCCCGAAACCAGCGCCTTCTTCATGTTCGATGGTGATCGAATTGCGACCCTCGCAGCTTCATTCATCGCCGATCTTGCTCGCACTGCAGGCGTAGAAGAGGAACTCCGCATTGGAATTATCCAGACCGCTTATGCAAATGGAGCAAGTACCAAGTATGTCGAGCAGCACCTTCAGCTCCCTGTTGTCTGTACACCTACCGGTGTCAAGCACCTTCACCATGCCGCTTGTGCCTTTGACATTGGTGTTTATTTCGAGGCCAATGGACATGGTACCGTTCTATTTTCATCGGACGCCATGGAAACTTTTGCCAAGAAGGAGCCTCAGTCACCCGCACAGAAGGATGCTCTTGATACCCTGCAAGCCCTCGGTGAGCTTATCAACCAGACTGTTGGAGATGCTATCTCCGATATGCTTATGGTTGAGGTCATCCTTGCCCACAAGGGTTGGGGCTTGAAGGACTGGGCGATGACATACACAGACCTTCCCAATCGATTGGTCCGGGTCGAGGTTGGCGACAAGGATCTGTTCCAGACCACTGATGCTGAGCGGAAGCTCAGCCACCCAGCCGGTGTGCAGGATGAAATCGACCAGTGTGTCAAGAAGTACACGAATGCCAGATCATTCGCTCGTGCTTCGGGTACAGAGAACGCTTGCAGAGTTTACGCCGAGGCCGCGACCCGGTCTGAGGCGGACGATCTCGCCAACAAGGTGGCAACTATCGTGAAGCAGTATGGCGGCGGGGTCTAGGCGGCCATCCGTAAGGACCATCCGGATATCACCCCGGAGAACGTCATGCTGTTGGCGCGCTACATGAACTAGACGATGTCATGAGTGAATGAACGGAACGGGACCAGGGGGAGAAGAAGAAGAAAAAGGATTGTTCTGCTATATAGATAAGAGTAACTCACCAAAAGTATCTTCTCATATTATTCTTATATTATGTCTGGCCCCTCAACATCTCTGCTGCCACACATGACACAACAGCGATCACTGCCCGCGTGTCGTCCAAGATACCATGATTCGACTCGAGAGAACTATGCGTACACTCGAGCCTTGTGCTTTGCTAGAGTTTGATTTTAAGTCGTAGGGAACCACACCAAGTAGGACTTTACATTTAGACTTAGATTGCGGGACTGTACAGGCCTCTCACCAGATCTCGAATTTCTGTTCGAACCATCTGTAATTTGGGAGCACCAAGGGCCACTGACGCCTCCGCCTTTCGTTATTCGGAATTGCATGTGAAGAAAACAAGGCATTCATGTCTCAAGACAATTAATTGTGCTCATCAAACGTACTGCATGTCATTATTGACTGTCACTTGGACGCTACCATCTAGACTAAATATATCCATGAACTCTAGGAATACAGTCTCTCATGTTCTTCATCAAAGTTCATATTTGTCTCCACGACCACTTTGGGGGCTACACGAGTGACTGTGCAATGCGGTATCTGCAATCCGCCACCCGGAACCCAGAGTTTTTCCCGTTCGTCTCCAAACGCGTCTCGAGCAGGCCACCTTCAGGCCGCTGTTCGATCTCCGATGGTAATTGCGGCTTTCACACTGCCTCATTCGCACGCATTGTGCGATTCCAGCGCTTCGCTAAACCGAACCTGAAATATTTACATCATCCGGCACTTGGTACCAAGATGAGAGCTTCTTCTTCTTTTTTAGCACATCTTATACTCGGCTTGTCCCTGAACCTGTCTAGTAGGATCTTCCGTTCCAAGGCGGTACTTGATCTTGATGTCCAGGTCACGGCGGTTCTTATCGTTGGGCCTGACATCAAGCTCACACTCGACCTCTTCACCAGTCGTCACTGTCAGAACATCCTTCAGGTAGAAGACTGTCTGCTTCCAATGCGTGTACTTAGTATGCGGGCCAGTCGAGAAGCGGACAGGCTTGTGGCAGGCGGTAAAGTCAATATCAAACCATGCAACGAGAGCATGAACAAAGTCCTCGCGGCGGCAGGGCAGCTTGAAGTTAACGTTGAAGGCAAGGTCATCCACTGTGCAGGTGTACAGGTCCAGTGTCAGGATAGGTACGGGGTCAGTGACTGCGGCCTTCACCTCCACTGTATCGACAAGGGGTTCAGCAAGAGCAGTTTCCTTGAGGGGTGTGTAATCGAAGCCGTAGACGTTGTCCCAGACTATTGTGCAATGTCAGTATCTCAATATCACGATAAATATGAATTTGTGACATACATCCGATCTTCTCGTCTTTGTAATCGCCATCCTCGATACCACAAGCAAAGATAGTAGCCTTGTCAGGGAAGATCAGGCCACCTTCCTTGTTCAAGTACCTGTCACGAGCATAGAGGACGGTGTCGAGCATGGACTCGTACAACAGGAAGTATCCCATCCACTCTGAGATGATGATGTCGACCTTGGGGAAGGGTAGCTCGACCTCCTCCATCTTGCCCTGGAGCAGAGTGATCTTATCAGACAAGCCATTCTTGGCAACAATCTCCTTGGCCTTGAAAATGATAGTTGACATATCAACACCGATGACATGCTTGGCACCAGACTTGGCCGCGAACCTGCGGGTTTGTCAGTATAACCAAGACGCACAAAGATGATGCTGTATCCGGCAGGATGCTAGAGAACTCACATGGACAAAATACCAGTTCCGCAGCCGACGTCAAGAACAACCTTGTCTTTGAAGAGGTGCTTGTTCTGGACGATGGCATTCATGTAGGATCGCGTGCGAACCTCATCTTTCTATGAGAAGCAGCCAGGTTAGCGGGTTGGGCTCTGGTGCAGAAGAATCCTGCTACTTACCAACATCTCCTCATGGATACCTGAGAACCGGGCCCCACGTTAGTAAATAGTCTTAAGACCCCTCCATCAGATCAAGATCAGTAGCAATTCAAGCATACCATGGTGGTTGTAACTGCGAGAGGATTGACGTTAGCAATAAGCCTGAAAGGTACGATGTTCTCCAAGTTCCGTTTGCATTACAAACGGAGCTTTTTGTGCATGTGTAACTTACCTGTTGAAGTAGTGCTGCTCGGAATGGGCCATGCCCTTGAGGGCCATTTCGGCCTTGTCGACGTCCATCTTGCCAGAATCTGCCATATTCGCGGGCAGTAAAGAGTCCTGGCCGAAGAGAAAATTATAAAATGAGAGTCCAGGAAAGGCTGTGGTCGAGGAACGGTTCGTCAACTGCTGCACATCAGTCGGGCATAATTTTTCTGAGATCCAGGGTCCGTCCATCAATTTACTGCCCATAGCGGGCCTCACCGCCCGCTGCCCCACCAAGAGTCGGTCCACATAGGAAACCCTCTTCGGGGCTAGCACTAACCTAGTCTAGCACTACGCAGACTGATCCGATCTGCGACAGCGGGAAGGTACATACAAATACAACACCTCTGGTACTGTCCTGAGATGCTACCGTGCTAATAAAAACTGACTGCATGCTGTCTGGTAGCATTATTTGACCGGTCAATGATACGAACTGAGGTTACACTTGAATTCCTGTGACGTTCCATCATAAGCAACATGAAACATATAGGTAAATCCATTGTGAAACACGATGACTGGGTGTGATATCCTCGTCGGCACGAGTCAAGACCGCGTAGCCCGCATGACATTGTAGAGAAGCAAGAAGGCGAAATCCGAAAGGCAGAGATTTCATTGAACATGAGTAGTCAACGAAAAATATCATTGCGAAATTCGGGGTTTCCCTGTTTATGCTAACCAGTAACACGGTATAGAAGCTGGTAGATGATCTATTATAGTTCGAAGAGCTCATGGCCACTCGGCCTCTTGAAAGTCTAGGTATTACGGAGTAGGGCTTCTTGATAATAAATGGCTGAACGACTATGTATCATCCACGAGGAATAACCTAAGCCCCTCCAAACCTACAACAAATCTGCGTGCACGCTTCTACGCGGTGCGTCTCACTCAAGCTCCTTGTCTTTTAATTTGGTGTTTGTGGAGATATCGTCCTGCGCATCTCTGACCAGGAAACTACAACGTGTTAGCTCCCAGAGTTTCACGAGACAATCTGGGGGTGGTGCGTACTTATACCACACGATTGTGGGCACAATAGTGCCTAGATGCCACAGACTGTGCGCGTCTAAGGCTCCCCATAACGGGGCGAAATCAAACAGTTCCAAGCTCATGACCATCATGAGCCAAGCCACGATACAACCTGGCCAGATGGCCCAAAGCTTGTGCGTCTGCCTGTACTTCCTGAAACTGAAGTATGTCCACAGAGAGTTCTGGGTGAGCCCGACGACGACATTGGCCGTCATGTTGTATGTGTAGTCCCACTTCCATGCTTTGAGGTAGATTACATGGCAGGCATACAGAGTGCAGCAAAGCACCGTCCACAGTCTCAGCATGCTTCTCCGCCTCGGCGTTGGCTTGTCCAGTCGGAACACTATAATCGGGGTATAGTACATGCCATACATGACACCAGCACCAGCGGCGAAGTAATCCAGTTGCTCTGTCGCTACAAAATCACGGACGTGGAAGATACTGCTAAAAATCCAGGTTGCAATACCAAAGTACGCGAACAGACAGTAGTAGGGTCGGAGGGGGTAGTTGGCGGGAATGGACGCTCGTAGCTTCGCGAGCCCATTCTGATGTGCCACCATGTTTCCTAGACTGAAAAGCACACTGAAGGGCTCCTGCATACCGAGGACCCGGATAAAGGGCCATTTGCCATGGAATTGGGTGACGGGCTCATTGCGCGCGACTCGCCTCGAGGTGACGATATGTTGGCAGGTGTAGTCGCATTCTTGGGGGCAGGTCCAGAACAGGAGTCGGTGATGAAGAGCTGTAGATGGGCCGCGTGTGAGTTCAGTTGGACATAGACTGAGTACTGCCGGAGGGGCGCTCTACTCACGTATGCGTGTCGGGTTGTTTTTGGGATTGCAGTTCTCCCTGGCGCAGACCTGTATTTCAAGATAGGTTAGTCTTCTCTTCACTCTGCTCAGCACCATGCTTTCTCAGCATCTGGCCACAAACCTCTACACACTCGCGAAACTCGGGTAGGCGATCGCCAAGAGAGGCTTCTACTCGAGTCAGACAAAGACAAAGCACGAGAAGCACAGCCAGTAAAGGCGCTGCTCTCAATCGCAAGCTTCTCATCATTTTGCTGGCATTGGGACCACTGGGAAGAAGCTCGCAAAGGCCACGGCGGAAAGTAAAAAAGTAGCTCGAGGCACAGCTCGTGTTGAGCAGCGACGGGAGCGCCGCATTACTTCGCAGCGATTGGCTTGTGCCCCACATCATAATACCAATTACCGATCCCCGGGGTCCATCATGGCCCCGAACCCAATTATTAATTACACACAGCCTTAACGCTTAAGTCTTTGCCATGCTGGGGCCCTGGCAGTCATCTCCTTTTCTCTGCATGGTGATTGATTGAACGATTGATCTTCCTCGCCCCATTCCGTAATGCGTTTGACGCGTTGTGGTCAGCTTACTTGTCGCCATGCAGAATGCACTACAAGGCAGCTCTTGGAAGGGCCTCTAGAAGCGTAAGCTTTATTTCATGTTTTATACATATGTATATATATATATATTTTTTTTATAAATATTTTATAAATATTTGGCTGGCAACTTAGAGCAGCGTCATCTTCATACATAATTCCCCCGCTTGACTTTGCCTTATCCGCCATGCGGAGAACTTCGCTCCGGGATCTGGCAACGCTTGTGCAGAGCCTCAACCTTCATGCTCACCTTTCCATAGAATGTTTACTGGCAATTGCGGAGATAACATATCACCAATGATCTTTGCAGGTATGTCTGGTAAGCCGTAGGCACTATGCGTGGTTATTTAAGAGTCGGGGGGGGGGGATGCTGTACTCGACCACAGGTACAGCATCTCCTCTCCTCGTGCACTTTTGTTCGAAGAATTCCTAGTCTAGTCCAGTCCAACCTCTGATTGTCGTTATGAAGCTACTTGCCTTGATTGTGGCTGCATCGTATGCATTGGCAACTTCATGCCCCGCCCTGCCACTCTCACCTGTAACTCGGAAGGGAACTACATTGCTCGTCCATGGCCAGCCTTGGAAGGCAATTGGGCCCAATATTTACTGGCTAGGACTTGACGAGAACGTGATTCCGCCAGCTGGAGAGCCCTACGATGCAGCCACAAAGTCAAGTTATCCTACTAAAGGCCGCATCACGGATGCTTTGGCAACAGTCCAGGCGTTGGGAGGGACGATGATCCGATCTCATACCCTTGGCGTCAACCTCGGCAACCCTCTTACTGTCATGCCGGAATTAGGTATCATCAATGAGGAAGCATTCGAGTCAATTGACTGGGCTGTCTACCAAGCGGGTCTATATGGTATTCGACTACTGGTCCCCTTGACAGATAATTGGGATTATTACCATGGCGGTAAATATAACTTTCTTCGCTGGTCAGGTTTCAACTTGACCCAAAAAAGTGATAGCAGCAATCCCGAGATTCAACAATTCTACTATAACCAGACTATAGTGGTTGCTTTCAAGCGTTACGTACAGAGGCTCTTAACGCACAAAAATCGGTACAACAACCTTACTTATGCCGAGGACCCAACTGTGTTCGCTTACGAAACAGGCAATGAGCTTGGGGGTCCTATATTTGGTGACATGGATTGTCCTGCTGAATGGGTTCGAAATATCACGAGCTTCATTAAAACACTTGCCCCTGAAAAGCTGATCTTGGATGGTACATATGGGGTTAACAGAACGCACTTCGATATCCTGGAGATCGACGGTTTCTCAAACCACTACTATCCAATAAACACAGTGAAGCTGGAACATGACTTGGAGGCCGTCGAAAGTGCTGAGCGCGTATACTTTGCTGGCGAATACAGCTGGGTTGGCCCTGATGCTGGCACCAACAACTTGAGCTCTTTCTTTGAAATTCTCGAGCAAAGTCCTGTTGTGGCTGGTGACGCACTTTGGAGTCTGTTCGGGAGAAATCTGCCTGATTGCAACGTAAGCAGTATGATAACACTGCTGGATATCGGCTGACAATGATCACAGACATTTGTTAACCACACAGATGGCTTCACCTTGCAGTATGGTAATCCAGCAAATTCGAACTACACTGATAGCAGGATACAACTGATCAGGAAGCACTTTATCGCCATGAGTAAAGACGAAGATATCCCAGCTAATGCGAGCCTGCCAGCTGTACCCTGTCCAGCCCCTATGTTGCCCTGATACCAGTCAGACATCACTTGACGCCGAATAGCTGTCTTCTAGTCTTATTACTAAATGCCTTGTTTCTGGCAACCTTTCTTTCAGTTTTCGCGTTCTTTCATGTTGAATGTACTATGTTATTTGCAATCACCAGCAATCACTCCTCCAGTATCCTCGGCCTATCCCACACAATCCTGTCTTCATATTCTAATTATTATGTGCAAATATTTATGCGACCATTAGTGATATTGGCTGTCCATGTGCAAATAATGACACAGACTGTGGAACTATTCTTCTACTACTTGATCGAGTGCCTGATCTCAAAATTTCACACAAGCACCGAAGATTCCTAAACTGGCGCTGTTTACAGCGGCGTAAAATTCAACAATTAATTAGTTATAAGTCTATTAAACGGCTCATGCACACCATCATTTCAAGCTTCGATGAAGAAAAAGAAATGTCCAAATGCAGGTTTCGATGCCAAAGCAGTATTCGGGGTCTAGCCCCGTCTTGACGAAGGTGTTGTCCAACCGTCGCAATAATTCGTCAGGCATGTTTTCCTACAGAATTGGATGTCTTTAATGAACTATATCAAAGACTAGGCCTTGGTTTTTATATTCCTCGGAGGGACTGCGTGGTTACAGTCGAGGTGAAAGAGCCACAAACAACCCGAAAACTGATCCTGCGAATATCATGGCCCTATAAACCTCATTCAGTGTACATTGCTTAGCACATGGTGGATTGAAGTAACAAAGACAGCAACGATCTTAACGAAGATTGTCCTGGCCACTTTTCATGTCAAAATTACCGCTATGAGACCAGTAGGCAATCCCCGGCCAAGGGACCCAAATCATGGCAGGCCATTGGCAAGTAACACAACTACCTCTCAAGCTATGAGTATTTCAGTCGGTGGGATATTGGAGCGCGCTACCTCTACCAGCAGTGGTGAGAAGTCGTAATTTTCGTAATGGGCAGATAATAAGACTTTGGAAAGGCCAGAATTAGTGAGCATGGCGTATTACAATGGTAGTCAAATTCCGTCATAGCCATGAAAATTGTAACGTTACAATGATCGGATTATAGCAAACTGGTGATGATGTATAATATATATACATTCATTCGCCGGCCCATGTTTTGACCCAGTATCTGTGCCTTTCATCTTTATATTCGTCAGTCAGATCAAATCCTAGCCATCCATCTTCCTATGTCATCCACCTTGCAGTTGCCAAACGCTCCCTCGCATTGTACCAAAGGACAATCACCTATATTTAAGCTCTTTTCACTTTCACTTCTTAATCTCCCTGTTTTCGGGTACCAACTACTCCTATCAATCAACGCCCGAAACTTAAAGTAATATCCATAACAACTACTCACTACATGATAAGACTCCTCCAAGTACACAAGAGAATCGACTTACGACACCGAACTGCTTCGACAAACTTAGCAAGAGTATACATCAAACGACTGACCAAGATGACTCCCTTGAAGCAAATGCCCCTCATTCTTTCCCCTATCTCGCCAAAAGTCATCGTAAATGGGAAGGAGTAGGGATTACCACCGATCGACAGGGACATCAAAGTCGAAGAAGCAGCGCCAGACGCTAAACCGGATGATTACAACACGTTTGACTACACTGGGCGTAATGGAGTCCGCCACGAGGTTACCCACCTTACCAGTGACGGCGACAGCTATGATGACGACGCAATTAAAGTCGAACCCGTCAGAAGAGGTCACGACGCTATAACGTAAGGACGCTGAGCTTGAACAAGCCATATCATGATATGAGGAGTGCCAATCCAGACGGAACTCACGAACGCGGATGGGCAATGAACTTCGACAATTGTGTTGCGAGATGGGCGAAAGACTCTGCGAATGGAGGCCTAAGGGTGTGGGTCGAGAAAAGTTCCATGGAAGACTAGTGGGCGACGTCAATTCTTCTTCCGTTTTTGATCACAAGCTCTGCGTCGCTCTGGGAAAGATAGTGATGAGAACCTAAACGTCGGCTTCAAGGGTTTGGAGATGCGCCAGACTGTAGCACGCTTTCTGGACTTGGCCAGAGGCAATAGCATTGACTACGGAGCGTACCACTTAGATTTGGCCTTAAGAAAACCCTTACCAGAATATTATACAATTGGACAGGATAAAATCCATAGAGCCAGTCAACTCATTGCTGATGGGCCCTAACTATCACGGGGAACTACGAAGGAATGACACGGTCAATGATCATTGAGTTATAAATATATTCTGTCACTACGGTTGAAGTAATCGCTAACGGCATTTGGCGTTATGGGCAGCCCATGCCCATCTCACCTCATGGAACGGTAAAACCTGTCGAGAAGAATTAGCGATGTCTCTTCAGCCTAAGTCTGAACAAAAAGATAGCAATCTCCCAAGAATTCAGAAACCAAGTCTCTAAGCACGACCAAATCCCCACCTCGCACACCCGCCGTCTCAGCCAACCGCCGCGGCGAGAGAGCCAGGCAGCATATGACGATATTGCACAAGCCTCCGACATGGAGTCGAACAGAGACAACATTGGGTGGTCCAGCCAAAGGGTTTTCGACGCCCGGGGACGGTCACTCATACGGCTCTTCCTATTACAAGTATGGTTATGAGATGACGAGACACTTTGTGTGTCCGTCGGATAGTCATCATTTGGAGGGAGTGTAGTGTTGGATGCAGAACGACTGCAAGACTGAGGGAGATATAGCTTACCAAGAGAATCAAACAAGATAGCAAAGTAGAAGGCTGTGCGTCAACGAGCCTAGAGATGTACAGTATCTAGAACCTGGCTAACGAGACCGTGGTTGTGAGGTGTGTGGCATTGGTGTAGCTGGAAAGCAAGAGTGATTCATTGTGTTGCAGAATTGGGGTGCACTCTGGCAAGAAATTTTTAAGGCATGTGGGTACCAGGACGGCGTCGCACCTTTGACAGGTGCTGTCAGCCGAAGACCTGCTTCCAGCTGAGAGCGTACAACGAGAGCCTGTCTCAACGCTACGTGCATGTAATGCTGAAAAGCGTAGGTTTCCCATAATAGTTTTTAGCCAAGAATTAGACAATGATTATATCAATCTCAGGGAAGCGAGTTTCTCACTCTTTTCAATCCCTTTTTCTTTTTCTTTGGGGATTTTCTTTCTCCTTCCTCTTCCGTTTCTCTCTCTCTCTCTTCCGCTTCACCCTCCTGCATGTCGTGAGCGAAAACTACTAACTTGCAAGTAACGAAGAAAAGTGATATCCAGATTTGACATAGTAAGCTATACGGTTCAAACAACAAACTCTGATTCATATAGCACGATTCAATAAGGCGCCACATTGGAAGACACGCATGTGCTCGCCCTTGATTTGAATTGCTTCATCGTGAGAATGATTCTTTATCGTTGTATTTATATGTGTGTTTCCAGATCCAATCATGCCAATTAATGGCGCCCATTAGGAAGTGTTTCCAGATCAGACGCCGCGGTCGTTATGCCAAAGCAGCAAGCTAGAAACCATTCCAAATAAGAAAGCAATCCCCTTACACAGCGCTCTATGTCCTGAACGGGCCATATCACCTCGTTCTTCCCCTAGGCCAAGTGCATACAATTTGGATCGTTGTCTCTCTTCCTTCCATCTTATCTTATCCTATCATCTCGTCGTAAATAATCCAGCTAGTAGCGGAAAAGGTCATTATACAAGTGGGTGGTTTTGCGGCATCTACTAAGGCTCTCAGTGAGTGTATCCACTGAAGTCTGTGGAAGTCCAGTCCATGACTGGATTGAAATCCATGTTGAAGTCTTGTGACGACGGCTGACTGAATCCTGCTGCAGCGCTAGGCATGGTATTCATTAGGAGACTGCCATCATACTCATTTGACTTGTTTGGAAACAACAGAAAATCATTCCCTCCAAAGTCATTGCTGCCAAATTGGTCATTGCAGCCAAACTCATCAAAGCCCTCGTCTATCATAGACGCCGGGGTGAAAAGCATGGTGTTGCCGTGTCCAGCGGGAGATATGTGCGGTGCAATTTGTGTAGTGTGTACCGGAGCATGAGAGGGAAACAGGTCCTGAGGAATACTGGCCAGTAATTCGGGTACACTCTTGTCGTAGACGGAATAAGTGGGCGTAGGCAGTCTTGCGTGATAGATATCACTGAACTGGTCGTCAATGTTGGGGCTCATCTCACTGAAAGTGCTGAATTGACCATCAGTTGAGGGCGTGGCATTGTCGATGGGAGAGAAGTCTAGTTGAATATCGGTACCGTCAAAGGGAATATCGTCTAGTACATGACCAGCGTCGAACTCCTCGTTCGTTGGATAGGCAGGGAACATGTCATACGTATCCAAGATGCTAAACCCCTGATCCGGTGGCGTCATGATGGAGTGGCTGTGATCACTGTCTGGAGTTGGCATACCAGCGATCACCGGGGTAGGAGCAGAGCTGCCTGCTTTGGTGCCTTTCCCGTTTGTTTTGGTTCGAACGTACGTCCACCCATGTGCTTTCTCCATGTGCTGCTTGCAGTTTGATTCTCGCTTCGACTTGTAGGGGCATGGCTTGTAGTGGCACTCGTACATCATCGGAGTGTTGGTATGCTTGTCATTGACATGACGATCCATTTCTTTCTCCGTTGGCCAACCGTACTCGTGATATTTGCACGTCGGAACAGGGCACTTCCAAGGGCGAGAGTGAGTCTTCTCGTGCTTGGTCAGATCGCAAGGACGTTTGAATTCCTTGTTGCACCCGGGCTCTTTGCATTTCTTGGGGGCGAGCTCCTCAGGTGTGGCATTCTTCTTTCGACGCGCCATTGATCGCATGATTTCTTCGTCGTCTGCGAGTTGTTCACTCATGGATCGCTTGAATCGAATAGGACCATTGGCGTCCTCGTCGAGTTCTTCGACAGGTTGACCAGTAGCAATCGAGATAGCTTTGCCATCCTTCCTGATACGGACCAGCTCAGCAGGTCGGCCGGTGGTGGCAAGGCCGCCCATGAGCTTCACTTCGTCAGTGCTAAAGAAAGAGTTAGCGTGGCTAATAAGATGTGCAATAGATTGTTGGATTGCATACGGGTGGGCAGCCATCTCATCCAATTCCTCGCCTGCTGCTTGTCGCTCCTGGGTGGTCTGCAGCTGCTCAGCATGGAGCCTGATCTGTTCGACGAGGTCAATAAAATAGCCGCTGCTGTATGGACGGTCGTTTGGCCGAGTCTGTTCGTGATCGCTCAAATAATCAACTGTTGCTTGAATGCATCGAATTGATGTCATGCAGAAGTCGCGGTATAATTCGGCCGATTTTGCCCTCTCCTTCAAACACAACGCCCGATAAGTATTTCCCCAAACGCCAGTATCTTTCAGAAGTTGACTCACCGGTGCCATAAAGATCAAAGTCTTCTCCAAATCTCTGAGACAAACGATTTGATTCTCCTGAATGCGCCTAGGACAATCAAGGATGATTGACTGAAACTCTTTCAAAGACTTCTTGGCCAAAAGTGGCCTCAAAGTATGCTCATGAATGCGGTTGATAGCACGGCTGCTGAGAGGGGATAAACTCTCTTCTGTTTTGATGGCGCTTACAGAGCGAGTGATGGCCGCTGCTGTACCAGATGAAATGGCGGCTTCCTTGCCAGCTCTACCAGTAGAGGCAACGGAAGTGCCAAGTCCACTGTCTGATTCGTGATGTCTTGAGGAGCGACGAGGACGGGGACGCAAGACCCGCCTCTCCGAATCGACATCCATGGCTGATGGTTCCTCAGAGCCGACAATGTGGTCGAGGAATCTGCGAGGAACAGGCATGCCCTCGTCACGGAATGCCTGCTGTGATGAGTTGTGTGATTTGGAACCAGTCAAGATACTGTCGACGTTGCCAATGGTCAAGGCAGCACGACGACGGCTAGCATCAATAACATCATCTAGACTCGTTTGGGAGCGACGAGGTAGTGATGGAACCTTGAAGGTAGATGAACTTGAAGAAGGAGAGGAAGGGGAGTGAAATGTAGCTCCCTTCCTGAGAGTCAAGTTGCTGGTTTTAAGGCTCAAGCCATTATTGGCATTGGAACCCGAGCGACTCACCGGAGTCCTGCGAGGGTTGGATGACATGTTGACGGTCCGACAAATTTGTAGAGCGGGGGAGGTGATATATAAGATAATGAGGATAGAGTGAGGGGGGTATAGTGCAGTACTGTGTCGACAGACGGTATGGTTAGCACCGTTTGAAACCAAGAGGTCTAGCCAGCCGATGAGTCACCTCAGTCGAAGTCCTTCTTCACCGAGACCAGGATATGGCCTCAGGACACAAGAAATGATATCACAGTAGCCAAATTGGCATTGGTCAATCGAAAAGTGTGTCGAGAAATGCCTTGAGAATAGATGGCAGATATCGCTTAGATTGGAGACTAAAATTTGTCCTTACTTTGAAACAACCAAATGGCCTATAACATAAGACCCGTCAGCTGTTACAGGTGACTCGACCGTGACGCGATAGTCACTTGTTGTATGCCAGATGTCGAGGATATGCTGTGTTTGCCACCGAGGAGGGGCGGCAGCGAAGGCAAGCGAGCGGCTCCAGTCCAAGGATTCCCTGATGGATGACGGATAGGGCTGCGACAGTACAATTGCCAGATGAGTGAAGATCGTAGTATGTAAATGCTCGCAAAGGATGTGAAACTTAGGTGTTGAAAGGGCTACGAGCAGTGATAGTGCTTTTGCCGTTTCAAGTGGGCGCCTTTCGATGATTAGTCCGTACGGGCGATAACAACCATTGAAACCTGAGACGAGGAAAGGCTCGGGTTGAGGTGTCGTGTATGCGAAAAAAGATCCAATTCACAGGAAAGTCGAGAAAGTCTGTCGCCTACCTGGGAGAGATGCTGTTCTTGAGTTTGGAGGAAGCCCGGGCAGGTTGAGGTTGGCTGCCTAGATAAGTGGGTCTCCCCCAAGTCTGAACTGAACTATCTGAGGCTGTGCCGCTGAGCTGGGTCGCATGTAGCAGAGTGGGTATCTTATGTTACGTGTGGATGTTCAAGCGACAGTGGCCTCAATCAAACGGTGAGGCGGGTGTTGCTAAAACAGGAACACTCCATAAAAAATAAGCACAAAACAGCAGGACTTCTGTGCTTAACCCCTTCGATTTGGCCTATCGAATATTCAAACAATGTTGTTGTTGAAATAATATCATTAGATGGGGAAAATGCCATGGATGCCTATTCTATGTCCATGTTTCGGCTTCAACTCTATCTTCTGTAAACGCCCATGTACGCTAGGAGACAACACTGACAATCCAAAGCACCATGTCAATCAATGTTCTCAGGCTGTGTGCCCCAACCGCCAATCGCAGCTGCCCGCCCCAAAGCAGCTCTAGCGGCGCAGCTGCTTGATTACCCCTACTAACAGCAGGTACTTCTTCGCAACCTTTAACGTCCTACCAAGCTTAAAATTGACCTATCCTAGTCGCTCATCGTTTCTAACTTACTGTAGGTCTTGGGAAGGAGGCAGGGACATTCTTCAAATTGAGGTTCTCGGCATTCAAGGACAAAAACCCACAATCGACCTCCAGACACTTTCCATCATGTCACATCATCTGATTTCACCTTTGGTCGAAGAACTACAAAACCTCCCATTCATCGTAACTAGCCCCAGGCACCGCGCTTCTTTCAGAAACGCAACGTACAAAACACATTCGCTGGGATCATGATCAGTTGAGCGAATGTAAGATCGGCGTGGCGTTAGACCGACAGCCAAGCTTTTTGGCAGGGTTCAATTAATCAGCATTCCTCCGACCGAGCACTCCGCTGAGAGAAGCCCCAGTTATCCAGTTATGCTCGGAGAGTTTAGTTCGAAATCCGTTGTTGTCCTACGGAGTATACATCCCCCTTCATAATCCATTGCAATCTACAGTATCGTATGAACTACAGGACCGACAGACAGGCGACAATACCTAACAAGATTTGGGGATGAAGAGCATAATGGCTCTTTCTTCTCCGTGGCATGCTCAGAACACCAGCCCTAATCCAAGCAGCGAAGTACTTTGTAGTTTCCGTTTTACAGCCAATAATGATTTTGGGCTGAGCCACCCGACGTCTACCGTTTGTCCAATGACAGGTCAAGTGAGTCCTTAAACTGAGTGGGCCCCTAGTAATCCTTCCAACCCGCCTGGCCCCAAAGTCCCTTGCAGCAGTGCAGGATATGGGGGTTTTTTGCACCTTTTCAGTACTGTAGGTATCATGTTATTATCCATGGCACCACTGTCTTTTCTCCAGTGATATTGCTGGAGTAGCCTTTACACTCACTCGTTAGGCCATGGCCAAGGATTGTCTGTAACAACGTTCATGACACTCCGCTAGCTACAAATACAGTAAACGACTGGCATTCTAGAGCCACAATCACGTCAGTACGACTAAACGGAGAAGTTCACGCAACGATTTCCCCGGCAGGCTAAGTCGATGGCCACATCGTGTCAAACCAGCGAGCCAGTTGCAATCCAATTCCACGTGCATTTACCAATCCCTTTTTATTTTATTTTTTTATTTTTTTCGCTCTCCACAAATAGACCCAAGGCTTGTCTGTTGACCTAGTCAACGAATCATTCATGAGACCCAAAACTCCCTGTTGGCCGGGTTGACTCATTCGAGGAAACACGGACAACACGGACCACACGGGCTCTAGAGATATGGAGTGGGTGGTCACGACGATCACAGCCAGTTGCAGATTGTCGCATTCGCTTAGGTTAGACTAGATATGGAAGTCCTTGACTACTGTTGAGGAGTGATGGCATTTGTCGCGAGCATTAACAACGTGACCTCAATGACCAGTTTCATCAATTGACCCTACCAGAGCAACACGTATCGCATATTCTTGATGGTGTACTAAGTGGCGCACATTCTCCCCAGGGTCGATTACCGCATCAAATGCATACTTAACACTGGCTTGTCTCAGCCCTATCGATATTCCAAGCTTCCTGCGTTTGACGATGCCTGGCTGGCCAATCGGTATCAAGCGAATCTTGAAGCCTTCGATTCACCCCACGAAAGCTTCGCGGCCTCCCCCACTTGTACCTAACCTACATCATTGCAGTGGATCTATCTACTTCTGGCCTCAATTGGAATCTTGCTGCCTGAGATGTGTAATTCGGCACTTCAAAAAGCTGTAAAACATTTTCCAGAAGGAGGTGTGATCGAAATAGGCTCCAGGTAAACGACCAATCAAGCTAGAGTAGTGGCTTGTCATCATACGTGGGCGTCGTACTCCCGTCTACCATATTGAATATTGAAGAAGGGTCTCAACTATCAGCCAAAGACCCCCAGTTTGTTCATTGTGGTGAATTCGATCCATGTCCAACCTTTCTCAGACCCATAGGTCGTGGGCCACCTATTTGAAATAATACTCACCTACCATCTCCCTCAGCCTGCCGAGATTGATTGATTGATTGATTGTATTTTAACGTCTCGGCAGCGTAAGCTGCTGCACCCAGAATGTGTCTCGATGTGGCAAGCTATAGAAAAGAAACCGCGGCGCTTTTTTATAGAAGCCAATTCCTTGTTGAAGCGTATGGTCCGTCTCTACGCTGATCCCGACATTTAGATATTGTAGACCATAGCAATGAAGCTATAAGCGTTCATCGAAGTAATTCAGAACCCGTCTATTTAGCTTGCCCAGGAAATGCCGGAATATAAGTATAAAACCTGGGCGAAACCTGCCTGGCAGATAGAAGCCAGAGGATCACAAAAATGGTGATACATTTCAGCTCTGGAGTATACAAGCCAAAATGAGTTGCCTTGATGCTTATTATGGCACCAAGTACAGTTGCGTTTCAGTCAGTAGCTCTTTCCTCTTCCGTAGCCATTAATATGGGGTATCACCGCAAGTTTGTCTTATAAGAATGTTAGCCATACGATGCCACTGACTAGATTCGGGTCGAATTCAAAGTGGCAAGACTCATGTTTGTCTCATTCAGAGTTGTTTATCTACCTACAAGCCAGGCCTGGTGACTATAGCTGGCGCGAAGTGGGGAGACAGCGCGTGGAGAAACTGTGTAATTCCTCCACCCAGGAGAGTCACCTTCCTCGCTGCCGAATTCGGAAATACCATTGCTGTCCCGCCGCACAGTCTTCTGCGCAGCATACACGATCTGCGCGACTTGCGCAGCCTGAGGACGAACGCTATGATAATTCACGACCTGTGGTTGGTGACTATTGGTCAACTGCTGTATATGAATCGGGCCCGGCTTCGGCGCTCGACGAGGCTCGGCTCGCATAGGTTGATGCGACTGATACTGTGGTTTCTTGGCCGGCATCAAAGGTAACCCCTTGACGGGGCCAGGACGGCCACCGCTAAACACCATCTGCGGTTGTGCTCGGGGCGCCGGCCAACTGTTACCCTTCGGCCTCTGCTGATAGTACTGGGCAGGTTGCTGCTGCGGTTTACTATACGAATTAGAGAAGTGAAAGTCACTACCAGGCATGCCATATATGGCACGCTGTAGGGAAGGTTCAACATACGAGTCTCTGGCCCCCGGAGCGCCCCACCCATAGTTCTGCGCTGCTTTACTCGCTTGAGTTTGAGCACGCTTGGTTTCAAGACGCTCGCACTCCTTACACGGGGCCTTGCTATGGTGGCTTTGTGAGACTGTACCTTCGCATCGTCCACCACCAAAGCAGGAGTATAAGCAAGACTCGTCAGAGTGACGGCGGTGATCGCAAGACTCATGCATCTTGGCGATGTGCCGGCAGTTAGTATGGTAATAGGTATGTTCTATTTAGGAAACCCCGTCTAAATTAGCCACGCAGCCTGATGTGTTGCTAGAATACTATCAGTGAGACTCACCAATACACATTATGTCTTGATGACAATGATATATATGTCGTCTGAGATTAGGTAGACAGTAATGGTCTTTAGAAACTTGGGGCTCGTGATAGTATCTAATATTCGAATGAGTATGTATCCTGTACCTGACAGAATCGGAAAAAGAAGAGTTCTGCGCAGCAGTTTTGTTGAATGTGTAGGTGTGAATGATATTTCGTGTCTTATCCAGTAACTCAACACCCCAGTCAACTGAGCCTGACTATTTAATTCCCTCGACACAGCATCTTTCTTTGACTTCGAGTTTGTGGCTATGCGACGGTCCTTCTTTGACATTGCTGTGGTCAGCGCTTTCAACTGCCAAAGTGGCAAACAATGCGAGGAAATGCTTCACAAAAGCGTCATTATTTCTTGAGCTGCAGGAGAGAACACAGTAGTATTCTCAGAGATCTAGATTACTTTCAGTCATTTTGCACCCATCGAACGTATTACGGGTTTATCGTGAAAAGCAAACTGGCCGCATAAACATTCATTGAGAAGTCATGGAGCTCAAACCGAAGGAGTAGTTCGTACTGCCTCCTATTGACAAGGATCTGCTGGAAGCTATCATGTTCGTGCATTCCCAATGGTCTACACTAGGAGTCTATCAAATTTCTTGTTTCGAGTGATCTATATGGTGAAGCATTGGAACTTCCTTTGAGCGCGTCTGGTGCAAAAGAACAGATGCGAGACAAAGAACTAGATTCAACGACCGTCCGCAATCGCAGAAACAATGTGCTTGACAGACATTGTCTTTTTCTTTCATACATACTCCAAAGAGCAAGGTAAAATATGATCAATGAGAATTAGCAAGTCTCTCACTTTTTCTGCACCCAGATCCAGGCCAGACTTCACACAGTGAATTATACCATATCGGACCAGAACTCTGCCACTGGTCAATGAATTCAAGCACCAATGCTTGATTCACTCACAACATTTATGGGAGGTAATGCCGCCCCAATTCTTGCCATTTCGGTGGCTACTGCTGCGATCCAATACTGTATGACGTTGAAGCCGCAGCCGGCCAAGCAGCATGGCGCCGATGGAGGTCCGAATTCTTCATCAACCCCAGCAAAAAGGAAACCTACCAAGCCTCAGGGCTCAGCCAAGGAACGAGCGGGCCTCTTATACCGAGTACATAGACACTTCAGCGACCTTCCCCAACTAGATTACACACGGCCCACACCAAATTACGATCTCGCCGTAAAACTCTTTGGTGGGCTGGCCACCGACAAAAAGGCTGCGAAAACTGACGGAAAGCGGAAGGCAAAAGCTGGAGACTTTAAGATCAAGAGGTCTGAGATCGAGTCCGGCACAGATGAAGATGAGGATGAGGATGATGAGGATGATAAGGATGAAGTTGACCCCAGATTTTTTGAAAGACCATCTTCCAGACTAGGCTTCCACCGAATGACGGCGATCGAGGAGGATGAAACTTCCAGCTCAAGGACAGTCGAATATTTTCGTTCTGCTAAGCCCAACGACTGTGAGTATGGATTGTTGTCGCAGCCATACACTGGCCATATCACATCAGAGATAACACTAAGTATATGATAGACCCAGATCAAGAGGTACCGATTGAAGAAGAGAGATCGGATGATGAGCAACCGAAAAGAGCAGGCGAGTAATTCCGTATTATAATATATCTAATTGTTGTTTGGTTGTACAATGATTGACTGAACCCAAGGTGTAATCATTGATATCGAAAAGAGACTCTTTCGAGCTGCTAGACCGAGGGTAAGCGTGTACGCTCCTGCTGGAGAAGAGCATCTCCGTAAAATTGGCTCATGGCTTGGACTACCGGAGCCTCATTCGCCACTAAACGTTTTGAAAAAGGCTTCGCGACTAGAGTGGGCAATGTTTGAAACCCTTCCAGATGTAACAAGGACAGGTGTCCGGGGATTTGGGAACAGCATAGAGCCCGTAAGACCGAGCAGCCAGGCCGACATCGATCGTAGGATTACCATTGCTCACTGGAATTCTTTGAATTGGGATGAAGTATTGGAGGCAAACAAATATCGACTGAACGATATGAAATTTCGTGAACTAGAGGACAGTATCATGGCTCTGGATGGGAGATTAAGTCCTGCAACGGCCCCAACGAAGTGAGTTTCTACCTGTTGTTCGTGCCCAACTGTTCAACTGCTGGATTTGATTCCCGTGTTAACCGTAATCTAGGTATATAAGCGAAAGAACTTCCCCAACGCCAAAAGAACGCTTCCAAGATGGCAAGCGTCGACGTTCAGGGCTTATGTTTTCACTTAATACAGATCAATTCGATGACCAACCGTTGCTTCCTCCTCCTCCAGGTATGTAGTAACACGGTACCTCGCAGCCATGGATTACAAGACGTAATAAATCAGTTCTGGCGGCTGCGGCAAAATCTCTTGGAGTAATAGGCAGACCGACGTTCTAAGCCTCGAATCTCCAACAAGGTCGATAGATGTGCATGGCTGATTGTTAAGTTATAGACTACACCGAATGGACTAAAGAAGTCATGGGTACACCTCATAAGAAACGACTTCCCAAGATACGATCAAGGGATAAAGAAAATAGGAACCACGTAAGCAAATCTTGGAATCGCCATCTATCCTTTATGACATGTCTGCAGAGCCGATATTGCCCATTGAAGGCAGTTTTTCTATCTGACTGTGTCGCAATACTCCCTAAACACCCGTCAACCCTCCTAAGGGGACGATTACTAACTCGGAATACTGTAGTGGATAACTCGAGACTTAATATATCAAAAAGGCATCACAGCGCTTGTGTTTGTGAGAGAATTCCAGGATAGACGAATTCAAGACCTCGTGGATACTCTGAGTAAAGAAAAAGGTGAAACATTCTGCGTGGATAGCCACGCTCACCATGTTGACACCACTGTAACGAAACATCAATACTTTGTTGCACGACTCTACAATGCGGCACTCCAAAGAGTGAGCCTATTGGATGGGAAACACTAGGTACTGGGAGAACTCGCGATGTGGAAAAGAGTTGGATCATTTGCCGGGAGTCTGGGGGAACGGATTAGACAAGAATGAATTTGAGCTTTGAGTCCCTAAACGTGACGTAGTAGCTCATGGTGATACAATCGAGGATCAGGCCAAGTGATTGTCTAGAGTAGCTCCTATAGTCCTCTGGTATCCAGGTGGTCAAATATTCTTGGGAAAAGATTATCGTGTCTTTCCTAGTCAGAGAATCGTTTAGAGGCCCTTTCAACTTTTGCGGCCCGCTTGAACTTCCTTGCTACATGGGGGGTCTCTCATGCTTGCCTCGTCGCGTGCATGGCAAGACTCAGTGTAAGGGACCAGGCAACCGGGTGTATCTAACAGCGAGAAGTTCGTGTGTAATATCTCATGATCTATATCCGTCCGATTGGAAGCTCCAAGACAGTTGGAAATGGAGCACAGAATGACCGCAGCTGAATGCGGCTGGCGGCGGGATATGAGCGTGGCCCCACCCAACTTCAACCCCCGAGTCACCAGGAACAATTGAAATACTCTACAGTAAGCTTGGTGGCAGAAAGTCTCGAGAATTGCGGCCGTTTTGAACGAGCCGTAAAGTCTGCTGCTTCCGACCGGGATTTCGGCTTGCGGCACATACGAATGTCATAGGTCAAGCGGCCCTAGTCTATCTAAAACGCGCAGCGATAGTTATTACAGGCGATCCCTAGGCACCCTTCGCACAGGTCTCGACCCACCTTGGTGAATACGTTCTTCTTCTTCTTCATGGGATTGGTGCTTTTATGTTCTATAAGATGTTGCTGCAGAAGGTACTTTTGGACCGCGGGGCCATCGGTGCGGCTGAGTGCCCGTACCCGTGATGTTGGCCCGTACTATGCAGGGCCCTTTTGGCTAAGTGCCAAGACGCATGTAAGAATGCAGCCTCGTCAAGTCCGCACCTCAAAACATCATATTTGAGACAGTCGCCGCTATGCGGATCCCTACGACAATGCGAGGATACCTCTTCAAATTATTCATTCATTATAATGACCGCTCAACAATATACAGAAGAAGATGGAGACCTCCCTCCGCTGTATGAGCCATTGGCAAAACAGCAGCGTCAAATCAGATTACTTTTTCTAAGAGCAACGAATTCGGAGCAGGAAGACGAACCCATCACGAGTTTACTTGTTCCACTATCGCTTGACGAAGTCAAAACACGATATGCGGCTTTGTCACATGTATGGGGTCTCCCGGATTCTTCGCAGAGTATTATCGTCAACGGGAGACTCTTCCCGGTTTCCACAAACTTGCTGGAATTCCTCAAATCACATCGACGCCGCTGTCGGAACACATCTGAAGTACGAATGCTCCCACTGTGGATCGATAGCATATGTGTAAACCAAATGGATATCGCAGAACGCAACAGCCAAGCCATGCTCATGAAGCCGATTTATCAAAATGCGGGCATGGTAGTGTCATGGCTGGGTACGTCGTTTCCCTTGAGCGATTGGGTATTCGAAGTCATGAAGCAATTCAAGGAGCAAATAGACATGACCCGTAATCCCAAGACGTCGAAAGTTATAGACGCTAGCTGGCTTAGGTTGTTCCCGCAGGCGTGTAAGGAGGACTCTCCGGCCTCCGGACCTCTGAGAAACGTGGTATGGGACTCAATCAGGGAGCTCTGTGCGCATCCATATTGGAAGAGGATCTGGATTGTTCAGTAAGTGGCACATTATTTCGCCAGACACGTCACCCTGCAAGTTGAAATTCGCTTGTGAAAGCAAACAATAACATCAAACAAGCAAGGATTTGATCGATATCTTGCTGACCATCCTATTCCGTATAGGGAAATAGTACTCGCAAGCACAGTCATGTTGTGCTGCGGAGATGACCTGATCGATCTTGAGGATGTTATTCAAGTGGTCCGGTGGTTGACCAGACTAGATCCATCATTGAACAAGCCCGATAACATGGAACCCGCTATCTGGAAAATGCTCAGCTCGAGGCAGTACTCTGAAGCAGTCATGGGCTTGCAGTCTGTTCTCCATATTTGGGCCATTCGGGAGCGCAAAAATACGCAGGGATGGGCTCTAACGAACTCATTACGAAACCACGAATCAACTGACCCGCGAGATAAGCTATATGGTTGTCTTGGTATCACAGGGTTGAATATAGCACCCGACTATTCTAAAAGTGTTAAGGATGTTTATATTGAAGCTGCTTCTGCTCTTATGCAGGAGAGTTTCGAGTCGCTTTTATTGCTTTCTATACGCGAGGGAAAAAAGGATTCGACGCGCGAACCACTTGATATACCCTCTTGGGCACCGAATTGGGCAAAGAGTGCCCCTGGAACTTATTCGGCCAACCACTCGTTCATGGCATCAAAGGGCTGTCCAACAAATTCAGAACCGGTAATCTTGAATTACAGCCTGCATTGCACTGGTGTTCTCTGCGAGGAGGTGGTGGCAGTGGAGTCTGTGTTGACACCTGAACAGTGTCTGAAGTTTTGCTGCAATCATATCGCCACACGAGAGACAGATAAATACCCAACTGGCATTCCGCATCTCCGCGCGCTTTTCCAGGTATTACTATCTGACTGGGATACCATGGTTAATTGTCGTTCGGAGCCAGAAAGTATGATGTATCAAGTTATCGCATGTGGCCTTTTGCACCTTTTTCTCGATTACGAAGTCCGATACAGATCGAAAAACGGAACACCACAAATCAACAACCCGTTACCCACACTTGGGCTTGACACTAGTCACTCAGATTTATCCACAGCTTTTTGGAATAAGATCGTCGGAACAAGCAGAGAACCGGGCAACTGCATTATTACTGGCTCGCGGGAACAGCAAACTGCGGCGATGAATGCGATCGGAGAAAGGTTAGCGACCACGATTCTGACAGCTCTACGAAATTCTCTCACTCACCGTAAGATTTTTCACACAAAAAATGGTTACATAGGCATAGGCCCCGAAAGTGTACAGCCTGGGGATCAAGTATTTGTGATGTTTGGTTGCAACCTTCCGATACTCCTGCGACCAAAGGACATGAATTATACCCATATTGGTCCGTCTTATGTGGTGGGATTTATGGAGGGTGAAGCTATGTTAGCTATCAAAGACGGGACCAAGGTGGCGCAAAAGTTAGAAATACGTTAGTTCGTGTAAATGACTACGAACCCGTACATTGGTTAAGGACTTAATAATCTTCGATGAAAATCGATTTATGAAGCTTTTGTATTTTTCATTTCCACCCCTCACGAATCCAGGGAAAGCTTTGGTGGCCGCTGCGTTGCTCGGAAGGAGTCTCATCGCTCACGACACCCTTGCCGTTCTCTGTGAACAAGCCTTGTAGGCACTAGACATCTACGCTTTGCGACACTAGACCTGTCACCTCAAGGCTGCCTGCCTCAAGCTTGAGCTCAGGGCAAAGCAATAGCCTCGATTTCGACATCGGCATTCTTGGGAAGTGTCTTGACAGCAACACAGCTTCGAGCGGGTTTGTGGACCATCCACTTCTCGTACTCCTTGTTCATCTCGGCGAAATCAGCCATATCGGCCAAGAAGATGTTGACCTTGACAATCTTCTGGATGGAGCTGCCGGCCTCCTTGAGTACAGCCTCCAGGTTCTTCAAGCACAACGCAGTCTTCTCGGTAATGGTGCCAGAGATCATGTTTCCTTGAGGGTCCAAGTGAATCTGTCCCGAGCAGTAGATTGCTGTAGGTGTCTTGACAGCGTGGGACTAATTGCACAGGTCAGTGTCATGCTTATTGCCTCCAAGGCTCATAAGTACTCACGTAAGGGCCAACAGCTAGATGAAAGTCAGTAAAGTTGTGCTTGGCATGGGAAGAATACTTACGCGGGACAATGTCCTTGGCGATGATAGTAGTGAGGTCGGACATGTTGCGAATCGACGTGGAGAGGACGGCTTTCGGGAAACGTTGGATGACTTGTGCGGACGAGAGGCGGGCGGACTGGGCAATAGCTGGTCTTATTACTCGGGAACGAAGAACTGCCTGCATTATTGCCAGTTTTCAGAGGGCGTCAAGAGGGGTTACGGGTTACGTGAAGTGGTGTAGGCGGAGAAGGTGCCGCTCCGTACTTCGGACCGAACAGTGTGCCGCCAAGGTCCCCGCACCGGGCCTGCTGGACAACCACGTCTAATCTTGTGATTGATCTGTCTACACCATTTGGACTCGGAGCATTAGATCTGCGCAAGATCGCACGACGCAAGAACTTGAATCGTAGCTGTAGTACACTTTTTGAAATTACTCGATTATTGATTGGCCTGCACATAGGAAATGCCAATGATGCTGCATTGTACCAGCAGCACTCGGGCTAGGTTAGACCAGTTACCAAATAACGTCAGTTGCTAATTTATCCTTGCCGCTGTGTAACTTCAGACGTTGATTACTACCGTACCATATCCAATTGATGAGGTCTTTGGGGTCGAAAGCTCAAGTACGTTTGGAGCTCTGAACACGACTACAAATATACTCGTCAATCCAAAACGGACGTACGTAAGTTGATGAGTACAATTTGCCCCCCACTTGGTACATGCAGCAGTGGTGAGATCAACGCAAGTACAAAGAAGACATTCATGCGTTCCCTTATCGCTATCGCGCGCCAATAGTCAGTGGATTTAGCGCCAGCCACCGTGCCTATTCTCGAGCTCAGGTGGGTTCGAGGGCAAGTTCGGGAAGTCAGAAAGTCAGAAGTCTGGACTGTCTGCAGTCTGAAGTCAGGGGTTCGTGTTTCTCAGGACAGAAGTGCCAAGTGGCCTGAAAACTAAACTCCACCAACCCCTGTGCGAGAAAGTCCCCGGGCCACCATACAACGTGGTAAAGGAGACCTCAAGCTCCGAGGTCTTTTTATTTGCGCCCTTCCTTCCTTCGACGTTCTAAGCTTGGATGACCAGCTGTCGACGATCAATTGATCGACGGGAAGGTTACATTTCAGCCTTTCAATCCGTCTTAGGTGAGCCTCTCTTGTGATACCTCACCGGCACCCCTCCGAGCCTCGACAGGGCTTCGGCACATCAGAAGCTCATTCCTAGGGACTTCTTTTACTGACTTGATTTCTATTTGGCTCATCCAGATTTCAATTCGTACGCTCCTTCTGGCCTCCTCTTGTAGGCATTTGTCCCACGATGGCATCCACTGCCGTAAACCAGGGCAGCTTGCGCCAGCGCAACCCTGGTTCGAAAAAGAAGGCTGGCTCACCGGTTCCCGAGGAAGCTCAAATAGAGACCCTGGTGAAGCCTAAGAAGCCGGCTTCTGGAGCCGGCTCCGAAATCGACTACAAGATCGGCCTGGCTATTATCACAGTTTTGGCTTTTGTTTCGAGATTCTGGGGCATCAGTCATCCCAATGAGGTTGTCTTCGATGAGGTCCACTTTGGCAAGGTATGAACTGTCTTGTTGCACCCAGAGACGAGTATTTGCGACCATCAGCTGACCTTGTTCTATTCCAGTTCGCCTCTTACTACCTCGAAAGAACCTACTTCTTCGATGTCCACCCTCCGTTCGGCAAGCTCTTGTTCGCGCTCATGGGGTGGCTCGTTGGCTACGATGGCAACTTCCACTTCGAAAACATCGGCGACTCGTACATCTCCAACAAGGTTCCCTATGTCGCTTACCGCGCGCTCCCTGCTCTTCTGGGATCGCTGACCGTCAGCGTTGTATACTTGATCATGTGGGAGTCTGGCTACAGTCTTCCTGCATGTATCGTTGCCGCTGGTCTCGTCCTCCTTGACAACGCCCACATCGGCCAGACACGTCTCATCTTGCTCGATGCCACTCTCGTCTTCACTATGGCCTGCAGTCTTCTGTTCTACATCAAGTTCTACAAGACGAGGCATGAAGCCTTCAGCCGAAAATGGTGGAAGTGGTTGATCCTGACAGGCTTTGCTTTGTCTTGCGATATTTCCACCAAGTATGTCGGCCTGTTTGCCTTCATCACCATTGGTTCGGCCGTCATCATTGATCTTTGGGATCTCCTCGACGTTAAGCGAGTCGGAGGTGCTCTGAGTATTCCCGACTTTGCCAAGCACTTCGGTGCCCGCGTCTTTGGCCTGATCATCATGCCCTTCATCTTCTACCTGTTCTGGTTCCAGGTTCATTTCGCAATCCTGACCAGATCCGGTCCTGGCGATGACTTCATGACCCCCGAATTCCAAGAGACTTTGTCCGACAACGTAATGTTCGCCAACTCGCTCACCATCAACTACCACGATACTATCACGATCAAGCACAAAGAGACCAAAGCTTATCTTCACAGTCATGCTGCAACCTATCCTCTGCGCTACGACGACGGCCGCGTCTCCAGCCAGGGCCAACAAGTCACTGGCTATCCTTACGAAGATGCAAACAACCACTGGCAGATCATTCCCGCCGATGGTAGCCAGGACCTCGGTCGCATCGTCAAAAACCATGATTTGGTTCAGCTCCGTCATCTTGCCACCGACTCGATTCTGCTCTCTCACGACGTCGCTTCTCCTTTCTACCCGACGAACCAGGAGTTCACCACTGTTTCTGTTGATGACGCCAACGGCGATCGCAAGCCTGACACCCTCTTCGAAGTCCGTATCGAGAACGGAAAGAATGGGCAGGAATTCAAGAGCATTGCAAGTCACTTCAAGTTCATCCACAACCCTAGCAAAGTCGCTATGTGGACTCATGAGAAGCCCTTGCCGGAGTGGGGTATGCGCCAACAGGAAATCAACGGAAACAAGCAGATCCAAGTCAGCTCCAACGTCTGGCTGGTCGACGACATCCCATCACTAGGCGCAGACCACCCTCGTCGCGAGAAACCTGCGAAGGAAGTGAAGCGCCTGCCCTTCCTGCAAAAGTGGTTTGAACTTCAACGATCCATGTTCTGGCACAACAACCAGTTGACCAGCAGTCATCCCTATGCCAGCCAGCCATACCAGTGGCCATTCCTACTCAGAGGTGTCAGCTTCTGGACTCAGAACGATACGCGCCAGCAGATCTACTTCTTGGGAAACCCTGTTGGCTGGTGGATTGCAAGTAGTCTGATCGCCGTCTTTGTTGGCATCATTGGAGCGGACCAGATCTCTCTCCGCCGTGGTGCCGACGCCTTGGACCACCGTAAGTCTAACTATGTCTCTCTCTCCAAATTCCACTCACTAATCAACTTGCAGGCACTCGCACACGCCTCTACAATTCCACTGGATTCTTTTTCCTAGCATGGGCCACCCACTATTTCCCATTCTACCTTATGGGACGTCAACTATTCCTGCATCACTACCTTCCTGCCCATCTCGCCTCATGCTTGATTGTAGGTTCTTTGGTTGAATTCGTCTTCAACGCCGATCCCGTATCTGAGGAGGCCAGCTACCAGGCTATTAAGTCTGGCAAGAAACCTGCTCCTGGGGCCAAGCGATTTGTCACTGCCCGCGAGAGGTTTGCTGGCACGAGCATGGTCCCGGCTTGGATTGCCACAGCAGTCATCTTGGCTGTTGCCGCTTTTGGCTGGTACTTCTTCCTGCCTCTGACTTACGGTTACCCTGGTCTTAGCGTCGATGAGGTCCTCCGTCGTAAGTGGCTTGGCTATGACCTCCACTTCGCGAAATAGACACATTCAGTTTTGTCTAGCTTGATAGAATGCGTTTGGCATCCGACGTTATCAAGGAAATGTAGGATTATTTGGACTATGTGGGAGTCGTGGATGTACTGCTTACGGAACTACGGAAATTAAAAGCTTTATTTGTTATGTCATTGCGGCTTGTCCTCTAGAATCTAGGTAGTGATCAAAAGAACCTCTATCTAGGTCGAGTCATTTATTCGCCGTATGTGTTCGTCTTCTGCTAACAATATACTTGTGTACTTCAGAGTCGTGGGAATTCAAAATTTGAAGAGCAAAGGCACTTCTTGAAATTATGTTGATGACAGGTCTGCGTATTCAACTCTCCTCTTGCCACCACGGTTAATCGGAGCCGACCGTTTCCTGAGAGATTGCTCCTCTCTGTCTCTCTCTCTCTCTCTCTCTCTCTCTCTCTCTCTCTCTCTCTCTCTCTCTCTCTCTCTCTCTCTCTCTCCTCCTAATCTACTACGTCGCCCATGCAAAGTGGCTGTCATGGTTTTGCCCAATGACACTCCGTCTTATACTGGCTGCCGAACATAATTATCCCACGAGTTGGCCTTCGTAACATAGACAGGCCACTCGTGTGGGAGCATTGCGAACCTCGCCTTCCAAACCCATTGCTGCTGAGGATCGACCTGACGGATGTCGTAATCGCGAACAATTGTAGCAGTGATCTTGGACATTTCCAACCTAGCAATTTTCTGGCCCGGGCACGCGGCGTAGCCTTGACCCCACTAGAGAGAAAAACTGCAGTCAGTACTTGTGATAGGCAACAATAATAGTCTGACGCCGCAGTCGCTACTCACAACCATGAAATACTTGTCCAACGCATCGGCATCCTCGCCGAGCCACCTCTCCGGTCTGAACTCGGCGGCATCCGGGCCCCAGATCTCGGTTGAGTAGTGCATGACCCAGGAGTTGACCGAGAGAATGGTACCGGCGGCGAAAGTCTTGTCACCGATCGTCAGGCCGCCCGTGGGAACCTCCCGCGGGAGTCCCATGGGAGTGGGCGAGAAGACGCGGAGCCCCTCTTTTATACACGCCTGCAGATACGGCAGCTTCTGGGCGTCGGCAAAGGACACGACGCGCTCGTTGCACATGCCCTGACTCTGAGCATCTCTCTACAACGGAAAAGCGAAGGTTAGTCTGACGTGCGTTTATCACTAGGAGAGGGGAGGGCCCTCGGTGGAAGATGTTTGGTTTACAATTTCATCCCGACACTTTTGCCAGTGCCTTCCTTCCGGGTTTCGAATGATGTGGTAGACAAAGCTCTGGAGGCCGCTCGAGACCGTATCGGAGCCGGCGCCAACGGCTTGGAATGAGTGTGCTTCAATGTTCCTCATCGACAGGCGTTCCGGGTGTTCCTCGTGCTGCTTGAGCCAGTGAGCAATCAGATCATACCGCGCGTCTGGGTTCTTCCGGCGCTGATCTATCGCTGTAAAGGTCACGTCATACATGTGCCCGTAGGGCATGAGCTGGGTCCAGGTGACGAGTGGGTTGCAGACAAGGTAGTGACTATTTCCCTCGTTTATCAGCAAGCTTCGAGACCGAAAACGCCAAAAGCAGTTGCATCAATTTTCGAATTCCCTAACCTGGGGAAACAGGATACGATGTGGATGCCAGGACTTACAACCAATGATAGAATCCTGCGATAGCGCCATAAGCGTTTAGATTTGCAACGTTGTGGATAGCATTCTTGACGTCTGTCCCGGTTTCTATGAAACCGAACTGTTTGGAGAAAATGACTTCTCCAATGATATCGAAGGACGCATACGTGAAGAACCAGTCCTGTAGATGTTAGACCTCCACTGTTAATAAAATGAGTATATTTGGGTGTGGCGAGGCATATTTCCGAATCAAGGGTTGACGATGCGTTACTGGGTGATCTCACAGTAAGATAAAGAACAGTCTCTCACGTACCAAGTCCATGGGCTTTTTTTCGTCTGCATACTCGTTCATCCAATCGCACAGCTTCGCGATCACATCATCTATAGCTGCCTCGGACTTTAGAATACTGCTGAGGGCGTAAGCTGGCGCGAAGTTCCTGGAGCGTTCAATCTTCTTCTTCGGGTCCAGCTCGGCAAACGGGTTCTCCCAGCGCCAGTCTGGGAACTGCATCGTCTTGTACCTAGTGCGACAACCATAAATTAGGACCATTCTTGTTGCATGGAGGTATAAGCAGGGTAAGGACAGCGAAATAATGTAGCTAATAACGGTGATAACGGCCTGTGGGAGCTGCATACCAAGGTCCCTATTTATAGTCAGTATCATGTGGTTTGATGAGCAATGCGATATACCTTGCGGAGAGGAGCTAAAAGGATTTTCTTCATAGCATCCGGATGGCTGACACTCACTTCGTCGTGTGAGACACGAACGAAGTGCCCTGATGAGATGCAGTCTCTTTAGTTACGGAGGTTGAGGTGAAGGGGATTGCCGGATAGCCCACCATGTTCCTTGTGCAGTTCAACGAGTTTGACATTCTGGTCTCCTATGATGATATGACGGACATGCCAGAGTCTAGTGATGGATGCGAAGAACGGGCCGGGTATATCGCTAAGCTTTGAGTATCTGCGCAGTAGAAGAGTTGGGATGATAAAGCCGATTAGTATGGCAATCAGAGTCGGCCAGGCCTCTGGCCGGAATAAGGCCTCAGAGAACGATGACATCTTTTCTATAATCGAACTGTTGGATCAAAGTTGTGCAGCTTTTTGCAACTCGGTATGGTTGCTAGAGCACAAAGCTGCTGGCCTGTGTGTTCGTCAATGAATGAAAACTGAAGACATTATCTGGCATGCGGCCAGTAAACTGTCTGCATTATAAGCAGTTCTGACGAGATAGACAAGCGATTATGCAGCAGTATGGAGTCGTTTACGAATCGCATCAGATGCTAGCCAATAGCTTAGGTATTGGTGTCTAAACAGGGGGTTTATACGATCGGTGCGTTTCAAATCCACTATACTGCAACGCTTTCCTTGCACGCCAATTATTGTCCATTTCATTTGTGAGATTGATGGTAGGAGAAAATTTGTATCAATGAGACCTTGAAATGAAGTTCACCTGCTGTCGGAAGCTGAAGCCGTTTTCTACTGAGCATAAACTCCTGCAAAGAACTACCGAGACATCTTTCTGACCAAATAGTAGCAAGACGGTCAAGGGTGTCGCTTAGTGCGGAGATCCATGTGCTTGGCGACTAGGTATATAGCGCAAGGATGAATAGGATCTCGGGACATTTGACTCGAGAAACCTCAAGAACTTGATATAAACTGTCATAGCGCCCCGGTTCAGGCATGTCAAATCTCGAACAAGTGGTATAGTTTCTCCGTGTCAGACAGACAAAACATGTCATTACTTTGCTTTTGGCAAACGCTTTGAAATAGGATGTAGGCTGCCCTTTGGGAAATTTTGATGTCGATAGGTGCAAGAAAAGAGCACCATGCGGAAAATATACAACCAATGATAGAGAGCCCAAACCCACTGCATTTTGGTTTGTACCATCCAGCACGATGTTACAATACCGTCATGTAGAATTTAAAGAATATTTATGAAGCATGGCCATCGTGCCAATATGTACAACTTCACTCAAGTGTTCTAGGTTAGAGAGTTGCGAAATGGGTTACTTTTTCCATTTCCATTATAACCTTATTATTTATATACACAGTCGCAATCTAAGCACACCACGTGCGGAGATTACATCGACGAGGTTCTAAAGTCAATATTACATTCCTAGGGCCGCTGTTTTTAGCAAGACTGCTAGGGCGCTTGGCAGTGTGAAGAAGCAATGCTTGTCGTGAGACATTGCATACTTTCAAAAGACGCTTATACGCCATTCAATTGCTATTCAACCATGAACACCTCGACCTTGTAAACTTGACCATATATCGAATATCAATTTACAAAGCTGGTGAAATAGCTGAAAAGAAAGACATTGTTTCCGTGGCCTGCCCCCTCGACAGGTCTCTATAAGAATATATTAAAGGTATCGATGGTCGTGTCAATGTCCAGGCTATGTTACATAATTAGATCGAATTATTGCAGAAGAAAATCAGATATCTGCAGACAGTACCCCTGGGCTTGCTACTTCTGGACGATGCTGCTTTTGCCTTCGTGAAGAGGGCCAAATGCTCTTCTCGAACAGTGCAGACTATACCAGAAAAGGTAAATTTCTACGTCAACACAGTAACCGCAGGTCCAGCCTCTGAAGGGGCAGAATCGACCATTCTTTCGACTGAAGGTCGCACTACTTTCTCAATTTCTGTGTCTTCGGCACCCACAGTCGAGCCGGCAACCGAAACAGCTGCAACAATAACAATATCAACGACAGAAATTGATGTCACGATACCAACGGTCTTCTTTAGCTGTTACAAGAATGCAGTAGTTCTCACCAGCTGGTGCCAATATCTCTCATTACCCGTCACTTATTCCGTCTTACTAACAAATGATATCTTAATCAGATAGCCCATATTCTCTACAAGTTCGCAGACGTCGGCGAGGACGGGACAGCGCAGACTTTAGACGCATACATGGACACCTAAAGGCATTACAGCGGTTTCGACTCGTGGTACGAGACAGAGAATCACGTGTGTGGTTGCGCCAAGCAGCCGGATCTGCCCAAGAACCGGCACCTCAAGATTCGGCTGCCTATCGGTGGCTGGGTTTATCATATGACTAAAATTGACGTTGCTCCAAGTAATGGATGTGAACTCCTGTCGAGTAATAGTTTTAGTATCTATTTTTGATGGATTCTGGTCAACCTACCATGCTTGGCAATGGTAAGGACTATTTGTGATATGACATGACATGACATCCTGAGAAGGGGTCAACCCTTTATCCTTTCCCAAATCGACCCACGTTAAGCATCTGCCCCCTGCCCATGGTATCTAAAGTTCTATACACATTTAAAAGAAAGACCCTGTCTGACAGGCACTTATGTCTCACGGTAGACGTAAGTGCTCTTGGACTCTTCAACAGGGAATTCGATCTTGGACTCCTCGATGTCCTTGCCATCGACCTTGATTCCACCGGTCATGACATCACCAGGTACAACAGGGCCGACGCCCTTAGGTGTACCTGTGATAATGATGTCGCCCTTCTGAATTGTCATAACCTTGGAGATGTCGCTGACACATCTGGGAATCTGGAACAGGAACAGGTTGGTGGAGTCATTTTGCTTGATTTCACCGTTGACGGCCAGCCACAGCTCAATGTTGTGCGGGTCAGGTATCTTCTCCTTGGGGATGGGGTTGCTGATGGGGAGGAAAGTATCGAAACCCTTGTTTATCGACCAAGGGAGACCCTTCTTCTTGGCTTCCCATTGTGCGTTTCTCGCAGTCATGTCAATACTGAGGGCATAGCCTGAGATTAATTGGTTAGTGTTTGCTCGTTGCCAAAAGCTTGTTCTAGGAGCGCTCACTGTCAATGGCATCGAAAATCTTGTCCGTCTCGGATTCCTCGACATCCTTCAGGTCCTTGCCCATGATCAGGGCAAGCTCAATCTCATAACTGAGCTCAACGCCCTGAGGACGAATGACAGGACCCTCTCCTTGTAGAAGAATGGAGGTTGAGGGCTTCAAGAAAAAGAAAGGCTGAGCGGGGCGAGCGCTGTTAAGCTCCTTTACATGATCCCTGGCTACGATGTAAGCTACATGATCTCCCGCAGCCAATCATGGGAAGAAGATTCTTACGCATAGTTACGGCCAATCGCTACGATCTTGCGTGCGTTCTTGATGGATTGTGCGGAAGTCATGATGGAGCGGCGAAAAACGTTCATGTCGCAACTTAAATAGAGATGTTCAGCTTCGCAGAAATGCAGGCGGGACTGCGGGATATATGTAGTAATTGTATATTGAAAGTCTATGTACAATTGAGGAGGAGGCTCAAACCCACCTTCCGGGATGTGGCATTTGCCACAACAGCTACGGGATAAAGATTGGCCAAAAAAGTTGGTTCAAATCGACAGCAACCAGGTTGATTCACTCAGATGCGGAGGTATTTTTGAATCCGAGGGTCGGCTTGGAGACGATGCAAGTCACAAGCGGAGCTCCGCGACAGGAGACCGGCCTTAAGAGGGCGACCGAGACTGCCCATACGGGGTATGTATGCTCAGACGTAATAAGCACAATGCCACTAAAGCGAAGCGACAAGAATCCACGGTCTAGGAAAGGTGCTAATATTGAGAAGGCATTTAGAAGGGTATCTATATCTATCTTATGCATTGAACCTGAACCCCAGCGGTGATGGACTTGTGAAATGTGTTCCTTGTAGAGACTTTTAGCCATAGACCCATATGGACATGAGGGGATCTACGCTGTTGTTCGGAAATGCCGAGTCGTGTAGAAAATATTCAGGGACAGGATATACCAAGGTTACCGAATATGAATATCCTGCACAACTGCACTCCATACATAGTGCGTATCATCGCTCTAGCAATACAGTAAGTTTTTTATTAATATATATATATATATATATATGAAATTTTTTTTTACGTCGAGCGAGCTTCAAGTGAGAAACGGGAGCGGGGGTCTTCGTTTTTCAGCGGTAATTCCGCCTGTGGTGGTTTTGCCAACCGCCCTCAAGTCGTCATTTTGCAGTGAGTGAGATTTGGTGGGGTTAAAACGCGGAGAAGGCTTGAGCTTGGTGCTTGCGTAGTTAGTCCCTGGAACGACTAACCTTACGGATCCGTATGTATACAGTAGACCTGTTCTGTCCAGTATGCAAACATAACGTTAGATCTCCCATTTGGCCGTAATACAGTACACGCGACTTCTCCACAAAAGTTGAGACGTTGCCCGGCCTCTTCCCCTGCACAATTACAAGTGCATGCATCGAACACGATTCAGCATTGAAGCTATCCTAGACCCTGACTTGTTCCCCGTCCCTTGAGATCAGCCCGAACCGACTCCCACGTGCCGCACCATGGAGGCCCTTCAGCTGGCCCAGATGCTGGCCGATCTGAACGACCTTCAGGCCGCTGTAAGTATCAGTCAACGTCTAATGCCCCCGACCCAGCCGGTCCAGCTGGATGACCGAACTTGTGATAGCTGACCCCACATTCTTTGCTCCCGCCCAGCAGGATCAGGGCGCCGCAAAGGCTCTAGTTGCTGCCAACAAGAACCTCGAGCATGCTGCTGCTAAGGATATGCTTACGCCTGGTTCTCGGTCCCAGTCCCAGTCCCAGTCCCAGTCCCATACCAAAGGCGCAGGTACTCCCCCACTCGACAGCAGTCGGATAGCTTCACCAGGGAGCAAGTTCGACAAGCTTGGCCGCCGAATGTTCACCCCGCCCTTGTCGAGAAACAACTCGCATACACCGTCGTCGGCTTCGATTCCAGGCACTCCCGGCAAAGAGGAGACGGGTGGTGATATCAGCAGAGCGACGACTCTGCTTTCACTCTACGAGATCCGCGCAAAACTGAAGGAGCAGGACAATAGCAGCCTCCAGAAAGCACGCGAAAAGATCAATGCTCTTGCGGCTAAGCAGCAACAACTGGCTGTGCAGCAACAGCCTCCTTCTCAGCAGACCGCCCGCCGAGGCTAGGAGAGGGGGTCCCCGTGAACGAACACGGTGGGGATATTGCATTTATGGCGTTTACGGCGTTGGCGATGGGCAGGACCAACTTAGTGGTGGGTGATGATGGGAAAAGTGTAAAACTCGGCGTATGGATGGAGTCAGTATCCAAACGTCTCCTAGGAAATTGCTTTTTGGGATGGAGTAATGATGATATACGATTGACTGTGTCCAACGAATGATGGTCTTGATCCTTTCTGTGTTCATTTGAGTCTTCTTGGGAATGTAGTCAAGCCGCAAGGCTGTGTTCTGGCGGGCCAGGCTGGGGTTGACTACACTTTACAGAGTCTGGGTGTGTATGGGATCGAGTAGCGTTTTTGTTAACACGGGCCGTGAACCGGGGAAGCACTTGGAGCGTATCATACTTAAAAGGAACAACCAGTCCGTGGGCTTCTTTTACCAACGAACCCAGGCAACATTGAATTAGGGGAAGAGCCTGACAGTATATTGTCGCAAGCAGGTACTTGGGAGACAGTATATTTATTCTATGTTCTCCGCACGCCCGTGACCTGCTGCATTTTGTCTGTATTCCGCGTATCGCTCAATCTCCATGGCAAGCGCAAGAGGCGCGGAGTGAAGAGATGCTGCTGCCACTATTCCATGACGCAAACCGAGAGAGAGAGGGAGATACGCAACACGCACCGTACTGTCGATAATCCTTTCCTTTTCTACACTGGAGTTCTCCCGAGTTCCCTGACCTACGTTGGACTACGGTATACGTACCGCAGAAACTCTAGGCCTTAGGCGCGTCGCTAGCAAGCACGGCAGTCATTGCAATTCGGGGGTTCAATAAAATGTCCGTGCGTCATTGCAGCCAGAGACGTCACTTTCTCTCAATTCGGCTTCGGTTCATTTCGAGCTGGTTGATCTCTTTGCACGCAATGATTTTCAGCCAGCTTTCCGGTCAACCTGAACCTCGTCGCGCAGCAATCGACCAGTCACGGCTTACCAACTCTTGACCTGCCTACGGGGCGGACTGCGGCCAACATGGCGGCGACAGTGGATATGAAGCTCTTGAGGGCCACCAAGTTCCCCCCCGAGTTCAACCAGAAGGTCGATATGCAAAAGGTCAATCTGCAGGTCATGAAGAAGTAAGTCAACGCCCAGGCCAGACCCCCTTCCCCCACATGCTACCTTCTTCATTTGTCTGAGCCCGAATCTCGTTCTAACTTAATCATTGCCCAAAGGTGGATCGCGGGAAAACTGTCGGAAATTCTAGGCTCGGAAGATGATGTTGTTACCGAACTGTGCTTCAACCTGATTGAGGGCACCCGATTCGTATGCTATCCCTCCTAGAAGCTCCATAATCCGAGGCTTGCTTTGCTGACGGAAATAAAACGTAGCCCGACATCAAATCTATGCAGATCCAGCTGACAGGCTTCCTCGAGAAAGAGACGCCGTCCTTTTGCAAAGAGCTGTGGAACCTATTTCTCAGCGCTCAATCCAGCCCGCAAGGCGTTCCCCAAGAGCTTCTCGAGGCCAAAAAGCTCGAGCTGATTCAAGAAAAGGTGTGACTCCATCCCTTGCCCATTCTGACCAGAACTACCACTGACAGATTTCTCAGCTCGAGGCCGAGAAGGCCGCTGAAGAAGCTCGCCTTCGCAGAGAAAACCAGGACCGCCGAAACCGCGACCTGAACGATACCCGAGACCGTGAACGTCGTGACAGGGGCTTCCGTGGAGGTCGCGGAGATAATTGGCGTGGAGGCCGACGCGGCAACGACAGGGCATATGATGACCGCAGAGGCGGCTTTGGGCGCGGCAGAGATCGATCACCGTCCCGTTCTCCTCCTCGGCGAGCCTCTTACCGTGGAGGCGGCGACCGCGACCGATACGTACCACAAGGCCGGCGTGGCGGCCATCGCGGGCGCTCCCCGTCACGTTCAGTATCGGCCGACTCACGAGGCTCTAGGGAAGGTTCGCGGCCTAGGTCTGGCTCCCGTAGTGTGGGCGATCGAAGTCGCAGGTCTAGCAGATCAAGCGGCCCGTCGCGCCGTGCTGATGCATCGCGAAGGTCGCCGCCCCGTCATCGGGACAGTCGCAAACGCTCGAGGTCGGGGGGACGAGACAATTACAGGGCTCGTAACTCCCGTCGCAAAAATACTTCTTCGCCCTCGAGTGGGTCAGATTCAGATGGTGGCAGACGGTCGCGATCGCCCAAACGACGCAGATACTCGGAGTCTGGCAGCCGATCGAGATCGCCGGCACGGCGGGCCAAACGCCGCAATCCGTCAAGATCACCTTCATCCTCTCGCTCACCCAGCCGCGGTCCAAGAAGACGATCAGGCAGAGACCGAGACCTTATCAGTCGCAGTCCTTCCAAGGATCGTTATGGTCGGTTAAGGCGGTCCATGTCAAGGAGCCGAAGCAGAAGCAGAGGTGGACCATCATCACGAAGAAGAAAAGACTCAGTCTCCCCTCCACCACGTAACAGATCAGCTGATGTTTCGGATTCTGAAGATAGAAAAGCTCAAACCGCAAGAAACGACTCGGCGGCTTCCAAGACGGAGGAGGTTCGTTCTTCTTAGTTGGACCATTCAATACTCGGTTTGGTTAAAAGACTGACCTTGATCTCTTTCGTCAGGCCAAGCAGACCAAGACACCACAACAGCAGGCCAGCGAGCTCCGAGAAAAGCTTCTGAAAGATAAAATCATTAAGATGAGAAGAACCTCGAATAGTGGTTCAAGTAACAGTTTAGGCTAATCATGCTTGAATTCGCAGACACAACAAAAAGAAAAAGAAAGAAGAAGAAGAAAACCCCCCTTTGCCATAACATTACTTGCTCTTAAACATTCCATGGATACACTGGTTCGTCCTCTCTCATCATCATCACGCGTTACTTCTGCGCATGGCTACGGTCTGTTCGGCGTCTAGGCGTTCACCCAATAGGTAGATATGAATGTACTAAAAGAATGGAATCTTGATATGAATCCGTCGTTGGCCATGGTCACTTGGGATTTAATTTAATTTAATTTACGCCATGAGTAGCAAAGGTCAAGATGTGGCACGATCGGGCCACTGGCCCAACAGCAACCACGCCCAAATGACCATATTGGTCGTCGTCCTTTGATCATGTTGGAAAGAAGAAGAAACAAGCTTAGGTCCTGCAAGCATGTATCAGTGATCAGGAGATCGTGACTACACTGTGATGGGCTTGACCATGGTCACGGTAGTACTCCGTACTTTGACTATAAATTCTCGGGGCGGAATTTAGTTCATCCGTTTCTGTGGTGACGGAGCACATTCAAGTGCCAGTTGGAGCTTTGGAGGTTGGTTGGAGGGGCAGCCTTTAATACCCACGTCGGCATCGACTCTCGCGTTTAAAACTGATTGGATCTGACATTTGAGTGCAAGGCATCGCTTTCTAAGTCGTTGACTTAATTTACTATCAAGTAGTCCTGTCTACGCTAGGCGCATCCGCATATCGCATCCCGCAACCCGTCTCCTCAGCACCTCGTGTCCAAGCAATTCGACTCTGTTCCGTAGTCTCGGATGCTAAGCGCAAACAATGACGGACAGCGGATCAACGGCAGCGGCCACTGCCAACGGTGGCAGCAACAACCACAACAGCATTGCGAACAACGGCGCTGTAGAGCCTCTCGACCGTAAGAAGGAGATGGCCGAGTACGAGGCCGAAAAGAAGATCATCAAGGATGCCATCGCCAAGCGGGCCAAGATCCTGGCCGAGCTGTCGCATCTCGAGACCAAGATTGCCGACCTCGAGGGCCGCTACCTCGAGAGCACCCCCGGCGGCAATATCCTGACGGGCTTTGACAACTACACGAAAGGCCTCACGGGCGCCGCAGCCCAGAGGAGGAAGGTCGGAACCGCTGAGCAGAACCGCGTCTTCTCGAGGAGCTCTGTCTCCTACAATGCTTTGAATGTATGGGCTTCTTTATGACTTGACTTGATTTCGAAGGACACACGTATATGTTTCCGCAATTGACCAAACGACAAAAAGAAAGTTAAACGTTTACTGATTGTTGCCCCGCCCCCCTGCAGCAAGAAGCACCCACGCCAGCCTCGGGCACCTCGACGCCTGGTGTGCCCACGCCAATATCTACATCGTTTGCCAACAAGGACAAGGGCGGCCCGTCAGACGCGCCCACGCCGAGCTCTGCCACGGACAACAAGAAGGCGGCGGGCGGCAACAAGAAGAAGAAGGACAAGGCCGCGGCGGCAGAAGATAGCGAGACGGACTCGAAGGCGGATAGCAAGAAGGCTCGTACGCACTTTGGGGCCAACGCCCGCAAGTAAAATAGATTACTTGGTTTCGTGTGCTGTTGTTTCCAGAACTTTGTACCTGCAAAGTTGGTTGGCGTTGTTCGGTCAGTTTACGAAAGATACCCCCCCTTGCATTTAGATGGTGTTCTGGGAGTTGTTGACTACGGAGCGTATTTACGGGTAGTCTATAAAAGCAAACAGGCCCCGGGCCTCTACAGATCCGTAGACGCCTTGGAATATTCGAAAATCACGTGGTGGTTGTCATGTCGCTATAGAAAGAAGTTGCAAAATTCATACGATCATTCCAGCACCCAAGTGAGCACTGAGAGGGTTGTTCTACTGATTTACTAACCTTTGCTGAATTTGTCCTACCTAACCTTTGGTCCAACTAGTCACACTCCTTTGCAGCAGCTTATTAGCCGCCCGTAACCGCCTCGCTTGGCATGACACACGGGGGTCCCTCCACCTCGCAGTAATTACAGTCGGGAGCTGAGGGGTGCCTGCAACAGGAAGCTCAATAACAACGTCTAGTACCATTTTGGAGGGGTGGCCAACTGGTCGGTCTCCACTGCGGGGTGTTGCTGCACATGCCTTCTGTTACTGCGGTACATACCTAACCTTAGTGTAGTAGCTCATGGCGTTCCCAGGCCGGTTCAATGCCATGCTCCAGTACAAACCCCCCCGGACATGGATTGGCTCACTACAGTATATATATATATATATATATAAAACCGCCCGTTCCGGTACGTTCGCTCACACCCAGACACACACCTCTCGAGAACCTTTCCAAGTGCTTGTCCAAGTCACAAAAGCCTGCCCCGGAAGCATTGGAGCACACAATGGTAATGGTGGCCACCAAGTTCACTCCAGAGGTCCTCCTCTCTGCCCCGCGCCGCTCGCCCGCCGTGCCCAACGAGTCAGGAACCTTGGCACTATACTCCGGTATGTTGAGCCGCCCAGTCCACTTACTGTGATGTCCCCAAGCGCCTGCTGATCACCTTGGCCACTCAGTCTCGACATACTCTTTCGAGTCGCATTCCCGGAGCGGCTCCATCAACCTCCTCGACATCAAGACTGGCAACTCGACTACGCTATACACAGAACAGACATACTCGGAGCCGACATGGATATCAGAAACCGAGTTCCTGCTCATAAAGAGCGGCGAAAAGGGTAGCTCGCATCTGTTGGTCGCAGACGCAACCAAGACAGGTTCCGAGTACGTCGCTTTGCCCACCCACCAACTCAGCATCACCCAACCTCCCGCCTCAGGCAAGAGCATAGCTGACCAGCCATCAGACCAAAGGAGATCAAGGTCTTCAATGGCTCTATATCGAACCTCAAAGCCACAAAGCTCAGCCACGACACCCTGGCCTTCGTCGTCTCGGCACCCACCACGCCTACCGGCGAGCTCTACTACCCACCCGACGAGCCCAAGTCCTACTCTACCGGCAAGGTCTACACGGAGCTCTTCGTGAGGCATTGGGATTCCTACGTGACCAAGAACAAGTCCTCGCTGTGGTATGGCACGCTCAAGAAGGGCACCCGCGATCTTTGGAATTTCCAGGGCTCGGCACTGGTCAACGCCCTCAAGGGCACCCGTCTCGAGAGCCCAGTCCCGCCCTTTGGAGGCTCGGGGGATTTTGATATCAGCAGCGGGGGCCTCGTCTTTGTTGCCAGCGACCCGGACCTGAACCCGGCCTTGTGGACCAAGACGAACCTGTACTATGTGCCGCTAAGCACCTTTACCGAAGACGAGGCCCCGGCCCCACAGGAGGTCAAGACGGGGCATCTGCAAGGCTACAGCGGCTCGCCTGTCTTCTCGCATTCGGGAAAGAGCGTCGTCTTCAAGCGCATGAGACACCGACAGTACGAAAGCGACAAGTCGAGGCTGCTGTTGATTCCGGACGTCAAGGACCTTAGCAATGTTCAGGAGTTTTACAAGACCGACGACGGCGAGGGCAGCTGGGACCAGCGGCCTGACAACATTGTCTGGAGTCATGACGATAAGGAGTTATTTGTGACAGCCGAGGACAGGGGTAAAAATCTGCTGTATCGTCTACCGTCGTCACCTCTAGAGGCTACGGAACTCCCCAAGCCCCTGACTCAGCACGGCTCGACCGGTGACATATTCCTCTTGTCGTCTTCTTCAAACAAAATCCTCACAACGTCGACATCGCTTGTGGATAGCTCTACCTACAGCGTTGTAGATGCAGTTGCTAGTTCGTCGTCCGCAGCCACTGTCTCTGTCCTGTCTAGTGCCTCCAAATCAGGCAAGTCGTTTGGTCTCCACCAGTCTCAAGTTTCGAGCATCTGGTTCCCCGGCGCCGGCGACTACAAGGTTCATGCCCTGGTTATGAAGCCGTCCAACTTCGACGAGTCCAAGAAATATCCTCTAGCCTACTTCATCCACGGTGGCCCACAAGGTGCCTGGAACGAGTCGTGGTCCACGCGGTGGAATCCTGCCATCTTCGCCGAGCAAGGCTATGTCGTCGTGTCTCCAAACCCTACAGGATCGACGGGCTATGGTCAAGCCTTCACAGATGCCATCGCGACGCAATGGGGCGGCCGTCCGTACCAGGACCTCGAGAAGGGTTTCGAATACATCCAGTCCAACCTTTCCTACGTCGACACGGACCGCGCCGTGGCCCTCGGTGCGTCGTATGGAGGCTACATGATCAATTGGATCCAGGGCCACCCGCTGGGCCGCAAGTTCAAGGCCCTTGTGTGCCACGACGGCGTCTTCAGCACCATGAGCGACTGGTCGACCGAGGAGCTCTTCTTCACCATACACGACATGGGCGGCACGCTCTGGGAGAACCGCGAGGGCTACGAGAAGTGGGACCCGGCTAGGTACGCCGGCGAGTGGGCCACGCCCCAGCTCATTATACACTCGGAGCTCGACTACCGGTTGCCCGTCACCGAGGGCCTCGCTGCCTTCAATGTGCTGCAGACGAGGGGCGTCGACAGCAAGCTGTTGATCTTCCCAGATGAAAATCATGTGAGTCTTAGCCCCCCCCCCCCTCTCCCCCTCTCTCTATTTCGAAAAGCAAAAACGAGATGACTGACTATGGTAATAATGAATAGTGGGTGCTGAAGCCGGAGAACTCGCTTGTCTGGCACAAGGAGGTGTTGGGGTGGGTTAACAAGTATGTCGGCTTGGATACTACCGGTCTAGTAGGAGACGAAGAAAAGTTGCAGAAACTGAGCATATGAGCTCGAATGGTAACTTGGTTCAGATTCGGGGAGATCAAAAACAGCAGCATTGGAGGTGGTGTGGTTCCTTGCAGTCCGGCTTGTGGTCCTACCGCCCAAGATAATGAAATAATGTACAGAAGAAAAGATCCATCAACTGATTGCATTCACCTAAGCGGCTGCTATACTAGCTAGAATAACGTCGTGCCAGAAGCCAGAATAACTGTTGGGGGAAGAAATAAGTGTCAACTCCGAGAGTGTGACAAACCCTTGTTTCGCCCATGTAATATATCCCAGCATTTCTTTGGGTGGGAGAAATGACGCCTATCTTAGAATGTTTCGCTCAGCGTGATTGCTGTTGCAAAGGAAAAACCAAGAGCAAAATACAGCTCAACCTCAAAACTCCGGACTTGAGACAGCCCATTCATAGATGGTTTCTCCTTTGGAGGAGCAGAACACTAAGAAATATCATGACGCCATCGTACATTCATGCCAAGCTCCGCGAGCATGAATGGACGGTTCTACAGCTCAGGATCACCTCTCCCAATCCACTGGCTATGCTGTTCATCGTACCGCTGATTGTGCAGTTGGCTAGTGTTTGGATCGGGGCTGAGTTCATCCGTGGCAAAGTCGCCCTGCTTGTGGCGGTGGTTCCACTTCATCTTCTGCATCCTTCTTTTGTGCTCCTCATCATCCCAGATCTTTGTCAATGCGTCGAGATCTAGATGGTCAAGGGCGGCATCTAAATCGTGCCAGGTGAATGAGGTCGGGTCCACAAACAGCCGTACATGAAAGCGGCCACGCGGGGCGTGTAACTTTCGTCTTGTTAATGTATGGAATCTCATGAGTGTCCTCTGCAGCATACTCGCAACCCTGGGCCGGAATGACACCAGAAATGAGATGATGAACTGATCCTCGCGTTTTGGAGTTCTATCGGAGTAAACTTCATTGAAGTAGCTCCAGTTTTTTAAGAACTTCGTGAGTGATGCTGGTGTTTGTGAGGTTTCGACAACAGGGACTGCCGGAAGGTCTGGCTTTACCACACCTGCAGTATTCTGGTCCACCATTGTTGTCGCATCTCTGGTTTCGTAGTTCCCTCGACTGCAAAATCGAGCCCCAAGTGGTTGAACGTTTGCCTCTGCCATTTCCTCGCCATAATTCGTGAGAGGGGAGACTGGCGGTGGGTTGAGTATACTTGGAGTAGCCACAACATGCGGCTCTTCGAACGCTTTTCTGAGGAATTCAAGCTTTTCTTCCGAATTGATTAGCTGTAGTAGCTTCTTCAGTTCTACCTTGTACTCGACCAGCAGGGCTAGGGTTTCAGCATGTTCGTGCGCGATCCCAATGCTCTGCTGGTTACCGTTCTCAAGACCTACGAGCCTGTTATGCAAGCTGGCATACTTGGTTTCGATCCTGGATTGGAATGCCGCGGAATTGTTTGAAAGAGCATTGAGCTTATGCTCGTCGTTCTTGCATTCACTCTTGATGGAATCAAGTCTTTGGGAGAGAACTCCGTGTCTCTCGCGATGATATTTGACCGACCGTTGAAGCTCCGACATTACATCATTGGTTGAGGCAATCCAATCTTCATTATCATCTAGGGACTTCCTAATCTCTTCCTTTTCTGTATTGAGGTGCTCAAGAGCCTGGTTGATCTTTTCTAGTTTCCATGAATTGAGAACTGGAAGCATGGTTCGCACGTGGCTTGACTTGCCCGGATGGTTTGCCCAAGTACGACCTTTGGCAAAGCGAGCTTGTATCTTCATGACATCTTCATTTGTGTCATCCATGTTGAATTGAGATTGCATCAGAGTGACTGTCGTCGTGGGACGCAAGAAGGGAGGTACGAGGAAAGGTTTACCGACTAGGGCCAGTATCGCTACTGCAGAATTAAGGCAGGAGAGGAAAGCATAAGGGCAAATTGTCATAGGACAGACCGTAGATTGGAAATTGAATGGTTGCTGGATGCCACCCAAACTTGATGCTGTCTGTTTGCAGTCGAGTTGGCAGTGGATTGCTTGGTTTTATGGTCTGGAAGCAGCGTGGGAAATGTACGACGACAAGCATTGCTCTGAGGAGCAGGATTTGTGCGAATACAATTTTGTTTATTTTAAAATTATTTGTTATGAAATTTTTTTTTTTTGTATTTGGGAGCCTGGAATTCTACATTGGCAGGAAAGCGCGTCAAATCCCAAACATATCTAGCAGATTGGGGAAGCGTGGATGTGCCTTCCCTTCCAACATAGCTTACACACAGGGCAAGTGCAAGTACAGGTATACATACATATACATTACACATATCCAAGTAGTGTGCAGAAGCCCCCACGCTTTCAAGTTCCACGCCAGTTACGCAGGAAATGTTAAACATGGTTGGAGGTACACGAATCAAAGTCGTTAGAAGATGAATTCCGCTACGAAACAGGAGAAGTTGCTTGTTAGTTGCATGAAGCCCCGTGCTTACCAGCAGGTTGATGCCTCACAACGATCTGGTTACCCATAGCCATGCAGGCTGTATACGTCAAAGCAATGCATGAATGACCACCGCGAGATGCCGATCTGAATACGTGTGACTAAGCTGATGTCTTCGTAAATGAAACGCATGTTGCTGCGTAGGAGAAGACGCTGTTGCGCCCAACTTGAAGCCCAAAGATTACACTCCAAGTCTTGGCACAAACATAGATAATACCAAGTACATATAAACAGTGGTCAGAGATGCGAAGCGAAGATTGGGGGGGTCCGCGAGCAGACATCAGTTCACACGGCCGACAGTGCATGAGCAAGATCAAGACAAACTGTAACTCTGAAGCTGCACAATGATTGCGAAACTTGCCACTGGCTCAACAGTTCGTGACACGATGCGAGATGTGGTATCATGATTTGATCATCACATCGTGAGTTGTGTACTACCATCACAGCAAGATGGACATTGGCTACTTTTCCAGGTTTTTATTCGGGTGCGAACTCGTGGCCTAGATACAAGGATGACAAAAGAAAGCAACCACGAGTCAACGAGTTTTAGTTGACCGATACCGTGCACCTGTTGTGCAAAATTAGGCGCTAGATATCTAGCCATGACTTCCACATGCATCAAGATCGTTTGCCTGTCGCCTATCATTACTGGTCATGTAGTCATGAAGCAATCGTAGGCGGAAAAGGCAAAAACTCCCCCCTCCAGTCTATCAGATCCCCCAAAAGCCCTCCACAGGACAATGTCGAAGACTTGCGATTTATCCCTTATGCGATGAGCAAACAAAGACAACTTTTGTGTGAAAACGACGGTGCATACGAGGTGCTTAGATGAGGTCGGCCACGTTCATCGGCATTTCCTCGATCTGGGTGCTGTAGAACTGCTCAATCTCTCTCATCATGCGGACATCCTCGGCGGTGACGAAGTTGATGGCGACACCCTTTCGGCCGAAACGACCACCACGACCGATACGGTGGATGTAGTTCTCGCGGTTGGCGGGAAGGTCGTAGTTGATGACCAGAGAAACCTGCTGGACATCGATACCACGGGCCAAAAGGTCAGTGGCGATCAGGACACGGGAAGAGCCGGATCGGAACTCCTTCATGATAAGATCACGCTGAGCCTGGTCCATATCACCGTGCATGGCCGAGACAGTGAAGTCACGGGCGGTAAGCTTGTCGGTGAGCCAGTCGACCTTTCTGCGGGTGTTGCAGAAGATGACGGCTTGGGTGATGGTGACGGTCTCGTAAAGATCCGACAGGGTGTCAAGCTTCCACTCCTCCTTCTCAACGGCAATGTAGAACTGCTTGATACCTTCAAGGGTAAGCTCGTCCTTCTTGACGAGGATACGGACGGGGTCGCGCATGAACTTGGTGGTGACCTCCAAGACGTCCTGGGGCATGGTGGCGGACAGAAGAACAACCTGGGTGGACTGGGGAAGGAGCTGGAAGATGTCGTAGATCTGCTCGGTGAAACCACGAGACAACATCTCATCGGCCTCATCGAGGACAAACATCTTCATGCTGTCGGTCTTGAGGAAACGACGCTGGATCATGTCCTGGACACGACCGGGGGTGCCGACGACGACCTGGGGACCGTCCTGGAGAGCCTTCATGTCATCACGAACGCTGGTACCACCAATGCATGCGTGGCACTCGATGCTCATGAAGTCACCAAGGGCGATGACGACCTTCTGGATCTGCTGAGCCAGCTCACGGGTGGGTGCGAGGATCAAAGCCTGGCAAGCCTTCAGCTGGGGGTCGATCTTCTGGAGAACGGAGATGGAGAAAGTAGCGGTCTTTCCAGTGCCAGACTGGGCCTGAGCAATGACATCGTGGCCTAGAAGGGACGTTGTTAGTCGAGAGTGGGTTGGAGAGATCAAGAGTGCAGGGTGTATTTACCCTTGACGACAGGCATGATAGCCCTCTGCTGGATGGCAGAGGGGCGCTCGAAACCGTAGGCATAGACACCTATCCCCACCAGTCAGCATTCTGTTACGGCACAAATTTCGCTGGGCATCGATGCGACATACCTCGAAGCAGCTCGGACTTCAGGTTCATCTCATCGAAAGACTCGACGGTTTCATCGTAGTTGGACTCGATTTGACCTGGCGGAGGGGTAAAATGTTAGCATGGAACGATCTACAAAACCGTCAAAGGCGGTGGGGGGGGGGGACAGGACGTGAGAGAAAATCCCAAACGACCTCACGGCGGTGCCAGAAGGAAGGTAAAATTGACGAGATGCTGTGTGCTTACTCTGCTCGATGTCCTCCAATCCCTTGTCAGCCATGATTGCGGTTAGGTTTCCGTAGAAGACGAGAAATCAAGCGCCCGGCCTGAAATCTCGAAAATAGGCGGTGGTAGTTGGTGGGGTAGGGAAGAATGCGAAAACCGACCGCAAATGAAGCGAAGGTTTTGCGACAGCAACAGCTTTTAAGAAAAAAACTGAAGTGTTGAAATTAACTAGATTAGATGCTCTCGAAAGTTGAGAGCGGATCTGAATCTAGAGGTGTGTGATTTATGGTTGTTTCGTTGGGTTGATGTTGCAATGAAGATACCAAAGAATCGTGGTTGGGGAGAGGCTCCTAGATATTAACGCGAAAAATTTTGGGCAAGAAGTCCGCCGCCAGCGAAATTTTGAAATGGTCTGTGCGCCACCCAAAAGATAAAAGTCGAAAACCTGATGGGGCAATATTCACTAAAACTAAAAATGCCCCTCTTGACATGAGAGCTCTCATTGGACCAGCACTTCCTGTAACTCGGGCTTGTGCAGAAAAAGTCATTGATGCACTTGCTGCATACATACCAATTGAAATGATTCATTCTCGAGGTATACTTACCTATTCCAGGGCCAGATTGTGAATTCTTTCGCCTCCATGCTCACGCAGTTGCCTTTTGCATGTTTCCCGCACAATTTGAGGCATCAACTTGGCTTGTGCCTGGTTATGGGCTCAGCGGCGGTGCGCTGCCTCACATTTCGATAGGGCTACTTTAACAAATCACATTTTGCAGGCTTGTGATTTCAAATCTCTAGTTCAAAGACTTTTCGTGCCCTGAGACCGACAAGAATTTTTTTTATACAACAACGAAAATTCGAAAATGCTGCTTTCACAAGACGTAGGGCTGTCGAACGGGGGGGATATGAGCAATCAGGCAGACATTCGCCCAAATGGGGTTGCCAGCATCGATGGCTCAGCCATTGAGTCATCCATTGAGTCCATACCAGCGCATCCTCTTGGAGTCAAGCCACTCGGCAATCAGTATTTTGCACCTGGCCCGTTGGCTCGTCATGCTATTGGCTTCTGGAGAGGTCTTCCCGATGAGTTGATCATACAGCTTCTGGAGTATCTTGACCAAGAGTCACTCAAGAATCTCGGCTCCACCTGTCGGTTTTTATATGCTTCTTGCCAGCTGGATGAACTGTGGAAGCCTTTGTTTCTCGAGTAAGTGTTGCCGCCGCCTCGAGCACATTTCAACTGCGCCGTAGTTTAGATACTCAATGAGTCAATGCAGCCTCGTATCTATGTACATGTGATTGCCAAGATGATCGACTAACTCTATAGCAGGTCCGTACAAGGCTCAAACCTTCCCCCGTGGAGAGACACGTGGAGAAACACACTTCTCCAGCTCCCAAAGAGCGCTGTGACGAGAATAGACTGCAGCAATGTATTCTCAGACGTGCTACACAGACCGTTTGCTTGTTCCAATATAGTCCTCAAGAATCACGTTTCCGGCATTCCTCGCGCAAACCAGATCGCTCGGCTCAGTAGTCTCTCGCGTGAGGAATTTGCGGACCAGTGGAGTGGGAAGCCTTTCATTTTGACAGATTATATCACGTCATGGCCAGTCTACAAGGACTGGACTATTGAAAAGCTCAAAAAGGCTTACTCGACTGTCGAGTTTAGAGCCGAAGCCGTTGACTGGCCCTTTTCGGCCTATAACACGTACATGTGCAACAATCATGATGAAAGCCCGCTGTACCTCTTTGACCGCAAGTTCGCCGAGAAAATGAACATCAAAGTCGGCCGTGACGACGATTGCGCTTATTGGGCCCCCGAATGCTTCGGTGAAGACGTCTTTCAACTGCTAGGACAAGAGAGACCTGCGCATCGATGGTTAAGTAAGTGCATCTCCTCCTCGGCCTGCAACAGTAGGCGCCATACTGATCAACCACAGTAATTGGACCAGAGCGAAGTGGTTCTACTTTCCACAAAGACCCGAACGGCACCGGTGCCTGGAATGGGGTCATACAGGGATCGAAATACTGGCTTATGTTCCCACCGAGTGTTCCCCAGCCTCCTGGTGTCTTCGTATCCGCAGATAGTAGCGAGGTCACCAGCCCTTTGAGCATCGCGGAATATCTTCTCACATTCCACGCAGAAGCGCGAGAGGAGGCGGGTTGCCTGGAGGGCATTTGCGGAGCTGGAGAACTACTATATGTGCCCAGCGGATGGTGGTGAGTACCGTAATCCCCATGACGTGGTGACGACGGTGAGCTAACAGGTAAATCCGACTCAGGCACTTAGTGGTCAATCTTGAGGCAGGTATCGCATTGACTCAGAACTTCGTTACCAACTCCAAGAAGCATCTGGCCCATGTTCTCTCGTTCTTGAAGGACAAGCCAGATCAGGTTACTGGATTTGGCAGGGAGATTGAGAGCCCCTATGAGCTGTTTATCGACAGACTCCGGGAGAAGGAACCGCAGCTGCTGGAAGAGGCGCTACAAGAGATGGAGCGGAAGGCTGGGGGGAAAAAGCGACGGTGGGAAGAAGCCGTTGGCGCGAAAGAAGAGAGTCAAGACGGAGGCGGCGGCTTCAGCTTCGGTTTTGGTGGCGACGACCTGGAAGATGAGGAAATCCCTTGAGGCATCAAAACGACTCCCATGTCAACTGGGCCTGAAATTGCGAGATCAAGTCAATAGATGAATACTAGACAAATGAAGAATAACGTTGGCGTTGTTTGCGCATTTCTAGTATGCTAGTACCGCATGATGGGACAATGTGGAGCGGCCCATCAGTAGAGCCCTTCCGGAGAGCTGCAATTACTTGATAGAGGGATCCAGCCATCGTCCCGCATGGCAGAACAAGTGCAGATGATGTTTTTTTTTTCTTCCCCTCCCTTGAGACGTATAGTGGACTTTGAAGTTCAAGATCAAGTAACCGAAGGGTAGATGATTGTTGTCTTAGACTTGCGGTAGGAAACATTGCTTTCGGTGTATGCTTGTTAAAAGGTCAGCAATCAAGCATGCGCCTCTTTGTGTTCAGAGCACTGAACAGTGTCTCATGCAGCAGTTAATTCGCCCCGGAGTTAAGCTTCTCGGTCTGGGGCTGGGCGAACCCGTCTGTAAGATCCAATGGAAAAGGAGCGGAGCTGCAACGAAGCTGCAAACGAAGCACGGGGCGCTGTCCAGCCCCATGAGCAACATCCAACGGGCGGTCAGCTTAGGTCCTTTGACTAAGTTAGCCCCCTAGCAAACCAGCTGCACCCTGCGAGACTGTCCGCGAGGTCTGTCTGCGACACTCGTCTTGTCTGCTCCGTCTGCTCGACCAGCTTGTCCTGGTAGGTACCACACCAAATGCACTCGGCAGGCGTGAAGGCGCCCAAAGACGGCCGGAACTTTGAACCTAAGGTAAGGGCCTCGTCGTCCCCCCGTCCCCCACACCTGGTCCTGGTCCTGGTCATGGTCCTGGTCCTGGTGCATCATCGTCTCCCCCAAATCAAAGTCCAAAGCCCAAGCCCCTAAGTTAAGCTGTTGACTTGACGTTATTTAGAGACAGCCCAGCACCCTGCGTTCTGCGATCTACTTTTGGCGTCCGCCCCCAACGTTGAAGCTACGACGTGGTGATAGTGGCAGCAGCACAGCTGAAGGAGAGGCGCGCGTTTCCTCGTCTCGTCTCGTATAGCTTCGCTTCGCTTCTTCTCCGTTGCGCCATCAGCTCTTTCCGCTCGTGGTACAGCATCATGCACCTTGTACCTTGCACCTCTGCACCCATTTCTTCAGCTATAACTCTCCTCCCATCTCAAACTATTGCTTGTCCTTAATTTCTCTCCCCATCTCATCTCAATCACACGCCTCCTGCGCGACGAGCTTCCTGGCTGTCCCGCTTCGTCTACCTTTTTGTCCAGGCACACCGAGTAATCCAGTCAGCAGGCGCACGCCAGCCAGCCTTATGATTCGCCGTATGGAAGCAAGCTTTCTAATTATATCACACCATCGCTTCAAACCGTCGTGACCACGATCCATCGTTTCTTCGCCCGTCGCTCTTTTTTCCCGCGCTTCTGTGACACCCCACTCATCGTAACACCGCGTCACCATGGTCTCCGACGACACCTACGAGCTATGTCTCCCCATTCTACAAGACACCGACCTAGAGGAGGAGGATAAGACCGATAGACTAGAAGATCTCCTCAAGAAAGAGACTAAGCTGGAGGGATCGAGTCTCGAGAATGCCGTACTCGACGTCTTGTGGAGACACCGTGAGGGCGGCGGCGTCGCTGCCTCTCCTCCTCCCATACGACAGACAATCCTACGCCGACCCTCGCCCGCCTCGTGGAGGGGCTCCGCGACTCCCGCATCAGGCTCCCCTCGCCTAGGTGTGAGCCCCTTGGCTCCTCCGGGTTTTGTCCCGACGAGTCTCAGCCGGACCAAGTCATCGACCGTGTCCCCCTTTTCCTCGCCGCGCCCGTCCCCACGACTGGCTTTTGCTGCGCCCGTGATTCCGCATAGCCCGAGTCTTAACGCCTACGAGTTCGCGAATGATACAAGTCCGGCGCAGGAGATTTATGGCGAGCTTCAGTCGGAGAACGTGGACTGGCTCGTGAGTGACGATGCCCTCAGCATCACGTCCGTTGGCCCGTCAAGCGGGCTGAACGCCGCTGTACCCGAGTTCGTGTCTACACAGCAGAACGACATGACTCCTTATGACATGCTGCGCTCTATATTAGGCCAGACCAAGACCGATGATGAGATCGAGGCGGCTCTGGCCGTCCACGGCTACGATCTAAGTGCCACCATTGCTGCCATCATGGATTCCCAGGGCCAGGATTCCACCAACGCTTCAAACTTGACTCCTGAGGCCAAGAGCATCCTTATTGGCAAGTCCATGACTCCTGATAACCGGCCGGCAACACCATCGGGTCAGCAGAAGCCAGGCATCATTTGCAAGTTCTACCTGTCTACCGGACAGTGCCTTCGCTCAGACTGCCGCTTCAGTCATGATCTGAGCAACCATATCTGCAAGTAAGTCAACGTGCCGTAGTCGTTTCAAAGTGCACCACTGATGTGATTTCAGATACTGGGTAATGGGCAACTGCCTCGCAGGAGAAACTTGCATATTTTCGCACGACCCGGCGCATCTGATGAATCGACTCAATGTTGACGAAAGTAGCACTCCTCCAACCAAGAATCTCTCAGTCACCGATTTCAACTCTGCCTTCCCATCGCTGAGACCAGCTACGCCGGAGCTAAATCCCTTTGCTCCCAGCTTTAACTTCTCTCCTGCTGGCATGACCCCTCCTCCTGGATTGCGACCCATGCACAGCTACAATGGCAACGATGGGGCTCGCCCAAGGTCTCGACCTGGTAGTCGCCAACAAGCCAAGGATAACATGGCTGCACTTTCTATCGATGACAATGACGCTTTTCCCTCTCTGGGCTCTGCTTCTTCGAAAAGTAACAAGAAGCACCATGGCAAACGCGGTGGCCATGGCCACAAAGAGAATTATACTCCCAGCTCTTTAGCTGATATTGTGAAGATGTCACCATCGCCATCGCCTGCACCTGGTCCCGCTCGACAAGACAAGAAAATTGGACGCAACGGCAGTGCGACGAACATTAAAAATGGCGAAAACAGTGCCGCTGCTCAGGCTATCCCTAGTCCAAAGCATATTCCCTGGCTCGAGACCGGGGACAGGGCCAACAAGGCCTATTTGAAGGCTCGGCAGGAGGCCATCAAGCATGGTGGTCTCCGCAACAAATTTCTGCAAAGGTTTGTACTTGTTATTGTACCACTATCATGAAATTACCCACTCACATCCTACATCTAGCGCTGCTCAAGCTTGGAACCGAAATGATGCCCGTGCAGCAAAGGCTCTCAGCCTTCGCGGCCAGAGTGAAAATGAACTGATGCGGAAAGCTCACCGCGAAGCTGCTCGAGAGCTTTACGAGGATCGCAACAAGCAAATCACAGGCTCTGAAATTTATGTCGATCTGCACGGTCTCCACCCTGAAGAGGCCGTCGAATATCTAGAGCGGGTTCTGCTTGACAATAGTAAGGAGAGCAGGCCAGTCTATGCCATCACTGGAACCGGCCATCATAGCAAGAATGGCAAGGACAAGGTAGGCAAGGCCATCAGGAACTTTTTGAATGAATGGAGATATGCATATCGGGAATTTTCTGTTCCTGGTGACCGTAACAATATGGGAGGTATCCTGGGCGTTGATGCTAGGAGTTACGACAAGTCTCTGGCTAGAGAAGGAGGCAGTAACACCAAGGAGCAGAAAGAGGAAGTCAAGGAGGAGATTGATATTCTCAGTCAGGGTGTTGAGATTGGAGATGGCAAGGTTCGTCTCCTTGTGCGGGACCCTCCCAAGGGACCCAGTGGCAACAGGAGTAGATGACTACTTGAAGAAGATTAAATGAATAAAGAAAGATTCACACTTACACTGCCTTCCGCCTCCTTTCATATCTGATTGACGTGTTCGTATTTCACGCTGGTGTACTATAAAAGTATTTAGGGCAACTGCGACCTGCATATCTTATACTCATCCGCTATGCGTATATTTCCACCCACGGTACAGCTGGCGTACGGGCCCGCCTTGGTAGTTTTTCTACATAAGCACCAGCACTTGGCCTTCAGAGTATCCTCTTTCTGACATTGATGCGATACACCAGATATATCGTACATTTAGCAAAACCGACGCGTGTCTATCTTCTTGAGAGTTATTACTTCTCTTGAAACTGCATGTAATGTCGACGCCATCGTATTTTTTTATGCATCGTTATCTACATCCTGTCCAAGAGACCCTCAGGTGCTCGTGAGTTTCTATACTCTGAAAACGGAAAGAGCACCTTCCCAATTCCGTGTACATCACTACCAGGATGATTATATGCCACAATATTTAGCCTCAGTAAATTCTAATAGACTCAATGGTCTTATTTCAACGACAAACTAACAAGTACAACGACTTTCCTCGAGTAATTGTGTTTCTACTCTCAAACCACAAATCTATAACATCATCTCTCCTTCCTCATCAATCTTTATACTTAATCTAGCCTATCGTGGTCTCATAGACCATATTCGCCTGAACCTACAGCACTTTCAAGCCTCAATCAATATTCCTTTCTAAATCCTACATATTCTCTCAGATCCTACCCGACAGCTCCGGCGTAGGAGTCACACGTCCAAGTGCTTTGCGAACAGGTCGAACGCAGACCTACTTCTATAATAATACATACCCAGAACACCGTTCATAATTACATTGCGTCTCATCTAACATGAATATCGCACGTGCCCCTCGTACACACCGGGTAGTACACTGTGCGGAGTCTGAGACGGTTGTTGATGAGAACCGTGAAGTTAAATATTGTGTTAAACACTCTACGTTGAACCCGGACTTCCCCTTCGTGGTATGGGCAAATAGGGGATACGAAGACGAGCTAACCAAACTCTACTCCGACTTGCCCAAAGAGATTACGAATGGTTTTTGTGAAAGCGGTATCGCGTACGGCCGAGCCGTGATCCGGTCCGGCATTATCATCGAGACTGAAGGTGGTAGTGAACTACCAGAATATATGTGGCGTGCAACTCATAGCAGACAGCCTTTCAATGGTATCAAGTCGAGAAGCCGTAATGGAACAAACACCGTCTACGTTTCTATTCACTTCCTGATGCATTATAACTGGAACTGCCGTAAGCCAAGCCCCTTCATGTCGTGGACTGACGAGAGAGACAAAGCTTGTCGCATGGCTGCATACTTCGAAGCCAAGGGCTATACTGGTATCGAGATACACCGAGTCCGCACGTAAAGAGCCGCCTAAGATCGCAAACAGCAGCGTATCTAGAGTACCTCGAAGCTTATCGATAGCTTCGAATATCTGAATTTGGGCACACAGCACTTGAAGATGCGTGAGCATCTCATCGAAGATTCTGTCCCCGTCGAATACCGGAACACATACAGGTGGAATATCAAGAAGGCCGAATTGGATCCTGGTAAGCAGATGAGATCTTGTGCTCGATGCAATGAGTTAGTCAAGAAGAGGAATACAGAGTGGCAGAAAAATAAACCGAGGGCAGAGCGGCTAAAGAGAGATGAGAGGCTCACCTCTTATGCTGCCAGAAATAATATGACGTTCAAAGACGCCAAAAAGACTTGACAGAAAGCGAAATGTGAAGAAGCGTGTCAAAGGTTACAGGCGCAGCATTTGCAATAATACGAGCTAGTACTAGAATCACAAGTGCATGAATTTAAGCAGTCTAAGTGTATAACTCATAGCTTACGCATATCATTCAATAGCTGCAAATCAATACGTTTAGTTTGTAACTGTTGTTTGTCTCCAGATGTCACATGATAAAAGTATATCAACGTTTAATTTCATAAAAAGAACTCGAAGCCGCACCTATGCGATTCACTCACAACTACTGGTTTCTTTTCCAAGCTAAGATTCAACGAACTACATGCTTAAAGCTTAAGCGAAAATTGTAGCTACGTAGAAATTCTACATATTACAGTATAGCACCGCTCAGGGCCATCGTACTCTACAAATGTCTTGCGTCCGAAGGGTTCCTCACTCCTGGCACAGGCCTTTTCCCAATCCTGAAAGAAACAAGTCGCAGTAGAAAATAGAAAAACAATTTACGATATAATCTGTATGGTCCTTGATTGTTCCTTCCCTGTAGACTGTATTCCTCATTTACAGTTTGGAAAAACCCACCACATCTTGTCCACACTAAATCCTTTTCTCTTCAAAGTCTTTGCGGCACATCCGCGTAGTCCAACTTGCCTTCCTAAGTATGATAATTCCTCCAAACATTCCGAACGGACTCAGTCATCGTCTTTTCATCTGATCAAACTACTTTGACTCATCCAATAACACACCTATTTATTCCTACATACGGGGTTGAATACCAGTTCTCTACCCTACCTTTCAACATGTCACTCGTACCGGTCCAAGAGATCACGGTCGCCCGTTACGCACCTTCTGTCTCTAAGATCGAGGAGAACAAGGGGGGTGAAGGGCTGGCTTACCAAGAACTCTACGGACCCGAACATTCCTTGGGTTCTTCGTATTATGCCCGAGTATATCCAAGAGGTCAGTAAGGCCTTCCCGGGTGTTCTGGATGCCATGGAGGGAATACGCAATCTCGGTTGCATCAATGGAACCGCCCTCCTGTCAACCTCGTTTAAGGCCGACACGGTCGGGGGCGACCGCCGGCCCAAGGTCATGGACTGGGCCATCCATGGCGGCCAACCTGGGGGCGGCATGGAGTCTCGAATCGGACGTGGGAGCGATCCCATCTTTCTGCACGTGCACTTGAAGAAGCACCTTCGCTGGCAGTGTCGCGAGAAAAGTCCCTTCCTCTCGGCGACCCACTCACGGGGCAAGCCCTATCGCATCGCCTCGCTCTACGAACACAAGGGCTACGAGAACATCCATATCATCGAGTTTCGTACGGGAAGGGCGGGAATAGGACCATACCGTCCAGCTAGTGTGGTATGCTAGAAGATTGCTGTACCAGTTAGGTCTGAAGAAGGACGACCGGCACTACCTCGACGACGAGTTTCTCATCGAGCACTCGATACCGGCGGAGAGTACCATCTGTCGCTACAGCTGGAAGGACGACAAGACGGTGCTTGATCGCCGCGGCGACATAGCGACAGGAGCAGTCGCAGAGTTGGCCGAAAGGGTCAAGGACCGGCGCGCGGCTAAGGAGCGCGAGCTCGATGACGGCGGCGATGGCAACAGAAATGGCGAGCCTGAGACTCGGACTTTCGCTCGCAAGGTTGGCAAGAGGTTCAAGATCGGCCCGAAGATGGGTCCCAACTTGGGCACTTGAGAAGCTGATGACCGAGCCCTTTGACCATAGTTTTGATTCGCAGGTGGTGCAGTTCGAATCTAGTATTGGTCGTTGGTAGTTACAAGACGGCTTTGCAGTGCCGCGAACGTCAACTCGGTATCCTCTCTGCGAAAGCCCTCTCGATACCAACAGTGCAATGACTTGGGCAATTGCGATGCTTTAGGAACTGTGTGCATTGCTAAGCTTTCCGGTACATCGGTGGACGATTCATCATATAGCACAGTTTCATGCAAGTTTTAATGCAATTATTAGTTTCAATCCTTCATTGTTACTAAGACTCGTTTGTGGAGGTGACATATAGCTTGCTGTGGTCAAGATGGGCAAAGTGTTTGCGGTGATAGATAATACCGATACCCCTGTGACCCGACAGCGTGGGACGCACACTTGTCTCCTTTTCCACTGTTCCGCTGCAAGGTCTGCATGAAACTTGATTGGCTCAGATACGTAGATGATGATGTAACGTTAACTTCACCATCTTTCGGATAAGTCGTGATAAACTATAGACGACAGTACCCCAGCACAAGCGACCTGCTGGTATCAGAGCGGTATCATATTGGTATCAGCCACCCGATCTGTTTTATGATCATTAGATGGAGATATCATGTCGCGATAGTAATTCTCGATGATATGATCTCTATATCTAGTGCAGTTTATGTAGCAGCTAAGATGCTGCACCGAAGTTTAGTCGCTATTTATTCCCTGGGAAATCGAGGAATGCTGTATTAAGCTTGGTGCCAGGATTCCGTTCGGCCAGAACAACGTAGTGAGCTATGAAGATTGAATCAGTTTGGTAGGGTAGTCACTTTGTGTATGTTTGAAATGACTTGTACACTCCATGTGATTGCTGTATGCCATGCGAAGTTATAAAGTATCACCATACCTTCAGGGGATTAGCCTAGACTACGTTCACTTCGCGGGTTGCACGCCCCAGCCGAGCGCGTATTGAAGATCTTATGGATGAGGTCATGTCAATAAAACCTCATCAACTGATCATCAAGGTCAAGGCTCCGTGTCTTAGCTCACCCGCAGATGGCATCATTCCATGCTATCATATATTATCAAAACTGACCGTATGATTATTGTTTATAAAATATTTGTGTGGGTTTGTGAGTCAATGCCCCTGGTGCATTTGATGAACCTGGTATCTTTTGGGAGTTTGCACACGCAGTAAACTAGCACTTGAGTGAGGCAAACAACAGAACAATTCTGAACAATACGGAAAGAGATAGCATTGAAATTCTCGTCACAACCATTCGTAAAAGTTATTGGAACATCCGTGCTAGCCCGATAAGCAAGGCTAGAACCAGAAAGAGACTCTTGACGCAAGAAAGAACATATCAGGACATGATTGTAAAACCGTGATTGGGATAATCCGGTCAGGCTCTGCGTGGGATGTCTCAATGAACCCTGTCTCAGCATTGCTTCGGATTCGTTCCGATGGGTCCGGCTACCCGAAATTACCACATATGCGTAAGCTTTGGTCTGGATGTTGTGAAGCTCCAAGTTGCAACAACTTGGTCGCTGGAAATTTCATGGGTGGAACAGGTGGTTGGGATTCTAGGTCAACTATATCTGAAGGAATTACACAGCAAGCCGAAGGCCCCTTCCATGTTTAGGTTCCATATCTTTGCTGATTGCTGGCCCGCGCGCAATCCTTGAGGCAGAATTCGCTCCGCCCCTGTTCCCAAGAGCGTGAGATTATGGTACCCAAACCCCAGACCATAGGTCAAGGAGACGTCCCGCACAAAAATTTCAGTGTTAGATGTGAAATTGATTGCATGGCAATGTAAGTATGCGTGTGACTATGCAAGTAACATGTTGCCAAGTGGCATAGCATATGACCTATATCCTCCCACAGCTTTCACCATGGCAATTTCCCATGAACCATGGTCGCAAATGTCTTTGTGCCCTTTGAGGTGAAAGAAGAAACAAAAATCTTCTGGGGCGCTTGTTATAAATCCCGATGGCACACTTGTGTTCCTGTGCAATATTTATGACCCCACAACAGCACAAATATTCAATTTTATTCATTCTTTCAAGACGTTCTATTACACATATTCTTGTCAAGGAACTTCAGAAAGTGACGGCTCCTAAAACCTGGTTTGCCCCATAGGACTTGGCCTGACCATTGGTCTAATTTCACATAAAAGACGAGAGCTGGCGGTATCAGACCTTAGGTGGGCGTTGAAGCTCTCTTTCGTTCTAAGCCATGTCTATGATGTCCGAGTTTGTTGTTGGAGGGGTTGGACCTAGAATGCTCCAGATACCGCATGTCGAATCTCTACTTCGCTTTCATTGTGTCTTTATATCGGAGGAGGTGCAAGAACTTTTCAAACAAAACATCAACCGCGACTCGACGAATATGCTGTCGAACAAGCAGTGCGACCACCATGCCGTTCACAACTGTCCAAACGTAGTCAAGGATGGAGGAGAGCTCTGCGAAAATCACTGCAGAAAAGGCTTGTGTGGATATTGAGAAGGACAGAACTGTGGCACAACTCGTCACTATTGGGGTTGCGCCCTGGATGCAACAGGGTTGTAAGGTTCAAGAGCTTGATATGTCATATAATTGACTATTGAATTCTGGAAATTCTGAGTGATCAGCGGATTAGAGTTCAATTTCTTCAACACCCAGCTGGAAGTCATGATGCCTGAGGCATTATGCAAAAGCATATTCCGTACAATGTGGCAGAGTAGTAGCCTTGAGAACCGGAAGATAGGAGAAGTACGTTACAGGCGTGAACAGTTACTCGGTTTCAATTAATACAGAAAATGCAAGTCTGACACGGACTGCGGCTGAATATTAGAAGTAACGGCGTGATGCTACGCAAAGGGCGAGTAGTACATGACATATTTTGCTCCCTAGCTGATTATCTCATATAATGTTACTTAGCACAACACTTGCGATTCATAGATGAAAAGTTCTTTGATATGTATCACTAAATATTCATTTGAGGAGACGAGATGTCGCACGTCTAATGTATGCGACAAGAATCGTTGAAGTCCCCAAGATCTCTATGAACCGGCATTATCCGCCGCCAAATCTTTGACAAATAAACACGCTTCAAGGTTCGTAATGCGGTAATGCATGTAAATCGTATCCAACGTTCCACCATGATATTACTCCAAGCAACTCATCCCCAGAAGAACAATTATGGTATCGCGAAGAGAAAGGAACCAAGTGGTCCGGGTATTGTGGTATGGCCTTGCTCCCTAAGAAGGCCATATTTGGCAACATGTGTCTCTGCCGCAGCATTCCAAATAAGCTTACTTCCATCCGCTGATCTGACCGCATCGCAGGAAAGAAGCGCTCAGATGCTGTGCGCCTATGCGAGCATCATGACAGCTGCTCCAATCGCCACGATAAGTCCGGAATTGACGGTGGAGGAGACAGCAGCGTTGGTGGGTACAGCGGAGGTTGCGCTTGTAGCAGGGGTCTGAGTAGCAGTCGTGGTGACCTTGGCTGTAGTCAAGTAAGTGACCGCAGTGGACGACTGGGCCTTGGTCGAGGTAGTGTTGTGGTAAGAGCCTGTGGTTGCGTAGTAGGCACTGGTGGTGGTGTTGTAAGTCGGGTACCAAGTCGAAGAAGATGTCGATGACGGGGAAGATGAAGGTAATGAGCTGCTGGAGCTAGAAATGCTGGAAGACGTGGTCGCAGGAGCAGAGCTTGAGGTACTATATAGTGGACAGGCAGTGTTGGTTGGGTTGCATTGCGATATAGTAACATAGGCGGTCAAGGTAGAGGTACTCGTGGAGGTGGCGTCTGCCATGACATTTGTCATGACGCTGGCAGCCAGCACGAAGAAGGATGAGGCACGCATTTTGATGTTGTTAATAGCTTCCGAGATAGTCGTCCAGAGTCGCAAATATTGCCGAAAGGTAGTGCGCGAGGCTTGAACAATGAGTCGATTGAGACAAAGGTTGCGGCTTTTTGTTTTGTTTTGTTTTCCTCGTTCGAACTGCTACGATTGCTGCGTGGAGTGACGTGCAATGCAGGAGTTAGATTTGTGTAAAAGAATGTGTTATGCAAAATGTAAGAGCCAAAGAGTGACACAAGCTTGAAGTGAAGCTTAACAGGCGCACGAAAGGAGTGTGGAGGACGCAGGGCGGGATTTTGTGTTGGTTGGCAGCCGGTTCTTTATGAATGCAAACTGCGAGGTGAGTCCAAGTGGAGAGAAACAAGGAAACACACCGAATGGGGGTCCGATGTGGATCTACTAGTTTGACAGGCAAACTAGATAACAGCAGGGAACACGGAGCAAGGAGCAAAGAGCAAGGAGCAAGGATTGTGCTGAGTCGTGGTATTTAGAGAAAATTCGGCTGTCACTGTTAGCTTACAAAATCTGAATGCGAAGAATGGATTTAAGCCGATGGCTTCGGTATATTCCTATAACAACCTGGACTCTACAATGATATACGCAGCATACCGCTCTTTTGGTCAATGAAACATCATTGTTTGCCTATCCAGGGACTATAGCGAAGCTTCGTCGCGGCTACCTACATCTCCTTCTGATTCCATGACTAAAACGTTGCTCCAAAATCCTGACGTTGCTATAAAAACACGGCCCGGAGGGAGAAACACTGTAAGTTTAGCCCAATAAACGTGTCTCACACGATTGTATACGTCAACTGCGATGTTGCCCGCTGTCAAAACGAATAACTTTAAGCATCTCGGTACTTGATCCTAATCCCAGCACTACAGCCGTGGTTGGCTTTGTATTGTTGGCAAAGAGATTTCCGCAAAAATAGATCGTGGCAGCCCATCCGATGGTGTGATTGCTGAATGGGTGGGTTGCTTTCAGCTCCTATTGGCCTGTGTTTCCGGTTCCTGTCGATCAAGGTTTGTTCCTGCAGCCTTCAGGAAAAGTGGCAAGCCGAAGCAGATCACGTTGATGGCATAGGATACTGTAGTACAAAAAAAAAAATTTCCCTCTCCCGCCATTTTCTTCTTCTCTTGAGCGGGCACTTCATGACGCCGTACCAGTATCGGTGGAGATGTGATGGCTTGAGTTACAATACTGCCATGGGTATTCGCAACCCCGAAAGCAATAGCTGGGGTTTCTTTCGCCCCATAGTATAGTCCGACCAATCAACACACGGGAGAAAAGCTCGATCTTTTAGTCCCCTTTCGAGTCAGCAAAAGGGTCTGAGATGTGTGCACCCGGATCAAATGTCACAGGGAGAAATAACCTCTATCAGCTTGAGGGGTTTTCACTGATACATTCCTTGGATCAACAATTAACTCGGCGTTATTTGGCCGACCGCGCAGAAGGTTTATTCTCAGATCATGAGCTATTGAGGACTGGCGCTGATCCTTGACCATTTTCCAGACCCTTTTGTCTCTTCGCGCAAAATCCATTACAACTACGAATCAATTTGTGTTAGGGGAGTACCAGTTAGTCTTTTACAGAAACAAAGAAGTTTTGTGTCTGTTTGACCTAAAATGGATTATGTATACATACATAGTAATTTGAGTCAATGTAGCAATCCGATGTGCGTAACGTGCAACAAAACCCACAGCATTAAACTTGACGTTCTGCCAACTCTGTTGATTTTATGAAAGTACCATCTTTGAAATCTTCATCTGGGGGTCCTACCGTTTCTCTGGCAAGCGAATGGAGATATTTTCGGATTTTCTTTTTATGGTTGGTTACTGTGAATTGAACCGGAAGCATACATTCAATTAAACTCGTTATCCACATCAATTCAGACCCCTGGTCTGTGAACCCCACCTCTTCTCCATGGCGGAAATGAAGGCAACGTAAGCAGATCATACCTTCGAATACTTGAGACCAAACTCCAGAGCGCCATTATCGCGCCATGCCACATCCAAGCGAAAGGACTGATTGAATTCATTGAAATCCACTTGTGCGATATCACGCGATATGAACCGTATTCGAGCATTCCGTGTTGATCGTGAATCATGTTGTTGCTTCAGATGACGAAACGTCTGGCCATAACGTGCAGTCGCGTGGATAAACACGGCCCCTCCCCTTCCAAAGCCATGAGCACTTCGTAGGCATCAATAGTCCCTCGGAGTATAGCGTCATCTTCCTGTTCTGCCTACAAAGCGTGGCTCATTGCGGAACTTCGGGTGGTACATGGGAATCTCTTGCTCCGCGATCTCCCCCATCCACGGCACAAGGCCGTTCCGAACGACGTCCTCTTCATACTCGGCTGGGGTGACCAGCTCGTGGCATTGGCTGTGCGGCTCGGCCAGGAAGTCGCAACGACCAAGAAGGAGACTGTGCCTCCTGACCACAAGTGTTACGCTCTTGCCCGAGATGGTATGCAAGCCGTCAAGTTTTCTCCTCGGTGGGTGTGCCAAGCCTCCCATATCGCTTTTGGTCATGGCCTATAGCCTGGCGCTGGCAATGTGATGCCCGTCGCCGAGCTCCTTCGTCTACGTTCCATTGAGCATCCCGTTGTCAGCCTGATGCTTCTTGCCTCTCTGCCTGCAATTCTTCCTGGAGGGCTCGAACCTTGCATGTGTGCTCATCGGCTTTGCGCTGTTGCATCGCTCGCTGCTATCTCCATTTCCACATCTCCTGTCTTTCAACCTCCCGGTCTTTCTTGGTACTGATGGCTTCTTCCGTACCACGAGTTTTCTTTCCAGGTTTAGAGGCTTCTTGACTTTAAGAGGTGAACCAAAACAGGAATTGATCAAGATGGAAGACACAGATGAATTGAATGTAGCTGTGAATTGGTTGCGATCTTCATGGCGCATGCTGGATGTGTGCCAAGGACGGTCGGTCAGAGCAAGTGCGGCGAACAATGCTATATATCTCTTAATAGTGGCAACAAGCGCCAGTCTTTAACCTTTTAGAATATTGTGAGATCTACTATCATGAACAAGCACACGCCAGAATACCTTGTAATCTGGCATGAAACATTACGACCCAGCCTGCAAGTGTCGCATATACAGGTAGCCAGTTTCTTGCAGCGCCTCCATGGCAGCTATCTGTAGTCAGTAAGTAAGTCATCGACATTGATATGGTAAGCCTAACAAACTATGGTACGTCGCTGAGCCAAACTCGATTGTTTCTAACTTCAGTGGTTCATGTGGTCAACGGGATCCAGTTCCTAGTTCTCTAATGTTTCGGACCAAGCAAACCACCCGAGACAAGCTTGAGAGGAGACAAATCACGCATGCGACGAACTGCAGGAAGTAGATATGTTCGGATTTCATTTCTTCCAGATCCCATTTCTCGACTCTTTCAGCATCTGCACTCAACCCGGCTGGACATGTCTTGGAGCCAACTTCCGTTCAATTTCCATTATCAGATACCGCAGAAAGAGCAAAACGAGTCACGCTAAAACAAAATTGTCTGAGAATCCCAGAAATCGCAATGTTTACATTACCGTGCTGCCACCGAAGCCCCCTCAGCCAGTATTCATGAGACTTGAAGGCCAGAGCCCTGCTGCCTCTCATGAATCTTTTACCGGCCCCCATGGTAAGTGCTGCTTCAACTTCACCCGCCACGTTTACTTTTGCGAGATTATTAGCGATTGCGTCCAGTGGGAAATATGTACTATCCTAGTTTCTACTGCCGCACATTGTTGCATGTTCGTTGGTCTTGTAGAAACAAGCATGTTGTCGACCTCGCAGATTAGCATGCAACCATTGCTGTTGTGACAGCAGTGTAATTAATAAGAAAACAAAACCTCTTGCGATACAGCTGTACAATGACAAGGTTGGAGAACTTAGTTGTTCCTAGTGATTTGCGCCTTCAGTATGCGCGACAAAACTACAATGGAAACGTTATGTTACAAGATAGGAACTTCTCTGGAGTTGCCTAGAATTGACCAGAACATTACCGAAATTAAAATTGTTGATTTCTTTCTTAACTGCAACAAGGCTTCTAGCGGAGTTCGTTGAAATTTTTTGGAGCCGGCGAATAATTCTTTTTGCGAAAAATCGGTATTAATATTGACAGATAGTATCATCCCTAGTAACAGAGGCTGTTAAACAGCTGATGCACCAGTGCCTCACTCCACAGTTACAGTGTTCCCTTTCGCTTCCTCGAATCCCCGTGCCGCCCATTCTAATCCCAGTTTGACCCATGGTCATCAATCTAGTTGTCAGGTTGCACATCGTCAGTGAAGCTGACACTCTGGCTAGCCTGGCCGGCCGCCTTCTTGTCCAAGGCAATGTTGTTGTCCAGCTTCTTCTGCTCAGCGTCGATCTGGGTCTGGGTGTCGTCTCCTTGAGCCTGCTCGATCTGGAGCGCAGTGGTCTCCAAATACAACTTCAAAACCTTGTTCTTGATCTTGCCGTTTTGCAGTGCAGTAGCAGCATCGCCGCTGGCCGCTTTCACAGCAGCGTTGAAACCATCAGTCTCAGCGGCCTCAGCGGTCTCACGAGCGGCTTTAATGATGGCCAAATCTGCGGCAGACACATTGGCAAGGTCAGAGTCAACCTGTTACTTGTCAGCTTTCAAGTCCTTTTGGAACATACTCATGTTTTGAACGTACAGGAAAGGCAGCCTGGGCTTCCGCAAGGGCGTTGCCAGCCGTGCCATCACTGATCTGGAACTTGTCGTAGGTTTGGAAAGTCAAAGCACGCTTCTGAGGGCCGACGATGCCGGTTGGTGCAGCCAAGGCCGAAGCGGCCATAGAGAGGACGACAGCAATCTTGGTGAAATACATTTTGTTGTTTGTGATGATTTAGTGGTTAAGTGACAGTATAGTCGCGTCGTTATAGTATAGGTAGGGAGTGTATGAAAACGAACGGTGACCAGCAACGAATGAATTAAGACAGCACAGCTGTTTGTCAAGAAAGAATGGGCGAATGATAGGCGGAACCGTAGAATGATGAGTGAAGGTACTGACGAAGATCATATTATGGGAAACTGGAGGATGCGCGTAGATCTTATAGAAGTCATTGAAAGCATGACAGAGGCACGCCAGAGCGGTCCGTACTAACAATCACACGCTGCGAAACTCCTGCCAACTGATGCTTCTGGTCAATCAGCTTGTGTCAGTCCCAAGGTCAATGGCGTAAAAGCTGTCGTTGGTGGAAATCAGCTCCTTCGTCTGAACCATGTATCAAAACGTCCTGGATGGCCGATCGGCGGCCAAGGATCCTAGCAATGCAATGGTGCATCTATCAAGCGGCATTCTGCCAAGACTTGGGACGAGACCCAATTAGGCGGCGAAGATCAGAACATAGAAGCCTGAATTATGGGACGGAATCAGAAAAACGGTAAGATCCTAGCAATGCCAGGTGGAGTCACCAGGCCCAGAAGGGCAGCGGTTACTGAAGAGCCGCATCGTTGGTGTTTTGGATTGTTGTATCGGAGTCAAGGAGGCGGCGTCAGACCCCGGTTCGCCCAAGCAGAGCCCCACCAAGCTAAGCTTAAATTATGTGTGCACAAGCCTTTATCTGGCCCCCCTACCAGATTATAACCGAACTGTTTTATATCCTCACCAGCGAGTCTCATCTCAACATCACGTTTTGAGAAAATGCAACAGCGAGTTCGCCATCGGTCTCATCCGGACTTGGCTCTTGAACGTCATCCTTAAAAAAGAAAAGAAAAATCTAGCCCCAGCCGGATTATCGCGACTCGAGTGATTTCACTGCATAATTTTCAACATTTGTGGGGCTAGCTCATGCAGATTACCGCTATCAATCAGATGACTTCGAGGCCGAAGAGATGAAGCTGGGTTGCAACGGCGACGATCCGAAATAGACCCTTGGCCAACAGATACTCCGGGAAGTCCTTGAAACATGTTGTGATATACCATCGATTGCAACGCACTTGGAAGTTAGTAGTCCGTAATCCGTGTACTGCAGTCATATCGACGCGGTTATTTTCGTATGTGTGGATCTATCGTACTAAGGTGAATTGATGGCCCCTCCAATCAAGAAACTCGATGAAATTTCAACTCACGATTCAAGTATCCTCCCCCCTTCCCAACCTTTTTTATTTTTATTTAATTTTATTTAATTCGGTGAATTGTCAAACACTTGGTAATCGCAAGACGCTTCCGGTGCTCACTCATGTCTAAACTGGGACAGGTTCTATTACACAAACTACATGGACAGCACCAGAGACTTAGACTAGGCGAAATGAAAAGTGTTGATTATTAATCCAAGCGAGCTAGATGACAGTCATATGCGTGCAAGGAACGCCTGGCCCATCATGGCACTCGAGCATCGTCCATTTCTGTAGCACTGTCCTGTACAGTACCACGGCCCAAGCTGTCCCTATGATTGTTGGCTCCAATCTGCGAGCAGTAATTAGTGTCGTGCATATATGCTATAAGCTATCGTATTCAGAAAGCTCGAGTTCAACAGCCAGGAGTTCAACAAAGCTTTAAATTGCAAAGAACCCAAGCCAGCATAATCTGGTAGATGGGGAACACCTTTGACTGCATTCTGCAGCATGCTGTCTATCTGCAGAACGTATGCTGTTCATGTCTAGCCGCGAGGGTCGCGTGGCTGACTTGATACTTTTTTCTTTTTTGGTTTTTTTTCTCTCCACCTGAAGTCGACCTACAATGGTTCTGACAATGGGTAGAAATGATCCCCACAACCCGTAGACATACGACTTAGCTTGACTACGGCATGGCGGTGTTTAGCGGCGATTTGAAATGAAGCTAATGACTACCCAGGCTAGGACGGCGTGCTTGAGGATATCTGAGGACTAGAAACATATTCGGGGACTATTTGTCTGATTGCGACTGTATGATGCCCTTGCTAAGAGCTGCCGTAGTTGGATATGCCTACTTCAAGGTTGCAACCATAGTATGTGCTGTCGTTGAGCATCAAGGTTTCCATCAGCTTGAGAAATTGTTCGCTCTGGAGTATTTGATATTTCCGCTAGTCTAGATGGAAAGCAAGTTCCTAAGGTTAGTTGCTTAGACCCTAGGATGATTGGTAATTACAACAATTGCGACTTTGCTCATCAATACCTACCGAGACGCCTGTATACATTCTAGTGCACTGCAGCAATATATAATCAATAATCACTTCTTATGTTGGATTGTAAGTCTTGGTAGTATTGTGAATCATTCATAGAGAACTAAATCCCTTTAATAGGCAGTATACGCTTCATGGATGTACTCAAAAAGAGACAAAAAGATCCCGAAGTTTACTTGCGGTTGGACTTTTGCCATCTCCCAAAAGTTGGGCGGATGTATCTACCCAATGAGAGAGGTATGACGCGGGATTTAGGACCCGAGGACTGTACATTTGATCGAGGTATACATCATCCGGAATGGTATCTGATACCAAGTCCCTTAGCTACACCTGAATGTTACAACAATAGTACAGTAGCTATGAATTCACTGAGTCACTGTCGAAGTGTATCGTAACGACGCTTATTTCGTTTGCAGTATCCCGCTTCACACGGAGTCAGACAGTGAAGTAGCTGTGTGACAAAGATTGTTGCTAAGGTTGGCGTAACATATATTGCTACTGATTAATGTTATGAATTGGAGGTCACAAACTTCAAGCCTGAATGCCGGCAGTTGCGATTAGTAAGGCACCCCGTTTGTGTCTTAGTGACTAAATCTTATATAAGTGCAGCAAACGGTCTTCACCGCTTGGTAGTCATTAGTTTAACTTGGGATGCAAATAGAAGGTCCATCCGAAGACAACATGCGCGCCCCAGGAGACTTACGATGAGTTTTGACGAACCGTAGGGCTGGAATACGCTACAAACCCATCGTCGAAATGATATGTCACATAACGCTGTGGTGTGGCTGCAGAAACTACATTAGTGGAACCTTAAATATGGATAGGGTATGTAGCATAGTGTTAGAGGTCGGCGTGTGATGATCTGAACGCAGCTATACGTCACGTCGTTGCGCGTTTGCAATGCTCGAACACGGCGCTAGGATCGGACGAATCGCCACGGATACCGAAGACGACAAGGCGTCCTGCAGGGTCTAAGTGCCTAATCTCAGCAGCTTCTTTTATTTTCCATGATCGCGGCTATGCTGTTGTTACATATCAACGGCCACGGCAGCGGTCTGGTGAGACGAGGTGTGTAACATTATATATTCACGACTCCACGTTCAAAATAGGAGTACCATAATTACTATCCAGCACCCGATGAACGACATGGACATAGCCTCCCATGGGTTGTGATCAGAGTTTTCAATCCGAGCGCTAGATGTTCACAATCTAGATGTAAATGACTGCACAACGCTCGGTTCTTGCGGCATCAGGATAGTGAGTAGAACATCTGTGTACAGACAAGTACGCAACTGACTGACATTTGCTTCTTAACCGTCGATCATAACAATATCCTATCCGTTGAGCGTCGGGAGACCGGTATTGTTATGCTGCATGCAACGAAGTTACAAGCAGGAGTGTAGCATTACCCGCCTTTTTTCAAATGAAGAGGTTGCTCTACAATTAGAATCCAAGTGTGAAGCAGCGCGACTTCATGAGAAGATACCGTCGCTGCAATGTATTAATGATGAGTACATGAACATCTTGGTACATAGTATTGTCCAAGTGACTTTATGTTGTTCTCGCCATCCCTGTTGTCATGAACGTTGAATTGCTTTCGCCACGTGAAAATTATTGTATGCTAAATATCCCGTGCCCACGCGCCTAACAACCGAAAAAGAAAGAAATTAGGCTACGCCGTTGCACGGAGCCGGTTGCCGTTCCGACTTCTGAAAGTTGAGAGATCGATGGCTCAGGTAGACAATCGTTTCCCAATATGGGCTGACCCCGGTGAGAGCCATCTGTCAGACCTTTTTTCTTGGTTTTTTTTTCTTAATGCTATAGTGGAGACTTTTGTTGAGTGTACGGGTGGGCAGAGGTTCGTTTTTCTGCCGTCGATAGTGTTCTGAGGCGCATGAGTTGCCTACTTTCTCGCAGCGAAATTTCATTTTCATTTTCATTTTTATTCCTTCATCGTCTGGCCTTGTTTTGCCTCGCTTAGTGGTGAACCAGATGCAGCTCCTTTCCCGATGCTTAGTGGCCATGTTCGTTCGTGAAAGACATCTAAGCGAAGCAAACCCTTCACTAGGCGAGCCGATTCGTGGAGAGGAAGTGGATGTTGTGTTATACGTACATGCTAGACTAGCAAGATTTCCGAGGGAATTATTAAGGTAGCACGGGAAGCCATCATATGTGGATAATTATCCTTTTAGCGCTTTACTATGTATTATGGAGACGGGCGCTACACTGAGGTGGATATGCGGAGCATTGGTTATTGATATGTTGTGTAATTGTGCTTCTAAGACTTGCATGGAATTTAAATTTGGAGGGCATTTCATGGAGATAACGTAGTGCTCAGTGCTAGCTGTGAACATTGGGCTGCGGGAATCCGTTGAATGGTGTTGGATTGTAACTCGGGACCGCCAGATCCCTGTCACCGGCTGCAAATAATTTTAAGCATGGGGCCCTTCTGCACAAAATGTGTGTGTATGTGAGTGTGTGAGAGGAATATGCACAATCTCTGATGTTACCATGGAGGGGATACGCTATGTCTCTGTGCCCTGGAGAGACAAGGCAGAGGAACTAAAACAAATAAAAATTTAAGTGCCCATAAGCTACTTGATTTGGAACCATCGCAAGCAGAGGCGAAAGCTGGCTGTGGGAGCTCTGAATGAGTGGAGAAGGTCCAGAGTAGGCTCCGACGAGTTTGGCGACATGTTCAAAAAGAAGTCCAGAGCTATGTGGCAAGGTATCGCATTTGTGCTTTTCTTCTTGGTCGCTGATCATTTGTTGCAGATTAGTATGCAAATATTCTGCACATCAAACAAGACACGATGCAAGGCAAGTTGATCTGATAAGTCATATGATTCATTAGGCGGTTGCTTCTTCTGCTCACTAGCAGCTTGTTGTAGACTAAAGTCAACAAGGGCAGTAAACTTCCATATCATTAGGAATGATTGGACATGTTCCAAAAGGGACTCCTTGTTCGTTCATCGGCGACACGCAACAATACAGGATACGCACCCATCAAACCCCTTCCAAAAGAAATAAAATAAAAAGACAAACTTTTGTTGCCCTTCTACGAACAATGCAGAAAGGCCCATGAACGCCTTTTGTTGTTGCCTCATTTAATCTCCCCATGTTATACACTAACCCTGCGGGGAAAAGAAAAGAAACCATAGATGATACATGTATGGCTGAGGGGTACACGTGACCATTGACGTGCTAGTTTGTGTACTTTCGAAGCGGAAAGGCGTCGCCCGGCATTGGATCCAGGTGCCAAACCTTGGCAAAATTCTTCTCGAAGGCGCCGTACCAATCGCGCTTGAGCTCTGTGGGGATGTTCCATCCCAGTTCAGAGCTTCGTAGTCGCATGCGGACTAGGTGTCGCTTGTCCAGTTCGGTTTCACCGTTGACAAAGCCCTCGCGGCGGTGCAAGACGGCTAGATTGTTGATGAAGTGCATGTCTCCCGGCTGAGTTTTGATCTCGAGCTGAGTAGCCTGTGCAATAGCCTCCACGAGGTCTAAGGCTTCTTGCTGTCGCTCATTCGTTTTGGGCAAGTGCTCAGGACGCGGGTGCGTAGTATTTCCCAGCAGAGGTGTTCGACCAAAATTCATGATCAGTCGAGAATTCTGACAGAAGATGATGGGGCGGCACTGGAAATGTGGGCTTCGTGTATGTCAGTAATTACTTCAGTGTATAAGTTAACACTACTACCCACAAAGCGAACGGCCAATCTGCCTTGGCAAGAGTTCGAATGACATCCGGTCTGTGAGCAGCAAGGACGTTGTAGATGTTGTATGTGGAAGCAATAATGCAACGGCCTCCTGTGGCAGCAGTGCTTCGAGTCAACCAAGCAGCGATATCACCTGATTCCTCCGTGTGGAACGTCTGCAATGAAAGATTAGCATATATCTATCAGAGGGCCGTAGCTTCGTGAAGCTTACGATAGCAGAAGTCGAGTGACGATGATGGCCGATCTTGTCATCCGACGTGCTGTCCGCAATGATGTGAACTACAGCATGTTAAGTTGGTAAATTGGTGGGCTACTTTTGCAATGACTAACCTAGCATGTTGCCCTTGTGATCTTGACAGCCGCGTTGATCAGCAATGTAGGCCTGAACGCCCAGCCAGATCATTGTGAGGTCCTCCACGGTGAAGTCCTTGGGGTCGATGCCACGGATCACAGAAAACCCGCGACCGTCGTAGAGCTCATGTCTAATGCTCCTGAGCTTTGGTCCCAGATTTGGCAGTGGAAAGTTGGCACTACTGACAAGGTCTCCATCGAGCTCACGAGCTGCATTAGTATGTCAGTGATAGCGACAACTTCAGGAGTGTCTAAGGAGATGGTACCTTTGAATGTATCAAGACCAGCCTTAATCTCAGCAACGTCCGTGGCACACAATTGGAGCACATAGTCATCATTGCCGCTAAAATGTGTGCCTATCCAGGCAAGTGGACTATCAAGCTTCGAAGGAAACGTGCCTGGGACACCTAGGAGCTCGTCAGACCCAGCCTGACAGCCTTCACGGAACGGCTGCGTTGGTGCATTGGCGCCAGAGTGAACAAGGACAGATTCAGAGCGGTCCATCGTGAAGTCTACCAGTTCGTGTCAGTTGCGGGGCTTGTGAAAGAATAGCCCAGAAATATTTACCAGCTGTAGGATTCCCAGAGAAAACTTGTTTGCAACAAAAGGTGTTGATATAGACGAAGAGCAGGACAAGGGTTGAAATACGTGGCAGAGCGGTCTTTGAGCTAGAGCCAACTAGAGGGTAGAAGAAAGCAAAAATAACTTTAAGGCATCCAGAATTTCTGAAGAAGCATACGTCTCAAGTTACAGTGTTACGAGCTTTGTGAGGTGGAGGATGTGGAAGAGAGGTGGCGGTACGCTGGTGTCATAAGTAATAAGCAAAGTAGAGCTTGTCCGAGGGAATACATTATTAAAGATAGTCCCTGCCATGTGTGTAGAGGAAGGCACGACGGCACGGCTGAAGAAAGCTAACATGGAACAACAGCCCGTTGTTTCTCGAAATTTGCATAGTTCGTGATACAGGCCAGTAAGTAGCCGAAAATCCAGTAGTAGTCACGGACGACGGTCATAAGTTGTAGGGAAGTTGCGTCTTTATATTCAATTAACAGCGCGAAGTAACGACGAACAAGTAGGTGTACAGAGCAGGTGCAGTGAACGACAATGTGATTATGGCGATACGTGCAACTGCCGGTTTACCTCGATGGTGACCAAAGGGAGCATATGCGCGTAGAATGACAATTCTATAGGCCGTAAGGACATACGCGATATCCTGAGAGTAGACGCGGGGTGGTGCGGTGCGCGCTGCATTGCATTGCAATCATGCTGTCCCACATTCCACGAAGCTTGGAGAAGGAGATGGTCATAAAGTGATCGATTCGTCGCTGATGAAAGAGCGCATGTATATAGGCGTAAACAAAAAGACACAAACAGCTAGGCCATATGGACCGACAAACCGTGCGAGCAACTCGTAGGGATTCGAGGAAATCTAGAAAATGTCTGGATGTGCTGGATTAGTGTTGACGGATGCATGGGTGTACGCATCTACCCTGCCACAAAGTGGGATCCGTTGTCCCTCGTTCTACATGTAGATTCAAATTCATTGATCGTAATTAGACTCTGCTGTAACTGCACAACAATCATTGAAAAGAAGATGGTGGTGGGGTGGGCTCCTGATTTGACCGTCACATCAATTTTTTAATTTTTTTTTCGGTTTGACGGCGGGTTGAACAGAGATTGATGCATCTCATACGACAGCCGCCAGGGTGATGAGGACCTGGAGGCTGGAACCCGGAGCGTTAGGATACATACTGAACTTAGGTAGCGCTGGTGCCGAACCAGGGTAGGGGAAACGGCTGGCGGCCCTAAGGTATAGATTAGCTGCAAAGGATGTACCTAAAGCCACATTCATACCTTAGCTATGTATGTATGTACACTAACCGTCTCACAAATACCATGCGGTATGTCGCCTGTGCATGTACAATGGGAAGTATGTAGGTAGTATGGAGGAGGCAGGCGAGCCACCTTGAGGATGCGCATGACGGTCAAACCTCAGTTCTGCCAACGACCATGCGTACATATACGGGTTGTGTTTTGCGCATCCATCCGACGATCTGTTGTATCTTCGAATGGACGCAACACAGATACCCAGCTTGCACTTCTCCGGGGGTAAACTTCTCGTAGGGGATGGTGTCTGTGTGCGATCCGCAGCGGCTGGCCACGCGCCGCCAATCGGTCAAGATAAATACTCCCGAATGGAGGGTATGCGCATTAGTCCTTGGAGGGGCTCGACCTCCCCAAGCGCAATGGACCGGGCCGCTGAAAGGTGCAATGAACCGTTACACCACCGCCATCGAAGACACAAGCTAATAACAAGGCATCTTCGCTTGGGTATGTTACAATGACCGAATGCGTGCGATACTTTTTCGTACATCTAGTTCTTGATCCAAAGGTTAAATGTTGTAGTCACTTCAAGGACACTAGTTTGATGAATTGAGTTTGCCGATCGGCCAGATCAGATTGACAGATACCAGATTACTTAGTGGCCTTCAGTACCATAGCCCCTGCTAGGAAAGGTTTGTTGAATAGTGGGCACTCGGTGCAGCTGCCTTCTGCACAAGCAAGGGTTCTCATTAATTTGGACGGACGGATCAGTTGATCCGGCTGCTACAAGCGGCCAGTCTCCAGCTCACCGTATGCATGTGCCTCCCCTACATATCCTCGTCGTACCACTACCCAATTGCAACATGTGGCAATGTATTAATGCCCATCTTTTCGACCGATGGCTCAGACAATTTTCAGGTCGATTAGACCATCAGCGGCTGTGGCTCCCATTTTTCCTCGAAAAGTTGGCTGATGAAATACATGTCATTCTGATAGTCATTAATCTGGCGGATATTCTGCCAACGTTTTTCTGCAGAAAGGTGGGTCAGCCAAAACAGCTACTGTATGCGGCATTCATGGAGGAATTGGGTGGACTGGCCAAACGCCCGCTTCGAGACCTGAGTAAGTACAGTACTCACTTTGTTCACGGATAATCGCCCTTGTTTGATGGATGAATTTGATTTTTCCTGCGTCCAACTTGGCTAGTGTGCTGAGATCCTGTTCTGTACAATCCACGGAGAAAGGATGTATGCCTATTGACGGTTAGTCATGTCCGATGACTACCATTAAGCGGCCGACTTGCTCACCTTTATTGCAGTAGTGGAAATACGCAAGCAAGATATTGGCACCTAACGTAATCGTCAGCGCACTTCGAAAACCTTGCGATTGTTAAATTTCAGTTGCTGTCTTGCTGCCTTACCTAATTGGTATTCCTTAACCATGTCCTCCCGAGCAAATGTCACCTAATCATAAAATCAGCGGGATTCCTTGCCTTTGATTGATATCATGAAAGTTTCGTGTACATGATCAATCAGGATCTGCGAATTAGGTCTCGCGATCTTTGACCTAATCTGATGGGTGGTCTGGTGTTTTGAGTGAAGAATTGTAGACACCTACCTTCGTTCCATCAGGCCGCCTGATGCCATGCTTTTGAGCATATGCCGCATCGTGCTGGCACAGAAGCGAAACATTGTGCAATAGTATGAACGTTACCAGATATATCGTCAACCACGTCGAATGGTTATTCGCCTGCGTCATATTTTGCAGTTGATCGAGCATTTCTCTTCTCCATTTCGTCTGCAGCTGATGGATTAGGACTAATTCGATTTGCGCTCCCATCACTGGCGGTAATGGAATTTGTCCACGCATCGGGCTCGTTTCGTCCATAATGTCTGGTTTCATGCCGAGGCGCTCTCGCCCAACAATGAGTGTCGACTTCGTCGTCATTCGAATTGCCATCCATAACCGAAATGCCTTGCTCAACAGGTCCCTCTCCTTCTGATCAGTCGACACGTCCATCATCACCTTCAAAGCCAAACCATAGGTACCACCTATGAGTTTGTCTTTGCCGATGACGACACGGCGGCAGCACTCCTTGAGTTCATCGTTGATAAAGTTTGTGTAAATGGATTTCGCCTCATCAAGATTGACAATAGCGTATGGTGGGATTTGGACGCTCCTTTGGTTTCCCTGGTGCATCCAGGTCCTTTCGAGCTTATCACCTTCCTGAGGGATGAACTGGCGGACACGCAACTTAACCGGGCGTGATCCATAGCCCTCTGTCACGCATACCGTCCTAGTCTCCACGGACGCCCAATTTGAGATATCATCTGCAATCCCTTCGGTCCACCGCCGAGTCCATTCATGTCCCTTGACGTTGCCTGGCTTGAAGAGTCTCACGTCCGTGATTTTGTAGCGAAGGCAAGGCAAGCGGTATGATTTCGTAGTCGTCACCCTAGAGCAAGTCAAGCATGTCCCTACTTTGTCGTCTGGGTTGATTTCGCACTAACCCACAAGTGTAAGTTAACTGCAGGAAATTTTACTTGTCTAGAACTCACCCGAATCCTTTGCATCCTACAACGGATGCAAGAACCAATTTTTCGTGTCTCAGCTGTCCTCTCCCGCTCAGCTGTGCTTTTGAAGGGTCCCCGCTTGGCAGGCGGTGGTCTTTGGTGATTTGAGACAACGTCTAAATCGGCCGAGTTGTGTGTCAAGTGCGCTTCAGCATTGGGAGGTGGGTACCCAGCTGAGCTATAACGGATAGCGTCACCTCGGGGACTTACATAGGGTGCTTGATGATACCCAAACTCGTGCCCTTCCATCACGTGAGAGTCTGTTCGTATAATACGATGGATGGGTAATTTGTGATCTGGTGAGGACACTTGATACGTCATTTCTTCATTTCTAGTACTAGGTTGTGCCAGAGTCGGCTGAAGAGCAAGGTACTCTGGCAGAAAACGTGTATTTGGGGAATCATCATAAGCAAAGTTGTTGGCTGTAGTTTGTGACATGCTCCATGACTGGCTTGGACTAGAGGTCACAACACCATTGAGAGAGGATGGTTTATCTTCAAAGCCATACTCTGTGGTTGAAATCCCTGAATAGCCTTCTAGACAGTTAATTGCGGCCCAGGACATTCAATAGGGTCTGGTACGAACCTGGTGGCTCAGAGGCTGTGCAAGGTGAACAGAAAGACGCCAAACAAGACGCCAGCCTGGAACGTCCAATCCCCAGAGAGAAGGTGGCATCCCCATCATTATTTCTTGGTGAACTCTCAACATGTCCACTAGCCGGGAATCCGGTGTGTGGTTTCTCCTCCGCCAACATTGGCGATATGTTTGTATCGACACGCAACCTCTTTTGAGGGCGGTAGTCTACAGGTTGGTGACGATGAGGGTTTCTGTCCAAAGCAGTAATGTCTGAAACTTGACAGTTGATGATTGAGGCGGCATGTTCAAGTATTTGTAACTCTGTCTCAGTATAGTTATAGTAGCGCCCCAGCGGCGAGCAGACGGCAGATGCAGAGGAAGGATCATGGGCAACTACCACAGGGGCATCCTCGCAGCCGGAGAACCGGCGGCGCTTTCTGTGATTGTTGTGACTATTCTAGAAACAAATCAATTCGACTGTACATTCATATCGGATATGCAATAGACCGCCCTAAGGACAAGATCAACAGGGTCATGACGGAGACGGTCTTACCATTGTATTTGCACAATTTGAAGGGTGTGTTGGACAGACATGTACTCGGGCGTTCGCCGCAGTGTGCACAATACATGGACAAAGTTGATGTCAAGACGCCTGCGCCCTACCCGCTCCGGTCTGGGGAGGGGGTGGGGTCAGAGAGAGGGAGAGAGAGAGACGACACCGACCGACTGAAGTCTCTCAAGCCCAATGCCTCACAAAGAGGGACCCCTTGCGGGCGCGCCGGGGGGTCGCGCGCACAAAGCGACTGTGTAATGAGGGAGTAGGAGTAGAAGAAAGGGCAAGGAGTAACAAGGAAAGGGGCTGAAAAGCGATGGAAAGCCCAACTAGCAAAAAGCGGGAAGCCAAGAGGCGAGGTCAAAAGAAACAACTCTCGCGTGCTTTTGTCGCTGTTCACAGGATGTGATTGGAGAGAGGAGGACAATGTCGAAGCTTCGGTGAGAAGTTCCTGGGGAGGCTCGTCAAACCGCAAGCTCACCGGTTAGAATAGGGCAGAGAACTACTCCGCTTGTGCAACGTTTGGGAAACACCGCCTTGGAAAATGAAGGAAAAGGACGAAGGAAAATGCCGGTCACCAGTCGCAGCTATGCCTACATGTATAATTCATCTATTAAAACACTAGGTCGCATTACTGTACTATCAGCAAGCCGGCTCTGTGACTCGCTAAGACCGTGCCAACCATGAAGCGTCAGCGACGGCATGCTCATTCGAGAGAGGCCCTGGCTCAAGACCGAGGCGCGAAAACCACCATTGACACCGGGTCAGATTATGGTTAAGCAAATCATATTCATCCTCGGGCATCAAGTGACTGCTTGTGGTGATGAGTGGCCGAGATCCAGCTGTACCGTTCTGTGCTTCGATATGGTTCCCGAGCAGACGAGCAGTGGCCTCGTTTCCGCTGTGATGGAACCAACTAGTAAATCACGCAGGGGAGAGCATGGGTGTTGCGGGGCTCTATCGCAAAATCGTGGCTACCCGTCCCAAAGTCCCGTCTATCTACTTTGCTTTTTTTCTCTCACTCTACTCTAGAAGCTGACATTTATTCCTCAAATGTGCACCACGTGTGTGGCTTGTGTACCCGATGTCATGTTACACAACTCTTACATGTAGTACATATCAGATCACGCAGGCTGACATTGCACTCCATTATGCAATGGTCTGACTCGTAATTCAGGAAGAAAAAAAGGTCAGGAATATGTAATCTAATGATATTTGGTCCGGGTGCCCGGTCAGACGCATTGCGATCTCTAAGTCGCCATGCACGACAGGGTTTTAAACGTACTGACAGAGTGGATCAAACCCCGTGCTTCTAGCCTTAACGTCCATCGTAACGAAGCATTCGAGGTTACTCATATTGGCGGTGGGATGCTTCTATGTACGTGGCGGGATTTACGAACGGCCAACCTGGAATGTTAGCAAGACCTGCGGCAGGGCTGTTGGAACTCGTAGCCGAGCTCTACTGGGGGTCGTTCCAGGTACTTAACGCCTTTGAGAACAACGTTAGATCGACCCGTTCAGTCCCAAAACCACCCAAGCGATATCCAAAACAGTTTCAATTAGGTGAAGTTGTGCTATGTTGTGGCAGCACTGAACCTGTGTGTTGGACCCTGCTGACCTACATGTCTGGATATAGTGCATCAAAGGCACAATCATCATCGCAGATCGAACTAAATGCGCCAGTCAGAGCCTGTCAACGCATATAGCCGATTCGATAAATGGACAAGGCTCGTGTACGATCAATTATTGCAGAAGCTAAGCTCTCACGTGCATGGCGCTGCGCCGAACGTGGTGGACACTACGTATATAAATGTAAGCAATATTGCAGCCCACTGTCACCATGATCGATCATGTGCGGGTGCACTGCATGGCCATTCCAATTCCGGTCATGAAGCGACAGCCTTATTACATCTCGGCTATGATGAGCCTTGAACTGCCCGGTAATCTTGAATACTAATGAAGCGATTCAAATCAATCGGTGGTTATGAACCGCATTTGATCATATAGTCTCAAGGCGTCGGATTTGACGGAACTGAAGCCGGCGCTTTCAGTGCGAAAATCCGACAAGCGAACTTTGCAACAGGGCATGACAACAGGGTTGATCTGCAGCTTGTAATGCAAAGCGCGCGTTCTGGACAACTTACAAACATGTCATCAGTCACGAGGATTGATGTCAGAACCTGCGCTATGGAGTTCAGTCCCGCCCCCCGGTTGACGTTGCGCCACGTATTATTATCGTGCTTGTACATCAAAGCAGTGGCCATTGAATTTTGTTACCATTGCAACGGATGTCTCCCAATACATTCGGTTATTAGCTTTTAATACCTGGCCTCTTCGACAATCGCATCCTAACCTAGGCAAGGAGTGGACTTTCAAAGTTTAATAGTCTCCATTAGCACGTCTATGCTCAATTCCTCTCCACTTTAGTGCAATGTCTAATGATTTGAGTCGGCCCACTATGCAATTCCCGCTGCCAATCACGAATCGAACTTGGTGTTAACACAAGAGCCCGCAAGGCATCACCATTCTTGTCAAGCAGAAATTAGCCCTACCTAGACAATTAAGTATCTTCGGGGTGACTCCGCCATGGGAACACATCAAAGCATTTTAATGGTTTGTTAAAGACTCCGTTTAACTGGTCGTTGACGACGACTTTCGATTTGCCGCCGCACGTCGCTCTTCTCATCATAGAGTATCAGGCGAGGGCAAGCTTGTAGATCTAAGACCCTTGTCACCGAGATGGTGGTTCATGGAGTCAAAGGAGGGTTGTCATCAATTGTGCATGTGCTTTGGGAGATTGACGGGTGATCAATGCATGCGCAGTCTGGATATATTCAATCAAACCTCTTATCACTCAAGCATTTATGAAGGCTTCAATAGCAGAAGCCCCGCATCGGCTAGACGGTAAATTGATTGCCTCGGCCTCGAAAGGAGAATAAACCTGAACAACTAAACACTGGCCGGGCATAAATTTCCGCCCGTGGAACTAGGTTAGTACTTTCACGCGGGAGTTTCCCTATTTAGAGGTATATTGCGCCGAAAGAACGTATCAAATAAAGTATAACTAGTTACCAAATAAAAGAGTAAAGTCTCAAGATTTAGATAATCTAGATCTTATGCTTTTGCCGTTTTTGTACAAGCTGTTATAACTTTATAAACTTGGTGAGTTTTGGTGGGGAACTTGTAAGGGCGCGGAGACTTATGCTCGGATATTGCATGTAAAACTTGTAGGTCAATGGGCTTTGGAGTTTGGTTCAGTGACTTGAGCCAGGAATATAAACATTACAGGCATTTCCTATTGTCTTTACTCACATGCATTTCCATTAAGTCGACAAGGCACTTAGCAACGAGTTGCACAAACACTACTAACATTACCGGACCTCACTAGCAACATAATCTAAAAAAATTAGGCTCGGAACCTCAATTTGTATCAACTTGGCTTTAGGTGTTGTTGGTGTTTTGCAGACTTTACAAGGCCACAAAGTACCACTGAAATATGTTTTTGGTACACTATGTAAAGTGAGTAGTTGGCCCTGCCGTAATATCAATTTCCGCACATCGGTTGCGGCGTCATATATAACAAATGTAGCTTTGATTGTCTCTGTTGATACTGACTTTACAAACTCGACAAGCGGGCTAGATCCAGTAATAAACATATGTTTCAAGGTCTTCATCGGTCGCTTCAACTAAGCGTTGGTCTCTGGTTACCCCTAGCACAGGGTCCGACCAGATCTACCTTGTGGCATGTTTGCCAGCCTTGAGCTTTCAAGCAAAACTGTTAAGTGCCGGATGATGGTAGCACCTCACACTAATAATTGCATTATAACCGCGTTCGCCTTCTTGGATCATTTGGTTCAATGCTTGGAGGCGAGACCTCCAATGAAGAAATAGTATCGGTGAATCCCATCGCAAAAGCTAGATTGATGTACCTGCCACGTTGGTGGACATGGGGGGGGGGGGGGGGGGGGGTTGGCATTTTTGCAAGACGTCAAGTACAAAAATTACACCCAGCAGATGATCGTCACCCCCACGCGACCGCCCGGACCTGGGTTTACAGCTTTAATGCAGTGGTATCTGTTAATGCCTCTATTTCAAATTCATACTTCACTTACCAGATACGTTAAGCCGCGGCATAATGTGCATTTGATATGCTCACACGGCTTACACGCAGTGCAGTGAATGGGCCAGGATCAAGTTACCTGGAAATGTGACAACTCATATGTAATAATCGGTACGATCCGAGTGGTTCCCAAGACCATGATAAAAACCCTACCTCTCCAATGAATCAAACTTCAGTTTCAGCTAACGCATCCACCTAAACCTCCACGCATAACAAATAGGTAAATCATCGAATGTTCGTCCGTCATCGTGACGCGACAAGTTGCATCGATCGCTCTCATACATATCATGAACTCGAACTTGACGACATGCGCAAGCCATTCATCTTTGCACATTTTTGTACTTGACTTTTCAACACGCTTGTCACTGCTACGACTTGATGCATCAACGCAGCCCACGGACGGAGCTTGACAGGGGCAATGTGACCTTTCATCCACATATCGACCTTGGCTATAGCTGGCCCACGATAACCTCATGGATTTGCGTGATACATTCGAGGCAAACGTAAGGGCTTATGGAAAGGACAAGAGACTGATCACTTCTCTTTGCAGAAGACCCTTGCAGCTTGTACCTCAAAGCCGTCAGTAAAGCTTCATGGAGCCTAGTGGTAATAGTCAAATTAATATATACCAGCGTTCAGATCGTTCCTGCTCACACCGGTTCGAGTCATGGGGGCCAGCATTTGTAACGCAGCAGGCCAAGCCCGCACGACTGTCAGTGTAACAGGCAACGTGCTTATTACCGAGTCTGTGGTCTTGACTTCGATGCCCTTTCGGAGGCATGGAAACGGAAATCTCGAATTTTGAAAGGATTCACGTCAGACATGACTGAAGAGAACACAGTCTTTTAGAAAGCTTGCAATGGGTTGTGGCTTGATCTTCGTATTCGAACGAGGCCAACCGGCAAACTTTCCAGTCGCGCAAGCTGACGCAAAGAAAAGGTCAACACATAACGGCAATGCTCTCATAAGAAGCTGGGCTTCGTGCCAGCCAGAATTCTGACAGCCATATAGCCATTTATAAGTGGATCGAAGCTAATTATACCCTCGCAAAAGGAGTTTCAGGTGGCCTTTCAAGAACAGTTTCGGGTTTCGCGCAAGTGTTTATGATATCCGCCAATACTACGCTCAGATTCAGTCCCGCAATCTCTAAAGGGGGAAGGGAATTTTCTTAAAAAAAAAAAATTTAAATTCTTTTGCTTCTTTGGAGACGACCCTTGTGCGTTCGAGCATCTGACCAGTCAACAACCGTATCGAGCCCCAGTATTTGGGGGTCACACCGCATGCATACGTGCAGAACTTGCATATCGGTCAAGCGAGTTCGCCCTTGGGCCTGCGCCAAATAACCAATAATTGGGCAAAAGTTACCGCCCAAAGATGCCTCCCATCTGAAAATGAAGCCATACTGGCATCCAGACTAAATACGCGTGCAGATCTAGCGGTACACCGGAAAATGAGATGTTTAGGTTCCTCGAGGATACGTTCACCGAGTGCTTGCTTATTTCAGTTATCAGAGGCGAAAGGCATGAGCTCGGGCGGATGTACAGTTTCCCTCACGTTCGCACCTGCGGCCGGTGAAAGCAAACTACTGCCGGCAGCCGCTAAGAAGTTATTCCAGAACCCACCTACCTCTAGAACACGAGTTGTTGCTGAAATGCCGCCAACATCATGTCATGTCTTTGGGGGGACAACCAGCGGCCCGCTCTGGCATTAACCATCAGCGCCATTCGTGGTCTTTTCCTAAGAACACTAATCATCACGATCGAACAACTCTGGTGGATCAGGCACCTTGTCTAATTTGCGGCGGCTTACGTGCCCAATTGGGCTATGGATTTGTCTGTGAAGGCAATACAGGAGGTCATACACCCCACGGCTGCATTCACGTACTACGACGATTCGCAGGTGCAACCAACGACCACATCCCCCACTCAAGTCACATGGGACAATTCCTTGCTGAATCCCAAGAACAGAATTGACAGCCTTGATCTGCCGCAATGCCCATTATGGAGAATCGATGGCTGCTCAAGTCTGGGTATGCAGTACTACGCCATACCTCTTTTCCTGTCGACTCTGCCGCCCATGCGTATGGACGTTTTTATTCACGAAAACCAGCCAGAGGAATTACGCCAACAGCTTGAGCTGAACATCGCTTTTCACACCAAGGATGGAGCACGTTTGTCCAATCTCGCAATCTCCAAGTATATCATTCGAGTGCTAGGTCGGTGGGTCATGACTGCGTTTGAAGACTTGGACGCCTTTGAAAAGTTCTACAGATCTGTTCCCTTTGGAACGCGTCTTGTGCTTGAGAAATTGTCGACAAGAATCCAGGATGTTGTCGTCGCTGTAGGCCGGACTCACGTCTTGGAACATCGACTGCTCTCTCTACCCAAGCTGAAGGAGTTCTGGGGTTCAGACTTTCCATTCCCAAACATCATCGATTTATATGAACTTCAAGTCATCCGTGTGCTCCATGACAGCGTATGCCTGGTCCGCATTGGAGAGGAGTTATTCATCTTCAAGGCACTTATGAGTGGAACAAAGTATCTGTATCACGAGCTGAAGATACTTTGCAACCTTGGTTCACACCCGAATGTCATTGGTCGACCTATTCATCTCGTCAGAAAGGCATGTAACTTTGGAGCAAAGAAGGCGATCGTTGGATTCACAACCTTCTATCATTGCAACGGTAGTTTACGAGACGTGTTACCCCAGCTACGCATACATGGCAAGCTTTCCCAGGCTTGGCAGCTTACTTGGGCCGCTCAGCTGACTAATGCTTTGGAACACCTGCGTTCTACTTCTGGTACATATTACCCCGATCTAAGGCTCGACAACATTGTCCTGAGTACTTCATTGGACATTGTAATGGTAGACTTCGAGCAACGCGGTGTCTGGTGCGAATTTGCCGCTCCTGAAGTCAATGCCATCGAATACATTCGATTCATCGCAACCGACGAGCGTGCAGATGAGCAGGACGAGCGTGCAGATGAACGGCTATTCCCAAGAGACAAGCAGAGCGGGGATGATGCCCATGAGAAGTACTGGGATATGTTGAGGCGACTTGTACCTGCGGTCGACGTCCTTGAGAAGAATGATGATTACGTCAACGCGCCACAGGGTTACAATGTCCCGTGGATCGCTCTAGACCCTACCGAACAAGAGGCTGCAGAGGTCTATATGCTTGGACGGGTCTTGTGGTGCATTTTCGAAGGGGTGAGTGGTCCGCAGAAGGCGGCAGTGTGGCAATCGTACCCCTGGGAGTCGGATCTGGAGTTTCCGGACTTCCGTCAGACACCCGATGAAATGAGACCCCTGATCGAGAGGTGTGCTCGAGGGCGACGCCAAACGTTGGGCAGCATCATTGAGCGGGAGGGGAGCCGTCTCGTGCTGAAAGGGGTCCCGTTGAGCCAGCAAAACCCGAAAGATGTACAGGATGCTGCTCGTCGATTCTGGCAGACCGAGTTACAGGTCGCGGAGGAATTTCTGGCTATGAGAGAAGTGCTCAAGGAACAAGGCAACTGGCCAGGAAATTACTATCAACGACCAACTCTAAGAGAGGTGCTTGCGGAGTTGTTGGCATATCAGAGCAAAACAGTCTGACAAGGATCAGGAAACCGTAGGCACTGTTCAACAAAATACCAGAAGAATAATTAGGACGTATCCATATGACGAAGGGTGGTCTGTTGGACTTGTATTATAATTAGTGTTGATCTAGTCTACCTGTGAAGAGTTGGGATTGTGGTTACGTATCGACCGAGGTATACGCATTATGTTGTCTTGGAAGACACAAGCTGCCACGTAACAGAAATCATATAACAGTTTTATCACACGATTGATACATCGGAGGCTTTGCTATTAACACTCGTACCCGCGACTCCTCGCTTCCATAGATTCACGGGCTAATAATGGGCGGGAAAAAAAATAGAAAGAAACAAGAAATAAATGTCCGCATTTGGAGCGGGGTCTGAACCCTACATGTGAAGTGTACAATATCGCCGGAATACTCGTTGCCACCTCGTGAGACTCGTCGATTTTAACATGTCGTTTGTCACATAAACGGATGGTGGCTTACATGGACGAGCTGTTCCGAATTGCGTGAAACTGCGTGAAACGGACACGGGAAAAGTCAAGCTCAGATTTCGGAAGTTACATAAAAGATATGGCGCTTAGCTTTTTTTTATATGACAGTTGTTGACAATGAATTGTGGGAGGTATTTCGGTTATCGAAAAGCAAAAGCTTAGGGATACCCGGCGAACCTGCATCTAGTGGCGGCCCGGCGGCAGATACCGGCCATAGGTTTCTGACTAATCAACCTTTTACCCTCTCTGTATGAATGTCATGTGGAATTTGGGCTTGAGAGGATGTGCTTATCGTCTGTTTCAAAACTTGTATGGGGTGTTACAAAGCTGTGGGCGAAATGCAGATAAATAGCGGTTTATAGTAGCTGGCCAACTGTATGGACGTCAGTGGCACAGTATTCTGAGGGCTGAATAAAATAGTAAAAATATACTCGTCTACTCAATAGACTTTGGTCGATGGTGTCAAATTGGGAGAATTTGACATGATTGCGCATGATCTCAACTTTTTCTTACGAAGCTGGACCGATTTGTTTGCTCGGCTTGCACCGGATCACCACTTTCCCCGCCTAATCGCATGCCTGGGAGCTTTATCGATAAACCGCTACTTGACGTATAACTGTTCTGTTCATTACAGGAGCTCTTTACTGCAAAGCTATGGACGAACACCTTCCACCATGTGCTTCTGATTCAACAGTGCGCGCCGATTTCAGTCCGTAAAAGCGGACAACATATACCAGGGAGCCCAGAAGCCGGAAGGATGCCGCTTGAATGGCGCCGATGAAATGGCAAACGATGTCAAATCCGGGGGCGCCTGCGCTCCAAGTCAACCGATGCACTTGCGAGACTGCACGCGAGCGGGTGTGTGAACACTGTAGTAGCTGTATACAGTCTGAGTACAGTACTGATCAGCTCGAGTTAGTACCACGTCTCAAAGAACCTGCGAATCGACTTTGAGCACATGGCTCCGTTCCTCTTCGATCCTGATGACGACGACGAATTGGAAGATGAGGAGGTCGGAGAAGATGAATTTGAAGGCCATGACGGAGACCAAGGATTCTTCATTGGCGCAGAGCTGATGGCAGAAGTGGACGCTGACATTCAAGAGCCGATCGAGTCGATACAAGAACACGACCATGGCGCAGGTCCAAACCAAGACTCCGACCAAGGCATCCAAGACACCGTCAATTTGTTACAAATGGAGGATGCGTTTGAAGCCGCGCAAGGCCTCGGCGATGCAGCAGCCGCCGCCGACTTAATCTTGTCGCCAACAAACAGCACGGACTCTGGCAATATCGCTAACGAGGATATGGATATGGAAGAAGAAGAAGAAGAAGCAACGAGCACGACCAGCGAAGGAGATGTCGAATTGATGAGCACGACAAGCGAAGAAGACCTTGAAGGGCAGGACATCACAGACGCGCACTTAAGAGTTCCTACGATTGCCAGGTGGAGGTTAAACCTTACTGGGTTATCACAAAGGTACAATCTCTACTTCGCTGCATACAAGGACAAGATACATATATCGCGACCTCGCAGCTGCAGCACACATAATTTACCATCAATCCCGGACCTGGTGCTAAGGCCCGGACCCAGCGATGCCGCCCAATCAATCGGGGGCCAGCTCGATGCCATGTTCCCGCACCAGGTCAATCATCTGATAATTGGTAATTTTGGCGAGGAAGAGATTCTGTTGCTGGCATATGATGACGGGGATGTAATCGGATATTATACACGAGCTATCGAGAGATGGGTCGGCCGCTTCGAACGTTATACACGCAGTAAGCCTGTAGTTGCGGACCTGGATACGTTCTTCCATGAGAATGCAAAGATTTCAGCATGGGGCCTCGCTGTTCATTCCAAATCAAGAATCATTGCAGTGGGAACCAACTTGCATGAGATCGTTGTCTTCATGCCTGCACTGGCGGGGCACCCTTTTGAGTCGAAAGAAGGTCGCGACACCAGACACCATTACTACACGGTTACGATGGATGCGTCAGGAGTTCGAATTCCAGAGAGTCACGGTATCAAGGAATTCTTGAATCGAGAAGATGACTTTGAGTACGAGAATTGTGTGCGACGAAGAGATGCCAATTGGATGATTACATTTGAGACCAAGCCCCTTGGAGACAATATTCCTAACGTCACTTTTAGCGACGACAAAGACGGGAATGCAGACAAAGTGGTTGGCATCGATGTAAAAGGAAATATCTGGCTGATGGATCTATGGGTTTTCGGCTCGCCATTCAAGATGATCCCACCTTTGCATTGCGGCCCGCCAGGAGCGCGGCCTGGAGACGCCGGACGACCAAGGGGCTGGGGTGCCTTGGTGATCCATAGCAACAGCTTTCTCCCCACAGATGGCTACGAAGATTCGCTCGGTATCTCCAAGAACAAGACAAGTCATGTGAGCCACAGCAAGATCGGAAGCTGGGTTGATATTAGTAAGAGCGTGGAAAGTATACCACATAACTCGGTTGAGCATCCTTGGGCAAGGCCGCGACACGGAGATCCCCACATGGAGCATCACGGGTCCATCGATACTGAGTGGTGGTTTCAAGCTTATGCAGCTGATACTGTTCATGCGCAGCAGAGGCATTATTGGCAAGTGGTCAGCCCCTTATCTAGTCTAGGCATTCTCCCACAGGGAATGCCTGTGTCAACGCAATCTAGCCCTCTGCTGGCTGATGGAGCTAGCATTATGCGCCTATATGAAGCCGACATAGAACTCAGATCACACGAAGAGCATGGATTCGGCGTGATGTTGCAGAATGCTACCAGGCAGATTCATCCCCGGCCTCCAGGATTGCCTGCTTTACGATGGGCGCACGAAAGGTTGAGCAATAACCATTACATCCCAGAATTGGCACTAGTACTTGCAGGTTCTATGTGCGGCCGAGTAGCTCTCATAACGCTGACACAAACTGAGCGCGATGACGTGCCGTTCAAGAGAGGCTTCAAAGTCGAAGCTATACTTCCTTTGAAACATGATGAGGATAAACGACTACGTCCCATCTGTCCTCTATTTGGTGTCGCTGTCGGGCCTCTCCCGGTGGATGATACACCAGAATTAATCAGTCCGAAGAGACCCCGACGTTTCCGTGTTATGCTGCAATACTATGATCAGCGTATCCTCAGCTACGAGATCACTCGCGGTGCGTGGTCAGATGCGCTGACAGTCATATGATTGGTAACGTGAAGAAGCGGCCGGTCTCGATTCCTACAGGAGCAGAGTATACAGCAGACTAGTGACATATGTGAGTTCAAAAAGAATTTCCGGATAAGCCCAATAAACGAAAGCCGCCAGGAGACCGCCTCAGTGTGCTCGGATGACCAGCCATCTACCATTTCCGTTGCTGAACATGGCTCCGTCTTCGCATTATTTTGGCTGCCACAACCAACGATGAGGTGAGAGAGCATGTCAGCCTCATTTCTCCGTTGTTTGTTGGTGACGATACCCGAGCATTTGGTGAAAAGCATAATAAGCATGTGGTGAGCTATGGTGTAAGGAGTTATGGAGTTTACGCGCTGTTAGTTATGCAGGTCAATGCGATGTTCTAGTCTCATGATTCTGAGATCTCGATGGAAAGGAATTTGCCAAAGTAATTGACTAGTAAATATCCAATGTCATACAAAGTAGTGCTATAAGTGGATAATGGTGAGTGATTCATGGTGTCCTTCATAGCAGCCGCTTGGGGACAGTTTCTTTTTCAGATTTCAGCCCATCATTTTCGATGCCTATCTACACTCTAGGGAATGTTCGGCATACTCTAAGTGTGCTACTGGCTTGTGGCATGTATCCAGCATGGTGGTGTCCGAGCATGGTAGCGCCCTCTGTTGTTGCTATTTCTGGGGACCAGGGCCGGCTTTTGAGACCAGACCTGCGCACTTTCCTGATTAATCAAGCCAAATCGAGTTGATACTGTTGATATTCATATTTGTTTTTCAATAGGTCATGTGGAACATACATGAACCCGAGGAATTGGTAATGCTCGAGGGTCACGCGGGTAGGCTCGTGGGGGACGCGTAGAAGGCTTCGAGAAGGCTGCTGAGACAGGGGTTATCCTAATGCAAGGCACACCATATCGTAACTGGGACCGTGAAGCCTCAACGGTCTCTCGTAAAAGTTATTACGTACAGAAAAAGCTGTCACGTTTCCAGTCTAAACCCTATGGCTTGGCATGCGAGCTTAATTCCACGTTCTTCGTTGAATTGAAGACGGCTTGATAGGTGGTATATTGATTTACTGGTTCATTGCGTGGTCAAACTGCAGCGCAACTATCGTCTGCCACGAGTCGCAATGCAATATGCAACTCGAAGAAATGAGAATCGCAGACTCGAGAGCCATGGCGTCCGATTGCCTCAAGGGATGAGAAATCGGTCGTTCTCTGATTGGTCCAAGATAGCCAGAAACTCACTCTGTTCTCTTATCTCTTGGCAAGACCCGCCTTTGACACCCAAGGCCCACCAACGATCGAAACCCAGCGCCATCGAAACCTTCCAGCTTCAAACGCGCCTTGTTGCTGCGGCTGCATTCAAACATCGCTGGGAGATGTTCGAGCCGGACCTTTCTTTTCATGAATGGACGGGTAGCTGAAACAGGAGATCACTGCAAGTCAATATGCGACGACTAGCTTCCGATAGCTGTGATTGAGCTCATCGTCATAACGACCCATGGAATTAACCATGCTGCATAGCCGAATTTCTCAGAGCAGAATCTAGTCTAGATACCTGGCCACAGCAGCCTCATCTCAATGACCCACTACGGTGATGGACCGCATTCGTCATGGCTTTGAGTGCTGGTTTCCCGTGTGGGAGCTCTCATGATCCTCCTAAAAAAGAAAATCACCAAATGCCGAGCCCAACAACTGCTCCCTGCACGTGGATTGGCGCTGTCATGCATAGCCTTTGCTAATCTCACAGTCATCTGTTGTTTCGAATTCCAAGCTTGTACAAGCACTGCTAGTAAAGAAGCACCTTCCAGATCAAGAGGTGTGACACAATACTACAGTATGTACACATCGCTTTCGACGCCGTGGTTTGACATCATGATGGGCCACACTAAACATCTGCTTACTTTGCCGAGGGAGGTACTCCACAAGTCCGGAATTTGTTAGTGTAGTACTTCTTGTATGGAGCGATGGCCGCTAAAATCTTCAAGCTCTAATTCAGCAGTATTGACTCCAGCTGGACGTCACTGATATGTTCCAATTACAACGGCACCAAAATCGCCCTCGGGTCATCAAGTTGCGCGAGCTTCACATGTACCATATTTCGGGAATTGAGCGGCTAAGCGTTGCTAGGCAATGACTGAAAGGTTGCAGGTGACAGCCATACGTTCTGTTTACGGGGGGGTTTTTTTTGTTGGAAACATGACGAATATAGAGATTGCCTGTTCAAAATGAATTCTTCCGACATTCGCCGTTTGGATTTCACGAGTCGTCGTCTGATGATAACACAAAGCCTGGGTTATCCCGATTCGTCAATTGAAGTCGTTGGTAAAGGCTTCACGTTTCCAGGACACGCTATTTCGTAATGAATATTCGATCCCCACGCCTTTTTGCGGTACGTGCTCCCTGTCCAAGTTGAGGCTCCTCGCTGGACCCTTGGATGAATTTCAGGAACCCACGAGCTCGTGTTACATGTCACACTTGTCAAAGATAAGGTTGTTTCGCGTTGTTAATTCTCGTTCATTTCGAAAGAATTCAAGTCAGCTGAGACTTTATGGTACTACGCGATATGCAAGACAGGCATGCTAAACCCACGATCTCGGCTTACCCCAGAAAACTCAGATTGTCGTCATCGCTTTTCCGCTTCATTACCCCGGCACTGGGAAATTTCTCCTCAGGCGCGGTGCATCCCTGCTGCAGCTGCCGAAGATGCCCCCACATGTGCATCTCGATGGCGCTCTAGACCTGGACGGGCTTAGACATAGAGATGGGTTTCCGGAGCGATTTGAAGATTCAACGACAAACAGCAGAAATGGTGCACTGCACTATTTTAGGACAAAAAGCTATCGATCGGTGGATAGCCCCTCCGTCTCGACTCTCGTCGAATATACGAGTCACAACCAACCAGACGGGGAAGCCGGGGGTTAGGGCTGTTCCTTTGTCGCATGAATAGCGACATGGCATTCATGCGACAAACCTTCTCGAAACAATTTGCCTGGCTGTCTGCCAAAGCACGTGGATTGGGACACGACAGTTGGAAGTAAACTACAATAATGCAGGCCACCTCACGAACAAGTGTCATGCTGCCTACGTATTTCGAGCAATAACTCAAGTCCGGAAGATCCTGCTGGGGCAAGCCACGGGATCTAAATTTCTATGCTTGTCGACCTACTACTGAATTGCGTGTTGGTGCAATGACTTGGGAGCTTGGATATGTAGGATATGGTTGGGTACCTTGAAGAAAGGTCGTGGGATTGATTCTCCTTCCAGGAACCTGGAGCACCCCATACCCCGTAGATCCGTACATATGGCCGACCAGTGGCACGTCAACATGTGATTGACTGTTGTAATGGGTATGCACTTGTCTGGCCAGACCAATCAATTCGTATACCGCGTCTCTATAGCATTCCGCCGACGGGGTACACCAGCGATATCGCATGCGCATCAATGGATCAAAGGACATGTTCTCATTGCTACGGAGTCGAGCATGTATCGCAGTTTTGCAAGAAACCCCCCCATGGAACATCAGCAAAATGTGCCTAGCTCCTGCTTATGTCTTATCAGTGGCGGCAAGTGCAAGCCACGCCCCCGGCCTATTCGACGGAGACTAAGAGCCCTGCTAAATCTGCTTAAGAATGCCAAGGGCAAGGTGGGCCAAGGTCGCGCAGTACGGCGTACGGATACATATGTACATGTGCTAGGTACCCAGCTAACATTGGATGGCCAAGCATGGCCCTCGGATGGCTGGGTTATCCCCCGTCCTTCTGCAGCTGCGACTCCCGCGTTCTTCCTTGGACTGTGTGGTATGTCTTTAATTGGTTCAAGGCCTGCTATCCTCCCAAATTCGGCGCCCCCATCTGCACTAGGTCCAGCCGGACGATCTCGCGACCCAGTGGGTAATAAAGAACTCAGCAGCAGCAGCGGGAGCAGCAGTAGTATTAGCAGTAGTAGTAGCAGCAACAGCGTCGACCGGCAGAGCTCGAGTTCTTCTTCTCCCCCGTATATATTCCCTTGTACGCCCGAACCGAGTCGTGCAGGATCGGGCTCTTTTGGATCTCCGTCTCATCAGTGTTGACTCTCTTTCTTCCATCCCCTCTGAAGCCTCTTTGTAGACTCTGCAGAGTTTCCCCCCCCCCCCCATCCTGGATACGAATAATCACATTGTGCACTTGTGGCCGCATCGTCGACACTAGACCTTTTAACCTCGACTCTACAGCCAGGGTCATATTGACCCCACGACTACCGACGACATGTCGTACTCGTGGATTGGAGCTCCCACGGAGTTCAATGGCACAGATCCAGAGACTGGCGGCGATTCCGGTATGTCCAAATGCAGTGATGTACCTCGTTTTCCACAATGGTTCATGTAATTGATACAATTTCGTCTACAGCCACCGAGAACTTGAACCAATGGTACCAGTCCGGTGACCAGGCCTTTATCCTTGTGGCCTCATGCATGGTCCTGATCATGATTCCTGGTATCGCATTCCTCTACTCCGGACTGTCACGAAGAAAATCTGCCTTGTCCCTGATCTGGGTCTGTATGATGTCTTTCAGTGTCATCATCTTCCAATGGTATTTCTGGGGTTACTCTCTGGCATTCAGCAGCACGGCTACAAACGGATTCATTGGTGACTTACATCACTTTGGTCTCATGAACACACTCGCCGTACCATCTCCTGGATCACCCCTTGTTCCGGAACTACTCTACTCTTTCTACCAGGTATGTGGTGTAGTGTTTGCACGAAGCGTATTCCTCGTCCGATGTGATACGGGGATTGCAGGACCTTAGCTAACCACAAGGCTTTCTTCAGATGCAATTCTGCGCCGTCACCGCGGCTCTCGTGGTCGGTGCCACGGCGGAGAGAGGCCGAGTCTTGCCCGCCATGGTCTTCACCTTCTTCTGGGCGACACTTGTCTACTGCCCCGTCGCGTGCTGGGTGTGGAACGTCAACGGATGGGCCTTCAACTACGGTGTAATGGATTACGCTGGGGGTGGCCCCGTTGAGATTGGCTCGGGTATGTCTGCCTTGGCTTATTCTTGGGTGCTCGGTCGCCGCCACGAAAAGATGATGCTCAACTTCCGACCTCATAACGTATCACTTATCACTCTCGGAACGATTCTTCTATGGTTTGGATGGCTGGGGTTCAACGGTGGTTCTGCCTTTGGCGCCAACCTCCGTGCCACTATGGCGTGCTGGAACTCGTGCTTGACCGCCATGTTTGCCGCCATGACTTGGTGTCTGCTTGATTTCCGTCTGGCAAAGAAATGGTCCATGGTCGGTTGGTGCTCGGGTGTGATCTCTGGCCTCGTCGCTGCTACTCCCGCATCCGGTTTCATCCCACCTTGGGCCTCCATTGTTCTCGGCGTTGTTACTGGCATCTGCTGCAACTTTGGCACTAAGGGTAGGTCATTCATAGTTTTATTCTCTTAACAGGGGAATGTTATTTGCTAACTTTGCTTCTCCAGTCAAATTCCTTGTCGGAATCGACGACTCCCTCGATGTCTTCGCTGAACACGGTATCGGCGGCATGGTTGGTCTAGTCTTCAACGCACTTTTCGCGGCCGACTACATAATCGGATTGGACGGTGTGAACACTGGTGTCATCACTGGTGGCTGGATCAACCACAACTACAAGCAGCTCTACATTCAGATTGCTTACATCGTTGCCTGCACTGCCTACACCTTCGTCGTGTCGGCCATTATCGCCAAGATCATTGATCTAATCCCCGGTCTGCATCTGCGCGCTAGTGAGGAGGCGGAGCTGCTGGGTATGGATGATGACCAACTTGGTGAATTCGCTTATGATTACGTTGAGGTTCGCCGTGACTTCTTGGCTTGGACTCCTGCCAAGGAGGACCCTTCTGGCGATGGCACCAAGATTATTCCTCAACACGGAATCGAGGAACACCAGAACCTCGCCAACACAAATGGACACGCCCTTGAACAGGAGCAGGAGAAGTTCGGTGCTTCGGCCAGAGATCCTGCGAGAGCGAAGGCTGCCGAGCAAGCCGCTGAAAGGGACAACATCGCTGCTGGAGAGCAATAATCCGTCCATGTTTGATTTCGCATGTTGTGATTGAAAGAGATATCCCGGTTTACTTGTTGTATTAATACCCTCGCACCCGAATTGTGAAGGTGACCAGAAAAATTGTATGGTCACGGAGTTCTCAATCTACCAAACATTTATAGGGAATTGGGAGACCAAAAGTCGCATTTTAGAGCGCAGGAGTTTGACTGGATAAGGGGCTAGCACATATACCACGTACAAAATATTTTCTTTGCTTGCTATTCAACCAAGGCTTCCAACCTCTTATGAATGCTATCGTGATTTTCGACATGGTCACTTGATGTGTCCCGACCAACATTTACCAGGAATTCCTTAGGATACGATTATTCGCGACACGAACACGGTCAGTCGTATGTTATGAATTGAATAGCATGCGCAATACCAGACGTGCGCAGTCCCCTCCACGATCCATCAACCCCCAATCCCCCCCCCTTCACTGAATTCACTTATTTGTCAAACGAAACGAACCCCAGGTTTTACATGGAAGGGGCCCCCATATCCCTTGTGCTTACATCTTCAGCTAATGCACAAGCACCCCCACGCGCCACCATCGAATCTTCGGGTGTCTCCCCTGGGCCCTGAAAACAGTGGCATCGACTCAGGAAGCGAGTTCGAGATGCTTGGCGGGGCCGGCGGGAGGGGGATGATAAGGGCATACATATATACATACATAACAGGCATCTCAGGGGCCAATGGTGGTCATCGATAAAGCCTGCATTTTCCGTCTGTTTTTGCTTCCTTCTAGTAGTACCAATCTGGTTTTGATGGAGATGATATATTGTGTCACCGCTAAATACCTAAGTAGGCTTCAACCTCGTCTTGGAGCATATGCACTACATGTTTTGGTGGCCAGTCTGAGTTCGTCATAGAATCACATGGGACGACCAGTGTGCAGGACAACAGGCAAGATTCTTATATTCCAGTTACATCAACTCTAGTTATCCTGATTTACAGTTGCTTTAGAGAATTGTTTGATATGTCTCTACCTTCCTGTTGTTTACTTCAGCTTCAGGTCCTCAAATTGCTTGAGGGTACCTTTGATACCATTGGCTTCACTCTCAGCATCTGCAAGCGTTCTGCGGTCCTGCTCCTGTAGGCTTTTGTTAGCCTCCTTTTGATACGATTTGTCATTCAGAAGCTTTTGCAGCTTTTGGATGGCACCCCGCGTCTTCTGCAGCTTCGTGTCGGCCTTCTTGATCTCGTTATCGATATCAGCACGACCCTTGACATGCAGGAAGTCGGTGGCAGCGCTCGAAACAGGGTACGCAACGCAACCCGCAGGCCATGAATCAGAGGCTGATAGAACTTTGATACTGGTGATACCCTTTTCGCTGAGGGATTTGATAGACTGAGCCTGCTCAACGACGGTCTTATGGGCGGTCTCGTCGTATGTTTGAACAGAAACTACGTCTCGTTAGTCTAAATTCTCACTTATGGCAACATCAATGGCACTTACCCTTTGCCTTATCTTTGAGAGCGTACTCGGCCATTAAAGAGCGAACGCCCTTGGATGAACCCGGGACGAGCTCATACGCAGTCTTCTAGTACTTTTTAGCCTTATCCACCTCACTGTCCTTGAAGTTGCCCTCGTATAGCTTTTGCCCGAGACGCTCGAGAGAGAGAGATGCCGCTGATAACGTCGAGCGGATAGATAACGTTTCCGAGCGACTTGCCCATCTTACGTCCCTCTGAGTCTCGGACAAGCGAATGACAGTAGACTTCTTTGAATGGAACATCTCCAACCATTTTCAGTCCAAGCATAATCATCTGGGCAATCCAGAAGAAAAGAGTGTTCCAACCAGTCTCGAGCACAGAGGTTGGGTATAAGTTGGCAAGGTCGGGAGTCTTGTTTGGTCAACCAAGGGTCGAGAAAGGCCAGAGGCCTGAACTGAACCAGGTATCCAAGAAATCTTCGTCCCTTTTGGGTGTAAATTTCTTGCCTGGTAGGGCCTTGGAAGCCTTGATGTGCGCCTCCTCCTCCTCCGTGCGGCCTGGGAACCACATCTTCCCATCAAATTCATCGTTTGTCTCCCCCTCGACATGAGCGAAATAGACAAGGCATTGATGTCCCCACCAGAGCTGACGAGACAGACACCAGTCATTGATATCCTCCATCCATCTAAACTAGCTATTCTCGGCAGTTTGAGGCTTGATGAGCTCGATGTTGTGTCTAGTCGAGGGTGAGTGTGTTGTCTTCACAACGGATATCTGGGGAACGTACCGCTGTCCAAGAGCAAAATCGTTGGGGTCATGCGCAGGAGTGATCTTGACGGCGCCTGTGCCGAAATCCTTTTCAACCTGCAACGCAAATGTCAACATTTTCCATTTAGTCTGATGATTTATTGGGAACCAACGTATGTGTCAGCGACAATAGGCATTTTTCTTCCTTCAATGAAAGGGTGGATAGCATATTTGCCATGGAGGTGAGAATATCTCGAATCGTCAGGGTGAACGGCGATGCCCGTGTCACCTAGCATGGTCTCGACACGCGTCGTCGCGACCTCAATGAACTCACCGCTGCCCTCAACGGGATACTTGAAGTGGATAACGACACCAAACTCAATCTTGCTCGTGTAACCCGGGACTTCTAGCAAGGTGCGTCCCTCGACATCCTTGTTGTTAACCTCTAGATTTGAGACAGCAGTGGTCAGCTCATTTGACCAGTTGACCAGGCGGTTGGCTCTGTAGATGATGCCTTCTTCGTGGGGTTTGGCGAAGGTTTCAGCAACGGCGGCCGAAAGATTGGGGTCCATGGTGAAAGCCTCGCGAGACCAATCGGTCGAACCACCCATCTTGCGTTGCGCCTTGTTGATCTTAGTGTGATATTCGCCTTTCCATTCCCAACCGCGGTTGATAAAGGCTTTCTGGCCCAAAACATGACGGATCTTGTTCTCGCTGTAACGCCAGTCAGTATGCATCTTCTTGGGTTTGCTACCGGACCACTGACACCTTCTTCAGTCGCCTTTCGACCACAATTTGGGTGGCTATGCCGGCGTGGTCACAGCCAGGCAGCCACAATGTATTTTTACCATGCATACGGGCCCATCGAATCATGACGTCCTGCAGCGAGTTGCCCAGCGCGTGACCCATGTGCAATGCTCCTGTAACATTAGGTGGCGGGATAACGATGGTGAAATGTCCCTCATCCTTTACGGATCCATCGGCTTTGAATTGGGGTTTGAAGAAACCCTCTTTCTCCCACTATTCATACCAAGCCGACTCCACAGCGATTATGCAACCTATGGAGTCAGTAGATGGTTCGTGGATGTCTGGAGATATTTCAGGGCATCATGAGTTGGCATAGGAGCGCCGCAGAATAATCGGCCAACATGGACGAATAGGTACTTAGGACATATGCTTGAGAAGGCGGGAAAATGTCTCGGGAAGTTGCCTACGGGTTGTAAGCCTTGAAATGGGGATCATCCATGGACTTGAGAATATTCTTCTCGCCAATGGGGGTGTCTTTGATGTATTCGGGCAGCGGCTCCTCGACGGGCTTGGGCACCTTCTCCTTCTTGGGTCTGGCAGAGAGCTTCACTGCTGCTGCGGCTGCCTCCTTCTCCTTCTGCTTCTGGGCAAAGTTGGCATTCTTCTCTGCCTTCTTGCGTTCCCTTTCTACTATGGGTTGGGTCGTAATCGAGCATGAGCTTGGGACTTTTTGTATGCTTTCTTTTGGTCACTCTTTTTTTTTATTAATGTTTTTTTTAATGTTTTCTTTTGGTCATTCTTTTTTTGTCTTTCTTTCTTTCTTTCTTTTTGTCTTTTTTATTTTATTTTATTTATCTTTCTCTCTCTTCTCGACTAGACTTGGGTCTTGGGTTCTTGTGGCATACATTCTTCTGCAGACTTGACCTTGGTCTCCCCGTCTGGGGCCGTGGCTGCGTCCTGGCCAGCGGCATGTAGGCCGGTCTCCGTCTGGCTAGCAATAACGGACTCCTTGACATCTTTCGAAATGGGAGGTGGGAAGTCGTCACCTTTGCTCGGACCCTCAGTCGCACCAACTGGAGGGAAATTAGGATTAGTATGAGGGATAAGTAGTATTATAGAAATACAAGATAGATCATGAGAATCCATGGCGGGGTAGGTATGTGGTGAGTAGGGATAGATGAGTGACCTACTTTGGTTGCCGCGGCCACTGTTTGTAGCCATTGTAACAGCGTATGTGAAAGGAGGATTTGTCCTGAATGGCAACCTGCGCACCTAGAGTGCTTTTAGGATTGGTCTAGACAACTTCACGGTATTTGACTGAAAAGTTCTTAAAAGGAGTGCGGGTTTATCGGGGCTCGAAATGCAGCACGATATATGCAGCAGTGGCAGTGGCGGTGGCGGGGGCAGTGGCAGTAGTTAGCAGTAGAGCAGTCACAGAAGCAGTAGCAGCAGCGTACCAGCTCCGACTTAGAAACACGGCTTTCATTCCTCCATACATTGACCTCACCCGAGCCGCAAAAGGAGGGGCAACGGCGCTAACGCCGATGCCAGCTAGACTAGTGCCTACGTAATATGCACATACCTAACCTGGCGACCTGACAGCTGCTGGTTAAGCCAAAGCGGCTTTCGCAGCACTTGATTCTCTACAAGCAGCACACCTTTATTGGTCATGCTACGTGTTCCGGCGTCTTGTTATGATCAAATGCCTTTTGGGTGCCGCGCACTCTCATATCGTATACCTCTCTATTTGAGAATATCCAACTCCATGAAACTATGCTGGCCTACATGATAGTGTCTCAAAATAAAGACCCTCGTCGTCAAGTTACTCCGGAACGCCATGCTGATGCCCGAATCTCTCTCGCCATGTCAACTTACTCCTCCACTAAACCAATACATCCAAGCCCACACAGAAAATGCATCCATAAGTTCAAAACGCCCGAGTAATGCATATTACACCTTCTTCAGCTCTTTGTCGGGCACTGTGGAGACAAATGCATGACGGAGAAAGTGAAGCCAAACCTTGTTCTTCTTGTGCTTCTTTTTGCCTTTGCCCTTCTTCTTTTTACCCTTCGACTCAGTCCCGGCGTTGGCTTCCTCGCCGGCATCGCTATCGGCGATATTGTCATCATGACCAGAAAAGCCAGACTCAGTAGTGGCATCAGAGTCAATGTCAAGGTCAACCTCATCTGCGGGCTCATCGCTGACATATTCGTTAAAGTCGGTAGTTTCTGGTTCCTGGATATCCATCTCCTTGGCGTCTTCCGGATCGTCGAATGATGCACTGGACTTCGCGTTGACTTGACCAATCCGATAGGCCAGTTTGACCAAGTTACTGACGGTCAAATCCTTGAGCTTGTAGATCGTGTCGTTAAAAGTGCTGTACTCGACCTCAAACGCGAACGGTTGTGGATGCGGTTTATGCCCAGGCTTCTTGCCTTTATGTACGCCTTCATTCCAACCATCAGCTGACACGACGTCGTCCTTCGAGAATCGCATCAATTCCTCGGTATCAGCATCACTACTCCGCGTATTCGTCCCGTCTTTCACGAAGTCGCGGGCATCATTATTGAGATATGTCAAATTGGCGAAGTACTGCGTATATCCCATCAGAGTAAGAGGCTGAGCAGAATATGCCGGACCAGGGAGCGCCGTGCTGGAAGGTGGTTCCGGGACGATCAAGTAGGGATCTTTGGGCTTCTTTCCTTTCTTGCCCTTCTTCTTTTTCTTTCCTTCGACGCTCAACTCGCCCTCGGCGTGCAAGATGTGCTCAGCGGCGGTATCAAGGCCCAGATCCAAGCCTTGCCCTGGCTTGTTGTCTCGAATGGCATCCCTCCATGTTGGGGAGTCCTCCAGGCCAGTAATGTTGTACTCGAAAACCCGCAGAGTCGGAAAGTAGTTAGGCACGATGCTAGGGCTGACCAGTGATAATTGATACCGCTCTGCATGCTCCCCTCCGAGCGGATGCTTCTTTGGTTTCTTGTGTTTCTTGTGCTTCTTCTCAGCCTCCAGGTCGTCATCACTGCTGGCATGTAACGCAGCTCTGGGTAGCTTAGCCCAGTCACTCCTCAATTCTGTGAGGTAGTCGGCACGCCCCTGTAATCGAAAACCATCTTGGCTTGCATCTTCCGCAATATGGATCTTGGACTTCTTGTCATGGTTCTTCTTTGTCTCCTCGTACATACTGTAATCTTCACTGCTCGTGTCGAAATAGTTAAGGTTGATATCCCTAGTGTCCTGTAGGAAGAAGTGGTCGATATTCATATGGCCATATAGTGAGCCCACCACGACGTCGCGGTATTGCTGCAACCAAAGCGTGTACTTCTGCCAGCAAGTCTCATCCCAGTTCGCCTTGGTTGACGTTCTCGCAGGCGGCACATGACCCATCAGGATGGCCTTCATGCCACGATTCCGCAAGAACTGGAGCTGTATGCGCAACCATTCCATCTGCTTGAAGCCGGGCTCCGAGGGGTGGACGCAATCGTCGACGCCGGCATTCCGGTCAAAAAAGTAAAGAGTGTTCAAGCTGAAGACGGCCAGTTTGTTCGGAACAACTTCAGTGTAGAACCAACCGCCCAACTCAAAAGTGTGTCGCTGGGATTCTGGAATGAAATGTTTCCATATATCAGTGTATCGCTTTAGCCATTTGCTTGGTCCGCCGACCATGATGTTGTGTGGCAAGATGTCATTGTTGCCGAACGTGGGTATAACGGGTATCGCGAGGCCGGTTTTATCTGACAAAGTGCTGGCGAACTTGTCGGCAATGATACGGTTGCTTCTTATGACATCTTTTTCGCTGCGGGTATTTGATTCGTCGGCGTCGTGTCGCGCCGAATCTCCGGTCCATATAACAAAATCAATGTTGTCTTTCAAGTGCTCGTCAATCCAGTCAAATGTCGCGTTGACCAGGGAGTAAGGCGAGTCGCAGTCGGAAGTTTCTGCGCCATAGTACCCAGCTGGTCCTTTGCCCCGATGGCATGCAATGCCGGCTTCTGTGGATGTGTGTGCCTTGTAATGGCGATCAGGGTGGAAATCTAAGCCCGAATGGTATGGTCAGCCTGCTATGTACGGTGCATGAAATCCCGGATCTTTGGTTGTGGGTGCGGTGACAAATGCAGAGTAAATCGTACCTGTAATATGCAGGAACCTGCCGTGAAGCTTCCGCTGCTGCTGCTGCTGCTCCGACGTTCTAGTGGACTGCTCAGGTGTTGTGTCGGCGTGGAACTCTATTGCATGCTGCGCTTCCCCTTCCGCTTCCCATGCAGCCTCCAATGGAGCAGCAATGACGCCAACCGGCAGGAGAGCTGCCGCCAGAATTAGAATACCCCGAAGCTCCATTCTGGGCGCCTCTATTTATGAGGTATGCATGTGTAGGAAGTCGAACAGTCGGCAAATAACCAAGAATGGGGTGCGGAAGTTGTTCTTTAGGGTCGTAGGCAGAGGTTTCTCGTAAGATTTGGCTGTGTAAGGTTAAAGTAGAGGTGTGACGTTATTTCGGAAATAGCGTGCGCCTTGGTCTGGTTCTTGTCCTTCAAGTCAACAATTTATCTTAGCAAATGCGCCAGGACGATCTTCCAAGTCAGCACCAACATGCATAACCAACTGCGCAGGTTTTTGCTGTCTGGTGGGAGGCGGTTTTAGCGGCAGGCAATGGACAAGGCAGGCACTTCAGCACTCTTACAGTGGACGCAGGGGTCCCGTCTTCGGCTGGCGGATGCAACTGAGCAGTTTGGAGTACAAATCTCTGATTAAGAAGGTTTCTTTGGTATAACAACTCCGAAAGATCGCGGGAAAGTCTCGAAGCACGCGACCCTCGCGTTCTTAAGAGTCATGATCGACGCCACCCCCAGGGATCCGAGTATGGCACTTGACGGTCACGTTTGCTAAATACTGGCCTCTCGTGGCAGAGGTTGTCTTGCAGGGCCTGCCGTTTCGTGGGGTAGCGCATCCGTAGATGTCGTCCCAAAGAGGATGAAAGTTTACATGCGAGGCACTTCAGCGAATGAGAAAGCATCACATTTACACGTGTAGCACCGGCCACACAGTGAAGGCACACGACGGAATACCATAACGTGACAAAAGCAGTGTTCATGTGAGGCCGTGCCCAATAAGCCTTTCACTATCTTTAGAATACACAGCCCTTCTCACCTCATGCTTTGGTGCTGAGGCGGATCAATAATGCACTCAAAATCTGTGTATTAGCTAAGACTGTTTGCGGGGGTCCTAGAGGCAGGTGTCCAGTCAGTGTCTTTGAGACACCCCGTTTGTACAGATGAGCTCGAGTGTCCCATGGTCTCTTTCCTCGTTGGAAAGAACTCGCTTCCGCAAAGTGGCGTCGCATGACGGTTCACTGCGGCGGCACCGAACATACATACATGTTCTGTGTGCATGTGTGTAGGTGCACTGTCCATCAAGGTGCGTCTGGCGTGTCAATCTTCGGACCCGTACGACTATCGAGGCGTGGAGATCGTGACGCTGTCAGTAAAAGGTCATATGGCGAGCATCTTTCCAGTCCACAGACAATATCTTCAACGTCTTCCCTTGACTGTCTGCTGGGATTGTAGACATGCCTGGATACCAATAACGTCGTCAAACAAGTCGCTTCAATGTTTCGGCTTACTTTCTCACTCAACCTGGTATGTTATGTTAACGTCAGAGAGTTGCGCCATGGTATCCGGAGATCCCACTGGCTCAGGCGCTAGTAGGGTTTCGAGCTAGACCCTGTGCCAGACCTTACATAACAAACTTTCGTGCGGACGAAAATTTTCCCCTTTCTTCTTCACATTCATACGCACATTTGATCTCATGACTTGCTCGTAGACCTCTCCCGTCCTACATAGCTTCGTATCTTATGTGCAAGATCACAAAAAGCCGCTCGTTTGAGGGTATCCGATTAAAAAAAGTATCGGCTTCCTATGGTTTTCTGCCGGCTACATCCATCTACCCATGTCGTGATCTGCTTTGCAACAATGCCTAAAACCTAACGAACATGTACCTAGAAATACTTTCTTATAGGCTCTGTTCGGGTGCAATTGTTGTCCTTCCAATGAGGATGAAAACCGTGATACCTGCTACTGCTCGGGGCCAAAAACATTTGCGCTTTTTCAAACGTGTTATCAGCGCATCAGATAAACCTCTTATATTGCCATGCAGTGTCTTGCCGTGAACGTTGGGTAACTTCATTAGGCAGCCATATCTTCGGAATCTGCAGCTTTCGTGCTCAAGGACTGATGGACACCTTCGATCTCAAGGAGGTGGAAGGCTCTGTCGTCGCTCTCATCCTCCACGGCGAAATTGTAAATCCTGAACTCAGCATTCGCATATTTGCTGTTGCTCGGGGCGACCCTTCTAATGAACCCCGAGTGCGTCATGACCACGACGTACTTCTCAGGTCTGTGGTACAGCCACTCCCGCACGACTCTTGCGCGGTTCAGCAGTCCCTCCTGCGACGGATCATACAATCCCGTCTTTGCTGGCCATGCCTTGTCCACCGTTGAGAAATCCAGGTGCGGCCATTCTGGTGCAATCTTGTCAATTTCGGTTCCTATGTCGCATGGGTTGCCCGTAGTCTCCTGGTTTTCCGTCAGCCTCTTGGCACGTCTTGGGGGCAAGGCACCGATTCAAGAAGACGTACTTGCCACTCGGCACGGAGCTCAACGGGAACTCCCTTTTCGGCCAGCCATGCGAGTCCGTGTTGGAAGGACTGGAGCGTCCGAACGAGCGGGCTGACGACGATCAATGTCTCCTGGGGAAAGGTATATCTGGTTTGAAGGTCAATAGCCAGCTGCTTGCATTGCGCTGCGCCCTTCTCAGTCAAGTTTGGGTCATGGAGGGTCCAATCTTGTTCAGCAAGGTCAGTCGCCAGCCAACTCAATGGGGTCAAGGCGACTTATCATGGACATCTGTACCAGGTCAGTTTCTTTGTCTCCTATGACTATAGGCAGTGTAGAGAGTCTCGCTTACTATGTTCGGCCTCGCCATGGCGAATGAGGATGACTTGCGGCGGCATATTGGCTGAATTCGGGAATGATGTCAGGTTCAAGTATATTGTGTAGTCTGGTGGGTACATATATTGTTCTGCTCCTGCGATTGCGACCTAAAGCTGGTGCCAAACTTCATTGCAGTCAAATGGTGTTATTGCGTTATAAGCTTATGTGAGTAATCCACCATTCTAGAGCAATAGTCATTGCCAGCGATGGACTGTAGACTTTTCAATTCTTGTAATACAACAAGTTTGTGAGGCAGGACGGGATACCGCCAAACCTGGCATGACCTGGCAAGCCATGACATCGCAGGAAGGAGATAACTAACCGTGCCCACCCACTTTCGCACGCACCCCCTTTTGCACGCCGATCTTCCGACGCGTCAACAACACCACGCTTTTCTTGTAAATGCTAGAACTCAACCAATTGTAATCCTATCGATCTGATATTTTCAATATGGGTAAACTAAATGAACGCGATGTAGCAGAAGCAATTAGTTTGGTTCGAAACGGCGAAACGATAACGCGCGCAGCCAAAGCTTTCGGTATCGTACGGTCTACTTTGTCGCGACGACTTAACGGGTCGCAACCACATTCCTCAGCCCACGAAACGTCAAAGAACCTATCTGAATTGCAAGAAATGGAGCTTGAGCAATGGATTTTACATGAGGAATTGTGTGGACGCGCTCCGGGCTCGAATATGGTGCGACAAATAGCGGCTAATATCATGACTGGTATCGGCGAAATCGACGATACGGTCACCCCTGGATACAATTGGGTATACAAGTTCCTTAGCCGCCACCCACACTTGAAGACTAAGGTTGGACGTGTAATTGACGCTGAGAGGGTCAAAGGCATTGAAAAACAGACCGTAAAGGACTTTTACACGTATATATCACAGGTCAAAGACACCTATAAGATCCTACCAAAGGACATCTATAATATGGATGAAACAGGTGTACAAGAAGCCGAACAAAGTCAAGGCACAGTCATCGGGACGTCTAGGTCACGTCGTTCACGCGTTGCGAAAAACCCAGCAACTGGATGGATGTCAGTTATCCATAGTATCAACGCTATCGGGTTGAAAACAACGAATACGTATATACTAAGAGGAACAACACTACAAGCACAATGGTTACCTGAGGATCTTGAGGAAGCTGAGTATACAGCGACCCCTAAAGGCTGGACCAACTCAGCAGTGGCGCTGTCATGGTTGTTAGAGGTCTTCGAGCCAGAAACCAGACCACAAGAGTCCCCAGACTGCCCAAACCCATGGAGGATGCTCCTCCTCGATGGCCACAGTACTCATGTTACACCCGGGTTCATGCTAAGGGCATTCAGGAAGAGGATTGCCTTGATATACCTACCAGCACACACAAGCGAAGCGCTCCAACCACTTGACAAGACGGTCTTCTCATCGTTGAAGTCCCACTACCATAGGCTAATAAGCCTATACCGTGGTATTCAAGCTACTGGGCCCGTTAACAAGCAACGGATGCTTAAAGCTTATGATAAAGCTTGTGCCCTTGCTTTTACGAAACAAATTATCGAAAGCGGCTGGGCCAAAACGGGTATTTACCCCTTAAATGAATTAATGGTGTTAGGTGACCCTGAGTTCTTCCCACCATCACCTGACACTCAACCTACAACACCACAAAACGAGTCAGATCTAGCTGAAATTGGTCTGTTTACTCCTCATAATAGTAAGGACCTTCGACTTCAAATTAGGGACGTTACCATCAATCATTCGCAAACTTCTAGAGACGTAAGGGAGTTGCTTGGGAAATGTGCTAAGTCACTTGACATGGCGCTCGCAGAACTAGCAACAACACGTCAAGCAAACCTCGATTTGCAAGCTGAACTAGATAATCACAAGCCTGATAAACGTCAAACAGTTAGAAAAGACCCGAATAAGGTCTTTGCTAGTGTTGCAGAGATCAGACCAGCGCAAGACAAGCTGAAAAGGAAGATGCCTGAGCTACAACGCAATGAACAAGTCCCTATTGACTCGTTCCTCGAAATACAACCTTCCACGCGAAAGCGGACACGTAAATAACCTAGAGATAGTTTATTTGAATTGATTTCATGGTGTTATGGCTGGCAGTTGTTGTATCTATCTATCAGTGTGTTTGAGGAAACGTCGGTAAATCGGCGTGCAAAAGGGGGTGCGTGCAAAAGTGGGTGGGCACGGTTAGTCATTCCAGGGTCTGCTGTAATCAACCGCGGGGTACCTGTACAATTGGGTGGAAGCGGTTTAGCGGTCCCGTCATGCATGTGCCATGCGCATTGTGGTGGCATCTTAATGCATTTCCGACCTCCAAACTGCAGAATGCATGTGTCTGCGGCCATTCGACCAATCCGTCTGACAGGTTCACAATTGGAAGGGCGCGCAGGCGGCCCTGAATCTCAATTTTGCCCTTCTCTTCGTTTCTGCCAGCCAATTAGGCCTCGTTCCATGTATCCCTGGTGATACTGTATTTTTGATCAAGTGCTGGCGCTGGCATGCAGGACTGAGTTGCCAGGTCGTCAGACTCAAAATTGACTCGAGACATCGCCACACTGCCTGCGTCTTGACATACTCTTCGTTGGCACCTCGTCACCACTGACCCTCTCGCGGTAGTTTTTCCCTCGCATAATCATGCGGCTTCACAAGCTCATGTCCAACCATCACAGTCGTCACTATGCCCAGTCTGAGTCGGATTTTGGGTGGTCCCAGCCGGGTAAGAAAGCATAGCGCAAAACCCCGATCCTTGCCATTCACCAAAACATCAAAGTCTTCGCCGCGCAAGAAGTCGACCGGCAGAAGATATGTCGAGGAGGAGGAGGAGGAGGAGGAGGAGGACTACTTTGGAGATGAAAAACTCCAAGACCTTGGTCTCGTGCACGCCCTCGCTACAGACCCTAATCTACGCGACACTGCGCAAGCCCTACAGTACTTACGCGCGCACATGTTTGACCCGATCCCACAGCAAGGCGCCGGCATGAACAGTACGCGAATCGCAGAAACACTCAATTATCGAAAACACCTTTCGCCGCTCGTGACTATCACCCACATCTCAACGTTACTTTCCTCGCCAAGCGCAGTAGAGCGGGAAGTCGCAGAGCTTATGCGCTCGGGCTTCATACGAAAAATCGAGGTCGCAAAGCGAGGCGAGATCGGAGAGACATTGATACTCGCGACTGACCTGGAGAGAACGCTGGACGAGGCGCCCCAGCTGTCTGAGACGACACGCACGCAATTCAAAGCATTCCTCCAGGAGAACCCTATTACACACACCGTGCCCAGGAAAGCTTTGCCTTCCTCGGCCGTCGACGAGTTGTTCAAGGCCGGGTTTTTGACCTCTCAACATACCAACACTAGCTCATTGTCAAACATGATGAATACGTATTCGCGCCCGGAGGACAAGTCAACCTTGGTTTCCATTGAGAACGTTTCAAAGCAGGCTACGGGGTCGCTTGGTGCTGTCGGTGGTGTCGGCGCAGTGCATATGGCTGGTGGGAGTGGCGGCGGAGCACGCCTACCCGCCAATGCGACCGAATTGCAGATAGCGGTGCCTGGTAACGGTACATTCCTGAAGCTGGTCTCATCCGCATTGGATCATCTGGTTTCGTTGTTGGGCAAGTCCCGCTTCCGTGAAGCGCCTGAAGGTATGCTGCGCGAGAGATGGAACGGTGGAGTCGCAAAGGACGAGGCTGTATACATGGCGAAGAAGTCGCGAGGCGAGTTCGCTGGGATTCTTCCCGGACAGACGCGGAAGTGGAAACAGTTTCGCGGCCTATCTTTTGACTGGATCTTGCAGGAAGCGGTCGGTTCGGGTCTAATCGAAATCTTCGAAACTGGAACCGTTGGACGTGGAATCCGTGTCATTTGATAGGTTATATTGTACTGGGTTTCCCAATTGCATGGATCATCCTACTCACGATTGGATAGACGTAGACCTTGAAGAGCGAGGCCTGGCCTATAATCGCTCCAAGATATAGTCCACGTTAATAGGTATGACACTGTCATATCCGAAATTCTGTACAAACTTACGCATACGGATACGGAGACTTACTTTGCTCTGTTGACTGCCCACACATATCTACCAGTAAATAGAGCTGACGCACGCACACGCGTAGTAATAAATCAGACAATCTGTGCAGTCTACTGCGTTCCATGTCAGTTTCAGATGACGGTCTATATTATGTTCCATATGATCGACGTAGTTTGATTATGACCATAGATAAGTTGTTAGATCGCCAGTCGTTTGGAGTGTGGCCTGTTTAGTTACTTCTATTCCTGGATGTTTGATTGTCGTAGAGTTTTCCTTGTTAATGTGTTGTAGTACCTTCAAGTATGTCCCCAAGCCGCGTGTCGGATTTCTCTAGGAGCTGGGAATTGATGATATAAACGAACTTGGCAAGCGGGTGCTGAGTGGCAGGAACAAAGGAAAATACTAGAGCAACCATATCAATGCAAAGTGTTACTTTTCGAAAACTTCTCATGTGTCCACCTCAAGCCACGACGAGCAGTTACCCTGAGCCACGGACGGATATACCGAGTCGTGGGTAACTTGTGTGGGCCACGAACACCGACGCCATAGAGGGCTTATCTCGTTTATTTTGGCCTTCATGCCCCAAACGTTCTGGGTAGTATAATTCGCCGAATATTCTAACACTGGCCAGACAATACGGCCAACGCTAGGCCAAGGTAATGTAGAACAACTCTGCTGCATACTTGCGTTCATATCTTGAGAGAAATAGAGAACACAAAGACATCATAACTTTGTAGTACGGACGTGCGCTGCGAGACTTTGGTCCAAGCGGGCGATGCTTTCTTGGTCTGGGTCGATCTCGGTTCGTTGTAGCGAAAGATCGTCCATGAAGAACGGATCTTTCCCATCTGGTTCTTGACAACAATGAATGATGCGATCAGCCAGTCAACTTGAGCCACCTCATTGTTAACTAAACGTCTAACCCGCGCCTGGTCTAGCCTGATCCCATCCTCTAGTGTGGGTGTCAAGCTCTAATGCCCGGGTTTGCTAGCAATGTATGTTGCGTGGTGCCTGCATTCAGCAGCTGCAAGAGCAGATTCCCCGTCAAGCCATTCAAAATGGTACCCAATAAGAAGCTCTAGATATTCCAGGGTCGATAATGAGTTTATCCGCACGCACAATAGCGTTGATTGCCGTAGGCTAAAGTACGCACGGTCGATACCTCGATACGGAAGGGATATGCCTAGAGCCGCGTTGAGGAAATTACAGCACATTTCAAGCTCGACCTTGTAGAAAGTGCTTTGATTGCGCACAGAAATAGTAATCACTCACCTCCAGTGATGATGCAGAGGCCTTGCGGTCTTGGTTGTGCCTAATACCTGCCGCAAGACTTACCATGTGTGCAGTGAATGGAGGAATTGTCTGGCCGCGAATGAGCCCTGCTGGGAACACATAGCCCCTGGCTATTCTCATCAAAGAGAAGCTGGAACGCAGGGTATACGGTGGCTCAGACGAATCACATCATATCGTGCGTGCCACTTAAAGTCGTGTACCACTCTTCTCTCCGTCATTTCCTTCACATGCCTGGCTTACAGATCGTTGGATGTGACTGCAGCTGCATATCCCGTCTTGCAGGACCCATGTTATCTCATGCGAACAGCAGGGTCGTATCACAGCCGGAAGCTCGGTTGAAGAAGGCCTGTCGATGTCGACGTTGGTGTCGATGTCGCGTCAAGATGGACGAAATCTCGAACCACGAGATCGAAAGCCAATCCCCCACTTGGTTGATTAAGCTCCCCCATGTCCAATGTCCTCAAGCGTCCAATACCCTTGCATCATCGGGAGAAAAAGCTGCGCTTTGGCCGGGTAACGGTTTTGTTTTACACCAGTGCCGGGTGTGCAATGTCCATCCACCATAGCTGTCGCACAAGAGCACCACGGCCGAGCATCGAGCCCGAGACGTCGTCTTGCTTTTCTCTTCCTCTTCCTTCCTTCCTTCCTTCTTTCTTTCTTTGTTTCGCTCCGTCGCCCCCTTGTACGGGAATGTCCCAAGTCTTTGCAAGAGAGCTGAGTGATGAGGATTTGAAAGGTAGCAACAAGATAGACTCTGTGGCTGAATGTGACAAGCCGTTTCTGGTCCTTGCAGTCTTGCGGGGACGCACACACCAGCGGCAGGGATGTGGATGGTCGCGAACAGGGATGACAGACTTTATCTAAATTGACTGTGCCAAAGAGGTATAGACTGGTCGCTGGGGGTCTCTTTGTAGGAAAGGGGAACGCGAACTGATGCAACATGATGAGAACTGAAGAGCCTCTGGCAAATTTGGCCGGCAGTCTCTTCAAGTCTATCTGCGCTCTGCTTGATTTAATTCTGTTTCTGCTGTGCAATTGCGGCATGCCTTTCGTCGTCGTCGTTGTTGTTTTTTGGGTCGCATGCTAGACAGTGTCTCTCTTTTCACATCTAGCTCTTTTGTTCTACTTGGACGTAGTGGCGGGTTTCGCAGATTGTCATTCGAACGGCTCTTCTCTTCTGTCATTGGGCAACTGCGGGATTGGGCTATCACGATTTACAGGCGTCGGTCTCCCTCTCAGGCTCAAGCCTCTCCCCACGAACCACTTCCCTGCCTATCCCGCAAACCACAACGCAACGCAACCCAACGTTGAGTTGAACCTTCTGCTGTTGTAGGGCACACTTAACGTCCTCGACCCTCCGACTTTCAAGGTCGCTCGCGATTTTACTCGCAATCAGACTGCTGGGCAACTGCGTCCCAATTTATCACGCACGTCTCGGGCCGTTCTTTTTCGCATCGCCTCCCAGCACGCTGTTCCGCTCATTCTCTCATTGTCTCATTGCCTTCAAACTGAACCGCCGCCTCGGCCACTTCTATCTTGTCTGTACGGTGCATGGAAAGCAATACCGTAAAGCGAGTCATATCTCGGTTCCACTCTTTCTACAAGTCAAGCGTCACCTCCGTCTTTCCAAAAGCCCTGCGCAAACCAGCGTCATAGTCCTCATCAACACATCGGCCGGTGTGGAAGACGAACACGAAAACAAACGTAGACTACGAACCCTTGACAAAACCCGATTTCCAACAACTCTCTACACGAGTTTTCCCTGGTCCTATTCCCGGACGGCCTGACGAAACACGCGTACTCCTGGTTCCAGCGATTATAGTTCACCCGGTCGCTTACCCTGCGAAACCTAACGCATAGTTGTTTCTAACCTTGAAGCGTCCCGCAAGCTTGTTCTCAGGTTCATGCGTTACTAGTCTCACCTGCGACTATAATCAGAACCGCTTGCAGCCCAATACTTCAGACGGAACCCGGTCAAACCCGACAACCACTACGCGCTTTGTCGTCTGCTGTCCTGTTCCGTGCCTGTAAGGTTAGGTTCATACTGCTGCTGTGTGCAGCGGCTCGGAGAGAGCCAGTGCGCTACGAACAAAACAACCGCTGAAGTTGTCCTCCGTCTTCCCTGGGCCTTCAATTTACATGGAGACGTAGCCGAACAGGTGAAATCGGGGCTCATTTCAATTGTTCCATCGCGTAGGACAATTGCCCTTGGGCGGTTAAGATGGCTACAGGTACTATACCGAGGCCGCCGCGCCCGTCCATCGGACCTCCAACGTCCGCTTTGCCAGCTTTGCCAGTCGCGAAGACCCGGAAGAGCACGAGTGCACCGCCAGGCAAGTCATTGACCACGCCCGGCACACCACGAAGCGGTCTTCGGGCGCCTTCTTCGACACTTCTACCACCACCACCGACTCCAGCCCCAACTGCGGCTTTGCCAATGCCAAGGAGTCTTGCTACGCCAAATGGCAAGACGCTTCGAAAATCGGTCAGCATCAACTCTTTTCCTCAACCACCAAAGGGTGACTCTAGAGTCACCAGTCTTCCGCCTAGTCCCTTGTCAACCGGACTATCGAAATCCAATTCAACTCGCAAATCACGAACGCCTACCGGAACACCTAGGATAGGGACCATATCTCATGGTACGCCGAGTTTTTTGAATGGCGGTGGTGACAAGGCCGTATTGAGTGCTGCGAATGTGAGGAATTCCGACGGACTGATAAGTGTTGCTTCTCCACCACAGAGCAGGAGTTCCTCAGCACAAGACTCTTATTCCACATCTGCCACGACCTACGATGACACGCCAGCTGAGGGAGGTACTAGCGCCATCAGTGACAGGCGTACGTCTAAACAAGCGGACGGCAAAGGCAATGTCGTCGTGAGCGTGCGCGTTAGACCTGACGCAGGGTCTAACGAGAGTGGCCGTGTTGAGGGCGAGTGGCTGGTTGATGGGAGAAGATCACTAGTATCGTATCGTGGTAAAGACGGTGGCGACCACTTCTTTGGTGAGTTATTCGGGATGGCCGGGATTTGTGCCCTTTGTTAATGATCCTGGCAGACAATGTTTTTGCCACACACGACGACAATAGCAGGGTTTACGACCATACCGCAAAACGCCTGGTTCGCAGGGTGATGGAAGGCTACCATGGTACAGTATTTGCTTATGGTATGACTGGTACAGGCAAGACGTTTTCCATGCAAGGCACAGCATCTTCGCCAGGAGTTATACCACTTGCTATCACCGATATATTCTCATACATTAGAGAGACTCCATCTCGGGAATTCTTGCTCAGAGTCAGCTACCTGGAGATCTACAACGAGAGGATACACGACCTCCTAAGCATGCCGACTGGCACCGGCGCAGGAGCAGGTTCACAGGAAGAGATCAAGCTGCGTGAGGACAGTAAACGAGGTGTCTATGCGAGTCCTCTGAAGGAAGAGATTGTGCAAAGCCCCACCCAGCTATTACGTGTGATTGCTCGGGGCGATCAAGCCCGCAGGACAGCCAGTACGCAGTTCAATGCGAGGAGTTCCCGCAGTCATGCCGTTGTTCAGATAGTCGTTGAGAGCAGAGAGCGCATGCCGGGTGGTCCGGCTGAGAACAAGCGGTCCGGTCTGGCTCCCGGCGGGGTGCGTGTGTCGACATTGAGTCTGATTGATCTGGCTGGGTCAGAAAAAGCTGCTGAATCGAAGGAACGTCGACAAGAAGGATCTCATATCAACAAGAGTTTGTTGACCCTCGGCACTGTAATCTCAAAGCTCTCAGATGCCAAGGATAAAGATGCGAAGCACCACCTCCCGTATAGAGACAGCAAGTTGACTCGATTGCTGCAGGGTGCACTTTCTGGAAATTCCCTAGTCAGCATCCTTTGTACAATTCAGATTGGATCGGCGGGTAGCTCTGCATCAGGGAGCAATCATACTCTTGAGACATTGAACACGTTGAAGTTTGCTTCCCGAGCAAAAAATAGCATCGTGAGTCATGCCAAGCGCGCAGAGGAATCGCTAGGCGCTGGTGGCGATGGTGGCGCTAGGGTCTTGCTTGAACGATATCGAATGGAGATTGTTGAGCTCAAACGCCAGCTTGACACGCAGGCTAAGGGCAACTCTTCTTCGACTGAGATCGAGGAGAAGGTAATAGACGAAGAGGAAGAACGCACACGAGAAAAGGAGGCCGAGGCTCGACACGAAGAGCAGATGCTAGAAATGCAGCTTGCCCGAACTGCCCTCAAGGAGCGGATTGACCACCTCAACAAACTCATTCTGAGCTCCAAGTCTATTGGCGTCAACACAAGCGGCACGTACAGTGCGTTAGGAATGCATTCGGGTCAGCGCTTCTCACAAATATCCTTGGCACCTTCCAACAGGACATCGATCGCGACTTCGATCGGTGGCCGCTCACAAATGGACCGAACCGCTTCAATGACGTCTTCGTCATCCACCATCGGGCGCAGGTCAAACACACAGAGGCACTCGAGCAGCACCGAACAAGTGGCAGTTGATGACGAAGACAGCGTGGGCGAGTACGGTGATGGCATTGCCTCGCTAGCAGCACAGAACCAGGCTTTGCAAGCCGACCTTACTGATAAGAACCGATATATTGCGACTCTTGAGAAGCGTCTGCTACAAGCGCGCAGAGCAAGTTCCTCGAGGACATCAGTAGGATTCGCTGCGCCTAGCAAAGGTATTATGGTTGGGGAAGATCATAGTGTTTCTACCGCAATGAGGGAAAAGGACGCAGAAATTGCTGAGTTGAGGGCGCGATTAGATGACAAGGATCGTATGCTGGCGGCTCTCCGCACCGCTACGCGCTCGAGGGACGCAGCAGAAGGTCTCGACATTTCGAAGAGCGAAAACCGAGAGACACGATCGTCACTACTCTACGAGCATGCAGCGAGTCCACCTCCAGAAGGTGCGCTTCCAGATCCGCCCAGTATCACTCGCAAGAGTATTTCACCGGGACCTGACGGAAGGAAAAAGAAGAATGTGGATGAGATGTCTCGGATTCTCGATGAAATGATTCAAGAAAAAGTGGAAAGCGGCCACGTTGTCAGGGGCGTTCGAGGCAGTGTTCGTCTTGCTCATGACACGCGCAAAACTGACACGCTCGAACGACCGCCGACTGACATAGAGCCACTTAGGGAAAGCCCGGTACTGCAAGAATCAACGCAACTTGCTCTTGAGGCCTAGGAGATATCCTCTGAATATCTCATCGTTGTTTCTGGGCCTGAGACAGTTTCGGCCACATGCCGCTGTCCCTGGGAAGGCGTTTTGGGTTGTTTGTGCTTCATCTGTTTGTTTTATACCCTATCAGATTTCATTGTTTGCTATGACGGGAAGGTTGTGGTACGCGAACGCCTGACGAAGGAAAGACGCCGACGGGTTATTTTGATTGCGCTTTCTCTGGTGTTGTGCTTTGGGCGATCAACGGATCCGTGATTGTTTTTTACGACCACATATATCTCGAGGACAAGAGGATGGCGGTCATTTAATCGGTTGACAGGCTGGATATGAGAGTCGCAGTGCTCTCAGTGGCAGGGCCAGCTGTCTTGTATATTACCCTGATCAGAGATTACGACGAGCAGAGAGAAAGCTCTCAAGCTACATGGATGGAAAATAAATATGATCTAATATTCATGCCAAAGCATGGATTATCCGGGCCAACAATAGGAGGCACGCGTTCCTTAATAGTTCTAATGAGAAGGGGTCGTGTGTTGCTTCTTCCTTGAGGTGCCGGAATGCAATGCAAGTTGGATTGCGCGCAAGTGATTGGCAGTGCTCGAGCGCAGATTTGCTGTGTCGTCTAACCACATGTAACCGCTCCTAAGAAATTTCTCTGTAAGTCGCCTTTCGGAACCGAATGGTATTCCTTTCTTCCTAGTTCTGCTGTCTGTTATGGCACTTAGTGCAGATAACATTATACTTCTATCATAGCCCAGGTCAACTCATGGTTAGTTACATACATGCCGGTGCTCCGAGTGCCATGGTATGCGAAGGATGCGATGGCAATACACACCATCATGCCTGCAAGGGCGAAGTCTAAATATGACCCGTCCAATACAATCTCAAGCTGTCGAGAGCTTGGACAGTGCAGGTAAGTTATACTGTACGCAGCATGGGGAAGGCAGACCACCAGAATAGGATGCTCGTCTATGTTCTGCTAGGCCCATCAAATTCCAGGGAATTTTTGCGGTGCAAGTAGCATAACATCTACTTTGGTTCTTCGAAGATCGTGACTTGACAAACATATGCGGGCTCGGGAGTCGAGCAGATTGAGCCCTGAAAACATTCTTGCGTTTTCAAGCGAACCGCGGTAATTTGGGTGGTATGCAGTAACTCGGACCGTGCTTAATACAGGTAGCGGCCCTTTTTAGGATTATCAGTCGGAAAGGCGAAATGAGGCGGCACAGTACGCTGGTACGTCTACTTCTAATTTGTTTTTCGTTCTTTCTTCGAAAAGAAACTTTCCCCCCGGATTCGATAGTTTCACGGGAGTACGTTGTTAAATTTAAGCTTGTAGTTCTATTTCATCTGTGCACACTGCCTCGCGAGGAAGGACATGCATCTACTCAAGGCAATATGACGAGAGGAGCTAATTATGACAACTTATGCCACATTCCCAAGTGTTTGTTGAACGCTGCCTATATTCAAATCATCACCCACAGTGTAGAGGGCTGACTGCAACGTGAGTTATCGGTGCTTCTACCATGTAAATACGACTGCGGTTCGGCAGCCCAATGTTTCAACCTTCAAGTTGAGCGTAATATCTACAAGTACCACATCTTCACGTGGTCGTTTCGGCCAGTAATACGTGATTTTCTAGGGTTTACGAATACATTCGCCGTCAAGTCCGAAGATCTGTAGGTTTCACGGTCAGCAAACCACAAATGCAAATGTCAGCAGTAGTTACTAGGTACCTTCGGATGAGGGGGAAAGAACAAAGGGTCTATCTTTTGGGATTTGCTTGGATTCGCGTGATTTGATTGGCTTGGCAAGCTTATACGCGGCCAACTTAGACTCGTTTCAGATCTGACCGGGAAGCCACAATAATTCTCAATGTGGCATCGAGCTCATCCTGGTTGGACAAAAACGGGGCAGCAGCTAAAGCGACCCTTAAAAGGGGACTTACACTCAATGTATCACCATGCTCATTTTGTGAGTGTTCATCGGCATTTCATTGATACGAGAGACACCGGCCGGGTGTACACCTGCTCCCATGCACCCAGAAGCCCAAAAAATTCAATCCCGAATAAACGAGGCATCGAATGAGCCAGTCCACACACGGTAAGTCTATATTCTTTCAACACAACGACAATCTATTTCACGCTTTGTTCGTCTCGGTCCCGTCTCTTTTTAGAATTATTGGCGTGTGCCAACTCGTAAGAATTGCAAGAATTTGCTCTTCATGTGGTTGGAGTTCATCCTTAGCATTTCCTTTAGGCATGGTCAGGACAAAAGCCATATGCGATTCCCATGCTAGACTTGCCGAAACCTGCCTCTGGCTCTTCCACCCCATGCATAGTGTCAACCCGAAGTGGCTATAACCCTGTATATCTTGACAATCGCATGACAGGGCCTAAGCCGATCTCCAGATCGTCGTTTTTCCCTTCCTCTCTTGCATGTGCTTAGGTAGATCCGGTGCCATGACTTTACCTATTCTGTTCATACTCAGGCCTTTTTATGCTGCTCTCTTGTTCATCCTCATTTTCCGACTACAAGGTGCTGGGCATTCTGTCGAACTTACTTTACTGACATCATTCGAGGCGGGACCTAAAAGAACCTTCTTCGATCAAGCCGCAGCCATCAACCTAGCAAAGTAGCATTTTATCATGGTTTCGTTTTCTCCATCCACTACCTAGTTCACGAATTCGCCATATTATCAACCTTCTTTAGACGGTGGTCTGCACGGGGAAGAGCGACACGGACACCACATTCCTTAATCGACGACCTCCCTCCAGCATCCTGCAAACAACCAAACTTGTACCTTCGCTTCTCGTATCCGCGATACAAACACAACATCAGTTTCAAGCTGTAGTCCTTGGTCTGTTCCATTGTTGGGATACTAGCCAATAAACAGCTGGCCGAACGCTACCCGTACCAACCAGATACATTGCCGATCTGTGATACAAGCTTCCAACAGATTTCTAGCAACTAATCCGGGGAAACGTATCGGTCATTCACAGAGACTCACCTCTGATTTTACTCACCCCACAATCCAAACCTCGGTACGAGTCTTGTTTGGCCCTCTGTGTTGTGATCGTCATCTCAAAGAAATAGCAACTCCGCTACTTAGCACTCCACCTTTCCACACTGATGGGTCTTGAGAGTGACGATCCCAGCTGTCATATTCAAAAGAAGCGTGGTGGAATCACTCTAGTCTGTTGGGTCCTTCCACATTAATATTCAGCACCTGCTTCCCGCACCAAATGGTCAACACCTGATGTGTGTTTGTGCATCGACGCCGATACAGGCCAGTACAGCGTGCCACAACCCTTCGGTCACCTTCTGACGTCGCCTTGCGTCGGTGACTGGATATCCTGTCTTTCATCGGCAGTGAAGCTAGGTGGATTTCTGAGTCCTGTGTCCATTCGAGGTGGTGCATGGCACTTTGAGCCCAAGGAAGATTACTACTCCCGCGCCATCTGTCTTATCATCTTGTATTCTTCTCGGCAACTCTTCATTTTCCTTCTTTGCCATTGTTAGCATCGTCACTCCTTACCACCATAATAATTTCCGGCAAACCCGACACCTTCTCCTCAACTACAAACTGACAGCAGATATTCTGCGCACAATACCGTCGACATGCCGTCACACCTTGGAGTACCTCATACTTCCCACGCCAAGATGATTATATCACCGCCGCGCTTGAATCTGCGCAGAGCCGCATCATATACCGGCGTACCAAATGAGAAGCTACCGTTGTCGGCGACATCATCAAGTTTCAACTTTAATCACCTTCTCTTCTCCCCTCCGCCGTCGCCCGGTCTACCCCAGCTAGTAACGCGGCCGCGGAAAGCTTCAAATGCTCCACGACCAAGCAGAGTGTTCCGAGGTCTGGGATGGGTTATCACGCTCGTCATTTTCCTTTATCTTTCCAGGGTTGTAGTCAGGAAAAACGTTTCGCTTCCACTTGTCGGAGGCTGGGAGAAGACAGGAGATTTCGAGATGGTCGGTCAGTACGACCTGCCGGATTTTCCGACTCCTATAGCCGTTACAGACCGTCGTGGCAGATCGAAGTGGACGGTTTCTATCCCACCCACATATGATTTTCCACTGACGACCAAGGAGTACTCGGACATCTGCGCAAAGTGCCACGAGGTTGCGGCACATGTCCGAGAGTTGCAAGGAGATTCACATCCCTCGCAACAAGCACAGCTAGACTATTATTATCAGGATCCCTATTTTGTCGACGTACACGAAGCCGAGAGCCATGGTCTGCTTCCGGGCATGGATGCCCAGGCCCACCAGACCATGGCAAAAGTGCCTGAAGGCCATTTTGTCGGGCGCAATGAGACCGACATGGTTGACAGGCCTGTCTGCACAACCTCAATGACGTTCGTGCTGGAATCACCAGAAGCTGGTATCGGGCCAACACTCATGATGTTGTGGATGGCGTATGGATTGGCTCAGAAGGAAAACCGTGCCTTCTTCATTGACGATACGAGATGGGCGTACGGGGAGTATACGAACTTGTTCAAGGCACCCCCTGTGCCCGCATGCAACCCGCCGCCTAGGCACGAGATGTTGCCTTGTCCTCATCATGCTCGCCATCTGGCAGTATCGGTCGCGACAGCACGTGATACGTTCGGGCACAGTTTCGACTATCAGTATGAACATCCCCAAAGAAACGACGTCACTCGGGAGAAGCCAATGTACAACCTAGCTCGGGCTGGGTACGAAGCGCTGTTTCACCTGGTTGATGAGGATCGTTCTTATGTCGAAAAGCGCATCCAGGAGCTGAAGGCTAAAGCGGCGGTTCCTGGGGAAAGCAACCACGATGGGTCCATAATTGGTGTCCATGTGCGACATGGCGATCAGCATCCCTTTGAGACCCAGTACAGCGCAACATATATGCCTCTGATCAGATACACTGAGGTGATCCAACAGATCATCGACGACGCCCACAACGCCAGCATGCCGGACGGCGGTGATGATGTAGTAGCCAAACAGCACTCACAAGTTGTTCTCGCGTCTGACAATCCTGACGTCTACACATCTGATGAGTTCTCCGGTTCAGTGCGTGCACAAGAACGGATCCAGCTGGCCAGTGTGGCGCACCCAAAGCCAGCAAGTCAAGATCCTCATGTGATGCACAAGTTTCAGGAAGAAACCTTTGGTTGGGAAGGCGGCTTTTTCGGAAGCATGTTCTGGAACCTAGGCCGATCAACTCACAACAATGCCGATTCTGACGGTGTAGCAACCGTTGTCCACTCGTCCGACGCCACACGCTTGAGGAGTCTCATCGGCCGATCGTACATGCTCGACCTTGCCATCTTAGGGCGGGGCACCGATACGGTCATCTGTACCGTCAGCTCAGCGGGTTGTCGACTCGTGGCGGTGATCATGGGCTGGGAGAAAGCCATGGGGGAAGGCAACTGGGTCAACATTGATGGAAACTATCTCTGGACCGGCGTGTCCATATAATAACTAAACCCCCAATCATATGTTTGGCGCAACTCAGAAAAGCTTGGAAAATCGCCGCAGGGGTGCAAAGGGAGAGAGAAAATCACTTACAGTACATAATTAGCATTTTATCGCGAGGCGTTTGGGTGGATTCGTTGCTTTTATCACTATTTAGGATACCACAGATACGTCGATCAGGCGCATTTCGATGTTGCATTAAGAGTAGGCCATCCCGGAGATGGCAGTTGGATTTCAAGCCTTACCGGCTCCGAGAATGATTTCATTCACAATGGATCGACTTTCCGTTTTCGGTGTTCTCGTGGTTCATGTCAGAGCAAAGCGTTATGGCATCATGCACTATAGTACAAGACCTTGGTGTGCTAGTAGGCAGGTAGGCTAGAGCAGCCCTGCATCTCGTCCTCAAAGGTTTCAACGAACCTCGTCACCTCCGATCAGATCATGGAAAATGGATCAAGCAATTGCACGCGTGGACATTGATGATTAGACCTATCGTTAGCAGAGTGCGAAGTAGGCCTAGCATATCAGGGGTAGGTGTGTACTGTAAGTTACATGGGTAATCGAGTGCGAGGCGGGGTGACCGTGCAGCAATTGCAGGACCAAATTACCCCTCCATGGACCCCTATTATTCACTGTGGCCATGGACAAACACAGTACATAGCTGATAGCGCCCTTTGTAAAGCCCCGTGAAGCGAGGAGGTTTCTGTGTTGACTTGGGCTGTTCATAGAATTGATATTGAAAAGCAGCTTCCTCTTCAACATGACCAAGTCTGGACAAGATCTAAAGACCTAATTATTGGTGGACCGACACCACAGTACGTTCGAGCTTTGAGCTTTGGGGCCTTGGGCTTTGATTGAGCCTTGAGCTTTGACTTTGGTTCCATTCCCCCAGCGTCGGGTCAAACCCCCCTACTAACCTTGGCCACATGAAACAACTATCAGAGACCTCGGTGCATGGCCTTATTGCTCCTTTCTTCACTTTCCTTCTGTGATTTCCGTCGGGCATATACTGTCGTTCATCTAACAGACGATCTATCTGACTCAGAGGACCACCCTACCTGCCAAACCTCCCCGACTGAAACCGTTGCGCCTGTCCAACAGATCCTGGCAAGCCATGGCGGCAGCTCCAGCCAAGCAGTCGTACTCGACCGACCCGGCGCTTTACATATACACCTCGCTTACAGCTGGCTCTTCACACATCGTGACAGCAACCTCGCGGCTGGAAACAATCCTCAAGGCGAATCGCGTGCCATTCAAGGCCATCGACTTGGCCACAGATGAGAAGGCTCGCATGCTGTGGGGCCGACGGGCAGGCAAAGATGAGGGCGGCCGTGTGAGAAAGCTGCCCGCGCTGGTGCAGATGGGCCTGGTGCTGGGTGTAAGTTCCATCTGCCCCGTCACCATGTGGCTAAAGCCAACACGGGTCTGCAGCTAACAGATGTGACGCGCGAAACAGGACCTCGTCGAGATCGAAGACTGGAACGAGTACGGCGAGCTGAAACAGCACGTCAAAATCTACTACGATGAGTTCACGATACCCGCCAAGGGCGCCGCGCAGATCCCCAACCCGCTCAAGAGGCCCATCTACGGAAACTCAGTAGCAGCCTCTGCTAGCAAACCCGCCGCATCCGGCTCTACATCCACGACTCCCAAACCCATACCCGCGGCGCCGCCGCTTCCTGGCAAGAAGGAGAACCAACCGGCAACCAATAAAACAGAAGGGGCTAAAAAGTCTCCCGCGGCCGCTGTGGTCGCGCCCACCAAGAGCATCGCCGAGGAGGCTGCGCAGAAGGCCAAGCAAGTCCGCCTGGACACTCTTAGGAAGGCCGTCCAGAGCGACAAGGATAAGGCTGCCGCTGCTGCTGCCTCCAAGGACACCGAGAGCAACGAGAAGAAGACGCCAACGTCCACGGCTAAGCCTGCTGCTACTACCACTACTACTAGTCCTCCTATTACCACTACCACGGCCACGGCCAAGGAAATACCGGCCGATTCTGGAGCATCTGCCGCTGGTCTGCAATCGCCTACCTCGGGACGCTGGGCGACGAATCCTATAGAGGATAGTCTAGGCAATGTGTTGCAGAGCCCCACATCTGGCACGTGGAAATCGGGGAGCTCTGATGTTTCCTTGCCCATAAGGGAGCACAGGGGTTCTTCCGTGGTGGAAGCTTCCAAGGAGGAAATTGCTGCCATTGAGAAGTCAGAAGCCATTCCCGAGGCCGCTGTTGAAGATTCAGATGACGAGGAAGAGGAAGAAGAGGAAGATAGCGAGGACGAGGACGAGGATGAGGATGAGGATGAGGATGATAGTGAAGACGAGGAAGAGCAGCCGAAGAAGGCGGCGAAGAAATAATGGCCTGATAGTAGGTGACTATGTATGGAGGTCATAACAGCCGTTTGAGCCTAGATCCTGAACAAATCTGTTGTGGTAAGTCACCTTCCAAGGAAAAAACAAACTTCCACTGTTCATCATTTCAGGAGCAGTTGCCAGCAAGTACTTGGATTTGTAAATAATCAGTGGTCAGGCAAAAGGCTGTCGGTTTGACCACCCATAATACGTTGTACAACGCAGCTTGCGTCGCTTTGTTACTAAATGATAGTCATCGGCAGATCATGATATCTTACATCTCTCATTTATCATTCTCATGAAGTACAAAAGCAAGATGTACCGGCAAACGATACCCCAAATCTAAACCAAACCATAGAGCGCCGGCCTCATTTGTCAGCTCCTTTTCTGTTGCTCTCTAGTCCAGCATCCTGATCGTTGTCTCTATACCCATCGTCTACACCATCCGTCTCCCATAATGAAATGTCATCATCATCCATCAGTGCAGCTGCATCCGCCTCGCCTTGCGTCGATCCACTACGTCCCAAGATACCCTCTTCCAGATCCTCGTAGTCGACATCCCCATCACGGTCAACGAGACCTCCGTCCTCGCCGGCCTCTTCCCGCGCAAGCTCCTCGGCCCTCGCCATCGTTCTCCTGTAAATGAGCAACCCGATGCCCATGCCCACAAGCCCGCCTACGATCATGCTCATGTAGTTGATCACCTTGTCACCGGTGGACATATCATCGTCCTCCGCCAGCTGCGCAAGCCTGCTCCCGATGAAGACATGGACCAGAAGCTTGGGCGTCGCCAGCGCCGTCGCCGCCGCAAAGCTGAAGGGGCTGATGTTGGGGATGGTGGCCAGGAAGCCATTGCTCAGACTGTACGGCAGGGGACAGAACCGGATCGCGGCCAGGACCAACAACCCATCGTGCCTCAGGACCTGGCCCAGGGCCACGAAGCGCCGGTCCGTGCCCACGAGCGCGTGGACGTACCTCGAGAAGACGGTGCGGCTGGTGAGGAAGGCAGCGGTCGAGCCCACGACGGTCGCCGACGCCACGATGGGCCACCCGCCCGGGAAGCCGAACACGAACCCCGCGACCGTGATGCTGCTGCTGTACCCGATCACGGGCGGGAACGCCGTCCCGAACGTCATCAACCACACGAGCACCCACCCGCCGCGCAGCTCCCGCCACCCCTCCGCCACCGGCTTGAGCCAGGCGAAGATCCGGTGCGAGTACACCAGGAACAGGACCGCCAGGACGAAGAGCGCCAGGCCGACGGCCGCGGCCAGCGCGCGCTGCAGCGGCGTCAGGCGGACGAACATGCGCAGCGCGTAGTTCATCATGTCGGTCGAGGTGCGCATGACGCGGGCGCCAAAGGGGAGGTCGGACGAGTCCCTGCTGGAGCGGGCGTAAGGGTTCGAGAGGCGCCGGCGGGTCGAGGATATGGAGGGCCGGTCACGCCGGACCCATGGGGGTGCGGAACCCGGCGTTGTGCTCGGCGAGGGTGTCGATCTCCCGCTGCCGGGCGAGGGCGAGATGGGAAGGGAGAGCGCCTGCGCTGCGGATTCGTAGTCGGCGGGCATCTTGGACGACGATGGTGATAAGTCGAGCTTGAGGGGGGAGTGCTTTTGAGGTGCAAGTCGACTTGACCAGCGATCGGAAGGCTTGGGATAAGCTCCGGCTCGGATGGGATGGGATGGAAATGGCTAAACGTGCTTATGTGCTACCTGCCCATTGCAATCACGACAATGAAGATGAAATGAAATCTATCCGATTATCTAGGAGAAGTTTGAGCTGACAGGTTGTTTCAATGCAGAGGTTTTGGCGTTAAGTAAGCTTAGCGGCTGAGCTCTGAACCTAACCAACAACTGTGCCACGATCCAGGATCAGAGAAGATAATTGGTCTTGGTACTACTGTGGGAGCTCCAGGTAGACATTCCTTATTCACAGGGATCCGGCACGAGACGGGATTGGGTTAGAAAGGCAGTCCTGAGCATCGTAATTAGGAGTCTTTGCTGTGTACTTCAATGACCAAAGTTGTTTCAAAGACGAGCTCGAATGTCGCAGCTTCTTATCCGGCCGTCGACGCGCTGATCTCCAGACTGCACTGTCGCCGCCAAGTAAGCTAAGACCCTTTGGTCGTCGTTATCCGCTACTGCACACTCGGGTAGCTACTTAGTACAGGCATAGTACAGTGAAAAGCGGAACGGGTGTCGCGGGCCTGGTTATGTAATGAATATACACATATCCAGCGCTTGGGCACTACGCCTTCCCTCCATCTAGTATTCGCGATTTTCAACGAGAAAGGACCTCTACATGCAAGTCAGAGAAGCTACACTCCTTGTTCCGTGCGACTCGCGGCTCTGCGGCTGAGCTCGCCGTACCCCGCAGCTGCAGCCTGGTGCGAGCCTGATCAATCAGTACTCTTCGCAGCCACTGTCATGATGTCTTCTTCACCTCATGAAGCATGGCCTTCTTAGCAATCGCCAGATTGATTGACATCTTGCAGGCCTGACCATGCGGCTCCTACAATGCGACGACACCGGCGCGTATAGCCTTACGCCAGACCTCCCTTCCGACGATGTGCCCCCTTATGCGATCCTCTCCCACACCTGGGGACCGGACGAGGTAGTCTTCGCCGACCTTGCGAAGGCGCCAGGTGATTGGCAGCACAAAGACGGCTACGGAAAGATTCGGTTCTGTGCTGAGCAAGCAAGACAACACGGATTGCGATACTTCTGGGTTGATACATGCTGCATCGACAAGTCTGACGCTATCGAGCTTCAGACTGCGATTAACAGCATGTTCCGGTGGTATCGCGATGCAAAACGATGCTACGTCTACCTTTCTGATGTCTCTAAGCCCGCGGCTTTTGGCCAGCATCATACGCTTACGCTATGGGAGGAGGCATTTCGAAAGAGCAGATGGTTTACCCGTGGATGGACGCTCCAAGAGCTCATCGCCCCGAAGACAGTCGATTTCTACTCGAAGGAGGAGGTTTGGCTAGGCGACAAGCGGTCGTTGGAGGCTTTGATACGCGACATCACAGGAATTCCTTCGAATGCTCTCCGTGGTACACCTTTGGCCGATTTTACCATCTCGGAACGAGAGGCATGGGTCCGCGACCGTCAAACGAAATACGATGAAGATGTGGCCTATTCGCTTCTAGGGATCTTCGGCGTATACTTATTGCCAAACTATGGCGAAGGGAGAGATAACGCACAGAGACGTTTGCGAGAAGAGGTCCAGAAAGTTGTAAAAGGTAGGATAACCCTAATAACCAGTAAAGTAAGCTTAGACGCTGATTTAGTCACAGGAACCGGTATGAACGATTTCTCCGTTGCCTTCAGTCTATCCGAAGCCCCCGAGATCCAACATTTTGTGGCAAGAGAGGAGGAAATAGCAGAGATGCGCACACGTTTACACTCGGATGGAAGCCGTCGCTCCGTTATTCTCCACGGCCTCGGCGGCATTGGCAAAACACAGCTGGCTGTAGCATATACGAAGCGGTATCGAGATGAGTATTCTGCTATATTCTGGTTCAATATCAAGGATGAAGCCGCTATTCAACAAAGCTTTACGAAAGTCGCGAGGCAGATTCTACAACAACATCCTCACGCCGACCGATTAAGTACACTAGACTTACAGCAAAATCACGAGGTGGTCGAAGCAGTGACGACCTGGTTCAGCTTGCCAGGCAATACGAGGTGGCTTCTTGTATATGATAACTACGATAACCCGAGGTTGGCTGGTCGTCAGGACGATACGACGATTGATATAATCCGGTTTCTTCCTCAAGCGTACCAAGGCTCGGTTATTATTACGACGCGATCGTCACAAGTCAGCATAGGCAATCAAATCCGACTCAAGAAGCTTGATTCAATTGACAAGAGTCTCCAGATTCTGTCAACAACCTCAGGCCGATATGACTTGCAGGACAGTAAGGCTCTCGTAGCTCATACAGGCTCTCGGAGCTTATACAGACCTTACTAATTATTACTATAGACATTCATGCTCGAAATCTTGCTGAAGAACTTGACGGACTTCCTCTTGCACTTGCCACGGCTGGAGCTTACCTAAGGCGTGTTTCAATCAGTTTTGCGGATTACCTTCGTCTTTATAAAGACTCATGGGCCAGACTCCATGCAAGCACGCCGACTTTAGGCTCTTACCAAGACCGGACACTCTGCTCTACGTGGCAACTTTCGTACGACCAAATCCAAGGACAAAACCGACTCGCAGCTCATTTACTCCAATGGTGGGCCTATTTCGACAATGAAGATATATGGTTCAAACTCCTCCAACCTGAGGATCAAAATGGGCCGGCGTGGATATACGATTTGGCTGATGAACTCGAATTCAACAGTGCTCTAGGCACACTATATGACTACGGCCTTGCCGAAACGCATATATCGACAGATAAATCTCTCGGATCAACAGGATACAGCATTCATGCTTGCGTACATAGCTGGACTATTAATGTGTTGAACGAAGATTGGGACGTTGATTTGGCTAAGCTTGCGCTAGAATGCGTAGCTGCGCGCGTTCCATCACAGGACGAGCTTCAATTCTGGGCACTTCAAAGGCGACTTCTCTCACATGCCACAAAATGTGGCGCTGGGGTGCGGGATAGCGATGAAGGAATAGAATGGGCATTGTGTAGCCTAGGGAACCTTTACTCCGACCAAGGCAAGATGCAAGAGGCCGAAGACATGTACTTACGGGCGCTTCGAGGGTACGAGAAGGCGTGGGGACCGGATCATACGTCGACACTCTCCACGGTTAATAACCTAGGGAGCCTTTACTCAAGCCAAGGCAAGATGCAAGAGGCCGAAGACATATACTTACGGGCGCTTCGAGGGAAGGAGAAGGCGTGGGGACCAGATCATGCGTCGACACTCGACACGGTTAATAACCTAGGTCGCCTTTACTCAAGCCAAGGCAAGATGCAAGAGGCCGAAGACATGTACTTACGGGCGCTTCGAGGGTACGAGAAGGCGTGGGGACTAGATCACACGTCGACACTCTCCACGGTTAATAACCTAGGGAGCCTTTACTCAAGCCAAGGCAAGATGCAAGAGGCCGAAGACATGTACTTACGGGCGCTTCGAGGGTACGAGAAGGCGTGGGGACCGGATCATACGTCGACACTCTCCACGGTTAATAACCTAGGGAGCCTTTACTCAAGCCAAGGCAAGATGCAAGAGGCCGAAGACATGTACTTACGGGCGCTTCGAGGGTACGAGAAGGCGTGGGGACCGGATCATACGTCGACACTCTCCACGGTTAATAACCTAGGTCGCCTTTACTCAAGCCAAGGCAAGATGCAAGAGGCCGAAGACATGTACTTACGGGCGCTTCGAGGGTACGAGAAAGCCATAGATCCTCGAACTTTCCCAATATATCGACCAGCAATTAATACTATATGGAACTTAGGGGAACTGTTTCGAACTCAAGACAAACTAGCTAATGCTAAGCAACTCTATATACAAGCTCTCACTGGTTTGGAAAGGTTGTATAAAACTTCACATCCAGACGTCCACGCATTGCGAGAAGTTTTATCAGAACTGGATGAGGCATTATTAGTTAAATCAGTGGTGTCTCGCTCAGTCTTCGAAAATTCAGCATCGGCGCAAGTATCGGACAAAACCACGTTAGCTAAATCTCCGAAAATAAGACGACGAGATGCAGTCAAAAAGATGTTCCATATCTTTACTAAATAGACTGAAAATAATGAAATTTGCAAATTACTAATACCCTATTATAAGAATACTTTAAGATTTCGCTTCTGTATGCACTTACGTATCGTGACTATTGCATTGAAGTACAGTACTGTGTTTAAAATCGTGTTTGTTGAAAATGTAAGCATAGGCAAGAGCTAGATTTGGCTCTTACCTAGCTATGCTGACAAAAGTGTCGGTACCCCAAGGTACAGGCTATCACCCCCAGTTGTTCAAAATTGGACCACACTATAGTTGTTATCTGATCAAAACCTGCGACACCCATTTCGCCCTTTAGTGTATAGTACAACATATGTAAGTCCCACTGTTCTGCTCTAGTTAGACTACTTTAGTCCAGAAATGATCCAGATACCAACTACCCTTTCATCCACGGCATGTACAAGATCAGAGGGGCGCCGGGCTCGCAGATCACCTCGTGGGCATATCCGGACAGCTATTCTCTGTATATCCGCGCAGATCTGGTTGCTTCTCGATTACTTTCGGACATGGAGTCCTGTGGCGAACTCTTCAGACAAATGAGATGCAATGAGGTAAGACAAGAGACTTACGTTTGGGATCATGGTCGCGTTGAGACACCCTCGGTTAAGAGGCATCATCTTTCCATACTCTTCGAGTGTCGTGGAGGGTGTGTTCAACGAGCAGGTGTCAAACATTCCAGGCAACGATGGTAACGTTCCATCTTCTAAGTTCGCCCACAATAGCTACGCCAAATGTCTATTCCACCATCTCGATAGTACTAGGCTAGAAAGTTTCTGGCACGTTTCGAGGTCATGAATCGAAGCATGAAAAGCCCGATCCTACCTAACCCCCCCTGTAACGAGATGTGTCTCATTCTCATCAAAAAAGTCCGTTTGCAGGATTGAATTTATACAGAAATTTGAAAGTCCAGCAGTGCTCTCCGTAGGACTCTTGAGCGAGCTCAGTATAGAGTTGGTGATTCTCAACAAGACCCACTTGTACATTGAGAAAGATCGGGTATCTAAGGATAGAGGCACACCAAGAAACCTAAGCCAAGGTCTCAGTTCGTTTTAAGTGATTGTCGTTCAGATTTAGAGCTGGCTGAAAAGTCGGTGGCAATCGAGTCCCAAAAACATGTTACAAGATATAGTTGGTGACTATTAGGAGTGTTTGATATGTAGCAGTTTGATTTCTCGCCCAGTTTCTCCTAACCTTCAAGTCATGTCTCCAGAAATACTATTCCTGTAGCAGCTACTTCTCACTGGCTTGTCTAGTACTATCAATCGAGAGACTCGTACGCCGGACGCGCCATGGCATATGCACGAACTCGTGTGGGAAACAACCACGAAGTTGGACAGTGTGTAACCTGGGTAGGTGAGGTTGTTGCTTGAAGAAAAAGCGCCTAGAGCACAACAATCTTTTTCATGGTCGTTGGAAGGCCATCCGAATGTCAGTTCAGTTTGATCCAAGTTCTCACGCTCGGCGAATATCGACCAAGGATTTTCGATCTCGATGCTGCCTTGCCTGTGAGTGTCGAAATGGGGGCAAAGAAACCGCACATCGGCTGCAAGGGCACCACAATGTTTACATGAGACTTTGTCAGTCATTTTACACCATTCGAGAAATCCTTCAAGAACGAAGAAGACTCCACAACATAGACAAGATATTGAGTACTGCCGTCATCTTGTGGCGGGTCAGCGGGCAGTGGGTGGTAAGGTTTGCTTTTGTTAAACTTCACTCTTTCCGGAAATTGGAATCGTATTTGTATTTGAATTTCCGAAGACCATATCCGTTCATCACGTGGCTGGCTACAAAATCGGTCTTCGGTTCAGTATGGAATAGGGACGCGGTCTCATGTAAATCTTGGCAGTTTGCGAGCTTCAACCAAGCTGCTAAGAGTCTACGTCAAATTATCGAAATTTGTTCTCTATCTTTAAAAGCTTTCGGCGGGCCCGGGTTAGATTTACTGGTCAGTTATGAATAGGATTGGGTTACTGTTGCGAACCAAGCACCATGAGGTTTACGACAGCGATATAGACGCGTGCGACTCCATTCCACGACGAAGCTTGAACATTTCAGGTTCAGAATATGTTAGTCTCCTAAGGGCTCCATGATGCCTTCCAGGCGTCGTTTAGGACAATCCGTTTGAAAGTTTATCAACGTGTTGGTGAAAGCCCTGACATCAGGCTTGAAATGGCAACATGCCGGGGCACGATGATGTGCTTTTACCTAAAGTTCGCTTAGCGGAGACGTTGTGGAGCCGAAAATAACGGTTAGTTATACCTAAGAAACTTTATATGCCCTCAATTCCAGCTCTATGAGGGCATAGCACGTTGGGGGCCTTGGAGAACAAAAATTGTGACCATATCCCGAAATAGAGACCGCTACGATGAGCTTGGTACTCAGATCGACCGTCATATATCAAGTCCATAGTATACAGTCTCGTAATTCTTGTCGTCACAGAATTGACAATTAGAATAGCTACTGGATCGACCGCAATTGGTGGGTACTCGGCGATGGTGTCATCGGGCCTCGGTGATGGCAGGCTATAGTAGTCCATGCGGGGCCCTCCGCTTCCAAGGATTACGACTGCTGTGATGTTGTATTGTAGCATTGTCGGTGGCTCGGTCGTTTCCGCCGCGGCCTATTCACCATGAATAAAATGTAGAGAAAATCTCTTCATTCGAAAGTCGCCAAGCCGTTCGACTCTCCAGAGAAAAAGCAAGGTCTCAGCACACATCCGCGGCGATGGCTTCACTGAAGAATGTCGTGCTCTTAGGCATGTCTGCCTTGGCAGCTGCCAGTGCCAAGCCCAACTTCGTTTTCATTATGACAGACGACCAGGACTTACATCTCAGCTCATTGGACTATATGCCGCTAGTTAACAGACATATCGCGAGCGAAGGAACAACATTCAACAAGCACTATTGCACAGTTTCCCTCTGCTGTCCTTCACGAGTCTCGTTACTTACAGGAAAGGCCGCTCATAATACCAACGTCACTGATGTCTCTCTTCCATATGGAGGTTACCAACAATTCATCAACAACGGCCTACATGAGAAATATCTGCCAGTGTGGTTACAAGAAGCTGGGTATAATACCTATTATACCGGCAAATTAATGAACGGCTTCTCTTTATCGACATACAACAAACCATATCCTGCCGGGTGGAATGACACAGATTGTAAGTGACCCATCAAGAACAATGCGCTGATGCCATTCGTAGTTCATCCAGTCTGACTAACCTCGATCCTCTAGTTCTCGTTGATCCTCAAACATATTGGTACTATAATGCATCCATGGCGCGCAACAATGGAACATATCGGTACTTGCCCGGCAGCTATTCCACAGACGTGGTAGCCAACACAGCCCTTGAGTTTTTGGACATTGCCGCCGCTCAAGATACGCCGTTCTTTGTTGGAGTGACCCCCATTGGTCCTCATGCAGAGATGAAGCCATCGTTGTCGGGTGAATTTCTCTTACCGACCCCCGCGGACAGACATGCAAATCTCTTTCAGAACATATCGGCACCGCGTACGCCTTCTTTCAACAAACTGCGCGTGAGTGTATTCGCTCGGTCTTTTGAGATTTTCGCTGACACTTTCCATTAGAGTGGTGGTGCTAGTTACCTGGCTTCTTTGCCCGAACTGAATGCTACAGAAGTTTCCTACGTAGATCTCTTCTACCAACGACGAATTCAGTCCTTGCAGGCTGTGGATGAGCTTGTTGGCGGCATCGTCTCCCGACTGGAAGAGCTGAATCTGCTGGACAACACATACATCATTTACACTTCTGACAACGGTTTTCACATTGGCCAACACCGACTGCCTCCGGGAAAGACGTGTAATATCGAGGAAGACATCAACGTACCTTTCGTCGTACGAGGCCCGGGCGTGGCTAAAGGCGCCGAGTATAACCAACCCACCACTCATACTGATATCGTTCCTACCTTGTTTACTCTAGCCAATATCACCTTACACGACGACTTTGATGGCGAACCGATCCCAGTGACGACCGAGCTACAAAATCAGGTTTTGGCCAAGTCGGAGCATGTGAATGTTGAGTACTGGGGCGACGGTATCATGGAAGGAACGATCTCCAAGTGGATCGGGACTTGTAAGTCTTGCAGAATTTAACTGTGTTTCTCAGAAAGTTTTTCCCGGGCAATAAGGAAAAGGACTAATCCGACATCAGCATTACCCAACAACACGTACAAACACGTGCGTGTGGTATCTGAGGCTTTTGATCTCTCGTATACTGTTTGGTGCACCAACGAGCACGAGCTATTCGATTTGAAGGTAAGCCACCGCACATAGTATCTATTTCCCATTGGGCTCGCCGTGAGCTAATGAAACATATCGTCAGACGGATCCCTACCAAAGCACCAACCTCTATGGCCAGGCCCGTAACATCTCGGGCCAAGACGGCACCAAGCTATCATCGCGCTTGGATGCGCTGCTGCTGACTCTGAAGGGTTGTAAGGGCCGCGTCTGCACCAGACCCTGGGAGACGCTTCACCCGCAGGGCAACGTACACAATCTAACGGATGCTCTGGATCCTGCCTACGACCAGTTCTACCAGAGCGAGCAGCTCAAAGTAAGCTTCTCCGAGTGCGCGGCTGGGCAATTGCTACAGTACGAGGGCCCGCAGGAGCCGCTTGCCTACGGAAGTCTGGATTCGAGTAAATTGATAAAGAACTGGGAGATGTGGACATGAAAATGTCCACATTACTAGGTAGGAAGAGTTTTCGATGTATAATATCAGAGGCAACCGAGCATGTCCGTATGGACCCTGCACCCGCGCTGCAACTTGGTCGTAATTACTAAGTGACTGACAGCTCAAAAGCACGTTGATGAGGGGGTTCAAGTGCTCCAGGACTGGATGGAAGATTTTAGAGTAGGTAGGGCCATGCTTTAAAGTGATGTATAAGTTTCAGTGCTAGATGCGGTTCACAAGACATATGAGCATATAGGTTAGATAGGTATTGGGGGCATATCCTACGGCATCGTTTAAGTCGGTCGTCAAGTTATATTTGCGACTTCGGTCTTGTGGCTAACCTTAGTATACGTCCATGTGGTCATCGTCCCGCCGAGTTAATGCGGACGCTGCGTCAACTCACGTCTGCCGCGTCGCGTTCGATTGAGCGAGTTGACAAAAGTCCAAGCCCAGGCTAGACTAAGTAGTACCGTAAGTCTCATCCCATAGACCAGCAGTGGGTCTGATTCTAGGTCTTGTCTTTCTTTTGCAACAACTGTCACTGGTCGGATGATTAGAGGCACGATCTAGAGGTAAAACGTTCGATGCATAGCAGTTGAAGCTCCATGTGGGGGCTTGACAGATGTCGGATACGAATACGACAGCCAATCAACGCGATCCGAGACCCCTAAACCGCATTGTTCAATCAGAAAGCGCCGTCAACAAATTTCCAAGTTGGCAGCAGTAATTAGAGCGTCGAGTCGGGAGGGCATTTTATTTAAGCCTCCTCACCTCCCACCCAAGATCCTCCCGACGCTCCCTTCCGGCGAACAAGGCTATCTGTCTACTCGTTGCTAGTTAGCAGATTCACTCCTTTCTGTCTGTCCTTTCGTTTGCCAGCCACTTGCCATGGGTCTTTTCGAGGAGATCGCGGGGCCTGCCACCCAGCGCTTGTCCCAGTTTTCCACCGTGTCGCAAGTCGGGATAATCGCAGCGTCCCTCCTCTTTACCGCCGTCTTCATCCACGTCGCAAAGCAGTTGTTCTTCAAGAGCTCCCATGAGCCGCCCATGGTCTTCTCGTGGTTCCCCATCGTGGGAAGCACCATCACCTACGGCATGGATCCCCCTCGCTTCTTCAAGGAGAACAGCGCCAAGTACGGCGATATCTTCACATTCATCCTGCTCGGCAAGAAGACCACTGTCTACATTGGCACCCAGGGCAACGACTTCATCCTGAACGGAAAGCTCAAGGATGTTTCCGCCGAAGACATCTACTCTGTTCTGACCACCCCCGTCTTCGGCAAGGATGTCGTCTACGATTGCCCCAACTCCAAGCTTATGGAGCAGAAGAAGGTTCGCCGCATCATCCACTCTCTGTTTCTCGTACATGACATGACACGGCCCTGCTGACACATGGTCCTTTCTGCACAGTTCATGAAGGTTGCCCTCACGACGCAAGCGTTCCAGTCCTACGTCCCCATCATCGCCGATGAGGTTTCCAGCTACTTCAAGAAGAACCCCGACTTCAAGGGCAAGTCGGGTGTTGTCAACATCCCCCCCAAGATGGCCCAGCTCACCATTTTCACCGCATCGCACTCGCTCCAGGGCAAGGAGATCCGTGACAAGTTCGACGAGTCGCTGGCAGATCTGTACCACGATCTGGATATGGGTTTCAGCGCCATCAACTTCATGCTTCACTGGGCTCCCCTCCCTTGGAACAACAAGCGTGACCACGCTCAGAAGACCATTGCTGGCATTTACATGGACACCATCAAGGAGCGACGTGCTGCCGGCAGGACCGACGGTCAGGATATGATGAGCCATCTCATGAACTCGACCTACAAGAACGGTACACCCGTCCCCGACCACGAGGTTGCCCACATGATGATTGCCCTTCTTATGGCTGGCCAGCACTCGTCGTCCTCAACCAGCTCCTGGATCATGCTCCGTCTCGCCTCCCGCCCCGATATCATGGAGGACTTGTACCGCGAACAGGTTGAGAACCTGGGTGCCGATCTCCCACCGCTCACCTACGAGGACCTCGCCAAGCTACCCCTGAACCAGAACATCGTCAAGGAGACTCTTCGCCTGAACGCCCCTATCCACTCTATCATGCGCGCTGTTAAGCAGCCCATGCCTGTCCCAGGTACCAAGTATGTCATTCCTACCGACCACGTGCTCCTGTCTGCCGGTGGTGTTACCGCCACCGACCCGCAATACTTCCCCGATCCTGATCTGTGGGAGCCTCACCGATGGGACAAGGACCATCCTCTTTCCCCGAGAATCCCCTCCAAGGAGGAGGGCGAGGATGAGGAGAAGATTGATTACGGCTATGGTCTGGTCAGCAAGGGCTCTCAATCGCCCTACCTGCCTTTCGGCGCCGGAAGACATCGATGCATCGGCGAGCACTTCGCAAACGCTCAACTCCAGACCATTACGGCCATGGTTGTCCGTATGTTCAAGATGAGGAACACCGATGGCAGCAACAACGTCATCGGAACAGACTATGCTTCATTGTTCTCCAGACCCCTCGAGCCTGCTAGTGTTTACTGGGAGAAGCGAGACAATGAATAGATCCGATCATGCTGTTACGATTTCTTTAGAGCTTCTTGTATATAAACGTTCGCCCTATAATGGCCGTAAGAGGTAGGAGCATAGCATATTTAATCATAATGAAGTCAAAGATGAAAACCAGACGCATTTACTCGTGCTGGCACTCAGATGTTGAGCGATTAGCTACAAATCCGAAACTTGACACGACCATTTGCCGTGCAAGTGGTGGATACAAAAAGTCCAGACACCCATAGCCTACTGTAAGTATAAATTTAATAGTGTCTGTGCCGGGAACGTGCATGTGTCGCAAAAGCTTAGCATTCGAGACCCTTGCATGAATGACGCAGGAGACTTGAAACACATATAATACACACATATATATATGGCTTGGGTTAATTTGGTATCTTATGAACGATATTCAAACATCTTCCCCCAGGTATTAGACCTGCCAGCCAAGTCCAAGGGCTGTAACATCCCTAAAACCCGTCAACTTCTCGAGCTCTCTCGCATCAAGTAGTCCTCCCTACGAAACAAATAGATAGACAGTGATACCATGTCATCACCACCGCCACCTGGGCCCCTCGTGCGCCTCTCCGGCATCACGCTCTCCCGGCTCCCCTCCCCGGCCGCAACCCCCGAGACCCTCTCCCCCCTCGTGCACGCCATCCTGCGCGAGGCGCTCCCCTTCCTCTACAGCGCGACCTCCAAGTCCGGCTCGGGGGCCCCGGACTCGAGGCGCTGGAGGCACAAGGGCGACAGGCGCTCGCCCGACTCGGCCGCCAAGGTAGAGGCCTGGGAGCGCGTCGTCGTAACGACGACGACGACGACGCCCGAGGGCGGCAGCCGTGCCGGCCGCTCGAGGGAGACCTGGGCGCTCCGCAGGAGCGTGCACGAGGACAGGGCCGAGCCCGGCACCGCCAGCTGGGCCGAGTTCGAGCGCTGCTTCCGCGACGAGCACGCCGAGGCCGAGGAGGCCTTCACGCCCAACGCGGTGGCGGCGCACGAGGCGCTCGTCTGGGAGGGCTGTGCCGGCGTGCCCCCGGCCCGCGAGGAGGGGGAGGGGGAGGGGCGGGCGTGGGGTCGGTTCCGGCTCAAGGTCCAGGAGATGCGGCACAAGATCGGCGCGCCGCTCAGGGACCGCACGTTCCCCGTGCTGCAGCTGACGGCGGCGGTGGTCGAGGGGGGCGGAGGCGCCGCGCCGGAGTTCGTCGTCGTCAGCATACCGGTGCCGGACTTCGGGGAGAGCGAGAGCAGTAGGCTGGCCAGCGAGAAGGGGGCGCAGGTCGCGAGCTACGTCAGCGTGGAGCGCATCCGGAAGCTCGAGAGCGGCAAGATCGAGTGGCTCATGGCGACGGCGAGCGATGCGGGCGGCGTTCTCCCGCAGTTTGTGCAGAACATGGCAATGCCCGGCATCGTCTGGAAGGACGTCCCGCTGTTCCTGGGCTGGATAGCCAAGGAGAGGCAGAAACGGGACATCGCGAGAGACGGCGTGGCCGGTCGGGGGCAGAGGGAACGGGATGTCGCAGTGCCGGCGTCAACGGCAGCGCAGGATACACCGTTGGTCGCGACTGGTCCTGATGCGACGACAGCCCATGAGGTGTCGATTGGTGATGCCGCAAGTACCGAGACGAAGCGTGAAACAGAAGTTAGTACGGGCCCGGAGGTCACGAATCTGCCTGGTTTGTCTCAAGCCGACACTACAACCGAGGGGCCTCGCCCCGGGGTAACGACAAACGTGTAGTGTAAGCCAGAGGACTTCACAAAAGTCCAATGTCACCAAAAAAGGGCTGCTGTCGGGAAGTAGACATCCTAGTAATCAGCTAGATGAAAGGTTTGAGTCTAGTTAAGAATATTGTCATTTGCGCTATGATACCAAATGTTTTCTTTCCCCTTTCTTTTTATTCTTTTTATTGTCTTGTTTAATTATGAAGACAAAACTAGTAATTTAACATCCGACTTGAGAAGTTCAAGTCTAGAATATCTTTCAATATGATGCAGTTCTTATTACTGTAGACTCGCAGGAGTGTCGATATCATCGAAGCCATGAGCAAAGTATAAATTATCAATGGTGAAATTCCAGTCATATATTCATGCTTCGTCAAGAAGTTGTATGTCTAGTCAGAATCACTTTCGCTGCTTGACGAAAATCCGTTCCACTCTTCCTCGGTATCCTCGGCGAGTAGTTTTGCATTCTCGTCTTGCTCGCCGCTCGCCTCCTCATCTTCACTGTCCTCTTCTTCGATGTCGAAATTGGCGCAGATATCCCAGCGGTCACCTGGGGCTTTCTTGCTCACATATTTGACAAACTTAAGGGTACCGCTGTCTCGCAAAACAATAGTTAGCTTGTTCCACGCCGCAGCCTGAAAGAACAAAATGTTATCGTCATCGCCGCTGGACTTGTAAATGGCGGCGTCTTCAGCTGAGTCATCATCGCCAGCCATGTAGACCTCGTGACCACCAACTTCTTCGGGCTCTTCAGTGGACTCTCCCTTGGCTTTGCCTTTGCCCTTGGTCTTTCCATTCTTCTTGGGAGGCTCCTCGTCTTCCTCTTCATCAACAACCTCGTCGCCCCATCCAGACGTGGGCGTGATGCCCAGGTTGAGCTCAAGGCGAGGCTTGCCTTCATGGCCCGTGGCAAGAGTGTAGTCCTTGCCCTTGCGGAAGCGCCGTGCGATGAGGTCGTGGCTCTCGATAACACTACTAGTAGCCATTTGTAGCCAACGGCGGAACTGTGGACTTGGCAAGAAGACGTCTAGTAATTCTCGAATTGGCGAGTCGTCCTTTGTCTTGGTCTTGCCACTCTGGGCTCCATTTTTGTGCTGCATAAAAAGGAAACGTTGCTTGTGAGGAGGTTTGGCGACTTTCCAGTCCCCTTTCTCAATCTCGGCAGTGGATTCAGGAACGGCCTTGCCGTCTTCTTTGGAGACATATTCGCGCAGGCGTTGACCAAATTTCTTGTTCAAGAGGTCTGGTAGTGTTATGCTGGACTCCTCATCGAACTGCTCTGTTATTTGCTCCAGTGTATCCGGGGTCAGATAGGTCGGGGCCATGTACTTGAGCAGGAATTCCAGGTCCGACTCGTCGAAATCTTCTGGCGAGCTCGCTTGTGGGTTCTCGACCTTGACCGCAGCTGGGCGGGGCGTATCGTACTGGTCCGGATTTCCCTGCAGTTGCATCAAACTGCTGTTCTTGGCATTCTCCTCCTCTGCCCCCTTGACGTAACCATCTTCGCCTATTTGTGGGATGTGAAACCAGCCACTGATAGCCATGCGCACTCTGCCGCCCTCTTTCTTGAGTTGCTTCTTCGTTTCGGCGTGGTATACCTCCTCGACATCGTGAAAGCTCTCACCAGGTTGTACGGCGAAGAAGCTAAGCTGGTTCCATGCCGGGGGGATGATCTTGGAGACGTCGGCCTCGGGTGTCTTTGCAATCTTGCCGTCTTTGCCCCGTCTGTCTTGGACCGGGAAGAGCCTCAAGGCGCCTCCCCACTCCGGTTTCCAGGGGATGTCCGGGTCTGTGAGATAGAGGATATAACTGACCCTGCGACTGCCAATGACATCATCGTGGCAGAGCAGGAAGCAGCCAGGAGTATAGACATTGATGGCCATGTCGGTCTTCTTCCCGCTCAAGGGCCCACAGCCCGTGATGTGGGCAACATAGTCGCGGAAGCTCTGGGAGTACATGGCATCTCTGAGTGCCAGGAGGGAGGGTAGCTTGGAAAGAGCTTCGTCGCCCAGTCCGTCGAGGTTCGCCAAGTCACCAGACTGGTGGATCTTGTAAATGTCGGTCTCTTTGGGGGTGAAGGAGACATTATCCTTGACCTCTTCCCGCACGGCGCGCAGCAATTTGTCATCGATCAGTTGGTTGATGACGCAGTGCTTGTACGGTTCGGACTCGGCATATTGTTTTGTGTGGGAATCGAGGACCTTCTGGTCCAGGAGACCCTTTCTGAATCTTGCGGCAACCTCGGTGTCGCTCAGGGCTGCAAGGCGGATATGATATCAGCATTCCGGCCTGGTAGCAGCTGTGCCTCGTAGTGCGTAACCGACTTACAAGGCTTGGACTTCCTCTTGTTGGGCTTCGGGGCCGTAGCCTGCGCGTCTGCCTTGCGCTTCATCTTTAAGTGGCCAATCGGTATATCCGGTAGCCAGGCAGTTGATCTGGTGCTTAACAGGAAGTGATTAACGCGAGACTGCGCAGAGGAAGCCTTTCCTGGGTTTTGTTCAAAGATTTTCTCATTGAATCGAACGACATGGGCAGAATGCCCTCCACTAAACTGGAAGCTCCGGGTGGATCCTCACCGCCCTAATCCGCAGCCAGAGGTACGCATGTACTTGTATCTGTACATGTATACACTAATCATAGTCATGATGAGCCTGCCTGGCTTGCATGACACCTGAAGCGCCCCCTACTTCCATGCAGCGACTCACTGGACCATGCCGACTGCCACAAGCGGTTGAGAAAACAAAGAGTAGAACTCGAATCAATGCCGTCCGTCGGTATGCATAACTGGCCAGGTATGGTGCTGGCTAACACCGGCGGCTAGGTGTGCACAGATGATCCACTGAGCCCCGTTACTCGGGGGGTCACTAGTTTCAGCCCGCAAGGTACGCTGACCGTCCACAATGCATTATATAGAAGTATCTTGCCTACTTAATTAGGTCTTGGCCGGCGTTCTTTCGGTGTGTGCGTATAACAGCGGTTTCTGCCGAAACAGAGCCGACATGAAGGTCGAAGTTAAAGATCGTAGTATAGATTATTTAAGAACGTATAGTGGATGGTATCACATATTAGCGTCTGCCGTCCTGATTCTACAATAAACAGCCCCGAATATCTCTTCGTGGTCCTCGAAAACCAGAGCGTACCTCCCCGTGTAGAGCAAGGGGAGGGCAACTGTGCCAATTAAGCCTACCTCAGAAGCAGTGGTGCCGTGAAGCAAGCTCCAGCTTGGTTTGCATAATAAAGAAAATGCTCTCAAATCCAAATCTCGTAAAACAACACCCGGAACGCCAGCCAATCCCACCAATCTACTAGAAGGAAACCTAGTAAATGGGCCGACCACCACCTTCTTCCCACTTCTGGTGCAGGTAGCTCTTCTCAGGCGTTTCCGTGTCCTCCTCGCTCTTCACGCCTGCCCCCCATGACACCCGACCACCACTCCTTCGTTTCCTTGCGCTGTCCCCGGCAGAAGGCCCGATCCATTCCCATGCTCTGCCGACTTCACCGCTACGGCCCTCGCGTTGTGAGGTGCGCACATTGCTATTCTGCTCTACCACCGCACGCACCCTCTGCCAGATCTTCTCCCTCTGGCTCAACTTATGCACACTCCTGAGAACATCGTCTCTAAGATTGGGCAGGAAAAGCCATGGGTCGTCCTCATCTTCTTCGAGCTGCTTCTGGTTTGCGAGTCTGTCCAGTACCACATCGACAAGGGCAGGCACTTGGGCGTTCGCCGCGCGGTTGCTCCGGTATCTATGTCTGCCGTAGAGGGCTGACAGGATGGACAGGATCACAGAGCCAATTTGGAGGCGATGTCTTGCCAGTCCGAGTCGGATTGATCGCTTGACCGCGCAGGTGAGCGGAATGCGAGCGAGAGAGGTGGATGATAGGTACGTGTCTGGAACTGGGGTGGAATCGGTATCTCGGTTTCTGCAGGGGCGCGACGGGTTCTGGTTAGTCATAAGTCAATATTCGTTGTTTGGTAACCATGCTTCATTGAGAATGGGAGACAAGTTGAGAATTGGCGCCCACAACAGGAAGGGGGCAACGAGAAGTAGACTCACTCTTTGCTTTCGACCTTGATTTCTTCCCGAGCCTTGATCTCCCCAATGGCCGCTCCCCATAGATCGTCGAACTCCTGGTCAGTCATCTTCTTGCTCTTCTTCTGGCCGATGACTTGCTTGAGCTCCTGCTCCTCGATAGCAGGCGTGTCGATCTTCACGCCCTCTTCGTTGGTGAGCTCGCCGCACTCGAACTTGGCGGTGCGCTCGCGCAGCTCTTCGATGGCGCGATCCGCTACAGCTTGCACGCGACGGACCTTCTCGCCGTCCGGTTCGCATGTTGGTGGTAGAGGGATGACGCCACCCAGAGAGAAGGGATGAGGCTTAAGGATATAATCTTGCTCGCAGCGCACAGAGAAATCGCCGTAGCAATATGCGTGTGCTGGGCAAGGTTCGCACTGTGGCTCCAGAGTATCAATGACTGATTGGGGTACGGCAATCTCGTCTCCGAGGACGGATTGGGCCCATTCGGGAACTGAGACCTCACTAGGAATCGTTCCAGTGGTTTGTCCAACGTCACAGTACCCGATGGCGATCTTCTCCTGGCGGTACCATCCAGCGTAGACTGCAAGCAGCGTGGTTAGCAGGACGCCAACCGACGTGCCAGCGTTGCCAGACTTTGCCCGCCGGGCCTGCCCTGCCGCAACCACAGCAGTCTCGCCGCTCAGAGTCTGCTCGGCTTGGAGCTCCAACTGTTCCTCTGGTGTAAACTCCTCTCCGGCGTCCACTGCTGGTCCTGGGGCCAAGTCTGGGGTCTTCCCTCTAAGAAGCTTCCGCGCCGGCAATTGAAGGCTCTTGGACATGTTTGACTCGTCTGGGTCTGAATACTCGAGTCCTTCTGCCCGTCGGCGTGTCGAATGGCTGCTCGATGGTCTCGCACTATCGTAGCGGTAGCTAGGAGTTCTACGTCTGCTGCTGGGAGTCTTCTCCGTGGGCGGCGAACTGCCACTCTGGAAAGGGTTTTCAGAGCTGAAGGCACCTGATTCTCGCCGGAAGAAGCCTTCGTCGGAGATTTCGGGCTTCAGCACGGGTTGCGCCTGTCTCGCCCTAGGAGTGCGCAAGCTACCGCCATATGCAGGCGCATCATCTGTATCCGAGGTCTGTGGTGGCTGCCTGCGGGAAGGGGAGGTTCGCTTCGACGGGCTGCGGGCGGGCGGCATCAGCATATGTTCAGGCTCCTCGGACTTTATCCTTGCCGAAGCCTTTCTTGGTGATGCGGATCTCCTTGCACGGGCGCTAGGTGGCGGAACTGGGAGATCTTCAGGCTCATGGAAAGGGTTGCTGGTTTCCTGGGAGCTTTCGGCGTCGGAGATGCCCTTGCTCGATCTCTTGGCCTTTGCGCGCTGGTCTAGTATCCTCTTGGCCTGGGGTCTGACTTGGTCGTCGAAAATCTCAACCAGCTGTGCCTTCTTTGCGTTTGTGGGATAGTTGATGTTGTGGGCAACCAGTACGGAGCGCAGGCGCGGGATTGTCAGCGACTTGGCATCGAAGCCTGGCTGGAGATACTCCAAGCTGTCTGGGTCGGACATTTTGGCAGACGATGCGCAGTATAATCCGTGATGTTGCGAAGGTTAAAGCGCCTGCCCTTATCCCGATTGCGCGCAAATGTGGTTGGATGCCTTGTAGTCGTGCGACGGTTGCAGAAGGAGCCTGGGGCGGCTGTTGACCTGAGCACGTCGACAAGCTATGCGATGACGTCGAACTGGGCCAGCAGTGGGAAGTTCTGTGGGCGCAACAATCGAGGGAGGAAAATCCACGAACTGCCAGAAATTCCAAAGCTTAACTTAGGAAGCGTATTGATGAATTACAAATGGTAGAGTTTGACCCCAGGATGCCGGTGGGCTATTTTTGTTGATGAAAGAGTTGAACAGGTGGAAGGTAGCTGCGTTGCCCTGTGCTACGATGGATGTTTTATTAGTTCTGTCCAAATCCCTGCCCAGGTGAATTTGTGTTTGGATTTGGATTTGCATGCGACAGAATGCCTAGGAGTACAGTACGCATCTGTACTCTGTACAGTATGGAGAGAGTAGCGTTAGGCACTCGTTGCGCACCTACACGCACTGTCGTCTCATGTGGCTGTGCTCAAACGACGCCACACTTCCCTTTTCTCTCCCGCCATATCAAGAAAGAGTTCCATGGAAAGATGTCTATTCTATGGCCGCCTTTCCAACCGTCGATGAGCGACACGCTGACAATGTTTAACCATTTACCATATGTCTAACAAGTCCCGCAATCGTGATCATGTGGATTTAATCATACATATGTTTGATCAGCTTATAGTCTTGGTATGTCCGCTGAACAGGCAGAGTTCTAGATGATTACCATGGTCACTGCGGGTTTTATAATGTATTGAGTCTGCTGTTTCTACGCTCCTTTATTGACGAAACCACCTATTGGAAGTTACCACTCTAACTTCTATGTACTGTCTCAGATGTCTCGTGAGGTTGTCTAAAAACAACCTTGTCGACACACTCAACAACATGACCCCCAAAGACGATGAACCACTAAATCACATTCTATGCGTCAACAGGATACACTCCCAACTACAGTGACGTGCTCAATTTGCCAGGTACAGGCAACAAGCTGGTATGATTCAATGCTGTGCTGCCGATGACTTTGTGGCTGCACTAGTGAGCACCGCTAATATACACTTATGTGTAGTATCTAATCGTTTTACAAATGTAACGCCAATCATTTTTCGTCAAGTCAATACTACTTGATTGGTGTATGTTCGCTTACCAATAAAGATTGCGGAAGGTACCACGGAGATAGTCGTGTCAAGTTCATGTTGTTCGTATGGAGCATCAAAGACCCAACCACCTTGTATGTATTGTGGACAATATCAATAGATCGAAAAGCCTAAATGGCCACAATCACGGACAACACCATTCGACCTGTGTAATTCTCTGTAAATGCACCACAAGCCCCACCATCATCTGGTATCATCATGTGGCTCGTTATCAAATTCAGCTGCAACCTCTTTCATAACTCTCGTAAACGATCAGCCGTGTGGAGAAGGTGTATTAATTATTACCTGGCTGTTCATCAGGAAGCTGCAACCGTAGCTGCCAGCTTCTGCTCTGCTTCATCAGCCCTCTTGTTCGCGTCCGCAATTTCTTGCTGCAGTTGTTTGATGTAGATGATGGCCATTTCCACAGTACTGGCTTTACTGTTTGGGGTACTGGCCGGCTTGCCGTCTTTCTTATCTGCCTTTTCGTCTCCTGGGCTGTCTGCTTCGTCCGGTAAAATATCCTTGGTCACACTCTTAGGCAACAAGGTAGCAATTTCCTGAAGTGCTAAATTGATGCGGTTGCGACGTCCTTGTTCGGCGATTTTATGCGAAGTTCTTTTTGAGGTCAAGTTTGTTGACAACTCGCTCGGATAAGATACTCCGGGCACTGTGTTGCCTTCGATGATGTTTTGGTAATTTGACTTGGATGCCAACAACCGCGACGCGGTATCTTCGGCAGATAGGCTAGGAGTTCCTGGCAAAAGGGGTTTGATATTCGGAGAGATCTTTGGCCGCAGAGCTGGTGAAACAGACATGGAGCTGATACTGGCTCTTTTCTTGCTTCCGCGAGGGGCTAGTAAGGGCGTCTTTCGAGGGTTCGGTGTTCCAGCCGCCTTTGGGATGATCTGGGGGCTGTCAATTGATGGCGCAAGCCTTGGTGAAGGCTTTGCGAAAACTGGCGATGGTAAGGGCTGGAATGCAGAAGGCCTGACGGTTTCTACTTCAGGAGGCGAACTAGAGTTTGCCTGGGTGATAAGCTGTGGCAGCTGAGATTTCGGGAAACTGGCAGATTCGGGTAGTTCGAATGTCTCGATGTGTTCAGATGCCATTTGACCAGGGTTGGCCGAGTCAGCAGATTTGCCCTTGGGTGATATCCTGAAAAGTGTCGCAGGCGTCGCGGGCGATGCCATGCCATTTATCGAGGCTGTCAAGGGGTTCACCGCGGTGTTCTGTGCCTGGATATGGGGCGATTGCCGTGCAGAACGAGGATGAGGAAGAGGTGGCGGTGGCATATCCGAGAGAGCTTCGGGTGAAACGGATGCGTTTTCAGACTCGTCAGTTGATGTTGCCGAAGCGGGCGTCGTTTTCGTTGCCCGCTGCTCTGGCCTCCCAGCTGCCGTCTCTGCTAATTCACTCAATATCTGCGCGTTCATGACTGGCGTCGAGGCGGTCTTTTTCCTCTGAGGCTTGACGATGGGCGATTGACGGACAGTGCCCCTCCTGGCCTTTGACACATTTACCTTGCGGACCTTTTTCGATAGGTCGACTGACGTCGCCGGCGGGCCTCCAGATTCCAAGTCCATCTCTTGAGGCGAATTGGTCGTGTTGGTGCTTGCACCATGGTTGATGCCGAAGTGTGCGTCATTCTGGGCGTGTAGAGCCGGCGATGTCAGAGGACTAAAATATGCTCCCGGAATAGTGAATTGGTTATCGACTGGGAAGTGAGCATCCAAAGGGGTCACAGCAGGTGACACGAGCGGGGTGAAGGCCATCTAGCAATCAAGAATTAGCGAAGTTTCGGAGATGGTGTGGGGAGGGTGTGATCCGTTCCATACATCCTGCTGTTCCTTCAGACTGCGATACCTGTCGAACATGCCGTGTGAGTGATGGGGGGTTTGGTCCCCTTGGGCGTAGTAGTTGTTCGCAGCCTGCATCTCGAGGCTCTGGGGTGTTGGGGGTACCATGGCTTGCTGTTGCGCGAGCCAAGCAGCCTGCTGTTCTGCGAACCTCCGTTGCTGCTCCTCGAGCTGTCTCTGTTGCTGTTGCAGCTTCTGGTGTTGCAAGAACTGAATCTGAGCATCCAGGTCGGAGATGGCATCGCTTGTGTTGTTGTGATGTTGCGGCATCATCTGCGATGGTATAGTAGGTATGGCCGGGCCAGATGTCATGGGGGGCATCTGATGCGGGAGGCCTATGTTGCTGCCCGGCGCGGCATTTGGTGTTTCGGTACCGCTCATCTGAGTATCCATGCCATCGTGCGCCGAGTGATTGTGAATGATGGAGTTTCCATTGGGGGGGTTGAAGCCCTGAAAGTCGAACTGTATGCCATCGCCAAGGTTGGGCATGTCGCCCATATCCAAGAACTGCTGGAAATCATCCTGACCAGCCTGGTGCATCGAGTGCTCCTGTCCGCTCCAATTATTAGGATCCATCATCGCCATGCTCTTGTCCTTATGTGTTTATGAACATGCGAATCACACAACGTCATGAGCACACGGTACAGTACAGTATAGTATCGTTTCGCCGATGAATATGCGTTAGACTCGTTCGGATGATGCAATGGCCGCCGTGCTCTTGATTGCTTCTACCAACACTAATGCCAATGCCAATGCCAATAGATCCAGTACTGATGTGGTCGCAAGACTTGCCCACGAATTCCACGGCTGCTGCACTGCGATCAGTGAGGGGCAAGCGTTGGCGCAGGCGCAGGCGCAGGTGCGTCGAGTTCGAGCTCGAGTGCAGTAGGCGACAAAGCGTGAGGTCAGTGATATTCGCGCCCAGACGGTTCCTGTTGAGAATATCGCCAGCGGGGCGCAGTCGTCGTCGGCGGGATTGCAATCGTGGAGTCGGAGCAAAGGGGGAGAGCGGGTTGGGGACAGTCGTAGTCGGGGTCGTATAATTGAAGATTGAGGGTCTATCTATTGGCTGAGTCGTTTTCACTTTACCTTACGGATCCGTCCATTAGTTGCTCAAAAGCGCAAACCGAGGTGGGCGAGCGACCTCAGAGAAGCAACAAGCTCACTGACTGGCTGCAAAAAAAAATATCGTAATGGAGGGGGTAGCTCATGGTTTGCAGTGTGCACGCGGTGGTCACAGCGCTCCCACGGGGGCTGATCGGTCTGGTTCGCTAGCGCATAACCCACTAGGAATCCAGATCCCGGCCCCCTGTTAAACGTCACCAGGCCCTTTCCAGGTTCTCACTTCCAGTTCTCAAATGCAATGAGAATGAGACAACTGCCCCGTTCTTCTAATCGAGCACGACGTTTTGGTACCGGCACAATTCGATGGAAATACAATCGTCGAAAAGACTGATAACACCATTGCTTGATGGTTCGATATTACCGAGGCTCTGCTCACACAAGAAACACACCCGGCTCCGGTTTGGGCCAAAGAAGTTCGAACGATTTCACCTGAAATGATTCGTGTATGTACCATGGTAGCTGTCCCATTTTGAGCTTGCTGGTCCTGCCACCAGCCCAGTGACGATACTTAGTCTACTCACTAACGGCTGAACCCAGTGAGGGTCTTTGGTTGTCTTGGGAACTTTCATGGTAACTGGTTGGTCTTGAATCCACGCCTCGGGGGCATGCATGTACTACATACGTCCCGTATGAGAGGATTTTCATGACTACTAATATTCCTTTTCTCGGATCATCGCTGCGGTTCAAGGAAGACATACACCCGATAACTCAACATGCCTTGCAGATTGAGACTCGGATAGCGGCAACAGTCTCTTCTATCTGGATTTGATGCAAGGAATCTACATATTGTAGGAAGATACCAACTCAACGGCGGGCCGATGCACTTCGGCGTAATGCCGCAGTTTTTCATCCCATGGCTCCTGATTTAGTTTGCTTCTGAACCTTAATAATCTCTCAAGCTTACGCATGTGCGATCCAATACGGTTCACCTTGAGCTAACCCCTTCTTTAGCATGAAGCCATCCACGAAACCATTGCACTAATAAACATACGTAGACCAACCCCATCCAGCACATTGCATGGAAACACTAATGTGAGAAAATTTTGCTTGATTTCAGACCGCGGGTGTCGGGTGTGACTTTCGCGGTATGACTATCCGAAAGTGGGGAGGAGGGGGCGTCGGTGTGCATACCCGAATCGGCTCATAGATTTCACGTCAGGGAGTTGAGTTTCTTCCATGAAGAAGCGCGTCCACTCACTAAACGAAATGAGATTTCAGGACCGTGTCCACCTTATGATATTATGGTTGCTCTCGCGAAAGCTTGCATGAGATGGTTCCTTGGCAGAGTCAGCAGTGCAAGTCTGTATGTTCTGCGATCTGACAAATCATCGTGAATAGAGGCTGTAGTCAGGAAAGGAGCTTCTGGGTAATATGGTTCCAAGCATGTTTTCTGAATGCGGCATGACACAGGAGCCTCGGCGCTATATTGCTTTTTGCCAACCTTGTAAATTCGGAATCCTCTCAGACCCCCATACTTAGGTACTCAATGGCGCTCACATGAGTACGTACATACTTACAGATCATGCCAACGATACGCCCATGATTTTTTCGGGGGGGGGGGGGGGGGTTCGTAAGGGATTTGCTCGCGTATGCTAGCTCGCGCTACCGATCGAGATATTCAAGTCTACCAACAAATACTGTGCTCTGACGTTTCGGGGCATTCTTCCTGAGCATCGTGCGGACGTGGAAAATTAAGCCACCATCGCGAAGGACTCATCTGCTCAGGACCTGCTATATCCGTGGGGGTCACCCGCACTTACATTACCTCACGACACGAGCCTCTACGTGTGGGGTGGAAGCGAACTGCTGGATGACTGTCGCATCCGTGACTGTAGTCGTCAATTAGGTTAGGTAATTCTCATAATCGAATCTCCATCTCTGTTACAGACCAGACTTCATTTCATTCTGAATTGCGCCGTCTGCCTGCCCAACCTTGCAGCTATTGACACAAATCTCACAAAGTTGCATAGACTCAACATCAGCACTGATTAATCTGACCATAATAACTCATCTCCTCCCGTATCAGACTGCTGGTTTTCCATAATTACAAGACAGTTCACTCACTCCAGTAATATTCGAGATTATTTCATAGTATATCCATGGAAATTTATCATGAATTGAAATATATCCTCCGGGCTTTCATATCCGCCACTTGCCGCTCTGTCCGTAAAAGCTACACTGCCTCAAGTCACAACAGGCCAGAACAACGAATAGAAGCTGATGCGAATCACTATACGCTTAAGAACGAGCGGCATAATTTCACACCATGCCGTATCCGCAGGGGTTGATATCCGGGGTGAACTCATATTGCTTGTTTCGGCTGCAGCCAGATCCATTTTCGATACCGAAAGCGTGGCCAAGATGGGCAGCCCTAGGCCACGTACGGCGAACGCGTCGCTAACTGCAACTGTTTGGCTTGCAGCTCGCGGCCAATCTCTACATATAGCTCTCGACTTCATCACTGAGCCCTGTCCCAGCCTAAATATTGGCACTGGGGTACTATACAAGAGCGGCCGGGTAAGCATTACTACCGACTAGCCCCATAGACCGGTCGAGGAGGATTGTCTCAGAGCCACACGCTACGGATTGAACATACCGAAGATGTGATGGGATATCACTCTTGCCCTCGTTGCTGCGTCATGAACCGAGATTGCCGAGCGCCAGATCAGGGATCAGCTTTTGATTCCAGATATGTTATCTTCCAGACATTTTTTCCTGTCACCCCTGCATCACAATTTTTCACCATTGCGGAAAAAGGAGTCTAGGGATCGAGTCATCAGATCTCAAATGGTTGGATGCGTACCCTGAAGGAACCAAGCGAATACATTTAGGGATAATTGAAGGGCTCCAAGTGGCGCAATACTGGCATGGAAAACTCAACAACTAAACACTGGTCCATAGAGTGCCAGTCGCAAACTGGCTATGGAAATAGATGGCTCCCGGACTGGTCATTACCGCCTCTGCCAGAAGCTGCTCGCTGGTCCGTTTCACGACATGGAGCATGGCCATCTGAATATAGGTTTAAGACTTATCGTGACGTTACGGCACGTGCCCATTTTGTCATACAACTAGGAACCGAACACCATCGCTCAGGTTTAGTTCCACGGTGACCTCCTATTCTCTGCAGAAAGGGGAATCACTATACATTAGATAGAGACGTCTACGAGACTGGATACTCGCAGACAGGTAGCCGTGACTAGACTCCAACGGCATCAAATGTCAACTTGCATTCCGTATTGTCACTACTCGGGTCGTATCATACGTAGTATGTAAACCGTAGTTTACTATGACAGGTACGCTAGTAGCTATGGCACAAAATTCTAGCAAATACACAGGTCGGGCATGCAGTGGTCCCATTTCCCAGCAACAGGTCTTGGATTGTGTCCCTAATATATGGTCTGTATCTATCAATGTTGTCATCTTGAGTTGTTTTCCTACAGAGAGTCAGTATTTGTCGCAACAAGGTCCCGTGCTGTGAGGAAAAGCAAATCGTCCCCATTCTACTTCAGCCAGAACGGCAGGGGCTGGTGCATGCGGACACTGGCCTTCGGTATCCAATTATCGTTAAGCTGAGTGTATTTGCGGCTAGATGGTACAGTCACTCCACGGATCATACTCGGGATGGTTGGGCTTTTCCAAAGCTGGGAAATCCCATGACCAAATAATCTTTGTACAGAGCTAGGGTGTAGTCTGTAAGACGTATTTCCAATCTCAAATGGCCATGAAGCTGTATAAAATCTGTGTCCAGTTTTTAATGTTCCATACCTGTTGTCAGTACTGATCTTGTAGGAATATTGGCATTATGGTTGATGGAGGGTCATTCGCGTGTAGTATGTATAGCTCATCCAGTCTGCTTATATCACCTGGGTTCCGAACTATCAATCTACAAAGAGTTTGTCCATAGCTAGGAGCGAAACAATCAATTCCTAGCAGTGATCCTCATACCAACCAACGACTGTGGTATTATTTTAGGAGAATCCGGCATTAGCAGCCATACCTGGACTTATGGTCTGGAGTATAAACCACTAGTGCATGCTATCCATACTAATAGTTATCTCGTCCCCCACCAATATCAATCATGAATTTTTATAGTTCCATTCCCTTTTCTTTCCTTTAGACCGCGTACGTAATAGCGAACAGAATTTTCAATTCAGCCCCCATCGCACGAGACTTAATTCCTATTTGTGAATATTTGTTCACCGGATCACCAGGCGGTGATCTTGCATCCATCAATCAATGGATTATCAGGGGATGTGGTCTAGTGGTATGACGTTTCCTTAGCATGCTCTCATCTTCTTCATGAAGTGAGCCGCATGGAAAAGGTTCTGGGTTCGATTCCCAGCCTCTCCACCAATTCTTTTTCAGTCACATCTGATTGAAGGAGTTTAAACTTTTTTATTTTGGTATCCTCCATATTAGAAGACCTTATCCATATTGATGTTTTTCCAACCCCAACTGAAGCAGCCTCCTCATACTCCAACATCCTAAAGCAAAATCCCCAGTCACACAACTCATCAAAGCAGTGAAGCCAATTGCTGTCTGCCACCGCACTATTCCCATGCGTTATAGTGCTATACAAGCTTCATCAACAACATCACACAGCAGTCTTCGTGGCTCAGTTGGTTAGAGCGTCAGTCTCATACTTCCTACGTATGATCCCCTTGGAAACGAGGAGAACCACCTATCTGAAGGTCGCCAGTTCGAACCTGGCCGAGGACATCACTTTTTGCCGATCTCCCCATACTAAATTGGAATTGTACTAATGAGTCGTCCTCCGGGTTAAGTAAGGTTGGCATATTAATAACACATACTCTTTAGTTACAAAGAACGGAGACGATATAAGAAAATAAATGCTTATTATTATAAATGTAAATGAGATGTTTAAGCAATCTTTTTTTACTGTTTTTAAGTAATTATAAAAACTGATAATAAACTTATACATATATATAATGTGTTTAATGTTTATTATGATCAATCATCTTGTTAAATATCGACTTCTAATAACTAAGTAGGCAGTATGTGTTAGTCAAGTTACACATGCCATATGACCGAGCTTAGATTCTAGGGACTGCATTTTTCAAGGGCATTTGTACTCTGTTCATTGCGTTGACATCTACGTGGTATTCGGGAGCTCGTTTGGATTTTCTAGTACTAGTCTCGAAACGAGGAAAATACGAGGACATTAAGGAAGCTTTTGTATGTGTGTTTGTGTTTCCTTTCTTCTTTTTTCTTTTTGAATTGACTACCTTTTGAGCTAAAACGCCAATTGTAAGAGAACCAAGAACGTCTAAGTTATACACACTCTTTTCTGCGAAAGGAAGGGACTTAGTATTTGTAAAGGTAGGCGGATCTGGATTTTTTCTCCTCTTTTTTTAGTAATATATTTTTCAAATTTAAACTTTTTCCACTTCGACGCTTTGGGATCCGGAATCCAGACAACCATATTGATGTAAATGCCGATGAACATGCCTCCCTTGTATACATGGAGCAGATAGTTTCTGACCTTTCTCCACACAACATCCTAAACTCCGTTACGTTGCCAGGGGTACACTGAGACAAAGATGCAAATTTCAACATACAAGGTCAATCCAGTACGCCGCGCTGAAGACAAAGAAAAGAACACGGGTCGTCACCATCTGAAAGCAAACATTCAAACTCATACGTAGATTCAGCTGTCAACTGAGAGATTGTTTCAGTCTAAATCATCAGAGGCTCCGCACCGGGATGTCTTGACAGCTGGCCGAGGCGTCGGCTCGTCTACTTCCAACGTCTTCGCCTCTGCGGATGGACGAGGTGTCTCATCGGGATCAAATCCTGATTCTTGCCCTTGAACAGAAGGAGAATTTTCAGGGGGGGTTTGGAAGACAGCTTTCAAGGGTGAATGCACACGACTGAAAGGAGACACGGCGCCGTCCTTAGATGGTGTGACGACCTGCGTGATCGGTTCGGCAGTGCTATCAGAAGCTACTGCAACGCTGTCGTGGCTGTTTGCTCTCATCATCTCAATACCAAGCTTGGAGCTTGGTCGCTTCGCACGAATGGTACGCTCCCGAGAAGCGCCCAATTCTTCATCCTCATCATCGGCAGAGTCGCTTCCCTCGCCTCGTCGCTTCTCCAGATGTTCACGTCTTGACTTGAGCTTTTCCAGCGAACGGCGCGGCCTGGGCAGATTCGGTGCTTCCATTTGAGCTGGAGCAGATTGCTGAGTGATGAGATGTGCAGGCAATCGAGGCGGGTTGTCTGGTCCGTAGAGAACTTCATCTTGACTTATGCCCAGCTCGTCCCAATCTCCGGTGGCCTTTCGACTGATGACCATGGGAATCTCATCCGTAGCCACAGATTCAGAGTCACCAAACAGGCTAGAACTTATAGAATCTTCCCTGCTAGATCCTCGAAAGCTACTGCTGCCAGGATGACCGGCATACCCAGACGATCCAGATGTGGGGCTGTCTTCTAGTCGTGCCCCTTCATGTCGAAGTCCAGACTGTGCCAGGGAATTGGTTGGTTGACTCGGGGGTACAGCGGTATTCTGGGTAGGCGATGGTGGTTTCCATTGACATAAATTTGACAGCACTTCAACTAACTTTGAAGAACTTATTGGTTTCTCAATGAGAGAATCGAAGTAGTGAGGCGCTTGGAGTTCTTTAAGATAGGCAGTGATGGCAACGATGGGGGTGTGCGAGTTAATATTCTTTAGCTCACGAACCATCCGGGCGAGATCAGTACCATTAACTTCAGGAAGCTTAAACTCTGTGAAGATGATGTCAAACTTGATCTCGCTCATAGCATATCGCACAGCATCCGAACCGTTGGCAGCCGATATTGTTCGGCAACGGAGTTTTTCAAGCAGTTTCTCCATCACCATGCGCGAGACAGGGTGGTCTTCGCAAATCAGAACATCTAACGATCGAAAAGTTGGGCTGTCGAGGTTGATAGCAGACATGCGCCTAGAGCTCTGACGTCTCCGTTGAACTCGGAGCAGTGCATTCGCTTTATCGCCTTCATTGTCCGAAGATGACGGTGACATATCAAACACTTGGCTGCGGCGGTTGCGATGTGCCAGTATATCTGGAGCGACAGGACTGCCTTCTTGTGAACCCACAGTCAACGACCTTGAGCGCGTGGAAGAGCCACTAGCTTGTCGCGGACTCCCTACCAGGCCTTTCTGCGGAGATAACGCCAGAGGTGCCGGGGCGCCACGTCCTTTGATGGGAGACGCTGTAGCAGAAGTGACCGATTTCTGAAGACTGGGTGGGACTCGAGGAACCTCAAAGAAGTTGCCAGGTTGTAAGGAAGCTACAGACTGCTGAGACAGACTTGACGAGGTACTTGAGGGTTTTCGCCGCCCCTCTGCCCCATGCCCAGCATGAAAGGATACAAGCAGTGGAGAAGACGGTTGCGAAGCGCGGTTTGGTGATGAATTTGCATGGCTTGCTGCGGATGGAGAGGCGGGTCGCCGATCAGATGCTTTCGCGTTTGAGAGCGTCCGCTGTACTGGCATTGAAAGAATGGGGCTGCCTTCAGAAGCGGGAGCGGGAGATGTCGCTATGGCACTATTAATACCGCCTGGACTGACACCGGATCTGATTTGCGTCGCTGCGGCTTGAGCTTTGAGCTGCTGGATGAGATCTTTGTTTGCCTTGTCGAGGACTGTCAGATTCTTGAAGGCGAAATTGCCGAAATCATCAGTAGCGACAGGCTCGCTCAGCCGCCGACTCTTAAGATCGCGGATATGTGGCGGTATGTGCAATGGCATCAACCCGCGTTTGACCTGGTTGATATGTACCTGAGATCTGACTCTGGAAAGCGCGTCGTGTGGCCGCTCAGGATAGTCTGGAGTTGGTGCAGACGGGGGAGTTGCCTGATCCTCCATTTCTTCTGTGAATGCTTGTAGGGTAGCGCCCCGGGTATCAAAATACTCGGTATCCTCAGGGTTTTCTGGTTGAGGGACAAACTGCGCATCGTCCTGAAGTAGAGTGTCCCAAGTGATTCCTTCGAAAAACGGATGATCCCTAATCTCCTCCCCACCAGAGGCATATTTTTCTTCTCGGTTCGAGCCAAGTCTTTGCTTTGGATCCATGCACAACAATCTGTTGATCAGGTCCTTGGCCTCTTCGGAAACTTCTTCGTCATCATCTTCAGGCCACATAATCTTACGAGCCAGTATATTTTCAAACACAAGCTCGGCAGTGCCAGCGTTGAACGGGGGGATGCCGTAAAGAAATTCAAACAAGATGCAACCAACTGACCACCAATCACTTGTTTCATCTTGCCTATCACCCTTGATCGTTTCTGGTGCCAGATAGTCAGGGGTACCAACAAAGCGTCGGTTTGTGTCATCGGGGTCGAAAAGGGCCATTAGAGGCGGCATCATACTGGCTTGTGGCGGCGTATGTCTATGGGTCTCGCTGTTTTGTGTACTAGTGTGATGGAGTAATGGCAAGTCCGGCGAAGCTGCACTATCAACTTCACTCGTATCGTCCCGTGGTGATTTCATACTGGGCTGTATTTGCTTAGACTGAATCGTGGCAATGTCATTCAGTGAGAAGGTGCCGATCATGTGTGTCAGCGTTTCGCTACCACCACTGTCGCTTCGCTGGCCTGATAACCGATGCGGTTCTTGATGAATGGCAGAGAGGTTAAAATACGACTGTGGAAAGGAAGCACCGGGATCAGACGGATTCATCTGTGGCGTTCCACTAGGCGAGTGATGCCCACCGTGAAGATCGAGTGAAGTAGACCTAGAAGACGCGATTGAAGTCGAACGAACAAATGGGCCCGACTTGAGAAGATCAGGTGTTTGCTCTGAAGGAGCGCTGTTCAATGCTCGTTTCTGACGACCCACGAGACCCATTCTAGAAAGGCCAAAATCAGTCAACTTGAGATGGCCCTTTTGATCGATAAGAAGGTTGTCTGGCTTCAAATCTCGATGAATGATACCGCGACTGTGAAGATGTTCCACGCCAAGAATGACTTCGCCCAAGTACTTTTTAACCCAATCTTCAGGTAATCCACCGAGTACTTTGATCAAAGAGGCGCAGTCACCTCCATTGAGGTATTCCATGACGAGATACAAGTAGTCCTTGCTGGAGAAAGTCCAATAGAGTTTTGCAACAAACTCACTTTCGCCCTGCCACATCATAATAGCTCGTTCAGCCTTGACATTGGTGACCTGATTCTTGGCTACCATGTCCGCTTTCTTCAAGACCTTGATGGCAAAGTATTCTCCAGTTGACTTTTTCTTTGACAGGTAGACACTACCAAATGCTCCTTTACTGATTGGCTTGATGATCTCGAAGTCTTTGATGGAAGGTGGCACAGCCTTAACCTGTGGCGTTGCATTGACCGCGTGCATTCTAGGAGAAGGTGGTGGCTTGCTAGTGAAATCGGGGAAAGCGACGGAGGATTGTCTGCGATGATGAGACACAGCCATTGGTGAGCTAAAGTCGCTGTGTGGTAGCATCGGCGATGCTTCTGGAGAAACGACAGTCTCGTGTGAATAGTGAAGGTTTCTGGGCTTGAGTATTCGCAAAGGCGATGAGGGAGGAGCCCCACGGTTGGGTGATTCTTGCCGGTGAGGCGAGGATGTCCCAGGCAGGATCAGGCTGCGCCTATGATGTTGACGAGAGCTAGTCGCACGGCGCAGATCGCCAAACTCTGAGATTGGGGATTCAGTCCGAGGATGCCGCGAGGCTACTGACGACGATCGAACACTTCCTCCATCACTGTCGGCAGCATCACTCTCAAACATGATTGACTCACGACGAGACTCGCGCATCTGTCCCGAAATACCGAAACCACCACGATGCGATCTTGGGGTCGGGCATTCGCGGGGGCTGCTGGATCGAGTAGATCCATGGTTAGATGATGGTCGCCTTCTGTTAGGTGTATCTGCAAGTCTGGCATTCTGTAGGGCTGTTGCCAAAGAAGAAGGAGCGTCAAAAGAACCAGGGAAAACAGTTGTTTCATCGGGGACCGCTGGGACAACCTCTTCTACCGGGGCTTGTATAGGTTCCTGCTCATCATCTTCTTCTTCAGTTGAGTCACTCAAACGCCCCGCAGCAATGCGTGCCGCTTTTCGCAGTGCCTCATCGATGCAATCTTGAACAATTACGGCAAATTCAATACGTATACGCTCTGCATACTCCATAATCCTACGGTAACGGAAAACAGCTTCGACCTTCTCTTTTGCAACTTTCTCGGTATCTTGGTAAAGCAACGCTAAACCCTGCTCTTGCTCCATCGTGTTTGAGCCTGGCGAATGCCATTGGAGGACTTGGGAAATTCGCGATTCAGACTGGGGCGACTGTGTGCGGAATTCCCCAGTTCCTGAACCAGACTCTTTTATGGCCGGAGGACTGATCTCAGCAGCTGTATCGAGAAGGTCCAAAAGCAACTCGACTATACGAGCTTGTGGTCGGCGAACAGCAAAGGACCGCGAGCGTGCGTGGCCAAACCCTGCGGATCGGTCTCGCGATCCTGCAGACGGGGACGCTGTACCGGGAGATGAACTGCTGGACGTCGGGCCAATGGATAGACCCTTGTACTCAGCCAGTTTCAGTGTCAACGGCTCACCTGCTATAGGCCGACTCTTACGGGCTTCGAGCGCGTCAAGCACTTTGACGATTGCGTGCCTGTGCTCTGTCAAGTTCTCCTGTGCCATTTGGACGTCCATTTCAGCCCGGTGCTCTTGAAGACACAAGTCAGTGTGCTTTTCAAACCACCACGGCGGTATTTGCCGCTCGCATATGCGACAGAGTACAGGTAGTGGTGGGGGGTTGTTGGCAGGGTCATCGTTGCCAGCTTCAGCGAGTTGTGTGAGGTAACTAGCGAGAACCTCGGCGCCTGATCCAAGAGAATCGACAATCAAAGGTGGCAAGTCGATTTGTATTTCTCGTGGTGGTATCCATGGACGAATCATCCACATGGTCTATTCGATTGTCAGCATGGTGCAGGCACAGTCCTGGCTCCATGTACCTACATGGCTTTCACTTCCATCGGTTCGGTCATATACCATGATGCCTTGCGCGTCGAGATCGATCGTAGCAGGCTCGTTCTCGGCCAACTCTGTTTGCGTCATGTTCTCGGCCGGTAAAAGCTTGGAATGAGGGCCAATCCGTACGGCGAAACGGATCCTGTGGCTCCGGGAGTCATCCTTTTTCATAGACGCGATGGTTTCTGTAAAGACTTCCCGGTTGTCGCCGACGATGAGGTCTACAATCGGTTTGCCTTGGATTTCTTGGGGTGGTGTGCCAACAACATCAAGCCAGGATGGACTGACCCAGCGGATAGAGCCGTCGAGGTTCAAGTCCACAATGATATTGAGGGTTTGTTCGGCAGCTTCTCGAAGCTCGTCGCGCTCCTCCCGTATGTTCTCACTGAGCGTTCTTTCCATAGCACTACCGGCAGCCTGAGCCCTTAGTGAGCTTACTGCCGGGGGTGCTAATCTGCCCATCTCTTGTATTTGGTCCATGCTAGCTGAGGTACAGAACCAGCGATCGGGTGCCTTGGTAACATCGGGGAACAGATGAAGATCTGGCTGTACGTTGCCGGGAACCCCGTGGGTGGGACGGGGACAAACGCGTCGTGAGCTTCCAAGTTGTGTTTGGCGTAAAGTGGGATTCTTTTGGTGTCGAGACCAGTGAGATGGTAGTTCGACGTATCATGCAAAGCCAGATATTCTGGCACTGCGCCAGAGCTAGAAGCTTGCAAGAGCCCGAGACATGACGGTAATTGATGCGGTGGAGGTCAAGGTCGACGTCGAATGTCGAACCAGGGCACCGGCTGGAGGAGTCAGTCAGTCAGTCACGATTCGGTTCGAAGAAGTCCAAACTGTGATGGCTGTCCGGTGCGCCTTGTGGTCTTGATGGGCAAATAAACCTAGGCAGGTATGGCGGTGATTATGGCCGCATCGAAACACGGCGTGAAAAGGAGGCAAGTTGGACGTGAATGGTGAGAATTACAACAAATGTTGGCACACAGCAGTCAGTGCAGTTCGGTGCGGTGCGGTGCAGTGCAAGCAGTGCAATGGAGTTGGAGTCAATGGGTTGGGCTTGGCGCTTGGAGTAGTCTGGGAGGAAAGAAAGTTGACCAGCCTAGGTTAAGTAACTTAACGTAATGAGAGCTGGGGTTGTAAGTTTAGGTAGGTATCGTAGTTTACCTCAGCGTTAACTTAGCGCTGGGGACGGGGATGGAGTACTGTCAGCCTGTCTAATCTTGTCTCCTTCCTAGGTTAGTCGTGGCAATTGACGTCTGTCTGCTCGAGAGAATAGCGAGGCCAATGGTCTGAATATTCGCATTCGAGGGGGGTCGGCCAAAAGTAAAAACGGTGAAGAAAGTCAAGAGTCAGACGGTTCCTTAGGTTACTTGGTACCAAAGAAACGAAACGCGAGGTCCCGCAGGCTCTGCTCTGCTCTGGCCAGGGAAGGTTCAATGTCGCCCTGTTGAACCCGCTTCGGGTTGCTCGACTCATCCATCGATTGATTCTCCTGCCCTTGTCCTGTTTCTGTGCTGCAGGAAAGACACAAGACGGCTGTATTGATTCGGTTGATCGACCATAACCTGCATCTGCTTGGACCTGAACCCATAAACCATCTGTCCTGAGACCCACATCAGACTGCAATTCAAGACTTGAATGGTACGACAAGATGCAGCAATTGCTGCATCTACTGCATCCACTGCATTCACTGCATGCACAACTTCTTCACACCACCACCATCCTCCTTTCGGGATTTTGTTTATCTCTTTTCATCGACTTCCGAAGGGAGAAGTGCCCTCTCGTGCAGTGGCTTAAGCGACGGTAAGCGACGCAAGGGCCATTGATTGCACTTCCAACTAATCACCCCTTCTTTGTGTTTGTTCATAGCACAAGGCTAGTTGGAACTTTTTATTTTATCTTTTTTATACCCATCTGCATCCCCTCCCCCCCTCTACAAACGACTTTGCAGGGGCAACAACATCCCATACCATCCTGGCTCCTCCTCCTATGATACTCTTGCATTTCAATTGGTTGCATGTTTCCATGGGAATATTCTTGTTGGTGCCCCGTGTGTACGCCACTAAACAATTATGCTGCTGCCAGCACATTGGCATTCCACGCAACCACAATGAGACTGGTGTACACGTGACTGTAGATATCGCATACCTTGACATGCAGCTATAACCTGGTGAGGGGGTTGTGACTTCTTGTTACCAATCAAATCAGTGCGTTTCTCCATTGCATATGACACTATGTACGAACTTGCTTAGCGTACAGGTATTGTTGTCATGCGGACTCATCTATCTTTTGCTGTTCAGGAGATCTTACTATCATGTCCCCCAAATTTCTTTCCGTTACCTTCAAAGCCAGATCTTGCCATCAAAGCAAATCTATGCAACATACGTCTATTTTGTCAATTGAATATCTGGAGCGATGCCCGTTGTAATTCCCAGCATGCTTGTCTAACGGGAAGTTCACTATACTAATTACTCCCTCCCAACTGTACAAGTAATTACGGGTCAGGAACCAGGCCGAAAGATTACGTCAAGTAAACCAAGTCGAATTATGCTAAATTTACTGCCACTTCGACGGGAAGTCCAAGCCGGAGTTTCTGTATGCAAGGACATTAGATGGTAAATCTTCTGACAAAAGGTTTCATGTATGTTTGGCCGTTTTGAGAAAGAACTGCTGTACCCCCAACTGCATCATAAACTCCTCTCTTCCAAAGTTCCAGTTTGCCTGCAAGCCAGTACATCTAAGCAGGAACCAGTAAAAAGTGCATGCCTTTCCGTTGGGTCCGAGTCGGTCAGAGAAGCCAAGTCAGAAGGTTGCTCCCAGCGACACCCTTGTGTTACCTTAGCAATATCGGCTTACAAAGTACAAGCCGGCTCTACTAAACTTTCCATATTTAGAATAACTAGACCGCGCGGTTCACTGGTTACACCTCATCGACTTCGCCACACCTCACAACCTAATGCAACGAGCATATGCGATTCCGTGGTGCGAGTATCTAAAACGACAGTGGCCGTATAATATCTGATCGAGATTCTTCCAGCTGCCTGCCCGTCCTGTTGTTCCACTGCAGCTGGCACAACGTAGACAGCTAAGTTAGCACAAACGATTGGACCACCATGCAGTGTAGTGATGGTCGCATGATGTTGTCTCCACCCTCTGGCAACGGCAGCCATAACTGACGTACTATCTCTGCTTGACCTTCGTCGTGAATTGCTTTTATCGGCCCCCCATTGACCACCAGGGTGCATAGATCATTGAACATGTGCTGCGCGAAAATATTCTTAACCTGAGCTAGAGTTACCATTGCGCAGATCAGTTGAGACGATAGTCTGTGTTGCATAGGCAATATGCGCATATCATCTTGTCAAGGCTTAGGCGCAGTGTACTGATCCGAAGACAAAGTACTAACCTAGGCTGACTCGCGGCGGTGATGATGGGAACTTCCCCGGACTGATCTAACACTTGCCAAGGGCTCTACAGCTGCATCGGAACTTGCCCAGTGTTGTCACATTCAATATTTGGGGTAGTCTGCAGACGCTACTTGTGGCCGGTTGAGGTTGAGCAACTTGGTGTTGACCAGACTCCCTCACTGTCTCCCTGCAATGGCAACATGGATATTTGTAAGCCTGTTTGCAACAAATTATAAGCCAGAACAAGCCATCACCCAAAAGGACATCTACTGGAGATATTGTGCACTCAATCACAATGAGACTAGGCTCGGTTCCTTTGGAGCAGTGACAGAAGCCTCGCCAGATAACTGTACCAGATGCTTTTTGTCCATCCTCTGCATCGGATATTTATGGTTATATGCAGCTACCTTGTACCTTGCTGCTTCAACCTCGGGCACGATTCAGCACCTTTGAACGGCCTAGGTTAGGCATATTATTGTAAGGGCCACTTGGTGTCTGTATTGGAGCATCCACATTCTAAGTCTACCACTTGGTAAGCTCGTCACCATGAGGCAGCGCTTTCACGACCAAGCCGGGATTGCAATCATGGCTGCCACCGGTATTCAAGAGTCGTAGAGTCTTCCACAAGTCAGTCGTACTAGGGGAAATCACTATTGTGTTGGTGTGCATTTGTTGAATTGTATACTGCCATAATGCATGGCGTCGTTCAAAGTATTGGGTAGTGAAGATGAAACCCTTAACACCGGAGCACACGGGGTTTCTTTACAAAGGACTGTCGCTCAACTTGCAACGCATTTCAGTCTCCTTAGATTTGTGTGGTGTCCACCGAACATCTTCACTGAAATCGATGAACCCCGACGTGGTGTTCACAGCACGGTTCCATGAATGAAACACGATTCGAATATCGTTTAGTTACTTGCTGGCATCGTCTTTTAACCACACACCCACAGCCTGGAGCACAGTAATTCACCAGTTCAGCATGATTAAATAGGAATCACAATTGCTAGTTCAGCTTTTTATATAACTTATCACTTGATATCATGATCACTATACCAATGACTGTTTCAATCAGTACCCAAATCCAATCCAGAACGAGTTCACTATTCAGACAATATCCGGTAGAATCAAATCAGTGCAAAAAGCTGTACCAATCGCATGAGATAGAGTGAAATACACACCCAAATTTTCGAATAAACCTCCGGTATAGTACCAACTTGATTGGTAGTTTAACAAGACTATAGAGAGGTATATATGATATAATACGGGCATGTCGTGACTTTCAAGTGAACATGAGTCCACTTGTGGTTGCACACAATACTTTGATCAAAGATAATAGATCAACCTGGAGACCAACTCCATAACCCCACCCAACTTTGTACAGTTACTCAACACCAGGCCAGACAAAGATATATATGGGTGAATAGCTCATATGTTGAGTATTCCCATGTGCTCCTTCGATTCTTGGCAACCGTTAAGCATGCTTTGGCACAAGAGAATAACCGCACACGGCCGGTCGCATACAAACGACAAGGCCATACAGTAGACTCGGATCTGGCCGAGAATTAAGGCTAAGGTGCGCTACCATCTATGGATCCACTACTATAAAGACCAGCACCACCATCAAAGTCAGCGGCTGAAGCTCATTTCGGTGATCACTAATTTTATTGCGGTAAGTTATGTGGTCTCATGTGATTGAATGATCTACAAAAGACCAACTAGATGAACTCAGCTTCGACGCTTTATGACATCTCGAGCATATCATTTACGCAATAGCGATGTCAGGATAAATCAATCAACCTTGGTTCGTTGCCATGAGTCTGAGTTGTCTCAGTGGATGCGCCACTCAGTGTTGTTTCTCAGACCACCCAGACAAAAACCACAACTCGCTTTCGAAAGAATAGCGAAGATGCCCTGGCCTTCACCGCAAACACATCTTTCATTAGTTACGGCGAACCAGCGATCGGTCGTTCTAATAGTGCGGACTTGATCCGATCTTTGGCAGGGGATGTGAAATTCCATGATTCCAAATCGTATTGTCCTTCCGTAATCGTCACCAGGATACCATTCTTTGGCGCAACTCTAAAGAGGGCCCTAAATTGTGATTCGTACCTGCTTATCAGACTACTGACAAGCCTTCTGCTTTGATGGCAGGCGGTAGATGTGCGGGCTGTTTAGCGGAGACTTTGACACACACGCAATGATCCAGACCGGCGCCCTCAAATCGCACCGCGGGGCTTATGAGTCGGCCGACGTCAAGGGCTAAATCATCGAACCCCCAGATCGTCTCGAAGTGAAAGCGTTTCATCTTCACCTACGAACAGCACAGAATTCATTCGTCGCATAAAGTGGCGGTAGACGTTAGGCACTACAATCAGGAACACTTCCATCTCATCTTCCTTCAAATACAGAATCTGGCTCTCTCGGTAACACACACGCCCGGATATTGCAGAGCCTAAAAGTCTAGATCGCCAAGCGTGGGCGCTTGCAGGTGCGTATTCTTTACACCACCACATGGTTCATTATACAGATACATGTCTTTTCGCCATAGTCGCAATTCTGGTCAACGGGCCATTTGGCTACCTTGTTGCAATCCAGATAGTCAATGATGCATCTAAGGCACAGTCACGGATTGGGCTAATCCCAAGAAATAGAAACCACATTCGCCGCCCGCACAGCCATTATCGCCCAACAGGATCCTTACCTGCACCCATCTCAAACGAGTAAAGTCATTCGATGTCGTCGTCAACAAGCTCGCCGCCCCATGCCCCGGGCAATGGACAGGAGAAGGGGGCTTTGAACTCCTTGAACTTGGGATTCCTCAAGACTTTGACGGAGAAGAAAATAACAAGAGAAGGCCAACAACCCAAAAGGCGAGGGCCAAAACCAGATAGCAAACCAGCATTGACCCGCAGGCAAGAACTCAACCGACAAGCGCAGAGGTGGGTAGTGCCACAACATGTTCGGCAGGGGACTTGGGGCTGACAGGAGTGCAGGACGCATCGCGAACGAAAAGAATTATACATCAAAGCTCTAGAAGACGAAGTCCTTCGGTTGAAAGAGGTGTTCAGTAATGTCACGCATGACAAAGATAAGTTGGCAGAGGAAAACAAGCAGCTCAAGATGCTGCTCAGCCAGAATGGGCTGTCGCCAGCGCCAAATGGCGCGACGGATGACATGGCCAGCAACACAAGCTACAGATACAATACAGCGAGTCCCAGCGTGTCCGGCACATCCGGAAGTTATGGGCCTGGGTCGAGCGCAACGACTTACACGCCACCCATGACTTCGCAGTCCAACGCGCCGTCCATGTCGACCTCGTCGCAGATGATGGGGGTCCAGCAGCACCCCTTTCAACAGCACTCGAGAAATGCCAGCCAGCAGCAACGTGTGGACTACGAGCAGGCAGGTATAGACTTTGTTTTAACGTACGAGAACCCCAATGACCCCTCGAAGGCGTACATGTCATCTCCTCCGCGTTGATTTCCAGTTCACCCACAGCATATTAATTGCGTGTAGGTGATTCTGCGACGATCAAGTGGAAGGCCTCTCATTGGGTGAATCAGTCTAGCTAATTGCGGCGTCTGAACGCAAATAGGCTCGAGAAGCCCTGTATGGACCACATGCCTTGGCTAGTTGAGCGCGCCAGCGAAGCGGGAGGTGAGCCTTGTGGCCATGCCCTTATGGCTACCTGCCCCCCTGAGCCCTTTAGCGGGTTGAGCAACGACGTCCCGTTCGGCTACAATCACGCCCAGCCGGAGCAGAACAGGTCAGGTCAGCGCACCTGGGAGCTCACCAAGGGGGACCTCTCGACTCTTCTGGACTTGAGTAAGAAACTCGACCTAGATGGCGAGATTACACCAGTTATGGCCTGGGGCCTGATTCTCAACCATCCGCGACTTGCAGAGCTAAGAGTCGAGGACTACCACAGACTCGCGGACGAGCTGGGGGGCAAAGTCCGGTGCTACGGGTAAGTTGTTCCGACGCTCAAAACGATATTGCTGTTACTGACATGGATGGCCAGATTTGGGGCTGTTATGGAAGAGTTTGAAGTCAGGGATGCCATAAATGCCGTGTTTTGTACAAAGCCAGAACTGAACACGGCATTTTGACAAATCAAAACATGAATGTACAGTAGGAATATAATCTAAGCGTGTCAATGAGCCGTGTCTGCAATGCACGTCCACAAATTACTCATGTGCGTTACCGCCGAATGTTCACGGATATTGAGATGGATGATATTCGACCGTTGGCAATCCGTGTCTATCGACCACCCGCACTGAAGATGAATGTTGCGTTCAGCACTTGAAGTCAAAACGAGCAACAAGTCTTGGCCCCAAGTGACAATGCAAAGTCCATGTTGAATGCGCATGCATGGGGAAGACTTCGGTGGGTTGATTTGATGAGGGTGTATAGAGCACAGTGTGTCAAAGCTCGTGCAATACCATGATGTGCTCCGGGGGGACTGTACGTTTGCACTGTGGTGGCACCCCAACTCTAGTCTAGTCTAGACTAGGCGCAAAAGCAAACCTTCCTTACCTACATATGTAACCTAGCAAATGGCAAGTTGCCCCACCCCTCTGGAACCCCACCAAAGGCGAAATATTGACAGAAATTCAACCACGGTGAGAATTTGTGTGGCTGCATCGCGATATCCGCCGACCACGAACCCGACAACACACCTGAGAATATCATTTTCGAGGCTCGATCAGTACCCTCGAAACCCGTACTCCCACATCGATTCATCATGGCGCCGGCTTCTTTGGCCGACCTCATTGCGGCCCTGCCCGCTGAGGATGGATGGGGTCCGCCCACCACCAGCGAGACGACCTTGAATGGCGTGCCCTATGCGCCCTTCTCCAAGGGCGACAAGCTGGGTCGCATGGCAGATTGGACTGCCGACAGCAAGAGCGAGCGTGGTGGTAGACAACAGTACAACCGCAACTACAGAGGTATGACTTCTTTATTTTCATGCCATCATGCCCAGCCAAACTCCATTCGGTAGAAAAATGGGAAGACTCGGAAAAACGAGCTTGCAAATGGGCTTTGAACGGCCCGGCCCCAAAAAACAAATTTCCTTGTTTCCTTCCTTCCCTCCTTCCTTCCTTTGTAGACTTGCACTGATTTTCGAACATCAGACCAACAGATCTACGGAGCCGGAAGCGCACCAGTCTTTGCTGCACCGGTCGCCGAGGCAGACGAGGCATCATTCTCCATCGTCAGCAGAGAACCGGTCAAGACCCGATACGGTGGACGTGGCGCTATCTTCACCCGAGGCGGCCGCGGCCAGCGTGGTGGCGCACAGCAAGCCCGAGGGGGGAGAGCAACCCTCACGAGGGGCGGGCGGGGTGGTCAGGCCAACTACCGCGACGGCGGCAACTACGACAGCCGTGGTAACCGACAAAACGCCAGAGGCGGCCGTCGATTCGGCTGGAAGGACTACGACAAGCCCCAGCGGAACCGTGATGCAAGTATCAACGTTAAGGCCGATTGGAAACTGCTCGAGGAGATCGACTTCAACAGACTGGCCAAGCTCAACCTGGACACTGATGAGGGTGAGGATATTGACAGCTACGGTTTCCTCTACTACTACGACCGCACTTTCGACAAGACCACTGCCAAGTCTGGCGAGAAGAGACTCACTGCTCTCGACCGTGCTACATACAATGTTACCACCTCGTCGGATCCTGTCATCCAGGAGTTGGCCGAGAAGGATGAGGCAACCATCTTTGCCACCGACAGCATTCTGTCCATGCTCATGTGCGCTCCTCGATCCGTCTACCCCTGGGATATCGTAATTGTGCGACAAGGCAACAAGATCTTCCTGGACAAGCGTGACAACGCCGCGCTTGACATGGTCACAGTCAACGAGAACGCTGCTGATGCGCCGCACGAGGCCACCGACGGCAACAAGGAGGGCATCAACCAACCTGGCGCTCTGGCTGAGGAGGCTACCTACATCAACCACAACTTTGCCAACCAGGTTGTCCAGGAGAGCAGCTCCCAGAAGGTCGACATGCCCAATGCCAACCCCTTCTACAACTCGGCTGAGGAGACCGAGCCGCCGGCCAGCAAGGCCTACAAGTACAGGAGATTCGATCTGTCCCTCAACGATGAGGAGCCCATGTACTTGGTCGTACGAACGGAGATTGACGCCGTTCAGAAGAACGCCATCAGCGGAGACGACCAGCTCGTGACCGTCAAGGCTCTCAACGAGTTCGACAACAAGGCACAGGGTAGTGGAGGTGCTTTGGACTGGAGGTCCAAGCTGGTCACCCAGCGTGGTGCTGTTGTGGCCACCGAGATGAAGAACAACAGCGTCAAACTTGCTCGATGGACTGTGCAAAGTATCCTGGCCAAGGCCGATGTCATGAAGGTTGGGTAAGTGATGACAGACCCTGCCGACAATGTGATGCAGCAACGCTAACCGTACATGTAGATTCGTTTCTCGTGCTAACCCCAAGACAAACGACAAGCACGTCATTCTGGGTGTTGTTGGCTGGAAGCCTCGTGATTTCGCCAACCAGATGAACTTGTCCTTGTCGAACGGTTGGGGTATCGTCCGCACGATTGTGGATATGTGCATGAAGCGTGAGGAGGGCAAGTTCGTCCTCGTCAAGGACCCCAACAAGTCTATCCTACGGCTGTACGAGGTTCCTGCTGGCAGCTTCGACGACGATGACGATGAGGAGCCTTTTGTCGAAGAGGTCAAGGATGACGAATAAGTTGTTTCGTGGAAAGCAACAAGGCAGTGGCACAAAGCGTTGAAACTGCTTTGGGCAGTTCGACTGTAAATCTATGCTACAGGTTCATGATGAAAAGTAATGACATGGTGATCAATAGAGAAAATATGACTTTAGAAGCCAGCCACTCATCTGTATCTCGTCAGCGAAGACTGGGCAGCCCCGAATTTTGTATTCTACATTCTGCCGTGACGTCGACTTGGCGAGTACTTTATGTTGGATCGATCAGTTGCCGTTGAAAAAACACCGTTCAACGACGTCCATAGAATCATGCTCCTGGTGATCATATGGTTTATAACGGCCCGCACCGGGCGCCCTACCTTATGAATGCCCCGCGTTACTCCACCCTTCGAGCTTCCGAAAAGTGATCCGACTGCCCCGCGGTGAGTAGACATTTTTGTCCTGTGACGTCTGTCTCGAGCTGTTTATTTATTTATTCACTTATTGTTTACATTCGGAAGCTCTCTGCCACGACCTGCATTCTTCGCCATCTCTACACTGGGCTCAAGCCGGCACGACACTTGAACAATAAGAAACATGGCACCAAAGGCAATCATTGCGCCCTCCATCCTGTCGGCGGACTTTGCGCAGCTCGGCGCAGATTGCGCAAAGACGATGGAACAAGGTGCCGACTGGCTCCATGTTGATATCATGTGAGTTTGTCATCCTTTATACGGCACTCGAGCCTACCACCAAATTGAATCTTTTTTGTTTATTTAATTTTTGGTCCATTTTTCTTTTATGTATAATTTGTCCCATTCGAGGATTCGCTAACAGGGTTGTCCTTCGTTGGGAAAATGTAGGGACGGCCACTTCGTACCCAACCTCACCTTCGGCCCCCCGGTCGTGGCCAAGGTCCGGAAGCACGTCGACCAGCCGAGCGGCAAATTCGGCCGGGGCACCTTCGACTGCCACATGATGATCGCCGAGCCCAAGAAGTGGGTCAAGGAATTCAAGAGCGCTGGCTGCGACCTCTACTGCTTCCACTACGAGGCCGCCTTCTCGAGCGACGCCGAGAGCCCCGAGGGCCAGAGCGACAAGAAGACCAGCCCCAAGGAGCTCGTCAGGTACATCCATGACCAGGGCCTGTTGGCCGGCGTCGCGCTGAAGCCCGCGACTGGCGTGGAGGTGTTGACGGAGCTTCTGGAGAGCCCCGATGAGAAGGAGAGACCAGATGTAGGTGAAGACGGCTGAAAACGGCCAAGGCGGCGTCCGTAAGAAAGACCCCAGACAGACTGACAGAACTTAGATGGTCCTCATCATGACGGTGGAACCCGGCTTCGGTGGACAGAAGTTCATGGCGTCCGAGCTGCCCAAGGTTCAGGAGTTGAGGAAGAAATACCCAGAGCTTAACATTGAGGTTGACGGTGGATTGGGACCGGGCACGATCGACCAAGCAGCGGATGCCGGAGCCAACGTCATTGTGGCCGGCAGTGCAGTGTTTGGGGCGAAAGACCCGAGCGAAGTGATTGCCCTGCTGCGGGATACCGTTAACAAGAAGTCCGCACAGCTATAAGTTCGATCTAGTCAACCGAGCACTCTCTGCAAGCGACGCCACGCGGGGGTCCGGCCTTGGAAGAATAGGGGTTGGTTGTCGTACATAGAGGGGGAAATGAGTAACATTCTACACATCTGATAAAGCAAACTCCTACGTAATATAAGCACCGTCGATGGTCTGTCAAGTGATCAGTGACTTGTGCCAAACATTCCTCGGCAAAGGCACTGGCTTCGATATACTGTACATGCAATTGGTTGACGATTCGGCTTGTTGTGTGAACGCAGATGTTCAGAGAGGGTACAAGAGGTAAAGACTGTCGTCTTTCTTGCGAATCCGTTCGCAAAAGGCGTTTATCTGCCGACCTGACCTTTCACATCGAATCTGACACAGAAAATGAGTTGGGAATATGTACCTAGGCAAGCTAATGTGGTATAACCCCACTATACCAAGTGAACTTCGTCACTTTGAGTCGGCTTGCGGGGAAAGCCATACACGACTTCCCGAAGAAGCAACTTCCTCGCAAAGATATATTGCTGCTTAGGCAATAGAAGACACTTCTGATCTTTGCGTCTCCGAGTATAAGTACCGTCCATTTTCTCTCTCGTTTTCCTCATTACCATCGATCCTCTTGTCGTCTTATCTGTGTGTCGAGCAAGTATAGATCCGAAGCTTAGTATAAACAACGAGCTGCAATGGCTCCATTTGATGTTCAGAGTGCGCGGTCCAAATTCCCGGCGCTACAACAGGAACAAGTCTACTTCGACAATGCCGGCGGAAGTCAAACCTTGGGAGCCGTGATTGACTCGTAGGTCTCTATGGAACTTGGCAAGATTGTCCTAGCTCACACGTGAGATAGAATATACAAATACCTGACCACCAACAACGTGCAACTTGGTGCATCGTACCGCGTTGGAAAGGCCTCTACCCAGAAATATAATGAAGGATTTGCTGCAGCGGCCAAGTATATCAACGCGCAGGAAGATGAGATTGGTAAGCGAAGCTCTGAAGACCATCATGAAAACTATGAGACACAATGGGGAAAAGAAGGCTGTATATAGGTTTGACGCCCGAGAGACAGACAGACAAACCGTTACGCCTTTATTATTTGTGTATAAAACGACTGACTAGAACTAGTCTTTGGCTCTTCTACAACCCAGCTCTACCGCAACCTCTCATACGCCTTGCACTTCGAGGAGGGAGACGAGATCATCGTTTCCAGCATCGACCACGAAGCCAACATAGCCCCCTGGGTCGATCTCGCGTCCCGCCTCAAGCTGAACCTCAGGTGGTGGACGCCAGCCAAGTCGACCAACCCCAAGCTCCTCGCGGAGGACCTCAAGCCCCTGCTCACCCCCAGGACGAGGCTCGTGACGTGCACGCACACGAGCAACATCCTCGGGACCATCACGGACGTCAAGGCCATCGCGGAGACGGTGCACACGGTGCCGGGCGCGCTGCTGTGCGTGGACGGCGTGGCGTACGCCCCGCACCGGGCGCTCGACATGCAGGACCTGGGCGCCGACTTCTACTGCTACTCGTGGTACAAGGTGTACGGGCCGCACATATCGATGCTGTATGCGTCGCGGGGGGCGCAGGAGGCGCGCGTGCGGTCCCTGGGCCACTTCTTCAAGGGGGGCTCGACCCTCGACGAGAGGCTCGGGCTCGCGGGCGGCTCGTACGAGCTGCTGCAGACCGTCCCGGCCGTCCTCGGGTACCTGGGCGCCAGCGGCTCCGAGGCCTGGGAGGGCCTCCGGGGGCACGAGGAGGAGCTGCAGGGGACGCTGCTGGAGTACCTGAACGGGAGGGAGGACGTCACGGTGATCGGGGAACCGAGCAGCGACCCTGCGCTCAGGGTGCCGACGGTGAGCTTCGTGGTCAAGGGGTGGAACTCACAAGAACTGGTGGAAAAGGTGGAAAAGGATAGTAATTTTGCGTTTAGATGGGGCAGCTTTTACTCGAACCGGCTGGTGCACGAGTTGTTGGGCCTGGGGAGTGACGGGGTGGTCAGGATTAGCATGGTGCATTATAATACTGGTAAGTCGAGTCGTCCACAAGAGCGTTGATGAGACGTGGACCTTGCTAACGCGGAGATTAGTTGAGGAGGTGAAAGGAATCATTGGAGCTATTGACGCGGCCATCCAGAGATGATGAGCTGCCATTTGATCATACGACAAAGTCGTATACTCGGACCCGAGTGCCTCTCGCTTTTGCAGCAAGCAATGCATGCCCCCCAATAGCGCTCTAGAACCCAGCACATTAATTTTATGGATGCGTCAATCTTGAAGTAGACTTTATGAATGTTTTTTCGAATATACTTTTGATTCCTCTCGTCGCCGCCGCTTCCAGTGAAGAGCTAGCTACATAGAGTCATGATAGATACAGAAACTTCCGCTCCCTTCCTCCCTTCTGCATCCATTTGAACAGGGCGGTTCTTCCCCTGCTTTCTTACGGGTCAAAATATTAATAGCTTAGTAGAAGCTCTGCTTCCTAGACCCCCGCCTCCCCTGACATCTGATGCTGGTATCACATAAATGAGAGTGGCGGTCTAATTGTTCTAGACCAAGATACAAGAAAAACCAAGGCGCTCGTGATAGAAAATATGCAAACCCGACCCAAGCGGCGCCGATCCGATATCCAGGATCAAACATGATAATCAAAAAGGTATAGAAAACTAATCTGGGACACGCTAGCTCCTCAAAAGCACGCAGCTGTGTATAAATCCAGTCTGGAAGTGAAAAGGGCGCCGTAGAATGCGAATAATATGTAAGGGGGTTAGCTTCGAGGCGAAGCGCCACGTATGTGTGAAAGGAACACATGCGGTGAGATATATATAGTGGTGGACCGAGCTCGGAGGGGCCAGATTGTGGGTTTGGTGTGATGTACAATCGATGCAGGACATCGGGTGAGTTGGTGTCGAGATTCTTGAAGTAACACCTGTGCTGACAATGTTATTTTGTTGAGGTAACAGCTCATAAACGAAAGTGGGTATAGTTGGTAAACATTGAAGTGGACTCATAACAGGTTCGTAGGCTTGCGGTGAAGTTGCAGATTGAGAGAAAGGCTATCGTCACTATCGCTTGTGCGCGTTTTCGCCCAGGTTCAACCAGCTCATATCCGATGTAGAAGCCATCGTAAGTTGGGGTTGGTGAGAGACACCAGTTACATCGGTCGTAGGTCGGCTCGTACCTGGTGCGCCCAGTGCCGTTGGATAGATGCTCTGGGTATAAACCGAGCTCGGCGCGCGGTCTTCGCCCCAGGCTTTCTTGGCCATCGTTGGGTCCCACTGCTCGTGGACGCTGGCAGGAATGCCACTGGAATACCCGGACGAGGAGACGTTTGAAACTGGCCGCTCGAGTGCAGCCGACTGGCCCTCCTTGATATTGTTTGAAAAATATGACACCGTCGGGCTATTTGAATGCACACGGCTGAATGACGGTCTGCCCTCAGCCACGTGCAGTGGCGGGACAGTTGCAGAGTCTTGTGTCATCCGGTGCATATCAGAGTAGTGAGAGCTCTGCTCTGATGCTTGCGTTTCCCTACGAGACGGGGCATTGCCGAATCCGATCATGTTGAGTGTGCTTCCACCTGACCAGTAACGATTCCATCCCGAACTTCTTCTGGTGCCGTCTTCTCTATCGGGAATGGGCGGTACTCTGGGTTTCACTTGACTTGTTGCAACATTGACTGGACCGGCCTTCTCCTCAGCGATCGGGAGTACGTCCGACTCAAACTCCGGCTCGGGAATTGGTGATGGCCGGCCGATTGTAGCTTTGAATTGTCTGTTGAGGATACTGCTTGCCGAGGAACGTCTCGAATCTTTGCTCGCCTTGCGGTTAAGTGTTTGGGCCGGCTTTTGCGCTTTGCCCATGAGAATAGCCATGGAGGAGAATGATGATTGAGAATCCTGCTGAGCATGTCCCGGGAAGAAGGGACCTGTCGCCTGGGCAATGTCTCTTGGAAGATATTCCCTCTTTTCTGGCATGCCACTATCCCTCCTAGCATGCCCAGCACTGACGTGAGCTTGCTTTTGTCTCTTGCGCTTCATAAGGAACAACAACGCGATCAGCATAATCGCACATGCAAAGATAACTCCAAGAGCAATTCCTAGAATTGATGTTGGCGGTAGTCCGCTTGATGATGACGCAGCAGCAGCAGCAATATCAGTCGTAGCGCTCTGCGTAGCCGCTGCTGCCAAGGTGGAGGTTGCCATAGTGGTGGGCGAGACAGAGGATGTTGTCTTCGGTTCCGACTCGCTTCGTACTGTTCCGCCTACCAGAAGGGCGGTGGCGTTTTGCCAGCTATTCGTCTTTCCATTAAACATGCACAGCACATCGTCATCGTTGCCGCCAGACATCACTACAGTCCCACTGTTGTCACTCGCAAGCGAGTACTCTGATCTTGAAGACTCCGGTGCCAAAGATGCATTATAAGTCGGCCAATCGCTGGCATCCAGAGCTCGTCGTGCAGCATCGCTGCCCGCGCCGCGTATTGGGACCGAACTCACAACCGGCGCCCCATTGCCATCCCATAGTACTGTCCGGTTCACTGTGTTTGGTGAAGTGCTGGCATCGAACGTGTACAAGTGCTTGCTGCCATCGTCACCAGTCACTAACGTTGCCTTCACTACTGTGGTGTCTTGCACAATCGGGGTCGCCAGAGAGGCCCCGGAGTCGTACCAGTGCTTGTCGGGGTTGAAGAGCATGACCTTGGTGTTTGTGGATTCGCCACCTACCATCACCGCGTCTGTGTCTGACCACGGGAGTAGAATAGGTGCGATGACCGGGGGGGCGTTGGACTCGTAGGCCGAGACGCCGTATGGTTCCGATGCACCGATGGTAAAAGTTTGTGTCGAGATGAACTTGGCGCCATCTTGCGATCCGGCGTACACCAATATGGTGTCGGAACCATTCAGGTAAGTCGCGCTATGCCATATCCTACTTTGCGTAACCGCAACCTGCGGTGTAATCGCATCCCACTTTCCTGTCGAGTATGTGAACTTTTGTAAACCTCTGTAATTCGGATCCGTCGATGTGCCGCCGACGATGTATAATCCTGCTTGGGAAGGATCTGCTGGTGTAGAGCCAACGCATACTCCTCCTTGTACCGACTCTCCGTCCGTCAAAGTTTCCCACTTCGCGCCTTCTTCCAAGGCCAAGGATTGGAATGCTTCCGGTGAGTATGCATAGAGGACGTTATCGTAGATGACCGAGCATGCACCAGTCAAGGTGGAATTAGGTTGAGGGAGGGGCATCGCGAGTCTGTTATTGCCCAGGCTGAGACCTGATCAGGTTCGGCGTTCCTGTAGTGGCAAGAGATGTCGAAATTTCTCGTAGTAGTTGAATCACTAACCGCTATAGCATGACTTGTCAAAAGAGATAATGCGAATGAGGGAATGCGAATGAGATTGGGATGAGCTTGTGCCGATCCACCGGAGTTGAGGCGCAGCAATTCGCTTCTGCCGAAACTGCTGCAACGTCCTGATGACCTGACGAAAGAATTCGATGCTGCTGTTTGTCGAGGCGTTCCTTCAGATCTGGAATTGCCGAGCCAATATGGACCGTCACAAATCGTCAGTGGCTAACAGTAATTTGAGCTGAAACGATAGGTCGTCCAGAATCAATGTCTTTGCGTCGAGTGCGATATATGACAAGACGAAGACGGGACGAAAGCTCCGCTGGAGTTGGATGAGTACCAAATGAGGCTGGTCGCCGCGTAGAGATGTCTCTGGAGAACTGAGGCTTATCGACTTGAGACAGCTCTATCGTGTGTCGAAAGTTCAAGGTCCCGCCCCCCTTGTTTAAGCTGAGATGGATGATCTACAGAACAACGTTTATGATGGGTGTGATGTTTCCTCCTCTTCTTCCACACGTTTGCCACTAGATGTGAGTCAAGGAAAGAGCCCAAATGTGTTTGTCCTCCTGAAGGTGCTCCGTGTCGCAGGTTTTGGGGTAAAGCGGAGGATGGGTGGTCTGGGAAAGTCTATGCTTTGCCTAAAGTGTGGTTGAAATGGACTATGGTAGCCCCTGATGTCCGAGGACGCCGTAACGCGTAGATATTAAGAATATAATAGTGCACAATGTAACATGCACTGCTCCGTTGCTGTCAGTCAAGAAGAAGAAAAAGAGAGAGATGTGTGAACGCCTTGCGTCCTACAACGAGACTTCAAGCTCGATTTTGCCTATGTGAGGGAGTGAACAATGGTTCGAGGGAGCAGAAGCAGGGGAGAGCGGCGAGTTCTGCAAGAAAACGAAGAAGCACACAGAACAGAACGAGTGATTCGACAACCGAGTGTTCACGAAGATGGCATGGGGGGGCATGCACATTGGTATGGGCACGGGCAGGGAGCAAGGTCGGAAGGCCAGGAACCCTTGACACGCGTTGCATACAGCGAATCAGCGTTCCCTGCCAAGTTGGGAGCGACGAGGATCCAAGCCCGAATGGGCCCAAGTATTGTTGAATCACTAAGTACGGCAAGCGCTATGGGGATACCCAGCGGCTGACATGTACCATAGCAGCGCGGTACAAACCTGAAGCTGAGGCATGGCTGGGTGTGTTCGGTTCCGTTCTCCGTACCTGAGCGCGCAGAAAGGGGGCTTGTGCTGTAAGGTACTGCACGTACATACATAGTGCGAAGGTTAGTGCGCTTCATCTCCAATCTGACTTTCAACGGTCAATTTGAGTTCGGCTGTGGCAATGCTTAGGTAGGTAGGTACTGTAGGTAGGCAGACATTGTTGTGTATGACCTCGTTCGTGCTTGTGTAGTACATAGACTGCCGCAGTGGTCGGTCGTTGGCAGAAAGGGAGCAAGGTGCGCAGAGATGAGAATTCCAGCTACTCCACCAGCGTTGCTCTCTCAATGGAGTATCTGATTTGCGCTCCGACGGAATCACGAAATGGCCCATGGGATTTAATGAGTGTTCAAGCATTGCACTGGGGAACAACACGATAGGCACAGACTCGGCTCGTCCAGCGGCTCTTGGGCACACGGATTTCAGTACTTGAGCGAGGTGAAAGGCCGCCGCTGGCGTCGAATATTGCTGAATTAGTTCATGCTTTTCTCGATGTTGGCTGGACTGGCCCTAGACTGTCCGCGGGCACTAGCCCGAATGGCATAGGTGAAACCCTGCATCCCCTGAAAGATGGCTAGCCTTGCTGGCGAACAAATGCGCTTACCCTTCTCCAGTTAGAAAATAGAGGAGACCTCAAAGAGAGGTGTACTCAGTATTACTTCCATGTGAGGAGGTGTGGTCTCGGTTGCGAGGAGAGCTTCCCTTCCCGGAGCGCTATTCACACGCCACGTTCCTCCTCAGTTACACCATGACGCCGGTCAGGATACAGCCAAGACCCTAGTTGGCATTCAGTGCAGCGACGGAACATCTTGGACGGTACGGTGTACGGGGAACAAACGATCGATTCTTAGGATGACGAAAGAACAAAAAGAGATTCTACTGTATGGGCGAGATGCAATGCCGCAGGCCTAACCACTCGGAACCAGAACCTAAAATCGACAGAGTTTGGGCATGCAAATGTGAATTTTGAGCTTCATAATACGGGATTAGGAACTCGGAACTCCTCATGTGGTGGCCAGTAGTCGTGTAACCTGCATCGCAAAATCCTTCACCGTGTTACAATTAGTTTCCCATCGTACCCGTCACTCACGCCAACTAAATTCGGGTCCTCAGTTACGACAAGCAGCAGCCATTGATTCAGATCCCATCGGAAACCGTCCATAGACGGGGTTGAAGAGGATTTGGTGTCGCTAGCCACATTCTTACGCGCCTTTTCAACTACAGCAGTTATCCGGTACTTCTGCCCTCATAGGTCATCTCCACGCCGCCACCCGAAATATGGGTATTGGTGTTGCCACAAGAGGTCGTATTCTGGTCTCGTGTTGTTAATTGAAGAATACGTATGGACAAGCATGATTCTGTTTTCCCTTTAGCCTTCTGTAGAGCAACGATTCGATGTCTCACGACTCGTTATCTCGTATGACAAACGAGACCGTTGGGACGATTTCTACCGTTGCACGGGGTCATTCTCGCTTTTGTTCGAGTAAACTCGGTGTGTTAGATATAATTTCGTTTGTAGGAAAATCTCTAAACACAGCTTCTGGAAAGATCAACGCATGCACGCTCTGTAGATTCATCCACACATAGGTCTCAACGATTCTGTTGAATGTGATGGTAGACCCATGCATCCAGATGAGCACAGAAGAACAAGCTATGTACAAACTCGTACACCACAATAAAATCAGCCGGTCTCTGCCACCCGGCCGCACACAAGGTGGAGGGGGCGGCTACGGGCCTAAGCCTCCAAAACCTTCATCGAAATCTTGCATATGCTTCCCGCGCGGGAGATTGGCTTTTTGCTGTAGAATCCAGGTCTGACGTCTCTGAGACCCTTAAAATATCTAAGTCCTCATACGTCAATTCGACGACACTGCGAGAATCGTGACAGACGATCACGTTGCCGCTGGCCGACGGGTCATTGCCTAAGCGCTTTGCCCTTGCGGTCAAGTGCCGGGCGGCGAATCAATCATAGATGGCCGGTAAGGTTATCTCACACCTCTAATTTCCCTGCGCGAACGCGCGCGCCAGCCAACCGGGTCACGGTATCACGACATCGCGTCTGCCATTGGTGGTTGGATAAATTCTAAGTTTCCTTGCCGTTGATCATCTTGTGTGTCGAGGATGCTAATAATTACAATATCGTGAGACTCAATGCCACCAAGCGCCCTAGCAAAACGTCGACTACATAAGCACCGGTTGATTATTCGTCATAGGGTGCCCTATGGTATGTCTTGTCATATATCCTCGTTCGCAAGACCTCACGTTACGCTGTTTCTCACAAATGTGCGGGTGTTGAATCTGGTGCTTGCAAAACTAGACTGCCGATTGTCAACACGAACGAATCTCGTTGGACTGCAAGATCAACATCTAGAAGAAAATAATACCCCATTGCAACGTTTCGGTGAATTAACCCAGCCACATATGAGCACGTAGTTCATTGCATTAGACACATGCGTCCATATAACTAATGGGTGATATGAAGCCTATATGGACTAGCATGGGAAACCAAGCTCACGGTGTGCCAACTGTACCAGCGGGTCGGCCTTCCTTACGCTCAACAAAATAATGATTCACGGGATTTTACGATCTGCTCTGGAACAATTGCTTGATACGGTGAACCCGACTCAATTGTTTTGCTGGAGAAATGCTGCAGGATTGCTAACCCTAAGAGCAGTTGCCATTCTTCACTTCTTGATAAAGTCACTGAAATTCGAACGGATAAACCGTTGAGTCCGTGTGCTGTCAGTCCATGCTTTTATTTTCCCTGAAGACAATGCAGCGGGGTTTGAATTTCTGTGCTCAGCATCGGACCGTTCTGCCTGCAAGATGTCTTTTGGGGCAATATCGCGGACCTCATCTACAATGCTAATGAACTTCCACCATTATATATGTACTACACGATCTGACATAATAACCCTTTTGGTGCGCAGGCCGTTAATTTTATCCCTTCTCTCAAAATCAGGCCTCCATCAGTCATAAACTCCTCGCAATGCACCGTTTCAAAAACTCCAGTGTCGGAAGTGATCGTCTGGATATCTTGTTCACATAGGGACCTGAGCAAAGGCTTCAGGCGGAAGAGAAGCCTACACGTTTCATTAGAATAGTCGCGTAAAACAAGAGCGTTGATGCTCACCTTCTTCTCGTTGAACGTGAGCAAAGCCGCATCGAAATTCCAGCCGGCGACATCGAGGCACATCTTGGAGTACTCAATAGTCATGCCGGTCTGCTTGCAGAGCTCGAGCGTTATCTGTTCTTGTGTGGGGTTCGCGTTCGGAACTGGAGCTGGCATAACCTCGGGCACTCCGCTCTGCGCAGGCAGGGGGGCATGTGCGCGCAGTTGCAGCAGGTCGCTGACAACTCGAATCTCGTTCCTGCCAGGAAAGCCAGGTCCGATCACGAAGGTGCGCGAAAAACTCCTTGTCGCGGTTTTTTGTGTTTCCGGGTCCTGGTCTTCAAATTGTCCATGCAGTGTAATGACCATGCCTTCAACGCCTCCCAAGTTTTGTCCAGTCGGATCGGCAAGGCCGTTCATAGGATGGCAGTCGACGATATACTTGTCGAACTCTGCACTAAGACTTGGATGCCGTGTAGGGGGTAGTCTTGACCAAGCATTCTGCACAAGGCCTGTGCCAACAAACAGACGTTGCCATCGGGCATTCTGAGTGGTGATCTTGTGGTGATTCCTTGACATCTTAATGTAGTTTGTCCAGGGCAACGACACGGACCCAGGAATGTACGACTGTGTCGTCATAACCGAAAACGAGAAGACGCTTTGCTCGTCGTAGTACTTCATTGCCAGGCCTTGACGATCAGTGTCGTACAAGCCGATGAATTCGCTGACGAAAGCTTCGCCTATGCGGTTGACATCGCGGAAATCGGAGCCGAATTGCGGGATTGGAAAGACTTTTGGTATTTGTGCAGCGGCCTCCACCTGCTCCTTGGTTCTGACCTGAACGTTGCTGAGGTTCTGTAGTCGAGGCCACCACTTCATTATGTCAGCGGCATGGGTTGGATCGGATGCGATAGGATTGTCGTTGAGTAGCAGGGTCTCGAGTTTTCGGAAGCGGTGGCTCCACTTTCGCAAAGACTTTGTGTCTTTGAACTGATTTCCTGACAAGTCCAGGTTGATCAGATCTGGGAAGGTATCGGCAAGCGATGTAATCTGAGTTACATCGTCGATGTTATTGCCCTTCAGACTAATGCTGACAACACCATCGCGCCTTTCCTGGGCTGATTTGAAACTTTGTTCCACTATAACCATGAGCGCACGGAATAGCTTTTCGGGGCTGGCCTGGTTGAGCATATCCATCTGCTGTAATATGACATCCTGGCTCAAATCTGACAGGTCGAGCAGCTTCGCTGCTTGGTTGTATCGTTGGCCAAGAACCGTTGTCAACTGCTCCTTGACGTCCTTAGATTTCTCAGATAGTGGAGGACCAGATCCGTCGGTGGTTTCTTCGACGGAAATCCGCGTACCAGCGAAGTCAAAATTGTTTACTTTCTTGATTTCCTCCGCGTCTTCCTTGCTTGCTGTGATGTAGACAAAGTCACCCCTTATTGATGACTGCTAGATGTTAGCCAAGGTAGAAACACCTTGTTGGTTATCCAGGCATCCGGGGTAGGTGCACGTGGCCGATGGACATAGACTTGTCTTCTCCTCGTTGTTGCGAGCTATGGCACGGCAACGAGATGGAGAGTCGGTGCCGCTCCATAGACCTTAAAAGAACCCCAGAGTATCGGATCAGATATACGGACTTACCTTCTTAATGTGGACAGGGCGATTTGTTTTGCCGACGGTGGAAGCTTTACGTTCGAGGAAAATGATCAGATCTCGGAGCCCGCCGTCGTCGTTACTAGCGGCTTTGCTGTTCTTCAGACCTCCGATTCGTAATGTCATGGTATGCGCAGCATTAATGGGGCGGGAGGAACGTGTATGCCTGCCAGACGTGTCGATTCCGGCGGCAACGCGAGAAGACATGTTGCCTGAGCCACCCTCGATAATCTTCTTGACCATGTCTGCCGCACGGCTCGTGGGTCTTGGAGCGCGACCACCAGCTGGGGCCGAACGAGCAGAGCGTCGGGGGCCAGTGGGTGGTGCGGCAGATTTGTTGGCATTGGACTGGCGGTTGCCACGACCAGGACCACCAGCAGCGGGCGCATCCATGACAAGATCCCCATCTCTATCGGTTTTCGTAGGACCGCCAGCTCCACGCTTCTTTATACCGGAAGGGCGACCTTGAGTTTTATTGAGAGAGCTGGACCCGCGCGCGTTGCGCTGGGCACGGGGACCGGAGGGCGCCATGGTGATTTGCGTGCGGCAGGCGAAGAGGCTCGTGCCAGAGGGCTGAATAGTCGGAGGACGACTTGGGGCGTAACCGTATTCTGACAGGAATCAACCACGGTGCTAACGGTCTCAAAGTCGGACTTTGTCAGAGGGCGATCGTGGGGCAAGCCAAAGCTTAACCATACGGCGGTGGATGATTTTCTTCTTCTTTTCTCTCTTTGGCGGAAGGTGGTGCTGAGCGCTGGACGGAGCTGGAGGGGAGAAGGCTTCTACCACTGTCGCGAAACGGGTTCGTCCTTTAGAAGTGCGGTGGAGTGTGTCAAAGTGGGCAAAGCCACTGCAGAGTAGAAGGTGAAAGAAGCAGGGTCAGCGCGAAGTAACGGTGAAGCAGGATTCGTTTGTGGAATACTCGGTAAAACAAATGAAAATGAATGAGGTCCGGTTAACAAAGAAATCGGCGAGTGACGACAAAGGCTGTCCTGGTTGCTTGCGACCCTAGGAAGTGGGAAAAAAGATCGGGGCCCAAGCTTTCTCCAGCTACAGTAAGAACAATCAAATCAGCCACGCTTGTTGCCTAAAGCGGGAAGATCAAGCCCGAAATGGCGGGGTCTTAGCTCCCCAAAGGGCTTAGCGTATTTTCTAATTGGTCAGGTGAGTTGGCGACTCGACGGTCGTGCATCCTTGCCTCCTTCGCGTCTCATGCTGGGATTCCTGTCGCGTTGAACGACCAATTACCACTTCCAGGACATTGACAGTGCAGTCGACCAAGTCATGGACTCGGACGAATTCGATGATGACATTCTCGATGAGGATCTGATCATTGCTGCCACCCAATTTCCTTCCAACATCCAGTCAAGCAAACCTACTGCCACTTCAAATTTCCATCCCCACGTGCAACGCCATGGCCGGGTGGCGGCTGGGAATAGCTTCAATTCACCGCAAAGGGTTCGTGCACCAAACCCAGCACGTTTCGTCCTCGGCAGACGTCCTGCAAACATATACGGTCGATTGCCTGCATCGAGGCTGATCCATGTTATAGAACAACCCGACATCAGGCATTCATAATGCAGCTGGCTTCATTGACCTCGATGACCTGCCAGATGATGCATTTTCCAGTCCACCACACACCTCAGTAACGCAAGCCGCTGCCGGCAATGTACGTACGCCAGCACGGTTTGGTGGGCCAGCCCCCAATTATCGGCAGATGACGCTCTTTGGTTCGGCGGCTCCCCAAAATGGTGCCTCAGAGCCTGCTCAACGCATGAATAGTATACGTAAGTTTCGTGCCGATCTACCAGAGGAAAAGCCAACCCATCACGACATTGACCGCGATGCCATGAAAACATGGGTTTATCCTACAAATTTGGGGGCCATCAGAGAATATCAGTATACTATAGTCAAAGAGGGGCTGTTTAACAACACCCTGGTGGCTTTACCTACTGGTCTCGGAAAGACTTTTATTGCAGCCACCGTCATGTTGAATTTCTATCGTTGGACAAAGACAGCCAAGATCATTTTTGTGGCCCCCACCAAACCACTCGTATCACAACAAGTTGACGCTTGCTTCAATATCGCTGGTATCCCAAGATCGCAAACCACGTTATTGACCGGCGAGATCTCTCCAGCCCTCCGAGAGGATGAATGGAAATCAAAGCGCGTGTTTTTCATGACGCCACAAACTTTAGAAAATGATTTATCTTCTGGTGCCGCAGATCCAAAGTCCATCGCGCTTCTAGTGGTGGACGAAGCCCATAGAGCTACGGGCAACTATTCATACACCAAAGTCGTAACCTTCCTCCGACGGTTTTCCAGCAGCTTCCGCATCCTGGCTCTCACAGCAACTCCAGGGTCGAAAGTTGAGGCAGTTCAGGAAGTCATTGATGGCCTCGGCATATCGCATGTCGAAATCCGCACCGAGGATTCTCTTGATATTCGGCAGTATGTTCACCACCGACAGGAAGACATTGAGTTGCTGGACCCTTCCGAGGAAATGGTGTTTTGTAGGGACTTGTTTTCCAAGGCTCTGAAGCCATTGGTGGACAAACTGAGCCAGCAAAATATTTACTACGGTCGTGATCCAATGTCCCTGACTACTTTCGGATTGCTGAAAGCGCGGAAAGACTGGCTGGGAAGAGCGGGCCATTCCGCTAATCAAGGAGTCAAGTTCATGATGTTTGCGATTTTCACTATTCTACAGGGTCTGGCCCATGCAATAAAACTACTGAATTTTCACGGCATCAAACCCTTCTATGATAACCTGGTTCGATTTAGAGAAGAGATCGAAGACAAAGGCGCAAAGGGTTCCAAATTCAAGCGTCAGGTCGTTGACTCACCTGACTTCCAGCAAATGATGGGTAAGGTCGGTGACTGGCTAAAGAAGGATGATTTCGTCAGTCACCCGAAGCTCACTTGTCTTTCCGAAACCATTCTCAATCATTTTATGGACGCAGGCGAAGGCAGAGAGGACGGTGGATCTTCTAATACAAGGATCATCGTCTTCAGCGAATACCGAGACAGTGCAGAGGAGATCGTACGCATACTCAACCGTCACGAGCCTCTCATAAGAGCTGCCGTTTTTGTCGGCCAAGCAGATACCACGAAGTCATCCGGCATGAAGCAAACTGAGCAGATCGAAAGGATCAAAAAGTTCAAAGAGGGTGTTTTCAACGTGCTCGTCGCCACTTCCATCGGCGAAGAAGGGCTGGATATCGGTCAAGTTGATCTAATTGTGTGTTATGATGCCTCGGCTTCCCCCATCAGGATGCTGCAAAGGATGGGACGAACGGGAAGAAAGAGAGCCGGAAGGGTTGTGCTGCTGCTTATGCGAGGAAAAGAGGAGGATAACTATGCGAAGTCAAAGGATGGCTATGATAAAATGCAGCAGATGATCTGCGAAGGAAGTCGTTTCGCATTCAGGCACGATCTGTCTACGCGAATTGTCCCACGGGACATCAAACCTGAAGTAGATAAGAGGCATGTCGAGATTCCCATCGAGAACACGCAGAATCAGTCACTCCCAGAGCCCAAGAAGGGGGCGGCTCGGAAGAAGAGAGCACCAAAGAAGTTTCACATGCCTGATGGCGTTGAGACCGGATTTACCAGTGTTGCTTCCATGCTCGGAAAGCGGCCGAAGAATACAACAAAGTCAAAGGTTCAGGCAGAGCCTCGGGAGGAAGACGAAGTGGCCGACATTCCCGAGGCGCAAGCAGTCTGGCTCAACTCCCGGCAGACAGAAGAACTCCGAAGCACTTACCAGAATTTGCCATATTATCAGGACCAAGTCCAAGAGGTTCCCACTGCAGATCTTACAGCGCAGACCGAAGCACAAAGAACACTACGCAAAACTGTGCTTTTGATGCATGGAGAGCATACGAAACAATGTGTTAAGCTCTTCCGGAAGATGGCAAAGATCCATGCAACGCCAACTTTGTTTCAGGGATCTTATACTCAGCTAGATGGCAGTCGTTATCTGGAAATAAGTGTACCCTCTGATCTTTCGGATTCTGAGATAGATGTTGCTGAAGTAAAACGACCGCCACAGAAGAAAAGAAAAACTGCCCAGTTAGATGGCGACGAGGAAGTCGAGGTGAATTTTCGACCTCGGAAAGCCCCAGCTAAACCACGTCAGATACAAAAACCAAAGGCAGTATCAAAGAGCAAACAGGCTGTACACCACAACACATTTACAGACGAGGACGATGGAGGTGTGCATGATGGAGATTCACTAGAGTTAACCCCGCCACGGCGCCAGAAGCCTGTTGTCAAAAACGCAACATCCCGTTCGGTGCCGACGAAGAAGCGCGGTCGTCCATCGAAGAACAAACAATCAGGCGTATATGATGAAAGCGCTGATGAAGGAGATGATTGCCGTCGAACCAGTGACCTTGAATTGACAGCCGAATCCGATGATGGTTCAGATCTAGAAGATTTTGTTGTAGGAGACGATGTTGCTACATCTTCGGCAGTGCCAACGTCCAGTATGAGGCGCGTCTCCACATCGCCTACGACGCCTTCAATGTCCTCGGTGGCGGGTCGACAATTTGGGCAGGGGAAGCAATACTATGAGAAGGCAAGCCTGTCGACAACTCAGGACAGCGAGGACGATATGCCGTCGATGAGTCAAATTGTGGGCAGGAATAAATCGCGGGCCACGGAAGCATCCGATCTAGAAAAAACGGACGACGAAGAGATCGTCCAGAGAATAATCCGCGGACCCAGGAGGCGTGCTGTGATTAATGACGACGAGGACTCTGACGTTTAATAAGTACGTACTGCACAAACCGATTTAGAGCAAAATGAATAAACGTAAGCCGATGAGATGTTCTCATGCATTCCAATTTCCAAATCTGCCAAGAGCTGAAAATTCCGTACACACCTACACTCAACTGCAAGACTTCTACGGTAGTCACAACGCTGATTCGTAAACTTATTCGCGATTACGTTTCCCAGGTTTGACGGCTTAGCAAGTTGTAACAACGAAAGCGTGGTTGTCTCGGTGACTGGAGTAATTTCCTGACCGCCCCGTACCCTACTAAGGGTAAAGAGCTTGCTCATGTGCTATAAGGACCAGCTTTAGGACTGATGCGGTCGTCAGAGTTTCAATCTCCATCGTTACTCTAAAGATCATGTCAGCAATTCCAGCTATACTGTCATCTACACTAGAGACACGGTTCTGTAGAGTTTGTCTCCACAAGCTGACAGGGAGACACTCATTGGCATCTTGAGTATTCGGAAAGATGGAGGAGGTGATCTCCATGTGCTTCTTTTCCCAGAAGGGGCTCAGTAGTTATTGTCCAACAAGCAGCAGGCCCGTCATGGCGAGATATCTACTGTGCCCGGGCCGGGTTCCTTGCGTCTCTCATAGATCACTCGAGAGCTATCACAAGCTGCGTGCCCGAGATCTAGCAGGCCGTCACCAAAAAGCCTGGAGTGAGACATGATAGTTCCCGCTGTACTTTTACTCATGTTCGGTCGATCCAGGGGGTCTTACTCATTACCCACTAGCACTGCATACTATATCCGTGACTGAGCACCATGTTCAGGTTCTCGTCGAGAACAATGACAGCTGGCTCGACACATCTCGAATCGCCATCCCCACCCCCCAGCTACCGCCACGCAAAAGCGTTGACAATTCACGGGGTGTAGTCGAATACTTGCAAGGCCCGATACATGACTCAGAGCCTGGTGCGTCGCGCGATGAAACTACATGCAGCTCAACCGATTTAGGATCATTTTTCTGCCCTGGATGAAGAGTGAAAATACGTACTTCCGCGGTACAGCTTGATACTGTTCCGGCAGGGTTTGGTTTGTAAAATGGCAGTGGATTCTTTTTTTGAAAACTCCCTCCCCCCTGCAGAATAGAAAACATGTAACTTTGAAAGCGGTCTGGGAGGACCTTTCATCAAGTCTAGAGACCAAGGCGCTCGTTCTAGAAAAAAGAAAAGAAGGAAAAAAGGAAAGAAGAAAAAAAGGAAAGAAAAAAGCTGAAGATGAGATTTTTGACTACATAGATACTAGGTTGGCGAGCCTGAGGAACTTTCCGCCATAGCGCACACATAGCATATTCCAGTTCTTGTATACAACCCAATAATCTCAAAATCGAACGCATTGCACTTCCATTACTGCTCTCAAGTTGTCTGCTGTTACTTGACCCCTCTAAACGAATGCTATCTCAGGACCTAACATTGTCTCCCTTCAGCGACCGTAACCACAGTCGTTGTTGAATCCATTTCTCGTTCCACATATCATCAGCGTATTCAATCATTTATCCGTGGGTCCCGTCACGCCCCGTTCACTCGCATAACCCTACAGCCATTAAAGCAAACTCCAGTCTTTCAAACGCCCCGAATATGATGTCAATGCTAATGTGGCCAGCAGGTCTCTCGCTTGGCCAGGTATATCCTTCCACGCTGCTCCCGGTTCCTTGTATGAAAGCATACAGTTCATAGTGATGCTGCTTAGGCAACGACTGCCTTACCCATACCGCTTCCCCAGCGGAAACGTTTCAGCGTGCCGCCACTGCTCCTGATGACTTCTCTCCCACAACTTCCTCCATCTGAGACCACTGAAGCATTTCCAGCCCCGAGACCACTCAAGACCTCTTGGCGCCCAACCTCGCGTCCAATCACATAGCCTGCACCGAATCCGACCACGCTCACCAACACTACGACACCAGCGCCCATGACCCACGTCATGAGGGTGGGGCTGATTAGAGTTTCCTCTGCGTTCAAAGGCGATGAGTTGGTCTTCTTCTTCTTCGTGGCCCTTGGAGATTTTCCCGATGACTGCGGCGGAGTTGCTGGGCGCTTGACTTTCTCGGGTGTGACAGATCTGGTTGTCGTAGGCGGTGAAGGCGATGGGTCGCTTCTGAGCACCCTCCCTTGTGCAGTCGGTCGCGGCGCAGGATCCATGAGTTCACTTTCAGGGACGAAGCGGAGATTCACTGGCTGGCTACCAACTTGGGCGGTTCTCTCGCCTAGTTTTTTCTCGTTGTCTTCTTTGAGCCCTCTCGCTGCCGCCGCGCAGCTCAGCAATGTGGTGAGGCTAGCACGTAATGCTTCATCGTTATCGGCCTGATAATTGGGCGACGTGAAGTTTGGGCTCCGGCGGTCGACCCTGGTGTTACTGCGCTGACTGAATGATGGGCGTGGATGGTGTTGCGGAATCGCAGAGCTGGTCGAGTGACGATGCTGCAAGTGGGACGGCGGGTGGGTGAAGGCATTCGGCTGAGGTCGGAATGGCTCCGACGGCCTGCGGGAGCCAAGGGCTGTCGAATTCTCGTCATCGTCATCTTCCTCATCACTGGATTCAGTCTGAGCTGGATAGACGTTGCGCAATGGCGTGGGGTTTGGACTAGGCGTCGATGTGATGTTCTCGGTCGATGAGGTCAGAACATGATCGGAGTCTGTTTCGCTCTCTTCGTATTCATCTTGACTGCCTGTACCGGCGGCCACTTGTGCAGCAAGTTGTTGTTGTTGTTGCTGCTGCTGCTGTTGCGCCAGCAGATGGTTATATGATTGTGGATGTAAGCGTCGCCTGCGGGCATACGCGGACGACCCGACTCGTAAGCCAGTAGTGACTATCTCGTCGCCAAGCGAGGATACAGAGGATGATGATGGGTGCGAGGATACTTCGATCCATGATTCTGGTGCTGTGAGAAGGCTGCCGGTGTTTTCAAGAAGTTGGATAGACTGACCATCGTGCCGTTGTCGTTGTGACTGAGTGCCCGACCTAGCGGGCGCGGGTGTGCTGGTAACCCCGGACGTCATACTGTTGCCCTGCTGGTTCTGATTGCCAGGTCTGTCTGAAGTTGACATGTTTATAAGATATTAAGAGAGTAAATGGAAATAGGCGTTGAACACAGAAGAGAGGCTCGGGACGATAGCGCAGTAGAAAGTGGTGTCGTCCAGATCCGGGCCTCACCGACTGCCAAGTAGTATATCCCAACAAGAGCCCCGCGGTGATAGCACGTACTGCGCAGGCGTGGGCGCGGGCGTGGGAGGACTTCAAAGGCAGGGATCCCGCTGATCTACACGGCCGACCGCGGGGTGGTTATACTTGTTAGTCAAATATGGAGTGCTTTGTCGAGTCGGTATTTGGGGAGAAACTAATTTTGAAGCGAGCTTGTCCTGGAAAATGGATGCAGGGCAGATGATGCAAGGGAGAATCCCCAAAGAAGGCTGATACATAGACCGCCGGTTTCTTGGGAGAGGTGAGAGAGGTGGTCACAGGTCGGGGTGGAGGAGGCATGCGCTTCTGCTCGGGGGTGGCTGTCCGCTTCTGGCTTTGCGGCGCTCGAGCTGTTCTTTGTTTCCCCCAGACACCTACGCAGAGTTGCTATCCGATCAAGTCCAGGTGAGCCAACGTCGCTTGGATGTAAGAGTGTGGTTTGGAACGGGCTTCTACGGAACTACAACAGATGCCCGAGCCTTCCACTCTGTCACGGTGGTCGCTGTATTGTTCAATCCAGCAGAGCAGGACCCTTGGTTATCTCCCAGTGAAACCCCAACCCGGACTTTGGGGGATGGGACACTCCCGTGCTGATGTGTGTGTAAGCGACTTTGGCGACAGCAATTGCGTGGGTGGGTAAGTTAGGTGAGACGAGACACCCAGTCTGGCCCCCCCCCCCCGGCCTGAGGCCCTGCCAGGGTCCGATGACGATATGCACTGGCGGGTCTAGCGTGCCTAGCGTGCCTAGCGTGCCTCTCGTGCCTTATGGAATGGGCCCTCTTGGCACTGCTGTGGTGCCGTGGAACGTCTCGATAGGCTTGCTTCGCGCTGATAAGCGGTGGATCGTTGAAACTCAAGTACATAATTAAAAGACTGGCGGGGTATTCACCTTTGACGCGAGTTGAGGAGACGGCATCTCAAGCTCGCCTTCATCATGCCATCGCACATACGATGGACGTGAATGTGCGCATATGTCAGTCCATCAAAACGAGCACAGGCACGACATGGCTGCCTCTCACGTCTCACTTGACATGACCAGCTCAGCCGGGCACTTTACGGGCACACCTCTCCCTCGAATAGTATTGGGCTGCGCGGAAACGACTAAGCCGTCCTCCGTCTCGCTTGAGATGATGGCATCATGAGAGCGAGTGGGCAGTGCACATGTGCCCCCCAGCCACTTAGAATACCAGACTAGGCATTCCGTCTTTCTAGCTTCACTTTCTGTCAGCGGAGCGCCATCCTTTGCCGATACAGGAGCAGCCATATCTTGCAATTCTCATTCTTCTGGATTCGCGGGTGAGCAACAGCTGATTGATTGTGTTGATAAAACCACCGAGACTACTGCTGCAAGGGATTGAGATCTACCATGCACCTCGGGCCGCCTGTACTTTTAGGCTCGTATGATATGTCACAACCATTTTTAGCAACAAAAGCCTCCCTGATGTTGACACGATATCTTGCCATCTCACCTTGGAGCCTGGCTCCTTGCATTTCTTGCTGATAGTCACAGTCGGCTCCTGCAAAGCTCAGCGCCTGAGTTGCTGTCCTCATCATCGCAAGAAGCCAGTTATTGCTATGTTGACCAGAGACGTGTTTTCTGCCGTGTCCCTCTCACACACATATCGAGCAACCTTATTGAGGTCCTCGCCCATCTCAAACCTCCTGGTTTGTCCATTATCCCTTCCGATTACCCCCGGTCACCTCACTTCTTGTTTGTCCGCTTCTCCCAACTCCATCTCTTTCGCGATTATCTCATCGTACTCGTTTGACGTCCAATACAGTCTCCTTCGATGTACTACTTGCCTGACATTTATAATCTTGTGATTCTGTTCACTGCGCTCCGCGGGCACTCTCCGCAAAGCCCCCTCTCCATCTGCTCAATCTAGTCCTTCATGACTTTGGAAAGACTTTCTTGTGAGCCCGATCTCGATAACTTTGGCATCATGACGGCTCACGAGTGCCACTACATTATCGTCAGAACCCCTTCTCGCTCTATGGCTATTTTATTGGTGTCTATAGCTTCCTTCGTATAAGCCCGCATGTCTTAAAGTGTCTGATGTGCTCAAAGAAGATTAAATAAATATAAACCCCGGCAGTTTTACTCTTTATTGACGACAATGATGGACCTTCGAATTAACTGAAAACTTCCAGTGGCGAATAATTCTATGCCCTCATGTCACAATGTGTTAAAAAGAAAATGGCCTGGTAAGACGGGTGTTTTACTCTGGAATGTAGCCTCGAGCTCGCCTAAGACATGTCAGACACAGACCTCGAAAGAGCCGCTTGCGGCGGAGGATAACTGCCTCCAAGTAACTCTTTTGGGCTGATATACTGACACTTCAAACTGCTTAGAATGCTGTTTTTTATTTTATTGAATGCAGTCAAGTAGCTTGAGCACGGCTACGAGATGATTACTGCCCAGCAAGAAGACAGGGGGATGACACCATTCTCAAGGGAACAAATCCAAGGACTGTTCTGTATTGTTATATTACCATTGATTACTTTAGGCACGGGCTTACGAATTGCAACAAGGACGACAGGTCTCACCCGACCTCAAGTCTGATCGGATTACCCCCGCCTTTTATTTCACTTCCAATCTCAATGCATCATACTGCACATAAACACTACGAGGCAATAGCGCGCTTTCGTAGTCTGTCGCATTGTACGGCAGGCTGAGCACAATTTCGTTTGTTGCGTTTGCGCCGGCCGCCAGGTAGTTAGTCGGAAACGTGAACTTGTTGGCGACTTGATAACAGACGACACCGCTTCTGGCGGCACAAGAGGACGAGTGGTAGTATCTGCAATCCAAAAGAGAGGTGTGTCAACGATAAGACTCCAAGGCGAACAAAAAGAAAACGTGAGGTGTAGTTTGGCAGTTAGCTTACGGGATAACCCAGGGTTCCAGCTCCTGCCCATTGACGACTACCACAAAGGGCATGTTCGAGTACGGCTGCGTCGCATTGTAGACGTCCGTATTGCCCGCAGCAGTCTTGGCGCCGGCGAGCTGGACCGTGAAGGTGGCCTCGCTCCGGTCTCTCAGATCGCCCTCTCCCACCTCGAACGAGATGGTCCAGTTGTTGATCTCGCCGCGGCCCGCCTCCTGTACGGGGCGCCGGAAGTTGGCGTGCCCGCCGTACACGGACCAGTGGACATAGTTCCAGTCCTCGGCCTCGACCGACTCCCCGACGCGGAAGTTGACCCCCCGCGGGAACTCGTCGATGTAGTCGTACGCGCCCCAGTAGATCCGGTACTCGGGCGGCTGCAGCGCCGCCGCCGTGTTCTTGGCATAGCCGTGCTTCCACTCGCCGCCGGCCTTGTCGGGTGTCCCGATACGCCAGAGCTCCCTGCCCGCCGATTCGGCCTCCCAGACCACGGAGCCGCTGTCTGTGGTATCGCCTGCGGCAACGATGATACCGTCCTGCGTGTAGTCGCCGAAGACGCCGTCGGCGTAGACGGTGAGGCGGTAGGTGCCAGTCTTGATGCGGTCGATCTGCACCTTGCCTGTGCAGTGGTCGATGTCCGCCCAGTACTGGTAGGCGGAGACGTCTTCGACGTTGTCCTGGAAGTCGACGCCGTTTTGAGCGAGGACGGCGATGGGGTTCTTGGCGTCCCGAGGCAGCTGAACTCGTGCTTTCCATGATCCACGACCCGAAGTCGGCACGTAGCCGGTGACGTGCTCCGAGATGTCGTCATAAAAGTGTGCGTTCCATGCTGGCGAGGCGAACCCCCGGGCTTCTTCGTATAGGGGAGCCCAGCCACCGCCGACGGGCCCCTTGTTGAAGTGGAAGTAGTACGGTCCAAAAGTGCGATCAAACCCGTGCGTGATGTTGGGTGTGCCATCGCCGTGGTGGTTCGAGACGATGTAGTTGTAGACAATGCCATCGACAACCAAGTCACTGTGGATGGGGCCACCGAAGTACGTATCCTTTGTGTTCATGACCACCCAGGCTCCATACGTGAAATTGTCGACGCTATACCGACCGTCTGCGAACATGCCGTGCACATCGTGGTCGCGCCACACGGCCTGGAAGGTGTACTTGGTGTAGTAGTCGCTCATCTGCTCGACGTACGGCTCGTCGGTGCGATTGCCAATGTACCAGGTGGCATCCTGGACCGTCGTCGCATTTGTGATGTCGCCGCTCGCAGGGTCAGGGGACGGCAGCGGGGCGTGGAACGACTCGTCGGTGACGAGATATGTCCACAGCGGCGTGTTCGGGCGGAACAACGTGCGGAACTCCTGCAGGTTCCTGAGGAAGGGCGTGGTCTCATTGTAGTATGCTAGCCGTGAGAAGGTGTGCAGGCCCGTCTCGCCGTCACGTAGGAACCAGTATGACTCGAAGATCTGGCCGGTTGGCGGATACAACTCGCTCATCACGATGCCGCCCCACCGTGTCCCAGTCGAGTCGGCCCCTTCATATGATTCATATGTAGCATTGACTCCGCCGGGTGTGTAAGTGCCCGAGGGTATGCAGTAGCAATCCAGGTATGGCCCGATGCCCGACTGGCCATTTCCGGAGGAACCGCCCGGGGTGTTCTCGATGTAGTTCTTGGAGCCTAGGAGGTCCTGACCGTCGAGCGTCAGGTAGTCAACAGCACCGGTGGATTTGTTCACCGAAGACACAAGACGGTCATTGCCGAGGAACAGTGCCCCAGACGATTCATTAGTGAAAAGCGTCGCCGTAGCGGTGGGTGCCAGCAGGAAGGCTCCCACGGACTTCGACTTAAGAACCATGCTGAATGCGGTAGTCCTTGAGGAGACCTTTGAAGAACCAAGAGTACACGAGGTGGTCAGTCAATGCTAATGGACGCACCATCTTGGCAATCTTTATACCCTGGATCTACGTCCGTTTAAAGCTAAGCTCTACAGGGCCAAGAATCCTGTACGCCGACCGGATATACGGTGTCATATTGTTACCTCTCTCCTGGGCTGGTATAGTTGTGTTATCATGAACATCTGCGGAGACTGGGGCGATCTCGCGGCTGGGGATGCGGAGAACCCTAGCTAGAATGCGGAGAGGTCGGGGGCTCTTCCAGCATCGTTGAGGGTCAGGGATGGTGAGCACCCAGGCATCGGTGCATCAATACCACGAAGTGACGTTGACGCCCAAGTGCTTATCGCAACGAGAATCTTATGAACGTTGTGTGAGCAGACAACAAAGTGCTGTGCTGTGTATCAGTACTATCCAAACAACGGTAGCTATAATAACGCAAATTACAGACTGCGCTGGTATTGATAATCTGCCATTCTGCTTTTGGAGAGCCTCGTCTTGAACAAGGTTTCTCAAGTCCCGTTCCAACATTATATTGCATGTCGTAGGGCAGGACCAAGCTTTCGGAACTTTCGCTAAGCTATAGCCGAGTGGGCCTGGAAAGTTTAGCTTATACATCAACCTTAGGCTCTTGACGTTTGACGTGTCTGCCACGATTTGGGTATAATAGTCTCCAGACCTCTTCAAACATCCACTGGTGGGAATTCTTGGTATCAGTCTCGTTAGATTCAAATTTGATTTCAAACTATTTTCATGCCGGCAAGCAAGTTGACATCCAAAGTTTTGCGCGTCGCCCGAAATACTTGGGTAGACACTACTACGGTTGGCTAATAAACATGCATGTTGACACTGATGGCTGTGAATATATGGTAGTCAATCTGTTTGGATTTGAAGAGTTATGTTGAATTTGCGTTGAGGTATATTGATGTTAATGGCCGATATAAACCTGGTGCAAACAGAAGGGATTACGATAAAAGCGTCGTAGCAACGCGCTGCCAAGCTCATCACGAACAATGTTTCGAAAAAAGGTTGTAAGAGTGCAATCAAGCTCGAATTAATGGATGAGATCTATGGATATCGGGGGTGCTGCAAGTTTACACAAGGTGTGGTATAATACTCACCAGATCAATGTATCGTTACAAGACTAGATGGACCAACGAAGAAACCGATCGCCCTATGATCGTCGAAGGAAAGAAACTGCAAAACTTTTGAGAAACTCCTTCGAACGCCGTCATAAACCCTCGTAGTGCTGAAGACTGGTCCACTTCAGGTGAAGCTTCGTTCCAATACTTCGATAACCAAGGAAGCCCACAAAAATACCCTCAGAGGAAAAGCCGCTGGAGATCAAGTGTGTACGTAAAGGATTGGAAAAAGCCTGGATGGAGAACCCACCCAGAATATGCTTTTATGAAGAGCCATCAAGCCAACATAACCCACGTGGAGGTCACCCTCCGATCAAGCCCACAGGTGTATCATAGCTTCGTGATGAAGCATAGCCCTCAAATGACTTACATCCCGAAGGAGTGTAGAGTCTGAAAAGAAGCCGACAACCCTCAGAAGCCAACCGTCATGTGTATGTGATTGTGTCAATGAACCCTCAAAACCCTCTCAAGTACGGCTGACTTAGTCGTCAAAAGTTTGTCTCTTGCCAGCAAAGGCCGCTCCACCACGGCTGCCGAAGCCACCACGGCCACCTCCACGACCACCACGGTCACCGAAGCCACCACGGCCACCTCCCCGACCACCGAAGCCACCGCGACCACCGCCACGGCCACCACGGTCACCGAAGCCACCGCGACCGCCACCACGGCCACCGCCGCGACCACCGCCGAAGCCACCACCACCCTGGTTGGGCTGACGCTGAGCAGCGTAGTCAAGACGGACTGCGCGAGCACCGCGACCCTCACCAATGTAGCCACCGTTCTTGCCGTTGAAGGCAGTCTTGGCATCATCGATGCTGTTGAAGGTGACGTAACCGAAGCCCTTGCGGTTGCCAGACTCACTATGATCGGGTTAGCTCATGGTTACGACAATTCCAGGTAAAAGTGGGAATGTGAGAGTACGTACGGGTCAGTAGGCAGACGAAGGTTCTTGACTTCAGCGACATCGGAGAAGAACTCGGTAACGACGCTCTCATCAGCATCCCATGGAAGGTTGCCGACGAATAGAGTGTCGCTCTCGGGAGAGACGGTGTCACCGTGGGTCTGAGCGCGGTTGCTGGCACGGTCGCGAGGGTTGGCGTCGTCAGCAGGCTTCTTGGTGGAGGGGTCCAGTCTCATCTCACGGCCCTCAAGCTCGAGGCCCTGCTTGGCCTGGAGGGCAGCGCTGCAGTTCTCGGGGGTGTCGAAGTCGACGTAGCCGAAGCCACGAGATCGCTGCATGTCCTTATCGGTGATGACACGAGCACTGGCAAGACCAGCGCAGTCCTTGAAAGCCTCGTAGAGGCTGTCATCATTGATACCCCAGCCCAGGTTACCGACGAAGAGGGTAATGGGAGCGTCGTCATCGACCTTGGACTTCTTGGCGGGCTCAGTGGCCTCCTCCTCCTCAGCCTTGCGCTTCTTGGAAGCCTCAGGCTTCTTCTCCTCCTCCTTGTCAGAGTCGTCGGAGTCCTCGTCGGAATCGTCGGAATCGTCAGAAGACTGCGAGGATAGTTAGCACGATTCGAAGTGGGTTAAAGTGCTGGGAGGATGAGTGCAGCTTACCTCGGCCGCCTTCTTGGCATCGACACCAGCGCTCGCTTCGCTGTCCTCGGCGTCAGAGGAGTCGGAGGAGTCGGAAGACTCGACCTTCTTGGCCTTGGTGCTGGTCTTGGCCTTGACGTCCTTGGACTTCTTGGCGGGCTTCTTCTCCTCCTCGGAAGATTCAGAGTCAGAGTCGCTGGAGTCGGCGTCCTTGGGGCTGGTCATCTCCTCGTCACTGTCGCTGTCGGAGCTGTCAGAAGAGTCCGAGTCGGACTTGACGTTCTTCTTGACGGCCTTGGCAATCTTCTTGGAGGTAGCGACAGGAGCGGCGGATGTCTTGGTGACACCACCCTTCTTGACGGAGGAGAGAGAGTCCTTGGAGGACTTGCTGCCCTTGGATTCCTTGGTCTTGCCCATTTTGAATGATTTTCACAGAGATATGCTTCTGGAGAGAGATAGGACACTTCTGGGAAAGTGTACGGGGAAAGAATGAAGGGGGGATGTGGTAGTGTGCAGGAACTGAGCGTCTGCAAAACGAGTGCAGGCGGGCTATAAATGAAGGGTCTTTGCGGCAGAATCTTTCTTACAAAAAAATTCAGCGGGTCGGGATGCACGAAAACTCTGAATGCGCAAGCGAGAGGCAGGCCAAGTGGGGTTAAAACTCTTTAGCTTGGGGCGGTCTGGGAGATAAGCCGTTAGCGCCGCGACAGTGGGCTGATAACGAAAAGTGGTCGGCAGGGACCCGCAGTGGAAAGCATTCCGGAGGGAACAAAGGCTAACCGACTGCCTGAAAAATACGGCTGCCACAATTGGCTGGCTGGCTGTGATGTGGGAGCTTGCGACTTGTGACCGGTAGCTTTCGTGAAGCCGGTCCGACATTGAAGCTCAACGCACGACCAGCCACATCGCCCATCACAACCCCGATCAATTGATTACGCGCAGGTCACCGGTGTCGTCTCCATCAATCGCCAAGATGCCCACCCCCGAATCTGCCGCTTTCCTGGCCAAGAAGCCGACAGTCCCCCCGACATTCGACGGTGTCGACTACGACGACAACAAGGCCCTCAAGGCCGCCCAGGACTCCATCGTCCGCGAACAATGGGTGCAGGTCATGATGGGACGACTGGTCAGAGAGGAGCTCAGCAAGTGCTACTACCGGGAAGGAGTCAATCACTTGGAGAAGTGCGGCAAATTAAGAGGTTAGTTATGACGTACCCAGGACCTGACAGATGAAGCTTGAGCCAAGACCAAGACGAAGAACGGGAACACCGATGATTAATTTCTCTCCTTCTCATTTGCAGAGAGATACCTGTCGATGCTGGAGAAGCACCGCGTGCGCGGATACCTCTTCGAGCAACAGAACTACACGGATCCCTCGCAACTGGCTGGTGCGGCTGCGAAAGGACTCAAGGGCGTCAACCAGTAGGAGCCCGCCGAGACCAGGCGAGGGATGCTCGGATCATACAGCCATACAGGCTGGCCATGTCGAATGCGCCCTCGGACATGCGGCAAGAGGGCAAGAGGGCAATCTGGATTAGAAAGGCGCTCGCGGTGGCCGGGCCTTCAGCTGTACAACGTGCCGATGCGACGGCCCTGGCGGACGGAAAACCCTCTTTGTACATAAAATGAAATGAAAGCCAAACTACCTAAAAACCCGCAATTCTCGGTCCTCGAGGTTGGAATTTATCTGATGATGCTCTGTGACGATGGCTGGCTGAGCCTTGTATCAAGTATTCGATACAATGCAATGCAGTGCAATACAATACAATACGCATGTAGCGCCAGGGGAGAGGGTCCCCATCCCATTCGGCGGGCCGTACAAAATTTCCAGCTAGTCTAGTCAGCTTCAACATCCAAGGGCACCTGCAAATCGCAGACTAAGCCAGCTCGAGAGCCTCAACCTCAGCAAACCGACATAACCACAGACAGCCGCAATGATCTGTAGGAATTGCTTATCACGCGCCTCGGTGCTCACGCGGGCGCTCCCCCTTTCGCAAACCCCCCAGAGGTCCATACCGGCAGTGCGCGCCTTCACTGCAGCGCCCGCCCGACGCAACGCCGCACCAGCTGCACCCGAAGCTACACCATCCTCCTCCATCGCGAGCGATGCACCGCCCACATTCAGCACACCTCTCGGCGACGCAGGCCCCGCGGCAGAAGCAAAGCCCGCGCTCTCCACCTGCCCCGGGGGCACCATCCTGACCGGCCTCAACTACCTGAAGAGCAAGACGGACCCGGTCGCGCTGGCCGACGATGCATACCCGGAGTGGCTCTGGAGCTGCATAGACGTCACGGTCAAGAAGACGGACGAGGACGACAACAACGACGCGGCCGCCGAATTCTGTATGTTTGGACAGCTTTATTTATTTAATGTTTTTTCCCTTTCTTTTTCTTTTCTTTCTACTCTCCCTCCGGTGGTCACTACACGAGACACCTGATTGATATATATATATATATCACTTGCCCTCCTCCCCTTTCCCCATGGATTAGTCCCAAAGTCTCCTGCCAACACTTCGTTACACCCTTGGGGAGAGAGACCACTCCTCCTGCCTGCCCCTGAAAGAGTTCCTCTGGGCGCTAGTCCGCTCTCTCCTTGTTCCCTCCCCCCTCCCCTTGCTCCTTGTTCATCACAGAAACAACACATGAATCCGTCTTCTGGCGTCTTGGTACCTGTGGCATCCTACTAACGGTTCTTTCCCCCCTCCCTCCAGCCAAATCCAAGAAGCAGCGTCGTCTGGCGGCCAAGCGGCAGCGAGCGCTCGAGGCCCGGCTGCTGGCCGAGGGCAACCTCGAGGCCCTCGCGCCCAAGATCCCGCTGCAGCAGCAGTCCGTCAACATGCCCGGCAACGAGGAGGGCACGCCCGAGGGCGCCCTCGCGGCGGTCGCGGCGCGCGAGGAGCTGAGGAAGGCCATGCGCAAGGAGAGGAAGGCCAAGATAAAGGAGACCAACTACTTGAAGAGCATGTAAACGGAGAAGGGCCTCGTCTTGCCTTTCCAGCCGAGTCTCGGGGAGGGTGAGGGCGAGGGCGAGGGAAATCGAGGGATCCCCCGTTCTGCAGATCGAAGGGGGAGAGAGACAGAGAGAGAGTGTGTGTATGTGTATTTATGTACATGCCGCTTTCGTCTGGGACCGAGTCGCCCATTTTTGCCCTTCCAGATGCGGTGGGCAAAAGACGTGGCTTACATATATTGTACAATAGAACGTGTAAAATCTCTGTACGCGTACCAGCTAGACAAAGCCATCACTGAAGGGACGGGTCTGGAGAAAGTAATTGTGATTCGTCATGGAGAACTATGGAATCGAGACTACTGAATAGTTGGGTATCATGTGCTAAACATTTTGGGGCAGTCTATCATCATCAATGACCAATTGTGAGAGACAGTCTTGCTGTGCCCGTCGATACTCGAACGCCAAACGCCAAACACCCCCATCCATGCCTCTAGTGTTGTATATAATACAGTACTCTCGCCTTTGTTCCATGTGCTATATCTCCTTGGCCGTTGTGCCAAGACCGCCCCGTAGCAGTGTCGTTGTGTACTCGCTATAGGACCTTTAGCCCGCCGTGGCATCTACTCGTCGTCTGTAATATTGAGCTGGGCTTTGCGTAGCTGGATCTCCTTCTCGAGATTCTGTATGTTCTGATGCATACGGTTTCGGATGAGCGAGTTGGTTTGTGCGGCCATTTGACTCTTGAGGTCTGCCACCTTCTTTTGCATGCTGTGCATCTCGTGTTTCGCCTCTCTGAGCTCACCTTGCTTGGCAGCCTCTTCTTCATCGAGGTCGGAGTCGTCGGCATCGTCGTCGTCGTCCTCTTCGGATATTTCTTCGTCCTCTCCATCAGCATCACTGATCTCGGCAACCCCCGGAGCTGGTGTGGTGGCTTCCATGGTCATAGGCGTGTGGGCCTCTAGCTGTGTGGTTGGCGTGGCACCTCTAGCATCGTCCATATCCATCTCGAAATCGACCCCGGCCAGCTCTGCTTCTAGTTCAGCCTCCAGGTCCGCATTGTCATCGTCATCATCCTCGGCCCCTTGGGCGATCTCGTCGCCGTACTCGGCCCCGCCAAAGTAGTCGTCCACTTCTTCTCCCTCGGCATCTTCGTCGCCGGACTCATCAAAACCATCGAATTCATCCTGCAGGAATTCATACTTGGGTGGCTCCACGCACGTCGCGTCTTCGGCCAGCAGCCTCTTGACTTGTGCGGCCGTGCTCATCAACTGCTTCTCCGATGGCTGCTTGCGGAACCTACGGTTGATTGCGTCGTGCATGGGAGGCGTCATTCCGTGCGGCCACTTGTATTCCGTCTGCTGCACCATGTTGGGGAGAGCAACGGTCTTGGCCTCCTGGTCGTTGTTGACCTCGGCAAAACACAATAACATCTGGGTGATGTCCATGTTTTTCATGAAGTTCTTCTTGTCCCACGTCTTCATGGCTTCGACGATGGTGGGCAAGTCTACCAAAACAGCAGCAAAGTGATGTCCGTCGATGGTCACCATGGCTCGACGTTCCTTAGCATCGAGCCAGTCTATGGAGAGATCGGCGCCACCCAGCTTCTTGTCCAGGCCGATCTTGCCTTCCTCGAGGGCCTTGTTCAAGTACTCGGTGGAGGTGCCGGGATAGGTACGAAGTATCATGGCGGCTTCACGTACCGGGTCTTCCTCTCGATCGCTGGCTTCGGAGTCCCAAGCCTCACCCGGTTTATGCTCGACAGGCTTGCCCCTGGCTTTGAGGGTTAGACGGCCCGTGGGAGTCTGAATATTGTAGACCTTCTTGGCGGGCAGCTGGCTGACTTTGATCTTGGAAATACGGCGTCCAGCCAAGGGTGCGTTTTCATCCTCATCGTCGTCGCTCTCCAGGGCGCGCTTGGCCGCGATGAGCTTTTCTGTAGGTTTGGAAGAACGGCCAGCTTTGGAGACCTTGACGGGGACAGGAGGCACGGCAGCAGCGGGGGTTCCTGGCTGGCTAGTGTTGACTTTGATGCGGATGGTCTTCTTCTCGCTGGAGGGGGTGAGCAGGTCAGCGCTGAAGGAGGATTTGCGGGAGGTGGCGAGCTTCAGGATGGGTCTCGGGGTCTCGGAGGAAGGGGTTGCTGTGATGGTTGTTGGCGGAGGAGGCATGTCGATCTTGCTGAACTGGCTGGTTTCCAGCTTGAGGGTGGGTTTCGCTTGCTCGCCCGCCATTTTATATTCCGTTATGCGCTCTGGTCTGCTTGTGCTCGATGTCGTGTTGGGCGGGAGAGGGAACTGGCAGCAGGCAGAGACGTCGAGTTGGCCGCCCGGTCTGGGCAGGGCAGCGTTCACGGGTTGGGTCGCCGGGAAGCAACTGAACGAAGGCAATGAATACGATGCAATGCGATGCAGTGCAATCGCCAAGACGGGGGCAGCACTAGGCTCAGTCGCAAGGGCCACTTGAGGTCAGGATCAACTCGCTATAAGTCCAGCGAAGTTAGATATGTACTCGGGGCCTTTGTACTCTGTGTGAAGCAAGCCCAGGGCTAAGGCCGATGTCGATGGTTGATGTTGACTAGGTTAAAGAGTACAGCAAGGTGAATGCGAAGCCGAGGACTGGCACCGAGCTTGTCGCAAAGGTTGAATGACGCGAAATAAGTTTGGCTGGGGAGTTTTAGATGGAGACGCCCTTGAGGGATCCCTGGCAGGTCACACAAGGTACGTACTGCACTGGAACAATCTGCCTACAGTACAGTATGTATGTATCAATCACAGTCAACCGACGCGGGGTAGTTGCAAATTGCAAAAGACGCGACAGTGTCCTAGGTTAACTTAGAGTACAAGTAACTCAAGTTACAGAGTGCCAGAGTGCGGAGAGTACCACTGCGGGCTGCAAAAGCTTGACGCCAATCTCAGCTCAACACTAACGTCAACGCTAAAGGCGGACAGCTTGAGCTTGAGCTTGAGCTTGACCCTGACCCTGACCCTTGAGAGTTGAGCCTGGAGCCGGGGGGAAAAAGTCCAGTTCCAGCAATAACTTAACTTATTCATTCATACGCTTTCGTCCAGTTTGTCCCCCCCACCTCTTCAATCCCCCATTTGCCAACGTCCACAATTCGTGACCCGAAGGGCTACAAGGCAGCATCCCCAGCAGGCCTTTTCCAGCACTGGTAGATAGTCTGGGACCAGCAGACACCGCCAATAGTCATCGCTGAATACATTGCGACCTGCCCAACCACAGCCACTGCCACTCGCCGTCGCAGGGTCTGATAGGTCTCGCCTGCCAGCGAGCAACACCCTCGAGTCGAGTTTATTGATGAACCATATTGGACCAACACATATATTCATATACGTATATATATACTTAAATAAAATACGCCCACCATGGAGACGCGACCCTCCAACCCCATGACGTACAGCAAGTTCCACCTCGCATTGCTCAAGCCTGTCGTCCTTCAGATCTTGCGCGCGACCGGCTACTACACCACCAAGCCATCCGTTCTCGAGGCCCTGACCGAGCTTGTCGCCGATTACATCTTCAACACCGCCGTCGCAGCACGCAAGGCCATGGAACACAACCACCCCGAGTCTCCCGAAATGACCCTGCCCGACCTCAGGATAGGTCTCGAGTACATGGGCGCCTTCAACCACGACGAGAACAAGAGGGAGGACCGCGACTTCGACGGCGACAAAGGGCTGCGTGGCATCCATGACTTCAAGGCCTGGTTCGACGGGAAGCACAACTCCAGACTCACCCGTATCGCCGAAGCTTTCCAGCAGAGTGGTGTTCTGCTCGAAGCCCCTCCCCTTGAAGAAGGCCCTCAAAAGGTCGAGCGACCGCCCATCGACTACCTCAGCCGTACGTCGCGCACTCTTCCGTCCCCCCTCCAAATTTTTCTTCTTCTTTTCCCTCCTCTTCTCTGTCCTTTCCTTTTCCTTTGCTGACAAGTATCTACAGAGCTGAAGCAGAAGCACAGCAAGAACGACGACTCCAGATATGCTAGCACCATCTTGGGGAAGCCATTCGATCATGGTGAGGTCCTGGTAGAGGGCGGCCCCGTCTCCAGCATCGACGAGTGGTGTGGCATGATGTTCGAGCGCAACATGCGTCCACGGTCACCCACGCCCGACTCTCGACCGCCGAGCTCCGGGCTCAGCTCGCTGGATGACGGCGACGTCGAAATGATGGACCTGTGATTACCTGGTGGCTCGGGGGCACCCGAAGAGGAACGGGGAGAAATAGTACTTATTTTGCATTGCATTGCACGGGCACGGCATGGAAGCACAGCGAAGGTGTTCGGCGTTCTTTTTGGTTTGGTTTTTACGGAAGCATTTTGCGGTCGAGGTTAGGAGAAAAACGCTTCAAACGGAGCTTCTATACGCCAGGAAGCTCCGGGGAATGGCGAACATGATCATATGCAGAAATGGTAGGTAGGCCTTGTGATGTTTTGTATCGCACAAACTGGATCAGAGATCAGACACTTGAAGCATATGGTTGCGTGTTGCGCAGCAACGCGTCAACCTCAGGCAAGATACCCCCCTTTGACAGCGCCTGAGGTTTCGGAATTACAGTCTCTTGTACATCGTCTGTCCTGGGACGGTGCAATATATAGAGAGAGCCCTGAGCCCTCGCGCTATCACTTGGAATAAAGTGAACACACTCGTCCGCGGGAAGGATTCCTCCCCTGGTCCACAAGTCTGCCGAAGCCTTCTTGTCTGGCAAAGTGCATACATTAATAGAAGTGGCTGACAAGATACATGATTCATTTCAAATTCGACTTGGTGGTATCATAATAAACTTCGTGTGCAACTAAACGCTCCCTCGGAACATCAAAAAAGATAACAAAGACCGCCGCTTCACTGGCCTTCCAAGAGCGAATGAAACGTATGCAATGCCCCATACGAAAACATAAGCAACCCACGACCCCCGCCCAAACACCAGAGCTATTGGCTTTCGTACTGTGATCCGTGAATGTCCTTAAAAATGCCTTGCCGTTTCTTACATGATGATACACCTCTTCTCCTTGACGTTGCCATCCTTTGGTGCTTTAGACGCCCATGTAATGTCTGTCCACGCGCTACTCATAGCATCGCTGTCTTTCTTCTTGTTCTTCTTACGCCTGCCGGTCCAGCCCCGGTTCTTGGCATCTTGTACGTTCTTGGCAGCACTTCTGCGGGCCCGGCTCTGGCGCCTTGTTAGGCTGGTGTGGTGTCGGAGCGAGGAGAGTGTTAGCTGGGCTGAGGGCGGCGCGGGAGGTATTGTGATGGTTTGGCCCTGTGCATTTTGCAGGACCACGGGTTCATTCATGCCTCGACCACCACTGCTTGCGATACTGTATATAGTCTCCAGTCGCTCCACAGTAGGCCGGTCGTTGCCTCCAGCACCTAAATGCGGCCCAGGGTGACGCGGCACGGGAGAATGAATCATAGGCTCGCCCGGATGACGCTGTGAAGCCTGACGGTCTGGGGCATCAAAAGCGCCAGAAACGCCTTTAGGTGTACTGATGATCAGGGGCTGCTCTGGCTCAGGAGCCCGCTGGGCCCCAAGAGCTTGACTGTTCCTGAAGGACGGAGGTTGACCACCGACAGGCACACGAGGCACTTGAAAACTGCACGAGATTGGGCGTGGCGCTGCCGATTCTCGACGTCTATGTAGACTAGCCAGTTGGTCTCGAGTTGGTGCCGGTGGAAGCGCGGCAGCTACAATGGCGGCATTGTTCTCATCAATCACCGGCGCAGAATACGGATAACCCGTGGGAATGGCTGCTGAAGAAGGACCAGGTTGCGGCGCACGAGGCCATGTCGAGGCATTGGGAAGACGTCCGACTTGTGGGCTTGCGCCAATATCATTCCACATGGCGTTGTTGAAACCCGGTGAAGGAATCGCAACATTGAGAGTATAAGGGTTCGTTGGTTCCACGGACGATCTAATGGCGGCTGGATGGGCTGTGGACGGAAAATGTGGTATGCCAGTGCTAGATGATTGAGCATTAGAGGATGGTGCTTGCGAGCCAGAATAGACACGCTGTTCTGTACCCGTATCCAATCTTCCTAACCGCTGTGGTAGCTGCGCATATTGGTGAGGCGGTTCCACTGGCGAAACGTTGTACAGGTCATTGCCTTGGCTGAACCGTCGTAACGGAGATGCCGATCGGTTTGTGGGACTCGAGGCTGGGCGCTGGGATACCACCACACGGTTATCACTGGAGTTCACAGAGGCACTGGCAACTCGTTGGTGTGAGTTCGGTTGTTGCCATGATGCGCGGGAACGTCTTTCACGCGCTGGTGAAGTTTGGACTCTTGGCAACCCCGGTCGAGCTTGGCCACTGGCTAATTGATACGAGCCTTCCGTTGTTGGAGCATCACCGGGCGGTATTTGGGCATATGCTGCTGACGGCAGAGAAGGAGTATGTATTGCTTGGGAAGATGTTGCAGATAATGCCTCTCTTATTGTTGTGCTGACACCTACTCCCGGAATGGCGGCATGCCGGAGGAAAGCAGGCAGATCGACAGGGTCATCTTGAGAATATGGTGGTGGAGGCGGAACCCAATTATCCGCATCACTCTCATGAGGATGCTCTGCCCTGCCATCGGCCCGTCTGTACTCGATCCGACCCCCAGTCGCAGCCGAAGGATGGAGTCGGCGATTCACGGCGGCAGCGGTCGCGGCCCGCCTTAGGGTCGGTGCTGATCGTGGACTAGCATGAGCATATGGTGCATCGAGGGCCTCCTGGACCTCTTCAAGTGAGGGTTCTTCCGCATCGGCTGTGGCCGAAGGTGCACCTGCCTCAGTGCGCGGTCCTACCATTCGCCGTGGGATCAGAGGATCCTCGTCTTCATCTCTAGGAATGGCAGGGACAGGATGTCTCAGTAAATCTTCCGCCCGGCGATCCGCAAGCGTTGTGGATCGCATTACATTAGAGCGTCCGCCGCCCCTTTGAGCCACTGTACGTCTTCTTACAATGGCCACCTCTGTGGCCATATCTCGATGCTCTTCCTCCAAGGCCTCGGGTTCTTTTGTCCCAACCTCTATTGTAAGCTCCATCTCTTGACCATTCACAATGCCATAGTCAAAATCAAGAATGGTGACTCTGCCACCGTCAACAAAGTCGATTCCATCCTCTTCAGTGATAGGCCTGGGGGGCATTACACCTCGTGCAGCAACTATCAACCGTTCCTGATACGAGAAATCGCCATGGCCCGCAATCCATTTCACGGTACTAACGCCATTCAACTCGGTTATTTTCCGGCCACTAACAAACGTGTTGCGGTTTCTATCACATAATATTTGCCATTGTGGCACTCTCCCTCCAGTGGGCTCTTGTGATCGCGAGGGAGAACGAATAGACGGCGCGCTGCTCCGCCGACTTAGACCCGGCGTTCCTGAGTCGCTGGTTATGTCGGAAATGGCCTCTAGGTCTTCAGGGATCCCATACAGCCACACGTCCTTTCCTTCAAACCCCGCAGAGACGAGCTCACCGCAATACGACGCTGCGGGTAAAGTGCAAGGTAAGAGAGTTGCTTGAGATGCGGAATGAGGAATCGGACCAGTAAAGTATGTAGTGCCGTTCCGCAGATCATCGATGCGCACAGCACGGAAGGTCTCAAAGCTCCTGTCATATGTGAATGTCCAACTGGCTTCCTGGGAACTAGATTCTTGCAACAGCACAGCGTGGCTGCAGTCACGGCTCGTGTTTGGGAAGAGAATTGAAGTGGTCCAGAGAGCACTTATACTCTCCTCTCCCATCTGGGCACCTGGGTCATAATAAGGTGCCGTGAGAATAACGGTGTTTGGTTGGTGTGCGATAGTTGTGGTGCCTAAGAGCTGCGTCCCGTCAAAGGAAAAGGCTAGATAGTCGACAGCGTCACACTTTACCGCTCGTCTGTCTGTGGACATGGCTCCAGGTCTCAGAGAAGAGACCTCAATTCCGCCTTCGTAAGCGGCTGCGAGGACGCTGCCACATGGCGACAGGGCTATCGTTCTCGGAGTGTGATCGAGTATCAGTGATTGTGATCGTCTGGGTGGGGACTCTCGAAGGTCATATAAGTCGACCTGCATGTCGGTAGACAAAACGGCGAGCAGGGTGCCCTCATCGAGTATGCAAGTAGAGACGGGACGGCGCAGTATCTTCAACTCGCGTTTCACCTCCAGGTCGGATCCTCTGAGATCCAAGACGTAAATTCTGGAAGAATTGTAGGCAAGCAGATGGTGTCCGCGCGGCGACGGGCTGAATTGCATGCCCTCACCCCCAGGCGCAGAGGACGAGCTTATCGAATTGGATACAATCTTGATGGTGGTTGACTTGGGTCGCAGGTAGACCTCGAACAAGTTGCGCTTGATTTCTCGCGAGAACAAACGACGCAGTCTGGGCAGGTCTTCATCTTTGGCCGTGTCGGGCGATATGCCGCTGTGGATAGCTGAATATGATGGGCATCGTGAGAGGTGGTGTGCGTAGAGATGTGCGTGTTGAGAGACGCGCCTCCATTTCGAGTTGAGCAGGATCAAGGAAGCGAAGGAATTGGGATCAGTCAGTTGAAGGACTCTGTCATTGGGAGTCCACAGTTAGCTGCCAGATAGTGCAGGTCAAAGTATTGGGAACGAGACTTGATTACTGTTGTATAATTTCCTCGGGCAACCGCTCGAAAGCAGGCGCACAGGCAGAAGCAAGAGCAGTGTTCGAGTCGCCGGCGGCCATATCGCCGCATCGACCGCCAACGTCTGGTACTGGCACAGAGGCCATTTTGTGACACGGCTCGCGGGCTTGGGCTTGGGCTCGGGCTCGGGGCCGACGATGGCGAAGGCAAAAACTGTGTCAGAAGCCAAAGAAAGGTATCGTCAAGATCTCATAGAGCCAGGCGCCATCATGTTTCCCTTCCCTTTCAGATTGTTGTGTCTTGTTTCGCCAAGGTAGGCGGTCCCAGTGCGGCGGGTGGGTTGGAAGTCAAGTTAGTTGGTTCGGTTTACTCCAGTGGACCAATCCCCGGTTCTCCTACGGTACTGCGCGATCGTCCGGGCCCCTTTTTCGAGCGCGTCCTTGTTGGATTAGGAGAGGCGACAGAGGTTAAAGGTGTGATTGCCACAAATCGGGAAACATGGAACGATCAACCACGTTCAGCGGAAGGGAGGCCTGGAGGCGCTTTGGAGCTTTGAAGCTTGGAGGCGGAGCAATTGAATGACTGTATGTTAGTCTAGGTTAGGTCAGCCTCTGCGGTTCTGTACATACGGTACCTATCGTACTGTAGTGCTGCATTGCTACAGCCTAGCGTTAGCCCGTACGGTTAGCATGGCGGAGGGTCAGCAACGCTTACCATTGGCAAAGCTGAAGCTGCAGGCAATCTACTCAGGTTAGGTTAAGTTGCTCAAGTTTGTTCATATCTTTGGCATGAATACCCGCCCGGTTTGTAGAGATCAGCAGTGGTATATCCGCACCCGCAGTTGTCTTTTGACATGGCAGCCTGGCGGCTATCACTTCCTTCTACAAGTAATATGATGCTGTTCACGGTCCTGCGACCAGCAGGCAGTGGTTACTGTTACATGCACTGCACCGATGGCTTACCCTACCCGGCCAAGACTCCGTATTTACAAGTTCACCACTCGGCACGATCGCCGTATGGATCCCATCCTAGCCATCAAAAGTATGGATCTCACATTAGCAGACGAGTCCCTCATCATTACGCATCTATGTATACAGGGCTATGTAGGTTTCCTCTCTCGAGTTGTGCCAGTTTATAGTCGACTAAACTTCCCGGGTTTTGTAATCGATTTCGCAAGCCCAATCCAGTCGCGTACAGCCACGTACTTCTTCGACCTGCCGCCTGTGAAGTTGGTCGCACCATGTCGGAGCTTTCAGCCACTGATGTGAACCGCGTGCAAGGGTGTGCTATTTTGGGATCGCGGGCGAGCTGCTGTGGCCCTCGGCAAAGCAACGCTTATTAGTTAGGTTAGCGACTCTAGGAGGCTTCAATAAATCGTTCGGATACAACCACACCTGATTCATCGTAAACAATTCAAGCAATCCCTTTGCGGGAAGCAGCCATAGCTCGCCATGGCATGTTTTTCAAGGGCAGCCGAACGAACCGATTATTTGATTGCGAAAGTGGTTGTAGGATATCGTGTTCACAGGCCGAACAACAATTGATTGTATGGAACCCACTGCTCAAAGCTCAACTGACCACGATTTTATGCATGAGGCTCTCACCCAGTACGAGCGCTTATGCGCAGGCGCAGTTGCAGCCAACGACTTCCACAACTGAACTCCTATACCAGATAGCTACTTACTACTCGGCGCGTTTCCTTGGTAGCTGTCGTTCATCGGGACGAGACACCTCTTCAAGTCTCAGCCCGAAGGGTTTCTGCATAGGTGTTCCACAGCTGCAACGTAGAGCTCCCTTAGACCCCCTCATTTTTGTGGCTCTACTGTGCCCCAGTCTCCCAAGCACAGCATTGTCGAAATATCACCGATTCACGCATATCATGATGCCGTGCGACCCAGCACTCTCACTATTCTCTCAAGGCTTCTTAGTAGTGAAGTTGAGTGACTTGGAACTTTTGTACGATGGAATGCATTGCCCTAGATTGCGATATATCGTGTATACTGTGGGTTATCCCCGTCCATTCCCATGTCCACAACATCTACAATGGAGTATGTACCTGGGGTTTTAGCGTGGTGGCTTGTATTTGACATCATCGAAATGTTAACCTGGAGAACCGATCAGGGAACCCTCACAGGATTGGTCTATCAAATGTCCTTAGGTGACTACGTCGGAACCAACGGAGGTATGTTTGTGTAAAGAATTGTCTCACAAGCCAGCCTCCTTGACGGTTACCATGGTGTAAAATTGAGCCGGTACCTTCCTGGAAGAATATTGCTCACTGGTCAGACCTGAGGCTACGAGTTCCAAGCTGATTGTAACACACAACCCGGCTTACTTATCTCGCCCACGACACACATCGTGAGAATAAACTTGAGCTTCCATCTTCGGGTTTAGTGAACGTGTTGCTTTGCAGACAACTTTTCTTGGTTGTTCTGATTGTCTTAACAGTCCTTCTCGATATCGCCGCGCTTCGCAGACACGATGGCCGCCCCTAATTGCAATACAGCAAATGTCTCGAAGCGAGATGCCTCGGGGTATTTACCTATTGAGAATTACGGAATGATCGGCAACATGCGAACGTGTGCACTTGTAAGCATGGACGGCAGTGTTGGTAAGGATTCCATGTTGCCCTCGAATCTTCGCAGTGCTAACTATCACTTTCACAGACTTCATGTGTTGGTAAGTTCAAACGTTACACGGCAATCCTAGGATATTGAAAGAAGATCAACTGCCTGTTGATCTCGGGGCAAACTTATCCATCGGTGCAAGGCGAAAATGGCCAAGCCACGTGGACTACTCGTTAAACGGATATGCTGCTGATACACTAGACAGGCCCGAGTTTGATTCACCATCGATATTCTGCCGTCTTCTTGACAAAGACAAGGGCGGCTACTTCAGTGTTTCTCCTTCTGTGGATTGCACAACTAAGCAACAATACCTGCCTTCCTCTGCTATCCTGCAAACCAGATACATACATGAAAGCGGCGTGGTCGACTTGGTTGATTTTTTCCCTCGGCCAAGGACAACCAACATTCTGGCTAGTGGTTACAAGCATAATGCCTACCGTGAGACCAAGCCAGTGCAGGAGGAGCTGAAGAAATGGCTAGTCAGGCGAGTAGAATGTATTCGAGGAGAACTTGATCTGGGTATGTCGTCACGGCTGTTTCCACATTTTCAAAAGAATGCACTAACACCTTTAGATGTGGACATATACCCAGCTTTCGGCTATGGGAAAGAATCTCACACAACCACTATTATCCAGCATGTACTCAAGTCGTTCGACTGCAAGAGCAAGACTGTGACGTTCCACAGCGAGCATGAAAAGCTTCAATTGGACGTTACCATTGATCATGGAGATGAAGAGAAAAAAAGCTGCCCTTCAGTCATCTTTAAGAAAGAGAAAAAAGATGGTATGCTTGGGGAGGGCGTGACTGCTAAAATTCGCTTATGCGAAGGTCAAGCAGTATCATTCGTCCTTCGTGCTGACATTGAGGATCATGTCACGCAACATGTTACAACACCAATTATCGATAAGCACCAGAATGATACGCAGACATTCTGGTTTAACTGGCTTGCAAAGAGTAGATATCGGGGGGGATGGCGCGAAATTGTGGCACGGAGCCTGATGATCCTGAAGATGCTTACTTACGAACCAACCGGTGCCATTGTTGCAGCACCCACATTTTCCATTCCCGAAGATGTGGGCGGCGTCAGGTAAACCGAAACAACTGACATGACTCTACGCATTTGGACTGACTCTTGCACAGGAACTGGGATTACCGCTTTTCTTGGATTCGCGATAGCAGCTTCACCATCTACATTCTTCTACGAATGGGATTTACGGAAGAGGCAGACGCCTACATGGGTTTTATCAACAACCGGTACGTATAGATACAGCCTACAACCGCGATTGTGATTTGCTGTTTCAAGCTTCTTGCTTGCTGGTATCCATTTACACCAAAACTTGTTAAAGATCGGGACTTGTGGGCATGGGCTTTTCTTTAGCTAGGGGGAATCAAGTTACTGACGTGTTCCTGGTCTCTGCAGCTTCCAAAATGCCACTACAAAAGATGATAAGTTCTCTGGACTGCCCATCATGTTCACCATTAGGGGCGAGACAGATATCCCTGAGGAGGAGCTCAGTCATCTAGATGGCTACAAGAATAGCCGACCTGTCCGTATCGGTAATGGTGCAGCTTTCCATCAGCAGTTTGATATCTATGGTGAGCTGATGGACGGTATTTACCTTTACAACAAATACGGAAAACCCGTATCATGGGAAACTTGGGTCTCTGTGCGAAAGATGCTTGGTAGGCTTTACTCATATCAATGCTCCGGCTTGTTTCGGTTTCGCTAACCGTCTGTTAGACTACGTTCTGACAATAATCGATGGTAGGCCCACATTGAGAGAGGTATTTGATACATTGGTAGCTAACCGGGATTGCAGAACCTGATATGAGTATCTGGGAAGTTCGCAACCACAAGCAAAACTTCGTATACTCGAAGGTCATGATGTGGGTAGCCTTTGATCGCGGTCTGCGACTGGCAGAGAAGCGATGTCTGCCCTGTCCCAACCGAACCAAATGGCTGGAAGCCCGAGACAAACTCATGGAGGAAGTCATGGAGAAGGGATATAACAAGGAGATGGGCTGCTTTGTGCAAAGCTACGAGAACAACACCATGCTCGACTCATCTATCCTCATCGCGCCTCTGGTCTTCTTCGTCGCTCCTAATGATCCTAGATTCCTCCGGACCATGGACCGCATTCTCATGCCGCCCGAGAAGGGCGGTCTTACTAGCACGGGACTTGTCTATCGCTATGACACAGAACTGTCCGAGGATGGTACATCCACCCCAAACGTCTGCTTCTATACCTGTGCCTGGACTTTTACTGACCTCTTTTTCGCAGGCGTCGGTGGTCGCGAGGGAGCCTTTTCGATGTGCACGTTTTGGTTGGTAGAAGCCATGACGCGGGCGAGCATTTACGAGCCCAAATACCTCGGCCGAGCCATCAACCTCTTTGAGAACATGCTCAGCTTCTCCAACCACCTCTCCATGTTCTCTGAAGAGATTGCGAGATCAGGCGAGCAGCTTGGTAACACACCGCAAGCCTTCAGTCACCTGGCACTTATCAGTGCGGCGTTCAACCTGGACCGAGCGCGGGAGCACAAGAGATGAACCAGGAAATGCTTCTTCTCCAGGGAGCGGAAGGACGTTGTGCAGTCGAGTCTGGACACGGGCCTTCTGGCTTGCAACGTCTACTTTTGCACTAATTACGCCTATGACACGAACTCAGATATGTTAGGTCACATCAGGGAACAGCATGGTCTGACACTGCTTTTTAGTCTCGCAAATAGTCAAGAATCGCCAATTCAATGCAATTCGAGAGTAGGGCATGCGCAAAACTACTGCTATAAGATCGTTGATTTAATGGTTTCGATGTTCACAATGCGCAGTAGTTTGGTAATTCCCAGTTTTGAATTTTATGAAGGTGTATGTTTGATATTGCTCTCCTTTTGTCTTCCGCATTTCCCAACATCAACCATAACGCCAGAACCTTGTATCAATACTAGTCGTGATGATGCCATCCACGGGTTGTGGTTGGCGACAGACAATGTATACAAATTTAATTCCTGAACAGATGTTGTTAATCCAAACCACCCATAACTTCTTCAGGGACCAACCCCTCATAGCTCCTTCGTGCCTTTCTTCTCGTCCCCAGCAATGAGCTCAGTCATATCTCTCATCCTGTAGTCAAGAATCGGCGTAACCCAATCATCCTGCACCAGCGAGTAAGTCTCAAGTGCGTTTTCTCTCGGTTTTCGGGGATTGATAGCCCAATATCCAAAGTCGGCATCGATGCTTTTAAGATAACGCAGCAAGTTGTTCCAATAATTCGCATCTCCCTGGCTAGGGTGGTGCGGCGCTCCGAACTCACCGAGCCAGACGGGCGCGATATCGTCTTCGACCAAGTAGGCCCAATTTGTACGCATGGCGCGGATGAAGCTCGCATAGTTCCGTTTCGAGTAGCGGCCCTCAGAGCTCCCCCAGCCGGACCATGCATACACGTGCGCCGAGTAGACCACCTTGTTCTCGACGTCCACTTCGACCGGCCGCTTCGCAACACCCGTCAGGTCATTCCCGGACTCGGTCCCGCCGACAACGATCAGCCAGTCCTTCTTTAATTTGAGTAGCCGGTTGCCGGCTTTCTCGGCGGCCGTTGCCCATTTACCCCATGGCATCGTGCCCCAGGCGCCGCGGACCTCGTTCCTCAAGTCCGCCCCAATCACGTAGGGGTTGTCAACGAGCCGCGCCATGACCGTCTCCCAATGCTGTACCCAATCCTCCTCGGTCTGGGAGACTCTGCATATGGGCCCGAGGTGGCTGTTAGACCAGCCGGAGTCGCAGGGGTCGGCGCCGCAGCACCATGTTGCTGTCGTGATGTGGTTGTTGATGATGACAGCGATGCCGGCATCCGTCAGGGCCTTGACACAAGCATCGAAGACGTCGAGGGCGCGCATGCCCTCCAGGTCCTTGTTCGCCGTCAGCAAGTGCGGTAAGACGTGTGGATTAAGCATGACCATCTCGTCCGAGTATGGCAGGCGCACGCTGTTGAAGCCCATGCGGCGTATCGTCTCGGCGATCTTGTCCCGGTGCTGCACGTCCAGCCCGCCGGGGATGAACAGCTCATCGCTTGCGCCGTACCAGTTCACCGAGGCGAGCTTGAAGCGCCGGCCGTGGGTGTCGACGATGTCGCGGCCCCGCGTCGATAGTGGGAGAGCGTACGTCGCGATGCTGTTCTCTTCGATGGGCAGGGGCAGCCCTCGTTCGGCAAAGAGTCGAGCGCCCTGATCGGGAATCCAGGGCGTACTCAGGGCGGCTTCGGTTTTCCACCAGTAGTGGACATAGCCCCCCAGCAAGAGGAAGCTGATGGGGAGGCTAAAAAGGATGAGCATGATGTCTAAAAGATGAGTGTGTATAGTCGGGGCTCCAGCGCTTAACAACACAACCGGTCTACGGCTTTGCGAACGGAATGTGGTCTTTCACGTCGTGCTGGGGGATACAATATATAGGCGACAGTGCAATTGAACCCATTGTTGGCCGCAAGTTCCGGCGAGTCGGTGCGAACGGATCGTGAGGATGGGCAAGTTTGAAATCTTTAGAGTATATTTGGCAAGGTGCAGCCCGCTGGTGCCGTGACGGTTGGTGACGTTGACTGGAGCTACCCTGCGTCAGCTGAGCCGCTTACATAGTAACCTTACCAAAGGTGAACTAGGTTAACCTTAGGTACGTCTGCTACTCACAGTCCTTCGGTGAGGCACGGAGTATGGGGGTGAATTTATGCGGGGAGCCGGCGCTGCACTCCCCCGTTCACTCTGCTTTCGGACCTCAGCTCTACATCAGAGTGTCCCGCAGCTGTTTGCTTCATTGACAGTATTTACTAGGTTAGCGAGGCCTCTCCGGTATGCCAATGGAGAAAATTAACATTTAGGAGCCATTTCGTCCTCACACACACGTCGATTAAATATAGAATCTGCTGGACTAGTCAAGGTTGCTGACGTACGGGCGGGTCGTGCAAATACCAAGAAAGCGCAATCAACCAGCCATTGCGATGTCATGCCCTTGATAGGGATAACAACTAACATATGTGCCAGAACTCGCTTGCCAATGATTTGGAGGCATATTGTCGAGCTGTACATGGCATTCGAGTGACTGATGCGTTCATGGTGAGAATTGGGATGTCTTGTGAAATTCATACGCGATACTAAACTAGAAGCACTGTTCAATGACCACATGTCAAGGAGCATTCTGCCGTTGTATACAGGTGGTGTTCGCTGGTCGCTGACGAAGGCTGCGTCTGTCTCGTCCGCTTAGTCTTTATTAATGTTGAAGACGCCCGTCTGCGTGATCCAACCATTGCTTCCTGTAGTCTCTGACGAGTATGGTCTTCTTATTAAAGTGGTAACCGAAAATGCACTAATTTCAAGTCCAGTCGACGTTTGGGCCGCCGGACCGGATGCTCTCCTCTGCTATATGCCAATAACATCCCATGCTTTTCCGTGGTAGCCGGTTTCCCTATTCCTCCAAATCTGATAACCCAGTGCGCCACGCTGAACTAGAATCATAACCGTTCGGTATGATGACTGATGCTGTGTAGAAGACTTCGTACATCAATGTACAAGGCAAACTTGCCAAAATGTATGACACAAGGAATGATATGCACGCGGGTGCAAAGGTCTTGTTGTAACATGTATATGTTATGTTATTATTTGTTTGGGACATTGTCCGTTTTCATGGTCCACCGCTCATATTCTGTTCATGCCTAAAGGATTCATATCTTCATAATCGGACCCGTCCGCCATGCGCCGCGGTTGCGCAGGTGGCATTGGTGGTGGACCATACGGAGATACGGTATCCCATGTCACCTGCTGTGGAGGTCGCGGCGAAGAGAAGGATCGAGAGTGTGGTTGGTATCGCGTGGCCTGCGGGCCGAAGTAGTCGGGAGTGTGACGTCCATCTCGTGGACCGGTAGGGGATACGGCAGGGCTAATAGGCGTTAGTATGGATTCCGCTTTTCCGGAGTCGCGAGACAACATTTCATAAGATCTAGTATCCTTCTGCAACTCCATGCGTGCATCTACTGATACAAACTCCTTCTTGGCGCGGTTGCCGCCTAGAGAGAGGAAATACTCTCTCCAGCCAGTCACCATAGAACCGGGCCCAAGAAGCAAGACCAGCCATATGCCGTTCATCTTGACCTGTGTTAGTAGACCATCTTCCTACTTGAGAACGAAACTTACTGCTAAAAGAATGAGTACGGCAATAACCGTGGGCAGGCTAACAACAAGTTGACTGGCCTCTGACAAGCATTGGTTCTTGTCGCCCTTATGCGTTACGAGGCAGGCAATCCAGGCTGATGTCTTCTTGCTAGTCGGATTATCCTTGACCGATTCAACTGTGTTGTCTAAGAAGACAAAAGTCAAGGCGAAGAAGACGACGTCACAGATGATGATGAGTACAATAACGATGCCTCGCCACTGAAGCTGGATAACCCTTCGTACTCTTCGATATGCTTGACGAGGAGTCATGGTACGGATACTATTCGAATATGCGGGAAGGCCAGCAGAATTCTCCGTTGAAGCGGCGCTGTCAGCCAGAGATGCAAGGTAGACCTTGATACAGTAACCGAAAGTAGCAAATTGAATGATGACTGTAAGGCCTGCAAAGACCAACAGAGGTATCCAGAAATCTGCCAGGCTGTTGCCGTGATTGATGTGACACGTTTGGCCAAATCGGAAAGAGACTCCGCTGAAAACGAGGAGCAGGATCAATCCAACAACGGGAATGCCCCAGCCGACGACTTGCGAGAGCCACATAAAGTTGCGGCCTACGACCATCTGCCAGCAGATTTGGAGGTGCAATGACAGAGCTCGCAAGAAAATCCACATCACACCGCCCCATCCACCAAAAAGCAAGAATGATCCTGAAACGGCGCATACCGCACTCGATTCCATGCTGTTAGGGGTAATTTGATCATAGCATTGGTCGGGATTGGCTGCAAGGGGCACAATGAAGCCCAGCTGTAAGGCATTAGAATGAGTGTAGCAAAATATTTTCCATGAAGTCAACTCACATTCATAAAGACAACCGCGCACGTAAGACTTATGCTCAGGTAGTGACGGTGTGTTTTTTCGATAGGAAGGCATATCCATGATACCAAGAGGAAGACGCAACATATCATGCCAACTACATTGATCCAACTGGCCACCGAAGTCAGTTGTTTGAAGTTGTCTGGATATGCGTAATCGGTCATGGGGCAAGGTAGACAGCAGTTGATTTCTGCTGTTACGGGTTGACATAGTCGTCCATTGATATCTGACCTTGTAAGCACGGATCAAATGGCTGGATAGACAAACACTTACAGCCTCCATCGGTGAAGTGATTTTCTTGAAAGAAAGGCGTAGGGCATATACCCCGCAATAGTGTGAGATTAGACATGATGGCGCTTTAATGAGAGACTGAAGGATCCTATCGCTTCGATGCTCAGAGGTTCGAGGGAATAATCGATTGGTGGTTGACACGGAGTCCTTCGGGGAAAAAAAAAGAAAGAAAGAAAAAGATATAACAAATCGGCTTCAAGCGCGATTGACGGCGTAGAACTGACAGAATGCGTTGATGTACCTGACCGCCGTCCAAAGTATAGTTGCTTGATGTCTCCAAGGCCAATTTGCTTTCAATAGGTTTCATAGACAAGCGAGTTCCGGCAAATCGATATCTAAGGTGAGAACCACAAGTGGCACGGCCGAAACTTCTCTTGCATTGCCGTAGGGTGGTGAGCAACCTAACCTTAGCAAATCCGCAGTAGAACCGTGGCAAGGAGTGTAAGCTAGAAACTGTTCATGGCTCTGAACCGGACGTTGATGAGGCACTTCTCATACACGCTCGACCGAAGCATAAATCAAAGACCGGGGCCGATTCACTAAAAAGAAGAGACTACGCGATCTCATTTGAGATGGAGGGTGACGGCACATAATAAAGGTTCGAATATCTGGGGATAGACAAACCGATGCTAGGCCACCCATCCACAAAAAGACCAGGGAGACCAGGGTCATGACATGTAATTTTCCTCTTGCTCTTGTCGATCTAGTGGTACCTTAGCACCCGCGCAGGGACCAGCTGAGGGTCTCCTCATAAGATGGAGCATTCACAGGCCCCAGGATAAGATGAGCGGGACTTGCAAGGCCCCCTCAACGTGTCTGCCGGGGGCGATGGAGACAGATCTTTCGCGTCCTCATTGATGAGAGGTAGGAAGCACACGGATCCGTAGAGGGGCCAGTGTAGGGCAGGTCCCAATCCTAATAGAGAGCGTCCTAGGAAATACGCTATTTCGGGGCTCAATGTAGCCAAGCTGCAGAGGAGGGTATCGAGAGCTGGGATTCGTGCATTAGCAAATTGTGCTTTGCTTACCATCCTGGGCTGGCCATCTCCAGGCCACGGAAGGGTTGTCATTCGTCAAAGCGCCACACGAAAGAGTTGAACGGCGTGATCGAGCTGCACCAAATACGACTGGTGGTGCCAAAAGATCCGGGGTCAACAACCATATGTGGTATCGGGAGGTGAATGGTCTGACAGCTTTGAAGAACGGGGTCACGGTCGTTTCCGCAAGACACCCTAGTGCAAGCTAAATGTTTAGCAGCAATCTTTGTCCCACCAAGGGTCGAACAATTGGATTTCTGGGTTTCTCTCTCTTTTGGATCTGCTGGGATAGCCCTGACATGACCGAGATGCCCCCTGAACTAATTAGTGGACTGGCTTATATTAGGCGTGCCCGAGCACCATCGGGTAGACTGCGCGAAAACGTAAGGTACTAACGTTCAGTATTCGCTTGACAACCACGGCGATGTTTTACTGGTTTGGCTTGACTCTCCCGATATTGGCCAAGCCTCTACCGTTCCGGTAGGATTGAGCTTACATGGCGTTCTTTGCGGGACGAGAAAACTCCCTGACTTCAGGCATACATAGGAACGGGTCAATGAGCTACACGATCGTAGCACTATATTTAATCTTCTTACTCGGCCAGCATATAGCGCTTCTCTCCATGGTCAGGTCTGTGATTGACTTTGGATCTGCATGTAGCTGGGGCCCTTTTAGCGAAGCATACAAAATTTCTGAATTATAACTCTTTATAGCAGCGTGTGCATATGCCAGTTTCGTGTAAGAGAAAGTCCACATATGCATGCAAGCAGCTTGGTAACGTCCCATGTTCAGCCAGTGGCCCAGCTTCATGGACTTCGAGATTTCATCGCGTAACTGTCGAAGAGGCTAAGGTCTGGTATTCGGGGCCCACAAACTTTGTTTGAGGCATAGTAATTCGGAGTCAAGATCACCACATAGAGTTCATCCAAGAGCCCACATTCAGCACTTACCATTGATCTATCTATACCTTACGCCAGTCCACATTCTCCTGCCCGCCCGTCCTGGTCCCGAGCTTCTGGTTCTTGCATCACCGGGCCTCTTCTTACTGCAGGACTGAACTTTACACCACGCATCCGCGGGCGCACCACATGTCGGAAACGGACGTAGGCGAGACGGATACATGGCACGGTGTGACTCTCGTAGTCTTAGCGATATTCTAATCGTGGGACGGTTACATTTATGTTACACACAAGCAGCTTTGTCTTGCAAGCAATAGACAGCCTGAAACCTCGGCAGCACCGGCACTGTCAACGGACGAGGGCCTCGTATGACAGTAAAGACAAGACACGGAATGAAACAATTGGCATGACTAAACGAGCCCTCGCTCTCGACTGAGATCTGGGGCAACATATGCGCTGCAGCATTGGTACTTACCATTAATGTCAGAGTTTGTTGCAAGTGCACCAATAGCCCATGAATTGAAGTGCCTCTCTCTGATGATTCTGGCATTAACTCTACCTTTAGAACCTACATATCTGGGAGTAACATAGCTCAAGGTCGCCATTGAACGTCATCAAGTTTACTTGAAATACAAGTATCATCCTATTGACCATTGCTTGCTCTACTGATCAGACGGTAATTTGAGAGGTGAGCATGTCTGTGTGTCTCAGCCTTGCCGGACCCATGCAGCATGTGCAGTAATCCTTGCCAAATACTATGTATACAGTAAACTACCCACCACCCAAAGGGAATGACGCGGGTGCAGTCTTTTCCACAGGGTTGTGTGCTGGGTTGGAAATATCTCTCAATGACCCGTTCCCGACGGTCTGGTTCATCCACCTCAATGCCAGTCCGTAAACTTGACGTATGGCTGTACAACTGTAGGCTTAGACACCATGTTGACCGTTAATATGCAAGATTGGATCTAAGACAACCGGCGCCGGAAAAGGCAGGAAAAGCTAACTGTTCGAAGCCCATCCGAACCATTGATGGAGGATAATTGGCTAAGTTAATCTAGTGTTACCTCCTCAGCATAGAAATGATGTTAGAGACAAGATGTCGGTAGCCTCTCAGCGTTCAGTGCCGCTTTCTAGAATTTCTACTGGCCCATGGCATAGTTAGTCTTCACACCATACATGTCTCGGGAATGCGATTCTTCCAATTGTTACGTCACGGCCATTGGTGTACGTCGTACTCACCTTAAGTCTAGACGGTCGATGAACTGCGAGTGGCGTCATAAAAATGATTCGAGATATGGAGTAGGTTAGGACATTTTGGCTCCCCCCGAAGCAGTGGAACAGGCGTGCGCCGTCCAACGCTTGCACCCCCTGTTGCGTGCGTTCAAATCTCCGTTAGAAACATTGAAGATACAGAACAAGCTAAGCTCCATATTATAGCACACACGTTTGCAACCTAGACTAACCTAGTCGTATGTCAGCGAGTTCCGATTTTGCTGCACTTTGACAACTTAAAATCCTGGGCGGTCGTAATTGAAACTCTGGCTTCCATTATGCGCGAGGAAAATTTAGTTACTGTGCAAGAACAGCCTCGAATAGGCCAGCATGACGAACACATCACCCCTCCACGAAGCATGCTAGCACGAGCTACCCACGTGTAGGCCTTGGTACGAAACTCGTCACATCTGTTGATTGTAGATGTCCCTGGACTGGCATTTCTTTGGCGGCAGGAAAATAACGATTGCGTCAACTCCTACAAGAAGTAGTACGTGCAGTGCCACTTAAAACTTCTCAAGTAAAAATAATAATAAAAATTACATAGACCTCGTTGGCAATTTGCTGTTTGGCAAAATATCAGATACTACAGTTGTACTATGTCCAAGATAGCGGTCCGTTCTCTGCCTTCCCAGTGCCTTGTTCGAGAAAAACCCTGCCACGTGAGATAGTCGAGTAGCAGGCGCAGATTCAGGCTGCGCAACATCACTGCTGGTATTATTCGTGGGCACCTGCACCAATTAGATATCACTAGAAACGCTATACTACAAGCCTGGGTTTCACACATGGTATCTGGGTCATATCTTCCATGTTGCTGGATGGCCGCCTTTTCCCACGCACCGTATTATGCATTGCTTACCATATTCGGCCCGTTGGGCAAGCATCCAATGATCTGCAGAATGGAGACCTCATTAGTCCCAGCTCCGACGGTCTGGCTTTTTGGAACTTTGTAAGAAATGCAACACCCTTTTGATTGAAGATAGATAATCCGTACTTGGAATCCATATAAAGCAGCTTTGCACTTTGCATCTATAGAGAGAATCGACGACATCGAGATTTCTGACGGTTTCCATTTGGTTGAAAAGGATTCTCAAATTCTGGCGACTTGTCTTTGGCTGGCCCCTGATCACTTGGGACTAGAACGTTGTGAACAATGGCTTGGAAGCGTGCTCTCGAGTTCCGCAGTTTCAGGTTTATCTAAACATTCAAAAGTGACCAGCTCCTTAGACTGTCGGGTCTCCCCATTCCTCGGTCGCATAGTTGAAATTCTGCAACGCGTCAAGATACTGTCTTCCGTGAGCCACTGACATCACGGCATCTGCTGACAGCATTTCACAAGACTGTTCGTCTCATGTGGAACTGCCGACTGCTCCGAGCACGGCAGATTTCGTTGAAGCAATACAATTTAGGTCGTCACTAGTAACGAGCATGCCAGGACTGAAACGACTACTGGAGATAGCCTGGCTGAATATGCAATACAACTTTAAACCAAATAGGCAAAACCGATAGGGATCAATATGGCTAGAGATGATACCAGGCGCCGATCAAGATACTACTGTAACAACTGCCATTGCTCGTTTCGTGCTATGGAACCCTTCTGGAAACATTGACACTATAAGCCTCACTTTACTACTTTCCCTATTCAGCGAAAAGATAAATGAATGGTCGGTGATAGTCGAGAGGTTTTGAATTGCACTAGTGCAGCAAGTCACATTTGGCTGTCCGGCATTGCTTCAATGGTCAGCGAAGTGCTGCATCTGCGCTTTAGAGTATTGATTCTCGTCGAAAGGTGTATGAGGGGTAGCGAAGCAATTTCTCAATGATGTGACACAATTTGCATCACTGAAGTCTAGGAGATGCTCCCTATACAACATTTTCGGGAGGAAGATTCGGCTTTGAAAAAAGTCTTGCCGTTACACAACCATCGCAGACCCAATAACAATTATGCCAAGGGTCCAGATGTAACAACGGGGAACAGGCAGGAACCAATTGATATCTCTGGCGGCTGTTGTCGTGGTGTCCTTCGCGTATGCACATTGTGCATTCTGTCACTCGGGACATCTTACATAGCAGTCGGTGAAACAGTTGTGACAGTTTTAGTAATCTCGGCTTGCCGCTCAACCATGAGACGAAAACCATACGCACATGCAGGGGACTGGAAGCTGGGACTTCCGTGAGGGTTGCCAGCAGCTACTTCTCGAGGACAAATGAAGATTCTCGCGACATCTCCATCTCAGAATTGGCAAGCATCAAAGTATATTCTCTGACATAATGTTCCGAGGGAACAATATAATTAGGTAACCACCTCTACAGGTTTCCCCACGCTTCGTGCACGGCTGGTTATTGGAGATGTTCTGTGAATCAAAACCCTAAAGGCCGTCGAAACGCATGACTACTGAATGGGTTTGAAAATGGTACAAGCTGGCTCTCGGGAAGCAGAGTTGATGCCTGCGAGCCAAGCCAGTAAAAGTGCCTAACGGATCGTGCTTCCGCTGCGAGCGCCGCAGCCGTACGGTTCAGGAACAGACCTGAAGAAAAGCAATGCAGCCAAGATGGTCCGGGGCCCTTGTCAACGATACCGGCGCTTCTAACGGTATTCGGGGGATATGCCGGGCTGACAAGCCACCCACGCAGCCGACGGTCCTTCGGTACCAGATCCAGGGGTTTGCGATGGCTAGTCTCTTTTTCCATGATGTAGTACGCAATGCAGAAGCAGAATCATCTAGGAATGTGCATACGCACGCCACGCCACTATATTGACACAATTTATGCGCAGGCTCCTGCGTCTAATGAGAAATTCCAGTATCTAACGACATGATGGTAAACATCTGCAATCAATAAATGCCGAGCCAGTCGCAACATGTAAAAAGAACGTAAGTCGTCGGTCGAGAAAGTACGAGCGTGTGTTCATCCGCAGATCTTTGCTATTTAGTGGGTTACGGGAGAATATGTAGCTTGACGTAGGTACTTGTAGATGTGCAAGCCCTAACCGGTTCCATTTTCTGACAGACATTACGTTCCTTCGATGTTACTACGAGAATGCCCTGATATTATCCGCGAATGGTGTCTTCTACCATGTGCCAAGAAAGCCACAAGCGATGCTATGTTTTATGTTTGGTTACTTTCCACGTTGACTCCATAACGTAACTACTGCAGAGCATGAGCAAGCAACCACCTCTAACCAGCAGCGGCGTGTCTACATACATGATATGACTTTGATATGGTGTAATTGTTGATTTGATCCCAAGAATATGTCATACGCTTGAGTTTTCGGTCCTTTACCAGTAATAGCTCGATGTTCTCGTGGCAACATTTGCAGATCTCATAGTACAGCCCTACGCCTCGGGGATTTTCCCCCCCAGAATCTACTAACAAGAGACCCAGCGATGCTAAAATTCGCGCATCTATTGCTACAAAATATTGAGGTCCATATTGTATTCGCCGTCAATCTCCAGAACCCACTGGTGCCGCTGGGGTAGGACAAGAACGTCTCCTTCAGGTTTGACAGGTTAAACGAGCGCACCTTGAAAATACCTCCCGAGCCTCTTATCAGAGGCTGTCGTACATATGATTGTCCCCTAGTCTAGGACTTTTCCTGTGGCAATGTCAGTTTCCTATTCCAAACAGAAGCGCATTCAAGACCGTTGTGGCTCTCCAGGATCTCCAGCTCTCTGTTCAATAGTGCTTCTTCTGTGTATCCACCATCCCCACTTCCCCAGTATACCCTGCCAGAGCCATGCTGCCGAAATACTCGAAAAATGTCAGTTTCTGTCGCCATGCGGGCACCACCGGGCCGCAATCTAAAGTTCTCGACACTGCTTTTCTCCCTTGAGTGCTTAATGCATTACAAGCCTAGCGGATACAGTGCGTTTGTGTCGCTCCATCGGCCAAACAGCTGTTTTGCCTCATTCCTCACGTTGACGAAGAAATCGCTTTCGGCCACCAAAAGGGGACATGATATCTTGTCCCCACGTAAACGACAGCATATGCTTGGCAGCTAAGATAATTACAAGCCATAGCTTCCACATTGCTCTACATAGAGGTCGAGCAGGGACTGAGTTCCTAGCGGTCCGATTAACCCCTGGCTTAAACGACATGGATTTAGACCAGGCCCTGGGGTTCGTGAGGAGGCGCAGGAACTCCTTACGAGCACGGAAAGAACGCGATTTTCCGAGGGAATGGAAATGTTCTAGTAATGCTCATGCAGTCGCATGGGTTGACAGTATTCCGATGGTTAAACTAATTCGTGATGGGAAAGATGTGCATATGGAGTGGTATTCGAGCTGCTTACGGCCGACGTACTCCGTTGCCATTCCTGACCGGCCCCAGGAATATCTGCAGGTGAGATTGGAAATTTTCATTTCCAGCCCCGTCCACATTCCGAAGAATGCTTGCTCATGAGAGACGAGCAGATTGCCTACACAAGGTTCTAGAACAATCAGATTCTGGGTAACCCTATTTTACACCTCTTTGACTCTCGAACGTCTGATCTTTCTCGTCCGTCGTATACGCAGCCAAGTAGGCCCAGGCCATCTCTCAGAGGACATGATATGACGTCCCTAATATTCAGTACCCCGAAGCCTGTCGATTCAATGCGGAAAGTATTCGCAAACAGGCTTAGCATATTCTAGAACTATCACAGTTCGATGCTCCAGATGTCGGCCAGATGGCAATCGGCATCTTGTACTCCATTATACTAACAGGTGGAATTCAACGAAGTCTGTCAGAAGCTTTTGCCCCATCTATTCGTCACGATCATCATAAAAGAACTAGTAGCTGGAGATTATGGTCGCTCAGATGCTTATAACTTACTCCTCTACTACGATTAGTCGCTAATAAGCAACGTTGAAATCGAGCGTATAGTATCAACGCCATCTTTAGAATACCACAGATCCCCACGGTATTTTGAATGAGCTCTTAACTTCATATTGATCATTAGCTTTTGTAGTCTATATTTGTGTAAGAAAAATGTCACTAAAGCGGTCTAGCTGTAGTTGAGGGTATATTCAAATGTAGCTTCAATGGCATGCTATAAGCATTGATCTCTTATGAGATTGTCTAGCTACCCTTTATTAGCATGTGTATTTGCTTAGGACAGCACATAGCTATCAGTACGTTTCACCAACCATTAAACAATGATACTTCAATGCAAGAATTGGGCGGGACCAGGCATTCACATGTTTCGGAAGCATCTATGGTATATGGACTTCTCATTTGGATTCTGCACAATTGCCGACGCCGGCTTGTTGAGGGGTATACTATTAGCTCGAAATACTTTACATTATATCTTCTTCATGTCCTTAAACCCGTTTTCTACGCTTCCATTCTTTTCAGAGGTTCCACACCTGATAATATATCCTCCGACTGTCCTTGGAGTGGTCCAGATGTATTGGATTGGTGCTACATGGTTGAAGTTGCGTAATATATAATCATTCCTGATAAGAATTCAATCAACCTTAGAAATATTACAAGCAACAGTAAATTCGAATTATTGTGATCTAACATAGTCCTTAATCGCAGTCTAAATAAGTTTCATGGCGGTTATGTTTTTGCTCTTCCACAAGTCGATGGCATTAATGATTAGTTGAGCTTATACAGCAGCCATATAGCCTGGGTGTCTTGACGACTAATAATACTATTCAAGACCTGCAGCTTAATGTTTGACATTTGTCACTAGTGTCTCCATTGTTACCTTTCAAATATATAAGCTCTGTGTTCTTTTCTTTAGATGAGAAGGCTGTATTCTAGCTAGCCCATACGTGTGAACATGCTTTTTACTTGATTGAGGACCCGGCAAGTCGATGTCTGTCTCACTCAATTAGCGGTTAGCGATCGTCACAGTCATAAAAGAAATCATACAATGAATCTAAAAGTAATGTAAGCTATAGTATAACATGTATTTGGTGTGACGGCTGGTTTTCAGCTTTTAGTCCGTTTAGATACGTGGACTAAAAATCAATTTAGTCCACAATGGATCAATAAAGAGAAGAGGCATGACCAGAAATTCTTTTTTTGTGAGCATACGGCATGGTGTAACAGCTAAAGACTTTCTCATAGACATGCTTCAGACAGCATGATGAAATTAAAATCGTACTCTGATATTCCCGTGTTCTCTAGCCGTGCTGCAAAATATGCTGTCTAATCTATGCCATCAAAAGTTGCGAATTTATACTCACCGTTATATGCCGATACCAGTATCCCACCAGTGCCTGCCAGAAAGCCAGTGAGGATTGTCCTCGTTGGTCCACCGCCACCAAGAGGCTCCATCAATGCCATATCCTAACCACCTGGCAAACGAAAACGGAATGGGCTCCCACAACCATATTCCACATCGCCCAAAATCGTCCAACAAAAATTTACAGGTCAAATGTAGCCACGCAAATGTGAACAATAAGTTGCCAGCTCTCCGTATAAATCGAGGCATCTTACCGATGCTTTTCCTAAATTTCTTCGATAACACAGACTGCAACTGCGTTCCGACACCAGAAAGAAAGAAAAAGACCGGTGGTTCCCACCAATGCGTCTTTGGGATAGTGGTGTAACTTCCCATGGCGTGAAGGAAGCCGGACGTCACAAATGCAACCAGGGCGCCGACAACTGCTGCGGGAGTAGATCCTTTCTCAATATATCCGTTCCGGATCATCCACTCGGTAGGCGCCGCGAAGCCGAAACGAAACGTCTGGTGCCACCAGCTTCCCCAAAAACCCGCCAATCCACGATCCAATACTTGCATGAAAGAACCAGTCATGGACGGTAAGTGCCAAGGATCAGCACGAAATCCGATGACTGGCGGCCCCAATAGAGCCAATAGAACGGCACCGAAGTCCCAAGCTAGACGCAGAGCAACTATGACCGCGACGAACGACAGCAAGGTTCTACGAAGAGACAGCAAGAAGGGACTCATGTCGCCTAGCCCGGCTGAAAGAGGCAGGTCGTTAGGCCCAAGGATAAAATAAGGGTCTTGAGTCATGATCGTGGCACAAATATCGACCAGAAGATAACACGGGACAATACCAAATAAAATCCGGTTCCTGAGAAATTCCATCCTAGTTCGACAGCGCGTGTAACCTTGACGAGTGCTGTCTGGGAGGAAGTGGAGGGGCATTTGGTAAGTCATTGTCTCGTCGAACCAGGGAGGAGGCCTGTAAGGAGGCAAGACGTGAATTGCCCAATTCCAGCCTGTGGAGGGTCAGCACAGTTGTTCTAAAAGTAATTGCATATCAAAACACACCTGTCAATCGCATGGTGGCCCCAATGTCGAAAGCCCAATCCAGACGCTTTAGAAAAGGGGCATCCTCAGGAAAACTCTGCCATTTATAAATGAAGGGCTGCCTCTTATTCAACCGATCGAAGTCGACTACAGACAAGAGTTGGCTGTTGTGAGTTGACTTCCCCATGTTCATTTCGAGATAACTGATCATTTTCCGCGTCTCTTTCTGCTCCTCTCGGACCACATCTTTCTGGACAAACTGGCCGTTTGCTATCTTCTGGTTCTGTAACTTCCTTGACGCGATATTGCTATGCCCGTTGCTCAAGGTACCGTCTGATCCCGACGCCAGAATGGATGTTGCATCATTGTGATCAACATCCTGGCTACCCTCCACCAATTTCTGATATCTCGGATTGGGATACCTCTCGATTCTTCTCGCATCCCACTGCGGCCTTGTCCAAACCAAGACTGTAAAATTCCAGACCGTACCCCAAGCGGCGCATATACCGGTACCATACGAAAACGCAAAGTTCGAACTTGCAACGTTTCGTATCACCCATGCATTGATCATGGTGCAAAGGGCAAGCACTATCCACCGAGCATGATACAGCCATGGGCGGCGCTTGTGCGGGATGCTAAGATAGAGGATGGGCAAGATAAACACACCCCAGAAAACCAAGTGCAACAAGAACGGGACCTTGTTGCCCGCTGCGACATCTGCCTTGAACTGCGCGCGGTAGATGCGCCGGTACAGGTCTGCCAAGTCTGTGGCCAGCAGCGGCGGGCCTGGCATTGTTGATCGTCTTCTTGCTTGAACTACTGTAATTTAAAATAAAATAAAAAACCCCCCCCAAAAAACACGATGCGAATAAGAACCTGTAAATTTCAGGTTAGAGTACACAGACTATAAATGGACTGTAGGCCCAAAGGAGAACCCGCCGCGCTGAAATCGTGTTGTACGCGAATGACAATATCATGATTTTAGCACGAGCCATCGTCATTGAAAAGCTGCCCTGCCAGTAGTGGCGTATCAGGCGCGACTAACAGCATGTTTGCGTTCCACAGCGGCGAAACCCCTTGCTTTAGTCCGCAGTGCTCTCTGTTGCAATCTTCTGTGCAAGTTCGTCGGTAGACGATGAAATTTCCGGGCCAATATCCCGGTACAAGTGAGGAACAAGCTCTGCCAGGAGATTCCAGCGGCCAAGATAAGCGATGCTAATGCGGCTCTTACGCAGTATGTGCTCGACGCGTTCCCGATGCAGATTTGGAGATCTTGTTCACCTCTTGGTTGCAGTCGCTTATCTCCGTCCGTTTACAAATCTCACAGGGATCACCCACTGCAGTCTGGCCAGCCTCGGTGGAGCGAGATCAGCAATGACTTCATTCACAATAACGTAGGTTAGTAATACCCGTATAGGTTGTGATTTTGATGCGAGCTTAGAATTAGCAGCGTTGACATCCAACCAAAGAGCTTTTAGTGCAACGAGAATAGTCCCATGAATCGCACTCGACCGTGTATTGGGTTTATCAATGGCGCAGTACACAGACAAGACAGAATTCTGGAGACCAGAAACAATTCTGAGTAATGCCTCAAGAACAACTGTAAGCTTATATTTTGGCATTCTAGGGAAACAGGGTGGCATTTGAGACCCTCTCAATGGACCAATTTCGTATTGCCATCACCAATCTCGACAAGCCAAACACCAAACAAACGCCCAGAATTAACAAGCCCAGTAGCACACTCCGCCTAATTTCAAATGCTGCAGCTGCTTCCATTTTCATGAGCTTCTTTTGTTTTGTGTGATAATACCAGTTTCTATCCTGTTGATTCGGAGGCGCCTCCGTCTTGCCGCCTACCCAGGAGTACGGCTGCGGGCGAAAGATGACTTGTTGCAACCAGGTGGGCAGACTGCTATGCGCTCCGTCGTTGTGCGCATGTTCCCGTTTTCTGTGGAAGTGATAATCTACCAGGTAGAGAGAGACAAGAAATGTGACGAAGTTTATGGGTGTCATTATATACTGGAGTACGTGTTAGCAAACGGCGATGGGTCAGTATAAGACTGCACGAAAGGGAACGGCTAGTGGTATAGCAGGGGTAATGAGCATTTGGCAGAACATTGCTTCATGATTTCCAGTTGCGACACGTCAGTATCGAAGATGTGAACTCACATGATACAGCGTTGAATGCTCATCTCTCTTCTCCGGCAACTCTGCTGTAGTGGTCCTTTTCGTTGCTTTTGTCATGGTTATGAGGTCGTCTGTATGTATACCTTTGTTGTTTGTCGGATATTCAGGGTCGTCCCCAACGGAAGGTGAAAAACTGTTGCGAGGGATTTTCAGATTATTTCGATGAGATCGAGTTTGAATCGGCGTACCTATGAGCTCAGTGGATGATATTCAGGCACAGCAACCGTGCCAGGGCAGACGTCACTTTGGAGACGAACACCACCCATGGCTACCAATAGGACACCTCGGGCCGCGACAATTGGGGCTGGTACCGGCGGATCCGTTTTTGCCCCAGTGCCTCGTGCCAAACTAAATCGGATACTGCTGTCTAAACTTCACACCAAGATCGACCCAGAAGTAGCAATTGCGCCTGTGTGCGTTATTCACTGAACATTCGACCTATTTTCCTTGGCTACTGTAAATGGGATATTCAATGGGGTCAATATTTCAAGATAACAGTTCACGTGGATAGTTATGTATAACTCGAACATATTCCGTCCTAAAATGGCCAACCATTTTATCCCATGTTATATCGTTGGCCTTCTACTCGTAATATTTAACTATAAGTGTATTGGAATTTCGAGGTAATCCGTATTATACTAATCCCCTGAGTGAATAGCTGGGGCCGTCGTGAACCTTTTGTGGCTGATACTTGTGGGCGCAGTTGATATAAATACGAGCACTGAGCAGACGCAGAACATTCGCACGTTCCAGAACTCGTGTTAGACCAACTCGTTCGGAAGAAACCTAGAGTTAATGTATCCAATGTAGACCGGATCACGTTACTATGCCGTTGAAGGAATGATTTGTGCGGCTAGTCAGCTTTGTTGAAATTGGTGAGTCTCTAGACATCCAAGTCCACGCTATAAGCGTTTGGTGATTGTCTGAAAATGGATCGGGTATCCGGTCTATTAACATACGCCTAGTCGCTACGAGTGTTTGTGATGCTCAACACTAAGATATCCGTGGCACCAACTTTTGTCAGTTCATCCATGACCAGCGCAATCTTCTTCTTCTCAACCATAATACTAACAGCCACCCAGCCATCCTCGTCAAGGGTAGTGACTGTTGGAGCGCGCTTACCGGGGGCGATCTTTGTGGCTGAAGTGAGCGAGCTTCTCTGGATGTTGTATTGGCAGAGAACGAATTTTTGCGCAGTGATCACGCCACGAATGCGGGCTGCGATGAGGTCGACCAATTCTGGGTTGCTTGGAGCTTTTGACTTGATCATGATGGCACTCGATTCTACGACCGTATCGATTGCCTTCAGGCCAGCTGCCTTCATTGTTTCGCCGGACTCGACAAGATCCACAATACCGTCTGCGACACCCAATGCGCAGGCGGCCTCGACACTGCCACTCAGCTCGATGATATTCGTTTTGATCTTGCCATCATAAGCGCCTTGCTCCCCGGATTCAATCTCCAAGCTGGCGAAGTACTTCTCCGCCAGGTGGACGAAGCTGGTGCCAATGTTCTTGCCGATGAGATCCTTTGGCGTGGCATAGCTACCCTTCTCAGGAACCTGAACCTGTAGCTTACAGGCGCCAAAACCAAGATCCATAACCGTTTCGCAGCCAGTAGCGGCACTTCTTGCGCTCTCCTCCTCGGGGGTGATTTCTCCAGTAAACCTTCTCTTCTTGTTTACGGACCGCACACCAGCATCGTGCTCTTGAACCACATCATACCCAGTAATACCCAAGTCTACACGACCTTCGCCAACGAAAGTGGGAATATCGGCGGCGGGGAGGAAGATCAAGGCGATAGGGAGGTTCTTAACGAGAGCTATATCGAGTCGGTTCTCTCTCCTGAACTGAATGTCGGCGCCTTCGAGAAGATTGAGGGCTGCGGCATTGAGTCGCCCCTCTATGTCATGTCAGTACTGTTTGCAAGGAAGAGTCTCGAGCAGGTAGGATTACTCTTGGGGACAGCGAACAGGAGTCGGCCTTCTAGGCTTTTGTGAGGGATTATGTTAGCCATGTTTTCTTTGTTTCCTTATGCGACAACTTTTCGGGTATAGCACCCAACACCTCACGATCGAACATGATGGCCGCAGATACACGGGGCATGAGTTCTTTCCAATCCAGGCGGGGAAATCTTCCAGACTGCCAGCAGCAAACGGGTTCGACCTACTGGTTCACCAAATCCATCTTGAGCTCTCAATTCTTTTTTGTTGACGTTGTGATGCAGCACGAGAGCAGGGGTCGAGCTGTTGGTCGATTGAGGGTGGGATTTCTGCAGAGTTCGGGGCTTATGAAGAGCTGTTCAGTCTTGGTTCGAGTCTCACTGTAGATAGACCGTATGTCTGAAGAGCCTCGAGCTGGTTGCTTGGCCGCGGTTTATTCTGTGCTTCCCCAGTTGGGCAGAATTCGGTCAAATTCTGTGCAGCAGAACCCCACGTTCCTGTATCGGACATTTCGATTGACTCGACGCGATTCATAGCGGGGTATTTGTTCGTACTAGACTAGTCTAACCTAGACTAACATTTTGCAGTGGTTCCCATTGAAGACGGAGTGCGCCGGCATTTCGTTGTGAGGTCGCCTGCTAAATTTAAGCATTGATTACAGTACATAGGCACTGACGGCGTGCCAGTGCAACGGATCGGTCTGTTCCTGATCTGCATCGTATCTGCGGCCTCCACTTAGAGCCTACAGTAGTTGGGCAGGTAAGCGTTCTACTGCAGCGACGTACATACACAGGATAGTACAGTCCGCTCCTGTCTCGTTGTATATACAGCGACTCTTCTGTGGACGGAAACTCAAACTCACAATTCACTGCCATTCGTTATGATATGGGCAACATAGGGGTGATCCCGGACAAACTTAGGACTACTTCGCGCTCTGGGGATACATGCCGCTGTTGTTCGTGCGACGTTCCGTTGAGCATGAGCTGGAATGTATTGGATAAATAGATAACCTACCTGCTTCTATGCGCACGCCGAAGTTTTCTGAACGACCGGGCGGCAGGACGAAGAATACCAACTAGACTAGGGTGAGTGCTTTGAAGAACGATACCCCAAGAATGGAGAGTGCATATTATTAAATGGCCTGGGACAGAAAGCTGTCATCATTGCAGTAAGGTTAGTAATCCGTAGCTTGGCTGGCCCCTGTCAAATTGACAGGTAAGGCAATTGGATTCCGACGTCATCCAGAGCCCGTCACCAGTAGTTTGTGCCGTGTAACTTTGAGTTACTTACTGCTCCAAGGTCGCGGTACACATTCGGTTCACCTAACCTAACCTAAACCTTTGTCTCAACGAAGTGTTAGTGACAAAACTACGATGACTCCCGAAGCTCGTGTATCTCGTTGATTTCCACAGCTGCATTAACAACTTTGGTTCCTAGCGAGGGACGGATGCCGAGCTGCAAAGGGATGGGCCACAGGTGGATCACAGCGACTACACGTAATCCCTGCCTCGTGTTAGTACCACAGCCAGACGTTTAGCAAAGCCATCGCGCTTTCGCCTGCCCACCATGGCGGCTTCAAGTCCAGATGCTCTCAAGGCCGGGATCGAACACGAGGAGGAAGCTGCGAAACATACTCCCAACGCATCACCTAGGTCCAGTAGTGAGAGCGACGGCGCCGAGTCCCAATCCTGGGCGCCTTTTGATCAAGACTGGGCCGATCCGGCAGCCCAGCACGCGAACACCAGCGACGACAACGTAGATCCCGACGAAGAAGACGGCTGGGTGCGCAACCCCAACAATCCCGCCGAGATGTCAAGATGGACGGGACAGCCCTCTATCATGGGCTCATCGGATGCAGTGCGCATGATCTTGTTGAACTTTTGTACTCTGGGCATCACCTTCACCTGGGGTGTGGAAATGACCTATTGTACGCCGTACCTACTCAGCCTGGGTCTCACCAAGAGCAAAACCTCGTTGGTCTGGATTGCCGGTCCTCTATCAGGTTTGGTCGTACAACCAATTGTCGGTGCGATCGCAGACGAATCCAAGTCGAAATGGGGTCGTCGGAGGCCCTTTATAGTCGTTGGAGCAGTTGTGGTCGCCCTATGTCTTTTGGCGCTTGGCTTCACCAAAGAAATAGTGGGCATATTCATCTCCGATGAGGAGGCGGCCAAGACTCCTACGATCGTGGTCGCTATCCTTTGCATATATGCGGTAGACTTTTCGATCAATGCTGTCATGTCTGCCGCTAGGAGTTTAATGGTCGACGTTCTACCTATATCTAAACAACAAGATGGGGCCGCTTGGAATAGCCGAATGTCGGCCATTGGCCACTTGATTGGATATGCAGCAGGTGCTATCGACCTCGGAGCCATCTTTGGCGATTTTCTGGGCGATACTCAATTCAAGAAACTTACCGTTGTTGCCGCCTTCGGCATACTAACATCCTCTCTAATCACATCGCTCACGGTGACGGAACGAATACTGGTCGAGATACGGAAGGATCCTCATCAATCCGGTGGGCAACTCAAGGTTCTCCGCCAGATTTGGTCAACCATACTTCATTTACCACCCCGAATCCGCGCAATCTGCCATGCCCAGTTCTGGGCATGGATTGGGTGGTTCCCCTTTCTATTCTACAGCACGACCTGGGTAGGCGAGACCTACTTCCGGTACGACGTTCCTGATGATGCCAGGACTTCTGAAGACACGCTTGGCGAAATGGGCCGTATCGGCAGTAGCTCCTTAGTCTTATACTCTGCCATTACTTTCACGGGTGCCTGGCTTCTACCCCTTCTGATCAAGAGCCCCGACGACGAGGGCTTTACGCAGCGGCCGCCGCAAAGTGTTGCGCACATCTTGGAGAAGTTCCAGAAACACAAGCCTGATCTGCTGACCGCTTGGATGATTGGGCATGGCATGTTCGCTGCTGCTATGTTCTTGGCACCTTTTGCAACGAGTTTTAGATTTGCCACGGTGCTCGTCTGCATATGTGGACTGTAAGTACTACATCAAACTCCGTATTGCTATAGCTACTAACCGGTTTGATTAAGCCCTTGGACGATGGCCATGTGGGCACCAGTCGCATTCATGGGCGTCGAAGTAAACCGTCTTAGTGGCGGCGGCGAGAACACTGCATCATACCGCCCTCTGGATTCCGTCGAGTTGTCCGAGATGAATGGACATTCCGACGCCCTGCGTTTGGAGCATGGCTCCAATGATGCGGAAAGTGGCACGAAAGGTGGATCTACCGGCGAGCTATCGGGTATTTACTTCGGCATTCTCAACATCTATACGACTATACCCCAGTTCATTGGCACGTTCATTAGTACCATCGTGTTTGCCATCTTCGCACCGGGAACGCATCCTGAGCTTCACGGGGGAAGTGGTGGTGATGATGCCGCAGCCAAAGGCCCAGCAAAGGAGGATGGTCCGAATGCCATCTCAATCTGTTTGTTCATTGGGGCTATAAGCGCGACCGTTGCCATTTTCGCGACGAACAAGTTGAGATACTTGTAACATAAACATTGACCTCTTAAGCATTCAGTGTGTAAAGCGACTGGAAATAGGCCTTTTGATAAAACTCGCATGGCGTTTACGGGGCTATGATGGCGTTTGTTGTGGGCCATGATAGAAACCTAAGGTGTTGACTGTATAATTAGAGCCAGAGACTTATTGGACAGTTTATCTTATAACGAACCGCGTCAACTTTCGTTGCTAGGTCCTATCAATTCGGATTCCATCACTTCAACACAATTTTTGTTTTACTCCTCCCCCTGGCTGAGCCCGGGGCTGGAAGGAAATGGCCAACTCTTCCTTTCCGGACATCTGTGGCTGAAGCCAGCCTCTGGAGCTCTGCCCTTAACCATTCCAACACGGCCCCATGATTGCTCTGCTTCCTCCCCAACACCTCCGCAAACGCTGAGTAAGCCAACCAGCTCACCTCCACCCTGCGGAGATCACACGTGTATCCCGGATACCTCGTCTTGCGCCCCTTGCTGGTACTAAGAAGAAATGCGACGTCCGCAAGCTTCTCGACTGTGCGGGTCACCAATCCCGCGGCGGGCCGCTTGGGCGGCGGAAGACACCGCACATAAGCCCAGGTCTTGGTCGCGGTTTCGACAAAAGCGCTGTAGAGGTTCGAGAGCATGGTCGAGGCCGAGTTGAACGAGGTATCGAGGTACATGAGATGTGACTGAATCTTGAAAGCATTCAGTACCTTGCGCTGGAAGGTTTGGCCGGGGACGCGTGTGTATTCTACCGTGAGGGAGTTGAAGACAGACTCGCCTGGAACTGACACCGGCTTTCCGGAGCCACCGGCAATGGTGGAACGATCGCGGCGGTCTCTGGTGATGTCCAGGCTCGACGTGTTAATTAGTGTGCCACAGTATGGGAAGCCGGTTCTTTCGGTTGCAGTTCTTGCGATTGCCTTTCCACAAATGGTGAGGTTAAAGTTCACCAGCGTCTTAGTTGGATTGACTGTGACACCGTACTCTGGAACGCCATCATGCATAGTTGAGACGAAGCAAGAGGCTTTGATCTGGTCAGTAGTTACAAGCAGGAAGTCGTCAATGAGACGGATTAGGAGACAGTCGTCGGAGTGAAGAAACTTCAGGACCTGGATCTCCAAATCGGCGTAGAAGTAATTGCACAGTGTGGATGAAAGAACCGAACCTTGCGGTATTCCTTTCTTTTGTCTATAGTACTTTTTGCCGATCTTGACAATATTTTCTTGGATGTGCGATGCAATGAGCTGTAGCACAGACCCTGTGTCATAGTTTTGCTTCATCACACTCTCGATGAAGACTGTGTTCCTTTTCTTTAAAGCCCTGTCATTTTCGATGAAATGCAAGAGTGATGACATGTCATTGTGCTCCATTGCAGTTGACAGCCACTTACGCAGCTGCTTCCTGGGTTTGGTGCGAGAGTTGTGATATTTGGGACCATCCAGAGTGCTGTTGCTAATCTCGACATGCTTTGCGATTTGGTATCCGTATCTTTGTGGGATAGAGTCTAGCAGGCCAACTATAGCAGATTGTGGTATGGTATCAAAGGCTGACTGAACGTCGACTTTGGCGAAGTACAATTGGCCGGAGAACGAGCCTAGTCGGGATTTGAAAGATTTGACTCGCTGGTATATGTCACCCACGGAGAACATGGCCGAGCTTAGTTTACCAGGGTTGAGAGCCTTCGACCGTCAGAAAAAGAAACAGATGTGCAGTTTGGCGACATACCTTCTCCAATTGAAGAATTGTGTGAATTGGTCTAAGTAAAGTATTGATACTTTTCCCTAGTTCTTTCTTGTTCACGTCCTTAATCATCCTTTTACGGAGATTCATGATAGGCCGTATACTGGCCCCTTTCGGCAACAGACGGACATGACTGAAGCCCAGCTCTCGCGAATCCAAAATCCTTGTGGCATCGCCTAAGTTGATCTCCTCAAACATCTTGAGTTTTAAAGTGGATATTGCTGGCTCAGCCACGCACCGCCAGACATCATGGCGGAAGAAAAAGAGTTGATTCTTGTCGGTATTCGACTCAGTGATGTAGAAGTTGCTTCGTAGCAGGGGTATTAAAAGAGAATCGAAGACATAATACAGGAACTCACAGAAGAGCTCGGTCCTCTTCTGGATGTCAGACTGGGATGTCCGACGTGCCAAAAGCTTCGAGGACGCAAGCCACTCTATATCAGTGATCTGAGATTAAGTTAGTTGGTATGAAATATGAGATTGACTTGTAGACTTGCCCTCATGCCCTGCATGACTTCGTGTAGCGACATGCTCTCAAAACGTCGGAGTCTTATGAATTGGTCAATTCGTCTGAACAGCATATCCTGGTTGTGTTTTTGTGTACCCTCGTGGCCGAAAAGGTCGCGAGGGACAACTTTTAGAACGACTGCTTGACAGAATGCAGAGACATTAGCCGATTGAGTCGCCATGCTAGTGATCGAACATGCTTGGTTTGCCTTTGAGGGTATCGAAAACGACTGCTTCTTGCGAGGGAGTTGTGTTCCCAGAGTTGCAGAGTCCTCTGTGGCTTTCTTACTCTTGTTGCGGATCGGCTGGGATGCGCTATTCAGCTCAGAAGACGCTTCGACCTACGAACATCCTTAGTCCACGTGCTCTACCATTGATTGCATTGAACGTACTGGGCAGTAATGCTGTAATAGTTTCGAATACGAGCACCGTGAATGCAGTATTTGTAGCTTCTGAATCAATTCTATTACACATCCTCTCAGCCGTTTTGGAAGCCTATGCTCCAGGTTGAGCTCGCCATGTCTGACCTTTTTGGCGATTTCCTGCTCGCGAAGAGTATAGTCTTGTAGCCGCTGTGCAGTATGGGCAAAGTCGACCTTGGAGGTGAAAACATTATGCAATCCAAATTGCCTGGGGAACATATACATCATCACTTTCCGTGTGTTGGCTAGATTCTGTGCGACTATTGGATCATCTCTACCCAAGTGCGCGTCAGACTGCGCCTCAATTTGCGTATACGGTGCGCGGTTCAAGACATCTGTTGGAGTGTTAATGTTGTTTCTAGATTCTGGCAGAAACACGTACGGATATGTCGCAATCCAAAGTGCACCAAACCACGTGCATTCAGCGTGGCCCTCGCATACAGCATGCGATTGCGCACGAATATGATTTCTGACAACGCCTTTTCGTTACCGTTAGGATCCTTGGGCCTTGTGGTTGCTGTGATTGGTTTTGCGTTGTTCAACGGGTATCCTGATTGTCAAAGTCAGTGACAGAGATATAATTGCTTCAGATGCCAACCTCACCACTGATCTGTCGGTAATTACCTTGACCTTTTCGTAGGGAAGTAAATATTGCACAATCAAAGAGTAAATCCATCACGATGCGATCACCACATTTTCCAAGTAGCTTCAGTAACTGGGGCCATGGGTCTTGTTTTATCGCCTCAACTTGTGGATTTGGCCAGACGGAATAAATGCCAGGTATGTTGCAGGATTGATCGTCTCGCGGCGCCTGGTGCCTTGTAGGGTTGCTACTTTTACGGAACCCGTCACAGAGGACATGCTGCGGCCGGTCTGTAGGAGAAGAAGTCTTCACACGAGACCAGAGCTGCCATATCACGAAATCAACTACCTAGTACCAGTCAGCCATTCTCGAATTACACATGGTAAGCAATCAATTGATAATACCTCCGACTGAGAGAACGCTGCCCCAGCGAGGCCATCTGACAGTGTGATATAGGATTCATCGCCTCTCTGAGTGAAACTCGTCCATTGCTCCCAACGGTTCTCTGACGCGTGGTTCGACTGTTCTGTTAGTCCGACAAGGGTATTATCGAGTAAAGCGCCCACAGTCTTCTCAATTGTAGGAACCACGGCTGTTGTAGAATTCTCCAAGCCTACTGAAGCGAGCTTCTTTCTCCTGATTCTCGAGGTAGCCGGGAGCTTTAGAAGCACATAGTCGCGCAAAGTCAACACCTTGATGTAATACTGGCTGAGCACGGCGTGTTTGATCCCAAGACTGTTGTTGGCATCCAGCTCAGATGATCGAGTCTTTTTCCTGGCCGGTTGTTGTTGATCTGATGCCAGTCTTTCAAAGGTCTCCCGTTTTCTCCTTCTTGATGAATGCATAGTGGCGCAGTAAGGCATATTATACACGGCACCAGTATCATCGTGGGTTGCTCATATGTTGTCATGCAGTGCCAATAGACCCAGTCCCAGTCGTGCTACTTCGTAGTAAGCTGAATCTTTCCGTATTGCAGGTAGGCAGCATCAATTGACCAATGACGCAGCAATTTCAACCCAGTCACAATAGATTGGCCCCTCAAGGACTGTTTGTATTGCACTATTCCATGATGGCCAGAACGCGTTAGCTGACGCGTTTGTACTCGGACAATTGATAGCGCTCACACCCACCACTGGGACATGCACCATGGTGGATCTTGGGGCTCTAGGTGCCGAGCTAACTTTTAGCGCCAAGATTGTCTGGAGGCTTGATAGAGATTGGAGGCTCGGAATACGTGCCGACCGGTTCGCTACCCAGGAACCATCTTCATCTACCGGTACGGTAGTAGAATATGGACAGACTACTGTAGCCTACCCTACCTTATCTGTCTGCTCGTATTGCAGGTGTGTGCCGGTGGATGTTGCATAACAAGACAAACCTGAATTGCGGTAGCTGGGGATTCGGTTGTAATATTTTGACTTCGAATAGGTAGGATGTAACTTCTCAAGACCAAAATCAAATGTCTGTGCATGCATCCAGCGTGCAGAGGTCAAAAGTACTTACAAGTTGCATAGTTAAAGGATTGTTTTACTCGCACCTTTTGTATGCTATATGACTCGTATGTCAGTACTGTTTGCATGGGAAAAGATTCACATACCACGAACTTCATTTCGTCTCGGTGGTACAGCACGCATCAAAGCGATGGTTTGTTGCGACGGCCCGCTTTTTAAAGTTCTCAGCCGGATGCGCGCCGTGAGCAAAAGGTTCAAGCTACCATCCGAGCAGAGGGTTCCTCAATGCCGAAGTTACTCAATTGCGGTATGAGCTTGAATCATATTCTTTACGAACCGCCGCTAATTGGTGTCATTAAACCCTTCAAGAATCGGGATCCGTGGGCGAAGACATGGGTGCTTGACTTCAATGCAAAAAGGCTGTATTGTCATGATTTAGTGCCGCCCAATCGATTGGTGCCGGCAACCAGATGATTGATGCTTGAAGACCGTTTATTCTTACCGGTCCCTCATGAATCCCTAGCCACAGTTATCGACTATATAACAATGTATCACTTCAGAGCAGACACGGCATTCATTAAAAACGTGACAAACCTACGAACTGGTTCAGAAGAGCCGGTCGTCGAGACCGACAGGACAGCTTGGGGCCCATATATTTCTTAAGTAAACAAATGCTCTGGGAAATACCGAACTTAAAAACAGTGGTCACGGTGACAACCATGTGTGCGACAGACGTGAATCTGAGCATGTTCGCGGCATGAACAGCTCTCCTAACTAGATGCTAGATGTAGCACCATACCTTGACAGTGCGTAGAGCGGTATCTCAACGCTCTATGATGTAGCATTTCAAAGTGGTAACTCCTTGTTAGAGTCGTAATATTGTAGCCCGGACGATTGTTAATCATCCTTTCAAAAGGAAATATTCCAATATTATTACGCTGAAATAACGCATAGCTTTGTTTAACAAGTAGTTAGGGCTATAACAAGATAGCTTAACGGCTACGTTTCCATATTAATAGAATTACTCGTCGCGATTCCCTCACATGCGATACTACTCTTGCTCAAGCTTGAGAAAAATTCCGAGTTTTGGTAACCTCTTTAACTAGGCGCAAGGTCTTGAATATATGTAACTAAGAGATGGTTGAGAACCCCCGCCCCATTCCTCCCCCCTTCCTCCTCTTCAGCACCCTTATGTCTGGTTAGCCATGTAACCTAGTGAGTCGGGAAACAACCCCACAATCAGCGGATTAGCACTAAATTAGCTCGCGTCTTTAGCCAAAAAAGCAGCTCGACCTGTAATCATAGTCGACCGTTTCCAAAATTTGTGGGTGCATCATGGTTTCGAAGGATGCGTTGTCGCGTATAGATATGGTGCACGCTGTGCAGTCTGTACGCAACCGAGTTGACGATCCCCTAATAAAACAAGCGCTGGTGCGGCCAGCTTTCTATCAATATCGCATGCATCTTTGCCCCTGCCTATGCAGGGTCAATGGTGCATGTCAAGAGCCAGCGCATTAATCTGTTGCACGAGAAACAACTCTCATGCCGACCGACTCGTGAAGTCTCGTGAATTAGCATTGAAGGATCCTGCCACCTGTCTAACATGCCAGCAAACCAATGCCGTCGGACAGCCAGGGACCTGGCGATTCTCCGCCTCCCCCCTACAGATCCGTTTTGTAATCGACAGACCGACGACTTGTGACGACTCGATTCGCTTAATCAAGCTTCTTATTTTGCATTATCTACACATACAGTATATTCGATAGCGCACTGTCAGGGTTGAACAAGAAATTTCCGGGCGATGACATCCAAACATTTTGGCTAGGGGTCTAGGAAAACCCTTCCATTCGATCTGGATTGGGGCATGTCTTGCTGTCCGATGTCTCCACTCCCCAGGGCCACGCCCATTCAAGCCCAGCCAGTCATGGTGCCTTGTGTTGATCTTGCTCACCCACTGGGAGACCCGTCTCTATGTTTCTGCTAGCCCGCTGACTCCTCCCTCCCCATACAACCTGCGGCTTGCTGCTGTATGTAGCTAACTACTGTAAGTACACCGTAGGTTGGTGTGTAACGACTGCGCTGTATTGTCGGTACCATGTCAAGCGCAAGGCCTGCCCCGGGCTAGGTTAGTTCATCTCCTGGACCAGAACCAGAACCAGGGCCTGCAACGCAGCACATCAGAAAGGCCACCTGAAGGCAGTCCAAGCTGTCTATGTTTGTATTGGCGAATTGCATGCATGTCTGATCTGTTCGTATCTATCTAGTGTGCATTCCAATCCGTCCAGCATTCGCCTTGAGTTGAGGGCGATGAATGCCTGAACGGGCCACACTCAAGCTCTCTCTCTCTCTCTCTCTCTCTCCCCCTCTCCCGTACTCCGTACTCTGGTGCAGTAAGTACCTACATTAGAGTAGAGTATCAAACCATCTGCGGCCTATCCAAGCCAAGCCAGAGGCTCGACGCAACCCACGCCAAACCAAACCAAACGGCCGGAGAGGCGTTCTACGTCCTATCTCAACCACCCCTGCAAAGCGATTTTTCAATTGAGGCCTGAATGTCAAGGGTGATGTCCAGGCCACCCGACTGTTCCCAGCATGGAGGCCGGCAATCGTGACCAAGGGGATCGACTTGTCGGGCTTGCTCATCATTTCGACCCCCAGTCGCAACTTCACTTCGACAACGTCGACAGCCTACTGCTAGACAGTAAGCCCCAATACTCCACCTTTGATCCCTCTGCTGCTATTCCAGAACCTTTGCCATACCGAGATAGCAACGACATCGACGCCGTGGAGGCAGTGCAGTTGCACTCGCAGCATCAGCACCAGCACCAGCATCTTGAGGCCCATGCTTGTGCCCACGCCCATACCGACGTTCACGCCCTTGCTTCTCATGCCGCAAACAACCAACAGGCCGCAAACGCAAATGCGAGTCTGAATGGCATCGTCAACCCCGACGACTTTTACAGGACCTACCGTGCCAACGCCCCTACGCTGGATCCGCATTCAAGCACCGATCACGACGGATTGATGGCGTCGACATCCGCGCTCCCATCCGCGCCGAGGCAGAACCAGAAGCCCTCGCTACGGTCCAACAGCAATGGCACGACCCCAAAACACCCAGCCGTTCCTGCAACTGCAAAGGCTGCACTTCGCCCTTCGACACGGTCAGTCTCTGCGCCCTTGAGTGAGGGCGGCGATATTACCGCCAAGCCGAGAGCTGCAGCTTACGGCAGTAGACAATTAAGCGTCAAGGATCTGAAGAACCGGTTCGACCAGAATATCGTGGCGCAGGCACCCAACAGTAGTAATCCCGTGGCTGCACGTAGGACGACGGCCCCTCGCACAACTGCTCGTGACCCAGCATTGTCATCGTCACCATCATCGCCAGCGAACTATCGTGGAGTCGGAAGTGCGAACGGTTCGGCACCGTATCCGACAACAAGGTCACAATCGACAACAGGAAGCACATCTGCCACACGGCCGTCACAGAGGGCCAAGTTCAGTGCCGAAGACCATGTATCGAATAATTCCCAGTCGTTCGCGAGTCGCATAGCAAAGCCTCGGACTGGAAACGGTCTCTCTTCGAAATCCATGAGCAACCTATCACCATCGTCTCCAACCAGTGCCTCCTCGATACCACCTGTACCTCATTTGGACAAGAGCCACACGGCTGGTTCAGGCAGGGCTCTTCTGTTTGGTGAAATTTTGCCCGACCAAAGCGAAAGAGAAATAGTCGGTTATGGCATCGAGCGAGTACGGACTAGACGAACTTCAGAATCCAATCTCCACAGCACCTCAGTACTTCATCAAAGGAGTCTGTCGCATACTGACGTCGAGCCAGCCTCGCCAACCGACTGGTACCGCAAAACGGGGCCTCGACGTGATGGGAGCCGATCACCACCCAAGATATACAAGACTCACAACAGATCGCAAAGCGACTTGGCAGGAGCGAAGCCTATTCCAACACAACTGAGAACGCCGGCTCCTCTCCGCAAGCAAGCGACACCTACGCCAGATCTAACGCCATTTTCTGGAACATCTAAATTACCTGTGTCAATACGTAAAAAGAGCCCACCTGCAGATAGTCCCCCTTATTCGCGATCCAACACCCCATCCGCTACCAAACGTCCACCCAGCAGATCACAGACCAAAATATCCAAGCCATCCCCTATAAGTACGTCTTCCACTCGAGCAAAAACTCCAACCAGTGGCGTAGCCGGAAAACGACCGCCGGGTACCATTACTCCCAACGGCAATGCGCGATTGAATGCGTACATATCCGCACCGCCTCCGAAATTGTCACCAACTCTGCGAAGCTCCCGACCCCGTCAGCCTGTGTCGTCCGCGAGTACCACCAGCTCGAGGATGCGTGCAGCCGAGAGAGGAAGGTCTCCCGCCAAAGGCGATGCGAGGACGTCGAACAAGAACGAACCTGGTCGGAGACGGAAACCGTCTATGGGCCCAATCGATTTTGTCTCACGTCGGGAGCAGATCAAGCTCTCCTATACTAAGAGTATTAAAGAGTCCGAGGCCAAAGCAGCCGCCAAACGACAACTAGCAATCGAAAACGAAAGGCGGAGAAGGGAAGAGGAAGATTCCGCAGCCGCTGCAGAGGCTACCCGCCTTGAGGAATTGAGGCAGCATGAGGAACAAGCCAGGCAGCTGCTTGACGATCGTGAAGAAGTTACCGAAATGCGACCTCATCTACACCATGCGGAGAACTCTGTGCTCGATGTTGGCCGGCTCGAGCGAAGTCCGGAGCAACCAATCTTGACCCTGACGACTGAAGACTCCGGGGCGCCCACAATCCCAGAAAGGATCGCACCAGAGGCTCCCTTTGAGACCGTACAAATAAGCTTGGACTCACCCACCCTCGGCATGCCTGGCAGTTTTCCTGCTCTAGGTTCTCCAGATATCCATGAAGAAGCACCACCATCGGCTGCATCCGATACCACCGAGTTCGATGCCGAGCCACAGACCGAGCCACCAGTCCATCAAGCACATGGACCTGCAGCTCTGGATTATGACGGTACGACTGAAGGGGCAGCTTTAGTGCATGATGGATCCGAATACAAGTCACCCTTTAACGAGTCTCCACAAGATGAAACTGCGTCTATCAAGATATCCATGGACCCGGTGTCGGCAGAAACACAAGCATCAGGCCAACGGCACGAAGCCAGGACGGCAATGGACGCCTCGCAACGACATGGAAAGGACGAAGAATACGTGCAGCAGCCGTACGTAGCGCCTACGTACGAAACGACAGTGACGATCATTAGCCGAGACCCTAAGCTCTTCCCGACTTCCCTGGAAAGTGGCAAGACCTCGACTTGTGAAGCACAAGCCATCGGAGCTGAACACGAAGATGCTGAGAATCTCCAGACGCAAGGGGAAAGTTCGGCACAGCCCCAAGACACCCAGTCAAGCGATGAGTGCAGCGACAAAGAGACACCTTTGCAGCGACTGGAGGACTTTTATATCGGCCCTAACCTGGCCGAGCCTGCAGCACGCTTACGTGACTCTGGTGCGTCGAGATCAACCCGTCATACCAGAACATGGTCAATGGAGCAGAATGAAAAGGCCCATTCAGAAGCCCCCCGGTTTTCGACGGAGACAAGAACTTTAGAGACAAGGCCGAGCCTGACTGTTCCTCGCGCTTCAGTTTCCGCGAATCGTACAAGCCAAAATACTGTTTGGACGGATTATTCGGTTGAAAGCAGAGATGACTACCCGGATTACTCGGTGAAAGTGCATAGGCGTGGTGATTCAACATACCGTGACAGCGATTCCGTCTCAGATGCCGGCTCTCGATTCAAGCGAGGCTCTGGCGTATATAACTCCAGTCCCGAAACCTCGCCACATGACAGCTATCGCAAACCTCATATAGCGCACACGAGCCATACTCAGACGTCGGTGCATCAGCTGCCTGAACTCGACACTGGCGGTGGGTTCAGTATTGATTATATCACTCGCAAGAATAGCGCGGCTTTCATTGTTCCTCTTCTGCCAGATCATTCACCTCCGCCACCACCAGGGGATCCAACTTTTCCGGATTTAAGCTCTGCACCACCAAGCGAATACTTTGATGATACTCGCCCCAACAGCTATTTGCATGGAGCGCAGGATGCTTACAGTTCGTACTCCGTATCACGGCCGCAAAGCGAGAGTTTTGACTTGCCTGGTTCCACTCCGCAATCTATAGGTCATGGTTCACTCGAGATCTCTGAAGGCCCACCATCCACCAGAACTCGCATGGATAGCCAAACTACTCTTGCAGATAGTATCGACCAACAAGAGAACTCTAGCGGTCTTCCAGCCAAAGAGAGGAAGCGGCTGTTCACTCGCCTCGAGACGATCAAGGAACTGGTTGACACGGAGGCCTATTTCGTTCGTGATATGAGTATTGTTGAGGAAATTTACAAGGGAACAGCGGAGGCTTGCCCGAAACTTGACGACAAGATCATCAAATTGATCTTCAGGAATACTGATCAGATCATTGCTTTCCATACAACCTTCTTGGCTGAACTGAAGGACGGTGTCTCGAGTATTTACGTGCCACGTGTTTCGCGATCCCTTGTCCCAAAAGACACCTCCAGTGTATCGGACGGCGCTGCCGTGTCAACGACTGCTTTGGGTCAGTTGGACGATGGGAAGGATCGCGAGACCTCTCTTGGGCCCATTTTCAAGCGCAACATCGAGAAGATGAAAGGTGTCCATGAAACCTTTTTGAAGAATAGTGATCATGCCGCCAAACAGCTCATTCAGATACAGGAGGATCCTACCGTGAAGGTCTGGTTGAACGAGTGCAATGAAGTTGCCAGAGATCTCACAAAAGCCTGGAATCTGGACTCTCTGTTGATTAAGCCAATGCAGAGGATCACCAAGTATCCCAACTTGTTGATCCAATTGCTCCATGAAACACCTCCGGATCATCCTGATCGTCATACCCTCGAGGCTGCGAAAGTTGCTCTTGAGGATGCGATTGAGGAAATCAACAAAACCAAGAAGAATTTCGAGCTCGTAGGCCAAATAGTTGGCCGAAAGCGTAAGGATTCGAATGTTGGTGGGTTCGCAAGAGCCTTTGGAAAACGCGTCGACAAACTCCAAGCTACCAGCAACAAAGCAGTGGATGATGTCGATTACATGAAATTGCATGAAAAATTCGGGGACGACTATCTTAGGTTGCAGGTCGTTCTTAGAGACGTAGAGTTTTACACCAGGCAAGTGAGCGCTTACGTTCACGAGTTTTTGCAATACCTTTCCTCAATGGAACTGGTTATGCGACTTCAACCTTCACCACACCCCGAATTGGAGAGCAAATGGGTGCGCTTCAATGTGTCTATGAGGGATATTGAGAAAGTTGCCCTTGAGCAACATGTAAGTGCTATGCCAATGGACTTGGCATGTATGATGATACTGATATCTATATAGCTCTCACAGGTTCGAAAGCAGGTGATTGAGCCTTTCGAGCAAGTCATCAAAGCGTACAACAATCCGTCCCTTGCTATGAAGAAGAGGGCCAAACGCCGGGCCGATTACGAGAAATCCGAACAGCTAAAAAAGAGTGGCAAGAAACTTGACAAGCAACTTACCGAATGTGTAGAACAATACGAGGCGCTCAATGATGCACTTAAGAAGGAACTTCCCAAGCTTTCCGCATTAACGGAGAAAGTTGGCAATATCTGCCTCGGAAATCTGGTCAATATTCAAACTCAATGGTACTCAATCTGGAAAGAAAAGGTCAAAGTCGTACTTGACAACCCTCAAATTCCAGAGCTCTCAGATGTCGTCTCTACCTTCCGGAGAGACTTCAAGTTCCAGGAGGAGCAAACGAGCTCTATGACGATCCTGAATCCCACTTCTACGCCTCGACCATCTCAATCCAGCATCGATGAGGGACCGTCAAAACTCCGACCGCGTCCGTCGCAGCTTTCTAGTATTCGTGGACGAGGTTTGTCCGTTAACAGTGACGTTGCGCCTAGTCTACCTACGCCCGACTTTATCAAGCGTCACAGTGGACAATTTACCGTGTCGCCCTCAGTCGCATCAGTCCCAAGTCCGCATCACTTCTATTACCGCGACTACTATGCTGGCGTCGGTACCAACACTCCTGGTGGATCTGCGACGCCCAACTCCACAGATCCATCTGCTGGAGTCCGCCCTCCAGCTCTTGGCTCAATGCGGCCAGGTACAGGTCAAAGTCACGACTCCGGTGGTGCGCCTCGGCAGAGCACCGAGTCGAGTGCCCAGACGAAGCGATACTCTAATTCTATGTACCAATCTGGCTATCAATCGCCGCCAGAGCCGACTTCTAGCCAACGATATTCCGGGTTATTCAATTCTGCCATGCCACTGTCAGATGCACCAGAACGAAGTACACGGCAGTCGCAAGCTTCATCACGCGCGTCTTCACGCGACAGGCAACCTATCAACGGCTACAACGTGCTTTGGCTTGCTGCCTCACTTTTCGAATTTAACATCGAGACCACCAAAATGGAGGCTGGGTATCCTTATTTAACGTACCAAGCTGGTGAGGTAGGTGCTCAAGTCCAGATGTATCCTTTGAACCTGTTCCTGACATGATTATAGATCTTCGACGTTATTGGAGAGAAGGGTGAACTATGGCTCGCAAAGAACCAAGATGATCCAAACAACTTGGTGGGCTGGTTATGGTCCAAACATTTTGCGAAACTGGCAGATGACTGAAAATATTCCTCACGAACCCATCACACGAAATTTCCAGTTCTCATCAATACTCAAAAACCCGAAACCACTTATATCACAATCTAGATGTCCAAATTCCTGACAGATCATCATTGACGATGTCTGTGTATAAATGATATCATGCAAAAGACGCAGCACGCGCTTATTTACTTTGTTGATTTCACCACCATCAGGCGAGGCGTGAGGCGCACGGTGCGGCGTTGATTTTTTTTTTTTTTTTTTTTTTTTCTATCGTACCAAGGGGGCAGGCACACGTACGAAACGAATGTTTTGACGGGATCACGAACTAGCAAGCGCGCCAGATACGAATGGAAAGTACAGGACAAAAGACGGGGATCTCAGCAATGGAACAAAAGACATTTGGGGAGGCTTCACATTGATTCTTGGTTCTTTTCGACATCCCTCAATGTTTGCTATGATAGTATTCAAGGGATCATTACATTTTTTGTTGTTGTTTGTTTCTGGCATGATACCTATCCGCGTCGAGAGATACCATACTGGACAGACGACTTATTATTTATCAGTATTGTTTTCTTTCTACCACCTCCCCCCCCCCCCCCCCCCTCCCCCTCTTTTTTTTGCCTGGTATTATTCTTTTTTGTTGAAGCTACAGCCCAAGGCTCAGAGGTTATTCTGAGACGAAGGGATGAACATGGTCCTGGGTGATGATTGGTATTTGATGGTACCATGTATGACGGTTTCTGTCATGGCAGAGATTTCTTCTTTTAAAGGACCAGTCAGAAGTCTGTTGGAATCTTCGTTACAAGACGCTTTATAATAAGAATCTTTAATACTACAAACGCAGAATTTGAATCCGTATGTGCCACAACTTGTTCTAAATAGTTCAAAAATATCCAATATCCTCACCCTACTGTTTGCTTCATCACCATGTCCATATCGAAGCCGAAACTGTCTACTCGCACAGCCAAGCATGACTTGAATACATATTGGTCATTCGGTATCCTACTTTAGCTTTGAACAACCAGTTTGAGGAAGAAAATTACATGCATTGGCATGATACACAACGCATGCTAAAGCCCTAGCGCCTTCAACCACACCGTCGGTCAACGCAAGTGACGCGTTGTTTGCTGTTTAATTATCACCTATAGGTATGCACGTCGACTGGCGCGTGTTTGTCCTCATGCTGAGGTTTGCAGTTTGAGGTCTGACACGACTGCCTTCACTAAGGTGACATCCTTATCGCTAATTTCGATTTCAACGATGGAGTGTAACGGTGTTTTCATGCCACACACCTTTCGCAATGCCGGTAAATCGTTAATTAAGTGGTTGCACCCGTAGGGCTAAGCGATGGCAGGAAGTCGGTCACGATCTCTTCTGTACAAACCGAACATTGCAACTTCAATACAGCTAATATCGATAACCCAGACTGTCTCATTCATATTGAATTTTGCTTTCTAGAGCTTGTTTTTGCAACAAAAGTGATACCACTGGCGTGGATATTGGGCCCAGCAAACCACCCCCTCCCTCCGGGAAGTCTCTTCAGGTCAATGGCCTTGGAAAGGCAAGGCTCTTGGCAATGTTTATGTCAATACTAGAGCTAGAGCAACTCTTGCCAACCCACTGCACCTGACTGATCTATTCACGCCTGTTGCACAGCATTGTATCGTCCCGTTAAGGTGTTGACTGTGAAACGTTGTCTCGGAGACGGCAACGCCGTTCGCTGTTGAAAAGCTGGGGCTTCTGAGTCATAATAAAGTCTAACATGGTGTATATCCGGTAGTTTGGTGGCCGACGCAGTTACTCTACTGCTGTGCCGTGTTGGGCTGGGCCTCGGGTTGTCTCCGCTATCACCATCGTTGAACCTGGCTGGTGACGCGATAAGAATTGCGAGATTATATGGTTGGAACCCGTGATACATAAATCGTGGTACTACACAAACCCCAAGGTTCGCACAATCCACGTCTTGCTTTTGACTTCAAGTAGTGGCGTTCGCGTGAACACATGTGAGCTACCGTGGGAAGAAAAGAAAAAGGAGTATCTCGTAATCTGGTCGCATTAACTCAACCTATTTGTAAATTTGACTGACGACCATACAAGACACAATGACTGATCAAATCGTCGACTTGGAGGAGGACATTCTCGTTCGTGAGGTGAGATTGGGGAAGAGGTACATGCTATCTGAGGCCGCTCTGCATCCGTCGGCGGTAAGCAGACTGACAGATCGAGACATATTTTGAAGTCTTGCTCAAGATGGACCCCTTCATCTTGAAGGAAAAGCTCGCCGAGTAGAGCGTTCTAACCGAGATAACGCCACATCTCGTTGAGATACTTACCGGGGTCATTCACGAAGTGAGCCTCACTCTTGTGTGGTTCTCGGACCGCGCATCGGCGAGGGTGAACCAGGGGACGCTAAATGAGCTGAAGTAAGCGAGGTACGGTTTGACGGGATTTGCAATGTTGACGTACGATCGGACAGGCCAAAGGCTGTGTCTGTGCGTGATATGTGACTTAACAAATCGAAGTATTCACATGGTGACGATAGTTTAGGGAGGGTGCATACTCTCCGTGGTTCCAAGACTCTTTGTATTCGGCAACGGGTCCGGGAACTGATCGGCGAAGATATCCTGGTAATGCTTGCAAATACAATCAAGGATATTGCCGATTTGCAACAGTTAAGGATGCAAGATTATCAAAAAGATACCTGGAACAACACTGATGCAAAGAAAAATGTATAATTCGTTAACAACTGAATCTATGCAAAAAGTATGTTTAATTGTTTTTTATAAGGGAGGGGGATCTCAGGGTTTCACGAGGTCTAAAGGCAGGTATCGTGTTCATACTATGTAGGCTGCCTCGCTGGGGGGAAAGTAACGACGTTACAGCAATGGGGGGGTTGGAGCCCACACCACTTGGGGAACGCTCCGACAACAAGAGAGCATTTCCTTACTTCGTAGTTTCTATATGCAAGCTCGGGAGTCGGAGCGATATGTTGTATGTTTACGATATGATGAGCCCTTTCAATCGTCGATCAAACCTCGAGTGGACAAGAACAAGCATACTTCATATATGCATATGCTATCAGCACTGTAGTTGTTGACGTGTACAGAACCCGGTCATACACGAATCCTGCCGTCCCTCATGTTAGGTTGGTCTCCTCATCACTGCACATCGAAAATATGACTGGGCTCTAATGTCTCGACGCTCGAACAATGTCCAAAGAGCAGAAGGAACAAATCGCCGATCATGCCATAAACTTTGGTATGAGCTGTTTTATAGCATAGTATAGCATGGTTGACTGAACACAGATCGATTAGCATTGTGTACGATGGTTAGGACATTGGACATGCCAGTTTGAGTCTATATTTCTATGTGCAACCAATGGTAGCCAAAGTCATTGGAACAGACACCCGCGTAAAAGGTAATAAAGCTGTGTTGGAAACGTCGCTCAAATTAGCATATGATCGGGAATTTTCTTCTGCCTCGTCTTTCGATCATGTAGGTATCAGGCCTCAAGCTTGGTAATACGTTGGTTCTACTCAACTCAAATTCTAGATACATGTTGCTCATCTGCCTGCACCATTGGATGGTTGACGGACGTAAAAGGCGCGGGAAATGGCAAAGCCGCTGGTGTCGTACCTTGGGGAGATGAAGACGGAAAGATTGGCAGCAGGTGTGACAGTGATCATTTTCATCCGTTCGAACAAGCGTATGTCACCCCCTGGACCATGCAACGAGTGGCCAGGCCCACAGCATTGGGTCTTCGGTGCCAGCAGTTGTTTACAGTTTGGCAGCGGCCTGGAGCAACATCCGACAAATTATTATGCAGTGAGATATTCAAGGATTGAATCATCTCATCGGTGAGTCCTTCGAAGACAGGTGCATGTGATGAGTAATGGATGTGTAGAACTTCAACTTCTAGTACATAGCCTGCAAAACATGGTCAAAGATATGCCGACAATATACGGTCGTATGATTGGTGATAAGTCCCCGTAGTTAACGTTTATTCCAGCCACTAAGGCCTATGGTGGCCTGTAGCGGGATCTACTGTACAGTACTCCGTACAGGCACAGGCACAGGCACAGGCTCAAGGCCTACCTGTTGTACCTTCTTCTAGCATCAAACCGTCCATGCACCTCCTAAATTATGTGACCGCCGCTGCAGATTTGACAATTGGCGAGCTGCAATATGAAAGTAATGGCAGTCGATACGTGACAACGTCCCTGGCAGCTATCCTGTAGCACCAGATATCATAGCAGAGTCTTGGCAACTGGATGGAAACAAGACGTTTCATAAGTCCTTTGGCTGGGCTCAAGTTAGCACCTAGACTAGTGTGTGCGTTACGCAATTAGCAAACTGCTTTATGTATAATACTTGGCTGGTTAGCAGCACGAACGCATGAAGCATGACTTTTCTCTTGCTGCAAGGTACCCTGCAATCATGTCAACGGACCGGGCAAGCTCAAGTAGGGCACAGCTACCAGTCTGGATGTAGCTATGCCGTCTTAGGTTTCCATACGACTGGGGACCTCATCATGCTATCTGTCGGGCAGACGCGATGCAAGTCTTGCTTCGCCAGTAGTCACACTTAAAGCACAGACAAGATATGCCCACAGGCCTATGGATGGGTGAGCATATAAAGACCAAGACAAAACATCGGATATACCTCCCACATTCGAGAGTCGATTTTGTCCCGGGCCAGGCTGTGAGAAAGATATTCCCGAGTTGCAGGTGCAGGTGATATCTCGTGAAAATCCCCCACAGGCGAGCCGACCTCCAGTCATCCAATTCCTCCATCCTCCATGCCCCCCTCCACACTGAACCAGACCAAACCAGACCAGACCCGCACAAGGGACCCTGGCAGACCTGGTAGGCTGGCAACTGGGACCTCAACATCGAAGCGGCTAGGACAAGTGGTTCCCGTCAAACCGCCTCCAGTACATAGTGCTAGAGGAATAAAGTAACGCCTCCCCCAAACTCGACTTCTGTCTTACCTTCCTGCATCATAATCGGAGAGACACCACGCGCGCCGTTGCATGTGCTGCCGATAGGAATCGTTTGGATTCATCTGACCACCGGCTTCCACATCACCCAACGTTCAAGCTGCGAAGACTTTGCAAGTGCTGAACCGCACTTTCACAGTTCGTGGACCGGAGCCAGGCATTTCGAGCTGCGCTGTCCCCCAGACATTTTACCTTCGGGCTACATGCAGAGGTCGCGACCTTAATTCTTTGCCTGACGGCGCGCATACATATAATCAAGTTCGTAACCCAGAACACGCTGAACTCTTTTCACGACGCGGTGTCATTGTTAATGGGTGGGCGACATCCAAAGGTTGTTATTACCCATTGTCGACACTTTATTTTTATTTTTATCTTTACAGCTATATAAGCATTGAATAGGGAAGTGTTCTGGAGAAACGTTTGCGTGCATTTGCGTGCGTTGGCTACAATACTACCTTACTAGGGTCTTTCGTTCCTTTCTCAGCAGGAAGAGAAGGATTGCGATCCGAGGAGGTCACGGCCAAGCCGCTACCAGAAAGTTACCAACTGCGGTAGCATCTTGACAGCACAGGGAAGGAAATACTTGCGCAATGAATCAATATCCTACATCAGGTGTGCATCAGCCACATTCTCAACAACATCCACTACCACCAGAAGCTGGAGGACTTTCAACAGCTCATTATCGTGGTGTTCCACCTCCTCAGGAACAATCAACACACCATCTACCCACAGCGCTGTCACACCAAACTTACTACCCAAACATTCGCACGCCTGCCATGCCGCCTCACGGTACGGCTGGTTCACTCCCCGCCATGAGGGACCACGCCCCTGATCTAGGTCAGAGAGAGACCGGAAACGGCGCTCCCACTCTGAAGAGCGACCCAGACAGTGATCGTCCGCCCCAGCACCCCTCCCCGCCCTCTATCTCAAGATCAGATGAGACTAGAACGTATAAGTCAGTTGTTTCCCATCCACGACCTTGCCCAGGTCATACTAAACATCCCTGCGCAGATTAGTGTGCGAGCAACAACCACAGCGTGCAAGAATGTGCGGTTTTGGCGATAAGGACAGAAGGCCTATCACGCCGCCGCCCTGCATTCGACTTGTCGTCATGAATATCAAAACGGGCCAGGAAGTGGGAATGAAGTACATCTTTTCCCCGACACATTTAACATGTCATCTACTGACTCCACTTAGTGAGATTGAGCACCAGATGTATATACTTCATGTGGATCTGTGGAATGCCGAGGGCACCAAGGAGGTCAACCTTGTCAAGCATTCCCAAAACTCTCCTTCCATCTCGTCAACCACGTGCGCTTCTTTTAGAGAAATTGAGAATGGCGTTGGCCAATTCCCTCAGCAATTTCCAGTCCACATGCCACCTACTCAACAGGCAGGTCCATATGCTGGCCATCCCCCACCGCATGGTATATCCTATCAGCCGCAGGTGGCCGGCTACGCTCAGCCAGGTATGTATCACAAGTGGCTTGTCTGTCGAGACAGGGGTGCTGACACAGAACCACTAGGACAGTATGGTGGCTACAATAACCAGCCAGCCGATTACAACAACTACGACTTTCGGCCTCAGGTACCGAACAACATGCCACACCTACCAACGCAACACAATTATGCCGGCCGATACCCACAAGATATGACCAACCAACGTAATAACTCCTTGGCCGCTTCTCAGCAACCCAATGGGATGTACACTCGTAATCTTATTGGGAGTTTAGTTTCTAGTGCAGCCCGACTTGAAGACCCAGACAATAAGATAGGGATTTGGTTTGTGTTGCAGGATCTCAGCGTAAGGACCGAAGGATGGTTTCGGTAAGTGATGCTCTTCCGGCCTTCCACCTCGCCTAGTAACTAAACAATGCTCAGATTACGCTTCTCGTTTGTACCTGTTGGCCTCCCAAACACCAACGGTGATCCGCAAACTAGTGATCCTCAGCAACCCAACAGAGGGCCCGTACCAGTCCTCGCGCTCTGTTTTAGCGACCCTTTCCAAGTGTACTCGGCCAAGAAATTTCCTGGCGTATGTGAAAGCACCCCGCTGAGCAAATGCTTTGCGCATCAAGGCATCAAAATTCCCATTAGGAAGGAAGGACAAGATGGTAAAGGCAAGAGCAAAGATGATGACGATTTCGACAATGATCAGTAATGCACATTGCTGGTCCCCACGCATTGGTAGAGTTTTGGCATGTTGCGGAGTACTGGCGCAGTATTAGCGATCATTAGGGCACGCAAAGATGACTGGTGCATATATTATAGACGGAGATGTTGCAGCAGTCGTATTATTGCCCTGCCTCGCAAGCACGAGATGGTTTACTTCAATCTATTCAAAAAAAAAAAATTTGCTCAGTAATACGTTGGCGTTCACTCGGGACCGTTATGCCTGCCGATGCAAATGCATGACCCAGTGAACAAAACAAGGTGCATGATATTACGAAATGATTTAAGGATTTTTACACCATTGCGATTCTTGGGGGCTCACTTGTGATGCTCTATGCGGATAATGAACGGTAGATTCTCATGCAAGCAAATCTGTTCATGACGGCCCGCCAACCTTTGCCTGCATGGTCACTTGGATATTGGTGAAATTTCGCATGGCTCAGTCTCGAGGAAACATTGAGGCGCGGGCCCAAATTGCACCAAATATAAATGCAGGTATTCAATGGCTTTGGGTGGGTGGCGCCGAGACATGTATGGCTTTTTGCCAAGGATGTCGACTCAGGGAATGTCAGTACTTTTAGCGAAGACTGGGACTGTGTCTGGCAAGGTGAGGCAGGATCATATCATCGGCAAATCCGCGTCACGGCATTGGCCACCTATGCAGCAGCCTTACATATTCGGGGCGGTCGGTGCTGCAGATCAAATCGCCCGGTTCGGTATAGCAGAGAAGCAATTCTCTATGTACTGGCGTGGCCATGTGCCAAACACTCCTCCTATTCCGGCCACCAGTATGTTGTGATGCTCTATTACTGTGCCGGATAACAACAATCTCAAACAAATGATTTGTACATCAAGTCATGCTGGTAAGCGGATAAGCTTCTGACATCTCTATCGCCACGTCTGATAAGGGCCGAGGAGATCGCGCGCTCTTCTGATAAGTGAAATGACATTTCAGGCACGATCTGTAGGCTTGGCATTTCGAGATGACACCATCGAGTCAGTCTTAGTCGCAAAATACCTGGTGACCAGCGGCTCAAGTGACGTTAGCCCAGCAGCGTTTTCATGACTAACAATAACACGGCAAATTTTCCGACTCAGGTCAGCAAACGAGAGGGGCTCTTCAGAACACATGGACGCCACAAGCGAGACAACAAGGTCTCTGCTGGGTGTGTCGTGCAAGGTAGACGTTCTGGTTTGCGCCCAGAACAGGAGCTTCGGTGGAGCATCGCGGATCTCCCTATGCCCCAAAAGTTTGATGCATGCAAGAAATTTTCTGCTGGTCAATCGCCCAGCAAGAATAAGCCAGGTCGTAGCTCCGTACCTGGGCGTCAAATTCTGATTCGGCGCGTGATTTGAGTCGCCTGGGCTGGCGGGCTTGGTGTCGCTAATCAAATTGCACAACGAGGTTGGCGTGCTTGAGCTTCCTACTTCCAAGGTACCGTAAGTCGCAATAATCATACCGAAGGTAGGAGGAGCCTGATTATTTATTAATCCTGTAGCTCTCTCCTTCTCTTGTCTAGTACAACATCTCCTGATCATTGAACTTTCTTCCATCAACACAAGACGAGTTGTATCCTGCACCAACTTGACTTTGACTGTGTGATTCCCGTCAATCACACCAATACGAAGTCGTGAAGCCTGAAACCGACACATTAAAAATAAAATAAAAAACCTGTTGCACGTGTTGGTCTTTCCTAGGGACCAAGCAGCGCAGGTCACCCAATCTACCATCATTCAGCAAAAAACTTTCCACCTCACCATGACTGGACATTTGCAATCTACCGGCCGTGGAGGCGCTGGCAATATCGGCGATATCACCAAGTCACCCAAAATTCAGCCCAAGGATCTGGAGACACCCACCCTGAAGACGTCAGTTGTTACAACCGGTCGTGGTGGTTCGGGCAACATGGCGCACAACAAGGATCCGGCCGAGACGCGCGCACTACAAGACGTTGCACCGTAAGTATAGCAAACAAGCCATCTAGAGCGAGATTATTCCATCTCGCTTCCGCTCCTTATAGCCAACCTCTAGGACCAGGACCTCGGCTAACATTGAAAACAGTGTCACACGGCGACCCAGTGAAGGCGCTACGCACGTTGGCCGCGGAGGAGCTGCCAACTATGTAAAGCTGAGCGCTGAAGAAAGGGAGAGGGCCAAGAAAAGCGAGAGCGCATTTGAGGACGATGCTGCTCCTGCCCCTAAGAAGGAAGCCAAAGGACTCAAGGACTGGCTCCGCCTGGGCAAGAAGGCATAGGATGCTCTCTTTGTGCGCAAGATGCCTCCTCCAAAGACACCTGCGAAGGCGCCCGACAGCGTGTCCACACTCGCGGGACTTTCGAGAGTAACAACCCATGATTAAAGTGCTTCTTCTGCGTTCGCGTTTTATTTCTTTTGGTTTTGTGAGGGAAGGTCTCATCCTTTTTGGCGGGAAGCCTGGCGTTGGGGAGGTTGACATGGAGTTCGACCCACGATGAGCCTGTTCGGTCGGTCAGAGAGACCGTTTCATATACCACGATTGCATGGGGCTATGCCATTAAATTATGCGCATAGTTCAGAAGATACCACATAGCATTGCAGGGCCGTGTTGTTACCGGTCGCGAGCAGCTTCCGAGATAGGTTTAATGACTCAATCAGTAGATGCGGGTTATAATGACGAACAACGGTGGCTGCACATAACAGCGCTGCAACTTTTGCAAAGTACTTCTCGTATGATATTTGTTCCAAAGTATCCTCGTTCCCACCAGCACGGCACTGTCTCTTATCACCCACCACACCCCGTCCGCCACGCCTCCGGTCGCTTATCATCTAAGACGAAATGCCCGAACCAATAGTCGTGTCGTATACCCAACCATCACCCCACCTCCTATCTCTCCTATCTTCCCACGTTCCGCAAGCTCTCCCGCTGCTGCGCCGTCTGCAGTTCACGCGATTCGCTGGCGGAATTACAGAGCACAGCCGGGTCCTGTTCTTCGGTGCCTCGGGCATTGAGGAGATCACTCGTACAGATGACGACGCCGACGGCGAAGACACCACTACCACCACTGCGGTCTTCACCGCGGCCTACGTCGACCTGTCTCGTTGTCCAGAGACGGAGGTATGGGCCTACTCATCGCTGGAACGCGTGGCCGCGCCGGCATCGGCCGAGCAGATCCAGCAGGCCGGGTCCCAGGCGCTCGCGCTCCTGAGGACGGTGAGGGAGCTGCGCGATGCGTACGACGCCGCCCGCGAGGACAAAAGGGAACAGCCTGCCGTCCTCTTCGGCACGCTCAGCGAGGTGGTCCGCAAGCTCCTACTGGGCCGCGGCGCCGTGTTCGCGTACTGCAGCTTATGGGACAAGTGGGTGTTCCGGCTGGATGCACTGCCGGACGCGGCGGTGGCGCGCGTGGGAGAGGTGATGGAGGAGCAGGGCATGAGCTGGGGGAGGATCGGCAGGGAGGACACCGGGCTGGTCATCTCCAGGAGCAAGATCTCGAGGAAGGAGAAGACGCTCGTGTTGTTGCCTTCGATGGCTATCAAGCTGGGCGATGGCACGCCGATTGCTTGGGCCTTCTTAGGTAAGACAGCCCCCAAGGTTTGGGCAGGTTCGATTCGGAGGCGACTTCTAACAGCATACAGGCACGGATGGATCTCTGATGAGTCTTCATTGTGAGGAACAGCATCGTGGACAGGGCTTTGCCAAAGCCGTGGCGTCCAAACTCATGCGGCATCACCTGAAGGACTTTGGAAGCGATGGCTACTGCATGGCTGATGTAGCACCTGACAATGCCCAGTCTCAAGCTGTTTGCAGAAGCCTTGGAGGCAAGGTCATGTGGACAAGTTCTTGGTTCGTGATACAGTTTTCTCTATTTATCCTTCTATGGTATCTAACAACTTTTTGTAGGAGCAGGATAGACTTGGATCGATCTGCTGGCACTCGGCGATTATGAACATCTGTATGTCATGGTTTTCGGCCTTAGGCACTGCTTATACGTTTGACCTCGGATAGATAGAACTTGAGATCGTCGGGCTTGACCCACGGGGTAATACCATGGCCGAGGTTGGCGATCCACCCCTTCTTACCACCACCAAATCCTTTCACCATATGTTCAACAGTTGCGGTGATATTTTCGTGGGTTCCGTACAAGATGGCAGGATCCGCATTGCCTTGGAATATTGTACGTCTGTTTCCGCGAATCTTGACAGCATCGGCGGGATCTGTACACCAGTCAAGCCCAACAACGTCGTAGCCAAGATCGCAGGATGAGTCGAGCATGGCTGTGGCACCCTTAGGGAAGACAATGGTAGGGACTCGGTCCAGGCCCATTTCCTTCAATCTCAGCGGCAAGTGTTTGGCGATGTATGCCAAGTAGGGTTCGCTGAAAACTTTGAAAGCAGATGGCGATAGCTCGCCAGCATTCGAATCAAAAACTTGAATCAGCTGACAGGCTGGTCAGTAAAGGGTCAGATCAAAGCAGAATGGGCCGGCCGACTTACCTGAGCACCAGCCTTGACTTGCAGAGCCAGGTACTCGACGCAAACTTCTGATATCTTCTGTAGCATAGCTCTTGAGGCCTCCGCATATTTGTAAATCCATGTCTTGCTTTCTCTGTTTGTCTTGGAATCGTTGCCAACCATGTAACACAGGAGAGTCCAGGGGGCGCCGCAGAAACCAATCAAAGGTACTCGCCCGTTCAACTTCTTCCTTGTGAGAGTGATGGCCTTGTAGACATAGTCCAACTCTGATGCGACATCGACATTCCCACCGAGGACCTGTTCGTACTGGCCATCGTCGGGCGACGTCAAGGGTTGCGGGAAGTGTGGGCCCTTCTTGTCGACCATCTCGACGTGCATTCCCATGGCCTGGGGGATGACGAGGATGTCAGAGAATATGATAGAGGCATCGAGAAGACCGTCAAAGCGCTCAATGGGTTGGAGGGTAAGAGTCGAGGCGACCTCGGGGTCACGGCAGCATTCGAAGAAGTCGCGGGTGCCCTTTGCTTCGTGATACTCGGGCAGGTATCGACCAGCTGAAAAGTGATCAGCTTCGTTGAGAGGGTTTTCAGTCGATCTGACAAGACATACCCTGTCTCATGATCCATATCGGAGCCCGTTCCACATCTTGGCCTGCAATTTACAGGTTGCAAGTTAGCACTGCAGAGGATGATGAAATAGTGTTTTGTTTTGAGATGTATGCATTTACGCATATCACGTACGCACCCCAGGCGGTCCTCAGAATGAGGTCATTCTTCATTGGGGGGAACTCTTCGGCCATTTCGATCTGCAGGTCAATCTGCAAGGAGGACGACGAGGAGATGAGGAGGTTTGAGACAGAAGCAGAACAAGAGGCGTCGACGTTCATGTCAGCCCCACGTCTTTTGAGGCTTTCCAATTCAATTTCACGGTTGGAGCGTTGGGAGGATCGAGCATCGATCGAGGCATGCAAGTTACCCCGCCATCAGCGAGCACTTGAGCTGAGTACCCGTATCTGTATCTGGACTAACCCAACCTAGTCCAGAAACGTCAACTAACGTTACGCAGGCAAGTTACTGAGGTGCCTCAGTGCCTTTTTCTTAGCAGGACCAAGTGTGTGTGACCAGTGACCATTCGGCGTAGCGTCGAATCTCAGCTCCATGTACACAGCACCTCCCTGTGCAGGCAAGCCCACGATAGTAATGTGCAGTAGGTAGCGTCCACTGTACTGTCCAGTGCAGTTGGTCAAGTGTACCCCCGTCCGGCGCGCTGCCAGGGGCAAGGGGGGTTATTTTGTTAGCGCGGCAGCCACAGGCGTCGGTATGTGGAAGGTTGATTTCGCCGAACGCAGCATTCACTTAGCTACTACGTTAGAATAGCTTCAATATCTGTAAACCGCTCTCAATTCCTTTCATGTCCGCTGCACTGTCACCGCGACACGCCATCGAGCTTCACACCTGCCTCTCGCCGTGTATTCAAAGCCCAGTCTGGGATGGCGACAAGGTAGAACCCCATTGGTACCAATTTGACCAGGACGGCAGCTCTTTCCGACCCTTCGCCGCCGTTCGCTGATCCCTCACGCCGATGGCTCTGCCACAATCTCAATGCTGTAGAGCCATCAACCGCCGACTTCGATCGCCATGTGACAGTGCTTGGATACCGGAGAGCGCCCTCGCCAGTGCCTTCGAGCAGTTTTGTTCCATCTCCAGGGTCACCAGTCGTCGCAATGGCTCAAACGTGCCGGGTCCCTTGGAGAATCGGAGGCGGTTGGGCAGGAGAAATATGGGTGAATTGAATCTCGGGCACATGAATACCCCGGCACCGTTCTGGGACATCGCAAACACGGTCGACTTGACCCAGTGGAGATGGACAGCTCCGAGCGCATTTGAGAACAGGCACCCACAACATGAAGGACCAGAATTCCGGCCATTTCTCGCCTCGTTACAGGACTGGCTGGCAGAATCGTCGGCTCCTCAAAGCTCTCTCTCTCTAGGTGTAGGCTCAAGGGAACTCTGGGATACTTGGGAATCAGATCGTGTGGCAATGGAGGCTGTCGCGCCTGCCAGCTCCTCCGTACGCACCGTAGAGCGTGTCGATACGCCACTGCGACAGATGCCGTCCCATGCATCGAATGACATTTTCGAAAGTTTTGAAGCGCTCACGCGAGAATGTATTGAGACGTTTCAGTCGACTCTATCCGATAGGGGGCGCGCAAGTAAAGGCAAGAGTGCAGAACTGCAGAATTTCTGTGACAGGCTTGCCATGGCCATTGCTGAACAGCACATCTCCCGTGAAGTTCTTCACCGGTTTTTGGCGTGTGTCATGCAGGAAGCACATCTGTGGGCTGTGTCAAGCAGCCTCACTCTGTCGGATAAACAGATCAGCAGCCTATTGCTTCAAATATACACAGCAGTCCATGGTGGACTGACTACGGCCCGTAAGGTGCGCATTGGGTCTTTCGACGACTACCATAGGGTGTATGCTATCCTCTTGGACAGAGCCGCGTGCCTTGAGATCAACAGCCTGCGTTTATTCCAGCAGATCATGGCTAGTATCCCTACCGATGGCCTCTGGCGGTGCACGGCCGAAATCGCTGCCAACATCCACACTTTTCTTGCAGCATTGAGCCGGCCTGTGGTCACGTCTCATCGGGTTGTCGAGGGCAAAGAAAGGAACAATTTAATCCGCCAGGCCAATAAGATGGCAGGTAGCCTTCAACATCTCAGCTCAGACATGCCAGTTCACCTCAGCATATTAGACAGCGTGACAGACCGATTGGCTAGTGAACGACTTGCTAGTCCCAACGGACATGAAGCACTAGACGTCGATTTGAAGCGCTTCTGCTGGCTGCACTTGCTTGCCCGACTACCTCAACTAAGCACCGAATATCTAGCCACAGCATGCAATTTGCTAGACACCAGTCAATCTGCTGTTCCGCTCACACAACGACAGATATGTGAATTCTTTCTGGCACGGATCAACAGTCGGTACTCTGTCAAAGACATCAAGGTGATTTATGATACACTGAATGCCTCCTCGGACACTGCGTGCTATGCTAGCGTGAGTAGCAAGCTGTGGACAACAGGTCAACATCGCTATGTCAAAATTCTTGCCGACTTCCTCCGGCATCTTGGCCGGCAACAGGACATCAAACACGTCGTTTCTGGACTCAGAAACCATGTCAACAATGACTCAAAGCCACTGGCAAACCTCGCAATTGGCCTCGGACACCCACAACTAGCGTTGTGGGTATATATTCGCTATCATCAAAGCCGATGGAAATCGAAAACATTCTGGAGTACGGCCTTTGCTCAAGAAACTCTGCACCAGCTGATGGACTTCAAAGAAATGAAATCGGAAAAAATTCTGGATGCACTCAGGATTTATCCTGTGAAACGCACCAAACGGAAGTCACAGCAATCAATGCTCACGCAGAATCGTATTCGTATGACAGAGAAGGCAGCCATTTCGTTGGCACGCACGCGCCACATTTCCGAAACAACAGCTCTTGCGCGTATCACCCGTTGTATAACATTTCTTCAGAGCCATAATACGCCAGTCTCGCCACAAGTTCTTCGTGCTCTCTTCCAAATCGTCACTAGAGATCTTGCGGCCGGAAAGCCGGGGCGTACAACTCGATTGAGATGGTTCCTTAGCTTGCTGCTCAAGGAGACTGACACTAGTAACGTCGTGGAGGTTGGACAGGCTCTGGAAAGATGGAGGCGCCAACTATACCCCGATAAGAGCAGGTGATGCAGTCATAGACCAGGCGCTGAAAGCAGCGTCCAGAACGGATATATTGCCTAAAAGAAAGAAAGAAAGAAGAGATCACTTCCCGCATTCGAGGAACGGAACCCGTAATACAAAGAGTGACGTATAATCAGTATGAATACGCCAAGCTCAACGGCCTGCCAATGTTTTGACACTACGAGATTGATACCCCATATTGGAATATAGATCTCAATGGTTGTCCTTGGTGTACATATAACATTAAGAAATACCAAAGATGCAACACGCAACGGACACAGGAGCTTGGGACATTAGAGTCGTGACAATGGTTGGTCACTCCTCCGGCGAACTTCGCTAGGGAGCCAGCTTTGGGATATTTGATTGGTATTGCACGTATTTTCAGAACTGGAAGCGAGGACGACCTTACGTTGTCCTCCGTTGCACAACGGTCGGATCTCTCAGATTCTTAACCCCTTACCCTCTGCGATACCCTCTCAGACGTCACGATCTCTGCGGCCAAGCTTACCTTATCTCGATGCGGCACCATATACTAGAAGCCCAACCAAACTCTCCGTTCTCTGAGCCCAGCCAAACTTCCCTGCCAACTAATGGTCCTTTCAGACAGACTGTTGATCCCTTACATCTCCCTTGCTGTCAACTCAAACGCAGAATTCGCCGACTGACAGCCCGTACCCGTAAGGGCCGACTTCTTTTCCCACCCACGTGAATCCGAGACAGTCCTGAGCGCTAACTCGGAGAACGGTACATGACACTTGCACAATTTAACTTAGAAAACGTGTTGGGGCTGGAGACAAGCCGGCGAAGCGTGAGTTGGATATCTCGTGATTGGCCGCCACGAAACTCAAAGCTGGTGACAGTACAAATCCGGTCGAATTCCTCTAATCCTGTGCTCTTGACAACCCAAATGCTACTTGCTGCATCAAGCCAGAGGCTTTTCCCACGTTACACGGCAAAGGGGACAAGTTGCTTCTTTTTGCGTGCGTCTGTATGTGCGAAGCGCCCCGCGTTTAAGTCTTGCACCACCATACCTCAAGTTTCGACGCGGGGATAGTGCATAAGTCAGTTGCATTCATCTCATCTTCCCCGAGGAGGCGAAAACTGAATTACCAGATCTCTTTTTTTCTTCTCCTCTTGTTTCTGGATGTCTGCGCCTGGCATCACAGCAATTGCCGAAAGAACCGCCACGAGCTTGCGCGGAACAGTCACAGAAAACGTAGGGCTGGTTGCCGTTGATTGTATGCCTGCGGTGCTTGCCGCTTGACTCTGCTTGACTCGACATCGCTCCTCTCATATTATATACGAACACAAACATCCCCCCACCGAATCTTGCAGGTCGCCCGCCCACCTAGACGCTTTTTTCATTTTTACGTCCGTATCGCTATTGCTTAACCTGCAGAAACCCCAACGTTCTCAATCTACCGGTCTGGTCCTGCAATCCTATTGATCTTTCGCCATTCAAAGCGACCTGGCCATTGGTTACTGGTGAGATCTGGCATAAATCTGTGCCCAAATGAGCCTATGAAATTCCATGTATCATTATCCACATCCGGCGGCACAGATTCCGGGCTTCCAGGCCCCCCGTCAAAGTGCAGCGGGAATTGAAGTTGGAGTGGGAGCGCGAGCTCAACCAAGGTCCGATAGCTTCCCACCAGAGGATCGCGCAGCCTCAACAAGCATGGAGCAGCACCACCACCATTACGATTACGCACCTTCGCAGCCGAGCCAAGCTCCTCCCGGACTGGACGCCGTCCCTAATGGCACAGCAAATGCCGCCGCCTCTCCGGCAGTGGGTATGAAGCCCATTCGTCGGCGCAATCGCATGATTAATAGTTGCTTGGAATGCCGCAAGCGCAAATTGAAATGTAGCAAGACCTCTCCAGCTTGCATGAACTGTCTCAAGTCGGGCCGCGACTGCTTGTACATTGGCCCTAAACTGGACGAGGCATCTCAACTGCGATTAGCAGAGATCAAGGAGAAGCAAGGCTCATTAGAACGACAACTTGAACGGGATGTTGCCAAGTCGACAACCTCGAAAAGTGCCCTGCAGCAACGCATTCTGGCTGATGAGGTCGAGGATGACTATGACGAAGAGCGCGACCTGGAGGCGACGCCCCTGGTGGCATTGGACATGACCTATGAAGACGATGCAGACGGGGGCACTGACGAGATGATCGATCTCGGTATTCAAATCGGCAAGATGCGCATCACTGAAAGGATTGGTGGACTGGCAAGGCCAAGATTATCAGATGAGGTATGTGTGTTACGAAACCATTGGCAGACTGTGGCGAGCCAACACAACCGGCATTAGTTGAAGCTTGTTGACAACCAATGTGTCTAGTTATCCGCCGGTCTGTCAGGCCAGCGCTCGCCCGCACCAACGCCGAGCTACGGAGGCACGCCGTCTGGTGGACTGCCTCCAGGAATGGGGCCCCCACCCGGCATGGATAATATGTCTGATGGGGGTACGTCTGAAATGTCGATGCCGGATTTCCTGAAACCTGGCGCTCAATTTCTTGCGCCGGGCAGTGGGTTCTTCTTCGGACAGGTGGTTGAGCAACCGTCCATCCTGTCATTCTTGCCTCACAGACCTCAGGCGGACAAACTTATGAGGCAGTACTTCTCAGCTGTCCATCCTATAGCACCTTGCTGCCATCGACCTACACTTGAGAATCTATACGCGCAGTTCTGGGAAGAAGTCAACGCAAACTATGAGCCGCGCCCATCGATGCAGGCGGTCATCTTTGCCGCATTATTCAGTGGCGCTGTGGCTATGGACGAGAATGAGGTATACCAAGAGCTGGGACCCTTCCCGAAAGGCAACTGGATGGCTAGTTTGAAGCTGGGAACCGAGACTGCCCTGGGAAAAGCCAACTTTTTGCGAACGACCAAGGTGGAAACAATGCAGGCGTTCATCATGTACATGGTAAGGACCAAAGCCACCTCAAACGAGTGCTTGCTAATGTTGATAAGCTCCCATTGTGCAGAGCGGAGGTCTCACGGGCGCATTCTGTACTCGTAGGCGCCGCAGCTCGGATGGCTGAGTGCATGGGGCTGCATCGAGACGGTGACGCATATGGGCTTTCACCGCTGGAGACACATGTTCGCCGTCTATTGTGGCATCAGCTATGCTTTTTGGACGTTCGTACCTGCGAAGCTCAAGGGCCGAAGCCTGTCATCAGAAGGGAGGACTATGACACAAAGCTACCGATCAACTGCAACGAAGAAGACTTTACTCATGCAATAGTACCACCGGAAGCCTCTGAGCATTTCACAACCAACACGCTAGCCTTGATACGCTTTGAGATTAATGAAATGATGCGGATCATCTGGCTCGACAGGCGACGGCTCGAAGTACGCAAGACAACGCTGACTGCTGTTCTTACTAAGATCGAGAACTTTAGACGGCGTATGTCGGAGAAGTACGATCACCTACTGGATACCACCCAACCGATGCAACGCTACGCCAAGTGTGTCATGTACCTCTTGACCTACCGCCTACACGTAATGGTACTTCACCCTTACCACTCCAATGCCGCAAGCCCTATGCCCCCACGCCTTGGCTCGCTGCTGATAACTTCTGGTATCCTAATTTGTGAGCTTGCGATACAGCTGGAGACAAATCAGAACTTTCAGGAGTGGTCCTGGTACCTGGGAGCTTATTTCCAATATCAAATTGCGCTGCTTCTGGCGACAGAGGTCTACTTTCGCCCAATGTCCCGCGAAGCAGACCGTATATGGGCATGTCTGGACTACGTCTTTGGCATGGATCGCCGGCTGCCGCCTGAGGTGAAAGGACCACAACTCTTGGCGGAAGTGCAGGGCAAGACCGCTGTATACATGCGTATGCGCAAGATGCGAGGTCCGAGCAGCTTAGCCAGGGCCCAAACATCGACGAGTGTTGTTGGTGGTACTAGCAGAGCAAATTCGGTTGCGTCTCTCAGCGGCTACTCTTCCCAGCACATGTCGCCCGCACCAAACATGAAGACAGAAGCACTGGCTACACCGCCGCCGATGCAGCCAGGCATGCCGCCTCAACAACCACAGCCACAGATGGTGTTCGCTGGCGTTTCGGATGGCCAAGCTCTGTGGAGTTTGCCGCCGATGCACCACGAAAGCCCCGGCAGCAGCGACACATCGAGCGTGGGACATACTCAAGGTGTAAACATGACAGCTCCTCACTCTGCAGCCATGGGCAATATTATGGATACTATTGATTGGGTATGCCCACTCCCTGTATTCTTGAACTCGGAAATATGCTAACCTAGATATAGGATACTATGTACGCTCTCTTCCCAAATGATCCATCAACTGGTGGTCTTAGCATACAAGGATATCATGACCCAACCTTTGGAATGTTTAATTGGTCTGCTACGGCTCAATAGCGGTACTGTGGGAGTCGCATCATAAAAGATATAGTTGATACATACGAGAATATACGGGAACATATGGGAATACATGGGAATGTGTGGGAATTGTACATAAAAATGCATGTTACAGAGTCCTTGTCTTGGCGCTCAGGAGACGTTGAACTTGCTCAGAAGATCGAAAGTTTAACAGGATGGGCAAAGACGACGGTGTTGAAATCTGTAAACACTACTAGAACAGCAGCTGGTTTCCTCTGATGTTATGACAACAAGAAATTCTTACGAGTTGACCATCATTCGAAATAAAGCACAAGGTATTGCTGGAGGGATTCTTTTCTTTTTGTGAGATTTGGTTGATTATGGGGCCGAATAAGGAACCGAAAACCTGGTACCGCAACCATCAGCATCTCTTTCAGTTGAGTCTGTCGATATACGCATCTCTATTTCGGGATAGCGTTGTCGTTTGCAAGGCACATAAATCCGGACGAAGACAGTCGTCCTATCAACGGACCGGTATTGTTCACCTGCCGTGCCGTCCCCGGTGTATGCCTACCAACTTGCTGATCACTGATTCTAGTTTCTCAAGCTCTTGCATCCTTGAGTGGTGTAACGTCGGAGAACCCGAAGGAACACTTTTAGCACGCAAGGCTCAATATTCAAGCTGTCGAGGATGTCGTTAATTTTCCAAGGTTCCCCAAGATTTGCGCCCCTGTCTATTGAATTTCCTATTGTAGAAACTTTTTGAAGAGAGAAAGGCTGTGGCTACTGTAAATAAGCCACAACGGTTCGGGGCGTTTCTCGAGCCATGGGGGCCGAGCCTCTCGACGGTTACCCTGGTGGAATTCAACAACCTATTGTTATCCGTGCGATGACACGGGCAATGGCGAGGTGGCCCTGACTATTTTTTTTGACCTTCATATATACTCTGCAAGTTCAAGTAGGCTGAGTAGAATATGACCTCTGTTTGCATGGGATGGGTCGCTTAATTTGGCGCTTAACCTTTTTCCTCAAAGAATCCCCATCATCACTTTGTTTGGAACCGCCGACCAATGCAAACACTACTTGGCGTGTTTTCTACAATTTCACTGACCACGAACTGTTCCCTTTGGGTCAGATGGACACAGAGTATGCCGGGAGCCCATTTGGTTGAGAAGCGTTGGGGGGGCAGGAGTAAAAGGCCCAACGATGGCACAATTTCATGCGTATGTAGTATCCGAATCTATCCGAAATTTTCGTCGCGACCCAGGAAATATTCATCCCGCGTCCGGTAGGGATGAACCGTCCATGAAAGAAGGAGTATTGCGTGCTTTGTGTACCAAATTTGACTGGATGCAAAATGGGAGCCCTCCGTGGGTCGCAGCGAGTGAGCATTGCGGTCGCAGATTCTAAGCGATCCGCGTAACTCCTGAATCATGCTATCAAGGCCACTCAGGGGAGGAGGGGGGAAAGAGGTTCATGGTCGATGCAGAGGCGGAAATTTCTTGATCTCAACCATCGATACGCTCGCTTCCAAATTTGACTGTTCTTCATTCGAGCAGCCCCAGCCTACCACCGCACAAGAGAAGGAACGAGGCGCATGAATAGCGCTCCAGAGGGGCTAAAAAAATGTGCTCCTGGGAAGGGAGGCCTTCACGCGCCATTCTTCCTAATACACACGCTCTTTGGGCTCTCCTCTAGTTTCTAGTATTGGCGGCTAGATAAAACTCGGCGATATATGATCTCGCTCTCAAGTTAATTTGTGAGTCGTTTCTCAGCCGCCGAAGAAAGGAGTAAATTTCTCGGAAGCTCTCCCGGCTCATATCTAAGGTTTCCAATTCATATCGACACCGGTGATAGAAGAGCCTCAATAACTTCTAGCGGATAGTATGTCGCTTTCCATTTTGTTAGAAATAAAAGAAACGAGGCATTATATTTGTAAGGAATCTTTCTATATAGTGTGGCAACGAATATATTCCCCGAGATTACCATCCTTCTATTGACGGTGGGCCCACTGTTTTTGAATGTCACATATAGATATTAAGAGTACGGAAACGCGTTTGGGGAGCGAGAAAGTTCCTCCTCTGGAGAGGAAGGATATGTGTTCGACATAAGGCCCTCTCTAGGGAGAGAAAAAGCGTTATGTGGGAACCGGAACAGCTCTCCTTGGGAGCAAAGAAACATCACTGGGATGAGGATGCGTTCAAAACCGAGTCATCGCGGTACAAAGACTGAAACCATGTGCGGCTTAGGAAATGCGTTTCTGGCGCTGAAGGCTTCAGCTAAGTTGCTGGTATCGAATATTGCTTATCGGCATGGTGCAAGAAGAAACGCGGTTGCACCAAGCGATGGGATGTTGACATCATGGATGTACTTGATCAAGTTAGCATGACTAGAACTACCGAAGGACGTCGCGAGAACATTTACGTTGATGATACTTGGTGCTGTTGGCATTGTTGTAAGAGTGATTTCAAAGCACCAATAATAAAGCCTGAGTATGTTGAGTAAAGTTATGAATTAAGGAATAGTCGTATCATATCTCATTAAGTTTACATAAAATTTTCGTAAAGAAAACCATTAAAACCCGGTACGCACCAGAAGATATATAAATAAATAAATAAAAAAAGCCCGAGACAAACCAAGTGACATGCCCATCTTTCAACGCCGAGGATATCTTGTACGTGGAAAAGATAAGAAACGAATCGTAGCCGCGAAAAAAAAAAAACATTGTAACCCAATTTCCAGTCCCCTCCCACCGGTTTTATTTCCTTCTTTCATCCCATAAATAATCATCTTCGTAACTGCGAGTATGCTGACATGTAGCTACTCTATATGGCGCCGTCCATAGGATCGGCTTGTGAGCCCGGGGACATGGGCAAGCTGATGGCGCTCTTCATACCGACGCTGGGAGTGGCGCCTCGGCTTAGTGGCGCACCACCAAACTCTGATGAAGGTGTCACCATGCGAATGGATCGGTGACTGCTCCTCTTGATGAGGACCTGAGCAGGACAGACAACGATCTCGTCGTCGCCTACGCCATTGTCATCACCCTTCTTGACGACGAGAGGGAAGAGGACCATGCGCACGACGGCGCCCTGAGCCTCAAGCTCCTCGTTGGGTACGGAGCCGCCCGAACGCTCGTTCATGAGGGAGGCGTTGAAGGCAACCGTCTCGGCCAAGTCGCCATTGGCGTCGTACTCTGGTTGTAGGGGTGGGAGCATCATATACTCGGCGCGCTGGGTGCGCATCTCGATGCTCAGATCGACAGCTTCGCGCAGGACGCGGCGAAGCTGTGATTGGATTTGGTTCTCCATGTTGGATGGAGGTGGCAGTATCTTGGACAGCGTCTCCAAGATGGCCTGAACGACAGCTTCCGTGTCGTCGTTGCGCTGGTCGCCGAACGCGGGGCGGCGGGACAGGAGCGTGAGAGTGACGGCTCGCCACTGACGGACGGCGTGCGGAGGGCCGACGTCAGACAGCAGCTTCTCGAGCGTCTTGAGCTTTTGACGCTGCTCGCGGTCCATGCCGAAGAGGTAGCGTGTGAATACGTACTCCCAGATCATGTGCATGGTCATGGACATGAAGATGTCGCGGCGCCTGACGCGATCGCTGAGGTAGTTGTCGACATCGGAGCCGTCGAGCACCGTGTTGTCAAGCCTGTCGACAACCTTGACGTCGTTGATCTCGGCCGTCAGACGAGATGCGCGCATGTCGGAGAACTTGGAGAAGCGTAGCACCCACTGTTGGACATGGGCGCATAGCTGTTGGCAGCGGTGGTCGAAGTGATCCTCGTCCTTGAGCTTCAGGAAGTCGGCGTCCGGGGGCTTGGCGGCGAGGATCTGCTGTTGCATGGCGCGGACCTGTTGCTTTGTGGCCTCGAGCGCGGCCCGCAACTGCTCGATCTCGGCGTCCCTGTCTTGCAGCGTCTTGTCGAAGTTGCGGCGCATGCCCTCGAGCTCGGAAGAGGCTGAGGCATGTTGCAGCTCCAAGTGGGTATATCGCTCATTGTGCTGTGTGGCGAGCTGGGAATTGGCGCTGTGCAGGCCGTCGTTGACCTCCTTGAGGCGTTGGACCTCCCTCTTGTATTCGTCGAGGCTGGAGCGCAGTTGCTCGATCAAGGCGTCGCGCTCGTTTATGGTGACGGCGGCGCGCTGGTTGAGGTTGTTGTCGGCCTGTAGCTTGGCCTCGGAAAGGGCACGGTTTTCGGCGATCAATTGGTCGACTTTACTTTCGAGCTCGAGGACTTGCATGCTCTGTCGGCGACGCATTGAATGGGGTCTGGTCGGGGACCTTGGGGAGCCAATGCGGCCCTCGCCCACGCCGTCCTGTGGTGGAGAGCGGTCAGCACAATACAGTAAACGTGGGCCGATTTGCAGTGGTTGGGGAGGAACAGCTAGACTTACATATACGTCGGTCATGTCCCTCGATCGGACACGGCCTTCATTGGCCACGGGCGTAGTCGCTCGGAAGGATCGTGAAGCTCTTCGCTCCAACTTGTTGTTCTGGTCGCTGGTCTTGGACTTGTCGTTTTCCTGCAGGAGTGATGCAGCGGCAGCGACAGCGACAGCGACACCGCCCACCGCAGCAGCTCCACCCAGTGTAGCGGCAACAGAGGCAGAGGGAGAGGCAGAAGGAGAAGAAGCAGCTGCAGCGCTAATGGCATCCTTGTCGCCCCTAGCGGTGGCCCTTGCCGAATGTCCCCGGCGGTGGGTATGGCTATCATTCCCTGGGGGGTGGGAAGATGAAGAAGCCGAAGGAGGAGAGGAAGCAGGGTCGTTGTTGTTGTCGTCCTTCTTGTGCTGGCTCATGGACCGCAAGTCCCCGCTCATCCGCTTGTCCACTCTTCTCAGTGGTGGGGTCTGAGCCCCCGACGACCGAAGGCTGCCTGGCGTTTCAGGCCGCAAATTCAAGTTCAACGGCTCTGGTGTTCGAAGCCGCGAAATGCTCGTGTTGGACGCTGAACGCCGGGCTGCAACCTCCGCTCCTGGACTCCCTTCTCGGCTCATGCTCAGACTGTCCGAGATGCTCCTTTGGCCAAAAGCATGGGGAGTCAGCGCAGGACTCGCGCGCCCCCCGATGTTTTGGTATCTGCCCGCGCCCCGTGTCTTGGCCTCAGTCGTGTGTGGCTTGTTCTTTTTCTCCGGGTCTGGTGATGCTTCGCCCATTGTCCGGCTAGGTGTGTCCAGGCGTGGTGTTTCATCCCCCAGATTTGACTTGCGTAGCTTTCTCTCCGATGCTTTTGGTGTGTGTACCTCACGAGGCCCCGCCTTCTTGGAAGACTCTGTAGACTCCCATGACAACCGCGCTCCAGTCTCGTCAAACGGCGAAAGGCCTTCCGCTTTCCTTGGTGCATGCTCGCCCTCGTCCCTCAAATGCACCCCACTGTCTCGCTGTCTGCTGTCGTCAAAAACACTGCGTGGAACCGGCTGCGGCGAATCTGTTATGACGCCACTGTCTCTGTTGCCCTCTGGAGTCCGCGCGACGACATGGCGTGGCAGTGATTTGGCTTGCTGCTCCTCTTCAGATTCTTCCTCGACCGGTGGCAGGCTCCTTGTAGACATGATTGAACTCCTAGCCCACTCCATCTCCCGGCTAGGCGACATGACTTGCTGACGAATGTCGTGTCTTGGACCGTCCTCCGCACCGCGCTCCACGAATGGTTCCGAGGTATCCAATTCGTCCATGTCTCTCATCAACTTCGATACTGATGTCTCGGCTGACTGGGCCACGGGCCGCTTCAGCTTGTCCGTGGCAAGCAGCTTGGGTCCCGCCGTGCCGGAATTCATCTCCTCCGTTCCTCTGACGGGACTCTCCGGCAACTCCATACTGCTCGCAATGATGTCGTGTGCAATACCGCGAGCTTGGACGTCCTCTACGCTCTTCCCCTGCACCTCTGGCGCTGATGACATTTCGGGTAAGCCATCATCCTCTGCATCTGCTGGAACGTCCCAGAAATCTCCTGTATCTGCATCAAGCCGCCCCCCATCGTTGCCCCCCACAATCCTGCGATCTGAAGATTCCCAAAGTGACGGGTCATCAAAAATATCATCCTCCCTTGGCTGTCGCTTGTCAACGTACTTTGACTTTTTGCCCTTCTTGACTTTTGTTTTCTTGGATTCACCCAGTTTGTCCGCTAGTATTCCTGCACCTCCAGTGAGCGCCGCCGCCGCAGCTACTGCCTCTACATCCTCAAAGTCGTCGGCTTTCTTGTTAACTTCCTTTTTGCTTGGAGTTGGCTCGTCCGAGTTCCTGGATTTGGCAGGCTGAGACTCTATCAAGTCAGCCGTCATGTCGGGAGCATTCTCTGTAATATGTGTTCCCTCTCTCAGCTCTGTACTTGGCTCATCGAGCGTAAGTGGATCTTCCGCAACGATAACGCCTTTATGGGCTTCACTCGGAAGTTCTGGCTGCCGGTCGAAATATGCAGCGGTTACCTCTCGTTTTGGAGAGGTTTGGCTACTTTTCTCTGCCTCGAATGATTCTTTGTGCTCGGCCCGAAAATCAATTTCTTCGTGCTTTTTTGGCTCTGACTTGAGGTAGGAAACAGCATATTCGAGACTTGGGGTCGGGTAGGGGTCTGGCGATGTCAGATTCACTTCTGGCTGAAAGGGTGTGCTCCTAGACTCAGCAGCTTGAGGGTTCAGATAATCTATAGCGATATCTCTAGCCGTCGGTGGTGGAAGCGGGAGTTTTGATTGGCTGGCATTGTCCTCCGCCATTTCATCAAGGACCGTGCTGGTGATAATGGGCTCATCTATGATGGGGATTGGGTCCTCCAGATGAGCTATGACGGGTTCGTTTGCAGTAGAGACAGGCTCAATTGCAGAGATTGGTTCTGGAATTTCAGTGTCACCAAGGAATGTATTGGTCCGCTTTTTCTTCCCAGGCTGTGTCGTCTGGTCGAATGGTTTATCGTGAGCGACATGACTTGTCAATTGAGCGGGCGAGAGGTCCACGTCTACCGTGGGCGCAGTTGCAGAAGTCGAAAGATGTTGAGGCGTGCCTGGCCTTTGCGAATCGATGCCACGTACCTGGCGGCTGTCGTCGCTTGAGCCGGCTGCGGAAACAGGGTCTTTCGGCTTGAAAAACTCGTCATCTTCCCAAACGTCTTTGGCTTTCGAAGAGTTAACTTCATCGGTCAAGGGTTCTTGGACCTTTGCAGTTGGTTCAATGGTCGGTTGGGCTGGCTCCAATGGAGTTGCAGTACCTGATGATTTGCTTTTCTTCCCTTTTTTGTCTTTCTTGGACTTTTTCGAAGGTAAAGCGGACCATTCGTCTACGGTTCGAGTGTCTGGCTCGTGCACTTCAGCGGACAGAGATTTGATAATCTCTGGATTTGGCTGGCCCGGCGGCAAATCCTCAGCCAACGTTATTTGAGTACCCGATATTGGGGGGTCAGACTCCAGCAAACCAGTTGACTCGCGCCGTTTGTCTTTTGCCAAATTCTCGGTGGATACCGCTGTCGGATCGTCCAGGATAGAAATAATTGGTTCTGACGCTTCGGCAGGGAAAGTCTCAGTCACCTCTGTGGTTGGCAAGTCTAGAGGTGCGTCCTCAACTAAAGGCGTTTGAGTGCCTGATGCTGGCTCGGTTTCCAGGGCGCCAATTGACTTGCGCTTTTTCTTGTCTTTCTTAGACTTCTTAGCGATATGATGTGGCCACTCCTCTTGTTGGGGCGGAGATTGCTGGAGCTCTTCGGGAATTGCCTGTTCATTGTCCGGGGGTGAACTCGATTCGGCGGCGGTGATAACAGTGTCAACATCAGCGTTCGATGGCACTTCTTCAGCTGGAGGGGTCTGTACTTCAGTAGGCTGTTCAGACCCATCCTGTGCCGCTGACTCGCGCTTCTGTTTGTTCATTTTGACTTCCTGGCTGCCGGAGTCAACCTCCCCAGCGGCAATTGGCTCATCAGCTTCGGGTGGCTCTAACACTTGCTTCCCGCTGATACCCAGCTCCAAAGGTTCATGAGCTGAGACTTCTTCGATAATGTGACGGGTGCCAAGAGTTTCACTTTCGATGGGCAAAAGCTCTGCATCAAGCAGAGCATGAGTTTCCTCATGTACCAATGGCGTCTGGGTGCCAGATGTGGGCTCGGAATCGAGCTGCGCAAGAGCCTTCTGCTTCTTCTTGTCCTTCTTTGATTTCTTGCGAACGACAGGCATCGGATCTTCCTCCACGTTACCTGAGGCAGAACTTTCAGGCTTACCCACAAGTGTAGTTGCCATCTTAGGAATTGGTTCGGTCAGAGCTATGTCTATTTGCCTGGAAGGGACCTCTTGGGTGGGCAGATTTGAGGCTGCTTCTTGCGACAAGCCGAGGGGTGACGTCTCAATAGATTGACTGGTGTTGATAATTTCGTCATGCTTCGGCTTCAGAGAAATGTCAGGTTCTTCAGAGATGTTCCGACTATCACTCGCCGGATCGTTGTACTCCCAAGGCAAAGACTCGGGTGCCTTTGCTTTCTTTCCCTTTTTTTTGTCTTTCTTAGACTTCTTGGTGGACTCCAAGAATTCGCGTGGCTCGTCCTGAGCAGTTGCAGGCGTAGTATCAGAATTGATCTTCACAGGCAGATCGTTTGACAAGCTTTCAGCTGGCATTGCTTCCACATCTATTTGATCGTGCGGGATAAACCCTGGCTGAACACTGGCCCCTTTATTAGATGCAGGCTCTTCGAAACTTTTCACTTCAGATACCGGCTCCTTTGATAGTGTAACATATTGAGATGGTGACGCTGGACGCATGTCGAGTTGTTCTGCGGAGTGATTCTCGTCTTGACCGGGGGTCAGTACCTCAATAGATGGACCATCTGAGATTGGATCTCTTGTGAAATTTGATAATGGCCCCACAGACAATAAATTCTCTTCAATTGGAGTGACACTGGAAATGCTCATCTCTGGGTCATGCTCAAGAGCAGCAGATTTCTTGGCCTTTTTCTTGTCTTTCTTTGATTTCTTGGTGGCAATCTCGGGGAATTCGTCTTCAAGCTGTAACTTCTTTGAGGTGCTGGATTCTCCAACAATGGCATCCGTCGTAGCCCCTGAAGGTTGATCAAGAACGGGCGACTCATCGACAACCTCTGTAACAGCGTGGACCTCTTCTGAAGGGGCGGCTGCGATCGGATCCTCCCATTCATGCACAGCTTGAGTACCATTCTTGCTCTCCTCGTCCTTGTTTTTCTTGCCTAATGTCAACTCTGGAACTTTGTCGACTGGCAGATTGTCTCGCACGGCGGGTGTTTCTCCCAATACAACGACGTTGTCAGCACCCGCAGGGTCATCGAAAATCAGGGCGTCGGAGGTCTCTTGAGTCGGCTGAATTGCCTCAGCCAGCACAGGCAGAAGTTCGGGCTCTAGAGTGTCCACGATTTGTGACCCTTTCTTCTTCTTTTTGGCTTTCTTGGACTTTTTACCAGAGATCGTGTCGGGAAACTCTTCAAGCTGAATGTCTCTTGACGCAGTTGATTTATCAGCCTTAGTTTCATTTCCGACCTCAACCGGAAAGTCATGCACAGTATCCTGAGTCCGTTGCATCTTAACATCTAAGGGCTCTGAGAATGGTGTCTCGACGAATACCTCTTGCGTCGGCTGAGACTCTTGCGTCGACTGAGACTCTTGTGTCGGCTGAGACTCTTGCGTCGGCTGAGACTCTTGCATTGGTTGAGACTTTTGAGTCGGCTGAGGCTTGATTGAGGTTGGCGAGATTTCTTGTTCTGGAATAACTTGAACCTGAGCATCTTCCTCCTTCATTGATCCCTTGCCAGCTGCAGAGAGTGGGAACTCAACCTCAGAATGAATATCTCTAGAAGTATTCAAATCGTCAATTACAGGCTTGAGCCCAACTTCGGTAAGCTGCTCAGGAATTGGCACATCAGAAACTGTCTCTTCGCCAACAGTCCCTTGAACAGGACCAATTTCGGCTGACTGTTTGGGTAGCTGTGGCTCAGATACGGTGTCTTGCATTGACTGTGATTCCTTGGCGGATTGCGTCGTTTCAAAAGGACTCTCTTCAACCGAAGCAGGAGGGGTTTTAGGTTCTGGGATATCTAGAACTTGACTTCCCTTCTTTTTCCTCTTGTCTTTCTTAGATTTCTTGCCAGTCGTCACCTCTGGAAACGCATCTTCAAAAGTGTCAACAGCTTTGGGGACGGAGGAGTCCTCGGGAAGCGGGATTTCATCAACACTTGTAATGGGATCGTTCAGGAGTGAAAGTGGCTCTTGTTCGACATGACTTGCAACCGAGGATTCGGGTTCCTGATCTTGTAACTGGCTTGCGCGCTTCTTTTTCTTATCCTTCTTGGACTTCTTGCTGGTGGTAAAATCCGGGAGCGGGTCTTCGAGTTGAGCCTCGACAGGGATTGGAAAGCTATTCTGTTCCGGTATTTCTAACGCGACTGGAATCGACTCGGTGCGTAGGGTCGCGTCATTGTTGAGGGTTTGCACTACCTCGGTGCTCAACTTAGCATGTACAGAGGGAGGGTTTTGTTCCAGATGACTGATTGGCTCCTCAACCGAGGCTGGCTCAGTGGGCAAAGGTCTACCGTCGCTAGGAGCCTGCAGAACAGCCGGAGCCAGTTCAACAGGCACAGCAGACACGGGTTGCTCCTCTTGGCTAGTGGTCTCGCCAGCCAAGGTCAACGAAGATGGTTCAGGTTCGGGTTCCAAGGCCTGTGCTTGGGCGCCCTTCTTTTTTTTCTTGTCCTTGGATTTCTTCCCACTAACGAAGCCTGAAAGTATGTCTCCAGCCTCATCTTCTTGAGTTGGCTGCTCATTCTGAAGGACGGTGCCAGATTCCTTGGTTATTGTCCCATCAGGTGCTTCTTCAACCACGGGTGTTGACAGTAGCTCGGTCTCGGAATCACGATTCTGGCTAACTTGTGTCTTCTCGTTGTCCTTCAGCTTTTCAGTGGTGGTGAATTCGGGCACTAGCTCCTCAAAACGCTGCTCAGTGGTTTGGACGGGTACTGGGGTTTGTTGTGGGGCCGGTTCTTCAGCAAGTGGAATGATGGCAGGGCTCTCAAGATTTTTGGGCTGCTGTTCGGACAACGGCTGCTCCGTGGTCGCTGGAGTGCTTGGCCGTGGCTCCTCCATCACATCCTTTTGTTCTGACTCTAGGATAGCTCCTGCTGGTGCCACAAGATCGAGCTGGTCGATTTCAATCTGGCCATCTTTGGACACATCAACAATTTGTCCGAGGCCGCTGCTCTCCTGTTCCAATTTGTTCTCGACGTTCTCTGCTTGTGATTGTTGGGGGATATCAGCGTTGTCTTGGACATTGATCTGACTGCTGAGTGGTGTTTCAAGCGCGGACTGTTGACTGGTCTGTTCTGGAAGTTTGTCAATCAATACACGTATCTTCTGGCTTTCCAATTGACTATCATCAGCCGAGGGGGCGTCGACAGTACGCTCCTGCAGGTCCTCAGCAGGTGTTGTAACCATGATTTCTGATTCCGGCTCAGGCTCCCAAGTGCTGGCTCGCTTCTTCTTCTTGTCCTTTTTGCTTTTTTTGGCTGGAATAATGTTGAATGGATCCTCGTCCTTAAAAGTTTCGAGGGGTGTTGCAAACTCAAGCTGTGGCGTCTCAAGGGGGGTAGAAAACTCAGGCGGGGGTGTCTCAAGAGGAGTCGAAGCCTCGAATTGAAGGGTTTCGTTGGGTACTTCAGCAGAAACATGCTCGGTCTCTTCGGCTAGTCGAGCTGGTTCCTGCTGAACATTATCATCCCAAGTAGGAACTAATTTCTTCTTTTTCTTGTCCTTCTTTGACTTCTTCGTACTAGCAACAGCAATAGCCTTGTCGGTCTCAGCATCCTCCATAGGTATCGACGTCTCATCAGTAGGTATGGAAACAGGCACTTTAGATTCGAGCTGATCGGTGGATGTTTCAATTACCGGCAATTCAAGCTCAGGTTGTTCAGTGAACAGTTCAGGAGTAGCTTGGTTGGCTAAAACAGGCACTTCACTTTCGGATTCCTGGGTAGAGCTAGTCTGCACAGGTAACGAGTCGAGGGGAGCAGAGTCAAAGGGAGTAGGTTGCCCAGCCGTCTTAGCTGGATCCTGTAGCACATCATCTTCCAGAGAGCTAGTCTTTTTCCTCTTTTTCTTGTCCTTCTTAGGCTTAGTGGTCGTAGATTCGACGGCATCGTCGTATTTCGAATTTTCTGGAGTGACAGCCACCTCAAGAACAGGAGGCTCCAAGGTAAGCGAGTTGCTAGAAGCAGGCGTTTCTCCCGTATCTTCCTCCTGAAATGATATTTGAGCCAGCTCAGGTTCAGGCGTCGGGTCGTCAACAGGGGAGTCTGTGAGCTTGGAATCTGCTGGTGTTTTTACCTGCTCCTTCGACAAGTCATCTTCCGGGGAACTAGCTTGCTTCTTCTTTTTCTTGTCCTTCTTCGACTTCTTGGTTAGGGAAACTTCCGGAAGATCGTCGTCTTTTGGAAGCTCCACTGATATGGGCGGCTTAGAGACAGATTCCTCCGTGGAGACAGGTATGTCAGCCTCAACTGGCTCCAATAGTGCAGGTTCTCCAGGAATAACCATGTCCTCCTGTGGTACGCCATCGTCCCGGGGCCTGGTCTGCCTTCTTTCATTCTTGTCCGTTTTCGAATTCTTCGTTGGAGAGCTGGCCCGCTCATCTGATCCAGGAGAAAGCTGGTTGTCTTGTTCTACTGTAGGATCGGACGACGGGATATCTTCAGCTAAAGACTCCACAGCTTGTAGGCCAGGCTCGATTTCAGGCTCTTGATTTGGAATGGTATGAAGACTTTGGCTCAGGTCTTTGGACAACGTAACAGGCAGCTCTGCCTCCGGATTGGGCGAGGGCTCCTCGGCAGAAAGTTGGCTACCGCGTTTCTTCTTTTTCTTGTCTTTTTTGGACTTGGAAGTTAACAGGTTGTCTGTTTGGCTTTCCTCCACCGTTGAAATCTGTGGCAAAGGTTGTGACTCTAACACAGGCGTTTCTTGCTGCTCAACTGGACCTTGCTCCCCAATGTGTTGCATGTCGTTCTGAAGAAATTGCTGCTCAAGTGGTCCCTGGGGATGAGTCAAGATGGAATCGGTAGGATCTGACAAGGTTGTCTGATCCGCAGGATGGCATTCACTAGTCAGAGGGGCTTCCACTGCCTCAGTGTTGGAATGTGGCTGCTCGTCAGGAACTTGGCCATGTGGCGGGAGCTCTGCGGAATGTTCTGATACTGTAGAAACCACTGCGGGCTGGCCTTGGCTAGGAGTAGGTTGCTCAATTGAGAGTTGATGTTGCTCAATCGGGGGATCGCTTGAGAGCGCCTCTGAGTTTGGTACATCGCTGGATTCTGGAAGAATGGGAATAGATTGCTCGGCCGAAGTCTCATCAAAAGTCTCATCAGAAGGGATGGTAGAACAATCCTCGCTTATAATACGACCAGCTCGCTTCTTTTTCTTATCCTTTTTCGGCTTCTTGTTTGAAGTCTCGGCAAAATTAATATCTTGGGCGTCAATGGGCTGCTCCATCGGCGTATAAAAGTCATCTATACCTGGGGTGGCCTGTCCTGGAGTGAGTTGTGGTGCTTCTGCTGGCCAATCATTCATGCTTTCTTCGAAAGATGATTTTCGGCCCAGCTCTGACTCCTGAGCTAGGCTGCGCCTTTTCTTCTTCTTCTTGTCCTTATCCGTGGCCGTAAAGCCGTCCTCTACAATAGCAAGAGGTTGTTCTGTTGACATTGAAGGCTCGTCACCGGTGAACTGTGACGGAGAGGCCACGGGGTCAAAGAATTCAGTCCCACGAGCGGTCAAATGTGGACGCTCCGGTGCTGATTCATCAATGGGCAAATTGCGGGAGATATCCGGTGGGTCTGAAATAGCAGGCTCTACTGGCTCAGCCTCGCGTCTCGGGGAAACAGTAGAATCGACAGGCAGTTCCTCTTGAGACAGTTGCTCAGAAAAGTCATCAGCAAGCTGTTGCTGTGAAACGACTGGTTCCGTAAGCTCTCGATCGACTGGAGTGGGTGATCGAGATTGGTTGGCAGGTAGCTCTTCTGCGATAGCAGCTATGGCCTCTTCAGCCGCTGCCAGGACCGGTTTGTCTGATGGTGGGGCAGTATCTGGTGAAAGCGGGCGATTAAGTTGCGTGTCCTCAATAGACACCTGTTTAGCTTCGGGTTCCTGGACCTGACTACCCTTCTTTTTCTTTTTCTTGTCTTTTTTTGATTTCTTCGCCGGCAGGCTGCCCAATTCCTCGTCGTTTAGCCTCTGTTCGTCAACATTGGCTGGTTCGAGTTCTTCCATAATCGGCGGCTCAGGCTCATGCTCGGGGACTGGAACGTTAAGGTCGACATCTTCCTGAGGCTCGATCAGTGGTTCAGGCTCGATCAGTGGTTCAGGCTCGATCAGTGGTTCAGGCTCAGGGACTAGAATGTTAAGGTTGGCATCTTCCTGAGGTTTGACAGGACCAGATGTTGAATCAAGGTTATCATCAACCTTGCTTTTGCGTTTCTTCTTGTCCTTCTTCGACTTCTTGCTTGAAGAACCGCCTGATCCATCGTCGCCGGCTTTCTGCTCCTCCGTGTTTGCCTTCTGAATGTCAACAATAGCTTGGTCACTTTGCGGTGGGGTCTCCAACTGTGGCTGGTTTTGAGAATCATCCGCTGGTGCAGGCTCGGGTGCTGGGAAGTTTGTATTCATCTCGTCCTTAGGCGTAGACGTTCCAGAAGTTGACTCAAGCATCTCGTCGATTACGCTCTTTCGCTTTTTCTTGTCTTTCTTATTCCTTTTAGTGGTCATTGGGAACTCAAGCTCTGTAGGGGCAATTGGCAAGTCTTGAATACTGGGATTTTCGGGGTTGGGCTCGCCAGCGTCAAGCGAATCATTAATTTCAGGCACCAGATAAGTTCCAGCATCCGCTGAAGGCTCAATTGGCGTCGTTGGCATGTCGTCAAGTTGATTCGTTAGATCGATCTCTGGTTGATTTTGAGTTGCATCGAGCTCAGTTTGTGTATCAATGGCAGCATCAATAACACTTCGTGCTATTTCATTCTGCGGGTCAATGATGTTCTGAGTGCTTTCGACAGGGGCAGTGACTTCGGTCTGAAGTGGTGAAACATGGGGCAATGCTGTGTCAATCACAACATCAACTTGCGTAGCCTCATTGTGCACATGTTGCTGTGCGGCGTTCACTGGTAAGTCGATGATTGGTTGGCGTTCCTGTTGAGTATCGTTGTTTAATTCGGTCGGCTGTTCATCGGCTTCATCGGCAAGGGACAGCTCCCCCGAAGTGGCAGTAGATAGTGCTTGCTTCTTTTTCTTCTTCTTATCCTTCTTAGACTTATTGGAGATAGTGTTCAAGTCGTCCTCAACCAATTGCGTCTCCTCGTTGGGTGGACTCATATCTTGAGGTTCTCGTGGAGCATCACTAAAAGGTGTTTCAGCGTCGGCCTGGTCAACGCCACGCTTCTCGTCAACAACGCTGGAAGGCTCCAAGCTGATGGGCAATGTGCTGACGGGTACATCGACCGGTGTATCCTGCGAGAGTTTCGGGCTCTGAGGCTGTTCTCCTGGCGTCGCGCTGAGTTCATTGTCAAGTTGGAATGAAGCCCGATTCTTTTTCTTGTTTTTCTTTGACTTCTTACTGACAGTGAGTTCGACTTCAGGCTCTGGCGTATGCTGCGGCTCTGACATGGCGAGATCAGATGCGCCCGTTAGGAGACTTTCTTCAGTCACGACATTTCCTTTAGCGAGCGAGCTTTTCTCAGCATACGAGTTGTCCTCGGCCGGCAAGTTTTCCTCGATGGACAGGCTCCTTTCAGCCTCTTCCAGATTGCTGGAGGAACTTGGCGGTCGGCTACTAAGATCAGGCTTTGCCTGGGCATTTTCGGACTCGGCGTCGGCCAAGGGGTTCTCCTCTGCAGGTTGATGGGGGTTTCCAGCAGGGTCTTCGAAGATAACAGACTGCCGGTTTTTCTTTTTGTCCTTCTTTGACTTCTTGCTAACGGGAATATTAGCTTCAGGCTCGGACTGTAATTCTAGAACAGTAGCGGTTCCATCTTCAGTGTTCGCCGTCCTCGTTGTCGAGACGACGGGCTGACTGCTAGCAGACTCGGCTGCCAGGTCTTGGATGTCATTGCCAGGCAGGGGTACTTCTTCAGCAGCCTGCTGAGGAGCCTCATCAAAGCCATTGCTGGCGACGGACTGCCAACTATTCTTTCCATTTTTGCTCTTTTTGCTTGGCTTAAGCTGGGCAGCTAGGGCATGATCTGGAGTGCCTTCATGCTCAGCCTGACTTGACAAAACCTGGTCATCATTGAGAGCCTGAGCTTCGGATGTAGGTTCACTGGTTTCCCAAGGCACGATCTCTTCAACGACGTCGAATAGAGTAGAAATAGTTTCCGGCTCCTGCTTCGATTCCAATGCAGCGCTTTGCCGTTTTTTCTTGTCCTTTTTACTCTTCTTTTTCTTGCTGCCCGATTCTTCTTGCAGGGTATCAGACGGTTCAGCAATACTCTGCTCTGCAAAAAGAGTACCCTCCGTAGTTGGATCATTGACTTCGGTGTTGTCGACCATTGATGCAGAGGTTTGTACCAAGTGATCTACCATGTTATCGCTAGGATCGTTGGTGGAGAGCGGGTCCTGCAACGACTCACCACGGCCGACGTCCTGCTGCGGCTGAATCTGATCGCTTAAAGAGCTGGTAGGATCCATCAACTTTTCAACCACATGCTCCGGAAATTGGCTCTCGGCCAATTTAACGTTACTCAGTTCCGTAGCATCCGTGTGGCTCTCAGTTTGTAGTTCAGTGGAGTTTGGTGCAGGCACTTCAGGTACCTGTACGTAGCCGGCATCCTTGGATAAAATATCTTTTGTGCTCCAGTCGTATAGCCTAGGCGTCTCTCTGAGCAACTTGTCGTCTGTTGTGGAATGATCAAGAGTGCTGAGCTTTTGAGGGTCTGATGCAGACTCTAGATCGACGACCTGAGATGGCTCCGCGATCGAAGTTTGCTGCGTATTGTTGATCTCGAAGCTTGGTTCAGGGACAGGTTCATTGGTAGGAAGACCGGATTCTATATCGACGACCGTATCGATATTAGCAGGTGCATCTTCGACATCAGTTTCCGCTGTCTGGGTCTTCTTGGCCTTCTTTTTCTTCTTGCCTTTCTTGCTGCTTATAACAGGCTCCTCATCGATTGTAGAAACTGGTTTATCATCGACGATGGAAGTTGATTTCTCAATAGCTTCTAAAGTTGACTCTCCCACAATGAGCGGCTGCGTTAATTCAATGGAAAGTTCCTCATTATTGATAGGCGAAATATCCAGCTCTTTGGGCAAGCTCTTCGGCGAGGATGTTTCACTACGCTGGGCAACCCCTGGCTCCATTGGAGTTGGAACACTAGACTCGGGCTCGGCATTCGAAGCTTTTGCCTTATTGCCCTTCTTCTTCTTCTTGCTTTTCTTGGTACTAAGCACAGGTTCCTCGATGACAGTTGGCTCTTCAGTGACGGCAGGCTTCTCAGTGACGGCAGGCTCCTCAGTGACGGCAGGCTCCTCAGTGACGGCAGGCTCCTCAGTGACGGCAGGCTCCTCAGTGACGGCAGGCTTCTCAGTGACGGCAGGCTCCTCAGTGACGGCAGGCTCCTCAGTGACGGCAGGCTCCTCAGTGACGGCAGGCTTCTCAGTGACGGCAGGCTTCTCAGTGACGGCAGGCTCCTCAGTGGAGGCAGGCTCCTCAGTGACGATATGCTCCTCTAAAACGGCGACTTTCGGAGTGACTATAGATTCAAGCTCTTCAGTGACAACAGGCCCCTTGGCGCCGGTGCGTTTGTCAATAATAACAGGTACCAATTCTTCCGTAACGGGTTGCTGCTGTGGCCCGCTAGCAACTTCCTGGTTGATTTCGGGAGCAATGATGACAGGGGCATCGTCAGGTTTTGTAGTCTCCAGCTCCTTGGGAGTATCAATAGTGGGTCCCAGTTCGGGACCCAACGCCGATGATTTGCTCTTCTTTTTCTTCTTGCTTTTCTTAGAAGAGCTTGTGGATGACTGGACTACTGAAACTTCTGGTACAGGCTCGGGCTGCACAAACTCAAAATCTTGGGAAACAATTGGAACCTCGTCACTCTCTAGGAGATTTTGGTTTTCTGTTGCAGAACGCGTCTCTGAGACTGAATTTGTGGGGGTTTGCATGCTGGGCTCGGGCTGCGGCTGTTCATTCTCCTTAGAAGCGTCGGGCTGATCATGGCCATGCGCTGGTGGTTGAATGGCCAATGCAGGTGAGATTTCTTCCAAGTGCGTAGTGCTTAAGAGTGCCGGCTCGGCCTCGGACTCCCAATCAACTATTTTATTGTTCTTCTTGCCTTTCTTGCCTTTCTTAGATGTGCTCACAGGAGCAACGTCATCTTCGACAACTTCTATAGCATTCGGCTTTTCAGGAGTTTGTGGTGGATTAGTCGATGGGGTCGAAAAACCAAGGTCCTCGACTTCTGTCTGTATTGATTTTTTGGCCTTCTTTTCCTTCTTAGATCTTTTAGACGAAGTAGCGGTAGGCTCTGGAAGCTGGTCGTCATTTTGCAATTCGTTGAGCGGTTTACTATTGTTTTCGTCAAACAAAGCGACAGCTGCAGCGGTGCCTGCAGCGGCGCCGACCATGAGACCTAAGCCGACTGCCCCCTCCGATGAAGTGTTATCTGTACTTTCTGGGATTAAGTCAAGTTCAGCCGGTTTGCCAAGAGAACGGCTTGGAGAAGCCAAGTTCTTCATAGCAGGTGGACTCGAATGAAGGAGGTAAGAATTACGGTCCTTAGAAGAAGGGTCAGTTGGCCGAAACTTGGAGGAGTTATGATTGCGCGCTTCTGATGGAGAAAATTGTGCATCACCCAAACTGTTTCCAACCTGCTGGGGAGTGCTAAACGCATGCGACGAGCCGAAAGTCTGCGCTTTCGGTGTCGTTTCTTGAGAGCCAGACTGGATGGTTTCAGCTTCGGCCAAAGCAGCAGGAATGTCTAGCTTCAGAGCAAGATTGTTGGACAAGTCTCGCGCATACTGATAATGGACATCATGCTCGCGATCGTTGAATTCGGGACCGGGCGATTCTCGCGAAGGCGGTCCGCTTTCTGGCAACTGTGGCAGATCCTGCTCGATTTCAGGGAGGGCGGCGCCGACCGTCTCGCGTGAGGTTTTCTCTACAAGATACAGAGGTTTAAACTCCTTTGTGTTGTCCCAAGAAGTGGGGCGGGCAGCACGCGCCTTGGTCGCGCTCAACGTTTCAGTAGGGCCAACAACAGGCGATGCCATAGGCGAGGGTTGACGGAAGCCGGGGGAGGAAGGCTCACGCTTCAGTTTGCCTACCCCAAAACGAAGTGGGATGGCGCTCTGACTAGGTGATTTCATTCTGTTCGGTGTCTCATTGGCACTCTTGCGACGGATATGACTTGGCTTCTTGTGCAAGTCACGGAGAAGATGCCGATCATTCTCAGGTGTCTCCGGCCGACTGTCCGGCAGGACCGGAAGCTCATCAGTCTCGTTAGTTATCGGGAACCCAGGAGGAGGACTGGGTGGTAAAGGTAACAAATCGCCATACTGTGGGTCTATGGCAGGTCGAATTTCCCTCTGTACAATTTCAGGATCGATGTTGTCAGACGAACTCCTTTCTCGCTGAGGGCTAGGAGTTTGTCGTTCAGGGGGAGTGGTGGGAGTGGTGGGAATACTGTGAGCTTCCTTTTCTTCCGTAGGGACGTCATTGGCATTTGAAGGAGACATCTGCGACTTGATCAAAGCAGCCGCAGCGCCCAATAAGCCGACACTCGCGCCAAGAGTGCCGGCATTATCTTTTAAAGACTTCTTGTCGTCATCTTTACGTGAACCTTTATCATCTGTTATTCCAATAGATGACTTGAACCTGTCAAATAGACCCGGGCCGGCACTACTACGCTTCTCTTTGTCCTTCTCGGATTTGCTATCTTTCTTGCGAGATCCTGAAGGAGCGGAAGCAATAGACTTGGCATCATCATCCATATCATCGAAACGACTCCGACTTTTTCGCTTCTCCGAGCGGTCGCGGAGTGGCGCTGAGACTACAGAACTGGCGTCGTTGTCCATAAACTCATAATCACGCCCCCTGTCAGGAGGATCACCTCGGTCATAAGCATCATCGGTGGGAAACCCCCCAGGGAGGCTGGGGCGCTTCTCCTTCTTGCTCTTTCTCTCAGACGTGTCAAAATCGACCTCTGATCCTGGGAGAGGAACGTCTGCGGCTGAGACATATTCATAATACGAGTCTCGCTTCGACTTCTTTTTCTTATCAGAGGATATACCAGTCTCAGCATGAGCTTGAGATGGGGACGTAGATCGTGAGCCCGATGGTGAATCGTATATATGTGAGTCACGCTTCGACTTCTTCTTCTTCTTATCGGATGAGGATATACCATTCTCAGCATGAGCTCGGGACGGAGACGTAGATCGCGAGCCCGATGGTGAATCGTATATATGTGAGTCACGCTTCGACTTCTTTTTCTTCTTGTCAGAGGCCAACACATCGACTTCAGAATGAGTGCGAGACAATGATGCAGATCGTGAACCGGACGGCGAGTCAAAGATGTGCGAATCTCGTTTCGACTTCTTTTTAGACTTCTTGGGCTCACCCCATTCATCGAACTGGGGAGTACCACTCTTCTCCTCATGGAGATCACTAAAAGACTCGGTCATCGCCTTGGGTGAGTGCGTTAGGTCATCATGCCCGGAAGGAGTTTGGGAAGGGGAGTCATATGCCGCAGAATCGCGCTTTGACTTTTTCTTTGACTTTTTAGTGGGTGCTTCCTCATCATTAAGTACAGTACGTTCGGCAGTCGAAAAGTAGTCAGTCGACTGGCTCTCGCCTATGAATTCGGAAGGCTGGGATGGCACGTTCGTCCAGTCTGTCGTGTCAGTACCAAAAGAATCTTGCTTCGACTGCTTCTTCTTGGGGGCGTTCCATCCATCATCATGAATGACGGTGATTTCGTCGTCGCCAGCTTTGTGAGAGTTCTCGCTCAACCCAGGCTCTCGAACAGGATGGTCATAGACTTCAGAATCACGTTTAGACTTCTCGTTTTTATTAGGAGGAACACTCCAGTCATCTTCAGGTTGGGCGTCATCATTCTTCTGCACATCCTTTGAAGTATCAATCTCTGATAGAAGGGTAGACTGCGAAGGCGAATCGAAAACCTCCGGTTCGCGCTTTGACTTCTTTTTCTTGCTTTTCCTTGAAGCGGGAGCAGACCAGTCTTCTTCAGGTTGCGCAATAGGGGTTTCCTCTTGAGAGCCTTTCGGAGTTTCTGTCTCACTCGGGAGAGCAGATTGTGAGGGGGAGTCGTAGATATCAGAGTCTCGCTTAGACTTCTTCTTACTTTTATTGGAGGACGAAGGGGCGATCCACTCATCTTGAGGTTCAAATGCCAGGCCTGCCTCGGGTAGTTCTCTTGGAGTAGTCTCCTCCAGTGGTGTCTGCGAGGGCAAAGTATAGCCCTCGGAATCTCGTTCCGACTTCTTCTTGCTCTTCTTGGAGGATGAAGAATTCCACCCATCTTCAGGCAGAGCAATAGGAGTCTCATCCTGCACATCTCTTGGGGTACTCTCCTCAAATCGAGTCACAGTCTCTGGGAGAAAATCAAAAGATGCGGGTTCACGCTTCGATTTCTTTTTGCTCTTCTTGGAAGAAAACGAGAGAATACCTGACTCGTCTTCAATAGGAGCACTAGAGAATTCATCTTGCAACTCTCTGGAGATATTTTCTTCGCGTGGATTTGAAGCTTTTGAGGGGATGTCAGAAGTCTCAACGTCTCGATTTGACTTGTTCTTGCTTTTCTTGGAAGGAATGCCCCAATCGTCCTCAGGCTGTGCAATAAATTCCTTTTCTTGCACGTCCTCGAACTCGTCCACTGGCAGAGAAATCTTCGACTCATCCGCATCATTGGAATCTCTCGGGCTCTCCTGCACGATGATAGCCTTGTCTTTCTTCCTCTCCTTCTTTGATTTCTTTTTGGACGAAGTATCCTCCCACTCATCAACGAATCTTGATTCAGTAGGTTGATACTCGGGTTCATGAGAACTTGAGATCTCGAATACCTCCTCGTCTGGCGACGTTCGTGCTTTGGCGCCTTTCTCAAGCTTCTTCTTCTCCTTCTTACTAGGCTTAGACAAGGAAGCCCAGTCATCCTCTTCGGCAATCTGGTGCTGGAGCGTTTCAGATTTGGGGTCCTGGAATGTTGAGATTGCAAGCTCGTCCTCTAGGAGGGCCTTCGCTCGAGCCTTATCACGCTTCTTGTGCTCCTTCTGGCTCTGCTTAGGTGTGGATGCCCAATCGTCCTCTACAGGTACGGGCTCCGGCGCAGGCTCCGAATGGT